GTGCAGATACTGTTAGATAACAAAGCTGATATTAATGCCCAGGGTGGAGAGTATGGAAATGCCCTCCAGGCTGCTTCTTATGGAGGATATGAGCATATCGTGCGGATCCTGTTGGATAACAAAGCCAATGTCAATGCTCAGGGTGGAGAGTATGGAAATGCCCTCTATGCTGCTTCATGTGTAGGGCATGAGCAGATTGTGCAGATGCTGTTGGATAACAAAGCTGATATCAATGCTCAGGGTGGAGAGTATGGAAATGCCCTCCAGGCTGCTTCTTATGGAGGGCATGAGCAGATTATGCGGATCCTGTTAGACAATAAAGCCAATGTCAATGCTCAAAGTGGATGGTATGGAAATGCCCTCCAGGCTGCTTCTTATAGAGGATATGAGCAGATTGTGCAGATACTGTTGGATAAAGGAGCCGATGCCAATACTCAGAGTGGAGTATATGGAAATGCCCTGCAGGCTGCTTGTTATAGAGGGCATGAGCAGATTGTGCAGATGCTGTTGGACAACAAAGCCGATGTCAATGCTCAGGGTGGACACTATGGAAATGCCCTGCTGGCTGCTTCTTATGGAGGGCATGAGCAGATTGTTCAGATACTGTTAGACAACAAAGCCGATGTCAATGCTCAGGGTGGACAGTATGGAAATGCCCTCCAGGCTGCTTCATGTGTAGGGCATGAGCATATCATGCGGATGCTGTTGAATAACAAAGCCAATATTGATGCTCAAAGTGGACAGTATGGAAATGCCCTCCAGGCTGCTTCTTATGGAGGGCATGAGCAGATTGTGCAGATACTGTTGGATAACAAAGCTGATGTCAATGCTCAGGGTGGAGAGTATGGAAATGCCCTCCAGGCTGCTTCTTATAGAGGATATGAGCAGATTGTGTGGATGCTTTTGGATAACAAAGCCGATGCCAATGCTCAGGGTGGAGCATATGGAAATGCCCTCCAGGCTGCTTCCTATGAAGGGCATGAGCAGATTGTGCAGATGCTGTTGGACAACAAAGCCGATGTCAATGCTCAGGGTGGAGCATATGGAAATGCCCTCCAGGCTGCTTCATGTGTAGGGCATGAGCAGATTGTGCGGATACTGTTGGACCATCAATCGCACGTTGATGAGCCGCCCTTGAAGAGACTCAGAGTCTCTTGAATCTTTTGATGTCAACATCTTTTATAATGATCTTGAATTGTGTTTGCCATCTCACAATCTTCATAAATCAGATATATTCTTCAAACTATGGTCTGTTTTAATAATGTTTGAAAATTACATGTGAAAGATTCCATAGTTCTTTATACGGTATATTACAGTGTATTAGAGTTATTCCATTGGCTAATGTGGAGCCCCATCTTGATTGGTTATACGAGCGGCTCATCCCGCAGACCCCACTTTAGTTGAAACCAGTATAGGAGTTTGGAGGGGAAGCCAGTTTTGCAAAGATCTGTAACTAGACCTCAAACTGTTTACCAAAAGCTTGAAGAAAACATGAAGAATGCACAGCAGGAACACAGTTGTAAATAGACTGATCACATGTGCATACATGACTCTACACCGGGTTAGTGTGAGGACAGCCACCTGCAGCCGGATTTGGGCTGCTAGTTTTGTCCTCCACTAGTCAGACTTTCTGGTAGCGGTAGTATAGTGGTAAGCACTCTGAGGCGACTTCCAAATGGGCGGCATTGATTTCCCTGTTGAGTTCAATTCTCAATGCCAACACCACACCACATTTACCAACTCAGCGTCTATGGAGAGACACCACAACCCCCGGGTACTGTGGTGGAGTACCCCAGCCTTTTCACAGGTTAAACTGGAACATTCACTGGACTATCAGGCAAAGCTCAAAGTTCGCTCTCAGGAAGCTTGGAATATCATAACGGAACTATAATCATTCATGTATTCAGAGTTGCGGTTACCTGCATATCACTTAGTTTGATTATAAACCACAACCCACTAGACTGGGGGCAGATTTGTATTTTAGTCTAGAGGTGGAAACAACATAGTTGCGAGGGGTCAGCGTATGAATATACATACATATATACATATATATGTATACACAAATGCGGTCTGTGCCCCTTAGGAAGTACATATTGACCACTGCAGCCCTTATTTAACACCCAGTTTGCTGGTCTAGGTCTCTTGTAAAGCGGGAAGTACATCTTTACATTTCTAGCGCTAACTCAGTGGCATATATGACTGCAAGCTACATGTACATTTTAGGGTGCCATTTCTCGCCAACACTAATAGCAGCCGAGATATCAATGGATGTGAATATATAAATATATTTGTGTATATACATAGGTACGTACTATATTGACAGAGGTGTACTTAGGTGTAGGACTTATATGGCTGGGTATATATAAACTTGCTGGTATGTGTAGAGACGTTGCATGGAAAGTGTCTAGAACATCTATCGCGAGGTTTTAGACCATGAGGAAAATATGAACGGGCAACCTTCAGACGCTTGTAACCCAGAGGAAGGTTTTATCTTTCTTATTCTCTTCTGTAGACCTGAAGGTTTACATACAAGGAGGGCGTCGGATTCATTATTTCCAATCTATTTGATTCTACGCGGAATTATTATAGGCAGGCTATCAAGATCATATCCTGTCAGACCTTCCTAAACTCTCCAAGGACATATAACCCGAGAGCGATGACTTCCCGGCGTGTTAAACGGACAAAATAAGCCAAGGCCTGGCAAGTGGAATCGAAGTGACAAGTGGTGAGCCATGACAAACAGTGCAGGAGTTGCTTTTTCTCAGCAAATCTCATGCAATAAGCCTCCACACGAGCAACCAGCCCCCATTGCTTGTACTTTCCGGCCAATGCCGCCCATGGCAACACCCTTATACAATTCTCGTAGCGATAGATTTTGAGATACCATGAGATCACAGTTTCCAGGGAGCTGAGGATTACGTGGGATATACCCGGATGCCGGAGCAAAGTGGAACGAGAGATGAGTTCAGCAGAGGTCATAGGGCATTTCTGATGGGCCCACTCGGATTGTAAGCCGACAAAGGTTGCTGATGATCGTCGCCGTGTTTCAAAGATCGAAAGATTGGGTAGCCATTCTCGGAGATTGGCGACATCAATGGGGGTACGGTAATGGGGGGGTACAGGACGGGAAAACACACATTGCAAGTTCTCCACCTCCAGCTCTTTCAGGGTGGTTGGAAGCCTCGGCAAAGTCTGGAGGCCGCCGTCCACGTACCAATCCCCAAAATCAATTGAGCAGGAAGGGGTCCCCGAAGCAAAGATGGCGTATCGCAGCGGCCGGTATGCCTCGGGTTGCCGACTTCTCAGATCTCTCGGGTAGCTTCGAGAACGTGCGTGTCATGACCGGCAAGCGAGCAGCTAATGGCAGATCCTAGGCCGGCGCCTATGACGAGGTTCTGTAGCTTACAGGATTCCGATCGAGTTTGTTGTCACTTGATGGAAATGGGGGGCGCCATGGTGGTAACTGTAAATAATGCCCGATGCGAATGATTCGAGATTGATATATATCCTGAAGAGCCATTTATCGTGATAGCTCTATATCCAGACACGGACTTCCCGCATTTGTGCAAAGTCGAATGATACGAGGCCAAGAATGGGGGTTTACTCAACTTTTCCCTGCAGCTCTGATTGGGATATCTTATCATGATAAAATAATGGATATGATATGGAAGAGGGACGTAGCTCATAGGCTGTATAGCGAGGCTGGAAGTGGGAAAGTACTTTCATAGAAGAATATACACAATAATTGGTAATGAGCAAGGTATGCACTTCCCCCTTAATGTAGCTCAAGATGATTTGGTAATTCCAATCAATCAATTGGGCAGGGGTCCTACACCACTAAGGTGCACATACGCTTTTTATAGCTAACACTGTACCGTGAGGGGTCAGGCTGAAGCTGGCTGTGATTCAAACTGGAAACTATAACACCCTTTGAGAGGACGTGTAATTTCATTGGCTGGTATGAGACACAGTGTTCCATTATTGATGGTTTCAGTCTCCATGACAAGCTATCATACTTTCCTTCCGAATAGTGGCACCAAGGTCTTCAAATATACATAACGGACTTTAGGGGCTATATTTTTAATTTTTTTTTTTGATCAAAAAGAATTGTACACTCCATTTACGGTACCAGTAACAACGCTGAGGATCAAATTAAACATTTTGGCTGATATTCACTTAGTCTAACATGATAGGACATTGTAGGCTGAGAGTAGCAATATACTGTACACATCGAAGGGTGCATAATTGTTGATTAATCCAAATAATGCAAGACCCAAAGGGGATAGCCTCGGCTAATGCGCACGTGGCCAAGACTTGACCCAACAGGAAGGATCCCTCCGAAAGACCAGGCACTCCATAGTGACCGAGTACTGACACGCCGAGTACAATGTCTTGTTCCTGACTCATCCTACTCTGAATGTCTGGACGTGCGCCGAAAACCACAGGGGAGCTTATCATTGTCCACCAGGAATGCCGGGCTAGCCGGAGACAAGCCCGAGCCCACTTGGCGCAAAATGGGATCAGAAAGAGGATCCAAAAGCAGCGCGGAAGGGACAATGGTAGTCAGCCCCCCCAATACTCAACGGTTGAAGCTACCCCTAGTCTGCCAGCAACTGTTGCATTGTCGGGATTTTCGATGGTGGAGTACTTGATCTCCACCAACATCTTTCCCGACCTGAGCAGCACATGGGGCGTGAGCCCAACCGTCTGTCCTGGACCTGCAAACCTGTCGCATAGTCTTTCGCGAGCTTCCGACGTACTTGAATCTATTTTTCGCGCCAACCTTGCGTTTCATTGGGTCGATCTCAATCTATGGACAACTACTGAGGAAAAGAGGAACATGAAAGTTGCTGCCCTAACGTTCCGCGGACAAGCAATCGCGTTGGCCCGGAAGGAGCTACTTCGTTGTGGTTCATCTCGCGGCATAGGTGGTGATAGCATTCAACTTCAAGCCCATCCGACAAACCGAGAGGTTTGCTTCGGTATTGTGCTGCGACTGCTCCAGCTCGACTACCGGTTTGCGCGAAGCGACGTCCTGCCCCATTTCGCGGCATGCCGGCAACTGCTCAGAGGGACCTCAGTTAAAAACTTGCCTGAGGACCGATGCTCAATGGAAGGTTTGGCATCTACCATTCGTAACCCTCACCTCCACCACCTCATGATCACGTTTGAGTGTATCAATTGTACTCCGAACAGTGTAATCTGGGATGATGGAGACTTAGATTGTCTTACAAAACGTTTGTCTGAATTTGCCAATTGCCTCAGGGAGCGTAACATAGTATCTACGGAGCAGAGGACGTTGGAAGAATCTCTTCCGTCAGCACCCCCAAGGGTCTCGCCGCACACCATCTTATGGCGATGTCTCACAAAGACCCCCGCTTCAATTGCATCCAACATATACCGCGACGTCTCTGAACTGAGCGCACAACTTGGGGCACTTTTGCTTATTTGTTCGGTGTTCCTGGACTATGAAGATGACTCTCAAGGTGTAGATCCTTTACTGCCCTCCCAATGCATTGACGAGTTGGAAAACGCACTGTTTGCTCTCGGCGAAGAGGACGCCGTATCCAGTGCGCTGAATACATCCTGGCTCCTCGCTGGCGGGCTGGGACTGCCCCTGACCCAACGTCGATCCCGCCTGTGGTCCGTATCCGGGATGCTATACGCGCTCAAGCGATCTTCCGGGCATGATGGAGTGGTGAATGCCAGGAATGTTAAGGAGGTTTGTTTGGAGTTTCTAAGGAGCCCCCGGAAAGGCCCGTGAGCGGGTTGTTGCGTAGTACTTCAGAGTATTATTTCCCTTTTTCATCGCATTCCATTCGCCAAGCCCCTAAACCTGAATAGGAAATTTCCTAAACGGGCAAGTTATCGTCTAGCCCTCAATGAGCGTCTCAACAAAAACCATGGCTGGTCTTCCGACCCATTAAATATCAAACGGGGTCTGGACAGGGGCCCTAGAAACTATTCACCTGTGATCTTGGACTGAAGCCGGCCTTACGTGCTGCTGTAGGGCCTGTCGCAGATATTCTGTCACGTATCGATACATCCGAGCAATTCAAAATGTCGGCCTCGTCTTCTTTACCCGTAGAGCTGCGGAAGCTCTCGGACGATGTCTATGTTTATGATCCCCGATTGGACTCACTAGGTCACCGCAATAGTACCGGTGACCCTACGGTTGTTGTGCTATACACGTGGGCTGATGCATCTGTACGGCTAGTTCAGAAATACTTCCAGGGCTACCGAGATCTTTACCCATCCGCAAAAATTGTTATTGTAATGGCCAAGACGACGAAGACTTTCTTCTCCGGGCAAGAGACGAACAAATCCACAGTGAGGGAGATGGTAGTCAAGGAATTGTGGCCTCCCAGCGGTACGACAAGTCCACCATATCGTGGAAAGTCACAATCCCACATCCTCATGCATGCATTCTCCAACAGTGGCGGCGTCAACCTTGAAGCAACCTCGCTGGTGTGGCATGCATTGCAACAGAGCGTGGGCCAGCCCATCGGCCCGCTCCCAATCCAAGGCCTCATTCTGGATTCGACACCGGGTGGCTCTTCCTTTTCTCGTGAATTCTTCCGCTGGACAGCCGGAGTGGCCCTCGGGTTTGCGTTTTTACCCAAAGTCTTAGCAAAGCTCGTTGCGATTATGATAGTGCTTGTGCGTTTCGGGTTACCGGGCGTGGTCGGAAAGGAAATACTTCCTGTTCGCGGCCGGAGAGTTGTAAATTCGTCTGATTACATCCCGACAACCAGCGGACGACTGTACATCTACTCAGATTCGGATCCCTTGATCGGAGACAAGGACATCGAGTCGCACGCACGTGAAGCCAAGGCGAAGGGTTATGGCAAGGTTGAGCTGGAGAAGTTTAATGGCTCAGGGCATGTGGCACACATGCGGCAGGATCCGAAAAGGTACTGGGCTGTGATTTCAAGGTTTTGGGAGAATTCTTGTGCGTAAATTTGGATTATAGTTCTAAAGTGACTGTACGGAACCTATGTACTAGTTTGTGTCAATTATGGAAGTGTGGTAGGCGGTCAACAATAGTTATTCTTTTTTGTTCAAGTATATACGCAAGATCAATGGAACAGGCCCTTTGATAGATGTCCCACCGACAGGAGTACTATCTTCATCCCTTAACAAATCTCACCCAGCGTACATGCTCCTCCATCCTCTCGAATCGCTCATCATAAAACACCTCGTATCTTGCAGTAACTCCAGACACACCCCGAAAATTCGGCGGTATTTCTGTCCTGTAAGCCCTATACACACTTGCTAAAAGCGTCGTCGTCATCTCCAATATAGCCAAACTAAGCCAATTAGCCCAATATAGTTCTTATTAACTGTCAAAATAACTTACTGAATGCCAATACCCATCTTCCCCCAACACGAAAATAGCCAAAACTACCTCTTCATCTCCACAACCTCCTCCCCAGGAAGCAACCACCGATCCGGATTAAACCGCCCGGGATCCCTGAATACCCTGGCATTGCGATGGAGGGGTATAAGGACTAATACTAACCACCGTCCCCTCGGGGACAAGATACCCGTCAATACCGTGGTCATTCCCCGTGCTCTGCGGCTGAGTCCCGGGCAGCGGAGCAAAGAGTTGAAGGGTTTCCTTTGCTATCTTATCATCTAGTGTGGTCTGTAACGAGACCCCTCCTGAGGCGCCAATGTGCTAGCTCTTTGGGCATCTTATAGGGAAGTGGACAAAGGACATGGGTGTATACGTAAATACACTGGATTCAAGATAATGAGATCTGTATGTGGGACACCCGAACAAAGAATGGGTGTAGCGTTATAACTCAAGTAAAATACTTCATCGATCCCAGAAACGCCCTATATATACTCTGATCCTCCCATGCCCTAGTAAGAGCACAACACAAACTTATTTCTCGTCCAGTTGTGGAGCACATTCACAATGAAGTCTATCTCAAGAAGTAACTAACCGCTAGAAAAAATACTCTATGTACAAAGTCTATCCTGGTATATATGCGCTCACATGAAATTGAACATGAAGTAGCGTAGCATGTATATTCAAAACACAGTTCCCTTGACCTGATTCATCTTCTTCAACCGAACATCCCTCCACATCAAAATAGACCCAACCGCAAGCGGAAGTATAAGAAGCCCAGCAATAAGCATCCGTCGCTGCGCCACCCCATACGCAAGGATCGTAGCATCCCGCTCTGGCGTTCCGGGCGGATACGATAACACCGCCTCGATCGACCCATACAACTCGGCAACTTTATGCTTCTTCTCCGGAGGAAGGTACTTCTGCAGATATACGGGGACGGTGCTCGTCCAGATTATTCCGGAAATGGCGGATCCGATGCCTGCCCCCATTTTAGAAAATAGACCCACGAGCGCGAAGGATACGGCGACCGTTTCGTGGCTGCCAGTGGCCATGGCGGCCATTTGCTGGCAGATTGCCAGAGTGCCTCCTGCGATGGCTTTGAAGATTTCACACATCACGATGTATCCGATGTGGCTTTGTGGGGAACGGAATTGGATCATTAGGCCGGTTCCGAGGAATATTAGAGGCATGGCGGCTAGAGCGATCCATTTTAGGCGGTCGACGTGCCGGATAAATCTACTATTGTCAGGGTGTGATGATGGGCTGGGAGTGTTGTACTCACAGTCCGAGTGGCACAGACCAGATGCATGTGCCTATGGTGTAGATGTTGTAGATGTAGCCCGTTTCTCGGATGCTGGTGTTGAAGGTCACTTGGAGGTAGGAGGAAAGATATAGATCCCAGCAGCTAGGACAGATTAGCGGGGGAATGCTGTGACGGAATGGAACTGGATGGCATACTAGAAGCTGGCAAAAATGGCAGCAGCGAGGAAGCAAGCTCCTAGTAAAGTTTTGTCTTTCAATCGGTTGAAAGGTAGAAAGCAGACCGGGGCACAAAAGCGCTCCCAAAGCACAAATGCGACAAAAAATAGCATGCCCACGCATAGCATCGTTATAGGATCTGGGGATCGGGATCTCCATTTACTCCCCGAGGCCATGTCGCTGGTGCTGTCTTGTGATGTTGGAGTTAACGGCAGAAGCACTAGAGTGAACGCCGCAGTGACTAAGGAAAGCCCGATAGCTGCTGACATTAGCCTATATTCATGTATCGAGAGGCAATATACGTACTGTCAAACTCAATAATATAATGCTTGACGGACTGCCACCAGCTTCTGCGACTATAGTTCCTTCGGATCAATCCTGTGCTGTATGCTTTCCGCAATGTGCTCCAGAGCAACCACATGAATGGCGCAGTGACAAGTGGAGTGAGGATGACGAATGTGCCAAATCCCCACCATAAGGCTCCCTTCTCGTAGAATTTCTGTGCTGCTGCGGGGCCAGCAAATGTAGTGACAATATACGGGGTGTATGCCAGGCCATAGACAAACGATCGGTTGATCAAATCCGTGGTATCGGAGAGAAAGACATGGAGAACGTAGTCCATGCCATTGTATCCAACCCAGTATATAATCTAGGTGCGGTAATAAGCTAAGGGGCTCCGTGTATTGAGATGAACGGTTTGGACACACCTGTGCAGCGACATAAGTTTCCACTTTTCCACAGATTGCCATCAAGAAGAGTCCTATTCTGTAAGTAAAGGTTCATTTCGGCATGGAAGGTTCTATCACACCTAGCGTGCATAGAGCAGTCGTAACTGCAAACCCTTTCGGACGGCCCCAGACATCAATCAACATGGCGACCGGCAATTTTGATACCCCACCGATAATGCTTGTTAGGACATTCGTCCTTGATACCAAAGAATGATTGCTGAACTTCGAGTACACATACGGTGAGAGACTACCCGTCGTCTCTTGTTGAAATGAGTTTGTGAAGAATATCAAGAACACTCTAGCGACCTTCATTAGTCTTACTTCGGTGGCAGTGATAGCGACTGGAGTTCGCACAGAGCATATCCAATATGGAGAGTCTTGGTCGACCATACTGTGGCCAGCGCCTCGATCTCCACCACTCCGTGCGCCCTTCCCTCCTGGGCTTGTGCGATCGTTTCCGACGGTAAATCGCCGATCGGTTCGTAGCCGTCATTGCGCGGATCGTTCATCATTGTCTTGTTCCCTTCCGCTCCTGTGCTACGGAAAACCGCGCGTAAGAACCTCTGCATGGCATTGGCAATAGGGAGCAGCCCGCTGCTAGCCTATACGACTGGGAGTAGGGGTTATGGGCAAGGGAGGAATTGGAAACATATGTGGGGTAGCTTGACATGGCATGACAAGTCAAAAGACTTCCCGAGAGAGAAATTATGTGTGACTCCTCATCGTGGATCAGGAACTGACTGATTGGTCAGACACTTCCTTGGCCATTATCAGATGATCAGATAAGATCCACCGCCGGTTATCGGAGCCAGAACTTCCCGTCCCTTTCCGGTGCCGTGATCTTGCTTATTCTGCCGACACACACCGTAGAATTCATGATCACAATGTCTATATAATCAATTGGAATAGTGAACATCCACACTAAATGACATGGCAGTGTGGTTCAATATATACACATTTATAGAAAAATTATGGAACGCAGAAAATTTTTCCAGGCCTTTAAGTAGTACGCCAAGGAAACCTCAGTGCAAATTTTGCTACATCTAATGATGAATCTTCCGGTTTCACGGCAACTTTAACGGTAGATGCTTGGTCCACGCCCGCTACTCATGCTCATAGGTCAATATCTGACTCTTATAACTTTGGTATTTTTTGACTCTATCTAGCGTTAAGGTACTCCGATTGATCGAAACCAGCGGGATAGCGAGAACTGCCCTGTACATTCTTCGATCAGTTGAGGAGCGCAACCCTTCAAGACGCGCAAATTTACTAGTTGCCTGGGGAATATCTGTCATTGACTTCATAGGGTTCCACATGTATTACACACCTGTTACTACGTTAAGAAAGACCTTCGCGGAGATGCGAGGAAGGTGTGGAAAGTCTCGTGCCTGCAACCCACTTGTTCCTTGAAGTACTGATCTATATATTCCATATCTCTCCTTATATCATGCATGTGTTCTCGTTTCGTAAGAACCGTATATACGGCCAGAAGATCCCTCCCCATTATGCCTACACTGTATACCCCACAGACTAGAAACCACTTACCCCCGTTTAATTCTTGCATTACTCTGTTGTCGACCATCTCATATCTCCGGAAGATGGCGGGCCATAGCCAGACAACCAATACTGCGCATGCAATCCGCTGTTATCACACTGAACATTGCAAGGGCTTTCGATTGGAATGGAGATCCCTTTGTCAGACATTGGCCCGTCTATACAGTCCCATTCAGAGCGATGGCCAATCCCAATTTGGAGAGCCAAAATGCTCAGTGGTTGATAAACAACCTCAAGCTCAAACCACACATTCAAGGTGGCAATTTTTATCGAACAGGCGAAGACCATTTCGAATGTCATGCTGTTAATAGCTCTACACAATTGAATATAACCAGGAAGAAACGTCACCTGGACCGTACCACAATGCAATATCTCCTGACGCCCATGGCCCAAATTTCAGCGTTCCACCGAAATAAGCGGCGAATTACCCACACACTGTAACATGGAAGGGGAATATCTGTTATTTTTACGGGTGTGGCTGGTTCCGGTAGCTGCGGCGACGTTCGTTTGGAAGCATTTATTTGTTGGTCATGACACTGGGAAGGGCGAGAGGATGCAATGGGTGGTTGAAGGGGGCAGTTACAGTGCTTGCTTCCTCATCCCGGATTCAAATGGCCAGAAGGAATATGTAGGACAGCTCGTTTCTGAGGTAAGTGATAGCTGTGATGTTTTACATGTAAATCCTCTCAATATACCTGACCGTTATAGACCATTGTGCCTTGTTTGGACTATACGGACTACGGCTTTCTTCGGAGAGGTGACCTACCTACGGGCTAAAGTTAGTCAGGCTATATTTGATCAAGTCGAATGGCTTCTAAAGGAACACTTCATCCAAGGCTCTGATTTTCCTTGACACTAGTACCCCTGTTTTTCCGGTGCATCCCTGTTAATGTCTCGCTGGCGCTTAATGTTTTCCCGTTGAAGCGGATCCTCTACAAATTTACGAACTGGCAGTGTTTTTCCGTTATAATACATATTCCGAAGTTTCCACAGGTTTGGACTTAACTCCCTGTGTTACGCCTGAAACGAGACTAACAGCGTTCTGACACTAGGCGAATGCAATTCCCCTGCTTCCTTCAGCTAAATGATAGATAGCAACTATAAGACAGGGTATTCCTCCTATAGGCGTTTTCAAGGAAGTGTTCAGAGTTGATCCTTTCTTCTGACTTCACAGTAACAGCTATGCCCCGTTTGCTCTTTGTCATTCAGGACGCCGCCTCAACCTCCTTCAGCTTAGCCTGCAAGGCCGCAAAATTCCTCTGCATAGCCTGAGCATTGAACTGTTCCCCCGTCAACATTGGGTATTTCTTCTTCGGGCCTTGGATGAGCGCATCTTTGCACGGCTGATTGAAGTAGGCAATGCTATATCGATCGCCGTAGTAATCACCTGGCTCGGATGGAGCCTTCACCCGGTGAAAGGTCGATTTAAAGCGATCATCCGACCACGACATCAACAAATCTCCAATATTACAGACAATCTCACCGGTGCGCGCTTCCACGCGAGTCCATTCATCCCCGATCCCAAATTCAGTGACCGCTTCTCGACCGGGACAAATCTCGAGTCCGCTCTGCCCATCCTTCTGAAATAACAAGGTCAGGAAGTCCCAGTCGGCATGAGCACCCGCGCGGTGGTACGTGTTCCCATCAGGCGTTTCCGGTAAGGCAAAATAATGTAGCAGTCGCATAGTCGTCTGTTCGTTGGGACGAGACACGTCATGACACTTGATGAAAAAGTCTTCGGGGAAGTCGAGTCCTCGGGCGAAACAACGCATCAGCTGTTCCGACACTGCCTGAACGCGATGCATGAAAGCGAGGGATGTTGCGCGGAACCCGGGGAGGTGTGCATCGTCCAACCACATATTCGTCATGTTCTCACCGAACTGTAGCTGGTATGATTCCTTCGTGTCTGGTTGGCCGGTGGAGGGCCTAACTTGGGCTTTCTTTTCCCATCCTACGTTGTTAGGATTCCATGGGACGGTGGCTTTGACATTGTCGGGGAGGTTGAAGAATCGCTCGGCGGTTGCGAATATGGTCTCGATCTCATCTAGGGAAATCCCATGGTCGACGATCGTGAAGAAACCGACATTTTCGGCAGCATGGACTAGGCTCGTGGTGATTTCACCGATGCGCTGTTCGAAATTGGCCAAGGAGATCCGAGGGATGGGGCGGTCAACGTACTTTGTCGGCATGGTGCACACATAAAGCAAGAAAAAAGATATCGTTCGACTTGATGTCGGGAGTATCTGGTGTTTATAGGGCGGGGAATGAGAGTTTATGCTTATCAGAGAAATTCCCCGCATGGCGGAGTCCGCCGGCCGCAGTCGTATCTACCCCTCGTCTCTCATTTGATGTATCTTCTACTAATATATATCTTTACGGTGTTTATGCCGTTCAATGGGCTCATAGATCAGGGGCTTGGATCCACATAGGTATATTCCGCGTGATTTCACACTCGTTATGACAGTCACCCTCGCATATTGAATGATCAGTGTTCCACAGACCAATATAGTTCGACATCTGCGAACGATTGGCTATGTCGACCCGGTGTGCATGGGTAAGCTTGGACTCCATCCGGGTGGTGTAGGAGACCTTGAAGCCAAGAGCCTGACCGGACCTACGCTTGGTCAAGGTACTAGCATAGAGGCCGATTCCATCGGTCGGGAGGAAAATATGACCATATCCCTCGGCAAAGTCATGGATGTCAAGGTTGACCAGGACGCCGTTGTAGCGTCAGTTCCGAACGGACGCTATCTCGATCTGTCCATCCGCAGAGTCATCGCGCGCTTGAAGAGTATGTGACATGTCATCAATGGAGTCGAAGATTTCGCCCTCGGCACGCAAGGCGCTCTCAAGATACCCGGCGAGGCTTCGAGTGCTATCGCGCTTGTTGGAAGAGTACGCGCCTGTCGCAAGGCCAACGATATAGGCGATTGAAATAAAGATAGAGCCAATCGCCAGGGCCGCATCGTAACAGTTGGACCCTCCCATTCGTTTGCAGACCCGGAGAGTAGAGTAATAGCCACTGGAGAAATAGGCGAGAATATCGGTACTGGTGCCGATCTTGTCAATAACATGGTCGATTGTCGAGCATGCATCATGTTTCTCGAGACCATCCATATATCGGCTCGAGACCTCTTTCCACGAACACAGGCACGAGAGCCTTGGTCTCCTCTGCGATGGGAATAGCAACCGCCAATCCCATCGGGATGAGAAGCACGGTCTCTCTAAGGCCTTAGGATGCGAGAAACGCATATTGAAGAGGTTTTGAACGAAGCAATAGACAATAATGAGGAGCTTATCTCGACAGGGTCACAAGGATGGCCATGGCCTCCTTTATATCTTCACACCTGCTGTTTATTATGGATCAGGGCTGTGTTAGAAGCAAACCATCGTATCCATTCTCTATATATAATCCATCTGACCACATTTTTAGGTCTTTATAGAGATAATTGCCTACATAAGGACTTCTTTCTCAATAGGCACTTGTATAGTCCCTGGGAAAGCCTTAGAAAAATCTATCTTTAGAATACTTACTACCTTAGCTGCTACATACTGGCCTAGGTTCTATAGACCTCGTACCCTAGGACCTTCCACCTATAGTCAGTTATCTCTAGACTGAAGTACTTTATCAACCTTCTACAGCTTGATGATATAGCACCTAAAGGGCACGATTTAGGCCTTATTTTCCGGCCGGAATAGGGGGCGTGCTGGGGATTCCGGTTGGCGGTCCTGATTGGACCATGACCCAGCTGACAAGCGTTTAGGTGTTCGTGATAAGCTAGATCTAGATAGTATCAAGAAAAGAACCATGATTCTAATAAGAATAAGCTCCATATAAAGCTTCAAGATGTTATCTCCCCACTCATAAGAGTGCTCTACACCTTCATATCTAAACGCTCGTTAAATAATGTCTGTCGCCAAAGGTAACCAGTATTAATGATGTATAAGCCGTTGCGATCAGGTCAAGCATAAGTTATGGGTGTTGTACAGACTGCTATCTTTAGTTTCAGTCGAGAATAGAGACTTCCCAGACACATCGCTCTTAATCTGCCCCATAAGGACATCAATAATTTTTTCACAGGTCTTCCACTGATGCCAAATGACTTCTCGATGTTCTTCACTGCGGGGACGCAGGGAGACCCGAAATGGGCTCGGCCGCGAGCTGATTCCTTGCGTCATGTTCCAACAATAAATGTCTCCCATGTTGTGGACAGGGTAAAAGTTGAAAGTCCATAACATGCGCGTAATCGTCACTGCCAACGAATTCTGGGCCATTTGCTTCCCTGGACAGGTTCGTCGACCAAATCCAAAGGCACTAGACGGTATATAGGAACCTTGGATCCATCTTTCTGGATCAAAGTTTTCAGAATCAGGGAAGAAAGTTGGATCAAACTCCAGCGACCAATGGTTTAGTATGATCATAGTGCCTTTGGGAATCTTGTGCCCCATATAGCAATCAGTTTCTGTCACTGCATGGTGTAATCCTCCCGGGACAACAGGTCTCCACCTCAGAACCTCACTGGCAAAAGCGTGGACGTATGGTAGGCTAGGGAGATCTTTCCATTCGGGCATCCTAAGACCAGTGAGTGCATCTACCTCTGCCTGTGCGTCACTGACGGCATCTTTATGGAGAAGACCGGCAAGGACAAAGTCTTCTAGCACAAACGCAGTGGTGTCACTTCCAGCTTCGTAATTAACACCAATTACAGAGGCAAGCTCGTTCAAGCCACAGTCCCTAGCAGGTTTTGTATTGATGACATTTTGGCTCCAGCTCCAGTGGGTTCTGACTAAAGCCCTCTTTAAGTTTGCAGAGAAGAACGTTTGCTGCTCCTTAAATAGGCGTTTAGCTCTCTTCTTCCATGGTGCTAGAATTATCGGAACGCACTTGAAGATTGGAAATGCCACGGCAGGCAATTTTACCTGCTCAAGGATATTTTTCATGATTCTATCAATTTCTCGAACTTCATACTCATCTCCATATGCCAAGGAAAAGGTCAGGCTAGCCGCAAATCTGTGTGAAAACGTTTTGCAAAAAGTCATCAGTGGAGAGAAGGCCGTTCAGAAGTTGTTTGCTCTCTATATCTTGCAAACTCCGATAGCTCTGGCAATGTCAGAGTCTAAGAATGGAATTCAACATTCTTCGATGGCGCCGCCATTGCCGCCCGTAAGGAAGAGCGGCGGTATGGAAATTGCCTCCCACACCCTCAAAATAGTACTCTGGACAGGAGCTGTAAAGAGCACCTCGTTTTCCCAAAAGATCATGAACGCAGTCGTGAGAACCGAGGATAATAACCATCTGCGGGCCAAAATGGACGGAAATGATAGGGCCATAGTTCTCATGCCATTTCTTATTCGCCACGGATCACTTCTCGGAATTTGATGGAGGTTGCCAATAAGTGGGAGAGGACGGGGGCCTGGCGGATAAGGATTCTCCCGATACTTGTATTCGATATAGACGAGAGAGAAGATAACCAAAATAATAAATACAGTTATAGAATGCATCATAGTGGCATGAATATAGATCAATATGGCTGACCGGTTTCAGATATACATCATCCTGACAAGGCCACTACGTTTATAGGACCGGTTTTCTATCTAGATTCTAATGAATCGCCGCCATGTCCTATATTTTGCTTCTAGGTGACGTAACATACGATGTCACTTTACTTTCCAAAATGTAAGGGGTCAGAATAAGTAATGGAACTAAAAAATATTGATAGTCAACGTGGCGCTCAGGTTATACAGACATCTGACTAGGCGAGAAACTGCAAAGAATATGTAATAATAAAGTTGTTGAATTCGCCCCTTACTTCAAACTTCCGTTTAGGATTATTATGCCTATCAATTGTTAGCTGACGACGTGATCCCTTAGAAGTAATCGATGGACCCTAATCTTGATTTATTTGAAAGTTGACGTGCTGCATGATTGCTGTCACGCCAGGTTCTACTGGAGGAGCAACGACGGCATCATCTTCCTAGCAGTAACAAGAATAGAAGTAATGGAGGGTAGTAACGTGTACATCGGCATTAGGCAAGAAATGGGCGTGACTTCAAACGAAAAATCAAGTTAAATCTCATACTAGCGATACACGTATCCGAGGGTGATGGAACTGCTTATCGCACCCCGAGACATCTATAAATATCAGGCCTGTCGCCTTGGTGGCCTTTTCCTAACATCTTCCTAACATCTACCAGACTCCTGCTCATCGTTTAGCAATTTTAGTTTCTAATTAAGGCTCATAATTGTTCCATGATATTATTCAACGCCATGTCCTCAGTGTTCCACCTCCTCGAGTCCCATCTGTTCACATTACCATGGAACAGCATGTCAGAAGCTGAGCAACTGAAAATCAGTTACGATCGATCACGCGCTATTGGAAGAGCCTTTCGTAGGACACCAGAGAGCCCTTTCTGCTCTGTCCGACTAATCATATCTGTTTAGAGTTCACAATGTCCGATATTCTTCACCTAACTCCAAAGTTCTGGAAGTTCCATCGGGAAAACATCTGCGCACTTGATATCTGTGCCTCTTCATTGGTAACAATCCAATGCAATCTAGTGGCAGGAACTCTCGCCCCCTTTGTTCAAGATCATCCTGAGCACCGGCTCCTACTCGATCAAATCCTGAACTTCGATGTAAAGTCAGTTTCCTGATCACCCTGCTTGTGTCGACCACTTGCTGATAGTTACACGTAGCGCTCAGTTTCTTTTGACAGAGCTAGGGCATGGCTTAGATGCCAAAAACCTGGAAACAACAGCGACATTGCTTGAGGATGGAGGTTTCGATCTTCACACGCCCCATATAAATGCAGCCAAGTGAGCAAATTGCCCTAGATAAAGAAGATAATACTAATTAGTAAGGTACATGTCACCAACTTCTCCTGTACCGGGTCATCCTCGTATTGGTCTGGTAATTGCAAGACTCATGGTGGCAGACGAAGATCGAGGTGTGAGACCGTTTATTGTTAGGATAAACGATGGCGAGTCCATGAGCCCTGGTATCATATGCAAGTATGGGGAAAATATCCATCATTTTTCGATGAATAGGTGAACTAATGACATGAAGGGTTTTGCCTCGGCGAGCAGGATCCAAGATGGTAGACCATTCGACTACCACATTCAACCATGTACATTTGCCTAAGACAAGCTTGCTTGGATCACTCAAGAAACCCCTCAATGAGCGCGATCAGTTTCTGTCGGTCATCTCGCGCATCAGTGTGGGTACCTTGGCGATATCGACTACAATGATTCCGATTTTGAAACGATGCGCTTTTGTGGCTGGCAAGTACAGCCTTCGCAGGCAGATCAAAGGACCCAGTGGATCCCAAATTCCGATCATTTCGTTTCGTACACAACAAGGACCCATCCTTCATGCTTTAGCAAATATAGCAGTCTTTGAAGCTTGGGCTACAGATTGCACGCAGAGATTCTGCGATATGAACCTTGAGACACGTGTCCGACATGGAATCGCGACGGCCTTTAAGGCTGTCTTGACAAGGGCTACCCAGGACACCCTCTATACACTGGCAGAACGGTGTGGAGCACAAGGATTATATGAGCATAACCATATCATTGAGTCCCAACTAGAGAGCCGAGGGATTTCAATCGCTGAAGGGGACACTCTCACACTCTGCATTCGTGCGTTTTGTTCTCTATAAATTCAGAGCGGATACTAATGTATTGTAGGGCTCGCCTCAGAACTTCTGCTGGGCCGATATAAATTACCCCCACCAAACTACCCGGAATGTCTCCTAGCTCAACATGAGACCAGCTTGTTTGACGAGTGTCGCGCCGTTTTACAGAACTTAAGTACAGGTCATAGAAGCCAAGAATTTAACCATGCCATTCTTCCCAAGTGTCAATTACTTGTTGAATCTGCCGGTCAACGCATGGCATACGAAGCAGCGCTATCCGCTAGTGTTCCGTCTGAATTGCTTGCAATCTATGAAGCAGGGAGTATACGGCAAGATCCTGCATGGTACGTTGAGAAGTGTGGAATAACCCACGAAAAGCTGTTTGCGATGGAATGCCAAGCCTTGGACGCTGGTCTACTCTCATTTGATCAACTGTTGGATGAACTGGACGTGGAGCCGTACTGCACAGCGCCGATTTTATCAGAAACTTTGATGGAAGATTTCAATGCAAGGCTAAGAACATACGAGAATAAGGGTGAAGCAAAGCACTCCAAAGACTCTATTCCACAAAGCAGATTGTGAGTCAGCGGTTCTCAACGATTCCATGTTGTATTCTACAATGCCATTGTTAGAGGTAGCGCTCTTGGGTACGCTATTCCACTGGGCGAAAAAGACCATTACGCTTGGGTTCTATGGAACTAAGCATCCCTAGACCGGTATATATAGTATACCCTGCGCCTATCAAGAATAGTTAAAGTTCCAAACTACCGTCTGAGGTGCATGGCCATAGCAACTTCCCAGAACCGGCTTAACCTGAATCAGACATGCGACCAAAAAATAGTATAGCTCCCCTAACACTCTGGGATAGCACATGCATTTCATTGGATAGAGTTATCAATCGTTCTTTGATTTGCATACGGTTTGGGAGGTGGAGACAATATTGGTGTAGTGACAAAGTAGCGGCAAGAGTGATCGTTCGTTTGGATTAGATATGCACCGTAGTCTAAAATAGTAGCCGACAGGCAATAATAAATCAAAAGACTTAGCCAAGGGAATCTTAATCATTAGAGGTAACAAAGTTATTAATCTAGAGGATAACGTTTATTAACACTATAAAAAATCAGGTTATAATTAAAATAATCCAGCATCAAGGAGTAGCATGGGGATGGTAGATAGAATGATAGATACCACCAGGGATATATAAGGACACTCATTCATGCACTAATTATTTGCGATCAATACTATACTGTTACTTAGGTATGCATTTGATTACTAGCTTGCCTCGTTCGAACTATCTCAACTTACTGAGTATCTGTACTCAGTAGGCCTGGTCTTCAACCTCGAGTTATTCTTGCATTTTATGGACTTACCTTTGTGGAACCCCTTCGGACCTGTGTGGTCACCGCTTATGAATACAATGTATGAACAACAATGGATTCTGATCTTCTGATCTCTACTGACCGTCTTCACGGCACGAACGACTGCGGCGACTGGACACCTACCAGTTGGTAGCATATACCGATCGATAGAACGACGCTTGTCGCTGGTCTCGTATCAAAGGCCAAGGAGGCAGTCCCTGTCAACGCTGCGGGAAGAACGACACAAATTGCCACTATAGTATCTCTCTGCGTAATGGAAGGTTGAGAGCAACCATAGTCTAGAATCCCCACGCTAAATCTTCACTGCGCACTAGCATTCCTGCGGATCAGCAAGGCCTCGCGATCTTGGAGGACCGGGGAACTGGCAATCAGCTCATTACAGGCACTATGCCAGCTTCGCAGGCCTTCAAGGGCGGCTTCCCTTCGGACATAATCGACACTTTTCCCTTGGCGGGCCTCTCTACCGCGGTCGGATCATATCAAAAGTCCGCCCTCCAAGTATCAGTACGGCTACCCACCTCCCGTTTGACGTTCGTTGCCACTAATCATGAATGCAATCATGAATGCGGGTCCTACCGACAGACTTTAGTGTGAAAGGTTCCCTTAACACATATGCAGACTCTTCATTGTCGACCCGGGCATCGTCATCGAATGTGCTCTTGGATATATCTCAGGACTATGGAAATCCTTCACCCGATACGGAGACCCGACCGGCTATTATTTCCCCTCCTACTTCGCCACTGGATGTGGTACCATTTCTCTGGTGCCCACCCTTGCCCTGTTCGTTGCCAGTGACTTAAACCCCCGGCTTTCCTGCATTGCAGAGTTATGCGGGGGCCATGGAAATACCGACCACATAGCCCTAGACTTTATTCTAGGGGTCTACCGCCAGACCCACGAGCAGTTCCGATAAGTGTTCTACCGTACACTCTGCAATAAGGACCTCAACTCGGTATATTCTTATCATAATAACCCTCCAAAAAGTCACGCGGACATTCAGTGAAGTGGTCAAGAACGACGTCTGGTATGTATCCAATGTACCGCTGTGCCTCGGGACCTTCCGGCTGTCCGAAGAAGACAGAATGCATAAAGATATGCTCCTGGTCTCTTCAATAGGGCACGCTAATGTTACCGTGGGGTCACTGAGAAGCGCGGCGTGGGAGTTCCACAACGCAGGAGCCCTGCAGCACACTTTTGGTGAGATGGGCACAGAAACCGATCGTTCAAACTTCAAGTGGATTATGGAGATGGCGATATATATAAAAAGCTAACTTGAGACTATAATTCGTTTAATAAATGCCCAGTCTGGGACCGTATGATGGGAAGTGCTTGACAGGCGTTACTGAAGCATAATGGAAGATCTGACCATTCACTTCATTAGGATGAATGACAGACATTCGATTGTTTGGTCATTAATGCCTGATGAGACGTGGTTCTTCCGCGAACCATTCTTGCGAAACAAGGCGGGTGTACATGATGGAAAAGAAAAGGGCAAAATGGGAATACTCGTCCGACTGTGAAATTATTGTGGTTACTGAGTTCTGACCCAGGAAATGGAAGTGGCCTCTGGACCATGGGCACAACCTTTTGGAACGTTTTCAAATTAGTCCGACACGTTATCATGAGGTGATATGGTAAATTTCTTATTCATGGGTCATTTGCTTCTTGCTCTACAGTGCTTCCTGGATTTATCTGAAGTGTTTATATAACAAGATATCATCACTCTAACTCGCTCAAATAATATCCTACCACCTTCGTCAGGCTAACCTCTCGTTCGCCACTCCCAGGGTATAATTTCCCACTTATTCCACGGAACAGTAGCGTGTATATTGGGGTGCCATTGCACCTCAGATTCCTCTGCCCGAGAATCATACAGCACTTGCACAGCACCATCACAAATCCGTCAACAAAACAGCCCCCACAAATGCCAACCACGCAGGTAAGTCCGCCACCAGCATGCGCACTCGATGGATCCTTAACCAACTATCCATCTGCCTACTCCTCTCGTGTTCAGGGTCGGTCTTCTCCAGGATACGCTGAATCGGCGGCGCGACGAACGGCACAAACACCAGATGTCCAATCGCACCGACGAGGCCGGCCCAGTAGAACGTTGTGCGAGATATGGGCAGCGGTCGGGAGTGAGGATTCTTCAGGAAAATATTGCACAATGAGGTACTGATAGTCGTGAAGTTCAGGGCGAGTACGAGGCTGACCCCCCTGGGGAATACATAGCGCCAATAGTCGGGAAGAATGGAGTTGGACCTGTCGCGAATCGGTGCGTGGACCAGGCCTGAGAAGAATATGAGTTCGCTGGTTGCCAGGACAAGACTCCCGGTGCTCGATGCAAGCGGAACCGCACGGAGGAGACAAAAGGGATCAATGATCAGTCCGGAAGCCATGACCCAACTGTGGTTGTAGGAGTGAGCATCTCGCTTCCTTGACTGCGATCCAGCTTTTTATAGGCGAACTCATCTGATAAACAAAAAAGTGGAACGATCTCCAATCATACTAGTCTCCACTTATTCGCTGCGCCATTTGGCCATATCACCTAAGCTAACGCTCCATTTCTATTGTCATTGGTGGGTTCGTAAAAGTCCCACCCACGCATATTATTCCGATCAGAACCAATTTAAACTAATTTACACTGCTAGACCACAGGGGGGAGCGCCGACACTTTGAATGATTGCTAGGCATGGTATCTCAGTGTAATCATTGGTTGGCAGTTCAACTGCCTTCGGTACCAGTTGTACCCTCTAATAGTTGACGACCACTTGCCCCTTAACTATATACATTAGATACAGAGATACAAAGTTGAGCCAAAGGGCACGAATGAAAGAAAAGAGAGCATCGAATGCAACCGTAAGCGAGTACCCGAGGAAGAACACCTGAATAAATAGAAAAAGTACCACGCAGCTGGCATCATAGATGAAGCATCGTAGTCATAAAGGAGGAACCGTAATGCAAACAAGATCTAGATGCCAGTGTGGTTGGGGCAGATTCATCTGCTTCCAGACAGTGTTCTTGCCATAGCTACTCATTGAGTCTGGGTACTTATACTTATCGAGTGCTTTGACTGCCCCCAACCTCGTTTCCCAAAGAACGACTATCCGGGCCTAGGAGTTCAGAATCAGTGATCACTGCTTGATCTATCTACGAGCAGAAGCTTCGTCAAGGAGGACTTCTTTCCCATTCGGAAGTTCAAATTATCGATCATATGGTTGGGCTGAGCTTCTCTCTCCCTCCTGGGGTCAGTCTTATTGACGAGCATAGCTGTCTGGACCTTGAATGTAGTGAACCTCAGCGGGTGGATGCTCCAGATTTCGTCACCCGCGGAGGGTAAGTCTGAGGCCTATAAAGAACTATTGGCTGCGAAAGCTTGGCTTGTGCTTGAACTGACCATTCATTAGTGAACACAGTGTATTCGAGTGCTACTCAGACTGGTTATTACAAAGCATTACGCAAGTGAGTCATTAATAAATTTTGAATACGAACTGCACAACGGATTGGCACCCTTTGCGGGGCTGTCGGGAGAGAGTATATGATGTCATTGTAGACGTATAAAAGCTTCAATTTCCATCCTAATTAGAACTGGCAGCATCAAAGAAAAAGAACTTTGCAGATTTTGCTCATTGTCATTATCACTCCTCAATTAATATCTTGTCACCCGCATTAACCCACTCACAATGTCCCAAAAACCCACCGTTGTCGGCGGATGCTACTGCGGGAAAATCCGATACCAGACTACTGGCCCCATCTACGGATTAACATTCTGCTACTGTCTCATGTGTCAAATTGTCCACGGGGGTCCATTTGCGCCATTCACAAATGTCAAGCGAGAGCATCTCCAATGGCTCAAAAGCGACGATTTAGTGGAGCTGAAGTTATCCGATTATGCGACCCGCACCGTGTGTGGTTCGTGCCACGCCCCGATATCTATGGTATACCATGGCAAGCCGGACGAGGTTGGCCTTGTTGCTGTTACAATTAATGAAGAAGAGTCTACGATGGCAGTTCCGGAGGTCGACGGGCACATCTTTGTACGTCGAAAACCGAGGTGGTATAAGATTAGTGACGGTGCGCCGCAGGAGATGGGGCTACCGGAGCGTATGAAGCACTATGCCCCAACTGATCTATGATGCTGGGACATGTTTAAATTTCATTAAGATAAATCACAATTCATGGTTAGAAGAAGAAGGGTTTGAAGCAGTGGCTATCGGGGCCTGTGTGGATCGTCGAGCGCGGCAGGGGCCGGGTGAAAGCATTGGAACCTTTCCGATCAGCATCTGTGATCCTATGAAACCATGATTGAGCCTGTAATTTCCATATCTATTAGCTGACATCAAAATTGGCAGCAGCTTTCCCTGCATTATAATATAATTCAAACACCCCACGTTGTATCTGTAGGGTCAAACTACTAGGTCGCAGGAGTGTTGTTGGACGGCATTAGGGCCCAAGTTGATGTAGTTGGTAACTTGGGTAAATGCTTCATTGTTAAAGTATATCCCATGTTCGCCTTTTGTGATATTACAGAGGCAATAGTCGATAGCCAAGGCTAGCGCTGCTTTTCCTTCGTCATAAATGCATTTGTGCCTATCCAGGCGCACCTCACTCCTTCGTTTGGAGTCGACCTGCCCGAGCGGTGGGGCTTCTCTGGTAGTTGCGGGTATATAAGGATTGTTCCGTGAATCAGAGCAAGGGGAATTTACCAGGGGACGCAACACTCAAGTTGTTCTACACTTCATTCAAAGACCACATATGCTGTCTATTCTTCAGGGCAGGGAAAGCTTAAGATCTGTCAACTCCATTTTTGACACGGCGAGTGACGGTGAGGATTTTGACAAGGAGTAAACAAACTATGGTAGGTGAGACAGCTTGACTTTCCACGGATAGTCTCGGCTATCTCACAAGGAGAAATGGCTGATCTGAGTGTTGGAAGTGGAACTGAAGATCAAAGTCAAAAGCGGAAGGCAAGTACAGAAACAACGAAATAACACAACAGGGAGCAGTGCCTTGGACGGCGGGAGATTTGACAGAGTAAAAAGAAGTGTCCTAATCTGTATTAGCGGTAGTGCACTTAACCATAAAAAACGGACACCATGTTCCTTACTTTTGGCTGTGGCTCAGCCTAGTCAACTCACGATTAACTGAACATGATCGATCAGTAAACTGCTTTCAGTGACGAAGGCCATAAAAGTTTCACGGCAGAATGTGATTATCTTATAAAAGATTGAAATACAGAATAAGAACGTCTAAAATAAAATCAGGGTCCCAACCTTGTTCAAGTTCTTGAGCCACTCGCTCAGCCCAAGGGGGCATGGCATCCACACGTTGCGGCTGTAGAACCAGCAGGAGCTCTCGCGCATAAGCAGCAGCAGCGAGCGCAGCGTATTTATGCCACTCATCATTCTTAGGTGAGTCACAATAATCGCAGATTCCGCGGATAACTAGACATGGGATATTGTTCATGAGACCTGCAGCTTCCATCTCAAAGCAAAGGATATTCAGCTCAGGGTCTTGGGCATATACATCCCGCATTTTCGCGTCCTTGAGAACGGAATTCCCCGACGCAACATTACCGTAATGGACATGGAGTGTACGATAATTCTGACGCTCTGGGCGGACCACCGTTGCTCGTACGTCCCATCTATCGCAATTTGGTCCATCCACATGTGAATAGTCTGCAGCGTAAAGCCAATCAACAGCTGGCTTTTGATAGTCTTCCATGTCATCAAGAAGTCGAAGATGTTCCGCGAGTCTATCTGGCTTCTTTTTGTCTCTGTACAGTCTGCGCATCTCAGGAATGGCTCCTAGAAGTTTCTCAGGTGGTGTATTCAATTGACCTGTCTTCTGAAACCGGCCATCCTTCAACTTGCCCAGATCATACTGAATCACCCCGCCGGACCCATCTTTCGGTTGACTTACAACAATATCCCCTAATCGGATGTCATTTCGGGGACTTGGTGCGCCACCTCCGATGCCCACCATTAATGCAAACCGCAGATGCGGAAAGGCTCTGACCATATCGCGTGCAACACGAGCCCGCTGAATTCGTGCCATACTGACCAGCTGGAAGACATACAATCACCACATAATGTTGTCGCAATACGACCGTAGACATATGTGTTGTCGTCATTGTCTTCGCTTATCTCCAGTCCATTGAATTCTTCGTCAAGCATACGGCATGCACAGAAGTATTCCTCTTCAAGAGCGCAGATCCATGCCACCGTGTAGGAGTCTGTTAAGCTTGGGTCCCGTTGCTTAGGTCGGCTCATTATAATAGAGGAGCCGCCGTCTTGTTGTCATCGAACTGTGAGAGTAAATGGAAAAAGAGAAACGCTTCAGCTTGGGGGAAAGAGGGGTAGACTACGAGAACGGGTGAGGCTGTGAGAGTATGGATTTCGATTGGTGCTTGGAAGCAAATTGATCATAGCCGTCAGAGCACTTATGAGAGAGGCCCTTCAAAAAAAAAAAAAAAAAAAAAAAAAGAAAAAAGAGCCATTAAACCACACCCATTTTTGAAGCTAGCGCCTTGGTGGTTGGACTCAGATTCAATTAATGAGTGTAAATTGGTGAAGCTGGTTTTGCACCAACCTGTATCTTGTCGCAGGGCGGGAGGTTCCGCAGGTTTGTAAAGAAAACAGGCAGAGTCTCATACACTGCATCTTTCCTGTCTTTCCCGATATGCTGGTAGGCTGCATTGGCGGACTAATGTTGAATCGTAAGATCGGTAAAGAATTTGTAACACCTTCCATTGTCGCCTAAATGGTAGCTATTAGACGCGAGGTGTATATTGCCTTCCTTCCCTTTCCCTTGTTATGCTTTCCATAGATGAGGCATTGCCATTCAAAATTCGGAAGTACATGGGTGTGGTCAAGAATGGTACAAACAAAGTAATTCTCCTTTAGTGGGCTGGGAACATCGCTGACATCAGTCATTGCTATAGAGGTACGCTGCTTGATTTGGAATGGGTGTTGCAGACCCAGCTATAGTGTTTGTCCACCTAATGTCAAATATGATACTGGCGGTTCGATTCTATTAACCATATTTGGAAACGATACAACGGAGGCGGTGCCTTGGGCGGTGAGACTGAGAAGTACGGGAATCTTGAGTCACTACCGCCTTCTCAAACAGGTAAAGCTGCTGTGTGGTGGTAAAAAGACCGCCCTGTCCTTTCGCCCGTCTACTCGATTTCTTCCCTCCTACGCAGACTGATCTAGAGCCTGGACACTTTCTGTAGTCTACTAGTATAATGTATCGAGATATTCTCACAACCATCCCACGCCTACGGGTGGTTGTCTATTGCATGCACAATTGTGCAATACGCAATTGTCCATACGAGATCACCACCAATAGGACAGCCTATATCCGGAACCATAGGCCCGTTTACTACCAGTCAGGTTGTCAGAGTCCTGACCTGGGTACGGAGTCCTTCCAGTTATTAAACGATATTGGAGAACCTATAATGGACCTCTCGTATTTGCCGACTTGGCGAGGCTCGCATTGGGTGTGCCCTCCATCAAGTCCGTTTAGCCTAGGAACCTACGGGTCGATCATTGCGATATAGAGAAGAGATCGTCCCACGTCCCGCAGCTGAACTTCATGAGACTTTCCTGTTTCTTCATGCTCACTCTTCAATTACTGCAGTTTTCGAGCGTTGATAGGCCTCTCTAAAATAGCTCCGATGGTTCACGCTCTACATCTCCGAGTAACATGGTTCTAATGGTTTGTGTTGTGGCTAAAAATGGTAACAAGGGGGCCACTTGTGTGCATCCTTAAGCTTCGTATCCGGAGGATGCGAGACCTGAAAGGCCAATAATATTGGCCCCTATTCTATCTCTGACAACGATTATCTTACGACATTTAGCCGATGTTACAATCTCCTCTGCACATGGCCAGTTCTGCAGTCGTTCTCCCATATTGGGATGTGCATCACTATTGCCGGAAACAGTAATATGCATACATGGTTCTCGTGTGGTGCCCCAACACTTTGTGCGAAGTTCGTTCGTTTCCCTATTTAAACGGCCTTGATCCTGCTGAGAGGTATCGTCAACGTCACTATCATCGGCCGCAGACAAGCCAATATTCTCACAACTACAGCCACAATGAAGCTTTCCGATCTCGCCCTGACTGCCGCACTCAGCTTGTCCCAGGCCATAGAGGTTCGCGCTGAGACAGTCCAGGGGTTCGATATCTCCAATCATCAGGCGACCGTTGACTTCAAGGCCGCCTATAACGATGGTGCGCGCTTTGTCATGATCAAGGTATCTACCTCACCACCGTCCTATCCTGTCGATCACATCGTTAACAGTCACAGGCGACCGAGGGCACCGACTTCGTTGACAAGGTGTTTAGCTCCCACTACCAGGGTGCTACTGACGCAGGTATGATTCGCGGAGGATACCATTTTGCCCTGCCCAACAAGTCTACTGGCGCCAAGCAAGCGCAACAGTTCATCTCCCATGGCGGTGGCTGGTCCAAGGACGGTATTACGCTGCCCGGTATGCTTGACATTGAATACAACCCCTACGGTAGCACCTGCTACGACCTCAGCGCCTCAGATATGGTAGCTTGGATCAAGGACTTTGTCGATACGTACCAGAAGGCCACCGGTGTCTACCCAATGATCTACTCGACTGCCGACTGGTGGAAGACCTGCACCGGCAACGCCGGCGGATTTGGCAAGACCTGTCCTCTGGTACTTGCCGCGTATAGCAGCTCACCACCGTCGACGATTCCCGGTGACTGGGCCACATACACGATTTGGCAAAACTCCGACAGCTATACCCACGGTGGCGACTCCGACCTGTTCAATGGAGCGTATAGTCAGCTGCAGAAGATTGCTAATGCTGAGTAAATGTGGCTTGAGTGGTGTGTCTGATGATACCAAGTTGTATCTTTCGTTTGTCGCCAGAGTATATTTATGGTGTGCATGCGCCTTCCCCAACTGTCGTTATAATGCCGCTCTATCGTCTGTCCAAACATAAGGGGTATATCAAAACCAGGACATAGCCTTTTATGTCTTATCTTCCCATTTTTGACTCGTTGAGTAATGCGATACCAATTGTACCGTATCATGCTAAAGACTTCCTGTCAAACCAAAAACAGCCCTTTAGACAATTTCATTAGTATGCCTTACAATGCGTAAGCAAGGGATGACCAATAGGTCTTCAAGTTCGACTAATCATAAAACTCCCTCGACCATTGCCAGGTTTCAACCAAGAAATTCAGCCAATATAGCCAGAACCCGGGATGAACAGGAATATTATTTTTTGTCGTCTGGATACCCTTTTCTCGTTTGTAGTATCGCGTTACACATAGGATTTAATAATAAAAGAACAAGCAAGGGGTTATGAGCAATGATCGCCTACTAATTACCCTCGACTAATGCTACTCATCAAATCAATAGTGGATGGAGGAGAACACTTCAGTATTATTACTCAGTATTAACAGATGTATAAATCATGTCGTCTTTCTACTCTTTCGATCTATCCCGGAGCAACATAAAAATCCCTCCCAGCAAGGCCAAGCACAGACACTTTCCGGGCCAAAGGCCACCAAATGGGTCGCCCTTAGTTCATTGCCATATATCCCACAATGCAAACCTCAAATCGCTCATAGAATTAAATAACGCTGGGAACGGAGTCCACGGTACCGTAAATTCTCCGGGAACTAGAGAATCCATGCATATTGGCCAGTCCTGCTCCGTGGTACATTTGGAGCAAAATCCAGGGGTGCAAAGATCGTTGGGCTTCCATGCAGGAACCGACACATCCTCGAATTTAGGAAGTCCCATGTTACCTTGTGCTCGTGTAGATAGTCGAGCATCCACTACTACTGTAGCCAACAAAGACGTCTGCCAAGAATTATATCGAAAGGGTGCATTGTTCCTCGAGGAGCAACTAAAATAAAAAAAAGAAAGATATTCCAGGTTGAAGAAACCTGTGTAGCATACTTAGTATGTTGGTGTTTGGCGAAACATCCACATAAATCATGATATAGCATGCCTCTTGTCGTCTAGCTCACTGGAATAGCTTTTTGATCTGTCCTACATTCCTCGCTCCTTCAAAGGCATGCAAGAATCAAGTAAAATGAGGGGTTATGAATATATATATCAGTCTGACATCAATGATCAGCAGTTTTATGGCTCCACGGTATGGGTCTCATTCAGCCCGATATTGATCCAGGCAGAAACCAAGAAATCAAGTACAGTAGATTCATTAGAATCAACCAATGACTGAATGCCATGACACCTTGCTGCTCTTGCGTGCATTAGTTCGATCATTAGCAATGCAGCTAGGGCCTATGATTGGCCTTGGATCATAGAAACGGGATAGATGATGCCCCATTTTAGCGCTAGTCTAGTAGACAACACGGTAGAAGATATGTAACTGTACGGAGTACTGAGTATACATACTCCTGGATCTATTTATCTCCGAAGTACTCAGGACAGACTTGTTTTACTGAATTTTCGGCAGCCCTAAATTTGGTCCCGCCCGTTCAGCGAAGTTAATTCTTCCTTTGACTGGCAAATTTTTATTTTATCGCCCGATATAAACACCTCAAGTGGTTCAGGGCAATAACAACGAGCTAAAGGCTCTAAAGATGTAGGTGAGCATGGTGGATGCAAGGCAGCGGTTTAGTGGCGTTGATGTTAGGGGGTCGGTAGTTAATAGTTGCCAATGAGAATAAATATTGAGATGCTATGTCCATGTGGTCCATTACTCCACTAGACAGACTCTTTGAATTCGTCTTATCTCAAAAGTTAGAACTTGGGACAGAGAAAATTGTGGCTAATATCCCCCTAACCCTGATCAACGTCTGGTTTAATTGGCTGTAGCCGTTCGCCGCTTAGCCAATATCCTACAGGGTACTATTAGAGAGTGAATGCAAGTGCCAAGAATAAGTCTCGCTCTCCCGCGAGTCAGGGGATCACTTTCCAAAACTGGACGTGAGATATCAGCCTGCAACCCAGACTTCCCATCCACGCTATTTTGGGTCTTTTTGGTCTTTACACCGGTAAAGGATGATTGGTCAGGGTCGATTTATCATGACTGAGGGGCTATCTACTGTCACTGTCTCACTGTACTACAAACATCGTCTACTGGTTCCATCACTCGCGTTCCAAGGGATGGTAATGCGGATCCCCTACTCCACCGACTAATGTGCCAAGAGAGAACCAGTCCACTACCAGCTGTCCGACTCGGTGTATGTCTACCGACAATGCCCTACTTCTTCTAATTGCGGGGTTGCCCTGTTGGGCGCATGATACCGTCACTGCAAGGGTAAGCCGAAAAACCATGGCCGTGTGCGGGGGGATATATTCACTGAGCTTCTTGAGCGAACAATCAATTGGCCGTTCTCTGAGTTGGGCTCCAGTCATCCCATTGTCACGATGGCTCGGACCTGGAGTATAAATACCACGGCGATATGGCCTGTCCGCTGCTTTTGGTGGCTTTGCTCCTGCAGTGGACGAGAGTCGAAGACTTTTGACAAAGGGGGCAAAGATGTTTCTGACTGGTTTCTATCTCTGGCCTCTCTTGGCGGGCTATGCCCTAGCCGGCAATACTGCACCCTATCTTAACAAGACAGGCCAAGCGACTCCATATGCCGTTAAGAAACCCCCGTTGACGACGCCATGGACTGACAAAGTCGGAACCGACCCTTGGCCGGAATATCCACGTCCGCAGCTGGAGCGGTCTGAATGGGAGAATCTAAACGGTATTTGGCAATATCAAAACGCACCGGACCTTAGTTCTCTCAGCAGTCCCCCGTTTGGACAGTCCCTATCAAACGAGGTGCTGGTGCCATCCTGTCTTGAGAGTGGTCTATCTGGTAAGCAACCCTGGTCAGAACTTGATCTGCCTTTGTACTGAACAACATATCCCCAGGAATTCAGGGCAAAGATACCTTATACTCATGGTACACTACGAGCTTCACTGTGCCGAAGACATTCAAAGACCAAAATGTTCTATTGAACTTTGGCGCAGTAGACTACGAGGCGACAGTGTTCGTCAATGGCAAGAAAGTTGGCTTCCATCGAGGTGGCTATTTCCATTTTGCATTTGATATCACACAATTTGTGAACCTTGATGGCAAAAACGAACTGTACGCTCAGCTACCCGTGGACAATGTGACAATAGCTAACATCTGATAGTCTCGTCTTTGTGCACGATCCCACAGACAGTGGAGACAATGTTATCCCTATCGGCAAGCAGAGATTAATTCCTGCGCATATCTTCTACACGCCCTGCAGCGGCATTTGGCAGAGTGTCTGGATCGAAGCAGCCCCCGCAGATCACATCACGAGGCTGGATCTTGATGCTGACATGCACGGCAAAGGTATATGCCACCGCTCCCAGTTTATGTATTTTTAACACCTAACCTGCCGATGTAGTTACGGTTACCGTAAATAGTGCGACGAAATACGGAACGGCGGTCAAGGTCAAGGTTTACGACGGAGATAAGGAGGTTGGATCCGGTGAGGGAAATGCAGATGAGACCTTCGACTTCATTGTGGATGATGTAGAGCTTTGGTCACCCGACTCACCAAAATTGTACAACGTGACTGTCACGATGGGTGACGACGAGGTGCATAGTTACGCCGGTTTCCGCACGATTTCCAAAGGCAAGGTAGATGGTGTGCTCCGTCCGTTGCTGAACGGTGAATTTGTCTTCATGTTCGGCACCCTGGATCAAGGCTACTGGCCTGACGGGCTGTACACACCCCCCAACCGAGAGGCCATGGTATACGACCTCAAGTTCTTGAAGGACCTTGGCTTCAATATGGTCCGGAAACATGTACGTTCATCACTTGCAGGCTCTCCCGGCCGGAGTACTCACGTGTGAATAGATCAAAGTCGAACCAGCGCTTTTCTACCGAGCATGCGATGAGATGGGGCTCTTAGTTATCCAAGACATGCCCTCTCCCCGTCCCCTACAGACCCAGAAGGATGCCAATTGTGTCGCCACCGACATAATTCCCAATGAGTCGCAGCAAGAAGAGTTTGCTCGGCAGTTAGAGCTTCTCGTGAACCAGTCCAAGAGCTATCCAAGTATCATTACGTGGGTATGTAGCTTAGGAACCCTTCCCTCTTTTCAAACCTAACCTCTCATTACAGGTCATCTACAACGAGGGCTGGGGTCAAATCACCAAGTACTACCCTGAATTCAAATTGACGGACCGGGTGAAGGAGCTGGACCCCAGTAGACTAGTTTCTTCAACATCGGGCTGGGTGGACCATGGAGCAGGCGACTTCAGCGTGAGTGAAACCACTCATACAGGATCACGCGATTAATTCTGACGCTTCCAGGATAATCATCATTACGCCAACCCGCAATGTGGAACTCCCTTCTACTCGCTGGCATCTAGTCCCCACGATTCGTCCCGCATCGCTATTCAAGGAGAGTTCGGAGGCATCGGTCACAATGTTTCTATCGAGAAGTGAGTTCACCAGATCAATATGTGGCAAAGATACCTGCTAATTGTTCCAGCCTCTGGAATGTTCAGAAGGCTATAGACCATGTTAACGAGACTTATGAGATTGATACAACTCTCGAAGCATGGAACTACCGCAGTCACCTTCTTCTCACAGAGTTCGAGGATCAGATTCGCAGATTTGAATGTAGTGCAGGCGTCTGGACGCAAACCACCGATGTTGAGGGCGAAGTTAATGGATTAATGACGTACGATCGCCGAATCAAGCGTGTAGATGAGCAGCAGTGGAAAGATGATATCCAGGCGCTTTACGACGCGGCTGCAAAGCGAGGTGCTCAGTCAAAGAAGGAAGCGTAGAGAACATGCCGTGATGATTACTATGTTGATGTTCTGGTTAGTGGTTTGGCACTCTATTTTTGTATAGGCCTTTCTTTCTGTTGAACTGAGTATTGATCATGCCCTCCTTTTCTTTTATCCTGTTGAGTTTGTCCTGTACATGCTTTTAGTCTTTCAGTGGGCATAATAATGGAAGAAGCATTCAACTATAGTTTCAACCACATCTTGAAATGTACCAGAAGCACGTAAGCGAAGACTTGATATGTTCATTCCCCAGCGCGCACCTTTATTAACTGAATTGGCGGATGTCAAAGTCGGGCTAAGACTCAAGCTGCTATTGTATACTACGTGGATCGGTTCGGAGAAGAGTCTTCCCCATTCCTTCCCTCCGAGGGCGCTTCATATCGACCAGATCTATCATACATTGAATAAGTGGGCTTAGGAACATTAAACTAGCAACACAAGCATCTACAAAGCCTCAAAGCTGTTACATAGACCGCAAAAGCAGTCAGGTAAAGCGGGCTGGGGCATCGGTTCTGTATATTCCTCACGTATGTCCCAATTATGCCCAGAAATTCCGGCAAATCAAGCATACTTAGTTTCTCGCCCTCTCTCAATACTACCCGCGGACCTCAACCGCTGCTCACAGCTCCTCGCGCAGCCAAGGATCTCGGGATGCAGCTTGACTGCAGGGCGGCGTAACTTGGCTTGCTGATCTGCATGCCCCACGGTGGACAACAGCGTGGTCAGGGATATGCCCATCCTTGAAGGGAACTTGCAAAGCAATCGTCGTCTTGTCAGATGGATAGTCAGTGTAATGCCCAAACCCAGAGACATCGGCTGCAACTAGCAAGCCATTCACTCCTTCCATAATCCACGCCTCTTCATCACTGTCCGGAAGTGTGACATGTGCCAACCCCGAAAGAAGAACGAATATCCTGTAATTTTCCATCGATTAGCGTTCCTTGCCGGGGGCTGGTATCTAGAATCCGGGGTAAAAAACAGACATGGGGTGGGGCGGCTTATGAATTCCTTCACTGGAGCGAGGTGGGATTGCGACATAAGTGATATTCGATACGTTGGCCAGAGAATGAGCCATTCCAACAGTTGGGTATTCGTAAAATGGTGATGTAAACCGCCAACATTCAAGGAGCGCAGATCCCCTTGCATCCTCCACAACTGCAGTAGCTGTTAGGTACTGTGGGCATTCAGAGGCCAGCACGAGATGTAAGAGAAAGAGGCAGTGCCAAAGGTTCATTATGATGAAGAGGAGCAAATCGATGGGAATCGTCGAAAATTATGAAGTTAGCTGAACATTTAGACTGCTGATATAAATTTATACCATGACATCGGATATCCTCGGCGGGGTCCTCGCCACCCGTGAACAATGCATGGAAGACATTAAGCGTAACTATGTACGCCCAATTCTATGCATTCTCGGCGATGCAAGGGCCAGCCTCTCGAGTGACGGTTATATTGAAAATATTAGACTACCTATTAGGCTAAGTAAGCTACGAATATTGAAATGTGTTCACTTGGAAGCATAATTGCGTCCAGTGCGACGAATTGATTGGGTGCTTCATTTTTGTTCGGATCGTCCAACACGCCCTCCGGCCCCACGAGTGGCTTGTCTAGAAGTGATAAATATATAAGTAATGTCCAATAGTTATAAGAGGCAGGGGAGTTAACTTGATCCGTATAATAGTCACATATAGCCCACGTAACTATGGCTTTCATCCTCATTTACACCAAGGGCCGATTGGGCCTCTTCTAATATCAATTTTGATACTGCCAATGATGACGTGACTTGGCCATGCGATGACCTCAGGGGCAAACGTAGAGAGCACAGATAATTTTTTGTCCTGCCTAGTATCGTTTTGCGCAAGAGGTGTCCCGGTTGCCCTTTTCCTAGGATAAGATACATCGGCACAGGTAATGCGAAGCCTCACTGCAAGAACTATCATGGTAAAGTCTGTCATGTCTAATGCTTATTCTGCCTTAGCAGTCTGGTACTATCAGATACAATTGTCTTCTCAATTGTCCCCCGACAGTTTCTGTCGGCTGGGAGATTCAGTGGGTATGCCTTGGGGCTGTGATTGATTGGATTGATTGGATGAGGCATGCCAGGAATATATTTTCATCTATATATTTAGTCTCCCCATCTCCATCTTTTCACTACCTATGCCTCATCTCGTCCGACTCGGGGGAGCCTTTCTCCCCTCCTCTTACTCTGCTGTCAGCCAAAGCGGGACGCTAGAGCATCAAAATGAGATTTGTAGCCTTCACGCATAAACCAAGGTCCAACACCTACCCGAAAGCTGAAAGACTTTCATGCAAGCTGCTTTATGAACTATACAAGAGGACTCAATTTTTGACCTGGTCAACCACTCTTTGAAGAACACGCTCAAGACTCCTCAAGATAGGATGGCTGTCCTGGAGAAATCACCTGAGATAGACAGATAGTCCGAAGCAAAGAGCTGTATGAGAAGATAATATAATACTCTTGGGGCACAACAAATGGCAAAGGTGTAAAGGGCACTAATGAGGAGTATGTAAACTGTCTGGCGGCATAGTGTAGGCTTCACATGAGAGTGGGAAATTTTGAGCTGAACAGATATCAATGGCGAAGAAGTGAGATAAGAAGAGTATAAAGGCGTTGACCGATACATATCAACCTTTATAGTAAGCTTCGAATATGGACAGGGGGCGGTACGTAATACAGTAAAACAAGAAAGTTATGTGTTTGCCCTAAAACCCACATGTGATTCGAAGAACAGCATACTAAGATTACGCATATAGTATAGAGCTAGTTTATGGAGTCATAGAATAAAAGGAACAGTATGTATTATTCTAAACAATGATTGGTTGCTGGGCTTCGCAAGGGTTGTTGATTCAGCCACATCCGATATCTGGCGACCTGTAGAGAGATATTTGCAACCTACGACGCACTCTTAAACTCAGGTTGAGCCACCTCTACCTCCTGAGTCACCGGTTCATGCCGTACTTTCGCCTCGACATCACCTCTCTCCAGCTGTTGAACCTGATGCGTCGTCACCCGTGTCTTCCAAGCCGGAGTGCCAATATGCTTCAGTCCATTAGGATCTTCGAACATAGCTTCGGTCTCCTCCAATGTCTTCCCAGCTGTCTCAGGGAAGAAGAAAAACACGTGGATTAGCATTACGGTGTTAAACACTCCAAAAATGATATACGTCTGCCACCGAATGTTAGCAAATGCAGGGGGGGTGAAGAGCCCCAGAGCCGTATTAAATGCCCAGTTTCCTGAGGTACTCAACGCCACTCCTTTTCCTCTTAAACGCATTGGAAATAGTTCCGGAGGATATACCCAGCTGACGGGGCCCCAGGAAGGCGCATAGGATGCGACAAATAGATAGGTACAGGCGATTAAACCCTTTGCTGCACTGCCGTGAAGCTTCATCGACTGCTGGGCGACTCCATCGATCCCACCGGGGACGACCTCGCCATGGACGGCCATGATAGCGCCATTAGCATACATAAACGTAGCCATCAGTATTGCGCCGACGATCAAAGTTGGTCGTCGTCCCCAGCGATCAAGCCAGATCAGAGCTGGAAGGGTCATGAGGACGTTGATGATGTACTGGATGGAAGAGGCCAGCAGGTTCGAATCACCGGAATAGCCTGCCATGGAGAAGACGTATGTGATATAGTACACTGAGCATCAATTAAGTATATCACTTTGCCTAGGAGTTCCTGATCACTTACTCATGACGTTCATGCCGGTCAACTGAGACCAAATCTGCATGAAGAGACCGATAATGGTGCGGTTCAACATTCTCGGCGTGAATAGGTCAAGATACGTAACATTCTTGAATTGGCGTTCAAATTCACACATGTCTCGGATGTCCTGCATTTCAAGCGCGACAAATGGGTGGTTCATATCTCCCTTGCAGTGAACCTTCGCCAGGACCATGTGGCAATCTTCCCAGCGATCCTGCCGAGCCAGCCACCGCGGCGATTCCGGGAGAATGAGCATGCCAAAGAATAAGAAAACAGCTGGAATCATCTGCAAACCCCAGGGAATTCTCCACGCTGCCGTGCTATATCCATTGGAGGTGCGCGAACCAATGTAGGAGCACCCATATGAGATACTGATGGACCAGTCAGCTTTCTAACATTGCTCTTGCTTCAGCTGAACTTACTAGAACATGATCAGAATACCCCAGGTAATTGCCCATTGCTGTATACCTGTGAAACGGCCTCTCTTTGATGGAGGGGACATTTCACTGATGTAGACGGGGACCTGGGCAGATTCGATACCTACACTGAGACCGTTGATCACTCGGCCCACGACGAGCATACCAATGTTCTGGGAGGCACACATAATCGTCGACCCAATTATCCTGTGATCTACATGTCAATGACATGTGCGGCCCTTTGTGCCTTTTCATCAGAGGCAAGAGTTTCTATACTCACCAGATTATACAACCGACCATGATGGATTTCTTCCGACCTATGCGATCGGACAGCGGCCCAGATATCAAGGCGCCCAGCCAGGAACCGGCCGACATGGCTGCGGTAATACCTCCTTGAACAAGCGATTTCGGGCCGGAGCAGTGGTCGTCATTGTTAAAGGGAGGGCCCGAGGGACCCTGGTTGAAATAACACTTGTAGGAGTTTTCATTCAGCTGAGCCGACATGGAAGAGATATCAAAGCCAAAGAGGGCACCGCCGACGACGGCGATGCCCGCAATAACATAGATGTTTCCAACCAACATGATGATCCACCCTAATCGGAAGGGTTCTCACAGTATGGGCATGGGAACGTAAGACCCCAGGGGAAGTGAACGATCTACGAGGCCAAGAGCGCCCTTTAAATAGGAGCGAACTAGGTCCGAGTCAGTAACCAGCAAGAGGTTCCAGACGAATATTGACCCCGCACTGAGAATTGGGGGTCATATCTTCTTACAAGGAATAGCCTCACGTCGGCAGCAAGCCGACTCACTTTAGTGGAGGTTATTTGGATATATCTCCTGACGTGTCCCGTGGTTGCTGATGCGAAACGATTGGATCGATCGTACTGATGATGAGGGTATCCTATAAGAAAAGAAAGGAAAAATTTCGATGATTGGTCGGGCAGGTTGGCATCCTGGCAGTCACATTGTGCCAAGGCAGTATGTTAGGGTTACATGATGTCTATCGAGTTAAACAGGTTCATGTTGCACTCTTCACACGAGAAGGTCGCCCAGCGTAGTTTTGACGCCTGCTTCGGTCCACAGAAGTGTCAAAATCTATCGATACGCGCTTTTAGTTATAATATATTTACCATTCATACTCCGTATATGAAGTGTGGATGGACACTTCCCCGGATTTCTCCCCTACCTCCATTGAGACGTACAGTTTCGAACTCTCCACATCCCCAGACGGGCAACCACATGTCTTTCTCTCCACTTCATGGGTTGAACTAGTCATTTCCGATATGAGATCATCGGTGAGAATCCCACAAATCACATTGTTGTCCATCAGCTTCTTCGCTCCGGGGTCGATAACAAAGTTCTATTGAAGGGGTAGGGGGTTCCTTTTGATTTTTTCTCAGTCCCCGCATGGACCTCTTCTCCGCAGCTTGCTATACTACCATATTATGGGAAGAGTACCTCTAGACGGCACAACCCATGGCGTAGGGAATTTCCCCCGGGTGATTGGTGGAGGTGATCGTGTGCTCCCACAAGATGGATTCATAGGCACAATTGCCAAGAAGGGTGGCTGCCGTTGTGTATATCATGGGTATATAGGATAGTTCACGCCTCTTTGCTTGTTTCAATGGAGGTCGAACTGAAGGGGATTCTTGCCTCAACCTCAATCACTTCAGCCACTTAATCCATTTCAAGAGGGGCTGGATGTTCAGGCTCTTGGCAATCATCAGACCAAGACGTGAGTCAAGAGGGGATTCGACCAGCAAGTCAATTGTCCAAGACTTGTCTATTCCCTTGGCGCTCAGACCATCTCACCCTCATTCCATCTCTCTCTTATGACGGCTGATCATAGTGCCGAATTGCCGTCCCTCGACTCACGTGATGCGGCACGTGAGTGTAACTGCTGACATAATATGTTTTGGTAATGATAACAAATTATTAGTAGTCAGGAGTTAGTATTCAAGCCCTACTCCGTACTCTGTGCGTCCGAGTACTCCGGCGAAATCTGTCGAGGTTCCGGAACGAATACGCCGGATTTCCTATTCGACTCTTTGACCAACGGAGTAAAGACCGGCCGAACGAGCGCCGGTCATAACAAGTGCAATGATGACATTGTAGTCCCCAAAGACGCTTAGCTGCAGACGAGCCCTGAAACCCCACCACCCAGCCATGGATTCGAGTGGGCAGCAAAACGCTCATATCCACGGGTCAGGGATCGCGACTACACTCAATCGACTTTGTACCTCCACCCTAGGCCAATCACTGTGCCGCCTTGCTCTTCCTCACATTCCCTTGGCGGAATTCCCCTTGGGTTCCAAGCCCACAATGCGCGTCCACATTGCGGCGGCGTAGCTTTTCACCAATAACGAAACTCCACACTGGGTTCCAGATTCTGTAAAAGGTAAAACAAACAAGCAATCACTCTGCCGCTATTACCGACTCGGTGTTCTCCCGAGATCCATGGATACCTTAAGGGTTTCCCGATCAGGTAGGTGATCCTCGCCGCTCTAAGCTCGGGAGGGCAAGTATCTAGTAGTACTTACTAGTCTAGCTGATCCTTCGTGTCTAGACTTCGAGTCATTCTTGGCTACATTCCAATCTCTTGCTGCTTTACGCCGGCAATGAATCACCCAGGCTGGGCGTTAGTAGTATATATTAACGAGGAACTGAAGTCAGGAGATCCGTGGTGGCACGCCTTGCAGCTACCTTGCTTTTGCGGTCGGCGGGAGTCAAATGTCAACTGACCATCATCAGTCAATATAGGTCCCCTATAAGGGGTAGTTGCTGCATGAGATGTCCTGGGCATGAATGAACACCAATTCGACAGGCGCATACACCGTATACCGACTGGACTTGTTCAGGCAAAAAGTGATTCTCCTCAGTAATCTGACTTCCGACCTTCTGACCCATAGACGGTTTGGTGCTGCGGTCAATCACTCCATAGACGAATAGATAGCCATTATCCTATGCACATACAAACGAGGCCTTCAGTTGCCATAATAAAATGCATGCATGGATACATGGATATTCCTTGTGTGCCGTAACCAGTAGAGAGGTACGCGACGTACTGATATCTCATCAAGAGGGTTATCTAAGACTTCATAGTGATGAATATAATGATGCCAAACCACTGGATATGAATATTTAATTTTGGGAAAGGTAGAGATACTCTGTTTGATTTGGGCATATGAAATTTGTGGTCGAAATTCATTCCGTTATGCCCTCATGGTGTGTACTATATATGTTTATCTGATTCCCACCTAGCAACTTGAACTACTTGGCTATTATAGTAAGGAAAGTATTGTGTTACTACTAGTACTAGTTAAGACTTCCCCACGAACTAATAGTTTATGTGTAAGATATCTATCTCCGCCATCATGCAATTCAATCTACATGGGATACAGATTCCATGATGTCTGCTGTTGTACTACTCTATTGTTAGTATGGACTTAGGGGTAAAAGCGGCGGCACTCCGCCGCCAATCAGCGGGTGTCGATCCTCATCCGTCGTCGTCAACCCTCGCTCACTCTCAACATCCGTTCGAATCCTGATTGTCTTGTCTTGTCACTCCGTTCCACTCCCATCTTTTGCTCCTTCACCCTTGTCCCTACCTAATCTCCTTGTTTCTCTCTGCCTCTCCCTCCTTCTACCGCTCTTTCTGTCATTCTTCGTAACATTTTGGATGGTCTAAACAAACCATGCCGGATTCGTTGCCCGATATCAGAACCCACCCTAAGAGGATCGTCATGCTCTGTGCCATCAGGATTTAATCCCGTTAGTTTCCGAGGACGATGCCAACGCTTCTGTCATATTCAGAGCCCGTCGTGTTTCCCATGGGGCGTGCTGGTCAAGCATGTCCTGGGATTTGAAGAAGAAGAAGCTACAAGCGCTGTGGTCGCAGGTGACCAAGAGTAAGTGACTTGTCATTTCCCGCTGAGGACATGCGTTAATGGATATGATACTGTACTAGGGTCCAATGCCTCAACCGCTCGTCATGCGTCGCCCTCGCCATCACAAGGATGGCGCCCCTTCACCTTGCGCCCGATCTACCTGACCTTCCTTGCCTGTCTGATGGCCTTGATGTTGCTGATATTGGAGGGTTTGCGTCGCTATACGGAGTGGTACGGAGGTCTCGTCTTTGTGGATGCGACCGAGGAAGTGTCCGGTCTCCAGTCCTTTGCGTACAACTATATCCCCATTATCGTCGCCCTCATTCTGTTGACCTTGTGGTCTCTCGTCGACTTCGATGTCTTGCGCCTCGAGCCGTACTTTCAGCTGGCCCGACCGGAGGGCGTACCCGCTTCTGTACTCTTTATCAACTACAATTTCGGCCAAACCTTCATTACACCGTTTCTGTCCGCCAAGCGAGGTCACTGGGTCGCCTTGTTGGTTTCGATCGTCACCGTCCTCACTCGAATGTTCCTCCCCGCGCTGCAGAGTACTCTCTTGGAACTGCGCGAGGTCACCGTGGTCACCAATGAGAGTATGAATACTTGGCCGTCTTTGGTGGGGTTGGGTATTCAGGCCAATTGGATTGCCGCTCAGGAACGGAGCAGTTTCGATTCTGCAAACTCAGCCTTTGCGTCAACCGCCAATACTCTGCAGAAATCACGCTCCCCCGATTTCGCCATTCCGCCCGTCCAGATCCCCACGAACGACCGCCGGGAAAGCACAGTGTGGAAAGTCAATCAAACCATATACTGGTCCCAGTTGTCCTGCCAGGATTTATTGGTTAACGATACGTTGCCAGTGACAATAAATCAAGCCAATGTGAAACACCCGGTTGTGTCGTGGAACGTGACGGGATTGCCCCTGGTCAACGGGACGAACGAAGACTGTTCATTGGACTTTCACTACGATAGCATCTTTTACCATGACACTGACTTTCTTCAAGTGCGTTACTGGGAGCCTGTGTGGACGACGGATACTCTCTACTCGAGCTCGGTGCGAAAGGCGTTCCGCCCTCGTGATTGCGACCCTTTTGATTTGTACGGTGTTCTCCTATCAGTCAACGCTACGACGGTGCATGCCGATGCGATTAGCTCGCTGGGCTCGCAGTATACTTCGTCGGCGACCATGTTTGCCTGTCATATCCAGTACTATAAAGCGCTAGCGGAGGTCTCTATGCATGCGAATAGTTCCATCACATCACTTCATGTAGTGACTAACACCACCGCCAATCTGACTAGCCAGGAGTTCAATATCGATGAGTTCCAGGGACTCCTCTCCCATCGGGCACCATACACTAGTGATATCCTCTTTATGCAATATAATGACACGATGGGCGATCGCATCGTCACGGAGCTTCCGGTCATCGGTCAGCACATGCCCGATGTGGAACCTATGCCTGTGTTGGATACCGCCACGATCATGCAGCAAGGGGAATTCGAGGAAAAGGTCAAGCGAGGTGTCATTCAGACATTTGTAATGACCATGGGTCGTCTGTTCAACCCGGATGTACCCCCAATCACCGTCCCCGCCGTCCGCCTCGCACACCAGGTCACCATCGCCGTCGTTTCGTTCGCAGCAACATTGTCGGAGGCCATTCTCTTCTTCGGGATCGTTGTGGCCTTGGGTCTACTTTACTTTTACCAACGTCGTCCCAATATCCTTCAAAGTGACCCCGCCTCTATCGGAGCCATGTGCAGCATGGTAACAGACTTATTCTCGCCATCAAACATACTCGGCAACGCCCAGTCCGATCTGCATCAGCTCTCGACTCGGCAGCTGCGAATGATCCTCCGAAATTTCCGACTCTACTGGCGGGAAGGGCCTATGGGAAGACGTGTAGAGATTGTATCAGTGGATGGTGATGGTCAGGGTAAGTGCTCGGCCGGTCAAATGCGGTTTCTCGAATGTTCGCTGACGAGACCAGACTCCCCGAGGAGCCTGCGGGATCGGATCCGCACGCGCGTTGACCCGCGACCACATTTCCTGGTTATTCCTATCTTTATCCTTGAATTTCTCTTTCTTATCGCTGTTATTGCTGTCATGTCGCTGGTCATCGCCTCTCTGGCCCATGAAGGTAGTTTCAGACATCTCACCCAATCGGATTCCAGTTTCTTCCAGGTTGTGCTATCCTTCCTCCCTTCTGTGGTCGCTTCTGCCGTCGGGTCGCTGTGCACTTCTATCCATCGGAATATCAGCATTCTGGAGCCGTGGGTCCACCTGCAGCGCGGAAAGGCCAAGGCCGGGGCCTCTTTATCGATGAATTATGCCTCTCAAACCCCGTGGCTAGTATTACTGAAAACAATCCGCGACCGCCATTTCCTACTAGGCCTGGTATCCTTAGCCTGTGTGATGAACACGGTCCTCACCGTGGTTGCTGGTGGGCTTTTCACGCAAAAGCTGACCACCTCTGGCTTCGCGACTCAAGCCATTAAGGCGAACTATAGTAATTCCATCTTTAAGCAAACCGACTTTGCCGCTGATTTCACCGAGTACGATCTAATCGAGACCAGCATTACCAGCGGCGTTCCCATGCTGCCGTGGACTAGCCCGGATTACTCATTCGTGCCGCTCAAAAATAGCCAGCCAAACGTGACAGCCTCCTACAGAGCCACGACTCTCGGCATTGGGGCCGATCTCGAATGTCAGGAACTGTCGATCTCCAAGCACTTGAAGACGAACGCCACCACGGGGGCACCCTATTGGCAGTACCAACCATTTCAGAATGATAGCCGACAATGCACGGTGAACATGTTCCGGCAAAATCATGAGAAGATCCCTCTCTCCATCCACTTCCTTTCCCCTGCGGCCTTGGAGGACATGGATCAATGCCAAACATTCACGGTGCTGGTTGTTGGACGATGGAACTATACGGGGGACTCGGCCATTACGGACCACAATACTGTGGCCTTGCACTGTGAACCCCAAATTCAGATGCAGAATTTTTCCATTCTCTTCGACCAAAAGGGCCAGATCCAGGAAAGTGACCCGATGCCCAACACTGCTATCACATCCGGTTCCATGTATGATAATGCGACGATCAGTCTGGGTCAGTTTAACAAAGTCTTCGCCTCGATCCCTCAAAACTTCGCGGGTGAGGCAGAGCAGAAAGGACCCACGGTGTCTTCGTATGACTGGGCTGGCTTTCTGGTTGCTCGCCTCTATAAGCAAAGAGAACACGGCATTTCCTCCCTTGAGCCTGATGACTTGATTGCCATGTCGGAGACAGTCTACCAATGGGTGTATAGCACCTACTTTTCTTTGTGGGGCCCGATCTACCTTGAACCGTTGGAGAACTCCCACACTGCCACTAATGCAACCGTCTACTACAGCACCTGGGCGATGATCCCGTCGGTCCCTTCATTGACCATAGCGCTGTCTATCATCGCGCTGGACACGCTGGTCGTGTTGGTCGTGTTTGGGACGCGGCGGGGTCGATTCAAGGGGCCGCGAATACCACGGTCGATCGGGTCGGTGATTCCCTGGATTGCGAACAGCCGCATGCTAAGTGACTTCCGGGGAACGTATTCTTGGACCAGTCTCCAGCGTCGAGATTACCTGGAGCGGTTGAATAAGCGATACGCCTTCCGTCTGTTTCCGGGATCAGACGCGCAGTGGCGATTTGCCGTAGACGAAGAGCCAATAGTGGAGGAAAACAAGCCCACTGTCGTTGCAGATCCGGGGACCCTAGATCCCACTAAGCAGCCCGATGCGATTGAGCTCCGGCCTATTGGGGACGAGGGGACTGGACCTCAACGGATTCACGACTAACGTGACATGCCATGTCTGTATTATAGCATAGCGTCTTTGGTTTTCGTTAGACTAGGATTTGGAGTTCTTGTATGGGTGGATTGGATGTAAGGATACATGTACATATAATATGGTAATACGGGAACCACGACCTTGCAAATGCTGTCTCTGCTATAGACCGTCAGCCCATTCTTATGACCTTACCACCTACCCCCGACCCGAGTCCCTCATGTCTAGCCCGATATACATCAACCATTGCACCATTGGGGCAGTGAGACATGCGTCGACAACACCTTGCATAGACCACAAAGATCATCTCCAGCTCCTTCGGCCGGTGCAGTGTCTCTGCTCTACTTTTGTCCAATCCCAGATTCATCCTAGAAGTCCTCAGAATGCCGTGACGTGGGCAACGGACGCAAGGAGCTAAGATGGAGACACCGATAAAAAGCCCCTTCTTCCATCGCTCGAACGGTGATCGATATGGTTTATTTCAGGCTCTGCGCACGCCTCCCCCGCTTTGGCCTTTTGTAAGGAATGACGATGGCCTTCCCAGGTTATGGTTCCAACCCATCATGGTCGCAACTCGTGTATGCGCTTGTCGAAGTGGTACTGATTCAGCGCTCTAAATCCTGCCCAAAAAAGAAGGTTCTCTAGCCGAAAGATCGACCATTCTCTACCGGATCTCCTTGATCATATATCGGGTATACTTCCACCGTTTGTCCGGCATTCCGGGTCCGAGACTTTATGCGGCTTCCTTCATCTCCTACCTTTACCAGGACAGCATTGTCAGGATATTTGTGATTCACATCCATGAGAAACACGGGCCCTTCATCCGCATCGCGCCGAATCATGTTGCCATGGACGGCTCCATCTGTTGATCCGAGGTGTTTGCCCATCGACCCCCAACCGCCCGGTGTTCGAAAAAGACTATCGCCTTCTACGGCCTGACCAAGTGAATCGGGCTTCTATCTGCGCTTCTTGTTGATCACCGGCGCTAGCGACGGGTGATCAGGCATGCCTTCTCTGAGATCGCATTAGCAGGAAAAGAGCAGTACATCACGGTCTATAAAATGAGACTGCTCAAAAGCCGTATAGAGGCAGGTGGGTTAGTGGACATGACCCGGTGGTATAACCATCTCACCTTCGATCCTTGGGACCTCGCCACTACCGATCCGTTCGATTGCCTCCAAAGGAGCGAATACCATACCTTTGTAGCCGTAGTCTTTAGCAGTATTAGAGCTCAAAGGAGGGCGTTAGCATTTGGCCAATATTCACTTCTCCACCATTGCTGGACCTCCTCACGTGAAGCGACAAGGTGAAAAAGAACCAGGAGTTCAAAGATATAGAACGTATTAAGACTGAGAAACGGATCGCCCAGGGAGTCGGCACGCGGGAGGTTATTATGCCTTACATCCTCCGTCACAACAAGGAAGGGACGGAAATAACACATGAAGAAACCATGGTGGAATGCATGAGGATTCATCATTGCGGGCAGTGAGACCACCGCGACAGCATTAGCAGGCCTAACCTTTCACTTAACCCAGAACCCCGAAGTGTACCGCCTGCTCGCCGACAAGATCCGCTCGTCCTTTGCACCCGAAGACGAGATCAATTTAAAGTCCACCAGCACTCTTCGGTACCTTCGGGCGTGTCCGGAGGAGATCCTTCACATCTATCCTCCGGCCGCCGAAACTCTTCCCCGAATCTCCCCCGGCGCTACTGTGCACGGACAACACCTCCCGAAAGGTGCACGTATATCTCAGCGAGAAAGACAAATAAGGAGAACCATCAGACTAACTCCATGGTTCTCCGGTCATACGTGTCGATCTTCCAATGGGCGACCCATCACTCACCTCGTAACTTCATCGATCCCGAGCTGTTCGCCTCGCAGCGTTGGCTGCCCTGGAGACATCCGCTCTACGATCCGCGATACATATCCGATAACAAGGCATCATTGTAAGCCTTTCACTGCAGGTCCGCGGGAATGCATCGGGAAGAGCCTGGCGTATGCGGAGATGCAGCTGGTTACGGCCCGTTTGCTGTGGAACTTTGACATCCAGCTGCAGGATAGACAAGACGATTGGGTGCAGCGCCAGCGAACCTTCGTTGTACACGAGAAAAGGACCGTTGATGGTCAAGTTGCGACTGAGGGCTGGACTTTGAGACTCGCCGGTTTTGTTGCGGGCTGAGATGGTTTGCTTAGAATGTCAAGTTAAGAAAAGCCGTGCAAGCGGCCCAGTGTTCTTGTTTCGTATATTTTGTCAATATCTATGGGGTAAGAAAAATGGTATATGTAGTTATATAATATTCTAGAAACGGTATCGGAGAAGATGGGCATAGTTGTAGCCCCTGCCACTAACTCTACTGCAGAGAGGCCTTAACTACAGAACAAGGATCTACAACGATCGTGAAGAAGAGAAGACTACTAGTGAGATCAACCTCAATATTTTGAGAAAGGTTCGTGGCCTGCAACTGTATTCATTTCCCACAACAAGTGTGGGTTCGCCTTTGGCCACAGTCTTGCCAATACTCGCAAGCGTATCATCTCAAACGCCGTGCCGCCTCTGCTTCTTGTGCCATTTCAACCACCTGTTTGCTATCGCCAAGATCCGCACCATCGTCAGCGTCCAGAACGTCTTGGGGGACCCTGGAATGCGAGAGTCTCCGCTGGGACTCCGAGACACATCGTACCGTACGGACTCATGATAACAAAAGCTAGGTGACACCTCTTTTAGATAGCTTAGAAAATAGATGCCGGGTTGGCAATTCCAATGATAGAGATAACGAAGCTAATCAAGGCGATAGAGGCGATAGTACTAATGCTGGGGTTCGATCGGCCGGTGGAAGTCGTTAGTGAAGAGAAAGAACTGGACGTAGAAGTGGCCACTGAAGTCGCTGCCGTTCCATCAAACGCAGTCGTAAACACCAAGGCTCTATTCTTCCTAGCTATACGCCGGCCGGCCAGCTCGTAGTTTGGTGGGTGACCGCTAGCGAACCTCGGTTTTGAATTCTTTTCTATTTTATGAAGCTTTATGCTCAAAGGAGGACTAGAAGGTGTTTCAATACCTTCTATCTTTCCGTTTACAGAGAGGCCATGGATGGGAAATGATGTCAAGTCAATGTAAATTCCGTAGTCCAGCTAGAAATGCGCCACTGCTGTCTTGCAACAAAATCACCAAACAATCGTGAAAGATTTCCTACGCCCGCGACTCCATGTCTCATACTTGATTCACGCACTCCACCTCCGGGACGGCTTCTCCATCCTCTTGAATATCTGGGGCGATCCTCCGAGCGGCTTGGGTTCTGGGGTAAGAACCTGGCCCTTGTTCGGGGGGCCGTTGAAGTTACCGCTGTTGCAGGCGTCGTCGATGCCATTGCACTTTTTCCCCCAGATATCGCAAGTCTTATAACCGGTAGGAGGCGTAGTATCATAGCACATCTTGCTCTGGTCCCAGCACTTCTTCGACGACTAAAAACACAAGTTAACAAAAAGCCCATAAGCCCCAAAACAGACAAGGAGTAACGTACAGCCCAGCACCCATTCTCATCACTGTAGTCAGGCACCTCAAACCCACACCAGTTATCCCGTTGCAAGATACACCCAGCTGGCTTCAGACCCTTGCTCTGCGTATCCCTCTTCTCCAAATCCACCGACCGCCCCGCAACCCCCTTACTCTCATACACATGAGGCCCCGGGATCGGATACGGCAACTGCAACGGCTTGGCATAGATATTATACTTCAAGCCCGGCGTATCAAGCGTATACGTGCCCTCCCCAATACTAACAGTTTCCGGCCTCGCACTGCCCCCACCCTGCACGTAGATCTGCGCACAGTTAACGTAAAACTGAGGATCAAGCGGATCCGCAAACGCCGCCATATGCAGCGCCAATAACTCCGTGCGGACCAGGTAATACCCATCCTCGATATCCTCGGGGATCCGCACAGACAGGAACCCGTTGTTATCGATCAGTTTCTCCGTGCACCATTTCTCTGCCTGCTCGTCGTACCCCGTGTGCCAGATCTTGAACCACCCGTCGCCGGCGGCATTGTCGTCGGCCGTCGCGTCCTCCACTTTCTTCATGTACACGGCACAGGGGCCCTTATGGCCGATGTCGATGGAGCCCGGTTGGCTTCCATCGGCGTATTCGCGGAATTCGAAGGTGAGAAGGGAGTTGGCTTTTGCGGGGCAGACGCGTGCTACGCCTTTTTCGCCATCTTTGCCTGTTGGTTTTTGGTGGTTAGTTTAGGTGGTTGGGGGGTTTTGGGGGGAGGTGGGGGAGGTGGGGTTGGTTTCATACCGCAGGCCATGTTCTTGCTGGACAAAGGCTCGATGGGGTAATTGATGGTGTTGCCATCGTGGGTCAGGCGGACGCAGGTGCCGTCTCCCTGGCTGACTTCGTCCACGTAGAGGGTGGTGAAGACGGTGTGGCTGAGCGCCAACGGAGCGAGGAGGAAAAATAGGGCTGAACGAAGCATTTTTGGTCTGGCTAGAGGGAATGTAAGAACTAATCACAGATTGATAAAGGGTTAAGGAATGAATAAGCGAAAGCCTGCTTCAAGCAGGAATGCTATAGAAAAGAAAAACGGTAGAGAACGACTGAGAAAAAGAAAGGAATGACTTGGTGGCTCGAAGAATTGGAGAAAAAACAGCGCAAAGAAGAAGATTCAGATGAGGGTATATAAGAAAAACTCAAGATCCTAACGCCTGCACCGAGACCCAGAAGGACCCTGGGAATCGTATCCAATAACCACCAGAACCCTTAATAGAATAGAAGCAGGGCATCCATGACTCCAGTCGATCAATTAGATCGCTCGGCGCTTACCGAGAGATTAGCAGCGGAGATCAACCAACCAAACCGTTAGCGGTGCCAGGTTCAGATTCGCTGAAATGCCGGCGGATGCTACCCTACGTGGCGGTTTCAGGCAATTGGTGGCGTTCGCGTGTTCTTTGTCGCGGTTGGGTTTGGTGGAAATTTGATGGTGGAGACTGTTGGCTGACAGACAGGCTTAATGAAGGCAGAGCCAGCCAGTCGTTGTTTGTCCCGGTAAATGAGCTCGTTTCACCTTGAGTCAGATCGGTCCAACATGCATGAGAGCCGATTTTGAGGGAAATGAACCCGCACCCGTTGCATTATCTCTCTGGTTGAATGGAAGGACAGTCGATTGTTTGTCATTGTACTTGTGTAAGGAAAGCAGACATGGACATCTACATAATGGCATCCACAAAGGACACCAGTTATGCCCCTGCGAGAGGTGTTCCTGTGTTTCTTTCGGGGCTGTGGTGGGCTGGTGGATCTATCTTGGATCCGGGTAGGAGGAGTCTTGGCTCCCCATTTCACCGAAACCCTCTCTCTGTTTGATTGGCTCATCAGTCTGACTGTGTTGGAGAGTTAGGGCTTTTGGTTCAGGTGCAGATCCAATGGGAGTTCTTTTGGCTTTCAGGAACGCCCCTTCTGCTGCATCAAGTAGGGAAATTCCTTCCTCTGATGGCGTACACAACCACAAAAAGCAAGGCAGAACAATCTTCCCTTGAATCTATTTTTACTCTAGAAATTACCTTATACATTGTGTATTTCATCATAAGATCATATCTGATCCGTCACAAAGTACTGAATACGATTCGGATGGACTGTAATTCTGACCTTGACGGGAGAATGAATGCGAGAAGCCACAACTTCACCAGACGTGGGGGAATCCTCAGTACCATTTCATGTCGATTATCTTTACTTGGGAATAAGAAAATATATCACTAAACATATCCACTGAGCAAAGAGGAGGGGTAATTTGAAACTGGGCGATTAACCGTGAAGGAAGATGCTGGTCGGGGGTATATATCCTCCTTTGGGGCATGGAGTAGTCAGCTGACTACCAACTCCAGTACGACTCTAAATACTTTCACGCCGGCAAATATCCACGCGAGAACTCTGTATTCCCCCTGGATCGAATACCCGGCCTGCATTGGACCTATTCGGCATGTAGTTCCCCAAGGAAGTCGAACCCGCATGACCAGGGCGACTGGTTTTAAATCGATCGGGCGCATTCAGTTCACAATGTATTGTATGGTAGCTCTGCACTTATAGGTGTCTAGTTTTGAATACTTCTAGATTCTTACACCTTCTTGCAGTTTCACCCTTTGGCCGTCTTCATGTTCTCTGAAAATAGGAACATGGCATCTGAGGGGGTAGATTCTTGCCTGGCTGATCCTCTGGCACACGGAGTATTTACATTCCATATTGGTTGACTTTAGGATACTAATAGCTTCAGCTCCGGAAGATGAAGATAATCATTAGTTGGATGCGCAAGGAGCAAGTAATAGGGTCCCTGGCAAGGGAAGTTAGGATTATATATAAGATAACCTGGAGATTAGCGGCAATGCTTAAGTCGCTGCGCAAAAACATTCTAGATAAGTTTGGCCTAATATAATCAAATATGATAATGATTAATAGGATGTCATTCATATGATGGCTAATATGGAACCTCATCGAGAGCATAAAATGACCTATAGATGTCTTACTGTCTTCGCTCCTGATCTTGTCCTACACTTAGCAATACGCCTTGTAGTTCGAGTCCGCGATAAGACTTACAACGAAGCCGAAGCATGACAAATACACGACGAAAGCAGTTACCCCAGTGTACTTATTAGCTAGTGACTTCTGCTGTACAGCAAATAATACAAGGCTAGATAACTTGCCAATTAGTTTTTTGGTTCAGTAAGAAAGACTCAGAAAAACAAATTACGGCACCTCAACGACATGAACAATGCCAGCAGCCTGCCGCCAGCATGCATCTCAAAGGGAGCATGTCTAGGCAATCTATCGCCCGCCCTGTTCGTTTTATTAATATACTGACCAAATTTCACCGCAATAAGATTAAAACTAAGCAACACCACAGCTATAAAGGATAGGTTCTCAGTCCGGCTTCCTTGTGATATGTTTTCGAATTTTGTAGGGGCCTACAGTAAGAACTTATGTTTAGGCTTTTTTTGCCGTGATCCGGAATCAACAGTGCTACTAGCTGGCTGGTCGAAATTGTAGGCTTGCCGCAGGACACTGTTTCGCAAGGATGGATGTTAGGATGAGGATATACGTTGCTAATCACGTACAGAAGGCTTTTTCCAAAGCCGACGGCCAGGGGTGAGGGAAATGGGAAAAAAAGACTTGAATGAGCGTAGTCGGTAGCAATTTCGCGAATGCTTGGATGGACTTTATATGTAGCAAATTGGCCAAGCCTAGGAGAGGCTATCAGTATAGCAGAAACCTTACCAGCTACTTAGCTGTAGCCTTCCTCATCTACGCAAGGCAAAACTGACTGTATCACGGCTGCGCAATGGTCCGATAACCCTCTTTGGCTCTCAGAGATTTCTCAACATCCTGAACGTGTAACTATGAAGGACCAGTCCCCCTTGCCCTCGATACACGGGTCGATTAAGTCTTTCACTGTTTCATCAGCCGGGTAGGGAACACCTATGACGTCTGACCTTTGACGGTATGATATGACGAACAATACGCCTTTGACATGAGAGCCTTCAAATATGAATCTACATGGATTGAAATTGAACCTGTCACATTGAAAGTGTCTCGATTATTCGAAGAGCGGTACCTCGGGAGGTCGGTAAGAGTTTGTGTTAAGTAGTTTTGTCAAGGCACTCAATGATATAGTTGATACTAGAATCTGGGCGTTCAAAGAACTTGAGTTCCTCCCATTAAGCTTGTGACTTCAGGTCTAGACCGCGGTTGTAGTCGAAACAGCCAACGGAGATGTGTTGACCAGTCTCTTTTGTATATATAGCAACCACCATAGACTGCCGAGGTTACTGCCCTCCAAGATCCCTTAATATAAAGCACTGTAGATGTGACGCCTACCGGGTAGGGTGTGGTCAATATGAAGTCTCTCTTGAAACGCCGTAGATCTACCGACTGCGCTTTGAGACTCAAGAATTTTCTAGCCTTAACTCAATTAAGATTACCCAACTACTGTATCAGATCTATCACGGTATACGTAGTGTTCCCTATTGACAGGACCTTGCATCCTTGGCTCACTGTTGCTTGGACGTAATTTGGGATTGTGATTCGGCATTTCGGAGTTCTCATGATTATTGAAAAATTACTAGGGCTTTGAAACATGCACACGGTCTAAATAGGCTAGCAAAACAAGCGTGGCTGACGATTCATGCTGATCAGAAGCGAAAAATTTGAAGTTCATTAGTAATGGTTATAATACCGATATGTTTAACTATGATTAAGGGGCTGAGTCAGTAGACCTCCAAGGACGGATAATATTGACTCATTCTAAGCGTTATTAGGCTAAAAGTACTGCCAAGGAGCTGTTCCCAATTCCAACGTACGTAAGTAGTTTCCCTTATTTTATATCAACGTGGCTCGAGCCCTACCAAGGCGTAAAATCCGTTCGACCGATCACACTCCAGCATAGTCCAGATCTCCTGACGATCGGAGCAGGAAAACCCAACAAAAGGCCCCAACACTATCGGTAATATCTCGGGGGATTGATCGACGACGCGGAGAAATCACCCGTTTTGGGAGAATACGGTGCCTGGTTTTTGGGTTATCGCGGATAACAACCCTAAAGGACTAAGCCTTTACTCCACATCGATTCCTGAACCGGCCAATTTACCACAGATTCTTGACAGCCGTTTGAGCAGCTGCAGGAGCCATGTGCTATAATTGTATCATGTCAGTCACAGAGATATTAGCCCAGTGATGCCTTACATCGAGATTAATATAGATTGCGGTCCGGGCTGAGCCCGTAGCTAGGGTTTGTCGCACTCTGAGACGGACTTGCCAGGCTCCATGGCTTTAGTGCGAGATTGATCGGCTGATGTCTTTGGAGGGTTCATCCTTACGAAAACTGTTTCCTGATTGAGAGGTTCGACTAAGTTATTCTTGGTATGGTCCGAGTCAGATCGGCATTCAGGATTCGGTAGTCAGAGCCCGATTTCCGGTCTTCCAGACGCATGCATACCGTGGAAACGCTGCAAATAATTCTAATGGGAATCATATCGGGATGTCTATGATAACGTAGTTAAAAGCTTTTGACTCAGATGAGACGAAATAAATCGCGCGTGTCATCGGGGCCCTGACCATTCCATGCGCAGTGCACATCACACATCGAGGGTCTGCCGGGGGTAACGGTTTAATGCTGAATGCTAAAAGCCTCAGGTGGATGAAACTGGACCCACCGTCTGAGCCATAGGTCCTCCCCCCGGACCAAGGAGTAACACTATACCCATGTAGTTAAGTCTACAGAACCTTATCCTTGTCGTGATTTTTGAGATTGTATGGGAAAAGGGGTATAAAAACCCTCGTCCTTGTCGTCATCTCCGGGCATTGTCTCCTCCATCCCAGCGAATCCAATCCATTCATTCTCTGCTGTTTTCTGCCTTTATCTTCTCATCAATAGAGCTGTGCTCCTCGTCATTCTTTCAATACCTTGTCTCCTCACAATCAATATGAAGGCTGTCGCTGCCCTCGCTCTTGTTGGCTGTGCCATCGCTGCACCAACCAAGACAGTTGAAAGTCGTCAGCTGCCCGGACTCGGCTCCCTCCCAGGCCTCGGTGGCTCCTCCACAGGCAGCAGCCTCAGCGGCCTTGCCTCTCTCATCCCCGGCCTGGGCGGCTCTTCATCTGGCAGCGGTCTCCCCGGTCTCGAATCCTCCACCGGCAGTGGCCTCGGCGCACTCTCCTCCCTCATCCCCGGACTCGGGGGATCTTCCTCCAGCGGTCTCCCCGGCCTGGGATCTAGCACCGGTAACATTCCCGACCTGAGCAGCTTGCTAGGCGGATCCTCCTCTAGCTCCCTGCCGGGCTTGACTAAACGTGCCTCGATTACAGAAAACGGCGTCACTCAGAATGCGGGCTGCCAGGAACTGACCTTTATTTTCGCCCGTGGAACCACGGAAATGGGCAACATGGGCTCCGTTGTCGGACCGCCCGTCGCAAACCAGTTGGCCTCCCTTACCGGAAACAAGGTCACCGTACAGGGTGTCGATTATCCTGCTGATGCTGCTGTACATTATACCCTCAACCCCCAATCTTATCTTATTCCCTACCCTTATTTAATTGAAAACCGAAGCTAATGAATGAAAACTAGGGAAACGCCATGATGGGCGCATCTGGCGGTCCAAAGATGGCCGAGCTAATCCAGCAAGCCAAGAAGCAGTGTCCCGATACCAAGGTCGTCCTGGGTGGATACTCCCAGGGTGCTATGGTTGTTCACAACGCTGCCAGCAAGGTCGGTGCTGATGCAATCTCTGGTGCTGTGTTGTTCGGTGACCCCTTCAAGATGCAGGGTGTTGGTAAGCTGGACACGTCTAAGGTTAAGGAGTTCTGTGCTCTGGGTGACCCTGTCTGTGAGAATGGCATGAATGTCATGGCGCATTTGACCTACGGTTCTAATGCTAAGGAGGCTGCGCAGTTCTTGGTTCAGGCTGCTGGGCTTTCTTCTTAGAAAGTGTGTGGTTTGTCTTTCGTTAGAATTTGATTCGCTTGTGAGGATGGATGGATGTATGGCTGGATCAGGGCGCTGGACGCTGTATTACGATCGGCCTTTGACCTGTTACCTAGATTATTTGAATTGAATTCGGCGGCATCGCCCATACAGTTGAACGCGTCGTACAGACCAGCCCACTTCGTAGCGTTGTTGATCACATAGGTTGTTTCCTCTACCTATAGAGCGACGATGTCGCCGTACGTGGAACCGATCCACTTGACCACCTCGGCGTAGCAGAGGTAGATCTTGGACGAGTCAAGTCCGAGAGCATTGCCGCCCTTGGCTTCAGAGGCCTGCATGCAGTCGGCGCCAATGGGTTGCCAGTCCAGCTGGATGGCGGAGATATTGGCAGCGGGGATCTGCTTAAAAAGCTTGGGCAATTGGCTGAAGAACGTGGTGTTGCTGAGGGTGATGCTCTTAATTAATTCGTCGTAGGTGGTACCGACAACAGTGCCAGCAACAAACACATCTCTAGGAAAGTCAATCGTCTCCTGTCTATTTACTATAGCCATCGCCGTGGATTAGAACGTACTTGATGTGAGGGACGACCATCGCTCCGGTCTCCGCAGCGAATTCCGATAATGTCTTGAACTCAAGGGTGCTGCTTATAGCTGGAATGTCGGTAAAAGGGCTTGAAGATCTCGGAGTAGCTGGTGTCCTCGCTGTCGTAGAAGAGGATGACAGAAGTTAAGGGCTCGTCTCCCGGAACCAGCACCGGCATGATATGAGTCTTAGGGTCGGAGATGTTGGATGCATACGTGGCCGCAGCCTGAATATTGTTAGCAAGGACTCCATTCCAAGTATTGATAGTTTCATGCCTTGAGGAATTGATCCACGTATTGCGCGGAAACGGTGTGGGAGCCAGCCAGACCTTGGCCGACTTAATAATCTCTAGGTCAAACCGAGTGACGATATCGAAGTTGCTGCTGCCTCCCTTCAGGGCCCAGAAGAGATCAGAAGAGTGGGTCTTGTTGGCTTCGACAACCGAGCCTTCGGCCAGGACGATTTCATAGTTGATCACCGTGTTGCAAGACCAGCCAACCTGGTTACCATAGAAGTTGACACCTCCGGCTAAGAGTAGACCGGGAACACAGACGGGGTCCAGACGGCCACCTGCCGCAGCGAAGCCGTAGGTACCGAGGTAGGCATAGACATCCTCCCATCTAGACTCGGTGTATACCTGTGAGATGGCCAAATCTTTTTGCCTTTTTTGAGATCTCACATAGCCACTCTATTTGACTATGTGTGTATTTGTATCTGTGAACGTCTACATAGTATGCCACTAGGCTAGAAGATCCACACATTTTATCCTGAGCCCTATGTAGGATATTTAACTGTAATTCCTGGTTGACAGTATCCCTGGATGCGCAGCACCACACTCAAGCTACTTCCCTTTGCACGAACAATCTAGAGTAACCATCGCCTTAATCATATTCTATGCCGAGGAACTCTAGGTAGTCGCTCTCCAGCTGCTCGCTGATTGGTCCAGGCGTATATATTATTGAGTTAAACCCGATGAGGAGATGCTGGCTCGAGGCCCTTCTGTACTATAAAGTTACAATATGCAAGTCAACGGTGAAATAGACGAGATTAAAAATAGCCAAACAAACATGGGAGCCCGAATATGAACGCCGTGAAAGAATGTCGGGTACCATTCGTGCACGCATCTATGAAAGCGGTTCTCGGTGTATAGTGAATTCCCCGGCTCTTAGGGCCGAAGTTCGGTCTTCATGGTCAAGTTTATCATTCGGGTTTTCTAAATGGGGCCAAAACTATGGAAGCTCATGACGAGAGGGAACATATAAAAGGAGCCATAATCGCCCAGTTTAACTTGGATCTTTATCTCAGAGTATTCATCTTTGCTATTAAAACGTTTACATACACCCATGCCTCTAGGTTCTTACACAATCTCTCACCATGACCAGCTCACTGTCAGATCTTACTTCAACCTTGACATCTGCACTGTCGAGCCTGCCACCCCCAGAGATGATCTGCGATGAGGAACGTATTCAGGCTCTGGAGGTAATATATCAGCTTCAGGCTGCATTGCAGACACCCACCGTGGCTATTCAGAAGTATTGCTTTGAGGTATGGCGACGATGCATCTAATTCTATTGCTGACCATTTACTGACTGTATATTTGACCAGCACTACGGCATCGTTGGAATCAGAGTCGCCCAGGGAATGGGTATCTTCGATGCCTTTGCCGCCTCTAACGGGGCGGAGATGACTCTGGCGGAGCTTTCGTCAAAGACCAAAGGAGACGAGAAGCTTCTGAGTATGTGTAGCAACCATTGAATAACACTCCTTGTTAAACCCACGCAACTAACCATAAAATAGAACGTATTCTGCGCCTCCTTTGCTCCCATACAATCTGCAAGGCATCCAGCAACGATACGTATCAACCTTTACCCATGGTGATGATGTTAGCAAATGGATCGGTGGCCGGTGATATGATCAAGCATTTGTAAGTCTACTTATCTCCTCACAATCTACCCTACACTAAAAGACAATACCAGCCACACAAATCTGCAAATTTCCGCCAGTCTCTTCACCTACTTTGAAAAGAATGGGTACAAGAACCCCGAAGATGCCTATGACGCGCCGTTCCAACTAGCTTACCACACAAAAGACCACTATTTCGACTGGTTGAGCAAGAACCCTGACACCCAAAGCGTATTTAACTCGGTGATGACCGAAGCGCAACGCCACCGGGGCGTAGACTGGTTCGATATCTACCCAGTGTCAGAAAAGCTTGCCGTATCTTCCGACCGGGTCACCCTGATCGATATAGGGGGTGGCATTGGCCATGATCTTAAAGCATTCAAGAAGAAATTCCCAGAATTGCCGGGCCAGCTTATTCTCCAGGAACTCCCGCAGGTTATCGAAGACATTAGAGAGCCGTTACCCGAGGGAATCAGCGCTGTCAAGCACAATATGTTTGAGCCACAGCCGATCGAAGGTGCCAAGGCATACTATATGAGGACGGTCCTCCATGACTGGCCTGACAAGCAGGCTCTTGAAGCCCTCATCCACATCCGTAAGGCAATGGCTAGTGACTCCCTTCTACTGATCAACGAGCATGTTATGCCTGATGGACCCAATGTCCCCCTTCTGTCTGCCACTTTGGATCTCCACATGATGGAGCTCTTTTCCGCTCTGGAGCGGACAGAGCAGGAATGGACGAGCTTACTGGAGAGAGCGGGGTTTCAGGTAGTGAAAGTCTGGAGGTCTCCGTCTGACTTCCGCAGCGCACTGTTTGAGGCTACCTTGGCGTGATGGATTTGGTGAGGATGGATGAAGATTAGCAACTTATGATGTATTGACTGCTGCTTTTTGTTTTGACATACAATAAACTTTGTCTTTCAGCGTACCGAGGTGACACTAATCAAAGCCGTTTGTCAACCCCTACGTTGTAATAGCCCTTGCGAGAGTAGAGATCATCATACAATGTTTGTCGAAGCCCAAGGTGTTGGCTCGCAAATAGTTGGATCTGAACTATAGGAGGGGATGCCTTTCAAAGCCAAGTTAAGGAGGAGTTATATAACAATTACGGGTTAGGCCGCAAAATTTTGGAAGCTTGAACAGGCGACCAGTGTATGCCACGCGCTGTGGAGACAGGTATTGAACAAGAACCGGGCCAACCCCTCTTCGTCCTTCCCAATTATGCATAATATTTCACCCGGATCTCGTCTTAACAGCTCACGTTTGAAGATCTCGATGGCCAAGGAAGCAGCTATGTTCGAGTTTGTCATGCTCTCACAATGCGGTCAAGATAGAAGGGTTTTGATTGCACTTATATGAACGCGGTAATTAGGACACTTGGTTGCCACTATCAATAGCCCCGGAATAATGCCCCTGTTTAATATGATTGTGGTGCGCTCCACAAACTTGTCCATGAGCGCTTCGTGGGCCGATAGCATGGCCACATATTCGGGGGTGTAGGATTTAGGGATGGACTCCTTGAAAAGACAGATTTTGATAGATACTATGTGAGAGAGATATTGTAGCTTGACTATGTCAGCACCGCACTGTTTCTTTAGACTGAGCTTGGCATATAACTGCTCGCAGAATGTTTTAAAATTCTCCTTATTCTGATGCTGAGACGATGCAAGGAGTGCTTCCCGCCTTTGGACTAGAACTAGATAGCTAAGCCTAGTCTCTGCACTAGAAAGTGATAAATAGAATGCCTTAATTTGACAAGCGGGTCAGGATTTGCTGTGCCTCTTGCAAGATTTGAGATACTGGGGGGAGGGATTACTACATAGCTCTTTATCACTAGCTCTCTATCAAGGACCAAGAGCAGACCACCTATACCAAAATTCGATGACTGTATATCCAGACTTACAAAAGCCTCAGCCAAAGGGTGGTCTATAGATTTGGATGCCGCTGTGAAGATGCTTTATGGCTCTATCATGCAGCCCCTGTAGCGGCTCTGATATGGTAACAAGCAAGCAGCATAGCAATGTAACTTCCTTGAACAGTGGGCCATGGGGTGCATGGCGTTTATTTAATAAGGCAAAGGATCGTGCTGACTGCTCTAGAGCAAATATGTGTTGAGGGTGATGCACGTTTTCTCTAGCTAATCGCATACTGCTTTCCTCCGTGTCCTCATGGACAGCAGCCAACATGTTAATGGCGTGATATACGGCAGAGTCTGCATGAAACATTGGCATGACCACTTTCTGCCATAAGACTGAGTCGAAAAACATTATGAAGCTGGAAATTGAATGATGCTGAAAATATAAAAAGCGGTGCTTTTCATCCGAGTTCATGACCCATGTAGGTGCATTCCAACATCAGGAAGATATGTAATTCCCCTTTTGTGAGGGAGTCGGCACATATCATATCCTTCGCATATACGGCCGGTAGATGTGCAATGCTTGCATCCGCTCTTGGAAATCCATCGCATTTAATATGACCAGCTCTGCCCCGTTGGATAGTCAGGTCTAGGCCATCTAGCTAAAAGGGGTCGATTTGGTGCTTACCGGTAGGTTCGGCATCTTGTTCTAGATCTCGGTCCTCGAGTCTTATGCCGGTTCAATCCTGGTTCTGTCTTTGTGAGAGCCATTGCTGCCAGGGAAGTTGGGTGGAAGGCTCAGCTGTTCTTATGTCGTAGCAAAACCTGAAATCCTGCTTTTGACGATAGCGAATCGGTAGTTTTTTCAGGTGTGAAGCGGTTAATAATATTGCAAGAATAATGAGTAGGGGTTGCACTGGATTAGTTTAGGGGGCTTTTCACCCTCGCTATTACTCGGTCAAAATTTTATCCTTGCTTCACTGGATAGGAAGCTAGGCAGCCCAGTACGAGCATGGTCATCTGTGAATCTGACACACACAATGTCTGCAAGAGCCTCAAAGCCTTGGGGTACAATTTTGGCCCCAATTATGATTCAGCTGCCTTGAGGGTGTTGATTAATGGTGGGAAATTCCGCTGGATTCGGGTTCTAAAATCTTGCCCACGAGAGCGAGTGGTACTAGATAGGTTAGCTTGAGATACTTTCGTGTATCTCGAATGGATCGATATCATGGGACTGGGTATGAGAGTCTCTACCCATTCCATGTATGTTGGGATCTTCGGATCTTCGCTGACATTGGAGCAAAGCTCTCTTAGCCCCTGCTGTAGCCCTAGTATGATCGGATCACACGGAAACATATTCATTGCTTTTATTGGAGGGAAATTGAAGCCAATCTCCACAATCCTGCAGATATTCCATATAGGCAGGTAATGAGGCGCACGCTGTCAAGCCTGGCTTCGAACAAACATAATTCTCGACAATGTGTGATTGTCCTGGACCAAAAAATGCGTATAAAATATCAACCGCGTATACATACGAATAATCCTACCTTATAACTAAGGTAGTCTATGGTTAGAAGTGCCTAGCAAGAAAATGGAACTACAAGGGTAGAGGTGAAATGAGAGCTTGATTGGGACACCATCACATGAATATCACGATATAATTGGAAGGGCGACGAAGAGAGAGAATAAGTATGAGGGTTTGTATAAAGTACATATATTGGGAACCGCAGAAATCGAACTTCATATACAAAATGAACACTGAAAGAGAATACAGTTACAGATCATTGTCTCGCTCTCTCGTCCGGCATTTTAACCCAGTATTCGCAAAGCTTATCGTGGACGACGCGCTTCCACCGTGTAAGTTGCTGTAGCTCTTCCCGTTTCTCCTCTACTGTGGTTTTGTTTCCCATCCCAAGATTGAAAGGCCGATACTCACGATCATAACCCAGTCGGTGGAGGACACTGGCGTGAATCTTGGCTTCCTCTGGCAATGGTCGTCGCAGGCCCCTTCCGTGCCACCGAGTCTCACGAACGTTCCCATCTGGTCCGACCTTTGGTCGCTTGATAGGGAGATATTCCATAACGCGCCAAAAGAGAGTCTCAACTCCTCTCCCGGAGTCATATCCTAGAGAGTCATGGATTTGAGCCCTCTCGGCGGCTTCCAAAATCTTGGGATCGTAGTCCTCTATCCTCGGATTGAAGCACCCGTGCCTTTTAAGCTGGATAGGGTCAAAGGTGAGCTCGGCCCAAATAGCCTCCTGTACCATCCACATAAGGGGTATCTGGCTGGGCCCTGGCTTTTCGGATGGCCATCCACCGCCAACATCGCTGTGATCTCCGGCGAAGTATACCTCCTCAAAATCTTGTACGCCTTCTTCTTTGTCTTCTTTCAGACTTTCTATCTTTTCTTCTCTCTTACCTTCTCCCTTTCCTTCTTCTTTTCCTTCTTGCTTGCTTTCTTCTTTACCTTCAAGCCGAGGACTGTGGGAGATAGCTGATTCCGCTTTTGCCGCCCATGTGCTGGTGCGACTGATCTTCGGCTTCTCGCCGAACAATTTCGGAGGTTTGAATAACACGGGCTGAAATTTGATCCGCTTCTCATCAATACTAACCGCGTGTCGCATAATCTTTGGACTGGGCCTGACTTCGATCTCCTTGTCGACCACGCGGCTGAACTCAGCGACGCTGTTGACGGTATCGAAGAGTCCGAGAAAATGAACTAGGCCAGGAGACCGGCACATCGTTTCTCGACACATCCGCAGAGATGCTTCTGTTTCTTTGATCTCCTGTTCAGACTCCGCAAACTTCCACCTGATGAAAGCGTCCCAAACAAAGGGGATCGTTTCTTCGTTATCGGCCGAGATTAGGCCGGCAAAGTCAAGCATTTCGTTGAGAAATCGAGCTGTGTAGGCGCCGCGAGAGAATCCAAAAAGATATATTCTGGATCCGGGGACCCATCGGCGGGCGAGAAAGCGATAGCCGGAGATGACATGGTCGTTAAATGATGTTGCGAGTGCTTGATCGACAATTCTGCTAGTTGGCAGGTTGGCCACGGCCTGGTATGCTAGACTGCTAAACGACGCCATGGTAACGTCTGTACCTATACCGGCTGCTGCGACTGAGATTGAGATCGTATGTTGTATCTTGGATGATCACCTACGTTGATAGTAACAATCTAGCTGCAGTCAGTATATAAGAAACACGACACAACCCCACTATAGAGATGACTTACATCTATTTTCCTTGGTTCGATCAAGCATGCGAAAGATCTTGAGAATATTGCTCTCGCCTCCATCTGCACGAAAAGTGTTTCCTGTGCCATCGAAGCACAGCACCAATTCTCGAGTGGGTAGGGTGGTTTTACCCTCGGATGGCTCAGTTTCTTTAGACATGGAGGTGATAGGTTCTGTACACAAGTTTCTTTGGTCAGTGGACGATGAGAGCATGGGAGACTCCATTTTAAGGCTGTCGTTTCGGGGCTGTGGAGACCATTCGGTCGATAACCCGGGCGATCGCCACACAGGTATGATGCTTTTCACCCGCCTTAAGTTGCATGCTCGGGGCGCCATGCATGGCTGAGTTTGCAGATCCGCGCATTAACCTCAATAGCCTTGCAGTAGCGCCCTGGACGCATCGGCGGTGACACCGTACACCGCAACACGGTGCCAGGGTTTGTGACGTTATTCGTTGGGTAGCCATAGGCCATCTGTAATCCCGCCGTGTATAGTATGGATGCCTGAGATTCTATCTTAAGAATGCCATTGTGCGCAAGGAACAGGATGATACAGGAACATCACGCAGCATAGCGTAGTTGTAAGATGAGTCAGGCAAGGGCTCAGTAGGTAGGCCAATAAATGCCATCAATTGCAAATATAATAATAGAGTTAGGCGTACTACTTGAGGGCTGCAGAGTGTGGCGGGCCCTAACATCGGACAAGGCCAGCCCTGCTGCGCATCTCTGATACGTCGCTAGACCTTTGATTCCTAGGACTAATTCGTCTTTTGCAAAGCAGGTAGTGACTCAAAACTGACTCACAGTAAGGCATCTCACTAGCGAGTTGCCCATAAGCTAAGGCTGCCTGTGTGTCTAGGATGGTGTGGCTGAGTGATGATGACTGGGCGTGGGTGATGTAAGATTACAGCGAGCGATGGGCTTTGGATATGATATGTCTCACGCAAGTAACGTCAAAAGTAACGCATATATTTACGTGTACGACCAACCTTCCCCAACGCCCCGAAATTATCCTGTTACGCTTCAATGCTGGACCCTTGGTAGTGTTGCCGCGAAAGGTCGGCGAATATTCACAGGCACACGCGAAGAGCAACTTGAATAGAAACTGCTACATCACCGATACATTGGAGGTACAAGGGAATCTTATTGCCACAGGAATCAATATATTGGACGTCCAGTAGCATCCAACGCTTTTCGGGTACCTATGATCAAGCCCTTTTATGACCGTATAAGACATCTAAACTAATTAATTCACGACCATCTCTCTACTGCATTTGGCACCATGATGCCGAGCACGAATGGTTTTGCCACAGTTGCAGCCGCTGCGTTATGCAAAGGTATGTATGATTCTGTTAGGATGACCTCTCGCAGCCGGGCTAATAGCACATTAATAAATAGGAGTTATGAGCTCCATTAAGATTGGACGAGGTTACGAGATGTCCTGTTGATAGGTGATCAGACCCCTGCGAGTAGCGAGGACTGCAGCATGTCTGTCCGGACGTCAGGCATTGATGCTTCTCCTTTATGTCCAAGGTCAGGCTGTCTTTGCGACTGCATGCGAGAGGCAGTTAGCCCAGGCAATCAGGAAGGCAACAAGAGCGAGTAGATCACATCATTACGCAATGAGAACTTTAAGCATTAGATGAATTTTCAGGACAACATTGAAGCCTTCAAGTTATGGTGTCTATGTACGTGGACCATCGAGATGCAGTACACGGGCCTTCACAACATATTAAGGTTAGCTTTCATCAGACGACCGATCAAGATAGTTGGTAGTCTTGCCCCTAGGCACGCGCTCGTGCATTCCTGCTCGTGTCAATTGCAAATGACCGGTAGACGTATTGGGGTTTTCAGGTAGATCAATAGTGAAGTGAGACTCCCTCTGCCTAGGAAACAGTCTGATTGCAAATCATCATGCTAATTTGTAATACGACGATTAGTCTGCTCTAAAAGGCATAAATTGATAAAGACAGGGGTAATCATAGGAAACAACCTCTTAAACCACTTTTGCGACACGTAATCATATGAAAGCTGCAACACCACCAACCCACCGACAAATCACCTAACACCACTACCACAAGACCACGCACACATGATATGCTAAACACTACACCCCCATCAATTGTAGGGTTCATAGTGAAACCCACTGCAGTTGCCATGATGTGAAAGCACTCTCACTTCCGGGACTAGCTAGATATGCCAGATCATCCTAGATGTGTCTCTTGCTTGGCGCCCTCCACAGCGCAGAGATACGATACCCTATCCTTCGTGTAGAACTCTACATCCACCTTGTTCCGCAAGCTCGCGTCCCCGCCATCCAAAGTCCCAGCTTTGATGACGGTTTTGTCGGCCATGATTTCTAGCTCCGTAAACAAACTGGACCCACACTTGCTGCAGAAGAAATGGCGGTTGATTTTACCCGATGCTCCAGTAACATCACAGAATGAAGGCTCCCCTGTAGTATTGGTTAGTCATATTATGCAACAACATAGAGGACAAGTAAATATACCTTTTGTCACTTGGAAGGAATCCCGGGGAACGATCGCGTTTGAGGTGAATGGGCCACCGGTCCACTACGAATCAGCGGTCATTTAAATATCCTACAGGCTTCATTGGAGATCGCAGATCATTTGCTAAGGACCGATGCCTGGGTCAAACAAATCACTTACCTTCTGGCAATCAACACAGTGGCACAAGGCTGTCACAAGAGGGTCGGCTGGGTTAAAATAATTTTAGTAACCTAGTTGCAGTATGATATACAGTTATGTTATGTATGGAGTACACACATGGCGATGTATATGCAATTGCACCGCACAGGCAGCTTCCGTTTAGAGGCATCGTGGGAGTGGTTTAAGTGTAAGAGTAAAATCTAAACACTTCCGATTGGATCAATATTGACATAGGTAGAGACTGAAAGAAGAAATCCTTTTCTCTGGAAGATCAATGGGCTATATTTATGCGTGATTAGAGGGTAGACGTCATTCCTCACTGCATGAAATGGGCGAAAGTCGGATATACACGGTTTCCCCAACCTCGGAACGTTGAATCTTAAATAATATCGGCGTCTGCTTGATGCTAAGCCCAATGACCAACAGGCCACTGACCCACATTTGAAGAGGCACGATCCGTTATCACGAAGCACAGACATCGACAGACCTATCGCATCCACAATTCGGCGTTTGGAGATTACGTGATCGCCGAATTTTGGTTCATTTCGAGGACATGCTGTCAATCCAAGGCTTTCACCGGGAGCTGCGGGGTAATACAAGCATCGTGGACAATTTGACGCTGCTATTGTATCTATTATATACAGATGTTGTTTGAGTGGCATCGTAGTTTGACCCTAATTCGTAGTGCTAAAAGAATCATGGACGAACCCCTTCGCACACCAGAAACGGGAACTGCATCGTCTTCTTTTCGACATCACCATTGCTTCCAGCATTTTCTTCCCATTCCCCGATATCTTTCTCTAGCTTCCACCCCACCCAGACCTTGACCTGCACAAATCCCGCCTCTTTCAGTAGATCCTCCATCCACTGACGGGGAATACCATGTCGCTCCACCCCCTCCAGCTTCGACGGGGGATGGAACTTGATCGCCTCAGGCCCAAAATCCTCAAAGTCCGTCAAGGCAATTCTGCCCCCAGGCTTAAGACAACCAAGGAGCATCCGAAGAAAGGGCCGAAGGTCCGGAATATGGTGCAGAACCAGGTGCGACAGGGCTAAATCGAACTTTCTCCGAGCTCCTGCAGGATTCTGCTCACCACTGGGCGGAAGAGCAGGGTCTTCAGGGTCCTCTAGCAACTTGCAAATCGGCAGGATATTTTTCGGGGTGTCAGGCTGCGTAGTCTTCCTCTTCAGCATCTCAATCATGCCCTCAGCTGTGTCAACGGCGACTATCTCGTGGACCAACGGTGCCACTCGCACACTCAGCAGGCCCGTCCCGCAGCCTACTTCGAGGACATCCAAGGTGGACTTCTTTTCGTCTGATAGCTTCTGAATGAGGGGTTGGAGCGTTTCGTACGCGAGGCGCGTCGCCTCTTGGACGGAAGGATTGTTATCCCAGTTGGCTGCTTCGGCATTGAAGCGCTCATTGCCTGTAGTACTTGGTAGGTTGGACATCCTGGTATGTATACTTGAAAGGTTTGTGAGAGACTTGCGTTGGTGGTCGGGTTATCAGATAGCTAACCTTCACCCGCTTGGTTGATCTTCGGTTCGGCTAATGCGGGGTTGGCGTGGGGAAATGGAGCCTTTCCTGATTGATCACATTAGTTGAATGCTGTATGGCTATGATTGGGAGGTTGAATGGGGTTGGTTATCCACTGGCCTGCTGTGATCTCCTTTCTCCTGAAGATGGTTGTTAATCCTCAGACTGCGCCCCCCTCCCCCCTAATATAGAAGCCCTTGCCCTAAGCGTTCACATCTATGAAGCGGGTATAAGAGCTTTTTGCCATCAATAAGCCTAAGTGGTGTTATCCAAACTCAATCGCCTGTTTCAACATGCCAGGGTTTGACAGTTCTTTGTCAGAGCTAGAGGCCAATATCGGACCGTCGGGGAGGCCGACCAGCCACCCATTCTTGCAGGCGAACTTCTAGAGTTCTGTATTGGTATGTTAGGCGATGGTATAAGGTCACCTCTGAATATCTAGTACTGCTTCAGCAATCCTTCAGGCAAGCTAATAAATTATGCAATGACTGTACGGGTAAAGATTCAAAGGCAGAATGCAGCACTAGTAATCTTCTCAGAGGTTGCTATACAGGGTACAATTATTAGCTAGGAATCTCATGTATGAAAACATGTAGCATAGGGAGAGAAAGGAAGAATAGAGCAGGTCATACAAAGCGAGATGCGGTCTATATCTCCCGGGAGGTTCTTGATAGGCGAACCCAAGGGAATTTGATATAATTTTGGTTGGAATTTCATAATGGAAGCCCACAAGCTTGAGACTCCTTGGCTCACAGATAGGCGAAGGCCTCTAAACACACCACTGGAAGCTGGTCAGATTGCAGTGTGAAGGTTAAACAACCGAGGTAAATAGATGAGAAACGGTCATATTAGTGCTATCTAGCGAGAACTGCAAGCATGGGAGAGGGGTTAGGAATATCCAACACGAAGCACGGATTCTCCTCCTGCCATGCTCTAGTATCACCTTATTAATATACTGGTACGCTCGTGTAGGAGCTGTGTGTATTTTAGCCAAGCTAGCAGTGCTAGGTGCTCTCCACTCTATATTATATGAATCTATCCTTGCACCCTCCTATCACATATGACCATAGGATTTGAAGGACAGGGCTTCCCGCCCGCTCAGCCGTACTCAAGCCATTTAATACACGTGGTCAGTGGGTAAAGAGTCCTCTAGTCAATTAAAATCTGAAACATGGGTGGCAAAGCCTTGAGTACGAATGCTGACCCTTTGCTATACAGGATTTGAGGACTATTGTAGTGCAGGCTAGATGGCCAGGGTGAGTCAAGCTATTAATAATAAAAGAATTGATCCTCTCATTGGCTCTTGTTTGTTGTTTTCTTATTCTATTTACTCCCATTGATCTTGGTACTAATATCATGTCTTTAAGTCACATGACAATGCACATAGCTGAATACCCAGCCAACAGATTGTGTTTTGAATCCAGGGGAAGGAGGGCAGAGTGAATCTATTCCGGCTACAAGGACGTAGCTTACTAAGTGCAGGAGTTACTCTGTTCACTATCTTACTGCATCCCTCATACAGGATTTCTAGAATGCTCAATAACAGTTGTTCTCTTCGGTAGTAATAAATCAGGGCGCTGGCTCAGGCTGGTAGGCTAAATAGAGTTGATACACAGGCAGGCTACAGGTCAGGCTGGTACAGGTAGACAGACACGACGTTGTTTAAGAAGCTACAACAGGGACCATGTCAAGCAGATAGATAAACAGTTGATGTCACATAATACAGCGCTCAGGTTGGGCAGAATCAGCGGGTCGGATAGCTGGCGAGCTAATGAGATCTTTCTTACAGTGGCAAATAGGAGGAGGACTATGTAATAAAAGCCTCTGCTCCTTTGGGCGCAGGGGACATGCCAATTTTTCCTTAATCTTTCCCTGAACTATCGCTTCGCTAGGGATTGGATATGACAGGCTAACGCTAGCTGTCTTTCAAATGATTGATAGAACATAATCTTTACTTTTACCAAACTGGGTGCACAGTCCTCTTGTTTTCTTTTATTATATTGATATCAAACTAGAGATAATAATAGAAAGCTTGGGAGGGAAAGACAATAAATTAGTTAGTAATGAAGTGTGCAGATTATCGTGTTGAGTGTAAAGAATATCTCCAAATTGTGAGCAACGTAAAAGGGTAAAAAGAAGTTGTGAACAGCAATACTTGACACTGAGAAAAGGCGTACAGGAAAGCTAAGCCACTCTTGGGGGAGAAGTTGAGGGGTATTGGATTGCCGGGCCATACCGTCTCATGGCATCCTCCGAGGTAGATTCCGGGCCCAAAATCCATTCGAAGCCTTTGTGAGCGCTTGACGGTGCTTGATAATCTGGAGGCTGGGGCTTACTGCATTGATCTGGTGATATTGTGCTATTTCCGGGGTCAATATTCCTGGTGAGGGATGGGTCCGTCTCCGATTGATCTGGATATGATCGTGGTCCTGGTCCATACTCAGGGTCATTAACCTGAGCACTAACTAGGAGCCGCTCGGTGATTAAGTCAAAGGTATAGTATAGATCCCTTAGACGATTCAACTGGTTTCGAATATCCGGGGAGATCACAGCAATTCGTGGGCTGCCAAGGATGTGCAAAGCACGTCTCAAAGCCCCGAAAGGAGCCCCATACCAGGGAACCGGTTGACTAAACATTTCATTTGCGGAGCTAGATACGGCCGGTGACAAATAATTCCGTAGAAAAACTCGTTTGTACAGACCTGCCTGCGATCCAGGGGGGATGGTGCCGTTCCGAATTTGGTGCTGGCAGTATTCTGCTGCCGATGGAACTCGTCCGGAAGTGTGCGGGGACTGCCATCTCTGGCGATACTCTAGCTCTTTTTGAATGAAAAACTCCAGGTTCGATGGGAAGAAAACAAATCCGGGGTCAATATCACAGTCAAACATTCGGTGGCAGTTCGGGCACAAAGTCACGCCGTTCTGGATCCCTTTGAGGTTGAAATCAATGAGTTTTCGTTCAGTAAGAAGAGCTGTCTAGTTCGATTACCATTAAGATTGTAGCCATAAATAATCAAACTTAGTATCACATACTGCTGTGTCGTGAGTCTGAATGACATGGACAGCATCAGGAGAAACAGAGCATTCGCAGGCAAAGCAAAGCCACTTGTACCATCGTTTTATTTCGGTCCTCGATGGTTCGGAGAAAGCGCCTGATGAGTTTCCTTCTGAGGCAGAAGAGGACATTTTCCGCTTTTTCGGGGATGGTCCCTGGAGCTGCGGGGGAGGAGGGGGTGGCTCAGTGAAGAGTCCATGGCTGTTAGAACTGGAGAGCTTACAGGTCAAAGTGAAAACCCAAAAGACGATACCTTATAAGCCTGGATGTAATGCAGTTCCGGAGAGGAAGGAACTAGTTCGTAGAGTAAGTGCGTGTGAGAGCCCGATTTCAATTTGCTGGTAGTGACCTGGAATCATGCTGGAGTTGTTGCTTTTAGTGATTCGTACATTCCAGAAATAGGCACTAGGCTTTCCCATATAACATGTATCCGTCTTAGGATGTTGTTTATGAGACGAGACCTGGGATTGACGAGTCGAGACGACGCGAGGATAGATGATGAGAACATGACATCTACACCCTTGTTTGTTGGGCACAATCTACGGTCAGCTGACCGTAGATAACTATAATTTGCAGTATAGGTAATGTAAGTACGGTTGCGGAGTGTACATTTTTGTTAGTTCCCTTACTGCTTTCCGTATTAGATTACTTGAGCCGTATAAGGCCGAGATTATTGCTCTATATCAGAACAGTAATCTCAGCCCTTCAATTCAAATTATTAACCAAAACCTAACCTATCCTATTTATACAGGAGAACTAAAGCACAACAGCCCTCATGTTAAAAACTTGAGCGCCCTTGTATAATAAGTAGGTCGGGGGGCCGCAGCACCTCACCCGGATTAACAGAGGCGTGGATGTATAAAAGTAGGTCTAGGCCTGTGAGCTCCTATATATTCATTATTATTTTTAGATAATTTAATATACATATATAAAGCTTATAGAGAATAATATACCTGCTCAACGATTTCTATCAGGGCTTTTTCTAACCCTTCAACGACTTACACTGAATCACTCACCTCCCCTAGTACATAGGGTATAGTACATATTCAAGCAGCGCTAGGGAACAGCTTTGTTAATGTCTCCATACTCCACATGAACAACTTCTGTCTGATAAACAAGTTGGATAATAGCCTTAGGGTATTGAGGACACGATTTGCAATACGATTTATCAAGCGTCGGTCATCTCTCACAACTATAGTCTGACTCTCCGTGACTGGATTATAGCGGTACTGTCATATGGGCTCGGTGAACCTATCCATGCCGATGGGCCTTATAGCAATCGCTTCGTGGAGAACTATTCCCTTTCAGCGGGGCCGTTCGAAAGCAGTGACGTATAAGACGAAAGATTCCGCCTGTGGAAGCATCATTGGTGATTCCATTTGGTGCACCAGGCATACTCGAAAAAAGCGAAATGCAGTAGAGCCAGTAGCTTTTTTGCCGACATAGAGCTCAGTCCGGAGATCCTGACAAGATATCGAAAAGTGCCCTGCAAGTCCGTTTGGGAAGTCTATAGTTTAAGTAAAACAGTTATCAAGCACTATAAACATTAATTGCTAGTTCTAGATAGACAATAGTAAACAATTTTTTAAGTGTGAATTCGAAGGCCTGTGTATAGTGCCTACTATACCGTATATAAAATCCAAAAAAGCAATGAGCACCGTAGTAGAGACTGGTGTTCAAAATGTAATAAATAAACTTGATCATGGTAAACGGTCGTGAGGAGGATCTTGTTCCCCTAGAGTTCTAGGCCCTGATTCGGGAGCTGGACCTTTATACTAGAACATATAACAAACTATCATCGCTAACATATCTCCCTGCAGAAGCAGAGAATTATAGAAATCTAGTTTCACACTAGAACACTGCTAGTCTACCAACCAAAGGAAATGTAGACTGTCCATAGCTCGAGCTGTTTGAATCCCGTAAGTGGCCATTAGTATCTCGTATAATGGAGAGAAAGAGATGACCCTGACCGTTCCACATCTACCAATTCATAGCATGTACTACATGAATGTAAGCCCGTAATATAATGGCTAACTGACTGTATCGTGCATATGTCAAACTTATCCACCATACACTGGGTCATTACGTTATGGCAAGATTCAGTACAATTAGCAAGTACAACCTGGAATGCCGTAGGAACAATAAGATGGTTGAATCATAGCACCAATATTGGTGCTGTTGAACCAGTTGTCCTCGCTTACGCCTTCCCCCTCCCCCCTTTACCTGTCCTTATTCTTTTCCTTCTTTTCTTTTCATTTTCTTTTTTGCTCTCCCCACCCCACCCCCCGGGCCGGACTACCCAATGTATGTTGTTGTGATGATTTTACCATGGCCAGCAGTCCACCAGCATTATATACAATTCCTCGGACCGTCCGTATATTTGGATTTTATCAATAGAAGCATTGCGGAAGGAATTCTCTGTGACGCCGTTGCAAGACGTGTGTGTGCTATCAACAGCCCGCAGCAGCAATCCCACTTCTTCAGGGCATGAATCTCTCGCACCAATGGCCACTCATTTTTGGTAATAGAAATGCTTGGGAGAAACTATTGGAGCGCTTAGCTTTTGCCTTTGCTTTAAAAAGGGAACTACTCTACCTAAACATGGTATGCCTAATCTTCAATGTTATAGAAAACAATAAGAGGTGCACCCGAAGCAGGGCACCTAGCAGCAGACAAGATTCATTTCAACTTCACCCTACGCATGTACTTCTGCTTTGGCATTATGACTGGGTAGCTGTTTATGCTATATTTGCCTTCTAGTAGGCGGGGCAGCTTAGACGTAGTTCGCTGGTTATGGCTGCAGCCCGTCGGACAGTCGGGCGGTCCTTAACATACCCCAGTTCGAACTGTTTCACCAACCTCTGCATAAAAGAATATCATTTTTCTCTGAGTACCACTCAAGTGACTATCCACCTTGCCCAATTTTGCGGAATTCTTCTAGTATTCCTAGATATTCAGTCTTCACCCATTCGAATCCACTGTGTTATAATTATAACATAGTACCATGGTTCAATATGCAGCACTCCAGCCAGCCACGTCCTGCCCTATGCTTGTTTGGGCATATTCAGAGCCACCCGTCATATAGCGGAGGTGTAGTGAACCGAGCAAATCAGTGCCATTGGAGCACTGCTTCTGGCCCGCTGGTTTCTGATTTTCCTTCTACAAAAGTACGATTCTTGAGTGCATAGCAGCCTGGCCAGACGCTCCCTACTCATCCTATGATATGATGCGGGATTTATGTAGGATGTTGACTATGAAGGTGCGGAGAGTGTGGGTTAGCTATCCTTTTGGATCGTATCTGCAGTGTGGTGACTGCGACCGTGGGAAACAATCCCTCAAGTGAATACGCAAGGCGATTGGATATTTGACGCCCAGGTAATGGGGAAGGTGACTCAGGTCTCTGAGCTGATCAAGACATATAATTGTCCAGTATTCTACAGCCAAACGAGGGCTTCTTGGTATCATCTACACAATTTTCCAGCATCAACCCACAGCAAGCATCATGTGTCCTCTCAACGATACACCTGGATAACCAGGAAGTTGTTCAAGTGAGTGAGCTCTATCCTCGAATAAGCGCCGGGGATATTACGGACAAATGCAAACCTTTCCAGGAACTGGCTATTGTCAACTGCAGTACCGGAAAGCATCTCAACGTTGCCGATGGACGTGCGGTTACTATCCCAGCCCCCTCCATCGACAATCGCGACAACCATCGGCCGATCGAAGGTCTGACCAGTGTTGGGAAGGTAGACCAAGGCCTGCACGCTTTCATCGATGGAGTGGTCTGACGAAGCTATCCATGCAAGCGATGGGAGCCCCATCCCGATTACTCAGTGGATAATCACCCCCAAGGAAGACAATGCGGAAAGTCTTCCACATCGCCTATGCGAAGAGTGGGACGTGTCTCAAGGATGCCGGGGCCGAATCCGAAACTGTACCTTTCCCGATTTTAACCGATTTTCTTCCCAGCGGTGGTGGTCCCGAATCCGAGAGCACTCATTTGTGGCGACTTGTTGCGCTGATGGCTCGTGGGCCAGCAGCAGCGGCCAACCTCACGTCGATCGGTGACAAACAGTTCAGCAAGTTCGCAAGACCAGCCATGGAGCTTCTTATCAGCCAATGGGAAGAAAGCACCATCTCCAATAACCCCAAGAAGTCCACATACCAAGTGGTGTCTATCGACCAAAATGGCATTAACACTCTGAAGAAGAGCGGCCACAATCTCAGCAAAAAGCGACGAGGTGACTCTCTTAAACGGTGGGGTTCGAATTGGCCGTCAAGGCTGGATCCAGAAAGGAAAGAAAGGGCCCTCTTTCGTGAATATGCAAGGTCAAGTAGCTAAAAAGTCTGTGTGGCAAGTTAATGTCCAAACCGGTCATGCATTTGGTGCGGGTGAGATAAAGAAAAAGTTGATAGAGAGTATGGACAGTAAGCCGCCAAAAGAGATCCGGTACGAGGCGTCAAAGTAGCTCTGGCTGGAGCGGCACAGCCGCAATGATCATCCTGGAATCGTCATGTCATGTTGGTTTTTACCTGCAGATCCTGTTCACTTCAGAGTATATAAGTCACTAGCTTGAGATTTATATCATTCAATAAACCATTGTCCTTGAGACATCCCGTACATAGCCGAAACAATGTCCAGTAAGGATAAATACTTCAACCAGACTCCTTCAATCCCTCTGCGGCGGCCACATATGAACAAATGATCACTTCGATAAAGATGAAGCTCTCCGACTGGCCGCCAACGTTGACAACGGAATGAGATATTTCCTGACGATACGGCCCAGTGGGGCCACGAGTTTGATTTTGCAACTGATGTTTACGGGAAACCAGACGTTCCCGAGTCAACTGCTTCAATGATGACGGTCTGTTCAGTACTAATTCCCTAGCCACTAGAAAAGTCGACCCATGCCAGATATATGTTCCTGGATAGAGAAACACTACCGTGGCTCCCGCGGATAAGAGATTGGAATACTCAGTTTTGTTCTTCTTTCAACAACCATGAAAAAGCAATCATTGAAATGGACGTCTCTCGCGAATGGCTATATTAGCGATGTTATGGCTATTGTGCACGAATTTATCCTCAGGGCTCTAATTCTGGCCAGCCCTGATGCCCGCGTATGCCACAATTTGCGATCTATTCTACTGGAAAATCTCCTAGAAAGGTACAAAAAGGCAGTTGATGAAGTCGCATTTCTCTATGATGAGTGATCAGACACCTCGATGACATTGAATCACTATCTCAGCGATTCTCTTGAGGAATGGTATTGTTGCGGAGGATGAGCCTCTTGTAGGTTGCTGCTTTATGGGTGAGGACCGCTAAATCACAGTGACTCGATGGGTGATCGTTAAGACCCAGGATGTTGGTCACCAAGACGCTGGGGCTAGGTCTGTTGGGCCACCCGTATTTATCCGCATATCCTTTTAGGGCCCGCTGGAACAACTCTTCCGCCTCGTTAATCCTCTTTTGCTCAAGGCGCAGAAGCCCCAAATCATCCTTTGTGTTGAGCGTTGAAATATGATCCTTGCCAAACCTAGTCCTTTTCGCTTGCAGTGCTAGCAAGTACATACTCTCTGACTGCTCGAATTTCTTCAATTTCCGGCACACAATGCCCAGATTGTGAGCTATTGTAAGCAGTGGGTGAGTATCCTGCAGGGATAACTTCCGATACCCCTGTAGAGCGCGAGTGTACGTGTCCTTAGATTTCTCTACCTTTCCCTGTACTCTGTACAGGTTGACCAAGTTGTGTAGCGAAGCAAGGGTGGATATGTGGATAGGACCGAACATTGGGCTTGTTTCGTAGGCATCTAAAACTATTTTCAACAACTCCTCTGCCTCACTGAGCTTGCTGATATCTTTGAAGAGCTTGCCAATTGAGTTTATCGGATCGAAACTTGACAGATATAAGGATCAATTCGCATGCCGGAGAAGGCGCTGCTGTACAGCCCAATATTTGGGGCCGTTCCTTGAAGGTATGTGGCTACCCACGCATGTCACCGCTAGCTTCGCCAGTTCAAAATACTATTCACGGTCCAGGACATGAACGGTCCACGAGTGCACGCAGCTATGCATGGTATACCCTCTTGACTCCTTAATTTCACTATTGGTGGAAGAAGTGGCCTCTGCTAGGGTATGACTACACAGCTTTCTCATTGTATCGTGAAAGTTGATTTTGATCTTCAGTAATCTCCCGAAGCCAATCTGGCGCATGTCCGCTTTCATTCTTGAGAAGCTCGAACCATATGACTTGGTTGTCAAAGTATGCCCACAGCTTTAGTAACATTGCAAAGCCTGTATTCTGTTGTCTGATATGATCTAGTGAAATATCCCTCGTTGAATAGAGTGTCTTCTCATATGAAAAGCAGTCGGGGTGTTTTAATTTGCAGACGAAGCCATGTCTCGCGGTAGTTCCGAAAATACTCAGCGAAACTTATGGAAACCTGGTCAAGGTAGGCACCAGCTGTCGCAAGAGCAAGTGGAAGACCATCTAGGTGGCGGACACGCTCCAAGGCATCAGGATCTGTCACTATAATCAGCAAATATTCTATTATTGACTTTTGCTGACAACCCGCTTTCTAGTTTCTCCCGCCCCGAAGTATATGAAAGAATTTAGAGGCTCTGCTCTAAGTCCTGGAACTTTTTGATAGGGATCTGATGGCCGATCTTGAGTTGAGATGATCTCCTCGTGATAATTACAGCACCATGATCAATCTGAGGCATGAAATGCTTCATAGAAAATGTATGACGATTATTGCCTCCCGACATCTTTGGCAAGTCGTGGTTATCATATACGAGCAACCACTTTTTATTCGTGGGCCTATTGAGCCATTCTTGAACAGCTTTGACCGCTTTGTCCATGATTTTCAGTATCGGAGATTAGCCTAAAGTGGGTTAGATGGGGAAAACCACAAAAGATACGCCGTGCAGCAGTTAAGAAGCTCTGTTTCAGTGTATCTATGTTCTTGCAATTGAGCCAAAATGCCCCTGAATAACAAGCTGCGTATTGTCTGGCATATGTGGCAGCAAGTTGGGTTTTCCCTATACCGCATAGGCCGTGCAATATCAGACTTGGGATGCATTTCACAGTCTCGAAGTTGCCTGACCACCTCTGCTAGCTCCTCATCTCTGCCGACGAAGCACTCGGCCTCCGGTATTTCACCCAAGCTGAAGCTGATTTTGAATGATTCCGTTGGTCCTTCAATAAAAGTAAGAACTAGCCGCCAAATTGTTTAGTAAGGCTCTTTACCTTTTATTATAGCCAACTCACTAACCGCTTGGGTCTGGGACTAGAGAAAGTAGTTCTTTAGCGGTCGCTGCAGCCACAGCAGTAGCATGCCCTTGCCAATTCTTATTCTTGTGAGAATCCGCGTAGTCACAAATGCCCCCGATGACGATGCATGGAAAATCGTTCATTAGTCCAGCTGCTCCCACCTCAACACAAAGAACATGACCTCCAAGATCCTTATTGAGCTTGTCTCTGAAGAGGGCATCCTTAATGACCTAGTTCCCTGATGCAATCAGACCATAGTGTACGCGCATATCTCTGGGCTCACTCTTGACTATCATAGTTTTATCGCAGAAGCGGCAGTTCCTTCCTTGCTCTTTAGCATCATCTTCTGCTTCTCTTCCTGTATTGCAATCCTCAGTGCCTTCATGGATATGGCCTTGCTCTGGTCTGTACAGCACATCTTCACAAACGCTGGTTTTTGTCTGGCAGCCGCTCGCAGATTCGGGAGTTTAGTTTTGAGAATGAGAGATTTATTTCGCTGGGAACAATACACCCCCTGCACCAACAATGCTGAGTTCCATCGCTTCAATAGTCGATAGTTCCTAGAGCTGGTGAGGTGAAAGAAAGGATCTCTGGATACTTGTCACTCGGATCAGTAAGTTATTAGAATATTAGCACAAACCGTGTCCCATTACAATTGCCTTAAACAAACTGCAGAAATCGGTTTGAAATTACTTCGAAAATTCTTTCACTGGGTAGAAGCCGATCCGACCCCAGCTTGCTTCTGGTCAGAGTTTTACTATTCACACTATATAGCTTCATCTACATACTGTTTGTCTTTATAACCTGCTGTGTACTACCTAAATAAAAACTTGGGGAAACCGCCGAATTGTTGAATAACGGCTATGATGATGAAGCTTTAACTGAGAGCCAGATATCAAGTCTAACTCCTGATCTATTAATTCTGTCTACATTTACCCAGCCAGAACTCAATATATTTCTCGATATCCCTAAGGTTGAGATTAATCCTTCTGAATCTGCACCACAATCATTATCTTACCCAACAGCTTTAGCTACTGCTGGTTCTTCGATCATATCATGTACCTCCCAAAATTCTTCACCGACAACAATCTCGCCTACAACCAAGGAAGCATGGTTCTGGGTTTATTTTAGCAAGCATGAGGTTTGCCGAGAGTGGTATACAAAAAAAAAAAAAAACAGAAGTTGATAGATATGGATATTCAATGCTCTATAGTAGATCAAGATACTGGCAAACAATGTAGCTAGACTACAATACATTCAAAGAAGCAGGGTTCTACAAGAAACCTGGCCCTTTATCTCTTACGGAAGCATTCTATCTATCCTCCTGGTTTTTCAGTCCCAGGCCCAGTTAAAACACATCAGGGACTTTCTCTAACTTGTGGGCAAAGGAGAAGAGAACTTGCGAACAACAGTTAGAAAGGGACATCCTTCGCTGGGTTGTTGTCGATAAAGAACCATTTACCATAATTAAGTCTCCAGAATTCCGGCAGATTTTCCGTAATATCCGCGGGATTACACTTCCATTTACATCCCGACATACCCTCCAGCAGCGGCTTATGGATGACTTTAACCTACAACGTGCTCAATTAAAGGAGGAATTTAGGATATCTTGCAAAACAATCGCTATATCTCTTGATATTTGAACAAGCCAAAACCACCTCCCATTCCAAGGTATAATCGGGCACTAGCTTACAGAGCGTTTTGATTACCAAGAGAAAGCTCTTGAATTACAGGCTCGCTTTAGATCTCAGGTTGTGTATACGGTGTGACAGGACGAGGAGCTTCGGTAAAAGTTGTATCTGCGGAAGAGATAAAGGATGTCTCGGATGGGTTCTGAGCCATGGGCGCTGGTCGTGGAAGGAGAGTACGCGGGGGTGCCAGTAGAAAATGATGTGTTTAGATGCATAAAAAGATTGCGTACTAGCATAAGTCTAAGTGGTGGAATAGTCAGCATGTACGCTCATCGCAACCGATCACACCCTCACCAAAGCTTCATAAAGATACCCCTATCTGGCGGCCTCACATAACAGTCTTGCCAGCCTCCAACCCCATACACGGACACATAGAGCGAATGTCACAGTCCGCTCCAGGAGAGCCTTCGTCCATCCCACATGCTCTGTTGTAAAGCCAGCCATACGTTCAAACTCGTTCTCACCCATCAACAGCTTCTTGCCTTCTATATAGCCCTCCAGTGACGCACAGCCTAGGCCCCTCAAACTTCTTCTTGATACCCTCCAGAGACTACTCGGCATTTTGAATAAACCGTTCAAACTGCGGGCTTCCACCGGCAGAGTAACTTTCAAACGCCTGACAAGACTGATTCCATCCGCATTGTATACACTCCCTCCAAGATGCCATACCGTAATCGAACCACTCGTTATAGGTCCTCGGCACCAGAAGAGGTCGTTTAGAACTATACTATAGATGGTGCTCTGTTAGGTAAAGGCGGCACCTGAGCAGCAAAGAATTTAATTCATACACCACAAGGCTTAAATATACAACGAAAACCAGCAATGCATAAATCCAAGTAGGCAGCAAAGCTACAAACGATGTCAAATAGCATAAGATAAAGAGACGGTGTCACGAGGCTTAAAACAAGCAATCAAAAAAGCTTAACGTTCTCAAGAATATCCGCCAATCCATTCTCATCCTCGACCTTCACCGGAGAGACAGGATATGCGCCGGGGAGCCGAGGAAAGAGGACGCGGCCTTTGGGTGTTGACATACTCTCGGCGGGGGTCCAGTAGACCTCGGGCGACACGGACGGCGATGCAGCCGGTATGATCAAACGCTGTCCCAAGATTGGCTTTCCGTTTCGCGAGCGTTCAATTGGGGTCGGGGTGGGAGGATCGCTGTAGTCATCATCGGGCGCTCCAGGCGCAGAGCTTGAAGGAGAAAGTCCAGGCACCGATTCCGCATCGTCGTCGAGGTTGAGGTCCTCTCCAGTCACGATAACATTGTCGACAACAGACTTGCCCGAAGTATTTGGCTCCGTATGGGACACTTTTTCATCCCATAATTGAACCCATTTTTGAGCCCATTTGTACCATCTGTCTGGATCTGAAGAGAACCCTGGAACTGGAACAGACACTTGGGATCGCTTCTCGTGGCTCTGGAGGCCCTTTGAAAACTGGCACCAAACTTTAACACGTTGGTAGATATCATCGATATCAGTTTTAAACCATTCTGTGTGAGTCACGTTGCACTTGAGACATTCATGCTTGTATCGATGCCGACTGAATTCCAGCTGCACCACCCTTTCGAATACCTCCGCGTTTGGACAATAGAGGGACCATCGTTGCGTAAGATTAGGATAGCACTTCTCATGTTCAGAAGCCCTTCGCGAGAGATCGTAAGTGCGCCCGAGCTTGCACATGCCTTCCGCCTCTTCACACTCAAAGATGTATAAATAATCTCTCTCATGTTTCCAATCGTGCGTAATGATTTTTTGACCTATATTGCGGTCCACCATCCGATCAAGTTCGTGGGAGAGCGCATCCGCGACGGGTTTGTCGATGTTGGTCTTTTGATAAGGCGTGAACTTCAACTTGGAACTTCCTTTGTCATCATTTGACTGTGCATTGACATTTCTCGGCGGTGTTTCTAGACTAACAGCCGCACCGTCTTGCGGCTGAAGCTCGAAGTTCCACTGGTGCACAGCTGCTTCTATGACTCCATCTACTCTGGTTTGATGCCCGCAGATAGTAAGCTTGGCCAACTTCCTTAACATCTCTTCTCTCCTTTCATCATTATTCGTAGTCTCGTAGCTGATCTGAAGCCTTGCGTGCAATCTGTTGATCTCAGGGATATTATGCGATTGCACCATCGACGTGCAGCGTTTTCCATTGTTCTTGTGTGCGGCACATTCGGCGGTATATTCGGGGAGCGAGGGCGATAAATGACGAAATGGAATAAAATATCTCTCTTTTGCCGGCATATCTGCCTACCTTGGCTGAATGCCTCCAATTTTGCCCAGTGGACGATAGGGCCTGGGGTTCACATTGCTTATCATATGGCCGCTCAGCCCCCAAACCAAAAGCAGTCCCGGGGATCCGGGAGCAAGAAATGCGCCCAGCGACCCCTGCAGCGCCGGCATCAACAAACCGCTCTCAATTTTTGCCAAAGGATTGTACCCCTGGTTAGGGTGAGAACCTGCGAGTCATGTCCATTTTCAAGAAATATGATTGGCCCGGGGAAACGAGAGAGCTGCCGCCGGCCCGTTCCAGCGGGCGTGGTGGATACGACGAGCTACTTTGATCTCAGGGGGCTGGGACTGGCCGATCTGTCGGATTTGTTCACGAGGACAGGGTGGAGCCGATATCGGCGAGGGGAAGGTGACATTTGATTAGCTGAGCTATATATTCCGTGGGTCTGTTTCTGGAGCTCTGCTCTCAATGACAAATACTCTTGATTGCGGTCTGAGCCTCTGAGACATCGAAAGGTGTGATAAACACAGCCTTATGTCATATAAGCTTCGAAAAGAATAGTGAGAACAAGATATGAACTGAGAGTATTTAATAATGTTTACCTACAATTGCAATAGCCAAACCTAGAATGAGATGTGAAGATGACCTGACAGAGGCAATGTCTACACACGGATGGATGGATGGATGGTTTCATTTACCCTGACCCCTCGCAAATTTTAAAGTGATATGCAGGCTACCACAACTATATATATATCCTTGTATGTACATGTAGACTGTGCCACTTCCTGAAAACGAACTTAGAGCCTCGTCACGGCCTATCATGGCCTAATTGTCGTTCTCGCTGTTAGGCTGTCCTCTTGGCGCGTGACTCCGGAACTGTTGTGATGCCTCTGCAAAGTCCAGCACTGCTTCAATTGTACTGGCTCGCGAGGCAGTATCTACTTGCCTTTTCTTACCTTCATTATCTTCTAGCAGTACCGATATGCTGTTAAACGTGTCCCTGACTTTCTTCCGGAGCTCTTGCCGAGGTATCTTTAACAATGGGCAGTCTACCAAGACGTGGACTACTGTTTCCTGTGCGTCACATGTGCACTGATCGTCAACTTGAAACCTGTAGTTCTTCCTATATGTTGATAGCCAGGAGTGGCCCGCCGCATTTGTACCAGCAGGTAAGCTCGGTTTCTTCGTAGTGGACCATACAGCCGTCTTATATAAGCGGCAGGTAGCGTACTGTCGATCTTGCGAAGATGACTCCCTTTCTTGGATGCTCTCCACTCCTGGTCCCACTGGCAACGGATGTGGTTACGAATGGATATCTTCTCTCTTGATAAGAGAGGTCGAAATGGGTGTGTCTTGCGTGGAATTGCTGCTTCCTTGGCCAACCGATCTGCTGCGTCATTTCCCGGGTCGTCGCAATGTCCAGGTATCCACTGAAGGTGGAATGTAACCCCTCTTGCTCTAGCTTCTGCGGCTGCCTAAGGACAGCATAGGTGATTCGTTGTCCTGGTTTGTTCCCTGGGTTTTGAACCGCTTGCAGAGCAGATATGCTGTCGCAAAGGATTGTAGCCGATAGCAGATATCTAGTTGTTGTTCTCCGGGTTTGATGAGCAAGTTTAACCACTAAGCTGATCGCATGGAATATGCCGATCAGCTCGGCGGCGCAATGTCTACACACTTTCCGGAAGCCGGTGTCACCCCTTATACTCTTTGGTTGTCGTCCAAACCCTAATGCCAAGAAACACTAAACTTAGTAATAGGCCCAAAATTACAGTTACAGTAAATTTTGTACTATACAGCACAGTCACAGACAATGACCAGTCTTCGTATACATTTCCTGTCTCAATGATACGATACATATGTACCTTAATACTCCACTTTTGTTCCTGCACCAAGAACACAGAAGATCATCACATCTCCAACCACAGAGGATAGCACATGATGGCACCCAATCTAGCGCAGTCAACGCTCGAGCTTATTCATGATATGATCAGTAGTGGTGAACTCACCGTATCTCAGATGGCTGAAGCTGCTGGCTGTAGCAAGCGTGCAATCATCAGAATTCGTTCCTAACCTACTCTTGTTTGGAAGTATCAAAGCGCCCCCGGCCAAATGTGGACGACCAAAAAGTATTACGCCAATAATGCTGGAGGCCCTTTGTGATCATCTACTTGAAAAGCCTGATTTATATCTAGATGAAATGGAACTTTTCCTCCTAGACGAGCTCGAAGTCCATATACCGAAATCCACTATCTCCAATACTCTTCATCAAAAGGAATGGTCAAAGAAGACAGCCCGGCAAAAAGCAAAAGAGCGAAATTCAAATTTACATAATGAATATTATCATAAAATCTCAGAGTTTTCCTCATACCACCTTGTTTATGTAGATGAATCCGGATGTGATAAACGGATAGGCTTCAGAAAAACAGGCTGGTCTCCTCTTGGTACAGCACCAGTCCAAGTATCTAAATTCCATCGGGATCAGCGATATCAGATACTACCTGCATATGCCCAAGATGGTATTATTCTTTCTCGCGTCTTCCAAGGTTTGACGGACGCTTCTGTCTTTGAGGATTTTATCGGAGAGCTTCTCCAGCATTGTGGAAGATGGCCCGAACCAAAATCCGTCCTGGTCATGGATAACGCATCTTTTCATCACTCCAAACGGATAGATCAAATGTGTTCACAAACAGGAGTGAAGCTTATATATTTACCACCGTACTGACCAGACCTGAATCCAATGGAAGAGTTCTTTGCTGAGCTAAAAGCCTTTATTTGGCGCCATTGGAAGTCCTATGAAGACAACCCCAGTCAAGGATTCAATACCTTTCTTGAATGGTGTATTGAGGTTATGGGTGCAAGGGAAGGGAGTGCAAAAGGGCATTTCCGGAACGCTGGCATAGCTGTTGAAGAAAAATGATATATATAATAGTGACTTATACCACAAATTAATTGCATCACTTCTCAGCCCAACACCTTGCAATAAATAAACTTCTCTTACTATAATTTGGTGCTTAGGAGGAGGATCAGGTGTATAATGAGGATCTACGGCTCACATGAGGGCTCTGCTGCTATGACTATAGGCTAAAAGCTGAAAAGTACATGCAAACCTTCATGATACACGTATAACCTTCTTCACATCAAATCTATCCTGTGTATTCCTCGAATTGTTCCAAGGCAGCACATATCCCCGTTGGTTGCTCACAACTCTTATCTCCCCCTCCTTAAAATCAGTGGTATAATGTGTGTGCCCGAACACCCAGACTTTCACCCCATCTGGCGTCTGTGATAGGATATCAGTCCCAAAGGCAACACTCCAAGGGTTCTGGGCGTGTTGCGGGCTCGACGTCCTTTGAAGTAGAGGAGCGTGATGTGTGACAACAAGAATAGACTTTTTTTTACTCCGCTTTTCTGCCTTTCCATTTTCCTGGTGTATCGAACGTATCTCTTTCAGTAGCCACGCGAGATCTGAATCATGGTTTGCATTATGATCATCAACTGACCAGCCCTCGATTTTTTGGAAATCTTTGACCTTCGACTGGACGATATCCCTCGATTCATGAGGCACTTTTGACCAAAGCGTACAGCCTAGAATAGTGACACAAGAACCCGGGACATCATATCGTTTCTGATGAAGAACAATTAATCGACCTTTTAAGGAAGGTTCCTGTTCAAGTTGTCTAGCCTTTTCCAGCCCTGCCGCGAAAGTCCCATTGTAGAACTCATGATTTCCAAGTATGAGAAATACCAATTTGAATCGGTCTGTCTGCTTTTGTAGGAAATTGCGATAATCATCATAGTCCGCTAAGCGCCCAATATCACCTGCAAGGATAAGATGTTCCGCACAAACTGGAATGTCATAAAGAGGATACTGAAGGTTAATCTCAAGATGGAGGTCAGAGAGAACCTGAAAGGACATAGAAGCCCGACTTAAGAAAGACCGTACTTTTTGGAGCATTATGTACTCTAAAGTGCTGTAATCTTAGTTGAAGCAGCAGGTGTAGCTATCAAGAGGGAATACATTTGGAGATTGGGCGTATGATCATAGCAATTTGCACATTCAGATTGAAAGAAGCAATGTTCTGCCTTTTAAGAGGGGAATCACTAATACGGATTTGGTTAGAGCAGACAGTATTACCCAATAGTGTATCGTATATTGCTTAATAACAAGCTTTCCTACCGCTATAACAAAACTACGTGAGTTTTGAGGTCAATCAGGTTATCCAAGCCTCTGTGCAACTAGGTGTAACATGGTTGTATGTAGTATAATAGGTGCAACGGGCTTGGACCCTTTTGAGAAGATTGTTCAGACAACAGTTGTAGATAAGTCTGTTAAAAATAATTCTCGCAGTTAAGAGTGAATAAATTTTCTACCATTCTTCTCTTATCCATGATCGTTGGAACAACAATGTATATTTAGTGGCGTGACTTGGCTATATAAGGTCCAAAAAATACAAAATTTAACTCCACATGCTTTAGCAACCTCCACTATGTCCACAATGCTTAACCCAACCTTTGATGTCACTAACAAACCGGCACGTGACACCAACTATCACTCCCCGCCTGACAAAGAAGTCCGGACTTTCATTAGAAATCTGTATAAGGTCGAGGCCATTTTCTAATGCTATGTCACGTGCTTTCATAGTATGATCTTTGTAAATCTCACGGTTCACTCGTGACAGGTGCCAATCAGCATATTCTTCCACTGCTTCGTCGAGGAGCCCAGGAATATCAGTAGAATCAATACAGTTGGTACTTGAATTCAGGTGCTCAGTCACACCCGACATCCCAGTTACAGCTTGCGAAGGCTGTGCAGGGAGGACATTGATGTTGATTGGTGGACACGTTGATCCACTTGTAGAATGCCTTGGAGTCTTCTGTTGCTTGTCAAGACGCTGTGCCTCTGCATATAGCTGTTCACGAACATCATCAGGAATATCATCGTGAGTTTCTAAAATGCCTCCTCCCTCAACGAATTTGACAAGCTTCCTCAGGTGGTGTGTTCTGAGTTTATAATGTTTTTTTCCCAACAGGGTCCTGCCAGTAGTACTGTCCTTCCTGGCGGCACGGTGGCCCAGGACAACCCATTGTTTTTATACACATCTCGCCAAACTGAAGGTTGCCAGAAGCCTGCTCAGCATCAATCCGAGCGTCTCTCTCAGCAAGCATTCTCTTGGTTACCGATGCAGTTCCTCTTTTATCTCCGGTTCTCAACAGAGGCTGGTCACTGTCCTCTATATAATTAATAGATATGTAGAGTTTAAGTTTCTTGCCAAGATGACACAGGTTTCCCTACATTAGAAGCTGCTGTTCTGTAGGTGTCCAATCAACATCAGTATCATCAAAACGCTTCTTCAGATCAGATTGTGAACGGTCATTTACAGATACTTTAACTGTAGTATCGTCAGATCGCACCCGATGGTTAGGGCGTATTTTTCGACGCAAGATTTTTTCAGCGGTTTGTTTTATCCGCTGCCATTGTGAACTGGGTGCTAAAACCATGTCTTGTTCAGTTTCCTTTGACACAGTTCGGTTGTTCAAAACTACCCTCCACTCAATCATATCATGAATACAGGTTGTGGGCTGTTCTTCACATGGTCTTCCATTTCTCTGTTCAGGCTCTTGGAAACCAAAATGATTGTTCGGTTGAGATTGACGCAAGGGGGTAGAAGATTCATCAAGTATACGTTCGGGAGAAGGGCAAGATACAGACGGCGTACGTTCACGGCCGAAGTCACCAGGGGTGGGGGCATACGATGGAGTCTGTATCCATGGATCCGGAGGCTGAAATTGAGAGGCATCATTATCGTAAAAGGGACTAAACTTCATCCTCTCAACACAATATATAGACTAGGGTCTCTTGGCAATAGGGTTCGAAAGACAATCAAAGAGTATGAGGGGTGACACCGGTTTCCGGAAAGTGTGTATGATAAACACACCTTCCAAGGATTTGGTGGTTTCCTTGAATAGGAAGTTCGTGCGTTTGTTTCAAGGATGTAGAGTGCGGAATATCATTTTCGCCATGCTGGTCTAATAATAAACAAATTTTGAAATCTATTAACCCCTTGCATAAGGAATGTACTCTGTAAAGACAATAGCATGTTAATGCTCGAACTAATTATTTCAATCAGACAGTATGTAAGTCTATTCTTGGAATCTTACTACACGGGATCTCATTAGACGCTTCAGGGCTGAGAAGGGAAACAAGTTCAGGGTCCAGTCAACTGAATGAATCCGTCAGATTGCTAAACCCTGCCTTCCAGGCAGCAACATTTTCGCCCAGGTATTGTGGGTATATCATCCTGCCAAGCGCGCCGGTGCTTGGAGTGATGGACTAAGTAGCTGATCAAAAGTCAAAAACTACAAGATAGCGGACACTAAGGTTTACGGCTAGGTAAGACAGGCAGGTCGCACGGGGCAAATGAGGCAGGTGAGCCGGCAGTGAGAAGAACCTCACTCTGTCTATTGCATACGCACCCTAATATCACCTAAGCTCACCCAAGTCGCGCGACGGTAACGGAGCCTCACCCTAAGCTCACCCGGTCGGCACCCCGCCTGACTTCTGGCCACATTGAAGCCACACGCCGGCCAGTTAGTAGTTGGGTGGATGACCACCAGCGAATCCCCGCTGTTGTATGTTTTTGACCTTTTTTTTTGGTCAAATTTCTAATGTCTCATCATACCTCAATCTCCTTCATTTGAAGCTGCTGCTTATCTTTACAGGGTCCCACCCGCGGTGGTGACTCGATGGGAAGCGCAGACAGTACAAGAGCCAGCGCATTCCCCGACACTATATCCAATAGGCACGGGATATACGGCTAACCCAGCCCTTCAATTCAAATCATTGACCGAAAGGAGGGAGACCCATCCGTTCGTGCGGCAGAACCAAAGCACAACAGCGCTCATGTTAAAAACTTGGGCGCCCCAGTACAATGATCACTGTCGCACCCGATCCAGACAACCTTGAGTACAATATCGTATATAACCTAGACATGTGGCGTGACGAGCAGGTCAGTGGGCCGCTGCACCTCCTTGTCACCCAGTTTGAGGGAGAAGGCGTGGATGTATAAAGACAGGTCCAGCCTTGCGAGCTCCCGCATCTCAAACACTTGTCACTACCTATTGGATAATTCGGTTTGGACATATGCAGGGGGTATAGAGAAGCCTATGGATGACAGGGCAAACACTCTGATTTGCTTTTGATGCGCTCATGTCAGACGTGCTTTGCAGGAGGGGAAGAATCAGTGCGGTTGTAATGGGGGTGTACGACAACAAGCAGTACCCTGGAGAATGGGGTATGGACACCAAAACTTTATTTATATCGCGAGTCAGATAAATCGACAAAAGAATTTCCTGCTTAAAGGTTTCTGTCAGGGTCTTTCCCAACACAGTGCATCTAGGTAAGGGGGCGACACGGAGAGAATTAAAAAGCGCATGCGTTGGGTCTTAGGTGGGCGTCAGCAATCGAAATGAAGGCATTTGCTGCAAGGAAGCTATGCGCCTCCTCATTCGGATGGAGCATGGCCTGACAGCAGTGCCTCTTTTGGGTTATAGTAAAATGGTAAGCTGACAGACCACTTCTAGAGCAGATCTTCTGCAAGAGTCATTCACTATATGGCTAACTTAGGAAGCCATGTTGATCCAACCTCATCAAGATCCGGACCCCAATGTTGAGGAGTCAGTTGACATTAAGGGCAGAGACTTACCAGAAGCACCTTTCATTGGACGGCACCCCTCAAGTATGCTTACGTCTCGGTCTAGAACCATTCTCAACTGGCAAGTATTACTATGAGGAGGAGGAAAACACCCCTCAATCCTCAGTTGAAGCGCATAATCATAGTCAAGGTTGTCAAGCCAAGCACCATCTTGGTAGTCTTAGGTTACATTCCATATTCTAGAATATGACGCCCCTTGGAACATGAATGACCTCTACCTAAAAGGCGTCTTACATGCAGGAGGGATACTCCATACCGGGAGAATATTGTCCCGCTTCTACCCGATTATGGGCAGATCTTCCCTTTGTAAGAATGTGTATGCAGTCACCGCAAGAAATAGCATACTAGAATTTGTTCTATCTAACCTACTTGAACAAGGTTACCTTCACAAGAAACGGTCTAGCTTATTTCTTTCCTAGTCATACGACTACCAATAAAAACGCCTATTAAGGATGATTGAGCGGGGAGCGTAAGCAATAAGCATATTTTGGGGTGACGAGAACGCAGACCCTGCAGCCCTTGCGGCTATGATGTATGATGGCCATGGGCTGCAGCCTATCCCCAAAAGCCATTGGACTCTCCGTGTATTCCGATATGCATAAGCGCTGGGCGTGTTTGAAAGCATCAGGATGTTCCTCATCTGACCTAATGCGGGGTGCGCTAAGTTCCATGAAGCAGTTAGATTAAAAGTTCTGTCCAGAAGCCCTATAAAAGCCATGGGAGTTGAATAACCGTCTCTAGATAGTCTATGTGCAATTACAAGCAGTGTAGTCAACTGAATAGCAATTCCATTTAACACTGCCCTTAGAGAACCAGAAATCCCGTCCAGCTAGGACGTATGTGTTATCCCCTCGCTCCAATGGTTTTCTTATGTCTTCTCACGCTCCTTGGAGCGAGTTTTCGTTCCTCTACCATATACGTGATAAAAGACTCAATTCTAACTTCAAACAGGCTCTGGCAGAATGCTTCTCAACCATCCGATTTATTACCTGGCCCTCCTTGCCCTGGCGATCACCGTCCTTGCGGCGCCACAAGCACCTCAATGCGATCCAAACAAAATCAATTCTCTAGAGCTCCGAGAGGCGTCGACTACCGAAGATACTACCTACGTCGAAGCGCGAGATGCAGATGAGGACTTTACCATTACAACTGTGTCCTTGGATGATGACGAGAACAGTGATGTTCAAGACAAGACCGATGCGGATGTGCTCAATCCCCTGGCTGTGCAGCACTGCTCAAACTGTGCCAAGATCAAGAAGAAGAAGCCAAAGTATGGCGGAAAGTGTGATCCCGCGAACAGCTTGGGGTGGAAGTCCTCCCACAACTGTAAGGGGAAAAGTTACCTCTGTGTTCAGAGTGGAAAGGCGACTTGCTATGGCCGACCGCTGGATAAGCTGAGAATGGAGAACGGCGAATGTTTCAAATAAGAGGGGCACATGGATTGGCCTCAACGCCCGGAATGGATGGTCTAAGGTATTCAACATATGCTTATTAAGTGTGGGACTGTGGTGTGAACATTGTTTATAGTTCTTTACTGCTAGTTGTCTTAAATACGAGAAAATATATGTAGGATTTATGAAATGGTGATGATAGGACCCTGTAGAACCCATTGATCGGAGGTTGTGACAGCTACAACGCCATCTTAGTATCTCTTATGTTATCGTATCCCATTAACAGCCTAGGCCCTTAGTCATGCAGTACATAGCGGGATCCTGGGAGATCCCACAATGTTCCTCTGGTAGCTTGCTCGCAGACCCATTCCTGACAAATATCGGGGAGATCGTCCTCTTTCTCTGGCGGCACATCAATACAAAAGTACTCCAGGGACGGCTTCAACTCTACGGTCAGCTTATTTGACTCAGATTCCACGGTGGGCTGAGGTAACCCTAACTGGCCCACAACGCTTGTCTCCCACCCTGGCTCGCGCAGGCGAAGATCCGACAAGTGACCGCTGGCGCCATTCACAATTAAAATGCGTTTCAAGGACGACCACCACGCAAGGCCCACCGCATCTGGGTCCATAGGGTCTGTGAGGTAATCCGCTCGGGTGAGCACCAGATGGGTAAGATTTGGACATGCAGGAAGAAAGCGCCAGAACTCGCGCCATTCCACGGCCGCGTTATATAGTGCAAGGCACTTTAGGCGTGGCCATAAGGACCATACAGGTGGCTCAATTCCACGCTGCATGGTATCGCAGTAGAGTTCGTCTCTAGCAGAGCAGAACTCTTCGAGCTGGGTTAAGCGGACAAACGCTGCGCGGATTATCTTTCGCAATCCCTGCTCATCCTCATACGGGCGGAGATCCCGGAGCGGCATATCAATGACCAGACGTCGTAGGCTACCGCAGATGTGCGAAGACAACAGATCTACTTGCGTTACCACGAGGGGCTCCTCGAGGCTCTGAACCGGAAATGGGGCCAGGAAGAGTCCCGTGGGTTGTGTTTGCTGCTTCTGATCATCTCCAAGAAGTTGTGGGAGAACGAGATCCAGGCGCTGGCCCGAATTAAGATACAGGCAGTGTTTTAAGAGAAGTCGCTTTGCCGCTTGATGTGTGAGGCTGGACACCAGGGTGAGACTGATCAATGCTTGGGTGACTGAGTGCTCGGGCGGAAATGCAACGGGCGGCTCAGATGGAATCAAACACTGAATGACTTGTAGGATCACCTCCGCAGGAAGGTGAGGCATATTTCTTTTGCTCATTTTATACCAGACGTAGTTTCCGTAGTTGGCGTGCTAGACAGCATGTGGTTGATACCAGAGGGTAAATATTGAATACCTCTCCAGAGGATGCAGAGGATGCAGAGGATGTCGATAACGTGGTAAGAATTTTTCCAGACAAGTATTATCCTAGGATCTGCCAAATATGTGTCGGGGGCTTAAAGAAGGTAGGTTGCCTGGTCATGCATGGGAGTAAGGTAGCAACAATCCTTCGATCCACCAATCACGAGACACCCCCGCCACGTGCCACTCATCCTTTCAGGGCTCAACTCCCATTTTCTACTTTGAACAACTACTTCACTATCTTTCCAATCAGAATATCCTCCCAAGTTGATAACCAAACATATGAAGGTATCCAAATCGTGCAACCAATGCCGTACTGACAAACGGAAATGTTTTCCAGCCCCCAAGTCTCGCTACCTACAATGCACTACGAGACTCCAGGGTTGCTCTTGGTCCGTCAATCGAAATCCGAAACCTTTATTATTTCCTGTTGACGCTCCATCACCTTATCGCCCCGTACATGTGTCGTCCATACAAGGTGCTGTTCGTGACAAACTCGTGGAGTTGTACCTAACCCTCATTCACGATAAACCCTATATGCTGTTTCATCCCGGGGATTTAATGTTTTGCATACGAAATGGGACATTACCCAAGGCAGTACTATACAGCGTCTTGGCGCTGGCGGCTCTGTACATCACCTGTGCACTGCCGGGAAGCAATGTAGACCGCAGCTCAAAGTAACTAATCTACTTTCTCACAAGAAAGATTCTCCGGGTACAAAGTATAAGAGAACAGACCAAAGATTTCTTTCAGTTAGCTAAAGTCTGCGTCAAAATGTTGATTGTTGATATCAGTCTCGATAATACCTACGCCACCATCCTCATAGGCAATCTTTGTAGCTCGGATGGTGATTAAAACGGTGAAGCGTTTTGCTTCGTCCAGAGATTTCATTTCTCCACTACCCTCCATTCCTTGCTTAACTGTGTAGACTTTACAGAGTTCAGTAATAGGAATTGCCTTTAGAATGGCCCAGATTCTTCATCTGCCCGAGCCATCTTCGGATGATGATGGGCTCCTGAGAGAAAGCAAACTTCGTACCTGGTGGTCGCTATACATGATCGATCAATGGTCCTCGGCTGGGTTGAACATCCCGCGTCAGATTCAAGATACTAGTCAGTTTCCGTTGCCTATGCCTGGGTTAGACATCCACAGTCTAGCTTCGGAAGAGGACATTGATAGCAGCTTACAGAGCACCAAACCCGGCCTCCTGGGTTACATGGTTATCCTAGCGAGGATGGTTGGCCATATACAGCATCTCCACCGGCAACTCGCCGATGGGACACTGAATGACTCGGGTACCGAGTTTTCAACCCGTCAGTTAGCTTGCGAGTTGGGAAGCTTCACTCAAAATCTGCCCGCCAATCTCCAGCTCACAAAGGAAAACATGGAAAGGATGCCAGTCTGAGGATAGAGCAAGTCTTTGTTGCTCTTCACCTAGGCTATCATCACTATGCTACCCTTCTGTCCTTTCCATACCTTGGGTCCCAGCTGACGCATGTCCCTGACCAAAAGCTCTTTTCCACGCGCTGCACGTACCATGCGGCAGTTTCTAGCGACCTCTTAAGGTCCTCTAACGAGACACAGGGGTGCGAAGCAGTATACGTCATTGTCACACACATGACGGTGACCTCGTGGACGGCTCTCCATACTTCGCTCTTTGGTCAAGAGAATGAGCTATTTGGGACCAGAAAGAGGCTTTATCAGCAGTAGCTTCAATCACTTATCATGTCATTGTCGAACCCTTCATACCCTCACCTGCGTTCAACCGAGGCCGGGAAGCAGCTCGTCGTCAATGGCCGACCGTTCCTTTTTCTGGTAGGCGAGCTCCAGAACTCCTCTTTTACTTCAGCGGAATATATGAATACGGTCTGGCATAAGCTTGTAGGCACACAATTTAACATCGTACTGTGGTATGTCACTTAGGAAACGATCGAGCCGATTGAAGGGCAGTTCGCCTTCGCCGAGCTAGATAAAGTTATCCTGAGTGCAAGGGAGCTTGGTGCGAAGAAACATGGATTACAGCTCTCACTGTTGTGGTTTAGGTCCTTCAAAAACGGTATGCTAAAGATTACCTAGTCATTCTGTTATTATGCCTTGGCTGGCGGTCACTGATACGTGGAGTGGAATGGAGGTATATCGACATACGAACCTGCTTGGGCCAAGACTAACCCAAAGAGGTTCCCTCGGACGAAGTTAAGAAAGGCTGGGGTTGTTCTCCAGACTGCAGATGTGCTGTCAATTTTCCACGATGATGTTCCCAAGAGCGATGCCAATGCATTCTCTCATCTGATGCGCCATTTGAGGGAGTTTGACGGGGATCACTCCACTCTCGCCATGGTGCAAGTTGAGAACGAGACGGGCTTGCTCGGTGACTCGCGAGGTAGGTCGGCAGTCGTCGAAAAACAGTTCGCTCAGCCTGTGCCAGAAAATTTGCTCCATTTTCTCTCTAGCAATTGGAACAGCCTTCATGCCGACCTGAAAGGCAATTTGGCCCACTTCAAGGCGCAGTCCAAACCGCGGGGACCCTGGGTATTCGGTAAAGGGCCGCACACAGACGGGCTTTTCATGGCTAACCGCTATGCGCATTACCTCCATAAAGTTGCTGCAGCGTCCAACGAAGATTATCCTATTCCCCTATACACGAATGAGTGGCAGAACTATGTAGGATCCGATGGCGATAATGATATCCCAATTCTCGGCGGCGGTGACATGTCTGACATATCCATCCGGCGGAGGCACCAGCAATGTCCTCGACATTTAACAACAATTTGCGCCGTCTCCAGTCTTCATGTCTCCTAATGTTTATCTCAATGATCATACCCAGTCCTGCGGCAAGTACCGTCAGCGCAAGCAGCCATTGTTCATTCCAGAGCAGCGTTGTGATGAGTACGGGGCACGACGCATTTGGACCGCTTATGGATCATTCTCAGCCATTGGCAGAAAGAGCGATATCATTATCGCTTTTACATTATCTCCTTTCTCCACTAGTGTTTTCAGTCAGCCAGTGTTTCAACTCTATATGCCATATAAACCGCCCTCTATAAGTTGACTATTGTGACAATAATAAAGATTTATTAGTTTATTAGTCAATCTATAAAATGCCCTGAGGCATGCTCTTTTTGTAGCTGGCTTTCCGGTTATGTTCCTGCTTCCTAATATCTATTCAGCACCTACCGCAGGGGGTGCGATTAAGCTTCCAAGAGCGGTGTTGGCGCTTCTGCAAGCACGTTTGACCTTCTATGATCCAACCAAGTCCTGTGCAAGACAATACGAAACATGGTATTCATGGTGAAATAATCATAAAATTGCGTCTACCGGTCGAGGAACAGAAGTTGACATTTTTAGCTCACCTACCATCGAATTCCCTGGTTCTCGAGAGCGCTAGGTGTGTTCCATCGAGTGGATTGGCTACTGTACTAACAAACAATTCATAATTGGCCAGAAACAGAATCAGTGTTATTCCTTCCAGCACGGCACTAATCCTCGAAACCGCTGACAAGCTAGTTCGTTACCCCTGGAAGCACTCTCGCAAGTTGCTGAGGCCCTCGAGGATTAAGACTACTAATGCAAGTCTCTACACGGGTGAAAATTTTGGCAAAGCTATCCTGAAGATTTCAGACTCTGGCTAACTGCTGCACAACCAACGCCAAGTAGTGAAGTAGTAAACTTTTGTTGACAATTTATTGCACATAGTTAAGGCATACTTAAAATAGACGTACATACTGTAGTACTTCTTGCAATTCACTGTAGAGCCACTTAAGCGTGTGAATCATTCAGACACAGCCTTCACTTCAAGTGTCAGGAGGAATTCGATTCAAGTCGACACGGGGACTTGTCAAATTGAGGCGAACTAAGGTCGTTCTAAGGCGTTGCGTCTCAAGGAATGTGAGAACTTAATTCTTTCTTAAAGTAAAAATTAGGTCTGTTGAGCTATAGGTCAAGGAAAAAGCAAAAAGGACAAATGTTTATGAGAATTCTACCCTATTTACGAGAGGGACGATACTTCATACACGTGTGTTCTTCACGTCTCCATGGATATCCCCTTAATGACAAGGCATACAAAATGAGAAACTAGGAATCCATCGGCGACTAGTGAGGACCGGTGAATTACCAGCAATGACGATTCGCATTGCGGAAGGGACGGAGAGTCTATTTTGACTGAAGGTGGTAAGCAAGTATGTAAATCGACCCTGGGCTGCATTGAGCTCATGACATCAATCTGTCGCTAAGGACCGGTGGCTGTTGAAAGCCGGTAGAAAGCCAGTAGCTGATCAATCCATGGTTCGGGCCCTCTATACCAAAGACCACCCTACAGGGTTCGCGAGTAGCCTATCCGTTAATAGGTAGATACAGATACCCGGGCCCACAGGTAGGAGATCAGCGAATCAAGCTCTACCGTGGGAAGCCGCTCGCAGTTATTCTTCATCTAGGAATTGGAGCGACAATATCGGGTACTCGGGTACTCGATGATCACCTCTCCTTCTCGTATCGCTAGTTACCCCAATCGCTCTGGATGCAGAGCGATTGGGTTGTTGGGAAATATAACAACCCCTAAGTCTAGTCCCACCAGACCAGACCACCTGTAACGTATAAAGGAACCTTTCGCCGGCACCGTCAACGAGTTCAGTTGTAGTTCATACACAACAGATCCAGTTAACCTATAGAACATCCTTTGAAGGCGCTTGATATATATACACTCACCATGGAAGAACCGACCTACGATCCGAGGTATGTCCATCAACGTTGGCATAGCAGAATGCATCTGATAGAGACCTCTGCTGATTTCTTTCTGCCACACCAGCCGTCCTCTTCCAAATGTCACTATCGTCTACCAGTATAAATTGGTTAACTGCCCTGGGAAGACTACTGTGGGTACGCTGGTTGAACTCCCGCCAAATGGTGCCGCGCCTCCTCACCGCCACGGAGGGGCTTCCGTCTCCGCTTATGTGATCAAAGGTTCCGTGGTGAATAAAATGAACAACGACCCGATAAAGGTGGTCTCGCAGGGCGGATCTTGGTATGAAGCCCCAGGGTGCCATCATCGGATTGGCGCCAACGCCAGCAAGACTGAACCAGCGACATTTTTGGCGAGCTTCGTTATCGACACCGAGACGCTGGAGCGAGAAGGACCAGCTGTTCTAGTGCAGTACGACGAGGAGTACAAGGATATTGTCGCCCAGAAGATGAAGACATGAAATCACCGAGCACCGTTAGGTTCGGCATTGACGGGTTAGGGCATGGTACCTTATGGTTTCGCTTGGGCAATTTACAATCCAGACCAGTGGACACCTGTATACTCATTATATATTTATATACCACCTGCCAACAGATGCGAACCAAAATGTGTGATCTAGTGATTGAACGTTTGGAACACTCGTGATTTAGAAACTCGCTTTGACCAGTGATGTTTGAAAAGTGTCCTATGTGCTAAACCGCAATGTCACTAGTTAGTACGTGTCATCTTAGCTCATAATAGCATGCTCGAAGGCGTGCTTCCCATTATATGTTAGGCCACGCGCATGTCGCATAACCTAGAGTAAACGTGTCAGCGTAAATAAGGGCTAATATTAGATAGCCAATTTTCATCTTCGAGCGACCAAAGATGAAGGAGCTCTTTTAGCTTTGATATACTATTCGCATATTCAACCCAGTCGAGGATCAAATAAGCTTACGGAGTCGAACCATTTTTCTTCTACTTCATTGTCGACAATAACCTGAAGGAGGCCTCCTTCTCTTATCGAAAAGCCTAGGCATGGATCAGGCCGCCGCAGCTTGCAGTCCGACTGTTCATCTAGCCTCTTAAGGGTGATAAGATGTCCATGATAGGGGAAGAACTATGTATTCTATGGCAGAGATAGATGGCTCAACTATCGAGAGAGACTTCATTATCAAGGCGGAATCCTTATCCTGTCAGCCTCACTCGGACTAGAGGTTTTCTGTTTTTCTTTTCTTTTCTTTTTCTTTTCCTGGTTCTATTTGTTTAAGCTTCGCCGTAGGTGTCCATCGTGGAAGCCATTCAGTAGTACGTTCCTACGCATTTACTTCCAAGGATAAAAGAAGACCCAGGGACATGGGAATACTGTAGACATCTACTAATCATCCCATTTGCTACAATCCCTATCTCCGTTTAAAATGCGTCCCTTTTATTCTGCCTAGTTCAGGTACGTGAACGCAGCGAGAACAAGCAGGGTAGCGACCTGCATTATAGTCTGGAGTGGGCAACATCCATTGTTGGTCTTACAGTATCCGACAGAAGAAACTCATAAATACTTTTCAGCTCTGAGGGAATCTGTCTAGGGTTTCCACTACACCTATTATCAATTTATTTCTAGAAGAAGTCAGAATTCTTCAGGTGCAAAGTAATTATTGTTGATTTTATTTCTCTGTGTCTGATAAATCAAGACCACAACCTTTGGCTTCCATTACTAGTATTCTAGGACTCACAGAAACTGGTATCTTTTTGTGGAGATGATATATTCTAGACTATGTAATCATGAAGCAAGCGATACAAAGCGTCCAGTTATCTGTCTCGTTCTGATAGGCGAACAAAGCAACTTCACAATGTGAGTTTTGCCAATGTCACCAAAGGCGAGATATTAGAAATTATACACAAGGACATCAAGCCCAACCAGAGCACAAAAGAGTCTCCAAACAAATTTAGTATTCATCTCATTGAAGCTCAGATACAAATTTTGAATTATAAGAAACAAACGAGGACCAAAATGTGAGAAAGGGAAAAAATTAACAAGCTTACAAGGCTATATACAAAGCAGAGTGCGATTCCTACATAGACTGGCTACTGTCAAGCCTCCCTCTCATACACAGAATCTATCCTATTTTCAAGGGGTGTGTCAGTGTAAGAGCACTGAAATGGACTATGTATCTTGCAGCCATCAATGTGGGTGGGCCAGGGTCAGACATACCTAGTATTCGGAGTCCTTTCTTCTCAAGACTTGTTCGTAAACCCTGAAATGTATTAGGATTTATTTGTACTAGATCTACCGCAACTCTTCTGCCTTCTGGGCCAGCGTTGCTATAAATATTGCATACCAAAGATGGCTGAGGAAAACTGTCTTCTCATATATCATGCCTCAATAGCAGGCGCGGCTAGCAGATTGACCATCTTACTCTTCTTTATATCGCTAGCTCTTTCACCAAGCACTATGCGCTGCTGGACTCTGTCTCGCAAATTGTGCTTGACGCATAGCAGCGTCCGGGCTCGTCGGTCAGCCTCTTCTTTGACAAGCTGGCTGACAACGGATCCAATCCATCCGAGCCGGTTGTTCTTCCTTACGGGGGATTCGAAATTACTACTATTCAGTGCTGTCTCGTGCTTGGCAAACCCGCGCTAGGCGGCGCCAAATTCCTGCTAATCGGTTGGGGTTTCCAAGTGTGCACGACGTCCTTATCCACGACCGCTACCTTCACTGGTATCCTACAGTTCGATGAGAAAATCATCACTGATCGGCAGACTGGCGAGCTAAGGACACTACGGGTGCTTAACGGCGATGAGACGAGAAGCGGGGTTCCACCATGCAGAACGGGCATCCAGACTATGGCGGGTTATGACGATTCCCGCCATACTCTGATCGCTGAGGTTTGAGTTTTACTCTACTGAGGGTGAGGCATCATTTGTACTCTAACTGGTATTTATATACTTGGGCTCCTTGAGGATGGAGCAACTGATCCATTCCGAGCATCTCACTTCAGACGGCAGATAATGGTAACCACTTGACTTTCGCCTTCAGTGAAGCACAGCTAGGCAAATCCTGGGTTTTTCCAAGATGGGTTCGTTCAATTCCAACAAGTAAAATTTTGAATATCTGCATTCTCCCGGTCAATACAAGTATTTCTGAATAATAGGTGTTCCGACCTACATATATATTTGAGCAGAATTTATACATTCAGGTGTAGTATATACCTTCCACCTACACCTACTACATAGTGCAAGTGCTTACAGAACACTTTATTTGCTGATTCCTAGAAGAATTCAAAAAAGAAAGCTCGCCATGGTTGTAGAAGATATATGATTAGAAATGATCAAACCAACCAAATTTCTAGTCAGCAATTGAAAAGGCATCGCCTATTGAGGGAAGTCTTGGCGCGCCGGAGGTGATTCGTCCGTCATTGTCATGGCGTCACTTGATCTCTTTCTTCCAAACAAAACAACTCTTTCACTTCCCTTCCCTTGCTTCAATTTAGTTCAAAGAAACTACTCCCACAATGGGCTTCATTAAGGGATTCCTGAAGCTCACTACCTACGGCGGTCTCGCCACAGCGGGCACCTTCTTCTACACCACACGCAATGCCGTCTTCGTACCCATGACCCCCGCGGATCCCATTTTCCAATCCGCCGCCTATCGCAAGCAAAATCCCTCCCAAAACCCGACCACCCACGATCTCTGCGTTCGCAAAGTACCCTTGTCCGAAATCAACCCGAGCCTATTAGAGAAGAAGGGCAAATTAGCCGAAGCTTTCTGTGCCGGAGTCTGGAGCGGCTGGGGTAATTACAGGACCCTCCACCTTGAATGAAACGCCCCTACCAAAATAGATGAAGAAGAATCGCAATTAACATGCTGGACGCGGACTAGGATATGCCTTCCAACGCGCTTACCTCGCCCGGAAATACCAAGGCTCTGAGACCGCCAGCCACCTCTGGGAACGGTCGGAATTGAAAGCCTCCACCTACGATGTCGGCACCTTGATTACCGACCACTTCGAGGTTATTGAGAAGACCCCCGAGCGGATCGTTGTTCGCTGCGGTGATAGTCCCCGCACACAGGGAGTTCGCGACTCGGACGGTTTGTTCGAGATATCGGCTGTCGTTAAGCCTGAGGAGGGCGTTGCTGAGTTTGCCCTCAAGAGCTGTTTTTTCCAGGGACTGGGCAAGGCTGAGAATGCGCCTATGCCGACGCATATTGATTGGCTGCATAAGCAGTATACGAAGTTATTGGCTGAGACGGCTATTCGGAATGTTCTGCGCCAGTGAACGCGCGTGACTATATGATACTCGGTTGGTGTTCGGTTGTCACTGAGATTGTTGCTTTGTACATAATACCCTCCTGTGTGGCGACTTTGGATGATACTTGACCCCGTGGTATATGTGGATGGAAAGCGATGGAGATATTAGGTGATAATGCGTGCCTCTTTGAGGATCTTATAAGTTCTTAGGACTTGGAGAGCTGGGCGCGCGAATTGTCCGCCTAACAAACTTGCGCTCTAATTCGTTCGACGATCCAGAGAGGAAATTGCAACACTGGTGTGAAGGACCTTGATAGTTCTTGACTGTGTCACAAGGTCACAAAACAGGCTCTCTATTCCTTTTGTTATGGTATATCATGACACCCTGGCAGATAGCCGCCCTTTATCTGTGTCGCTAGCGTTGGGCGTTCCATGACAACAAGAACACCAATGTCCAGCTCTATTACTGGACTTGACGGGTATCATGTAGGCACAAAGACTTATAGAGCAAGGTGAAACAAACACTAGACATCTCAGCCATGGATAGTACATATAAAGCCCCTTATCCTAATCCATCGTGTACAACCGGATAGCAAAATACCGTCACTCTATGCATCACCGGGGCCCTTCGAAACCTGACTTGAAGCACATGAGCTTGCATCGCCTACGAAGATGGACCGGATCACCATGAGCGCGCTTACCCATCCTTGCCATCCTTGCACTATCGACCACAGCCAGCCCCGTCACCGAACACACTAAGAGCGTAACGAAGTGCACAGCAGGCAACGAGTATTGTGGGTTAAGTCTGATAAACCAGGGAGCAGGTACGTTTCCAGAAGCGCAAAGTCTGTCCTTGTTAACGATACCAATGCTGATTAGGAGCCATAGTAACCTATTTTCTACAAATCCACTCGATTTTCAAAACAATGGGGCGCGACATAGAACAGAGGAACGAATACAGCACTCTTTTCAGGTGTGACAAGGATGATGAGCTTAGCTTTGTGACGTACTGTGATAATGGATGCATTGGTAGCGAACGTTTCCCGGATGAGGCTGAGAATTGTGTTTAACAGTATTTTGTGAGACTCACAGAGATATTTGAATCTGGAGGGTATGTCTGAGGGTTCATTGTTAGAATATCTCCAGGAGACTGAATGAGGTAGAGTGCTATATTAACCTTTGTGTATTTCAGTGCAGCTACAGTAGTCATGATGTGTCAGTGTTGAATACCTTAAAGTTACAGGGTTAGGCCTTCAGCCAGCGTTTGATTTTGGTCGAGTGGGAAAGGCAGAGAATTCCCCAGTTAGTGCAGATGGCCGGATATAGAAGATTAGCTGCTCAGATTCAGTTTCTCTTAACAACATTGATATTGCGCCAATATCTTGCTCAGACTGTGGCTTAGCAACTTAATCATTAGCATGCGATATCTTTCTTATACACTGTTGGGACAAGTACTGAATCTATCTAGCCACGAGTGCACACTATCAGAGATATGTCGAAAATTCTAGCTCACGGATCCTTTCAGGGTTTGATGGAAGCCAGGGACAGATATTAGAATGAAAAGGGAGAGGACTCGCAGATCTCTATGACTTCAGTCTGCATTTCATGAAAGCTGTGCCTGCACCTGTGCAGGGCTTCGGATGAAGTCGAGATTTTATAGACTTTATGGTGTCATATGATTGTCCTTCCTACCATACATAATCAAAGAATTACTAACAGATATCTTCCCCCACCGGGCTGGCTTTAGGAGTAAAGGATTTCTTCAAGTTATGTGATCTGTTGGCTGGGGATTCCGGCTGGCGGTCCTGATTTGGACCGGGCAGTAGGGTGATCCGGCCGACAAGCGTTTAGGTGTTAGGGGTAGGATAGCTGTAGACAGTGGGAATAAGAACCATCATTGGAATGAGAACGATCATTGGAATGAGAACGATCTCCACATAGTGCCTTAACATGATCAACATCATTCCACTCAAGTGTTCAATTCAAAGCAAAGTGTCATTGATGCCATTGGCTTGCTGTTTGTTTCAGTGAAAAAAAAAACATGGTAAAGGTTAATGAGCAGTAATCGACTAAAGGAATTAACAAAGACATGAAAGCTCTGCGCTTCATAGTGTAAATTCAAGAAAAGGAACCAACTTACAAAGGAACATGGTCCAATTGACGGCTTGCCTTGGACACAGTTCTCTGGGCTTCGCCCGCGCAAAGATCAGACTCGAACTCCCAAGTTAATGCCCCATTTCTTTTATCTCGGCCTTAGCTTGCTTAGATGGGATGTCGATCAAGATGGTCAGAATTTCCACCAGCGCATTTACCACCCTGGCCATAATTGGAGCGGCCTACCTGGACCAAAACCTGGAACATAAAGAGCTGTGTGAACCAGGTACACTGCATTGCGGGAATTCCCTCACATGGTAACGAAAGTTCTAAAAACGTGGTACCTGGCCTGACCTCATTCATTCTAACCCAATGTTTTAGTGAAGGGCTATGAGCAGCACATGGATGATGCCCTTAAGAATAAAGGCTCGAAAGCTGATAAGAGATTTTCTTTGTTCAAGCGTGGAAGTGGACCTGAGCACCTTGAGTTCATCCAGGATTGTGGGATCAGCAAATGCCACACAAGAAGTACAAATATCCTCGATGGAGGTTATTGTTCTTGAGGTGGGCAAACCTGGTTGGCTCTGGTTCTTTAGTCAGAAGTTCAGGGGTAGGAACTTACCCCGGTGAGCCTGCTACGACTGGACACGGTAATTGACAGAGGCAATAAATATTTAGCTCAATCTCAGGTTAGTTGATTGCTTCTCTTTGACTAGGTTATAGATATGGCATTACATTGAGACAAGGATGCCTGTATCACTCTGTCTATGCTCACGCTATCCCTTACATAGATGACAGCAATAAGAGTTTCTTCCTGGTCCGCAGGGGTCCATTGCTCTTCACTCGTTTTCCTGTTGCTCCTATGTCAAGGAACGTAGATTCCGCTTATGTATAAAATTCTTCTCGAGGCTAACCAGTCGACAAACTGCTCTCATTCTTTTCTCTGCCGAAGTGCGTTGAGCTCAATCTTTCTTGACCCTTGGAGTTAGTCAATCGCCTGGCTATTGTTCAAATATAGGAGCTGTTATTCTTTGTCTGTCCTCATCAGATTGGGGGAATGACCTTCTAGACTAGGCCCATTGCCTGAAGAACAGATAACCATGGATAAGCAGTTAACTCACTCCATACGCAGTATCCAAACAAAAGAATAGCTTATAGCGAATATAGGGCCTTGTGATTCCGTGTAAACTCTAGAGACCACCTCGACTCTGTGCAAAATATGTAGAGACGTGGAACGCCTATTGCATAAGTGTGGAAATAACTTGGAAACTGAACATTCCAACTGCCTACGAGATCAACTAGAACTATTTGAGGGGGTCGGTGAGGCTCTTTATTTAGGCAATGCTATACAGAGGTCCACAAGGTCCTACATAACCCCTTTCACTAAACAACAATGAAAAATGGGGAAAAAGCTTGAAGATTAAAACAATATACAGTAATAGCCACGCAATACAACACCCCAGCCATACCACACGACAGCTATGCCCAATCACAGACTGGTATTAACTACGTATATTTTGTGATATTCGTCGCTAATCAGGGGAATAAATTCTACCATCATTTCTTCATGACAAACTTCTACCGTCCTTCGTTTCATCTCTGTCCTTCATGTCAAGAGGAAATGGTTCGTAAAGTTGTGGTTAAGGCGGACCTGGATATTCCTTGCCAGCGTCAAATACACTAAACAGCCTACAGAACAACATCCTGCAGACAATAATCATTTCTATCTGTGGCTTAATTCCGACGTTTCACGACAAGAAGAACACTATCGACCCCCATCCCTACTTATATGTGAGATGAAGGAAGGTGAAGACAAAAGAGGATTCAATGGAGAAACATAAAGCAACGTACCATTATGTCCACGCTGATATGTCCAGGTCACCTTCTGATATAAAGGGGACGATATGAAAGAGTTCTTCATAAAGAAACTTCCCAGCTACGGATCACTGGTTCTATATAAACTCCTTATCCTCCACACTCCAGGCTGTACTGTGGGATGGCATATTAAAACTAGCTTGATGCTTCACCGTGACCTTTCAGATTCGACTTGGACTCCTGCCTTTGAAAAATGGTTAAGATAAACCTGAGCGCGCTTGCAATGCTGGCCGTACTTACAATATCGACTACAGCCAGTCCTACTATTGACTATGTCAAGAGGGGTCGAGAAAAATGCATAGAGGGCAAGGACTACTGCGGACTAAACCTGATAAACAATGGTACGTTCAGAACAGCCAGGCCATTCCTATTCAAAGTTGTCAGTACTGATCCGAAGAGATAGGAGTGTATCTACTCCAAATTATTGATATTCTCAAGGAGCACGAACTGGAGAGAAGTGCGAACAATAAACTGCACACCCTTTATAGATGTGGTGCGAATGATAGACTTACGAATTACACGCAATGTGGCAACCATTGCACTTCGCACACAAATTTCCCCCGTGAGGCCGACAATTGTTAGTAACAAATCGAACTGACTCAATCCCCTCGTTGGCAATCTTACTTTATGACATTCCTAGAGCTATTGAAATGTTTAGAGAGTGTGTTAGGTAGTAGCATTATTGAGATGTACTCAGTACATTGAACAATTTGGAGTCTAAAGCTGTATTTTGTGTGTAGCATTCCTCGATAGTGAGGGAGATTTATTTTCGTTTAGGTAGCTAGAAATACTTTATCGGTTTTGCAGACTCGGGATGGATTCATAATATGCATGTATTCCCCATATATTCAGCCCTCGTTACTCTAGAACACTAGCCATCATTGATATAAGAATAATCGATACATTAGTGAAATAGCTTAATTGAACCAGCAATTGAACCAGCAACGAAGGCCTCTTATCACTACTTGAACCCTTCTGAAACCAGTTCCTTTTAGGGCTTATGGCTTTATGAAGATCAGGGTCATAGATCAATTGGGGGGAAAGGCATAGTTTGCAGCGTTTAGAGCTGTGACAGCGACAGCAACGAAGCCTTACATCAGAAGAGACATCATCCGGATGTGACGGTGAAACCAATAACGGGATCCAAACTGGTGGTTGCAATTGGGCTTAAACCATAAGTTCTTGTTCTGACATATCAGGCTAGTTTTCTGTCAGAATCACTTCCCTGTACTAATGGTGGCGCCGGAGCCTCCGCCGAGTCAGTGCAACGGCATACAGAGTAGACATTCACAAGAAGCGTTTGGAAGGCTCAGCGGTGTATTCCTACAATTTAGGCGTTTCGGAACAGATATACTAGGATATTGTGCCACTCTCTTCGCTGCCATCACCTTTATGCTTGAGGAATCTGTGTATTTCATGGCTAAGCAAACGCATAACTGGACGAGGTGAGAACGTCAGCACAGGAGCGGTACCACTTCCCAGATCGTGCAAAAGGTGGTCATTTATCATGACAAACTGGTGATCCGCAGAGAGATATGGAAGATGGGAGGCTGTATTAGTTGCGGTCAGACCGTAGATGGTCAGATGGCATGCAATAGAACGTACGCTTTGCAGTTGCTCGAAACGGTTCCACGATATGTGTAGTCTACGGTGTATGACAGAGGTGGATACAGGAGGCACCTTTGCAGCTCACCCTGAATAAGTAGTGTACATCTATGTAGACGAGGTGGTCAGTGTAACTTGTCTTTCGACGCGAGTCCTATGTCCGCATACATCTGGCCTCTAACTGACTATTGGTATTACCCGAACTGGATAACGAATTGAGTATGAAGCCAGATCCGTACAAGGGGAGAATCTGTAGATCAATGGGTTGGAAAGCACGAGCTTCCCCCTAACCGAGAAGCCAGCCTGCACTCGTGGACAAGGTCGTTTCCTTCCAAATTGACACCTCGACCTGGTTAAAAATAGCCTCCCAAAAAGGTAAAAGAAAACAGACAAAGAAGGAAGGGTATACGGTATACTCCATAAACTCGTTCAAGACCCGTTACCGAAGCCAATATCTCCCATACACACGCATTGACCATCAATGCCATCCCACCCAATCTCGGGTACCTAACGTTCTCCTAATCCAGCAACCTCCACGAATAACCCTACCTATTTCTCTCAAACCAGCGGTCTCAGGCAATTCCCAAATCAGGAACAAAACCCACCTTAGGACGTTACACACAATCTCCCTTGGGACCAAATATATCTCAAACGGGCAGAATCCCACATGCAACGCCGAAAATATGACATCTCACGTCCCGAGCGCACTAAACCATTAAACTGTATACCAGCGGTGAGACCTCTCCAACCGGAAGCAGCGAGGCCAATATGACAGCGCAAACTCCTTGTTTCGGGTAAAAGGGCTCCCCCTACCCAGGTAGGACATGCCTATGCGTGGGGAGGGTGCATATGCGATGCGTCTACGTTTTGCGTTGATCCTCTCGCATGGTTAGGGTGCGTTTCTGGAGCAAATATAGGCAATGCGAGGTCGTTCGATTGATTTAAGGGACAACTTTATTCTCACAGTGGTGGTGGGTTTAATTGGGTGGGTTCTTGTCCGACGGTTAATATGATGTGTCGAGTTTGGAGCTTCGTGTTGATAATTGGATTGTGGACGGTGGGCTTGGCTGGGGGCGTCAATGTAAGGGGTAAGAAGCGGGTGCTAGTAATTGATTGAAGATTGAAGGCAACTTGCTTCTGCCATTCCTGAGGTTTCTTAAGAATTGATTGAGGATGTAGCTGGCGGACTGTCAAATCCTATCTGCCTTCAACGCCGAAGCTGAAATAATGCTCATACCGCTATTGAACTAAAATGCTCTCGACGACAAAAAGATAATAGATACACAAACTATCAACAAGAGAAAAATTATGCCCTTAGCCAAAGCCTATTCAGAACTATATTCGAGAAGTGCGCACGGGCACAGCCTCGATTACGCTCTCCATGCCTGGGCTCCCACTCCAAATGCCGGTGATCACCAACCCGGCAGCTCCCAAGAGCTCTCGCCATTGACGCTTCGACCGCTCCACTCCCGACCCAATGCTCATCATTTGGATATCAATCGACGCCTGCAGCAGCGGCGCGTCCGTATCCAACAGAACGAAATCCACAATAATGATGCGCGAATAGTCGGCGCTCATGGCGGAGACGGTGTTGACCAAGATCTTATGGCAGATGTAGTCGGGCCAGTCGTGAAAAATGGAGCGGAAGTAATAGGCTCTGGCTCCTATGTTTCGTCACATTAGGTGTTGTGATACATTTTATTGACATGATACTAGGCAAGAAACATACCCTTGACCGGCTGTGGGTCCAGAAAGCTATACGGCATAACCTCAATTTCATCCCCTACTGTCGCGGAGTTGACCACTTTCGGCAGGTCCTGGAGCACTAGCCGCCCTGTCACATCCGGGTACTTCTCCCGGAAGCGAATTAGGTCGTGGCCTTGGTTTCCTCCTACATCGACTAGGAACGCGGCGTCTTCGTGATCTAGAGCTTCGGTGGCTAGTCTGTCAACAGGATATACGTCAAACCAGGAAGGCTTGCCCTGTCGTCGACTGGACATGTATGAGTTGAACAGCGTCTGGTGGTGTTTCCGCTGAGCAAGCCACTCGAATTGACTTTGCCCTACGGCCCACCACATTGGGGACCGGGAGTACTCTTTTGGCATGATGTAGTGGTGTTCGCGGAAGTATTCCGGAAGTCTGGCGAGGGTTGGAACAGTTAAGTCGTATCTGCACACTTGCGTAAGTGAAAGCCATAATAAACAGGGATGGAATTCGGAGGCGCATTACATGCATGGAATGCCATCGCGTCCAATCGGTTGTGTCAAGGCGACGGTTTTCTCGGTGGGAATATACACCTCAGGTTCGACGCTAGCACACAGACCTAGAGCTGCCATGACGCGCATTAAGCGGACTACGCATATTAGTGATCATTCTCTCAGTGCATGCAGCGCTTTGTCCATACTGATTAAAGCTCGCTCGGCACCGGTACTCTCGGCTAACTGTATCGCCGAAAGGCCTTTGTTAGGATGTTCAAGTAATAAAGGGAAGATGTCGAGGTCGACGACGGTGCGAAGGGCTGCATTTTGAGGGGGCTTTGAAACACATTAGCCAAAGCCTTTGGTTAGGCACTTGCTAGCGGGATAGAATTAAATTGAATCAAGTGCATTATACCTGGTAGATTAACCGCAGAACTGTTTCAGTCGGCGTTTCAACCGCGTATTTCAGCTGGTCGATGAGTCCCAGGAAACGATAATGCGACGATGCAGAACGGGACGAACTGCATTCCTCTAATGCAGCTTGCCTGATGTCCTCCACTAGGGAGAGGAGGTGAGGTGTCTGCACTTGCGGCTCCATGGTTGTGTGGTTAGGATTTCAATGCATGTACGTACAGCCGCCACGATAGGGAAAAATGGCCGGAATTAAAACGACAGAAACATGGGCACAGAAGGGTATTTGAGTCACTAAATCGATGCGACACTCCTTAGAGCATTAAGCAAAATCGGATGTGATGCCCTGATAGACAGGGATGGGGTTAGCAATAATTGGCGACTGCAAACGGCAAGCCGGGAGTGAGACATCCAGCCCCAGTTAGGGCATGGATGTGAGCATATCATATTGGAGAGCCAATTCGTTTGGGGCCCACTGACTATCCGATATTGCAATAATTCCACGCCATTCAGAAAGTCAAATCCTTATCGCTGGCAGGAGTCATTTTGACGACACATTCGACGCGTTCCTGTGTCATGCTTCTGTTCCCCGGAAATTTGCTTCAACCCGGGCCTATGGTTATGATGTGTCATGACAGGGTAGCACTAGGTATACTACACCCAGATCCACCGTGAAACTCGTTCTAGTGAAACTTAAGTTCCTAATGAACTGCTCTTACGCTATCCTACCGGATACAATGGTCAACCGACCCTTTCATCACGACACCGCCACTGTCAGACAAAGTGTCCTCAATAGCCTATCTGGATACATTCATTGTGGGCCAAGTTGACGCCACGGCTGTGGCTTCTATCTTCCGTGGAACCTTCGTCCATTTGGTCTATCAAATTTTTTTTTTTTTTTTTTTTTGGCGCTCCGTGTCGGCCACTACTGAGCGCGATCATTGTAGCAAGCATCCTTCCGGCGAGAACACAAGCCACCACTCGAACAAATCCGCGGTTAGACCCATAATAACTCATCTATACAATCCGCTTCCCTTCGGCAGGGATGTCCACGAACAAGTAGGTCATGCGCGGTCCCTCATTGGCCCTGGAGATACCGGTCGCAGATGGAGATGACTGTCAATTAGACTTTGACCTGATCACGCTCCAGTCCCATTTGCCGCCGGCTAACCATGTTAAATTAATTCTTTGTGCCAAGCGATCAGTGGTGTGTATAACTCCCCGTATGTCCAATAGTCCTACCGCCACTGCAGCGTGGTGGAGCTCGCTGACGAGGCATAGGCATTGGTTCATCAGGCTGCTTATTAATCTGCGTATCAAGCTGTTGAGCACGATTTTAACCATCCTGTATAGATAAAATAGTATCATTCCCTATAATAGCATGTCTTCCTACTTTCTTCTTATATTTTTGCTTATTCTCAGCTCATAAAGCTTTGATTTCTTGCTGTAAAAGAAGATTTGTATTTATTGCTATCTGTATAGCCTTTTCAAGATATTGAATATAAGAGATTGGACTGCTAGAGAGCTTTCTTTTTTGAAAACTCCTTTATACACCGCAAAATTTTATGATCTAGCTAGCGAGGATTCTGAGAAGTTCAAAAAGCGGACAAAATTAGGCCCTCAACTAAAGATAGTGCTGGTATTAATATATACAGTTAAAAAGTAATTTTTGCAAGAATCTGCTCTTGATTAACTGGGTTGAGCCCTGCTCCTGTAAAGCCATTGTATATATTACGTATAGTAAACGCCTTTGCCTGTGCTTCTAGATATAGAGAAAGAAAGTCTTCTTTATCAATATAATTATTACTAGCAATCATACGCTTTTCAAGAAGCTTTCTATATACCCATTTAAGTAGGCCGAACACACTAGCATCAAGTGGTTGAAGAAGCTGTAAAGCATGGGCAGGCATGCAGAGACAGATAATTGTATTCTGCTTGCAGAAGATATCAAATTCAGCAGTTAGATGGCTGCTATCGCCATCAAGAATAAGTAATCACTTAGCACCGGTTATATAGCGCTTAGAGTATGGTTTAAATACCTCTTTTAACCAGTGAAGGTCTATCTCATCTATTATCCAGATATTATCTTCATATATACCATGTTCTTCAATACTGTATATATAGCTGGGAACCATGGTATTATAACCCTTAGATCTTCCTGCTTAGCACACTGATATATCATTCGCCGGCTATATCTTGTACCTAGCTGAGAATGGCATTTAATAAAGCTATAGGCCCAGTTAATGCCTATGGCTGCAGTAGGATCATGTTCATGAAGTAGTAGCTGTGCTATTCCTTGTAGACACTCTGGGCGGATAGAAAAACCACACTTATCTGCCTCAAGAAGTCTTTTAATAAGTGTCTTCTCTTGAGTAGTATCTAATTTACGATTATTAAGACGCGTTTCTGATCGTTGTTCTCGTTCTTTAAGACGGGCACAAAGAGTGGTATTAGATACGCCAAATATATTAGCAGCTTTAAGTTTTGACTTGATTTGACCATTTTTATAAGCTGAAGCCTGGCTTCTTGAGAAAGAGGCATTTTATGTTGTGGTGAAGATAAATAATTTTTTGAAGAATGCAAGTGGTAGGGTGATATGAAAATTTACCGCTCGCCCGTGGATTACATTACTTACACTACAGCAATGTGAAGGCGCACATAGACACATCCGCTTTACTTCACCATAGGGACGAAGCGCGGTTCCAATTTGAAAAACGATGAATATCAGAAAGATTTTCACTCTAGAAGCGCCATCGCATAGTCCCACGCACAATGAGATACCGATTCTAAGGTACGCGGGGCTGCTGGCACGAGCTAACCGGTCATGGCTGATGAAAATGATCAAACCGGGATTTGGTTGGATAGATCGCGCGCTGGAGATGCAACATTTCTTTTTTGGGCCGTCCTAATGCAAGTTGGCCTTGTGGCACACTATTGTGCGATTATGCAGAGATCAACAAAGCGGCTGAAAGGGGAAAACAAGGGGCGAGGAAAAAAGAACAGAAAAAGTAATACTAAATATATTGCGGTGGATCCCAACAAACCACCGTCCGTGTATCATGAGGCCAAGGAGAAAAAAGATCAGTGAATAAGAATCAAGGGATGAACATGATGTGTCCTCAGGTTTACACTGGAGTAATACGCAGGCGTGCATAGGGTTTTCATCACCGCTTCTATGGTCAAAATGTACAAGGCCCAACTAAGTAAAAGCAAAATGGCTACAACTCGACAGGTCAAATCGTCACTGATCGACTGGTCGACCCGACCCACTGGTTCAAGGCTAGTGGCGTTCTGCACGAAGTCTTCGATTGAGCCAATTAACACTGACCGATGGATGAATCCTGCAATAGTTTATCGTTCATGCTCCTTGACAAACAGCGCTAATAGTGAGTCCTAGTGTGATCCTTTGTAGATTGCCACAGAAAAAAAAAAAAGAAAGGCAAAAAAAAGGGAAAAGGACTCCGCGGGGACGGGAACAGGAAATGAAAAGAAAAAAGAACAAAGGCCCTGATGTAAAACCCAATCAGGATAGTACATTCACTTCTGGATGACTATGACTTTCTTCCTTCCATTACCGTCAACGAATGTCGGTCGTAGTATAGTGACAGGAATACTTCCACGGAAGTTTTCTCATTCAAAGGGTAGTCGCTCAACACAACGCATGAGGTGACTGCTTCAGTTTACTGAATTCAATTCAGGTCTTTCCGCGATGGTATGAGGATCATGGTGGAATTCGAATGTTTCATCCCTTCCGTTGCTGAGCGAGTCAAACCCCGTGCTTTTGCCCAGCGGCCAATTTATCCGAGTCCCACGAGAAAAGTCGGCCATCATAAAGTAAAAATAACAATTGCTAATTAAAAAGTCTCCCACTTAATCAGCAATTTCAATACACAGGGACACACCGTATCGGGGAGTAAAAGTACGATTATGACTCCAATAGTGGGCCCAGAGCTGAAGGCCTCGGTTTCGGCCCAGTATCATCGGAAGGAATTTTATGTCTCAGTCCAGGGCAGTGCCCACACCAGCCGGTGGGAGATACATGCACAACAGGTGGGTAGTCATAGTTGAGGCGAACAAAGGTTCTCACAGTACTGCTGTGGACCTGATCGACTTTCAGCCATGTTTCCCTTGTGAGGAACCAGGTAGACGGTTCCCTGGGCTGCATTGGTGAGGCGTGAACTAAGTCGTAGTGTCCAATCTCCGTCGAATGGCCATGGCTGCGCCTTCCAACATAGCGTGTGTCTAGGGCTTCATAGGATTGAGATCCCGGCGCGGTCTCATGCATGGGCTGCACCATGATTGACAAATTGTCCCAACCTTGACGTCAGCCACCACGAGTCTGGATTGGTTGGGGAAGACTGACACTCGGGAGCTTATCGATGATGATCCTTCCACGATTTCAGATTGAGACCGGGTCCAGTCCGTGCCTCTTCAGCCATTCGTCTTCCAGAACTCAGTTGTACGGTGCCTTCTAATTTCAACGTTAACGTCATCCGCCACAATGTAATGGTAATAATATGTAATCTCTCACCGCTCAGTCTGGGTAGTTAGTGAATGTGGGTAAAGGTGAAATGGAGGAACTCGATCCAACTCCCCATGCGGAAAGTGCGCGGAAGTCACGAGTACCGCAAGCAGGTGACAAGAAAGCCACTTCTTTCAGGTCATAAAAGGCCAACCTACGCTTTAAATACTGCTATCCTTTCACACTCCCATCTCTCCTTCTTCACCCCAAATTCAGTCAATGCGTGTTGATTGCCCACCCTTGCATTCAATATGGGGATCCCGCAATATAACGGCGCATCAGATCATGATGCCCCAAAGAAACCAACAGACACAGATCAATTGATTGCACATTTTGGTCGTCTTCACGTCCTAGACGACCTCATCCGTTTACGGGCAGCAGATCCAATCCAGCTCCCTATCCTTGCCTATCCCAAGCCTTCTCACGATGATACGACCTCTTATGAATACTTCACCGGTCAAGACCTGGACTGTATGGTGGACCAAACAGTATCGACATTGATTGATTATGGTTTCAAGCCGGTGAGTATAGCATGCTCCTCAAATCCAAAGACGTGTTGGACAACGTGGCGCTCATACAATACCAGCCTCGCAACGATGGAGCCATCGTTGCCCTCTTCACGCTGTCTGATCTCAATATGGTGGTTACATTCTTCGCTCTTAGTAGGCTGGGATACACAGTCATGATGCTCTCTCCACGATTGTCAGCCGCTGCATGCGTATCACTTCTAGATATGGTCGGTTGTGATACCATCCTCTATGGACAGACACCAAGTATCCGTGCCACTATGGGAGAGATTCTCCGCCTGAAGTTGATCGCATGTCGTCCGATTATCCAACGACCAGCTCTGGATGGCTCTGATGAGACTGAAGTGTTAGTCCTCCGCAAGAATCGGAATCCAGAAGTCCAAAAACAAAAGATCGCTTTGATTCTTCACTCTTCCGGGTCAACCGGCATGCCAAAGCCTCTCTATCTTAGTCACAAAGCCATCATGACCCATCCAATGCGTGGCCCGGGATTGACCTCCTTCAACTCCCTCCCATGGTATCATCTCCATGGCTTATCAACCGCCTTGCAGGCAATGTACATGAGAAAGGTAGCATATATGTGGGATGCATCCCTCCCTCTGACGGCATCATCAGTCTCCTCGGCCCTCGCGGCCGCGCAACCAGAATCAGTTCAGGGTGTCCCTTATATTCTCCAACTTCTAGTGGATAGTCCAAAGGGTCTAGATGCGCTCCGAAAGTGCAAGTTGGTAACATATGGTGGTGCACCATGTCCCGACGAGCTCGGAGATCGACTCGTGGCAGAGAAGGTTCGTTTCGGTGGCTCGTTTGGTCTGTAAGTATTACTTGAAATCATAACTTTGTCTTTGCGGCCATGTTAATAGTGTTGCCTAACACTACAATAGAACAGAGGCTGGCCTTGTCGCAGAGTCTATCTCCCGTCCAGCAGGCGATCCCTTTTGGAATTATATGAAGTTCTTCGACAATATTCGCCCCTTCATCTGGATGAAGCCCATCGGTGCAGATCTTTTCGAATGCGTTTATCTTGCTGGTCACCCAGCACTGACTGCATCGAATTCAGATCAGCCTCCGGGGTCGTATCATTCTCGCGATGTCTTCACACCGCACCCCACCATTCTTGACCGGTGGAAGTATGTGACCCGGTTAGACGATCGTGTCACACTTGTCAATGGAGAGAAGGTGTTACCTCTTCCTATTGAGGGAGCTATAAAACAAAGCCCATTCATTCAAGAAGCAGTGATAATTGGAGTGGGGAAATCTGTCCCAGGTCTCTTAGTCTTCCGGTCAGAAGAGACAAAGCACTTCTCAGACGAAGAGTATATGGACCTTATCTGGCCTACAATTGAAGATGCAAACTCACGAGCGGAGCAATTCTCTCAGATCGCAAGAGAGATGATAACTGTTTTACCAGTGGGCTCAATTTGTCCTCGCACGGACAAGGGGTCCATGATAAGAGCGCAGGTATACGCAAAATACGCTGATGTGATCGAAGACACGTATACCAGGCTTGAGCAGTCTGCAGCTGGTACTCTTCGGCTTAATCAAAGCAGTACCGAAACCCATCTGCTGAGATTATGCCGACAAGAGCTTGGATTTCCTATCTCCAGCGTGGATTCCGATTTCTTCGCCGAGGGTGTTGATAGTCTAAAGGCGATCCATTTGCGTCGGCTGATACTGAGAGATTTCCAGATCACTGACAGTAAAAGCATCGGTCAGAATATAGTGTTCGAAGCAGGCAATGTCTCTCGTTTGGCAGAGCACATCCAGGCCGTTCAGAGTGGTCAGGATACGAAGGCGGAAGATGAAGTATCACTGATGCCAGCACTGGTTGAAAAGTACTCTGCATTCTACCAGCATGCCTCAAGTCCGGGCTTAGTATCAAGTAACAGGGGTGTGGTATGTTTTTCCAACCTATTCTCTGGCGTTCCCTACTAACTCTATCTAGATCCTCACTGGTGCCACTGGATCAATCGGCGCACACACGCTCTACAAGCTTCTCAATGATGACACTGTATCCGTTGTGTACTGTCTGACACGTAGGGATCAGCCAAAGGAAGAGATCCTGGACGCTCTCGCAAATAAAGGCTTGGAAGTTCCGGCTTTTCGGACAAAGAAGGTTGTCGCTCTGCGGAGCTATCTGGACAAGCCTGATCTGGGAGTTGGCGACGAGATGCTAGATGAGATGAGGCGATCAGTTTCATTGATCATCCACACAGCTTGGCCCGTCAACTTTAACCTTCCTCTAGTTAATTTCGAGCCTCACATTCAAGGGGTGTACAATCTCATCCAACTATCCTTATCGGTGCATCTTCCTGCTCCAGCTGTCCTCCTGTTCTGCTCGTCAATTTCCACAGCTCTTGGTGCTTCATCCTCCGAAATCAACGAGACGCCCCTTGAGGATTTGCATAGCGCACTTGAAATGGGGTATGGCCGTTCAAAGCTGATCGGTGAAAGGATTGTGAGCAACGCGAGGAAATCGGGCGCTCGAGCCTTTTCACTAAGAATTGGCCAAGTCTCGGGACACTCTAAGAGAGGCCTTTGGAATGATTCTGAGGCCATACCTCTGATGATCCGATCGGCGCTGACACTCAAGGCTCTACCCCGGATTGATACCACCTGCTCATGGCTCCCGGTTGACAAGCTTGCCTGTTCAATCCTGGAGATCGCCAAGGCCTGCTCAGTTAACTCGTTTGAAGACCGTCAGGCCAGCCCATTTATCGATGACACTATCTACAACTTGTCTAATCCTCGATCATTTACCTGGACTGCCTTGCTCGACAGCCTCCGACGGAGCGGATTCGATTTCGAAACGGTCCCCTTCGACAGGTGGTTGCAGATGCTACGCGACAGTGCATCTCGCGGCGAGGAGCTGATCAATCCTGCCGTTAAACTAGTCGACCATTACGAATCGATGTACGGAGAGGACGCCTTGGCGCCAAAGACTTTCATCACGGATAAGGCTGAAAGAGACAGTGCCACACTCCGGAATGGTCGCCTGAGGATCATCCAGGATGGTATCATGAATCGGTATGCCAAGGATTGGTTGCAGCGCTGGAAGACCTTCTAGACCGAGCGGCACGTACGACGAGATGATTATAATGCGGATTGACGAGAATCACGACGTTGTCCATACCTATTTTGACTGTTGCACATAGAATGAACCAACAGTAATACTATTATTCCTGATTGTTTGTATTTACATGTGAGCCGCGGGAGTGATCACTAGAATGGCCATTCACTAGTGAAGCACCAGCAGATCGAAAATGATTTCCACATGGCTTCGCAGTATTCCGGGGGGTTACGTGAAGGAAGCGGCAATCTGTATCAATTTTTTTTTTTTTCGGCGGAGACATTTCTCTAGTTTATACTTCAGGGGAAGTAATTTTTTAAGTAAATCTGGTTTTTTTTTGTTTTAAGCAACAATCTGATACATTGACACAGTGCACAAACAAAATCAAAACTGTCTACGCAAGACAGGTCGAAGTCACAAAGCAATGTAGAGTCAAATCGTCAATTTTATTTTATTAAGTGAAAAGAACAAATGTGGGTATTTGTAGAAAGCTCCTACAGGATATTCCGCTGCAAAATAATGTAGGCCAGAAAGAAGTTTAAAAAAATCCACCGACGTATAAATACACGATCTAGACCAACATGGCCATGACCAGACCACCCATGATACCCGTCAGGCCAGAAATACTGACGGACTTGCTTGCGCCAGCAGTGAAGACCGGGCTATCGGGGTTCGAGCCCGAGTTGCTCTTAGTGGGAGCGGAAGAGTCCTGGGCAGTGGTCTGGGTCGCTGATGTTGTGGTAGATGTAAAGCTGGAAGAAGATGCAACACGGCTTGAGGAGCGGATGTGCTGGGACGAGGAGGGGCTAGGGCTGCGGAGAGGAACTACGCTCGCCGGAGGAACGGGGGTGGCGGTCGGCGCTGCTGGCTCGCCGGGGATCTGAGGCGATTTGGTCGTTCCAACTGGGCTGACTCCCTCTGGGGTTTCCTGCTCTGCAGGGGCTGGGGTCGAGGCAGCTGGGGTAACAGTGCCAGCTTCGACAGTGGTTGCAGCGGGCTGAGGCTGTTCAGGTTCCTCGACGCTAGGGGTTGGTGTGCTGGATTCGGAAGTTTCGGCGGCGGAATTCTCAGGGGACACATCAGTGGGAATGGGGTTGCCGTCGTTCACTGTGGTTTCAATGGCCTGTGATTCAACAGGTTCCTGGACCGTTGGTGTGGGTGCAATGGGGGTAAGACCAGAGTCCACCGAGGAGGAGCTCGTTGGCGAGACGGCGGTCTGTCCACCGCCAAGGGTCTGGATGGAACCTCCACGGGTGGTATCGCAGATGGTAGTGGTCTCGGTCACATAGATGGTGGTTTCCGAAACATCAGAGCCTTCCTCGCTGTCATCCGACGAAGGGCTGGCTGGGGCCGCTGGAGTAGCTGTGGTAACGGCATCGGCAGCGCTGGGCTGGGGATTGGCGGTCTCCGGGACGTTGGTTGGGGCCGCAACGGACGCCGTCTCGGACACGGGAGCGTTTGTCTCGGGCAGGGTCGTGGAGGTAACGGAAGGAGCAGGGGCCACTGTCTCAGACACAGCAGCTGTAGCGGTCTGGGCTTGCGGGGCTGCAGAGGCGGTTGCATGGCCAGTGCCGGTCTTGAATAATTTGATGTAGTTGATCTCCCAGTAGGCTTCCTTGAAAGCGGCAGGGTTCTCGGCCACGTACTGAACACAGCTCTTGATAGGGTTGCTAGCGTCACTGACCGGGCATCCAGAGTCCCCGAACACACCACCGGCCCAGTCGCCACAGAATGTGGTGTCAATGATGAACTTTTGCGACTTAAAGCGGTCGTGGAAGTTGCACGTTCCCTGCAGGTGAGCCATGGGGGTGCCGAAGGCAGTCGTGTCCGGGTTACCATCGGTGATTGACTTAGGGATGTCACCGCGCGCGAAATACCAGATCTTGATGAACTCCGCGGTCCACTCCATGGCGTAGACACCACCACCCTGTTTATTAAAAGGGGCGCCCGAACTACCACTCTTGCCCTTAACTACACACCCGATGGTACCAGAGGCTTCACCGCACTCGTTCGATGTCATGGTACCGGACATCTCATTATCGCTTGACAGGGCGCAGGAGCCGCTCGTGTGCAACACAATCTCATTGGCTTCATGCTTGTTTACCCCCTCGATGATATCAATCTCGCCATCATGGGGCCAGTCGGGACCAACGGACCAGAACGCCGGCCACGTACCGCAGACGCTACCCGGCATATGCTCGAGATCGATAATGTACAAACCCTCATCATAATACTCCTTACTTTCGATACGGACCGAGTCTCGGCCAGGGCCGTTCGCGCTGAGTGTGGTCTTGTAGTCAACGCCCATATAAAAGCTCCCGCTCTCAGTCACCTGGATGAGACCAGAGCTCTCTGCGTAGCTCTGATTGGCATAGGTGACGAATCCATTGGTTGGGTCAGCGCCAGTGAAAAACTTGAAGTGGTCAAGAAACTTCTGCCCCTGCCAGGCTTCAATCAGTTGGTAACGGCTACCAGAGCCGTTCGCTATTGTGGGTGTGATCAAGGATGAAAGCGCAATCGATCCTACACTCCACAGGAAAGACGAGGCGGACATCCTGCTTGCGATTGACTAGAACAGCAAAGGAGGGAAAAAACTTGTAAATTGGGTAAGATGACGCCTTGAAGATCTCAGATCTGGTCAAATCCGGGAGTGACTCGAGGGATTATTACTGAAAAGAATGAATCCAACCGTCAAGGCTGGGAGAGTTGATTAGAAAGGACAGGAATGAAAATATGCAGACTTCGATCTGCAGCAACAAAATAGTTCGGTAAAGAATGTAAGTGGTTCTAATTGGCAAAGTAAGAAAAAAAAAGAAAGAAAAAAGGGGAGGTCAAGAGAGAGAAATGTAGTACAAGATTGAAAAAGTATGGACCAGCAGGGGACATTAGATATAATAAACAAACGGAAATTCCCCCAGTGGACCGACCCTCCATCAAGGCTAGTAGCCTATCTTCCATGCATGCCCCTGGCTGGACAAGGCTCGCACAACTCTTACCGTTATAGTTATCGTAGATAACTAGCATCAGCCTATGATGGTGGCCAAATTCATTCAGCAGACGCCGTTGGGCCCACGAGTCGAGAGAGGGCCGTTCGTAACTGGCCGCGCCACAAGGGTTAGAGCGAATCAGTGATCAAATCAGCATGTAGACAAAAATTGTCTATTTTGTGAGGAGACCCAATGGGGCGCGCGCCTCCATTCTTTGTCCTAGCATACCAATAGACGAAGTTGCATTTCTAGTCGGCGGTCGGGTATCCTGAAACGCGAACATCTCCTGAGAGGGGAAGAGCATGAAACACAGGAGGCGCCTATCTTTAACACTCCAGAAGAAGCGGCTGTTTCCACCGAATTGTGCCCAGGAGAGTTCGTCGTGAAATGGAAGAAAAAAATAAGAAAAAATTAGACATGACTTTGTCTCTACTTCTTCATGTCCGATACTGTGCTGCGGATAGAGTCATTCCAAGCGCGGTGCCTGGCAACACCTGCTTACATTTTTCAAGATCAGAACACGGTCGGATCAGCCACTGACAGATGCGGAAAAAGCCAGCCGATCTGAAATTTGCACCGGACAGGCTTCGAATTAGTGCCTGAGTTTCCCACATAGCCTAAGTGGGCCGGTTGAGTCCAGACATGGTGTGGAGCAAAATGTGGCAACGGCGTAGTTGCTCTGTGTGGACTAGTCCCACCGGCAGCGCGAGTCCGAGAGATCAAATTGACTAGGATGTCAGCCAAGGGAAAGTATGAGGGGGAGAGAAAAGGGGAGAGAGATTATTACTTGTGACCGGATGAGATGTCTAGACTCTGGACCGTGAATGAGTGTGGATGGGGAATGAAGAAGGAAAAGGAAGAGGAAGATGATCTTCATGGCCAAACAGAACAAAACAAAACAAAACAAAACAAACAGGAAACAACATGAACCACTTTTCTTCCTATTTTTAACACATTCAATCATTATTGTTAAGTAACCTTCAGTCTTGAAATGAATTTGTACTACTACCGTGACTAATATATTTCTAAATCAATACTCTCTCCTATTATCTATTGTCTCGGCAGTCTTGATATTAGGATCATTACTCCATACTATTTATTATCTGGAACCTCCCGTCCGGTCCCACGGATCCTTCCCGCTCTAATAATTCAATTCTCCGAATTCGTGGCTGACTTTGACACTTTGACTCCGAGTTCCCATCCGGCTGATTTGAAGAACAAAGACACATCGTAACATCGACACATAGCCCCATCTCTCTAATTATGATCAATAGATATGATTGAACTGACTAAACAATTGCGTAGCGTAGGCAGTTCGAAGGTTCTAATTCTATTGCTTGAAACGGAAACCCCGTTTTTATGGTGCGACCCGAAAACGCTTATTAAGCAGCTTAGGTCATGTGATCTTCAACCAAGGTGTTACCCCACAACATTAAAATTTCAATTCGCACCACCCCTTTCAGTATTCTTACACCCTGCTATCGTCACCACCACTATCCTCCCCACCAGTTATGGCGACTTTGGCAAGGAATGTATGTTGAACTATCAAGTGTTAACTTACCGCTTACTATATTCAGTGTTTTAACTAATTATGATAACCTAGAAGTGGTACATATGGTATCTTTATAAGGCTGCTACAGAACAGCTAGAGCTTCTGCTGTATAAGCAGATAAAATATATTCTCGCACTTCCCTGATCACTGATTACTTTAGAAGTGGCTGTCGATAGCTTTAAATGTTATTGGCGACCAGGGAAATGATATATACAGAAATAAAAAGGAAATCAACTTTCATTAAGGACCACGTGTAATTTATGTAATTTATAAGCTCATGCGACTTCTTTCTGCTTAGTAATTTCTTTGGCAGTCACGTGCATTGGATATGGGTCACGCGACCCTTCCCAAGTGGTGCCGTGACCTGCACCATCCACTAAAAATATATAGTTAGCAGTGTAGGTAACCCGTCACCACCAGCTACGGAGTACTACAGTACTACTACTACTATTACTAGACTCAAACCGGCGTTGACTGACATTCAGCATGATAATGCCCGGCTTTTAATCTTCCTAATAAAACATGTCCTATGATACCGTGGTCCTTGCCTGCAAATCCTCGGTGTTGGACCAACAACGTTTGCCCTACCTTGAGCTACCAACGCTCCATATATCACATTTACACCAAAATAGAAAATGAAAGCCAATCACTCGAAATACTTTGCACTGAAGTTAAATCATTGGTGAAATGTCAGCTCGGAAACTTCCCGCACTCTTCCTATACTTGAAACAAACTATTGGCATGCCTCGTGTCTTCCCGAGTCAAAATATTATGGAAGAGACCCGTTCCACGGTATTAGTGCGTGCATACTCTTGTAAGTGGCTAATTATATGAAAGGACATCCAGGTCCAATATCCCGTCCAATTGCATCTAGATATGCAAGCTGTTGGGTGGATAGATTACAATGAGTCAAGTTCTATATTCCGAAGAAGGACTGTCTCCACCAGACAGCAATTTAACGGGTCTTTTAGACAACAGGATTTGATAGAAAAGATCCTACAGAGTATCATGCCGCTTCTTCAAGTCAATCGTTCGTTATTACATTCCTTCCGTCACCTTGTTTATTTCAATTTTGTAACCCTTCGTTGGTATCACATACCCTGACGCCTGAAAATGATGCAGCGGGATAACAGCTGGCTAGCTAGAACGGCTTTCCTTCTGACAATCGATATGACTTAAATGGCACACTTGACGAGAACGTCTGCCGCCCCTTTACATGTCATATCCCCATCAAGTATCCTCACAGCTTCGCGGCTCTGGCCCGCCTACCTGTATCAATCTCAGTCCACCATGGATAATTCGGCGGGGCATCCACCCCCAATGTGGCTACGAAAACAGGCTTTCTTTTCTCCAGGAAGGATTTGGCACCTTCTTGCATATCCCTGTACCATGTCAGCGGTGCACCGATGAATAAGTTGCCAAATAATGTAGACACATAGTGCATCAGAATATCCTTAAAGTACCCACCGACCACTAAACATATGATAAATCACCGTCGAATCAACAATATGGGTCCCCTCCGCAGTGCCCGGATTGCGCCACATGAGCGCATAATTCAGATGCAACGCCAACGGGCTCACATTTTCCGCGATCTCAGTCGCCAAGTCCAACGCACGAGACACTACCTGCGTAGCATCGGGACGAGTCTCGGCAAATAACGAGCCGAAATGCGGCGACGTCGGCGGCAATACATGGCCGGTGGTCAACAAGTACATGGCATGCGAATATCCGATCAGACGGGGGAGGAAGAACGATGAGCTTGATTCTAGGGTTAAACCGCGACGAGCGAAGAGGAACCCGTACTTGGCCTTTTCGCACGCTATCCGAACGGCGCAGGGCAGGGTTATGGCGATTCCTATGCCGACAGCGGAGCCTTGGAGGGCGGCGATGGTGGGTTTGCGACACCGGTAGATGGATAGGGCCATGCGTCCGCCGCTGGATGTTTAGGAGGTTTGGTGGATAGACATAGGGTTTGGATACTTACGGATCGCGAAAGTCGAGCGGTCGCTCTTGCTCCAGATTTAACGGGGCTTTGAGATCGGCTCCTGCGCAGAAGAACTTGCCTGCTGCGGTCAACACGACGACTTTGACGCGTTCGTCTACGTCGAACATGGGGTAGACCTTCTCGAAGGCGTCCATCAGCTCCGTTGAGAAGGCGTTGTTCTTGTCTGGTCGGTTTAGGGTCACAACCACGACGGGCGTGGCCACCGGGGCGCCCTCCGGATAATGCGAGACCTTGACATCAGCGAGAGCGAGCGTCTCGTAAGACTTGGGGATTGTTACAGAAGGTGAAGCTGGTACCATCCTGTGACATGCCACTTTGACACCGTCTATCACGGCAAAGATTCAAATCAACATTTCAATCCATATATAAGCATGACGTACGCCTCAGGCGCCCCGCACTGAGACACCCATATAAAATCATCACGAATAGGTAAGTTTAGCTATACTACAACTTCGAAAACATCCCCTCCCTCTCAGCCCTAACATCCAATTCCTGCGTCCACGTACTCCTTGGTTGCATATACAAAAACCAATAAATCTCCGCCAAATCGCGCGGCTGCATAACATACCTCTCCATCTCCCTCAACTTCTCCATCTCTCCCTCCCTCTCCCACTTCTTCCTCAGCCACCCCCCAATGACATCACTATCCACCGGCCCATCAACAATAACATGCGCCGCATGAACCCCCTTACCCTGAAACTCCCTCGTAATAACCTGCGCCAACGCCCTCAGCCCAAACTTCCCCGGCGAAAACCCCCCCAACCCAGGACTCCCCCTCACCGACGCCGTCGCGCCCGTAAAAATAACCGTCCCCGCCCCGGCACTCAGCATATCCGGGAGCACACACTTAGCCGCATAAAACGCCCCGAACAGATTAATCCGGGTGAAGTTCTCGAATTCTTCCGAGGAGGTCTCAAGGATTGTCCGGGGGCGGAGGCGTCTCGAGCCAGCATTGTATACGAGGACGTGGACGGGGCCTAGGTCTTCTTTGATGGAGGCGAAGGTCTTGATCATGCTCGTTTCGTCGCGGACGTCTATGACGTAGTATTCCGCTGTGGTGGGGGAGTTGGCGGCGTTGATGGAGTCTTGGATGTGTTTGAGCTTGTCTTCTGTTCGGGCGATCAGGGCTACGCTGAAACCCTTTTTGGCGAAGTGGTGGGAGACGGCGGAGCCGATTCCGGGGCCGGCGCCCACGACTGCTAGCACCGGGTTGGAGTTGGGGTTTAGGGACATTTTGGGGGTTGGTTTGGAGTGTAGATGCGGGGTGTTGGGTGTTATATATAATCTGGAGATGGGTTATAAGGTTGGTTTAAATAGTAATCAGCTCCGATGGGCCGAGGTTGTTGATTACTAAATGGGGCAGTCATATCAGCACATACAATATGGCGGATGTGGAACGGCAAAGGATAGAAAAAAAGAGGGCGAGAGATATATAGTATGGCCTGATTGTAATGGGTAGCAATCACAGCTTCATATGGAACGGATTAATATTGGGCTCAGCTTAGGTTTGGGCTTCAGATCCCATGAATGTCTACTAAGCTTGGATTTGTTTGAAAATAACATGCGAGTTTTGGATCTTATTCAATCTCTATTGGAACCGACAAGGGCGTCACTGATCTAGTGATACCGTACTTATTAAATAAACTAGACATAAATGAGTAGTTTTTGTTAGAAAGTGTATGCGACACATACTCTATTTCAGTGTGAGAACGAACGGCTTTTCGGCGCTGGAGTCGCGACAACACCTAAAAGAGCAGAGCAAGCGACTGATAAAACGACTCAGAACCGGCGATATCCACCTCATGATCATCAGGAAACAACACTAGATCTTCCCACATATCTGTGTCATCCATCACTTCCGACAGTGACGCGGAGTCAAGGGTAGAACTTTGCATATTAGCCTGGGTTGCTTGCACCCTCGATGCGCCGGCAACGGCTGGACTAGAGCGATCTGTACGGAAATCATTCGTCGCATTTGAAATCAGAGCCTTGACTTCCTGCGATGAGATAATATGCATTGCATCGGTCAGGATTTCCACGCTCTGGTTGCTAAGCGGCGTGCCCCCTCCTATTAGGGGTAGAATATTGATCAATCGTGCAAGAGCCTGCTTGTACTCGACTAGTTGAGGCGAGGAGAGGTCGGACAAAGCTAGCATCGCTAGCACGACGCCAGCAGTGAAGAGCTGAAAACATACTTGAGCAGCACACGTTGTCCTCGAAGCGAGAACAAGGATTGTCCGCCAGTCGTAAACTTTCGACATCCTAATGGCAGAGACAGACAATTGGTCGCGGACGGTGATTGAGATGCTATTTTGCGCTTCTGCAGGATGCGGATGCAATTGAATGCTTAAATGTTTTTTATTGAGCAGAAAAGGTCGGAATAAGAGGAGATGATTATAATCGTAAGTCAGTTGGAGAGTTATCGCCTGGAGGGCAAAAATACGCAGGGCCCCGTGCTGGTGCACTTCGTTCTCAGTGCTGCTAAAGCTGTCCAGCCGTAACTCTCGCGGGAGAGTCTTTTCCCATTCTAGAAGACGGGCATAAACACTATTTATCTGCTTTAGGCGCATGCGTTGGGTATTGAGACTCATGATCGAATAAAGTGGACTTTTGTATCTGTTGTAGGAGAAGATGGTTACGCGGCTGAATGTGCCATCTTCCCGCACCTCAAACGAACCCATTCCGGGACATGCAATTAACGTATCATCCAGATCATCAGGCTCGAATACCTGAAATCGCGATCCGACAAAAACAGAGGGCTTACCGTAAGCCTGCGCGGTGTACCTGAATAGAGCAGTATTGTGAGTCTATATGTCCGGCTACTTCAGATTGGAATCTAAGAACCTACATATCTGCCATGTAAATGGACCACCATACTCTCCTGCGCACCTGGAGCTCAATATGGTCAAGGGGTTCCCAGGTCGTTTCGTCTTGCAACCCTATAGCTTGGGCGACCCGGACACCAATGCCTGTCATTATGAACGCGAGCTTGGTCTTGCGTTCGAGAAGGTATGTGATTGACATCAATAGCGCGCAACTGACGGACTCAAGAGTAACATCATGCAGTGCAATAAAAAGATGTTTCTCAACTGCTTCGAGTAATTGCGACGAGTATAGCGCAGAATCAAACAGAGCATCGTGCGGACCAATGCTCTCGGGGCATACAAATCGAGCCCCGATCATCAAAACAATCAAGATGAGCATCAAAAACGGCTTCTCTGATGCAGAAATACGGCCCGTCCGAATAATAGGCGCCAATCGGGCGCGAAAGCTTTGCTCGTGGAACAAGGCCAGATACCAATGATTAGCCTGAAGATATGCGTCGACCAAAACGGACGTGATGGGGGCTGGTGGTAGATCAATCCCGACCACGTCCTTCACTCTTAACCTGAGTCCATCGTCCGCAGGATTCTTGCTGATAGGGTGTCCATCCGGGATGGCATCCGACTGTCGAAGTTTTGTGAGGTGGTTTTGAAACAACTAGTCAAAATTAGGGAAGAGGCTTAAGCCAAAGTGAGATAGAAGGCCTTACCTGTTCTACTAGATGAAAAGTAGAAGTTGTTTGTTCTGTCTGACTTGACATGACTGGGGTGGGTCTGCGCACTGCATGGTGCCCTGAGTTCTCATTTGGACAGGGTGAAGGCAACGTTTCTACTCGACGGTCGGATTGTTCTCTGCCCTCATTCACGAGCGATAGGCTGGATCTGGCTTTTTTCCTGCGATTACAAGATCAGACCTGTTTAACTCACGCCCATTATCAAGCTACAATACTCACTTTTGCCGCTTGTTAGGGATGTCGCGGCACTCTATGTGAGAACGGGTGCACAATTGGCAGGGCCGTGTGTCATCGCACTAGAGGTATTTTAGTTATGATATTGTGCATAAAGTTGACTAGCCAGTTAGATAACCTTAAGCTTTTGCCGTCGACATCGCATGCATGCGTGCCGTGCTCTTGCCGGTTTCATTGTAGATATCAATGTAGGTATGAATCCCGGGGGCCGGTGGAAGTTGTCGGATGTGACATGCTTAAGCATATTATCGACCTGCCGAGGATATAAATTGCCGAGGATGGTCCGTTTTTCCGGTGGAAGTCAAGCCTAGAATTCCGATATACCTCCTTCCGCAACAACCACCAGCTTGAAAGAATAGGGAAAGGACTCCTTTTCCCTTGACAAGTAAGAAATATAGTAAATAATGAGTAATGAAGCACTCTTAAAGTCCTATAATGGACAAAGCTCAAAGTATAAAGAACCAACAACCACCCGCTATATCCGCGACAATGCGACGCGTGCCGTCTATGGACCCAGCCAAGAACTATGATCTGCCCGACATAGATCTGCTGTCTTTAAACTTTGATAGCTTTCTTTATTTAATCATCCGGAGTGGCACCACACTGATAGGGAATAGTTTTCCTCTGGTGCTAGCTACAGACGATACCGTTCTGCACACTGAAGTCGCGGACCAGAGTAACCGAGTGACCAAGGCTCAATGTCGCACTTTCACCGAGGAGATAGCCCATGTTTTCTGTGTAAAATACGCAATTGGTACCAACGGTCCTAGTATTGATGTGGTGGCCTGCATCTCAAGCGGCCGAGTTCTTCTGTCCTCGCTGTTCTACGGAGGCATAGCTGCTGGAGGGTTTATAGTGCTTCTAGCTCCAGCTTCACCACCTCCGAGGTCGCGCGACAGTGTGAAACACGATGAATGTAAATTGGTGATCGCTAGTGAGGATTGCGAACAGGTTCCCTAGAAGCAGCTCGTCTGCGCGGCGTCCCATTGGAGCGGGTATTGATTCTAGAAAGCCGTGGCGGACAACGAAGTCTCCGAGACTGTTGGGCCCTAGCCAATATATCAAAAAAGCACCGCGGGACACTATCCCGGGAAGTGATCCCCGACCCAGTTATACTACGGGACCGCACAGCATGTTTGATATACAGCAGCGGAACGACCGGGAAGCCCGAAGGTGAGGGACCTTCAACAAATCAGAACGGAACCCTAACACCTGAGTTCTGGCAGGCGTGCGAATCTCACACCGGAATCTGTTTTCTTCCGCAAGGGTATTTATATTTGCGTATCGGGACTACATCGCCCGGCAGAGACTTAAAGATCCGAATTTCAAGTCTGAATACCGAACAGTTGCACATCTCCCGCCGCCCATATTGCTGGCTTATAGGCCTACCTCCTTCAACCGGCATTATGTGGTGGAACGATCTGCTGGACAGCCAAATTTGACCCCCGTAGTTCCTCCAGTACTGCAAAATGTACCGCGCAACTATTTATCACTGTTCCCCCGATATACCAGCTTATGGTGCAGAGCCCGTTGGTAACTGACTAGTCTAAGCACATGATTCATGCTGTATCCGGGGCAGCATCCATGGGTCCGGACCTGGGTAAACGTGCGGGGAAAAGTTAGGGTGTCCTGTCACCCAGACTTGGGGACTTAGTGAAACTACTGGTAGTGTAGCTGTATCGGCATAGGATGAAAGTTGGAACGATGGTAGTATTTCGCCTCTTGTTCCGAATATCCGACTGCGAATCGTTGACGAGGAGGAAAATGATGTAGAGGAAGGTCAAGGAGGAGTGTTCATCGTCCAAGGGCCCATGGGTTAGTCGGGGATACTGGAAAGACGAACAAGCTTCCAAACAGAGCTTCACAGTCGACGGATCTGGGTTTAAGACAGGGGTTTTGGGACTTCACCGAAACGGGGTGCTCTTTATTATAGACTGGAAGATGATAAGTGTCTCTGAACCCTGGATATCCTCGTCTCAAGATACTAATTGTATCATTCTTAGGGAAACGATCAAGCATAGAGGACTCCAAGTCGCCCCTGCAGAGTTGGGAGCGCTTCTACTCTCCAACCCACTAGTCCAGGATGCCGCTGTGATTGGGATCCCAGATCCAAAGATGGAAGGGAATGAGTTGCCTTGTGCCTATGTAGTAGCAGACCAGAATCAAGTCCCCGAGCGCAAGATACACGATTTTGTTAAACGGAACCTGGCATCCGGGGCGGCGTTGTCTTTGTCGATTGCGTCCCAAAAGGCCCCACCGGAAAGATCTTGAGGAGAGAGTGAAGAAGGTCAGGAGAAAGGCACGCCTGTGATAAAACTGTTTGTATAAAGCGATCTACATTTGAATATATAATCAACTGTATTGTACGGAAAGATTAAATTAACCACCAATTCCCATTTCCGGACGAAGTCTAGTACATCACAGAGCTATAAATTGTCGAACGTCGACATTCAATGCGTCTGCACCGTACGTGATATCCAGCAACATGAAAGGACTATCCCCGCAGAGCAGGGATTAGGATTTTGTTTAGTGTGAATACTATAGCCGACGGAATGGGACATGAACATATGATCGACAAGTGTTACCCGAATTCCGGTGGAAGTCAAGCAACTTCCGGTGGAATACGCCGCGGGACCGTTGATGTTGCACATCACTGGAGAAGTTAAGGAGTATCCGGGGTACCCCACACATATTAGGCCCATTTCCAGACCAGTTCTCTTGACCCAAAGGCCAATTCCCTTCTTACTATAACGTTTTATTTATACACCAAACCTTCTCAACCAAGCCATGGAGAAATCGAATTCGAAGAAGCCCTCGTCGGCAACAGACGGGTTCTTCCAAGCTTTACCTGTAGTACCGCCGGCATATACATTCACCCATCATCCGTCCACTCACCGAAATCCTCATGCCGGTTCCGACGACAAAGCCTTCGCAAGAGTCCTGGAGCTTTACCTTCCTCAGAATTGCTCCGAGGTGGGCATATCTATCGACCACCTCGCTCGTCGCGCCCTTCAACCATCAATCCTAGCTTTAGCTGTCGATGCAGAGATAAATCAGCCGTTTGTTCGACCACTGACTACGTTCGGTGAGGATAACCGGGTCGACCCCTTGTGGACCAGCGAGGGCTGGCGGACACTGAAAACTATTGGTCAGGAGGAAGGAGTTGTCACGGTGGCATACAAGAACGAGAACGAGCGATGGAATAGGCGAGTCCATCAGTTCGCCCTGAACCATGTCTGGTCCGGAAGTGCAGCAATGACCGGCTGTCCTGCGTCGATGAGTGATGGGGCAGTTAAATTACTTAAAAGACACCTAGAAGACCCTGATGGTGACCAGCCGGGACGCGCTAAGGTGCTCGAAGAGTCATATCGCCGTTTACTGTCTCAAGACCCCAGCGTGGCCTGGACCTCGGGGCAGTGGATGACAGAGCGAAAGGGTGGAAGTGATGTACGGGAGACCGAGACGGTTGCGCGACGCCTAACTGCTCTGGAAATATCGCAGGATGAGGAGCAGGGACGGAGCCACGACGCCCACGGCCTGCCATTGGGGCCATGGCGTATCGACGGCTTCAAGTGGTTTAGCAGTGCAACTGATTCCGATATGTCTCTAATTCTCGCCCAGACTACAAAGGGCCTCAGCCTTTTCTACATTCCCATGCGCCGCTGCTCTGGCAAAGAAAAGGGAAGCGAGCTGAATGGTATCCGGATCCAGCGACTGAAGAATAAGCTGGGCACCAAATCGCTACCTACCGCAGAATTAGAGTTGAAGGGAGTACGGGGATGGCTGGTAGGGGAAGAGGGGAAAGGAGTCAAGGAGATTTCTACTGTTCTTAATATCACTCGACTATGGACTGCCAGTGGATCTTCTGCGGGCTGGAGTCGCGCACTGTCTATATGTCGGGCATATAGTAAGGTTCGCAGGGCTCAGGGGATCCTCCTTCAAGACAATCCACAGCACGTACGGTGGATGGCTGGAGTTACCGTGAACTATTGGGCGGCAACACATCTGACATTCTTTGCCATCGCCCTTCAGGGCGCAGTTGAGCAAGACTGGGACTCGATGGTTCGGGGCACAAAGGCTAGTAGGCTGATCCCACGAGACAATACACAGGCCGCATCACTCCTTCGCCTTATCACCCCTGTGATGAAGGCGGTAGTAACGGTTAATTCTGTGAATGGAATACGCTCCTGTATGGAATGTCTGGGCGGAGTTGGCTATTGTGAGAACAATGAGGACGGTGGCTTGCTGAATATCGCCAAAATCTTCCGAGATACCTGTGTCAACGCCATTTGGGAGGGAACAGGCAATGTGATGGCGGAGGATGTTGTCAGAGTTATCACGGACAAACGTCTTGGTGGCGGAAACTTGCTCAGGAAGGTGTTCGGTCCATGGGCGAGAGAAATCCTTACTCTCTGCGAGCCGAAGTTCAAAGTGGAATGCAGCATCGTAGAGCAGATTCTTGATTCTCTGCTAAAGATGACGCAATGTCCTGATAAAGCTGAGCTTTTATGGCGCGGGAGGGACATTCTTCAGCATGTCGAAGTGATCGTGTGCGCCTGTTTGCTCATGTACGACGCTGTTTCTAATGAAAACGAAGTTGCTGCAGAGGTCGCCTCCAGATGGATCCGTTCCAATGCTCTGCCTGGGACCCAGTTCTCTGCACGCCCATCCAATCGGCTACATGATTCCGCACTGGACAGGAAAATATTCCTGGGAGCTCCTGCAACGTTCTCTCACGTCGAACCATCTAAGTTGTAGAATACTCTGCTGACATTGGTGGTCGAGAGTTCAAGCATTCGAGACGATCTAGCTGTGGGATTTGGGCATTGAAGCAATCGCTTTTCCTTTGCCGGCCTCTCTGTACAAGCTCAAATATACTAACCCTTAGTTCGTTCAAGAGCTCTACCCTCTGCGATAATGCCCTATCTGGAATTTATGCATTTTACAACAGGAAATAGCAAAACATTCTATCGTCAGTTGACAGTATATAAATTTCATGACCCCTTGGAAGATCTTTTCTAATCTCAGTACCCCTAGGAGTGTGGCATAGTAATTTTCTAGCCTCTTTCTATATAATCTAAATATCCATTATTCAACACACCACAAAAATACATATATAATTCTCGCACAGCCATGCTAGTCATGCTGAAAACCGGTTTCTTTAATAGGTATAGATCACGATAACCTATCTCTGAACTATGGACAGCTATAATAACTTCGGGATTTAGGGCTACGGCTCATTCGGGTCGGGCAATTAATTATCTTGGCTAGGTATTGTTGGTCTAAGAGCCCAGCCTTATATTGGGCTTTTAGTCCAGCAGGGATAATCGTAGTGGATTGTGTGTCACCTTGTCAGAAGGAAGACAAAGACGGAACTGAGAAGTAACTACAGGAGGTGTCTATCCTGGTTAGCTCACGCTACTAGTCAGAGCATGACACGGTTTCCAAAAGAGCCGATCCCTCCCGGCACGATGGACACGAAAGTCACGACGAGGACTATCCTTGGCCTGAACGTTTCCCATACAGCGCGAGGAGAAACTGCCATGGCCTCAAAATCACGATGGGAAATCTAGATGGAGAATAGCCACGAATACAATGGCTGAGTGGGTTCTGCTCATATCCGGGCGGAATGAAGCGTGTTAAGTCGATCAAGAGGTATTCCCAAATCAACTTGCACATGTGTTTTGGTTGTAGAGTCGAACGTAACCAAGTAGTATTTTTTCCACAAAGGCAGTGTATGAAGCTTCTCCATTGATATTACAGTTACGCTGGGTGATCACTACTAGCCATGAATCTGTGGAGTCTAATCTACTCTGTAAAAATTATTAAATTATTTCTCTTTATATATTTTCTTATTTATCTTATAAGCTTCAGCCACTTGATATTAGCTGCTTTATATCTCTAAAGAAAGTATATAGTACAGAGGTAACAGATCTTATTCTAAAGGATATTAATTATATTAATAAGGAGAACTTTCTGGATCTATATAAAGAGACTTAAGAAGCAGCAATATTATCTTCTAATATCTGCAGTGGATTTGAAGCATCTGGCTTAGTTTCCTTTAACTGTCAGCGGGTGCTGGATATGCTTACTATTAAGTATATTACTCCTCTATCTACTTCCCAGGGGCCTTCAGACCAGGAATGGACTGCAAAGACCCCTTATACTACTACTGAGGTATAAAAGCAGATACAGTATATAAAATAGCTTATCTATTGTAACTCTGAAAGTCCTCCAAATAAAGCCCTCCATCAGCTTGTAAAAGCAGCTAAATCTACCAAGGTGATGCCACCGAAGTTGCCGTTGCCGAGGGAGTCGAGGCCCCGGGGGGGGGGGGGTGGAGAATTTGTTGTCTCTGCATACACGCTGGCAGGGGCCTCCGTCGTAGTACTCGCAGTGGCATTTTACGGCGTCACCGTCCGGGTACGCCAGGTAGTAACGTTTGCCGTCAACGCAGGCACCCATGGCATCCATGTAGCAAGCTGGAACGTAGGAAACGTTATGAGGGCATAGATAGTTGATCATTGCTAAGAGATAGGAGGTTGTGGGCAACAAGAGGTGTTCTCGGTGGACAGCAGAGAAAGAGACGAAGTATGCCAACCCACCGTGGTCACTGATATAGAATGTTATGACGCCTCATGCAACTCGTGCCATAACGGCTACAGTGCAGCCTACATAACAACCGGGCCATCATGTGGCTTGGAGGCGGCGGCTAACCGCCAACAAAGTTGTCCACCTGAGGCGGCCTTCTCTATAGCTTTATAATAGTACTATCATTAGCCCCCATACTCGCTTCCTTATATCCCTGCTCGTTATTTGCCATTCCTCATATGACCGGTGCAAAGACTTTGGACTCTGTCCGATTCATATGATAGGTGATTGGATGATGACTGCCGTAGCATCCTCTTATTGAACCCAGAGGCCGCCTATATATATCCGAATTACCTTTTCAAAACTCCACACGTGAATCTAAGACTGTTGGGAGATTCTAGGATATCATGAACGTGTTTTAGGACGAGGGTCGCGTACAGAGATGGAAAGCGGAAATTTTTGGTATCGAAAATACCTTACAAATGCCTCAGCATGGATGTCGTGACCTGCTGAGCCTCGACAGATACGCGTATACACTGTGGGGGTAATGGTGGATTTGCGCTCCGACCATTGGAAAACGCCGATTCTAGGACTTTAAAGCTTCAGTTTTATTGGCAAAGAGGATTATTAGACGTAGTAGTTGAAGTTGACCTCCAGACGAAACTCAAATCCTCTCGTTGGCTATATGGCGCCAAAGGATATTCTTTAGTAGTGGCCACTCGCTTATACAAGGACAATGGAGAGCTAATATACAGAGCTATTGCTTCTGGTGATGTTTTCACCCTCATTACGAACGATCCTGAAACTACGCCACCCCCGAGCTAGCCGTTACTGCAAATCCAGTGGTATCTGAGTGGCGCTGCGGAGGTGGAAGGTAATTCAGACTATGACAACCATGATGCAGGCACTACAGCTATCCGCGATGCCGTTATGCAGCGTACTAGAAGAATCTACGATTTGTGGGGGATTTTCACATGACGATGAAGACTTTGCAGCCGAACAGCCACCGGTCCAGGTTCAACATGTTATGATGCTCCCATGATACTATCTCGGCCGAACAATATTCCACGATTGCTTCTATCCTGCCCCAAGCTGTAAGATATGGTAGATGGATAACTAATAGTGCCCCTCTAGTATTAGTGCGATGAAATGAGGAGCAGATAGAAGGAGACTTGCTTTGTTCCGTTAAATGAGTGTTACAGAATCCTTAACCTCAGCAGTTATGAGCTGAACCGAGCCACGCTAATATATCTACAGGAACTGATCATGATAGTCACGGCGGAGATCACGTGACCGCATACCATTTGGAGACCGTGGATGGTATATGAAATGGTACCCAGGGACCATGAGAATGACCACGGACGGTTTACGAAATGGTTGTATCAAAGGATTAAATTGATAGTGTAGGTGCTAGCCATAGAATATGACGTTACTAACAAAGGGTGCTATCGCTGGTTTTGCGATCGACTGTCAGTAAAAGGAAGAGCGGATATGCATGGGGGAACGTGTCTTAAGGGCTAGTCCGTATACTAATACACGTTCAACTAACTATATGATAGGTGGCGCTTACGGTGGGTTGTTCGAAGGAGTATCACGCTAAACCCAATCCATCCACAATAAGGGCTCCTCCTTTGGAAGCCTCCTTCCGGATAGCTCAGTCTTCTCGTATTCCACTGCATTATGGCTCTCAATCTGTATAGTCAACATCCCCGAGGCTTGATTGTTACCCGCCGTGGACATTGTCTTACATTTGTACGACAAATAAATGGAGTAAGGCAAGGCCCGAGGAGCAACGCGGAAAGCGAGGAAAAGGAAAGATTGGGTTTTAGGGAGGCCACGTTGAAGGTGGGACCAATCTCATTCAGGTTCAACATATGCTAATACCCTCCCCACATATAAAAGTTCTCAACTCGAGGTTAGCCCGAATATCGTCGATCATCAGTCGTCTTGTGGAGCTCACTCCAACTGTTCCCACCCCCGAAGCCCTTTCACTTGCCCTTCTACATATCACACCAAAAAAACTACACTTCTACGAACCAAAAATACGTATTGAAAAGTTCCGCCCCATATTTTCCTCATGGTTGATCCCTACCATAAAGCCAAGTGTTGCGATGCAATGAGGAGGAAAGAAGGATAGGCGCCGGTTGGCGCCGAGCTGACTGGTGCCTATCAGGGCGCGTAAACCTGGCGCGAGTAAGCTTGTCCTAGCGCCGGAACTACTCATGCAGGCTGACAAGTAACTATAGGACAGCTCAGCAAACAGCAGATGGAGGATTGTTGCTTACATTCCTCTTACCCCGCACAATCCCCCTTGCGTCATTCCAGCTTCGTATTCTCGAGCTGAACGTGTTCTTTCTTCCCGAGCTCTTTGGCACGGTGTACGGAATACTGCCCTGATCCATACCACAATGGCTGGAAACCCGGTCTATAAAACCCTTCTCACGTTGATGGTTTATTTTTTCATTGTAGTACATGCGGAGCCAGTTCAATACTGCCAATTTGGGTACAATGGAAAGGAAAATGGCGGAGTCGACTTTTGCATGGGTGTCACCATGCACAAGAACCTATCCTCAAATGCCGACGATATGTACCTGGCCATGACTGTAACTCGAGGGTCAGAGCGTGGGTGGACAGCGATCGGGACCGGGTCCGTAATGGCCGGTTCACTGATGACAATCGTCTATGGAGACCCTCTTTCTGGAGAACCTCCGATCGTCAGCATGAGGACGGCAGGTGCACATCACCAACCCAAGCCGATAACCGCAGAAGAATCGGGTGGTGTGGATATTCGGCTTCTCGAGGCAAAGTGGCGGACTGTTGGTGGAGGTGACAAACCCACCTCCAGGGCATCATCCTCACCAGGTTATGTCGCTGAAGTGGCCCTCGTCTGCTACTCCTGTAATCTGTGGCCTGCAGAGGGTAGAGGAAGCAGTAAAATCTCGGCGACAACAACATCTCTTCCTTGGATCTGGGGATGGAACGAGGACCAGGAACTCACAGGATTCGCCTACGACTCCCACCTCATCGGACACAAACACCGCGCCGGAAACGGGGGATGGGGCATCTTCTACGTCGACATGTCGCGGTCTGTTATTGACGGAGAGAAAGCTCCTCCCGTACCATCGATACGGCCCGGTGTTCGCACCCTGGGCACATCTGATAAGCCCGCGCATAGGGCCGGAGAATCTGCTCCATTTAGCCATCACACTGTCGCTCAGATGCATGGCTTCCTGATGGGACTGGCCTTTCTAGTTTTCTTCCCGCTGGGAGTGTTAGCCATGCGCTCGGGATCCAGCAAATCGTTCAAATATCATTGGATTATTCAGCTCGTCGCCTCTCTCAGCACCGGCTTGGGAGCCATTATCGGTATTATCCTGAGCGAAGGATCGTTCAACTCGCCTCACCAAATCGCTGGACTTTTGGTATCATTCGTACTCGGATTTCAAGGGATCCTTGGGTGGAGACATCATGTAACCTTCGTACGAGTCAGGCATCGAACCTGGGTCTCGCATGTTCACATCTGGGCCGGAAGGGTGATTATGGTCGTGGGCTGGCTGAACTTCATTAGTGGCATGCTCCTCGTGGGGATTGTCGCGCTCTGGGTTATGCTTGTCGCTGGGATCATTGTGACCGAAATTGTTGGCGTGACTTACTGGGTATGGGCCAGTAACCGGCGCAATATACGGAAGACGCGTCTCGAGGCAGAGGGATCTGATGTGCCCTGGACGGCGGAGAGGGAAGGTGAATATTTTGCAGTAGGTGAAGATGAGGACGAGGAGCTGAATGAGCTGAACGATCACGACAAGCATGAAAGTAGTCCGTATGATCCCATGCTTCGCAAACAGGGCTCAGCTTGATTGCGAGTACAAAGATGTTCTTCACGCGCTTATGTGAATGATCGTTAAAGCAGGCATGTTATCAAATACAGTCCTGGTAGATAGACACCGGAAACTCTGAAGAGATCGAAAAGCAAGCACCCTTGATAATCTCCCTCAATGAATCACAAAGTAAAAGCCCTAAATGCAAAATTCAATACCTCCTATTTTGACTACACACCTGCAAACCCATATAAATTCGTTCATTGTATCAATGTTCAGCTCTCCTAAATCCACCCATTTCTAACACTCCCACCGGATGAAGCCAGGAATCCGATCCCAACACCTAACATAACCCATCACAATATAAACAAAAGAAAAAAAAAAAAACCGAAATCAATTACTTCCCACCCCTCAACCCAAACTGCTGCTCAAGAACATCCCCAACCATCTTCTCCATACCTTGAAACTCCATCCTCAGTTCTCTCTTCGCCCTCGACGCATCAACCCTATACCCTACAGTCCTCGCACCCTGCAACTTGAACCCTCTCCCAGGATACTCCCTATCAAGAAAGTCCTTCACATCCCCCCAAGGTCTCGCCTCATCCGCCAACAGAAACGCCCTGAACCCCTTCACCCCCTCACCAAGAGCCCTTACATGCGCATCGGCAACATCATCGATATGCACGCCCTGGAACTGGGGACTACTAGGTATCTCCGAGAAAAGGGACTGGAAGAGCCCGCCATTAGAACCATCCAGCTGCTCAGCGGACTCCTGGATGAGACTGCGGCCGTAGACGAAGACGGGGTGGAGTGTAATTAGGTCGAAATGGGGAGTGTTCGCGGAGAGGAAGTCGAGGGTGGCTTTGTGGGCGGCCAGTTTGCTGGCGTGGTATTGGGCCATTGGGGGAAGAGTTGAGATGGTGGTTTGTGGGGGGAGCGCATAGTTTATTTCGTTGTCCTCTTTTTTTTCAGTTTCGTTAGTATGGATATGGGATAGGGTTGTGTTGTTGGGGGTGAATGGAGGAGGAGGAGGGGGAAGGGGGGAGCGAACGAACCCTTCACGACTAGGCCATCTTTTAGGTCTCCTAAGGAAATCAGAGACAAGACAGATCCCGTCACGACAACTTTCTTGATATTCGGGACTCTTGCCGCGGCTTCGAGGATTGAAGTCGTGCCGTTCACGGCCGGGGTGAGGAGATCGCTGCTACCTGGTTTTGGTAGCGGGGATGCGAGATGTAGGACGTATTGTACGTCTTTCAATGCTTCGTCGAAACATCCTGGGAGTGTAATGTCGGGTACGACGGTGAACTCTAGTTGATTCTCGTAGTCAGCAAGAATGCGACGGAGCTTGTTGGCTTGGTCTTCGCGGCGAATGGCAAGGCGGACGCGGTATCCTGCTTGCAGGACGCGCAGGGCGACCTGGGAGCCGATGAAGCCTGTTGCGCCAGTGATTAGGGCTAGGGACATGATGGTTATGCTTGTGATTCTGGAAGCTGGATGTTGTTTATGAATGGTTGGTTTGGTACTGGTTGTGCAGGGATTGCTTTGTGTTTCTTATACTGTTGCTTTCTTTCTACGTCGTTCTCTACGCTGACAAACTGCTATTCGCGGGTGATCATTAATCATTATGTGGAAGGTAATTAGTAAATAATGTTTTTGTTTAGTGATAGATGGCCGTGACGTCATGTGAGGTCTTGGTCAATCCAATGTGTAGATATTAGGGTACTATCTCTTTGTCCACATGAGCTTCGCGTCTAAATAAAGTATACTATGCGGAATAGTCATGTCTGGTCTGATTTGCGCTCCCGATGCTGCTTCGGCGTATACTGAAGATTAGTGATCGGGAAGCTAACCTCGGATGCTCTCCGCATTCAAGCGTCTATCAAGATGAACAACACCATGAGTATATCCAGGCGAGTAAAGTAGATATTTGCATATATCAATTCTAGATGTTTTCCAGATTTCAGTTCCCTCTTCATCACCATCAATCCTCTACACACTGCCCATAGCCCCCCCAAAACAGCAAAAGACAAAATGCCCACCCTCCGCACAGCAGTACACATCGCCCCACCAACCCCCTTCAAGAATCCAGGCAAAGGCAGCGGAGGAGGTCTCTGGTCCCCAATCTCGTGTACCCTAATCTACTCAGCCACCGAGGCAGTGCTGGTAGACACACCCATCACCATTAAACAAACCCAGGACCTAATCGCCTGGATCGACCGACTCGCGCCCAAGCGCAAGCTCTCATACATCTACATCACGCACGGCCACGGAGACCACTTCTTCGGTCTCCCCCTGCTCGTCCAGCGCTTCCCAGAAGCCAAACCAGTAGCCACCGCGGCAACAGTACAGCACATGAAACAACAACTTGACGAGAAGACATACCAAGTCCAATGGGAATCTCGATTCCCGGGAGAAATCGCCCAACCGTTCGTCCTCGCGCAACCCCTGCCAACCAGTAACGAGTTCAAGCTACAGGATCGATGGACCTTCCGGGCCATCGAGGTCGGACATACGGACACCTACGATTCCACGGCGCTGTGGGTCCCTGATTTGCGATTGGCTGTTTGTGGGGATGTGGTGTATGGACAGGTGCACCAGATGCTCTTTGAGGCTAATACCGCCGCCAAGCGGGACGAGTGGATCAGGGCTGTGGAGATTATCGAAGCTCTCGATCCGTTGTATGTGGTCCCAGGTCATTGTCAGGAGGGGGAGGTTCCGGGGCGTTGGCATTTGGACAATACCAAGCAGTACATTAGGGATTTTGCAAGGGTGCTGGAGGGCAAGCCCAAGACTCCAAGGGATATTGTAGCTGCTATGTCTGCGCTGTATCCGGATCGGTACAATACCGGGGCGCTTATTATGGGGGCCATGGGGTATTTTCAGGCTTTGAAGGAATCTCGGATTTGACGTGATTGTTAGTATTCGTATGCTTTGGAATCAATCTTAGTCGTTTTAGGTTATATTTCCCATATTGAAAGACGACAATCACGTAGAACTATCTTATTGCAGAGACAGCGACATGTTCTTGAATTCGATACCGACCCCCACTTGAACTGATCATTGATTCTAGCCAGATAAAAACGATGCAACATCAAATGACAGGGATAATCAACCACGTGATAGTGCCTGACATAAAAAAGGTCGCGTTTCTCTCATCATCATCATCATCCTTCAATTTACCTCGACTTTCTCACATCTCCTTCACACCCCAAAGCACGGTTTCCAACACATGAACCATTTTGGAACTAATGTCCTCGGACTGCGATGATTGTACCTTCGGCCAGTATGTGGTCTACTGGCTGGTCTATTATAGCTGGCACTGGATCCTACTCTGGATCTACGCAGGCTGGTGGGACGACTCGAGGATCCCTCGCCATTTATCACTAGAGCCTCCACCAAACGCAATATCCTGGCTGGAAAAGAAAGGACATCTGCATTCGAAGAAAGATGCTCGCCGTCTTTTCATCAAACACCTCATTCTTTTGGCTTTAGAACCAGTAGAAGGATACTGGATATTGACAGAATGGTACCGAGCATGGTTACCGGGATGGACAATGAAAGCCCCAGATCCCCATGACATTGGGTTAAATTTCGCTCGATATATATGTTTGGTTGCCTTTCCGGTAGGGCTGGTTGTGTTTTCGCTGGTAGGGGTGATATTGATGGTATCCACCGTGACGCATCTGCGGGAGTTGTGGTCTTGGGAACCGGGGAATGGGCAGGGAATGGAAGAGGAAAATGGGGAAAAGCGTTGACAGTGGTAGGGATCGAGTTGGGGCTAGCCATTGAGCAGCAAGCACCTTTTTTTTTTTTTTTTTTTTTTTTTTTTTTTTTTTTTTTTTTTTTTTTTTTTTTTTTTTTTTTTTTTTTTTTTTTTTTTTTTTTTTTTTTTGGGAATGATACAGTTTTTTTTTTTTCAACATATTTTTTTTTAACTTATTATTTTTTGCGCTATGTTTCAACGTTAGAGATTGCAAATGAGATATCTTTCGATATCTTTCGATATGTTTGCGACAGTGGTTCTTTGGATTCAGAATGAACACGAGATAAAACATGGACACAAATATGTACAAAAGAGACTCTCTGTTGGTTTCAAAACATGTCAAATGAAGCATAAAGTCACATCGAATGTTGTTAAACTGCTACGTTAGAAAGCTATGAGAACTGGCAGTTAGTGGACTTCGCTGTCCAATCCGCAATGCCTAGTGATTGCTACCGTCCTGTGGTAGGATTCCATCGAGCCCGCAGTCAGAACCTTTTTTGGGTGCCTCGCCCTTCGGATACACGATGCCAATAAGACCCAGGGTGTACCGAGGATATTGGACTTGAGAGCATTGCATCGACGATGCGACTAATGTTAGCACATTCAAATCGTACTCGGCCGAAAAATAACAAGTAGTTTACCCTTGTATGAACGATGTACAGTCATATCATCGTGTTGTGGAAGAATTCGGAGAATTTGTAGAACCCTGCTGTTGGGGGCCGACTCGGCTGTCCTGCCTAATCAACCATATTACATCGTACAGCGTATCTCTCTAGGATAAAAACCCCAAAGCCTCTATTATTGCTTCAACTCGAGGTCACTGGAGACTTTCCATTGCTTATCATATCTTACCAGGCCTCACCCGTCTATCCTTGTGCTTTCCTTCCAGGAAAGAAAGAGGTAGATAGGCACCGGAAGGTACCAAGCTAGATGCTTGCTGGTATATAGTGGCTTAACGAGTGTTAAAACCGGATGTCCGGCTTGGTAAGCGTGCATCGATCTCGACATATGTGCCAGAAATCTTGGATATCCGGGCACAAGGGCACAAGAGCACCAAGCCATCATACCATTCTGGAAACACGTCGACGCCAAGAGGGTTCAGAATAGCCCTAGCCCCCAAAACAGCCCTGGATCATCCCTGTCACCGGGAATTGTCGGTTATTGATGATTGAATTAATGTGCAGAATGTCTTATTAGCTAGCTAATAGTAAAATAAAGATAAGCGCATGTTTATGAAAGGTGCTGTATGTTACGTAATATCATATAAAAAACTGGGACCTCCTGATGCTTGTGCTGGGACTGGGATCGGCTTATCAAGATGCTTCTCCGAGAGAGCGGATGTGAGCATCCACTTGAGACATGCTCCAGTATGGCAAAATGACGTGTGCTGTGGCTTCTCATAGGCTAGCTCGAGTATTGCAAAGTAGGGACATGGCAATTTATCCGGGGCTCCAGGGGTACGTACAACCAATCCAATGTCCAAGGTTGGTTCCTGGTTACTAATAATCTGGTGGAGTCTTTTACCGTTCTTTCCTTTGATCTAAGGAAGCCGTTGTAGAGCCGAGAAAGTGCAGTAAAACTGATGAGAAGTGAGCGCTGCTCAAGTAGCTCCAGTGAACGGTAGCTGCCTCTGCGAGGCAAAATACCAATCAAAGGCTCTATTCTTTGCAAGTGCACTCGGGGCCAACCGGTACGATTTTTGTGTTTGCGTGTGTCCGTCACATCGGGAACAATACGAAAGACGGATAAGGGTCTAATCTCCGACATCAAACGACGCAGCATGGGTTTTGAGGAGTAAGTTCCAGTGGGACCAATCCAATGTCATTGGTGAATAGGCCCCAGGAACGTACATATACTTTCGAATCTGGGTACCCTGGCATTAGGCTGATAATATTTACAGGCCACCTGAGCGAGGAGGCCGAGTTGCCGAACAATCATTAAGCGTAAAGTGAGGATGGGAGAATTTTATCAGTGATGGTCAATTTCAAAAAGCCATCACGTCCATACTGCGGAGCGTAGAGCTTTTTCCACGTCGTGGCGCCGGAATCCGGGTGTGCGTCCCAAACATATAGTTTTACTTATCAATGCTGTTGTCCGAGTCAGAAGCTTAATTCGATAAAATAGATGAATCGGAGAGCCCTACCTTGTGTTAAACGGGTGGCATTAACAGTCATCCGCGTCGATGGCTGGTCCGATGCTGAGGGAGGAGAGGAGAGCAAACTAACTCCCTTCTCCCGGAGATAACCCGCCAGGTCCTGTATATCAAACCAGTCTCCTTCCAGATCCCTCCGTACGTCAGACGAAAATCGTGATAAAGGATCGTGAATTGTGGTCCATTGTTGGTAACGTAACGGCTTTTCACCTTCTTGAGCTTGCCCTATAGCTCGGGGATAGTGGGTGCCAGCACCCCCAAGCTTGAAGAAAGGGACCCCCGCATAGCATTCGTCCAGCCTTTTCTGACTCAGTTTAGCGTGCAGCAAGGCCTCGAAGGCTGCGATGAGGTGGGGTCGATCCATAAGGGTGAAAAGGAAACGGAACGGTCGTTCCAACCGAGTCATGGGAATCGCTGGATTAGAGAGAACCAAATAACCCTGATAAACACAAGCTAAATGTAACTGTTCGATGAACAGGGATATATCCATCCCGGAAGGGCCTACCGGCACAGAAAGAGGAGGAGAGATGCTGGGTGGCTTGGAGGAGTGTTCGCTTTCCGTGCGTTCCGTATGCAGTATCGGGCTTGTATTTCCATCTGATGGCACCGATGACGTGCCATCGTGTCCCACGGCTGAAGCTGAAGAAACTGACTCTTCGGTATGCGTGGAGCTGTCTGGGCTCTCGGGCTCCCCGCCGTCCTTGCTGACATCCTTTGCCAGTGCCAGGCATGTCTGCACTGTGTCGCGTAGATGGCTCGCGATGTCGGGATGCGACGAGATAGCTCCCGACTGGACCAGATTATCGCTAAACGAGACGACCGCGGAACTCATTTTCTCTAGCGCCATTTCCAACTGAGAAATGCGGCCCTTGAGGGTTGTGATGTTAGCTTCCTTGCGAGAGCGATAAGCCCGTTGTGCCAGGCGGATTTGCATTCGACGGCGCTGTGCAAGTCAACTTGTCAGTCCAAGATCCACATGAGGTGACATCATAAAGAAATCAACGCACTTCTTCAGGGTCTTCGCCCATTCGACTGTCCATTGATTTTCGTGGGCGACCACGCTTCTTCAATGTCGTCTTGCCGGTCGAGTCATTCGATTGACGTTTGGTGGTCTTCTGTGCATTCTCGGTCTGCGCCTGCGCGTCATTGGATTGCACCTGTCGGTGCATGTTCATGATGCGTTCTCCATCCTTCGAGGGTCCTGGGAGCAAAATGCCGTTGGGCACCGCTAACGAGCTGTAACCGTCCGGTTGAAATTGTCCCTGGGGATAAAATGGCTCAGGGATGGGATATGAGGAGGCGGAAAGGAGGGAGGTGAGCTGTGAGGTCGCGAACGAGCTATCTACAAGCGAGGGACGATATCGGGGCGATAACAAGACCTTTTGATAAACTTCATCCCACGGGAGAAGAGGCGCATCCGGATCCGCGAACCCTTCGTAGGTTTGAAGCTGTATTCCTCCGTCCATGATGTCCTGTAGACGGTGGTGTTGTAAAGGGATGTCAGTACGTTGACAAGTGAAGGGCCGATCGATTCGATCGGAGAAGGAGGTTGGATCATCGGACCAGACGGTCAAGTTGGTTGAACGACCTTTAGCATAGATTTAGTGTCATCATCCGGCGTCTCGGCACCCATCGCCACTGGCGCCGTGATTGGTTCGAGACCAAATAAAGCGCAATCCTAAGATTTAAGGTGATCCGAAGGGGAGAAATCCCTCAACCTTAAACCGCTCATTGTTGTTCATAATTGGCTTGTGGTGGCTTTATGAACAGACGTGATTCGCAGGCGGAAAGCTCGGCTCGGAATGTTCACTAATCAGAAAATCTTCTCTTTTAGATTATTCCACGAGTCCGATTTTGCCAAGAACTTCTAGAAGATTCTTTACACACTATCCCCCTTCCGTTTCATGTTGAGACTAGTGTATAAACTCCGTATGAAATGTTTTGTTGCGAGTTAGATCCCGTTACCCCCAAGTAGATACCGCCGCGTTTATAAGGGCAGTATGAGGGGCGAAGCTCAAGTTGAGCAGTTTATATGCTATATTCACCACAGAATAGCTGAGGCTATATTAGGCGGGGTTCCCGATGGTTGCTGTGGGCTCACGTGACCAAGCGAGCGCTGGGCTTGGTATTATGCCTGAGGTAGAGTTATGGATATGGGTCTTTGTTGATGGGCCCGGGCACTCTGTACACGTTGGATTGCTCTCTGATTTTTGATATATATATATTAGCAACTTTGTTTATTTTTATATTAGTCTAGATTACTTCGAATGTAACTTTAAGATAATTCTCGATCGCTCTCCACTGTGTCTGCAATCTCTTCTGAGGACGAGATCTGAGGCGGGAAGCCTGTGAAGGCTATGATGCGAGTAATGAGTCCTGCTTGCCGGTGACGTGAACATCAGACCGGTACATTCGTATCGTGTGTCATGGTCATTATTGATCACTTGGTATAGTTGTCACTTTGAGTCTGCCATCAGGTAGACGTCACCGACCCAAGGTCGTTGGTGAAGGTGGGCAGCCCACTAGCTTAGATCCTTGATTTACATGGCGCCATCGATAAGATTTAGTTCCGCCAGCGAACGAGATGCGTGTACTGGACCGAAATGTTCGGAAATTCTGTCATGCAAATACACCGTGGAGATTTATTTCTGGCAATGTTTATATTCCGCATCTCCACTCCAATGCTGGGGACCTTATAGGAATGGATCTTGTTTTATCTGCAGGGCTCTTGGACTGCTATGTCAGGCATTTAGTCTGCACATACAACGCTAATATACGACTACTGTCTTCATGCTTGACGAAAATGTACATGGGTAATGGTTCCCAATACGCCTAGAGAAGATTGTAGCTTCGACACTGACACTCAGGAAACTATCGCCCAGTGACTCTAACATAGGTAGTTTTAGATCTCCTTCCCTCTTTAGCGCCGCCTCCAATTAGTATATCTGGATGCTATCTATGCACCACTACTGGATGACTGGTCAGGCGTTCTGTGAAGATGCCTCAATAGGTGATACTTGGCAAAGAATGCCCATGTGGTCGGGCAGGTGCAACGATACTAGAACGGTGGTCGATAAATCCCTTTTTGCAAATTTGGGTATCTAGTACTTTCGTACTATCACGAATCTTCACTCTCCTCTAATAGTAAAGGAGGACTGGCTGTGTCTTGGAAAAATGAAGTTGCATGTAAACTAGGGGACCTCCAAAGTACGCACCACTTTCTAAAGAAATGGCCAACGCCAAACTGCAAGAAGGAAAGCAAAGTATAGCTTACTGCTATTTGAATAACTAGTCTCCATTGTATTGCTTTTCCAGATAATAAACAGTAAACTTAGGGAAATCAATAGACGAATAGAATCAGCAAACATAGCAGAGTCAGCAGGCGTAGTAGTAGAACAAGGAATAAAGATATGCCCAAGTGAGACTACCAAGACTACATGAGAGAGCAAAGTACGCTTTGCAATTATGCCACAGGATCAACGAGCTCATCCTGCCCGTTCCCCTTCATTCTCATCCTCACTCTCGCCATCTGATTCTGATTCTCCGTGACAACTAACATCTGTCACGATCTGTTCATTCTCATCCTGCGCTCGGTGGTTGTACCCACTACAGTAGGGGATAAGACCGGGTTTGCCCATATATGGGATCAACTCCTCCAGCGGCACAGTACCATAGTGGTGAGTGAACTGGAAGATTCCTTTAATATCCAGATGAAGATATCCTCGATAAAATGGCTCACCCTCTATTCCCTTTTCCGAGAATTGTCGATCAATTACAATAACGTATCCCACCTTCGCACGCCATTATGATGCTACAATTTCATGAAGGCTCGGGGCTTTCTAAGATAGAACGCAGAGCCTTATCGTCAATCATCAGGCAATGCTCAGCCCGCGCCGAGTCGGGGAGATAATGTCATTCCACCAGTCCTTGAAGAAGCGCCGGACCTGCTCCACCAAAGCCCCTTCTAGCAGCCCTCTATCTTCAATAATGACATTCCGGTAGCCTTGCCAGACCAGACGGGTAGGCTCTGGAAGATCATTATATATTTCTGAATGGATGATATAGTAAATGTAGCAACTGATTTTCTCTAAGGCCTTAGCCCAAGCTTCCTCGGGGACGTTATGCACTGTCCTGTAGATAAAATAACCCCAGGACCAGGCACGGAAGTTATATTTGGCAAAGAACGTTGCCAAGCCGTTCTTGTCCCGCCACTGTTAGCTTTTGAATCGCCGGTAGCGTTCCCTGGATGATTCGTCTCGACGGAAATCTGGAGAACTCCATGGTTCTGGCCACGTCTTGTAAGTGAAAGAGATCATTGAACAAATCGGGTGATTGAGGCCGATCGTGTGCTGCACTCTGCGGGGCTGACAGTTTGTGTCGAAACGATTGGTAAACATAAGAGAGTAAAAAAAAAGTTGGCGTTGGCCGTGAATTGAGCTTAGTGGGGGGTTCGTGAGAAGCACAACCAGGCTGGCTAGCTATCTATATTGGTAGCATGCCAAGGAAACATTATGACAGTAGTACTCATGAATGTAAATATTTATGACATCTCACTATGGTTATACATAAATCATCGCTTCTTTTTGGCCAATACACATGGACGTTGAGTCATGTAACTATTGTCCCCTCTAGCCCCAAAATGCAATGCGTTGAAACCCTTGGACCGGAGACCCTCCGCGAACATGCTAAATCTGAATACGCTATGCTTGGGCGTACTCCTTCAGGTACGCAACAAGCTTCTCGGCACCCGAGACGGGGATAGCGTTGTAGTTGGACGCCCGGATACCTATTCCCATTAGTACATTGTTGATATTGCAATCGCGAAGAGGGACCAGCTTACCGCCAACACTGCGGTGTCCCTTCAGGCCAGTGAGGTTGCGTTCAACGGCACCCTTCAAAAATGACTTCTCGGCCTCATCGACATTACCTCCCTGTGGCTTTATATCAGTAACCAAGACAAGCTATTGTCATAGCAGAGAAACCCTACCTTGATCACGCGGAAGCAAACATTCATGCGGGAGCGCACACTCTTGTCCGGAACGACCTTATAAACATCCGGGTACGCGTCGACTGCCTCATAGATCATCTTGGCCTTCTTTTGGGCCTCGGCTTGCTGTCCGTCCACCTTATCGGGAAACGTAGCCAGCAGCTTCTTGAGAACTTGGCCAGCCAAGTAAACACTAGACAGCGTTAGTCGTGCCCGGAGCTGAGATGGAGCGAACGACCTACTCGAAAATGGGTAGGGTGTTGTAAAGACTGTTATTCTTTGCGGTCACACAGTAGTCAAGGACCGTGGGAGCAATGGGCAATCCAAGCTTGCGAAGAATTGTAGGGGGGCACGAGACGAGCAGGTCCTTCCGGACGATTACGCCAGTAACTCCCGCACAGCCCAGGTTTTTCTGACTAGTCGATTCAGCACGAATTCAAGAACAAGACAACAGGGGGAATCTCACGCTCCGAAGAAGGCAATTGCGTAATTCTAAACCGTGGTCAGCAATTGATCACCGATATCGACACATGACATTTCATACATTAATCGGGATTCTCCTGGAGAGAATGTTGGATGAAAAGTCACCCACGACAAATGGCTCATCGTCCGAGCCGGTCGGCTCGAGGACCTTGGGGAAGCTGGGATATTCGACGCCATCTACTGTTTCATTGTCGCACATGTAGACCATAACGGGTTTGGGGCTGAGCTGCCATGTCGACTCATCCGCAATCTTGCCGAACTTTCCATCATTGATCTTCCGAGCATCGCTAGCAATGTTGACATATTCAGGCCCTAAAAGGCGGGATGCTTCTTGGGAAGCCTTCGACGACCATCTAAACCTCCATTAATACTACAGAACTAGTTCAATGGATACGACCGGGGACTGACGATCCAGTGACCAAATAGTCCAAGCGCAGCTCCGACTCAACCTTCTTTCGGAGCTCCTTTACCAAATCGTCTTCGCCGACATCGCCGGCCTCTTTCAGAATCTTTTGGCGCTGTTTCTCCACCCAAGCGGAAACGATGTTGTACACTGTCGCATCGAACTGGCCCGATCCTCCACCCTGCATCATCAAGATCTCGTAGTTCGAGGGGATATCGAGGAAGCTTGCGAGATTGGCCTTCATCGTATTCAGAATATTGTTCGCAATCTCGCTGCGATGGCTGTGTTCGGCAATACCCCTAGGAAAGTCAGAACACCATACATCACATCGGGCGACACATGTTTGGAGCTCACAGGCCGGTCTGTTCATAGTTCTGCAGAGCTTCGGCAGCTTGGGCGAGGATGTCAGTGGGCAGGGCCGCAGGGCCAGCGCCCATGTATGTGATATCTTCTCTCCTCATGTTGCAATTGCCGATATTCAGGACGTGATAGTTCTGTTCCTCCAGCAGGTTTAACTCACCCCGCCGAACGATTGGAGGAAAATCGGCGGGGGTGAGTCATCTTTCTTATCGGTCATGTGACTGCCCCGCGGGTGATCTAATCAACTTCTATCAGCCGGCAAAAGGTTCCCCCGCCGCCTACACGTTAGCTATACTGCTGTCAATTAAATATCAAGGACGGTATATCACATTTGAAAATGGTAGTTGTGGCAGTAGCTGGCGGCACCGGTGGTGTTGGTAGGACAATCGTCGAGGAATTGGTACAGCAAGCTAAACACCAGGTCATCGTGCTCACGCGTGGGGTATGAACACTACTCATTCCTCCCGAGAATTATAGTTAGGAACTTAACCAAGTTTCAGAAGCCCAAATTAGACCCCCTGTTGGACAAAGTCCAACAGGTGCAGGTAGATTACAATGATCCTACATTACTGGCGCGTGTATTGGACCAGCACGAGGTCTACACGATAATATCCGCAATTGGGATTTTTTCCGACGAAACCGCTCAGTCCCAACTCAACTTGATCAAGGCTGCAGATCTATCACTGTCTACGAAGAGATTCATGCCTAGTGAATATTCATTTATTCAGACTGAGGAGTATGCTCCTCCAAGTGGTTTCACACTCCTTTCTTATTGACTAATTATTATAGCCTTCTTTCCATTGATCCCAGTATCAAGTATTGGTTGGCCGCGGCCGACTTGCTGAAACAGACCACTCTTCAATTTACCCGAGTGATACCGGGATTCTTCTTGGATTATTGGGGAATGCCAATCGCCCGCACCAATCTCCAACCCTTCACATTCGGAATCAACATTGCCAAGTGTCAGGCTGCCATTCCCGGCGATGGGAACGATGTCATATGCATGACATATACGTACGATATGGCAACGTTCATGTTAAGGCTGCTGGATGAAGAAGATTGGCCAGAATTTAGCGTCATCGTCGGTGACCAAATCACATATAACAAGCTCCTCCAGCTCGCTGAGGAAATTCGAGGTACATCCGGTAGCTTTTCTTCGGCAAACGTGTTAAACTAACTTTGTACAGGCAAGATGTTCCAAGTTGTATATGACAGTGCAGATAAAATTAGGCAAGGGGATGTCACTGTTCCCGCAATGCCTGCTGATACAGGATACTCCTCTGAAGAGCTTAAGGAGATGACGGTACTGGTGAGCCGACTGACTATTGCTGGGGTGTTTGACTTGCCACATGAGAATCGGTTGAATAAGAGGTTTCCGGATATCAAAACAACCAAGATAAAGGATTTCTTACAAAACACGTGGAAAGACTACGAATGACTACGTATATTCCGCCATGCCACTGATATTCAATGTTTTCCGTTCTATAGATATGAATACTCTTGCATTCTTATATGTGTAGACTTTGATTTGATAGAATGCAATTAAGAGATCTCCAGCAGAACGAAGCCAAATACAACGATTACCCTTACCTTACAAGCTGCGCCACAGTACCCTTCTCCCACATGTCCATTTATACTTCTTTTCACGATCAATACTCATTATCCTCGTTAATAAACCCAATGTAATGTCCAGTATCTGGATGCCAACCGTCAGCCACTGAAGCCTAGACGCCGCCCCGACAGCCGGGCAGGGAGATACCCTACAGTCTCCCTTTCCCAACCCCAACTCACCACTCCTTGGGTGACAGCGCTTTGTCAGCCCTTCATCAAACTCCCAGATTCCCGAGGTATAGCTCTGCAAGACCGCTTCTCTCTCGCGCTGTCGAGCATCCGCCCACCCGCGGTGATGAGACATCCACAAGGACATGTAGCTGCTCGGCTGGGAGAAATATTCTTCCAGCAAGGGCATTCTTTTTTACTAAATTGAGCCAAGAAACATGGGTTAATAGTTCTCCTTTCTAGATTGCTCCGCGACGGCTCTGCCCCGGACGAGTGCAATATAAATCCTCAGTCACTAGGAAATCGAGTATTAGCGGAACTTTAACCATCGAATCATCCCAAGCCACTGATGAATCTGTTGCAAATCTAAAGCATATCTCTGCGTTGATAACTAACCGTGGAATGCAAAACCGTAGATATCACCTACTACCTAATGCAGCAGCACTGGGGTAACCAATACAGAAACATCAAATGATTTTTCTTTTGTTATTTTTCCATACACGGATTCACGGCTACATCAGACTCATCAGAAGTGCCGTGATGCCTACCGCCCCACCACCCTGGTCAGCACATCACTTTAAATACATTATTCAGTGGTGCTATAAAATGATCAACCCAAGCAAAGCACGGCACTAACCATCGTCCATGTCACCAAGATAATCGATGTCTTCATCTTTGATATCAGCTGGGATGCATTAGTCGATGTGTGTTTGGTAAAGGTGAGATGATTGTTAGTAATTTACCTCGGCCTTCGCTGTCATCCCCCGGGGTGAAGTAGTCCTCGGGATCATTGCCTAGGTTCAGTGCTCCGGGTACATCTACGAATGTTATGTCTTCGATGCACTCCTCTGCTTCGTTGTTTGGGGCTTTTGGCATGGACATTGGGGGTTATTAGTGTCAGGGTATGGTCTTTAATTTGAGAAAGGTATGCAGTAGAAATGGAACTCGGTACAGAGTTGGGGATGACTATATATATAACACCGGCGCTAGATATTATGTCTTCCAGCTGCATCAATATTACACAGAGGAAGTCCCAGTTAGGAAGTACCTAAACCTTCGAGCGCAAGAGGTAGCTTATCAGTTATCTATGTATTTAACATTACTATGGATATCTTATAATCCTGGGGTATGATCGACGGGACACGAGCTTGGCTTGATTATCAGCTTGATAGTCTATCTTGCTTACCATGGAAAAGCCCGGCATATACGCAGCTTTGACAATGTCCATTTCTCTTATCTTGGGGTTAATTATGCGGTTGATACCCCAGCACCACGGAACGGTTGAGAGTTAAAAGAGGCATCAGCCCAATTATTTCAGCTTCTGTTATCTCCTCGTAGCCGTGGCGTAAATCCCGCCTTCAAGCCTTGTAAGTCCATGGATCGGTTTTTTCATAGTAATATCTCTTGAGTCAAGAATATCATAAATGACGGTGGTATTACACCGCCGATAAGTTTCGATGTTCTAGCCAAGTGGCGACATGGTTTACTCTGCCTAGTATCTGGACTCAATGGACGGCCGTTATTTTCAAAGGAGGACTCTAGTAGCTACTTTGGCCCTAGGCAATGCACTATATATCAGAAAAATCTAATATTATCTTAGCTTTATCTGTAAGTGTCGCAAAAGTAACAGCCATCAACATGCCAATTTCTACAGCCAGCGAGTTGATACTAAACCCCGATTCCTGACCCATGGTTTATCATTGCCAGGTCTTTTTTCAGTGACAATCTTTGGACAGGTTGTCTAGGAAGAAGTTCTTATATACCGCGCTGTTACGTCCCTTACTAACGAATACTGTCGGAATAGGGTGTACTCCTGTCGGCTCCCTAGGTTGGTGAACTCGCAGGGTAATTCCTCTATGATAGAAAGAAAAAAAAGGATTTGTTTCTGCTTCGACAATAAAATGAGCAAAAAGACCTAGATAACACACACGCGCGCACCGAAGCAATACCCCCCACAGTCACCGCAAAACAATCAGATTTCAGCATACACCATCTTGCTAAATGGGTGCCTAGGCCTTACACTCCTACATTCTTTATCAAACACTAATCCCAAGACTGGCTGAGCTACTGTCGGAATTATTCCGGAGAACCTTGGTTCTTGGCTCCGTAGGATACTCATTCTCATTCCCCAGATCACTAGAAATCCTACCGATCGATCGTCTGAGTGCCGTGATTGGGATGGCACCCAATCTCTCTGGCTCAACCTTGGCATTAATCCATGATATGATTATCAGTAATGAACTCGCTTTCCTTTAGATGGCTAAGGCTGCTGGCTGTGATGAATGTACGAACAGCTGGCCTCGCTCCAATATGCGTTAATTTAGCAATATAAAGGCAACTCCTGATAAGAAAGGGCGGCCACGAGGTGTTACGCCTTCAATTTTTCTGGCTCTTTGTAACCATCCACTTAAAATGCTATAGCTTGATAATATTTGCTTTTGAATGTGATAGATTTTAAGAAATAGTCACGATGTACTGTACCGTGGTCAATAGCATTAAATTGATTCAGCCTCTACTCAAAGCAGAGGTATCAAATCCCGTATCGGCTAAGGCGTAACTGATAGCCTTAGCCAAAATCGATTCCTATCATAGATAATGGAACGCCTCCTTTCACTACTCAGGGAGAATAGACGCAAGTGTATTTTCAATCAGGGGTCAAGCTTGTGTACTTACCCCTATACCAGCGGGATTTAAAAATCTGATCGAGGAGCTCTTCGCAGAGCAAAATCCTTTATAAAACAAAATTGGCAAACTTACGGGAACAAGCCTGACCACGACGTTAATTCCTTCCTGGAGTACTGTATTGAAACTGTGTATGCGGGGAACTATCTTCGGAGAGCCGGGCTGAAAATGGAGGTGATGCGATGTAGGTATAGTATTCTGTATTTGAGTCAATGCTCCTGTAACGTTACCTGAGCAGCAATTTAATAGATACTTCTAGTAAGTTAGTTACTGTAAAGGTACCCAACACCGCCTTCGTAGGGTTTCCTCGTGACGGATTGCGACGTACGTTCTGGTGCCTGGGGATCCCCGCTTTGATAGTGTTTGCCAACGAATTGTTTAATAGTGTAACTTCCCGTCCCTTCTTTTCTCTAGCTAACGAATTCTGTTTTCCGGCCTCATGATGAGTTTTGGCTTCAGTATTGGGGATTTAATCACTGTCATTGAGCATGCCAACAAGCTCCGAAAAGACTTTAGGAGTGCGCCGATTCAATTCAAGGCACTCTCCGATGTGTAGGGCATAACTGGGGCCCTGATTATTCACTATATAGATTTCGTTAATTGACGATCTTTCCAGGCTCGGGAGACTGTCTATCGCGATGCGGGATGTTGAAGTTGATTTATCCAACACAGACCTTAGCAACCAGCAAGAGATCGAGCTACAAAAAATAGCAGATAGCTGTCGCCAGGTTTTCAATGAGTTTGAGCAGGTGGCTAGTCAGTATTGCGAATTAAGCGAATCCTGCAGTTTGAAGAGAGTGTGGAAGCGACTCAAATGGGAGCCGAACAATGTATGTGATCTTCGGAATCGCATTTGCAGCAATATCTGCGTTCTCATCGCATTCAACGGCCGAATAACCCGGGACAGAGTCACAGCATTATTAAAAAACAGGACCAATGAACATCACCAAATTTATCTTGATTGGCTGTCGCCAACTGTCTACGCAACGCAACAGTGTGACTGTATCAGTCGGCGCCAACCCGAAACCGGAGAGTGGCTTCTAGTATCGCCCGAGTTCCAGGTCTGGCTCGAAAGCCACAACAAACGTTATTCTGTCCAGGTATTCCGGGTGCCGGTAAGACGATTCTATCGTCAGTGGTAATTGAGGAACTTGAATCCCGGTACGGAGACAACCGCGATATTGGGGTTGCATACATCTCCTGCAGCTTTCAAACCATTGATGATCGAATCCAGCACCCAGAGTGCTTGTTCGCAAGTATCCTTCGACAGCTTGTTCAGGGTCTCTTCCCGATGCCACATATCATTCAGGCGTTGTACGAAAAGCATAGGCTGAAGGGAACACAGCCCTCTGCAGAAGAAATGTCCAGAGCCCTACAGTTGATGGCTAGCCACTTCTCAAAACTATTCATTGTGATCGATGCCTAGGATGAATGCCGTTTTACTGCCATGTCACGACTACTGGATGAGATCTTTGGTCTTCAGGCGACAAACGACGTGAATCTTTTGGCAACCGCAAGGTTTATCCCTGGAATAACGGCTAAGTTCCTGGGTAAGCCGACGAAAGAGATCCGTGCATCCAAGCCGGACGTGATGAGATATCTAAGTGACAATCGGAACAAGCTTCCCTCATTCGTATCGCGGACTCTACATCTACAGTAGGAGATTTTGAATGGAATCACAGATTCTGTTGATGGAATGTAAGCCTCGAAGCTCTACTGAGATACATTCCGATCAGACGACCTCATTTTTAATTTAGGTTTCTTCTCGCCCAACTTTAGCTGGAGTCATTGATAGGGAAGAGGTTACCGAGAGCTATTAGATCTCAACTTAAGGACCTGATAAGCGGCTCTAGAACATACGACTCTGCTTATGACAACGCTATACAAAGAATAGAGGGCCAAGTCACGGACCAGAAGGACCTGGCTTGGCAATGCCTGTCCTGGATTATCTGTGCGAAAAGACCGCTAACGACAGTCGAGCTCCGGAGTGCTCTTGCTGTAGAGATAGGTGAATCTGAATTCGATGGGGAAAGCCTTCTCGACCTTGACGACATTGTCTCTGTTTGCGCAGGCTTGATCACTGTTACTGCTGATCCATCAGATAACATTATTCGATTAGGCCACTACAAAGCACAAGAATACTTTGAACGGACATGGACCCGCAGGTTTCTAGATCCCCCTAAGGATATTGCATCAATCTGTGTGACATATCTGTCGTTTGATGCTTTCCTATCGGGCATCTGCTTGTCTGATGCGGAGTATGAAGCGCGGCTCGAGGAATACCCTCTTTATTCATACGCAGCTAGGAACTGGGGCCATCATGCTCGGATGCAACCCATAAGTGAAGACCTGATGATACGTTTTCTTGGAGATACACTCAAGGTCAATGCTTCTGCATAAGAATCCTTTGCCATCAAATCATTTTCAAGCACGGGAGATTACTGTCAACGGGTCCCGCTGGGGCTTACTGGTTTACATCTTGCAGCATTCTTTGGGCTGACAAGTGTTATCCAATCTGTGATTCAACATCATGACCAATCTTGTGTGATGGATTCGATGGGCCGAACTCCCATAGCATGGGTAGAATACACTGGCTATGATGTAGTAGCCAAACTGTTTCTAGAGAATAACGTAGATGCACGTGAGAGAGATGGCGACGGTCGAACTCCGATATCACGGGCAGCGTGAATGGGATGGACTAATGTAGTTGATATGCTTCTCCAGCATAACATTGATAAAGACTCCCGCGACGTAGATGAACAGACCTCTCTCTCATGGGCAGCTTGTCGAGGTCACGAGGAAGTCGTCCGGTTTCTCCTGGACAAAGGCGCCAATCCGGACACCAAAGACAAGGATGGTATGACTCCGCTTTCATGGGCGGCCTCCAACGGCTGGATGGGGATAGTGCAGCTCCTTCTAGAGAGACATGTTGATCCAAACTCCACGGATAGGCAGGGCCGGGCACCACTTTCCTGGGTAGCAGAGAATGGCCATGACGCACTCATGGGGCTTTTGATTAACAAAGGTGCCCAGCTACACTTACGGTATGATGGAAGCCATGTTGAACAATGCCCGCATGCTCTCGTGATTCATAATGCGCACTGCATGGTGCCAGACACTCCCCAGCAAGACGTTGCTCAGAATGACTATGCTACCGCCTCGGGTTCATTCAGGATAAAACGTGGATTGGAGTGCGCACTATGCCTTAGTAAGCAAGATGAAGCACTGGCGGTGCGATATTACAGCCGTGATGCACTCCGTCGACATATACTCAATCGTCACTATCCTCGTTTCTATTATTGGTGCCCAGTGTCGCCTTGTTTTGATGGCGTTCAGCGCAAATTACTTTCTCAAAGAAACGATAAAGTTATGATGCATTTGCTGATATTCACAATAGACATCTGAGGCCTGATATAGGTGGAGTTGTTAAGGAACTGCAGCCTCATCCTCAAGATTGCCCGTCTGCCAAACTATGGTTTCTTCGGGGAACGAATTTGAAGAATGTGTACTTAGCCACTGCCAACCTGTATCTCCTTCCATTTAGGCACCACAACACTCTGGCCCTGCTTCGCTAGGGCCAGAGTGTGTTAGATCCGGGCGCTGTTTTTGCATGGTGGTGTACCAGGCCAACAATTCGACAGATTCCTAATAATCAAGAGATCCCCAGACGAGATAACACCAAAGCACTCCAGCTACTACCTTCACACTAAATCGCCACATTCATTGAACGAGTTCCTTCTAAGCTCCGGCTTCAGCGTCGCACAAGCGCCCCAATTCGACAATCATTGATAATATTGCGCGTCCGGTCCGTAAGCGCATTATTATACTTCTGATCAGTGTCATCTAGGCAAGTGCGGCGTGCTGCTCTGGTGTCTGTGCATGAGATGACCTCAACCGGCGTTGTTTCCTCGTACGCTTTGTTGCCCAGCAGAGAGCCAACTTGCATGCAACTGACCGTCTTAACAGACATCGATTAGGGCTAAGCCGATATTAACTAGCTAATAATATGGATGCTTAAAAATCGTAGGTTACGTTACGCTCTTCAAATACAGAGCGCTTAAGAGGTTGACGAATAACTATATAGTACTACTTAGTAACTTGATGCATAGCCTTAACATGAACCCCTGTATACGCAAAGGCGACGCGTGTTACTTCATTTTCTACTTATCCTTTGTTGAACTGATCCCTTCTCTCACGCAGTACAACACCTGTCTTTACTGTAGGAGCTCCTATCATAAATGAGCCGATTTTAATCACATCATCAACCAAACACACTATATACCTCACCCTTTTCCAACCGTCCCGACATTCCCTATTCACACAACGTTCTCTGGTTTCGCCTCAGCCTCATCAATCAACTGCTCGGGAGACCGAAACACCAACCCAGAGAAATACTTTCGCCGCTGTGCCTCAACCTTCGCAGGATCCAAAGACCCAGCCCCCAAGGGCACAAAAATCTGATAGTACGCAAGTAATACCTCCATCTCATCCGTCGAGTTCTGAATCGTCCCCAGTATTGAACCCAAACCGATTCGCCGAACCGTCTGGATTTGAGGATACCGCCTCTGCACCAACTCCGCGAGCTCATTCCAACACGTCTTCTTCCCGGACACATACACATACGGCTCCCAGGAAGGGGCCTTGGCCAGGAGAGCCAACGCAGCAGCAAGATCCCTGGCAGAAGTAATATCGACAAGGTCCTTGCCCGTGCCCGGGATAACAATCCGTTTCTCCTCGACATCTATCGGGAACGCTTCGCCCACATCCGAGAGGTACCGATTCCGTCTCGGGACAATGTAATCGACTAACCAGCCGTTGTTGACGATCGTCCACTCCAATTCTTTCTGTTCTTGGAGGGCCTTGCGGACTGGTCCGCGGGTTTCCCAGTAGAAAGACGGGAGGTCGGGGTAATCTTCGATATTACCCCCGAATTCGGAGGGGATGAAGCGTTTGCATTTGGGGCTGAGTTGGCATGCTTTGATGAGGTTTAGGTGGGCATCGATAAAATCGGTGGTGTACGATAGTATCACGGATATGAGCACTTCACAGTCTCCAATTGCGGCTACTAGGGAGGAGACGGAGTAGTCGGTCACTGTTTGGGTGATGTTTGGGCGGTTGCGGAAGTAGCCCTTTTCGCTTCGGGTCAGGATGACGACTTCGTGGCCATGCTTGGGGAATTCATCGCTGATATATCTGGCTAATCCGCCAGCTCCGGCTATGGCGATACGCATGATGGATTGGATTGGTCTTGTGATATGGAGTGGAAGTTGAATGAAGTGTGAATTGATAGAGACATGACGGGTGAGTGCTGGGCTTATATTCCCGCTTTTATGGGCTACGGACTGGCCAGGATTGTATTCGAGACGCTCGCTATGGCTTACAAATCCCTCGTATTTCACCTGTTCTCTAATATGCTACATTAATAATGATTTATAACTAACCAACTAACTTACTCAATGTTCTATACGAGACGGGCGCCGCGGGTTCCGAGCGGCGGATGTCGATGTCCTCTATAATTCAACATTGCGCTTTAACGTGTTGAGTCAAACCTGCTGCCATATCTCATGCACTTTGATTTATTCAGAGTGAATGATGCAAGCACGTCTTCACTCTTCATCGGCGAGAGATTGAAAATGATCAAAGGCAGTATTCTAGACCGTTGACACCTTGGATCACCGAGCCGTTGTAACCACCAAAAAAGATGCAAACAACAAATAACTCAACGATAAAGGATCCCTCATCACTCACCCTATCACGCCGGTATCACTAAATCCCTCTCCTACTTTCTTGGAAATTCTAAAGCCTCTGGGCCCTTTCAAGAGGTGGGTCACCTGCCCATCTGCCAACACCCGCTGTTAAACTCAAGTCCATTCTACAACAAGGATCCAAGACTCTGGAGTCTCTTCCTTTTTCCAGTAGAATATTCACAGAATCCAATGGTCCATCCAGACTTGAACAAAGAACAGGGTAGCCCGGTCTGAAGTTCATCATGAAACTCCAGGACAATCATCGTCCAAAACCTGTTTCTATTCAAGACGTTGGCATCTAGGCTTTCTTGTATACGTCTTTCAGGGCTTCCAAGCGCTCTGAACTTTCTAGTATACTGTAAGAATGTGCATTGGCCGAGATTAGTCCTAGAGGATATCTCGATAATTTCAGATTTGAACTAGAGCCTCTCTAGCGGCGTAGAAATGGGGGCATAGCCTCTGATGTGACAAGTTTGTTCGTCTGGGCGGGGAAGTTAGGGGGTATTTATTGAAGCTGAAACCTATGCTGAAAGCCTCATGTTATCAATATCGGCATTCATTTCCGCACCACAAGGTACAATCCAAGATCGGTGTAAAGCCTCATTTGTGACGCAAGCATGAAGTTCACAGTAATCATCGGTGCTCCTCCGTCTAACAACACAATAAAGCTATCAATGACCGAAAGAGGGAGAAGACAAACTGTTCCGATGAATCGTTTCGAGAATATAGGGTTACGATGCTCGGGCCTCCCTGATTGAAGGGTAGCTCCTTCAAACCCATGATTCAACATCAAAGATATTGAGTTCACTAGAGACCCCGTTTAATTCATCTAAATTTTAAAATGATTCCGGGTGTCGATTTTCCTTTCTACTTTAATAATTTTGTTGCGAGATAAACTAAGCTGAACGGTAGCCGGTGTGAGGGCATTGGCGTTAATGTCCGCGGTAATAGCATCGGTAATTTCTCTTTCTTCTGTAACTGTGAATGAACCTTGCGGCATTGTTTTTGGATTTCCATCTGCACGCACTTTTATCAAGTTTATGTTATTCCAGAGTTACTTCTCTCAGAAACCGGCTGTATTCTCTTCACCTGAAGCTCTGTCAGCCGAAATACGAAGGAAGTATGTTTGGGATCCTACCTTTTAGACCTAAGCACGGTTGAAATAATCAATTAAAAGGCACGAGAGATGAGATATTGATCACTGTAGGCTTCTACAGAAATCAGTGGTTCCTTGATAGTGGATGATGCGGGCTCATGGAGGTCTGGGCCTTGGTAGGTCCCTGTGTTTCATATTCGAGGTAAACTGCTGTTTCAAACATGTTATAGTTAGTATACAGCTCATTCAAAACAGGACCCTTGACTTCAATGGGATACTGCAAAGGATTTATATATTTATTATCGTACGCATGGATCTCAAGGGAATGCGTGGCCCACGTCCGCGGGCTGAGTACGTTAGGCCATAGCGGCCACCCGCAACATCAATTTCCCTCACCAAGTCCATTACCGTCTAGTATTATACTGTATTACTACCTCTTGATATATATAATATTTCCATCGCACAGTAGATAGTCCGCCTCCTAAGGTCTTATAATTATGAAATCTAAGTATCCTTTATCTGATTGTTCTCCTTAAATATGGAGCCTACTACCGCGCTGTGTGGGTCTTTCCACGGATCCCCATATAGATGACATTTGCCGCCGCAAACGGCACGGATTTTCAAAACCTATCCTCTACTTATACTGGCCCACCAATCTTCTCTACCTCTGATTTGACCATGGCTTAAAAGGGTGTTTCCTTTAATTCCTATCGTATCACTCGCTCTAGTCTCATAAATTAGATAACGTGAGAAGAGAGAAGGATTCCGTATCTATCCAGAGTCTATCAGAGTAATCCTAATCTGGAGTTATACTACATCTGCTCCACCACCCTTATCGCGACGCTCTCGAGAGTCGTATATTTCAACCAAGCATTATGCATGGTAGCCATGCCAGCGGGTACTAGACATCATTAAGCGATATAATTCTCGTCTGGCTCTGGAGAGCTCAGTTCAATGCCATGCGAAGTTGCTCTAGGGGCTCGGGTTCTTGTGACTGTAGATTCCTACGGATGCGCAAGGCGAAGGGGCACCAATGGACGCAACCAGTAGGACGTCATGTTCGCTCTCAATATCAAATACAGTAGAAATATGTGCTCTTGCTTTGCATATGTTATACTTCTAGTTTTATCTTCGCGCAAACTTAATTTTCCTATTTTTCGTTCTTCCTCAGCCGACTGCTTACGCCATGCTTGCCACGACCCAAAGTGAAGCGACCGTTCCCCCAGGCGACTTGGAGAATAAAGATACTGCCCGCCATATGCATGAAAAAGTAGAATCAAAGGCAGCTTTAAGTGAACCAATGATAGATATGCCTGGGACTAACGACGACCAAACCGTGCAAACGGCCATTAGTCGGACAGAGAGATATATTCTTTGGGCTGGGTACGTTTTGCACCATTTGAAATATCCAACGTCCAACTGACAAGACAAGACTGGCTATTATTATGCTTGTATAGTAAGTTTCATTTCACTCGTTCTCGGGAAAGGTCTGTGGCGACCAATTGGTAGGCGTTTCGTTCAGGAGAAAAAGGCGTAACTTTAAAACAGTGATCTAGACGTATCCACTCAGTACAATTTATTTGACATACACAACGTCCGACCTTGGCCAGCTTTCCCTTATCGCTATAATAACGACAGCCTCCAGTATTGTCTCGGCCGTTTGTAAGCTGCCTGTGGCCAAATTCTCAGATATACTGGGCAGGGCACCGGCATTTATTCTAACAATCATTATACTCACAATATCATATATTCTTTACGGAGAATCTAAAAGCTTGGCGACATTTGCAACCGGCAAGTTAATGCACAGTGTTGGAATAGCTGGGATTTCGCTTCTTTCCACAATCCTGGTATCTGACCTTTCCAGCCGTCGATGGAGGGCTTTTGCATACAATGCCATTTCCGCGCCTTATTTGATCATACCTTGGCTAGCAGCATTTATTGTTGAAGCAGTTATAAACGGCATAGGTTGGCGTTGGGGTATTACTATGTTTGCTATCCTCATGCCAGTCTGCGGAGCTTCACTCGTTATACCTATGCTGGCCATACAACTTCGGGCGAGAAGAGCTGGTCGAGCAGCCAGGGTAAAGATGACTCTCTATCATTTTTGTTCTCAGATTGATCTTGGCGGTATTATACTCATCATGGCTGGGTTTGCAATGTTGTTGTTACCCTTGAGCGTAGCAGCCGAAACACCCAGCTCACTGGAGGACACCCTGGGTGAGCGTCGTATTGGCACTAGGCTTGCTTACGCTATGTTGTGTCTATCCATACGAGAAATGGATTGCAAAGAGCCCAGTTGCACCAGTACGATATTTCCATATGCCAGGTGTAGTCATTGTCTTTGGCTTCTCTTGCTTGGATTCTGCTGGCAAAAACTTGTGCAGAGACATATCTACTTCCTTGGTCTCTTGTGGCTCGCCACCTGTCAACTCGAAATGCATCATTCCTACTGTGTACTGCAGATGTCACACAAGGATTGGCTGGTATTGTCACGGGGTTAGCGATGTATTTGTTGAAGTCTTATAAATGGATCGGCGTCGCTGGATCTGTGGTTCGCCTTGCCGGTTACGCTGCAATGCTGCATATAAGGTCTAGCAATGGCTCTATAGCCTCTCTGTTTCTTACACAAATAGTGCAAGGAATTGGCACCGGTGCTATTGAGACTGTCATCATTATTGCTGCGCAAGTCGCTGTTCCCTACGCCGAAATGGCTCAAATCACTTCTACCGAGCACCTGTCAAACAAACTACCCTCATACTACTTGCCGGCATCGGTCTCATGAACATATGATACCAAGTCTACAGGCTCCTTCAATCTCTAAGACCAATAACGTGCAACTGCGGCGAAACCGTCTCAGAGGCTATTGCCAACGGGTGTCGCTACGATTCGCTCGCTGCAGCCTGGCTATCTCCGGCCTGTCGTAATGATGAGCTGATCGGCCACTTTGAACATGCGGGTCCAAATCCTGACGGTAGCTGGCTATATTATGCGGATAAGAATAAAACACAAGTGCTGTCCCTTGAGGAAGTCTCCATGCTGCCTGAGACAGGGGGTCACTTCTTTACCACCCATCAATGGCATCTTGTTCACTGCGCGTATTACTGGAAGAAGATGTTTCTGGCTATAGAAAAAGGGACAATCATTGAGCATCGGTATAACAATCTGGCCCATTTGGAGCATTGTGAGATGATGTTTTTGAAAAGGGACCCTTTGGACGCTATTGTGACGGAGGTTGGAGTGTCGCTTCATTCAGATGTGATTGTGATCGCGCAGAAGCATGACCATGGAAATAAGGCAAGGCTGGTCTAAAGGGTATGGCATGAATATGCCATCGTACGGACGTGCACTGCTGAAGGTAGACGAAGGCATGGAACCAAGGGTACTAGAGCTAATACCGTTTGGTAGCTATCATAATTGAAGACAAGTGGTCTGCTCGAGAGCTCACATGTTGACTATCCTTTTCTTTTCTTCCTTTCCCATGAGGGGCAAGAGTGCTCCGGTAAGATCGTGAACGCCGCCAACGTTGGTACGGAGTGTTTTTCCAGATCACTCCTTTACAAGGATATAAATATCTGCTCATTCTCTATTTATATATTCTAAGGGTTAAGTAGTAAATAGAAGGATAAAGTCTGTAGAGGGTAGACAGTAACGAAGTAAAAGATGAATGAGAATTGCACATTTTCTTTACACTACTCGTGTGCATAACACCAGCGTTATTGATGAGTACGTCTAATATTTTTCTGTAAAGGTTCGCTGTAACAAGTCCCACAGCTTTAGTTGTGCTGTCTTCTTTTGCTACATCAAGAGATACGTATATGGCAAGCTCTGGATACGATTGCAACAGATACTGAAAGCCGGGGTTTTCATCAGATCGGGCAGCGGCACAGATAATGATATAGTTGTGACAGCTGACAGGTTTCCGTGTCAATTCAAGGCCAATTCTTCGACAACAACAGGTAATCAGATAAGAGCTCTTGGTGGCAATGCGAAGGAATACGACGTGTAGTATCGCTTAGGTCAAACTTAAGCTGAAGAGTTGGTTCAAAAGCTCTTCAAGCGTGATAATGAAAGCACGAGCCAGCAAACAACAGACAATATCCATCAAATATATGTCAATGTAGTATAAAACTCAGACGCCAATGATCCAATGGTGGAGGTACCAGTGCGTTTACCCTGAACATAGTCCGAGAGTTACGTGGTCCGCCATCAGGACGCAAATTTCCTCCCTTGACAGGGCTTTTGAAAGAGACAGTTCCAAAGTGCATTAGCCATAACTAGTGTTAATGTTCCTTGACGTATTTTTAGGAGCCTTTCTGATCATTCCTAAATGGCTGCATATTGACCACAAGTTTCAGATCATGTCAGAACTCAGTGCCAGACCCTTGGAGGGCATTCTGATTCTTACCTTATTACGTGGTCGACTAACTGACGTGTAGCTGCATTGACGAGACCACTCTGATTATTTCTGTGAAGTAACAATGGCCGTAATTTACGCGAGTAGGCCTTGTTTATTTACGATAGTCCTATAGACTGGTTACAGAGTACGTGGCTACGGAGTATGTAGGAATGAAAATATGTGGAAAGTTTAGCTCGTAACAGTGTGGATCTAGTTTCTGGGGGTGGTTAAGCAGTGGACTGCTTACATCTCTCATAGACAAACTATGATGTCAATCTTGACCGAGTCCAAGTTAGACCGTTTCTCTTATTTAGGTGGGTGTGGTTGGCTTTAGACTCCACTTTGCATGTACTCTTTGTTTATTTCAAATGTAAACTCTCCGTAGATACAACCTTTTCAAGGGAATGGATGCTTTGTATTACATCGAGCTATGCTTCTATCATGTACGATAATTATTCGTGTATCCTTGACTGAAAACCCTCAGTCAGATCTACCAGTTGAGGGTTAGCTCGACTCACGTGAAGTTTAATAGTCAAGACTTACCTGCCGCCATTTACACACTTGTCAATCTGCTTTGCAATCTCCAAGCACTCTTCATCGTGCAGGTTCATAGTAAACACCTGAAGGGCGCGTGGTGCACCGTTGAGAAGCTCGAAGTCATCTGCATTCAATACTTAGAGAAATCCGAGAAACCAGTCAAATCCTCACAGAAAACTTACAGTCAGGTGCAATCTGCTTATCACCAAGTTGGAATGTGTCCTCTGCATCCACCTCACTCACATGTCCAAACGGAATAATACACGATGGGTACTAGAGCCGCAGTCTACAGTCAGCAAGTGCCAGAAAAGAGGATTCAACAGACATACATCAAGACAGTTCAAGAATATCGTATAAGGGGCAAAACCAAACATATCGTGTTTCACCGCGGTGGTTTGGGCGGGTGGCGCAAGACAAACATCGAGTTCGTGCCGGAGCCACATCTTGCGGTATGATTCCCGCAGCGCTGCCCTCCGCGTGTTTAGAACCGCCAATTTATCCAAGCGATCCAGAGCACTCAGATCCGGTAGAGTAGAGGGGTAGAATCCTCTCACTTTCTCGACCTGCTGCCTGATATGGAGAATACCTGGGATGATGGGCTCTCCAGACTCCAGGACATGGCTTATGGCCCTCGGATCTAGAGAGAAAATGCCCCCGGCTACTTCATTGAGCTCCATGATGAGGGACTCCTCCGTGGGTATGTGGATTATTTGGTGGCCCTGCGCTTCCAGCAGGCGCGTTGCTTCCGCGAGGGCCCTCCGGACAGGTGGGTGGAGAGGGAAGACGGGATGCTCACCGATGACTCCAATTTTGAGGCTTTGCTTTTCGGTCACCTCTCTCCATGGAATGTCGAGGACAGTGGAGTCATAGAGAGAAGGTTGAGTAGTAAAGAGGGTTTCAAAAAAGGTCTCTATTCCCTCTAGATCCAGACACAGTGGGCCGGCGCAAGAGAGAATGAATCGCATCCCGCTGGTGTTGCAGCTGCGCATTCCGCCATTAGGGACTCGCTGAGCACTAGGACGGAAACCATATGTTCCACAGCAAAGGGCAGGGATTCGCACAGATCCTATAAAGGTCAGTTATCGATACATGTACAGTCATCAAGAGACAATTCTCACCGCCGACGTCGGTGCCAACACCCAAGGGCGAGCCTCGTAGAGCAATAAGAGCTCCCTCTCCACCACTCGAGCCACCAGGACCAATGGCGGTATTCCAGGGGTTCAAAGTGCGTCCGAATACATTATTGTGAGAGTCAGTCGTCTAAAAGAGAAAGTATTAGTCTGACTATTTTAAAGTGTAGGGTCCGACCGTCGTACCATCATCGTCTGAGGTACGTTCGTCTTCACATAGATCACAGCACCAAGCTTCAACAGGATATCCACCAAGGGGGAGTTCTCGGTCGAAACCTCATCAAGAAACGCAACGATCCCAATGCTTGCATTGGTTCCTTTATAATGGAAGTTATCCTTGATACTGATAGGGAGCCCATGAAGAGGACCGACCAGTTGGCCATGTTCCCGAAGGTTGTCCAGATACCGCGCTCGTTCTAGGGCTTCTGTAAACATTGTCTCTGTAAGACATCCTACCTGTATTTGCAACATTAACACAATTTTCATTTATTCGGCCATCAGACGCCTCGACTAGGAGCGACCTACCAATTGCTGCGCAACTGCTGCACGCTTACAATACGCCAGGGTCACCTCCGCGGCACTCAAGCTGCCACTTGCCAACGCCGACAGAAGCTCCCGCACGGTATATCCTTCCGTAATCTTGAGTTCTCGCTCTGTCAGGATCCCCGACTTGTGGATTACCTTGGCTCGAACAAAGTCATTCTTGTTTTCGGCTAGAGGCGCTTTGAAAGGCGCCAGAAGGTCTTCTGAGACTCTCCATTCCTTGGGGATTTTATCGGCGCAGTCTTGCTGCTTTTTGGCTACCCGAGCCTGCCAGTTGGTTTCTTCAGTAGCTCCCATATTGAAAGCGCAGTGTGGACATGACATTGGGGGTTGGTTTCTATAGCCGCGGTTATATAGGTGTAGCGTAGAATTGGTTGGATATTTATAATGTCACTCGGTCGGAGATTGACGTGAATGTTTATTAAATTTATTGGGCCCCCATTGGAGTCTCAGACCATTATTTTCAGCCATTGTCCAATCATGATCATGTTACCCACCGCGTTAAACAGGGTGAAATACCTCGGATCAAGTTCACAGTTTCGCCGTCTCGGTTCGGTCTTTGATTAGTCGAATCGGCAGACCTAATGACTATCATGCTCTTTTAGACGTGTATTCAGATTGTATTACAAAACACAGTTTATAAGTTGCAGACTGTCGTGTTCTGTAGGCAACCATAACTCTGGGCAATCTATATTTCGACGGTTGATTCTTCTTGGAAATTGTTTCGACGTTTGAAATAATAATAAAAGTTTATTGTGTAAGAAAATGTGTGCAATAAAATCATATAATCTTCTAGATCGGCCTAATAACAACTGCCACACTCGTGCTAGTCAACCCCACCAGTTGTCTAGCCCTAGTAATTCGGTGACATCTGACCCCATCAATCTTGGACACAACAGATACAACAGTGGTCTCGCATCGGCTTGGTAGCTCCGCCTTTCACAGTGCGATCGACTTGGAGATTATTCTGAGGCTCTACTAATGCCCATCTCACCGTGCCTGTGATCGATGCCACTCGATCAAAGCCCAATGCCTGGAGGGGCCCGCGGGAAGCTGCTATCGCTGCTACCGTCTACACCAACCCTGCGCTTATACCCGCCGACGAGAGAGACGAGGCCCCAAGCCGAGAATGATAGCCATCTCTTCTGCCACCGGTGATGGCCGCGATAGTGCACTATCTCAGTTGCCTTTATTATTCCCTCGTCTATCAAACGCTACACCGCGTGGCGAGACGGCCGACGGCACCACTAACCCCGCAACTAGACAGCTGGCTCTCATGCCGATCCTGCGCTATGAGGGCCTAATCTGCGGAGCGAAAGAATACACTGGCCTTGGTATATGCAGTTTCTTCTCATTCGGTCCCCAACTGAGCAAGGACATGTACCGCATGATCTAATCTCGCGTGCGGGAAGCGCCAATCCTGCTGTTGAAAACTTATGCGGCGGTCACACGGGTGTTTCTCCGTTATAACACTAACCTGGATCCATGTAGTGAAGCAGAGCTGTGAAGCTGTGCTTCCACGTTACCGACCCTTCGCAATGCGAAAATCACCAAGTCCGACAATGTCTGCTGCCTCCTCTCGCTGGGAATGAGCTTGGTCACATTTCATCGTTTGATCTCGGGTATTTCAGCCAGTACAATCTGCAGGTTCACTTTATCACTCATCCAGCCGTTTTACGATTTAGGACAGCTGAATGAGTCGGAAATCACAGAGCTATTATGTCTCATCTTTCTAGATACTACACAGTCGCTATTCAGAGCCAGAATCCCGGTGATACAGTATCGATTGCCGCGACCCCTATAAAGTAGACCACCATGCGGGTCTCTGTGGATCATTGCTGCCTCTTCTTTATCGTGTCTGTGTTTTAAGTGCTGGGATCAGAACCGGCCATGGGAAGAAAATGCCTGTGGTCCCGCGACTTTGACAGCCTTCAACATAAGCTCAGAGCATGGGCGCCTAGTATTTCAGTCTGCTCTAGATCGCTTCTCCGAGCAGGAGATGTTATTCCTAGTAAAACAGGCAGACCTGCAACGCACAGCCGCTCTGCTGATCCTCTATCGACTTGAATATCCGTTTGGCGAGGGGGACGACGAGGCAAAAACTTTATCCCAATCAATCGTCACCGACATGGAGCATTGTCATTCTGTTGCCGGTCAACAGCCCCCAAATATCACTCTAGCCCTGCTTGTTGCTGGTGCAGAGGCGCAGGATCCGTTAGGGCGTAAACATATACTCTCCTTGATTTCGAGAATTAAGGGAGCACGGTTCTATCCGTTTATCTCGAACCTGAATATGTTTCTCGCCCGGATTTGGGCTAGTCGAGACCACGGGACCACACGATGGCTCTTTCATCTCTTCGAAGTTGATCCCGAGCTTAGTATTCCTCTTGAGATATTATTGATAATGATACAAGCGTTGAATGTCGTCGAATTGTTCTCGATATCAATTTTTGGGAGGAAGAATTAAACCTCTTTATGGGTATGTTGACGTGTATCGCATGGTATCCGGATATTCAGCCTCGGGGTATTTTACGATTTCACTGGTCGATAATCGATGGTGATTGGCTCACATGGCTTAGTGTTGTGACAACCTCCTGGTATCAGTGCATATTGTGGGGTCTGGACCATCTTCTATGGTAGCACTCACTCACAGATCGATTTCTAACCCCGCTAGAATTCCCGCGACGACGACATGATGGACAGAGATAACATTCAGATTGGGGATATCCTGTTATACACACCGCTAACAGGATTAGTCTGAACATAAAGCCCTTCCACCCCAGCTCAATATCGGTATATCGGTATGCATCACCGACTTAATTCCATTTTCTGAATTATTTTGCCCACAATGCGAAGCCAATCCCATGACTTAGGCCTCTCAGAGTGGGTTCCCACCGGGAACCGCCATGCTGGAAGACCGTGAGTATCCATACCATCAGTCTAGAGCGTATCTTAGACCCACTAGCGTTTGTTCCAATGGGTAGGCCATACTACACAACATGAGCTCATCTTGAGCCCCGCTCCATCAGACGATCCTGATGGCCCTTTAGTAAGAATGGCACTCGCACTGATTATAATTCTAAATACTCACTGGAAATGTATGTAAAACTGGCCACAGGCTCGAAAAGCAGTCAACTATGGACTCACCTTTACTTTTGTCCTCTTTACATTTGTGCTTGTTGATGTCAAAAGTCTCGCGTACAAAGGGTATATCAAGGAGCTTGACCTGACCTACACGACGTTCAACTTGGCTAGTGCATCCAATTTTCTCGGATTCGCGATATGGTGGCTTCTCTTGATCCCATGCGTACACAAGTTCGGTCGTTGCCCAATATACTTCATGAGCGCAGTGGTACAAGTTGTCTATGCCGCCTGGTGGGCGAACTTCTACCACGCCGGAGAGCTGATCGCAGTGAGCCTGCTATCTGGTCTTGCCATATCAATAAGCGAAGCTGTCATGATGAACCCTATTATAGATCTGTTCTTTATCCACCAAGATGCTCGCATGAATGGTACTTTTGTTTCCATGTAGAGTCTGGGTTCCACAGAAGGGCCCATCGCTGCAGGTTATGTCGTGGTGGACCAGGGATGGAGGTGGATGTGGTGGATAGTGACCATTCTACTAGGCGTGAACTTCATTCTCGTGCTTTTCTTCTTCGAGGCATCAAAGTACATCCCAGCACTAGATGGGCGGCCACAACTTCCCCGGAGGTAACCACTTCATCTAGGACTAAAGGGGAAGATAAAAAGAATGTTGCAGAGCCTATCACAACTCGTGTGTCTGTCGATGTGCAACGAAGCCGCAGGTCTATTCGTCAGCGTCTTGCGTTTGTAAATACGGATATCCCTCTCTTCCAACACTTCTACCAGCCGGTCATCGCTCTCTTTTTCTTTCCTGCGGTGGCGTATACCGCAGTTACTTATAGAACCGCCCTAGCCTTTTTCTCTGCGAGTTGTTCAGCAGGGTCGTACTTCCTCATCTACCTGCCCTACAATTTCAATGCTTCAGCAATTGGCCTATTCCATCTTGGTGGATTCAAGGGGTCGCTGCTAGCCACCTAACGATCCCTCCATTGATCGAGTGGATGGTTGTGAAGCTCGCCAAATCGAACAATGGAATATTTGAGCCAGAGATGCATCTGTGAATGAGCTTCCCGGCCGCTCTTCTCAACTATGACAGCATGTTGATCTACGGAATTGAGTTTCGGAGGGTAAATTTTTCAATCTCGTGTCTAAATACATTGCTAAGAACCTCTCTCTGATCGAGGGGTTTTCGCTGGGCTATTTTGTCTATGGCTATGGGCATGTCCAGGTTTGGCTTTATCGTCACTGTCGATGTTGCGTTGACCTATCTGTCCGACTGTTACCCAGGCGTTGGTTTATCATCCCCCGGGGACTTTTTTCCATCATGCGAGGAGTATCAAATTAAGTCACTGAAACTAACTTGGCCTAGACATCCTTGCTGACGCACTGATTGCCGTTGTCTTCCTTCGTAATGGTTTTGCAGCCATCATCAGGTTCGCCTTCACAGATTGGCTTGCAGGAATGGGCATCGAGAATACATTAATCCTGATTTCTATGACCGCACTCGCTTCCATCGCACTACCAATCTTCTAATGATCTATGGTAGGCAGGCAATGTTGAAGACAGCTGAAAATTGCTAGAAATTTGCGAAGCGACAGCAGGTTTGCCGTCATATATGACAACGGGCCTTGCTCGGATTCAATTTTGACTATGCAAATTACATCTGCCATTCAATGCATATCCCATGACTTAAATTAGCCTGCATGTAATAAGGTGCACTTTTAATTCGCGTGACTGTGGGAGATACAGTGTCGAAAGAAGCCTTGGCATCCTTAAGAAATACGGCTTGCTAAACATACATAGCTATTACTATCCAATTCGAACATCTTTATGTTGTTGCACTTTTCAGGTAGTACTTATGATGAGGTCAGCGAATCCGCTCTTCAGCCTATCGCACATGGAAAATTGATTTAAGAATAGTCAAGCTTCTGTCACTCTTTATCGATCTCACCCCAGTATTCAATGTGGCGGACTTTGTCCCCTGGTATTTGGCAACCGATATAGAGTAAAGTATGCTCAGCTCCTGTTAAAGCCATGCCTCTTGGGCCTAGCTTTTCTGTCAGCTTCTAGCGAAGATCAGTAGGTCACTAATGAGGCTGGCGTTGTGGATCATTAGACATATTATTAATGAGGTAGACTCTCCTGTCACCCAAATCCCTATGCACCGGTAAGACCATTTACCTGTACGGCAATTTTTCTATCATTGGAAACTGTGGCTAGTAGATCGAAATCAATCAGTTCCCCGTCTCCAAATTCAACGAGACCAACAATTTTAAGCTGGAGCGGAACATTCACAATCAAAGCGCTGGGTCATTCTCTGTTCCTTTCCATGATCCAGTTTCAGGTCATGGTACAGAACGAGAATATCTGCTGCTTTCAGCGATAACTGATATTTTAGGTAAGAGTCGGGATCTATGTCGATCCAGTGCCCGGACACTGATGCCTTGGCTGCTCCCAAAGAATTAGTGGAATCTTGTTATTTCTCGGATTGATGTGCACCTTAGACACAAAGCTTTTACCAAGCAGCCAACTGGGCCCAGGTAGACCTAATTATTATTCCAGCTCGAGATTGATTCACTGAGTTCTCCTATCATTACAACATAATCCGTCCATCCCCAGCTAGAACCGAAGTACCCCTGAGCAGAACGTTCGCAATCTGATCGCCACCCTCATTCCGGCTTACTGTAATATAGATGTCATTTCGTCTTCCCATCTCCACTCCCTGGATAATATGGTAGTCGAAGGGCCCTTTTCCAAGCTCCTTCGATTCACACAATGCTAAGTAACAGGCCAGCGCACTGGAAGCACTTCCTGTGCCCGGATCCTCCCAGCCGATGAACATCCGGGTCCGCAGCTTCCTGTATCCCTGTTCGTCTCTACCCAGATCGACGAAGTACTTCGTTCCTGTAGGACCCATGTTCCATCCTTCATCCAAGTGATCCGACGTGAAACAGTCGTCTAGCAAGGCACCAGAGACAGTAGCGAGGGCCTCCAGGCCCGGGAGCTGAGCAAGGACAAATGAGAGTCCTTTCACAATGGAAATTACGGGCGCGGAGCCGGTGATCGTCAGGCTGGATTGTACCAGTCCCCAGTGCTGATGATACGCAAATGGAATGCAGGCGCCCACAAGGCCGGTCTTGGTGTCTTGAGAGATTGGGATCGGGCCGGCCTTGGTGAGCAGCCTTTTCAGACTGCTCAGCCCAGTGGCGGAATACTGCTTCAGCACATAGTATGCGGTTCCGATGGTGGGGTGGCCGGCAAAAGGGATCTCGCATCTGGGCGTGAAGATGTCGATAATCACCGATTCTGCGGAGCTCAAATCATTGGACTGTGGTTCGTGCAGGAAGACTGTCTCCGAGAGGTTGAATTCTGTTGCAATCTTCTGCTTCGTCTCTTGCAAGAGAGAAGTGCGCTGCTGGGCGGGCACCCGCACAATGGCAAGCGGGTTACCCTGGAATTGGGTAGTGGTGAACACATCTACAATTGCATATTCGAGGGACATTTTCATTTGCACAAAATATCGGGTACTGGATCATGTAAGACAGGTCTAGAAATAAGTTAAGGAAGTCGGAGTTGGTGCTTTGGAGATCTTGTTTAAAACTGTCTTCTCGGCAATCCGTGTCCGAGCATATTTTGACTTCCACTGAGTTCCGCTCGGACTTTGTCCCCCGAGCGCTCTAGATGGTCCGCTATTATGGATGTTCATGATCTATAAAAACCGAAAACATTTTTTAAACGCGGGAAGAGACGTGAAAATTTCTCTTCTTTGCTTATACTCTAAGTCCTTCTCTTTGTTCTCACCTCCAGTCTCTTCTTTTTTATTCACCGTACATGATCTTCTTAGGACAAGCCTTCCTGAAAATGTCGGAAAAACACCCTATCTTCACCAATCAAGCACCTGCTCCCTTTCCTGTCTTTTCGCAAGCCATTGTCAGAAAAGATAGCGTATACTGCTCCGGCATGATCGGTCTCGATGTGAAAACCAACAGACTAGTCACCGGTGGAATTCAAGCTCAGACGGTTCGTTTCTCCAGTATACTCTTTCTTCCCCCTGAGGTTTGCATCTGAAACTCATATGGATTTATCTCCACAATCAGGATCAATTAGTCCGAAACCTGGAAGCCGTTCTCAAGGAGGCGCATTCTGGCTTGCAGAACGTACTCAAAATGACCGTCTACATCACAACAATGGATGATTTTGCCGCGATGAATGAAACATACGCACACTACTTCTCAGCTCCAATGCCAGTAGGTTGCTGATCCTGACATAGTTGGGTCCAAGGCTTACCTTTACCAGGCGAGGACTTGCGTGGCTGTCAAGGAGTTGCCCTTGGGTGCTCTTGTCGAGATGGATTGTATTGCGTATAGAGATTAGGTGCTAGTCCATGTTCCCAGTACAGCGCGGAGAGCTCAATGGTCACTATTTCACGCAGCTTGCATCTGAATCATGGTAGTGCGTTAGTCGACAGTTGATACGGCGAGTGCCTTTGATCCGTCGATCTATAATCTGCCGGGCGGTTGCTTAGGTTGGGAGAACTGGGGGTTAAGGATAAGCGAGACTTTCTGGTCTGGGGGAGAAAAAATAATTAATTATCTCTGGGAACTAGTTACTGTTCTTGATGCAGACGTTCTATGGAATCGGGGAGGAGATTGCGGGCTGTCTATGTACTGTAGAGGTGGGCAATTAGGGGTGCGGACCGAAGGAAGGTTAAGTCAAGTGCCCGCAAATTTTTCCAACACGGACAAGTTGACTTTCCCTTCGGCTTAGACGTCACCTGTCCGTTCCATTAAGCTACCAGTATCACGTCCCTAGCCACAAGGGAGTAATTTTTATTCTCCTTCCCGTGTAGACCGAATTGAGAAACTCTTCTTCCTCAATGCTAGTAATATCAAGATCCCACCCGCGGATATGACGCCCAGGACTGCCGGAAGAGCCTGTATGGAATGTAGACGGCGCAAATTGAAGGTCAGTCAGTTCCACCTCTAAAGGTCGCTGTCTTTGGTCGATTAAACATCTGGCTATTATTATCACAGTGCGATCGCTTGGTGCCAAGTTGTTCCACTTGTCAGCGGTCTCACAAACGATGCGACTATGAGAAACCAAACAGAACACCATTGACGAGAAGGTTAGTATGTTGAGTCGCGGCCGTCGGCAATTTCTCTAATTATACTTTAGATATCTGACCCAGATCGAAGAAGAGCTAGCGCGAGCTCGATCACTTCTTCAGGGAAGACACAACCAAAGTCCCCGATTTCCAATTTCGGAGGGTCCCTCACGCGAGAACAGCGAGTTTGTCGCCGTCGCTGAAGACCCAGTACATTCCATATCTCCGGCTAGCCCATTATCAAGCCACCAAGTAGCATCACAACCACACAATGATAGCAGCAAACTCCCTACTCATACAGGGAATGATGCTGGAGCGGGCTCGACGAAACCTCAACATGCGAGTAGATGCGTCCTCCTTCCACCCGAAGTAGCTCCTCAGGCCACTAGTTTGGACTGGGATGAACGAGACAATACTTTGCAGAATATGTCGGATCCGAAACCAAAGTCTTCAAGTGATGGCTACTTTGGTAAGCTTCGTTAAAGGCAACGGTGTCCTCATTCTTAATCTTATTCCAGGTGTCTCGTCAACGAGAGCGTTTCTTCGCATGACGGGTCGGCAGGATGAGCTGTATCCACCTACGATGATGACCCAAACCTCCGTCACAGCAACAGATCTGGTGCCATTGTCGTCTTTAGCCGAATATGTGGATGCATACTTCGAGCGATGTCACCCTCTCCATCCACTGTTGCATGAAACCGCCTTTCGCGCCCAAATGATGAATCTGTATCCGCGACCACAGCAGCAACTCTGGGAGATGCTCCTTTATGCGGTTGCTGCATTGGGTGCGTTTTCTATATCAACATCAAATCAAAATACCGACCGTGCTCTTTTCGACGCTGCGCGAGCAAGATTCTCCAACGATTTAATGGAAACAGGCAACAAAACTTTGGTCCAGGCTCTAACACTCATGTCGAGATATTTGCGCATACGAAACAAGCTCAACGCAAGCTATAATTACCTTGGGCTTGCCAATCGAGTTGCAATAAGCATTGGTTTGTTTAAGGAATTCTCGTCGGCCGATAGCAACCCGTTCTATTGCGAGGTTCGTCGGCGTGTGTGGTGGTGCCTATACACGTTGAACCTTGAAGACACCATTGCATTCTCCAGGCCACAGGACTTCCCTCAAAGCGGGGTCGAGGTCAATTTGCCCTTAAACATTCACGACCTGGTTTGTAGCACCCGCCAATCTACCGGTGCCTTATTGATATAAGCTAGGACTTAACCCCCAACACGGCCTTTGTCGGCGCTGAAGCAAATTATACGACCTTATATACTTATCTCAAGTTTGGGGCAGCCTTCTATTCGACTATCAGCACGGCCTATGCCAGCATTATCAGCGTTCCGTACCCCCGAGCGCGCCAATTGATCGAATATGATGACAACCTCGTTCGAGAATGGGAAGCTTCTCTGCCCGCTTTCATCCGTGAGATTGCTATAGAAAGCCCAAGGTATACCCTGGGCCATGCGGCTCTCTTCTGGAAATGTCTGAACTTTCGGATCCTGATGTATAGACCGTTCATCGTCTGGCATTTTATCATGCGACATCGTGCTGATCCACCCAAAGCCGCCGCTGATCCAGATAGTGTCAATACCACGATTCAACGATGCCAAAAAGCCGCGGAGGAGACCATTACTATGATCTCTGAATTCTGGTTTCAACAGCAGAGATCAGCCCTCGATGGCTGGTATGCCTTGCAATTTTTGCTTCCCGCTATCCTGATCCCCGCTCTCTGCATTCGAAATGAATCGACATCACCACACTCGGCTTCATGGCAAGACCAGATCCGGAAAGCTATCGAAGTTATGGAATCGATCTCATTGTTACTGGATTCAGCTGTGCATACTCTCGGCATCATCAAGTCGCTCTGTAATGGGGTTGTCCCCTTAGAGAACGAGGTCTCTTCTCCACACAACCTCCCTAAAGTTCTAGGCAGGGATTGGGAGCCATCTGCAGATGCGAATTATGACACCTTTTTCGAGGCGACTCATCAAATTTTGTGAGTTATTGGTCCCAACATTACTACGACAGTAAGACACATAATGCTGACATATGAGATGAACAGCCCCGAGTATCTCAATTTTGGTGATTTGACTATGTTTCCTGATCTGATTTGAACATCGCATTCCATCACATGGCAAGCTGGATAGGAGGAATCGTTACATCATGACCTCCTGAGAAACCAATATGGTTATTTTTCTTCTTGAACTCGGGGTATTTTCAATTGTAGCACTGTCGACCTAGCCCCGCTGGTTCTGTCTTAAAGGTTTATATTCACCAGCGCCCTGTCAATGGGAGTGCTTGACACGACTATACGCAAGCATCGGGTGCCACGATCTGTCGATAGAACAAGTCCACGCCGGTACACTTATGCTGTCATGATATCGATGACGCCGATGAAATCAAACACAGCCCCACCATATGATAGTGTATAATCTAGGATACAAATGAATATGTTCCCTAAGATCTCAACAGGGGTTCATTCTCCCCTTTTGCCAAAGCCGTCCTCTTCCCTCTTAACACAACTAAGAACAAGATCCCCTGCACAACCGCAAAAACCAAATTATCCACAGCCGCCCAGCCAACAAGTTGGTACCAGCTAGTGAAAGATCCCCATGTCCAAAATAAATCAGATAGATTATGATCCAGCCGTACACGGAAAATCCAGCTCAGACCCAGCACCGCGAATATCACGGCTTGGCTTGCTAAACCCGTGAGACTTAACGCTGCATGTCCGTGCTGCTTCAGTTCCAGAAGTTGGGCCGGTAATGCTGCGATAGCAAGTAGAGTCACAACAGGATTGACGAAGATCAGGTGTGAACCGAGAAATATAGCATCCAGCCAGCATTGGCTTCCACGGCTCGCTCCGCAGGGGTTTGTGAGGATATAAAGAACTGCGGCAAGGAGAGAGATAGATAGGAAAGCAATATATATTCCTATAATGAAAGTTTTGCGACGTGGGTAAGCTGGGGAGTAAAATATGCCCAAGAAAAACCTTACAGGATCAGTATTTGTTATTTTGCATATTGATATGTCCTCACAATGTAGATGATAGTCCCCAGGTTACAGCTAGCTGGAGGAAATTCAACCAGTCCCCTGCATTAGGCGGGTTATATATGAAGAAGTCTGAGTCTCCTGCTATAAAGAGATAGGACATGGAGATGGTAAATTGTTCGGTTGCGTTTATAACATTGCAAAGTAAGTAGGCGAGGGAGATGCCCATCAAGTCCCCATTTTGGCGGAGGCAACGTAGTTGGGGCCCGAAGGAGAAGATAGAAAGGATTAGTAGAAGGCTGGAACAATTAGATATTAGTTCGATAAACATCAAGTGTAACTTACATGCGAAACCAGTTTGGAACTGTGGAATTCATAGTCTTACTTACAGTTAGAGGTATATTCTAGGGGAAAGAGAAACAAAAGGAGAAGGGAAAATTAGAAGAGATGAAATTAGTTATATAGAGCCCTGGCAATACAACCCCACTTACCCGAATCCTCTCATAGGACCATGAGGACTCCACTAGAATTATTCTATTGGAGGTTATGTACCATTTAATTTTACAAACTCAAGGTAACATTCAATGCCTGCACATGTACTACTTTTGCGGTTAGTCACACTATAGTGAACTCTACAACATTGCTCGCTGATACCACGATAGCTGGTTGCCCCTCATTATCCCTGGGATCCACAACTTCACCACTGACCCGGCATGGTAGCTTCACTGTGGTCTGCAAATGATCTTCTTTCATACCCCAGTTCCACCAGTCAATTACTCTGTCGGTGAACTCGTACTTAAAGACTTCTCTTACCTTAGTGTCAGAAGGAAGTTCCAGTCTATCCGTCCGAGTCCATGACTCTCCCGGCTGAAGGCTAATAAAGTCAACGTGCTGGCCAGGAGAAAACTCAATATCTGGTTCGTCATATATCTGGTATGGCTTCACCTCGGACTTGAAGTATTCCCATCTCTGGCCACGTTGCCGCTGAAGGTTACCCTCGAGTAAGTTGATAACATGTAAAGTAATTGGAGTGAAGTCCCCTGGTCCCTTGGATGAAGAATGTTAGATGGCATGGACTGTCGCCTTTTTAATCTGATCCCTGGTGAAGGTTGGAGAGCATTCAATATCCACACTGAGGATCGAATCTCCTGGACTAGACCCACCTCACATACTATCAGCCTTCGAGCAAGACAATTAGGAGGGCTTGTGGGGGAGGAGGAGGGTGGACATACACTCTGGATAATGGCTCGCTGGGCGGCAAGGGCTCGGGAGATGGAATGATTCGCTCCCCTTCCTTAACAGTAAGCGAGAGATGAGGATCACCCGCAATAAAAAAGACACGGCTCTCGTCTTCTCAATTCCATACCCAGGTGATTCTGAATATTTCCCCAGTCCCAGAGAGATGTCTCGCCCTCAGGCCAGAGTAGCTCATATCTCTCACCTGGTCTGAGCGCATAGTGATACCGTAAGCCTAGTGACGATAAATGACGAGAATTCCCATTCGGCTGAAGTTCAAACAGATCCTGACCCGGTCTAGCTATAGAAAGCACGTCAGGAAATTTTAACGTCCCCTCCTCCACCCTAACTCTTTCCAGTCCGTCTGAAGTGTGGTGGAGAAGGACAAGCTGAGCAGCGGGTACAGTCGGGGCATAAGGAGGCCAAAAGAAGATACACGGACGAGTGGCTCGGTATCATCTCGGCGCAGGACCACTTCAATCCCAAAATCTGACTCTGAGACCAACGTCTCTGGTGCTTTCAACTCTAGAGAAATCGCCGGCGTACCAGACCTGTCGCGTTGGGTTTGTTAGCTGTTACTCGCTTGGGTAGATAGGTTCTCTAACTGTTGACTCTGTTCTGCTAGTTGCAGATAAGGTCCAAAATCGTCACCCATGCTTCCTCACTCGAAGTACTATGATGCACTCGAAGTAGGAAATACGATTCCTTTGACGCTTACCAATGGTGTTAATTATGGCCCCACGTTGCAACACTCGGCTTCAAGTTGGCTGACCTACAATACTACTCCGAATCAGGAAGAAGTTCGACCTGTCAGTCTGAGCCTGATAGTTCTATGATAAGAAAGACCATTGTGGAGTACTCGGGGAACTAGGCAGAAGACTAGCGGAGCCCTACATCAAAATACCATTACTACAAGCGTTCGCAAGCCGTGGTCACATTAGTACTTAACGAACATAAAAAGAGCATATGTACAGGGAGATCCATGTTTATTCCACAGCATTATTGAGGCAGAATCTTATTCCAGACGTGCGACTAAACCGATACCCGCAACCTTTCCTTGGCGAAGGAGGTGTTCTATAGTAAACACTGCCTAAAAATATCTCGGTGAGTTTAAACTTTAGGTCCCTTCGGCAAACCAGACAAAACTACATTGAAATAAAGTGGTGGTTGCGCAAAGACGCTCTTATCCCTCTAGGAGCCGGGGTGGAGCGATGGACTGCGGATCAATAATCCATCCGTTGCGTCTTAGTCAGAGCTCTAATTCAACCGCTGTTCTCGGTTTAAGGGATAAGTTCAAGGTGACTGGCACCTAGATCCAGATTTAAATACCTACAAGGGAATATTGGTGTACTCCGTTCAGGGATTGGACAGAGCTCTTTGAGTATCCATAAGCTGTGTTGCTTTGTATGGCGATCAGCCGAGGACTGGTACGATAAATCCTTGAAGCACTTTCAGTGGACATACATTCGTCAGGTAGATATTGACAAATCGGGAAGCACCATAATAGGTCAATTATATTTTTGATTCCGGGACGTGCACATGCTATAGGATTACCGTATTTCACAGCTAAACCTCCTAGTATGAGTAGCTCTCGCAGACTCTTTATTTAGCCGTGCTCACACATTACCATTTAACGAACATTAAAAGTATAAGTACACGAGGGATCAAGTTTGTACTACACACTGATGTGCATTATAGGGGGGTGGAAATTTAGTCCAGACGTGCGACCAACTTTGTACCCGCAACTTTTCCCTGGCGAAGGAGATCGAGACCTTCACTGAGATGGGACAGCCCGCCCTCGATCTGCTTCAGAGGAGGTGGCCGCAGTTGATGGCAGAGTTCGTGCAATGAGGCATAAAACCGACGTAGAGCTGCGTTGTCGGACGGGCTGGCCGAAAATCGAGGTCCGACAGGAGCCAGCCACTGCCATGGACGGTTGAAGGCCCCATAACCAAGGAAAAACTCCACTTCCACCCCGTCTACATTCTTTTTCCCTGTATCCAATAGTGTAATCACCTTGCCCTTTGCCTGGCGCACAACCTTGACGCAAAATTCAGTCGAACCGCCTTCGGAAAAGCAGTCCATGGCTCGGCTCATCTGCGGATACGCCCTGGCGATTTCTTCTGCTGCGGTTGGAGATCGGTAATCAAATACATCATCTGCTCCGTATTGCTTCACCAAGTCATGGGACCGTGGAGATGCGGTGGCTACGACCTTCAAGCCTGCCAGTTTGGCCACCTGAATGGCGTAGAGGCCGGCACTAGTGGCACCCGCATATATGAACACCGGCGAGTCACGATGTCCTCCTTCCTTGCCTCCGTCTGCCCAAGGAACATCCAGGCGAGCATTGAGCGCCAGCACAGCGGTGACGGCAGAAACCCCATACGTGCTTGCTTCTTCATCGCTCACAGCGGGAGGAACCTTCCATGCTAGGTCCGCTGGGACCTTGAGATACTCGGCGAACGAGCCACGGTCAGAATACAAACCACCATGGACCCAACCTGCTGCTCGGTCCCCAATTTTCCAGTTGCCGGGTGCATTGGATCCCACCTTTGCAACAGTTCCAGAAAAGTCGCAACCGATAATAGCCCCTTTATGGGCGAGAAGATCAACATGTTTGAAGTCCGTCGGATTCAGAGCGACAGCTTTGACGTGGACAAGGATTTCTGAGTCGGATATGGTTGGCGTAGGAACGTTTTGCACCTTCACTCCATCTCCGCATGGTTTACCCCAGACATAGTTGGCCAGTCGCGCGGTCACTGCTCGGTTACCCACCACTGCTCGCATGGAATCTGGTACTGTAGTAGACATTATGGATCCGATTTACTTGGGCCAGCAATACAGTGAATGAATCGGTTATGATTCCTGGTCGTTGATGTCATATACCCACTGTTAGGTCAGGAGGAATGCTAAGTTCTGGTGAAATAATGAAAGTCGTTTTTTGTGATCACGGCACACCTTGGCTATATAATGCTAGTCGCCATGACAATCAATGACGCCAAATTCCACCGTCAAGAGAAGCTTCAAGGGAAGGGTCCGTTCGAGCTGCCCGGACAGAGCCATCAATCGGGGGAGATGTTCCTCCGACTCGCAAAAGAATGACGGGGACATCGGTACGCGACCCACTTTTCCAGCCAATTCTGATGCTACCTACTACATAGCAACTATTTTTACTAGTTAACTTAATTGCATCACAGGAAGTGGCCCATCACCTGAGCTTCCTTTGGTCTGAGCATGAAAGTTAAGCCCAAACATATGGCATTCTGGTCGAGCCAATGTCCACTTTTCTCAAGATATCAACTCCCCTTGGCTGGTACACCCCCGGTTTTGAATAGACAACGCTCGTTTCTCTCGAGATAGGACCGACCCGAGACCTTACACTACAATAGTGTAGTAAGCAATCCTTAATGTTGCATTACTACGGCATGTAACTGACAAGAAGAGGTAGAAAAAAGTAGCAGAACTTCCGGTCGTAAAAACACGAGGTTAATGGTCAAGCCGCGATATTTCACTCCACACCATTTCTATCCCAACGATGTTCTTACCCCTAATTTGATTGCCGTTGAGCACTCCAGCTGCGGTAGTGATCCGCCAATGTCTCCTCCAGGGGCTGATAGACAATATTCAGCTCCTTCAAACTGGGGCTATTGTTAATCTTAAACTCGATACCCTGGTTCAAGCCGAGCCACTTTTGACTCAAGCCAAGCAACGGCCCCATCATTGCGGATCTTACTCTCGATGAGGAACGGTGAGGCGAGATGATATACCACCGAACAACCTTCCATTACCGCATCAAAGGACCCTGCCACCAACAGATCTGACTCGAAAAACTTCAGCTGTCCCGGCCATCGGGTTTGCATATCGAGGAGGTGTTTGATTTTTTTCTCATTCTTGGTGCTTTTGGACAGTCGCATGGACCTGATGGCCCGTCTCGAGTAGTTGTTGCACCACATGGCTAGCAATAAACCCGCTTGCCCCTGTCACGAGAACTGTCTTGTCTGACATATTGTGAGGAACTACGAGATATAGTATACGCAGGTAGGCTGGAGAATCTTTTTCGCTGGACAGAGTGCTCTCTGGGTTGGTTATTGCTTTCTCGATTACTCCTACTGTGGGTGAACCGAGAAACTTATAGTGGGTCACCCAGTCAACGTACGAGTATTCTGTCTCTTGGAGTGGTCTAGCCTAGTAGTCGTTTCGATGACGTTAACCATTTTGCCCAGCATCGTCGCCGAAATGGGAAGCTGTAGGATTGTGTGTTTGACCCAAGTTACTACATAGCATGATTGCTTGTTAGCCCTGGATAAGAATTTCAATTGAGCATTGCATTCGACCTCGTGGCGACCGAACAATTTTAGGGTCGGGGAGACAATTGCACCGCATCCTACTAGCTGGTGCCTTCTCGTACCATTCAGATTTCCAAACTCACTATCGTCGAAGCCATAAAAGATCCACACCTCGCAAGCCTAGCCGAATAGAGAATGATCAGCACCTCTAAGCATGAGCTTAATATAGTCTAGATTTGATTGATTTCCAACACATTCGCCTTCGCCTAACCATATCTTTTACCGTGATGGCTCATGTTGTATTCACCCTAATAGCCAGAGTATGGCCGTTGCAATATGCGCTGTGCCTTAAGACCTCCTCTATAACGCGAAAATACCTACCTATCGAGGCTCCAATGAAATGTCAAATGCGTCTCACGTAGTGCCATATTAATACCTATATACAAAAAAAAAAAAAAAAAAAAAAAAAAAAAAAAAAAAAAAAAAAAAGGCCCGAACCCAGACTTCAGTTAAAGATACTATACAACAAATCGAAGTTACTTAGCAACCTCCCACACCTCTTTAATCTCATCCGCCGCCTCCCTATAAACAACGTCACGTAGCCTCTTCTCCTCCTCCGTCTTCGCCGTATGATCCCAATAATGAGGCACCCCAATCCCATCTACAACCTTACAGACCACATTCTTCCCCAGCCCGCTAAACCGCTCAGCCGCAACCCTCCCCTCCACCAAAAGATAATCCAACCCTGCAAGCTTAAACGATATCTTCTCCGGTAACGCCTCCCTAACCACCTCCTCCTCAGCAAGCCCAGGAGAGACATACATATACCCCTTATCCGGCACTTCCTTAACCCTCCAGAAGAAAGCCTGGTCAAAAGTCTCCCGGACAAGCTTCGGCGACGAAACCGGCTTTTTCTTCATAGCCATAAACGCCGGGTTGGACAAGGCGCGCTGTCCCGACTCCTCGTTAGATCCATAGGCGGTAGAACGCCGTTATACCCTTCACAGTCCCGAGGTGTGCCTAGTTAACCCGGGGATCTTTGTCCTGGATAAGATTCCACAACAGGAACTAGGACGACATCGTCATATGGGCTCCTACACTGAACCCCGTCAGAATAGTCCGATGCTTATAGATCCCCAGGGCCTCCGCATTAGCCCAGACATAGAGGATGGCGTCGAGGCAATCTTCGATGGGTGCCGGGTAGAGGTGTTCGGGGGCGAGGCGGTTAGGTGGGAGATGAAGCGCTCATCATCGCGCGCGTGTGCGATTGCCCAGCCTCCACCGTGGAAGTTGATTACGACGGGGTATTGGATGGGTTTTTGGGTCTTACGGTTGTGATCTTTTGGGTAGTAGAAGAATATTTCGAAGGTCCCTGGTTTGGTGGACAATGTGGAGGGGGTTTTTCGTATGAAGGATGGGCCTGGGGGGCGGGTTTGGCCTCTTCTTCGGTCGAGCCAGGCGAGGAGGCGGGGTTAATAATCGTAGGATTCGGACTTTGAGGTATAAGAAGATGGTGGAAGACATTGTAGGTCTTTGTGTTTTGGTGAAGGGCTTGGTGAGAAAAAGCACGAAGGGAGATAGAAGGATAACAAAGGTAAAATGGGTTCATGTTGTTCTAAATCTATATTATTCCCTGGTCGAAGGTATGGTAGTCCTCCGACATTATATTCTAGCCAGAGTATTCGGTTAGAGGCTTGTTCCAGAACCAGACCCCAGTGGGAGAAAGACCGCCCCAGCTCGATCACAGTTGTGAATAGATTAGAAATCTATTAGTGGGGAAGCATAAAAGCAACTCTTTACAAGGTCTATAATGGTTCCTGAGGACCTTTAGTTCCTCCACTCTCCGACTTGAAGCCTCGGCAGGTCATATTCCCTGTGTTAGTTTACAACCCGTTCATCGTAGGGTCTTTCATTCCATTCTTATCACGCCTTTCAAATGAACTGAGTGAGGCCCGGTTAGCCTTCCACTCGAAGTATGTTTCGCTCGAGATCGAAGGGAGAATTTAATACTTAGCTTTGTTAGACTTTACACCGAAACAATCCACCAGAGTTGAAGAAGTTAGAAATCAGGTTGCCTTGCCCGTAGCGACAGGATCCAACCTGACTTAGTAAGGGATGCTTCACAATATAATGAGGATGGTATATGAAGGCAGGTATTACTAACGGGAAGCATCCCTGCGTAATATGTTTAAAGAGATGGCGGTGATTCTCAAATATCCATAGACAGCCTGAACCATTTGTGGGTTGCAAAAAATTCCAACGAATAGAGTATATCCTCTGTATGACCGTCGAAAGTACAGACTCGTACTCTAAAAGTATTTAGCCTCAAAAGTCTCCGTCACTGGCCTTGCCTAGGGTTTTTGAGAAACGGTCCCACTAGCGTAATGAAGTTGCTAGAAAAATAGCCAGACATCTCATGAGCGGCCTCGGTAAGGTGAATGTTAGCTTAGATTCACACATCCATGGAATTAAATCGTTGTCTTCAAGGACTTACTAGAGAATGGTCTGATTGACCATTTTACTTATATCACCAACAACAGCCCTAGCTGTTATGATGCGGTCCAGAAATGTCAATTGCAAATAGGGTTTTTATATCTTTATTGTATCGCGGCAATGTAAGTCTCCCTGTTATATCAGTGGCACTCCTGCAAATCTCACAAATCTGTACAGCATGGTTGGTGTCATTCGCCAACAATATCGATATTGATTCCTTGGAAAGGTATCTGAACCAGACTGTGCCGGTAGTAAAATCCCCAATACAGTTAACACAGGCAGTTCACTCACATACACCTAGCAGCTTTAACATTACAACTTCCAACAAAGCCTGGCTCACGCTATACCCATTCTCCAGTTCGGTTTTCGCCAGTCAACCCTGACTTATCAGATCAATGCTGCGGACGGACAGCTATTCGTTTTGCGGAAGAAACTACAGGGTAAACTTCTCACAAAATCAGCCTACAGAATTGACAGGGAAACATGATTCTTAAAGCCCTGTCCAAGACCGACGTTCCGGTTCCGAAGGCATTCTGCTTATGTGAGGGCAGCACTGTCATCGGAACCTCTTTTTATATTAAGAGATTCCTAGATGGGCGGCATTATATAGGTCCAGCAGTGCCCAATCCTAATGTAGAGGAGAGAAAGGCACTGTATGGCGGCTGGCTTTATCACAATGGAAATAACTCTGACAGTCATTACAGCTGGGAAGACGCAGTCCGGACGTTAGCAAAGCTTTACCGAGTAGTGCCCAGTGCAGTGGATTAACAGTTCGGCAAGCCCTCAGGTTTCTATGACCGGCAACTCAACATCTTAACATCCGTCTCCATGGCACAATCCCAGGTAGTGGATGGTGGTACAGGGAACGCCATCAGGGAACTTCCATATCTCGACAAAATGGTACACTTCTTTTCTAACAGGCCACTCAGCCACGAGAACGGAGCACTTTAGTGCATGGAGGCTTTCAAAATCGGCCGCTTAATTTTTTCATTAGACCGAGCCCAGAGTTATTAGTATTTTGGGCTTGGAAATGGTGACCCTCGGTCATCTACTCAGCGATCTTTGCAACCTGAAAAGCCCATATTCCCTGGAGTTGGTTGATTACAAGTGCATGCTGTTCCACCCAGACATTGTGCCGGGGTTACCGACCCGAGATGGGTGTATTGGACGATATAAAGAGGATGCAGGGTGGGAACCGGCTCCCGATATGCTATGGGGTACAGCATTCTCTGCCTTTCGGAGTTCAGTGGTCATGCAGGGTATTGCGGCACGCTCGGCTCTGATACAGGCTAGCAGCGCTTAGGCTAGTGAGTATGCGAAAGATCTCAAGCCGTTTGCGGCTCAAGCAAGGAGACGAGTTAATCAAGCCCGAGGTAAGGTCAGCCAGAAGGGAAAGCTATAGACTTTGCCTTTCGGGGGATCTCAGTGTTTCCTATCTGACTTAATTCTGTAGCAACTTTGTTTTCGTAAGGTTTGGCAGATATGTTTCCAGGATATAGCGGATCAACTCCACATATGAAGCCCATAGTCCCATTGTGCCGAGTCTCGTGTCACAATGCTGTCAGTTTGGATATAATTACGATAGACGGCTTTGGTCCCTGGATTTCGGCTTACCTTCTGGTTTGGACCTTGCCTATAATATATGCACATGTACGAGCTCGGGAGAGAATCTTTTCCCCTTTGTATTGTGTAAATTCTAATATTGTCATTATCTACAATTTGGAATTATTTGGAAATTGACTACTTTTTAATTTTATCTTGCACCTCGCAAGCCTACCTAAATCGGGGATGGTTAGCATCTAGCTCTATTTGTAATATGAGGAGCCTCCCATATCTTCGAAGGTCAGTAACCATCTATCTCCCTATGTTTACTGCTACTTGCAACTACCCGTGTATAATGGATTTAATCATGGGGAATGCATTCCGACCAAGTTGCTGCTGTTTATGGTGCTGTAAAGCTGCCATATGTTCACAATAGTAGCCATTGCAAGATAGACCTTATTCCCTCGCGATATTCGATAGTATCAGGTACTCGAGTTGTGAAATTGACTATGATCAATCCGAACGTAACTAAGAAAAGCAACACCTTTATAGCGGAATATGTCAGCACTTGGGCAGTCTCACTGTCACCTCCTCTTGTGACATGGATGACAATTTTGCCTCTTGTCCTTCCCGAGCGTAGTTTCTCAAATGCCCTGATAGTGTCCTCAAATTCATACACTGTATCCAACTCAACTCGGACCTTTACAGTTCGCAATCTGGACTAACTCGTCCTTATGGTTCTTCATAAGCAACGCCACGTATTTCCTCTTGCCACCTCCGAGAAGCGAGGGGCGGACAAGCCGGTGAGCGAACGTGGCAACTGATGAGGCCCCGACCTGGACAAAATCTTTTCCAGGCTTCAAGAATGTGTGGCAGTCCTGATAAAGAGCCTCCGGCCATCCAATGTGATCCACAACATGATCAAATGTCTGTCCCTGTGCCTTGAGAACTTCCAACACATTCTGTGTGGTATAATCGATTACCTCATCCGCACCGAGGTCGCGACAGAACTGTATGTTGCGTGTGGAACAGGTCACTGTAACATGACACCCTAGCACCTTCGCGATCTGGATTGCATAAACCCCACATCCCCGGATCTGCCGTTGATGAACACCCTGCTGCCGGGAGTGGATACATACGGCATAATGGATTGGTACGACGACCGCCCCGCAACTCCAATCGTAGCAGCAGAATCGGGATCTACTCCTAGTGGCAACGGAGCAGTATTGTCAGGACTTGCGAGTATATATTCTCCGAGGGTCCCAAACTGCCGTGGAATGCCGAGACAGCCAAAGACTAGCTGGCCTGGGGTAAACTGCTGTGAAGCAGGATCTGACCCTACAGCGACGACCCGTCCACAAAAGTCCATTCCGGCGCTGGCAGGTGTAGTCGTAATGAGAACTTTTCCGAAAACGGTGCTCATGGCAGGGGCCTTGTAGTCTGCTGGGTTGATAGCCGTGGAGAGCACCCTAATGAGCAGCTGACCACTGCGCGGGGATCCTGGAGTTCGGGCATCAGGGGAAAGGACAAGATTCTTCTCCCGGCCATTGTTCGTAGAGTAATATAGCCAAACCTTCATTGTCACTGACCAGCTTCTGAATTTTTTCGCCGTTGTTGGCACAGTCTTGGAGCGCCATCTTCTATTATAATAGTCTTTGGAGTGTAGGTAGCCATCGAGCTAACGTGGCTCCCATTACCAAACTTCCTTGCGTCAGATACCAAAGAAGCCAATCATATTTTGGTAGCCCTAGCGAGCTTATATATACTGTTAAAGATCAAATACCAATACAATGTTAAACCAAGTTTGTCCCCGGATGACTTAGGGTTAGACCCGCTGGTCTAATCAATGAGAACTCCGCTTGGCACTTCAGGGTTCCCCAATAGATAGCAACCGGGGGAACAAACTATCCGATGGTGATCTGATACCTACTGCCCTTGTCGAACAAGGTCACGCTGAGGGTGTCGAGTTACCACAATAGTAGTGTCAATCTGATGGCTGAGAAATATACAGCATGACAATTCCTTGAACCTTGTTGCTTTTCTTTGGTCTGCTAATCGCCAACATGCTTCTTAAATACTGTCCAATGCATTTACTGTGTTTTATCTGCCCATTTACATCGTCAGACTTTATCAGTCTGTGCTTTTATACCTATACTGAAAATAAATACTAATCAGTCACAGCTGTTTGACTATGTCCACCCGTACTTCAAATTGATCCCATGTCTCTCTGTCTTCTCTGTAAGACGACAATCTCACCTAGGATGCTTTTAAAGGATTCCTGCAACTCTTCCAACTCAGATTCTAGTGCCTCCGTCAGTGGACATGCCTCTTGACTGTGGTTCCTTCCTCGTCCACCGAGAATTTTCTTTTCCGTGTGCTCTATTGGAGAACTATGTCTGTCATGGTAATTATCTCTTAGCCGTTCTATCAGGGTACAATCCTCTTATCTGTCCCACCCTTTCTCCTTGTCTTTTCCTTTCCTTTCCTTATTTTCCTGTCTTGCTTCTGCTTTCGTTCTATCTGGAATAGGGCTCGATTCGCCCTGGACTATAACAAAGCTGACTGTTGTGCACAGAATCGACGTGCTGAGTTTATTCATTTTGTCTACCTAGGTTAGTGACAGATGTCAAAATATGCTCAAATATATCATGCCTTTCTAAAATTGCACTGAATCACTTTGCATCAGGTTTGTTCGTATGCTGTACGTTGCTGTCCTCACCATTGTCATCATTATCTCTTCTTTTCTGCAGGTAGGTCATATCAACCATCATTTTCCTGTGTTACAAGCTGGTCATATCCGCGACACCTTAATCGCACCATCCTGTAACAATCACGAAGGACGAAGTACTCCAAATACCATTCTACAGCAACAACTCTCAATTCCACACAAAATGTCCACACAATATCTAGCACAAGCTAAGATCGCCATGTTTTATCCTTCCTTTTTATCCCCCTATCTCTGCAGCGGGCAGTATCACACTTTTCGTCTTCGAATCCTGAAACTCTTTCGATATATTCACACTGCCTAAGTCTTCCGAATTCTCGCTTGATAAATATACTCTGTTCTCCAGCTATCATAGTGTCTCTTGACAAACATTGGTGGAGAACCTTGTTTGTGGACTTACCGTAAGCCTCTGAGACACCTCTTAGAGAGCAATGACCTGTGTTCCTTGCCTTGGTGAGTGAGTCTTACATAGAACTAGTCAGGGTTATTTTGATCTAGGAAATGTATATATATATATATATATATATAAATGTAACGTTTTATCTTAGTACAAATGTTGTACAGTCGCCGAGGGGCTGTCTGTTGAGATTATACTTTATCACTATGCTTTGTTTTGACAACTACAGCATCTTTTTGTATGTTAGCTGGATACTACAGTACGCTATTAATAACCTCTTTTATTTAGTATCTGTTTTCACTAGACTTTGAAACAATCGGTATAAGGAGTAGTATTCGCAATTTAATGAGATATGTATCTGGGCATATCTTAAGCTCTACTAAACTAAAGTACTATTCCATTATAAGTTATGTGGAATATATGTTAGCTTTTAGTATAAAAGGAAGTGTCTAAATACGAAGGGGTTTAGTTAAAAGCTATTTCGATGAATAGTTATACATAACGACGAGACTAGCATCCTGATATCCCGCTAACTAATCACTCGTTTGGCTTTAGACGGGCTCTGTTATAGTGATTTGGACGGGCCTTACGCTGTAGGAGAACGTAAGTGGCCATTGCTCCTAGAATCTAGTAAAATTTTAGTTTGAATACTCTCAATCAGCACTGGAATACCAGCACTACCTGCGTAACTACCATAACGGCAGTACGAGTGATTCGAGCAATCTAGTGCGATCACTTGAAGTGCTCCTGTAGATACATACCTACCTTAGGGCTACACGAGAGGGAACCAATCACAAAGCATATCAAAACACAGCCAGCGTTTACCAGATTAGCCACGACGATACCATCAATCCGAGAATAATCCCTAATATTCCCTTCAAAGATGGTTCATCCGCTAAAACAGAATCGCCTTTGATATAGAGACAAGGGAAGACCTAGTCACGTGACGGGGTCCGGGTATGCAGAACCATGGTTGACGTTCCGGGGAGACTTCGTCCCCATACCTTGAAGCATCTACGTCAGACCACCAGAACCATGAATGAAACGAATTCCAACAGGACGGCCCAGAGAGATCAGGCATGTCTCCTGTTGTTCCAGGGGCGATACAGGATTTCAATCGGACCGGGATATTGTCTTGGTCATGAGACAATGGTCTGGGGACATATAAATACCAGGCGTTCCCTTTGTGACGCATCGGACATTTTATTTTCCAATATATATTCCTCATTGCATATTGCTCGCTGAAGTCACACATCATACGATGCCTCACATATATTCCCGCGATGATAATGAGATCGCATCCGCGATTGAAGAGAGGATACATGCTATGCGTAACTATAAAGCGTAAGTCCTTGATGTGTTGGACGAAAGATGATGATTTAGATTGACGTAGCTGACTCGAATCAGTGCGCTGAGGAGGCGTCGAGCGTCTGAGAGCGCCAAGTACACCGAGGAGATACATGACCATAGAGTCCATGGCGGCCAAGTCCAGCAAGAGTCGCATGCAATGAATCAGCAAGACGATGAAGCGACCCGAATGATCAGTGGTCTTGATGCGCATCGTAATAATCTGCTCAGAGATACCGGTGCGTGCTTGACGGAAAATCATGAACCGGCGGAGTAGGAATTTCCTCTACGGAAGATGGTGTTGCATGGGTTGAAGAGGCCACCAGGACAACGGTGTAACACTCACTGTATTACTTTCTTATGATCATGTTTGGCAAAATTTGTTATATACCCACAGGGGAGAACCCTAATTAGCAGGACAATTTGTATAAAACGATATCGGCAGTGACCGGATCTGACAAATAGACTTTCGTTGAAGATCCTCCGCTATGGAGGCATGTTCTGCACTGTCCCTCTCACGATTCAAGCAGGTAGTTTCAGTTAATTGGGCGTGTCTGTCAGACATCGATTCCACAGATCGGAAGAAAGGTCCGGATCATGTTGTCCAATCATATCGTGTAGGGCTAGCCCCAATTGCCAGTTCTAGCTTAGTGACTTGGTCAGGTGACAGATGGAATCGATCTTATCTTTTCTCCTCTTCCCTTCTGCCCTAATGATGGAACCACTGTTAAGACTAGAGAATATTTGGTGAACCCGGCGAGACGGTGACGTAATGACTTGATTTCTTGCTGGATTTTTTCGTTCCAAGGGCCCCGTAATTTTGCGTCATTTTTTTTTCTTTTTTCTTTTTTTATTTGGCATCCTTCCAAGACCGCTAGTTAAGTAGTAAGTACTGTACTACTACCACATCGGACAATCTTGACTGTTTAGTACCGGGGTTAAATACCGTCCATTGAACTTTTCAGGTGCCATGCCATCCCTTGATTTGTTACTTATGAGAGTCCAAGCGTTGACAGGGATCTTTGTTCTGACTACACTATAAGACGGCCCTATTAATGTTGCCCAAATGATTGGCTTTGACGATCACAAACTTCCCCCGAAGTGACACGAAGCAACTAATCGGGGTATCCGCCGGTCGTACGAAGTTTGTCTCTCTTTGTCTCTCGGGTGTATTCCCGTCAATCAGGAAGATCATATCATGTATCTGTATATACGGCTACGAAGTTCGAAGCTTGGCAGCTTGGAAGCCTCCAAGCATTTTCGGTGGATCAAATTGTCTGGGTGGGGCATTCAAAGACGGGTTGATACGCTTGGTCCTCAATCATATTGACGTGGTGTCACTCCTTCCTTCAGCACACAGTTTTTTATATATATCACAGACCAGCTTAGATCTTCCCTGTTCTAACTGATGTAACCTTGTACTGGTTATTTTGATGCAGGGCTGGTGGCTTGCCAAGAACAGCCTCCATTCAATATAATTCTATCAAAGCAACAGCATCCCTGACAGGGTTAGTAATCTAGTTCCCCATGAAATAGGTCAAACTTGCGTGAAAGAGGGTGGTGGTCCAGGAGACTTATCATGTAGTAGCACATTCTTCAAAAAACATTAGATTAAGTGGAAGTGTTGAAATGTAGGTAGTAGGTTAATTCCAAGATTTATTCGGCGTTTTGTTGAATCCCTTGCGGAGAGTGGATGGGGTGGGGATTAAGAGGTGCAGGTACATCCACAGATACCGGTCTTACATGTATAAATAAATACCCGACATGCTATGAATAAAATAAATAAATAATAAAATCCCCCCCCCCATACGATAATTTGACGTAGTGTTGTTGATCACTGCCCATCTGGAAATCTCTCTCAAAAACATATCATTCGGATGGACAATGCGCTGCAGGTCCAGGCCGAACCCCTCCGGTTGGCTGACTTGTCATTCCTGCCAAGGGGGCCGTGGATGAATGAGTATGACCCTTTAAGAATATGTCCCATCCCCTCCTCCAGCATTCTTCATCTCATCATCCTTCGTCCCTTCCCCAGCTATCTGTCGTCCTGAAACATTCCTCATCCCTCAGAGTGTACAAGAGCGGGGGACACGAGCCGACATCGTCGAGAATCCCACTACGCGTCTTTGTAGCACCTTGCCCTCGATATCACTCTACACACTGTCAAGTGCATTCACAAGGCGTGTCTCTACCGAAACAAGTCATCTCTCTCTCTCTCTCTATATATATCCCATATTCGGTGGGTAGTGTCCCTGAGGTCGGAGTCGCATGGGTGGCTAATCGTGACGGCATAGACCCGTTCCTGCGCCACAATTATTTACCAGTGCGAATGAAAACCATCATGGCAAACCGGGTGGAAACTCCCACCACCTGCACTTTCATCCGCAGCGGTGACTGCAGTAAACACTGTTTCATCAGACGCTTTTCGCAATGGCTATGGTCATCGTGGTTTATCAGTCCCACAGAACCCTGTTCCGCTCTAGCGGAGCCGCCAAGCTGTCAAAAAGATAGGGATTCTCCTTGGCCGTTGGAGGGTGAAGAGTCAAACGAGAACACGGACCTTGCAACCTACCCATGTAAAGCATGTCAATCGCGGGGGGTCGCCTGCGATCTTCAGCAACCGCGATGCGCGCATTGTCTGGATGAACAACTACTGTGCTTCTATGTGGCGCCCTTGCCTCCTTTACGGGCAACCAGACGGTCGAAAAAGTCGCGCTCCACACATACGGAAACAGCCTTGCCCTCACGGGAGATTGACGCTAGCGGATGATCGTTTGAGGAGCGCGATATTGATTTAATTATTCGACTTACTTATCAACGGTGATAAGATATGCGCCACTCTCCTCTTTGCACAGATTAGATAAAACACATAATTTTCTCTCCTGCTATAGGAGAGTCTTGATACCCCGCAAGGACTCCTTGTAATAAATAGAAGCCTTTTTTTTATCTTCTCATAGTTTCTGTTGTTACCCCGTTGGATATATAAGCTCTTTTCATCCTATCTGGACAAGTCATGTGTTCTGCTTCCGTCAGTCTAGGTTAGAGACAACGTCGAGATGAAGAATCTTTCGCGAATCAACAGCCTCTGCATGCAATCACACTTCTAACTGCACGAGGAAATCCACATGGAGAGTCCCTGTTGGTTAACCTCGGATGACGGTGGACAGAGCTCCGTAAAGCTGAAATCACTGTTGTCGGAGCACTGTGAGCCGGTCTCTCCACATCCCCAGAATTGCCAGACATGCTTCAAGGACCGGGGTATGTCCCTCTGAAGTTTGCGCTATATAGACTTCCGGTTACCATTGAGACACATCTTGATTGAATTTTTTTTTTGTGCGATACTTACGTCCCTACGGCCCGGAGAACACTACTAATCTACAGTGAGTCGCCCACGCCACACAACTATTCGCTTCTACGGCATGCATCTTCCCAATCTTCTAAAAAGTAAAAGTCTTGTCTGACGTCTCATACACAGATGGAAGAGGAATACACCCGAATCGCAGATGCCATTCGCCACCGGGCCAAGTCCCATGAGAAGAAGCGATACCTCGTCGCCATCGCTGGTGTACCCGGTTCTGGCAAAACAACAACAGCGACTGCCATCGCACAGCGTCTAAATTCAGGCCCGACCCCAGTCCAGACCAAGCTTGTCTCCATGGATGGCTTCCACCTGTCCCGGGCGACATTAGACCAACTTCCGAACCGGGAAGAGGCATATATTCGCCGTGGAGCGCCGTGGACATTTGATGCGGCCCGATTTATTAGGTTCGTACATCACCTACGACAATGGGTAGATTCGTTCTCCGACGAAACCATATACGCACCCGCCTTTCACCATGAAACCAAAGACCCGGTCGAAGATGGCATCGTGATTTCGAACGATGCTTCTATCATTATTATCGAAGGCAACTATCTCCTCCTCGATGAGCCCGAGTGGCGCGACGTGGCACAACTGGTCGACTACCGGGTATTCGTCGACACGGACTTGCAAGAGGCACGAGATCGCGTGGCAAAGCGCCACGTCACGGCGGGGATAGAAATGACAATCGAGGATGGATACCGTCGGGTGGACAGCAACGACTATCTCAATGCGCTTACCATCCGGGATAAGCTGATCAAGCCTGATATAGTAATACACAGCATCACAGAGGTATCGCCATAGCTTGTCCCTATCCGCCTCCCTATTTACATCACCGACAACGCTACATGTATATATAACGATTTCATGCCAACCCTGCCACATATTTACTCCTTGATCTTCTGTTTATGAAACACGTCTGAGCCCAATTAGCAAACAATTTTATTACAAAACATCCGTATGGAAACCTTACCAGGAATCTCCGGCATCCAACGAGCCCTGGAACTGCAAAAGAACTCCCCCTTGGGTGGCAATGCCTCGGGGTCATCCAAGGACCCAACGCACAGATACCGGAATTGATCCTTAACGGCATCCTGAAGAGCCATCAGCAATATCCCGTGTCAGTTTTGAGTCATATATCCCTACCCCATATTCACAAATAAAACTGCCACAATTCGAGCAAAACTCGCGATGTATCAGCGACCCCGAACCGTTGTCGGCAACATGTTCCTTGGGCGCGCCTTTCGTGAGCCGGAGAGCGTCTTTGGGGATTTTCGCCGTCAGGCCGTAGTTGGTTCCGAACGCTTTCTGGAATCGTGTTAGTCGAGGTCCTATGATCGAGATATATTACGGCGACGGCGTACTTTGCAACTTTGACAGTGACACAGCGAGGTCCGCGCGTCATCAGGCGAGGAGAGAGAGAGTTCGTACTCGATGTCATGGCAGTAACAGGATCCGGGGTAGGTCGGCATGGTCCTTGAGGGTGACGAGAAGAAGTGTAATGAGCGATAAAGAAGACTCGGTTTGCTCAATTGAGATGGACGGTGAAGGTGATTCTTCAACATGTATAGTCTTCGTTGGAAGGCTGACGTCATCGTTTGGTATGTGGCTAACAATTTACATTAATTAAGTCAGAGCTAAGATCATCTTGCAATTTTTTAAAAGGGTTTATATACATGGTATAGTCAAAGTTTTCTACTGGACTCATTGCTTGAGGATGTTCTTTTTTAGGGTTATGAAGAGGGATGTGATGTGATGATGAGCACATGATCTCAATTCAATTTCATTCATTTAATGTCATGATACTTCATATCCCCTCATACCATACCCCTCCCTATTCCACTCTTTCTCCTCCCATCTTCTCTATTTATACACTCCTTCATGAGTCCCACACGACTCTCCTAGTTTCCAACCGATACAATGCCTTCTACAAAACCCCAATAAAATGCGTCCTATACCTAATCAATCTTCCAATGCGGGGCACATACCGATCCTAACACCACCCAAAATGGCACCACAGGGACACCAGCAATCACAACCTATGACGAAGCGAGCCATCATCTCAGCCTTCATCTTCCGCTTCCCCCCAAACCAACCAACCAAACCCTCCATCGCACTATTCAAGCGAAGCAACACAGTCAGAACATACCGGTACGATCCCCAACCCCAACAAACCACCCTTCCCTCCCTAATATAACAACCCGCATAAATATAGCCACCACCTCGCCCCCATCTCCGGCAGCATCGACCTCACCACAGACCCCACGCCCCTCGCGGCAGCATGGCGCGAACTCCGCGAAGAAACCACCCTCACCCCTTCAGACCTCAGCCTCTGGCGCACGGGCAAACCATTCACCTTCTGCGATCCGTCCATCACTCGCGAGTGGACCGTTCACCCATTCGCTTTCCGCCTCAAGTCCCCCACAGGAGAAGGAGCCATCAGGACAGACTGGGAACATGAGGGGTGGGAATGGTACGATCCCAAAACGGTACTCGAACACGAGAAGCTCAACCTGCCCACCGTGCCCCGTCTTCAGGACAGCCTGGCTCGGGTGTGGTTCGAGGGTGTTACCAATGAGCGGGCCGGGCGGGCTCTCGCGACAGGATTGGAACGGTTGGCGACGGACCATGAGAGCGGGTCGCATGAGCTGACCGCCATTGCGCTGACAGTGTTCCGGGATTTTATCGTGTACAGTCGGGGCGATCTCGACGGGAGATGGTGGGATATGGTCCGGGCAGCGGGGTGGCATTTGGTCAAGAATGGGCGGGAGAGCATGGGGGCGGGGACGCTGAACGCTGTGCTGAGTATTCTGGGGGAGATAGAAGGGATTTTGGAGCAGGGGATGACGGGGGCGGAGGGAAAGTGGGAGCGGATACTAGCGGTGGTGGATCATTATCTGGGGAGGAGGGTTTACAGGGCGCAGCAGATTAAGGATTGCTTTGTATCGTACCTCCTGTCGCAGTTTGCGGACGGAGGGGGGAAGAAGGATAGGCTTACTATTCTTACGATGTCTTCTAGCTCGACTATCCGCGATAGTATTCTGGACGCGTATGACTCGCTTAGGATTAAATCCCTCGAGCTACGTATCCTCGAGTCGAGGCCGCTGTTCGAGGGCGCCAGTATTGCCTCATCTATCCTGTCTACGTTTAAATCGCGCCCCAATGCGCACGACAAGCATCTACATATCAGGCTGTACACTGACGCATCGGCTGCGCTGGCGGCCAAAGACGTCGACATCGTCCTGCTCGGTGCGGACTGTATCTCCGCCACTAAGGGGGTGAGCAACAAGACTGGATCCCTGCCGTTGGTGCTCAGTGCGAGGCATGTCACTCCCAGCGTGCGAGTAGTTGTTCTCAGCGCTCTGGAGAAGGTTACCGGATCAACTGGTGTAATTGATGACGAACTCACTGAGAGCAACGATCCGTTCGAGGTATGGAGTGCATGGCGCAGTGATGGCGTTAGGGGGGTGCAGGTGCTGGAGAAGGGGATGAAACGGGACAAATCGGAAGAAGAGACATCGTCCGTCACGGTGGAGAATACCTACTTTGAATGGGTTCCTCTGGACATGGTGGATGCATTCGTCTGTGAGGAAGGAGTCCTCGACAGGGACAGTATTCAGGAGAAGTCCCGTAAACTGAAGGAGATGGCTGATCGATACTTTGGTAATTTGTAATTGATAGATAGGCAGCCTTTCATCAGTTGAACGTAACCTTGACTGGCCTCATACTGTATGCACTATAGAACCGCTGATAATTTACGGAAAGTCAACGATGGAGATTCTGAAGGCAAAGTTTATGGGTTACTGGGTGGTGAGTCTACTTGATTTTATCCATGGAATCGAGCTGTACCTGTCGACTGAGAGCAAGTCACAAGTAAAACCGTGTTGTTGAAATTAAGAGAACTAAGCAAGTCTCGTACATAAAACAGTATTCCTGAAAAGACATGAGAAAAAAGTGGTGTATCTCCAACGATGAACTCCAAACACCGGCTTTAAAGACAGGGATATCAAACGCCAATCACAATCCAAGGTATCATTTAAGAATCACGAACGCGCGCCTGTCGCTTGGCTGTCCCGATGTGGGTGTTATGTACCTTCGTGGCAAACTTGAGACTAGTCAAGGTCTCGGCCAGGTGTGCCTGCAGCGGACTGACCATGACGAACATCAGCGTCTTCGAGTTTCCTCCCAGGGAGAATTGAAGGAGGTAGGTAAGCTATAACTCGTTAGTCCCGTGCTCCCAAGCGGAAGAGTAGGAAATACATACCTTGCTATTGCGATATGGGATGTGTCCGCCATCCTTGCCTTGTCCCAAAGCAGAAATCACGTCGCCCAGACAGCTCAAACTGCGGTTGATATTCTGTGTCTCCCGCAATCTCTCTCCTGTGGCACCGCTGTGGCTGAGACGCTCACTGCCCGCCAAGTCCACGAGATTGAGCGTTCCCTCACTGCGCTCGCCCGTGATGTCGTTCTCGCCGATCAATTTCAGGATGAAGACAGAGTGAGACCGGGACGATCTTTCGTTGGCCTTTGTAGCGGCGACAGAGCGATTTGCCGCAGCGCGCTTGAGGATAGTCTCGACCATTTGAGGTGAATCCAAGCGGACAGTAGTGATATCGGTAATTGTGGTCTTTCCCCGTTGCATGTCGTGCCGGATCTCGTGCTTCTTCTTGTCCAGTTCTTCCGCCTTGCCCAGGAGATCGTTCAGGTTTTCGTTGTAAACTTCGACGAAGTTGCCCTCCATGGTATATCTCCAACCCTTCTCCTCAAGGCTCGTGGCAGTCTCGTAGATTTGGTGCACAGCCCGTGGGATCATACCATCCAGCGAAGACATGGTGTGGGTCTTACCACTACCTGTCTGTCCATAGCAGAAAATGCACACATTATAGCCATCGAGTGCACTTTGGACGAGCTGACTGATCTCATCGAACACCTCGCCATTTTGTGTCGACGGGCCAAATACTCGGTCAAAGGCGAAGTTGTTGTTCTTCCTTGTAATGGCGCCCAGGCTGCTCTTCTCTTCGGGGCCCAAAATGTTGATCTCCTTGGATTCATCCGACTCATCGGGGTATTGAATCTGGGCCACCTCCGTCTTTGGCTCCGTCTCCAATGAGGGCCGGACACGGCAGAAGACACGGATGTTACCCTTGAGCTCCTGAACCTGGTTGTGTAGCTTCCGTCGAAGGGTCTCCTCCTTTCGCAGCTTGTCCTTGGTGGCATTGGTCTCGGCCAGGGCATCCATCATCTGCTGGTTCAACCGCTCAAATGCTTGAGATTGCTCCTCACGACCAGATTCCAGGAACTCAATTCTTGCCTTCAGCGCGCGGACGGACGACTCCAAAGTCACGCTATTGCTGCTTGCTGTGTCCAGGTTGTGTCGGAGAGCCTGGGTGCTCTTCCGTTCCCGTTCGATTTCCTGTCGCAGGATTTGCAGATCGTTCTGCAATGAGGAGATCTCTCTATCTTTTCTATCCAGCTCCATCTTAGAATGTTGCGTGTCCAATGCAGTCTGCGATGTGAGTTGATTGATTTCACGAAGTCGCGCGGCCTTTTCGTCGTCTAGTTCACGCTCAAACCGCCGTTTCAGTTTGCAGAGATCGTCTTCGTGCTGCGCGATCAGCGTTTCTAGTTCCTTCCTGCTGTCATGTCTCACATTCTCCACCTCGAGCTTTTGACGGGAGTTCAACTCATCCATTGTGATCTCATGTTCTCTCTGGGCATCCTTCAAGGCGCCCTCCGCTGTTCCGATGCGGGCTTTCATGGACTCGACTTCGACGCGTAAGGCCAGGTTCGCCTCGGTGAGATCTTTCCGAGAAAGCTCAAGCTCGTTCACTGGGAGTGGATCTATATGAGTACCTTGCCACTGGGTTGCGAGATCCTAGATAATTACCTCTGGATTTATACAGCTCCACGGTTTCTTTCAGCCCGAAGCTCTCCTGCCCAGCTTGACTAACGCGAGAAACAAAGGCGTTGAAGAACTCCTCCATCGTCTTCTCGCGTGTTTCTTGGTCCCATTCCGCGCCTGTAGAATAGTTAAAAGAGGTGATCGTGGAATTTTTCGTGAGAAACTGCGGCACAGGGGGTAATTTTCTTTTGGAGGAGTGCTTGGAGGGGGATGAGGGCTTGCGTATTGGGGTAGGTGTGGGAGGGGTGCATAAGCCAAGGGGAATGAGCGACTCATGCATTGCAAAAGTCTTTGGGTCCAGCGCCCTAATGGAAGATGGGCCAATGGCTAACTGATCCATGGCATTTCTCAAGAACAACTCACGACAGTCAGGTTTCGACAGCCCTTCTCGATCATAGGTAGAAAGTAAATGAGCTCCCGACCTGTCCTGTGGGACGCGTTCATAGGTGCGTGCTGAGAACATTGGGTCCGCGGGATTTGTAAAAACAGGGGGATCAAAGTGAGATGGTCGCCTACCCTTTCTCTTCCCCAAAACGCTTGAATCTTCCTCGTAATGGGTATCCAACGATGTTGCCGGCCGGACAATCGTATGACCATTGGGCCTTCGCGCGCCGGCAAGTGAGGGGTGAGGCCGTGATAAGGCCGATTGGGGCCGTGCATTCGAACCGACGGTGGAAGGCGTTTTGGTTGTCCGTGACGTAGATGCGGATCTAGTTAAGGTGGAAGATGCATAGGAGTTCGTACGAGTATGGGGTTTTCCTGATGCGACCGTTGTTCCAGTTCTGCTGGTCTCGGCGCCTTGTGTGGTACTCCTCGGTCGGGTCGTTTCTGCTTCTGTTAGCGCAGCGCCCCAGTTTACCTTGCTTGCTATCCACTCACGCGAGGAAGCCGACGTCTTGCTGGCAATCGAGCCGGGCGGCAAGATACCTGACCGCGAGTTTGTATTAGCCGAGCTCATTTCTCTGAGCCCAGCGGCGGGGATGCGCGAGCGGGCTGGGGCTCGTGATTGCGTCTAGAAGGGTGTCAGTCAAGTTGAAGACAGGAGCGAATCATCACAGGCGCCATTACCAAATTCTCATTGTCCATCATGTACGAAAAACAAACAATTGCTGGTACTGGTAAGAGGACACTTAGGTAGAGCGGAGAGCTGAAGGTAGGAGCTTTTGGAGCCACTATCTAAAGAGGAAGCAAAAAGAACACAGACTGCAAGTTATACAAACAGAAGTTGAAAAGCCAAAGCGGGGGGTAAAAGCGAATCACAATAGATTGTCGACAAATTGCAGCGAGGAGGGGTCCCGCATGATAAGAGTTGGCCAGGCACTTTTTCCAGTTTGTTGAAGTTCGAGTTGCAACAGTTGCAAGTTTACTTTGCGATCCAAGCGTCGTTTCTGGAGTAACGAGAGGCGGTAAACAAACGGAACAAACCACGCTGGTTGACTCAGCCATTTTTCATGGCGGGGAGAGCACTAGTCCCGCTGGGGTTTAGGTGTATCTTGTTGGAGTGTAAAGTGTATAGTATACACTGTACAGCCTGTACAGTACACTGTACCGTGGTATCAAAATACCAAAGTTTGTCACGAGATGCAATTCAGGTTTGAACTTCACCAGAGCAAAGAGAGGACTTGTCAGATTCTGTTCCACCACGATCGAACAGTCCGATTGCCTCCTATCCACTCCTCTCGGATGGTGGTCATTGCCGTGGATCCAACCCATCCCCAATTCCCTGCAACTGTCACCCATTGAATACATCTCCCGCGTGCGGGTCGTCCCACCGAGAACTACTTTCCGACTAAAAGTGGACGGCGTCGACTTTCCTAGACCGACAGCTTCCCTGTTTCATAGTTGTCCGTCAATTGCTCTCTCTTCCTGTTCGGTTTTGGTTTTTTTTTTTTTCCTTTTTCTTCTTTTCAGTATTCACTGTTTTTACTTGTCTCAATCTGTAACGGCGTGATGTCTGGTCGTTTCGTCCGTTCCTCCAAATACCGTGAGCTGCCATATCTCTCACCTCTTTTTTGGATGCCCGCAATCTGACAGGTATCATTTTAGGACACGTCTTCGGGCGGAACACAAGAAAGGTACACAATTAATTTCTCGCCGTCGCCGCCAGTTTACTATATATCGTCACTGACAATGCCTCTAGGAGCAATGTTATGATAACCTCCGCGTGTCCGCAAACCCCTGGGACAGCAATCTCGTCAAGGTTCGCCCGCAGTGTCCCTCTGAACCCTCTCCCCCCTGAGCCTCCCGCAGGACATTAAACTAACGACTCCGCAAGGTCAACCCCAAGTACCTTTCCGTGAACTGGGCAGCTGGTGGTGGAGGTGCTTTTGCCGTCATCCCTCTAGAAGAGCGGGGTAAATTGCCTGAGAGAATCCCTTTGTTCCGTGGTCACACCGCAGCAGTCTTGGACACCGACTGGTGAGCAGTAGTAGCCTTATATCCTATCGCCTGAACAACAAATCCACAGGGCTAACATACTCAGGAACCCCTTTAACGACGATCTGATTGCATCCGGTTCCGATGACGGCAAGGTACGGCCTGACACGATGCCAGGGGGCCCCAATCTCAAATGCTAAAGAATCCTATCTAGGTCCTCCTTTGGCGTGTGCCCGAGAACTTCACCCTTCGCCCCGATGTCGACATCGATGATATTCAGGATGTTGTGCCTGTAGGGAAGCTGAGCGGTCACCCGAAGTCAGTCCTCATTCATCCGCCTCCCCCACGACATCCTCATGATAGGCGCAAAGATTTAACAACTTTATAGGAAGGTCGGACACGTGCTCTTCAACCCTGCAGCAGAGAACGTTCTCTCCTCGGCTTCCGGCGATTTCACCGTGAAGATTTGGGATATTGAGGCCGGAGCCCCCAAGCTCACTCTGAACGTGGGTGATATGGTGTACTCACAGTCCTGGAGCGCCAATGGTTCCCTCCTGGTCACCACCTCCCGAGACAAGAAGCTGCGGATCTGGGATGCACGTCAGGAGCGTCCCGCGCATGAGGCCCAGGGACACTCGGGTGCGAAGAACAGCCGTGTAGTATGGCTGGGAGAGCGCGACCGGATCGCGACCACCGGTTTCTCCAAGATGAGCGACCGCCAGCTGGCATTGTGGGACATGCGCGCTCCTCAAGAGCCCATCAACGGATTCAAGGTACTTGATTCCATTTCCGGTGTATGCATGCCGTTTTGGGATGACGGTACCCAATGTTTGTACTTGGCCGGCAGAGGGTGAGTGGAACATGCGGTCCTGTGTAGAATCGGTCTAACCTCTTGTAGCGACGGTAACATCCGTTATTTCGAATTGGAGAATGACAAGTTCGAATACCTTGCGGAGTACAAATCGGGCGATCCCCAGCGTGGCATTGCGTTCATGCCGAAGCGCGGTGTCAATATCCATGAGAACGAGGTCACCCGCGCCTTCAAGACCGTCAATGATACCTATATTGAGCCGATCTCTTTCATAGTGCCTCGCCGTGCCGAGTCTTTCCAGGATGATATTTATCCGCCAACGATCGGCCTGACGCCCGCTATGAGCCCAAGCGAATGGTTCGCCGGCAAGGAAGCCATCCCGCCGAAGATTTCCATGGCTAGTCTCTATGAAGGCGAGGGTCTGAAGGAGGTTACCGGTGTGCAAGATAAGCCTACTGCCACTCTAGGTGCTCCTGCCGTCCAGGCGCAACCCGCACCGAAGCCGGCAGAGCCGACCCCCGTAACAAAGGCACCCGAGCCGGAACCGACTCCTGTACAGAAGGCTGCCCCGTCCATGAAGGAGCAGGGTGCTTCCATGGCCGCCATGGTGAACAAGTTTGCCGACGATGAAGAGGCGGAGCCCGTCGTCGAGGATTCCAGCTTCGATGAGGCACGGAAGCCTGACGAGCGGCCACCTCGGTCGGCATCGCCTGTCAAGGCCAGCCCGTGGCACCAAAGGGAGGAGAGCCAGTCACAACCGGCTTCCAAACCATCCACCCCTGCTCCGGTAAGCACCATCTAGCGTTAGACCAGAAACTATATTTAAATCTAACTACATTCCTAGGCCCAGAATAATGATCGCTCCCCGGCCTCCAGCACCCCTGCTGCCACTACTCCCATTACATCTTCCGGCTTCGCCATTCCAGACAGCACTAACACGGCCGCTAGCGCTCTTCACGGCGAAATCCAAAAGCTTACACATATGGTTGGCCCTCTCCTGTCAGAAGTTCACGAACAGAAGCAACATATTGAGACCCTGACCAAAACGATCGAATCCCTCGAGGCCAACCAAGAGAAGCAGATACAAAGCTTGAACGAAAAGATCGTCGCTCTGGAGGCCAGACTGAACTAGTCAATGCCTCTCCAGCGCTGTATCTATAATAATTGTATTCTCCTTGACTCTGTCCTCGCTTCCTCCGCAAAAGACACGTCTCTCGTTTTGTCCATAGCCATCGATGTTGTGTTATATGCCTTTTTGTGATGACTGACTGCATGATTGCAATGTCAATGCAAATACCACTTGCCCTTCCTTGTTTCTTGTCCTCCCTGGTTCTCTTGAGCGGAATTGATAGAAGTTGATGATATGTGTGGTTAATTGGTTATGATGAGTATATATCTTTTTCTAGACAATGTGCAGCCAACCTAATTGTAGCTTCCGCTGACTCGGAGACGACGTTTTGGTTGAGACGTAATGTAATCCAGACCTATCTTTTCAGTACAAAATTGAGCGGCCTGTTAATAAGAAAATCCTAGCATAGAAACATGGTGGACTGCAGTTGGAGCAGATAAATCTCGCATGGTGTGGGAAAAGTGTTGTATCTAGATATCACGTGGGTGCTGTATGATATACCGCGAGAAATATATATCTTAGGCAAGAGTCAATACGAAACAACAAAAACAACGACCTTCTTGAATTATTAAAGAAAACGAAACCTGGAGAACAATTACTAAGGATGAATAATCTAGATTGTATAAATAGCCATAAGGCAGACTTTCATCCTATCTGGGATCCTCAGGAGGTATATCTACAAAGAATGAAAGCGTAGATACTCATCAACTCCACCGCGGAGCCAACAAAACAATAGCAACAGCCGTAAAAATAAGTATGCACGCTCTCTTCTATGCAAGCACAACACTCCCAAACCACTAATGATACCTGGAAACGCTCTATATGCTCTTTTTGTCGTGAAACACGGAAGATATGGGGGAGGGTAAAGGAAAGGAAACATAAGGCTCGAAAGGTAGGTAGTAGGTAATGTGTGAAGATGTGAAGATGTGAAGATATATTTACGCCCACCGACTAGCTTCTCGTTCTTTTTCTACCCGTGCTGCACGAGCGGCCTCGCTCTCGTCGTCTTCGTACTTATAACTGAGACGTCGGCCGCCTGTTAAGGTCCGTTCCTGACGACTTTCACGCCGGCGGCTGGGTTTGCCGGCATCACGATCGGTGTGCATCGCTTCGCGCCGCTGTTGCTCTTTCAGCATGCGTTCGCGATTGCGAGCTTCTCGCTCTAGGGTGTGGGGATCTTTTTCTGGTTCAGAAATCTTGGTTGATGAGGGTTTATCTTTTGCCGTTCGATCTCTATCACGGACATCGTCTTCACGGCTTCGTTTGATACGTCGGGAGTGGTGGCGAGATGAGTAGTCGCTGCCGGCGGGGGATTCAGTTCGGTCGCGACGAGACCGTTTCCTATCACGATCGCGATCTTTGTCGCGGTCACGGTCACGGTCACGGTGACGATCGCGGGCCCTGTCTCTATCTCTGTCCCTGTCGCGATCCCTCTCCCGGTCTCGGTCTCTCTCCCGTTCTCGGTAACGGTCGCGATCGCGCTCACGGTCCCGACGTCGAGAATCTCGATCTCTATCCCGTTCTTCCTCTCGACGACTGGGGCGATCTTTTCCGGATCGGTAGCTCCGGCTGAAGGTCTCCAGGACCTCGCTGATGACGGGTGTCCGATTTCGAGAGCTCGCATCTTTGTCTTCAGGGATCAACGAAAGTCGATCGCTCTCACGCGAATCCCCATTACGGCTGGGACTCTGGCTGCGATGGCGGTGTGAGCGATGCGATCGACGACTTCTCCTATCGCGTTCCCTGTCTCGGCGATGTGAAGATCGGCGAGAATCGACCGAGGGTGAACGAGTATGGTGGCCATCTGCCACTTGGGATTGTTCGTCATTTTGATCTTCGCGACGGGGCCTTCTCTGTCGCTCACGCCTGCGTTCAGAGTCTTCAGCACTGTTGTCAATACTCGTGGAGCGTGGACGATTGTGACGACGACTAGCGGACTGGGACCGCGCACGGGAACGGGACCGGCTTTTCGGTCTCGACGCTGACCGGGGTCGTGACTTCGACCTCGAGGTCGAGCGTGGTCGCTGGTCTTCCTGAGGTGCTGGAGTGGTGCTAAAAATGATGTTAGACTGGGCCTATGACTAATCAGGGGCGGGGCTTACCTCTGGGAAACTTCCGAAGGCCTCACGGATGAGATAGGTGCTCGTCCCGGTCCCTGGAAATTCCGCTGTCGGAGAACACTCGTGTTCGGGAGGCCTTCTCGCATCGCCCGGGGAGCAGCTGGTGCGCCCTCGACCCCTGGTCCTCTAGGCATGTTGGGTCCGGGCATAAACGGCGGCCCAGCGAAAGGTCCCCCACGCCCTCCGGGAAATGGACCGCGCATGAAACCGCCTCGCCCAAAGCCTGGTCCCATCGGCCCTGGCATCATGGGGCCATTGTGCATAACTTGGGCAGCATTGGCCTGGTCAAGACTCTCAATAGTTGGTATACCACGTAGCTGTGAGCCCTCGGGACCAGTCGTCTCCTCCGTAGTGAGCCCATCTGCAGCAATGGCTTCGGTATTGTCACCCACGGCTTCCGTAGTACTTTCATTCAACGAAGGGTCTCTGGCGCCATCCAAATCACCGCTTGGGGCATTCTCGCCATTAGCATTCGTTGCCTCAGTGGCAGTGGGGTCTCCCGATGGGGTCTCCGCAGATACGCTTTCCTGCGATTGGGATGGCATGTCTTGATTGAAGTTAGGGGAATTAAACGCTGAGTAGTTAGCATTAGGAGGATAATTAACTTGCATAGGGCCCGTGAAGCCGCCGCGGCCACGGCCACCAGGGTAAAACCCGCGACCACGGCCCCGGAAGTTGCCACGGCCATAACCGGGACCGTAATAACCGGTCTGGAAATCTTGGGAAGGGAATTGTTGTTGCTGCATTTGAGGATGAACTCCGTTGGGTTGAGACATATTATATCCGCCAAATCCAGAGGAGGCCCCATACTGTGGGCCCATACCATTTGCGAAAGCATTTGGATTGAATTTATCTTGGCCTCCATTCCACATATTGTTCAGTGAGCCATCCCATCCCCCATACATCCCTTGACCCGCGTCGAAATTCATCCCCGTATTCATGCCATTCATGCTCATCCCATAGCCTCCAAACATACCCTGACTCGCGACCATCGGGTCCAACGTCATACCGGCCATTCCTATAACCCAACTGTCAGTTATTGAATGGCGTAAGACATTTAGATGGGGTCAGAACACATACCCATAGGATTGAACATTCCATTGCCCATGAATTGAGACATCGAGTTGAAGTCCCCGGTATTGTTCCAACCCATGGGAAACATTCCAGGAGCCATGCCGAGCCCCATCCCATTGGGAAACATTTGGCCCGACATCGGGCCTTGGGCCATGTCTTGTTCGGATTCTTGAGGTAACTTATTCTCATCGACCTCTTCTCCTTCACCAGGTCTGGTTTCCGCCGTAGTATCAGGGTTTTCCGTTCCATCCGTGGGGACAGGTTCGGCCTGCTCGTCCTGTCAAGGCGGTAGAGTCAGTAGCTGCACGAGGTTTAATATGATTGCGGAAGATGCTAAATACCTCGATCTGGGGGGGCGCTTCCGAGGGAAATTCCTGATCGCCATCAGTTTGCTCGGCTACAGACTCGGTTGGATTTCCACCAGCCAGAGGATCCTCTGACGGAGCTTCTATTGTGGGTGGCGCTTCCGATATATCTTCGGCCGGGTGAGCTGTCGGGAGATCGGAAACCACGGGGTTTTCTTGCTGGGCGGGAGTTTCCTGAACAGGCGTCGCGTCATTGGTAGCCGCAGGAGTTTCCGACTGGCGCTGTTTTTCCCGCTTTTTTTCTTCGGTTCGGAGAAAAGCCTTTAAAGTCGTTCGGAGAGCTTTATTCGGCTTACACAAATCGGAGGAGATGGGCGTATGAGCGCAGACGGGGCAGGTCTCTGGCAGTGACGCTTGGCCTGCGACGAGGGGTTGTTAGATTGAAGAGCGAGGGAGAAAAGACAGGAAAGCGAACGGGAGCGCGTACAGGTTTCACAAATAGCTTGATCGCAGCAAGGCAACCGGAATGCGTTCACAGCCAGTTTGTTGCAGATGGCGCATCGCAGCTTGAATGGGATTTCATCTTGCGTGAGAGAGCTAATTCGGCAAGACCATTAGCTACCGCGCGCCATAAGGATAGCTGAGAGGATTCTCAAATTCTGGTGAACCTACCTCGCGATGTCCATCAAGCCCGAAGGCTGGTCCGTTGCAGCCATCGGGAAGATGGAGTCCGGACGGAGAGCAAGAGAGCACAAAAAGATGAATGTTCAACAGCCGGCGGTTATGACAAGTAAAGGTCAGCCCAGATGGGAAAAACAAATGGCATGGCTCAATTCGCCATCAGTAGATAATGAAGGGCATCCCGAACGATGTTGCGGGGTGAATGGCGATTGAGTGATGTTCGTGGTAAGTCGCAATCTGACTGATTGACCAAATTTGGACTGGACGGGGCCGGAAGGCTGGACGGAACGGAACAATGTGCGGACCGGCGTCCCTCCTGTTTGCTTGTTTGCTTGCTCAACATTGAACAGTGTGACCGTGGCGGTCATTCACCGGCTTTCTTTGTTTTGGACTCCTTACAGAGGAGGGGGAGAGAGAAAGAGGACAATAATATGACCGGAGGGACCTGAAATTAGCACCATGCATTCGAGTATTGCATATCGTTGACCGGTCTATGCTACAGTTGACCTGTTACAACCTAAAAAAAAAGAAAATCCTTGGACGGTTTCTGAAACGTGCAGCTTGTCAACTTATTGGGACTTGGGCTGTCCTTCCTCACACCGCCCAAGGCTGACACCTGTTGACATATCACCAGGGGTTGTGGCAACCTGACAAGGCTACCGGTGATCTGGTTGATTCTATGTAGGATCTAGTGACATGGTCCCAATCATTCGACCGGTCTCAATAATAATATTTGGACTATCAATTCCATACCGGGACGAAAAGATGTACGAAACCAGTAATACCGACAGGCCATCAGATTAGATCAAGTTATTTCACCGTCACGGATGTAGACTTGCTGTGTAAATAGCACAAGAGGATAGGACTTGCGGCGATACCATTGCTAGGTTTCTGCCTACCGTGTCCTTCCCCTTCCAACATCTCGGGGCTCATTCTGTGTCATCACCGGCTGTCATGGTAGTTTGCGAGATCATACCTGCAAGAGGTAGCAGTAGAAAGAGAAAGGCAACATGTGAAACAAAAACTATATCCCGAGACAACTACATTCGAAGTCCTGTTTGGGAAAGAGTGAATATAAGAAGAAAAGTTAAATACCAAAGAAAAGAAAGGATACACATCAAGATCAAAAGATAAACAATGCTCCCAGAGCTGCCGCCAGTAATGGAGAATCCCGAACCGACAAGACGGGATCACGCGCGGTAAGGCTAAACCAGGGTTGGGACCCAATCACCACCCCGTCCACTTTGGATCACTTTATGGTCGTGGTGGCGAGTGGTCAGATGAGCAGAACTAGTTGGTCATGATGATGACGGTGGGGAGGAAAAAGAGGCTTCCATATAGTATCATCACATTATGAGAAGGAGAGGAAATTGAAGCATATACCTAGGTACGTGCCAGAAGAGTTGTGAACATTATTAGTAAGGAAATATGGGGTAAGGAGGAGTAGTAGTGGTAGTGGCTGCAGAAAGAATGCTTGTCGGTGTCATAATTTGTTTAAATCATCCATGGGGAAAAACGTGCTTGATTTTAGTTTTTCCTTTTTAGAAAAAATTTTTTTTTTTCTTTAGAAGAAAAACGAGGGAAAGGGGAGGGTGAAGAAAATAAAAATAAAACAAAAAGGAAATTAAGAAAAAGAGAAATAAGAAAGAAAGAAGCAGAAAAAAAAAAAACCTAAACGGGCTCCACGCTAAACCAAATAACGGTTTAGTACATAACTTTAGTGGGAGAGTGGATCGGGAGCGCAGGGTTAAAAAGGGCGGCTGCTGCTCTGCGGAAGAAAAAGAACGCCGGGACCCTTTAAATTTCTGGCTGCTGTGCCCACAGCTCACAGTCGCTTGTGCCCACGCACTGAGCCTTCGTTTCCTCTTCTCGAAGCAACACAAAAGCTCGGGCCATCCGTGGCGCGATCGATTCAAGGGGGAAAATAAAGAAAGAAAACAACCGAACCTCAAAATTACATACACCATTTATTACCTTGTTACATGGTTATTATTATTATTATTATTATTATTATTTATTACTTTTTGATTGTTTACTCGGTCGACAATCTGATCTCAGAACTAAAGCACCACCAAACAAGAAAACCACTTAGGAGCCCTATCAATTCCGTATTTAGTACTCCCATGCCATGCGCATGGCATTCCCCCGGTTGTGACATATTTGATGATCTTTTTCTCATGTCCACTTGGAATTCTTAACTATCCTAAAAGCCGTGAAATTGCAAGGTGAGTGTCCCACTCCCAAAATCACCTATACTAAAACTCACCCAACCCCATATTTATCTCACTAGCGGCTTCCTGTTTCGCGCTCGCGCATCTCCATCACCACTTTTATTATTATTTTTATTATTTTTTAATTTTCTTGCAGGAATATTAATCGCTAATAACCCACACCAGCTATGACAGATCAGGATAATTCTTACCGACCTCGATCTCCCGATTTTTCTACCCTCCAATCCCCCATTACCCCCTCTATCACCCAACCCATCTACTCTTTTGCGAACCCATTGGCTCATCGTGCATCCTACGACGCCTCTCCTTTCTTCACCCCGCAATACCACCATCCTCTTCCACCCCCACCCGGTCGCGTTTCTCAACAGTACATCCCTCCCTTCGCGGACCCAATCGTAGATCCCGACATGGCTCGTCGGTCGTCTCGGATCGCACGCGCTGCCGAGGTCGCCCCCATGCCAGAATTCAAGTATGTCGAGCCGGTTGAACCAGTTGAACCCATTGAACCCGTTGAACCAATGCTGCCGGAAGAGCCTCCCCAATTAAACCCCGCCACCAGTGTGGAAGTCAAGACAAAATTCCCTGTCGCGCGCATCAAGCGCATCATGCAGGCCGACGAAGATGTCGGCAAGGTTGCTCAGGTTACTCCGATCGCTGTCTGTACGTGCCGTACCCCCTCTCTGTCCTATAACCCGGACTATTTCCGACGCGATGCTGACGCGTTTTGATTTGTTTATAGCTAAAGCTCTCGAACTTTTCATGATCTCTCTTGTCACCAAGGCTGCAAAGGAAGCCAGAGAGCGAAATTCGAAACGCGTCACCGCGTCGCATTTAAAGCAAGCAGTCGTCAAGGACGAAGTATTGGATTTCTTGGCCGACATCATTGCTAAGGTACCCGATCAACCGGCGGGGAGAAAGCACGATGATGATGGTAGCGATCAGAACGAGCAACCGAAACGTAAACGCGGTGGGCGCCGGCCGAAAGATGATAGTGACTAGCTATAAATCTCGGTCATTGGCGTTTCAGTTATTCGGATTTCATGCTCCCAAACCTCATTACCCTTTTGCTTTATTCTTTCTTTGTTTGAACGACTTTGATGGGCCATATCTTAGACTGGGTTGGAGAGCGGGCGCATACTCTCTCGGCGTTGTGATGGTGGGCATGGTTTTGTTTGCATCTCGCGATGTGAATAGGTACCTTTTGGGTACTAGTATTCCTTTTGATCCTGGACTTTCTTGATTCGATACACTTCCAAACAATGCACTGAATTATACGTCGATTTCTAGCCCATGGGCTTGATTGCGGATCGACGGTATGACGTTGTGTCTATCAGATTATATTAAAAATGGGTAGAGTACGTAGATGTTTGACGATGATCACTGCCACCTTCATTGGGTACCAGGTATGACCTGATTCGTGTCGGCGTTCGTAAGTTATTGCCGCTTGACTGGCAGTATTTCGTGAGTTTGTCTACCGGTTCGATGCAGTCAATGATACACTGGGGTTGTAATAGGCTCAAAGAGCACAGTGCATTGGTCATACCATTGCACTTCCATCATGAAGTAATAGTGCTATAATTGGCTAGCACTCAATTCAACTCATCACCCAGTCAGTGTATCTATGCGATATAGCATCGACCAATCATATACGCTAGATCACGCGATCGCACGTGACAGATCAAGGTCCCAAAAAGAAAAACGTGACAAGAGGGGGATTCGAACCCGCGCGCTTATTGAGCCGAGAAATCCAGATGGTTCCTTTCTAGTTATTCGGATCCTCTACGGCAGGCAAATGGCAGGCTCAGCTGGCTCACATTCTTAACCGCTCGGACATCTTGTTGTTGAATATCGTCAACCAAAAGTAGGGCACCAATCGATAAGCAGTCCGTTCTCTATTCCCTTCGGGGCAACCCCCGTGCCTCTCCTGCTCCGCCATCACAACGCCGCTATTTGATGATATTCACATGAGTGAACAGTACCATGCTGTTCGCGCGGAATCATGGATTTTGTATGTTGGGTTTCCCCTTGTGGCGTCTATACTACCTTCCCCCTAGTCATGATTGCAATCAATTCCGTTAACCTGTGGTAGTGGTCTCGTTTAATTGGCGGCTCCCGTTCGCTGTCTACCAAGAACTACCGGGCGGCCTCTCCTACCGAGCGATTGACAGCATTTAAGCGGACATGTAATACCCTACAAGTATGTGGCTTTCGCCGTGCATCAGTTCGTTCATCTGAGCTAAAGTTCTGCATTGTAGCAAATATGGCGCTCCACCAATTCGCCGTCCGGAGAGCAGTCCGCAACTACCCATGCGCGCAACTGCATTGACCGACTGAATTCCGTCCTCAGCGATGAATCTCGAGGCCCGGCTCCCCATCCGTGCTTAGCCTATGCCGCTTCTTCTCAGATCTTCGTGACTGTCACCAAACTTGCGTTGTCCTCCTACGATGATGGAATGCTCCGTTCCGCCGCGGTCTTTTTCAATACCCTGATCGACTCGGAGGTTGATGGTGTGGTAGATAACCGGCTATTTGCACGTGCGCTGGTGGATCTCGTACGCCGTGCGGACAAACACTCGGAAGATGTGGAAGGAAGGCTTGTCGAGCTCTTGTTCGGGGTGGCCAACAATATCCGTCTGCAACCTGATATTCTCCCTGCGTGGTTCGCTCCTAGGTCTGAAGATCAAGACCGAGATCAACAAACAAACAGTGGAGCCGAGTTCGCAGGTGCGACGCGGAAGGATGACTTTCCACTGTTTTACTTGTTAGTGGAGTATGTCCACCATGGCGGACGTGCGGGTGATTTTGCTCGGACGGGTCTTCTTTATCTGATTGAGACAGCGTCTCGGTCAAAGCATCTGGAAAGATGGCTGATTGAAAGCGACCTGGCTACCCTAATGGCGACTGGATTAGGTGCGCTGTATAGCCAGTTGGGCAGGTGAGTATCCTAATGATCCCCTGAATATCGGGTTGAGTTAATGTAAAAAGTTTGTCCTTTGACGAAACCTCAGACGACAAGATGCCGCATATTGTTGCCTTATCTGATCACGCGAGACAAGAAACCGCTCTTCCCCCATCATTGGGAGCAACGGTAGACTCTTTCATGTCCTACCTCTTATTTTGGCAGGATACCATTGACCACTGCAAGTCAGCCGAAGTCAATGGCACACTGCTGGATCACTTCCAGGTCTTGTTCCTCGAACAACTTCTGTACGTTGGCTCTAGAACTATATCCCCGAACAGTTACTGATACGACTTCCCACGTTGACAGATATCCATCTTTGCTCGAGTCATCTGACGTTGAAGGCGGTTCCACCGCTGCCGTGCTTACCTACTTGTATCGCATTCTTGAATCTATAGACCAGGATGATTTGGTACATCGCATTCTTCATTTCTTACTAGCGTCACCTTCCGACACGGAAGTGCCAACATCATTGAAAGTGAACATGTCAGTAAGCCGGCGAAAGTCCCTGGACGTTTTGGCCGCATTCTCGGAGGAAGCCGCGAAACCGTCTCCGTCGCTTTTTAATTTGAGAGACCTCGCTCTTTTGGGGCTTCAGTCTGCTAACCGCCAGACTGTTTTGGCAACACTACGCCTGATGGCGGTGATTCTTCAGCGACATCATACCTTTGCTCGGTCATTGATTCGGACTGTTCCTGGCCAATATGCCAAGCAACGAACTGTGGGCGCGCTGAACGCGGAGCTGGAGCAGCTTATTGGCATGGCCACATCAATTGTGGATGACCCTACATTGAATGATTCCTTTGAGGATTATCTCAAGGACGCTTCCTGTATCTTAGAATCTCACCTCTATGTCCCACCGGCCGAAACTAACCTGGAGGAGGACCGTCCACTGGAGATACGACAAGAAGACCCTATCGTACAAGAACTACTAAACTGCCTAGACACATTCTTTACTAATAGCGTCATTGTGAATTTAGCTTTAACGGAGGTCCTCATGAGCATCGCGTCTTCACATCTTATCTCACTTGACGGCTGGCTCCTCGTGGACCCATCTAAGTACGTCTACGACGAACAGCCCTCAGCCGAGGGCTCTATTGAAATCTTAGAGCAGATTCAAATGACCTATCACGAGCCCTCATTGTCTAGGTCTGACACGCCAACGCTCACTTCTGCATTGCAAAAGCTTGTGCTGCAAATCCAGCAATGGCGGAAGGATATGCCCGATTTTGACATTCTAGTTGCGGCTCGGCGGGACCTGCTTCACCAGGAGGATGCTACTAAAGACACTAACCGCCCCCAACAATCATCAGAAGCATCGTTGCGTCCCCCTTCTGATCGACAACCACGAAAGGTACCGTTGGACTCCGACATTGAATCACCACGAGGGAGATCCTCACTTGTGCAGGACCCATCGGGCACATCGTCTTCCCGACTGGCCGCTGGGGGCTCGCCGTTTCGCGAACACTCAACCGGTTCTCCAGGTTCACGGGGCTCTTCCTCGCCCCGAATAACCGCAGCGGAAGAGCTTCGGAAGCGATTAGCGAAGCCGTTCCAAGTGGACCATCCACATAAGGCGCCAGGAGCTGGCGAAGAACTTGAACCGACGGCAGATGGAGCGGGAGAGAATGGGTCCGAGAGTGCGATTGCTGATGAGGAGCCACGGTCAGCAACCCTCGGCCATGTGTTGACCAACGTGGTAATCTTGTATGAATTCCTCCTGGAGGTTTCCGCCACGGTACAGGCGCGGAGCACTTTATTTGGTGAAGCGGGATATCCTGGAGTAGGCTGGAATGGCCCGCTGGATGAACTCTTGGCATGATAGATTGGACTCCTTATATTCATAATTGTCCATCTATTCCATGGCCTAGGCAGGTCCCTACGACCAAATGTATGAGAGTCTAGGTCCTGTACAATTACATTTATTCCAATCATCATACCGTCTTGTACAAGATCAAAATCACTGGCCATGGCTGGGGCAGAAGCCCAGGCGTCCACAACGAACCATGTTTGAGCAGATACCTATACACTTCACACCTTCACACCCCTAGAAAGACAAAAATCTTCGATAGTTGGGCAGTTTCCCATGTTTTAATTCCTTCACCAGGTGTTCAACAGAAGACAAGGCAAATAACCTAATTTAACTGGTATTCTTCGTAGGCTGTAAAATGAACAAAGGGCCATGTTTGACAATCCACCGTCTTTGCACCTATCCAATATCAATCATCATCCGAACGCTTAACCTCAGCGGAAATAAGCAGAAAATACGGCCGATGCCTTTCATCCTTCCATTCAGGATGCTCTTCGATATCACGCCGGGAAGGAACCCAATCTTTCAACCCAGCCAAAACAAATCCGTTCTCAAGCAGCGCGGTAACATAAGTCTCCACAGTTCGATGATACTTCCGGATACCATTAACTCCTAGCCAGCTCGTCACACGCGGGCCCTCTTCGCTATACGAGTTCAAAGGCCAGACTTTCTCACCCGCCCCGTCACCATCAACTTTAGATAGGATCCTCCAGTCAGGCCCAGGATGAACCGGTGCAGTACAAATAGGGTGTTCCACCGAAAAGACCAGCCTCCCCCTTCCTGCACCATCCTTCTTCAAACAAAGTCGTACTTGTCGAAGCAATCTCGAGAAATCCTCGATATAATGGAATGTTAGAGAACTGTAAACGAGATCATAGTAGTCCATTTCTGACGGCGAGAAGGCTATCATCTCCAGATCGCAAACTTGATAGTCTATTGTCCCGTAAGAAGACGAGATTCTACCGTTCTTTTGCAGGTCTTTCTCCACTTCGTTGGCCCTCTCTATCATCTTTGTCGACACGTCCACGCCTTTGACGTGTTTGGCGCCGTTTTCCCGAGCCCAGCGGGAGAACCAGCCGTACCCGCAGCCGAGGTCTATAATATTTTTACCTTGGACGCCATTGTGTAGCGGTTGGGTGACCATTTGTTCTAGGACGGGCCATTCGGGCGCTGCGTTGAAGCCATGCTGGGAGCGGGGAAGCGTGCCATATGCTTTGAAGAATTGGGGGTTATCGTAGATGTTTTGGGTTGGGGTTGAGGACATTTTGTAGGTTATATTTGGGATGGATGATGGTGATGGGTTCATAGACAGGGCAAGCAATATCAAAGAGGACATTGGTTTTTAACTAGGGTTGCAATATGTGTAGATGAACTATTCCGGATCAGGTTCCCGACAGTTTAAGATGAGCCTGAACCTTAAATTTAATAACATCGACTTCTCTGGTTAACGCAGTCAAAACACTCAAGGATTTGCAACTATAATGGCGACAATTTAACTAACGATCTCAGTGATGAAACTATGGAGCTGTCGAAGTGATAGAATAAAATCTACCACATCATTTTGGCTGTAGAGCCGGATTGGGCATTTTGTTCGCTTCCACTGCATACAACCCATAGTGTACTTGATGATCGGGGATTAAACTGTCCCATGTGTGGTATGGGCGCCAACCAAGTATGATCGACCTTTCTTCTTGGCCATTTATTGAATTTCCCCGTTCTTTATCATTTCCAAAACTTCCTTAAGGTGCTTTAGCCATGGATCTTCAGGGTGCTTCGGTAGGTAATCCAAAGTCGTTTGTAACTGCTCGTTTTGTTTCTCTGGGAGTCGTGGCAGGATGGCTTTGGGGGTTATTAAGCTGGCGATAAACTTAGGGGATCAATTTCTTTGATCACGTCTATGAGACTGAGGATGTGGGATTGCTGAGCTTGATATTAGCGGCTCATCACCTACATACGTGCAATTGTTACCAGAACTCGGAGATTCTCTTGTGGTGATAGTCCTTCACAGTCTTCGCCCATCCCGGTGGACCGCAAAGAGCTTGTTTTCGGGGATCGCCGACTGACTTTTTGAAGGAAATCTCACTTGGAACATAGGGCGGTATCACCACCGCACGCCTCCTAGGCCAAATTTGCGTTCTAGTAAGCCGCGCCTGACCGATTCTCCTGTTCTGTAAGATCGGCGTTGGCGTGATTGATATCAAAGTTTAGCTTAGGCGATGCAAAGCTCTTTCCCGCTGCGATCATCGTCTCTACCTTGGCCGTCTCTAGGTGACTGGTGCTTTTAGCGTCAACAAACTGGGTGCTAAGTAGAAAGCCGCCGAGCATAACTTGCATTGGGAAGGCGTTTCCTTTTTTTGCTAGATTGCTGGTCAGCCAGAGGAGGTCTCACAGTAGCTCTTCGTGCTTACCATATCTTTGCTTGAATTTCTTTTTGGCCTCTGTCGAACAGGTCATTTGGAGGATCTCATTGTAGCACTCATCCGACAATTGGAGGCAGTCAGGTCTCAGATTTACTCCCACACAAGGGAATTGGTTTTATTCAGAACTTGAAGACATTACGAGTCAACTATGTTGACCTTGTAGGAGACCCGCAGAGAGGTTCCCTTGCCGCTGGTTGAGCTCTGCGTACTATGGGGACTTTTCATCAGACCGGGACGCGGAGCCGGAAACCACCGTTTCGAAAGGGAGACCGAACCTGGGAGGAACAAGATTAGATCAGCTAAAATGATGAAAGGATGGTTAATGTAATGCATACAGAGTCGCCTCTATGGCGGTTGTGTTATAGGCCAGATCGGCTATCTTCTTTTGGAAGGCTGACTTGGTCTCGACGACGGTGATGGTCGAGTCGTTATACTAGTAGAAGCTAGAAATTCCAGGAAGCGTATTCTATCTTGTAGTTAGTAGATGAATGAAGGAAAGCCTAGGAGTTACGACGGACTAGGTGTTCCTGAACTCCAGGTGTCGGCTTATTTTCCTCTGACTTCTTCTGACCTCTTCCCCTTTGACTCTTCCTTTAACCTGACGTATGTCGCCGGGTGGCTCACCAGCGCCCTTGTTAGGTCGGGTATCGTGACAGGATGTCGGATGGCAAAAGCTAGTCAATTAGTCCTGTTGTCCAAGTTGGGGAATGAAAAGATGAAGTGGAAATACCTCCCTTCGGTGCCCTCATCAATATACCACTAGTGTAATCGTAATACTATCCTTGCAGCAATCGATTATTGAACAGAATATTTTCCCACTGCGACTCGCTCAGTCCCACAAGGGTATTCGGCACTTCTTCAGCACCTAGATCTGTATCGATATAGAACGCTCTAATACTATAGTATCGGGGGCGATGGCAGTCATTTGGTCTTTGTGCAGCTCCAGGGGTTCTACCATTGTGAGGCCAATAGATCTCTTGTCTTAACATGAGTGATGAGTTCTTACAAGTGTCAAAAGATAGTCTGCAACAAAGTGTTCTCAATCAAATCTCTTGCAGAAATCTAGCGGTGGATAGCTAGTATCACCGCAGACTGGTAACTAAAGAAGAGTAATGGTTTGAGGCAGATGGTTGAGACGTTAAAGCGGCAGCTCGCCGGTAGGAGTTAAGAGGGAGCGGGCCACTGCTATTCTCATACCCGGCTGAGTTTCTGTCGATCACGCAAGCTCCTTCATGGCGGGCGTGCGTGTTGACTCCTTGCCTCAATCCTGTTTACCTAATACTAGGACTACTACATGCTGGTACCTTGAGCAAAGCCACCCTGTTCTGCAACTAGCTGCTCCCACTGTACCCATTCATTCGGGTCCGTTTCAAAAGAGAGGAGGTCGGGAAAGTCGTACGACTCAGCAGGCCCAATATCACGGAGATCCGTTCTATTTATCTGGATTTGCATCCCATCCGAGCCAAAAGAATTCGGAGTGACAGGTCCACGATCTGCCATCCGACCTATGGTTACGGATGCCGACTCTTGTCGACAGCAACGGATCGCATCGATATATCCAGGCGTAGATGGCTCTAGGAGACCTTCAGCCTTCGAAGCGGCAACGTAGCCTTCCCAACCTTCCAGGGTCCATTTGCCCAGCGCTGTGTACACAGGTCCAGAGTTTTTCTCAAGTACCTGAGGGTGGTGTGAGAACACCATTCCGATCAGTTGCCATGCCCTGTCAACCTCTGGCCCCGGTTTGCGGTGTTGAACTTCGATGAGTACGTAAAGCATTGCATTCCAGAGATAGCTTGAGCCGATCTGCCACCTGTACTTGTCTAATCCATGGAGACCACCTTGCATTAAATTTGTATATTCTAGCAATTTAGTAGCGTTTGCAAAAACTATGTCACGCTCGCGCTGCGACACTGTGACGGAACTGTTGGCGAATTGCCGAGGGTTGTGAGCGAAGAGCTTCATCTTGCATATGGATGACCGGATCATGATTGACGCGAATGTATGGAGTGAATTTGACGGATCACAATACCGCAGATACTTCCTTTCCAAATGGTCCTCCAACTGGCCGATGACGCTATCCTTTTGGGCGAGCGTGGCATTGGAATTGGCGAGGACTTCCCAGCGCATATCACCCGGAGCCAGCTTGCGCAAGGCCTCCATAATCTCACATCTGATTAGACATAGTGTGATAGGTGTGATGGAGTTGCGTGCTGGTGGTAAATCGATTATGTCTGGGTGGAGGTCTTCGTCGTCGACATTCAGGGGCATTTTGGTATCACCGTAGGAAAGATCTAAGGACGGCTTTGTACCCAGCACGTCTGCTGAGCGATAGTCTACATGAACTAGGTGCCACCACAGCCGTCTTCGCATTTCTGTTTCAAATGGAGATAGTCCAAGCGAAGTGCCGTCCCGGTGAAGCCCCATTTTTCGGGCAAGGCGTATGGCAATCCCTGACAAGATGAAAAGGGTATCGCATCGATAACTTTTCCTCACGCACAGCTTTGATCTTTAGCTCGTGATAAACAGGATCTAGACAAATCTAGCTTACCATGAACATTGCATATGCTCGAAGGGTCGTTGGGCTGGAGGTTGACAGGAATCCTGCTTTTACTAGAGCTTGGCGAAGTGCAAGCCTATAGCGTTGATATAGGACTGATTTCAGTGCCCCAAATAGATTTTGGCACTCATCTTCTTCCAAGGCGCTAATTGTGGAAAGATAGAACGCAAATATCGCTGCCTCCAGGTCGTTAGTCAGGTTTTGAGGGTGCCGTAGCGCGTTCGTTATCGCGGTCCAGAAAGTAGGCAAATGCAGGATTTTCATCATAGGGTCAACTCGATCGACATATATTTCTTTTAGTTTTGTCAATACCTGTCCCGAAGGGTGGAGTTTTGCAAGACTTTCGGGTTTGAGATTGTGTCCAGGTTCGAAGAACAGCTCACTGTCATGGAAATCTGGCTGATCCATTGGCTCTCCAACTTCCGGATGTTGAAGCTGAACCTTGGTTAGAGAAGTCACAAAGGAGACAAAGCGAATACTTACTCCATTTCCCAAACTAGACCAAGGTGCACTACTGGAGTTCAGAAGCTGCTAGCTGAAGAAGGCAACAGCAAACGGACATACCTATCAAAGTATCGTGATGTTCCCTCTTGGGTGATGAGCTTTGGTTGAGTCTTTTCCAGCTCTTTCTCGTCCTCCATCTCAACATCAGCCGAGTCGGAGTCGTCGGTATCCTTCGACGGCTCAATTTTAGCACCGTATGATTTCAGCAATTCCTCATATCGTTTTAACTTGGCATGCAGACCTTCTCTGGGAGGCTTTGTTCGTCTGCGCTTCCCGCGCACGGGGGGAAAGAAGCTGCATGTCTTCTCTGCCTTAACACAATTAGAACAGGGAGTTCGCCGGTCACATTTGATTTTCCGTTGCCGACAAGCCAGACAAGAATAATTTTTGAGATTAATCTGCTCGGACCCTGAGGATTTATTCATCGTTTGGTCAAGCCCAAGAGCGTGGGGCGAAATACAAGAGAAGTGCCGTTTGACGTTCTCGGGGTTCGGAAGCGAAATCCAACTTTTAGACCCCGAGAAGCGAATCAATATCCGCATAGCCAAAGTAGACCTTTTAAATACCCACCACCAGGTTCAAATAGTAACTCTCCATCATGTCAGCTTTAGTTAATGCCTATAATGTCACGACCTTCATCCGATGGTGACCAAAAGCCCCAGCTTGGGAGGAGGGGGACAAGCCCCATGCCCAGGACACTGTCTACCCTTCGGGCCTCAAGCTCGCCATGCTGCTGATGTCTATCTTCGTCGGCATGTTCCTAGTGTCTCTTGTACGTTAGTATCATTAAGGAAGCAGGCTTCTATTGAATTGCGTGTAGACTGTCGCAGGACCGTCTCATCATCTCAACCGCTATCCCCCACATCACCGACGAGTTCAACTCGGCGGGCGATATTGGCTGGTATGGCACGGCATACCTGCTCACCAACTGCGCTTTCCAACTAGTGTTTGGAAAGATATACACCGTCTTCAGTATCAAGACTAACTTTCTAACATCTATCCTCCTATTCGAGATTGGCTCAGCTCTCTGCGGTGCAGCCCCGAACTCTGTCGCTTTCATCTTCGGAAGGACTATCCCCGGTCTGGGGGCTGGAGGCATTCTCTCTGGTGTGGTATGTTTTGCGTAGTCTACTCCACTTATTCCCATTCACTCGTTTATACTATGGTGTTCAAGGTGGTCGTCATTGTCTATGCTGTTCCGCTACACAAGAGGCCCAAATACCAGAGTTTCTTTTAATGCCGTGTTGCTATCGCTTCAGTGACTGGCTCCCCTGGTGGGAGGTGCCTTTACCACCAATGTCACCTGGAGATGGTGCTTTTACCTCAACCTTCCCTTGGGAGGGGTCATTGCGGTGTTTGTTTTTCTCTTGCTCCACGTTCCCGATCGCCCTAACACCAATATTCCTCTGGAAGATAAGCCACGACAGCTCAATGCTCTAGGCCTACTTGCCCTCCTTCCCCGGGGTTGTTTGCCTATGTCCCTATGTCTAGCCCTGCAATGGGGGGAGGGAGCACCACATACACTGTGGGTTCAGCCTGAAGTTCTTTCTGTAACCATTTCCCCCGTACTAGGCTCGTAGACCTGACCGTATCTAGTGGAGTGAAAGGCGCATTATGGCATTGCTTGTACTCGCCTTTGCTCTCTTGATCACCTTCACCTTGATACAGATCTGGAAACCACAACAAGCAACACTACCACCACGCCTCTTCATCCAGCGCAGCATCGCCTCCGGCTTCTGGGTAAGCTCATGCCTAGGCGCGCATATAAACCTCTTCGGTAAGCCCGCTCCATATACTAAACAGACGTCAAAATCACATCCTAACAAGTATACTACCTCCCCATCTGGTTCCAAGCCATTGATAACGTCTCAGCAGTCGACAGTGGCATCCGCCTCCTCCCCATGGTAATACCCATCGTCATAGCATCCATCCTCACCAGCCAACTAGTGTCCCACATAAGCTACTACACCCCGTTCATGATCTTCGGCGTCTGCCTCACAGCAACCGGAACCGGCCTACTCACTAACTTACAAACCAATACTTCCAAGGCAAAATGAATCGGCTTCCAGATTCTATACGGCTTTGGTCTTGGCTCGTGCTCCCAGGCGCCCAACATGGCCGTGCAGACGTGGCCATCGGTGCATCACTCATGTTCTTCGGACAGCAGCTTTTTGGTGCTATTTTCACATTTGTCGATCGGAATGTGCTGTTTAATCAGTTGGCTCGTCGGCTTGCTAGTATCCCGGGTATTAATTCTCGGCTTGTTCAGAGTGAGGGGGCTACTGATCTGCTTAATCGTATCTCTGATGGAGCGCGCTGCGGCTCGGGCGGTGTAATGATTCGCTGCGCGTGTGCTTCCAGGTTGGGCTTATTATGGCTTGACTTTCTGTCTTGGGAGCCGTTGGTATGGAGTGGCGCCGTGGAAGAAGAATCTTCCGTCTAAGAAGCCCGATGGCGAGTTGGCTTCTGAGGAGGGCAAAGGCAAAGGATTCTTGGGTGAGGAAAAGTCGCTGGAGAGTGTGATGATGAATGCATCGACGTTGGCCACAGTGGAAAAGACTAAGCAAAGGGCTGGAAAAGTAGAAGGCAAAGAGACGGCCACCTGAGAAAGGTTTGGCGGGTCCATGGAAAGACATCATTTACTGGTTAAGGACTGGCATATTTTTGTCATTTGAGAATGATGTATCAGGGATCGAGTTGGAATGCAAGCAACTTCCTAGTTCGATTGGGACCTATATAGCAGGATATGGCATCGTTTGGACAGGCTTGTATGGTCTATAAAAACAGAATATATGCTCCACACAAACACAACATTTGCACAGTAAAATCTAGCGTTAGACTAGGAAGCATATAATTCCATATATTATACCTTCACTAATTCAGAATACGACGTGGTCATTTCGGACTCATTAACGTTTGTATGAGCAATATCTATTAGGAACGGCTTCTAATTTGCTAAGCGTATTCTATCCTATGTGGCCTTTGGACTTGCGAATACTAATCCTTTTGTTGAGTGGTCTCATTTTATCTATAATAGACATAGACATGGAGTCTAGTAAATAGCGTTAACCACATCCACCAAAACTACTGATCTTAGACTAGAACTCTTGTTAACAATAACCTCGCTACTCTCGTTTCCCGGTTTACCTCCAATATCCTATCACCATCAACCAACAAAGAGAAACGGAATAGCAAGAGAGACCCCAATAATCCTCTAATAGAGTTTAGACGCCCCTGCACACCAGAGCACACAGTACTCAACGCCGATCCATTCATCGCCAAGAGCCGTGCCGCACCCTGGCGGCTATAGCTTCACTACGACTGGTTCAGCTGGCGGATTTGACCCTTAGTGCGGGGGCATCACAGCATAGTCGATGCGAAAGTGGGGAGCGGCGTAGCATCTGCCTTTCAGAGGTTGTATTTGAGGTAAGCTGTTTTGTTCTTTGGATGAGGGACCCTGCCTTGGTGAGTTAGCAAATCCTAGCACGAGCAAGGCGCTTAAAGTAACCCATCGTGCTAATATTATAACGTGTCTCGGCCTACCAGGTGCTGAACTTCCCAAAATCATAATAACACATTAAATGACTATATACAAGGCTACATGCAACCTAAAAGAAAGGGATATCTAACCTAACGCTCCTGATACCCACTATCAATCTCATGCACCACCGGTTCGCGACCTGGAGGCAACTCCACCGGATGCACAGCAACAAGCGGCCCCCCATACTGCTGAACACCTGGAGAATGGCCCAAATGCGTGACTTTTCCAATATCTCGTAACTTTTTTTGATACGTGCGGCGCTGAAAACAAAGCATGAACACAGTCGCCATAAGGCAAGCGCCTAGCCCCGCGCCGACGCCCACACCTACAGCAACCGTGGTGGTATCGGCATGACAGGCGCCATCGCAGGTTGGTTCGCTGGTCGTGCCGGGGGTGACTGTCGCAGTGGTAGTTGCAGTGACGGTTGCGGCCGCAGATGGAACGACTGAGCTACTCGAGGCGGTGGGGAGGATCATGGTGCCTATATCTAATTTAAAAGCGTTGTCGCAGCAATTGGAGCCATTATCGCTGCAGCACCAGTGTCTTAGGCTGATGTCGGGACAGGGAAGAATGTGGAGACCATATTCGCCTCTCATTGCTGTAGAGAGTAAATACCATAGTATTAGCGGATGGTTGGCTGGCGCGATAGTGGAAAAGAGATATCTGCCATACAGTCTGGGCACATATTAGGACAGTCGGAACTCTTCCAGCTCGAATCCGTACACCCATCGCGCAGAACCTGACCGGCATACGGTGAAACCTGTGCGATGCATAGCCCGCTCTCCGTGCAGATATCGTTTGGGTCCCCATTTGTTTTCTTGGTTGCGCAGCAAGCGCTATTCTCTTTTTCTGGGAAGCAGGGTTGAAGCTCGCTCAGCGCTGGCATGCCATCTCGCCAGTAGCATTGTCGAGCGAGGATTTGTGACAGGAGAGTAGCTTGGATTAATAGCCAGTATAGGGCCTTCTGCGAGGTATTGACATTGGACAACATTTTCAGAGAGACTTGACATGGGAGGGGTAACCTAGTGTAGAATTTATAATTAAGAGAGCGCGTACTGATCATTATGTGGGCAGTCCCTATCTAAAAGGCTGCTGATTAGCCGCTGAGACTATCCCACTTTGCATATTTAGCGCCGCCGGGATTCATGCACTTGTACTTAAGGTACAAGGAGTTGAAACACCGCGGCTAAAACATGTCCAATCTGCTTTGAGGGTATGGTGACTTCTTATGCACGAGCTGCATGTTAAGTCGTTCACCCCCAAGCCCCCAAGGTTGACCCAGGGGCTTTGCACCACTTCTAGGTCATGTGGTTTCTCCGAGACCCTGCTTGCCATTTTTGTTTAGTTATAGATGTCCTGAGAAGATATTCACTCTGATAATATATGCACATGGTTTGAAGGAATTTACTGCCTAACAATAGTTTCTGGTTCTGTCGTTGCAGAGCTGAATGGCATTTCTTACGGCGGACTGAATCGAGCAATTGGCCAAAATGAAATTTTACCAAGGTTACCAACGGCCACGCACACTGATAATTCCCCAAACTAGTATAGTGTTATTGCACCACCAATATCACTGTCCCGGCCAATATCTCACCAGCTGCCTTAGTTCTTATCTTGATGCATTTTTTATGAGCATGTTCTTAGTGGAGTATAAGAAGAAAAAGTAAGTCCGTTTTCTTCTAGCCAGAGAAAGTATTTTCAGTATAATAGTAAGAATATATGTTAAGGGTATCTACTATATAGGGCAGAAGTCCTGTCAACTAGGTAGGGATACACAGGCTAGAAGGAAGAGAAAGATTAAAGGCAGGCAGTAGATACTATTCAGACAGAAGACTGATTCTTGATCTTCTACTACTACTAACAATTCACTAATTTATAGCTGCAGACTCTGTATATAAAGAGTTCAGATTTCCCGTTGAAAACCAAACTGTTGATGGCCTGATATTTCTTATCAGTGGCTGATTGCCCATGCACCTGGGTCAGGGTATCCTGTACAGCTACCAGGCCGAATCACTATTCAATCAGTGATATTAGGTTTAAGAAAGATTCTGAATTCTTTAGGTATGGAGTCTTTACCTATAAATTAGCGAATTGTTAGTAACAGTAGAAGATTAAGAATCAGTCTTTTGTGTGAATAGTATCTACTGCCTGCCTTTGATCTTTCTTTCCCTTCTAGCCTACATATCCTTACCTAGTTGACAGGTCTTCTATCCTGAATAGTAGATACCCTTGATAATATTGTGATTCCATTAGCCAGCCACCTAACCACTAGGCTAAAAGCTCAGCAATTGACTACTTTTCAAGTAGTCAACCTGTTAGGTGGTATATATATAAGGTGGTCCTATCTCATACTAGGAACCACAATATAATAGATTAGATTTAGGAAAGATTCTAAATCCTTTAGACATGGAGTTTTGAGCTATAAATTAGTGAATTATTAGTAATAGTAGAAGATCAAGAATCAGTCTTCTGTCTGAATAGTATCTACTGCCTGCCTTTAATCTCTCTCTTTCTTTTAGTCTACGTACCCTTACCTAGTTGACAGGTTCTCTACCCTAAATAGTAGATACCCGTAATAAGTATAGTACAATTATATTAGTTATAAACCAAAGATCAGTTAACTACAAAAGCTAAATAATTATTTACTTAGTAATAAATTGGTTATATAGAAAGAAAGATTTGTTTGGCGTGGCAATTGAGATTTCGCCAAGGTTCCGGTAAAAGATCCATTTCGGCCAATTGCTTGATTCAGTCCGCAGTGAGAAATGCCATGGACGTTGGCGTATCTCAGTTCCACTCCTCCAAGCTGGAAAGAATACTCTTAGCATTTTCCAGAGCATATTCAACCACACAGAAAACTGGTTTTGATTATTCACAAACACTAGCTGCGACGGAATGTCGCGCTTATTCACGTAATAAGAAAAGAAAAGAAGACCGTGGTAAACGATAGCGACGTCGCTTGGGGGACTGTCTTTAGCCCTACTCACCAGTGCGACGGTCCCCACCGAATGGCGGTACCATTCGGAGCCGCCATAGATGTAGATACTGCGAAAAGTTACCAAGTGCTGTACTATACCCGGCTGGAGACTTTATTCCATGTAGTTCTTTATTGTTGTGTCTGACGATGATTGTACCCAATGCGCAGCAGAGCTGGCTAGAGTGCAGTCATGAGCTTAGACCTGGGGAACGAAGGCAAGATCGACATATACGGCTTAGACTGCGTGAGAAGCATCTCACTGTCTAGAATCATAATTCGCAAATTAGGAGCAGTTCTGGTTGGTCTGTGTATATTAGCTTCCCCCAGGTACCAACTGGTCTATAGGGAATACCTTTCTCATAGGCGATTCCACCGTTTTCAGCGGTAGATGCCGATCGATACGATTTGAGCCACATATTTTAACTGTCTCTTATTTGGAGGGGTGAAACCCAGTCAACTACATTATCATTGGGTATTATATGCACAGTGGAGAGGCTCATGCCTGCAGCATGTACATTTCAGGGCCCAAAGACTTTCGGTATTTGATCCGACAAAGCTGAGACACGAACCTGCCAAGATATGATGCTCGTCACATTGTTTCTTCCCAGGAAAGAGTTAGTTATCGGCAAACATACAAGTATGATACGTACCACGTTAACCACCAGCGACAGGTGTAATCACCGAACCGGTTTCTAGTCTTTATATCTTCCGGTATTCCAAGCCTGGAGGTAGGGATATGTCAAAGATTTTTGCATACCAAATAGTTATTGACTTCAGGTGTGGATGGGAGACTTGTCAGTCAGGTTGGGCAGCCATGCTGCGTTATAGAGCAGTCTGACTCATTTCCGACAGTGCTTGTGATATATAAACCATGACAAAGGCTATACACTGCTTGTAGTTTTCTGTTGGCGGTATTAATCTACCGTTATTGATATGCCCAAGATTTGCTTAAGGTGCGTCCAAAAGTCCGGGGAAAACACTAATATATTAATATCACAATAGACGTATATAGTTAAGAGATATGGCACAAGTGTGCGCTCCAGTGTAGCTGCAATGATATGAGATCTACATTATGTCGTAATTATAGCATAGTGTCAAATCTTGTGTTGTAAGAACTCAACAACAGCTGTTGCATACGGACGTCAGTATAATCCGCCCAGAAGTCAAGCAAAATGCGGACTTACCCTGTCTAAATACCTCGGGTCGTTCCTGAACAATCCAATGCCCGCAGTCTATGTCCACAATGCGCGATCGAGGAAAGAAAGAAGAAATCACAGGGAATGAGCTTTCCGGTATATAATGGCTCTGCAGTGCTCGAAGGAACAACGCCGGTCTGGGGAACTGAACGGACTTGTTTTTGTGTGGAAAGTCCCCCAACGGACCGATAGCAGTGCTCAGGATATCTAAAGGAACACGAAGTTTCAGATGCGGTGAATCGCGCTCTCTGACAAAGTTACTTAGTAAAAATAATCGCACGGACGGAGACTAGTCACAATCGTTAGAAGTGATCTCGTTTTGCGATAACAGCGAGCGCAGCACATACTTGCTCATATTTGCTCAGGATCTTATCGCCTTCTTGATGGCTTTTCACTCGTGCATTCTGTACTTCTTCCATAGCTCTGAGGTACCTTGGAAACTCTTCGGTCAGGTCTAAGTGGATAGGACAGTTGTCGATAGCAATAACATCGGATATCAGGTCTGGTGAATGAAGGGCAAGCGTTAAGGCAGTTTTGGCACCCCTAAAGGGGCGCATCAGCGTTGTTGAATGGGCACAGCTACGGGGTTTCGGGATCTTACATAGAATGACCAATCAGAGTCGCATTACTTAGCCGATGGCTCCTGATAAAGCTTTCAACGTCCATAGCCATTTCCATATAGTCATGCTGTGGGTGGTGATCGGAATCGCCATGGTTGCGAAGGTCCTAAAGATCTGTCAATTCTCTGGGCCCCAGACGCCAATTGAAAGGTGAGACGCACCAAGCAAAAGACTTGCCGCGATAAGTCTTGAGCAAGAAGTCTTTAGGAGAAATTGGTTAATTCTATAATAGAGCAGTCTGTGAAATATGCACATACTTGCTTACTCCCCTGTTCTCTCGCTTGGACCCAAGGAATCCATGCAAGAATATTATTGGGGGGCTAGTGGGTTGGTCTGATTGTATGCGGCTATTGTGTTTAGGATGGTGCAATTCGTATGCTAACGGGACCCTCGAAATCCGAGATATTGTGGAGTTATGTATGTGCCTGATGTAATTCTTCGCCAGCTTTATAGCCATGACGGGTGCAAGACGTATGGACACTGGGATGTAGACTCCTTCGAGATATCAAACGACCCACAAGCTAATTTAGTTGTATAGCGATTGCCATTGGTCGAACGTTTTATATATGGTAGTTGTATTCGGTCTAGATGGATATTTGGCCTCGGGGACTTGGTGCCTTTGCCGAAGTTGAATTATTTAATAAAATGGTTGACGCCGCTTGGTGCCGATGGTGGAGCAAGTAAGGGTTTGCAGGAACCAGTGATCGTGTCGGAATGCTTTTTACACGTACTCCGTAGGGCGTAGAGGACGAAGAGTCATACTTGTGCGCCCTACGCTATACCTTTTACATTCTTCGGATGGGTCCTGTTATGGGCCTGGTAGAAAAAGCTTTTTCTATGTAATGTCTGAAAAAGAATCGACCTGTTCAACTTTTTATTGTCCCTCGGGCTGTTTTTTTTGAACGTATACTCTGTAGGTCGCCGTATTCAGTATAAGAAATGCAGGCATTGCTACCTAAGATTATAAATGCAGAAACCAAGTAGTGTATTACCAAGCAAATTCGATCGACACTCATCGCATCGTGAACCCTGGTTATTAGCCACAAGGTCTGGTCTCTAGCGGTGACTCCAACTCGGAGCGAAGGCCGAGTCCCCACCCCTTCTATCTAGGTCCTGGAGAAATAAAAGAAGCTCGCTGCTAGGGGGAAAAAATAGCTCCAAGTCAAGCAATCGGGCTCGGATGCAAGATGTCTTCACAACCAGGTTCTGAGTTGCACAAGACGTGCAATGTCTCTCCTGAAATCCCTTTAGAACCCTCCGATCCTATAAAGGGCGTGGTGCGTCCCGTGGACTTCTCAACGGTAAGCAGTAAATTTACATTTCCTCTTAGCACAATAAGCTCTACCTTCTCGTCCATGTTAATTATCAAATGGAGACAATGTATTGACCGGTATTGTGCTTGAAGGCCCGCAAAATCCATATCGTCGTCGCAGGCATATACTTCGTCTGCAACAGCTCCCTAGGGTCCTCCCTACCATCGGGGGCTCATGACTCGATTGCCGACTTTTTCCAAATCCCGCGAGATGACTTGAAAATGGTCCTTCCCACTTCACTCTACATGGCTGGGTTCGCGATCGGCCCTATTATCTTTGGCCCTTTGAGCGAACACTTTGGCCGGAAACCGATTTTGGTTACCACCTTTGCAATCTACAATATTTTTACAATGGCATGCGCATTGGCCCCTACCTTTCCAGCGCTTTTGATATTTCGCTTCCTCTGTGGACTGGGTGGCTCCGCGCCGAATGCAGTGCTAGGTGGTTTGTTCTCTGACATATACAATGATCCTCATCAGCGTGGAATGGTGATGTCGGTGTTCATGTTCGCAACAACATTCCCCCCGCTTCTGGGGCCTATAATCTCTGGTTTTATCTCTCCTATATCTTGGAGATGGACCTTTTGGGCTGGTTTCATCATCGGGGGGGTTGGCTTCCCTATTGTACTTACAATTCCAGAGACATATATGCCTGTCTTGTCCCAAGTATACGAAAAGTGTCTGGGTGAACGCAATGTTGAGTCGGAAGCAGACAAGTCTCACCTACACGATCCTCGAGCAGCAGAAAACATCGCCCAAATACTCTGTCGTCCCTTTAGCATGATTGCCCAAGAGCCGATTGTGTTCTGTTGTTCAATCTACCTGGCTTTGATCTACTCCATATTGTATCTTTACTTTCAAGCTTATCCTATAGTTTTTCAAGGTATATATACCCCTCCATTGTCGGGCGTTTCGGAGGTATTTATTAACCGCTTTCTCTTGTAAAGGGCTTTACGGAATGACCCCTGGCGTGGCAGGTTTAGCTTTCCTTCCTAGTATGTTGAATCCCTCCACCTCTCATAATGCGCGAACCCTGACAAATCACACGAAGTTTTGCCGGGGTCAATTCTCGCCTTTGTGCTCTTCTGCTTGTATAGCTCGTATCACACCAAGGCTTTGAACGGGGGTTTAGCTTGGGCCAAAGTGGAAGAGTATCGCCGGCTCCCACTCGCTTGTATCGCAGCGCCCTCAATTCCCATTGCCCTCTTCTGGCTCGGATGGTCTTCAACTCCCTCTATTCACCCCGTCATGCCCATGATGTCTGGAGTTTTCTTCGGGTTCGGCTACCTCCTGATCTTCATCGCGCTCCTCAATTATCTCACCGATGCTTATAAGCAGTACTCGGCCTCAGCAGCTGCAGCCGCAAGTACATTACGGTCGATATTTGCCGTGTGTCTCCCCTTGGCGACCACGCCGATGTATACCAACCTTGGTATCGACTGGGCAAGTTCGGTACTAGGATTCATTTCAATCGCCATGGCTGTTATTCCTTTTGTGTTCATCAAATATGGTAGTTGGATCCGCGGAAACAGTAAATTTGCGCAAAAGAGCGGCGCAGGGAGGTCGCTATGAAGGGGAGAAAGGGTTTCACGAATAATGAATAATAAATAATTTAGAGGTTCGATATAGACTAAAAGTTTTAGATTAATTAACTACACACTATATTTAGATTCGGAAATGAATATAATAAATAATCCATGGAGCCCGTCGCAGCAAGACCGTACAATAGTCTACATCCCACAACTCTTCCCGATATGTACTGCATTTCTCCTAGTGTCCCAAGCCCTCCTGCCCCTTATTTCTTTTGTAGATGAGTTATCTTCTAGCCAATTGGTGCCCCAAAGTGATGAAAGGTGGTTACTTTCCGAGGGGCTATTATGGCCATGGCGGCCACGATACGGCTCCATTTTTCCATGCACCTTTCTCATCGAGATGTATAGTGGACAGCGTTGAGAAAGAGATCAAGCCTGGCGCAGTGCAGTGAGCAAAGTTATAGGTAACCGTATTCGGCGTCTGAAGCGTTGTTTCGAATATATAGCCTTTTAAAACCTGGTTCTTCCACAAAAACGGGGGTAATACTCGATACAAACAAGACCCTAGCCCTATCCCATACCTAAACACCACCTATATAGCAAATCACCCCCTATATCTCCTTTCGCCTCATCTGTGGCGTACCATTTATTTATGCCCGAGATACCGATTCATGAGGCTCCTCTATATTAGGTATCTTCTTCCTACCATATGCAGTATTCATTTCAAATGATTGAATCACACCATTCCTCCAATATGACGATACCGTCTGCCGAGGGTGACAAAGGAGAGATTTCACAGAATTGATAGGCCTAACTCTGCGACTAACTCACGTTAGAAAGAGAAGGCCTACAAGGCACTCTTAATCCTAGAGGTAGATCAATCGTGCTATAGGTAAACAGGCCACCAGTGTGAAATTAAGAATTTTGTACAGATGTATTCCTTAATGATTATTATGACTTAAGCCCCACTAGATAACTAGACCTCATGGGGTCCGAATCCGAACCGCGCCGAACCTTAAGAAACACACAACCTCCATGGGTAATAAATGAAAAGCACCACAGGTCCCAGGAACCGTAGTATGAATGTTGCACATTGTATGTGTGTAGCATCTGATTTTTTCGAAGACCACTATCAGCCAAGAGAGGTGTTCTCTTTCTATAGGGATGAGGAGTGATTGCTACCGGTAAAGTGAAGATCTCCAGGATGTAATAGTATCTTTAGCGGCGTAGACTATCAAAAGAGCTCCTAATCGGCTCTGTATGATACGGATTCAATTGTTCAGCCGGCCATAGCCATGCGGTGTTTTCGGGTCCGCCGATAGCCTCTTACCAAGGACGAGCTCATCCACCAACGAGGATAAGACAAAGTAGTGCTTCAGGTACGTCGAGTAGAAACCTAACAATGAAATGCTTTCTTCTAAGCTAGCCCGGATTGCGCGACAACTGAATGACAAGTCCGGAACAAAATTGTGTCAATAAGACAGTCAGACGAATGCCAAACCCCGAGCCTAAACGCGAGGCATGCACGGTGAAATTAACTCCGGGCTGAAGTACCTGATCATGATGTAGGACGACCTTGATGTTTACTCTGTTATACAGTCCAGACACAAGTGTTGTTATCTATAATCGACATCCACGAGAGTAAGAATAAATAGATCATAAGAAAAACATAACAACCCAAACTATACACCCCTCCTTCTGTACCAACTGTGAACGCCATTGGTCTCCTAGAAGATTGGCCTCCTTGCTATTGGCAATTTAGGTGGCGGGCCAGACAGGATGAAGCCCAAGTTATTATCTATATGGCTTTCCCTTAGACAATAATAGAAGCAGTAGATGTAGCCTACTAACCCTTCCGCCGATTGGCATTAGCGATGATTGAAGGGACTGAGTCAGTGAGGACCATTGCTCAGTCTCCGGTGGGGCCACACGCAAACTCACAGAGGAGCCCTCGCAGCTACGTATCGGAGTACCGTTAGGCGAAGTAGATCGCCAATCATCTATAGCAGTGAACTTTGAGCTCATGACAAAATATTACTTCCTAATGTATCTTTCGATGTGAATGGGAAATCTCTTACCCTTCTCCACGCACGGCCAGATCCTACCTATCGTTGCTCATTTGTCCGCCTGGCGGATCTCAACCTGCAATAAGAATGTCAAAGTATCATATTTTATACATGATTCCCACTCCCATTCCCCGGCTGTGCGTTCTGTAATTCAAAGATTACTTGTCTCTAGTTATCATCTCAAGGTGAATGCTCGGTTGATTTCCAAATAATAGATCCGGAAATTGATATATTAGACAACTAATCTATCCTGCCCCTAACTAGTTTCCCCAAGTGGCGAAAGGAACGTTTGGGCCCGTCGCAACACAGTGCAATAGTCTACATCCACAGGCTGCTTTCCTGGTAAGTAGCTTGTCAAGCTTATCCAGTTTAGGCACACACGGAGAAATGGATCAAAGCGTACGCCACAGAGCAAAATCCGCGGAGTTGTCAACCGTGGAGCCGTCGGCTCAAGACCTAAGTTCCCGTCGTAGGTCTAGCGCGCTGTTTTCGATTCTTGGGTTGACGGGAATCTTTAGATACTGATTAATTCGACCTAACGGAGCTTTTGGCTAATGCCGATCTACTGGGCACCTTTGATGCTTTCGCTGTTCCGGAAGATGTGCACACAATACTCGATCCCGAACTTACCTTGACCAACGCACAGCCCTTCCTCCCCAATGTGGACTGCATTTCTCCTAGCGTTCTAAGCCCTACTACCCATTATTTTTCTGATGAATTATCTTTCAGCAAATCGATGCCCCAAAATGATGAAAGGTGGTTGTTAGCCGAGGACTGCGTCAATGGCGGCGGCGATACAGCTTCATCTCCTTATGCCCCTCCACCATCTATCACAACAGACACCCTCCAGAGCCGAGCGGTACCGTTGAGCACAGCTTCTTCGGCAGGATAACGAGGTCTTCCCCGGCGCAGAAGTAGATACATTGTCAACAGGCATGAAAAACAGGCCGTGCCAGAGTTCATCCCAATAAACACCAGTTCTCTAGACCGTCTGAAGCGCCGGCAGGAATCTCCTCCCGGAAGATGAGCCTGCTCCACTATCAGCTATTAGGGACGCAGTTCAGAATTATACCTCCGAAAACGAGGTTCCAGCGAAAGAAGACCAAGGATCGTGTCCAAAAGACGTAATCTCGCGGAGAGAAGGACAAATCTGCGGGAACGGATGTCCCTCGATTATTTTGTTGCACATTTTCTTTTTGCGATCGGTTCAAGAGCAAATACGACTGGATGCAACAAGAGAAGTCGCTACATTTGAATCTCGAGACCTAGGCGTGCACCCCGTTCGGCGGAACAGCCATCTTACCATCAACAGGCCGAGTATACTGCGCATATTGTAGCATGCTAGATCCCGCCCCCGAGCATCTTGCGCAGCACAATCATGGCTCTTGTGATGGCCAACAGCGCAAGCTTTGACGCAAAGATCATCTGGTACAACATCTCCGTCTAGTTCATCATATCGACAAAACTCGGATAATTAACGATTGGAAAGTGGAAGCTATCAACTTTACTTCTCGCTGTGGCTTCTGTGGTCGCCAATTGACTAGTTGGTCCTAGAGATGTGACCATCTGGCACATCGTTTTCGCAATGGCTCGACTATGGCTAACTGGCAAGGCGATCGTGGGTTTCCTGACTCCATAGCGGCTCAAATCACCCATGCCGTACCTCCATAGTTGGTTGATCTAGAGACACGAGTGTTTGTGCCCTTTTCTGCGACAAATTAGCCATGTTAAGGATCATTTCACGCAGATACTGTCCCGGGCCGCTTTTCGAAGTGATGCCAATCCTTCTTCGAGCGATTATTAAGAGATGTCGGCTTTGCCAGGTCTATCATGCTAAGCCTAGGGGCAAGAAATGTCCTTGAATTCATATACATAGATTTTGACTCGCCATTTGAGTCACTATGTAGAGGAACAGATGCGTCGTGGCATTGTTCCTACTGACGATATGTTTCAACGGGAAGTAAGACGCCTGCTGTTCGATTCTGATGATTCCTGGGATCAGACTATTGCAGATCATTCTCTATGGTTAGCTACTTTTGGAGAGAGCCAATGTAAATATGAGACTTCTGGAGCCACGAATCAGGCCTCTTTGGAAACTCTGAATCAACCTTGGGATAGATATGGGGTGTAACGTCTGTTCTTGCCAGGAATCAAATCTCAGCAGAATGACAACCGCACAGGCAATTGCTGTATAGGCCTTACATCTCTTACTAAACAGTTCGTTTATTCGATTTCACGTAGTCTACACGTCATGAAGGGCCTAGAGCAATAACTATCAAAGAATAGATAAGTACTTTAGGTAGGTATTTTACTTGGCAACCACCGGTGAGTCATTCTCAGGCGAAATATCCCAGAATTCCAGTGGCGGGCAAAGAATGACTTGGAAGATCGCCTGCTCGGTGGTTATCATCGGATACCCAAGGGGAGATAGATCTGAAAGCTGCCAAACCGGAGTAATCCTGCAACTCCCCGCGAGGCAAGGAGTGGGTCCGTCATCGATAGGGCGTGTTTTCGCTCCCTACGTTTAGTTTATCTCCACTTACTGGTGGGTCCGAATACAATCTACTGAATGTCGTCTAGTATTCCACCTATATGACTTCGTATCCTAGATATGAAGTCAAGCCTCGCTACCTTGGCATGGGAAACTGAACTATAAATATTCCCTCCCACAACGGAGGCAATTATCCATCCCATCTTTATATTTCTCTGTCCTAATTCCCAAATAGCCACCACCACCACCACCAAAATGGCACCCTCAGTCCTCTCATCACAAAACACCACCCCAACAATCACCAAAAAACAACCCCTCCAACCCCTGGATGCCTCCAAACTAACCTACACCTACACCACTACCCCCCGCAATGTCCCCTCCGAAGCAACAGCCAACGCTAGCGACGAAACAATCTGCACTGACCACATGATAACCGCAACCTGGACCTCCACGACGGGCTGGTCCACCCCGGAACTAAAACCCTACGGCCCCCTAACCCTCATGCCAACAGCTTCCTGCCTCCACTACGCCACCGAATGCTTCGAAGGCCTAAAAGCCTACCGCGGCCATGACGGCAACCTCCGCATCTTCCGCCCAGACCGCAACGCCGCCCGCCTGAACCTTTCCGCTGGCCGCATCTCCCTGCCCCAAGCCGACCCGGACGGGATCACAAAGCTCATCCTCGCCCTGCTCGAAGTCGACGGCGCAAAATGGCTCCCCAGGGACAGACCCGGGAGCTTTCTGTACCTGCGTCCGACGCTCATCGGCACACAGCCGACGATCGGGCTTATGGCGCCTAAGCAAGCGATGTTGTATATTCTGTTGAGCTTCTTTCCGAGGCAGGATATGCCGGAGGGTGGGATGAGGCTATTGACGTCGCCGGAGGATACGGTGCGGTCTTGGGTTGGGGGGTTTGGGTTTGCGAAGGTTGGGGCGAATTATGGGCCTTCGGTGCTGGCGAGTCAGGACGCTATGGAGAAAGGGTTTCATCAGGTTCTTTGGTTGTATGGTGAGGAAGGGGAATGTACGGAGGCTGGGGGAAGCAATTTCTTTGTGGTTTGGCGGCGGAAGGACGGCAAGAAGGAGATTGTGACTGCGCCGTTGGATGATCGGCTTATTTTGGATGGTGTTACCCGGCGCAGCTGTTTGGAGCTTGCAAGGGAGAGATTGGGGGGTGAGTTTGAGGTCACAGAGCGTAAGTATACGATTGGTGAGGTAATTGAGTCTGAGGCTGAGGGTCGGTTGCTGGAGGCCTTTGCGGCTGGGACTGCTGTAAGTTTTCCTCTTTCCTTTCTTTTGTGGCCTGTGTGGTGCTCATTTTGGTTTACTATTTAGTGGTTTATTACCCCTGTGTCGGCTATCCGGCATCGAGAGAATAATATTGCTGTTCCTACGGGGCCGAATGGTACACCTGGTGAGGTTACTGGGAAGATCAAGAGCTGGCTTAGCGATATCATGTTTGGCCGGACCGAGCATGAATGGGGTGTTGTGGTCTCTGAGAGAGAAAGCAATTGAATGAATTTCTTCTACTATTCATGGAAGATGTTGATCTAAGTTACTATCATGCTTTCTTATTCTTGTATTTGAACAGCCGTTCATAGTTCTACTAAATAGAGTACACTTTCCAAGGGGAAAGGCATGGCTAAGTCTGTTGGCAATTATCCTGCAAGGGCGGTATATCCGTCATATGGTCATAACGCTGCGGCACCATTCCATGTTAAAGTAAAATCAAAGCTTTTCGAGTTTTATTCCTAGGGATTTCTCTTGCTTCCAGATGTGGATGTATTTGAAGAAACCCTGCAGCTTTATACACTGGGATACAAGTGCCCTAATGTGTCTACCCCCAACAAGGACATGATCAATAATAATATGTTCATCCTATTTTCATTCTTATTTCCAATTCATTGACTATAAAAACCCATTAAAACTGTATTCAAAGGCCCTCGATCGCAAAATGGTAGGGTTCTATCGATTTCCTAAAAGAATATTGAGAAGCGGACGAACCAAGTAGATATAGTATCCGTAACAATGGGCGAAATAGCAGCATTCCGGAGTAGGAAAGGTACAAATACGTAAAAGAGTAAAGTAGAATTATACTACATTATATCCACGATAACCGATATGCGTCGGAGCGCTCTTGGGTCGCTTAGGCATCTGGTAAAGGGACGGGACTCGCAGTAAACAGTTCGCTACCCAAGTGCCTAGTACTGGTGGATTGGTATGAAGTATCCGAGGTGTCATGGTTGCCATGTATAAAACTCCAGAGGGTACCACATCCTCTCCCCCTTTCCCCACAGGATACCCTGGGATTCGCGTTAATCCCTGGAACATAAGTTTTGTGAGTAGACAATCATCCTGTTCAATGTTGGCCCTTACTTTTACTCGAACTTGAGGCAACCTGTAGTATGTTATTTTGACCCAAAGATGCGGGATATAGAGAGATAACCCGGTCCGCTCCCAGATAGAAGAGATTATGGTTGGCAGGCGCCAACAGTACCCTTACCTGAAACAATTAAGTGTCCCCCAAGCTTAGAGACTTAACAATCCTTTCCCAGCTATGTTTGCTTTAGGACACAGATTCAATTTCCCGATTGAGTCACGCGCATCTTCCAATGCAGAAAAAGAAGTCACAGGGAGTGACGTGTACAAGAACTCCAAGTCAAAGCCAATAGGAGAAAGGGTATAAGATACTATATGCAAGGGGGATTAATGCCTAGTAGGATAGAACTACTCTAGTAACAGTGCATGAATCAAACCGAACGACGTGTAAACCAGACACCTAATTATCTAATTATAAACTGGCTCCTGCAGATTAGTATACCTAACCTATACTTTCTAGGGTCAGTGCGATATAATACTATCACCAAAATGACAAACTTATGTTTGAATGAGGTTAAATAGCCTATAGAGAGGCATCAAGTGTTACGCTTCTAATTTTATGCGTGCTCAACTGAACTGGGGTTTCTTTTCGATTTCCATCTATCTCCCACCAGTTCACACTTTTATTTAGATACGGAGCGCCTCATTCCAGTTTCTACTTCACCGCAGCCATACCGTACTAGCATATTTCTGCATCTTTAACTCGTCTTTCTCGAGACCTCTAATTAAGACTCCTATCTCCTGAAAAATGGCGTACATGCACAAGCAAACAGAAGAAATCCTTCGAACTTGGTTGCATATAATCAGTACGGATCATACGCCACCCCAAATTATTTCCAGCATTGTCCAGAGCCGGGTCCCGGCTGACATTGCATACGGCCTCCACTGCAAGACCAGCATCCATAATTTCCCGCACATTGGCATTTCCCCGGCGTGCAATCCGCGTGAGGAGTCAGCCAACCAGCGCACTGCACAGAAAAGTCCTGCGGAATATATGGTTAATAAATTTGCTTCTCAGATCATTTGCAATAACCCGGATGGTGTTCGACATACCACACTATCACCAACGAAGGCCAGTCCGTTGTCAGTGGTGGTATGCTCGGCTTCAGCGGTGCCGGCAGGAATGGCACACACGCTAGCAATACAGCTAGCGAAGATGATGGCGTTGGTGAAATCCTTCATTTTGTATAGTGGCACGTATAAATGGTTATCGAAATAAAGGTTGAAAAGGTTTTCTTTGGGGTGACAAGCAATGAATTGAATTGGTTTGGTTGTACTGTTATTCCGAGAAGATGGGAGGACATTGACGCCTATTTATATTCTTTTCTTCGGAGATATCTTCTATATCCCAAGGCTCATTCTGACTTTGCCTGAGTACAACCCCCCAGACATTGCCACTTGTAGAGTGCCAAGAAAGCCAACATCTGCAATAATATTGTATCAGTATAGGTTGATGACTCCTCCAGAAGAAGGAGGGAAAAGGTTGGACGTAATTGGTGGATCTGACAGACCTGCTAGGCGAGATGCATCTGGTGACATTGTTAAAATAGTATTCGAGTAGGCTATATCATCTGCAGCCTCCTGCTGTTTTCCGTGCGAGCCTATGCTGTCATTGTGACTGTCAGTAATTTTTCAATCAAGCCTTGTTCAAAGTCAAGTAAAGCTATTCAATGGCATATCGAAGCTATACTGTCCTTGACATCTGCCTGGCTCTGGTAATGGCGTTACCGAACGACCTTAGTATACAGTAAGCGGACTGGGATACTAGCCAGAGATGTAACCTAGGGCTTTCTTCGTTACCGATTCCTAAAGGCACTTTAGGCTGCATATATGACAGGCCGGTAGAGCATCAAATGTGTAGCACTGCCCATCAAGGGTGGAGTTGGTCATTGGCTGGGCTTAAGAGGAACCATCCGCCACCATCAGGCGATCAGGCAAAATGTTACATCGTCTCTGGATCATAGTATCGGCTTAAGTCCCACTCAAATCTTAGTATGCGGGGTAGTCTTTCGTCTATATAGAAATAAGGGCACAAATACAAAAACTCTTCCGCACCCGGCCCCACCGGATGGCGTCGGAAGAAATATAAGCACTAAGTGATCTATCCGGAGGGCTAGAAGTACGACATAGGCACCTAAACCTGGTCTTAGCCTCCCGTGGGTTACAAACTTCGCCCCATTTCTAAGTTGGGGGCTTCGTGGACTGAGGCTCAATTCCATGAATCAGGATCACTTTCTCTGCTCAGTGGTACGATGCGGATGTCATCCTTCACATCACCTCATATAAGAGTTTTCCTGAGTTGAAGCGCCTCCTCGTTGAACCCCTACCCAACCACTAATAAATAGGAATGATGGGGGGGAATTAGTGCGTTTAGGTCTTTAGTTGGAGTATTAGTCGAACTAGAGCAGGGGAACTTTGTGTGTACATTCATAGGCTTTTACGTGAGGCTTTAGGGTGCGCGCTGCACTCTTGCAGTTGTGAGTGTGTGCCTTGCCAATTGCTTGTCCTTCGCCAACATCTGTCTGTTAACATCTGGCTGCTCCTGGAGATACGCAAAAACAAATTCTGGGATTCCATGTCTCCATCATACCATGGGGTGACAATGCAAAGCTGCCCAATTCATAATCATTGTCAGGGTTATTATCTCCTCACGCTCCCTGCAACCTTGGTCCCACTGTAAGGTTTCAATGCTGTATTGTAATATATTAGCAATATATTTGAGCAAACTGCATTAATGTGTACAGCATTCTTTCTTTGGACACCCTCCCAGTATGTTGTATGATATCCTCTTTCCTCTGTATTTGGAATTCAGTCTTAGTTCTTTCGTGTCTTGCGTATACAAACCATTTCCTATAGCAGCGGATTAAGTTAATGGCAAACAAGTGCGGTCCCGTAACTCTGCATTTCTTTCTCTCGCCCTAATATGTGACCAAGAGGTTATTCTTTTCATCCAAGCACAGGTCTAATATTTCTTAGAAACCGTCGTGCAGAGAGTCTAGCATGATACACATATGGCTGGCCGCTACTAGTCGAAGATACTTAAGGTCATCATGGCCTCATTTGCTCCATTATATACATGGATCACATACACTTGGGGTTGCAGGTAGGCTAGAGAAGTTTCATGTGCGCGATTAATGGGACGTTCACTATACTTCTAAATGAATATTTCTATTATAAAATTACTCACTATGGCTGACTAATAGGTAAACTGTTCCGAGAGAGAGATGGCGGATGTTACATGTAAGACTTTAGAAGCTTTTGACAAGGACTTAGCTATTCTCGGCCCTCGGTTGAGCTTCTCTTTAATTTAAAAGACACCAGCCTCCTTATGATTCCTTCCTATATTTCCACCAATTACCCCTTATTTCATTACTACGGAGTATATTGTTTGCCACGTAGTTGGTCTCGTAGGGAAGATCTATATATGCGAGTCGCTTCCTGAACCTTGCTGTTCTTCTACAGCAGTTATTGCTAAACTGGACTGGACTTTTGTCCTGGAGTTCAACACACTTCTGGATATATGAAAGATGGCGGACCTACTTAAATGTATTAATATCGTAAAAATGTGTTATCTTTGCCCAAAGGATCAAATTAATAATCACTAGAGCGAGATTCAGCCTTGCATCTCGCCGTTCTCCTCTTCCCCACCTCGAGAAGGTGCACAGAATTGAATCTTCTCAATATATTTATCTACTATCCATCAATCGAGATGCCCACCAAGGCAATCCAGGGATATGCTGTTCGGCGAAATGGTTCCCGTCTCGTGGGGGAAATAGGTTGTTGCTAAACGTGGGAGCCCTGGCATGCTTGTTGCCCTCATGGCTCTTACTGCCCGAGCCCGAAGACTTCCATTGCCAACCAAATATGTTGTCCAAGCTAGAATGACTGCACGGCCAATATTGGAAAGCCGCCAGTCTGCGCAGATAGCAGTTGGAATCTATATGATTATAACTGGTATTTCTCCTGTGCGTACGGGGACCAAGTATTTGGGGTCAAGGACAAGACTTAGGTCGGTTGTCTTGAGCCTGTCTCGCCGGGTTCGGTCAGTTGGAGCAATGTAAAGACACTTACTACCGGTCAGTTTGTAGGATCAAAGTATTGTCACTGCGTTGCTGATGAATTTTATCGCTCAGGGACCCCGACATCCAGCTCCACGTCGAGTCAAACATCGAACCCGGTATCAAATTCAGCGTCTTTGACTAATTCGTCCACTTCGATGGCCAAGACCGAATTGGCCTCTCTAAGGCAACGAAAACATCCAGCCCGGACCATGAGTCGCATACCAACACAGGTGCTATAGCAGGTGGTGTCGTAGGCGGTGTCGCCGGGGCAGTTGCAATTATTGGGATCCTGTTTTTCATTTGGCGTCACAAACGTCGACAGAATCTAGTACAGCCTCAGGGCCCTATGCAGCAATACACTGCAGAGATAGACGGTCGAACGATTCTCCCTGAATTGATGGCGTTGGATCAACCAAAAAATCACGGAATACACGAACTATCTTGACGAGGCTATGTGTAAAGTTAGAGCTATATATAACCGAAATCGATATAGTGACAGGAATAATACTTTATTAGTGTCTCTCTATCGAGATATAGGAAATTTTCGGCTATATAAATATATATATGTACCTATACCATGACCACTGGCGAAAACCAGCCACTGATATTGAGAAGCCAGAGCATTAATTTTGTTCTACAGGATATTCTTCACGCAATTATATGTACCTTGATTTTGTGCATCAGGACTCCGAACAATTTACCCTCGTAGGCAAAATATTGGCAAGTGGAGTAAGTACAGATGAATACATATATAAACCTCCTGTATCCCAGTGGCAGCTATACAGTTTAGTTCTCAGTGACCGCAAACTTCAGGTCTATTTACAAGATAGAAAATAGAGGACACAAGGAAAAAATAATACTCCTTCAACCCTGATATTCATACCTTGAGCAATGAGCATACCACATCGCCTACGGCTACTGCTGGTGGTAATACAAGCCCTACTTCAAGGCGTTTTACTAACAAGAGCTTATTCGGGAGTGTGAAAGCGTCCCCAGTCAAGGGAGGACGTCCCCTAAGTCTCACTACTTATGGTAAAAACCCCGTGTGACCATCTTCTGACGTCTTATAAACTACCACACTATAGAGTCACCCTAAAATATAGATAAGGGTTGAATAGTATAGGATAGTACTTTGGAGCTAAACATGAATAATTATTTCTCTTATTTCGCCAACCTTGTTTCAGGGAGAGAGAATAACATATAGACACTACCACAGTGCTCAAGATATGTCAATCTTAAGCAATTTCGCGAATTCTGTGTCTAGAGAGTCATTCATATCAGACGTCTCAGGGTTGCTTGTCATACATTCGTTATCTTCAGCTGGCTGACTTTTATCTTTATCCATGTTAGCCTTAAGCAACATGCAGACAGGCAGGCGTTGATATAATACCATAATTTCTTGCTTTACCAGCATGCTCGCCATCATGTTTCTCTGATAATCCTTCTCTCGTATCAGTCACTTGTGCTCCAACTGCCGCGAATCCCATTATCCCAAACCCAATATTTGAAGCTGTCGTAAATATCCCCGCAGCAGCGCCTCCCATTGCAGCTCCCTGTAGGGTGGCAAACAGACTCCCAGCTTGGACTGCCCCAATTGAAGACTGCCATGCCGCAGCAAGAGAAGCCGCAACAGGCCCTGTAGCACTGAAACCGACAGTACCTAATACTGCAGGGCCAGTGATAGGTGCTGTAGCGAGTGCAAGTCCCGTGCTGCCAACGGCTAGGGCGGTTGGATGTTCTCGAGCAACAGTCTGTCCAAAAGAAACAATTGAGGTTGTCATATTCCTTAGGCGTTCCATGGTAGTTGTAGTAGTAAACAAGGAATCAGAAATTTCTCGTGGTTTGAAAGATATGGTAAAGATAGTTGGAGGAATAGACCGGGTTGCTATGCTTGAGGTTAAAATAACGAGGTTGAAAGAAAGCTTTACAGTACTGTTGGACTAGTCTTTCTAATAATACCGTGTATAATGTAGCTCTTTACCACACGTTCCAACGGCACGTGTTCGTTCGCATTCAATTGTGCAGGGATCCCTCCTCTTCCTCTAATGAGGGCGTGGAATGCGACATGATGATTCGAAGAAAAGGACCATATGTAAAGTATAATTAAATACAAGGCGGTACATATATTAATTAGTGAATATATAGCCAAGTCTTACACGGACTAAAGCTATTCCATGACTTAGCCAAGTATAATCTAGGTCTAGAACCTCAGAAAGAAACCGAGAGTAGAAATATTCACTCCATTTTTATAACTAGCTGTAGTTTTTTTGTCTAGTTCTTCTTTAATGGTTCTGTTGACTAAGTGCTGTACATGCGATGTTTTGGGTTTTAGAGAAAAAGGTAGTATTAGGATCTAGCTACCTTTGTTAAATTCACAAGTTCATGAAAAAGGTTTCCAAGAGGCCCAATTGATTCCGGAAGCCGTCCAGTCACTCTTGAGAGCCTGCTGGGCGATCCTAGGACGGGCCTTTGTACGCCCAGGAGCCGATCTAATCCGGTGAAGCACCTTTCCTACACTAAGAATGAGATCCTCCAGCCGCAAGTCTTTGTAAGAGTGAATATTATAGTTGTCTTCACTTATTTATTTTTTTTTTTTAAAAAAAAAAAAAGAAAAAAGAAAAAAGGTGACATGTCGAACAGTATAGTGTCATTCTCATTCCCTTTATCTGTCGAAAATCCTGGCATGGTTGGACACCCTTGCTTTCCTCCTAGGGTGGAATAATTTTGTATATTGTTGTCATGACCAATCAAACAGGATGCCTAAAGCTATCTCATTTGGTGCCTAAACGATAAAATTCTAAATATGAGGAATAAAAGAAACAACAGTGCGTTGTAGACGCGTAGAGCCACTATATGGCTATCAGTGCAAACATATTGGCAAACGAGAAAAAACAACTAGAAGAGCTCTAAACCGCCCGACAAACGCTCACCAAAGCTGGGATGCGATATCCCCCATTGTCTCCTGGATCAGACAGGAATACTTAGTCCTCTTTTTTCCGACAGACTTTCACAACTGTATCCCTCGTAGTGATATATAATGTATTATTATGACATAGAGTGACTTCACCCTTAACGTGTTCCATATCAATAAGCAGCAATAGAAGGCCTTTCTCTCGAGTCTTTATAGCTTCTTTGTGGTTAGTTAAGCCACTCAATGGAGTATATAAGATTTGTTGAATCTGCAGTACACTTGACCTGGATCTCGCTTGTGCCTTCACTTTTTGGCTTGTATTTTGACTCGCTCCTCGTCTCTTTCTCTTTTTTTTTTTTATGTTTTCGCCTTCTCTATTCTGCCGCCACAGTATTGTACTTGTTTTAGAGTACCAGGGCCATGGAAGAGGGAATCTATTTAAGCTCGATAACGCGGCGTATGGGGACCAATACTTTCACCGAATAACTAAGCTTGAGAGTATCGGGTATTATGATTACTATGGAACAATAAGCAAATATGGAAGTGACATGGGAGGTTATTAAGACCAAGGCAGTTGGGCTTTCTGTCCAGTAAGAAGAGATCTAGAGTGGGTGAACCTTACTGGCCGTGACCACCGCGGTGAGGCTGATGTACTAACAGACGGCAATGCCATGATGCTCACTTCGCCTTCTATCTATATTTGTTGTGAAATCTCAGGGGAAATGGGACGCAGGGAGCTATCGTATCGGCTACAGGCTCATCGGGTGGTGGAAACACCAGGAATCAACGTATCTTAACCAATGGAGCCTATTTCCTAGCTATATCATTCTATAGCCCTCGGGGTGCTCGACTATCTGAAGACTCAAAAGCTGAATGGCTTCTGCAAGTATACCCGCACGCCAAGCCGGCTGCGGGATATAGTGCTTCCATAGCAATATTGAATACGCCCATGAAATCACGTTGTATCGCAGGCACCTGACATATGTCTGGTGAATTCACCACCTGCGGAAGTATGTGGATTGTTGAATACTGTGGTAATCAAGCCCCATATAAAAGGCCTCATGCTTCCCACCTAGATAGGCCTTTGAGATAGTCCAATAGGATCGTAAAATCTGATCGTTTTTGATATCTTTTAATACGAATATCTTACCAGTCCTTCAATCTACGCGGCTTTCACTCCTACTTCGATACTTGTAACGTCCGAGTACTTCCTTGGTATTAACATGGCTTCATCGTCCAGCAACTCGCTCCCGGTGACTGCACAAACTCTGTTCTGTCCAAACATCTTCCAGAGGCAATTGATGCGAACATTCGCAGGCCATAAAATTCCTAGATACCTCTTTCGTCTCGTTGCTCCAGAAACAGCAGGAGACATGACTACATCTACTGTCACGCCCCCAGCGTGGATGTGGGCTCGAATCAACAGTCCAGAAGACATCTTTCGCCGTGACCCTGAAGATGCTGCGAGTCTGCTATACAGTCACCTTAAATGGGAATGTGATGACGATTGTAACCTTATGAGCTGGACCAGCTCTTTGCTTCTAGCACTGCAATACGGCTTCTATCGGCACGTTAAAGACAGTAATGAACCGAGATTAAACGAGATTTCGCTCTTTATTCTTGATACTCGTGGCTTTCCGGAAGGCACAATTATCAAAGACACGGATGCCATGAAAGCTTTGAAAGGGTATTCAACAGATATAAAAGACTTCCTAGAATTTCGACTCAATAAATCTGGGAAGAGTAAGAGATATTACTTTGGCGAATACCTTACGCAGGGACAACTAGACATCCAAGGAAAATGCGTGAGTGTCTCACTACAGCGTATAATAGATCTGGGTTTATTCGAGCTATACCCCGAACTAGGCGACAGGAGCAAATGGAATATTTGGGCAAAAAGAGTTATCAAACTTCGCGAGATTTTCGCGCACCCCTGTCTTACAACTCATTCTGAGGTCCGTAGGGCTTTAACTATTGCTCAGGGCTGCTTTAGAGACTGTTGGGTCGTTCCATTTGCAGCCTCCTTACTTGCTCTTAAGTCTAGGAAACAGGACGATACAAAGATTGTCGAAGCCTTTTCAGCGATGTTTGCAGGTAAGGCATGCTTGCACGTACCTTTGGCACATACTGATTCGTCCAGCGGAGGAGATAGCAGAGCTTTCTCTCCAGAATATCCAGATTGATTACGATAGTCTACCTGAAGTCGAACAATTTGCAAGACTGATTGGCAGCATCTATCGCAGGTTCTATGATAAAGATATTAGTTTATTGCTGAACCCTTTCACGAAACTGGAGATAACTGACTGTCTCCGGTAACAATGAGCTGTATGAGCATCTGAATCTATATTAGAATCTTGTTACCTGCTCGAACCAAGCCTCTTAAGATACCTGTTTAAATTGAAGAAGTAGAGTACATGTTAATGATTTTAGGATCTAAATACATTAAGGACAGCAGCTGAATAACGGTCCTTAATTGGAATGTTATTTCTTCATATAATTAACAGTCTTCAAGCCCGGGTCTAGGGCTAAGATGGGACAAAATACTCCGGGCGTTGAGTAGCCCGCGCAGAACGGTGAATCCCTTCCATGGGCGACGGACTATTCAATGCCGATGACAACCCAGGCTTAGCGGGGCCCTGCTGTGGTAACCTAAACCTTGCGTGAGGATCAGGGGCGGAGGGCAATGTAGCGTCCTGGGATGGCTCCTCAGCCGCACGCGGGCGTGCCGGACAGTGTGCAATATAAAATCAGTCAAAAAGGCGGTCCTGTCGACTAGAGCGTGATGTTAGCCAAAACCTCACACAGACTATATATTATACTTAGGTCTCATGCCAATTGGGGCAGTTAAAGTTGGACCGAGGTGAGCGGTGCGTGAGCCAGCCCTGCATGCACCGCCAGTGGAGCACTCCTGCACACTTCTCACAGTTAAGGTATACCGTGTCTTCGGAGTGACGCTCATGGCAGATGCTACACTCCACATCTGAGATATCACGAAGCCTGAAATGGAGACACTGAGGAATCTGGTGGATAAAAGCCACGGTGGGGAGTTCCATAGGACAGACCTCACGATCATCCGCAGCAATCCTCAGCGCGAGCCACCATTACCCACGCCAACTATGATTGGTTCGGGTCATTTTACAGACAGTACCCAGAATTTCTGCCTTCGAAGACAGTATTGTAAGGCCACGCATGCTTTGCCGCTTACAGTGCCTGCGATCGGAGCAGGAGCCCATTCATTCTAGAATTTTATTCGCCTGCCACAACTGAACTACGAATCCATCCCTTGCTGTGTTCCTGAAACACTATAATTAACTGTGATTAGTCTGAGACATTCTGTATTCTTTGTTTCTCCTTGACTTCTCTGGCATCCCAGGTACGTGTACTAGGTTACATGTATCGCCAATTATCTATCCATAAATATTCTTATATCGGAATGTATTTGGTCTGCTATATCCATTGAATGCTCGAGCTTCATACTGTATTATAATAGCTATAATGAAAATGTTGAAAAAGCTTGAATACTAAAGCTAAAGGACATTCTTTCCTCTGCCCCGCTAAGTAAATCTTTGGTTATCAACCTAATCTAAACAAAATCTAGACTTAAATCAGAGGGATGTTCTCATTAGCTTGACAGACCATTATAGACTTGTACTGACAGCCTGCGGCTAGAAGATGGAAGTGATAGAAGTTAGATCCTGTACACTCCTAGACCTATATCATCCGGCTTTATATAGTTTGAATCTGTCATTAGTATAGTTTAAAGTTATTAGGCCACGGATTAAAGGTACCTGTGATGTCACCCTACTTACAGGGCACTAGTGTCTGCAGGCTTGCCCAGGATAGTTTATTGGACCGCAGCTGTCTCCTTAATTATAAATAGACCACTGCGGTTGCACTTAGGCTTAAGGTCCCGATGGCAAGTTGCGATACTATATATACCGCGCCTGGGAAACCAACTCCGATCGGAGTTGATCATAGTGGATCTTTTTACCTAGTGATATCTGCTTTAAGCCTCCCAGTTTGAGGAAGCTCATCCATGCTGAAGAGGGCAGATAGTTCCCCTAACTTCTTCTCGCATGCGGAGTCGCTCGGATAACGGGAGGGCTCGGTAGCACGCGATCTAACGGTCTCAATGTCACGGATAGAGGTTCAGGCAATAGTGAATGAGCGTACAGTCACGTGACCCTTGGTCCATAAGGGCAATACAACACAATAGCTTCATATTTTCTTTTCCTTTCCTCTCTTTAGCTTAGTCTCTTGGTGATAGACTACCTAATCAACTATTGATTCAGCTGAGTCCCATACACAATGTGGGTTTCTAAATTTTCAGGCATCTGGAAGATGATTCTCTGGGATATATGGATGGTATGGTAAGAATGTTAAGCAGGGAACGACCATGAGGTGTTTGATACTGGCTATTTTTGTAATCGTGGTTGTCTTGCCTTGCCATCCAATCATCTCATTGAATATACCCAGCTTCCCGAAATGCCCGCTCCAAAATCTCTTGAATCACTGATTGCTTTCTTAAATTATACTTGGCCAGCCTCTCTCCCGCCTCTATCGTCTCTTTCGCCGCCTGTCTCTTCGTCTGCGCATAAAGCTCCCGGTCCTCAGGACATTTTGCTAGCCATTCGCGGAGCAGACAATGCCTCACTACTTCAGGACAGTCCGGCCCAAAGATGTGAACGTTTGCGGTAGGCTCGTAGCAACTAAAAAAGCGGTGCTGGTGCCAGTGCGGCTGGCGTGTGCGGAAGTGAAACCCTGCAGCCTCAAGCAAGGTAAAGTAGGAGGCCTCGTCGGTAGGGTCGGTGACAGTGACATCAATGTCCACGGCATCTTTGGCTGAAAGGCCCGGGGACTGAAGTTGAACCAATGTGGGTGATGGCGAGAACTCTGGAACCAAGGGCGGTTTCAATACGGGATTTGAGTAGCTGATAGCGTTGAGGCCAGGAGGGATCTGGATTGATGATCTCAATTTTGTTGGGTTCCCTGCGCTCCGAGACCTTTTCAATCAAACTTGGATCAAGCTCATAATGCTTGATAATTGCCTCGATAGATGGTGCCATCACGAGAGAACACTGTTCGTGTGGGCGAGATAATTTGAGCATGCCACGGGCCCCTAGGCACGAACGGAATACTCACAAGACCTTATGTGGAGCGATAGGAAGCCAATAGTCCATTGAGTGTATGTATGTTGATTGACTAGATACACGGAAATTGGAGAAAAGGCCAACATGAGCCAATGAGAATGCAGGGACTGGCTGGCCGGAATGCTACTCTGCTACAGTGAGAAAAAGAGGGTTGACAGTTGAAAGGCATCCACACAAGTCTAGCTTATTAGTGACAGACTGGAAGAACCTTCATGGTTACTACTAAAAGCTTATCAAGATTAAAATTAATAGATTATGCGTATCTCGAGGCCCAGCATTTTGCCATTCTTCGCCCACCCGCGGTTTACCCTAAAACACCCAACCCGGGGGTTCAGACAGTAAACTTGAACCCGACCCGTTACCGCGGGTTGTGTCAAGGTCTAATCCCAGAACAGAATTTCGCCTTCATGTTTTATAGAGTGAAATCTATTGGTTAGGGAAGTCGACTCTATGATGCTTGCATGGGGTTGTAGAACACATACATTAGTTTATTATACCATGGGTTTCTCTCTTCAATATGGCATATAAGTGACGTATAAGAGTGTCCCTACAAAAAGCAGCCATCCATACCGCAGTGGGCCGGGGTTCTAAGTATTATAAAAGAACACTAGATCTCTCCTTCTGCTGCTAAATTGCAAACCTATTTTACAGAACCATAACTGGAATTACTCACTGTCAAAGAAAACTATGTTTGACAAGACAAAAGACCCAGTAGGGCTACTGCTCCTTCCTTTGCATCATAGTAACTCGTAAACTAGTGACCAGGCTATCCAGGAAACTTCATAAATAGCGTGGTGTCCACGCTCCATGATTACGTATGACTGTTATTTGATATCCCAAATTCTTACTTCTCGAGCTAACGCATTAGTGGCGAGCAGAACAAGAATGGAGATGGTTGTAGCATAAATTCAACTGCCACTTGACTCACGCCTTGAAATGTTTAAAAGGAAAAGCTCAATCAAATTTGTTGTAATTTAGAGGAAGATTAATTATTACATTTCTCATCATAAACTTGAGGGTTTATATACAGCATGAACATCAGGTTGATTGGAAATCAATCTGTTTCCAAACGGAATTTATTCCGTAGATGAAGCTCCACAGATTACTTGATCGAGCCTTAATTCACGACAAAATTAACAGAAACACAGGTCTCGATTATGAGGAGATGCTCAAACATATGAAGAACAAAGATGTGGCTGAGTGGGTATTGTGTTATGTATATTGATCGTGGGCAGGCAAAATGGCCCGATCCGGTTAGCAGCATGCCACTGCTTGGATGCCTGAGGCCTGACGGAAGAACATGTGAAAGTCAGGAATCTCAGCCTCTTTTTTCTCTCTCGCTCTCTTTCTCTCTCTCTCTCCACGATAGGGACAGCAAGGCCCAGTTTTTGGACCCAAGCCGATTCTGGCTAGCTCCTCCTAGTATCCCTCCCTTTCAACCGCATAACGAAGCTGCGTATCAATCCAGGCGATGGCCACATGACGAGTTCGGTGAGCGTAACACAACACTAACGGTTGAAAGTATGGAGAAGTTCACGCAATTCCGAGATCGAGGTTGGTTCCTCCCATCAGATCATTAGGCCCCCTGTCCTCCGTTAGACTAACTAGTGGGACCGTCTAGGGTCGGGAATCGCCCCTTTCCTCCCCATTCCACCGCAGCCAGCAGGCTTTCAGCTACCTTTACGCGTCTTCCTCTTCTGTTTCCGTCTCCCGCTCTTTATCTTTGTTTGCCTCGGTTACTTCCTCGTACTACAATGGCTTCCGATTGGATCGCTCGGAAAAAAGGCGTCTCTGTGGTGTATCCTGGGCGTGCCCAGCATATGGTGGATTGATCTTCAAGTAGACGGCGTGAGAAAAGGGTGAGTCCGGGCTACGTCACCAAAACACACAGAAGTACACAAACACTAAGGACCGACCTCAGATCGCTATCGAAACAACACCAGGCGCGCCTTCCGGGCCCGGGCTCCGTTATCGCCTCCTCATTCACGTCCCCCATCGACGCCGTATACCTGGCCGCCATATTCGACCCGGTCTTCACCGCTTCCTATCCGAACTCGCGGAAGGTCGAACACATTTCGCTCTTCCAGGCGATTCTACGTGCCTTTGCCGCTCCCCAACTGAGCCCGCCCCCGAAGGCGCGCTTGGTGGATCTCGCAACTCTTGTAAAGAAATTCCCCGGTCGACCCATCGTTACCTTCCCCGAGTGCACGACTACCAACGCCCGAGGCATCCTGCCCCCCAGTCCGTCGCTGCTGAGCGTGGCCCCAAAGACGAAGATCTTCCCGGTCAGTCTGCGATATACCCCGGCGGACGTGGTGACGCCACTCCCCGGAAGTTATTTGAGTTTCTTGTGGACGCTGCTTAGCAAGCCGACGCATGGAATCCGGGTGCGCATTGCGGAAGGGGTGGTGAGTGAAACCGGTGGGGAAGGTGCTCCTGCGACGCGGAAGTCGACTTATGACACCAACTACCTCGACACGCTGGACAAGGACAGTGCGTACGACTCTCTGGATACGGGAGAGGAGTTGACGCGGGGTGAGAAGGCTCTGCTGGACACTGTGGCGGATTCCCTGGCGCGCCTGGGGAGAGTGAAGCGGGTTGGATTAGGCGTTCAGGACAAGAATGATTTCGTTCGCATGTGGACGAAGACACGACGGACATGGTGATGAAATTGTATATTCCTAGGTGACATAATGGGGGGTTTCCCTTGAATTCAGTCTATACTAGCTTTGATATCATCAATAGTGGTCAGAAAAACGAAAGGAAAGCGGCGGAGAGATGCGCACTTATCAGTGAAGGAGACAGAGAGAGGTATTATTGACCAACCGGATGTCAGCACACTAATCAACAGATAAATGAAGTAGGCAACACAACAACTTAAATGTAGAAACAACCTCTTAGGGTTGCTTCATCACATGACCCCAACTGTGCCAACATTGCTGGATGAGAAATAAAAACCAACTCCTCTAAGAATAGTTCAAAATTGCTTACAAGCTATAGTGGTCTGGGCTATCAGTCCCACTCCAGAGAGACAAGCAAACAAAGGGCAATTTGGCCCCCACTCGAGATTGACAGCCGCACTAAATATAAGTAACATAAGCTGTGCTCTTTAAGGCTCTAAATTCTCTCTGCGACTTGGCTTCTCACGGACTCATCCTTACTTCGTGTCTCAGCCTCAGTCTAGTCTCAGGTAAGCACTAGCTACGCGACATTGATATTATGAAGAAAATATAGCAGCCACCATGGGCTTCATGCGTCGCAAACACAAAGCACAAGCAAACCAAGTAGAACCACACAATACACCATCAAGTGCCGACTCTCTCTATTCGATCTCTACGGCAGCATCCACCGTTCACTCTCTATCCACGGCCACAACACTCTATAGCGACGATTATACAACAACCAACACCCTCAGCCTTTCCGGGACGACCTTTGTTGACGACAGCAACGTATCCATAGTATCATCGAGCCAGGATGGGAGTCAAAGCTCCTTCTCAAGGAAACAGAAAGCGCGGCGCTCGCTCGCTAGATACCAGTCCTACGCGGACATCTCCGGTGTAGTTTCTCAAACTAAGGTTAAGGCAAGTGCGACGAAAATGAAGGCGCAGAGCTCGGTTCTGAACCTTGAGCATCAGATGCGGGAGTATGTCACGACTACAAGTGTGGATATGTATGGAACTATGCTGAGGAAGCTGGATGATGCTATTACTTCTATGGATGAGGGATTGTTTCGGGATAAGGAGGACCTGGGTATGCTCTTCTTCTATTGCTACTTACTGCTGCTACTTGGGCTTATATGGGTGCTCAGTCACGACATATGGCGATAAGGTCGTGTATACGAAGACCGGAACAGAGAAAGAGGTCAAACAGACATCAATAGGCCCGAGCTTCTTTTCCAAGCCCTACCTATACAACAACTCACGGCTACCGGCTAATCTTGCTCCGTTGCAAATGTACGCATCGCCCTTACACCTATTGAACAATGCATGTAGATTAAGTTTGGCATCATAGACCACCTCAAACATACGCCCTCGTCCGTCTCGCAGCTCAGTACTCTAGCTCAGCCTACAGAAAGCCCGCCGAACCAACATCCACCAGCAATCCCTACGTGAGCGCCAACATCCGCCAAGGCACAAAAGCAATGGTAATCAAGCCTCTTGCCTCAGACGACCTCCAAAGCATCGTCCTCGCCATCCGCGGAACCCAAAGCTTCCGCGACTGGGCTGTAAACATGAAAACCCTCCCAACCTCCCCACGAGGCTTCCTCGACGACCCCTACAATCTCTGCCACACAGGTTTCCTCGCCGCCGCGCAGAAAATGATCCCGCCCGTCGCGGCCTATCTCCGCGATCTGATCGCCGAAGATCCGAACCGAGCGTCCTATTCGCTTGTCCTAACGGGCCATTCCGCCGGCGGCGCAGTGGCCAGCCTGCTGTATTGTCACTTGCTCGCGACGAGTATACATGTGTCGTCGGAATTAAGGCACTTGGCTAGTTTCTTCGGCAGCATTCACTGCGTTACATTCGGCGCCCCGCCGGTATCTGTTAGACCCTTGTTCCCGAGGAAGTCGGCTGCGGCTGCGAACTCCATATACTTGGCATTTGTGAATGAGGGCGACCCCGTGCCTAGGGCTGAGAAACCCTACGTCACCTCGTTGCTAAACCTGTACATGTCGCCTGCGCCCTTCTCGTTCGGCACTAGCCGTGCATACCCCTTTATCACCAGGCAGAATAAACCGAATATTTGGAACATGCCGCCGGCTACTCTCTCCCCCGCGGGAAATGTAGTCCTCTTGAGGAAGCAGGTCCATGATCAACTCTCCGGTATGGACCCCAATTCAGCCGAGAAAGAAAACGAGATCGAAGCCTGCCTGGTTCCAAATGAGATTTTGAAGGAAGTCGTCTTCGGGGATCCAATAAAGCACATGATGGGGCTGTATCTAGATAGAATTGACCACCTTGCCCGCAGAGTTCAACAGCAACCACTCCCGGCACCACCACCACCACCACAACTCTATAACTAATGCATAATCAATACCAAAGTTGGACAAAGTTCGATATACATTAAACAATTATAGGAATTATAGGTATATATAACCCAAGTATCCTATTCCTTTCTATACATTCTTAAAAGCCCTCACTCACCTGAGTTGTCACTACCGACGATTTCTTAACCAAGTTTCATTTTATCTCTACTACGGAGCATGCGATGATCAGGCCTAATTTAGGAGAAGGGTAGTTTGAAGTATATACGTGATATCTCTCCCGCGTCCTTTTGAAGAAGGTGGTAGTGTTAACGTTAAGGAATTATCTCGAATAAAATTCACGATCCAGGTGGGTTGACCTCATCCCTAGACGATTCTCATCAGCTAGGTAGTAGCTATAATTTTTCCTAGTCGATATAGATGCCCAAAATAAGACAGTACCTTAATGGGTAGGGGTTTAGAATGACATAAGAATTGAATGGGGATACATAATATGTGTCTCAGAATTTGTTTCCAGATATGTTTCATTTGGCCCTGACTTTAGGGCGCTGTTAGCCAGGGCGAAGAGCCTGACACTGTCACTGCTATCTTCCGAGGCTAAGGAGGTCTATCAAAAACCCAAGAATCTGCCGGAGAAGTCCGAGAACCATCCGTCATACATACACTGGGAAACTTCTGCTGGAGGGATCCGTAATACCAACTTAGAACCCAACCGTTCGTCAAATTCATATCTGGCATCAAATGCGACGACAAATCGCTCCGGTGTTTCCTGTTGGAAAGTTTGCCTAGGAAGCTTTAGCACTTCCCTCAAATGATCAGCAGCAATCTCGGAACATCGAATTCTGTAGCGCGCATCATCAAGTTTGACTTCGCACTGTGTGTACAGTACACGAATATGGATGCCGTCATTTTCCTTAGGGAAAACCCTGTCTAGTCTAGGCTTAGTTAAAGAATAAGGGTAGTGAATATTTTTCAAGTCGATATTTTAGGTATCGGCGCGATATATTTGAGTAGTATCTCATTCTCGTTTGGTGCGGACACGTTTATTTCGATCGTCGTTCGCGACATTGCAGATATTGCCATAATTCGGTGCCTTGTTTGCCCCAAAGAACCTCCGAATGTAGACTGTGTTCAAGCTAGGCTATTTAAATATTATATCCTGTGACTTAACGATGTGGTGTTCGTTGGCGATGCCCTCAACCGGACCATAATGTTAACCGATAAAGTGACAAGGCTAGCTGGCTGACCCGTTGCAGATCAACAGGATATTCGACTGAGATTTGGCGCCCTTGAGCTTGAAAAGCTAAGTAAGTACTCGCCGCTATGAGACTAGGATAAACGGGGATCTAAACACTTCTTTATAAGGCCAACGGATGTACACTATGCAACCCGACGATAACAGTGTCGAAGATTTATATAAATTCAGAGAAGCCAGCGCAGGAGATGCTCACTTATGGGATGCGGCCCACCATCTTCACAGACATAGCTTCATACTCTTGGTGACAAGACGACTCCCATTTGTTCTGTGCTGAGCATATAAACTCTTCAGAATCAGTAGAGGCCAAAGGAAGACGGGTCTGTCAGATTGGGAATATGGCTACAGTGTTGATTTTGCAGACATGTATCGAATGCACATGGTATACCTCCCAGCTAAGTTGATCGACGTCGCTATCGAACTTCATTTTGATCTCCTCATTGGGGAAGGTATAACCGACGTCTTGGAATCCATCATTAGGAAATACGGTGCGGCTGTGTGAACTGAGCCGCGAGTATGCTTCGACGGGCTAACATCGAACAATGAACAGTCCAAGCAGTCCAAGGCCATGAGTATATGACGAAGTACTCTGGCAAAGCCAACGATCCTTTCGTTGCATCTAGCGAGTGGCTTCACAGTAATTATCTTCTTTTGAGAGAAATGACCCGACACGGGAAAACTGCCAGCGACTTGGAAGCGTTAAAGGCATGGGCCATACCAACGGGACCCTGGGAAGCTGATGACAGGGGAATGCAACCACTAGGCGCCACCTCGGGGCGAGACTCTGAAGAAAGGGCTCTGATCAAGGCTTGCTGGGGCCTTGGTTGGTGGTGCCTTTCTAGTGGGACCCATATGGCTACTTGCAATTGGGGATGACAACCGGCTGCGTGTCGACTTTTGGACTCTTTATGACATAGTACCTGAGTACCTTAGAGGCTGTATTCGCCGCTTCTAGCATATGCGGCTATCCTCATAGTTTTGATCGGCTTCATGATACAGGAGAAAGGGGGCAGATGAGCATCTTAGATTCCTCTGGCGGGCACTCAGTCACAATCACTTTCCAAGAAATCTATCATCTCGCATCGATATGTAGCCGTTACTGGATAATGAATCGGATAGAGATGGTAGATGCTCAGTTGATTGAGTGCCAAGATTGCAAACAAAAATAAAATTGTGGCTTAATATAGCGCGTCAGATGATCTGCTGCCTTGAGGCCAATCGGGTCTGATAGAAGCTACACCTATACCAATAGTCTTCAAGGTAAGTGGCACGAAAGAGTCCCTGCAAATATCACGAAAGAGTCTAAAGGAATAGAAAATTTGAAATATGATTAATAGATTGGTAAGGTATCAAGTCAATGAATGCTCCTAATAACAACATGAGATCAAAGGAAATGCTTTTCAATCCTTTTGGTTCGCTTATCCAAGCAAAAATAAAAACAAGAGAATAACCCAAGGTGTTTATACTACCCCATTCAAGCGGGAAAATAGTGACGGCATCCCGCACAATGACAAAATACATCTCACAGCCTGGCATTTACTCAAGAGCATCGGTGATACAGCCGTGGCTGGCATCCTTGACGGTCCTGTTGCAGCAGTTAGCAATCCATGTAAGATCCTAGTATCATTCGCGAAGATCCAAACATACCTAGCGTACTTGCCTAGGGTTCCTCTCATGGTCAAGCCAGTTTCAGGCAGCCTGCCAGCCTCCTTAGCGGCTTCCCACTCCTTGCGTCTCTCGACAAGAACCTCCTGGTCAACGTCGAGGTCGAGAATGCGCTTCTCGGCATCAATGGTGATAATATCGCCATCCTTGACAAGACCGATAGGCCCACCAACGGCAGCCTCAGGGACAATGTGTCCGATCAGGAAGCCGTGAGAACCACCCGAGAAACGTCCATCGGTGATCAGGGCAACCGACTGTCCGAGACCATAACCCATGAGAGCAGAGGAGGGCTTCAGCATTTCTATTCCACGTCCATTTGTTAGCTGCGTCAACCAGAGCTAAACCAAACTCTCGATACGTACCGGGCATACCAGGACCACCCTTGGGTCCGGTGTAGCGAATGACCACCACTGTCTTCTCCTCCTTCTTGATCTCACCGCGCTCCAGAGCAGCGATAAAGTCATCCTCGTCGTCGAAGACACGAGCCTTGCCCGTGAAAGAAGTACCCTCCTTACCAGTGATCTTACCAACACTGCCACCCGGAGCGAGGGATCCCTTGAGAATCTGAATGTGGCCGGTCTTCTTGATCGGGTTGGACAGAGGACGAATGATCTTCTGGTCGTCGGGGAAGTCGGGAACCTTCTCCAGGTTCTTGGCCAGTGTCTCACCGGTGACGGTGATACCAGAACCGTCGATAAGGCCTTCCTTAAGCAAGAACTTGAGCAGCGAGGGGGTACCTCCGATTCCGTGCATGTCGGCCATGACGTACTTGCCAGATGGCTTCAGATCAGCCAAGAAAGGAATACGGTCGGAGACCGACTGGAAGTCCTCAATATCAAGCTTGATGCCAACCGAATCGGCGATAGCAATCAGGTGCAGCACGGCGTTCGTCGAACCACCGGTGATGTTGACTACAACCATTGCGTTCTCGAAAGCCTGGCGGGTCATGATATCCCGGGGGCGGATGTCCTCCTTGAGCAGCTTCTTGATCGCCTCACCAGCAGCCAGACACTCAAGGTCCTTGGCGCGAGACTCGGCGGGGTTAGAGGAAGAGCCAGGGAGAGTCATACCCATGGTCTCGATGGCGGTGGCCATGGTGTTAGCCGTGTACATACCACCGCAGGCACCGCCACCAGGGCAGGCGTTACGGATAATGTCAAATCGTTGAGGTTCGCTGATATCTCCGCTCAAAAACTGTCCGTAAGCCTGGAAGGCGGAAACGATATCGATTTCAGCATTGTTTTGGGTAGCGGCACAGCCGGGCTTGATAGTGCCTCCGTACACCATGATACTCGGCCGGTTGACTCTTCCCATGGCCATCAAGACACCGGGCATGTTCTTGTCGCAACCAGGGATACTGATGTTGGCATCATACCACTGACCGCCCATAACAGTTTCAATAGAGTCGGCAATCAGATCGCGGCTCTGAAGAGAAAATCTCATACCCTTCGTACCCATACTGATTGCGTCACTGACACCGACGGTGTTGAACTGCATTCCGATCAAACCGGCCTTCTCCACACCTTGCTTGACACGGTGGTTAAGGTCGAGCAGATGCATGTTGCACGGATTACCGCTGTACCAAACGGACGAGATACCGACTTGGGCCTTGTCCATGTCCTTCTCGGTGAGACCGGTGGCGTACAGCATGGCCTGGGACGCACCCTGCGAGATGGGCTGGGTGACATGGCGGGAGACCTTGTTCAGAGCATTGTCGTCCTCGGAGGCAGAGGCCCTTTGCTTAGGGAGGGTGGTGGAGAGAGGACGACTAACAAAGGCAGGGAAATTAGCAACTCGCACTGGGAGAAAAGGGAAAAGAGTCATTGGCTTTGTTCTATCGCCTTACACATTGACGGCGGCGGACCGCTTGGAAAGACTCCGCAGCGCAGAAGGCATACGCCCCCGTGTTTGTGAGAGAAACATTATCGCGACCTGAGGGTATGGAGTCCGCAGGGATGACACACAATTGAGGCCGGGAACTCAATTGAAAAGAGAATAAGTAGCTTCTGGACTCTTCCCCTCTGCAGAAGAGAAGTGTGGAGCCGGTCACCGGGAGTGACGCCCGACCCTCCGCAGCGAAATCGGGGCGGCCGGAGTTGGCCTCAGGCTCCCCGAGGCCCAATCCCGTGCAATATTTTGTCAGCACTCGGGCCAATCACGGTCATCCCCTATGGATATTGAGGTACTAGGAGAACTACGTAGGATACAGTAGTACTTATACATACTGGAAAAGGTGCTCGTGAACGCTGGAATTGTCCTAATAATCAATTATTATACACTTAAAACTCCCTTGAACCATCTGAAACCTGCAATCGTTGTCTTCTACCACCCTTTGATCTTGTCATGAGTTTTTGTATATCCGTAAAGAAAAAAAAAAAAAAAAAAAAAAAAAAAAAGGTAAAAATCACTAGCAGAGCAACCAACTGGGAAAAGAAAAATAATAAGTCTAAGGGTATACCGTCTCTTTGAGCTAGCCAAAGCAAGCGAATGAAATAAAAGGGGGGGGGATGAATGTCAATAGGCGAAGAAGAAAAAAGAGAAAAGGAAATGATGGTTGAAACGAGAAAAGGGGGGAGAAAAAAGAAGTGCAAGGAAGAAAGTCCGTGAGAAAAACAGCTATGCATCAACCCCAGAACGCGTCACAGTATATCGTGGCAAAAGTAATATAAGGAGAAAAGAAGAAAAACAAAAGGGAAGAACAGTAGAATATAAATCAAGAGACCAGCTCTAGGGTACCTCTTTGTCACCTCTCTTCAACCCACCCGGCACGTCAATTGCTTTCTCAACCCATTCCATGGAGGCGATCTCATCCAGGGTTTTACGCTTGGTGTTCCGCTTTAGAAGGCCTTCAACACATTCGCGAGCTCCTTCCAAGTCCTTCCCCTTCTGAGGATCCCATTCGCCATCGCCGTCCGCATACCGGTACCAGGACCATTCACATCGCGCAATGCGGTGGGGGGTACGAGCACGAAGTTTCGCCGGGTCCCCTCGAGTACCCGGTAAAGCGTCGAATGGTAGCCGATTTTCCATCATAGCGTAGAGCAAGACGCCAAGGGCCCAACCATCTGTGGATCGCCCGTCGTAGGGCTGCCCCATCAAAATTTCTGGGGCTGCATAGTCCTCACTCCCACAACGGGTTTGGAGCAGCGGACTTTCCGGCGGCTGCGGAATGCGCCGGGATAGACCCAGGTCAGTAAGGGTCACGACCGCGCGATCGTATGTACGCCAATCCGAGATTTCCTCCATGGCAGCGTGAGGAAGGGTCACCAGGACATCTGTTATTGGTCCGTCTGGTAAGTAACGATGGTCAATGCAGTTCATGGTGGAGTCCCTTACTCTCAAGTTTAATGTCCCGATGGACAATGAAGTTGGCGTGCAGGTAGCGCACCGCGGCCACCAACTCGGAGAAAATCCGCCGAATGAGCTCTGGGCTCATCGGCCGCGGGCCCGAAGATGCGACATCAAAAAGGTCGCCTCCCGGACAATAGTCCAAAACCAACAGCGCGCGTTTTTCGTCACTTCCGAACGCTTTGAGTTGCACAAGCGAGGGGTGGTTGACCGATTTCAAAATTTCCACCTCCCGCTTGAGGGAAACTTCCAATCGCTCCTCGTCAGCGCCGCCCGCCGGACCATGCTCAATGACCTTCACCGCGACCAGCTTTTGCGTAGCGGCATTCACCCCCTGAAGGCTCGAGCCATAATCGGAATTGAAACCATCTCGCATCTCCATGCGCACTGCCAGGCACACCTGGCTGAAGGTTCCTTGCCCGAGCTGGCGGATTTTGCGATACTTGCGCGGCTGTTGGGACCGAACAGAACGCACTGAATAGATTTCATCCGAGCTGTCCATGGATTGCGGGGTGAGGATGACGGGTTCCGTGTCATCATCAAATGTACTGCGGCTGCTTCTCGGCGGGCTCGGAGGACGGACGGCCGGCAATGCGATTCCGCGGTGCACCGCCAAATGCTGCTCACGGTGCAAGTTGTTTGATTTGGAGTCGGTGCTCGACGATGACGTGATACCCTGAGACACAGCCGAACCCGACACCGCGATCGGGCGTGGCTTGATTGGGATAGCCTTCGCTGGGGGAACGTACTCACTCAGGCTGCGATTGCGGGCATGCTTGGGAGCCCCCTCGGGACGTGTTCTGCTGGGAGTGTCTGATTGCTTGTCCGCGCCCAGTTTCTCCGCCATGGCACGCTGTTTGCTGCGCGATCGACATTCCGACGGACCTAGCACTTGAGATGAGTCGCTCAGTCGCAAACTGAGGCTGGAACCATTCCGGGAGAGCAGTGACGGGGTGCGCGATAATGACTGCGAATTGCGACGTGGTAGCTTCCATGGCGAGGCCCCAGTGATCGGCGATGGCAAGGGAGTGATGTCTCCCATGGCCATTAGCTGTGGCGACGATAGGTAAGACGCCGGGGACAGGGAGCCTCCGCCGGACGGAGGCCGTTCGAGAAAGCCACGCAGACTTGAGGTCCGCCGAGGAAGGCTACTCGACGATATGCTGTGATGCATGAAAGAATCGGAATCCTTCGGGGGACTCAGCTGCATTGTGCTCGACAAGTCGGTCCGTATCTGCAGCGATGGGAGGGGCTGTGACGCCCCGGGGTGATGTTGGTGAGTTATGCCATCCTTTATATTCGTTAAGAATTCTCCGGTATATAATAGAGGCGGGGAATCAAGGTTCCCTGCTCCAGAGCTCACCGACGGAACTGAAGGAATTTCATTGTCACTCGAAACCGTTGGTGCAGATGCTTTGTGTAACACGGTAGGTTGTCTAGCAAACAATCCTGACCTATCGGTCGGTTCAGGCGAATCCGGAGAAATCATCGAACGATTCAATGTAGTTCACGAAGGCTCTAATTGCCGTGCTGTCGCGGCGCCAAAGTGGACCCAAAGCGCAGTTGTCACTCGAACTAGGCGGGTAACGGCTACCTAAAAGGTCCCTCGGGTTAAACTTTAAGTAGACCAAGCTGGACTTGGTATTAAAAACAAATGAGGCCCTCAGGCCTAGGAGCTCTATCAAAACCGGTGGTGAATGGTGAGGTGTGTGTTCTCAGTGCATCGGGGAAGGAGAGGAGGTGGCGAGGGAGGAGGAAGAAAGGGAGGTCAGAGGAGGAGATAAGATAATGTTTGAAAAGGGAAGGGGAAATTTGGGGGTGATTATTATTATTATTATTATTTTCTTTTTTTTTTTTTTTTTCAGTCGGGGAGAAAGAGGAGGCAAAACTAGGGTCGGGGACGGGCTGCTTGTTCTTTTCCCCAACTAAATAAATACTACCACATCCTCCCGGGGCAGCATCCATGCAAGCGTTAAGTTTCGCTGGTTTTGTTACTTCTCAATGACGCTACAGGAAAATTCCACGCGGGGTCAGCTGATGACCGTGCTGTTTTGGGAATAGTGACCATGAGGTTTTGAGAAACTCATTTATTTTATTTTTGTTTATTTAACCAGGATTAAACGCTACCCCGCATCCAGTGATGCCGTTGGCGGAAAGGCCGAAAATGAGGAACTATTGTTCGTTTCAATATCGAAGTCGTTGTTCGCTTGGGAGAATACCAACCGGAATTGTGGATGAAACCAGAACAGTAGCTTCATCCGGGTTAGTTTGGTCGGAGATCGTGGGAGAACACGGAGTACAGGGGGTTAATCGAAGCACACTGAAGTCAGTGGCTGGATTTTGATGGATCATGGCTGACAGGAGAGTTTTTGGCAGGATCCACTCTTCAAATCTTTGTCAATTGTTCCATAAAACGTCCATGGCAACTTCTTCTTGATTTTAGTGGTGGTGCCTTGCATTAATTCGCTCAAGTGCTTTGCGTTTAGACGTAAATAGCGGGACTAGCATTATCTATCCTTGCCTCTCAACAAAAAGCTCCAAACGCCGGTTTCCCAATCGGGTAAGCTGGACGCTGCGTAAAATCCCAAACGGGCAAATCGTCCTGATTCGGGATCGAAAGAGAAAAGATGGATTCGTTGAAACGGGCACATGATCCATGGATCGCAAGACGACCCAGTTCCAGTCCAGGCTAAGCTTGATTTAAGTAGGGCTAAACTAGATCAGGCCTCCCAAGTGGTTCCTCAGTAAAATAACAAACTAAAAACAACCCCAATCATCATATGGCCGGTTGGCGAGGACCAAACGTTCGCATTCCGGTTGTCGGATTGAAATGGACTGGATCTTCGGGTCAGACCGCATTGCCATGGTTTCAAATTTCCGACGCATTTTCGACGCGACGAGTCGTTATTTATCATCGCTCCAGTTGATTTGACGCACAGTGCACATCATCGGCCACACTACCTTAGCGTCTACGTTAGTTCACGCTGTGGGCAAAATTAATTCCGTGTATCGCACCCAGAATCTGATTGCTCTGAAATTGTGAAAGGGTTATCCTCGGTTACCAGCTTCAGCGGCGCAAAATGATCGACGACCAAGTCTACGTAAGCTGTTTGATACTGGGCAGCATTGCTTTTTAGCCCTTCCCTTCTATGATTCGTGGGAGGGAAGATTGGGAACAGGGATTCCTCGACGATCGCCAAGACAACCAGCAGTTGACCCAGCATTGTGGTCTTACTGGGAACGAATGGCTGGGAGCGTTTCTTGGCAAGCATGCCTCACACCCTTCTTCCGGTTGGTCACTCCATTCAATTTCCCGCCCCACAATTTTTGGCTGACTCAAGATTGAAGATCTGCATGACAAAAAAAAAAAAAGCTCTGCGGATGACGTGGAGAATAAAAAAGGGCTCAGTATATCATCAGACATGTCACTCAATCGTGGGAAACAAATATTTGTCGGTGATCTCGCAATTTTGCCTCAAGGTCCAACAGGATTCCCTTCGTTCCCTTCACAGTCCAGACCGCGTTAGTTCGCCCGATGTCTCATTTCCAGGTACTTATAGGTCCCACAGCTCATTGTGTTGCTAAGCAAAAGCTTCGATTGACTGGGTATCGGACCCAACTGACCCAAACTCAGGGTATCAGCCCTAACGGCGTTCATACCCATATTATCAGACGCTCCGCCGACGGTCGTGTATGACCATCCCGAACCACTAACCCATTAGACTGAGGCCGATCAGAAATTTTCGGTTCTGGCCGGGTCTCTATTTATGAACCCACAAGTTGGTACTATCCCTCGTCTACAGAAAAGCCGAGGATGAAAAGAACTTCCGAGACGTGGCCAAACTGATGCCGCATGCATATAGTAGTTGTTTTCTTAAGGGGGTCGCCGGAAGACATTATCATGTTCTTGAGAAAGAAACGGGAAACTTAACGTGGTTGTTATTGTTTCGATGCACTCACTCATTTCGCAGCAGGATTTCATTTATTTTTGTTTTGGGAGGGGGGAGTTGGGGGTTGTTTAGTGAGCATCTAATAATCTCGCTACAGGCCTATAACGCCTTCCATAACAACTGCATCCACGTGATTCCAGGACCGAGTCCTATGATGGAATATATAGACAGAGACAACACACTATACCTAAATGCCATACTTTATTAAATCTTGGCGTCCTTGGCGAAAGTCGGACATGGGTCAATCACGTACATGATCAAGGCGGCGATTCTCCAACGAGTTCCAAGGGACTCCCGTGTAGCCAGGCCTAGGAGGTCGTGATTGGTGCGCCGTCTAGTTGCTACGTTTAGCTTCTTTGTGTTCAACCGCAACACCTTACCCTAAGCTGTCATCTACTAGAATAAGGATTTCTTCCCACTTACGCTCTTCGCTCCACTTGGGTATACGTGGTTAACTAACACGCGAAGCCTATTGGGGTGTATGGTATGTGACATCTGCTAATTATTAGGAACCACACAAAGCGATCTGAAAAGGGTGCAGATGGCACTAACACCTCATAGAGCATGGCTGACAGTGTCCCATGAACGAGACCATGGAGAGCTAGTTTCATCCTTTCAAAGAATTTAATACTATGGGTAAGTCACTTGCCGAGAGGCTCGACGATGTTCCTGTTGGGCTTTCAGACGAATTCTCTCACCGAGATATTATCTACTTTGCTGAGGGGTAGTTGTTGTGGCTACGCGTCCAATACGCATCACGGTGTCTGCCTAAGATATGTATATGCGAGCGTGGTATGATTTTAGTGCAGCGGTGAAAGCGCTTGAATTGCGCACCGTGGCAGAGGAATATAAATTCTAAAGTAATCGAGGTGACGAACAAACCATTATTGGTGCAACTAGTCTATTTGATTACTTTAAGAATATCAACTTCCGTACCAGATATGTTACTGTCCCAATGAGTAAATCTGAGACTAAGGCTCCCCAGTGGAAAAAGGTGCCCCTAACAGGTCTGCTCCCACTGGCATCAAATAGCGCAGTAGCGCGCCAGTACAAGTCAGGAGGACCAGTCCCAATCACCCAGTGCGAGCACTAGCATACTGTAGAGGAAAGAACTCGTTCAATAGGCTGTACACTCAATGTGTCTGCAGAAACCCGATGATCAGTGCTCTGTAGATACCGCAACTTCTCTCATGCAAGGGCAGGATAGTAGGGGTATAACAGAGAAAGCATACCAGTCCTATGGAAGCGGGGTGGGTTTGGAATCTGTCACAAGTTGGATAGACACTTCATTCTACTAGTAGAACCTACACAACAAGCTTTCTTCCGCATATCAAGCATGGCTCTTGAAATTGACGGCCTCGAAGATATCGTCAGCCAATCGCACGGTAGCTCCTTTGGGGTGGCTAAGACTGCATCCTTTGTCGTATGTTATTCCTTTCTCAGTAGGCACACATTTCCTCGCATCCAGAGCCATAGTGTTGACATTTATGAGTTACTATCTTATATTATATACAATGCTGTCTATAACTTATACCTTTCGCCGCTGGCGCGGTTTCCCGGCCCCAAACTCTGGGCTATATCCGACATCCCACGACAGATAAGCATCGTGCGAGTCCGTGCACATCTAAGGATATTGGCTCTTCATAATCATTATGGCCCTGTCGTGCGAGTCGGCCCGCACGAGCTTTCGTTCAACAACCCGCAAGCCTTTCAGGATATCTACGGATTCCGTCGTAGAGAAAAGGAAACACATTTCCCAAAGGACCCAAAGCTCTATGCCACCCAATTGAGTGGAATGAGCACAGCCGTTGGCGGGTACACAGATAATGAAACCCATACTAGGCAGAGACGGTTGCTGCCCCATGCCTTCTCCGAGCGGTCTCTGCGAGAACAAGAGGGAACAATCGTTCATTACGTCGATCTCCTCATGCAGCGACTGCGAGAAAGAACGAACCTAGAGAGGACCCACAAAGCCGAAGTAGACTTAGCAAGATGGTTCAATTTTACTACTTTCGATATCATTGGGGATCTTATGTTTGCTGAACCATTCGACTGTTTGAAGAGCAATCAATTGCATCCATGGATCCACCTCATTTTCAGCTCTTTGAAGGCTTTCACGCTTCTAAATGTGATAAACCAATATACGCTGGTTAGAAAGTTTCAAGAAAATCTCTTACCGAAATCGCTTGTTCGGCAATTGCTAAGCCATCTTGACCTCTGTAAACAAAAAGCAGACCGCCGGCTTGAGGCTGGAACTTCTCGTCCGGACTTCATATCCGCCATTCTGAAGCATGGGCTCGGTGATGAAGAGGGCCGCTTCATTGAGGACCAGCCCATCATGAGCAGGTCCGAGATATACGCAAACTCGGCTTTGTAAGTCCCAATCTTCTCTACATTCCTGTCTTCATGACTGGCTGACATACTCAGCTTTACCATTGCAGGAAGCGAAACTACCGCGACGATGCTCGCGGGATGTGTCTACTATCTCTGCAAACATAGAGAATCAAGGGACAAGCTTTGCGACGAAATTCGCTCCGCATTCTCTAGCGACCAATAAATCAGATCGTCCAAGTGCACTCCTCTTGCATATCTAAATGCAGTCCTCGAAGAATCACTTCGGATGTATCCCCCGGTAGCCGCTGGCGATCCGCGCCTTGTCCCTCAGGGCGGATCTACCGTGGGCGGCCATGTTCTCCCAGAATATGTACATGCTTTCATGATATACGGCTCACTTGTCGTCCCGCGGCTAACATACCATAGACAACCGTTTACGCACATCGGTACTCAGCACATCATGCGGCCGAGAATTTTGCACTTCCGGAACAATTCATTCCTGAGCGATGGATGGGCAACGACTGTAGATTCGACTCGGACAAGAGAGATGCAGTGCAACCATTTAGTTTAGGTCCTAGAAACTGCTTGGGCAAGAAGTTAGTTCTCATCCTTTCCGCGTGTTGTGTTCGATGCGCTGACATCTGTAAAGTTTGGCGCACTTGGAGATGCGTTTGATTCTGTGCAAGCTGTTATTCAATTTCAACATAGAGCTTGCACCGGGCAGTGAGAATTGGATCGATCAGGAGGTGTTTATCATATGGAATAGGCCAGCGCTTAGTGTGCAGTTGACAGATAGATTTGCTTGACTAGCGGGAGGAAATATATACCTCTTACGGTAGAAGAGTACTAAGATACTGATGCCACGGCTTGATCGAAGTAGCCAATACCGTGAGATAAATATTCCGATAGCTGTAGTCCTGCTAGGAGTTGCTTCTTGCGCAGTTATGCGATTTTCCCTATTCGCTTCTACGTCCATATTCATAGCATTTGCTTTATATAGCCATTTAGTTGACCCTCCGTCAACAAAGACGGGTCCCGTAACTCAGTCGGTTAGAGTGCTGAGCTAATAACTCAGAAGTCGAGAGTTCGAGCCTCTCCGGGACCATCATTTTTGCTGGTGAATTTTTCGACTTCGCTCATATCAATTTCAACCTAAAGTTGTCCACAGCATGTCTAATTGCGATTGCTTAAACGGTGGTCTTCTTTTGTGCCTTCTTCTACTGCCCAATGTACATGGGTGCTAAGGCTGCATCCAGCTGTAGTGTAAATAGTCTTTATCCACCTCTTTTCCAAAACCCACAGTCACTACTTTTCTATACTCTTCTATATATATCTATCTACCCTATGCAAAGTCAACGCAAAAGAGGGCCTGAAGGTAAGGCACAGCTGGCTATCCTTGGAGATGTTCAGCGGAGCTAAGACTGTTATCCTTGCTTATATGAAATTATCGTCATAATACCAGGAACACTAGATATTGTAGAATATAGCACAGAACAAGTGTTACACGCTTCGAGATATTTCCATGCGTCCAGTAAAGATCTGCCGAACTTGGTCGCGGACCTAAGGTTCAACCTCCGGTAAGCTGAACATGAACTATTGTACCGTAAATCGACCAACATACACAAACTCACCCGAGAACTCGGCCTGCAGCTACCCCCGGCAAAAGCATTTTATAGATCCCCAGATCACCGACCACGCCTACCGTAGCCCGGAGAAACACACAAACCCTATCCCAACCCCGAAGCTCACCAATGCGCAAATTGGGCTCCACATGCCTTACATTGGAAATTAGGCCCTGGAGCCGATGCAGCCTAGATAACTATGGGAGCATTATGCTATCTAGCAGGTCGCGACGCGTTAGCCGTGGCTATTCTTGCCTATAGACAAGATGCGCCAGTGAAGAGCCACGAATCTAAACTGGGGGGCTTTATTGGTTGCTATACGATGGTGTTATGCTCCCTTGACCCGCCTGAAGCATAATCGCCGCTTGTCAGACTTTGCTAGTTATCATAGAACACCCACCCCCAATGAACACTAACTGGAGATATGAAAAAAATCACCACTTAGAGACAAAAGCGTAAAAGACAGGGAGACCTTTTAAGCTGAGCCGAGCCAAGCTACATAAAATGCTAGCTCTCATGGCCCCCCAAAACCCTATATAAACCCTCTCCGGAAACTCCATCCACAGAAAGCAACGTCACAAAAACCCCTCTCACAAAGCAATAACCTTAAAACCCATTCCAATCTCACCTCAAAATGTCAACCACCACAATCACAACCTGTCATGAAAACCTCTACTCCATCCCCATCAAAGACGCCGCCTGCGCAATGCCAATAGGAGGCAACAACCCCGCAATAAACGAGCTGCTGCTGCTCCGCCGCCTCCGCCGCCTCCTACAGTAACTGCTATTACTACTGTCTAGCGCAGGACCAGAGCGCGGGCGATCTGGCCGAATATCTCATCAAAGCGTCCAAGCCGGGAGATGTGTGGCGTAACACCAACGCTAAATGCGACGGCTACGCGCAGTGTTCTGAGCACTGAAGCTGGGACAGTTGTGGCTACTGTGTCGGAGACTGCGAGTGGGAGTAGGAGTTCTGTGGGTGCCAGCTCGACGTCGACTAGTGGTGGGGTTGTTGCTGGGTTGGTGATTTAGATGGGGCCGGGCCGGGAATGGGCTTTGTTTGGTGACGGGTGGAGGGCGGTTAGATTGGGTTATATCGTGTGGGTGGATTCGTATCTGATCTGTTGTTGGTGCTGCGACGAGTACAAGTTGGTGGGATGGTGCGGCGAAAGACTTGGTGGACTTGCGCATCATTGCTATACTTGTTGGGATCTTTGTGTGTTACTGTAAGTCTATGAATGTACTTCTTATATTATTAAGGATGTCCCATTGCTGCTTAGTACTATGATGAAAAGTATGCCATACAGTACACAGAATGTAGTAGGCTATGCATCCCACTTAATCGGCACTCCCTCGAAGAACGATCTCTTTCATCAATCCATCGAAGCCTTCCCCAATCCGCGCTAGTGGAGCTTCAATCCCGACAGGTGCCCAAACCTGCTTCTCGCCATTGATCCCCAGGCGAGCGAGGAACTCCATGCTTGTTGACTCTCCGTCCGAACTGGACGCTCTAAGTAGAGTCCGATCGCCTTTTCCAATTAGAGACACCTTTGTCCACCTATCCACAGGAAGACTGTAGTTAAGTGAGTATGGGTTGCCACCGCTAATCAAGGTAACATTGCTGATCGACCCATTCCCATTTAGGAGCATCGAGTCAGGCCCGGCAAACAGAGTACCGGGGGATTGTGAGGTGGGGTTCACCCAGAATGACAAAGTGTAGTCTCTCCCCTTGCTACCTAGAGGTGTCTCCACATAGCAGCCATTAGAAAACACAAGAGCAGAGCCTTGGACACAACATCCCCGTACAACGCCATGATATCCGTTTCCAGAATGTTCGACGATAGTCTTAGAGCCCTCGTCGAAGTTATAGTATAGAATTGTATCAGTTTTACTCCGTACCTGGCGATCCAGGTTCTGACCCGGAGTCACGGCGTGGATCTTATCGAATACTGCATCGTATTCTTCCTCGAGGAGGTCTCCGCCCCATTGCTTGTCAGCCAAGGCTGGAAGCGTATCCCTCCACGAATAATATGCCTCGAGAACAGTAGTGGAGTTTGGACCATAGTCATTCCACAACGCGGCAATGTGGCCAAGTACTTGTGGGTTGTCTCGGGGAGGATTGTTAGTGGCGTTCTTGGTATCAAAGATGTTAGGGGCAAACGCTCCGCCGGCAGGATTACCGTGGAACACACGAGTCTTGTTCAGCGTCGATGGGTAACTACTGGACCATTTGCCAACCACATAGAATCCATCATCAGAATTGAGTACGTTATAGCCGTTCTGAATGTAGTCGAAGTAAGGGTTATCTTCGAAGAATTCCCAATGCTGGATGGATATATCTGTTGATACATCGGCACCTTGGGAAGGGGTGAATGTGCCCCAGATTCTCGTGTACTTGTCGGACTCACTGGAGATATAATCACGCATTGTGTTGACGAAATCTGTATAGTCATTCACCAGACCTTTGTCGTATTCGTCTGCACCTATGTGGACTGTCTTACTGTGGAACCAAGGTAAGAAGGTCTTCCATATGGATTTCATCGTAGAGATGGTATCCGGGTGAGTGATGTTGAGCATACTGAGATCGGGAAGGGCTAGCTCAGGCCGCCATTGGGAAATGACGAGTGCATGGCCCGGGGCTTCGATCTCAGGGACAATAGTGACTCCTCGTAGGGCGCATTGCTGCTGGACATCGTCGAATTGTTCCCGGGTGTATGATTCATTCACACGTTTGTTGAGCCCAGCTACCGCAGGGTCGTCCGACCAGAGACGGAAAGCTGCATACAGATCCATTGACTCTTTAGTGGAATATCGATTTAGGTTGTTGTAGAGATTATCGCTGAGATGCACATGGAATAAGTTCTGCTTGAAGAAGGAGAGATACGCGCACATCTCAATCAGGAATTCAGGCGGGTAATAGTGGCGCCCAGCATCTAACTGAACAGGTTCCAGTTAATGCAAGCAACGTTACAGGTTGTTAGGTCTGGGCTCATACCATGACACCTCGATTAGCCCATCCAGGAGCATCTACTGCGGATCCTTGAGGAAGAGTGTGGCCATTGACGATCGCTGCTTGAATCAATGATCGAGATCCCCACCAAGTACCTAGGGGACTTGCTCCAGAAATTTTGACGCCGTTCTCGTCTATTTTCAGGGTGTATGCTTCTGAGGTAAATCTCCCAGCAACATCGTGGAATCCAGTTTCATTAGTAATTGTGAAGAAGATTGAATTGGCTGCAGCCGTGCTGCTAGACGTGAGTGGTATATCGATCCCTACGGAGGACTGAAGGTCCTTCTGGAATGTTTCGGCGAACTGTTGCAATGTGGGCGGTATTAGGGTTTGGCCATCCTGATCTACAGCGTTGACATAGCGTGCATCGACAATGATACTGGTAAGTTGATCCAGAGAATATGTGCCGTCCGTTCCGGTAAATGGTATCGTTGGTATAGTGACCAGTCGGCTCAACCCTGCGGGCTGTTAGAGGTTGGAGGCATTATAGACTCGTGGCCCATACCTTTAGCGCAAAGGGATAGGAAAAGACTTATGTTCACAAGCTGGCAGTAGAGCATGGTGTGGAGTAACATCGAGGGATATTCACCCACTAAAAAACACTAGCATGGCCTCTCCTGGGTATTTATGCCCCCGACCTGATAGATCTAGTTGCATCTGGGCCATGTAAACATGGTTCTGTCTGCCGCTGGCAACACCTCGCTTGGGATATTTTGGGAAAGAACAGGATTACAATTAGTCAACGGCGGCTACCAGGCCTAGTCCAGTGATCTTTGCGGCGAGTGATATTTTATTACGGAAGAATTAGTGGGGCGCTGTCATATCCTAGCTATCAATAGGCTGTTTCTAGTAAACATCCCTGCTTTGTTGGATCATACCTTTTCCATCTTCCCGAGTGATCCCCAGATTGCTGGCAGTCAAACCATGTTATTTGGCCTTGAACCCTGACTCTACACCGATTTCCTCTATAAATAATGGGATCGTGTTCATGGATATAGGTTTCAAGCTCTTATCTTATAAATTGCATGGGGAGCTTGGGTACCTCAACCCCGCACGAAACTAGCAAGGGGATGTTGACTGGAATACTAAAGTCACTGGCTGAACCCCCTGGAAAAATCGGATAAATCAGGGAAAGTCTGACTGTCATTCTGCTGATCACTAACATAATCGGTAAGCGAGTAGCCCCAGCCCTGAGTATGAGTGTATATTGTAAGGAAATCTAAAGGAGCTGTCTGTTACTCGGGCTGAAGTTGAAAATATTTGCCAAGCCCGATTGCTGTATCCCAAACCTCCCGAACCCTAACAAGATCTATCAACACGCCACTTCACTTCTGCATACTTCTCTAGGCCATTATGCGAACGTCCAAAGATACTCCCCTGCCAGCCCCTTGCCTCCTCTCACTCATTGTCCGGGAGTGTTGCGCGCATCATGCGCAGTATACAAGGAAATATATGTATGTGGCATGGTATCCTGTTAACCAATTAAGAGCTTAATACGTGAAGTTAATTTATCGTGAAGTTCGCGATTTCTCTCTCAACTTGAAAAATATATCTTATATGCTTGATCTGCTACAATATACCTTTGAACACACCGGCAGACAAGAGCCAGATAGATAGTATTCCCTTCAGAAAATTGGCCATTCACTATATATAATGTGAGGCGCGGTCCCCTGATTAAAAATACTGGCTTCCGGCAGCTTTTGGGTGAGTATAGGAAAATAGGATTTAATCTTGTTACAGAACTTGTTAAGCTAAGAGCTCTTAATAAACTGCGAGAACACGTACCTTCAAGTTCTTTGCAGTTTACCGTAATGATTCTGGACCAAGAGTCTATTCTGTATCTATCGACGAGGAAACGAATAAAACATGCATTAATATATACATTGTACGGCGCGTCTACTCGGTCAAGCAAAATATTGTCACCCAACTGTATACCCCACTATTATAATATTGAGACGAACCCATTTTACCATCCATTACCCGAAAACTTGCTTAGCAGTAGGTTGATTCTCGGGTCTGAAAGAGAGCATCGACCATCACATTGAAGAAACAGCGTTTCTCTCCACTGAACCAAATAGTGGCATCCCGCTACCTCGTCTCGGCTGCTGTACACTGTCCTCGAAGCGATCATCCCGTGATCAGAAGGGGTTCTTATTTATTGGCGTACCATCATTTAGTAAATCTAGATAATCGTGCTTCCCATTTGTCCTGGCAAAATACCAAGAGCATCAATATGCTCACAGGTCATGTCATCTTGCGTGGCAAGAAAGCCTTCAAATAACGGTCTCTGGGCAATAATTGACCAGATAGAGAAGACGAGTGTCCAGATGTCTGGTGGGAAGAATAGGGGTTTTCTGCATTCAAACCGAGCCTCGGGAGGACGAATAACTAGGGGAGCACGGGATTCATACTTGAGCTCTTGTGAGGGTGACAAGGCCTTGCTACAATCCTTGAGTAGTATTCTTGCTTCCTTAATGGTGAGATCTTTACTCGCTTTTCCGAGCAATATCGGTGATATGCCATGGGATGGCACGCCAGGCGGAAGTGGTGGTTTGCTATCTAGATGCGTTACCGGGTCCAGCTCTGGTTCTCCATAGCCCTCATATAACCTTTCAATTGAAAGCTGATCAAATTCGGGAGACCTTTTAAGAAGAGTATTACCTAGATGAAGGGTCCACTGTTTCATCTGGGGAGTGTGTCGGAGAAATGTCGAGAGCTAGTAAGATTCGATATAATGCTCATATCCCGTGGTCTTGGATCATCTGTGCAGGCTTTTAATGCAACATATTTCTTGAATCGTTCATCGCGAGCGAGCCACATAGTAGAATAGGAACCATGGCCGAGTTTGTGAAGTATTCGATAATGGCCATGAATCTGATCGTCGATTTTAATTAGGTGATTTCCTCCTCTGTGGTTTCCAAGCCTCTCCACTCCCTCCAAAGGCTCGTAAAATTGTTGGGCTTTAATGCCATCAGCGTGCCTTAATGAGGTGCAGAGAACGCATGGTGGAGTTGGTTGTGGTGAAGCAGTGGTTTTAGTCTCTTACTAGTAAGAATCGGGCTCGCTTGTGAGAATGATCTTTGCCAGAGACGGATGAATGTAGAAGAAAACATTTGTTTTATTATCGAAGATCCCTAATTTACAGAAAATATAAGAGAATACCGCACTGGTTGGAACTCAAACCTCTTAGCGCGAAATAGACCGTCATAAATAGAAGCCACAGTTCCCTGCCCTTCCTGGAAAACATTCACCTGGTCCGAAATGCTGTCTATGGTTGAGCATGTGTGATAGCATTGAGAGCATGCCACGCGAACGGAACAGAAGTCTTCATGATTCAAGGACGAGTCGAAAGTGGAGATAACGCGTGCTGCTTTAAATATCGAAATTGTCACCTGACCGCCTGGCTTAAAGCGGCGCTTGACAGTCTATTGTTGCCTGAGCTGTACCCGGCGATTTATCTCTTTATCCCCCCGTTGCTCAGTTAGAAGCCTAAGGGAGATCGAGGGAATTGCGTGTCTCGGAACTCGTTCAATGCAGTGCCGGCAGGCGAACCGGAAAACCCCAAGTCATTTGTTTTTGCATCAAGTCTTTCATTGTGAGCTCCTAGAGAATAAGATCACCAGACAGGACGAAATAAAACCTGCATTTCGCCATCGAGAACCCATAAACGCACAAGACCGCTATATGTACAGGAAAATTTAGACCCATTACCATGTCGGTCCCAACCATGGATAATGTAAATGCTTCGAGCGCCGGAGGGAAGAGATTCGAGGAAAAGTAAGAATCGTTCTAATACAGCGTGGACCAAAAAAAAAAAAATTAAATAACAACACCCTCCCGCTTTGCTGAAACAGACCCATAATGGACAATCATTTCGGACAACTGTTGGCGAATGGAGGTCGACTCGGTTTGTGTGCTAAAATACAACGGAACGGAACGGGTGGCATCTACAGCAAGGCTTTGCGCGCAACCTAGAATCAAGTTAGCAACAAACTTCCCATGAGACAGCGGATTCCACATACAGCCCAGCCTCCTGCGAGAGTAGCCACGATACCACCAGAGATCATCATAGGCTTGAGGCCTCTGGTACTCTTGAAAATCATACCACTGAGGGCGCCTGCAACGATGCTGTTGGTAGCATCGTGCTTTCCTCGCACAGCCCCAATTCCAGAATTCAAGCCGTTATATACCATAGCCACCACACCAGCGGAGTTTCCGAGGAAGGGGCCTCTCCGTGTGACGGCGTTCAACACACCGTTCAGACGAATCTTGGGGGGTGCTGTCGGGGGTACCTTTCTCATGCCTTCGGCAAGTCCCCATGCTCCTCCCAGAGTCAAACCAGTCAGGTACGTTGTTCCAGTTCCATAACACAGGTCGTCGGACCATCCGCGTGAGGGCAAAAGCGATCGCTCGCCAGGTGTTTGATCGAGGGCAGAATCTTCGAGGGTGATATAATCGAGAGTATCCTGGTTCAAACCAGACAAGGGGTGAAGAGAGGTGGGATCAGGGATAGCGACCTCTGAAAGGAACGACGTCGCATCTTGCGCGGTGGAAGGGTCGAACTCGGGTCCTTTGGACTGTTTGCGGCCGCTGAGAGAGTCCCAGAAAGACATTTTTGGCAAAGGGAATAATATTAAAATGAATACAGCGAAGAAGGTAATAAAACACGGGAGAAAATGAACAACGGTTGGTCTGCCACTCAGGCGCTGCTGGTCTCCGTCGCGAGGTCGCTTTTGGTCTGGAAATTCGAAAGGACCAGAACAAAAACTTCAACCCCGTGACGGGCCGAGTCACGAGTAGTCACGGGCAGTTCTCCGGTGTCGGGAAAAAGCTTTGACCGACGCTAACCGCATTTGGTGGACCCGCCTCGAAAATCCACGAAAAGTGATTCCCCGGCGCGGGGAGGCGGGCATCTGGATATCAAAATTTTTTTTTTATTTATATTTTTTATTAAATTAATCCTTGCTTACAGGATCTTCATTGCTCGGATCTTGCTGAGCAATGGATCCCCACGCAGGTTCTAGCGTCCAGAGTGACGCTGGATATCAGAAAATGGAAGCGATATCGCAAGATATACAACTCCTATCGGAGGGAACCCTCAAGGAGATCAGCAAAGGCCTATTGGTCAACTTTGTTCTGTCATGTGAAGACATTGAGTAAGATGGTGCAGTCCTTTTATGCAGTGTGCCTAACATATTCTAACCGGATTATAGTAAAGTGGACCGAGTATGGCGGAGCTTGTTGAAGACGTTTTCGACGGCTTCAACATCGAACAACCATACGACAGCTGCATGTAATGCTCTAAGCGCATTCCTTGACACCGCGCTTACTTCAAAATGTGAAGGAACGACTAAACTTGCTTGTTCCCACGAGACCTGGTCTTTGGTGTATGAAATCTACATGGCTCGGTACAAAGATTCCAGCCCCAAGGCGATGAAGCAAGTCTTAGAGTGCTTAGTTGGACTCTACATTAAGAATCCCCAGGAAACTGACAGAGATTCTATTCGGTTGAAGGTCGCCCACGCGACAATTCCAAGCATTATCCTGGGTGAACCCCGCTCACGACTTAAAGCGTCTTTCGTCTCTTTGGAGACCCTACTGCGCAAGAGCGCAATCTCACCCGATCAATTGATCTCCATGGTAGAAAGTTGGCTCTTGGAAAACCGTGAGAGATGGATATCTCTTCTTCAAGAAGATTGCAAAGCCCTGTTCATAGATGTACCTCGCTTCTTAGGAAGTGCTCCAAGCCCTGAGTCGAAGCAAACCGTGGCTGAGATCCTCTTGTTGAGATTACTAGCTCAAGCGAAAACACCTGAACTTGCTGCATCTTCGGGAGACTTGATGGCTGCATTCTTCAAGAAGGTCAAAAACTCTGGCGCATCTCAAGAGGATTCCCACAGTCTATCATCGGCCTGGGTGACTCCAGTTAGACATCTTGCGCTGCAAAACCTCGGCAACCTAGAGTTAATGTCGAATTATACCCTTCAGCCTTTGTTTAATATTGACCCTATTGGCTTCAGAACCTTCCTGGATAAGCTCCATCTGCAAAACTTGCTTGCAGGGGACATGAGTGAAGCGCCCTTGCCCGAGCTTACCCTTCTTTTCGCATCGCTACAGATGGCTAAGAAAATTGGTTTGGTTCATGATGATCGTAAGTCGACAGCATTCCTGAGCCTCGTGATATTCGGCTTACCATGCTCTTAGAATACATACCTAGAGCGGGCACCTCTAGCAATGAAGCCCAGGACGCACTTGTGTTAAAGAGCGAAGTGATTGGCCAATTTCTGTTCCATAGAGAACATAGCATTAAGATAGCAGCGCTTTCACTGCTAATCACGGCCCCTGCAACAACAAAGCCCGTTTCGTCAGCTACAATAAGATCCATTCTGAAAGGCCTGCCATCCATGCACTCCGAATCCGCAGACCCATATGCTAGAGGAGAGATCTTGAGTCTCATCCGTAGATTGATTCCTCGACTCAAAGGCGGCATTTTGAGTGAGCACGAAACCTTCACTGAGACAAAGATCCCACATAGCAGAAAGCACCAACCGAAGTTTGCTCGTGATGATTCCGAGACCCGTCAGTGCTTGAAGGAATACTTAGAGCTACTGAAAGATGATCTGCGGCCGACAGCTTCTTACCCACGCCACATTATGGCATTGAAAACATTAATCCACCTCCTCGAGTCCGGTCTTGACGCCCGATATGCCGGCCACATCGCAGCCAAACAGGCGGGCAATGTGACAAAATGGCGAGTTAACGTGGACGTGTTTGAGCCGAGCCTACTCAGATTGCTGGTGGATCTTTTACTTGATCCATATGAGGAAGTGCGAGCTACGTCCCTTACATTGCTCAATCTATTCCCACAAGAGGTCTTGCTGAGTGGCTATGCGAGACCTGTTGACAAAAAGCAAGACAAGCCGCAGCTTATAGACGCCTTGAATAGATCTGAACAGTTAGCAAGTAATACTAGCAGAGCTGACCACGCAGATACTGTCGCTCGCCTGTATCACATCTTCTTCACAGCAGCAGACGATAATAGCTCCAAAGCGACGGAAAATTGGTGGGAGACAAAACAAGGAGTTGTTGATACTATCTTGAAGAAACTGGAGGAGAAAGTATCGCTTGCCGGCGGTCTCTTCAACTCCTCTATGCGTGATGCACCCCTACACGGCTATGTCTCCGCTCTGAGGTAAACTACATCAGGTCAATTCAATGCGCTAAAGCTAACCCTTTGGCCAGATATATTATTCTGACGCCGGACTTCTATGCCTTGATTTCAACTTCACAGACAGGTTACGAGGCCTGGAGGGCTGTGCACGCAAGGATATTGTCTGTGTGTGATAGAATCTGGACTGAAGTGAAACCCGTGCTTTGCATTGATTCTCCAGAGGGTCACACCGATGAGCCCATCGAAGATCTTTCCGTTGGACCGAAGGATATTCTTTCTTATTCTTGGCGTGCACTTCGGGAGTCCAGGTAATGTCCGTCTCTACATATCTATCTTCCCAACTAACAGTACCAGTCTTCTGCTCTATGCAACACTCTCCAACAGAACTTATGGACCGAAAGGAGAATTAGGGATGACAAAGAGTGATTTTGAGACTATAGGAGTTGCAAGTTTCACACAGCTGGCTGAGCTTCGCCATAGAGGGGCATTCTCCACGGTGTCTCAAACATTCGCTACCTGTTGTTTGCGTTGCGGGCAGTCAAGTGACCCCGAGATTGCCAGCCTACCCCAACGATGGTATCAGGTGGGAACGCCAGAAGGCAACAGCCAGGTGAATGGAGAGCTAATTCGCTTGTATAGGAAGCCAGAAAGATCATATTCGAGACAGCATCCAAGCTAACACGTCGCTCTGCTGGACTTCCAGCACTGGCCACTGGAATTCTCTCGTCTAACCCCGGAGGGCCCCTCTTCCAAGAAGTCATAAACGAACTTCTAGAAATTTCTCATCTGCCTGTACAACAGGATGATAACACCCAGGACATGGAGCTGCCTCAAGTCCATGCTCTTAACTGTCTGAAGGATATCTTCACTAATACCAAACTTGGCGCTCATACCGAACCATTCATTATGCCCGCATTGAACTTGTCTGCTGAGCAGCTTGGATCTCCAATGTGAGTAACAGAGTTAATCTCGACGAAGGCTCATAAGTTGGAATGCTAACTCTTGTACAGCTGGAATCTGCGAAACTCCGGACTGATGCTCTTCCGAGCTTTGCTAACCCGTATGTGTCGCAAGGGCACAGGTCTCGGATTCGGCGGTAACTCAGGGTCAGAACCCGGCGGTAGAATCTCCTTCCAGAAATATCCGGGTCTTATTCAGCTGCTGTCGGACCTTCTGTCGTCATCAGATGCGAGGAACAACGCGGAGCTTGGTGACCATGCCATGGTTACCGAGCGAGTCTTCCCAGCGTTGGAACTCATTGCGGAGAAGATTCCGAATGTTTATGACACAGACGATGAGATGCTGCTAGGGCTAGTCCGGGAACAGCTCAAGAGCCCGGTGTGGGGCATCAGAGAACACGCAGCTCGTGTTTATGCATCACTGTTGAATCGCCCCGATATTCTGAGGAATATCCAGACGCTGCTCGATACTGACCATGATCTGAAATCGCAGGACTTCCTGCATGGAAAGGCCCTGTCTATTAAGTATGCCCTGCGCAGATTTGCGTCCGCGTCTCTCTCTTTCTGGAATGGTGAGTGTTGTCTTTGTGTACTACATGGTGGTTATATTGGCTCACATGGCTACAGAACATATCCACGAAGTCTCTGCATCTTTGCGACAGATTTTCGCGACGTTATTCCCCGTTGCCGAGTCTCCGTTTGTTGCGAACACTTTGCTAGAGATTCTAGGTGAATCGGTCGAGAAGAGTTTCGAGTCTGGAACCGAAGGTAAATTCAGCTATACCCAAAAATTGCATACTGGTGCTAAAAATATATGCAGAAAAAATGTCGATGACTCTCTGCTATACCTATGACTCGCAAGGCTTCCAGGACATCCTGGAGTACCTGTTTGACTCCTCCAACCCATTCTATAAGTCCTTGAGTACAACGCGTGCTTGTTCGATGCTCCGCAGATCTCTCTCATGGGTCGGAGTTCTGCAAATGTTTGTGACCGGCCAATTAGAGGAGCTGGAGCCATTCATTAGGGCTGTTTCAACGTCTGATCCCAATGCTGGTGTATGGCTACTAGAGCGGGCGCAGGATACACTTGGAGCAAAGGACAAGTATCGATCGACCTTGCTGCAACTGTATACTTCTATTATCCTAGCCGAATATCCCGAAGATTTGAAGGGACCGGCTATCTCGTATCTAGCGTCTATACTGGAAGACCTCCTGGACTTCCACCATGATAAGTTCAAGGATATCAACTTGCCATGGGACGCACTGGACCGACAAATCAACTCCAAACCCAATGGCGAAGTATGGAACAGAGACCGATCTGATGCCGGGATCCGTCTCCAAGGATGCCTTTTGGCTGCAAAGGCCGTCTCTAACGAGAGCCAAATCTCGGAGACGGATGTCCGCAGATGGGCCACGAAGCTCCGTTTCGCAATGCAAGAAGAGACAGTAAGTGGAACTAGCCACCCTAACCTCATTCAAGATAGGCGCTAACCAAAGGTAGGAGTTTACCACCCGAAATGCTGCAGTAACCTCCCTCACAGCATTTGGCCGCGTATTACGCAGCAACGGCAAAGCTCCGTTGGTGGAAAAGGTGTTCTTGGAGATCTACCTTATCCTCTTTGACATGTTGAGCGACGATGACGAGGACCTGCGTGATGTTGCTGCCGGAACCGCCTCCTGGGTCTTGTCGTATTCCTCCGTGGCCCCCTCCAAGGCTGTTGCCTTGTCTCCCTTGAACGCCAGTCAACTCCTTGCCGACTTCATGGTGGAAAACTACTCCGATTCTCAACTTCTCTCCACCAGGACAATCGGCTATATCACTGGGCAAGAGCCAAAGATCAGCGGCTCGGTTGAGCCCACAAAGCTCGCTACAGTCGAAGCCCAAATCGCGGAACTAAGGAAAGAGAGCACAATTCTCTTCGAAGAAGAACGACAGAATCTGTTCATCGAGGAGATCCGCGAAGTCGACATCTGGTCCGACCGACTCCTCAGCCTTCAAGAAAGCGCGTTCAACGAGCGTATCGTCCAGGAGACCTCGAAATGGGTTTCTGACGGCCTGTCATACGTGGCCGAAATCGTATCAGACGAGTCTGGAACAGACGGACTTGTGGGCTGGGCCTCGAAGCCAGAAACCTTCACCCTGGGCGTGAGACTGATCAGCCTCGCGGCTGTGCTGGTTTCAGAGGAGTTTACTGCTTCTAGATACCTCTCTGAAGACCAGAGTGCTCTCAAAGAGAAGCTTCAGAAACTACTTAGCAATGGGGAATCGGCGTTGCTGCATGAGAATTGGATTGCTAGAATTCGGGATGCATTGGGTATTCAGGTCTAGGATAGACAAAAGTTAGAGATGTGTTAAATACCAATTGTTTGTTTCATTTACGTTGGCCTCCTGTAGAGACTGATTCTGAACCTAAGAACTTGAACATTCATTCACTACAAGTAGATCACCGCACGTAGACACGTCACGCCCATACACACCCAAGTACCACACACTACAACCGCAACATTCTCACCTCACCTCAATAATCACCCACCCCAACACCACCCCTAAAACTCCAACACTCAAACAACATGTGAAGCAAGTCCATTCGCTCCTCTCCGCTCCCCTCAAAATCAAACCAGCTAACTAGAGCTCCACAAGAAACCCAAGAAGGAAAAAATGAACAACAACATCGTGATAGCCCTCGTAATCCTATCCCTCCTAGGCACAACCGGCGCCATCTACCTCTACACCTTCCGCTGGCGCGCTCAAGCCAGAACAGAACTCCTCCTTGCTCGAGCCGAATCCCGCAAAAGACAGACCTCGGCATCTCAGGCTCAGACTCAAACTCAAACTCAGGCTCAGGATCAGAGTCCCAAGGTCCGCGAGGTAGTCGTACGCGTAGCATCTCGAGCTCCGTCTCGAGACCCCTCCTCACGATCTACTCATCCACTTTTAACTCCACCCTCTCCTCCTCCAGCGTCAACAACATCAAGACAAGAAAAAAGAGGAAGAAGCAGATCATCTGATCATCAAGATCCCAATGCCAACCAACCCCAAGGACCACCCGATCCTCCGCCCCGAAACCAATCTACAATGTCCAAACGCCAACAAAAGAAAGACCGACGTCGACAACAACTCCAAAAGCAACAGCAAGAGCAAGAACAGCAGCAAGACACAACTACCGAATGGAACAACGCTGATGACCCTCTGCCTTTTGGCGATTGGGGGGATAACTCAGCAGCACAGGAGAACGGGAGCTCGAACCAAGCTGGGAGTACAGATTGGGGTGGGGCACAGGATCAGGCGAATGAGGCGCGGAATATGGGGCAGCAGGATGAGCAGGCGGGGACTGGGCTGGATAGTGCGTGGGGGGCGAGTGTGGAGGCTGTTGCAGGGAGCCCTTGGGGGGTTACGGGTGGACAGACTGATTGGGGGGCTGCGGGGGATGATGGGGGACAGCAGGGTGGGTGGCATGCTGATGATGCGATGGAGCATAAAGGTGAGCAGGAGAGAGAGACGGGGGCTCAGAAGTCCGAGTGGTGAATTGCTGGTTATTCTGTATGGGTTGTTTTATTGTCTGTAAAGGTGGCATGATTCTTTTTGATGACGGGGAAAATAGCTTAGTTGTGATGTTTGTTGTATGAGTATATGGAGCTGAGCGATGCAGTGATCTCTTAGCCAATGTGGCCCCTATCAATGGCTCTCTTCCTGCATCTTATCATCAAACCGGAGTAGCTCTAAGTAGACACCTGTAAAGTATAAGGATCAGTCACGGAACAATTAAACCCAGATATTCCACAAATGGTAGATCGGTTTACCAGCTACCCTCCACCGGACACTCATAGCTCTCAGCATGTCTTCACATAGGTGCTTTCCTGCAGTGTATTGCATATCATTCGTCTCGCGCGCCATCCAGGCTAGGTTGGAAGCACAACTATAGACACATTGAAGCATCAATGGCGAAACGCTCTCCAAGGCGATACGTGTAAGCCGCCCCGAAAGATCTTGAATAAGAGATACGACGCGTTCGCATGTATCCTTTGTCATTTGAAGACTTCGCCGTGTGCATTCATGGACACGCGGGGCTGCGTCGAGCTCCAGATATTCACCCGCTTCATTGAACATGTCGCAGGAGTGATGATTAGCGAGTTTAAACAGCGCGCTGGGGCGATTAGAGTCGACCTTTTTTCTTTTGGGAAAAGGACACGGACGGGGGTGTTACCTATAGCATATGCTAGCTACAATGCTTGTCTCCATTGATCCATTGAAGCCGTCTGCAGAGAGAAGTTCTAGAAGAGAAGATATTGTCTGACACAGGGCTTCAAAATCATCCAGGACATAGTTTAGCTCCAACGTTGTATCGTTGCAATGCCTAATCACGCGGCCAAGGAGATTTGACGCCTGTGCCAACCGTGCAAATGGGCTGACTGGATTAGTACTCTGTGAAGATAGAGAGACTCGTTCAGGGGTCATCATCTCCTAATAGAGTTACCGTTATTAATTGTAGAAAAATGGCCATAGTATAGGAAGACATATTTGGTAGACTTACGCCACTATCCCAGGCACTGTCATCCGCAGGTAGAAGCGTGTCCTTGGAAGGATCGTCAGTGCATAATGGTCGATAATCGGATCCAACTGTAATGTATCTGTGTAAACGTTAGGTACTGATAGAGTTATATGGCGTGCTCCCCTTATCCCGTCTACCTGTCAAGAATTACAATCATCCACCATACACGCTGCCTTTCTTCCCAGTCCACCCAGCCGCGCGGTTTGCCTATTAGCTGAGAGGCTAACTTGTTGTGTATACCAAGTGCAACTCCTTGCCTCGCACAGTTGCCAATGGTGCCGAATGCCGCGGGAAAAATGGCGTGGCCCATTTCATACACAGAAAGCAACACGCCAGCCTGAACAATACGTAAAGTGTAGAGCCCGCCCATCTCTAGTTCTCTGCTAAAGCGCTTTGCTGCGGTATAGAGCTGGGGCGTAACCCCGCAAACAAGCTTCATGCATAGTAAAAGCAAGGAAACATCCGCTTTCATGGCTCCCTGTGTTTGCTGGATGACCCGTTCTAGTCTAATCTTACTGATTATAGGCATCCAGACATGTACAGTCTCGAAGTAGTGGGAGATCGCACTGTCCATGTCCGCATGGGTTCCAAGAGCTGTAGATACGTCTTCTGGGATAGGAATGTCCTTGCCATGAGTGGTGGAGTTGAACGAGGACCAGAGATCAGAGTCAAGGTAGTAGGCCTGCGTGGACAGCTCTGAAGAATGGGGTGGGTCTGTATTGGGGTGAGCGCTGGGCATACCTGTTATGGAGGAAGCACCGCATAGTGTTGGATTCGACGAAGCCAGCACACGCGCTTCCAGCTGTTGGACTCGGCTACGCAACTCCCTGATTCCATCCGCAGGAGATAATTGTGAAGGATCGGAATAATCACAAATTCGCCCTGCCCTAGCAATAAAAATAAGTTTATTTGGGTAGTCTTCAAAGAGAAAGTGTTAGGATAGACGAACTTAAGACATGAACTGCATCTAGGAAGGCTCTTGTTGCATCGTCGCTTGTTTTTCTTGCACATCAAACAAGCGTGGGGGGCCATGTCCGTGCCCCATTCATTGGTCACTTCCATGTCCCTAGAAATTACAATGCGTGAGGCTGACAGACATGCAGGGAGGATACGGTGGCCGCACGATGGAAGCCTAAGGATCTTGGCGGTGATAAGACCCTTTATCTCCGGCCCTTTGCGGCCGCATCCCCAGCACTTGCGGCCGCAAAAGCCCTCACTGTCCATGCAAGATAACATTGGCCAAAGACTATAAATATGGGCTCTTTCCTCCACGATGTCGACGAAATGTTCTCACCGTCCGATTCAATTTCAAACATCATCAGTCTACTTCTAGCCATTTTCTGATTTCACAATGACACGAGTTTGGTTTATCACCGGATGCTCTCGTGGCCTCGGTCTCGCCATCGCAGAAACTGCACTCAATGCCGGGGAATTCGTCATTGCCACAGCCCGAAAGCCTGAACAGCTCGCAGGCCTAACGGAGAAATATGGTAGCGAGAGAGTGCTGACCCTTGCACTCGACGTCAGCAACAACAACCAAGTGATCGAAGCCGTCAAAACGGGCCATGAAAGGTTTGGCCGTATCGACGTCGTCGTCAACAATGCCGGATACGCCAACACCATCGCTGTCGAGGACATTGACATCAATGACTTCCGAGCGCAAGTCGATGCAAACCTCTTCGGAGTGGTCTATGTCTCGAAGGCGGTTCTACCCATCCTCCGTCAGCAACAGTCCGGTCACATATTCCAGGTTTCCTCGGTTGGTGGACGGCTCGGGGTGCCAGGCCTCTCGGCCTATCAATGTTCGAAATGGGCGGTTGGAGGATTCTCCACGGTGCTCGCACAGGAAGTGGCTCCCCTCGGTATCAAGATTACTGTTCTTGAGCCTGGTGGTATGAAGACGGATTGGGCTGGGTCATCGATGAAGATTTCACCCGTGAGCAAACCGTACGAAAGTACCGTGGGCCCGATGGCCGAAATGCGTCGGAAGAATCTGGGGACTGAACCATCCATCCCGAGCAAGGTCGCAGATATTGTTCTTCAGCTGTCAAATGAGGCAGAGCCTCCACTACGACTTTTGATCGGACCTGATGCTATGGAATATGCAGGGAAGGCGGCCGAAGCTCTCGCTAAATCCGACGCAGACTGGCGCGCTTTGAGCCTGTCTTCAACGTAGTATTGTCTTGTTACATTCCATTTTTCACTACATAGCTCTCTTGGTATAGAATCTTGCAGAGTGCGCTCATTGGCATGTTCATCTAGGTGGTTAGCAGGGGTGTCTGACAGTCGTATACGAAAAATTGACTACCATCATACTACAATGAACGGAAATTGATATGTAAATAGGGCAATGTACTAATACGGTATATGCACGTTTATAACGAATTTAAATCACACGTAATGTAACCCAAGTAAGTATTTAATAGTAGTGTTGCATACTTCATACTAGGTTTGTCCTTCAAGCTAACAACCAGCTTGTTCAGAGCGCTATTCTTCCCTCTCATGTCTGTTAACAGTAGTTGAAGACTTTCGTTCCTTGTAGGATCCTGTCATTCCTCCTTATGGTGTAGCCTAAAGTCACATTATTTTCTCATACCCTGCAATGTAACCTGTATTCCATATTCATGGCGTTGAGCGTGCTAATAAAGGTTGGAAACATCAGTAAGATTTTTACGGCCTTCCGTGAAGGCTAAGTGTGGAGGGAGCTTGACAATTTCCCTCCTTGCGAGTTTGTCTTCATCATAAAACAGCTGCTTCTCGACTATATTAAACATTAATGAATGCTCTGAAAAGATTTGTTACACGAGCCAGATGTTACTTACCCCCTGATATGCTCATTTCCACATGAGCTAATTTCATCCCAACCTTCTCATCAAAAGTATAACACTTTTTGGAGTCTTGATCCAAAGAGTGGGGATTGGAAAATAAAGCTCAAATTTGGTGATCCGCTGCTTGCTCAAGTTGTTTCCGCGGTTTTGTTTACCATGACTTGGGTATCCTGGCCAACCTTGTTGGACTTTTCCAATCTAATCAACCGCGCAAGATGATCCTTCTCAAGCTTGGTCAGTTCTTGGCGCCTTTCTGAAGCCATATTGTTTACCGTTCCATTTGCATGAGAATCAAGAGAAGCTGCAAGTGATAGAAATGAATCGAAGAGGTTTCACCTTTGGACAGACACATATATGCGATACTCAAAAGAAAGACCATCCTTAGCTTAAAAAGACAAATCCCTTGGAAACTCAACAGGACCTAGACGTCTCTCAGGATCGTTGTCTAAGAGTATCAGGCGGCATATATGCCATACTATAAAGCTCTTTCACCACTAGATCTTAGTGATTCTGGGAGTATGTAACAACAACTATTGCAAGGCTGGCAGCAAATTCACGCGTGACTAGGTACACTCTTCATAGTATAGGCAAAACTCATTCATAATATCATTTGGCTTTGTAGACGCTGCCGCCCTTTTAATCAATCATACCTAACAAAAGGCCACGGTGCTAAGACGGTTTCATGAACTCCTGGATCCATTAGAATACCGAAACACCTTTGAAGTTGTCAAACTCGTTTCATCTTCTGCGAATCACCTATTTTTTACGTCGTACAGGCTATATTCTTCGAAGTAGCCCTTCTCGTATTCGGTAGTGTTCCGGATTCTATGCAGCGATGTTAGCATAACATCAGGTGGCCGCCAGTTAAATCAGATCTTCGACTTGAACGCCAAGGGTACAGCCAACGAAAGAAAGACCGCGAATACAATTTCATATTGACTGATTGGTACCCAGCATACCACCCATGTCACCGTAGGCATGGATATCTCGTTAAAGAGAGAGTCTCACAAAGGCGGACTGTGTACCTCCATCCCTATAAGCCCATTGGATGGGTCAGGGCAACGGATATTTCATTGTTGGCATCAGGGCTCCGGTCGTTGTTAACCCACTCATCCTTATGCAGCATTCACCTGTGTTTCGCAACTTCACTGCGGATTCTTGTGTCTCGATGTCAGCACGGTCGTGCCCCTGAAGGCCGTCCGCAAACCTCAGTCACGCTCCCCAGAATGACTTTGAGGATATGGTTGCGGAAGCAGAAGGTCTTTTATCTGATTGTCGGTGTTATTTGTGTTGCAGTGCTACTCTTCAGTGCTGGCTCTCGACGCGTCATTGGATCTATATTCCTTGGGGATTTGGTAAGTCCTTGTCGTAATTTCTTGAAATGAGATCTTGCTAATCCACCATTACGCACAGCGTCCCAACATCCTAACACCCATACCTCCGACGGACACCCAGTCACCCAGCTAACACAGGATGCCAACAGGCAGTGCGGGGAATATGACAAGGATCGCTCCAAATCCTTCCGCGAAACGGTCGCCAAATACCGAAAGCCCGATATGGCCGACATCCACCCCCAGGCTTCGAGGGCTGGTACAAATTCGCACGGGAGCGAAAGATCCACAACATCGATGATTTCGGACAAATACTAGATGACATGCGGCCATTCTGGGCGACTGATTCCTCAATTCTACGTCAGATGGCCGCTAGTTTATCATATAACGTGGATAGAATGGGAGGCATACATATCCGCGGCCAGGTCATTGCAAAATTATCGCATGCGAGCTGGCGGGTAGAGGCTATGGCTGCTTCGATTTCCAAGTTTGTCTAGTACGTGCCGGATATGGATATTGCCGTGAATGTGTAGGATTAGCCGCGGATTGTTGTCGGTTTTGATGAGCTCCAGAACCGGCTACAGGTAGAGCTGTGGATGCGGGAGATGCCGTATGATGATAGGCTACTTCACAAAACACAAATTTCATCTGCTTAATCTGACAGAGGCGCGAGACGATTGGGATGAACAAGTGGAGCCCCAGTGGTTCTCTTCCCCTGGTCACCAATTTATGGGGGTCGTGAAAACCGCTTGTCCTCCTGAGTCCCCTGCCCGGGCTACAAACATGACCATCGGAGACGCAGACCAATTATACAAGACATATATTAAGGGCTTTGTTCGCAACTTCAACCTATCCACAGACCTGTGCACGGTGGGTCCCGCAATAAAAGACACCAACGCGGCCTTCTCTTCGCCGCATCATCTCCCACTATCTCCCAAAAACTCCTCCCAGTATTCAGCGAATGCAAAACAAGCGTCAACAACGACATCCTCTTCCCAGCTGATATGTACACCATGAAAGACTCCCGCTACGACTACGACCCCCACTCCGACCTGCGATGGCGAAACAAAGCCGACACCCTCGTCTGGCGCGGCGTTCCCTCTGGCGGCGTCGTCACAGCAGATAACTGGCAAACGCCTGCACCGCCAACGACTCGTCCTCCTGACCAACGCAACCCTAAACTACGAGAAAACCTCAATCCTCTCCAAGAACGCCCAAGACACGTACAAACCAACAATCCACTTCAACGCCTCCAGCTTCGCCCACCACCACTTCAACTTCGGATTCACAGAATTTTGGCCCTGCGAACCCAGCCACTGCCCCTTCTACAACGGCGTATTGGGCTTGAAACCACCCATCTCCCTAACTGAGCAGCTCAAATCTAAATACCTAGTTGACGTAGACGGACACAGCTTCTCCGGGCGGTGACGTGCGTTCCATTTCAGTCGCTCGCTAGGTATCTAGGCTACGATCTTCCGAGAATGGCATGACTCGCGGCTATTTGCGTGCAGACATGTTGTGCCGTTGGATAACCGTGTGCCGTTGGATAACTGGTACGATGATCTATACTCACTGATGGCGTATTTTATTGGGACGGGTAAATTGTCAGAGAAGAATGAGCAGGAGGGGTATATGCCCAGTCATGACTTTGAGGCGAGGATGATTGCGTCGCAGAGTCGTGATAGGGCGAAGAAGGTGCTTCGTGATGAAGATATTGAGGTGTACATGCTACTTTTGTTGCTGGAGTATGGGTGGGTTCTTGATGATAATCGAGATACTATTGAATATATGGGGGATGGGGGTGAGTTGGATCGGTTTGTTTTGCATTACTAGGTTGGGTGGGTTTACTTGTGGATTCTATTCTGTCCCTGGGATTATTAGCAGGAAATGCAGGGAGGAGAATATGGAATGAAGCTGACAGTTCGTTTCACCAAGTAAAGCACCAAGCCAGTTGTAACGCTCACCGAATACGTTACGGTCTTGGGCTATTACAAAACGCAGGGGTTCGTGAAGGTCGACTGGAGGTCCGAGATATACGGAGTATACGATATTTGCGAGCTATGCGAGATTAGCGAACGCGTACCTGACTCCGTTTGATAGGCAATTAAGCTATACAAGCTTTGAAGCTAAGTATCATGGAAAAGACTTACCGACTGCTATTATCCCGATGATTAATTTGTTGACTCCAGATTATGAGTAAAAATGATTCAAAGTCCATTATTTAGTCAGGCTTATGAATCTACAAAATCAGCAATGGAGGGCCGACTATATAATCCTTTCGTTGTCGGACCGAAGAGCAGAAAAACAGCAACAAAAGTATCGAATACAATCATCTACTCTCAAAAGCAATCGTCCTCTCTTAACAACAGTTATCTGCTCCAAGTTTGCAACCACCACGACAAACAAGCAAAATGCCTTCCACCACTATAGCCATTTACGGAGCGACCGGCGAAACCGGCCGCTCCATTATTGACGGCCTATTGGAGTCCTCCACCGAATTCGTAAGTCCAATCAATCAGTCCACTATCCCAAATGACTCAGCCAACCTTGCAACAAGACCATCACGGCCCTCAGCAGTTCCTCTTCGATCGTCAGGCCGGAGAATCAGAAGCTCAGGGAGCGGGGCATCACCGTTGTCGCCTGCGACGTCCACGGTCCGCTGGACAACCTAGTCCAACTCCTCAAGGACATGGACGTGGTAATCTGCTCCTTCAGCTACCTCGGTATCGAAGACCAGAGACCCTTAGCCAAGGCCTCTAGACACACCATCAGGAAGGTTGTCCCGCGTCGAGCTTTGAGTCCGAATAGACATGGTAGACTGACGACTTTTGTCCCTTTCACTGACCCCCGCAGAGAGTAAGATCGGTGTTTCCAGGGAGTTGTAATTCCCATTCGGAGAGAAAGTTCCCCGCCGATTAAGAGCGCCTGATGCTCGCTTCAACTTGGTATAGAAGGTCCAGAAAGATGCCAGACAGGAGACTATAAAGGCTGTCCTCGCGATTAGATCATACTTCACTGGCCGTTTCATAGGTGTATCACTCACCGACGCAGATCTCAACCGCATTCCACATGACAAGCCATGCCGGATTTAGGATACCCGTGCCCGAGACGCTGAGCAACAGCCGCACCAACGCAATGATGATAATGAACGCCGTCAGAAAGCTAACCCCGATTAACGCGACTTTCTTAGTTAAATTTATCTGAACCTTCCACATGACGTTCCCCGAGAGAATAATAACTGGCATGGCATAGTTTAGTCAACATATGTCTAAGTAGAAGAATACCAGATCTTCTAGAAACAAGGAAGCACGTACTGGCTGCATCTGACACGATGTCCATGGTGGTAGCTACCTTCAGACTAACGCGTTCGTACCAGATAGAATGTGCACTTGTGCAGCGCTCTGATGATCTCTGATTAGTAGCCCAAGCTGCACACATGTGCTGCGAGATATGGGAACCGACCAATACTGTTCTCCAGCGAAGCCATTTCACACTCATAGTCCAAGATGCCCAGTGTCCCCCCATAGCAGGCGATGACAAAGACAAGAACCCCCCACCAGAGGACCCGTTGCGTGCGATAGCGATTCCCCAGCTTCCGGAAGAAGAATATGAAGGACAATTTGATGAGCCATAAGCTGGTGTAAGAAAGGAGGTAGCTGGCAAGCTGGCCTCGAAGGTACCTCTTCATGATCCAACCAATATTAGGTGGCATATGTGAAAGATCAATAGGGCCTTCGCTAAGCGCAAGCACTTGGAACAATTGTTTGTAGACAATAGACCAGACAGTCCCATTGCTTAGGGCCAGAAGCCAAGCCGCTAGAATCAGGACATCGTTGGTGTGCCACTGGCGATCAATGCGGTATTGGAGCACGAGTCGGATGAGGACAAAGAAGAAGGTGATAGTCTGACAGATCCAGAGAACGGTCTAAAAGTGTGGTTAGCTGGGTATGCGGCCGTGAAGCGACATAATGAAGAGACACACCATAAATGTGACCTCGTTTACATAGTTATCCGACATTGTGTTAATCTCTGGGTGATACGTGAAGACTATACTACACTTCTAATATCAATAGAACGGAGGGGGAGACGAGGGCCCCGAATATACTCCGTAAGCAACATATTCCCACTCTGCCCCTCTGGTCATCAATTCTAATTCATCCAGTAAGGGGTGTATGAGGGTTACAGCTGTATATAACTTAGGTATGTACTGTATGTATGATCCGTATCGCCTCTTTTGAAAATTACAAAAAATCTCCCGATGTGTAATATCAGGCTGAAATTAGCTGTAGGCAACCCACCACCCCCCCAAATGCACCCCTTTGCTTGTAAAGCCAGATGCGAGTCAGCTTACTTAGTTCCCCTTCCTAGTGAAGGAACAAGGCAGATTTCTTTTGTTCGTTGTATGTTGCTCCCATCTCGCCAGAACCACTTTGATACTCAACCCCCTTTCTATCGTCGTGCCAGCTTCAGCTCAAGGCCATAATGTCTCTCAATCCGATCTCGTCAATTGCCCTTCAAACCGCCGTGGTGGTGACTACAATCGGATTTACCCCAGCTCGGTCGAGTTTGCGGCCTGGTGCCCTGGTCCTCGTCGGTCTCTGTACCGGCCACTGTCTCTCAACGGCACTTCCGTGCTTCATTCGCACACCCTGGGCCAGCCTCGCAGGCGGCTACTCGGTGATGCTCTTGTTCCATTATGTTGATATCGCTTTGCTGACAGGATGGGAATTCCCGTCTGGCAAGCATCCCAACACTAACCCCGTTAACTCGTTATCACGAGGGGATTCCTGGGTCGATCGATTGCGTTTTGGCATCTGGGCGTCCTTCAACGCGCGATGCATTGGGACCTCCGAGCAAGTGCGCAACGTCCCGGCGTCTCGCGACCAGGACCGAGCTGCATTCCTTTGTCGAACCGCTGGGTTCATACTCCTCAGCTACGTCGGTCTTGATATCCTTGGGTCGATGGGGGATCCAGAGTTGGGGTCACGCTTTCTAGTCGCATCTCGGGTGCCTTTCATTCGACGCCTACCTGAGATTACTGCGGAAGAGATAGTAATTCGGGTGTTTTCCACTATCGCGGCTGGGATCGGCCTTTTATGCAGCCAGGGTGGTTTTTATCATCTGTTTGCATTTACTAGTGTGCTTTTAAGAGTCAATGAGCCGCGAGATTGGCCTCCCTTCTACGGATCGCTATCGGATGCGTATAGTCTGCGAAGGCTATGGGGGTAATTTTCTTCACCTTGTGAGAATGGTCATGACAAAAAATAAACTAACCCGACCTCTAGTCATGTCTGGCACCAGTCCAATACTCACAAATTCCGCGCCATTGCCCGGTTTATTGTCCAGGATATTTTTCGCCTGCCCATGCGGAAATCCGCGTCTCAATATGCAAAGGTCATGATGGTCTTTGCGGCCTCGGCCTTCATGCACCTTCTCATTGATATATCGGCGGGGCTATCAATCTATAGCTCCGGGGCCGTGCAATTCTTCTGCACTCAAGCACTCGGCGTCTTTGTGGAAGACCTGGTAGTTAATGCTTATTGTGCTTTGCGAGGTGTTCCCCGTAATCGAGCGGCGTCACGGGTAGAACGCGTCATTGGATTCCTCTGGGTGGGAAGTTTCCAAGCCTGGTCGCTGCCTGCGTATCTGTATCCAATGTTGTATCGAACTAACATGGGTCTCGACGATTCTGTGGCTCCAGTGAGCATCATTGGACTGCTGCGGTCATTAATCGCTGTTGCTTAACCGACCCTGCCGTTCCCTGGGAAGGTTAATCCACCAATGCGGAGCACTTTGCATGTAAAATATCTATAAAACCCTATTTTAATCTATTCGTGGTAAGACTCAGTTCGAGTAGCTAATGGGACGTTCTTAGGGCTATTATCGGGTAGTTGTTTGGACTCTAATTATGCGCATCGCGCGGTAATTAGCCCAGTGTAGTTAAGATCGTATTGCTCGTTTTGCAAAGTTACAATGTTGAATCAATAGGCTCCTGAACCAAGTTTCACCAGATGATGCCAATTCATCCATGCTCACAGCAGCCCCTTACCTGCATGTCACATTCTCCTCGAGGTGAAGTACATTGCCAGCGTCTGCAACATACATAATCAAGGCAGATCCCCTCTCAAGGTTACAGCCTTGCGCCCGAAGCAGTGCATGGTTCGTGTCACAATTGAACCATAGGGTGTAATCTGTCAGGCGGGGACCCTTGCCAGGAATATTCTAAAATTGTGTCTGCTTTCCCGTTAGGCATTTGTGCCCTGACATCTAACACTAATTGTGAGCTTCCAGATCGCGTTCAGCTTTGCCTTTTACTCATTTGTAGTGTGCCGGTGATCAGCTCCCTGGATACATTGCGACCCAGACTGTGTATCCCTACAATGTCCGTCCAGACAGCAAAATCACCTATGGTGCAAGCGCCTGAACGTATCGCTGTTGGAACAGATGACACCATAGGACCGGCCATCGTACCGCCAGGAAAATGGCGGTTGGCCATTATCACGGTGTCTTTGTGCTGTGGAACCTTTCTAGTCGCGCTTGATACTACAATTATCAGCGTCGCCGTGCCCAGTATCTCCACAACGTTCCAGGCATTTGACGATGTAGGCTGGTATGGATCCGCCTATCTTCTCACTGTGACGGCCTTCCAACCAGCCTTTGGCAACGTCTTTCAGCTGTTCAATGCGAGAACAACATACGTTGTCGTCGCGATTCTATTTGAAGGTAGGTTTCGTAAACACTGTTTCTCGTATACAATTCGACTGACTGAAGAAGTGGGATCTGTGTTATGCGCTTCCAGTCCTAGTTCCACAGCCTTCATCTGCGGTCGAGCGATTACGGGCGTTGGCGCGGCTGGATTATATCAGGGTGCGCTCAGTATCGTTGGGCTCACCGTGCCGTTGGAACAACGACCCATGTACCTGGGGATCGTTCTGAGCGTGTTTGGAATTGCTGCGTGCCTGGGACCACCGCTAGGAGGAATCCTCACGCAGCATGCGACCTGGCGCTGGTGTTTCTGGATGTAAGGGACCCTTGGAGTATTATGGACAAGAGATCGCAATATGGCTAAGCATATTCATAATGACGCGACAGCAACCTCCCCATCGGTGCCGTGTCTATCTTCCTGATATTTTGCTTCCTGAAGCTCCGCGCCCGTCCCTCCAAGTCGCCAGATGGTATTCTCGCGCGCATCCGACCCTTGGATCTTATTGGTATTATCTTGATCATTGCGTCGGTGTGCTGCTTGATCCTCGCATTGCAATTCGGCAGCAGCGCCAACTATTGGCGCTCATCCCGAATAATTGGCCTGTTTATCGCTACTGGACTGTTCCTGGTAGCGTTTTCCATCTCTCAATGGCATCAGGGAGAGCGTAGCACTATTCCCCTTCGAGTGCTCCGTCAACGCTCAGTCCTCATGGGCGCTATATTTTCTTTCTTCTTGGAGATCAGTATCTACGAGGTGAGTTTCCTTTTACTCACCCGGAAATCATGCTAGGGATGCTAATTATTGGATGAGCACACCAGACTCTCTACTATATCCCCTTTTACTTCCAGTCCGCGCAACTGGTCTCCCCAACCGTGAGTGGTATCCGAGGGATTCCACTCGGCGTCTCCCAGATTGCTGCCGTCGTCCTCACAGGTGTAGCAGTTTCCCTAACAGGGCATTACGTGAGTTTGAGTCGCTTTCACCCCTGGCTTTGCTGACAAGTATTTATGCCAGGTCCCATTCATGGTCCTGGGCCAAGTCGTCTCCATTATTGGGACGGTCTGTCTAGCCAGGCTCGAGGTCGACACGTCATCCGCACTATGGGCGACATTCCTCGTTATTGCCGGGGTGGGACATGGCATGGGACTGCAAATGCCCTTCACAGCGGTACAGGTCGTTCTGAGGTGAGACTTCACCATGATCGCTACCTTTCCTGACTCTTCAACATAACTGAATCTTTTCTAGTGACGAGGATATCCCGATCGGAAATGGTATGCACCTCCTCCCCCCCCCTCTCCTGCTTTTCACATCATACTTTCGAACTCGGGTATACCAACTAAACTCTCTAGCCATCACCGTATTCTTCTCCCAGCTCGGCGCGTAAGCATTCCCCTTTATAAAACCAATCCCCTCTATAGACTGACGTTTCATAAATGTCAGCGCGATTGCCATCGCCATCGGTGAAAGCATCTTCCAAACAGGCGTCGCCCACCAAGTCCATGCATCCCATCTTCCCATCTCCGCTGAGACGGTCATCGCCGCCGGTCCAACTGGCCTACGGTCCCTCACCACCGACACGGCAATACTCCGCCAGCTGCAAGACGCCTATGCCTACGGAATCCGGATGGTCATGTACTTCGCGCTAGCCGCATCATGCGCGGCAGTACCGTTTGCCTTGGGGATGGAGTGGCTGAATGTAAAGAAGGAGGCAGCAAAAAGGAAGAAAGTGGAGGAGACGGTCGACGAGAAAACGCAGGGCAACGAGGAAAAGGGCAAAGAACAGGAAGAAAGTAGTCTTGGTTTAGCGACGTAACGTACTTTCTTTGTTGTATAGCCTGAGACTTCTTAATGGAATGGGGAAATAATATCCGCAAGGCTGACCATACTGTGTGGATGAGTCTATACCACACAAAGATAACTTGAACTCGCATATCCAAACCTCATTAAGTAACAGCCCCTGAAACGGTGTGGCACGCTTAGTGCTTACATTATACATTCTTCGTTTTTTGTTTCTTTCACCCTTGCATGGACAAAAAAGTCGATCATTTGCAAATACGTACGTTACCGTATTTCTCACGGCCCCCTCCCAATAACGGCTCGCCCCAACATACTCAAGTAATGAATAGTATGTATGTACAGTACTTTTAATCCCTGGGGAAAGGGTTGCATACTGTATTATCTCTGCGGTGTTATGTACTGTATATATTGGTACACTTCAGTCCTCAGGGCCGTGTATGTAACCCAACCTTGCATGGCCCCTTCTCCAACATATCGCAGACTAAATATTCCGCCCATACAACGTGGATGTTCCCCAGCATTGGACCTAAAACCTATTTCTGAGATTAAGTTACCCACAATCTACAACCCAAAATAGAAACAATCACACCCCCTCCTTTCTCGTAAGTATACCTTCCAGCTGGAGGGCTCCTATTTCTGGTGTTTGACCCCCACCACGCACACATGCAGCCTAGCCTTGTGAGCTACATGCCGCAAATGCAAGATTGTCCCTTCTGTTCCAAGTACGTGTGCCCAAGGCGCTTATGACAGGCCTATTAGTAGTGTCAGCGTAAGTGCTTGCTTAGATGAGACTGAACTCGTAGTTTCAGTCTTATGGAGGGGATGTTGATGAATAGGGTGGTAAGGTGGGTATAGAGTAGGAACGGAGGCATATATATAAGACATAAGCTTATACCACATTTAAGCTTTCATCTATGCGGAACTTTTTAGAAGCAAACAACAGTACGTCGGCAAAATGCTTATAGATCTAATTCAACGTCACGGCTTGGCGGTGTGGGATGCATGGAGTGGGGTATATACCTTGGTTACCCTGTGGATTGTTTGGCGGGTGGTGATGGTGCTGGGGATTTATCGGAAGCGGCCGGTGAGGATCGATGCCCTCTTTCCCTTGGTATGGTTTTATTGTGGGCTCGTGAAAGCTAATATGTGTGAAATGGGAAACAGTTGAACGCTTATATGGGGGGTACGTCCGTCTTGCTCGGGAAGTGGCTCAGCAGTCTCGAGTTTATGGTTGATGGGGCGGGCATGATCTGTGATATCTACCGAAGGGTATGTTAGCTGGAGACTTCTTCGCTTTTTATAAACGGAATGCTAACGGAAGAACAGCTAGGAAGTGGTAAATCCTTCGCCATTCCGGCTTTGGGCGAGTACCAGGTGCTGGTCTCCTCTGAGCAGCAGATCCGCGAGCTGGACCGGAGCTCGGAGGATGTGCTTTCATTTCACGCCGCCATGGAGCAGGTGCGTGGCAGTAGGACCTGTCGTCAGTTGACATTTGCTTGAGGCTGACGGGCTGTACAGCGAATCAAGCATAAGTACACCTTGTGTGGCTTCGAACATAACGATGTGGATCCAAACAATGATGTACCTAAGCGGGTGTTGAAGGTGCGGCTTCGCATGAACCTGCCTGAAATGCAGGGGAATCTGCAGCCGTTGATTCGGGATACAGTCTCTCAGGAGCTGACAAAGGGTTCGGGTGGTACGTTCTTTTCTTCAGAATATGCAGCCAGAGTGCTCATTATTTCAAATATAGGCTGGAGTCGAGTGAGCGGGCTTACCTTGGCTAAGCACCTCATTACACGTGTGAACAATCGTGTCATTCTTGGATCAGATCTAGGCAAGAACGACATTATCGCCGCTATTCAGCTGTGTACTGACGATTCTATAGCCAGCGACCCTAGGTTTGAAGATGATGTTAATCGGTACCTGCAAGACGCCGTGGTGACTATGGAGCTATGTCGCCATCTGCCGTCCATTTTGGTTCCGTACGTTTTGCCCTAGATGCTCTTCTCTCAACATACTGATAGAATCGTAGGCTAGTAGCACCAGTCATGATGCACTGGAGTGGCGCCATGCATCGGATCAATTGCTCCATCACTGCAGATATCGAGAAGCGAGTCGCGGAGAACCAAAATGCTCCGGTCATTGCTCCAAGACGAGTATGACTAAAGACACCCCCCCTTTACTTCATCACATCAAGGCTAACATGTTCAATCTTAATAGTATGACTGCATCCAATGGGTAATGGAGTCTTCCAAGACCGAAGCACAGCGGTCGGTAGCCAGATTAACCCAGCAGATGTTTGGCATTCTGTTTGCCTCAGCGCATCAAATGACCATGGTGAGTAGGACTCACTTCCCTCGGGTTATTCCAACGCTAAATCTATAACGAAGGCTCTAGTATATGCCATGTTCGACCTATGCCTCCACCCCGAATATATTGAGCCGCTCCGCAAAGAGATCAAACGTGTGCGCAGAACGACTAATTTCAGCGATCATTTCGATCATTTGCCTTTACTAGATAGCTTTCTGCGCGAGTCTGCCCGGCTCAATGCCTTGGATGCACGTGAGTCTCATCTACATGAAATCACCTTTCAGCTCCTCAAAGCTCTAGAACTAACTAATGGCAGTGACTATGCAACGCATGGCTTTATCACCTTACACCTTCGCCGACGGCACACACGTCCCAGCCGGGAACCTTGTTGCGGTTCCCCAGGCGGCAGTCATGCAGGACTCGCGCCACTACGCAGAGCCGACTGAGTTCAATGCATACCGGTTTGTGGCCGTGGATGAGACGGACGGGACGATGAGGGCTTTTCCAAAGTATACAGACGTGCGCTGGGATTATCCATATTGGGGGTCGAGTAAACGAGCCTGGTGAGTGACAACATCATTCCCAGTCATCCATCATTCTCCTGATAATTGAGCAGCCCGGGTCGCTGGTACGTCTCGCGAACGCTGAAACAGATCCTCGCCCACCTGGTCATGAACTATGATATCAAATTAGCAAATGAAGACGCACCCCGAAGCTTCGTCTGGACGACAGCGGTCGTACCTCGGTCAAGTACAAAACTGATGCTACGACCAAGAAAGTGATCTATGTTTGTATATAACCCAAGCATTAGCAAACCAACAATAAACTCATGCATTTTGTATATCCACTACAACCCAAACCCAACCCAAACCCCTTAACAACCATCAATCCTGCCTAGCAACTCTCATCCCCTCCACAAGCCCCTTAAACTCCTCATCCCCAGAACACTCCACCAACCCCTTCAATCCCCTCTCAATCCCACCCCAGACCTCCTCCCCAACACCCCCCTTGCTCCTAGAGTAAAGACTAATCCCCATTGGCGTAAACATCGACTTATCAGCAAAAACAACCATCCACTCATCCCCATTCCCCTCTCCCCCCCACCCCAAAATTTCCCACCGCGCACTCGCAATCCTTAACCACCCACTCCCACGCCATTCCATCGTAATCGAGCCTTCATCCCCGTTTCCGTCCTTACTCCCCAAAGGAACGACACGGTCCGTACCAGCGGTATATTTCACCGACTCCGAGGATAAGGTCTGATATGACGTTGTATTGGTTATCACGGGGGTGGGTGTAGTGGTCGTAGTAGTTCTGAGCGATTTAATGGGAATAGGACCCGTATTCTTGTCTGTGGAAAGAGTGATCGTCACACTGCGTTTGTCGGCCCAGAAGGGGCTGGAGGAGCGAGTTATGTACCAGGTCCGTAGGATGTTGGTTGGTGGTGGTGGTGGTGTTAGGGGCGGAGAGTTTGAGTCTAAGGTTGGATGTTGTTGCTGGTAGTGGTATTTTCGGGGGACTTGGAGGGTCATTATTTATGAGTTTAGTTGGTTGGGTTAGGGATTCAGTGGTATGGGTTTCCATAGATAGGTCTGGGAGATGGGAATGAGTAGGTTGGTGGGTGAGAGTAGGGTCCCATATAGGCGTTATGTACTAGTGCATACTTGACGGTTGCTGTTGGGGTAAGGAGAATTTGAAGTGAGGAGGTTTCTATGTACATGTATACATACGTGCAGAACGCTTTCCGTTGAAAAATACCTATTTTTGCAGTACAGTAACGAACTATTGTTCTAGGCACCCAAGCCAAGCGTTGGTGATGTGTATTAGGGCTTCATGGTTTCTTTGTTCAGGAGATTACGCGCCCTGCAGCATGCTGGGCTTGAGTTTGTTGGATTAGGATCCAACGGAAACTCCAAGGTAGAATCCCGCAGATAGCCGGTAATTAAATCTATGGTGCTGAATACATAAATGAGCTCTCTTTGAAATTTGACCAGGAACTGTCAAATTTCCATGTAATGACCCGTGCCTAGTTGTTGTTTTTGCACATATATTGTATGCCTCCAACATTATGTGGTTTGCTTGAACTCCTCACAATATACCCTATAATTCTACGAACGAATACCGGATGTCAATCCTCTGGTTCCTGGGATTTGTAGGACCTTGTTGACCCGGCTAACTGCATTTTGGAAACCATGGCCAAAAGAAAGACCTATAAAGTTCGTTCAGATGCCCAACCATACCACTGAAAGAGCCAACTTATAGAGACGAAGAACGTAGTTAATGCAAAGGACTGCGACGGTCTCTGTATTGGGAAATTTCATTTTTATTTATATTTATATTCTTTTTCTTCGGTAGTATACATTCGACCCTTCATCGCAAGAATGGGGCCATTTGTTCACACATCTAGCGATTACGTCTCGAAATCGCTTGACCAACACTCCGATATAACGTCCCCATGGTTCCGCATCAACTCCTGGATCGCGACGCTCGCATCCTGCAATCCGCCAATAGTAACTTCCAGTGAGACAAGACCTTTCATGATGATGTCGATTTGCTGTTTCCAGGCTGCGTCAGGGTCGGGTATTCGAAATCCGTATCCCGTTGGGTCCAGGCTGCACAGTGGATAGAACTGCGTATCGAGGATATTCTCAATGGCCTTTTTAAGGGTTGTTGTCATCAGGCTGGGAGTAATGTGATATGAGAGTATCGATGACTCGGCACTCACACCGTTATGGAGATTGAAGATCTCCTCAAGTGGTAGCGAAAGAACGCGTTCGACTGTTTGTGCTACTGAGTATGTAGCTTCCGTGTTGTATGCTTGTAGAGTGGAGATTTGATCGTGGCTGCAAATAGGACTGAGTCCAGTTATGATGGGCTTCAGAGTCTGGGATAGAACGAAGATGCCGAGATTCCAGAACATTGTAATTGATACTGTTTCATACGAGTCAGCAAGATCTTATTGGACCTATTGAAGAGGATTGATGGTTATAGAAATGACGAACCTGAAGATAACCGTGAGCGTATAGAGAGGTGTTTGATATTTTCCACACAGTGATTTAGGAAAGGGCGAAATCGCTGGTTGAACTTCCCTACCGCTGTAACGGTTGAGGCAATAGCTGCAGATACGTTTGGACATAATTCAAAGTCATCCTTATCCGCGGTAGAAACGGAGGCTTTCAATGCAACTATATGTCTCCAGACCCGGAAGGCCTCTGCAACAGTTGCTCGACAGATTCCTGGAACACTATCATCAAAGTCTGGGTTGACGTCCTCATTATGCGACCAGGTTAGGGCAGGCTCATTCCCAGAAGATGATCCGTCCCCTAGAGCACATTTAGCTAAGTCTTAGCCGTTATCCCGCACAACTTACCTTTCACATGGCCTGAGGAATCAGGAATCCTACATACGTGCTCCCCTGTGAGTGCTGCCCCTATATCACGAATGTGCCCACACCAACGGATAATACTCAGACTGGCCTCTGCGATAGCGCCATACATAGAATGCGGACCCAAATTAGCACAGTATTGCTCAACGAGGCCGGTCAAGCAGTCGAGTTTCTGTAAGCCCGCCTCTATGAATTCATGTGCGATGACAGATTTATCTCGAGCTTGTGTTGGAATAGAAATCCCATCAAACATTAAAATCGCACAAGCTACCCTAAATGATCGAACGGACAATGAGTCACGGATCAGAGTCCGCGCCCGAAACCAGCTATCATAGAAAGCATTCACAGATGAATCGCATGTTGTGTACAGGCTGCTATCGTTGTTGGCCAATCGAGTATCGGATGAAGGGCCAGTAGGAGATATCCACTGTAATGAGAATGCTCTAAGAACTGCTTTCAAAACAGCATCCGACTTTCTCCGAGCAGGGCCAGTCAGCCTGTTGCCATAAAGATCGCTGAGATGGTCGAGGAAGCGGACAGCTCCTAATACTGTCATCCTTTGGTTAAAATCCTGTGTTATAGGAGGTAGCTGTCCAGGTAAGTGACTAGGAGTTGAAAATGATGTAGCTGACTGCGATATTGAGCTAGGGGTCTTGGGTAAGTTGTCATTTGAAACAAGGCTTGAATTCGCGGATAGTTGTTCCTGTGGACTGCCACATTCATCATTCTCCAGTTCGTAGCGACGTTTCGTCGCATAAAGATTGCAGTCATAGTCTATATACCTAGATGTGCAGCTTGTTACAATAGTGTTATAGATACGGGCGAGGCACCCATCAAGAATTGTCGCATTCAATTTCGAGTTAAGCAGATAGATCGGACTGCTAGGCGAGCTGCCAATAATGTTTTGGATATTATTTAAGGCAGGATTTTCTACCAAGTCTGGACGACGTAGCAGAAGAGAAGTAAAAGTCCCATTCTCAGATTCGGCTGTTCTTGCAGAATCTGTGAGTGCGTTGGGAGCTGCCGTGTTATCTAGAAACGGTGTGGTGTTACTGTCAAAACCAACAAGATCGAAGTTGAACCACGATGCGAAAACATCCTGCTCAGCCAAAGAGTTATCTTGCGATTGGCCGTTGTCAAATGCCTCGACTAGAGTATTCGACGTGTCGCGTTCTAGAAACCGGCTCTGGTTAATCCTGACTGCATTCCGTCTTCGGCTTTTCCTTGTCACCACTCGTGTATGAGATCGGGCAAAATTAAAAGTGCACGGTTGTCCTGAGCGCCTGCATTTATTGCATACCGAGTCAGTTCCTTCATCTTTCGGAGATGGTAAGGAGCAACGGCGCTTTGATCGTCGGCATGCATCACAACTTGAATACTGGCGCCGTGAGGGTTCCGCAGAGGGCGTCATCGGCGCTGGAGAATTTGAGATTATGGCTATTCCTTGCCTCTCTAGCGGTGGGGAGAGTACAACATTCCTTAATCCCAGCTCTGCCTTTTTGATAATATCTGGTACCGTAGCGCTTAGTTTCAATGGTTGCCGGATAAGTATAGAAATGAAAGTTTCGATTTTCTTGGGGTACGATGTGCTGCGGAATAAATCGGACATCCGGTCAGGTGACGCGTGCCCTATTGCCACGTCTTTGACTGAGTGGTTGGATCTCTCCTACGTGGGATTATAGGCAAAAGGGAGATGAGATAAAAAGAAATATGGAAACATGGAGCGGGTGAGACCGTATGCAAAGTGCGATCAGAGCGACGCATATAAAAATGTCAATCTAAAGTTGGTGTCACAGCTTCGGCCTAGCGGCCATACGTGTATGACACCGGAAGATTACCGCCGCTTCTATCTAAATAGTCAAAGATAAGCAACATTATCTATAAATGATCTAAACACTTTCCCCAGCAGCTCGACGAATACAATCCACGATGAAAGCCGGATTGCTTAAAAATGGCGAATGACCCTCCTGACACCTCTCGACCTGAAAAGCACCCTCACCCTGCGCAATCATCCTTTCTTGATAAGACAGTGCCAAAGCCCTGTCATTCTCACAGACGATATACGTACTCGGAATCTCACGATAAGCCGCATATGTAGCTGGCACGGAGAGAGGGTTAGGCGGGAACGTGCCCAGCAGCTCCACAGCCTCATCCACATCCTTCGGATCGCAGTCATGGTAGAAGACATCCCGGACGACATCCCCATCGAGTAACATAGCTCCGTCCTGAATCAGGTCGCTAGCCATCAGCACATACCCTTTTACCTAAGGAATACCCCTATACAAAACACAGTAGAACCAATGAGTCATACCTCCGTAAACTTCATGCCCCCATATTTTGCCGCTAGTTCCTGACGTTGCCGCTCCAGCTCCTCTTCCTCAGGCGTCTGGGGCTGCACCTGACCAACATGAGTCTGACCCTCGGGCAGCGCCATGGCACACATGTACATTAGTCTCACGACACCGCCCTTGAGGCCTTGTTTCTCGCGCACTTCCTTCCCCAAGCCCTTCACGCCCTCGGACATGGGAATACCGCCGAACGAGTGAGCGATTGCAATGACATCTTTGCCACCGTCGATGCTCTCCATGATTACTTGGGACGGACTGCTCGGGCATCTTGCTCCCAGGTGGTATGGAGCGGGTTTGAATTCACAGAGGGTAATGTCACTGCGATCGCTTCGTAGTTGAGCTTTGTCAGTCCGTTGATGAGATGTTTGTAATGTTTCGGGCAGTGCCATGCTCCCGGCACGATTACGACGGTGGGGGTGTTGGTCATTTTGGTAGGATATATGGGGAAGAAAAAAGGATGCTTGCAATTTTCTGGTAAGTTAAGAGGTTTGATCCCAGAGAGTCCAAAGGCCGATGACAAGAAATAAATACGACGCCCAGGGCGTGCGGATCCGCAGTGAACTTTGTAATGGGATGGCGGAGCCGACGTCGAATTTAGGAACTGATAAACATCTTCACCGTTAAAGAGTAGTTAATTTTGTTACAGAGCTCCCTGCAGAATGTATTGTAATATACCTATTGAGAATTATTTAGTTGTACATGGATTTTATTGAAGCTCTGGGCTGAACTCGCCTATCGATGGGCTGGCTATATTACATTTGTATAGAGATGGTGGCGTTGCCCTACCTCGGAGTTAAATCGATAGCACCGACCCCGACCGGTGGTTTTGATTGGAGAATAATACCCAAGCACTCCCTCAGAGAGCCTAAAACTGCAGTGAGGTGGGTCACTACGTACTACCGAGTAGTCTGTGCGGTGCAGCGGGAAATATCCACACGGCAGTCTATAAGTAGGATGCAGCCAAAATGAAAAAACTCCACCAAGTCTAGTATATCAGTGGCGGTTCCGACCACCCACCGGCACCGCTACTGATAACTACGCCCGATATTTGATTTAAAAATATTTACTATAATTTCTACAGTGAATTCAGCTTGTGTTTAAAGATCTTCAGAATATAATCTGATATGCGATAAATATTTTAACAGATTAAAATTTTAAAATAGTAGGCAGTAAGTATATCTACAAGTTATATATCTAATAAAGATAGGTGTAGAAGATGGGGTATATATAATCTACAATATGTCAATAATTGGTGCGTGATAGGCCTGCCAATAACAACGATTTCACCTCTGCTGGATGCTATGGATAGACCGCCATAGATGGGACTGTACCTGACCTGCCCTTTTGGTTGGAGAACAATGTTCAGTTCACACAGTCGAAGAACCTCAAATTGCAGTGTATTAGGATTCAAAACCCTGCCAGTAGCGTGGCATACTTGGCGTCAATCGAGAACAAAACTAGTCGACTAAATAAGCTACATAGTAGTCTTCAGAAATAATATCCCAAGAACCGTGCACAATATACAACCCAATTGTACGGAGTAAATAAAACCATAAGCCGACCATATAAAGTAATTATAGAAGCATGCTGCATTCCTCAAACCAGACAATACCTCCCTGAAACCTGCAAATGAAAGTCCTTATTAAAACTTTTTAACTTAAATTAATATCATCCACTTTCTAGGGTAAGCGTAGAGTGATAACCCTCATTAAAAAGCCGCCTATCTATCATTGTTTTTGCCAGCCATTACTAGGTATTGCCTATATGAGACAAAGGTGAAAGAACGCAGTCTCCTTTATATAGGTTCATATATAGAAGCCCGTATGGCTATCCGACTAGAAAGATGGCCATAGGCCTAATATACTGGCTCAAATTCATACTTTCAAACCATCCACACCTACATCTAATAACATATATGACAAAACCCAGATTGCCCCAGAACAGCAGATATTCCTGTTCACATCTGTTTTTGTACGAAAAAGCGCTGCCCTGCGCGAATACTTGTCCTAGTACAATGGTAGCTAGACCTTGCTTGTGTGTGGAATAGAGTAGTGGTACTGTGTAGACTATTAGGGTAAGGCAGACATTGAGCATCTCGAGCAAGACGGGATATAATAAGGACATCAAGAATGAATTGAAGGGTTTACAGAGGCTCTATGGGAGCTTTGTATACGGCTGGGATATGGTGGCTGGACAGATGGTGTGCAGACTCAGTGAGATCATACTGATGGCGGACAAGGCGTTCGGACATGGGAATTGGAGGATTTGAGGCTGCTGCGAGGTTGTTAATGCAGCACATGGGGATACTATAGATGGTGGGGAGAAAGCCGTGGAGTGGAAGATAGATGTTAAGTCGCGGATGGTTGTGGAGCGGGATGGAAAGAAGGTTGAGGGAGTTGGGGAATGTCAGCTGCATCCTACAGTAGAGCAAGCGTTGAAGGGTTATAGCTTATGAGACTAGTTGAGTTAGGATGTATATGGGAGCAGCCGGGATTCTCCATAATTTAATGGCTTAATGGGGAGTCAAGTTCCATGTGCATGAGGTTAAAGATGGTTCCTGTATCTAGGGTTTATTTAAACTAATCAGCTAATCTAATGATTTCCAATAATTATTAATAATATTAACAGTATTAATATTGTCCTGATGCGTGATCTAGAATAGTATGATTTGATTATTCCCCTGTCTCATAGCCGAAGCCAATTGGTGAAAGTCTAAACAGATTGTTGCTGTTTGGGGGGCATCAAGCTTCCTATGTTTGGGAGTACTGGCCATCAAACGGGAAACTTTGCTTGCGCCGAGTCGCAATTCTTCAATGCAGTGATCGCGAAACCTACCTAGCATTACTCGCTGCTGAAGCGTACAGCTAGGCGCCCTAGATGCATAGTCTAGTAACCATAGGGCATGGTGTGAGAGTCGCATTCGAAACACGGTGTGGGTGATCTGGATACCAATATAGCCCGGGTACGTGTGATCGGGGCACGTGTAGGGTGCCGTTAGGGGCTCAACCTCGTATTTTGTTACTGGTTCCTCGCTGGAAAATGGATACGTTGCTTTCTCTACCTGATTTATTTCCTGCAGGATGGACCATGAGCAGGAGAGCATCTCATCAACGTCACCGACGTCAATGAGTCTTAGAATACGGCTGATGATACGGGCACACTGATAGGTATAAATATGGGCACGAAGCATGGGATATTCGGATGGTTGGCAGTGTTGGTGAAATTTGATGAACCAAGTCGGACAGTCACTAAAATCATGGCTGGGAACAAGCGCGTGCGCCAGCTAATATCCTTTATCAGAATGGAGATAGAATCTAGAGACAGTCAAGCTTACCACATTACTGAAGATGATCGTAAACAAACGGCGTCCATTCAGAGAGGCGAAGATTTCCGAGCCGCGTAGGGAAACCAGGTGCGTGAGCACCTGGTTGTGGGATTTCCATCCAGGAGTACCGTCCGCCCGGACAGAAGGATCAGAAGCGCCTAGAAATACCTTGATGGCCAGGTCGTCAGCGAGCAGATTGTGACCGATGCCGCTATCGATTATTTACCTCGAACATGCTGAGGAACCAGATAGCCAGTAAAGTATTATCGCTTCTGCATTCCTTGCGATCTCCGATGGCCGAGCGGAGAGTAGAGAGCGCGTTGCCGTATGCCCTCGCTCCCTCGGAGACAGCCTTGGCTGACCGGGTTTTACCCATCATATACGCACGACCGACGGCGTTACAGGCTGAGTACAGGCTGGATCCCTCTCTCGCTTTGGATAGGAGACGTGGAACACTGCTGAAGACATCGTCGGCCAATGTAAAATAGAGCTTGAGTTCATCCAGTACGAAAGGCATGAAGTGGTCATGCCAAAACTCGAGCAAAGGAGCCCGTGGACCATATCCGTCGCATGTGCGACCAGTCGAAGTGCAGCGTCGGCAGGAGGGCTTTTCTTCATCACATTTGATTTTCCGGATTCTGCACCAAATTGGTCATCATAGGTCCCGGCATTCGCGCAGATATCTCACTTGCAAGTAATACATCCGGACTTTACCTTCGGAGCCCAACGTCTCATTCGGACAGTAGGCATTTCAGATGCCTCACTTTTTTTCGAGTCTTGCGGTATGATTGTTACCATTTTGCCCTATTACCAAAAGTGCTCCTCGGCTGCTGAACGTCGAGAAGGATTAGGGATGCTCTTGAGTGTAATGACTGAGTACGTCAAAAAGATCACAAAATGCCTTGAATTACTCACCGAAGATATAACTAGGAAATACATTAGCCCCTTAGAGATTGGGTTGGTTGCAACACAAGATCAGTGGTCCTGCATCGGAGCCTAGGGCATATGTAATAGTCACTTCCCAAATCTTCTGATCACCTGATTCTACCCCGCCTTCTTGATTTTCAACGCGTGATATCTTAGTGGACAATCGGGTGATTACCCTCTCTAGCTACGGGGGAAAAACCCCTGTAGATTGTATGGAGCTAAGCTGTGTGAATAAGGAGAAGATAAGCATCTTCAACCCATAATGAGCGTCTACCAATATCGGTTTTCCATTCCAGGTAACCTTCTTCCCATATTGAGCTAATTTTTACCTACAATAAGCTGTAAGAGCGGTAATTAGTCTATCGGTAGTTGATATATATAAATAAGGTATATCTAAATCTAAATATTAAAATTTACCAGTACCTTAAATAAGCAAGCACTGTACCTACCTCAACCCTGCATCTTTCACCATCTCACCAATAATACTTGGCATAGGCTTATTTGTCACGGGTAGGTTGGGCCTTAACCGAACTTCATGTCGGCAAGAAATTAAGCTTAATTTACCACCAGGTTGCCGGCAAGGAAGTTGAGCAGAACTGTGTTCTAGACTCCGGTCTCTCCACATCCTTACGTATCCCGGGTGATTATCCTTGAATCGGCGATTGAGGTTCGTATTGATCGTGGGGATGATGTGATGTTAACATCAGTGCTTTCTCTCGGCCGACTTCATGGTACGAAAATATTCTCTCGGACGATAAAACAAATATTCGCCCGAGGGGAGAGTGAGGCGAAATTATTCCAAGGATTGACAGTGGGAGAGTCCTTGTAACGTAAACAAGAAGAAGAGGTCATTAAAACTAGAGAACATAAGTCTTGATGGTATTGATCCCCGTTCCCCGCAAAGCGCGGGGGTCCTAGTCTTAAGGGTTCCGGGGAGAAGATGAAGGAAGCGGCTTCAATGTGTTCGGGAAAAGCCGTTCGTTCCCAAGCTCTCGGCCGTAGAGGGTCCACTGAAAGGAGAAGGTCCGATATCGGCTGCCAAGACATCGATCACATCATCGCGGAGACAAAAGAAATGCAGAATTTGAACAGAAAAAGGGGAATTATTGATTAACGATTGCAGGGTCAAAGAAAAGAGCGTAAGTAAATAGTATAATTAGCACATAGAAAAATTTCTGGATATCACATTGCTAGCTCTTTTTAAGATTCCATTATTTGATTTTTGTAGATTACAAACGAGCTCCCGGCTCGGTTCTTAGTTATTACGCCAGCCCTTGGGACCGGCCCATTTCCCCTTCACCATGGCCTGGTAGTACACCCAAGGGAAGAAGTCTTTCTTCAGATGGTAGAATGCACGACGGGGAGTGGCCTGGTCAATACCGAACCAGTTACCGAAGGTCTCCTTGGGTTGTCCGCCGTACTTGAACTCTGCCAGAAGGACCTTGCCGTACTCGGTCAGGAGGGGGCACGAGGTGTAACCGTCGTAGCCTCCCTCAGGCTCCTTGCCCTCTATCGATGAGAGTAGACCACGAACGAGGATTGGGGACTGCGAAGTGATTGCGGCCGCCGTCTTGGCCGTCGGGAGACTGGAGGCATCGCCTGCAGACCAGACATTGGCGTGTTTCTTGTGGCGCAAGGTGCCCTCATCAACATCGACGAAACCAGCCTCATTCGCCAGAGAGCTGTTCTTCACAAACGCATGCGGCCCCATCTTAGGCACGACGTGTAGCAGGTCGAACTGTTTCTTCACTTTCTCCTGTCCATCGGGACGAGCAAAAGTGGCCGTGTTACCTTCGACGGCGACAAGGTCATGCTGGAAGAGTCCTTCAACGCCCCGTTCTTTCCGCAGGGCCTCGAGAGTGGCGCTGTACTTGGGTACACCAAACATAGCGGGGAGAGCAGTGGCAAAGCTGATGTTAATGGCAGAACTGGAAGGACTGCCAGGGTTATACAAGCCGGCTCTCTTCCAGTGGTCCAATGCGAGCCACATAACTTTCTGGGGCGCACCCGCACACTTGATTATGCCAGCAGGCTGTGTGAAGAGGGCAACACCTTTTTGGAGCCTTTGAACAGTGCGGAAGACCTTGTCGCAGGTGTCATAACCGTAAATAGTAGAGACAAGAGAGTCCGGGGATTCAAGAGCCTCACGAAGGCCTTCAATGCTCCCATAGTTAATGTTAATGCCAGGCACAACGACCAGGTGCTCGTAGTTGACCTTGTCACCATTGCCGAGAGTGACCAGGTTATCTTCAGGAGAAAATGTGGCAACGTTGTCGTTATAGAATTTGAGTTTAGGATCAATCAAGCTGTTCATCGGCCTGCGCAGCTCCTCCTTAGTCTTAAGACCGCCGCCGACGAGTGTCCATCCGGGCTGGTAATGATGCCACGACGCCGGGTCGACCACAGCAATATCGTCTTGAGTGAATTTGCCAGACTGAAGAAGTTGATGGCTGATTGACAGACCGGCCGAACCACCACCAATCACCACAACCTTGTGATTGCGGGAAGCAGAGTTTACTGGCGATACAGTTGCGAGAGTCCGTGTTGCCGGAACCTTGTGTGCAGCAGCGCAAGCGGCCGATGTTACACGAGAGCGAAACATGTCGGGTAATAAAGTAAAGCGGGAAAACAAGAAATTGGGTATTTGAGAAGGTAAAACAAAAGGCGGGCAACAGGACCTCTAAAAAGGAAGAAAAGCCCTTAGGTAAAATGAAGTAACACTGGGGAGTGGAGGATAAGATTAGTAGAACGTGGGACGATTTTTGATCGCCGACTGCTCTCTTTATGTACCTGACAGCACGTGGACCCGGTCGGCGAAGAATCGGAAGGGTCGCCACCACCCGGAAACGGGTGGGCCACGGCCCACGGGAGCCCTAACATTTGACATCCTTAAGTAGCATATTCCCTCTCCTCTCGACAACCAACCAGTTTCCAGGTATATTCACAGTATCATAACATTATGAAACCCGTTAGACATCAAGTTTGCCACAATTGGCACACAGCTATGAATTCCCTTGGGTCTCTGACAAAACCAGCGCGGGTCCTAACCCTTAGTCGGCCACTCCAGTCACTTTGCCAACATGCCGGAAACAGAACCGGATACGCCTCCAGAGCCTATTCTTCATTATCTCATACAGATTCTCAGAGCCCTTCTTTGAAATATAAATTAGTCCGTGGACGTTTCTTGACGTATAATACTATGCGGTCCATGCAATCCGTTCCCACCAAAAGCCCGCATGCGTTAACAGAAGGCCGAGTTGCATACAGTACCGAAGCCACTGTAGCCGGAGAACCTACGGTCCACGCTGTCTTCGAGAAAAAGACAGGCACATGGCAGTACGTCGTTGCTGACCCTTCCACTTTGGCCGCTGCTATTATCGACCCTGTCTTGGACTATGACCCGGCCACCCAGGTTATTACCACTTCTTCTGCCGACTCACTACTCTCATTGGTCAAGGACAAGGGTTATAAAGTCGACAGGATCCTCGAGACCCATGCCCATGCGGACCACCTTACAGCAGCGTCTTACCTTCAGAAGCGCCTCACCGAAATACAAGGTGGCAAGCCACCTATCGGCATTGGCAAGCGCATCGGGCAGGTGCAGAGATTGTTCGGTCAGAGATATGCCGTGCCTCCTGATGAGTACAAAGTTGTCTTTGACACACTCTTCAACGACGATGAGCAGTTCAACATTGGGGATTTGACAGTCACAGCTATGCACCTTCCCGGGCATACTCCGGACCATTTAGGCTATAAGGTTGGAGGTAAGATTCCTATCACAATTATATCCCTAACAGAGTCTTGCTAAGATAGTATTAGACAATGTATTCTGTGGAGATTCCCTGTTCCACACTGACATCGGCACCGCACGCTGTGACTTTCCCGGCGGTAGTGCACACAGCCTTTTTAACTCGGGACGCAAACTGCTGAGTCTGCCAGATCATGTTAAAATTTGGACCGGCCATGATTATCCACCAGAGGACCGGGAAGCTCCGATACCTTGGTTAAGTGTTCAGGAACATAAGAAGCATAATCGCCACCTTAAGGACGGCATTACTGAGGATGAATTCGTGTCCCTGCGGAACGAGCGCGACACTAAATTAGGAGAGCCAAGGTTACTCCACCAGTCGCTGCAAGTAAATATCCGGGCAGGACAGCTTCCCAAGCCAACTGAGTCTGGTCATAGAATGCTTCATCTGCCGCTGAAGCTCAAGGATACGATTTGGTGATGTAGACCAGTATACTTGGGAAAGACTTGGCAGCCCTGCTGAAATAGCATAGGTGGGAGTGTCAAGCCAAACTGCGGAGCTCAAGGAGAAAATTGGAAACAAAAGCCTTGTCGTCTGGATAGGATCAACCTTATAGTAATCTGCTGATACAAGAGTTCTGCACACGATGTATGTATTTCATTTGGGTCAGGACCCCCTCATTTCTTGGAACCCTTGACTGAAGAAAACCGGCCTATTAGCCTACTCCACAGGTAGATGTTCAAATGAGCAGACAGACTGGCTCTTGTTATGAACGGAAAAGCATCTACCAATTGATCACATTATATAAATTATTATGTATTTAAGGTAAGAGGGAAACTGGATGAACATATTTGGATTAATTACATATCGGTTTTTACTACCCGCCTGCCAGAAAGAGGGAGAAAGTTCATAAAGTATAACTAATATTATGTTAAGCTATAGCTTCCTACAAAGAATTATTGTGTGCATAGTACATCTAACAACCCTTCTTGCAGTCTCTGCAGGAATTATAATTTGTGAAACAATATTTTGCAAAGTCCCACATATTGTTTTCAATGCTGTATGCTGGACGCTATGGGTCTATTGGCACTATTTCACGGCTTCAGAGCGCATACACCGAAGAAATTAATCCAAAATAATGTACATCATAGCCACAATAATGGCCACCAAAAACATTACAGTAATTCTTTTGTCGCTTCAGCGTTTATATCATAGCTACCCCATCAGTGACAATTGTAGCCTTTCACAGCAGCAAGATCATATGCAAAATAAAATATACCTTTAGTATAGTAGTTTACTCCTGACATAATTAGCTATGAGAACTATAGCAGAAGCGTTAAAAAAATGCATAGTCTATAATACTAAATACCTTCCAATCTTGATTTCAACGGGAAAGATATTAACAAGAACCTGTATGAGAGTAAAGTTTTAGGCAAGTACTTTAAAGAATACAAAGATTTTAACATACTGGGGATACACAGGACTTCTTAAACACCCTTGAAGGTGGCCTTATTTGAGTTTACAATTTTTTGGAGACAGATTCGAAAAAAGGCCAAACTTGACTTGGTTGGCACTACTTTCTTGAACTTCCGTGTATAATAATGTAGTTACGATACTCTCTTTCTTATGCTGCAATGAATAGGATTTGGGTTTAACTCTCGTCTTTGAACTGCTTCTCCAAATAGCTGGGGTTGTGTATAGTACTTAATATTGTTATTATTTTTAGGAATATAACCCAGGTACTCTATTTATCCACTGCCTAAATGAAGCCACTCTTTCATCCGCTTGTTCTTCTTTTGGGCTTCCATTCTTAGCCGCGCATATAAATAACCTGAATTAATTGCAAGGGTATTATTATCATTCGAATAGCTCCTCTATTATGGCCGCAGAAAGCAGCACTGCCTCTACTCCCACAGTGTTGTCTAGATGTCATATGTCGGATTCCCGTACAACCACCATACATTCTCAGCTATGGAAGACGGCACTGCTTAATCTCTCATTACGAGTACCGATTTGATTAGGTCTCAGTATAGGTTTTTTTTTTATATACTATTATTTTTAGCAGAGCTTTATCTCCCTATACTAGAATGCAAATGCAGAGACCCAATGTCAAGATCAGGACTCTGAGACAACATAGCATAACGGATGGAAGTTCAGGATATGCCCCCGTCCGCAGAGGTGAATGTTTCTGGTCTATCATAGTTCACTTTAGTTGCTCTTAAGCTTCCTTCAATCACGAGCCAGCACGCCGGGGGTGCTTACCTACCACTCACTGTCTGTATATTAATATTTTCTTGGCTAGGATGTTTTATGTACGTTTCAAAGTCTACAGTATTCACACCGTACTTCTTGTTTGCATTTTAGGTGTGCCGCAGGACGATCTTTCCACTAATATAAAGCGATGCATTATGACTTCTAGTTTGCCTGTGATTGATGCTTGCAGAAAAAACTTTGATAGTCAACGGTATTCGCCCAAACAATTAGGCATCTACATATATATATTGGAACCTGACGGATACGGCTAAAGCGCTCAACATGGAACAGTTGTGAGGTTCATGACGAAGATCATACTGGATAGAAAGTGAGTATTTAGTATAGCAAGGACAGTAAGAGAGACGGATACTATTAATGGTACACGCCAGCGACTTAGCAACTATGTAGGTCGCAAGCAATATATTAGGACCCAATCAATAGACCTAATAAAGTCAAAACAAAACTACTGATACTTACTGGCGAATAAAGGTACAGGAACAGTGGCAAGCAATCTCGATTCAACCAAGCACCTACTCACTAGGTGTAATCATCCTCCGATATTAGGTGATTTCATAGACATATCCAATGGCTTCCCATGGGAAAGCTCATGATACACAATCCTGTTGACACTAATCCACCTGTTACAGGAGAGAGGGACATAGGTTCCTAAGATAAGCAATCCATGACTCTAGGGTGCATCGAATGTATATGTATATCGTACAGCACAGTATGTTTGGAGATAAGAAGGATAAACATAAGGACATGAAATTTAAACCTTATTAATAGATTGTGATTGCACTATCTATGATATGATGGGACAGAGATTCAATATCTGTATCTCTCATCACCTACGACTTTGAGGGTGAGCAAGGTATTGAGCCCCATGGGGCAATACAATCCATATGTTGCTAAACCCAATACGAACACTTGGCTGAAAGGGGCTAGACCGGGCTGGACAAGTCTATTCCTGAAGCGGCAATGCTATCCATTGTGGGGAACGTGACTGCGGATGCCACTAAACTAGAAGGGGCAAAAAGGAACCCATGACCATTCATGGTAAACTTCACCCTTGTTCACCATCCAAGTTATCAGTCGCGATCGAGAACCATGGGCAAGTCCCGACCGCTTCCCTTCGGAAATAATACAAACTATGCCTTATCTCGCACGCCCTTCCGAGGAAGAGGCGGGGAAGTGACATGATAATCATGTTTCCCGCCGCTCATCGATGATTGTCTGCAAATAAATAGCTGCCTCCTCTCAACAGGCTGGAATAGCGAATCAAGAGGTTTTCTCATCATGGATCCCACACACAGAGTTGTTATTATTGGGGCTGGTATCGTGGGTGCTAATCTCGCTGACGAACTGGTTTCCCGCGGATGGAAGAACATCACTGTCGTCGAGCAAGGCCCTTTGCATATGCCGGGTGGCTCGACGTCACACGCTCCCGGTCTCGTGTTCCAAACAAATGCCTCCAAAACCATGACACATCTGGCCCGGTACACTGTCGAGAAGCTACTTTCTCTTGACTGTTTCAACCAGGTGGGTGGTCTGGAGGTGGCGACAACCCCTGAGCGGCTCGAGGAGCTTAAGCGGAAACACGGTTACGCCTCGTCATGGGGAATCGAGGCGCGCCTTGTAAGCGCCGAGGAATGCCTCCAGATGTATCCTCTTTTAAATAAGGAGAAAGTTCTCGGAGGCATTCATATCCCAAGCGACGGCCTGGCACTAGCGGCTCGCGCGACACAGCTGCTCATCGAACGCACGCGCAATGCTGGAGTCCGCTACCTTGAATTGACACCCGTTACCGGCATTGAGCGCGCAGGTCATCGAGTGACAGGAGTAAAGATCCCCACTGGGATTATTCCTGCCGATATTATCATTTCCTGCGCTGGCTTCTGGGGTGTCGAGTTAGGTGCTATGGTCGGCGTACCGATCCCTTTGCTTCCGCTAGCGCATCAATACGCGAAAACGACGGCTGTCCCCGCTCTCGTTGGACGTCACATTAACAGCCTTCCAAATGGACGGAATGCAGTGCGGCCTATACTACGTCATCAGGACCAGGATCTCTATTATCGCGAGCATGGGGACCAATACGGTATCGGCTACTACGGCCATCGTCCCATGCCAGTTGTCGCTGCGTCATTGGGTTTAACCCCTAAACATGTTGATGAGCAAAATATGCCGTCCCGGCTAAAGTTTACCAGCGAGGACTTCGACCCAGCCTGGAAGGAGACTCAAGACTTGTTGCCTGCTTTACGGGAGACGCAAATCGCCGACGCTTTTAATGGAATTTTCTCGTTCACGCCAGATGGTGGACCTATTGTTGGACAAGCACCAAACCTTGAAGGATTCTACGTCGCTGAAGCAGTGTGGGTTACCCATTCGGCTGGTGTCGCGCGAGCCCTAGCGGAGGTGCTCACAACGGGCTGGTCACAAATCGACCTCTCCGAGTGCGAGCTATCTCGTTTTGAAGAAATTCAACTTAGCCGTGAATACGTGAACGAGACATCACAACAGAACTTTGTTGAAATCTACGATATCATCCACCCATTGCAGCCGAAGGAGTCGCCTCGGAACCTTCGACTTAGTCCATTCTACAGTAGAGAACGAGAGCTAGGCGCCGTTTTCCTCGAGCTTGGAGGCTGGGAGCGTCCATTCTGGTACGAGGCGAACGCAGAGCTGCTGAAGTACCTTCCGGCGCAATGGCAGCCTGTCGAGCGGGACGCCTGGTCGGCACAGTTTTACTCGCCTATCGCCGCAGTAGAAGCGTGGAAGACACGCAATGCGGTAGCTATGTACGACATGACATCATTTCACCGATTTGAGGTTTCAGGACCTGGGGCGCTCGACCTGCTCCAACGGTTAACTACCGGTGATATTACTACAAAGCCTGGCACTATCACTTATACCCTACTGCTCAACGACCATGGAGGGATTCGCAGCGACATTTTTGTTTCAAGACTGAGTGAGGATGCGTTCCAAGTCGGTGCGAATAGTGCCATCGACCTGGAATATTTGGTCCGAGAGAGTCGCCGCCAAGGGCAGCACGCTCCGAGCCGGTGGGCGCAGGTGCGTGACATTACTGGCAGCACCTGCTGTATCGGACTATGGGGTCCTCGCGCCCGAGACGTCATCACCACAATTAGCACAGACGATTTCACTAACAAAGGACTTCCTTATTTGGGCGTCAAGCGTGCCACCATCGCCGGTGTCCCAGTCACAGCCTTGCGGAAGTCATATGTCGGGGAGCTCGGATGGGAGATCCAGACCAGCGTCGAGTATGGCCAGAGGCTGTGGGACGCTATTTGGCAGGCAGGAAAACCACATGGGCTCATCGCAGCTGGTCGTAGCGCATTTAACGCCCTGCGGTTGGAGAAGGGCTATCGAACCTGGGGTTCTGACATGACTACCGAACACAACCCGTACGAAGCAGGCGTTGTTTCTGCTATCAAGACGGACAAAACGGTAAACTACGTTGGCAAAGCTGCGATTCAGCGTGTCTCTAGACAGGCACCAACAAGACGACTGCGCTGTCTCACCGTGAATGACGGCCGTTCCATCGTGCTTGGAAAGGAACCAGTATTCTACAAAGACAAAGCCGTTGGGTACGTCACGAGCGCCGCATTCGGTTATACGGTTCGCAAGCCGGTCGTGTACGCCTGGCTGCCCTCTAATGTGGCCGAGGGCCAGATTGTTGAAATTGAATACTTCGGGCGGAGGATCCAGGCCACCGTCACGGCCGAGCCATTATACGACCCCCAAATGAGCCGACTATATGCAGATGGCTCATCCATGGCACCTGAGTTCCAGAAGCCCTTGAAACATCTTTTATAAGAATGCGACGACGACTCAAGTGGATGATGATGATGTGATGATTAGCGCTGTTTCTACTAGTTTCATTGAAATTTGGACTTGTACATGGGATCGAAACCGGAAGGGTAATGGCAAGGCTGTTTGTGGATTATCAATAGAACCTACGCATGAGTTGGGCGAGCGTTTTAGACGCTTCATTGGTATTTGCTTCTGTTTACATGCGAAGTTAGTCTTATGTGACCATGAAAATTCCAGCGTTATGCATTGATATGACATTATTGAAGTTTCCGACTTGGTAGACGTTGCATCGCAGTGATCCTCCTCGAGTATCAGACCTAATGTAAGCCCTAATTGGGGGGGGTATGGCGCTCCAGGAGCCAAACCGAGCGCTAGGGCGCCTTAAACGAATGTATTTTCTATGATGATCCCATCCCACAAAAGCCTTGGTATGCTTTATTTAGCGATCTGCAGTCTCATAAAGTCAAATGAAGGCTACGTGTTCCGCGTCTCCATCCCAATGAATAGGTGGGGGCGGAGTCCACCTGTCCTATTTTAGGCACAGAGCCAATCTCCTTGCACAGGTAAACTACATATAAACACCGTTAATAGCAAGTCTTTCCCAAAGGAACGGTGATTACGATCAACATGCGAAGGTCTGGCCAAACTCCAACTAGGCAACACGCTCAACTCAACAAGCGCTCTCGGGTGTCTTTGGCTTGTGATATCTATCGCGTCCGCAAGTCACCGGTAAACTTGCTTGAAACCATAGACGCTACAACCATAAGCTGATAATGACTCAGTGCGATGGCACCCGCCCCAGCTGCTCTTCCTGTACGAGTTTGGCCTTCGAGTGCGTGTACACCACGCCCACCCAAATGCAGAACACCATTGCCCGGAAGGAGTTCGTGAAACCTGTACCGGATCAATTACCGAGGTACCTAAATGGAGCTTACTTTGCCACAGGTGCTTTCAAGCCCTCGAGGATCGTATCAGGAGCGTAGAAGAAAACCTAAATACCTTACAGACTAGTCTTCAAGCCCTGTAAATTCAGTCGCAGACACCCAAGCTCACAGCTCAGTGTGCTTCGAATAGCAAAATCACTACTTCTCAGATATTGCGACTAACGGCCCTTGTCCATGAGGGAGATCCAGGACTCCTCGATACAGTTCTCTCCTATTAGCAATACCTGACTACTACGTCAAGCTTGAGCTACCCACAAATCATGAATGCATCGATACATCTACAACCGTAGATAATAGAACCACTGACATTAGTGTTTCTTGTCTGAATTCAACAATGTAGTTCAGCGTAGGGGCCATCCACTAGATGATATGGAGTTCAACCCCTCTGTTACGATCGAGGAACTTCTAACGTTAACGAAATGGTGCGGAGATCATTCCTATTGATGAATGGCAGCTATTCACTAGACAAGAGCTCTACAGCTCTCCCCTTGGACAGGGACAGGGCTATTCCTAGAACAACCGAGCTTTCATTTTCAGTCTGTTCATAATAGAGATTTCTTAATTTTAGATCATCGATAATGCTTATTCTTGATCATGTTCCCGACGGATCTTCCCATTCTCCCACAATCCCCACGGGATCGATGACTATCAGGATTAAGGCTGGATATATTCAAATATATTCACGATGCAATACCATGACATAGTTTATTGTACAGCGTCTCAAAGACCAGAAATAAGAAGAATAAAAAGCCCATTTCAAGCAGAAAGGTGAACAAAGTAAAATAGAAATTGCTTGCTTTAATCCCAAGCGTAGCTAATGACCACTATATACGTCGAGAATAGCACACACATGCAAGCGCTCGTAAGGATAGAAAGATAGTCCGAAGCCTCAAAGCATCAATAGCAACTACACACCAATAAACTCCCTTAGCTTCTGCTCATCCAAGATCTCCCCCTCAACCAACTTCCCCGTCTCCACAGTCTCCCCATTGACGCGCTCATACCGCACCAACGCCGGGATACAAGGGATCTTCCAGGTAGTTCTGTAAACATTCTGCAGATCCTTCCATCTATGGCTCAAGTAAGCAAATACCTCAAGTTAAGTTCCTAGAGAAAAAACAAAGAAGTCTTACTCAGGCTTTTGTCCAACCTCAACTACGGCGAGTTCGGGCGCGTTGGACGGGGAGAAGGTCCTTTTGAGAACTGGCCAGCTGGCACGGACATCTGGACACCAGGATTGGCCGGTCGCGGGGTCATCGGAGGTCACGAACACGATGAAGGCTTTTGCGTCCGCACCGTCTGGTAGAGAGAGATGCTTTGCTGAGCTGGGGAGTTCGAAGTCAGTGATTAGGGGCATTTTGGCTGGTCTAGATTGAGTAGATCAGAATGTTTGGTGTGTCAGGAAAAGAATTCCAAGAAAACGCCGTTTTCTTTCTTTGATGTGGGGCGGCGGGGGGGATGTTGATGCCTTAACTTCCGGGCATCAATATGAGAGTGTATAAAATTGAAAGCTTCTGCTGTACGATTTACGAACACAACAAGGGGACCAGAAGTTCTCCGACTTGGATTAAGTTGGGAAGTTTCATCAACGCTGGAAGCGGTCTTGATCTGCAGAGACGCGCGGCGCAGCAGCAGCAGCAGCAGCAGCAGCTTATGCGGCGTTTATGGATGTAGTTATCGTCCGGCCCTTGCTATATGATCATCATTACACAAAGATGGTTGAAGCCGGTCAGATACACCTCATGTATTGAAAGTGGCCATGTGATGAGCACTGGTAGTAGTACGTTAACTCTGCATCTCCCTCCATCCTCACGTCGTACTAACAGATCACTCCCTCGTAGTAAGTAGTAGAGAACAATAAGCGTGATGGCTAGCTGCACTGGGCGTAGAGAAGCGTAATTCCTTGGTGTATGGCTAGAAAAGATCGTTTCGGCTTGACTCAGCGCTGAGGATGTTGTCCATCGGAACGTCCCGATGCCCTGACAATCACAGTTATTAGCCCCCCTACACAATGTCCTCAAGTATAAAACATAATTTGTATAATGGAGCAAGGCTGGCATGTGTGATAAACAGTAGCAATGGATTTCCAGGGAGCATGCCTCAAGGATCAATGAATTTGGGGTGGTAGCGACTCAATAGGCGTCAAGATAAGGGTCAATACACATATGAAATTAATCTTTGTAGCGATAGGATTGTTAGATTTCATGTTTATTAGTCATTCAGGGGGCATTGCGCAGCAACATATCAAGGATATGTGTATAGTAGTAATACTTATAAAATTCAAAGGTCAAACCCATATTGATCGGACTATGATGGCGGCTGTAGTTCTATCAGCGACGCAGACGCATTCCTGCAATATGTACAATATGTATCTATCATGCTACTAACTCATCTGAACCCCGTGAAGGATTTATAGTTGCAAAAATTAGTTAGAGCGAATAATATCATATAATTTTATCTGTTAATCTTAACTCCACTTAGTAGGAGAGTGGGCCCGGGTTTCCGTTCTCGATTTACTGATTTATATGAGCCAAGCGGTACTTCACCGACAAAAAATTATACAACGAACTATCGTTTTTCTTCATGGATTTAACAGCATTTGAGTTATTTCCATTTTGAGGCGAGATTTCATGGTTACCTCCATCGGAGGTATAGAGATAGAAGATAATTCATTCTACTAGAATTAAATGCCGAAAGTTAATGTTAATTAGAAGAAAAACGTTTGTGACCCACTCGCCTAACAACCACAAAATGATCACGTTCAGCTGTTCAGGATTGGAAAGACTGTGCGAAAAGGGATTACAGAAATTCTTGAGGACCATACAAAGGGTCTTGTTTAAATTAAGGTCTCAAATAATCATGACGTGGCGAGTGGCGATCATTCCTCTGAAGAAAGTTTCTCCAGTCGGAGTATACTATCCTCCAACGCTTCCTTCCGGCGAATAAATCTCCCTCAATTATATTTCTAAGATTTGTCAGAATGGTGGGTTGATCACCGTCGTGTAAGCGAGGCCCCCACCCTTATAAGAGCCAGCATATATTGGAAGGATTCGACCATTCCATTACCCCGTGCGTAGACGAGTAGTCTTTCTTCCCCTCCCGCACGCACAGTTCGCCATCTTTGTCGAGGATGGGGATAGTCGATTTATTCTTAGAAATCCGCTGGCTCATCGCCGGCGGTCTATTTACCTTCTATATTGTGAAAAAGATACAAACGTATAATCGTCTACGTCACTTCAATGGCCCAGTTAGCTGTCGATTCACCAATTTCCTGCATACCAAGGCGGTCCTCAGCCTGGAGTGCGAAAGATGGTATAAAGAAATGAATGACCAGTACGGTAGGTAGATTCCTCGTTGGCAAGGCCGGCAGGCCAGTCTGATGGGAGTCCGTAGGCTCGATCGTCCGCATAGGCCCAAATGCACTCCTCACTTCGTCGCCGGAGTTATGGATACACATGAATGCTGTCCGGTCACCGTATAAAAAGTCCGACTGGTATTACCACACTGCTCGGTTCAAACTGGGCGAAGATAACGTCTTTACTGAAACGAATACCGAGAAGCATGATAGGAGGCGAAAGCAGATGTTGATGGGAGTATGTCTTCCTCAAGACCATACTCGTTCCATTAGCTTATCTGTTTTTTTTTTTTTTTTTAGTATTCCGGGAAGGAAAACCTGTCGCTGGAGTCCGACATCGATCTCCGAGTGCAAGACTTTTTCGATCTAATTCGCAATCGATACTTGTCCACCGAAGACAACCCGAAGCCCATGGACCTCGCGAAGAAAGTGCAATACTTGACACTGGATGTGATCAGCACTGTCGGCCTGGGGAAGAGCTTTGGCATGCTGAAGACCGATACTGATGTCAATGAATATGCCAAGTCAACAGAAGAAGGACTCTTGCTAGCGAACTTCCTCATGGGCACGGGTCTGCACTGGCTCACGCAGACTCAATGGCTCGGGAAGTTTCTCGGACCATCCACCAATGATTCGACGGGCTTCGGGAAGATGATGGCGACAGCTGAACAGATGGTGGCAGAGAGACTCAGGAGCCCAACTAACTCGAAGAGTGATATGCTGGCTTCGTTTATCAGGCATGGACTTACCGGTGACGAACTAACGCAGGAGGCGTTTGAACAGATCTTGGCTGGATCCGACACCACCGCGTCAGGGATCCGCGGTATTTTCCTCTCCCTCTTTACAAACCCGAGGGTTTATAAGAGGCTGCAAGCTGAGATCGATGATGTGGTCCGGACTGGCGGGCCCCTTTCGCATGGCATCATCTCCGACACCGAAGTAAGACGACTCGAATACCTGCAAGCGGTTATCCGGGAAGGATTGCGGATCTTTGTGCCCGTCGTCAACATCTTCGCTAGAGATGCACCTCCTGAAGGCGATGAAGTAACTATTAACGGAGAGTCTGTCTTTATTCCTGGTGGTACTTGGATTGGATATTCTGCGCTTGGTATGCATCTCAGCAAAGCCACCTATGGGGATGATGCGGAGGTCTTCAGGCCAGAACGGTGGCTGATTGACGACAAAGACCGTCTGGCAAATATGACCAGAGTTAATGACCTAATATTCGGATATGGTCGCTGGAAGTGTCTCGGACAAACAGTTGCGCAGCTTGAGATTGGCAAGATCATTTTTGAGGTAGACAATACCCCTGAATACAGTCATTCCCTACAAACTGACTTTTGTTTTTTTTTAAGGCACTGCGTAGCTTTGACTGGGCACTTGTCAATGCGGAGAAGCCGTGGTGTAAAAAGAACGTCCTTGGACTCTTTGCCGTGACCGACATGTGGGTTACAGTAACAGCGAGACAGAAGTAAGACTATCCTATGTCTCAAGATATTGGCGTGACGTGGTGAAGGAATATCAAATAGGTAGTTGAGGTATAAGCTAGTAAGCTAGTCCCACATGTTTCCAACAAAGCATATATATATATCACCCGATCACTGTCGTTTGTCGGTGATTATAGTAGGCTAGAATGATATGTATCTTTTTGGAATCTGTTCGCTTACAGTAACTCCTAGACAAAGGACAGGCGGTCTGGACGCTAGCGAGAAGAACCACGTTTATTATAGATATCGGGTAGGATAGTAATGCTTAATTATGAAACTTTGTTAGCTAAATTAAGGGCTCAACCGGGAGTGTCCGCATGTTTTCGCGGCAACGTCGGTATGTTGGGGAACGAACGGGACGATATTATATTCCTGCCTGTCAGTCCGGAGATAGGCCGGTAGGGATAGCCGTGCTTATCAACTTTTTCGATTCTATCTAGAATTGCCTAGAGCATAGCCCTGCCCTTAGAGAGCAGCAGCTATTGAACCCTGTGCCGAAAGAAACGGAGAAAGTATGGAATCGCCATGCCGGTTGAACGTACTCTCTGACCAAAAGTTATGCGTAAAGTAATGCCTACCACTTTCTGCGGAGCAATCGTCCCACCAGGTTTCCGTTCAGGATATAAGAGCGAGCAGGAAAACCTACATTTTGCCACATAACATGCAATCTACCCTCTCGAAAGCTATTCCAAACCATCAACGGACATGCGCTTCTCTTCTTCGGCCTTGTTCAGCCTGATTTTCACGGCTAGCGCCCATCTCGGACCACACACCGAGCCCTCCGATACCCAAATCATTCACAAGGCTGCTCTATCTTCCCGTTGCATGAAGGATGTCGTGCGTTTCAATGAGAAACGCTAGAAGAGGGGCTTCAAGCCTGCTCTTGGCAACGCAACAGTCCCAATCCGTACGCAAGCGCCCTACTATCAAACCTTCCAGAACGATACCTGTATTTTCTCCCCCGAGATAACCGCAGGGCCCTGCTACTGGCCGCACTCCTCAGCCCTCAAACGGGATATGACTGAGAACCAAGTTGGCCAGCCACTCTGGCTCGACATCGGTTCTGGATATGGCCACCTGCAAGGGTGTCATGGCGGATCTCTGGCACTGTAACGCTACCGGAAGCTACTCCAGCTTCAGCGCCCTTTCACCCAATACCCCGTTTCCGGAGCTGCTTGCAGAACAGGGCAAGAATATTTCCGACTTAGTAGTTGGAACGACCGATCTGTATACGGACTCTGAGTCTTGGTTGCGAGGTACGTACCCGACTATTGAGCATGGGATGATGCAGATGAAGACTATTTTCCCAGGTGGGTTGATCAATATTTCCACCTCCAATTATAACTACAACGAAGCTTCAAATCAAACACTAATGTTTATATATCTTACAATAGGGTTCTACATCGAGCGAGCGATCCACATCCACGTCCCAAGAGGATGCCGACTGGACCTTTCGGGAAATCGGAACACTCGTGCTAGAGAACATGGTCAGCACAGGACAATTGTATTTGGGCGAGGAGCCTGAAGCAAAAATCATGGCCATGGACCCTTATGCCTCTCATACGGAAGTCAAGTGCACTAGCAAAGCGGAAAATAAGGAATTTTTCCAAGGGCATGGCGGAACGGATTACCCGGTCGTCTGAGTTGTGCAGGTCGATGAAAATGGCCTCGCGAAGGGCTTGGTGGGATATATTACTATCGTTGTTGATAGCACGGCTAGTAGGGATGATCACTACCTTGCTGCGTAGACTACGGCGAGTCGCGTTGAGGCTTAGAGGCGGTTGATTGGAGAAAGTCGGTATTTATAACCTAAATTTTACTGCACTCGTTCACGCCAAAGTACATTCTTGTCTGTAGCAAGCTTCTCATAGTCATTGAATAAGTCTGAGATATGAGGCTAGTATCGTTCGGACTATCTCACTTCCAACGTAGTTTACGTATTCACATCTGAAATAATACGGTTAATGCAGTAGTTTTAAAAAGCCAGAGGACAACAATATTACATAGATATCATAGCCTATAATCATTCGACACGCCGGGTACAGTTCCATGCATGCTCGCCACAGTGAACAACATGAGTATTTGCTAATCACAGATCAGCTAAATCAGAATGAGCTATACACACACATGATAGTATACGAATGAAGTCTAAGTTAGATACTTGTTTATGTTTGATTGAGTGACCATGTAAGTAAATGAAGTCACGGATTGCTTGACGTTAAGCGCGGTTAGATTTGGCCGTACATTTAGATCCGTATTTTACGAGATCATTATTCCCTATAGTGTCTTTGCCTAACATCGAAGAAGAGAAGAAAATCTTGAGAATAGACGTTGAAGTGGCAATGGCCAAGTTCAAGGCGAGTCGATCCGTTATTTAAATGCAAGGTGGATGGCAAGGCTACAGAAACGTAAGGCTAAGCCCAGCATCGTCAGAGTACACCGACACGTATGTCCTATTCTAACCGCAATTAGCAAATGTCATGCACACTATAGACGATCGGGATAGTTCAAGCGAATAGTATAGATGACCCACATCCAATGAATCACGGCCACGACATCGCATACCAGCAGATCACTCACACATTAAATTCTCCTTCTCTCCCAGCTTCTTTAAAGGCCATGTTCATCGGCAGATAGTTTTTATACACTCCTCTCCTACTGTCTGATATCTGTTGTGTCCGTTTAGCTATATCAACTAACTCCGTCGTACGATAGAATGGAGACCCTGTTAAGCTATGGTGTCACATACCTAGCGACAAACAACTCCACTCTGGCAACCCTTGTTGCTGCTTTCTATGGGCTCTTTCTCAAACGAGCCCCCCAGCGTCTCACCATCCGCGCCGTCATACTATGCCAATCATCGGGGCCTCCGTTGGCAGAATCAGATATTAACGAATTCCTGTGCAGTATTCATGGAAAGGATACCTGCAATTGGATATGTACTCACTCCGTCATAAACAGACAGTACGATGGACCAGCCAAAGAAGCCATTAATGTATGCTCTACGTTTTACCTTCGTGAAGAGTGGTTCTTAACGAGTCACAGATAACCATCGAGCACGAAAGTATGCTCTACGATGATTCTCTACGGGATCTCCCGATTCGAGATATTTGCCGTAAGCTCGCTGGCTTACATAGTTTTAAAGGGCATTGCCTCCGAATCGTGCCTGAGAGAGCAAGCGAGGACATAGATGAGGTTGGTCAGTTGTTTGGTTGTTGCCTCATATTGATGCATCTGAAGGAGTTCTATGAAAATTACTTGGATATTGCTCCTAGTCACGGTGGACCGAACATGAAGTGAGTGCTTCACGGGATATCTTGCTCGTTGAACATGGCTGGCTAACCTGTATAGTGAGGTTTCACGTCACCTCCAGCGGTTCAATAAAGAATTCGGGCCATATATCAGTATACTACCAAATGACCAGACTGTCGAGATTGTTAGAGGGTTTGATGATCCGCGGCTTGAAGAGATGTTCAATATGCTTATTAAGAGGAATAGACGGAATACTTTGAGAAGGACATGAAGATATGGCTATAAAATTATACAAATTACTCGGTACAAGACGTTTAGTGCTATATATAATACGGAATCCTCTACGATATGTATCCAAACGCTAACTACCATTAATGCTGAGTAAGTGTAAGGAGTTGAGGTTACGTCGCCCATCGCAACAGCTAATTCCCAGACACTTGATACGGCCAGAGCTTCGAGAATAACATCTTTTCGGATTCGTCTTGCCCCAACCCGATGGAAACATCATTGAACTTGCGACTATTGGCACGGCAGCTTCATAATCCTCGGGTGCAATCATGCCATCAATAGGTAGCACATTTTTTGGTCGCGAAACAATGCAAGCATCTGTCCGACACCACCGATGTTTCTTCTTCCTTGGAATGAAGCTCAATGTCTGTTCTAGTGAATTGGAGTGGACAGAGCGACTGATCATGTCGAAATATCCCTTCCCAATGGGCGACAAGCGCAATCAGTGATTGTGGAAAGAAGAATAGATCCCAAGTCTCCCATAAGCCAATTACCAGCCAGACAGGTTGCCGCATGATAGGGACTCTCTTCTGCGAAAGTACGACCCAGTGGCCTGACGCGCGTTTGGGCATTTGGGCCTTGTAGTATTTATGCCTCGTCTCACTCTCTAGACCATCCTCGATCTTCTTCTGTTCTTCTTCGCTGAGTGAGCCAAAATCCTCAGGTCACTGTGGAACGACCCAGCCTTCCCGGATATGTCTGGAGTGTCGAAACATCCTTGGAATCCCAGACTGGTAAAAGAGGGGAGCAGCACAGGCCGATTACCAGCCTACGATGTTGGTAATCTCGTAAGTACTAGCATCCTCTAAAACATTGTCTAGATGAAGGTCTGGATGCCATAGAACGTTCGTACTTGCGGCTTCGTCTTTAGGTGAAGGAACTAGATAAGACGCCACCTTCATGTATTGAGGAAGAAGCGCAAGTCCAGCTCCACGGGTCTCTTGCTCCTCTTTAGACTGGTAGTGGTTCATCCTATGCTTGGCATGTGATTTGACCCACGCCATTTCGTTGCGTCCTAATGCTGGGGCGTATTAGGACGGTTCAAGCCCTGTACGATAATAGTTAGATAAGTTAGTTAGATATAAGAAGTACACTAGACTCAAAAGGCCCACTGCCTTCCCGAATGTGGCTGGTACTCACATAATAGTGGCGATTGTAAGTGCGGCTGCCCTACCGGAATGGTCGACATCGGCTCGACTCGTACTGGATGCAAACAGGACGAGCACCAGACGGCCTGCTGCACAGTTGAAGATAGGCCTGGCAGGGCATTCACTTGTATGAACCTGTATAATACCCGCCAGTGGGCTCAATACCGTCGATTCGACGAGGGCGTTTGTAGCGGACCCAAGATCACTGAGCTACGAGCCTTGGCAACCGGTAGTGGAGACATATATTGCTATCCTAGTGGTTTCATGGGCCTTCATTGGCCTATGTACCATTTGACACAGCGCATGTACTGCTCCGACATTGAGGACAAGAAGAGTTGACTCGTAAATTGCGAGTGGGTTCGACGCTTGGGGAACGGTATCCGGGGGTCAACGCTGTGCCTCGGGCTGCCCCGCGGGTAAGATGCTGGTAGCCATGGACAGTTACAATAGGGGATGTTACAGTAGTGGTGCTCGGACATACTGCTGAGATACTGTTTCATGCCAATGTAGAGATCTCAGCAAAGCGCCTTCAGGCGTTCGCCGAGGCAGTGTACAATTGGCTGCCAACCGTCAAGAGATCGCTGGAGAAGCCGTAGTCTAACTGTCTGTTCGATGGGCTGTCTACGCTTATTGGTGAGCGTACAGAGCTGCAGCAGCTAAACTAAATGGGCATGGCTGACCACTTCAAGGCATATCCTAAAGCATGGGCTATCGTGCGATCTGTTCCCCTGGACTCGCTGGAATATGTCCTATCTCGACTATACGTCCATCTGCCTCAAGACCCAATATGGATAGTTGAATTCGCAGTTATGTTGAACGAATTGGTGGGTAACACTGAGAGGAATAGTCTGGTGGTGACGAGTACACATTATAGTTTTTGACTAAACATGCTGTCTTATGTTACGGCAGCTTTAAGAATTGAAAGCTGTATAATTAATACTATAATATATCTATGTTAGCATTAATAAAGGCTATACATGAGAAGCGAAGAAGAGAGCATAGAAGAGAATTTAGGGTGTGTGGTTATAAGTGACTCATCTTGACCATAGCTTCCACTCAAGACCCCGTAGTCCGGCTACACCAAGCAAACTATATAAACCGCGTTCCTCCCTCCACGGGTACCTTCAACCCTGCTACTCCACTGAACCTGACACGACGCCGCACGACACTAAATCTACACCCCCCAGGCCGTCCTCTCCAGACAGTAATGGCTCACTGTTCCACCGTAGGTCATGGGCCGAACCCTGAACCCACCTTGAATTCCCACCAAGCGAGTCTCTAGAGGACCGAGAAACGGATTCAAAGAAAGAAATGGATTGGATATAATATGATGAAACGATTTCTCCAGCGATATGCATTCCGCGACCGGTAGTGGCCTTGGGGCTATTATATCTATCGCACTACCTATAAATCCGATAAGGACTGGGTAGCTGCCCTGGCCAAGGTTGATACCTACTTCGTGAGCGAACTATATTCGCACAAGGATGGCATTGATGCAAAATCTGAACCGGGACCGGGGCAGCTAATTGCTTTTAAGTTGGTCTGCGAAGGCTACCGGAATGTTATTATAGACGATCCCCAGCTTGACGGGGTTGGTGCCGATATCATCCTCAGAAAGCATCGCGAGTGGGCAGCCAAAGTTTGAACCTCATTTTGTATTGCGATGGATACGCCGCGACCATCGAGCCCAAAATCATGGTTACCCATCGGCGGAGAAGGCCCGCACTAAGATGCTACCCTTGGGAACGCGTACCGTATCCGTAGCAAGCTCTGCGGGCTTTGCAGAGAATTGTGTCAATACATTCAACGGTGATCGAGCCTCATAGACTAGGCAAGGAACCCAATTATTGTTGTGTTCAGTGATCACAGCCGCTTCACCGCGGGCTGTTTGAACCAAATACTTAATAACGGTTAGCTATAACTGCTGGTGGTGCTTTATGTGTCAAAATGCTGGAATTATAATTGATGTTATGTGAATACAAATACTTATGAGGCACTTAATCAATGGGTACATTACTCCGGTGAATTAAATTTATACTCATGGGATGCACGTATTTCTATACAGGTCTCATCAGACATGTTCCCCAGACTTTACTAACTCTGTAGGAGACATATCATACATATATACGAGCACAGAGTGCAGTTGCTCAGCGGCCTACCCTTTTAGGAAAATGAAGAATAAAAGGTTGCCCTTGTGACTTCGTCATATTGGAACGTGACATTCACGGCCTACAAATCCTGTCCGAGAATAAAATGCTGATGACTGATTCGAGCACTTCGGGGATTAATAGATCTTCGAATTGCGGTAGACTCCATATATGTGAAGAGTTGTCAACTTCCAAATTTGCGAGCCCCATTGCCTACAACCTACGAAGTCATTGAGTGGTAAGGTACCATAGATGCAACCGCTGGCACACTTGCTTTATATCATATTTCTCGCAGGTAGTCTGGAGTGTCTCGAAATTCTACCTAGTCTATATAACGTGATAGACCTGTGGTATACTTCTGTAAAGCACAAAGCCATTTTTCAAAGCCACTCGTTTTGATCATTCCTTGCCCTTAGGGTGCGAGTCCATACGGCTGTGCTACATACTGTCCACTGTAGGTTGACCTTGGCAAGTTTCAGGCAATAACCCTAACTGGAATATCCAGGTCGGCCACCTAAAGGAAATAGGGATGAAAGGAAGGACATAGAATCAAATAAACCCTTACTTTCCTTTTCTGTGACTGCAGATTTTGGATTGATAAATGCGGAGACAATTTAGTAATCAGGCCGGCATGGCGCCATCTTCATTGGGCTCGATTGGTGGCATTGTGACCATGACGTCTGCTAAGGGGATTTGACTTAGTAATACAATGTTACCCTTCTAGAACATGCAGTAACCATGTCGGGGCTTATTTATATTGACTTCCCTTTCTTGAACAGAGTAAACTCCCATATTCTCGAAAATACCCGGAAACGGCCCTCTCCCCTCATATTCGACTTTATTTCATATCATCATCGAAGCCCACCATCCCCATAATGCCCGAAACAAGCAACTCCCGAGTCCCTCGTGGCCCCGTAGAAGCCGAGGTAGTCTTCTATCAAGACCCCGCAGATGGCTCACCACCATTCAACTATGTGGAGCAACAGCCAGACGGCCAACCGCAGCGCAACTACAGTTCGGTCCCGCATAAAGTCACCATCGCTGATATCCGCGGCCAAGAAGACCAGTTCACCCTAGACCGCGACGCATTCCAAGTATTACAAAACATCCCCTCCCAAACCACATACGAAACCTTCAACTCGGACGAGGCTGTCCAACAAATATATTACCCTGAAGTCGAAAAGCTTCTCCTTGACAAGGTTCCGGGCGCTCACAAGATCATCATTTTCGATCACACTATCCGCCGAGCGGATCCCAAGGCCGCGCGTCAACCGGTCCAGCAGGCCCATGGGGATCAGACTAAATGGTCCGCTGCACAGCGGGTCCGTCGACATGTTGCCGATCCGGAGGAAGCGGAAAAGCTACTTCGTGGACGGTATCGGATCATCAATGTTTGGCGGCCGATTAATGGGGCGGTTGAATCGTTTCCCTTGACTTTTGCTAGTGCTGCGACATTGGGCGATTCGGATTTCGCTAAGATCGAACATCGGTATCCGCACTTTAGTGGCGAGATTATGGGCGTTAGGTATAATCCGAACGCCGAGTGGAAGTATCTTTCGGGGATCGATGACGATGAAAGGTTGTTACTGAAGTGCTCGGATACTAAAGAAGGGGTGGCGGAGCGTGTTCCTCACACGGCTTTTGTGGATCCTCGCACAGCTCCAGATGCCAAGGGGAGGGAGAGTATTGAAGTTAGGACTATTGTATTTGGGTAGAGGCATGAGAAATGAACCGGGAAATAGCGAGTATCTGGTATATTTAAGTGACATCATATTTCAAGAATGCATATTCCAGTCTCTAGACGACCTTACTCCAAGTTTGACGAATATTATGCTATGGGTAAATCCTGCAAAGATAACCTGGCATGTGTTCTATTGCGTACAATCTAAAGTGTGTCCTGTACATCGATGCCTACTTGCCAAGAATTCAACAGACACCAAGAATATGCAACTCAAGTACAGTCCACATATGCACCCTATGCACCCTGGGTCCCAACAGTCTCAATAGCCCGATCCATCCGCAAAAATCTTCTTTACAGACGCCCTCTCGCTTAACTTCTTGGACCACGCCGCAATATGGGGAAAGTCTCGTTCCAAATTCTCCGCATCAGTTGCATACCTCGGAGCCCACCATTGCCACGGCAAGAAACAAAGATCAGCATAAGTACACTTATCCCCAACCTATCACTCCCTGGTCTTCAGCACAGATTCTAGAACACCCGTCCTGCGACGGATCTCATTCCCATACCGCTCAATAGTAGTAAGGATACGTTCCGATGCAGCGCGGTGGAACCAACCAGCCTGTCCGTAGTAGGGGCCTTGACCGGAATACCTGGAAGTGTAGCCAGGCTTTGGTTTGGTATTTGGCCACGGGGTCAATGTAGCTCAGTTTATGTTCGGTATCATAGCTGTCGAGAAGGTACTCGACTATCGCACCGGATTCCGAAAGAGTGATTCCTTTGTTGTGGGATCTTCGATTGCGGGGAGGCGGCCGTTGGGGTTAAGGTAGATGAATGGTTCGTTTTTGACATCTTTGAAGCTAACGAAGTGGGTTTCGTAGGGGAGGTTTAGGTCTTCGAGAATGATGGCTACCTTCCAGGGGATTGGGCCGACGGGGTGGGAGTGGAGGATTATGGATTGCATTTTGAGGTTGGTTTTTAAAGTGGTATTGTTGGGGTGTAAATAGGGCTATTGCTGGGCCCTGAGTAGTGGGTTATATCCTGAGAGTTTAGCCTTAAGTTGGCATTTATTCCCTGAAGACCGTCTTGTTTTCGATGATGTAGATAGAAGTTTACAACAGAGCCTGCGTTAGGGTTATCCAGATTTTGGCACTGCCCTATTACGGGAATGAAACATCGCCGAATGTTACACACTTCGTCCACTTGATATGTAAGCATCATGGCCCCAATATAGCTTCAGGGAAGGGTCCATAACTGCCTGAAGAGATTGCTGATTCTAGCTCCAATTGGCTGGATTCGTTAGGGTCAATCTCTTCTTTCAAAAAGTCGGCGTCTGGTGGGGATTACCTCGGCATTTGACCATACGCCGAGTCATAGGATCAACAGTTCTGCATGCCGAGAAGTTCCTCTTCATTATGTTTGTAACAAACGATAAATTTCCGCTTCACGCAGAGCAACCTTTAACGCTTATGGCTTTCAGGGAGGCAGTTGGCCTCAATGTGCGTCATAATGGTACGTGGTCAAATACCATCGCCTTCCCGTTTTTGTCTACCCGAGACACGTATATTGTTCAGAGACAACATGCACAGTAAAGTTTCCCCATATAGCTCAAGCATACATACTTGTTAGTACTATAAAGCCTCCAACTCACGGCAATTAGCGAAGCATTCGCCTCCTGCTACAGCACCCTCAAGCCAACAAAATCAGGCCCATATGACTGAAACCCACTCTCACCACCCCCATTCCCAATGACAACCTCTTTATCCCCGTCCTTCCAACCATTCGTAAGCACGCCAATAGCCGCTGTATCCCACCATCCTAGTCCAGGCCCAAACAACTCACTATGTTGACCACTCAAAGGAACCTCGACTCTTACTGGTTTTCTCCACCTTTGATATTCACGGTCAAGTGCCTGGTGTTCGATCCCCAATCCCATGCCGAGCCAAAGGCAACATCATTATTGATGTAGTCAATTGCCAGATACTTTTTTCCGGCTGTAGCGGGGATTACAGCCCGAGCTGTACTATTCGGGCTAATGTTCCCTATCTTAGACCCAACGGGTTGACAGTATCCAGAGCCACAGGAGATGGCTTTGGCACTTCCCGTTGTTGCAAAGTTGCCGTTTGGGTAGTATGTGCCGTTTAGAGGGGTGATTATGATCGGGTCAATGGGCTGGGTTGACGAGATGATGATGGCGTTGTATGACCCAGCTACTAGGGATGTCTGGAAGCCCATGTATCGATCGAGCTTTTCACGCCCGCTATATCAATGATAGCCTGCGCCCCTTGGGCCAATCTTGAGCTCCATGACCTGACCGACTACATTCTCCTTGGACACATTAATAACATGGTTTGCACCCAATGCCTTCGCAACCTCCAAGCGATCAAGCAGAACATCAATCGGAATTACTTACGCAGAACTCTTCAAACGTGTTGTATGAACAGTAGAAAGGCAAGATCACCCGCAACGGAACTGGGCTTTCCACTAGACCTGGCGTGCTTCTCTAGCATCTCAACGTTATTTTGGTTCCCATTTTCTCCCGCTACCTGGAGTGCTGCGTGGCTGTCATCGGTTTTAATATCAGGTTTGGCTCCATACTTAAGCAGAATCTCGATAACTCTCTGGTGCCCATATTTTGCAGCTTGGTAGAGTACCGAGGGGTTAGGATAATCTAAGATATCAATTCTTCGGTGCCCAGTTTCTGCTGCTGTCTGGAGTGCTGTGCCATCTCGGCATTGATCATTAACATCAGCTCCGTGATTAAGTAGAATGAATTCCCACGAATTTTTGGTGCCCCACGTTTTATGCTATATGGAGTGCTGGGCCACAAAATCCATCAATGTTAATATCAGCTCCGTGGCTCAACAGTATCTCGACAATTCTCTTGTGGCCGAATTCCACTGCTGTGTAGAGGGCTATTTTGCCATTTACACTTTAAATATTGACATCGGCTCCCTGATCCAGTAGTATCTCAACAATTCTCTTATGTCCATTCCCTACCGCTACCTGGAGTGCCGTACGTATCATGCCATTTACCTTGCATATTAATATCAGCTTCCTGATTACGCAGTATCTTAACAATTCCTTCATATCCACCCTCTGCCGCTAGCTGGAGTGCGGTCGTACGATTACCAGATTGTTCATTAACAACGGCTCCGTGATCAAGTAGCATCTCAACAGCGTGCTGGTGGCCGTTTGATGATGCGCCCCTAAGCGCTGCGTAGTACAACTCACCTTCCCCACTAGGATCGGCTCCATTATTCAGGAGCATTCCAAGTATTTCTTCGTAGCCCCGGCCTGTCACTATCTGGAGTGGTGTATCCCGTCCTTTGTTGATCTCAGCACCCTCTTCTAGCATTACATGGGCGTGCTGCTTTAGCCCAAGATAGACTGCAAAGCACAGAGACGTCCAATTTACCACGTCTTTCGTAGAGATAGGGTAGTCCTCATAAACGCGGAGCCAAATTTGTGTAGAACGGTCGTATGGATCACAAAGCATGCGTGCACGATCGACATTCTTATCAAGAGTAACATCTCCGTTTTTGGCAAATGTAAAGGCCAGCGTTTGAATTCAGGTAAATAAGCCCCAGCCACCCGTCTTCTTCTTCAGGCCCGCCATTGTCAGAGCTAAGCAAGTAATCGAAACATACTTGTAATATCATGCTGTGAGACTGCTGGAGGTTGAAGCTCCCTTCCCAACGTACATGCTCCCCATCTCGCTTGATTTAGAGAAACTCACTCGCCGTCTGATGAATGAATGAAAGCTTCGAGTCGTACACACTGTTCTACGAGGCCGCAATATTCTTTAACAACATCTTTGAATGCTTCCAGCGACCAAGTTTCGAAAAGCATGTTTCATTGTTTTCGTCCCTATTTTGGCATTACTACAGATATCTCAGTTTCTCAGTCTATACATTGATCGTGTTATGAGATCTCATAAATAGCCATCTGTAGAACTTCGGTGATGTGAAAGTCACGTTGGAGTGGCTGTTGCTGAAGATCACGTAAGATAATCGTTCAATACGATGTCAAACGATCAGATTTATGATCTCTATGAAACTATCTAGAAGATATATCTAGGTAGGAATTATGAGGCCTTTATATGTGTCCTGATTACCATAGTATTCCAAAAAATTCACATACTTCCGCAGGTGGTCAGACCACCTGGCATGCCTGCGATATTCAATAGCTGCCAAGGTAAGTCTACCCTTTGTTGAATTCACCTTTATATTAGTGGAAGTATACCGTAAATGAAGAGATCTAGACTATACTGCGCTATAAAACTAATAATACCTTCAATATAGGGGTTTGTCTGTAGTACGACTAGTTATTAATAGATTAATGAGTCCCAAGGAATAGTATTGATATTCAGAGAGTTAATGCATATCTAGAATGCAAAATTACTATTAATATACTTTTTTCTTTTGCCTTCCTTACTCTCATATATTTCATGATTTTTTCTATATTAATACTAAGTCTATTTATTTTAACGTCTTTTAGTTTGTCTGTGTTCTGTATCCTTACCTGTATTTAAATAATATTTGTTATCAATGGTGGGTTAAACTATCATAGCTTATCCGCTGAGTTTTTTTTTTTTTTTTTTTTTTTTTTTTTTTTTTTTTTTTTTTTTTTTTTTTTTTTTTTTTTTTTTGCCTCCTGTGTTGCGGCTAAGCAGTCAGACGACATACCTTAGACAATATCCTATATTCAAGCCGACGTAGTAATTTATATTCTTCGTTCCAAATTGTGAACCTATCGGCGAGGGGCTGAACAATGCAGACGAGGTCTAATATATACTGTTATGAATCTATACGAGACACGTGACCACCTAGTGGCTTGGCCGGATCACTAACTCTTCTGCCCCTGAAGGCCAACCATCTCAAGGGGAATAGAAAGACCCCTAATACCACCTATTTGACCTATACTGCCTACTCTGATCGCTTGCTCCCTCCTCCTGATGGAGGTGGACGACCCTCCTGCGGAGGGTGCACCCCCGGGAACCCCACCCGTACCTGAAAACTCTGATCCTTTCCAGGGGCCTACCACCCCTATCCCCCTCTCCTGCATCTCTCTAAAGCAGAGAGCTCTATTCTTCCCTTAGAAGACTCCTACGGTATATTCTGCCTGTATACCTGATAGGGCCTTCTCCCTATCTATTTACTAATAGATTAATATAGTTACTAATAACCAGCTTCTTCTCTTCAGTAACTGGAAGCTGGTACTATCTTTTTTTATAGAGATACTGGATTCAACTGTCTTCTCTCTACAAGACTAACTAAAGAAACTTATCTGGAATCTGGTAGCTAGATTTATTATACTAGCTAAGCAGAATTCTTTCTAGTAAGAATTATTAAATCCTGTAGTAATATCTTTTCTACTAACTAAGTAGTCTATACTAGTAAAGTAAATAAAGTATATCTCTCTAGCTAGTTAGACTATATAGATATCTTTCTGGGCTTTACTAGCAGTACCTGATACTAGCTAGATAAACTGGTAAACTATTGTCTATAAATATTATATACTAACTAAATAGTAACCGGTATAATAAAAGCTATAATAATTAAGGAAAATAGATTTCTATATCTTTCTCTAACTTTTAATTCTCTCTAGTCTATATACTATCAGATTATATAGTATCTGTATTACTCTTTTAGAGTAAATCCCTAGTAGAATTAAGTAGATATAGACTATATCTACAGGCTTTGCTATCTCTATTATAAAAGAGAATAGGATCTTTCTACTCTCTATACAGATCAGGAAGCTAGCTAGAGACAGATTCTTTAAAGCTATAATAGAGTATTACTAAGTTATTATTTTCTGGATTCTGAGATAACTCTAGTCCCTGAATAGATAGACAGATACTATAATTAATAATATCAGTATAAAGACAGAACAAGTCTCTGGTATTAAGCTACTTTTAATTAAGTTTTTTAAATATTCTATTAAGAAAGACTTTATTACTATAGTTATAGTTTTTCTAAAGAAACTATACTATATTCTATAACTCTTTAGCTTCTCTAGTCTATTTAGACTAATTAATTTTAAGTAAAAGCCTTTTTAGTGCTCTTGCTATTACTGCTTCTATAATTCCTGGGTCTACTACTTTAGTAAGTACTATATCTTCTGTAGATTCTTTAAGTAAGACTATATCTGCTATATCCAATATATTAATTACTCTGGATTCTATATAGCAGACTATCTAAAGTGTTCTGCTAGGCTATAAATATAAAAGAGTATTATTATCTGTCTCTTCTAAGATACTTTAGCTACTGTTTATAAAGCTGGCTAGCTTACTTTTTAATAATAATAAGTTAAATAATTCTCTATTAATTAATCTATTAGTCTATATTTTTTAGGCTAACTACTAATCTAGCTTTTTAATCTATTACTAAGCTAACTATTAAGCTAGCTTTTCTAAGTACTTACTAGTTAAGCTCTCTTTTAGCAAGAACTATAAGAATAATTCAGGCTAATATTAGAAGAGACAGTACTATCTATAATTTACTGCTATTATTTAAAGTAGATATTATTCTTGTTTAGGAATCTTAGATAGATAAAATAAACTATTAGATAAAAATATACTTTTACTATTAATTTTTTAGCTCTACTATATACTGAAAGACTAGATTTAGGGCTCTAATATATATATACCGGGATCTTCCAGTATACTTACTCTTTTAGTCTGTCTTATTTAATATTATAATTATCTATATAGCAGACCTTACTATTATTAATATTTATTACTATCTATATAATCTAGTTATTCTAGTTTAATCTAGATTAACTCTATTAACTCTTTATATACTACTTTAATACTCTTCTTTATAGAATATTATTTTAGTAGAAGATTTTAATATTTATTACTCTCTTTAATAGCTAGATATTAGGCTATAATTAATCTTAGCTAGCTTAACAGATTTAATAAAATAGCTTAAAATCTATAAGCTAGTACTTTATCTTAAGTTAGATATTTTTATTTATAGATATAATATTCTAGATCTTATTTTCTTAAATTTATCTATAAGAACTATAGTTAAAGATTATTTAAGTATCTTAAGTAATTATATAATTATCTTAATAATAGTAGACTAGAATAAATCTCTATCCTGTCTAAAACTGGACTTTATTAACTAAAAGAAGACTAGAACTATTCTAATTCTACTATTTCTAAGTCTCTCTATTAATATACTGATAGAGAAGCTTATTAGTAGAGTATAGCTAGTAATTTATAGTATATTAAAATATAATATCTACAGGCTTTTATAAATCTCTTAGTAGACTCCAGAACTTACTACTCTACTATAATAAATATAGCAGCAATAAATCCTAGACTATATTCTACTTTAGAAAATAGTCTCCTGCATAAAAGCTAACTACTGAAAGAAATAAATTAATTAAACTATATTATTTACTGATATTTTTACTTTTATAAAGTAATATAAGTATTTAGATTAACTTACTATTTCTCTTTTAAATATCTAGGATATCTAGATTATAACTTTATAAGGTAAGGTAAATATCTTTTTCTTATATCTTTTAGAAAAGAGAGTCTCTTTTCTAGATTAGTAAAAAGAAGACTCTTTTACTAAGCCTCTAGATTTACTAGATCTTTTATTTAAGAAAGACTACTAGTCTACTCTCTATATCTCTACTTTATCTATTTCTAAAGAGAATAAACTTACTACTATAGTCTGGAAAGAGCTCTAGCCTATTCTAGATAACTTAATTACTCTATTTTACTATTACTATCTATAAGAAGACTGCTACCTGTATATTCTTAAGACTATAAAGATTATAATACTGCTAAAGTTAGATAAGAGAGATCTTATTTAGCTAAGTATCTGGTATTCTATTAATTTACTATTTATCTTAGATAAGGGTCTTAAACAGTTTCTTATACAGTATATAGCTATATAAATAATTTAGATAAAGTTACTATTACTCTATTACTTTAGTATACTTTCAGGCTACTCTATAGTAGATCTAGTCTAGGTTTTTATTTATAGAATAGAGAAAATCTTTTAAGCAGGAAAGATTACTTTACTACTATTACTAGATATAAAAAAGATCTTTAATACTATAATTTATTAGTAACTACTCTTCTAGCTATATCTATAAGAATAGAATAATAGTCTAATCTAATTAATCCAGGACTAGCTATCAGGCTATTCAGTCTTAGTATAGATTAAAAATACTACAGTAATAGACTTATTAAAGAGAGATCTACTATAGGAATTCTTTCTCTTTCTAATTCTTTTCTTATTATATATAGTAATAATATTTACTATTTATAAAGAGTTCTTTAATTATATAGATAATCTAGAACTGCTATTTATTAGATATATCTTTAAGAAGATCTTCTAGCAGTTTATTAAAACTTATTAGTTAATTATTATATTCAGTATAGAATCAGATCTTTTCTTCTCTTTAGAAAAGATAGAGATATAATACTTCTTTAAATAGTAGAATTAATTTTTTTCTACTATTCTTTTTCTAGGACTAGGTATAGTTAAATTATCTAGTTATATTTACTAGCTAGAGATTCTACTAGATACTAAATTTATCTTTAGACTATATATAAACTGTGTCTTCAGCCAGGATAAGTAGCTGATATAATATCTCTAAAGACTAAGTAATATCTAATAAGGTTACTCAGTTATCTCTATATAAGCAGTAATTATACAATATATTGTATTAATAGTACTTTATAGAGCAGAAGTATTCTATACTAGTATTAAGTAATAATAAATTATTAATTTCTTATAATTTCTATTCTACTTAGCTGCCTTAGCTATTCTTCCTGTCTATAAATTATTATTTACTGCAGCACTGCTTTATAAGATAGATCTGTTTAATCTAAGAGCTTTACTTAACAGTACTCTTTAGAGAGTATATATTAGATATATAAGCTTAGATACCAAGTACCTAATTATATATATAGTAAATAAAACTAGATCTAAATTTAAAACTAGACTTAATACTATACTCTAATATATCTCTATTCCCGCGCCAGAATATATTTAAATAGAGATATTCCTTTTATTATTATCTATATTTCTAATATCCTGTAAAGAATATACTCCTATATTACTATAGATATTAGTCTACTCAGACAGCTTATAAACAGGATATAGCACTGGTTATAGATATATAGTATACTATAGTTCTATTTTTCTTATCTAAGGATCTGGCCCTGCCAGCTTAAAAACTAAGGTCTATAATATAGAGCTTATAGATACAGTAGAGAGTCTCCAAGCTATAATTAAGTAGCTATATATATAATATACTATCTACTTAACTATCTTACTTAATAATTTAGCAGCAGTCAGTCTTCTTATATATAATAGACTAATTCTCTACTAGTATAGACTTATAGATATCTTTTAATAGCTCTTGATATAATAAAAGAAAGTCTTATTTCTTCTAGACTTGTTATATAAGCTTCTAGAGATGTACTGGATTCCAGAATACTTAAAAATAGTAGAGAATAAACTTATAGACTAATTTACTAAATAAGATATAATAATTAATAGCTTCTATATTCTCTTCTCTCTATTTTATCTCAGACAGAAGATAAAACAGTAACTCTATATAAATTTCTTAGTAGTATATATAAAGACTGCTCTACAGGCCTATTATAATCTAAATATTAGGCCCTATATAAAGAGTAGTTACTTCCGGGAACACAGTTTCTCTCACTAGGTCCTAGGCTGGTTTATAGCCGCCTGTACAGGCTATAGAGATTTTATAGTATATTATAAAAAATATCACTATTTAGCTTACCTAATAATATACTTCTGTAGTAGACTAAAGTCTCCTGCTCACTTTTTCTTCTGTCTATATACTAGGAAGCGCTGGAGAAAAAGATAAAAGTGCCTAAAGGCAGGTCTGTCAGAGATAATTAACTGGCTTCTTAGTATAGCTGCCGGGACTAAAGAGTTCAGCCGCTTTATATAAGACTTATTTTTCTTTAAGGATATATACCTAAACTGGGCCCATTTAAGCACTAGTTAATATAACAGTCTAATTCTTCTATCTAGATAGTGGCAGACAGCATCCCCCTCTATCTATAGATAGCTGAAGCAGGTTTCCACCTCCAGAAGACCAGGCCCGGATAGTGCCAGGCGCTTCTTCCATTCTTTTTCAGTATATATTGTTCAGATTTGCTACTTCAAGCATATATTTAGTTAGTTTCTAGTGAGATCTCTGTTTAGGTAGCACGTCCAGTTGCCCCTAGGGAGGCTGCGGATCACGTTGCCGCGTGATCCGCCGAGTGACGTTAAATAGTAGCCAATGCCAATGCCAATGCCCCTGAAGGCTTTACCTATTAGTAGAGATGAGAAGAAGCAGTCAAGAGAGTTGATATAGTTGTCCATAGAATTGAGATCTATCGGAATGGCATCCAGTCCTCAGTAGGCTACGTACGTGTAGCTGATACAGCCTCATTCTGCCCATCTTTCCCCTGAGATCACAACATATACCGTTCCAAGAGGCTCTTAAAAGGATGACTAGGAAAGAACCTATTTGGCTCTTAAGCATGGCCAGGATACCGAATACCAGCGGATTAGGCTCTATATCCTCATCAAGAAAAACCTGGGATGGATGAGTCCATGGAGAAGACCGAGAAAAGCGCAAGACGTCCAAGGGCCAGGCTGCGATATGCGTTTCAGCGAATAGGAATACACGTATTAAGTCATGTCTAGCCTCTTTTCGAGGGTTTTTATGAGAAGAATAAGGTGCATAATATGATGAACTTGGCTGACCCCTAATGGTCAGTTTCTAGTTCAAGCCTATGAGTTAATATATGTTTAATAGTTCAAAAACTTCGCTAGATGTAAGGGAAATGTACGCGGGGTGCATGCAACCAAGATTCGAGGAACTTGATGCATATTTCTCAACCGTTGGGAGCATCCCCTGTAAAACCAGTTCTTCGATAATGCGCGATTACTAAACGTCCTGTATGAAAGCCGCCGCAATGCAAATTCGTCCTCTTTCTTGTATGCTATCCTCACCTGTTGACCCACGGGGATAGCGAGCTTCGAACTGCAGGTTTCGACCGTCCACGATGACAACAAGGTCAAACTCAATCAAATAATGTCTATTCCCTCCAGGAGGCCTAATAGGAACAATATGGCCTTCATCTTTTAGATATGTCATGTCCACAACTATTCTGCCTGCCTCCTCCACTCCTACTCCGTTACATATAAATGTTTAGCTGGCTTCAAAGGACAAGGGAAAAAGATCTCATTATCCTTACCTTCGTTTTCCTCGTGGTCCACTCTGTAGCTGCTCCTGTGGTTCCGATCGGATACATAAAGAATCTCCTGACAGACAAGTTCTTTCCGGCTTGTTGGAAAGGTATGACTCACGGGAAATACAAACTCCGATCTAGGTTCAAGGACATCCCCCTGCGTTGTGTTAGCTCCCAATGAGCCTTGGTCAAGATTAAACCCACAAGGGGAGAGATATCTTACTCTGTTTGCAAACCAGGTTATGGTCTTCTTTATATATGGATTTTTATCATGCGCATCATACGTGCGCTTCTTAACTTGCTCGACATGAGCTTTATTGTCTCTATCGTAGGGCTCTGCCCGCATAACCCCATAGCTGGAGAAGATCGCTCGTGCCGGGCCGTCTTCCTTTCGAAGGGCTCGCAGGATAGCTCCTGATGCGACAGCGGTACAACTGATGAATATATTAGTGTCAGAAGCACAACTTGGCCCATACTGAGAGTACGCACGAAACGCTTGGGGGTAGGAGAAGCTGTATTGCTCTATTCACATTCCGGGAATATTGATCGAGGTCAGCCTTGAGGTGTTGAACAAGCGCCGGAGATGCTGCGAAACCTCCAATCAATAACACTTTCTACCGAGAAGGGTAAGCACCTCTACACATAGACACTGAGTTATTTCCGTACTGTGGCAGTAATTCCCCTGTTTTGAGCCTCTTCAATTTGACCCAGCATCAGACGTGACGTTCGTTCCAAGCAGTCTTTAAAGACTTGCTCCATATCATATCTGTGGCCGCGCAGGATATTCGATTAGCATTCTAAGGGAACAATACAACTCATGCCGTAAGAAGACAGTGGTTTTAAACTCACCGATCGATATACATTCGATGTTTTGTAAATCGTTTCTTTTTGTTTTCCAACAAGCCATCGACCCGGAAATAATGCCACCAGTGCTGTCTGCTCGGATCGAAATTCCGTTTAATATTATTTTCAAATTCCTCCATCATGGTGTCGATTTTCATTTGCACGTTCTGCAGGTAGTCTTCCCCCTGAAGGCGGCTCTTTACCAAGTTCTCAAATGCCTCGTTTAAATAACTGGAGCCACACAGATCCCCTTTGCAATATGTCAATACTGAATTCCAAAGATACGGGGCAATAGTATCTTACCGCCAGGGGCTACGGCTTCTCTTGCTAATCTCAGAGGTATATCAGATGTTACTTTGTACGTGACAGCATCGACAGTCCCGCCACCGGCGTCGAGGAGGACAAAAGATTCGCCAGCCTAGATATCACGTACAGTCAGTTAGTATCCAACACGGTCAGACTCCAAGAGGCATATGCAACGCACCGTTATCGTTATATCCTTTGTTTGAGCTAAAACGTATGCTGCTGCGGCTTCAGGCTCATGAACAATGAAGAGGTTATCCACGTCGTGAAACTGTTCCGTGATGAAGCCAGTCCTGTGCAAGGCAGCTGTCATCGCCATCTGCATTTTCCGACAGGCCTTTCGTGTCCAGATCGCCGGGATACATAAAACAAACTCAACCGTCTCGCCCTCCGTATATAGGTGTTTTTCCCTCATCTTGACCTTGGTGTGGTCGAACAGTCTTTTGAGATAATCAGCAATGATGTCAGTTTCCCGTTTGTCACTGATTATGTTTTTTTCCTGGAGCATATCAAGTGTGGGTATGAGCTCCTTCCGTACGTTACTAGTCAGCTCGCTCGTGTCAAGGAGGAGCTTGAACCGGTGAATTCCCTGTGCACGCCTCTCGTCTTCATCATCAAGTTCTCGCACTATCTTGTGCACTTCATACCCCCAGTAATAATCCCCAAGTTGCGTATCTATGTCCATAAAATCGAGTTCATTGTCATCGCTCATAGTGTATCCTCCGAGGTTATCGGTAATTCCTTCGACGTCTCTACCTCTGGATCCTTCATAATTGTTTGTTGACTCTGTACCATCGTAAGTCATCATCAGATGCGTGATAGGGTCACGATGTGGTGTTCCTCTGGGATAAAGACACTGCGTGGGAACATCGACTCGATTCGCACTGAATGAAGAAGGTGCATCAGGAAAGCCACTAACACTCCAGACCTGAGAAAGGTGCAGTTCAACGCTTTCCTCCCGCTGGCCATTCACGCATATGACGGAGACTGACGAGAACGTGGTCCCAAAGTCCAGCGCAACTACGAATCTCCTTGAGCTAGAGGGGTCGGCCTCCGAGGTTAGATCCGTGAGGGCACGACGAAAGCTAACAGGTTGAGGCGTACCAAAATCGCCCATTGTGATGGTCTATCGGATAAGGTCGGTGGAAAGAGATTCACCTTTTTTCTCTTCCTCAGCTCCACGAGGGAGTCGCTAACTAATTGTACCCATTTGCGTGCCACAAGGCAGACCGCGTTGTCGCCTAGCCAATCGAGGAGAGCGCGTCAACGAGGCTGAGAGGTGCCAGGGTATACAACCTCATATCCAATAATCATGCGGGTAAGCCTTAGCGCCGCTGCGAAGGTCCTGCGCCGCACCAAAATTTCGCCCTAATCCCGGTTCCTTAGCAGCAATTTAACCCCAAAGCTGGTTTAGCTGCTTCGTCACCTTATGAACGCAAATTTGCGACTGCTTCTCCACTTTTCCAACAATCCCCCCTTGCCTAGTGCGTATGCCTTCCAGCGCCAACGGCTGACCCCATCGGTACACGAACTGAGGGGTTGCTCGCTTCTCGCTTCTCAAGCTTGATGCAAAAGGATCTCAAAGCACTGCGCTATCCCACACAGCGTTAATCTCAAATATGGGTCGTAAAAAGTCCAGAACAAAGCGAAAGGTCGAGCCGCAGTGGGAATTGGATGACGAACATCGGATGCTCGGATGTCTTGACCACTGTCTAGCGCAGGGTATTACCGACAAACTCATCCTAAAAGATCGTATTAGAATATATTTGAAGGATGCAGGGAAAAACTTCAGCGTCGATCGGATCGATGCGAGGCTCCGGGAAATGCAGGACCTCGCCGTGCCCAGCCGACGAAAAAATATCTTTGTCAAAGGCAGTGGAATCCTAAAAGCTACCAACAGATGGGACGACGATGAAATCAAGAAGTACAAAGACGATCAGTCGAGCCTGGAGGTAGCTCAATTGTTGAATTCCAGAAGCCGTCGTTTCCGCGAAACGCCGCAGAGAGCAGAGCGGCGCTCGACAATATCTAACCACAGTCCTCATATCGAAGACGGCAGCATGTCTTCCAGGCATCAAATCGCTAGCACTCCAGTATCAAGAAAACGGAGGTGCGAGTCCAATACTCCGAGCAGGATGCGTTCAACGATCCCAAGCAAAAGGCGACAGGAAATAAGCAGACGTTCGGGCTCCCGGACAGTCAGGCTCAAACAGGAGAAGCAAAGCCCCAGTTGCGCCGATTCCAATCCATGCCTTGATAATGATGACTCCCTCATCCCCAACAGCGGTAGCCCTAGTGGAGGGGCGATAGAAGGCCATTCGGCTGATGCCGAACAGTCTACACGTCCTTCTTGCAATTCCCATCCACATGATCCCAACTCGGAGTCAGTATCTGAAAGACCGTTGGTACAAGAGCCTGAATCATTGCGAAAGAAGGATAGAAACCTTGAAATACGCCTTGGTTCCATCAGCGCTATGCATGTTCTTTCAAGGAAAGAGCTCTCCTCCGTTCGAGCCGAGTACGTGAAGGCCTCCGACGTAATTCGTTCCTTACAACGAGCCATAGCAGAGGTAAAGCAAGGCACAGAGAGCCGAGTCGCCAATGCATTAGCCTATCAAGAGAAAAGGATTGACTTTCTAGAGCGTCTTCTTGAGGACACCCAGAAAAGTGCATCCTTCGCTCGCATGGATATCGATAGCCGCTCGCCGACAGGAAGTCAAATCAGCGAGCTCATGATGAAAATGCACACAGAAATCAGGAAGATAATGTGCTTAGCTTCTCAGGATCGCACCCTTCAAGTGCCTCTTTTAAACGAGAACGACCATCTCTCCTCTCTTCTACGCCGGATCATGGGACTGTCCCTGCAGCAGTCCGCTGGTATAAAATCGGTGCTGAGCAACTTAGACAACCTGGAGCTTGAGGCGGTTCTCTGTGCCTTGACAACAGCAGCAATATGTGAATGGGTTTTTGAGGACGACGTTGAGTCAGATACAACTACTCCCTCCTTGTTGTTAGACATGTACCGTCACCATGTCTCTTTAGTGAGTAAGTTTGGCATATATCCAGATTCTCCTATGACTACACGTCCTATACGTCAGCCGCCTGCACATTACTCAGAGCGATAGCTAACACATTGCCAGATGGAGAAGTTGCATTGCGCAGGCTGGATCTGGCTGCTCATCACTCATTGTTTAACAGCCAAGACTATCACAAAATAAACATTCCAACCTATGCACAGGCCCTTGTTACGAGATTGCGCAATGCCCTTGTACCATTGTTCGGAACACCCAACGAACCTTCAGAGACACAGTGCCTTGACACGTGGGGACTCGAGCACGACGAGGGGCAACTTGTAGATGAAGGACTAGTTGATGTTTTCAAATTTGCATTAGCCCTAAAGGCCATGTTGCTGGCCAGCTCTCACCAGTTTTTGGTGGTTCTTTTCGCTCCGGGCTTGGAGTTCAGTGATTATTGCATGCAGGCGGAGAGTAGAGAGGGATTTCGTATCACTGAATTTCCCAGTGATCCCGCAAAGGTACAACTTTGTGTCCTACCAGCCATATTCGCCTCCAGTGAAGAGCGCAGTGGACTTATAGAATACAAAGTGGAGGTGAGTACTTCTCCGGATAGTATGCAAGGTAAACATTTCCGGCTAGTTCAAAAAGGGGTGGTTATAATTTAGCGTGTGCAAAAATGCCTTCAGTACTTCACGCTCTTTTTAATTGAAAACGTGCGCATCGATGTAAAAGCTTTAAAAAATTACTAATTTCAAATCTCTGAAACTCAGCTAAATTTTAATTTAAGATTTAGGATCAGTATATTAAGAAGTATAATAGAAGTTACTTGTTAATAAAAATAAATATAGTTTAAATACATTTTTTTTCTAAAAACTATACCCTCTTTTTGATATACATTATATGTTTTAGGTAGAGTAATTCTGTAAAGAATTGATTCAGTTATATATAGTTAAATATCGGCGGTTAAAAAAAAAAAAAAAGGTTGCACGTTTCTGATGAAAAAAGTCCTAAGAACTGAAGGTACTTTCGTACACGCTAAATGCAAACTCACTTATAAGCTTCCGAATAGATATATTGTCATATAGTGCCTGACAAGGTAATCCGTAACATGTAGCCTCTCACTGTGGTGCTCAGCTAGCACCTCGAAAGCCCCTAGAGAATGATTGGTACATGTCACATATGTGCGTGATTAATTTAGAAGTCGTGCAGCCCAAGCTTCTATCGCCACACGATCCACCTCTTGGACGCCACGACCGATCTCCTGGTAAACTCCGCCATGTGAGAGAACTTGCAATATAGTTCGTCCCATATGTGCTTCATCTTCAACGTCTGAACCATCAAATAATACAAGGCAATACTTAGGGCATTGCCGGTACCATGAAGCGGGTCTTTTCAAAATTAAGGCGCCGTCGTTTCTGGTTGTCCTGCTCAGTCTCGGAAGGACCTTTCCCAAATCTGTACCACTCCTTTTCTCAATTCTCACAACTGCACTAGAATAGAAAAGGATAGGGAAAAGAGGAATGCTTGGGGTGTTGGCGTCAAGGCCTTTCCAAATCCGCCGCGGAAGGTCGCCAGCCTCCAACCCCTTCGTCCAACGCTCCTCGAACGGCCCTTTACGTAGAATGAGACAGACATTCTCCGTTGCAGTCGCCGCTGATTCCTGGCCAGATAGAGTCCGAAGGGACCGCACCACGTCTACCGAGGGATTAGAAGCTACCCAATATGCGCCATCCACAAGAGCGTCATATCCATTCAGAGCAATGCTGCCCAGCCTATTGATGGCCCGAACAGTTGCCGTTATACAGGAGATATTCCTGAGCACCTGCCAATCCGTATGCCTTAAATAGGATCGAAAGGAGATATTCGCTATGACAGGCTCTTCCGCATTTGAGGTATGTTCGCCAATCGACCCCGTCCACAGTTCTTCCACTTGGTTGATGAATTCGTAGTTCAGTACTAGCGGCTCCTCGACACAAAAAGTCTCCAACAGAGCTTGAGCAACTTCGGACACAAAGTCATTTGGACTGATTGAAGTTAAAATTGAAATCAATTCTTCCTCGGTCTCTGGAAGCACGAGGTGATTAAAAGTAAAAAAGACTTCATCGGCGTTCCGGATGACCCCCATGTCATCGGCTTCGGGGTAACTTTCCACTATCGTGGCGGATGACGGGCTATCCGCGCCGATGGTAGTATCTAGCATTTCAGTGTCGTCTGCTCGTTCTGATGGTAAAGACATGACATTGTCAGCCTGAATAGTGTCACTTGAGGAGGTCGTCATCTCCTCCTCATCTCTGCTATATGAAATAGTGTCACGCAGAGTACAGGTGCTCAAAGAGCCCTGACTCAACTCTGTGATTTGCTCGAGTGTACGATCGTTTAGAGAACAGTATGTGCTTAAGGCACGCTCTTGGCCAGCGAAAAGGCAGTCCAGTATTTCATTCAGATGTATCTCGATTGCCCAGTCATATATAAAGTCGATAATTAGACACAGCTGTAGCGCACAATCAGCTCGCAAAATCGTCCCTTGCCACAGTTCTATGACTCTCTAGAATTTTGTCAGTAATGATATTCATTTACCATTTCCATCGAGGTATGAGGCTTACAGTTCCTCTGTCATCAGGGGTACAGCCGTATACCTTCCACTCTTCCCCTTGGTAAGCCAAGAACCATACCAATGGGCCCCCCGTATTAGTACTCCTACTAAGAGACCTCTGGATATTCAAAAACGTCCTAATCGGAAACGCAGTTTGCGTTTCAACGGACTGGAATCCCGGGCCGCCCACCTCAGACTTGGCCTCCAGGACAAGAAAAGGAAATAGCATTTCTGGAGTATTCAATGTTGGACTGTGGGCCACATTTTCATTGTTTCCGAGCAGTCTCTCTATATTATCATCCCTCCTAAGTCCGATTGCAATGTCCGGCTTTTTGACGTTAATCTGAGGAGGTGCAGATTTGTCATCGATTGGCATACCCAGTCGAGTTAGGAAAGGCCGCGAGACATCCGAGGATAGCTAGATCAAAACTATGAGAAGCCTTTCACACGTCCACGGGACAAGTAGTACTCTATACCTCGTCACGAATTGTTTCGTTAGGGTTGCAGACGCATAACTGCCTCGCAGGGCTGCACGACGTTGCTTGAAATTCAGAAGCCCAGAGACGCCTTTTACAAAAGTGACTAAGGGCAAGCACGAGAAGTCAGTCAGACGCATGTTTTCAGCAATACTAAATGGTGGAAGTGATAAAAGGGGCGACATTCATCAAATCGAGAAACACGGACAAGAAAAATAAACAAATGTAAATCATCCTACCATTCAACCTCCCCATCGAAATGCTTCAGCAAATGTGCTTCGGTCGATCTTCTCCACTCTTCCTCATGCAAAGACGATTTCCGACAGTCATGCGCGGCCCGGATCAGGGTATGGGCTCGATTCAAAGACCTCACCCTCTTTACTCGATGTGGAGAAGAATCTAGACTCGAGCGATATTGATCATATTTTACACCCTCAATTTCCCGGAGCTTCCCGTAGATTAAGCTATATTGAGGCGGCCAGTGCGAGGTGAGAATGGGGCCTTCGAATCTGATCCCGTACTCGTGGATGAGTCGGCGCTCCTCGGCCGGGGTCAGCTTTCTTTTGTCATTTGATCGGGTAGTGTTTAGACGGTTAGGGCTCTGCATGTTACGTGACGATCCGGTATGCCAAATGGGGAAGCTCAATATCTCTGTGTTGCCTTTCGATGGCAAGGCTTTGGTGTTCTATCAACTCTACCACGTGGTGATACAACCCCGCACTAGGATGAAAATAGTAAGAAGCTTTGCTCGGACTATTGCCTCAACTTGTAACAATAGCCATGAGTTCATATCGTGTATCTTAATTCGGCTATGGGATCTAGATCTAGAAGCATGACAATACAATATGCCCTTAAAATATGAGCACAATGTTTGATGAACCAAAACCATCTATATACTCCAATGTGTCTCTTTCTACATACCTAAAACTCACGCATTTGAGCCGTTATACTCAGAATCGCAATTGAAAATTCATATGATCAGTCCGGGTTTCCAGCATACAGCAATCATAAGTCTGACAAATCCAAGTTTACACTTTTAGCCCAACATTCTCCTCTCCATTCTTCTTTCATTCCTGGCCGGAAACGACATATGTTCAAACCGCTACAATATGATTGATTGATTGATTGATTGATGCATTATCCTCCATACAGCCACCCATCGGGGCTCTTGCCGAGACGCTGCTGGCCGAATATATGTACAGCTCGCGCCAACACTTTTTAATAATTTTCAAGAAATAGAGAAAGGTACTCACCTTGACTTATCGTGATAATAGCCTGTTCGGAAAGATCTCATAACATACTTAATGAGGGAAGGATATCGAAAAGAAAACAATGATATAATCGAATAGCTAAATAGTATCTGAAAAGATACAGTCTTAGAATAGCGCATAAGCGAGAAGACGTCTCATCAAGTAGTCTAATAAATACGCTATATAGCCATATAAGCAAGTAAATCAAATACTAACTGTATCTAGGCTAAGCCAGGCATCGGTAGAATGGATTTTTGGTCATGACATTAGCATCCGAGTGCCTGCCGTATGGCCGGCCAACTCGGTCACTGGCCAACCGCTGCAGTATGGATTATGTATCCACGCTGGTGGTATTCAAACGGAATTCCAGATACAATAGATTTTCCAAGCATTCCACTACGATAAGCATTAACTGCTTCCCTCCGTAGTGTACTTGGATACAGTTGTTTTCACGATCAAGGAACACAAGGCAAAGGCCGACGAGATCTTCTTAATCCCTGAAAAAGGTATGACTTCCACATACCGACTGGGACGATCCCTTACTGAATGTTCAGAACGCTTCAACGAAGGCTCCATAGATCCTTTCACCGCATTAAGGATAAGCTGTCTAGTTACTGATCAACCAATCACAGAATCCAAGACAATAAGGACTCGTATAACCGGTACAAGCTCCTCGAAACTTGAACGTCGGATCTCTCGATGTACCTACGACCATTTTATAATACTAAGGTATTTTAGTGGCCTACCACGAGTCTGTTACAGCTGGTGTAACTCATGTCGGCAGCTCTTATTCCCCTTCGGCTTCTCACCAGCCGCACTACACCAACTTGCTCACCCTGACGGAGAGATCGCAACATCGCGTGCCGCAGCGAAAAAAATAATCTCGTAATGGCGTTGTCATTCTATTCATCAATGAATCTAGAAGATGTAGCCATACAAGGGAAACAAAATCCGTTCTTGGTGCACATTAGCTTTTACGAGGCTCGGAGAAAGATGCTCGAGATTTTCTGGCATGTCGAAGGTATGCCTCACGAAGCTGTGCGCATTAAGTTTTCAAAACTAACCCCGGGAACGGCTGCCAGATTCAAGGCTGTCGTCGTATCTGGGAATGTTCCCCTTCTGGGCATCTGTCTGAACGAGTACCGGAACGACTTCCAATTGCCGCCGGGAGCTACTATGCCGATGCTTGCAAATGAGGATGGTTCGATACCAGCTCACGCGGACCATCTAGAATGGGAACCGTCCTTGACATGAGAAGAACCAATTCAATGGCTTGGGAAACAGACTACGATGGACGTGTGGTTGAAAGGCAGGGATTGTAGATCGTGACATCTTTAATATAATGTCTTTCTTACCATGATGATATATAGTTCTGCACACCGAAGAGATTGCACTTTCAGTTAAGCATGGTGTGGATGGGATATGATGGTATCAAATACGAAGTTCCTATATTGAAGTATCATAGTGCATTTTCGATACTATAGTTTTACACTGGTATTAAAAGAAGAAATAGAGAAATCGAAAGAATGGTTAACTTAATTCGTGCCGTCAGGCTGTGTAAACTTTGGCACTGATACTCTTGCATTCGGCCTTCTCAATCTGACCCAGTACTGTTTACGCGTGATGGTGTCAGGATGGGACGCTTTAGAATTGGTTGCATCGCTCATTGTACCAGGCATAATATGATCAAACTCATATGGAGCTTGACTGTCCCTCCAATATCCTCCAAGACCAGAACAATCGTCATCGTCAACAAGCTTAAGCAATGAGGAGTCGGATACTGTGAGTTGGTTTGGTTAGCTGGCTGCTGGGTTAATTCCGGTATTCAATTCAATACCTGTGTGATTATGCAAGTTCGTACATACCAATTCCTCTTGATAGCTGGTGTTTACTTTATTGTTTACCTTCTCACGCTGGCGTCCTGTCGCCTTTTCTGATAGCTCAGCCAGACAATTCCAAATGATGTTATGCAGAAAGCTGGGACAGCTACTTGTCCTGCATAATGAGACACATCGAAATGCGTATTCCAGCCAATTGTTCGGCTCTCAAGTAGTCCTCTATGAACATATCGCCACCATCGAAGCTGGCGCCGAAATCTAATGACTTTACTGTCCTAGTAGCGCGGCATCGCCTCGACTGGCTGAATCCCGATGTGCTACTGATTGCCGCTGTGATTTATGCTAGCCGCGACAATCTGGGCAATGTCACCTACCTCAATGGTGTAAGGGCGACCGAGCTCGCGGGCGCGAAGCCGACCCTCGAACCGATGGCTGGGCTGGAGTGGCCTCCGCACCTCCGCCCGGGACGCCACCGGTGCCATACGCACGATGCCATGCTTCACCGGACATAGTTATTAGCGCTGGGGAACTGCACACGCGTGATGTAGGCACTGGTGATGGTAGAATGTAACGCCTTCTGTTAGTGTGCAGGACTTGTTAAGCCACCAACTGACTCTTAGCGGGGGATTATATAGACAATACAGTTGTGACTGGAATGGTTTATTCTCTGCTCAATACGTATGTTGCAAGATATCTGATTCCTGAAGATAGTCTCTTGAAAAGTTTTTCCTTAACCGCAAAGGTGCATCGGAGATAACTCCGCAACATTCAAGCCGACCAGACAAGTCCAGCCAGATCATCGAAGCTCTTCCTAATAATAGAGCTCCGAGAGCTGCTGCCTGTTTAAGGTATGGGCCAATGAATCGATCAATTGTTTAGTTTCCGTAATTCCAAGTCAGCCAACAGTTCCACTGCAAGAAAAGCAAGGAAGCCTGGTGAAAGAAAATACCAGATTTCTTAACATAGCCGTCGAAATCGACGTCCGCTTCGACAAATACATCATATGCATCTTCCTCCGGTACACCTCTTTTCTTAAGGGCATACATTAGATCAGATCCCGAGATTTTGCCATCCTTGTCAAAGTCCTGGGATAGTCAAGAAATAGTGAGTATATCCGTGTTCATCATGAACAGACTTAGGAGAGGGGATAGCCATATAGACTCTAGCAAACTGACCAGGACGTCGAAGATCTTGTTTCTCATCGTTTCCCTCTCCTTTTCCAGTTCTGGATCCTATTGGGGTAGTCTGAGTGTTAGTTTTTGCTTATAGCTGAGTAGTGTGTCATGGGAGGAACTATAGTTGACAGGAGCTTGCCATTTTAATGATTGTCTTAGCGATTTGGACTTGGTTCTGTTAGTGGAAGCTGATTCTTTACTAGAGGACAAAGCCTTGTCTTTTGGCGCCGTGGAGTAACTGTAGATATCCGAGTGAATATGGGAAAAGCACAAGCCGGGGGTTCCGTTCGTTGAGGTCATGAGTAATTCTGAACCAAGATCTCCTAAACCTAATTTCTCAACTCTGAACACCAATAAAGGCTCAAATACAATGAAATAGCATTTATCCTTAATTTAGTGTTTCATATTAACACAAACAATATTGAACCCTAATATTCCAAAGTCTGGAGGGACATATTTTCCCCCGGTTACTAGTATATCTAAGATTGAGGTATCTTAGAATGGATTCTGAGAATGAGCAGTGTGTATACTTGAAGATAATTGAGGATTTGCCAGCACATATCGAACTCTCAAATTTCAGCTGGCATTAATAGCAATGCACAATGTTCTCGGTCAAAGGCCAAGTTATGGCAACTCTTCCCTGTTCATTTTTGACTGTGAATACCAGTATGTCTTCCGTGATGTTTCTTTCTTAGGCTGCATCCTATAATGACCATCACTACTACTGTTCCTTTTGGTATCTTCTCTCTCCTCTTCCCTTTTCTTCTTCTTCGTTCTTTTCACATTCCTGTCTCAATTGATTAGTATCCTGTATCCCAGAATTCTATAGCCGTAAATGGGGAGGCATCGGGATTTAACAATAAATCCGGTCCGGCAGACTTTGATCCTGTTCGGGTGGGCATTCATATCCGACTCCACATTCAGGGATCCACTATGAGGTTAAACAACCTTAAAATTTACTCTTCGCGATTGGATTCGAAATCATTGAGAATTCCACTCATTGTAGCTGCGTAAAGTACGCCACGATAACGGGAGGTAGAACCATCGCCACGCCAATAGCCTGTACCGACGCATACCACAGCGCATTAGCTACATAATTGCCTTGATTCAGATACAGCCATCTTGTGGTTGAGATACCATTCCACTGTGAAGCGTCTTGGCTGGCAATAGGTCTTCATGGCACCAGAACATCTGAGACATGGAAGACTTAACTCCGTTTCCTTCCTGGATTTACAGGCTTGGTGTACCTTTCAGGATACCTTTCCCAGGTTTAGCATAAACGAGTAGGCGTGAGTGCTGACCAACGGGGTATATGACATAGACGACTGGTGGATCCCCAGTTATAGCATTACTATTTCACAGCATACGTCAAGAATCCACCCCACAATCCGGAAAGGGCAGGATGGTCGTTGAAGCTTCATGCTGATTCGATTATCCCCGAAGATGTTTTGATACTACGTAAGTAAATCTTCATAGATTTAAATCATTAACCGCAAGCAGAGATAGCAATGAGGGTATAAGTAGGTAGAAGGCACGCTCGACCCCGGGAGATAGCTTGCTTTCTTCAATATTCCATCTTTCCTCAATCTAGGACTCGCTGATCATTTCCAATCTAGACATGCACTTTACCGGCACTTTCCTTTTCTTAGTCACATTGTTTACTTTTGGCCACTGCCCACAATCAGGGTTGTGACGATAAAGGTGGCCCAAGCAATGCTTCACCTGATTCTGAAAGGGAGGTCAACCTGGAACGTACCTGTCGTCTAGCCACTGAGAGAACACACGGGCCATCACAGTTATTCGTCTAACATGGAGGCTACCAATTCCCTACTTTTTATACCACGATTATTATTTATAAAGTGTGCTCATCTTACAGATAGAAACGCAGGAAGTGGTTCTGGACCTTGAGCTGCTGCCAAAGTCATTGAGCAAGGCCATTCCAGGCCGACACTTTAGGGCTGTTTACATATGGAAGAAGACCACTGGGGAACAAAGCCAAAGCCATTTAACCCATTTGAGCGGCCGCCTTCCACCGCATGATCCATGGCAGCCATCTTGGCCAACCCGCTGGTGGCCACTACCCCCGGGATGGTTCCCTAGCCCCCCAGGAGTACCATGGATGCCGATCTAGCTCTGCGGGCACTCGATCTTGGAGGGTTCTAGTTGGCACGGGCTCTGAGAAGAAACACCATCCTCGAGAATCCGTCCCGGACACAAGGTGGAATTGAGAATAATTCTGAAAATTCGTTTAGTTACATGTAACGAGAATATTGTGTAGGGTTCAAGGACCCAGCAAGAGCAAAGGTGTTGTTGCAAGTATAGTCTTCTAGGCCTCGGTCACAAGGCAAGAACGTCTGCACGGGTTGTTTCTAGCATACACCTTAGGAATCTGAGCCCTTATTCTGTATGAGAAAATCTTATTTTTTATGTTATGTGCATACATACACATACCACCCAACTAACCCCCTAGAATATCGTTCCAACCCTCCACCCAACTTTAACACCCCTCGCCAACACAAAAAACAAACAAGCACACCCATAAACCAACCCACAAAACACAATAAGCCCCGAATAATCCTCCTTCTTCCCTGGGGCACTCTGCGCCTTCATTATCTCCCCAGCAATAGGAATCGCAAACAGTGCACCAACACTAACCAAGGAATACGTAGTTCCATACCGCTTCCCAAAGTCCTCCGTCGTCGAGATCTGCGCCACACAAACAGGTGCAAGGCTAATCGCCGAGCCGCTCCAGAACCCGAATAGAACGGCATATGCCACGATAGCGGCTGTATTAGACCCAGCGGGCAGCCACAATGCGAGGGTGAAGACGGTGCATACGAAAGTCGTGACGATCATGACGTTGAACCGTCCGTACCGGTCTGCGAAGTAGCCCGGGACGATGCGGCCCAGGATCGAAGCCGCGTTAAGGATAGAGACGACCTGGTATGCGAGGCTTTCTTGCATGCCATGTGATTGGGCGTAGGATGTTATGTAGGTTAGGGGTATAAGTAGGGCGAAGTCGATTAGGAAGATAGCGACCGTGAGTAAGGCGAATGGGGCTTCGCGTAGGGCGCGAATGTCAATTTTACCTCCGCCGAGCTTTTTGGGAGGCAGTCTGGTTTTCAGGAAGAGGATGCATAGGATGCAGAAGAAAGCACAGATGAATCCGGTTATTCGGATGGCCCAGGGGAATCCAACGGCTTCGGTGAGGTTCCAGATTAGAATGGGAAAGATGATGCCTCCGAATCCGCCGGCTGTGGCTGCAATTCCAGTCGCTAGGGCACGGCGGCGATGGAACCAGTGTGCCAGGCAGGCTACGCTGGGGGTGAAGACCATTGAGGAGGAGATTCCGCCGAGGACGCTGAATCCCAGCATGAATTGGTAGTATTCTTGTACGAGCTAGTATTAGCATGACCGTAGTGAACAGGAGATTATGGCTTTTTATATGACAAACCTTTAGCTACGCTAAAAACCATCAGCGAGCCAATAAGCCCAATACATCCTGGGGCAAGCAGTGGTCTGAGACCGTAAGCGTCAAAAACCGGTCCTATTTCTCATCAGTCATAATTGCCTAGTCTATAGGTGGGGACTTCGGGGATGGGATGCATACCGACTTGGACACTTCCAAAATAAAGAAAGAATGAGTATACTCCGAATATCCAACCGATAGATGCTTTAGAATAGTCCTTCAACTGATCATTTGCCAACCAGGCTTCCAGGACGCCCATTGTATTCAAAAGCCCAAATGAAGGCACCATTGCACACCATGAACCCAGCACCACGCTCCATGCACGCCATCCGCCGTCTGGGAAGTCTGAGGCCTGTTCCACCTGTTTTTGGTCCGCATATATGCTGGGCCCCTCCTCATCAATGCTATTCGAGGATATTGGCAGCGGACCAGATGGGGGATCGCTATGATGCATCCTTTATGGCCTTTCTTTTCTTCTGCTTCTCCTTCTCTTTTTTTTGTTTAGATATAGAGTAGGATGAGACACGAACTTTTTGAAGCACTTAACATACTTCACAGGATATCGAATACTACTTCATCAGTTAGGGCACGGCAAAAAGCTTCATTCCGCGCTAATCCCTTTCTGGACGCCGCCGCCACTGTTGGAGTCCGCGGAACCCGAAGATCCATATAAGTCATATCTCTTTCTTCTCTATTCCAATTTGCTTTTTCTTTCTTTGTCCACCTGTCAATTTATATCTAAGGATTGCTAGTAAAGCCGGCGAGTCCTTCATAAAAAGAGCTACTGAATACAAGGAAACCCTAGGGTATGATGGGAAAGCCGATTAGGAGTTATAATTCGTGTGGATTCGGTTCGGGTTTCAAGTGCGGGTCTTGCTACTTTAAAGTTATAATGTGTCGTGAAGGAATTGCGAGGAAAAGATGTACTAATCAGTCAATGGGATGATCGGGCATTTCAGTCTCACAATATAGCAGGTATCATTACATTAGAGGTGGAAGCTTTTATACAAATAGAGCATTCACTTTAAGTGCAGTACAGCGGAGTGGTGAGTTACGTCCAGATGGTGACCGCTTCTCATTCAAAGCCTTTGGCTGAGCATATATCTTTCTCTAGGACAATTAACTTGAGAAAATGGAAAGATAGACGGCGTTAAGCCCGCGACACATGGCAGCGATGCCTTCGAACGCCACATCCATCTCCAGAGAGTATTTTAGACATTCTATTGCATGTCGCAGCTCTTCAAGTAGTCTCCTGGCATCCTGGACCTCTGTGACAGGCTCTGGGTTTGCTATCAAAGGATAACAAACTGACAGGCGATCGGAGGCAATTGCTGCCCGTATCCGATGTATTAACATAAACAAGGAGTAGGAAGCCTGCATAGCAGCGCATTTGAAGAATGGTATGGTGCCTGGTGATTTCATTGCAGATGCGGCAGTAGGTGCAGCATGATGGATTGTTGGGGCTTCAGTGGTGCTTGACGGGGCATGCGTATCTGGACTTTCCGTTAAAGAGGATGGTTCTGGACATGGAAGGTTTCTGAATGCTCGGGCCACAGCAAGTGATGACTTTAAGCATTTGATTGAGGATTGCTGCTCGGTGAACGGAAACATGGCTTCGAAGTGTGCAGACACTTCCGGATATGGGGTTTTATCGTTGATAGCAGTGAGATCACAATGCTTTTCGACAAATAGTGGGATGTCCATGAACGCGCGAAACCGATGCAATCTGATTCGTGCTCTAGGCGAAAAGAAACACATATCAGATTTCTGTAAAATATCGGAAGATGTAGATAAAACTCACGAGTGAAGGACGACATATGCTATAGATCCCATACACTGAGTGGCAAGCCCCTCAGCATCGTTCTTTCGTGTTAGACCCATATAGAATTCTGATTCTGCAGCCAAAGACATTATATGTGAGTCAAGCTGATAGATCCTTTTAGGTAGGTCCTCGGGCTCCGTAGATACTTTATGCACCAAACCCAAGGCTTCAAGGACATCAGAGACAGAAAGGAAAGCTTCTTGCGCTTTTAGCAAAAGTGGCCAGGGCTATATTGGCGTGTTAATTGTCGGTAAATCATAATCATTCGAGGTCAGAGTCCTTACATCTGGCCCGTCTATCGACGCTTTTAAGACGGGATATGGAGTGGTTATTCGAGGATCATGTGCTGTAATGATCGGTGACTGTTTATCACTTAGTAAGGGCTATTGTCAAATACCAATATGTCTTCTTGTTCATACCGATACTTGTACGACGGAGGTATGATACAGTGTTGAAACCTGAGATCGGTCAGTCACCAATACTAGTATATCTAGACCAGACAACACGAACAGCAGACCACCATGCTCGTCGTTGAGCTTCCAGTGCGGTTGAGTCTAAACGGTGTAGGCCGAGATCCATGGCTGTAGTAATCGCTTGGTTCGCGCGTGTGCGCATGCGGGATACGTTCCCATATTGGCAATATTCATAAATACTAAGGGCAATCAGAGCTAACACTGGGTGAAGCTGGAACGGTACTTCACAGTGAAGGCTAACGCGTTGGGAATAGGAATTTGTGTCAGAAATGCGATGTGTCACGAGATCGTCAATTTCCTTCTCTGCACTGTTGAGCGCAGCTTGTGCATAGAGCCGCGCATAGGAGCGCCGCATCCAAACATGGCATTCCCCTGATGGGTGCATGTCCTGAGGAGGTGGTATGAGTGAGAGAATCGCGGACAATGCTAAGGTAAGAGAGCTCATCGGCCAATATGGAAGACAAGACTGGTCCACTGTGCCCGCCTCCGCAGGCGGGGGCTGGAACACCTTCGGTTTGTCTTCATACTGTGGCTCCACAGGGGGTGGTAACAGCGACAGATACGGATGGATATAGATATAATAGGCGTTCGCTCTGGCTCCGGGCATCCTCCAGTTAGCCACCAAAGGACTTTTGTGCATATCATCCATCCCGATCCATTCCATACTTACATATCCTCCTCGGAGGTATATACTCTTAGAACCGGGTTTTCTATCTCACTAGAGGGTCCCGTATCCTGGGAACTCCAAAGCAAACCAGGATCCACACTGAGGTTCTGCTCTCCACTGAAAGGGGTTAGGAGGCCAATGATGTGCCGAAGACTAGGATCAGTCTCATGAGCAGAATCTGGGTCTCCCGTCCCTGGAATATGTGAAGTCTGGTGGGTATTAAGCACACCACCAGAATTTGAAGGGTGTGATGATGATATTGAAGAGCAAGGCACGCTCATACGTCGAACTTCCTTGTCATTCTTGGTGCTTCGCCGAGGCCCACCGCGCCGACTAGGGCGGTAGAAGCAGCCACGATTCCTTTCAAAGCACTTTCACGGGGATGCTGTTAGTGAGTCGAATTTCCCATTCAGGCTGGTGACCCTACAGGTTTACAAGGATGCTGACCGTCACAACGTGTTTTTGACGAACGGCTAAAATAAAGTCAATATACAGCTGTCAGTACACAGAAAGAGATGCTGGGCTATACCAAGCTAGACAGGCAGCTTTGACTGGATGATTAGTCACTCGAGGCATATTGTTGTAAACACCATGGGTAGATGCACTTCAGTATATGGCCTTTAATCCAAATGCTGCATTGGGTAAAATGGTCGCCACGTGATAAGAATATGATTGATACTTGCGTCACGAGGTTGCATAACATGATTAGTAAGCCAGTGCCATGGATTAAGTTAGTTAAGTGAGAGTGTATAGTTGGCGCCTACTTCTAGAGTGGACCCATCGACAATCGGAACGGAGCTAATTTTCCGAACGTGGCCCAGTGTCTGTGCACAGTGGCTTTGAGTGAAAGTTATTTAAGCTAATACCATCTATTTTCAATAATGTTACAGGACGAATAAGCTATTCCAACCTAAGTGTGCCCATTAAACAAGAAATAGCTAATGGATAGGAATAACATGTTATATGAAATTTTTGTGGGGTAAAGATTTGGCAGTGATGCCTTAGGCAGAGCCTCCTATAATATAGGACTGCCTGTAAGTCAGTCCCATAACATTAAAGAAACCAGCAGGAGAACACAAGACCAGAAAATGAGCAAGTAGCAAAGTGTATATAAAGAAGTGAAATGCTTTGAAATGGATTAGAAAAGTTTTCTGCTGCCACAACACACAGACCTCCTGCCACTTCTGGAACAATATTATTCCATTCCGTAAGTGGCGGACCCACTCTTAGAAGTCGGCCTCAACTATGTCCTGGTTAACAACTTAACGAACTAACATGTGATTAGCTTTATGCCCTATGACATGATACATCCGCCAGTGTTGAGTCTGCAATTAGGATTTCGGGATGGGATGGGATTTTAGGATGGGAAATGGGAAATGGGAAATGGGACTCCTGTCCCTAAATTTGTGTTAGAATGGGAATCCCGTCCCATCGTGTCCCAACGGTCAGCCTATCTGCAATTGGTATTAACATTGTTTACAAATCCTAATATAAGATTCATTTGTATGAAGCTGAAAACGGCCGTTTGTGTTATAACAATCCTCATGTATTCTACTTTTACACAATGTACCCTTGGCGTATTGATTTCATGACTTTCTCTATATATATAATGAGACTATAGGCCCTAGCCTAACGAACAGGAAAGTCTCCAGCCTCAACCATCCTCTCTATCTCGGTCTTCTGATACAGTACTAATACTATCCTTACTAGCCAGAAAAAGAGAGGTCCTGCCGGAACAGCTCATAATAGACCTGTTACCAACATAACAATCCGGACTCCCACATCATTACACCGCCTTGTACAATGAGGGCCAAAGAACACCTCGATTCCTCGAACAAGCCATTGGAGCCATAGTTGCATTACAATGACCCTGTGAGTGCTTTTTGTAAAAGTTAAAAGATAAAAAAACATTAATTGGAAGTTCAATGAATAAAAAGCTGCTTTGAAGGAAGTTTACATATAGATCTCCTTTATATAAATATGTTCCGAATCTAAATATAGAAACAGGCAAGGTGGCCGAGCGGTCTAAGGCGCACGGTTCAGGTATACCTGACCATACAAACTTTCTGTAAAGTTTCCGTGTCATGAAAATGGCGTGGGTTCGAATCCCACCCTTGTCATAATTTTTGGCGAAATTTTTATGATTTTGCTTTAGAGGTTACAATCGTCCTTATATATTCATCTATTACGTTTCAAGCACAGAAACAGGCAAGGTGGCCGAGCGGTCTAAGGCGCACGGTTCAGGTATACCTGACCACATGAGCTTCACAGCTTCCGTGTCATGAAAATGGCGTGGGTTCGAATCCCACCCTTGTCATTTTTTGACTAATCCTAGATTATCTATCCTAGTTATACGTAATTGCAACTGCTATCAATCACTTTTTAATATAAATAAATTGTATGAGAAACTCACCCTCTTGGCTCATAAGTTTTACGCCCACCCGTGATGCAACCCATTATCGCTCCGGACATCCCTTTCCATACCTTGACTATCTATAATGTTACTACATAAACATAACACTACCCTCACAGTCACAGACAAATTTACAGAGCGCATCAGGTTGGTTCCAGGCCGCGGCATCTAGATGTCCTCGCTTAGGCTAATATCTCTTAGAACGCCTAGCGATCAATGACTAGGGCATTTCCTCTGTCATTATATGACTGAGATCCCAGATTTATTTGTGACATATAGAACTCCATCTTTGATCATCTCAAGGTTCAACGCAAGTACATGCTCCGCCAGCTGCACACCGTGCTCAATCGACAGCCGATCAGAAAGGACTAACCAGAATTTATTTACGATATGCTATTCTCTCGACAAATTGGAGGACCAGCCACGCATCCCCCGCCAAATACAGGCTTATAGCTACCGTGCTGAACTCTACATTACCGGCTTCGCTGCCTGATTTTATCTGATTCGATCTGCTAGGGCCACAGGGCAAGGCCAAAAGTCAGGTCAGGTCAAAGACCCTAGTAGTTGAGCACAACATATATCGATATTCGGTCTAGGGCATGCTTGGTTGCTTTCAACCAAGCATAGTTAGTCTTTTGGCCATGTGGAGTAGCACACCTGTCACGAGTAAGCCTTAGGCTTAAGAGCCCGATGGCCAGTTGCGATACGATATATACCGCGCCTGGGAAATCAACTCTGATCGGAGTTGATCATAGTGGATACCTAATGGGAACATCATACGTATCGGATTGCTAATCTCAAGAGTAATCCTGTCAAGCAAAATTACCACTAAAACTCCGCTATCAGCCACCTCCCTACTCCATTTAAATAGGTGCCTTTGATCCTTATCTACACCATCATATCGCTATATTCCCATGGTATCACGTGTGTCGCGTCATTTGGATGATCACTTCAGGCCTATCAATATGCTCATTTTATCATTAGATCAGAAATGGGAGACTTTGTCATTTCATCATTGCACCCCTTAGATTTCAACAGTTGATTACTAGGTAATACGGAATCCCGCATTCCTGTAGCGGGCTGAAGCCCGTTAGAATACTCAGGTCGTTGGTCCTCGTTTCCGTATTCCTCACATGGTGTATTTCTGCCCCTCCTTCCTGTCATACATACCTCATTATCTCGCCGTTTGTTGATACTTCTCCTCTTCCTTTCTTCTTCAGCGTTTTCTTGTTTTGATAGCTATGACAGTGGTCACATGACTACCACTCACTTCACTGATTGCCTAAACCTCCATCCGTGAGAAGAAGTTGAGATACAGAAGATCTAGCAGGTATTATGGATGTCGTCCATATTTCATCTAAGCCCACACTTTGTATATGTTCATCTCGAGGATGGGTAACATAAAAATTTATGACAAGGGTGGGATTCGAACCCACGCCATTTTCATGACACGGAAGCTATAATGCTCATGTGGTCAGGTATACCTGAACCGTGCGCCTTAGACCACTCGGCCACCTTGCCTACTTGTATTGACCCTAGGTTTAGGGTAATGACTTAAATGGGTAAGTGACCTAAATTGAAAAGTAGATAGCAGCTGCTACAATCACTTCTAAGTAGGATACACAATGATTTAGAGATATCTACTAATCAGGGTAGGAGGCTGTTACGGAACTTGCAATCTCACCCTATAAATCAGACCTGACGGATATACGGGACTCTAGCTCAACCAAATGGTTGATTAGGTAGTCTATCACGAAGAGACTAAGCTGAAGAGAAGAGAAGAAAGGAAAACATGACGCTATCGCGTAGGCGATCCTATGTGTTGCCCTTCTAGACAAAGGGTCACATGACTGACCAGACTCACTTTACTGATTGTAGTTCTAAGCCTCGATCCGTGACAACGGACTGGGAAAAGCCGCAGTAATGCGACGCGGGAGCAACTATATACCAATCACGTGACATAACATACGGGTTGGCATAACGTTTTCAACCACCGAGTCGGCATCACCACCGAGCCGGCACCTCTGTATTCCATACAAAATGGCAAATTCCAATGCTCTATATCTCAACAACACCGGGTTTATTTTACTCCCTATTTTACACATTATAATTAGAGATTGTACTTAATGTAAACCTAGATTCTTTGGTAATAATACTCTATTAATTACAATAATCATATAAATTACGATGTAATTTTGTGCATTTTGTACTATCACAGTAAATAACTGGCTAAATTGCCGGAAATTTGTTGCATAAGCTGGCTATATTCTCTAATAGTAGTACATACAATGTCTGATAAAATTAATCTACATTGGTTGAGATATAATGGACTGAAATTTGCTATTTTGTATGGAATACAGAGGTGCCGGCTCGGTGGTGGTGCCGACTCGGTGGTTGAAAACGTTACCGGTTGCAAACGTATATGAGTTTGGTATATGCCCACGGGATAATAAGGGAGCTCATTATTCTCATGTACTTAGCTTAGTCCTTCATAATCAATCACAGTTGTTACTACAGAGTTACCTTTAGTACCAATAGACCAGCATCAACTCGTTCGTACTCTTCTAACTGTCTAGTCCACGTACTTGACAGCCCTGGCCTCTTGGACTTTTTCTATTCAAGGATTAATTATCGCACCTGTGACGGCTCAGTCTCTATACGGGCTGCTGAGTTCGTAGTGAATGTCAGCGAGTAATGACGTGATTCTTTTTTGTTCTGTTGTATTCGAGATAGACAATATCTCACAGAGCTTCTCTCCTTCAAGCGATTCTCTCGTATTAGAGCTATCTACCCAATCAGATCAACCAATCTACATTGGCCTAAGCCGTTACAGCACCATCGTTTGGGCCTCCTCAGGTCACCCTCATGACACTTTGTTATCACATATCAGTGGATTCTGATACTTAGGTGACCCTCGCTACGCAAGCAAAGCTAACTGGTCGCGGAGCTCTTGGCCGAATACCCGGGTATAACACAGACCTACTAACTAGATAAGGATACGAAAGATGAAGGGAATGGAAAGATCAAAGGTAGCAGTAGATAACTATTGAGACAGGAAATAAATTGATTCTTGACCTCCTAATACTACTAACGGTTCACCAATTTATAACTGAAGCCCTACACCTAAAGAATTTTAGACCACGCTGAGCTGGCACCCGCACCTAAAGGATTCAGAATCCTTATTAAAAAGCTGACTGATACATGGTCATCAGGCCGAATCGCTATCCGATCTAAAAATCAATCTAGGAAGATTTAAAAAATTTGACAAGGGTGGGATTCGAACCCACGCCATTTTCATGACACGGAAGCTGTGAAGCTCATGTGGTCAGGTATACCTGAACCGTGCGCCTTAGACCGCTCGGCCACCTTGCCTGGTGTGATTTTTTTGGGCTACTAAAGCGCCTAATAGTAAATCTGTGAAATATGTCCACACAAACTGCCATACCTTTGATATTCTATCGATCTGAAGTACTTGGAAATATCACGTATTGGGACGCCCCAAGTGTCTGGGCATTTTTGGTACTCTAGTCGTATATTTTGGTGAACACATTCTATTGGCAGTAGCTATGCAGCCTCTAGTGATATGTAGGTGTTCCGGGCTTATAGACCTTGGAAAATGCAAATCAACGATACAATAGAAATGACTAGACTTGGCCTGATAGACTTACTTATTCCAATCTAACTGAAACGCATGAGGCCTTGTATACGGAGAAGATTAACAAAGCGTCTTTCATATAGGAACATGGCCGGATCAGTAGAATAATGAACACATAGAAATAATGAGATAATGAAATACTAAGGAACACAGTCCGTGTTCATCCTACAATAACAAAGGCTTATCCTGAATCCAATAGTTAGTGTAGAAACATAATCTTGGCCAGGTTTAACTAGCACTATGCTCAAGGTAATCGGTCGCCGAGCTTGAGACCTGACTAGCTGAATTTAAAGGGGCGATTGATATATCATGGGGTGCTGCTTCTTCTGATCTTTCGGATAGTATATGCTCTGTTGGCAGGACCTGTGATTTTCTCAGAATATTAACTAAAGTAGTACAGAGTGAAGTTCAAAAGGACCGCAGGGCTGTGGACAGCTGAGATTCTGGGTGTATTATGCGGCACTAAGATAATTACGACGCTAGAAAACTCAGGTAAATCATAAGGACACCGATTGAATACTGTGTAAAAGTGAATAACATCTTTGACGCTGGCCTTCTTGTTATGTTAAATCAGGATTACATTATATTATGTTTACGGTTACATTAGCGTCTACATTAGACTATGTCATATTGCTTGTAATTGATTGTCCTGCAAACGGTGATCCCTTTAATGGTGAGCATCAAGGAGAAAAACTATATTCGAGCCTAATATAGTGGTAAAATGTTACACAGACGCTTCATGAAAGATGTCGTACCAAAGTCACGGGGCTTACTGGAAAGTGTCCAAGACAAAGATACATCAAGGGATTCATTTGAGCAACCATTACTTACCCGCACCATCATATCGGGCTACTTCTCGAGAACTTAGACTTACATTAGTTTTGTGCTAGCCAATCACGCTACTGGTCTAGAGAAGTACAAGTTTCACGATGGTGGGAGTTATGACTAGCAAAGGATGCCGCATGTGTGTGAGCCGTAGGATCAAGGTAAGTATCTATTGTTTTCTCTAAAGAGCTATCTTGATTGCCCAGTGTGTGCCACAAAAAAAAAAAGAAAAAAAAAAAGAAAGACAAACAAAGGAATATGAGCCATTCTACATGAGGCTATTTTGAAACGTTTCACAGACTGATGCAAAGTCATAGTGTGACGAAGCTCGCCCACGTTGCCTGCGGTGCGTAAAGAAAGGCTGTGAATGCCCAGGCTATGATCGCCGCTTCAAATTTCGCGACCAGACGCAAGCCCTAATGCAGCAATACGGCCGGGAATATACAGGACGTGACAATCGAGCTTCCCAGCAAAGGCCAAAGCAAAAACAGACTAATTCGTCAGAACCTCCAAGGCTCATTATCGATCAGATCTCCGCTCCCAGTTTGACATACGCAGCGCTGGATATCCAAACAAAAGAATCGTTCAATGACTTCCTGGGATATTACTTTCCTTCGTATGCCGCCTGGTCATTCCAACTCGAGGTTAATTGGATGGATTTCATACGAAGTCAGGGGCTTAGCTGCCCTCAAGCGTTAATCTGGGCGATCCGCGCGCTGAATACCTTCCATATGGGAGTCATGCGAGGAAACGAAGGCGCTATAATCAGTGGTAGGCACATGTATGGCCGAGGAATAAAGCATTTGGCGTACCTCTTGCAGACGCCCTCTGCGCTCAAGGATGAGACACTAGCAGCCGCTATTTTACTCGGAGGATACGAAATGTTGGATGAGAGCTGCCAGAATTCCTGGATACTTCACTGCGGTGGCATCCGTCACCTTATGCGTGCCCGTGGACCGGCTGCGCATAAACGTGGAATCGGTCAGACTCTCATGCTATCCTTTCGAAACTTCCTAGTTGCCGAAGCATTCAGACAGGGGGAATCCTGCTTCCTCGGGACCCCTGAATGGACATCAGACCTCGATCAAAGCGGTAGCATAGGAAGTGAGAGAGGACAATATATCTCTGTGTTTCAGAACATGGACTCTGCATTTAACGAAACTGTTAAATGTCCTGGCTACTATGCAGCTATACGAGCGATTATCGAATCAGAGGAAGGCACCGAGCTTTCCAAACTGGACCGTCTGGTTGGGGATATGATGGGAACCAAGGGGCGCCTAATCCGGCTCCACTCACGGATTTCCCCTGACTTGGAGGAGGTTGTAGCGGTCCCAGATTCGTCTGTTGGATTGATTTCGTCTGGGCATGCAGAAAGCTTGGGTCGGCAGCCGTGTATTGATATCTTGTCGGTTCTGGGGCTGATTGATCAGCTCATGGCTGTGCTTGAGGTATATCGGAATCAGAAGCTGTCCCGATTTAATACTGATATCAAGACCGCATGTAGCAATATAGCTACTACTTATGTATCGCGGGGTTGCATGGCAGAATTAAAACTGGATGGCACGGTCGAGGATGGTTTAAAGAAGTTCTCTGCGGCAATGGGAATTCCGAACAAAATTACTGTTTCCCTGCGGCGTGGTGTTGGGGAGTGGCCTTAAAGGTAGCCCAAATATTGAAGGTACCTAAGAGGATGAACGATAGGGGAGCTGCAGGCGGGCCTGTTAAGTATCCTGGGAATCAATTCCGCATCCATCAGCTGTAGCAACAGCGAAAGCGGCGTCGCAGGGTTTGATTGACTGGTGTGAAGTAGTTTGTATTCGTTTGAGACCGTATTTCTCCTGAAAGCTCTCTGATCGTGTTTGTATTGTGTGAGAAGCATATTGCTATACAAAAAGCTGTCAAACTGCGCTTCTTCCCGGCGAGGTGTTCTTGAGTATGAAGTTGACCAATGCCTCTCTACCATCTAACTTGACTGGTGCCTCTGTATGCAACGCCCCAGGTACAGTTTTCCTCTCGAGTTTCAATCCAAGCCTTTGACTATCGGATTCCAAACCATCCGCTACATGTGGCGGGATCACTTCATCGTTCTCCGCGGAAAGCAACAGTATTGGAGGAGGTGAGACCTTGCTGTGGTGTTCGTTCTGGTCCCGCCAGCTAGCAATCCTCTCCATAGCCGTAGTACAACTCCAGTGGTTCCACGAAAATGGCCACAGGTATCTATATGGTAGCCATTTCTGGGGATATAGGCTAATCAACATATCTTTAATGCTAGAGGACGGTGCCTCCAAGACCAATCCAGCGATATTTATTGGACGAGCGCGCTCTATCTTACTGGATACTGCTTGGTGACCACTATGATGAGACAGGTACGTAGCGGTAGCAGTACTCGCGATGGCTGAACCAAGACTGTGTCCCCAGAGAATGACTTCAAGGTCAGTGTCTGGCGACGCATAGGTTTCCGATACCCAGTTTAAAAACGATTGGGCATCAAGCTCAATACCGGACTGCGTTGCACGACCTGAGGATGTCCAATAGCCGCGATATGATAAGGCTACCACAGTGTACTCAGTGGCATCTGATGAATAGGTGGGCGACGGATGTGACTTTGACTTTTCATCTATCATCCGCAAGACCTGAGAAAGAAGTGGCAGGCGAAGAGGAGTCGAGCCACCATTTCCTTGGAAATAACATATGACGACAGATTTTCTCTTCACTGTCGCTCTTTGCGCGACAGTAGTCCGACCATCACGGCGCTGGAGTGGAATGTGGCCTTCGCATACCGCTAACTTAGTCCTATCAAGGCTTTGGATCCGTTTTTCTGTCCACTGTACTGGTTGGCATTCGCGCTCGTAGTCCGCAATCTTTTCAGAGCGCGCAAGTGGCGGTAACCAAGAGAGGTATAATAGTTTGTCTTGCAGAATGACGATCCAGAAACATTTCCAGGTCCAGAGCGAAATCAGGAGTCCAAAGAAGATGAGGGGAGGAACAAGAATAGAGGGGATAGCCGTAGTGCCAAACGTGCGCGTGCGTTGAAAATTGTACAGCCGCGATTTATGTTCTGGTTGATATTCGACCCTCTTCCGTGAGATGCTGCCGTGTTTTAAAGGAGAGAGCACATGGTATTGTGAAGAGAACGTGCATGTCCGTCGTAATGTGCGAGGCCGAGAAAAGATCGCATTGGGAGAATTGCGCCACAAGCGCTGCATAATCCATCCCCTCACCATCAAAAATGGACTGAGCTTTTTATGGAAAAATGCAACGGGCGATGCATCCATGAAGGATGTTGTGAGCCGAAATGGAGGATGGTTGGCGTGTTGCTTACTAAAGGGAAGGTGGGCCTCGATAAGATAAGATAATGATAAGATGTTGCATCGACTTAATGTATGTACGTAGCCCTCACGAGTAATTGCAGGCCGATAGTAATTCGTGAAAGCTATATTTTATAAATCTTTACCTCCTAGAGGGGCTTTAAAGTGTAGTCTCCAGGTCGGTCATACTGAGGTAAGACACGTTGGAGGTATACTGTGTAAGGGTAAAGGAGTATACATAGTGGCACTAGGAGATCATGGTGACTCGCTTGATCATTGTTGTCACTATCATTACAGCTGAAGACGGTAGAAGCTGATCAGTTGTAATAAGGATATGATTAGGGGTGCGTTCATGAGGATGGCCTAAGATCCACGGAGTACTTTGTTGAGGGAGAGCCCATCGAGATCCTGACTAGCTCTCAGGAGCCGGTGAAAGGAAAGCCTGAAAGACTGGTGGCTGAGGACAACGATGGAAAAAGGCGTCGTTTTGATAGCTCCAGGGCTACTATTTCAATGATATGGCTGATGTTAGCATCGTTCGTAAAGTTCTGCCTTGTTTCGAACTTGGAACTCGACTTTGTTACAAAGCCCTAGTTTTGACAAGAATTCGGCAACAACTTCCAGGCTAAGTTCCCTGTTGGACTTGGTGGCAAGTCGAAGATGGTTCTTTGATCAGCCGATCAAGCCATGTAAGTAAAGTCCACCGAGCCCTGGTAGCAAAGATACTTATGTTCTAGGGTACAGTGCTATGAGTCTATCATATAGGCATGCTGGGAGAGGTGGGGGAGTATGCTTGACGGTTCCTCTAGATGGTTCTTGATAGTCATTCATTCCATGTCTATATACAAAGATGTTCATCAATATTTATTGATTTCTACTATATCGCCAGTTTCTCCGTTGGACCGCTGAACCTTGTTCGTAGCCGTGAAAGGCTTCTCTACGCGGTACTAGATCTAAGTCCTCTCACCTTACAATGTACTTCCCCAAGGATACTGGAAATACAAGAAGGTAGGTAATACTATGAATAGACTGATTTAAATGTGAAACCTTGTCTTTATGGTAATGAGATAGCAGAAACATAGACTCCGAACGAATGAGCGTTTCCGTGTAATATTGGAGCTGCTGTTATAACCGGTGTTATGTACAAATTACTGTATCAATTTTCACTCCCCACCTGTTCCTCCAACTGAAACATCTCTAATGTTATTTCCCTGATCTGTCACCATGTCACCATGTCACCATGTCAACTTTGTCAACTCAGTTGAGGCCAAAACAAACTCATGGTATGAACACCAACAAACTCCGGAAATATATACCCCGCGGATGCATCAAACCGCCGTTTTCGCCCATCCCTATATTGAACAGTACATGCCTTAGATCCACCTTTCAAAAACATCTTTTCACTCGTAAGTATGCAAATGACTCCTACCAGTAGAGTAGATAGGCACGCTTTTGACCTTCAGGTCAAGTTGATTTTGAATCTGGTTCTGACCAGCGAAGCGAATTTCAGATAGGCCCTCCGTGGGTTGATCTTCGACACCAAGGTGACCCCCGAAAAAAAAATCCAAAGGCTGGTCTGACAGCGAGCAGGAGATTCTTCAGCCGCCACCAGGTCCACAACGGCATATCTCTGAGCGGTCTTATCAGGTCAAGGGGGTTATATTTCCTCTTAGCAGAGGCTGACTTGCATAAATCCTTTCCCCCCTCAGCCGAACGGGGCTGTCTGTAATTTGACGCGAACGAACTAGCAGCATCGCTGGAATGCGCCAGATGTCGCCACTTGGGGTTCATACAGTCAATAGGGCGTTCCATTCGCTTCCACCTTGAACTATATGTAGAATTGCATGGTGTATATTTTTTGATAGATGAAGCCGACTGCCGATGGCGGGGCATGATAGGGAGGCTGGATTGCCGTGAAGGGAGAGAGCCCCTTCTTCTGTGAGTGAGTATCTCGAGTGAGCGCTGTCGGCTTTGGAGTCAACGGTTATTTCTCGAATGCCGGTTCGCAGTTCGGTTGGGAACTTCGATCCTCCTGAAACCTCATAGATGACATTGGTGTCGGTTCATTTTCGCTGACATATCGTATGACTGAATTGGTTCCCATTGGAATTTCACTAGTCGAAAGTCGGTAGCATAGACTGCGATCTCCTTTCAAAATAGATTGTTTGGGAATTAGTATGGATAAGATCATCGCCGTGCTTTGGCGTGTACCATTGGTATTTGGGCCCCATATCATGCTCGAGTTTCTCGAGTAATATTTATCTTGATAGAAGGGATACCTGGTAGACTCGCGAGAGGGACGGCAAGGATCAAAGCGGGGGTATATTTGACCATTTATCTATTGCTCTGGGAGCTTTTTTGTGGCGTTGCAAGGGGATCATATCACGTCTATGTGATGTATCTCATCACACTAAATAGGGCCTAATGTGTTGCCCGTCACACCATGGTTCAGTCCTCCACGAATGCCTCCGGAGATATGGGCTCTGAGATGATCTGGGACTACTTCAGCATGGGTTTACCAAGCAGCATGTAAACTCCCATATAGCGCGTCTCTTAGCATGTGGCAAGCTTCGTGATCAAATTGGCACGCAAGCATTATCTTACAACTAAAGCTAGACTTTGAATAGGTGTTCCTAGAAGTGTAGCGTGTACTATATGTAATCAAATCATATGAAAGGCAGGTAATGGTTGGGCACCAACATAAGGTAGTCAGTTAGCATGGAAGTGCAATCAAATCTTAGCTGAAGTAGGCTACCACTAGACTTACTAAAGTATTACTGATTAAAAAGAAGGAAGGTATAACCACTGGGGAAAACCAGGCTCGTAATTATACATGCATTATGACGGCTTAGTATGACAGCAGCATTGTAACATCCTCTGCGGCACCTATTCAGTCAGTCAAATCTGCTTTTACCCCTCGTCCAATTCCAATGAAAGCATCACAGCCCCTAAGAATATATATTATAAGTGGTAGTCTAACCACTAAGACTATGATGGCTTCGCTACGCTGCCTTATATGTAGCGGACATATTCAGCACTCACGAACAGAAATGATATTCAAACAGCGTCCTCTGTCTAGAAGGCATGTGTAAGAGACAAAGGTTATGTGGTGGGCCAATTCTCTGAGCGGGAAGAAACCTATTTTCGAATATCTAAACGCTTCTTCAGTGCTACTGTGCTGCTTTCTCCTTGTCGTATTTCTTTTGATTCTTACTTCACCCAGTTACTCATAAACAAGACAGTTATCCTCCGGCTGGAGTCGGTTGTTATTGGCGTGATAACAGACTAGTGCTACCGAAGAATAGCGACGAGTTCCTTGTCGGACATCCAGATGAAATGGAAGGAAGGACATTCATTGTCAGTGAGCAAATCTGGTGGAACAGCTGGTTGGACAATATGCAGAACACGCCGATACTACTGAGTTTCTCAATGCATGAACAGTGCTGGAACCTGCTCACCCGAGTCTTGGATCTTAATCTGACCAAGGACAACGTGCAAACATTTTTAGAAGCTCTACTCAAAACATACCCGGAATTCGTCTTTTCAACCAACCTTTTAAAATCTGACAGTGAGGAGGCATGGTTTTATTGGATAAAATGTACCCGTCGGAAAACCTGTAAACTTACTTGGCCGCGTTTAAATGCTTATTTTGCTTGGGCTAAGTTCAACTTGCAATGCTCGGATGAGATGTATGCACAGAGGTATCCATGGAGAATCGCAGAAATTAGGGACCTGATTGCGGAAGAAGCGAAAAGATTTCAGGCGCATTGCAATGAGCTGAGCATAAGTCAGGATACTAAGATGTCACGCAGACTATCGCGAAAAGCAGTCTCTCGTCATCCAATGTGGCCCCGTTCTGGAGGTCCCACGGGTAACCTGGTCCTACCGGCAGAGTTTATGCTAATGATTTTGGATCTACTGCCTAGCTTCTCCAAAGTTCGTTCCTTCAGGTGGGAATTTCCTCACTGGCTCCCGATAGTCCCGCATAGCTACTGGCGCGGTCGATGCATTTCAGAGGTTCACAAGCCCCAAAGATCGACATCCAGCGAGACGACAGTTCCTCCCTGGAATCGGAGTTACCCACAGGCACCTCCGCCTACCTACCCACCGGTAGCTATATAAACAATAGCAGCATCAGACATAGACCGTCTCACTGTCGGAGACGTCGTGGTCACCACTGCAACCCAGCTTCTACCACCAGCCATTACACTTGCTTGACCATTAGGAGATTCCATGGTTATAACATTGTCCGTCAACCCAGCAAAATGGGCCTTGGACACGCAGCATATCCAAGTCTTGCCTCTTTCTTGCACAGTAAAGGATGCTGCTGATACGGTAGAGCCAGTTTGCATGACTTCTATCACTTCGAACGGAGTAGTCCTACTTGTGCTGGGCGACCTCACTTTCAAGGCTTCTGAGTGATGAGAAATTATGGTTTTGAATATTGTATAATAACATCAATCGTCTTAGTGACGAAGTTTGTCAGACATGTGTATACTAATGCAGAGCCGACTCTGAAAACCAGATTCTACCGGCTCGACTCCTCCTCAATAATAATCTCCGTCGTTTTCCGAATATAGGTACCATTTCGATCACCATCCGAAATGGGGTCTACATGGTGCCACGAAGTTTGACTACCACAGGCAGAGGCCGACGATTCACTCATTCCGTGCGCGAATACGTTCATCTGGATAATGTTCTCCTCACTCTCACTTCGTGCGAGAGCACCTTCAGTAATTGTTCCTAGGTCATAGTGCCTGGACGTCGTTCGGGTACCATTTCCACTCCTCATTGTGCGCATCTTCGAGGTGCGATCCGTGCCATACCGATTGTTCTCGTATTTGTCGGTCGGATGCGGGCTCGACCGCAATACTGTGAAGGTTTGTCGAGCTAGAGTCCAAACGAAGGGTAGGTTCGTTACGTACATGCCGATAGATGCTTCCCGGAGATACCAGAACTGGTAACGGACATCCCAGATGTTGCTGAAGGTGAAGTATTTGGATACGATGGCGCAGGTAATCTGTTCAAATCAAATACTTGTTAGCTTCCATCCTGCTATGCAATGTTCGGGAGAAATACGGAAAAGGGAAATATACCACTACGGTTCCCATGGAGAAGATGAAGATCAATGGTAGTTTGGTCTTCCATGGCATTTTCACACGGAACAGCATCGGTAGGATGACACATAGGATGGCAACATCGGAACTGATATTGAAAACGCACTGCACCACCTCGAAGCGAAAATATGTCGCGCACTCTTCCTGCGGCGGGGGTATAGTCCAGTATCCGGATAATGGATGACAGTTGAGGAAAAGGACTAAAGTCGTGGCGAGCCATCCGCAGAATGTGTACATGGCGCATACCTTTACTAGGCGTTGCTGGTTTAAGTTCAACCTAATGAAGAATACGGTGTTAGATCATGAGCTTGCCCTACCCAGTGAGCGTCGAGAAGGGTGACTAACGTGAGTCGGAAGTAAACAAGGAGCATAGACGATTTTAGTATGTACATCGTGTGAAGCATGCACTAGAACCCGCGGCGAAGTTAGCGATACTGTGTCTCAGGGTGTTCTGGGTGAGAAGGCATTCCAGGAAGTGACCATTTCCACTGACATTCTCCGATGCAAACTCGATCTTCGACCCCTTGATTCGGTCGCGAATATTTTTCTCGGTGAACGTTGCATATTCATCTGGAGTGTACAGGTTGCTGCCGCCGCCTTCAATGATCGCGATGTTTGTGATCGCGAACGCTGTATAGAAACACTACGATCTCAGCGAAAAGAAAACAAACAAGAGCAGAGGCAACCTTCAAGTGACCCGTGCAAGCACTATGCGATGGATAAAGGCTCTAGATGTTGCATACCACGGCGACGATCATCAAATAATCCTCCGCCTGCCATTTGAACCCCAGTCGCTTGAAACGAGCATATCTACCGGGTGGCCAGTCAGTAGATGCCGTGAAGATAAACACACCCAGACAAAGAAATAAGAGCAAGGATCGTTGTCAACGGCGTGCGGGGCACCTACACTCGGAGAAGGAACAAGACCATGGCAATAGAGTACATGATCCCCGTTTGAACGACTAAGTCATGGGGAGATCCGCCACTGCCGTCGCCCATGGCTGGTCGTGAAGCTGCAGCAGTGCAGCTGCAGTATCATACAATCACGACTTGATGAGAATGAAGCACAAACGGCTATACAGGCTAAAGGGGACCCCTTTTCAACAACGTGCCTCGCCAGTCTTGCACTACTTTGCATCATGGCCAGTTTTCCTAGCTACAGCTCTAAAATCCTTTCCTCCGACTCTGACAGGGATATTGCCGGCACGTGGACATATTCCGACAATATAAAGGATGTGGCGTTTGCCAGCCTAGGTGTGCTAGCTCCTGTACTATATTACCCGTTGATATGCATTTATTTGGGTCCACTCCGAGTTGGTGTCTCCATGAATTGACCAGAATATGTTTTCTACAACAGAATCACGCGTGTTGAATACTGGACATGGAAAAAGAGACAGAGAAAGATGTAAATCAACAAGAAAACAAGAAATTGACCTAAGCTTTATGGCGCTCTTGGGAGCAGGGTGTTACCTCTCTTGGCGTATTGGATTCCAGCCATTCCTGTTGGCTATTGCGTTTCAGAATTTTATTACCGCTCCGAGAAGAACGCCCCCAACCATATGCATCTAAGCCAGTATGGAATAGGGCCTTTTCTTAGGAGATCTTCGGGAAGCACTTGTGAACAAATCACATACGACATTAAGGAAGCTAAGAGAATGGTAGTCCTGGCTGGATCGTTCCGGCCCAGTCACAGACTATACGGCAAAAGGCAAGGACTAATGTCTGGTATGGCACCATGGGCCCATTATCCAGTAGTGTTCTTTCCAGATATGAAGATAAAACGAAACACAGTCCGGACGCCTGTCTGTATCCCGTGCTCGGGCCCATCCTATCGGTCAAGCGTCGGGGGGCCAGATATGGAAAAAAAGGAGAAAAACCTTCGTCCGAGGCTGCAATTGGTCCTTGCGGGTCTGGAATGGATATGTGGTCTGACCTCACGACGGAGTAAACGGCTCGTTGCTCGAAAGTCAGCCCCACTGGCTACTTTAATTTGCATAACACCGTCGCTATCTAACCCACATGGGAAAAGCTTGGCTGCGTCTTGGTGTATCTGGAGCCACACCTCCCAATCATGCTAGAAGCAAAAAGCAAGGGGGGTGCAAGTCAGGAAAAGGCAATTTCTCATGAGATCCGAAAGCCACTCAGGTTGCATCACACGGGTTTTATAAAAGGATTAGGAATGTCAAAGGTGGCAAAACTACAATAGAAGCTGGACAGGGGTCTCAGATGGCCGCGAATGAATCAAGTGAGGATGATTTAATCCCGCGTTGATCCGGGCTGATATTGGTAGTTCCGGCGCGATGGATGATTATTTGATTACAAAACAGAGGGTTGCAACGACCACCCCTGTCAGAAAAGCCTGCACCAGTGAAAGCCCGTCCTACATGTCTGATCCTATCGTTCTTGAAAGACGGCCCACTCGACGCCGTGGCCACAAGGACATGGCCCGTTCATTCTTTTAGTGACACAGAGCTCTTTTAATAACAGGGAAGGGGTCCTCCATCTGTACCTTGACTAGTAATTTGTATTTTGTCCCCCTCAGGCACAGCTGTGCCCCAGCGTTCCACGTAGTGCTCACCAACTAGCAGCATCATATCTATGGCGGATCACACGGCTGACGAGGAGAAGGGCATCGCGACGGGCATTAGGCCCCAGCATGTCGTGGAATCGTTGCCTGATGAGGATGGGGAGAAAAGAGCGTACTCGCCTGCTGCTTCATCTTTAAATCTGTTTGAGCGATTGAACGGGAAGGTCAACTCGATTCGATTTTTGGAAACACGGGGCATCGAGCGTGTCCCAGAGTCTCAACGGGTTCGGATCACCAGCTCGGACTATGTACAGATGACCTTGCTATGGTTCAGCACCAACATCACCGCCAACAATATGGCCGTGGGAATGTTAGGGCCACTGAGCTATTCTCTTGGGTTTGTTGACTCGGCGCTCTGTGCGACCTTTGGAGCCTTGCTTGGTGCTGCTGGAGCGGCGTATATGAGTACCTTTGGTCCGGCTAGCGGGAATCGTACCATGGTATGTGGAATTGATCTATCCAACACCATATTGGATATAAATTGTCGCTAACTATAGCTGTGAGTACAGGTAGTAGCGAGATACTTTATGGGGTACTACCCCAGCAAGATCTGCTGCCTTCTGAATATCGTCATCATGCTTGGTTATGGAATGATTGACTGCCTCGTCGGAGGTCAGGTATTATCTGCTGTCGGTGATGGCCGAGTCAGTGTCGTGGGCGGGACGATAATTGTCGCTGCGATCACCTGGATAGTGGTTGTATTCGGCATGTCAGTATTCCACAAATACGAGAGGTAAGTCAGATTTTCAGCTGCCGAACTCTATCACTCATAGTTTTGTGGAAACTATCTCCAGCTAACCTCTGATTAGATGGGCATGGGCACCACAGCTAGTTGCAATATTTGTCCTGGTGGGCAGCGCAGGCTCCAAGTTCGATACTTCCATTACCTCCAAAGGTGATTCGCAAACAATCGCTGGTAATCGGTTGTCCTTCTTATCCTTGTGTTTATCTTCCGCAGTGGCCTGGGCCCCAGCTGGAGCAGACTACTATGTGTACTATCCTCCATCGACACGAAAATGGACGACATTCCTCATGACTTTAATTGGTATCGGATTTGCTCTGGTCTTTGCGAATCTTGTTGGTGTTGGCCTGGCCTCAGGCACTGTATCCAACAAGTCTTGGGAAACTGCCTACGGCACCTCCTCAGGAGCCCTCATCCTAGCCGGTTACGAGGGCCTTGGGGGATTCGGAAAGTTCCTAGGTGTCATTATTTCTCTAGGCCTAATTGCGAACAACATCCCCGGTACATATTCGGCCACCTTGGGCTTCCAGATCATGGGCCGGCATCTGGCTCGTCTGCCACGTTGGCTATTGTCCTGCATTGGGGTCATCATCTATACTGTCTGTGCGCTTGCAGGGCGGAATCATCTCTATGACATTTTCGAGAACTTCCTTGCTCTCATGGGATACTGGGTGACAATATATTTGGTTATTGCGCTCGAGGAGCAATTCATCTTCCGTCGTACTCGTGGCTTCGATTGGGAAGCCTGGGCCGACAGAGCCAAGTTACCCCTCGGCCTAGCTGCCCTGGCTGCATTTCTGATTGGGTGGGCTGGCGCGATCGTTTGTATGGATCAGATCTGGTATGTTGGACCGATTGCCAAGATGGTCGGAGAGGATGGCAGCGATTTAGGCATTTGGGTTGGAGTCAGCTGGGCCATGATTGCGTTTCCACCTTTGCGCTGGTTAGAACTGAAGAGGTTCAACCGGTAATGGAACAAGGTGTCATATCTGCTTCTTTGAGTAAGATAACATTTACAACAGAGCAGTATGAATTACAGTGTTGGTATCTCTAACCTCAGACATGATACTTTTACCCAGAAAGTTAATAAAATTCAATGTTTGTTTTCAACCAATCGGCACCCACGGAACGACTTCTAGCGACGGTTCTAGCCGTTGAGTTACGTGTGATACTCTCGCATTCGGACAGAAACCCTACTCTGAGGTGTTTATGACACCCTCATCTTTGCTATCATTCGTTCTTCAAGTGGGTGATTCTGGATTTGGCAGGACCATATTATACACCGTAGCAGAAGCAAACAAGACGATGGAGTCTCCGGAGAGACTAGTTGACATTGTGAATGATGTTCTTCAGGCAGGTCTGCAAAAATCACCTCTTAAGAGTGATCCCTAAGGCTGCCCATCCGCCCTCCCTGCAAGCACTTAAAAGTATGACTTGGATCCGCCAAGTGCTAATTAGCTATTGCCAAACTTAATCGTGGACAGAATCTTGCTTCCGACCCAAGTGGAGTCTACTGTTTTCCTATTAGAGGCTCTAGTTAACAGCATCATGACCCGCATCCACTGTTACGTTCATCCATCTTTTCTGTTCTTATGGATCCTGCGTACTGCCTTGCTGGTGTGATCTCGTGGCTTGTACGTACCGTAAGATATGGACTATTCGTTTCAAAGTAATGTTTTTCTCTTCTAGCGCTGAATGCAGCTTTTAGCTGTTCGTATATACCGTAACGCCAATCACCGTAGCTCTCAACGTATCGCTCTATCCGAGTTACATTTTGGTTCGCACATACGAGGCTCTCGAGTATGGGCCAGACATATGACTGTGGCCCGTATACAGTTTGTTTCTGCGCCCCATAACAATATCCAGATGACCCGCGGACCTATGGCACCGTACTTCCGGTACATCCCGTGGCGAGGTTGTGTCTCGATTCCTTGTTATTAATGCTCGTTTATATCAACCATGTTGTCCTTAGATCTGCCAGATTATTCTTGCCAATCTTAAGCATCCAGGCCGCCGAGGGTATTCTCTTCTTGATCTTCTCTGTCAAATCTGTGGTTTGGACACAGAACCCGATCATTTCAAGATGTATCAAAATGTTCTGGGGCCTTTCGCTCCCAGCGGCACTGCGACAGCAGACCCAACCGTAACTATGTCGGCGGGCGTCGTGATAGGGACTACATTCTCTGCGACAAACCTGCCAAGTTCCACAGCTACAGCCAATGCTTACCTAGGAATCCCTTTTGCAAAATCACCCCCAGAGAGGTTTTCTCCGCCGCAGGACCCAGTGCCATGGTCGAGTCCACTTCTCGCACAAACTCCAGCGCCAGGGTGTATCGCCCAGAATCTGACCGGTTAGGTTTCTACTGCCGTCTCATGACGCCTTTCTACTAACATTGCAACAAAATAGGATCGGACAAGACGGCATTAGATTACACTCCGATCTTGCATATCTCTGACGAAGTAGAACAGAGCGAGGATTGCCTGTATCTCAATGTGTATGCTCCGCCAGATGCGTCTCCTTCCAACCTAAAGGAAGTCATGTTCTGGGTTTATGGAGTAAGTGGTCCTTCACAGCTTATCTATTGCTGTGATAAGGAATCTAAGTCATCCAGGGTAACTTGATGTTTGGCGATTCAAATCTCCCTTTTTACAACGGTACATCGTTCGCAGTCAACGAGGATGTCGTTGTAGTATCTCACAATTATCGCACTAATAGTATGCTATATAAACCGAGATCTATACATTATCAATACTTGAGCACTAATCATTTACATATAGTTTTCGGCTTCTCCAATGCCGGCGACCTCCCCGCTGACCAGCGAAATGTCGGGTTTCTCGACCAACGACAGGCACTAGATTGGGTCCAGAAGAACATCAAACACTTCGGTGGCGACCCGACCAAGGTAACGGTTTTCGGGGAGTCCGCAGGAGGGTTTTCCGTAAAGCAACTGCTCGCCAACCCACCTTCACCACTACCATTCAGAGCCGCTATCGTCGAGTCTGAACAGGCACTGTTTCATAATGGACCCGAAAATTACCAAAAGGTCTTAGAAAACTTCAACTGCCCTGATGTCGATTGTCTTCGTGGTATATCCGCGATAGATATCGTAGACTACATCCAAGAGCAAACTCTATTATTTGGCCCCACTGAAGACGACAAAACATACATTTCAAATGTGACCACAAGTATCGACTCCGGCCAGTTCGCCGATGTGCCCATTATGCTAGGCACAAATAAAAATGAACTCAGTGCCCTGGTCTGGGCCATTTCACAGTCCTCCAGCTATTCTATCCGGCTTACGCTGGCGGGCGTCCTTGTGAAGCTGTTCGACGTGGGTACTATCAAGGCCTGGATGGACGCAGGAGATATTTTACAGTATGTGGAAGCATCCACAGGACAAGACCCAACTTGGGACGATATCAGCCGGTATGATCAGCCGCACCAGGAAGACAACAGACTTCAGCTAACAATTCCTGACAGCGTCGCGACTGACTTGGCCTTTACCTGTACCACAGGAGCCATCGTCAACTACACAGTCGATCATGGATATGACGTTTGGCGCTACCGATTCTCGGCCTCTGTGCAGTACAACAACACATTTCCCGGCGAGGGCGCTGTTCACGCGTCTGAGGTCCCAGGGGTATTCAACACATGGGCCGATCCAACGAACGCAACTCTATCTGCTCTCGGCCAGTACATGAATAAAGTGTGGGCTGGATTCGCCAAGGATCCCGCGGCGGGTCCGGGGTGGCCCCATGTTGGGGAGAACCAGGACTTTGAGCTGGGCGATATAGGCGAACAAGGGAACCCTGGACAGCAGCCTATCTCGCTTGGGGAAACAGATAGTTATTGTGATTTTCTGCTTCCTTATGCTAACCAGTTCGGACTTGCGTGGTGAAAGCCGTTGTCGGAGAACATGTGAACGTTGAGATTTAATCCATTGCGTTATGTGAATTGACATGAAGAACGCAGATACAACTATATAATCTTGGAATAATGCCGTCTTCATCATGTATACATATCCCATAACACATCTTATCAATAAAACCGCAAGTGATTTACATCTGTTATGGAACCTGAACTAAGAACTTAAACAGAATATGCTAGCAATCTTCACATAGCCACATTCCTGAGCAATGATTTCGAACAATACTCATCGCCGGATAAATCAGCAACCCATCCAGCTCAACCATCCGTAAAGCATAAGGGCTACCTTCCCCTGCAAAAATAGGTACCAGATCAACCAAATCCGGGCGCAGATGATGATCCTCGAACCCGCACGTTAACAACAACCCCAGGACTCTAGCCGCTCTAATAGCCCGTCGGAGATCCAGGCTCACTCCGTCGATTGCTATGCGAAATGAGCTCTAGAAAGCTTCGTCTAGCTCTTCAGGATACTTATCTCGAGTATACCGGTAGTTCATGCCAATGTAACTCATGAAATACTCAAGGAAATGGAGGTTGAGCCCGAAGGGGTCAATTTCGGCGTCACCCCAGTCGATCACGCCATTTATATGGCAGGTTCTTTGGTCTACCGGTATCTTCCGCAGCACCAAGTGCATGTGGAGCAGTAACAGGATCCGCAACAATAAGTTTGTTCACCATCTTATTGCATTCTAAGCGAAGTATTGAATATTTCTTGCAGAACCTATCGATTTTGCACACGAACGCTCGATCTTCGAGTGAAAGGACCATGTTGTCTATTCTTAGTCTAATGGTAACAGGGATAATTCATGGTTCCAGGGGATGCAAGAGGCGAGGTGTTCCGCAACTTATATACCATTTCCTGAACGAAGAAGCACTCAGGTCACAGTGAATGCAGATAATGTGGTGGTGTTACCGATCCTTCACTTGACTGAAAGTCTTGGTAGACCTCTGTCAATGTTTGTATGGGGTCTGCGTATGTGGAGCAGTTTGGCTTTTGACTTCAATCTCAAAAGTGTTCTTCCTTTTGTATTCTACAATCAGGCCTTGGTTCAGTTTAAGACTCTAGTTTCCACCGAATCTTTGAAGTCCTTCACCTGCCGCCTCTCCTTCTCCAATCCTTCCTATCCATTCTCAGCCCGCTGTCATAGAACTCTCCCGCGGCTTATTCGGTGCTTAATTAACTTATCAAATGTTCTAGAAACGGCGAATCTGATGAGACGCAACGTTCCCTCTACCTGATAGGCTCAGTGAGTGCTTAACGTATGTTACTAAAACTTATAGTGCCTCATTTATAACCTTTTCAACCACACCATGTGAAGCGCAAGACTGCAACAAGTGTAACCTAGATTTATTGTTCCAATTTCAATTAAACAACAGACGCGACGAGCAAATAAGCACGAGGAACAAGAACAGCAACAACCCTCATTTAGCGCAAACTACCCCACGCTCGTCCACCCTTAACAAGAAGCACCAGTAGGGATATTCTTGCATTTCTCGCTCTTCTTACCACCGGTGATAGAGACACCCGACCAAGTCCAGTTAGTGCAGCTGCCAGACCCACAGAGGATGTAGATGTCAGTGGCATCGCTGGTGACCGTACCGGTGACCTTCTCAAAGGTGATGTCGGAAACCTTGACACCGTTGGTGGGGTTACCGGTGGGGCTACCGTTCTTGTAATCCTGCTGGACGACGAGACCGTAGTCGGTGATGCCAGAGAGGGTGATGTCCTGAAACTTGACGTTGGAGACGGTGCCGGTGGTGTCGTAGACGGTCTTGATGCGGACGCCGTTCTGGGAGTTGATGACCTTGGAGCCGGAGATGGTCACGTCCTCGACGGTGTTGTCCTTGCGGCCGCCGACGGAGCCGATGGAGAGACCATGGCCACCTTCGCAGTGGCCGTTGGTGAAGGTGATGTGCTGGGGGAGATTTTAGCCGCAAGTTCGAGAATGGGAGAAGTTGGAACATTGAACATGTTGCTGCGCAGGGGGAGTAATCATACCTGTCCAGAGTTGATGGCGAGACAGTCATCCTGGTTATACACGGTGGCACCATCGATGTTGATGTAGGTGGAGGAGCCGATATCAAATGCGTCGGTGTTGTGGCCCAGCTTGGTACCTGCGGAATTGTCGATGGTCACACCAGTGATGTTGAGGTTGTCAGACTGGATGCTGAAACCCTGGACGGGGGTGTTGTAGATCTTGAGACCGGTGATGGAAGAAGAGTCCAGCTTGTGGGCATAGAAGAACTTGGGCTTGGTCTTTCCACCGTTGCCACCCTTTCCATCCCACCAACGGGCACCGTCACCATTGATCTTGGCACCGGTGGACTGCTGGACCTTGATATTGGTTCCGGACACGGAAATGAGAGGACCCTCCCACTCCTTGTAGCCGAAGGTAGTTTCACCCTCGAAGGTGACCTATTGCAACAAGGTTGGCAAAAGAATATATAACAGCAAGAGAAGTACACCTGTCAGTGTCTATACATACGGTAGTACCCTCTTTAAGTCCCGTCAGATCGAGGGTCTCACCGGCAGGAACAGCAATGTTGCTGAGGGTGATGGCCGTGCAGGAAGCCTTGCCCGACTTGGCGGCGTCGGCCGAGGTGAAGGTGCAAGAGCCGCGAGTCTCAAGCTCAGGAACTGGGACAGCCGCGACCAGCGCAGCGCCCATGGTAGCTGCAAGGATGGAGGATTGAAGAAGCTGCATTTTCGGAAAGAATGGATATGGTCTTGATCAACAAGGCGCCTTTTAGTATGAAATGAAAGAAAGGGTGAAGGAGTGATCGAGTGGGTGGGAGAAAAAAAGCAACATTGTCAGGATCTAGGGATCTTTATATCATTTTTCCGTGTATATTTCGGAAGACCGGTCGATATGAGGATCTAGAGAGCGAGAATAATGTCTGAGATTGAAACAAGTGGCTGCAGTCTAGGGCTAAGCTTCCGGTTCGCGTAGGCAAAAAAAAGCTTAGCTGCGCAAGTCGCCCACCAATCGGCTCCGTTCACTTCTGATCTAAGATTATCTTCGCATTGATCAATTCACCCCTTTTTACTTTGACCGGGTTTTACCTAGAAGAATATTCAACTCAACGATAGCCAGCGAGATCACCACGAGAATGTCAATATTCGGTACATTGACAGAAATAACCCTCAGCCAGCATCCTCCTGGGTATGAAACGGGACAGCCTTGCCAGGACCCTCTTGGTGTGATCGCACCGAGTTTACGAGTCCCCGCCGAACCTACGTAAGCCCAGTCCCAGCCGACCCCTAAGTCGATCACTTCCATATCCAACAATTCCCGGGAAAATTATATGCAGATATCCTTTCCGACCTGTGCCGGAAGAATTGTGCAAGTGGTATCAATATATCAGGGCCGTGTGCCATTGGCGGAAATTTCTGAACGGGTGTCAGACATCTAGATTAAGGATACCAGTCCCTTCATTTGATACATGGATAAATTGACCTACCTATATCAATGTCTTATTATTGACCCCTGTCTGAGTGGACGTAGGGAATATATATTGTTGCCTGAGCTCACTTCTGCGATTCCGTCCGCGAGCACGCGGTATTATGCACGAGAAGGTGGTCAAGCAACGGGCTACTATCAGTCAAACCTAATTAAGTTCCCACCAATGGTCTGACCCATTTCACATCTTAATATATAAAAACCGTAATAAATAAATCTTCTCCCGTTGGGTCGGCATATGTTGCCTGGATCAAATTGTTTGAACCGGGCATTACGGAGTTGCATGATTCAATACGGACTAACTCTATCAACCCAACCGCTTGATGCAAATTGTCTTCACAAAGGCAAGGATACAAGAGGAAACGCAGACACATGCTCTGGTTGTCTTACTACACAAGCATGTTTACTGGTGGACTTTTTGTATAATGCACATTACAATGCCAACAAGATCCTACCAGTTATTTCACTGTCTTGTGAGACATGCACTATAGCGTTATGATGTCTATACCTATCTTTGGCCCTGAAGTAGTTGCAGAACACCCATTGAGTACAGACCACCCGTGCTTTATTGAAGGACAGACTACAATATCATTCACATTATGAAGCTATCAGCTTTGAGGAGCATGAATTCCTCAGTATCAAAGCCTTCTACCTTACTAGTAGTCTTATGGGTGGATCCTACTTGACTATAGAAGCACCTAGAACAAAGGCCAATTACCGACATATTGGATCTATCAGAAACGGCTCCACTCATATTGAGCTTCCCCTTACTGCTCTTCTTGGAAATATTCTTCACACGTTTGCTTGATGACTATGTTTTTTTCCCCCCGTTTTTATATCAACACATCTGGTCCTGGTACTCGGCTTTCGTAGCCACCGAGAGCCCGTAATTTTGTATTCATTGCCTTAGAACCTCAGAAGGGGTAACCGGAGATCAGTGACCAATTTGGGAGTTTATTAAAGGAGATTTAAGGAGCAGAGATGTCGAGTAAAAGGGTTAAAGAAGCAGATCTAGGAAATAGAGCTCCTGAGTCTTTTATGGGGGCGGCAGTACGTACACATGCCAGTATATGCATTGCACGAGACTGTGCATATCCCGATTCGCATTGATGGGGCGGGAGTTACTACTTGTTTTTCGCGAGACGTGATGATCCCTAGCAGAAATTCATTCCATCGCGTTCTTCGGACATCAACTGGTGATAATGCCTAAGGATAGATGTGCATAATAGAGGCACTATCTCAGTGCATAAACTTGCCAGATAAACTCTGGAATTGAGCATAGGCCCCAATACTTGGCCCTAATCATAATGAAGGGAACGGAATACTAGTTGCTTTGACTAACTTGCTTTCCTATAATATAGCCAAGATCAAAATGCCAAATAAATGCATTTTGAACAATACGGAAACGTTCTGTACATGTAGAGTTTGCTGCGGGCTTGTACCTGCCAATCAGGTTCTTGTTTATTAAATTATTCACAACAAGGTTATTCTTGAATTCACGTTGGATTGAAGCTATGTGGCCCAAGTGTTAAGTTTCCTTGTTGAAGACTAGTCCGACCTTGCAGTAGATGCATTTATTCTGCCATTGCTTATCATGCTGGGCAGCCATACGCGCTCCTTGGAGGTATGCCTCGTCAAGAATAGCGCCAAGCGCTTCCCCGGGGATTGCCAATTTTAGGTAATGCTGAAAGGACGCGGACGCGATGCCGCAAGACTGCCATTCATTTCTACCATAAAGGTAAATATAGTTGTACACTCCGTCAGTTCCGAACTCAAATGTGTCTCCCAAATCCTCGATCGCATACAGCACAGTGAGAGGATCCCAAGGGTAATGAGTCGCATTATATCCGCTATATCACTCATAAACCATGTCCATATGGACAAGATAGAGAATTACAGACTTGTACCACCGGTAAGCAGCATTGACCGGATCGTGCGCAGGTCCTTCTCCCGTCAACCGTGCGCCCGAGTAGACCATCTCCCCAAGTTCAGTCCCAGAGAATGTCATGGGCTGCGGCCATGTGTTTACAACATGCGCAGTGGCAGTAGCATTGTAACCGTAAAAGTTATATTCATGTCCGCATGGATGTGCTCCGCTCATGATGACAAGCTCTCGCACCTCACCTTGGCCTCTAGCAGGTCGCGCCCTGAAAGGGGAGAGTAGGCATCACCCAAAGATAGCAAGAGTTGCGAGAGCTATAGGTTTATTGAGTTAGCATATCCAGTTAGGGGTACGACAGATACATACATTGTCAAAAGTCCGATACTGGCAGTCGTCGCGCTTGGATCCCCCACTCTCAATAGAAGGTTGCGATACACTCCACGGGCTTCCATGAATTGCGTACGTCTTTCCATCGAAGTGTGGCATGCTCTTTCCAATTATACGCGACTTCACTTGGATATTCTCCGGGACGCTATGACCAGATGTCGAAAAAAGTGTCGTTGGAGAATGGCTGCTTAAGCCCAAAACGTGGGATTGACCGTTGTATCCGAGAATATTATAGACTGCCAACGCACTGTACGTGGATGGATAGTTGATATTGACATCTGGTAGGTCAGCTCCTGGATGGGTGCTGGCCAGCAAAAGAGCAGCTGCGTCGCTGCGATAGTCAGCATCGGTACATGCGGGGTGCATTGAAGCTTACTCAACGTCACTGAAGAGAAGGGTGTTGATGTTCAGCTTCTTACGCGGCCCAAGGCCATAGCTTGACCCTGTCAGGTAAAATAGGAGTGTTAAAGTCCTTCGCACCCACATTGCAAAGAGGCTGGTTGCAAGAGTTGAGGATTTTGGAAATGGAGCGGTTCATGTACAATTTAATGTTCTCTATCAAAGAGATCCATTACCTAGAACAACACCTTTCCCCTTCCGACGGAATTATTCATTCACCTGGCAAGATATCTGACAATCCCATTTCCGAAGACAATTGACCCTACCGATTCAAAATCCGAGTTGAATGCTCCATCTACTCTATGTGTGACGTGTCCTCAAAATGGTTGAGCTCTTTGAGCAGTGGAAAGACAACCATCTCAAACATAGATTCTTCAAACCTCATGGTCCTCAGAGCTTTCGCCTCTTGACAAAGGCCAGTAAAAGCATTCTCTAGCAACATCACCATACTTCCAATCACTTTCCTAGGCCTCCTGAGCTAGTCTCGCGACGGTGTTCAGCCGAGTAAGGTCTTCTCTTGTATCCCGATCTTCAGGTCTACGTAGTTCGGATAGTGGCTGGCCCTGAGAGTGTTCAATCAAGGCAACAGCAAGAGGGAAGAGAACGTCATTCTCGATTTGACCTTTATTGGTCTCTAAGCAAGACGTCGAACGACCCCTACATTGGCCGGCTGAGGGGCTCAACACTTTCCAAGAAAGGCATGGGTGCTCAATCACTGCAAGGCCATGTTCACAATCTTGAGCAAATTTAATGTTCTGAATACGCTACTGAAGCATTAGCTAACTTCTATGGAGTTGAAATACACTGCAGGAAATTATTGCTACTAGAAAGAGCTTACTATGTCGGCTTAATTTCACATGAGTCTCTCGTGAAAAATTGGAGCAGAAAAGAACTTTATGCAAGGAGCGTAAGTAAGCCCTATTTGCAAGTTTACGCGTGAGGTACATATTTTATCGACATTCATCATCTGTTCCTCCCAGTATGTAGCCGACTAAATCGGATTCCGCGTTGGTTGGGTCAAACATGTAAAGGGTAGAGCATAGATCCGAAAATAGGGACAAACCAGGAGCGTTGAGACTTTGATGAAGATTCGGCTGGCTTAGCTCTACAGGCGAAAAATCAAAGTGAACTTTTGCTTTCCTTATCAAAGGAGGAGCTTTTTCTGTTGTGATCAGCGAATTCAAGCGAGCAGTCATCGGCATACATGTTTGAATCCTCCATGGCACAGTCTCAACCTGAAACCATTCGTCACGACAATTGGAATGCTTTCTGTACTTTATGATGATATAGTAATCGTGAACTGCATCCTGTCTATCGAGTTGGAAGCGCCTTCCGAGTAGTGGATGTATTTTGGATCAACTTGAAAGCGAACTGACTGTCGACTTTTACAGTGGCATGTCCAACATTGATCCCCACATTCCCACATTATCGATGACAGAGGCCCAGCTCACATAACAATCGGTAGCCCTGAGACAACCCACCGTATCGCCCGTTGGAACCTATATCTCTCGTCGAGGTTCCGGAAGAAGAATAAGACACACCACAGTGCAGCCGCCGCGATGCAGTACGCAGCAAGCTGGCCGTGTTGACACGCCATTACCATCCAGATATAGTTGGTCGGGAGGGGTATTATACCCATGGAGAACCAGATAGATGCGTACATCTGCTTGTATATTGCTGACAGGATGGATGCTTACATAACCAAAAGCAACTAGGCAATAAGGGTGAGCGTATCATCTGTTCTCTTGTGTCTGTCGATTTTGAAATGAAGGTATAGTCTGATAGCGGCGGGAATGAATAGCAGTATAACAATAATCCAATGATGTCTGTCTCATTGGTATATGGTTGACTTATGGGCAGTTATTTGTTTTCTGAACTATATGAGAATGTGGGGCCGAGACGAGGAACTTTTTCTTACATGGACGACAGGGCGTAGAAGCAGCCTTATAGGATCTTACGCGTGGGACAGGGGACAAACACGCTTCCCATACGTCACTGTGTAACCGAAAGAAATGTAAAGATAGGCTCCTATTTATTGAAATAATGACATGCATAAGTGGGGGGTAGCTAGATGCAGGAAATGGGATGTGGGGATTATAACAACAAGCCAATGCCTCCCAAGAGATAGAAAAGAACACGTTGGCATGGAATAAAATAAATTCTAGCCTTGCTTTGGCTCTGCTGTTTTATTAAAGGCTGACTGGAGAGGGAGCACAGCAAGCAAGGTTATCCCAATAGAACATCGTATTGTAACTATGGTTATCTTATTTAAGTCCTCTATGGGCTATCGTTGAGACCCCTCTCTTGCGCAGATTGTACAGTAAATTCTTCACGTTGTTTGTTCTTCTCTTTAGATTGCAAGTTTGCAAGATTTCTGTTCTCCTTATAGAACATGTACGTCCGGTGAAACATCCCATCTGAAGACATGGGGAAATATACACTCTTACTGTTCAAGGTGCTGGCTCAGATAAGCCATTTAGCCGTCTATAACGACGGTACTCTCGAAATTGGTTTCAAATTTCAGCTTGAAGTCAGCCCGATAGACTTGAAGATCAAGAGCAAAAGATCGCTCATAACGGAAATCAGCTTTAGATTGAATGATGCAGTGTGCCGCGGCAGCATTAACATTGGCTAGTAGCGCACGGAAATTCCTAAACCAGGGAACCCATTTCTTCATCCACTCTCACTGATGCAAAATCAATCAAGATGTCGCCTCTAGTGGACCGAAGCTATCTACATAGTAGTCAATGAGAATGAAGGGTCTTAGGCAATAAGGCCATTGTTCATGTTTAAAAAGCGGAAATATACCAAAAGAACCCAAGGAATGCCAGTCAAAGACGCCGGCAAGGCATTCATATATCAGGCTAAGGATTGGGGAAGAAGAAAGAAGAGCCTTGGTTACCGGGTTAAAGTTTTGTTTACTAAAGATTGAACCGCGGCATGATGTCATCTGGAAGTAGGAAAAAGTTTTCACCATTGTAGCGAACTTCCTTCTCCCCACAACTGTTGATCCAAGCTTGGTTTCGATATAATTATGCTGTTGTCAAACCCTGGCATCGATATATATAGTCCCACTGGCAGACTTCTGTACTAATCCTGGTAGAATTTCTTACTGCGAAATGATTCTGGGTATAGATTTAATTGGAACAAAAACAATTCTTCTCATAATAGCCAGGTCCCATGGGCCCTTGGCAGGATATCATATGTTGTCTCATCTTTGGGCGTTGTTGTTGGAGCGTGGATGGGCTTAAACAGGAATAGCGCAAGATAAGAATAGCATCTTTGGCTTTTGCGACTCGCCGAAGTCAGTGACGTTGAATCCCCGCGAATGACTTGCGGGCGGTGACTCTCCGGCCGATGTTCCTGCTAGTAATTGACGCCTTGAGCTCAGCCATCTCACTGCTCAGCTTCCTGTCTCCTAAACGACCCGACCCTTTGTAGTTCCTGAATTTAGCTTCTATTATCGCTTTGCCCTTGACCCCCAGACCGTTGTTTATGAATTACTCGTTTACCTCGGATTCTTAGATTGCAAGGGCTGCTCTGCCCAGCCTCTCCGCCCCAGCACCATGTGGAACGACGAGGATAACAACCCGTACGGCGCATTCGATAATGAAGCCCGTCTTTCCGAATCCTTGCATTCGGCGACTCTCTCCCCAGGTATGGCTCTCACTATCATCTGGTACTATCCGATCTAACTCCTGTCAGGCCTCTACGACCGCGAGTATACCCCTCCCTCTCCCTCCAGCAAGGCGTCAACTCAGGACCCGACCGATGATTATCTGTCCCACCCACGGGATTTTAGCGATGAGGAAAATGAAGAATACGACGCCGAACCGGCTAGCCATGGCTACTACCAAAAGAGTTCTTACGATAGCCGCATTGAACAAATCCTTTATGAGAACCCGGAGATGCCGATCCTCATCACCGATGCCGGAAAGAACCATGAGGGCGGTGGAAGCTTCATTGTGTACACCATCCGCACCGGAGTATGTTGTGGGGCAGATGGCAGCGCGTCTATGGACACAGCTAACAAGTTCAGGACCTGGAAGTCCGGCGACGGTACTCTGAGTTCGCTTCCCTACGGCAGACTCTCGTGAACCTTCACCCTACCCTCGTCATACCACCCATACCCGAGAAGCATACAATGGCGGATTATGCTGCCAAACCTACGAAGGCTAAGGAGGATACGGCAATTATAGAGCTCCGGAAGCGAATGCTGGCCGTTTTCCTAAACCGATGTCGCCGAATGAAAGAAGTTCGAGAGGATGGTGTCTGGTGGAGGTTTCTGGATCCGAATGTTAGCTGGGTATGCATAAACAGGGGCATCTGCAGCCTCCGTGACGAATACTGATTTGCGTATAGAGCGAGGTTCTCCACTCCCATCCCGCGTCCTCTGTACCCAAAAACAATTTGAAAGCACCTCCCCTAGACCCCGCGAATCCCACGACTGCACACGCTTGGCTGCCGGTGCCATCTGCTTCCGCGAAGCTCAAGGGTACTTCGGGACCTACATCTTCAGTTGCGCCTCCAGTATCTGATGCCCCGAGCCCCGATATCTTGGGGCGTTTCCCTCCGGAATCCCGCAAGTTGAGCGAACAAGAATTAGATCCTTATTTCGTCAATTTTGAGGCATCTACGCGGGAGCTCGAGCTACTGCTCCAAGGGAATATCGAGAAGGTAAATCGTCGAACACTGGCACACTTGTCCTCGTTATCAGCAGACCTGATGGAGCTCGGCGCACGATACAATGGCTTCTCTCTATCCGAACAATCCCCTACCGTGGCCGCAGCGATTGAACGAATTGGCCAGGCGGCAGACACATCCTATATTGAAACTGAGGAACTCTCCAATGCATTAAGCGCGAGTTTTGCCGAGCCGATGAGGGAAAGCGCACAATTTGCCAGCATTGTTCGTAGTGTTCTACGCTACCGAGTTCTGAAACGGGTTCAGGAAGAGATGACCAGAGATGAGCTTGCAAAGAAGAAAACGTTACTCGATTCGCTGGAAAGAAGCGAGCTGGAAGCGAAGCGCATTGAACAATACCTGAATCGGACATTACCTCAAGGTTCAGGACCGAGATCGCAGCGCTCCTTGTCTACATCGTCAGCTACCAGTGGTCCAGGAAGTGATGCAGGAGACACCCGTTCCAGTGGTCCCGCAGACACCACTTCTATTGACCCAGACTTTCCCCCTACCCATGGCGAGTCGATCAGTTCTCATGCGCCGACATCCCCAGTGTCACCATCGAGGAGACCCGAGGCATCTGCACCAGCACATCGCAAGTCAGCTAGCGGGACATTCATGACGAACAAGTTATTTGGGCGGATTAGCCATGCAGTTCACGGATTTGTTGATGTTGATCCCGAGAGAACGCGACGGGACCAGATCGGCAAAACAAAGGAGAGTTTAGTTCAGGTTAGTCGATCGACACGGCCTTTAGTCTTAAAGTCCCCTTGTAATCTGTTTGCTGATATGGTTTTGTAAAGTTGGAGCAAGCACTGGAAGTTTCGGAGAAGGACGTTAAAGACGCTAGCGCAGGTGTTTTGCAGGATCTCAAGCGATTCCAGAAGGATAAGGAGGGCGATCTGCGACGTTACATGGTAGGCCTTGGCAAGAACCTCCCTCCGGAGCTAAGTGAAACGCTAATATGGAAATATTTTGGGCAGGTTGCCTACGCGCGATGCCATTTAGACTGGGCCCGGAAAAATCTGGAGACATGGACAGAGGCAAAGGATGAAGTGGACAAGATCGTCGTTCGCTAATCCTTTCGCAGTGCGCGAGATTATGGCGTTTATTTTGCATCTGTTTTGCGTTTCTCAGTAATCACGCTCGGAGAGTGAGAATACTCGGCGTTGGCGGGTTTCTATTTATATGTTTCATGAACACTGCCGTCATATGTCTTTCATATTGAACGCAATGATTGACGTCGATTTGCGATCGACTGAAAATCTGTTGATCTTCGTGCAGATCAATCATCTTTTAGAAGCGATGTTGTGTAAGCCCATAAATTTATCCCCTACCGAATCTTAGTAGATACCGGTTGAAGAAATTGTATATTTCTCGTTGGATTTTAAGAGCCAATAGCGGAGTTCGGTTCCGCCTGGAAAGAGCGAGCGTGACCCTGCACATGATCTATATATACTTGTCCATTTTCCGTGTGGAACTTCACTTCTCATCCTTCATATCCTTTCCCAGAACGATCTTCGGGCCATCTACTTGATAAGGTCGCGCATGCTTCGTGGAGCTCCCCAGCGGAAGACAAAGCATTGCGCATCACTGGACGAGTCAATCTCACAGTCTGAAGGAATGAGGCTGCGAAATCGGCTCCACATATTGAGGCAACGATGGCATACCATCCCTTATGGAACATCGGACCTCGGTCGTCGATCACCAACAAACCAGCTGCCACATGAATGACTGTATCTGTTTTATGGGTTTTTTTTCATTTTTTTTTCTCGCTATCACTGGGGTAAGGTCGCGATTTCTTTCTCTAGTAAGGCTCCCGTCTAGGTGGAGACCTCGAGATTCTCTTTCATCCAACTTATTTAGACGGCAATTACGGCAGATGGAAGCTTCGTTCAAGGCTTCCACAGTACTACTACTTCCTTTCGGTATTTATATCATCTTTCTGAAACATGATACTTATCAGGTTCACCTGTGGCGATCATCCGTGCTGATCTCTCAGGGACGTATTTGCGCGCACCTACTCATCCAGGATCGACAGGAACGATGCCAAAAATTTGGTCTCCCATGGAACCACTACCGGTTGCCTCTACGGAGTACCTTCTGTGGCCCACACCCCTAGTCTCAATATGCTCTCATCCCAAAAGTTTCGCGAATCGCTTTTGGTAATAGGGTTCGCAATGCCGGGTGTTTACCGATCAATCCACATAGCAGTACTAGAGAAGTAGTCTGTTCCTGATCTCATTACTCTAGAGCAGGGGGCGCTGCCCCCCCTTGGGTCCCCAGGGTGCCCTGGAAGGTTTTGTCCTAGGTTGCTCAGGGTTACCTCCTGATCTATCGCACTCCGATACAGGATGAGACAATTTACCTTGTCCACACAGCTGGGGCAGCCCTGCCTGCTATTTATTAGTATGCAGTCTCTCCAGTTCCAAGTCCGAGCTATCCCGGAATGAGATCAAAAGTCATCTGCCACCTGTGTTTGTATCAAGATGGTTCTCGTGACAACGTTATTCTCGCTTTTCACAGTTTCTCTATGCAGGAGTATACCACGCTCTCGCCTATCATCCTCCCCTTATACACATGCCTCGGACCTTAAAATCCATGACCCCACTGTCATAGAGGTAGACGGGACGTATTATTCTTACGGCGTGGGAGAGCACATTGTTATTCACGAGGCACCCCATCTAGCTGGGCCATGGAAGCAAGTCGGAAGCGTTCTAGACAAAGATAGCATCATCCCAAAGGGTGACCGCGCAAAACCCTGGGCTCCAACAACCGTCGAGGTGAACGGTACATTCTATTGCTATTACTCGGTCAGCAATGCTGGATGTCGTGACAGCGCCATTGGTGTGGCTACATCCCAGTTGCCAGGCCCAGGCGGATGGACCGACCACGGAGCTGTCGTTCAGAGCGGCACAGGTCCTGCCGCGGACCAATATCCGTTCAACGAAGTCAATGCTATTGACCCCGCTGTCCTAGTAACCGAGGATATGGGATACCTGATCTTTGGCAGCTATTGGTCTGGCATCTGGGAAGTCCCTTTGAGCCAAGATCTTGTCTCGGCGGGTAACGCAAGTCGATCCAACGCACATCATTTAGCAAAACATCCGCAGGCTGCGCGTGTACAGTCAGACGGTGAGAATCCTGATCCGCTCTGTCGGGAGCCATCCGGTCGCCATCCAGTCGAAGGAGCCTATATGACCTATCGCGCACCGTACTACTATCTGTGGTTGAGCTGGGGAACGTGCTGTGATTATGATCCCAACAACCTTCCACCCCCTGGAGAAGAGTGAGTCCTTTCAGGCTTCGAGCTTTTCCTTTCTGTTTCTGTTTCGGCCGGCACTTAAGCATTCGGCTCGCACAAGCTCCCACTAACAATCGAATAGGTACAGCATTCGCGTCGGACGATCCCAGAGCCCTCACGGTCCATTCGTAGATAAACAAGGAGAAGAGCTCACCCACGGTGGAGGAGAACTCATATATGGATCGAACAATGATGTGTACGCACCAGGAGGGCAAGGTGTTATAGCAGGCGAATTCAGAGACATTCTGTACTATCACTATTGTGGGTTCCCATTCCTGTTTGCAATTAACGATAAACGGTTATACTAACTAGCCCAGTGAATACTAGCATCAGCTACGATTTCTGGGTAGGTCTATAGATTGCATTCTCAATATACTACGGTATTGACTAATATCTCGCTAGGAAGCCTGGCTGGGATATAGCTACCTGGGATACGTCGATGGCTGGCCTATTGTCCTGAAGTCTACTGACCTTGGGATGCTTTGAGTCTGGATACCCTGCTTATTTATATTTGATTCGCTGCCTTACTTACATTTTCAGTTGTACAATTTTTAATTTATAATGTGTATTATCTTAATACTATCAGTACTATTGATTATTGCAACGGCACTTCACTATAGTTGGGCACTTCACGAAATGACAATAAGCAAGTCTTCCGCCGGACCCCAATATAGAGGTAGCCTTGGAGCCTTACGGGCATGTAAACTCCAACCACACTCTCAGCATTCTCTTCCCCTCTATTTGTCCCCCGAATCAACCAAGCCACATCATGACCTACCGCCAAGTGCAAAAACTGTGTTACCATCTATACCCTAATCACATATGTAAAACCCACCCCAATTCAAGAGCACCTTGATCATCGGACTGTACGTTTCCCACCTCGCTACAGTTCACAGTTACAACCTCTTCACACCAAAGACTTTCGGACTGACAGGGTGCATATGCAGTGAACCCGGTGACCGAATTGGAAACCATTTTCGAATCGGAAGTACGCGCATAGTGCATGTTACGAAAAATCTCTTGGATTCTGCTATCGCAGGACAATCGATATGCAAGGATATGGAGCGAATCTTGTCGCGGCGAGGGGCTACCTGCTGATTCTCCGCCCAACAGACAATGTAACGCAGAGGATTAGGTTTATGAGCAGCGCGAATGGCCGGCGGCTTATCATCAATGGGGTCATCAAGGTCATCCACAGTAAGCTGTGTCGGAGAAGGAGGTAGCGAACTGACAATACTCGATTTAATAGCGAAAATTATCACCTAACTTATGGGGAAATGGATGACCTCGATCACAGGAACTTATGATTTTACCGGCGCTCAAAGCTAGCGGTTCAAGTTACATTTGGATGGTAACTCACAACGTAAGTACATACATATCTCTTGCACATTGTGTGTCACTGCCGGAGCATTTGTAGGTGCAGTCGAACCCTACTACCGCATCCTATTATCCGCAAGTCATTTGCTTTGGACGCACACCCTATCTTGGGCATACGATTTTAGCCTTTCTGGAGGCAGATCATCAATTGTATGGACTCAGATTCGCGTAACTGGAAGATATTATAAGAATCTCGCATTTGCTTTAGTGATGGAAGCCTTGCGGTTTCCTTCCAAGTCTCAAAGTGATCTGGTCCGGCTCACGAACAGTCCAAGTTTGGCTAACAGAGTAAATCTCTACAAGTCCTAATTATGGTTATGTATCGAGCTTTCCTCAACACTACCTCCTTAGTCCATGTACACCTAGATTGAGGCATTTTCCTAGTGTCTCGCGGGTTATACTCATTGTGGACGCGGCGCAGTTACAGAGCGGCCCCCACGTTACAAAAAATTTAGCAACGTCGATCAAGTCCTACTGGGCCCGAAGACGCCGTGTTCTGTCTCACTACAACGCTCGGCGAGCAAAAGGTGGCCAGCTTTCAGTGTTGTTCGGCTGCACTGAACTACTAGTAGTGACTTGGTGAACTTCCAACATGCTGACCAACTGATGTACTGTACTGCTGTTGCTGTAAGCTTATCCGTGTGATATGTTCTACATATCTCCCAACTTTCTAAATATGGCCCTGTACCTTGGTATGTAAAGTGCAATATCTGGTGACTGTGAAGCTCAAACTTTGGTGACCGGCGCCGCAAAGGTCTTGTCAATATAGGCCACACCACGTTAGAACGTGAATATCACATACATTAAAGCAAACTATAACGTATTGTGACAATGATCAACAACGATGGCTTTCCCCTACTTGCAACTTTTGTTTATGTTCTCGGGGACCTTCCGCTGTCCCCCAAGACGAACGGTCCGAGACATGGGGATGTATACTGAGGCTTGGTCAAAGGATTGAATAGCAAACTACCCACCGGCCTAAGTGGGTGCTATAACACTCTGCTCTATAACAAAAAAAACTAGAAGGTACATCCTCTAGTATATACAAGGCACAGAGCAGAGTGGAGCCAGTGCCAGCACTGAATCCTCCCAGGCTAAAAGCATGGCCTCTGGCAGAACTATAAAAGGCTACGAAGGTCCTGCCATCAAGGACGATCTCTTTTCTTCCGCCTCAAGCCAAAACATCTTTGCTTCTTTCTATTTTCCTTCTGCGAAAAACGCTCGATATTTTTTTTTTTTTTTCATCATGCAGCTCCTCTCTACCTTAACTATTCTCGCCGCAGCCGCACCTCTTGCCAGTGCATGGACGCTCAGCTTCTACGAGGGAAAGGAATGTGATGGCAGAAACGTTGCAGGCAGAGGTGATGACAAGTCCGTAGCCTGTGAAGATACCTTCTGGCCCTCTCTCTTCAATTTCGCCACATGAACATCAACCAGATCTAGCACTTAGATATCTTGTGTCTTTGAAAGCACACTATGACCGGTTCTTCTTCGATCATGTCAACCGCCATCTCAACCAGAAGCCTACCAGACGAAGGACCCATGATTGGCTCGATGGTTACGATCTCTCGTTCGATTCGCCTCTCATGTCAGACCTTCCGAATGTTAATAATATTAACAAGGATACTTCACCATGGGCTCCTTTTCCAATCGAAATCGAATCCACCGGAATAGCCCGTCTGGCTGATCCAGATGCCGAGACCTTCGGTAAACGGGGTAGTGCCGCCACTACTGGTGCCTAACACACACTATTGGTCCTCCTAAGAGCTATCCCGAACCAGCGCCAATGTGATCCGAAAGATGTCCGCCAGCCCCTAGCACAAGGTTCGACCTAGTTCCATGCATCGGTATGAGGCTTCAGAGAGACCATTAAGTCCTGGGAATTATAGGAGGAACCGACAACCCCAATCCCCTCCTCTCGGGTACAAATACGAGGGTTGTACCTACAGGAACCACTTCGGTAGGGAACTGGAATTAACCCGACACATTAAGCACATTCATATTTCTCCTCGGCAATTTCCTTGTCCTCTTGTGGGATGCGAGAAGTCACTCAGCCGAAAATATAATCTTAAGGGGCACATCATGCGAAGATGTAGGGGGCTGTACAGGCATTGAATTGCATCTTCTGTCATTGCCATTCGCTCTCTCGAAAGTATACCTAGGAATTTTCAACGGCGTTTTTGATTTCCTTGTCAACTTTGCTCCTGTGTCTAAGTGTTCTATTGTTTTTTTTTTATTTTTCATTTTTTTTGGCACTTTACTTAATACTACTGACGCTTTGTCTATGCTACTACTCCAATTTCTCAGCCAGTCTTCTTTCTTTGCGTTTTCTTCCCTTGTCTTCTTCTTTGAGTGCATCTTATATCTTTCTCCTTGCGTGCAAATCTTTGTAGCTCGTTATAACGTCATGTGGTTAGTAGGCACCCAGTTAACTAAACCCCACGAATATATAACATAATACATACAGATTTACATATGTCAATCTACTGAGTAATAAATATAAAGGCTTTTGTAGATATAGGATGGGCTTTGCTCTATAATCTATTGATCCACTACCTTAGCGCCGATTATAAGAGTTCATGGATTATCTACGGCTGACTGTTATAATTCAGAGCACTTTGCAAATAATAAACAGTAACTAGATATGCTTTAGTATACAGGAACGTAGGTTATGATCGAAGGTACACACAGCCACCTGCTTTTAGCGCCGACTCATTCGACGCTGAGTTGAGAAACATCTCGTAATTTGTATATGGTACGCTAATGCAACAAGGGTGGTTTTCATCTGCCGGCCGTGGCAGGGTTCTTGTCTCCATTACCCAAATAGGATAGCTTGGCCAATCATCTCATTAATGAGGTGGACGTCCAACAACATCCACCGAGGATGATACTGGTATTGAGGGCAGTAAAGGCCATTAGGTCATGGCCCTCTTCCCGTCCAACCCAGGGGGAAAGAAAGGAAGAGAACGGAGAATAGATGCATAGGTCAAGCCTCAGTGTAGACCTGTGGCTCCAGTGCGCATCAATTCACCCTCGGGCCTCGAGCCTCGGGGGACAGGTTCATCGTTCATGTTTCATGTTACTGCACATTGTCACTCATAGACTATCACCCTTTTTTCGAGTGATTTATGTCTCAGTAGCCCTACACAGATGCCAAAGAATACACAAATCGCCTCCGAATCCCTTACCTTGAGTGCGTATTTCTTTGACGCGCGGTTTACCTCATACATCAAGTAGAATGTATTCCTTTTTAAGTTTCTTAAAGGATATATTTTGTAATACAAACACCTCCATAACCCACGCCAACAAAGGCGCTCGCCAGATACGTTGATAAATCAAATCACCATGTCTGGCCATTTTACCTTCCCAAACACTTGTTCCATCTGCTCTAGAGCCTCTCATATTACCACTTGTAGTAGTCCAGGCCATTCCTTAGCAGAAGACGTCAAGGGGCTGTTGCCTTATCAAAACGCGGTCACATGGCACGTGTCGCATAGATATGTTAACGATAGTCATAGTCGACATTGTTGGTTCAATTCGGAACCTACAATTGTCTCTCAAGACAGCAGTCTCGGTGAGGACATCACTCTCTATATGGGTTCCTTACAGAACTCGGAACTAGGCTCTGCGTGCTTTGACCCAATAGGGCTTGACGATACTACCAATACGACCTGGGGCCCCAGTTTTGTCACGAACACCCCCGCACCTTCAATCAAGTCGGAAGGCTTTACACGCGGTCAGGGTCATTGTGAAGACACCACTACGGACCCCGAAGGCGGAGGTAATGTCCCTAGTGACTGAGATGACATCTCCTGAGAATGGGCTGAAGAGCAACAGAGAGTCGGTCCGTATCAAGCTTGCGTCAAGTGTACCTAGACCATGCTAACCGATCTTCTGGCATAGTGGAATTAAAAGATTGCTGGCCTTCAAATGCAAATGGGGATGGCTGTGCATCTGAATTCGCCAACAAATCGAGCCTTTTGAGGCATCTGAAGTGCCTTCATGTAGTCCACGGAGCATGGCAGTGCGAGATTGATGGATGTAGCAGGCCATGCATGCAACAGAAAGGATAACCGGACGCACCATGTTCGCTGGATCCACAAAAGCTCGTGCGGTTCTCTGCCAGAGACTGATTTATATAACAAGACTTTGCACTTCTACCTCGCGGGTTTTACTAACGAGGTATATGACGATATGTATGGTTATAGCAGCAGGAGTATAGCCTTATATTACAGCGGTGTTGTTCTTCTATTTACTTCTTGTGGCTTTTCCTCTTCTTTCCTGGCTCTTGTTTTCTTCGGCTTCTAATTGTCGTTTTCCTTCCACTTTTTCTTTAATTTGCGCAAAAGCAAATCTATACTTCATTGTACTCATGATACTACATAGCGCACAATTTCCTCTATTTTTCTTCCTCTCCCATTGTAATCTTCCTAGCCGCATCTCACTCTGGCACGGCAATTGAAACCCCTGCCCCCAAAAGCAATCAGCCTTGAAGTGGCCAGGATCAACGTGAGCGCTCCCAAATAAAAGTGAGAGAGAGACATAAAGAAAAGAATCATCTCTCCGAAACGCCCCCACCACCCCTAAAAGTCTTCGCCCGAGTAACTTCCTGCCTAACAACCCTCGCATCCCCCCCACCCCTAAACGGCCCCAGAAGCGGCGATGGGAATGTCCGCAATGCACCCCTCATAAACATCGACGAGCCCGTTCTGATTTTCCTTGGGGTGGTATCTGCACTACCATCACCACCACCACCACCAGCCTGTATATCTCTATCTCTGTCTCCATTTCCATGTTTGGCAGGGGGAGACATGGGCATAGGGGTCACGAAGGGAGTCCGAGTCTTTGGCTCGGTGGATTGATAGTAGATGGTGGGTTTTGTGGGTGTCTTTGGGGCGGTGGTGTGGTTGGTGGTCAGGCTTGGGCCGAGGTCGAGGACGCTGATGTCGCTATCGCTGAGGATTTCGTAGTCTTTGTCTTTTGATTGGTCTGGGGTTTTGGGTTTGGTTTTTGAGGTGTTTGGGTTTGGGGTGAGGATGTTGAGGGTTTGGGTTTGGGTTTGGTGTTTGGGGGGCATTTTGGTTGGTGGTTTGAGACTTGAGAGAGTGGATGGTTTTTTGATCGGTGGTGGTGGTGGTGGTGGTGTTGAAGTTGATGTTGATGTTGATATTGATGTTTGGTTTGGGTTGAGTTGAGTTGTATACAAGGGTGCAGGTGCAGGGTCAGGTGGCAGGTTGATTGGGAGGAAGGGATGGGGGTGGACCGGGGTTGTTGGGGACGGAAGGTACAGCATCCAGGGACCCTATCTTTTATAGTATGTATAGTATAGTATGTACGACGTATGGACCAGGTACCTGACCACCTCAGATGATTGGGGGGAGGGGGGGACAACTTTGCTTACGCGGTGCCTCTTCAGTTAAGGGCCCTGGGTCGTAGACAGCGGATATGTTCTCTCTTTGGAGAATCAATTTCTGGTTGGAGCATAGTAGGCTGTGGATGATTTGTAAAGGCAGAACTTGGTTACATGTGGACGACCATGTATTGTACACTGATGCATCTTGACACTCGAACGACCATCGTGGCAAGCCTACTAGTATTGTAGAGCGTGGTGTGTAATTTTCCCACAGCTATCGTCTCGATTGTTCTAGTTCTGTATACGCAGATAGGGTGCTAGTAGACAACCAACGGTTACAATACCACGGTAGCTTACCCTGGTATGTGTCATCGAACTCCTGCAGATTATCCCGACATCCCACGCATCAACAATAGCCACATGGAAAAGTGTCCCTGGATGTGCGCAGCTGTCCCTTGACATCACCGGGTTGAGTAGATAGAAATCAGCTGACTTAGCGCCGAGTCATCAGGGCTTCCATACAGCATCTGATCTAATCGGGCACTAGATTTATATCACTTGCATCGGTTTCACCGGCCATGTGCTCAAATGGATATACTATGCGTCGAAATTCTACTGCAATCACTACGATATTGTTGATATACCACAAGTACCGGTGAAGAAAACGGATATAATTCTTCATGCAATGCTGTCATGCTGCTCTACCATGACCAACAAAAGAAAGGCTTTTAGAACACGGTGTAGAGGCCCGAAATAAAGTCCTCCGTAGACAAAATGTAAATGCAAGGACAGCTTGATCCCGCCGTCCATATGCTCTTCACCATATGCAACAACCCCACCGAAGATGCCACTTCCGAGAGATTGGAAAAGTGGTCCCTATACTCTGACTTTGCATAGGCACTCAACTTTTTCAGGGGAAAGAAAGAAAGTGCAATTAGAGGAAAGAACTGACTCCTTCATTGAGATCATCAGCCCCACGGTAAGCATCATCATGTCGCCGACACAGCGACCAGATTACCAATATCATTCATGTCGCGTTTCCAAAAAAAAAAAAATAAAAATAAAAAATAAAAATAAAAAGGGGGAAAGAAAAGAAAAGGCTGTGCCCGTCTACTCAGGCACAATCCGGTCTTCATCGTTCACTCGTAGCTCCACCACAGGTAGTTCGTCCTCGTCATCGTCCGCTTCCAATGGAGGAGGGATGTCTTGAATGGGAGTCTCTTCCATCGGGGTCCCTGGGTAAGCCCCCCCGTGACCTCTCGGACTATCCGCCAAGGAGGCCAATCGGAGGTCCGAATCGCTGAAGTCGCCTCCGCCAACTGCCTTGTTGCTGGCATCGTCGTCAAGCAGATCGTCGTCATCAGAGATGGATCCCCGCATCGCTGTGGTCATCTGTGAAAGGCCGTGAGCATCCGGGACTCGGTTGAAAGACCACGAGGGCGGACTCGGGAAGTGGAACGGATCGGATTGCGCTCCATCACCGAACTCGACTTCGTCAAAACTCATACCTTCCAGTCGCTCTTCTTTATCAATGCTCTTTTCCCCAGAAGTGGGGTCACTGGTGTATTCGGGGGGCGCGGCCTCATTCCCGTTCTTCGCTTGGGTTCCGGTTTGCGAACCACCATTTCCCGCCTGGTGAGCTGCTCCGACTCCGGTTAAGACGCTCGACGACCCATTGGGGGATGAGCCGCCGAGACGCCGACCGTCCCCCGACGGCGATTGCCCACGAGATTCGCTCGGCGAGCCAGCCTCACTCGCTGGTCGAGTAGATGACTCTGTGATCTCCTCCAGAATCTTACCGCCAAGCGGACGATCGGACCGGCGACGGTAAAAGAGAAGGTAGGCGGCCGAGGTCACCACACTCTGAGGGTCAATGGGCCGTGAGACACTCGAATCTAGATGTGTTAGCCATTACACTATCCTGCGTGTGGGCGCTTCGAGCTTACCGTTGTACTCGTTCCATTGGCTGGTGAAGAAGTTCTTGGCATAGGCAGTGTAGTGGCCGCCTCCAAGGCCACCATAGTGGTTGTCAACCGCGAAAAGATCATAGACCAAGCTTTTGCCTTCTTCAGGAGCTTCCACTCTGCCGCTCATATCCAGTCCTTCTACAGGGAAGTCAACAAGTACGTCCAACTTATCCCGGAAACCGCGGCTGGCACTAAATCTCTTGAGGTGCATGACAAGGATATCAGGTGTCCTCCACAATTCAAATTTCTTGCTAGCTCGACGGTGTTCCTTGCAGCGTGGACAGTACCATGCGTCGTTCTCGGAGAGTATCTCCTCCTTGTTGAATTCATCCAGACACTCTTCCAGCGTAACACCCCTCTTCTTGCGTGTTTGGCGAAGTTGACGCCGCTTGTTCAGTTCGGGGTCATTAACCCGCTCGACGTCCAGCCATGTCGGCAGCCCGCGAATGGGATCACGCTCCTTCTTGTTTCCGCAGAAAAGAGCATCATAGGCTTGCTCGTTCCAGTCTACTACAATTCCCTCGCCTGGTCGAACCAGGGGACGAATCTGAACCATAGCAACCGGGGCCTGGGCGCAAGAAACCTCAGCATCGCCACTCGTATCCGATCCATTGTCAGCAGCCTTCGAATCAGTAGGCTCAGGTGTTTCTTCAGACTGTTTGGAACCATCAGCATACGTTGTGTGCCGATTTTACAAGAGTGTTTAAACCTACCTCTTCCGGTGGGGTGACTGGCTTCGTCTTTATACGGAAAGACATCTTGGGGTACTCTTTGTTATCTTCCACCGAGGACCAGCCAAGGGGAACAGGCTCGTTGCCCTTCATGATCTTCAGCTCGAAGAGATCCCGGAATCGACCCGGAATTGAGCTCTCGGAGCGAGCAGTGGCAGGCTTGGAGCCCTGGGAGGCAGAGTCCGCATCGCGCATAGACACGTCTACCATACCATCTTCGCCATCTACAGAAGATGCCTTGATCTTAGAATCCGCAGACTTCGCGTCGTCATCGTTCATAACAACAGTATCCGAATCCTCCTGAGTTGCCTCTTGATGGTCTTCTCCGGGGATTACCTCGTTCAAGAAGTCACGGGTGGTCATTGTAGCCGCCCCAACAAGGACCTTTCCATAGATTGCATCAAAATTATAAGCCTCGTCCCGGGTAACAACAATGTATGAGGGTACACCGAAAAGGTCCCGCTTGTGCTTTGACCGGTCCACGCGGTGGAAAATGGGCACGAGAATGCGATCAGCCTTGGGAGAGTCAATGGTCGGGATTTCCTCTTGGTCCGACCTGCTAAAGGAAAAGTAGCTTTTTTGGGGCTTGTCCGGGTTATAATTAGTCGGCACTGACTCCACTTCAATGAAAGCAATTTCATCATTCCCGGATATTTGACACTCAGCAATAGAGCTGGTGTTGTCAAACATCCTGTAGAACTTGCGTTTGAAGATCTCAACCATTATCAGGCGTTCAGCATCGGTGCCTTGCTTCTTGGCCACGAGCTCTTTCAAGGACTTGACGCTGGAATTCTTGTCGATCTCTACATCAAAGCGGACCGGCTTCTTATGTAGGCCGAAGTAGAAAATTTCCTTGCCCCAGAGATTCTCGATAGGAAGCTGAAGCGTAAGGTTGTTGAAAGGGTCGAAGATAATGCTGACTTTGTCGCAGACGGGGCAGACAAGAGTCGACTTGTACATACCGGCGAAGAGATCCGTAATGACAGAGTCGTTGCGAGCCTTGTAGATATCCCAACATTTGTCTGCAAACTCGGTAAGGGCCGCCTTGTTATGAACCATTTCATCTGTGGAGTCAGGCTTCTCGATATAAGGCTTCTTCATGATCCTATTCAGATCCTCCTGTAGACCGTCTAGAAGGAATAGCAGGAATTCTTGAGAGTCCTGCTGTCCATACCCTGAGAATGCCGGACCGTAGCGACCAATGGTGTGTTTCAATTGCCTGGGAGCAAAGGAGGACTGGCCAGCTTCATCATAGATCATCCGTAGCAAGTTTGCATACGCCTTCGCTACATCGCCGTTATGGGCCAGTGGGTTGCTAGGGTTGAGGTCCTGCTTGTAAACGTCGTCTAGAAATCGTGCTTGTTAGTAACTCTTGACACAATGACATGACATGACGTCTGAACATACTCAGGAAATAATAGGTCAGCTCCTCGACGCTTCGCACACATTGAAGAGCAGAGTTCATGTAGCAGGTGTTTCCAAGATTGCTCAGACCTGTGCAACCGCGAGGTTTTCCATCCTTTCGCCGTCCCCTCACGGGCTCTGGTACTGGAGATGACCGACCACTAGTGGTGGGGCTCTTGTTCTTCAGTTTCGATGACACGCCATTCTTGACGGCACCCGAAGGCACACCAAGACGGTTAAGTGTCTGCTTGGACGCCTCGGAGACCCACTCTCCGCCGGGTACACGCTCCTCTAGTACGACAACATCGCTGCCGCCGAGTCCAGCAACATCCAATGTCATTCGACCGTTATAATTCGCGTTGGCAGTCTGATCTTTAGCCTCCTCAACCAACTCCCGCTGAGCGCCCTCTGACAGCGAGAGAAAGGTATTCAGGTCTAGCACGAGGTTGTTACCGGCATTGGCGACGATCGACGCTGCAGGTGCTGGCGAAGCGCTTCGCGACGCAGCAGGGGTCATCGCAGCAGAGGCCGTGGCACTGCCCAGACCGCCCAGGATTCTCCAAACGCGTACTTTAGTCGACATGTCGATATTGGCCAGTGTTTTAGCTTCCTTCAACCACTTCTGGAAGTTAGTATGTCTGCTAGCCAGAGTCCGCGCGGGCTTCATATTCTTCTCCTTCAGGGTCTGAGGGGTAATTCCAGTGGAAGGGCTGGGGAGTTTCAAGATGGTGAAAATCGGCGGATTAATCTCATATTGGATGTTCTCGGAATCCCCGCCAACGCTAGTGTCATGGGCATAGCGAACAATAGCTGGGGACTGGTCTGCCAAGCCGTACCACTGCAGAATCAAATCCCATCCTTCTTGAGGTACAATCTCAAAATCTTCGCCCATCACTAAGCCCGGGCGCAAGGGCACAAAAGGCTCTCCCTTTTCGTCTTTGAAGCTTGCATTCGCGGGATCCGTGACGAGAACCAAGTCCGAGTTATCCGTGGGACCAACTTCCCCTTCCGCAGCGGTCTTGTCCGTCTTGTCTGCGTGAGTAGAGCTCCTGGAGAGCACCCGCTTCAGCCATGCCATCGACACAACATATCCCTTCTGTCCCTCCTTCAAGGGCTGCATCATAAAGCATGTCACTCTTGCGACCTGGTCATCGTAGGACGGTCGCTCGGATGCGGGGGTGGCCTTGGAGTGAGCCCTGGTCGCGGTAGAGGCGGTGTAAGTCGACATGCTAGAAGGAGTGGGATAAACGTTGTCAGATCCGGAAGCGTTATCGTTGCCAGTCGAGTCATCGTCCTCCATTCCGGTCGTATCCATCTGGTCGGGATGGGTCCCCTTCTCGGTTACAACCACATCCATGTCCACATCCTGTTCGGCGTCGGGGGCCACCCGCTTTACGCCGGGGGAGGATGAGCGAGTCTCACGCCCAGAGGGCGGAACACTGGCGTCTCTCTGATCGGAGCCAGACATATCTGTTGGCGGATCGCTGGAGAGGGAGAGTCCAGCGCAAGCGGCGGATGGATAGTCGACGGAGCTCTCAGTGGAATCCGGGGTAGGCGAAGGAGCAGCCTGGGATCTGGCCCCAAGCACTTCCTCCTGCAGATGGGCGGGGATGTAACGTTGCGGAGAGGAAGACGAGCCTTGGCGTTGGGTTGTGCTGGAATCGGAGGACAGACGAGGATAAGGTGGTGAGGAGGACGTTGTATCGGAGTTGTGGTGTCCGTGACGTCTTCCGGCCTGCGAGGCGAACGACAAACCCGGAAGGGATCCTGGTCTGCGAGGCTCTGCTACCTTACGGCGCTTTGTGGAAGACGTCGTGACGATGAGCTGCGCACGTCTTGTGGCAGCTCGAGGTAACACAATGGGGGGAGGTGTATTTTAAGGGACACGCCAATGATAAGTGATCGAATCGGTGAGAACCTTCGATAAGAAAAGCAATGACTCGGGTAAGGGAAAGGAAAAAAAAAAAAGTAGAGCCGCGAGTCAGAGCGAAGCGAACTGAATGGAAAAGAAAATCCGTCCGAAATCCCGTTTCCAGAGGCGGAGGAAATCTCAGGTCGTTTAGTCAGGCTTTATGTCCCATGATTGGTTGCAGGCCGGGGGCGGTGTGGGGAAAGACGAAAATTACCTGTAAGTTTTAAGGTTAAATTCAGTGGTACGAATTTAGGGTTGAGGGTCTTGGAAACTGGGGAAGTTTCCAACAACGTGGTTCAGTTTGTATACTTTATATACACCAGATCGGTTAGTTTTTATGTTCGCACTGTTTTCTATTTTGGTCATCCCTATTCTATTGTCACCAACCATACTCAATCTGAATGTCTCCATTGATTTCATTGTTGGGTTAGTATAGCAAGGGTCATAAAGAGGGAGCAGAATGGGTGGAAGGGAATGGCAAGGGAAAACAATCAAGATTAAAAATAACACTCCCTTTGAGTGGAAGTAGGTAAGTGGCCTAACTGGTGTAGAGTAAGGAGTGGAAGCTAGGTAAAGATGCAAGCAATTACGGTGAACAACAGATCAGATGCGTTTGAATACCAAACACTACGCACTGATAAGTTTATTACCAATATCACTTGGAATACTCGTTGGATCACTCATAATGCTTAGATTAAGGAATTTACTTAATTAATGATATGGAGTACGAAGGTGATATATAACTTTGGCTCATCTTCCGTATGTATATGTGCACTACTAACTCGGTGAGTAGTCTAGCTCAATATATACCATATGCAGACGACATATTGTTTTAGAATCTCAGATGTAACCTGGTTATTCCAAAACGTTGAATTAGAGTATTCTGAGTAATCTAAGCAATTCCGATAGATCTGACAGGCCTACATATGTATATTAGATAGAATAATTGTATTCCAAGGCAGATTAATTCGCTAAGGCTACGGTGTTATTAAGCCTATGATATTCCTTTGCTAGCTATCTTTCGCTGTAGCAATAGAATGGCCATATTTTCATTGCCCACTGCTTACCTCTATGATGGACTGTGGTGCTCCGCCCTCTGGGAGTGAGTTTGGCTACTATACCTTCATAGTTCCTTTGACTATTCTTTTCGGCTATAGAGAAATTTACCAAACCAAGTAGGATAATTGTAGGTATGTCTACACAAATATTAGTATTTCTGCAGCTATTGATCCAAATAATAGAATGCGCCCTTTCAAATCAACGAAAAAGGTCTAGGGGTGCGATTTCCATGCTATCAAAAATAGTTACTTTCCTCTGTACCATCATTAGAAAGTATCGAATTCCTTCCGAATCATTTTCACTTTCAGGTAATAGTGCCGGCATATCAGCCAGTACAACAGTTTTATCTCCCTTTTCCTTCTCAGTAACAGACACGGGTATCATATAACTCGCTCCAACCCGCTAACAAGCTGCACAACAAACCAAAGCAATGATTCCATATTCAACAAAAAAATCATGAACAGAGCCAATGGTAAAATATGCAATTGTTGTTTATGCGACCTTATGCTTCATAACCTTGACTAAAATATGAGGAAATGCAAAGACCAGAATACATGTCATCAGAACGAAGTACACCCTAGTAACAATATCGCATGGGAACCTACGCCGGCAGCACCTACGCCGGCTCACAGAGCTGGCTTCGGCTGTCGAAGCCAGTGAGATGAGAATCAGACAATGTATGTAAACTCAGCTTCCATGGCTCGACTTACATGGCTTTATGGTGCTAGCCTGGCTTTCATTCCAGCTGTTGATGCTCTCTGCATAGCTGGGCTCGGAAATGTTGATAATGTAGCTATTTTCAGGGCGCTCAATGGTATATGGACCTCTTTCTAAGCCCTTGATTGAAACTAGTGTTTCTTGGGAACTATTGCTCCGGGATTGAGACATGGTTGAATCGGATCAGGATGTTTGTAGTTCTTGAGGTGAGTTGGTTTGTTCTCGACATGCATCGAGATTTCTTGGAGTAAGAGAGTAAGAGCTGTGGCTAATATGGAGGTGATGGATTCTCAAGAAAGTTGTAGGAGGAAGGAAAAAAATCGTTACGGAAGAGAATCTATAGGCTGAAGGAAAAGTTTTCGGATATATCCGTGGAACGATTTTTGTTCATGACTGTAACATCTGCACAAGTCATAGGTACTAATGACCTAATGATTAGCTATAACAGTTCTATGTAAGTCATTTAGTGAAAGCTTTCTCGTTTTTTGAGTGTTTATTAGATCTGTAGTTTCTGAGACAGCGGTGAAAAAGATCTAATTACCATAACCTCAAGAATCTATGTTGATAGCTCATTCTTACCGCGACGAAAAAAAGGGGCATAATGCACAGAACTACATTCAGGATATTAGCATCATATGTTCGTACACCCTACTCACCGTTCATAACCCGAGTACTAAAAGACAAAGCGACGAGCTTCTTTGCTAGGTGTGGAAAATCAGATATATCTACTTTACATTTATTATCCATCAAGATGTTAATAAGCATCTAAAAATGGCTATGTATGAAAGCGAAGAAAATAGTATTAGTATCATAAAGCTAAAGAATAATATAAACTTTTCTTTTCTACAGCCCGATCAAACAACAAGTCTCTCAGCGACTCCTCGGAAGAACACTCGAACAACAATATCAGTCCGCACCATGACACTATCGGAGGACTTATTCTGCAGGTCACCACGCCGGTGACTTTGGTCAACTCATTACCCATTCTCCTGACTCCGGTCATCTATGTCGTCGGCGATTGTTTCATCCCCAACATACCCACAGCCCCTTTGCTCTGCGTATGTGGTCATGAGCCGAGTTCGAGGCCGGATGAGTACCTCTTGAATCATTATGGGACCAGTAGCCACCACTTCGGTCGTTGTCCTTTGATACCATAGATACACAGAGGCGAATCATCAGGGACAAAGTTGCAAGCAGGATACTGTAATTCTCTATTTTACTAGATGTTCGGTGATGGATCTCTGGGCATACACCTTCTATATGGAAGATCAAGTGTCAATATATGACGCAATCTACCCAGAGAATAAAAGAAATAATGTTGTCTATATCCCAGCTGTCAGCCGATGGTCTATTGAATAGACGTGTAGAATTCGAACTCATGTGTGATATCATTCATATCCTCGATAGACTTGAGAAGCTACAGCCACGCATATGGGTCATTGGAATTCTAACAACGCAGTTTTTGTCATGATCAAGCACCCACATATATCTTAACAACAGAGGCAGTTCCTAAAAGTATCAAGGGTCCACTAAGGTTCACTCTCTGCCACACGCGTCGAACAAGGGCTTGTTTGGGCATCCTGCGTATCCTAGCGCCCAGGTGCAAACGCGGGACCGGTTCAGAATCTATTGCCCGAATTGTAAATCGCCAGAGTTGTACCGCGGAGAGTATTATTGAGAAGAAGTCAATGGTGGAATTAAATCCTATCCGTGTATCAGTCTCTGTGTAATATAATACAGATTCCTGTATTTAAGGGCAATTTGCATACTTCCTTGGACAAAGCTGACCGTTGTCTGCACGGATGACGACTGGCATATAACAGATCCATTAGGGCGGAAGACCATCCCACATATAGTGGAAGTAGTTGACCCTATTAGCCTTCGGCCTTGTACAGATATCAGCACTTGATCTGAACGGATATAGTCTTGATTGCTTAACATACGGCGTGGTAAGGCTTCGGTCCGCACAGTGCTACTATATGAGATTAGACAAAGATGCTCTATTGCCTAAGTCTATGTATGATTCAAACCGTCGTAATATCATACACGTCGATAGAATCTCTTTTGTTCATTTTTGTTCGTTCTTCTGTTCGCGTAATCCTTCAAAACTAGATATCCTTCCCAGATGAGCCTATTTATACCGAGAACTCTAACAAATAGGGGCCCCAGAAAGGATAAGACCTATAGAATTTGAATCTTCACTGGCAGTCTATTAGCCTCTTTTAAAAAATACAATGACTGTTTTTGAAACCTGAAAGAGGTGGTTTGATCGCGTCGGGCTATGGCTTGGTCTCTTACCCACTCGCTTGGCTGTCTCGCCTATGGGGTGCGCTAGACGAAAATAGAAAGCAAAACTAGAGGGCCAACTAGAGTGAAAAATATTAAACGGTTGAATTTGTTACTCTAACCTTGTGTTGAAAGGCATGAAGGCGGAAATATGCATAGATAGGAATAAAAATACATATCCAGAGCAAAGGATGTGAAACGCTAAGCTAGAATCGCCAAAAGACTTAACATAGCTAAGCCATTTAACCAGGCACTGCGAGCATTCGTTGGTTGTATCCCTGGAAAATGAGATGCAGCTACTGCTGCAGCCAATAGGTATTCCATGGCCAGTGCTTATGTTACCTAGAACATTCGGTTATATGTACTGCAATCATTAACCTGTGAATCCCTAGTCTTGGCCATCCAAACGACTTACGTTCAGGCAGGCAGGCACTAATCTACATTAAATATTATTTCCCACACCAGTTAAAATACTAGTTAACCATCTCAAATCTTTCTCATCTCAACCAATCCCGCTAACGCATCCATCTGATGCCATTCGGGAGCGCTTCTCTCCCGTCCTCCGTACATTGCAATCATGGCTGAATGCATCTTGGCATAATTCACGTTCTTTGAAAACTCGAGAATTAGAAGACGAGAATGAGGCGTCATGAGTTCGGATATTTTCTGTGACAACCGCGCGGCTTCCAGGTCCGACGAATTATGAAGAATACGCGAGATGATGGATCAAGGCCCCTTTAACGGGCTGAGGGCTGTTCTCCTCTTTATAGTTCCACGTGGCAAGGGTGACACCTGAAACCTCAATGATGTTTTGGTTGAACGCCTGTACCGCGAGATCTGAAGCTTGCAGCTCCGGATATGCCGCTTTAATATCCAACAGCGGCTCTCCACGCCCTCCACCAATATCGACCGTGATAGCTGAGGAAGCATCTCCTGCCTCATTGAGCACCGATTGTAAGTAGTATCCCTGTACTTTCAGGCGATCGGGAGTGTTACTTGTCTTCATGATCTTGCCAACCATGAAGTGGTTAAAGCTGTCCAACCGGCCTTCCGCGGCCATGATGGAGTAAGTATGTTGCTTCGATAGCTCTTCCTGGCCCATCAACTGATAGGCGTATTGGTAGGGCGTATCTAGCTCTTTGAAGGGATATTTGAAGTTATCCGCTTTTAGTTTCCGCATCAAAAATGCGGCCCCGAGCAGGGCTTCGGCTGTACTAGAGCGAGTACGCACGGTTTAAAAATCTCCAGGTCACGAGAAGTGCTGTGTCTTTATATACACGCCACCTTTTTTCCATGCTATATGGAGAGCTTACAAGTGAAGTGCCCCATGTTCGGCAGGAGGCACAGCAGCCAGGAGTTTAGCGATAGTGTTGGCGCTGTACAGATCGTCGCTGGTGGTGTCAGCAAAGCCCAGCCCAGATATGGCACACAAGGTATCCTCTACATGAGAGTAAGTTGTGTTGTGTAAGTCCCAGGCTATATTGCAGTTAACCTCCAGTGGAACACTCTTACGGACTAAACGTAAACCTGCATGTCCTAGTTAGGGGTGACTCTCATGATGAAGGCCCATTACTAACATGGTACATCCACCTCAGCCTTATGTCCCTTGCTACTTCTATACGCAGTCAGCACATCTTCCCCACTAGCTGAACCTTCAATGTTTGCTAGAGTGTTAATGAGACCAAAGTGTATGGCAGCAGGTACAAAGCCAAGTGCAGCGACATTTAGATTAACATGTGACTATACCGCACCAGGTTATAGAATGCAAATCAAACCAACAAAGTGACTGTGCTCGCAAGAACTGATCCAGGCGGAGATGAAGCCATTTTGATGATGAAAGGAAGAGTCAAGGATCCTTGAAAATTTGCTAGAGATCATCGTCTCATGTAGGCAGGCTCCGTATACGAACTGTGTCTCCTCAACAAACAGACATTTGGTCAAACAAGGTGGGAATTCAGATGGCAACCTGTGTACGGGTATAATGTTGCTCACTAAATGTCAAAGATCTACTATACAGGGCAGAAGATCTGTCAACTCAGGAAGTATATGCGGGCTAAAGGGGATAGCAACATCAAAAGGCAGGTAGTAGATAACTATCAGAACAAAAACTGATTCTAAAGCACCTAATTCTAGTAACTGTTCGTCAATTTATAGCTGAGGGCTCTACACTTAAAGAACACGGGAACCCTATTGAAAAGCAAACCGCTCCATATCGGTGGCCGAATTGTCCGTGCTCCAGGGTCGGGGTCAGCTGTACGGTCATCAGGCCTAATCGCTATCCAATCTGTGTCACTATAAATGTTAGATTCACAGTTATATTAATATTAATTAATTGCATCACGGCTACATCGCTTGCATGAGCTACTGACACTACATACTTAACCCCTGTCAGGCATTTCCCAACTTGCCGATCAGTCCCTTTTGTCCAGAGTAGTGTTACGTGAAGCGATAGATTCGGTTTCTCAATCATTAATTCCTATTCAAGGTCTAGCCTTGCCGAATTCTCGGGAGAAACAGATGGTGGTTGCGGACTTTGGGCGATCAGGTAACGTTCCCTTGCTTAGAGTCTCGCTTGATTATCCCGGACAGTGGGTTCGAGCATAATTCAGTTCTCAAGCTACTCAACGAAGTTGGACAACGCAATTACCCACCTATCTCACCTAATTATCTTATCGATCCTCCTCTTGAACTTCGTTCAGGGCTTTTGGTAGAGGTAAACTCTTCGAAGAATATCCTTTCAGTGTGTTCTTGACCTACGGCCTAAATCGCGGTACTCAACGCAATGAGAACCAAAGGTCGAACAGCCAACGTTTCCAGCAGATACAGTCAACAACGATATAACGGAAAAGGTGGAATCCTGTATCACGGCTGTGGAAGATGATGAGGATCGTAAACCTCGGAACTAGCGTTCAACGAAAAAGCGCTTGGTATTCTTAGCACTCATGTCACGCTCGATCCTAGCCGATGGGTGAGTGTTGTTGTCATATACTTTGGAAAGCGGTACCACATTCTAATAATCAAATGTAGTGGAACGACATGGGGATCGACCTTGATTGTTCCTCAGGCTCTAGTGTAGAGTATCAGCGTTGATCATCAGCGACTATTATGAATTACGGTATGCTGTTACAAAGCATTGGTGGTCTTCTAGCCATCCCTTTTATTGAAGCCTACGGACGGCGAGCGCCGTCTTGCAGGCCTTCGTGCGATGTGCGACGCAAAATTTAACAAGGAAAAGGTCTCCCTATTTGGTTATAGCCACAGTTTATCACCACTTCACGGTCCTCGGTGCGACTCTATCCAATGATTACGGCGCTTTTACTGTATTTCGGTCAATGCAGGGTCTATTTGGCACTATTCCGCAGGTCGTCGACTTGCCAATTATTCATGGCATGCATCGCCTTGAAGGTATGCGAATCGAGCCCGCGTGGGGGCACGCTTCTTGATAATAAGGCTTATTGACTATCTGCAGACTTGCCCCAGAAGATGAACATTAGGTATGAGCCCCTTAGATTGATACTAAAATATCGAATCGCTTGACAGGAGGCCTAACAAACCACTGCAGGAGAACTACTTTCTTGATAGGCCCTTTCTTGGTCCTGCCCTAGCTGGATATATAGGCGCTGGCAGCAACAGGAAGGTTTCATTTGGTATTTTGACTGTCATATACAAGATATCCACTATATTGATATACTTATTTGGTTACGAAACCTACTTTGTCAAGGGACGACAAATGCCAGCGTAATTCTCCTTTACAGTCGATGCTGGGGATGGAAAAACATAACTTTCCTGTTGCCGGACCCTTGGATATTGGACTAAGTTGTTGGTCGTTTATCTATTCAAGTGCCCTCTTCTTCTGACCAAGGTTGTAACTATGGTGAACTTTGGCTGGTCTATTGGTATGCCACGTCGTCTCTTCCAATCCCGTCCATCGAACCTCAACGCTAATAGTTGCCTTAAGGTATCACGGTTACCGTCTCAACATTTGTTGCACAACTTCCTTATATTTTCAATACAGTTCAGTCGGCCTCGTTACGATGGACATCCATCATTGGGGGCCACATTGGTGCGTCTTTCTTTTGCCTTTTCGTCCGATGTGTAGTATCTGATAAATGAAGTAGGATATGCCTTTGGTTATTGGTTCAACGGATTCCGCTATCATCAACCATGGCGTACAGCAAGTGGTTTTGATATTGAATACTTTCAGCCTACGTGGATTGCACGAGATGGCGTCCCTGCTATCTTCTACACTCAGGTGGCTGTTGTCGTTGCCGTTTTAATTCTTACTATTACTCCTGTTATTGTCATTGGGGTCGGAAAGCCAAGGTCTCTGTTGCCCACGCAGGACCAGTTTGAGATCTTGGCTCATGTTATACGGCCTTTTTGTGACAACCGCCATTGTAATTGTCATTGATGCAATCCATTAATTAGGAAAGGTTGAAAATAGGTCCTAAATATGGAAGCCTTGTGCTCACATGACGTGAGACTTGATTAAGTTTCTTTGCAGCCTGAAAATTCTCCATGTCAGCTGGTCATACCACTGCCAAGGCCATTGCAATACATAAGGCAACAGCTGCGTGTCTAACAAGTGCGTCTGGGAACTTCTTATATATCGATTTATAAATACAGATTCGCTTTATATAAAGATAGATCTGTACCAAACATCCCCAGAACAGTCACTCAAAACAATCAATGTCCTCCTACTCCAACTCCCCCCACGCCATAGCCCTCCACTACATCTCCCACCCCCGTTTCCACCGCCGCTTCACCCTTCCCGCCACAGCAGACCATGACACCCTAACGGTCACCTACGCGGATATCGGATCTACCCCCGACCCGCCAAACCTCAATCCCCCAACCATCCTCTTCATGCCAGGCATGTTCGCCTCCCGATACACAGGCGCTCTAATGCACGCAATCGCAGAGAAACTCGGCGTACGTGTCCTAGTGGTGGACCGGTTAGTCTCCCCACCTACCCATCCTCAATCTCTCGTCCTAATCCCCCAGACCAGGCCGGGAATGGGCAACTCCACGGACGTCCCGCTCGACCAACGACTCCCCATCTGGTTAGAGCTGGTCCCCCGTCTCCTAACGCATCTAGGTATCGAGCACGTCGCGCTAATATCGCATTCCCTGGGGACGATCTATCTTCTCAACACGCTGTTCTATTGTCGCCAGTATCTCCATCCGGTGAGGCCGTTTGTCGCCTTCCTTGGTATGCATTTTTTGTTATCTTCTCTTCGTTGTGTTGTTCTTGCATGTTAATTTCTAACGGAGATACGTAGCGCCATGGGTCCACCCGTCTCATTCTGGTGTTACATCTCTGCAAATGGCCCAATACGTACCGACTACAGCCTTTGGGCTCTGGCATCTCATTCCTAAGCTTCTGCTTCTGAAGTTTGGCCCGGTGATTACGTCTAGCGGAGTTGCTATTGGTAAAATCTCGAACGGGATCTCCTCCGGAGTTAGTAGCAGTAGCATAGCGGAGAATGCCGAATCGGAGAGGAACCGAAGCCAGATTGAGGCGGAGTACGGCATCTCGCGAGATGTTCAAGTTGAGATCTATGATCTAATGCTCAAGCGCATGTTTGGGGAGAACACGGTGGGGGCTAATAGTGAGGCGTTGCAGGGTCTGCGGAAGGGGGCCGATAGTGCGAAGACATGGGGCAAGTGCGAGGATAATGCGCGTTATGTGAGGGAGCTGGTGGAAATTGAAAAGGCGAGACTTAACGGAGGAGGGCAGAGACTGAAGGTAAGAGCGTACTTCGCGGGGAGTGACTCTATGATTGGGGAGAAGGGGCGGGAGTATGTTGAGAAGTGTTGGAGTGGGGATATCGGGGAGTGTGAGGATGCTCTTGACTTTGAAGCGGCGGCCTTTCCTGGCCTGCAGCATGACAGTCTGGTTGAGTCTGCTGAGGTTTGGAAGAGTATTTTCCTTCAGGCTGGAGGTGGTTTATAGGGGCGGTTTTAAGTCGTTATTATTCTGAGGGAAAGTCTGAGTAATGAGACGCGGGCGGAAACTAGAGATAATTACTCAGACTTCCTTGGGACTGTACCTGTCAGCCAAAATTACCACTAAAGCTCCGCTATCAGCCACCACCCTACTCCATTTAGATTAGCGCCCTTGATCATTATCTACACCATGATATCGCGTGTATCGCGTCATTTAAATGATCATTTCAGGCCTATAAATACGCTCATTTTATCATTAGATCAGAAAGCAGAGACCTCGTCATTTCTTCATTGCAGCCCTTAGATTTCCCCAGTAGATTACTAGGTAATACGGAATCCCGCATTCCCAATATTACCTTTACGTGCTTGCGTTATTGGACATGCAGGAATGATAAGAATTGAAACACACAATGTAGTCAGTTCTATTTAGCTAGTCTACTGCGCATCTTCTGACATTTTATCGCAATCTTACTCTCCAAGTCCAACTCATTCAGTCACCCACATCAAGTCCAGCAATGTAGCCAATTCCAAACTCAGGCTTGATCGGCATTCGGCTCCTTCGTATCTATAACCGCTAACCAGCCCTCAGGAGGGATAAAAACAAGCTCATCTTGCATGTTAGCCAGGCATAGCTGCAGCCAAGTCTATGGAATAGGTTGTCCTTGGCATAAAACAAGGAACCGTTCCTGGCAGCTAAAGTAGCGTTCTCAACCCAGGCCCAGCTTTTACCCTCATTGTATCTCTTTTTCTGTACCGCTTCGAGAATAAAAGGCGATCCCAACAAAGTGCCAATACCACCGGTAATCATAGTAATAGTAGCCAATGATAAAACTACTTTGCAGAAGGTTATGCACCCAGAAGATCTCATAATTCTTCGGCTTCTGGAGGATATTGCCGAGGAAGTCTCACGGATCGCCCTGGTGGTCCATGCTCTGCCCTTTTCGGTTCCATCGATGAAGGATACCGCGGCTTGTATGAATTTGGTGATGATTCGAGGAAGATGCCGCAGATTGAGCGGATAGTCTTCGCCTTAGTCTTTTGGATACCGGGGAAGACCTTTTGAGAAAGCTCTTTCAAGCCTGGGCGTTGTTGAGTCTGATGCTGTAGATCTTTTGACAGGGTTTAGATAAACAGTGTATGTAAACACAGCGAGAGTTATAAATATTACCATCACTTATTTGGTGCTGATTTTTATCCTGACTCCTATACGAAGGCGGGCGATGTAGGCTTGGGCACTGAGATATGTATACCGAAGCTGGGTATTTACTTGCGCTATATAACTGAGAGTCCAATACTTCTTCCTCTCTCCGGCTCATATACAAGAAAATTTTCCGTAGATCGTGACATGGTAGAGTCTCGCGTTAGAGTCCTTGTGTGGATTGCATCATTGCAATGTCGCAGACTGTGGGGATTTGAAGGCAGAGAAATCTCTTGTTAGTCAACCGCTGTGAAGCCTAGGGACATCCCAAGGTTGAAACTTGTGCATAGCCCTTAAGTACGACACAATTCTTACCCATGGGGGTAACTCTGATTTAGAGGCTCGTTCAAATGATTGGTCGCTTCGGTATGCAAATTCAATATGCTTCTATACTATAGCCAACATTAATCTAGTTAGGGTCTATATAAACAGCTGTATACACAAATCCGGCCTGTGAATAAGTCCAAGATGGCATTTCTTACAAAGCCAACTGAGTAGACTATAATACTGGCCGAGTGGCCTGAGACCCGGTCTATGATACTGAATCTCACATCTGATTTGTTTGCAATCAGTAGTCTCGAAATTTAAGTGGAAGGTGGCTACAAAGTTGTTCAGTCAAAACTGACAGTCATGGTTCCAGGCTGGGCCTTAGAAGCTTGAATTACCCCTCCTGTGTTGGAAATTCTTTTTCATAGCTTCATATACAGGTAATTCCTTTTTTGTTATATCTGTTATACGTTCAAACTACTGAATAATTATTAATCTATACGAAGTTGCATGGGTTCTAGACTAGACTTGCATTTTTGCATTGCAGCATCTAAATGTAACTTTGACTATGCACAACAGCGTGGTACTAGGTTAAATGGTGAGAAAAGTTGGAAGCAACTAATTGGCTGCAGGATGAACCAAAAACAGAAAGAAAATAAAAACATGCTTCATAACCAAGACGTCCATCCGGACAATGTCAGAATGGGACATGCAAAAAAGCAATGACCGGACTGGGGTTCGATCCCAGGACCTTACGCGTGTGAGGCGTACGTGATAACCAACTACACCATCCGGCCAATTGATGAGTAAACTATATACTCTTTGACTATATAGAACCTAAGCCCTATATTTCGTTCGCCTAGACATCTGGAGAGTTCGCGGAAGTATCTTCATACGTTGTTGTTGAGTACATCTTGCGTAAAATCTCTATACTATTTTGCGATTAGCTCCACAAGTCCCAGATAACCTTATCTCGAACTATGAAACAGTCGGACAGCATGGCCACAAATATTGTGGGGAAGAGAAGAAATAGCCGTCTACGCAACTGTTTCAATTCCTCTTCGAATCATCCTGCGTGTAGGAAATGGTAGCACGGAGCTAATCCATACATGCAGAAGCAATCCAGCGGAGCAAGGATACGCAATAGAAGAATAGAATCTAGGATTCCGATATCGATACAGAGGAGCGGGGAAATTGGATTAGAGACACAAGTTGAGTCCGCGACAAAACAACCAACTCTCAGACCACTACTCCCGACACCAACTTAAGCTGCCGAGAGTCAACCGAAGGAGAGATGATTGAAGGATGGTCCAAGACTGGATATATTTTTTTAGTTTGAAAATCTGCCAAATGCCAGTTGCAACTCGCATAATATCGAAGCTGCCAGCTTTACGTTGAATGTGACATATGAACAAGCAAGACGCTGATGAAATATTCAACCTGGCTAAGGGAGCAAGGTATTCAGCAATAGTATTATTCCACGAAAGGGCCGAGGTCACCGCGCACTGGTTTCTCGTCGAATTTGGTTCATTGTCGACGGGTTCTTCCTCCCTCTTCAGATCTTTTGCGGACAGGCCCCAAGACGCTCAGTAGGAAAGTGGAAGTATTGTTTGGCTTGGAGCGGGTAATCGAGACTGGAGGGGCGTGGTTTCTAAATGTTCAAATTAGTGGCTGCGAACTTGCACGATCAGCCAGGGAGATGTGCACTAATATATGGGCCAAGTGACAGGGCTTTCTCTATCACTCCCCTGCCGCTAGTTACCTTAAATATGCAACAGGGCTGAAAATTGAGAGGCCATCACAGACTATAAGCACGAGGCTTTATCTAATAGACGTGGGGGTACAGAGCCCTTAGAGAAAGTTTGTTACGAGGGGATGTACTCTATGTATCACCGCGCAGGGGATGAAGTAGCTTGCTATTGCGCACCGATGTGCTCCTCCTGGAGGATGAATAAAATGGAGATTGTCAATGATGTATTCCTTGCGTGGGGCAGGTGAGTAGGCAAAGGGTAGGGTATGGCGATCGATAATCGACAAAAATCTATGACCAGACTGGGGCTCGATCCCAGGACCTTATGCGTGTTAAGCATACGTGATAACCAACTACACCATCCGGCCAATTGATGGATATTAGATGGGGTATTTGCCATCAGGAGTCGGGGATGGAGGGAAGATCCTGAAATGGTTTAGTGCGTTAGGGTTATGGTTTAGCTGCTATCTCTTATTGGCCTGTTATTGGTGGTTAGGTTGGGCATGTTTCTAGTCATCTTGATAGGGGGGTTAGAGGTTGGATTGTGGGTTACTTTTTTTTTGAAATAATTAGGGTTTGTGTGAATAGGCATTGTGATTCTAGTGGGGATTAGTAGCTGGGAAGGTTTGTATCTGTGGATGTTACTTTGTCGAGGCGTTGCGGTCCAACGTTAGAGTAGTTCCGGAGACTGGACTTCAATTCCAGTATATAGGAAAGGTCAATGGGAAATAAATACTTTTGATACGGCAGGGAGTGTGGTTTAGTATGGTCATATGGAATTACCAGGACACGTATCCAAACTGGTCTTATAATAGATGGCATTGGAAAATCTCATGAGTGTATAGTTGCCATGCGGGAGACACGGATATTAACTACGACCTCAAGCTAAGCCTTAGAGACGTATATGTTGTTAAGGAGGGGTATTGTACAGAATACAAAGCTGGGAGGGTATGCATAAAAGAGCAAGAAGGCGGGTTTGAGATCCAATATCATTCTATAAAGGTACTACTCTGTGGACACAGTGTAGGATATTGACTTTGCACCGAGAGCCTTGATAAGATGTGGATTGATACGGCCAAAGCTATGGATCAACCTGGTTGAGCAATGCCGTTCATTCAGGGAACGCTTAGGAAGCAAAAGGTTTGCTCCACAGGCAAGATGATGGAGGCGCGAAGGGCAAAAAATGACCAGACTGGGGCTCGATCCCAGGACCTTATGCGTGTTAAGCATACGTGATAACCAACTACACCATCCGGCCAACCGATGAAATTTCGATGCAATATTTGATTACATAAAGATGTGGCTACCAGTCGTGCCAAAATGCAGATCCTAACCCGGAGCCATTTGGTTTTTCTAAGTCGCCTTCCATTTTAGCAAAGATCCGCCATTGCCAGAATTATATCAGATACTGAATATTGGTCTGATATTTGGGATTTTTAATATACGTTCGCCCGATCAATCCTCATGAGTCACTTGTGTGTATACTTCGTCGACCTACCGAGTGGGATCAGGTGTTCTACGTATTTGCTCCGTGGTGGGCTGTACTGCGGCTTTCCTATGGGTGAGCAGCTAAGGATGAGGCAGCGTGGTACTTTATTGGTTATAGGCTTCGTTATTTAACTGCTATTCAGGGACGTTGTAGCGTGGAGTAGACAGCTGACTACTCGCAATATATATATCTCCTACACCAGGTAAGTAGGGCTATTATAGTCAATCCCCAGTAGTATGTGTTAATGATATATTAGCTCGCAACAATACGGCCCATATACAGTCAGCAAAATGCGGCATTTACTTAAGAGGACAAATCAGTAAAAGTTATTCGGTCAATGCTAACGCCAGAACTAACATTAAGACTTTGGAGTGAATAGACAATGTGGCCTGGCTATACAGGAATAAGCTTTGGCTCAGAGTGTCAAATATGGAATGCCCATTCATCAGTTGGCCGGATGGTGTAGTTGGTTATCACGTATGCTTAACACGCATAAGGTCCTGGGATCGAGCCCCAGTCTGGTCATTTATTTTATCTTAATTTTTTTGGGTATTCGTAATGATCTTATCGTTGATGAGGAGCTTGTTTTCTTTTTGAGGTTTTGGTGTGTGTGACATGTGCTTGCAAGTATGGTTTAGTAGTTATTAGGTGGATGTGGTGGTGAGTTTGAAACTTGCGTTTATGTTTTCTGGATTGTGGCTTTTGATGTTATAGGTGTCCAGGAACTGTGGTCACATATAGAATGTTTGTGGTAATTGGGACGTCGGGAAGGGTCTTGTTTGTGCATGACTAGGCTATGGGCTGTCTATTAGAATACAGAAAGGAGGGTTCTGCTTGGTCATATATTCATGGGGGGGAAAGTCTGCTCTTGAAGGGCCGTTTCTATATCTGTGTTGACTCGGATGTAGCTATATGATTTGGGGGTAATTGTTCTCGTATCCTTGGATTAGGCACTCGGATCATGAAAGATTATCCATGAAAGTTTCCCTGGTTTCTACTATCTTGAGATATATGCCTGGCGACTACGTGTGTCGGTGCTGAATTCTATCCGGTCTACCTATAATGCTTTCTTCTATGTTGCTCACTGCATACGTTACTGTCCGAGGTGTATGTTCTATACCTAACATTGACCTTAAGTTGAGATTATCATACTAACTCTACTGCCTATTGCTTACAGAAATTTCAAGCTTAGATCGCCTCATCGTTCGTATGACATGTAATGAGGCAACGATTGTTTTCAGAACAAGATCTTCCTTCCGTCCTCAAGTTCACGAATCGCCTTCCTCAGATTCGCTCGCTGACGTACAGTCGACGCATCCTCACCCGCGATGTCCTGAAGCTGTTCCTTGGACAAGCTCTGAACGAAAGATGGCGTGAACAGCTTCATGGGCGCCTCTGGTCCGGTGACGAGATGGTAGTCTGCTGCTTGAATCAGGATATTGTCCACGAATCGTTTACGAGCAACCTTATAGTACGACAGAAGGATATCATGGATATCTCGGATTGTGTAAGCAGTATTACTCATGTGGTTCGAGACGGAAAGGTCATCCAGCTGAACTACCTGCCGATTGTTTCTGTCGAGACCGGCTTTAGCTTCGAGACTGGAACGCAGGCGTCTCTGGCGGCTGAATGCTGTTAGTAAATCCATATATGCATCCAAGTAATGTTCGGACTCGCATACCATTTCTGAAGGTTTTCATTGAAATAATGATTGAGTGTTCTGGGCGCTTGGTTAAGCTCCACATGGAGCAGAAAATCTACCTGTGCTATGGCACGCTGGTACCTTTCCAAGAGGTCATCCATCACGACAGAAAGAAGGTTGTTGAATACACGCTCATTGATAGATATGATCTCTAGTACCTTCCGGATGAACTTGTGGACAATCGCGATTACATCGCTAATATATCCTTTGGCCAAGTTGGACCATTTGACAGATTGCCTTTTCATGATAGTGGCGAGCAGCGAAACGTTGAATGTGCCGATCTCAAAACCACGCGATCCATTATATAGATGCGTTAGCCATTCATAAATATCACTGCTCGAAGGGAGAGACTCAGATGTTTGCTCAGTAAGAACACAGTCGAGCCCTTCCGGGCTGTCAGTCTTCCGAGCGTAGATTTCACTTTCATCAGACTCCCGCCTACCTGAAGGGTTTGTTGTAGTGTCTCCAGTATATGACCCGCCTTGACGGTTTTCATGGACATCAAACTGATACTCGTGACCGTATCGACTGAGATCATTTGAAAACTCCGTATCCCGGGTGACAATTAATGTGGCAAGTCGAAGATCTTCATGATCATCAAAAGCGTCATCCACACCGTAATTAGTGCTCAGAGCATGAGAGGTAATATCCTGGAACTTGTTTATGATCTCCAACAGAAAGCCAACTTGCTGCTCTGTTGTTCCCCTTTCAGTGCCAAGGGATTCCAAGGCTCTCCTGGATTCCTTCAGTCGTTTGCTGATTTCCGACCGGACCTAGCCATCGATCAGCGAACATCTTTTGGCGGAGATCCGTAAAACTTACCGAAGGAAACTCGCGTCGCGCATTTTCAGTAATGGTCTCTTGGAGTCGAGATTTTAGGGACTTGATGCCAAACCTTTCCGGAGCCACTGAACTCCACGGTTCCTTTTGACGCCAAATTTCTTCTCTCTGATCACGGTTGATACCTCCATCTAGCAGCTCTTGTTGGCTCAAGTTACGCACTATTGTCCATCCGTGCTTGAGGAATAAGGTTTTACCCTCAACAAGCTGTAGGACCTTGTTTTCAGCACCTTTGTCTACCAAATCTGGCTTTGTAAGGACTCCGATGGTCCGTTCCCCATTTGGGTCATGATCGCGAGCCATCTCCATGATTTCTTGAGTGGCAATATCGACATTTGCAGGGATAACAGTGAGCATGATGGATCGAGGATTCCTCATATAGCCTTCTACCATCTTCCTGACCACCTGGATGTCCGCCTTAGAGGTTAGACCTGGGGTTGTATTTTTGAAGATTCCAGGCACGTCGATCACACTCAGATGCTCCTCATTTGGTCCGCAAATCTCCAAGCGAAAGATATCTTTAGAGAAGGTCGATTGGTGCGAGTTTCCAGTGACCCCCATCATTTCGTGGACCTTTTGTACATTTAGACTAAGAGTACATAGAGAGAGCTCAAGGTTTTCATCTTACTTCTTGCATGACTTTGGAGAAAAGGCTTTCCTCCAAGCCGCCCATACTCTCACTGCTCCATGCCTTAAGTCTAGTAGCGCGGTCCGCATCCGAGTCTGGTGCTGGGATTATAGTGGCAGTAACTTTGCGAGTGGGCAGGACTTTGTTTCTGCGGAAAATAATCTGAGTGGCAAAGCGAGTACAGAGCCCACTGTCACGCGGAAAGGGGAGCTGAGTGAGACCTTCAAGGACAGATGATTTACCGCTGGACTGATCACCCACAACCACCAGCTGTGGAAGGGCGATATATTCGCCTACATTGCAGGCGAAGAGCTTGTCGATCTTGTCCAGGAGCGCTGGGGCAGCCAGCATAGAGGTGTCAGAGGTGTGTTTCTTCATAATGAGACAGATTTGAGGGTGCTGCGCAAAGAGAATGCTGTACACAGGATGGTAGGAGCAGAAATTGAATGGAGGGTGAAATTTGAGTGACAGAAATGGAACCGAAAAGCAGTGAGAAGAGCAGAGGACTACGCAAGATGGTATCATTTTATATCTAGTACATGCTGTGAGCGGCTGAACCACAACGGTAGAGGAAAAAGGCTGTGTAAAATTGATTGGTAATGGCGAGCTGATGAAACAATAGTCCGGCGGCAATTCAACCATCCGCTCATCAGCACAAGGCTCTGAGTGAATGATATGAACAAAATTCAATGAAAATCTTGAGAACAGTGGGTGCCGACCAGCCATCCCTAGATTTTTCCCTTTCATTATAGGATGGTATTGTAGCAATTATTAGATTAACACCAGCAGACCAAGCCTAGCCACAAGCGATGATGTCCTACAATCTGTGTGAGGGTCAATTGAGGCTCTCATAGGTGCCTGACCCTATAACCTGGGCGCGTAATTTCAATTCAATAGGCTAATATTCCCTGCTGTCAAGGCGATAGCGATGGGCATATACACACCAATACCTGCCTTTGTCAGAGCCTTGAGGTGATTTAGTCGTCTCCGACTCGAAAGCTGCGCCTCGGAGATTTCTTTGCACTCTCCAAGTGGCCCGAATGCGAATAGTCCCTCTGGAGGCCAGGGACTACCACCACTGACAAATTGGATCCAGTGCTTTCTAGTTTCCTTGCTCACCTTTTCGGCAGCAGGGTTGAACGACAAATCAATCCCAGCAAAGAGAAAAAGAAGATCGACAGCATGATGAGCGCGGCTGGAAGCTTGCCATGGGTTGGCTTGGTCGAACAAGTATCTGTACACTCGTTTGTTGGCCGCGCCGAACTTTTTGGAGATAACCTCAACAGGGAGTGCATAGCGGATGTCGTTGACAAAATCCAGGGCACCCAACTTGCAAGCTGTAGGACGATCCGCGACAATTTGGTACATCTTACGTAGCTGCGTTCCCCAATCCTTGTCTTTTTCAAACGCGGCAGCAATAGTCTCTCCGTCTAGCGTTTCCACTCCATTTCTCCAGATAACAGACTAAACATCGTTAGGTAGGCACGCCTAAAAACAGAACGTCTATCAAACGCACCTCATACTCTGTGTCACCTATCATAAGCTCATCAACTTGTTCCGGCTTGGCCTCCCAATCTTGGAGCTCAGGCTCCTCCTGGATCCACATAGTGTTTACATTGCATTCCGTCAGTGCCTGTAAAAGAATGGGGACAGAGGCCTCCCGGAGGGATGATTGCCCAAGCTCCCGCACTTTTGCTTGCAAAGCCTGGATGAGTCCATCGCCTCGCTCTACGGGCAATGGCGATGACAGATAAAGGGATCCAGATGCTAGGACCGCTCTCTTCACCGGAGGACCAGAAATCAGATGTGCATGAACGTAAACCGCTCCTGCGCTTTCCCCGGCAAGAGTAATATCGTCCTTGTTTTTTTTTTTTCAAGATTAGGATGGCGCGATGCACAAGGCCTGGGGCAGCAACTCCACCACTTACTGGATTACCTCTAAAGGCTGCGATATTCTTCCGCACCCAGTCAATTCCTAGTCTCTGGTCCTTGAGTGCAAGGTTCTTTTCCTTTCCATCTCCAAAGCTGAATATATTGAGTCGATAGTTGATGGAAACAAAGATGATGGGTTGACCAGCCTCGATCGAATCCGCAACAATCCTTGCTGGATCTGTAACCAAGTCAGCTCTTAAGAGTTGCACTGAAGTACTATAGACTCAAGTGTATCTTTACCACAAATCTTGGACGCCGCCGAACAAAATGTGACGACCTGTGAGCCACCTGTGGAATGTTAGTCATCGGTTCCCTAAGTTTTAAATGCAAGTACAATGGATTGCGTACCATGAATCCAAATCAAAACGGGAAGGGAGCCCGAATCACGCGATAAAGGTGGACATGTGATGTCTAGATTCAGGCATTCGAATTCGTCCTCAGGCTCATCGGGGATTTCGAAACCTTCAGGAATCCGAAGCAAGTGGCGCACATCTACAGCCACCTGGGGACATCTCGGCCTAAGCCACATATTAGTGAATTTCTGAACGTAGTATGCATGTCAACAGATAGAGCACCTACCCATATCGAGTAGCATCGATAGATGCGCCAGCGAAGTTTCCTATAGGTTCAGAACACTCGAATCTTGCGGGGATATTGGCATATTTAATCCCTCGATATTGATGAATAGTAGTCTCCTCAATCATGCGCTCAATACCCCCGAAAATTGCGTTGAGGGGTTGATGATGGATTTGTGGTGCGGCCATAATTCCGGATACCTAAGGTGGGAGAAATGATAATAGTTACTGGCCTTCAAAGAATGACACCGAAGATTATGATCCGAGGCCCATCCTTTGTATTCCCTTAATCCCGGCTTATAGACTTCATTGTATTGCCGAAGGGCGCATCATCTTAGCATGTGGGGCCGTTGCGGGGGGTTTTACCACGACATTTTGGACTGAAGAGGATCATTCATGCTCGGCTGGTAAGGACGGATAAAAGCATTATTTCTCTGGGGATTTGAGCATGGCTGTACCTATTACATTAAATTATGTTCTAGGATTAAGTGGAGCGGAGAACTTTTCGGTTTATACTGTGTCGTATCTATATACATCCCCAATGTTTGTATACGCATAGCCAGCCTCCCAAATCATGCAGGGGACTGAGCTCTCACCTTCTTCGAGAAAAGGAATCCCCCCAAGAATAACAGCACCGGTATACCAGACACACCTGTTAGCAAGGCAAGTGCCCACGCCATGGTGCCCCAACCAGCATCTTCTCGAATAAAGCCTGCAAAAAACGGCCCGACTATACTGCCCGCCGCAAAGGCCGCGTTCAAAATCCCATACGAAAGAGCCATCGCTCCCCCTTTACCGAAAATATTGGGGTTCCTTTCTTCTTTTTCTTGAACGACGTATGATGCTTCTACCAAAATAGGTGGCATAAGGAAGGCTAAACACACACCAAGAAGGGCCAGTAAGGCGCAGAGCAGTACCTTGTGTCTCATTCCGTCGTCTGTGACGAATCGGAGGCAGACAATGACCGGAATAGTTGCGAAAAGTGCGCCCGCTGCAATGTAGCGCCGTGTATTTGTAAAACTGTCAATGAGCCACCCGACTAGCGGGTCCATGAGGTGGGGAATGGATAGTGGGACGAAGATCAACCCTTGACCTGTCTGACCCCAGTGAAATGTATCTTTAACATAGAGGGGAAGCACGCTGTCAAGGGAGGTTAGAACGGTCGATAGTATGAAGTACGCCCATATGGTGACTAGCATGCGGTGCGACACTAGTAGAGTTAGTATAGCTCTTGTAGGTTTGGGTTCTGCGCTTGTCGAGTGACTGTAATGGTCGAGCTCCTGGCCTTTTGACTCCTGGGAGATTGGTGCGCTTTCTGACGATCCAGGTAGTCCTGCTTGTGAGCTTCTTTCACTTTTGTGGTCGCTGTCCTGTGCAGCGATGACTGAAGATTCTGTGGCGTCTTGCGAGGCAGCTTCCTGGTCTAATTGCTCACCCTTGGAGGACCCACCCTTGGGTGGAAGCCATTTCGCGGCATGCTTCTTCTCTATCATAATGATTCGAAAGATAATATCCAATCCAATCAACGCGAAGGCCAATCCGAAAACGGCATAATATCCTCCGTGTTCGTAAATAACGCCTCCGAGGAGGGGACCGCCCATGGTCCCAAGAGTCATCCCCATGCTAACATAGCCTAATGATTGTCCAAGCTCTTCTTTGTCCACTGTATCGACTAAAAGTGCACACCCGACGGTCCAGACAACTGCCGCCGACGCGCCCTGGAATAAACGGCCGGCGATCCAGAGGCCGAGATGAGTGCCGACACAAAGTAACGCCGTAGAGGCACCCAAGGCAATTAAGCCGATCATAAGTGGCCACCATCGTGACTCGATCCTATCAGCGATGTATCCAGCAATAGCTGGTGATTGGTGGGTTTTGTCAGAATGATATTTTATGACTATTGAAAAGGAAATTACTCACGCGAGAATGCCAATAGTGCCGCTCCGTAGAGTGCTAATAGAATAGATGTCCAGCTTTGTTCTGTAAGGGGGTATAAATGTTAGTCTATATCAGAGAACGAAAAAAGAACAGAATGAATCAACCTACCATTATTTTCTGATAGACCGACCCTCTCATGCAGAGCGGTTGGAGTCACAGGAACAATCTTTCAGGAGGTCAGATATCAGCAGATCTCCAAAGCCATAGACATAACACATACCAGCCCATATAGTAGGATATCCTACCGCGGTTTTCATTAGCAATTTGATCTAATTGCAAGGATATGGGATGATTGATTCATACCGTGAAAACGGCAAACGAAACCACGAAAATAATGAAGATCTTCGATGACCTCCATTCTAGAAATACTGGTGGCTCAGCCGTCTCTTTACTAGACGGCCATAGGCGCATTTTTTCAAAAAAAAAAATCTATCGTTGATTATGCCAGGATGCCAGGAAGTAAACTTGCATTGGAATAACTGGGCTTGCTGTCTGGTTTTTCGTATGACGTCACGCAGTGATTAGAGTGGATTTTATAGAGTAATATCTAGATAGGAGAAGAAGTTAATCGGGGCCAAGAATTTGGTGGTATTGGTTCTATATCTTGTTCTAAAAAATGAGTGAAAAGATTGTTAGCTATATTTATTCGGTATTCGGTCTCGGGACCCGCGGGCCCCGAGGGCCCTTTAGGTCATGGTGGCGGAGCTTGATTAAATGATTGAATTAACAGCAAAAAATTAGTTAATCAACAGTTAGAACAAGCGCCAAATGTGAAAAACAAGGTTCATATAATGACTTCCCTAGATTACCTTCAGAAATCGAGCTTCCAACGACCCAGAAAAGCTCAAGAACGAACGTTCGATGCAGTCGACTGGAGTCCATATCCATCCACTAAACCGCCATCACAGGGTCTTAAAAACATCAAATACTTTGGCCAGGTTGTCCAGTGTGACTACATTGCTGTAGTCAAATAAAATGCTTCTTCGGTGACTCTCGCCATTGTACGGGTGGCTCACTTTCCTAACGCCGAGACCTCTAAAGCTACGTCCATACACCCTGGCTGTGAAGGTAGTAGCGATATTATGGTCTATGATCGCTGGCCACGGGGCTGATACCGTGACAGAACTTCTAGAAGTCCTCTTCCAAGGTGGTTGTGATAAGCTGCTGGGCAGGTGTTATGAACTACCGAAAGATTTGCAATAGATAGGCTATGTCAAGAATGTAGGTTGCCTCCCAGGGATTTCCCTCGAAGTAGTAAGCGTGAGCATTCCCTCTCCAACCTCGGGCGATGGTCAAGGTCGCTGCAGAAAAACAATTATCATTGATGTAATCCAGCACCGCACGAAACGCTTCGTCATGGGAGGCATCCTTAGTGATACCATATTCGCTCAGGGTGCGTTGTGCCACCGCTGGCTCTGATGACAGTACGGTGTCTATTGCTGTGGTAAACTTCTCCACGCGTTCTTTCTTGAGATTGGCCATTACGAGTCCCACAATGCTTACCTATCATAGCGTCTGGGATATCGTGTCTCTAAATCCAAACTCACGTCCATTTGACCGTCGCCAACTATTGATTCTGGGCATCAATCGCTCCTCTGGCGCGCATAAGAGGTTAAATTAGCTGTTTGAGCATATGTAGGGGCCGATGGTATTATGTCGCCATCCACTGTGGGGGCAGCCAGAACTGAGGGAGGTAATTTGGCAATTAGCTCTTGTCCGGGCGCTTCCAACAACCTCTTCCGTGGTGTCATTTTCCAATCCCAGTACCGATATGGCCTGCTGATAATTCTGTTCATGTACCTCATACGGCAAAGCCCGAGTGAAGAAGTAACTGCCGCTCTGCAATGGCTCCCTTGAACAGTGGTGCTTCGGGAGCTCAAGTGATATGTCACGGACGCTTGGTATTGTTAGTCATGATGTTAAAACTGATGTATATAGCTTAACATGCCTGCACCAGCGCTCATCCCGGCTGCTGTCACGTTATCTGGATCTCCACCGAAATCTGCGATATGCCTTCGCACCCATTCCTTTACCACCATTTGGCCTCAGAGGCTGTTGTTGGCTTTATATCCGGCCTTTCGGAGCTCATCGGAGGTCAAGAATCCAAGCAATTCCAGCTGATAGCTTGTCGAGTCAGCCTAAAATGTTCTTGATACGTGGGACTCCGACATCCTTGCTTGATGGAGACCGCGATAATGGACAAATTATTTTCAGAAGACAGCTTGACAAAACGTGCATGGTCATATTGAGACCATGAATTAGCCCCAAGCAGCAGACCTCCCCCGTGAATGAAGAAAATAACTGGGAGATTTGAAGATGTAGTCGTGCCTTCGGGGACAGTGATATTCAAATTGAGACAGTCCAGATCTGACTGAGAGAACTCTTTTGGCTGGGGTATGTTGAATGACACCCTGCCCCAAGCTACATCCAAATAAAGGTGAGATAGCTGTTCGTCTGGGTATGGTTCTCTCTTGTCAACTTTGGAAAAGGAAGGAAAAAGTATATGTTGAAGTCATCATCTCACCCGTCCTTTGTAGCATCGAGAACGGCACCATCGCAACTATCCACGAGCTGTGCGCTCGCAAGCCTATCTTTCGATATAGCGTATTTAATTCCCAGAAACTGTGAGACGTCTTCGGTGGTCTACCCCTGGGTCTGCCCCAATTGCTTTGTTTGTAGGATCGTTGCAGTCATTTTAGGATAACGGCAATGGAATGAGGATGACTTAGAAAAGAGGCGCGAATTAAGGGGGGCCTCAGGCTGGTTCAACTAAAGTTAAACAATTTATTCGCTGAGCACTACATAAATCACACTACTTTTGCACCTTTGAGACCAGCTCGCTAATCCATGGGCTCAACTTGGTTTTCTATTCAGAGCTAATCTAGACATTAGCCGATGGTCCATGATTGGGTATACAGTACGGAGTACGTGCTTTATTTTAAGGCATTGAATTAAATCTTCAGGGTATGAGAGGCGAGCGGATTCGGGATACCTGATATAGTAATAATGTATTATATACTATATACTATATTTATTACTAGGCCCTTCGTCAGCCCCAGCTTTACCAATATCTAGTGAAATAGAAATGATCGATTACTTTACTACGGTGTACATATCTCTCCCATCCCTGCAGCACCGGTTAGTAATAACATTCCACTGTGTATCCCTTGGAAGTTTTGCAAGATAACATTGTAAAGATCCGTTCTCATTTTCCCTTCTATTTCCATCGTTATCCTTAATCACCTAGTCATCCTTGAAGGCGTCGTTTAACATGGCTTCTACCGACTCCGATCGCCAAACAGCGGAAGAGAATAAGGTCCATCCAGGACCCGACTCTCGCCCGCGAAGTCGAGCTCGACAGTTGACGGTGGTATTCTCTCTTTTTGTAGGTATAAATCCAACTACTGGTCTCTCTGCTGAAGCTGTGCTGATGGACTGCAATGTACTGAACATCTATGCCTGGCTAGTTATCACTCTTTACTGCGGCACTTGATTTTGTAAGTTCCGGAATGTCTACATTGAGACTGAAACTCATGACTAACAAAGATTTTATTTCTCAGACAATCACCAGCCCAGCAATCCCATCGATCGTCGCGGAATTTCACTCCGGTTCAAGTTATGCATGGATTGGCTCAGCGTATCTCTTGTCCATCGCCGCGTCCACACCAATCTGGGGGAAGCTGAGTGACATATGGGGACGAAAGCCCCTGCTCCTCGCTGCTGTGGCCGTGTTTTTCTTAGGATCATTGCTCTGTGCCGCTGCAAAGAATATGGCGATGTTTCTCGGTGGGCGAGCGGTTCAAGGGGGTGGTGCAGGCGGTGTTTTTATTCTCGTTAACATCTGCATAACAGACATTTTCGAGATTAGGTATGTCAGCTAGAAAGCCCTGGCTTGCTTAATATCTGCACAACACGATCATGTCTCGTTTAACATGCTAACGAACGCGACCTTAGAACTCGAGGATTGTATTTAGGACTAACAAGCGTCGTATGGGCGCTGGCTTGTGGCATTGGTCCGGTGATTGGTGGTGCCCTTACCCAGTTCGCTTCGTGGAGATGGAACTGGTGGATTAACCTACCATGCAGTGCACTAGGCTTTGTCGTCCCTATCTGGCTGCTGGATCTGGAACCCAATCGCTCTTCCTTCCAGTCGGGTCTAAAACATATTGACTGGCTGGGCAGTATTACCATCCTTGGAGTGACTATCCTGATATTACTCGGGCTTGATTTCGGAGGCGTTACTTTCCCATGGCAATCCCCAAAGGTGGTTTGCCTGATAGTCTTTGGTGTATTCATGCTAGTTCTCTTCATCTATAATGAAGCCAGATTGGCGAAATACCCGATTATCCCCCTTCGGCTTTTTAAGCGGCGCTCGAATATTGCCGCCTTGTTGGTGTGCTTCTGTCATGGATTTGTAGGTAACCCCCACAGTATTTGGTCCTCTCATAAGATGATAATTTAGAGCTAACTAGATACAGGTTTACATATCTGCCTTCTATTTTCTCCCAATCTTTTTCCAGGCAGTCCGAGGCTCATCAACTCTCCTTTCGGGAATACTAATCCTCCCAATTGCCATGGCCCAGTGCCTTACCAGTATAGCCACCGGCCTAGTGATAAAACACAGAGGTATGTACCTAAACACTACCTATGCCCCAATCAAACTTCAAAAAAGGAACCCAAAACTAACCCAAACCTAGGAAGTTGCCGCGAACCAATCTGGCTCGGCTTGGCCCTGATGGCCCTAGGATTCGGACTATTCATAAAATTCGACCGCAAAATCTCTCTCGTCGCGCTTTCGTTCATCGAGGCCGTAGCAGGCCTCGGCGTGGGCATGAATTTCCAAGCTCCTCTAATCGCCCTGCAATCCCTAGTCGAACCAAAAGATTATGCAACAGCCACGGCCACTTTTGGATTCATCCGGAATATCGCGACGTCAATTTCTGTAGTAGTAGGAGGGGTTATATTCCAAAATGGGATGCAGTCGCAAGTGTTGACGCTACAGGGCGAGCTGGGTAAAACGGTAGCGGAGAGGTTCAATGGTCGTAACGCTGAAGGGAATATTGATTTGATCGCAACACTTGATAGCGGTCAACGCCATATAGTACAGGATGCGTATGCGGATGCTTTGCGGAAGTTGTGGATTGTCTATGTCTGTGTTGCTGCGGTGGGCCTTGCGGCGAGCTTGATGGTTGATAAACGGCCTTTGCCGTTTGAAAGCAAGTCGGATCTCGTCCAGGATGGAGGCGAGTTTGAGGTTGAGGAGTTACAAGAAGTTGTGCGCAAATAGAGGTGTTATGATGATTGCGAAAACTAGAACTATGTATGTACGCCATACATACAATTTGCAATTCTTGCAATGCACGAGATAGGCCTTGAGCTGAGCTGAGTGATACTAAGTGATAGGAAGCCTTATCAGCGTATATGAATGAAATTAAACACCTACTCTAAGAATGCAATGGCCAGCCTTACTGATTGAACCTTTCATATCATTCAGTAAATATTCATACGTTAGTACACGAGCCCAACTAAGTCCCTCGATCACCCTCTTTATCATGACCTGTCAATCGCAGTAGGTCAACCTTCTTTCGACAGCCCTTTTTATTGATGCCATGTGCTGGACTATTGTTTCCTGGATCTGAAGTCTGACAGACATCTATTTAATAGCTTTCAGGGCTGTGGTAATCGGAGTATAGATGTCGCTCTCAACAGGTTCGAAGCGGTGTGCCTTTTTGTATGTAACCTAATCGGAAGCCCCCAGCGATATCCCTCAATTCGATCTTGAATTCAAATCGCCTATTCACTGCTATAGACCAGATATCTCTGCTGATTTCTGAATTCTAAACTGGTTGATATTGACAGTGCATCATTGAGAGCGTGCTGATGATCCCACCCATGAACCGGCTCCGTTTTCTTGCGCTCCCGGTACATCCCATGTCCCTCAAGCACCTCAAATAACCTCTTGTGAGATATTCCAGTATTATCATCATCTTGCCATTTTGCCATGGTTCGGAGAATATATATCTGGGCCTCCCTATTTTGTGTCTGGTATCCAATCCCAACGGTTATTGGGTGAGGAGATTGCCATCGGTGACTCTTATGCGGTCTGTTGGCAAGAAAACAAGCCCCCGATACGCCTCCAGTTCCCGAACCATGGCGAGTAAGCTAACATCCCGCTGTGAGACTTGCTCGTTCATGTACCTGAATAGAAGCTCAATATTCTCCAGTACCAGAGTCCAGGATCGTAGTCAAACGTGCCACCGACTCACTCTCTTGTTTGGCAATATCTGCCGACGCGACTGACAAGGGTGGGTACTCTAAAACCTCTGCGACCACCCTGGCGCTGGTGGCCTTGCTGAGTCCTGGGCCTCCATGCAGCAAGACCAATGTGGCATCGGGGGGCTTGTATCTCACGTCCTGATAGGGACTAAAGATGGAGATGAGGGTTTCGCGCTTTCTATCAGGCACGAAAAGCTCTCCATAAATAGCCCGAGGGTTCAACCATGTTCCGTGAATCTTGAGTACGTCTAGTTTCCCTGGAATGAGTTAGTATTTACAGCGATAGCTAGACTCTTAAATATCCGGCGTGGTATCAAGAATGTACATACTCCATGATGGTCGGTGGATATACCATAGCTCCAAACAGTTTCAAGCATGAATATGATATGAGGCTCAGTTCGACGTCGAGCTTTGGATATGCGCATACGCTGACAGGATGCAGGTGTTGGTCAACGACAATCCGATAGATCTCCTGCTTAGCTGTTAGCAAGAACTCCACGGACTCTTGCTTGACTCCTTAGACACTCTTCTCCATTTCGGTATTCAGCGATATGAATCGAACTTCCCGGTTCCCAGAACCACCAGCCACGTTGGACCAGCTCCGACCGATGGATGCTCGTAAGGTAGATACCCGGTCGGGATATCCTTGAGGTCCACCACTTGCATCTCTCTTACGAATTGGGGTACACTCAGATCATGGAAGCGTTGGACAAAGCTTTACCATTAAGATCAATGGCCCAGGCGCGAATGATAAAAGGGCTGTAGGCGCCAAGCAGTCTGGGGTCCATTCCGGACAGTTCGGAAGTCCAATTGGCGCGGAGGACCCCATACACGCAGGTGTAAATGGGGGAATCGGCTGGATAGAGCATGGGAAGCAGGGTGAATTGAATAGCCCTGCATATCCGTTCCTGAATCTCTACCAACCTGTGTAAGACTGGACCTGGCTCATCCTCTATTGTAGCGGCCACTGATAGTTGTCTTTGTGGTTGGCGGCGAACGGCGGATATTAGAGACCTGATCAATAGAGCATCGAGGCTCATTCGTGTTGATTCCACGTCTGACGCAAATGAGGCAGTCAGTAGGACCTTGGTGAGTAGGGTGGACTGCTGTTTCAATAGGTCGTTGAAAGAGGTTATGATAAGCTCCCGCTCCTCAACAACACCCACTGCTTTTCCTGGGGCGGGAAAATCTATATCAGTGGCGGTTCCGACCACCCACCGCCTTCCGCCGGTGGGTGGTCGGCAGCCTAAAGGAATTTTCAGCCTAAAGGAAGATAATCGATTTCCTACCATTTTAAAGCTATACAAACCATAAAAAATGCCCAAAATGTCTAAAATTTCAGGTTTACGTGTAGATGAGGCCGTTGAAGCTGCCTGTCTTGAAAAAAATCCTAATATCGCAAAGATTGCGCGAGAATTCGGGGTTCCTTATCGCATACTCCACGGCCGCATCTATAATAGGAGAAAGTCTTGTACAGCTTGAACTGCACCAAATAAAGCGCTAAATCAGTATCAAGAGGCTGCCTTAAGGCAATGGATTGCTAAGATGTGTGATATCCATCTTCCAGTGACTATATCATTGCTTTTAGAGTGGGCAAACCTTACTGTACAGCGAGATAATTCTACACAGAGTGTCAGCCGATTATGGGCATATTGCTTTGCTAAAAGCCTTTCTTCTGATCTTAAATTAAGTCCTGTAATTTAAAGACCAAAGGAGAAGAAGCACTTAGATATAGAGAATGTTGGATAGCTTCAGTTCTGGTATAATTAGCTTATTAACTTGCTTAAAAATGTCCCTGCTTGTCTCGTGTATAATTTTGATGAATGCGGCTTTTAACCAGGCAGTGAAAAGTCTTAAAAAGTCCTCGGTACAAAAGAAAGAGTTCCTAATCTTTCTGAAGCTAAGTATACAGATAATATTACTGCACTTGAGTGTATTGCTGCAGATAGCTGGATTATGACTCCGCTCTTTATCTTTAAAGGAAAGAAATTTATAGAGGCCTGGTATGATGAAGCAATTCCCGATTACTATACTGCAGTCACTGATAAAGGCTATATAAATGATGAGATCGCGCTTGAATGGCTTTAAAAATTTTATGAGGAGACCAAAGATTGTATAAAAAAGGGAGAAAAACGTATACTTATCTTTGACAGCCACACAACTCATAAAATAGTTGAATTTCTTCAACTCTGTGAGATATATGAGATCCTTCTCTTTTGTTTCTGGCCTTATATAATATATCTCTGTCAGCTGCTTGATGGAAAGCCCTTTCTTATATATAAAACGCATTTTCACAGTGTAAATAACCTCATTGCACAGTGGTGTGGAGTTCCGGGAGATAAAGCAAATTTTCTACATGATATTGTTGCTGTATGTGAGAAGACTTTTAATTCATGCCTTATTCACAACTCCTTTAAAGAACGCGGTATCTTTTCTCCAGATGGATCCTCAATCATTGAAGCTATTCAGAATACTTTACCACCTCTACCAGAGATCTCTGCACCTGATCTATATATGTATGGAGAGACTACGCTGCCTCCATATCCTCTCTCTTCAAGTCTTGAGAATACATCTCCAAAAAGCGCTCAGCAAGTTAAAAAGAATCAGAAGAAGCTATTTAAGCTTCTAAATAATAATATACCAGATAATCCTTGTATTGAGCGCTATCTTGACCGCTTATTTTATCAGCAAAAGCTTCAATCTGAACAGCTTGCTGTCATGAATTCAACTCTTAAGCGAATTGAGGCCGCGCAGGCATCCTGAAGTCATAAAAAGACTAAGTAAGAGGTTCAACACCTTGGAGATAGTGGCATACTGCGTGTAAAGGATGTGAATCGGTCTATTGCGGACAGGAAGGCCAAAGATAATAAAAAGAATAAGAAAGCAGCGGATAAGGCATATTTTAAGGCATACGGTCACCTCCCGCCAGCGCCTTATATAGAAAATTAAACTACGGCTTCAGATACAGGATTGGCAGAGGAATCGGGTGATCAACTTTATTTTATTGATTCTACAGGTATTTAGTGGTGATAATACGAATTGCTTCATATTCTTCCTTTAGGCTGAAAATTCCTTTAGGCTGCCGACCACCCACCGGCGGAAGGCGGTGGGTGGTCGGAACCGCCACTGATACTACCAATAACAACGAAGACATATGGCGCTGAGCCGCCTGCAGGGTATCAACAAATACTTTCCATAACCGGTGAATATCATTTGCGCCATCTTGATCAAGTACACCAAATACAGTCGGCCACACATCCGCGCGCTGTTTGAGTATTTGCATCAATAGGGATTGAATTAATGCTCGAAAATTGCTCGGTTTGACCCAGTGGCTGTCGCCACAGAAATGACGCAGCACCAAACTAATCTCGAAATTGCTTTCCCCAAAGAGCACCAGCGGCGCGATGAAGGAAGCACTGAAGGTATCCCGAGATAGAAAATGGTTGCCATCGATTCAGAGTAGCTGAGACGATTGGGACTCGACCCAGTTCATGATTCAGTTGACTTTCCATATATTTCGGTTCGTTGGTCGGTACTTTCACATCTCTGGACGCTGCTCCTCTACTTTCAGCTGCTGGGCGCGTGCTTCTTCGAAGGTAATGAGGTCGATAAAAGGGTCCGCCAGGTGAGCATCTAGGTCGAGTGATTTCAACCCTGAATCTTTAACTTCCCGATGAGGCCTCTCCACACCATGTTTCTCCAACTTGGCTTCGACGCGACGTCGGAACAGCTGGCAGGTTTGTTCGACGTCACTGGCCTTGGAGAATCGGACCGCCTCCCCTTCGATAAGGTCCAACATTCGTGACACCTTGGTTAATACAACATCGCCGGTGAAATGGTTCGAAAAATGAATGATGTCCCGTACTTCGTTGAAGGTCCGTTCTATTGACCGAACAATAGGCTTTAGCGCTGTCCAAAGCTTGGCAAAAGATTTGAATGCGTTTTCTGCAGTCAGCTAGTCTGGGAAGAGGAAAGCATGGGAAGATACAGGATACAAGCTTTACATGCTTAAGCGACTACTGCTATAAAACTTCAAAGCTTTAGCCAGAAATCTTTGGAAGCAGTCATACAGCTTCCCAATGGTCTGCACCAGGCGCTGTGAGGGGAGGTATGTTGTCAAATGATCGACAATCTCAAACTTGGCTTTACTGGTGGCCATATGCTCTTCCACATTCTGCTTCATTTCGGTATGATTCACCCGTGCAACCAGGAGTACCTTGAAGGCTCCATAAACCCAAGGCCACATAATCTGGGCCTGACCCACGAATATGTCGATGATTTTGGTGTACTCATAGGCCGTCGCACTAGCTGCGCTACAGCCAGCCTTGATGGCTTCGATCATTCCGTGCTTTTACCCGGGGAGTTGGGCTGGGTATTTGGTGGTGCGTGCATCCCGTGCTTCTTTGATAACGCTGAGGAATTTACGTCTGTTCTCTTTTGTATGTCACTTGCTCTTCTGATGTGGCATCCTTTGAGAAGTCGACCAGGCGTCGATCCAACTTCGCCTTTGAAACCTGAACAGTCGGTTTCGGTCATGTTATTTTGTACCTTTCCGAGTTGGGGGCATTGTCTGGCCCTCTACTCCCTGGCCCAGGATCTTTGCAGACCAGAAGGAAGAGTTCCCTCGCTTGTCGACTTTGTAACCACCCTCCTTCGGTACATTGCATTGAGATTCATCATGAGAAACATTCACTGTACCCGTTGGGTACTTTTGTCCAAATCAATCGGGTTGGGTTCTAGGGTATATACGGAGGCGTCATACTCTGAATCAAACATATCGGGCAATATACCAACTTATCTATTAATGGCCACGTCAAGAAGGGTCTTTCTGGTAAGAGTCTGCGAGGAAGCGGGCTTAAAACTCGCAAACAGACGGAGTCCTGATCAACACCAAAGCAACAACAGGGGTACATGTTCTATCACTGAAGACCATCGGCTTACCATGGCGATAATTGGGAGATATCGCGCTAGTTGTAGCGAGCTCCACCCCACTAGCGTCCAACGTGTTGTTCCATTAGTGGAAAAAGACGTCGAGGTATGCAAGTACATACGAGTAGGTGATACATACTTTTCAGGATGCTGGCAGTTAGGACTTCGGGCAAGCGCCTCGGCATATGAACAGGTGCCATACATGTTAAGCACATATCGAACAGACCGGGCACTGTCCACATACAAATGTTATTAACCGGCGGCTCGGGGCTACAAATGAGTACCATGGATACTTATACATCATAGCTTACATTCTATCGTAAGGAAGAAGCCACCCAAGACAGAACCGACGACGTCCCAAAGGAGGAAGTAGATAGAGTAACTTGGTGGCTGGCAAGTAACTCGGTGGAGGGCGGCGGTAAAGTCGATATAGTCTCACTCTGAATCTTTTGTTTGGCCATCCACCAGGGAAGCAAGCGCCCTGTTCTTGTTGATGATAAGAACAGCAGATCGATACTGTCGAAATTAATCCAGCGAGCCGATCCCCCACAAAGCAAAGCACAATATTAAGTGTAAAATCACTATGTACATTAATCTTAACTACATTCTACGATACTCCTCTCCAAACCGTCTATTGAATAGCCCTATCTAGGCTACCGCGTTGCCGCAAAACTAAAGAAAACAGTAAATTGTACGCAAGTGATTCCCGACATTGAAACAAAGATCAAGCATTACAAGGCTTCGGCCGAGACTATGAAGCGGTTGTATGCATTCATCTTATTCGTCTCTCACGGGATCTCCGCATCCAAGTCGCGTAGTGTAAAATGGTGTAAGCTATTTTGAAGTTTGGTTAGCTGCGAATTCACCAATTTGATTAGCTAACTCTCCAGGTGGGATCTGATCAAAAGGAGGCGCATCATCTAGCGTTAATGCCGCACGCGAAGGCCCCTAGGATAAACCACGAGGGACCATGTCTATCTACCTTTCACATAGGCCAGCGTATTCGCAGTGAACGAACTTCTCCGAACTTTCGGCAGTAAGGCAAGGAGGTTGGAAGATGGGAATGGCGTTTGGTACTAAGACCTTATGATCAGCCGCGTCATAGGTTCTGGGTGTGAATTTGGATATATGATTTTCGGAGTTTGATATTCCCTGCACTATATTTTATCAATAGCGGCGATCGCCGGGGGAGATGAATGAGCTGAAGATTTGGAAATAAAATTAGAAAGTCGAAGTCCACTATGGCATGGATGAGGCTAAGTAATAATTCAATATAATACCATTCCCTCTATTGCTCTCGGGGTGGCCGATGATGCCGCAAAAAGAAACGCCTTATTCAATGCAAAACGCTCATAGAACATTGGGACGGGATGCAAAGATTAGTTGCTAATCAATTCTGAAAATTCATACTATATCCTCCCGTATTTGGATCCTGGGTGAATTTGAAGTTATCGGTAGAGAGCCCAAACGGCTTAAGGATTCCGTTGCCCAGCTAGTGGATTAGTTAGCGTGAATGGTAGTCTTTAGCCAAAGAGGGTCAAAACTCACGTCTTTCAATTTGCCCATCATTTCTGCCATCTCTTTTTCCCTTGCTTTTTTGATCTTTTCGGGAAGATCCCGAAGAGCCTTTTGCACAACGCGCTTATCATCGGGCGGCAGGTTGTCCATACTGGCAAGCAACTTGTAGTCTTCTTCGGCCGCTTGCAGGTTCCCCCATCCGCTAAGCTGCGACTTCGCTCGTGCACGCCGCATAAGTGCCTTTGCGCGGATCCGCATGACATCCTTTTTCCTCTCATCTAATTTTTGTAAGCGATTGAGCTCCTCCAGTTCTGCCTCTTCATCGTCCCCAGTTATTTCCACCACGGCATCCGTTGACCCCGGCTCTGGTTTCTTTTCTTTGGGGCTGTCTGAATCCTCTGTCGTCGATGGTACAATATTCTCTAGACAGTCGAGACACGCCGTTGCGGAGTCAACAGATGCTTTCCAGTCTTCCAGCTTGAGATAGCACGCAGCCATATTACTTCGTAGCACGGCGACTTCGTAATCCAGATAGTTCGGACATGACGCAAGGGCACGATCGTAGCAGGAGATCGCCTGGTCGTAGCAAGCAGCGGTAAACAGTTTATTGGCTTCGGCTTTTATAGAATGAGATTCCTCCAAGAGTCGCTGTTCACATTATTCAGTAAGTATGCTTGCTCGCTTCGCCATGATGCGAAAAGGTGTAGACTCACAGCTTCTTCTTCAGCGGGGAATCTTGCATCATGAAAGATATCCTCTTCCTCGCTGTCGCTTCCCGCATTATCTACGCGATCTTTAGACGCCATATTGTGTATATGTAGCTATTCGCGCAACCTTTTAGATGGAAACTTAGTAGGTAGATCAAGTACACTGCTGCCGTTCCGCACCTTAGTGGTCGTCGGAGCGGAACGATAACCCGTTCACCGATTGGCTCGGCCCTATCGGTCTTTAGCCTCAGGCACCATATCCACTGTTATCCGTACCCCCACCATTTGTCAACAGCCTGACCCTTCAATCAATCTGCGGAGTAGGGACAATTGATTGATCTACCAGTCGACATCCACGTCCTATCTTGTATATAGATAGACCTATACCCACCATAAATGGCCAACTCCACACCAAAGTAAATCCCCACCCATTTCTCCAACAAAAACAAAAACACCCCCAGCTAACAAACCCAAGCCTTCCCCGCGTGCGGGCATGTCTCTTCGACATGGACGGCCTCCTAATCGACTCTGAAGACAAATACACCGCCATCACAAACTCCATTCTCCGCGAATTCGGCAAACCCGAACTCCCCTGGTCCATCAAAGCCCAGCTCCAAGGCCGCCCGCAGCCAGAGGTATGTACATGCGTCCCACGCAATGCAACAATTCCCGATCAGCCCACTCCAACAACATCCGGTTCCAAACCCAGCTAACCCCATACAAAAACCCACAGGCCTTCAAAATCTTCTTCGACTGGGCCCAACTCCCCATCTCGCCTGAAGAATACGCCGCAAAACAAGCAGCCCTGCAGAGCAAATATTTCCCTGAATCGCAGCCCCTGCCTGGTGTGCGCGATCTCCTGACCAAACTCCTCTCCACGCAGGCCACAGACAAGCCCGTATACATTGCTTTGGCTACGTCGTCGCACACCAGGAACTTTCAGTTGAAATCGGACCATCTACAGGATCTCTTTGCGGCGTTCCCTGAGTCCCAGCGCGTCTTGGGTGATGATCCGCGGATTGGGAAGGGAAGGGGCAAGCCCCTGCCTGATATCTACTTGATTGCATTGGAGACAATCAATGCTAACCTGCGGGATAAGGGGGAGAAGGAGATTACGCCGGAGGAGTGTCTTGTGTTTGAGGATGCGGTGCCGGGTGTGGAGGCGGGCCGGAGAGCTGGGATGAGGGTAGTTTGGTGTCCTCATCCTGGGTTGCTAGGGGCTTATAAGGGTCGGGAGGCGGAGGTCTTGGCTGGGCTGACGGGTGAGCATAAGGAGGAGGAGAAGTCTGCAGCGGAGCATGAGGCTGATGAGCTTGTTGCGCGGAGAGCGGATCGTAGCTCGGGTAAAACGGGCCAGCTTGGGGATGGGTTTGGGGATTTGGTTCTTACTTTGGAAAATTTCCCTTATGAGAAATATGGTATTCAACCTGCATAAAGTGACGCATAGAAAACATTATGATTGTCGGGGTGGAAGGTGTACATGAAATCTGAGATACCCATGTGGTGTTGCATGAATTACAGTCATTTGGACGAAAAGCAAAATGAACGGGAAAAGCCTAGATGAACTAGGAATATCATAGCTTTGGGGTCGTTACAGTCATAAGAGAAACCAGAAGGCCTACTGTGCCAGGAAAGGGTTGGATGAGCAACAGCCGAAGCACGCGGTTTGTGGCTATTCAACCAGCGATGATGGGGTTTACCAACAATTTGGCAGTGGAATAACAAGCGGGCCCAAACTACTAGACAAGAAAGTCCCTGGAGACAAGGAGAGATAGAGAAGTATTAGATTAAGAGTCGGGGTATCAAAATCGTTCAGTCATAACTGTCCTGAAGTCCATGGTGCCCAAGTCGGTTTCACTTTCGTTAATTAGGTTTCCAAGACAAAAGAGATACCAGAAAAAGAGTAAAGAAGATAGGCTAGGGGCTTGATTTGCTTGCGTAGTTTCTTCAAAACAGAAGAACAGGTACGACGAGCGGCGAAAGGAATCGGCATCAGTTGTTAGCGCTGACGCTTCTCGGGGGAGGAGGTTTCATAATCGTTCATAAGACGCTTACGGCTGGTACCAAGGTTGCTAGAGCCGCCACGAGAATGGAAAGGCATATTTGGGTTCATCATGATCGGCCTTGGGTGAGAAGTTGGTGCAGTCATCCGGCGATTGTGGAGGTGAGGCAAACCAACGTTTCCCATCATGGGAGTCGAAGGATATTGAAGCCCGGCTGTAACGTAGGTTGGAGTTGATGTACCAATGCTAAGCATGGGAGAGGAGCTCAGCGGATCGGCCTTCATCATGCGAGTGAGTCCATCCGGGGTGAGTGATCCGCCTTCAAGACCAGTGCTCGAACTTGCAGGGGTATCTGAAGGGGTCTCATCCGTAGGTGGAGTAACGGATTTGGCAGCTTTGCCAGCCCTCTTCTTGGTACCAGGCTTTCTAGTTCCAAGAACTTGCTTTCCTGCATTCATTACCTCTCCTTTGCGCTTGTTCAACAGTCTGTTTGCAACCACGCGCTTCTCGGCTTGAACAGGATCGTCAACGAAGTGGTAGACGTAGAGCGGGTCCAGGAGATGCTTGCAAATTGTCTTATGAAGCATGAGGCAGTCAACGATTTTGTCGATTCTGGTCGCGAAGGTCACTATCTCGTGGTTCTTCGGTTTGACGTCAAAAGCGCTTAAAAGCGGACCAAAGGTATGTCTCTCTATAGCGGTTTCCTGAGAGACCGTTAGCTAAGTTGCAATGAGAGTGTATTTCTCCCTTACCAAAACCTGCCAGCAAGCGGCCTCCATCCGACGTTCGCTGTATCGCCCTTCCTTGAACGGTTTGATCATAGGCTTGTTGTCTTGCGCACGGTGGGTGCTCGCCATGGCGTTGCACATTTGTTTTACAATTGCCCGCTTCTGCACCTGGGTACGAGGAAGAGTGGAGTCATCCGGAAGTCGAGTACTGGGACGCTGGGATTCATTGGCCTCTTCGAGGGATGAATATTGCGTATTGAAATCAACATTGTTGTTCAAAGGATCCATTAGTTTTTGGTAATCCCGGATGATGGGAGGCGCATTTGCATCAGTGAAAGTGGTTTCTGATCCATGGCCACTGTTCAACGGCGCAGAGGTTGGCAGTGAAGAAGGACGCACTCCACCCCCAAGCTCGCCAGGGCTTACATTGTTTCCCAAAGCGGGAGCGGATAAGTTACGAGGAAATTGGGTATTGCCGTACGATGGCAAGTCAACATATGCCTTGCTCATGGGACTGTTGTTGGAACTGTCGTCATAACCCGCACCACCTGCCATGATGCCTAGAGGCATATAGGGAGGACTGGAGCCAAGCTCAGGGCCGGATGCAGAAGCACCTGAGCTGATCGCAAAGTCATCGGCACTTTTCAATGTGTAAGTGAGATACACGCATCTTGACAAGATGAACGGTAAAAAGACTGAACGTACTCTGCGCCACCAACACGAGAGATTCTATTTCCAGCATGGTGTTGCATACCAGTGATGGGTATCACAGCGGTTGAACGGCTTCTCGTTGGCATGCTATGAACACCGCTGAAAACGTCGTGGCGAGAGCTTTCCAGTGCGTCTTCCATAGACAGCCCATTTATGAACCCGCTAGAAGATGTCCAGTTGCTATGTGTTTCGTTAGTATACATAGAAAGCTATAATGTCGCTCTGAACTCACGCATCGTTATTTAGGAGAAACCCATTGTAACTGAGGTCGGCATTGAAGGCAGCATTTGGTGTGTGCGGTTGGTCTGAATGCAGCAGCTGCTGTTCCCAGTCCTGGTAGTACCACTCTGAAAAATGGGACATTGTGAAGGCTATCAAGAAACAACAAACGTTTACAGCAACACTGTGCCAGATACACACAGCTCAACGCGGTATTCCAGAAAATATGGGCAATTCACGATAAGTGGGAAGAAAGAAGCAAAACGAGGAAGAAGGCTGCAGAGAGAAGAGAATCATCCGAATTTAGTAGAATAGAAGGCGCTCATACATCAAAAGCAGTAGATAGCATGTAACCAGTGAAGATGGTGTCTGTGAAGCAATAGCGTCATAGAGAGGGAATAGCAGAAGATGAATAGGATTATCTCGCGGTTGTGTATGGGGAGAATGGGATGTGAATGGGAAAGGCATTCATCAAAGAGCAGCCATATTTAAGCGAAAATGAGAAATTCACAGCGGGAAGATGCCGTGCTGCTGTTGGTCTGGAGACTGAAGACATTCCCAAAGGGGCAAACAATCAGAGTGACTGTCAACAACCCCTCGTTTCAAGTTAATACAACAACAATGGGCTCCAGAGGTCTTTATTCAGGGCTAACAGAATCCAGCAATTCACTAGGATAGGCCAAAGTTATTCTCGAGAAGCCAACCAGTGAAGGTCATCGAAGTATATATTGGTCTAGTCGCTGGGGCTCACAACTCGATTGTCTCTGCCAACAATGGCACTGTTGCCTTGACAAAAGTCCAGGAACAATGAACTTATTTACCGGCATATAACGGCCTCTATTCAGTTATCCCCCTTTCCCGTGTCTCTATTGAAAGAACTATATTAGCTCCCGGCTGATGGAACTCAAAGGAAAGAATCGCCATATTTTCTAAATTTGGACGAAAATTGAAGAGTCCACTTGCCTGAACCTGTTTTGCTTCCCATTGGCAATCATGTAAAGCCTCGGTGAGCTTCCTTTCACCTAAAGAGGCCTCTGGGCATCATCTTACTCGAATTCGATAGCGGCTTGCAGCCATTTCTTTGACTATTCCGCGTTGGACGTCCGATAAAATGCCATATCTCTTCTTAGCCGATCGATCCCCCTTCCCTTTTCTCCCTTCTTATCCGCAACAATGCCTGAAAGCAGTGACTACGGGATCCATAAACTGTTGCCGTTTCTCAACGCACCAGGAGTGAATAGGGCTAAAAAAAGGCCCCGTGGATATTCAGCAGGCTTCCAGGAATGGCATTGACCACACTTTCACACTATTATCTAATTTTCCTGTGGAAGAGGTTTCTTCGTCCGAGTAGTGTTTCTGCCCAGAGCACGTAGCCACAACGCTCCCTATTGGATGTAGAACAGTGCTGCTCACTGAGTCTGTGAGGATCAAGGTCAACAACAATTATACCGAAATAAAGTTTAAATGATTGGAGAAAACACTTACCATCATGGACTTTCCATTCCCAGGCTGGTTCCTGCGCTCCAACAGTCTGCGTAGGGTCTCGCCATACTCTCATAAACCCGTCAGTTCCTCCAGCCCAGATCTCATGGGATGCACCATGATCAGTAGACACAACGTCAATCTTCATTCGTTGATTAGTGATGGCCTTGCGGCCTTCTAGCCAGCCAAGTAACTGTCCGGTAACTCGAATATCGTATATCATCACTCCGTCGCTTTTCCGTTCAGCGATGTATAGGTATCTGCCGCAAGGGCTCCAAAGAAGCTGGGTGACACCTCGACCCCCGATGCGACGACTAGCGTCGGTCTTTGCAACGCTAAATGTGCCCAAAGACTGTCCGCTGCCATTTGAATCATACAACCCAATCTGTCGTGAAAAGGTACCAGCTGCCAATACGCCATTTCCAGTCGGATTGAGGCCCATGGCGGAAATGATGCCCTTCATTCCGACGCCTCCCCCCACTGTCTGCTTACGCTTACTAGGTATAGTAGGCATCCAAGAAACAGGGCCATCACAGCCAGGGCGAGAAACATCAAAAAGGCATATAAGGCTATCTGACCCAGTAAGAAAGTGTGTTCCACCAAGAGCGTTTGGGTAGACAATCGAATGGGGAGTTATGAAAGCCTCCGTCGTTGGGTGTATTAAGGAATAAGTCGCCACCGACGTGGGTGCAAGAGCTGACGCCAGCCTGATTGGATGGTCTCGAACAGATGATAGGAACAAGGTTGTAGATGGATCTTGGAGAGAATAAAAAGGATAAACAGCGGTTGCATAAGTCGGCTCTGCTGAAGGTAGAACCGAGTATGGAGATAGATGATGCGGTGACGGTTTCTCTTCCAGAAGATCAGGAGGCCTATACGGAATGTCAGTGTAGTCAGAGAAAAGGCAGATCAATACGCGTGACTAACAGAATATAAGTCCTTATATGATGATCTGCAGAGTCTGTCAGAAGGGTGGTGCCATCGGGAGTCCTACAGGCGACGTGTCAGTCAGTCAGGATCGGGTGTGAAGCGGTACGAAGCGTACCATTCGACGCTCTTGACATAGTTTAGATCAGAAGCGTTCTCATTTGTACTGGGTGCGATTGTCGGCATTCCTCGGCCATGATTGTCTAAAGAAGCATCGCCAGGTTCATCATCCCATCGAGTTGAAGCCACACATATAGGCGCAGGGCTACTGGCACTGCTCGCAGCCATGATGAGACCACTAGAATGACAGTATAGAGATTGATGGTATACAGTCATCTAATACCACATGAAAAGCATCTAGAGGGCTAGCCAAGACGCATGGTAAATCAAAATAACAGTAAAGTTGGCAATGAGGTTGATCTTAACACTTTGATATCCGGATAACGAATCAGTAGATCGAACTGCTGTGGCCCTCCTTTGAACCAAGTCACATTGAACTTTCATATATCAAGTAGTTCCATCGATGACACCGGTACAAGATATCCGGGATATTAATTAAGCCTATAGCTTATCGGGTAGCACACGGAGAAGAACTACAGCTTGAAGAGTCCTCTGGCTACGAAATAATTATCCCGAGAGGCACGTCGATGATCATTCAGAGAGCATCGTTAGGTTGAGAAATTAACAGAGAGCTCCAGCAATAGGCTAAAACGTGTCCCTTAATGTGCAGGATATTTGCATGCACAATGGGTATAGAATCCAATCAAAACTAAGATGATGTTCAAAATAAGTTTAAGGCTCCTGCATGCGCGTCGGTGTCGGGAAATCTTACTCCATTGATAACTAGCTTGGACCGTTGTCCGGACCGCTTCCCCTTTGTTTTCACGTCGGCATGAACAGCTTCATCAGAGTATCCTTTGGCTGGCTAGATTATTGAGATCCGCCTTTTGTGTTGAGTGCGACGGGGAGTTTTTGTTTTGGAATATAATACGCCTTAAACTCATCCCTTCGCTCAGACCGCATTCTTTCTCTGTCACAATGTTTTCCGCGAAACCTGCGGGCGGCGGCCTTTCGATAAACACCAATTCTGCCAATTCTCTATTGTAAGGACTTGATCTTCTTATCCCTCCAAAGCCGAATAATTGTGTTTCTGTCTTACAAGTTGACGGCGACTGTTTATCTATTGCGGCTTGCCGTCCACCCTTTGTCCTCGCGCGTACTGTTACCGTGGTGTTTTTTTTTCTTTTCTTTTCTTTTTTGTTACCCCCACAGGCCTCTGTTGAGGTCAAGCGCTGTCAATATTCACAGAAAGCTTTTCTGCTTAAAAAAAGAAAAGATAAAGAAAAAAGTGTTTCAGAAAAAGACTAATGACCAGTCGCATCAACTAGTGGCGGTTCAAACACCCAGACGACTTCCACAACTACACCAGGGACAACAAGCACGACACCAGGTCTTTTCGGTAACCTTGGAAGCTCTACAGCGCAATCCAAACCTGCGGGTGGCTTGTTTGGTAATGCGACCGGCGGAACTACACAACAAAATCAACCTTCTGGGACGAACATGTTTTCAGGCTTAGGAGGACAACAAAGTAATACAACCGGGGGAGGTTTGTTTGGAAATACAGCAACTACCTCTCAACCACAATCAGGAGGCCTTTTTGCAGGAACTGCAGGCGCAAACGCAACGCAGACCGGGGCAACGGGCGGGGGCTTATTTGGAGGTGCTTCCACAGCTCAGACTCAATCAAAGCCCTTGTTTGGAGGGTTAGGAGCTTCCACTACAACCGGCGGATCGCTATTGTAAGTGATACTTCTATGGCACACACCTTGGTGTATAAGCTAACATTCGGGCGGGTATAGCGGCGGAAACCAAAACAACGCGCAGCAACAGCAACAGCAGCAAGCTCAAAAGCCTACGTTATCTTTGTTCGGGAACCAGAGTACCACAATGCAGCAACCAGCGCAACCAACCGCCGCAGCCGGAACGGTAGTTCCTGGAGTTAAAGTAGACCTAAGCAACCTCTTACCGACAACTAAGTATGAGAGCTGTGCCGACGAGATCAAGAAGGAGCTGGAAATTTTCGATAATTATGTTCTTACGCAAATCAAAATGTGTAATGAAGTCGGAAACATGATCCCTAGCATTGCGGCCCAAGGTGAAATCATTCCGAACGACGTGGAGTTTGTCCAAAGCAAACTAGAGACAATGCAACATGCACTGGAAAATGATGCCAGCGATATTGATCAGCTACGGAGTCTTGTGGCCCGTGATGCAGCTGAAGCGCAGGTGGGCTTCCGAGCAATTGATACCCTCAAGCTACCTTTGCAATTCCAGTCTGCAGGGGGTTCTGGATGGTGGTCTGTACAAGACCAGAAGTTGTCAGATCGACAGTCGTTGCGATCAACACGCAAAAACACCTTGGCCCTTCCCGATGATGTCGAAGGTGATCCTTCTACGACTGTCAATGGGGTGCCCATCAATCTAGTGGATTACTTCTCTCAGCGGTCCGACGAGATGGGCACGGTTCTCGACCGCTACAAGCAGAATTTGAAAGAAATCGAAGACCACCTTCATGGAGTCGAGGCTACCTTGGAACGGCAGATCCACGAATTTGTGACTTCTCGAAGCCGCGATGGAGCCGCTAGTGGAGCACCTAAATCGGTACTCAATGATCTTGCCGTTGTGCTTGGGGACGTTGAGGCTGGCATTCTAGGCGTTGCCAGTCGTCTCGGGGGAGTTACAGAACAGGTTCAAGAAGTGGTGCTGGGTCCACCATCTTTTGGCGAGGGCAGACTCAATTTGTAATGAATCAATACTATTCTTGTGCTGATGTACAATATAATGAAGCTTGCCCTACTTTACTTTTGAGGGCTTTGACGTTATGGCTTGAGCATGATTTCGCGGTGAGGTGTTCGTGGTAGACTAGTTAACCGGTGCTATTTATTCCGATACCATCAATCTGAATTTCTTCACGTCAGCCCAGAAAATTCCTTTTCTTGAACCGTCTTCATGTTTGAAATACGGTGTGACGACGTACGCAGGTCCAGAATCTCTGTCCTGAAACGACCTTAGTAAGTCGTTGACTCACTATTTATTCATGTACCCCATACTCTGTCCTGACTCAACTAATGACGTGTGAGGTAGTGCTCTTCAAAGCAGTTGTGGGTAAATCCACCAGGCGTAAGACCAACCGGATTATCGCACGCAAGAACTTGGCGGCTTTGCGTGATCGCACCTAATGGGGCCCAACCCCAGGTTTCCACTCTTTCCATGATCGACGGCCGAATTGAAACGTTATTCTCAATTTTGCGACACATTTTCCAAGGAGTCTTTCCAACGTCAAGTATATGGCAGTTGTGCACACTAACAAAAGTGCTCCCGGTTTGCTCCTTCTACACGTCCGTCGAGAAACCACGACACTGGAGCCTGTGCTTACAAAGATGTTGGAGCTAAGAATGTCGCAGGGCAAAAATGACGTGATGCGCAATTCCTTTATCTTCCATTTCAGAAGACCTGTGGAAACTTAGTCCAGTGGTCCACTTCCCCTAATCCGTTCTGACCATCGGCCTCTTGGGTGATTTTCGCCAGCGATGGTGCCATATCCGCCATCTCCCGTTTTCAATATAACGTGTAATGACAACGGCGGGCTTGAAAATGGAGGCCTATCCCACTGGAGGTTCGAGTTCGATAAATAAGCTACATTGACGCTTCCGAGGAGCTACTCATCCAGACAACCCTGCTCCATAATATTTAAGTTCCCTCTGTTGATCGTTGAGCGCTCAGTATGGCGCCTTCTCTTGAGGATCCGTCCTTGGCTCCGTCCTTAGACCATGTTATTCTTCCAAAAAAAGAGGTCACTGGCGACAACAGGTTTCAGTACACCCCAGGACGCACTGTTGTTGAGCGTCACGACAATTACCCCTATGAGGATCTTCTACCTACGTTCCCTAACATTCAGTGGAGCCCGCTAGAGGAGCTTCCCTATGAAGACAGAGGACTTCGTGGAGATCCAAAGTTCCGTAACCTCCTGCGGGATGCAACAGATGTTTTTGATTACACCCCCAAAATCGGGACTGAACTTCACGGTGTCAACTTGGCAAAGTTAGATGACGCCCAAAGAGATGACTTAGCCCGGCTAGTCGCTATTCGCGGGGTAGTGTTCGTCCGTGACCAGAAGGACTTCGACATCGAAGCCCAAAGGGAACTGGGTAGACATTTCGGCACCTTGCACAAGGTATGATGCCTTCTACTGAGCCTATTAGTTCACGATTCAATCTAACATTATGCAGCATGCTACTACATCTGTTCCGAAGAAGGAAGGCTTGGAAGATGTCCATGTTGTCTATAGCGGAGACAACTCTGGTGATCAGCGAGCATTGTTCACACCAAGCTTCTTATGGCATTCAGATGTGACCTACGAGTTACAACCGCCATCATACACATCATTAAAGGTTCTTACCGGGCCTCCCCGTGGCGGAGGTGGCGATACACTCTGGACTTCTCAATACGCAGCATACGATGCTCTGTCCTCACATATGCAAACATATCTCAAGGGCTTGACTGCTCTTCATTCAGCAGACATGCAAGCTTCTGATTCACGCGCCCTCGGCCGAACGGTTCGCCGCGAGCCTGTCACTACAGAACACCCCTTGATTCGCACGAACCCGGTCACCGGCTGGAACAGTCTTTTCTTCAATCCCGGGTTTGTGACTAAGATCGTCGGAATCCCTAAGACAGAGAGCGATGCGATTATCAAATACCTCACCGACGTCATTGCTACCACCCAAGAGATGCATGCACGATTTCAATGGAACAAGGATGATGTGGCTATCTGGGACAATCGGACTACGGTGAGTTATGATGCTATATTGAGAAATGAGCGTATCTAATGAACTCCACAGAATCACAGCGCGTCATATGGATTTGCACCCCACCGTCGCCATGCTGTCCGGGTCGCAGCTCAAGCTGAACGTCCCTACCTGGACCCGGCCGGCAAATCACAAGAAGAGGAATACATTGCGCTCTATAATTTACCGCCTGTGAACAAGGATGGCTCTCGTCAGTCGAACTACAATGATTAAGCTATTTATTCACTGCTTTCACTGCTGAGCGAAACCTGCATCCTCGTACATACTGAAGACATGGCGTTTACACATACCCGGGAAATCGATTTGTATTTGATAGTATCTGCATATAGCGAATAGCACTGTTTATCGGATTGATTGGCAATATTACACATATGCAGTCACCCATATCTCGTGACCATAGGAGTAATGTTTTTGAAGGACCGTAACAGGAGGGTGTTGAGCCACGTGCGGACTTCTGACCAACTTCCCTCGCTTTACTCAGGTGCTGAAGAACTCTCATAAAAGCAACCCGGCATATGTCAATGAACAGCATTCTAAATGGACGCTCCCCAGGAACCTTCTCTCCTAGAGTATGCTCGATTTTATGGTATTGCCCGTGACTTCACGGCAGTCGATCCCCTCACGTACGTTGACGAGACTTACCATACTGCATCTCAAACATCCCCACTACCCCAAAATACCCTTTCCGAATTTCAAAGTTACATTTACGAGACACAGAAAAACGTTGAAAGTGACCTCCGCAAAGAGAAGCTCAACGTCAGTAAAGAAAGCGCCCGTTTGCTATCATCGGTCATTCAACAAGCGAAAGCAGAGACAATAGACATAAACTGGGACAATATTCTACCTGAATTCAACCGAGCCGATAAGCTCAAGGTAGAGCTTCCGACTATCAACACTGAGAGCATCATGGAGACAGGACAATATAGGAGTCCACTGCGTTACGACTTGAGTAAGGTCGGAATACGTCCCCTCAACGAATCGTGTCAGAAACTCAAGGATGAGGATATCACTGCCGCTCTATTGGCAAAGGCCGATGAGGTTCTGAAGGACACTATGCCCGAGAAGCTAACTTGTAGTCGAGAGTCGATGCTGTTGATACAGAAGGCCAGAGATTGTAGCGATTTTCCTTTCTCAGATCTTGAAGGTTTATTGGAGGAGATGATACCAGATCAGGCAAGTATATGGAAACTCGTTGTTGTAACTATACTTATTGTATGGTTACAGGAACATCAAATTGCTTCGAAATCCTCTCCATTTCTTCTACCGAATTTCGATGAGACTTACCACAGGAGCCCTTCGCCAGTCCCCATGTCGTTGACGCTACCGAATCTTGTTTGTTCCGGTTCTTTTGAGCCTGGGGTGCAGTGCAACAGCGTTTTGGCGCATAATTCAGCTTCACATACTTCAGGATGTGCGATAGTGCAACATCCTCCAACTGCCGAGGAAAATCAAATGGATATTGACGTATTAATTGACGAAAGAACAGCTGAAGTGGGTACGACTCGACTAGAAAACAACTTCGGGTTTTTACCTGACAAGGATAGTCACTGCGAAGAAATTCATACACTAAACGTGTCTCAACAGACCGAAGATACTATCTATCCCATAGATTCGGACTCCTCGGTTATCTGTCTCGGGTCAGAGGGCGAATGTGTGCAAACCGCATGCGAAGTAACAGAAGAGCGAGAAAGTCGAACATCTAGTGTTATAAATACTGGGGAATTTCAAATTTCAAGAAGTCCGACTAGTCATTTCTCGCTCTTTAGTTCTCTCTCAGCCCTGCGCTTGCCCTATCTGGATTTTGTGGAGTGTCGAAATTATGAATCCGACTCCACTACAAGAATGTGTTCTTCGAACCAGTCGAATCCGAAGGGGAATGTCGCTCATTCCCAGACAGTTCAAGAAAGAAGAACGGCAGAGGAGGTTGTCGAAACAGCACCCAGCAAAGCTTTGGAGTCTACCGTCGAGGCTATCAGTGCCATGAGATATACGGAACAAGACCAATTCCCTGAACAGGATACCATGCCTCCTCAGCTCGAGAGCGAAATTATTTTGATCAAGTCTCCAAATGTCACTGTGATCAGTACCGCCAGTTCCTCAGAAACAATGTTCAACTCATTAGTCCGCGATCTCCCAACAGACATATCTTCGGAGAGACAAAAACGGAAATATGAGGAGAGACCGGATGTCTCGCGCAAAGACCGCAAACTAGACAACCAAACTGCCATACCTCTGGCTAATAACAAGGGAGAGCATGCAATGTCCTCGGGATCATCTATTTTAGGCTCCTTGTCCACCTTCATGGAGACTAGAGGCCGAGTAGAAAGGCGACAAGTAAAAACAATCAGTCCATATTCTAACGAGGTGCAAACTGCGAATGTTGCAGGGCATCAAGACCTGGCTATGGATACCGAAAATCCCACTGAATATGAAGAACCAACAGTCATTATAGAAGAGCTACAGACTTCAGCATTAGAACTTGTACCACAACTATATCCTCAACTACAGACCCAATATCACGAACAATCACTACTCTTCCTATCAACAGCGCTCCTCTAAAGCCATCTACCAATCATTCAAGGCCTTGAAAGGCTAAATAGCCCTCCAGCCGTAATATACAGAGACTACGAATCTCCCATTCAAACCCACTCCGGCTCTCCCACAAGCGCATCCTCTCAAAAGTGCACCAACCACAACCTCCCAAAAGAGGCAGATATCATCGTCTCGCCAACAACAGGAATCATTTTGACAACCTTACAAGCGACTACACAACTATATCTACCAGGTCATAAGCCCAACCCGCAGACGAACCGTGTCAAGTGCATCAATTCGCCGCTCCGAGAACGCATCTACCTCCTAGCTCCCCGCTACAAACGCCTCTACGTATTCGTTACTCACGGCACAAGTCCCCCGAAAGGTGCGCAGAGCAATATCTTGCCATGGCCAGCAGATAGACGACTGCTGGCTTCTTTCACATCATTGGTTGCATTCCGTGATTCGATGTCGGTGTATTCATCCGTCTCTCCAATCTTGGTTCCCCCATCTTCGGATACAATTATCGAATGGATGCTCGCTCTTGCTCGCAAATACACCTTTCAAATGACTCGTACCAGCGTTTGTGGGCCGCAGAGCATAACCTTTACGCCAGTGAACCCAACTCTAAAGATGGCGTTCGATATAGAAGCTATGGAGAGAGAAACGTGCTGGGAACTATTTCTCCGCCGGATAGGGTTGAATCCGTACGCGGCACAAGTTATCTTGATTGTCCTCAGGGAACGCGACACACATCCAGGAGACAAGGGTGCCTCACCAGACCATATGGACGAGATGGGCGCCCTCTCCCGATTCATCGAGATGTCATCGGAGCGGCGACAAGAGCTCTTCCCGGACTTGATAGGTGGGGGAATTGATGCATTCATCGAGAAGGACTGGCAATGTGACTGGGCATTGAAATTTGATTGATACACGATTCTAGGGGAAGAGACCAAGTAGAGAGGAGATATTCGTTTTAGATTACTCATGTTCAACCCGCAGACAGCAGAAAGGACAACGATTGCTAAAGTACATCGCATGGTATGCAAAGAAACCAAGATACATTGAACGCTTTAGACAGTAGATGCAAGATAAGAAAGGGTAACGTTAGCCCTGAGATAGAGGAACAGGCTCTACACCGTCCTCACTTCGTAGATGGCTTTTTTTTAAATTATTTTTTAGTGTATGACAAAAGCTCATGATTTGCGTAATATAATACAAGATCCCGATTGGATTGTTTCAACCAGCCGGAAAGCGGAAGAACAAGACGAAGAATAGATCTAGTTCTCCCTGATCTTAGCAAGGAGCCTACATGATTGTTAGAATCGACCGTCTCAGGCCTGAATGTGAAAGGAGGGAACATACTCATGGTCCCGGAAGAGAGTATACTCTTCCTCGCCAACCTTGACGGAGCTGCCACCGAACTGCGAATACCGTCAGTAACTCGACCTCGACCAAAAAAGATCGGATGGTTCCGGAAGCAATTCGAAGGAGCTCCCAGCCATCAACTTACCTGAGGGATCAGGACGTGGTCGCCAGGAGCAACGCTCATGGGAAGGCGGCTGCCGTTCTTGTCAACGGCACCGGGGCCAACGGCGAGGACCTTGGCCTCGTTCTGCTCCTTGACGCTGCTCTCAGGAAGGAAGATGCCGGAAGCAGTCTTGGTCTCGGGCTTGACGCGCTGGACCAGGACACGGTCGAGGAGGGGAGTAAGGTTCTTGATGTTGCGGAGGAAAGACTAATTTATATCATTACATTAACGATTGATCTTCAGGATGACCCCAATCGGCAGCGAAGTCGGATAAAATAGTGGGAAAAGTTCCAACCGGAGCTTCTCATAACACGTTAACCATTGCGAATACGTACCATTTTGATGAATTGGACGTGGATATGGGTGGAATTGGTTATAGGATGTAAAAGATGATCAAGAAAGACAGTAAAGGTTGAAGTGTGGAGAGCAAAAGAGGAAGAAGAGAAAGGAGGAAGACCGGGGAAAGGAAGGAAGAGAAGATCTCGACTCAAGTCGACACGAGAAATTTCCAGAATGCCAAGACCGACAGCTTGACTTCCCCATCGAGTTGCCGCTGCCGAGGGTATATATAGTAAGCTTCAACTTCTTATTTACCAGTTTCTCTTGTTTCTCCCCTCCTTTTTGTCTTTGACTCAATTGGAGCTAACTGTGATCGCATTCAATGGCAGAGTCTGCAGAGACCTCTGTCTCGAATTCGTAACTATTCGTATTGCTTCCCGTTGGATCCCATCACTCTCGCTGAACAAGAGCTCCTTTTTCCCGAGCAACTTAATTTTCTAAAAGAAATGCGAAATCTCAAGAACACAGCCATGGCCAAACTATTGGCGTATCTTTGATTGTTACACATTGAACTCCACCAGACCGAGCCGTCCCAGGATGCTACATAGCGCATTATAAAAATTACAACGTGACCAAACATGTATCCAGTAGCTTTTTACCATCTCCGGCCTCGTCCCCGTCCACCACCAAATCCACCTCCTCCAAAGCCCATCTGGGGTTGACCACCACCTTGGTTACCATAACCAGGCTGGCCTTGCTGTCCGCCGCCTGCGCCGGATTGGCCCCCCATCATCGCCTGGGCGTGCTGCATGAAAGACATTGGATCCATAGACGACGGGTCCAAACCCTGCGCCATCATGCTCGCTAACATGCCTTGCATCATGTCTGGAGACATGTCCGGCATTCCCGGCATGCCAGGCATAGGAGGTGGTGGTGCGCCACCTGGACCCCCTGGTCCAGGTCCAGGTTGAGGACCACCGGGCATCGGTGGAAGCCCCATGGTTAAGAACGTCTGCATATCGTCCAACTGTCTCTTCTGGTCGCCAACTTCCTTCCTTAACTCTTGCTGCTTTAGAACGTAACTTGCCCAGGTAAATTCATCAAATCCGTAGTTGAAGTAATCCGAGATGTCAGAACCCGGTCGCCTCCACGGCTTATCGTCTTCGGGGAAGTCCGCATCCATATCCGTCGACAGAATAGGCTTGCCGGTAGAAGGGTGGATTGGGTTTGCATGGACGTCGAGGTTGGATGCATGAACGGGGGGATATGCGGAACCTGGCTTCTGCGGTGCGGCAGGTCGTGCGCTAACAGGGACCGGGGTTGCTGATTCAACTTTCGGTGTTAAAGAGGGCGTGACTGGCTTCGATAAGGCTGACGAATCTACAGACGAAGGTCGCTGCGGTTCAGCTCGAAGGTTGGCATGGCGGGGATGTGGACTTAACTACATGTTAGACGAAAAACGGCGTTGTCGCGTAGTTGAAGACAAAACTTACGCTTCTGGGGGAGGCGCATCCGGAGGGGCTTCCGTGATAATATTAAAATCATCCTAGCGGGTTCCTTCTTAGTACATGTCATAATTGGAATTATAAGCAAGGAATGTACATCGTCATCTTCTTCGACCTCTATCTCTTCCTCCTCGATGTCATCTGGTTCTTGTTTGGCATTCCCTTGGGCGTGATAGGCTGCATTATGGGATGCAGCGACCGGTACTGTGTCTGCGGGGTCATAAAGATCGTCATCGTCGTCGTCCATAATTGCCTGATTCTGCATTTTCGGAATTGAGCAACGGATAGAAAAGCTAGGGAGAGGAAGACGCTGGCTGTTTACGGCGGATATCGCATCAAAGGTTGAGTTTGTCTTGTTTGTTCCGCTCTCAATGTTGACCTTCTACTGGTAGGAATCCATAGCTATCAAATTGACTTATATCATGGTCGATTCTTTTTCTGTCTTATTTTATACTTACTTCTGCTATACTATATACTGTACGATAATGAAGACCCTTCTTTTGAGGCCTGGAGATCACCCATACTCCTGATAATACTATATATATCCAGTTCCATGTAGAAGCTCGGCAGCAAGGAAATGATCAGCCAACATGGGGTGTATGCAAATATATTTTTAAAACCGGATCAAAAATTCCAATCAGCTATTTTGCATAGTTCATCTCACATTTGTTCAGAAACTAATATTCTCATCTATCTAGGCTGGGCCTTAGGTCTCAATTGGTGGTTCGATTCCCGTGGTCACGTGCGCCAGTATATTACTTACATGAGAGATCTTCGACCTCAACCTATGTCAGATATACTTTCTTTACACATTCATCAAATCCATCATAATGTCTCAATCGGAACAACCGAGCCATAGCTCAACTCCCAGGTCTTTTACAAGCCAAACAGTTTCTGCGGAAGAGCTTCTCAAGTCACAGACGGTCGGCCTAGTCCATCTTTCGGATTTTCGCAAGCGTCGCGCAGAGGTCCTCGAACAGAAGGAACGAGAAGCACATGATAAGTCTCTGGGAAGGTTCGCTTCTGGTAACTCGAGAAGCGCGACTCCATCAGGCGGCGATGTAACGGACAGGTAGGTCAAGGCGCATTTTCCAGACCGGTTCTCAGACTGATCGCAATGTACCAGTGCATCGACACGAAGCGAAGGTCCCCCGAAAAAGAAGAAGAAGAAGCCGCTTGCGAAGAGTAAACTCTCATTTGGTGATGATGAGGAGGGCGAGAATACTGGAGAAGAGTCCGCGGCCAGTATACCACGATCATCCTCAAGAACGCCGGTGGATAGCGGCTCTTTACCGGCGTCACGTCGCATCACGCCAAACCCAAATGCTCCTCCTCCACCCAAAGCAATGACAAAAGCTGCACTGAAGGCGGAAGCGGAAGCGCGAGATGCCTTGCGTAAGGAATTTTTGGCGATGCAGGACACCGTCAAGAACACAGAGATACTGATTCCATTTATCTTTTATGACGGAACCAATATCCCGGCGGGAACGGTTAAGGTCAAAAAAGGTGATCCCGTTTGGTTATTTTTAGACCGATGTCGAAAGGTGGGCGCGGAGCTGGGAGTCGGCGGCAACAGCGGTGCGTCAAAGGGACGGAAAGATAATCGTCGCGAATGGGCAAGGGTTAGCGTCGATGATCTGATGCTAGTGAAGGGGGATATAATCATTCCACATGTATGTGTTTATTCCCGTTCATCGTTCTTCCGTAGCCAAAGTGCTAACCAGCATATAGCATTACGAGCTCTACTATTTCATTGCCAATCGTGTACCCAGCTTTTCAAGTGCTGGAGGATTGTTGTTCGACTATTCCGACAAGCCTCCTGCAACGGCTCCTACCAATGATGATCTTCTATCCAGGCCCAATAACGATCAACTCGAGGGTGCCGATAAAGACCCTACACTGACAAAGGTCGTGGATAGACGGTGGTATGAACGAAATAAGCATATTTACCCCGCCAGTTTATGGCGAGAATACGAGCCAGGGCCAGAATTTGAGGAGAAAATGCGCACAACACGGCGTGACGCTTCCGGAAATACCTTTTTTTTCTGATTAAATATAAAATTGAAAGATGAATAGAATGCTATAGAGGGCGCGTTAATCGGTGGATTTTGTATATTAAGATACCCAACAAATGCGAGATATTACAAAGAAGAACATAGAATCGGCTTTTTGAGGTCCCAGGTTTTCTGCGTTCTCGAGTTTTGCCAAAGTGTTGCAAGTTGCAGATGCATGTGGCCAACAAATGACTACCGTCCACTGCCTTCTATCACTGCACACCACTCCCACATATCCATGACTTGGTTTCTCCCGTTCAGCAACATCCCAGTAACTCGCATCATCAATATAGATTTCTACCTTCGATGCAACTCACTCAAATGTCGATGTCAATTGAAGGAGCAAGCAGTTGTTAACGACTTGTTCGTATGTCGAACCCCTCTAGTCTTACACATCTGGCGTTTAAATATCCCCGACCTCGCTAAGAACTGCCACCGAAAGACACATATTTTGTTCTAGTTGTGCAAGTGCTCTTGGCCTTTCGAGCGCCACGGCCGGCGGACGTCATTGCCCGGCATGTCAGATCATCCTCGTCAACCCAGACGATGCCATAATAACTGCTTTGAAGCCTACGGAGGACTACAAAACCAGTGTATTGAGTGGACTGGACCCAAACACCATAATGGAATGTGCTGGGCGCGCATTGCTCTTTTGGACGTATCAGACAACCCAAGAGATGCGCGTATTTCTGATGACGGCCTAAGACTATCGCGTACTGACGGACAGAAGCTTCTACCAGGAATTCCTCGCAAAGACACTCACGGATAAGTATACAGGCTTAAATACGCAGATGGATAAAGTGCTCCACAATCCAACTCGGAAGTCTCGAATCTGCAGGCAACGCACGAACAGCTTCAGAAGAAGAACCAAGAACTCGTTGATTTATATCGAGAAAAGCGCAAGAAGCTTACTCAGATCACGAATCTCTATAATCAGCTTAAATCACGGGCGATGAGATCACATTTGCAGACCGCTCCCTCAGATTCAGTTTCTCAGGCGCTAAATTCTCTACGACCGCCAAGGAACGAGCCTTCAATAACGTCGACATCGAAGAGGCCTTCCAGCCTACCGGGACCGCTTCAGACACCATCCCTCCGTCTGCAGAATATCTTTCCTGTTGATTCAAGAAGGGGTGGAGCAATTGTATCGGTACCAACGAAGCGGCACCGGGAGCTCAAAGGGGGCAAGGAAAAGGACCGACGCAACAGTGATGTCGCCCCCAAGTCTGCCAGGGAATGCAAGAAACCGTAAGCCACACTACTCTGGTTTGTTTGTACTCTTCTGATAGTCATATTGGAGAGGTGCTTATGACTCCTCAGCACCGAACGCGTCTCGGACCAACCACTTCCTTCGGCAGGAATATCACAGTTAGCACAGAATAGCGTCATGCTTGAGCGATTCCAAACTGGCTCTGTTGCAACTGGCCCTCTACGAATAACCGTGGCTCATTGGATCGGGAGAACCAAGAATTACCACCTCATGGCCAGACAGGCAATGGTCCGCCAGGAACGAGAACCTTCTTCAATAGCACAATAATATAGATATGTCACAGGCGCTAGCATAACGCAAATATAGCTGCCGCAGGTGTTTCTTTTTCTCTACATATCCTGTTTCTCCTTTCTCTGCTGCTCATTCCATTGTCGTTATCCTGTTGTACGCCGGTACTATAAAAACTGGTAATTGAAGCATTATATACACACAATATATCACCTCGGGCATTAAACAAGATCAGGATTGTTTTCAAATTAGTCTGACAAGTTAAAAACAAAGTAAAATAGACACCAGCATCTCAAAGGAAGATAAATATATTTAGTACGAAATAAGCAATATCCTGCGGTGCTGGCATAAATAATGCCAATTTAACCGACTTTATAAGCCAAAGCCCTTCCATCCGTCCGATACAATTTAAACTATATGCCCACTTAGAGTATCCACATCACCCAAAGCCATAGCTTTTTTAATATTCACTTTATACAAAATATACCTTACACAACCTAGAAGCCAAGGAAATCACAAAAAATAATCAAGCCCAGTAACGCTATCACAAGCACTATCCCGTAACCATATATATCTCTTCCCACGATACAGTACCTACCCCATACACAATCATTCACAACTTACAAGCCCTAATATAAAAACCACAACCACAGCCAAAACAACCCAGCCCAAAAAAAGAAAAATAAAAAGGAAAAAAGTAAGAAAGGAAAAGAAAGCTAAGAACAAAACTCAATCCACATCTGCAAAGGCCCGTCCCGTCCGGACCATGCCATCCCATCCCATTTCAAGCCCTTACCACCAAGATTGTGGTTCTCCCTCCGTCCACCCGGGACGACCCCATCTCGGACGTGCGGAAGTTACGTTACCTCACCACTGACCTGACACCTTGCAGAGCTTAACCCATGAGTTTATTTTAATTCTTGCATGGTGGGTAATGAATAATCTGGGGTCTTGAGGTTATTTGTTAGTGTGTAATTTTGAGTAGTTTATTTTGAGGTCTGTTTGGGATTACCGTATTTTCTGTGTATTTATGGTGTATTGGGGTTACGAATTTATATACATGTACATCACTTTTCTTGTTCTGGTTGATATTTGTTTTGATGATGGGTATAGAATTACCTACATTGGGCTTCTGTTCCATTGGGTGGCTAGTTCTATTTCCATACTGGCTTTATGTAGGGTATTTACTGTGAGGGATTTTTGTAACGTCGATAATCGTGTCTTATTAACGTCTAACATCGCAGAATCATGTATCTCATGTCCTGCAAGACCAAGTCTAAACTTCAACTTCATACACTGGATATTCCGTCTCCTGGACCCGATCACCGGATCTAGGTTTTGTCCAACTGCTCGCTCTTTGCCCATAGGAGGAAAAAAAAAGATATAAATGAAATGAAACCATATCATGCCATGCGTTCAGAAACGAAATGCACACGTAAGATTAAATTAAGTAGAATCAAAGGAAAATATGAAAGGGGAAAAATTCTTTAAGCCGCGAACTCCTTGATATCAGTCTTCTTGCCCAGAAGAGCAAGAGGGACGATACCACTGACGTGCATCTCGGGACCGTAGACGTGCATGTCAAGGCCCAGCTCGTTACCGACGGACTTGATGTTCCGGAGACCCTCCTGGTAGTTAGGACCAGCACGACGGACCCAGATTTGGACCTTGTGGTCGTTCAGGACAGGGGCAACCTCACGCAGGGCACGGATGACGCCCTTGAAGGTCGAGGCGACATTGGTGAAGTTGGCAATACCACCACCGATGAAGAGAACCTTGCCGTCAGGGTGGGTAGGGGCACGCAGCATCAGGTCGAGGACGGTATGAGCGTAATTGTAGGTCTGAGTCTCGGTGGGAGCACCGGAGTACTCACCGTAGTTGGCGAGCTCACTGACGAAGCCAGCTGAGGCAATGGCATCGGCATACACGACGGAGGCACCACCACCAGCAACGAGGGTCCAGATACGGCCCTTGGGGTTGAGGACAGTGAGCTTGAGGGAGGCACCGGTCTTGGCATCCAACTCAGAGATGAACTTCTCCTCCTTGCTCAGCTCACGACCGAAAGGAGCAGGGAACTCCATGGGGGGACCAGCGTCAATGTTGACCTTGCCCTCCTGGGGAGCGACGGCCAGACCCAGGTTAGTAGGGCTGCGAGCAATAGCCCACTTGGTACCGCACTCAAACTCAGCGGTCTGGTCCAGCTTGGCAGCCAGATCCAGGAAGTGAACGTCAGCGGAAGTGGCATCAGCGTTGGGGATGACCACGAGAGGGTTGATCTCAAGGTAGGTGAACTGGCAGTCGACATAGACGGCGTAGAGGCGGGAGATGAAGTCCACAAGCACGTTGTGAACACCGCTGGGCACCTTCTTCAGGAGAGTAGCGGCAATCTCCTCGTTTGAGGGATAGTTCTTCAGATTGACGGGAATAAGCAGTTTCTCGGCCTTGGCGTCAACATCACCAACATCGACACCACCCTCGTGGGTGAAGAGGATCCAGTCACCCTTGTCAATTGTTAGCTGATTATTCTTCCCGTCACATGTGGATATCGTGGTGTTCCTTACCTCACGCACGGAGTGGATGTTGATGTAGTACTCAGTTTCCTGAGGGTGAGGAACGAAAGGCTCAACCAGGAACTGACGGAGAACGCCAGTGACGGTCTCAACCTGGACGTCCTTGGTGGCGCGAGCCTCAATCCATTCCCTGGCTTCAGCCCAGGTCTTGTTCAGAGCCAGCAAACCGCTCTTGCCACGTCTCTTGATCAATTGATCGGGCTTAGCAACGAACTTAGCACCGGAGGCCAACAACCACGGGTAGGTCACTTCGGCCTGGTCGAGGACATCCTTGACGGCACGGTCTTCAGGGAAGTAGAGAGAGGCGAGACGAGGGGGAGGGTTGTGGGTGGAAGAGGGAGGAAGAGGAGTCGGCTTGATGACGGGAGCACGAGTGAGGTGGTAGTTAAGGATGGCCTTGCCATCAGCTTCGAGAATCGACTTGGCGGACATATTGGAGGGGTAGAGGTCTAGAGAGAGATATCGAGGAGAGGATCAAGAGGGGTGTGAGAACTAATTGACTGAGTAGTATAATGGGGGGGTAATGAGAGTGTTAAGAGTAAGGGAAGTCAACCCCAGATTAAGAGATAGAGGTGTGGGAAGTATGTGAGGATAGATTGGAGTTGAGAGAGGGAAAAGTGAGGAAAGAAGAAAACAAAATAAGTTGTTTCTAGCTTGGCAAAATTTACCAAAGGAGTATTGGACGTATAGGAGAACGGTTTCAAATTGGGGGAGGGGTCGGGGGCAGTAAAAAAAAAAGAAGTTGATGAGTACGTCGGGTTCGGCGATGATAATAATTTCAATTACTGTTCTTGATGACTTTTGGGAGGGGAGGGGGGGATTTTTTTTGCTTCGACTTGTACTGTACTCTGTCCCTCCATACCATACTGGTACGGGAATACAAAAACACCCCAAACCAGGCCGAGCTCGGGAGGGGCGCTACTATTCGGGGTTTAGTGTTGTTGAGATATGGTGGGGATTCGCAGTGGCAGTGGATCCCACTTCGACCCACCGTGTCAAGCGGCCTTAATTCCTACGGGTTGGGAGCTCAGCTTTCCACTCCGTTGGGGTTCTTCGGGAAGGGGGTATCTAATATTTAGCACTCAGTATCTGCCCTACGCTGTAGCCTCAATACTGTACGGCCTGATGAATGCCACCTTCTGGCGCCCTTCGGACGGATTCCTTCCGGAAATCGCTCTTCCTTGTGCTCTATCTGTAATTTTATTTTTAGTTTCTTATTTCACCCGGGTTTTGTTGGGTCTGAGAGGTTTTGTTGGTGACCGTCAGGACTCGGGACTTTGATAGCATGTACAGAGTACACGTGGACTACTATCTAGATCGGGGTAGGCCCGGGTACAGGGTACAGAGGGGATCTACCTGTTACTATCGGTAGATCTCTACTGAAGAATATTGTTGCCTTACCATTTAGGCATTAGTCACCACCTACGATTGTCTTCTAGAATATTACCCGTCAGGCCGTTATCAAGTCACTCAGGCCCAGGTACTTTGTCATGAAGTCATAGATACTACAATTCCTGACTTCGGAGTAAAATGGAAGACTCGGTTCCAATGTGCCTTCAATTGCATGATTTTTAGTTTGGTCGGTGAGCACCATCGGATGCACTCACTATCCAGATAAACGAATCAAATCATCACTCATGTGCATACTTACGTATCAGGATGTGGGCGATGAGGTGTACTCGGGTCTACAGTGTACTCTGCATACTAGTGGGAAGGTAGAATTGGTACATTCCCGTGCCAACCGAAGGGAAAGAAAAATATATCAGATATTCATTGACCCCCCACCCCACCTTTTAGTCCCGACCAGATCATCTTACGGCATTTAGTGGCTTGGGCCTTAACTTTATGGAGTCCAGACTGCTTTCAGGATGGTGCGATTATCCTGTTCACTTACCCGTTTCACCATAGTCAGTATTGTATATACTGTGTACTTCAGATCACTGGGGTCAGTATTATGGATACCGTGTAGTTCGGGTCACCACTGGAGTCAGTCCAGTTTATACGGTGTACTTCAGATCACCGCCGGGCAAAAATACAAGACTTGAGTTTTGTTGAGCAAGCACCGATCAAACCCAATTCCTGCAGGTTACCTGGTCGTATCCTCCGCACTCCGTAGTACCCTGTAGTAACTGTACACCGTCACATACCAACCCTAGCTCTCTTCCTTCATACTGCCTGCTCAAAAATAGGAGTTTATTGTAACTGCCCCGAGTCCCGGTCAACTAGGATTCGATTCCTAATAGATAAGGGACTCCCATGTGGAGCATTATAACGAGGCCAAAATCTCACTCGAGTCCCATATCCTCCGAAACCCGAACCATAGCCTCAGGCCATTTTCCCAACTGGTTCCGCAGAGCATCCGCCGTTTCCTCAGGACCGTACGGTATTGAGCCATACCGCCCACCCATACCATTACCTGGCTGATACATACAAACCGTACAGCGTACATGCCTCTGAACTCCGTGCTTTTTCTTCCTGTACTTCACCTCAAAATTATTATTAGCAGCTCCATAATTTCTTTACTCCGTACCAATCCCCAATCTTAACCCGATATCGTTCCCCTCTGTTGTTTTTTTTCTCTTCTCCCTCTCCGTCTTAATTCATCGATTAATCCACTTCACTTCATTTCTCCCCCTCCAATTCCAATTTCTCCATCCTCCTTCCTTGGTTATCGTCCTTATCCTTCTCCCCCATCCATCCTCTTTCTACCTTCCCAAGTTCGCGATTACTTGTTGCGACTTGCTCTCTATATCATTTAACTCCCCTACATATCCTCCTAATAATCTTGTTTTCCTTTGATTGTTTTACATTCGGAGCTCTGTTGACAGGTATGCTTCCTCATCGGCTCGGTGACTGATATCATACCGTTCCCATTGACACTTGGCTAACAAATCATCCGTTTGACAGAGTTATAGCCATCATCATGTCTTCTACTGCTCCTCTGGTCAACACCGCCAATGGCGGCTCTGCCAACGACAACATCACTCGTTTCGCTCCCCCCAGCCGTGTGCTCTCTCCCTACACCCACACCCTCTTCCACAACAAGACAAGATGTTTCGTATAGTGAGTGCTCCTGTCCTCTGGGGAGTCTAGGCGGGGAATTGACCAATGTAATAGTGGTATGCAGCCCAAGGCCGTGCAGGGCATGCTCGACTTCGACTTCATCTGCAAGCGCAGCACCCCCTCAGTCGCCGGTATCATCTACACTTTCGGTGGCCAGTTCGTGAGCAAGATGTACTGGGGTACTAGCGAGACCCTCCTCCCTGTCTACCAGGACGTTTCCAAGGCCATGGCCAAGCACCCCGATGTTGATACCGTTGTGAACTTCGCCTCTTCTCGTTCCGTCTACAGCTCTACCATGGAGTTGATGAACTGCCCCCAGATTAAGTCCATCGCCATCATTGCCGAGGGTGTCCCCGAGAGAGTAGGTCTTCCGTCCACCACCCAGTTGGACTTCAACTAACCGCCTCGATAGCGCGCTCGTGAGATCCTGGTTGCTGCCAAGGAGAAGGGCATCACTATCATTGGCCCCGCTACCGTTGGAGGTATTAAGCCTGGTGCTTTCAAGATTGGTAACACTGGTGGTATGATGGACAACATTGTGGCCTCCAAGCTCTACCGTAGTGGCTCCGTTGGCTATGTCTCCAAGTCTGGTGGTATGTCCAACGAATTGAACAACATCGTTTCTCAGAACACCGATGGTGTCTATGAGGGTGTTGCCATTGGTGGTGATCGTTACCCTGGTACCACTTTCATCGACCACTTGCTCCGTTATCAGAACGAGCCCGACTGCAAGATCCTTCTCTTGCTCGGTGAAGTTGGTGGTGTTGAGGAGTACCGTGTCATTGAGGCCGTCAAGAACGGCACCATCACCAAGCCCATCGTTGCCTGGGCCATCGGTACCTGCGCCAGCATGTTCAAGACCGAGGTTCAGTTCGGTCATGCCGGTGCTTCGGCCAACTCCGACCTGGAAACCGCTGTTGCCAAGAACAAGGCCATGAAGGAGGCTGGTATCTACGTCCCCGACACCTTCGAGGACCTGCCCCAGGTGCTCAAGCAGGTCTACGACGCCGAGGTCAGCAAGGGCAGCATCAAGCCCCAGCCCGAGCCCGTTCCCCCCAAGATCCCTATCGACTACTCCTGGGCCCAGGAGCTTGGTCTCGTCCGTAAGCCCGCTGCCTTCATCTCCACTATCTCCGACGACCGTGGCCAGGAGCTCCTCTACGCTGGTATGCCCATCTCGGATGTCTTCAAGGAGGACATTGGTATCGGTGGTGTCATGTCACTTCTCTGGTTCCGCCGCCGCCTTCCCACCTACGCCAGCAAGTTCTTGGAGATGGTTCTAATGCTTACCGCTGATCACGGTCCTGCCGTGTCTGGCGCTATGAACACCATCATTACTACTCGTGCCGGCAAGGATCTGATCAGTGCCCTCGTCTCTGGTCTTTTGACCATTGGATCTCGTTTCGGTGGTGCCCTTGACGGTGCTGCCGAGGAGTTCACCAAGGCTTTCGACAAGGGTCTTAGCCCCCGTGACTTCGTCGACACCATGAGGAAGGAGAACAAGCTCAGTATGTCCCCTGACCCTACTTTATATGCCCAAGTGAGAACAGCTGACTAACCGTACATAGTTCCCGGTATCGGTCACCGTGTCAAGTCCCGTAACAACCCCGATCTTCGTGTTGAGCTGGTCAAGGAGTTCGTCAAGAAGCACTTCCCTAGCACCAAGCTGCTTGACTACGCCATTGCCGTCGAGACCGTCACCACCTCCAAGAAGGACAACCTGATCCTGAACGTCGACGGTTGTGTCGCTGTCTGCTTCGTTGACCTCATGCGCAACTGCGGTGCCTTCTCTCCCGAGGAAGTCGAGGACTACATGAAGATGGGTGTCCTCAACGGTCTCTTCGTCTTGGGTCGCAGTATCGGTCTGATTGCCCACTACCTCGACCAGAAGCGCCTACGTACTGGTCTCTACAGACACCCTTGGGACGACATCACCTACTTGCTCCCTGCCCTGCAGAAAGGCGGCTCCGAAGGCCGTGTCGAGGTCAACTTCTAATCTATTATATATTTTTATTAATTTCTTACCTTTCCATTTTACATTTTTTTTTTTTACACTCGCGGAAGTGGCCAGTGTGGGATACTGGTAATCTCATAAAATCCCGTCATGTTCTTGACGTTGGAGTTATGATGGCTTGCGTTGCATTGTTTTCGATTCTTATATCATTTTATTTCACCTTATATTCTGTAGTGCGCACATGTGGTATGAGTAGCTGATAGGGTTGATGAATTCTATGCAAGGGCAGTACCTGTTTTAGAAGAGTTAGAATTACGACAGCCTGACTGTGACAATCCAATGGGTTATAATTTCAATGATATTTCACAAAATTTTGGTTCATTACCTACGAATCCACTAGAACTAAGACTATATGAAGCAATATTGCTGGCCTGTGTATCCCATACCAATTAGCAGCTAGCCAGTGAGCAAGTGAACTCGAATGAGATGAGTACACTGCGTGTAGAAGTCACAGTCCACAGAGCTATCGTTAATAATATCACCCTAACGGAGACATCCCTCGACCTTATTAAAAAAGTGTCACTATAAGAAGTTACACATATATCGCTTCCAAGACCCGTGGCATAGTCCCCTGTACGACCTCTACTAACGCAAACAATAGAAAAATGAGTCTTCTAACCGATCTTCTTATTCCCACCCGCTAATTTACAACCAATCGGTTCACCTCTCAGAAAACAAAGGCCACCCCTCTCCCAAGGGCTGACCATCCCAAGAAATCCCATCCAACCAGTTCGGAAATTCCTCGCAAGAAAGAAATCCGGAAAACTCCTGCGAGAAGAACCCTGCGTCAACGCTGTCGCAGCTAACATTAAACCCGGTATTCAGACTCTGGCTCTGCGGAGGAGCCGCTACCTGAGACAGTTGCGGTTCCGAATTATCGACGGTACAAGATACTGCTGCGTTCTTAGATAGTCTGCTAGACTGGGCTGAGGGATCGGTATGCGTCTCTTCGTGTTCTGTAGGTGGTACCTGGGCATCTGGTGGGAGTAAGGCGTCATCGAGCAGTTTGCTGATGAGCGCGTTGATCACCAGACAGGTTCTGTACTCTGGTTTGTTTGGGACGATGGAGTTCTCGAGCCAGGAGACTAGGACGCTTAGTTCACGGATGATCTTGGGACGGCTGACGGTGGCTGGGAAGGGGGTTCCTGCGGTGTTGCATCTGTGGAGTTCGGAGACTAGACTGCCTGCGCCGGGGAGGCCGTAGAATAGGAACTGTATGCCATTGGGAAAACGTTAATGAGTAATATGGAATGGAGGGGATTTGACTTATTGTTGGAGGGGTTGACTTACAACCCACATGTACCTCCCCTGTAAAGCTACTGTTTGTGCTTGTCGCCGTGCAAAGTCGGTCATTGCTGAGAGGAGTTTCATTGCTGTTTCGAGAAATGCTGCACGGCTACCTTCGTTTTGTCGGAGAAGTATTCGATGCAGCTGGTATCCGGTGTAGCAGTAGTCTAGATAGACAACTAAGCGGATCACGCAGCTGTGGTGATCGAGTCGCTTCCAGCAATCTGTGTCATAGTGATAATGCTGGGGAATGGCCGCCCAGGCCTTTTTGTACTGTTCGAATATGTCACTGCATCGAGATTTAGCTTGTCTGCGTGTTTATAGGAGGATTGGAACTGGAGGCTCGTACGGTAGATGGGTTTTGTCATCCGTTGTCGCATTCCCGAGTGATAGACGTAGGACTTTCTCTCGAATAATTGCCATACAACATCGGAGGCGGATTCCAGTGACAGGGCGTAGTGGCTTCACGGTAGTGGGATAATTGGTGTTCCATCCGTCACTATCAAGGTTATGCACAAGGGACTGACGCATACTTGTAGGACAGATTATTTCGTCGTCATCCAAATCAAGGGGAAGCATCAAGTCACAAAAGTACGAATCAACTAAAGGCGGTCTTCCTAGGTATGTTGCCAGGTTTTTGTCCCTGGTGAAGATGGCAGCAAACATTCTCTTTCGCGTTTCTGATAGAAAGAAAGGGATTCCATCCTGCTGTGAAGACTGTCGGTGGAGGCCCATGGCGAAAGCCTGCGATACTAGTTCACTGAAACATCGGTAGACGATGTTGCCTACTCGCAAAATTGGATCAGAAACAGAAAGGGAATCAACATTCTTAGAAACCAGGTGGAGTTGAGTGCGTACTGGTGTCGCCAAACAAGTTGGACGCTAGAACAACGGTTACATATCGCAACCAAATGGTGAGGTCATTTAGTTGGTTGTATTGCTCGCAGATTTCCATGCATATTTTGCTTGCTGCGAACATCTCCATAGCAAAGTCTCCGCTCTTGTATGGCTTCCCAGCTTCTGGATATGCGGAAGCTAGCCCTGACAACGCGAAAATGATACCTACAAATTCCCATCTAAGTGACGGACCTGAAAATGACCCGCAAAATTCCTCTACGGTGGTATTCACGGTGGACGTTTGTAGGCGCTTGCATGAATTCCGAGTCAGTTCCTCGAACAGTGTCTTTTCTTCGGCGCCACCTGTGCTGTTCTTCCATCGCTCAAGGTAGGATTGAGTCTTGGAAAGAGGGTCTAGAATCAATCCAGGTGGAATAATTAGGAATAGACCGCAACCATAATAGCGGATAACAAGGCTTCGATATTCCGAAGGGGATGAAAGGAGATTGAGCAGGTGTGAGTGTATATAAGACACTCGAATAGAGCAGAAATCCAAGGGAAGAGATAAGGTAGGAACGGCTGCCGAGTCTGCGGAGAACAACAGCTCAGGCACAGGGAAGACTGATGCAAAACTGGTGGAACCCAAGTATCCCGGATGCTGGTGGGGATTCTCATCATTACTCGTGGCTGGGCTTTGCTCTGGTATGACCTCGTGCGACGGACTCCGTGGTCTCGATGTGTTGTTCCTTTTCCTAGAAGGCTTTGGCCGAGTGCGAGCGTTTGTCCGCACTCGTGTTAGAGGAGCAGGGTGATAAAAGCACTTTGAATCCGAAGTCAGCCCAACGCAATAGAAAAGAACAGAACCAGAGCACACCTGGGATTCCATTCGTCGTGCCTGACATCTTTTGCAAGTCGGCCGATGATGGTCGCATCGGATCTTAGAAACCCTACAAGGCTCACAGGAGACCGGTTTGCCATTGCGTCGAAACATTATCATTCAATACTATACAGTGAGGGAGAAGCAGTAGTCGAGATGTTTTGTTCACGAACATTATCATTCAAAGAGGTGTCATTCATTCCGATACTTGGATGAGTTTCATTCCGATCCCGAGTTCCGATCCCAGTCTATTGATATGACTAAGTATAGTTATAGTGGGATAGCTGTTTTTAATCCCTACTTCACACTCTATAGTAAGTTTTGTCTCTTCTTTAGTCTAGTCGCATAGAAAACCTTCAAATTAAGCCCGACATTCATTCTCCTTATTGCGTGAACCCGTCTCTTCATCGGGCGTATGACGGTCCTCGTTCTGACCGACTTGTAGCTGCAATTGATCCCGAACATCTTTTGTCCGCAAGCCCTCATCGCGAACGAGGACACAGCTCAGCAGACAAAGCGCCATCAAGGGCACCTGGAAAATAAATACGCGATGAGAAGCATCCGCATAAGCATTCACAATTGCTGTCCACTCTCGCTCTGGAATACTAGATTGCGGCGGCAAAGTATATGTCGAGTAGGCCAAATATTTGTACTCTTCTGGCAGGCTGGCCTTCAGACCAGATTGTAGAATGGCCGCCGATACAGCAAGTCCACAGGCGCCCCCGAGGCAGCGGAAAAAGTTCCTGCCAGCGATAACAACAGCACGCTGGGCAAGCGAGACGTGGGTTTGAATAGCGACCATGCCAGGCTGGAAGGTAAAGCCAATACCCAGCCCAGTGACAACGAGGACTCCCGAAATAGTACCTCTGCTGGTGTGATTGTTAAATAACAAAGTGAGCGCTGCACCTCTACAATGTCCGGAGGGAGAGGGTTAACTGATCATCCGGAGGCCATGCGAAAATATCCTAAGATGTAATGTTTCCTTTGTGAGAGACTTGAGACTTACAGCGTCCAAAGAAAATAGCCAACCCACAGAACCTCTGCAAATCGCTTGACTCGGGACATGTACTGGCCCCCGGATATTGAAGCCAGTGATTGTGGTAGGACCATAGGTAAAATCATTGTTGCTGACACAAAGGGGGTCCACTGGCGAGCATTCTGGAAGTAAAGCGGCAGATAGTACAGGCGAGATTGATAACACGCGCCCAAAAGGAAGCTCTGCACTAGCAAGGTTGTGACTATTCGGTTCTTGAAGAACGATACTGCCAATTTCCGAAGCTGATTAGCTTCTATGCTATTATCAAAAAGATGTGGCAAAGGGATCATGGTAATGAAACGCACGAGGGAGCATTGGCAGAATGGCAACTTTCCATTCAATAAAAACGAATAACACCAGCAGAATTCCACCCACAGCTAACATGCCGATGACCATGGGTGAGTCCCAGGCGAAGTAATTGCCGCCCCCCGAAACTGGTATTAAAAGAAAAATAGTTCCCAGAGACGATGTCAAAGCCCCAATGTAGTCAATCAATCCCAAGGCTTTCCAGATATCTTCTCTCGTCATTTTACTCGGGATTAAATAATATGCAACCACAGCTCCACAACCGGTGACCGGTGCAAGAAGGTAGAAGAATCCTCGCCAGCTTGACCTCTGTACGAATGCGGCCGCTATGAAAGGGCCGGTAGCGTTTGCTAGCCCGATCATAGAACCCAGGATTCCTTGGTATTTGCCACGATTCTCGAGGGTCACGATATCAGAGACGATGATCGATGTCAAAGAAAGGACACCGCCACCTGCGAGGCCGGCAAAGCCACGAAAGATATAGAACATCATCGCATTTTGTGCAAACCCGCAAAGAAGATCGGAGAGGCAAAGCACAACTAGCGCAGAGATATAAACCGCTTTGCGGCTAAATATATCCGAGAGTCGGCCATACAAGGCTGAAAACATTGTGCTGCCAATTAACGACGATGTTCCGGCCCAGGTAATTGTGTTTTCAGCATCAAGCTCTCTGCCAATCGTAGGGAGAGCTACTCCAACAGCATTCTGGTCAATGAGGACAATTAGGAGCGAGCCTGAAAGGACGCACAGAACGAGGATCAATTGCCTAAATGGAAGTATGTTGCTTTGATCATGCAAGGCCTCTTCGGCATCATTTTGGCGTCGACCCATTTCTAGAGATGTGTGTTTGCAAGATAATCGAATCTCTCAGTGGAATTCTGATAGACTAAAATATAGCATACGAAAACTAATGAACAGTAAAGGTAAGCTAGTTTATATAGTACTCAAAGAAACTGGTGATTGTCTCCTCGGAATGGATAGCATAGTTAGAAACTGGAAGGCAATATACCACGCAGTAGAATTGCCTGAAATAGTTATGTACAACAGCGGTATTACTGAAGACTGATTATTTATATGTGTAGCTTTTATAAATCTATAATAGATGCTCTGAATGCCACTTTGAGCTGCTATAACAGGTTATCTTAACCAAGGTATTTGATGTCCCGCAGCATTGTCCTCGGTATCGGAGGACTTTCGTATCAAAAGCTTGATAAAATATTTAAAAATACACTCATTGAAGATATAAACGTATGTAATTATTGATTTATTATGCTCACAATTACATGTCTTCAATACTGATGGCATTTCTGATTCCGATTCCAGTTTATCCCGATCCCGATGTGTGCAGAAAGGCAATAGAGCTCTAATAAACAGCCGGTAGATCCTCGGAAAATCGGTACTCGGCATGGAACGTATATCAAAATTGACTTTGCAGAAATCGGGAATAACAGACAAAAAAGCCTTTAGTGAAAAGAGATTGAGAATATAGTATCCTTGCCATTTATCACCCTCCCAAGTCCGTTCCGAAGAGCCACTTTGTTTGCCAGGTTTGATTCGCTGAATAAGCTCCAAATAATTCCTAGAGAGGCCACCTTCTAAGCTATAACTGTAAGCTGTTAACTCATTGGTAAGAAGAGGTAAAATTGAAACATAAAACTTTTATTTTCATATCAATCAGAGCTGCACAGACGGGAGCCTCTGTTGGACAAGAAAAGCGAAAACGTTACATCTTGTTAATTTGTTTAGTTAAACACATAGACAACCCTGATAATATGTTAATATAGGCTAATAAGTCTGAGCTAGAATCTTGAAAAGGATATTTAGGAAGAAGTACCAGTGATAGCATTGAGCACCTTTGCTATGATTCGATAGCCTATCAATCTATATACTCGGAGATATCAGTTCTTCCGAACTGCCCCCACCATATAATCGCCGTTTATAAAACTTTGGGGGCTTAATGAATCTAACCGCTAATAGGCAATGCTAACTTGGAGCTTCTGCAATCCTTGAATCGATAAAGCAATTTAGTCTGTTCACCTCCAACTTTTCAACTCACAGCCCACACCGCGTCATATATTCCACCCCGAGGACTAATAAACTTCTTTTCTCGAAGGGTACTGATCCATCACAAAACTAACAACCACCGAATCCTGAACCAACCCAATAACGCGCGAGGCCTATCCCGAAGAACTTCTTATAACTTTATAACCTCAATACGAAAAATAAAAAAAAAAGAGAAAATATAAACTAAGGCCCCCAAAATGGTCCGCGTCAAACACCGCTACCTCCTCATCGATATCCTCTACCCGGAACCCTCCTCATGGCCCTCAATAGCGCCCAAAAACGCACCACCACATACACAATCCCAACTACGGATCCACTCGCCCACATCCGACGCCCTAACACCGAGCCTACTCGCGAAGATGGTCCGCGAGGAAGTCGCGGAGATATTTGGTGATTGGGGCGTGGGGAGATTAGGTGGTGTAGGCGCTGGGGGTGTTAGTGGTACGTGAAAGCTTCCATTTCCATTTGATATCTTGTTTTTGTGGTCATTGAGTAAGGGTTTATGTGGATTGGGTGGAGTGTTAATTCTGCTGGCTGTTGAACAGTTAAGTATCTGTCGCCTGCGACTTCGACGGCTATTATTCGGTGTCCGCGCGCTTCGTTTCGGCTTGTTTGGACGGCGCTTACTTTTATGTCGAGGGTGCCGGAGTTTGGAGATAGGGGTCGGGCAAGGCGGGCGGATGTTACGTTGACGAGACCGTGTGTTTTTCGAGTTATTAGGGTGTCTGGGACGATTCGGAAGGCGGAGGAAGAGGCGATTCGAAGGGCTAGGAAGGAGATTATTCGGTTGAGAGGTGCGGAGGAGATTGGGGTGCTTGAGGGTTTGGTTGGTGGGTTGGAGGGAAGCTCTGCTGTTATGGAGGGTGTAATGGAAGATGAAGAGGACGCTGATATGGTGAGCGATGGGGAGGATTGATTGTCTACTATGATGGTGATGTTGCTGTTTGGGGGCGCTTTTTCTTGTTTTGATTCAGAGATACCCTATGATACATGTATAGTAGAAAATGATAAGATTCATGTCATGACTTTCGTATAACCTTCACCCCGCCATCTGGTATTGATCCTCTGCCAAGATCGTCATACTCGTCGTCCTCCCAGCCATGGCTAGGTCTGGAAGCCTTGGCCGTCTCAGCCGCTTGGTCTCGTAATTTTGCCTCCGCTTCCAACTCTTGCCTCTCCTGCTCATCGTACTCGTCTTTAGCATCTATCCAGCGTTCCTGCACATCCCGAACATCCATAGTTCCCAACCCGTCGCGCACAGCAACCTGCCAGATGGTATCATTTGCGCCCTCGGCAGGTCCAAACACATATCCGCTTGCCCTGTCGATCACCCGCAGTAGGTTCATCATGCTCTTCTTGTCCTCCACAGCTAGCGTTTCAAACCCGACAAGCCCAAAATCCTCGACAAGGTCTATAATGGCTTGGTTGAGAGCCCGGAACTTGGTATGCGAAAGCCGAGATGATTCTGCTTCTAGATGCGGCAGTAGGTAAGAGAGATCTTGTACCTCTGTGTAATATTCAAGATTGAAAGGGAGCGGGGCGTAGTTGGAAAGGTTATCGATTTTGGTGAGCACGTTGAGATGAGGTAGATCCATTTGGAGCATTGCGCGCAGGGAGAGGATGAGGGCGGATATGTACATAGACGGTAGTGTGAGGTTGTAGGAATCGATTAGGTGTATTACAATCAACTAAGCAACAGTCAGCGGCATGTATGTCGATAAGAATAAGGAACCGAATGGTCATGAAACTTACTCTATACCCCAACTTTTGGAGCTTAAAGAATATGTTCCGTAACGAGGAGTGGTGTGTGAAGATCTCAACTTGACCGGGGCAGTCAAATAAAACGTAGTCATCTAGCAACAAGGCGCAATCAGTATGCCAGCTCCAGCTTGCCGTAGCAGCATTGGCACCTTACCTCCGAGCTCCTTCAACCCCTCTTCTAACCAGTCAAAGTTCTCCTCAAGTTCTTCCAGCGCATACAAGATACCACCGTTTGGACCGAGATTATCTTCACTCATTACTTCCTCGAGCGTGACAAGATCGCGAACATCTAGGGCACACGGATATGACGTTTTATCATTTGCGGGGTCCAGATTCACAATCGAACATTTGCGGCCGATTGCCCCAAGAAACTGATGCATGCCATTGCAAAATGTCGACTTTCCCGCACCGGGAGGACCTATCACCAGCTGCGCAAATGGCATGATGACCCGGCTGTAAAATAGTAAAATAACGTGAGACACCCGTAACAGTATGTTTAGCAGACCGGCTGTGAGACTTTATCGATCACATTGATTGATAATGGCGGGGAGAATATTCCAGGGCGGTATTGTTTGGCAGAAAATGAGCTGAAGGACCGAAGCTTCGATGACGCTGGCTGATTAACAACTAACTGCCGTTGTCACTTCAATTAGAGTGATTTTGCGCAATCATGGCGTCGAGTAAGTAAATTCCCTGACAACGTACCTTGAAAGCTTGACTGATGAATTTCTAGATCAATTTATTGTTGCATCTCCACCGACAGATGCCATTTCCGCCTTGAAGTTCTCGCCCGACCCTAACTCGACACGAGTCGTCGTATCCTCCTGGGATAAGAATGTGTATCTTTACGAGCTGCGCGACGAAAATGGGAATGTAGGAGAAGGCAAGCTATTACAGAAATTCGAGCACCGTGCCCCGGTGCTCGATGTGTGTTTCGGCGCAACCGAGGACGAGATCTACACGGCCGGTCTTGATTGGGACGTCAGGAGGTGAGTCTAGCCGCGTCGTACCCTATACCCATAAGACATCGACTATATTGAGTCTGGAATGCAGTACTAATTATTTACAGGATTGACGTAGCAACATCAACCCAGACCGTGCTTAGCAGCCATGAAGCCGGCGTTCGAAGCGTCGTCTACAGCAAGGAACACCATCTGGTGATTTCCGCATCATGGGACTCCACATTACACGTACATCGCGCCGATGCGCCAGACTCCATACCCTCGATTATCCCTCTTCCCTCCAAGCCTTTCTCTACGTCTCTTACGGCTACAAAGCTGGTCGTCGCAATGGCCTCACGCGCTTTACATATCTACGACCTGAAGGCACTGTCTCTCCTTACGGCTCAGTTGGACGGTACTGCTCCGAATAAGGTCGAGGTTGAGCCATGGCAGCGCAGAGAGAGCAGCCTTAAGTTTATGACCCGGTGCGTGGCATGTATGCCTGACGATGCCGGTTACGCTTCTTCGAGCATTGAGGGTCGTGTCGCTGTCGAATGGTTCGATCCTTCTGCTGAATCACAAGCACGGAAATATGCTTTCAAGTGCCACAGACAAACGGCTGATGATGTCGATGTTGTATACCCCGTCAATACACTAGCGTTCCACCCTGTTCATGGAACCTTTGCATCTGGAGGTGGCGATGGTGTCGTTGCTCTTTGGGATGGTATTGCGAAGAGGAGAATTAGGCAGTACCAGAAGTATCCGTCCAGTGTTGCCGCTGTCGATTTCAGTGGTAATGGGAAGTATTTGGCGATCGCTATTAGCCCTGGGTTTGAGGATGGGAAAGAGGATGTTGTTGAGGGGGCGGTCAGGATCTACGTGCGCGAACTTGGTGAGACGGAGGCTAAGGGAAAGGGTGCCAAATAGAATTGAGTATTTATGAAAATCTAATTTTTACGACTAGAAATGGAATTTTAGCCTTGTCTGAGTAGACAATGTAATTCATCCAATTCACGCTAGCATCAAATGGTATCATTTATAGCCCCAGCTTTTATGTATACACGTCAAGATCGTCTCGGTTTCTAGGATTTAAGCAGAAGCCTTTCTCACGGAGACAGACCCGTCAGGCATACCGAAGTATGCAGCAACAGGCTTCTGGCCTCCGGTACCTCCACGAGCCTGGGCCTGGGGACCAGTCTCACCGGAGAAGATACCGACATCCAAGACACCAGGGATCTGCTTGATGGCCCGAGAAAGGGCCTCGACCTCCCAAACTCCGTCCTTTCCAGTGCCCTCTTGTCCAGCCGCAACATCAGCCTTGGTAAGCAGAGTCTTGAAGGGAGCGTCGATAAGGTGGAAGGCCTGATCGGTCTTCAGAGGAGTTGGCTTAGGTGCACCGTCTAGAGCAGTAGGGTTCAATCGAATAGCAGGCGAGATGCTACCAAGTTCCTTGAGAGCTCCAAGAACTCGGCTGGCAGCAATGGGAGCCACTTCGATGGGAATGTATTTCCAGTTCGAAAGGAGACGAGATTGCAGTTTGCGGGAGTCTGTTTGCGGTCAGACTTGGCAAAGTCTCTTTGTGCTTCATTCGGTACCACTAACCTGCAACACAAATGAACTCCTTGGCCTGGAGGGCAACGATCTTCTCCTGGAACAAACAAGCACCGCCACCCTTGATCAGGTTCAGGTCGTCATCTACCTCATCTGCTCCATCGAAGGCAATGTCCAGCACGGTTCCTTCCGGAATGGAGTCGAAGTCAACGGCTGTCAAGCCATTGTTCACGATGAGTTGTTTAGAGAGATATCCTGTAGGCACATATTTGGTTTGAGAAGTGTCGATCCCCGACTCCTTGATGGCCTCGACAACGTAGACGATAGTAGATCCGCTACCAATGCCAACATACTTGGCGTCTTTTGGGTAGTGGTTCTTAACAGCGGCCTGACCGGCTGCGCGCTTCGCGGCTTCGACGAGATCTGTCATTGTGGATAGTAGACGAAAGGTGCTAGGAAGGACTGTGGGAGAAGAAGAACGGAGTATATGTAGGTGTGGACGAGAGTGAGCGGAGAAGGGTGGGGGGAGCAAGGACAAGGATCGGAATCTGTATGAATGAATATTAATAGGCGGGCTATGTTGGATATTAAAGTGCTTTAGCGGCAGGAAATCACTGGGGGAAAAGAACCACAGTTGCCCTGAAGGTGGTGGGCCATTAAAATGCGACCCAGAGAACCTTCCGGCCGGGACTTACCCGGTTAATTGACAACCACGTGGGATTGCTAGGAACATGGCGGAATTATTATGGTATGATAGACCTGTCCCAAGGCACATCTAACTGTTAACGTCTACGAAAGATGGTAGTGTCTATGGTGAACGTCGCAATGGTAAAAGTGCCTTTTTCTGTCCAGTGGTGGGGGTTGTGGTTGTGTCGTCATAGTACTTTGACGGCCTCAGGCCGCGTGCACGGGCCTGTCAGTGCCTATTCCTACTTAGTACAGTAGTCCTACTTCACATCAATGCACCAAATCATGCGACTGGAAACAAATGGCTCAATGCCCTTCTCTGCTCAGGTCTATAATTACACTATTTTACTACTTGTGATGGGCTTCTATAACTAAAAAGGATATATGTTTGGGGACTGGTCTTAGACCAATCTTGTACGTCAGTCCTTGGGGGGAGAGGATCACCCTACTCAGCTCTATTAGCCATACGCAAGCTTTAAAAGGCATGCGATACAGACACTTTTTCGACAAGCTATACTAATCGCTGGGAAGATTTTGTTAATATCCCTAGTCATTTATAACACTTAATTTCGGTCCAAGCCAGAAGTTTCGGACACTTGGGAAGTTGAGATACACAGAACCCATTTCCCTCTAGATGCTCTACAGACACTGGTATAGGCCCAGCCTGGGTTCGTCGGTAGCCACGATAGTATACCAGGCCTCATGCAAAAGAGTCTGTCACTCTACGCATCATCGAATAATGGGAAATTTTGGATATATATGGGCACAACAATGCCGCCATGGCCGCAAGTCGTATGATAGGCAAATTCACCAGCATGAAGATCGGACTTACGACGGGAATTGGCGGTGGATTACCAGCCGAAGAGGCCGATATTCGGCTGAAGGATATTATGATTAGTAGATCTAAATAACAGCATAGAAAGGTAGTAGTCCAGTACGGATTTGGAACTTCTAGAGCAGAAGGGTTAAATGTACCGGGTTCTTCAATGCACCTCCCAAGAAGCTATTAGTTGCGCTTAATATCGTCATGGTATGTACCGTTCCACATTCTAACTCTGTGCGCCGGTGAGGAATTGGTTCGCCATACCAATAGAGAAGCAACTGGTATTATGGACTCTTTAAAAGGGATCAATCGTAGTAAGATCAAATACTATTAGGAGGTATACTCACTGAGTGTTTTTATTGGCGGGGTTGTGTCACCATCATTCTTTTGCAGCCTCAGGCCACAACGCACGGGCCTTATAATCGCTGTGTAAGAGTCACGTGCACATGAGCGTCTACTACGGATTACTGCAAGAACCAATGTCAACGACTACTACCTTACAGCGATAGTTAAATGCTAGATATCCTGCTACCTGTCCGGAACAGGTTCTGAATCCTAGTCATATTAGTGATTTGATTTTCTCCCTCTGCCACCTCCGTTTACTCCTTATCACTCTACCACTCCCCCGCCCCTCATGACTGATGCTTTCCCTAAAGCCCTGGCTGGGCCCTCTTCCAAAGAAAGAAAATATGATCGTCAACTACGGCTATGGGCTGCAAGCGGACAGAAAGCTCTAGAGGAGTCTCGTGTTCTCTTAGTTAACTCTGATGGTCCATGGAGCAAGCAGAGTACTGGCGTATCAGGCGTAGTGGGAGTTGAGACGCTGAAGAACCTGGTCTTGCCTGGAATTGGAGGGTTTACAATCGTGGACCCTGCTACTGTCACTGAGGCAGACCTCGGAGTCAATTTTTTCCTTGAAGAAGAGAGCCTAGGGAAGTCCAGGGCCTCGGAGACCTGTCGGTTGCTGAAGGAGCTGAACCCAGACGTAGAAGGGAACTTCCAATCGAAGGTATAAAATATAGAAATGATTGGCCCTCCCAGATAAATGAGATGCTAATAGGTTTTTCTAGCCGATCATACAGCTTCTGGAAGAGGATCCCGATTTCCTCGCACAGCATAGGCTGGTGTTAGTATCTGGTCCTATGAAGCGATCCTCCTTGGATGCTCTTGGCAAGGCCGCTAGAGAGCTGGATATCGCAGTGCTATATACACGCTCTGTTGGATTCTACTCGACTTTCTCTCTTCAACTACCGGCTTTGTTTCCCATAGTAGAGACTCATCCAGATCCGGAGACAACTCAAGATCTCCGCCTCCTCAATCCCTGGCCAGAGCTGGCAGAATCGACTTCTCGAATTGATAACTTAGAGGGTTTGGATGACCACCAACACGGTCATGTCCCATACCTATTATTACTTCTTCACTACCTCGAGAAATGGAAGGAAACACACAATGGCAATGTTCCAACCAATTACAAGGAGAAGTCTGAATTTAGGGAGATGGTGCGCTCGGGCGCAAGGACGAGTAACGCTGAAGGCAGCGAAGAGAACTATGATGAAGCTGTTGCGGCAGTATTGAAGTCATTGAACCCCTTTAGCTTACGCAGCTCAACCCGTGAGATCTTCGAGATGGAAGAATGCAAAAACCCCCGGCCGGATTCGGCTGATTTCTGGATTATCGCATCTGCGGTCCGTGAATTTTTCCACCAGCACAATGTGCTGCCTCTCCCGGGCTCACTGCCCGATATGAAAGCCCAGTCGGCAGACTACGTTTCTCTACAGAACATCTACAAAACGAAGGCGAGGAAAGACGTCGAGGAGGTTACAAATATAGTTAGAAAAATCGAGTCCCAACTAGAGTCTCGGCCCGGTGAAATTCTGGAGAAGGATATAGAGGTTTTTTGCAAGAACGCTGCTCACATCAAGGTTATTCATGGCCGCAGCATCCCCAAAATTGATGGGGAAGCAGAGGCTCTTAGGGCTATCCGAAACAGTATAAGCACCCCTGAGTCTCTCATTCCTATCTTCGTTGCTTTCCAAGTCCTGGATAATATCGTCACCGACATCCAAGAAGGAAAGCTCCCCGGCGAATCAATTGACGACGAAGTGGCGTGGAATGCGCAGTCTAAACGTGTCCTCTCTGCCCTGATACACGACAATCAATTTCAAATTGATGAAGATGCACAAGAGCGCATTGTGGAAGCTACCCAAGAGCTGCGCCGGACAGAAGGCGGCGAGCTGCATAATATCTCCTCATTGACCGGCGGCCTAGTCGCTCAGGAGGCGCTCAAGGTTATCACAAGGCAGTATGTGCCATTGGACAACACGTGTATCTTTGACGGAGTCCGAAGCCGGACCGAGATGTATAAGTTGTAGTAGAGTTGTGCATTTAATTGAGACGGCAATGGCAGACTTAGTGGGGAAAACTGCTATGAAATGAAGTTATGAATTGGGTTATAATGGTCTAACAAATAGTTTCCCTAATAGACCTACCTCTAAAAAACAAGGCTTTTCCAGCCCTTACATTATAGATGTCAATGATGCCCACAACTTGGGCAACCGCCAAAGCCAGGCTTGTCTTTAGGGCGTTTGAGACCAGTAGTCTCTCCATACTCGGTTCCATACAGTCCATAACATGCCAACCTACCGGTCTTGAGTTCGAACATATCATCTATGCCCCTTCAAGTCAGCTCAAAAAGGAATTCTAGCACTTACGGCCCAGAAAACTCACCCAAGTTAAAATACCTCATATCTATCATTAGCCGCGACTGAGGATCACGGGCTCTCCTCTCTTCAGGCTCATTCCTACACAAACACAAAAGATTAGGAGAGAACTCATCCGCAAATTCATTCCATCGACAACCCCAGCAATTGTTTTTGTATTCGCGAAGCCCGTTTTCACTGTCACTGTTAGTCAGTATTTTGAAATTATAGGGTGTAAAGAGTATGCATACTTATATTCTGGAACAGATGATCCATTTTTCCAATCAACACACCTGTCAAATAATAATCCAAAGTATCAGCCCTCATACCCCTTGGGAGTCCTGTATCTTTTATGCAGGAGCTGTGTGGGTAGGTAGTCTTGATCTGCGTCAGCTGCGCTTTTGGCGTAGACATCTGTGCTGTGACATTTTTGGCGGAGGGCATCTCGAAACTTGAGAGGGGACCATATTGGCTAGTAAATAGAGATAGGAGGTGAAGAGATAATGAGGATGGTGAGGGCGTGACGCATTTTTGCAAGTTGCTGGGCTGGGTAGAATATATCTCTGGTCACTGTGTAGCTGGAGAGAAAAGATAAGAGAAAGAATGGAGAATGACTGCTATCGAAAAAATCCGGCTAAAGCCTCAATTGAAGAATTATTTGAGTAGAGCTTTAGGTTTACATGTATCTGTGGTTATATTGTGGGCTCAATACAGCTCGGACTGCCCCTGAGGCATTCTGTTTTGCTTTATCCCTTTTTCTATATCAAGCTAGGATGGGCGTTGTGTAACGGTTCAGAGAGCGGTTTCACGAATATTACCATAGGCACGATCAGTTAAGGGGTCTGAGCACTCGTCTGGACTCATGTCGCGGGCTTTGGTTTAGAATTATTGATGAGTTCATTTCGTAATTATAGGGAAGCGCAAAGGAAAGAGTTCATGTAAAGGAAAAGGTTAACGCGGCAAACGGGGCAAATGCTAGCAAGGCGAAGATGCCACATATACCTCAGTCGCTATTGCCGTCGGCCTGTCGTAGGCTTTGAGTCAAGAGTACGACCGCTTCATTCTCATTGGAACGAGGGAACGAGGGAACGAGGGAACGAGGTTCAATACGAATAAATGACAAATCTGTTAGCCTTTGCCATCATACGAAAAGGAGAGACTGGCCCAGGTCATTTGTTTGTGAACCGTAGAGCCGGATATAAAGCCATTCCATACAGCTTCTAGCTGTATACTGCAAGACTGGATATTTACAAATTTTGGTACCAAGGAGGCTTAATCATTATGAATAGCATGCGTCGTGCAATTTTATCACATCAGGTATCCTTTAAATAATCCGTAGCTGATCTCTCTTCTTCTGATGAATCCCCGGTAAGGCCGTGCTCCAAAATCTCCGGGTGTCTGATCGCTCCATAGATTAGTCAACAGATTCCTGACGTCTGTATGGGTATAAAGCCTTACCTTCTTATATAAAGTTCGATGCACAGCATTGAAAGAATACTTCCAGCGGCCCAGGTAGCTGACAATGGAAATCCAACAGGATACCGCGGACTATCTGACGTTCTCCAAATGCGGAGTGGAATTGTCGCATGACCGACGTCTTTCAGCGCAGGGTTAGTAAAGCCATCATACTTCTCTAAAGATGTCTAGAAAGCATAACATACAGACAAACGTAACAGTCAGAGCTACAAGAATAGATCTCACTTCAGGCTCTTTGCGAAGGATTTCACCGATCCAGGCTAGCAGCGCATATCTGAATTAAGAGATCAGTATATTAATAGTAAACAACTCGGTAAGTTAGGAGACAACGACATACCCCCATGCGCTGGTAGCAAAGGTCATGAAGTAGAAGGCCATGACTGTAGGCGTGGAATCAGGCCAGACGGATAAGACCGAACAACAGAGTACTTGTAATAGCTTTAGTCATGTTAGATCAGGAGTCATATGGACCAAAAACTGTGGGATTGATTCAAGAGTTCACCCACAGCTGTACCGATGGCCACTTGCCATCGCCATTGTTTCCTGTCACTCAGGAAGTTGAGACCAATGTTGGTAACAATTGAGATTGCGTATCCACCCAACGGAATGAGATTGACAGTGTACGTGCTGTGCCTGTCAGACATAGCTCTGATAGCTAACGACAGCAAGTCGTAACTTACCTGTATAGCTGTTTGCCATCACTATTTTTCAGGCCCTGACTCGCAAATCAACACCAGTCTATCGCCATGATGATCAGGAGAAATAAGTATACCTTTAAATATAATAAAAAGTAAGAGTTACATCTCTGACTCCATGCATACTGAAGGTATGCAGCGATGTACAACCAGCTCAAGGGGGATTTCAAAAGGGCACGAATCTTCTTCAGCACAACTTGCCGATTAACAAGTTCATTCGTCTTGATACCACAGTTCTTCATGCGCTCTACAGCGACTTTGCGCTCGGATTTGGTCAACCATAACGCCCGGGTGATGCTTGGAGAGTCGGGGATAATCAGGAGCCCGAGCATGCCCCATGCCATCGTTATGCAGCCTGTAACTATAAACAGCCATTGCCATCCGTGTAGGCCGCCTGCGCCGTCTAGGTTCTTGTATAAAGCTGCCTGTAGGATGCCTAGGAACATATTTCCTGCAGTGCCGCTGACGCCGAAAATTGCTAGACGTGTTCCCAATTCTCGAGGAGTGTCTGGAATTCTCATTAGAATATTAGTTATACAAGAGATTTTGAATTGCCTTACACCAGTTGAATAGCAGGCTGGCAAGACCGGGCCATGATGTCTACATTGTTTTAGGGACCTATTTTGCCACAAGGATGCTAGGATACCACCTACAGACTCGAAAACCCCTAGAAAGAATCTCAACGCATAAACCGTTTTTGCATTTTTGGCGGCAAATGTACTGCAAAAGCATTAGCGTGCTAGATGTGATACAAGAAAGCAAGGCATACGCCAAATTTAGTGCACCCCAGATGATTTCGCAAGTTGGCAGCCATATCGACGGCCTGATCTTAGTTTGCGTCAATTGCGACGGCACGATTGCGATCGCGTAGCCGATAGAAAAGAATGTCGTAAATTCCACTAACTCGTTGCCGTAAAGGCCCAGCGACTCCTTCATCCCGGAAACATATGCTTGAGTAGTTGCGGACTGATCCATATCCTATCCATCATCCGATGAGTTTAGGGTCTCAAACAACTACACAATATCAAGGAAAACCCACCTTAGTGAGGCCAGAAACGAATGCCCATGTCAATAGCAGAAAATCAATTTTTAGAACGACCAGACGTTCTTTGTCTGTTATAAATCTTGATATATTATTCCATGCCGAGGTTTTCATGACCCGTGAATTTCCATCGTTCGAAGAGCGTCGTTGCTGTTCGACAACAACACTGCTTTTTATAGTCGCCATCGTTCAACTGGGCAGAGACCTTCGGTACGTAGTGTGATACCCAGCTAGAATATAAATGTCTCATGAGAGGCAATAATTTCCCTGTTAGTTGCAGAAAAGCAGCTTATATGTTAGAGGGAAAGAAATCTTCCCCGTGTGGATGACGCGATAGTAATTGTCGATGGTTTGCGACTTTGATGTATAGCCAAGTGTTTTATCCCGGTTCTGATTGGACTCTCACTGAAGTCCGAAGATCTAAGACAGCCAAGAGTGGGAATAAAAGGTATTCAAGGGTGCACTCTCTTTTAGTGTTCAGGAGAGCTTATGTTGGTGCAATGTGTCCGATGTGAATGGGTGAAGATGGTGCATTTCTTGGCTTGAAAGGCATCATCGTATCATCTCATTGAATCATTTGACACTGCTTCCAAGACTGTGACCACTTTCAGTAATTTTATTCGGGGTCCCTCCGGCTTAGTGTTAAAACCACCTCAGAATCAACAGGGATTCAACCGCGTCCATGCAGAAGGGAGGGTCACAACCATTGCCGTTGCCATTGGGGACTTCCTAGCCCTAACCTGTAGAGTCACGTCGACAATGTAACTATAAGACCCAACCCCAGCTGGATCGGTACAAAGTACACCAGGAATTTCTGCTACTTATGTTGAGTAATTCAATCTGTAATATCAGCAATCTAATAGATTCCAGATACCATGTCCGACAATGCATCCGCACCCCTCTACCCAGCTTACCTCCCTGTCCGCCCGGAGGGCTTCACTCCAACCCTGAACATCCCACTTCAAGATGTTCCTGAGGCAGGCTGTCGCGCAGATTCATCCCTACCAGAAATTCGAACCCATGATAGTCAACTTGGGAATATAACTCCACGGATCGGAACGGAGATCAGAGGCGTACAATTAAGTCAATTGAGCGCCGCAGGTTTGGATCAAGTAGCCTTGCTGGCTGCACAGAGGGGTGTTCTTGTGTTTGTACGATGACCTATCTTCACCTTTCCTTAAGGAGCCTTTTTCTACTTTTCGGTTAAATCACTGACGAGAAGTGTAGAGGGGTCAAGATTTTGCCGACATTGGAACAGCCCGACAACGAGATATCGCAGCTCATTATGGACAACTCCATCAGGTTCGCCGGTGATAAGCCTTGCCATGACGTACATTTCAAACCAACTAATAAATTACTTGCATAGCATCCCACCATGGGATATCCACAAGGCACAAGTCCTGAATTCCAAGTGGTATACGCAGACGAAAAAGTGTACGAAGCCTACTCTTCCCACAAATCGTGCGTTAGCTTATGTTTCTTAGAGGAAACCTTCGAACTTTACTTGGAGCCCACACAAGTTACGACCTTTGGCACGTTGACCAGACATTCACGCCCAATACTCCCGGAGTAACATTCTTCTGGGTCCTCGAGACACCGGCCTCCGGCGGCGGGGACACAGCATTCACCTCACTGACAGCCGCATATCAAGCCCTCTCACCCACGTTTCGTGAGGGCTTACATCGCCTAAAGCTCCTACACACCAGTGCCAGTGTAGGAGAGGTCGCCCGTGTTGGGCAGGAAAGAGCTCTCAAAGAGGCAGTCCAGACAGAACATCCGCTTGTAATTGACCACCCTGTCACTCACGAGCCTGTACTATTCGTGAATCCGACCATTGCAAGACAGGTGGTTGGCTATAAACCCGAAGAGTCGGACAATCTACTATCGTTCTTGCATAATCATATCCGGTCGTTGGATTTCAGCTGTCGCGTATCGTGGGAAAAAGGGACTGTGGTAGTATGGGATCAAGTATGTACCGTAGCCTCGTGCGCTTTGGAAGAAGACCTATACTGACTTGTGACTTAGAGGGCAGTAGCACACTCTGCTGTGCCGGACTTTGAGGATGGAGACCGCCGGCATATGGTTAGAATTATCGCATACGGCAGTCAACCCCAGGCGATTTCTGTATCTAAGTTGTCGTGAATTTTAATCTTCGGAAGATAGAAACTAAGCTCAAAGGAGCTTGGTACCATGCGTGTGTAGTAATTGCATCTGTCTTGAATAAGATAGGAAAGAGGTGGTCTCATCTGCCTCCAGTCTCGCTTCGTCCCATCTCGACCCCGCCCCCCGATATCATATTTCCTTTCACTCTGACTCTTCTATAGCATCTCGCATCTCTGGCATTATCCCTTTGAAGACTTCAACTCTTCCCGTAAGAAATCAAATGACTAGCAGCTACTCCTACGCCTCCTACCACTCCTACCACTCCTCCAACAACTACGTCCAATACTCCCACTGTCTCTTCTTTACTCTCACGTTACAGATACTACCCAGCCTTATGATCTGTTCCCACATACTTATATTCATTTTGTATCTGTGATACTCCGACAGACAACATCTCACCACGCCGGCTTCAACCTCGCCCTCTCCTACTGCTCTCACTGGATAGTTTTATACCAATTTCTACCCAAGCGAGTTCCCATACTCAACGCCATACACTAATAAATTACCTGACTTAGGTTCTGATTGTGGCCTTGGTCCAGCTGAGCATGGTAAGTCAGAAGGTTATAATGACCTTCCCACACACTAACTGAGGACAGATGACCAAGTACCAGCTACCCAGGAACCTACCCCAACCAGAGGAAAACGAACGCTTCAAAAAGTCCTCCGCCTCGAAACCTACAAGGAATGGCTTGACTGGTTGAGAAGTCCATTAGTTGCTCCCTGGTGGAACGAGCTGATGAACGACTGTATATCCAAACACGATACACACGAACACCTGAGAGTCCCTAGGAAGGCAGTGATAGCGAAAATGACCCGCGGGGAAGCAAACGGAAGCACGAGATACAGCGCACGCTTCCCTCAAAAGGATGAATGGGATGTTGGTGACCATTTGGCACGCTTTGTGCTCATGGTTAAAGATGAAAACTTCAGGTCGAATCAGGGGGTTTTCTATAGAGAGTGCTTCGCCGAGGCGGAAATGGAGGGTATCGTTTGGGATCTGTTGGGTTATTTGAGAAACACTCGGGGAAGCTCGATATCGACCAAACGACCAGGTATGTAGTGGATAATCGCGTGGTAGTTAGCTAAGCTAATAGGATAATCCTGATTATAGGGAGTTAATCCGCGCACCCCAGAAAGAGACTCAAACGCTTCAAACAGCACCAGAAGATCTTGGATAATCCTGATTATCAGAGAGACAGCCATGAAGAACCATGTGAGATGCTTCAAATTGCAAATCCAAAAGCACCACGAATGAGGTCCATGAACCGACCTGTTGTCTTAAAAGTTCTGGCAGCTAGTTGCCATTGCCCGCCTGCTTGAAATCTGCGCAAATCCCGAGATACAGGCAGCTATTCTTAGAGATTCTGTGGGATTAGGAAAGACGTATAAAGCCATTGACGTGATGCTAAAGGTTCGTCATGCATATACCCTCAACACTGGTTAAACTATTTATAGCAAGACTAACGAGGCTGTAGATCTGGGAAGATTATAACAAGTCTGTAATAGAAGCAATCAACGGAGACCGAGATATCCCACCAGGTCGACCATTTCTAGTCGTCGTACCTCCAGCACTCATTATGCTGTGGTATACAGAGATAATCAGGGTTACAGATAAGTTGCGTATTGTTTTATACTATGGCGACAAAAAAGTCCAACAAGGTGTGCAGACAAATAGAACTTTACTGCACAAAGATCATAAGCTATTCGACGGTTCCCCGACCGATGGTCGAGCAGTTATTATTACCTCATATCAGACACTGAGCAATCGCCACGGGTTCGCAGGTGTGAAAGCATGGTATAAGAAGACGCACGGAGACCACGTTAATGTAGCAGATATACAGACTGCGCCACATGATTTCCCATATCTCCTCACGAATAAATTTGCATATGTTATCATTGATGAGGAACATACACTTCGCAACCCGGACACCTCATAGTCCAGGGTCATTGGCTGAAGGCTGACTTTTATTTACTCTTGACTGCCACGCCTATTTACAACTCCCGTGACGACTTTCGCGGGTATATTCCACTCATGTTTCGCCCAACCTCTTCCGAAAAAAAGTGGGTAATGGAGCTAATAGGAAACAATATTTTCATATTGCCTCAGGAACTCCAGGATCTTTGCTGCACAAGGGACGCAGTGGAAGAGCATGTGCTCAATGATAAAGTGCCACCAATGGTCACTGGTGAGCGCTTACGTGCTGTCTTTAGCCAGTTTCATGGTCAGGAGGACTTATCATCTCGGTTGGAGTCACTCCGTTCGAGGATGATAGGAAATTCTATTCCGCCAACATGTCGCAAAGTTTGCACTGTGGCATACAACGAGAAAGAACTTAGCATGTATAGACGGGTTGCCGATAAGCTTGAAAGAAGATTGTTCATGAGAAGCAAAATGGATCCGCGAAAGTACGTTTTGAACATGGCTAACCTCCGCAAACTTGTGCTTTTGACCTCGTGGCTTAGCTTCCAGTACCTCGAGCATGGGCTTTATGTATCTAGAATACAAGAAGCGTGCGAAAAGATACGAAGAGCGACCTTGGGGGCAACATTTGCACATGCTATTGTGACGAAAATGAAATACCAATGCAATCAAAACTCTCTCTACCAAGACATTAAGGAGATAGAAGGCAAGCGGCAAACCTGGGTGCTCAAGTTTCTTCTCACGGGCTCGCCGAAAATGAGAGCTATGCTCCCCATATTGTGTGATCAGGTCATTGTTCACGGCGAAAAGGCAATGGTGTGGACACACTTTCCTGCTGAGCAGATCTATGTTGTGACAATTCTCACGGAGGCCAACATTGATGCGGATGTTTTCCATGCTGGAGTATCTCGTGATGAGGGAATTAATCTCATTGAACGATATACTCAGAAACATGACGAGTGCATGGTGCTAGTAAGTGAATATAACGTCAATGCTGCTGGTTTGAACCTACAAAGCTCATGTCAAAATGTTCATCTCCTCTCCGTGGGCCTATTCAAGTCAGTTGTCAATCAAGCTATAGGAAGAGTCAGTCGACTGGGCCAAGAGCGTATTACGTTCGTCTACGAGTATCGCCCCGGAAAGTCTTTCGACCAAGTTCTTGTTCATCGCAGCGAGATAAAAGCTCTTCCAGGCCTGATAGTGGACCTCGGCGAGGATTTTGACTTCAGCTCAATCTCGCAAGGTGACAGACAAATGTATAACTAGCCGATGGGTGCTGAGAAATGGAGAGCTGATTGAGCTCGCACCTGGAGAATCTGCGAGGGAGGAAGACTCCACCAACAGTTCTTCGATTCTTTGGGCGTTAAAGAGGTCTATGAAAGACAATGCCTAGGCTGTTATTTTCTTGCTTTCTTTCTTCCTTTTTTGCGAAGTGAAATTTGCACTTAAATGGTCTTGGGACAATTGATCTATGGCACATTTTACGGAGACGTATTGAACTTCTTTCCATTTTCTGTTCTGTTCTTATTTTGAACACTTTATCTGGTTTCTAGTTAATCTGCAACTCATATGTTCTTTTTTTTAAAAAAAAAATTGGCATATTACTCACACTTGAACTTCACTATCCCTTTAACCTCAGTCAATACAGCGAGTAGGTTATATAGATCAAGTGACTACCGAGGCACGTGCACAATCAGCGAATATTCCCGAATTAGATTAGCGCCGGACTTCGGGATGAGGAGGGAGGGTGACAACAGACCAATATCTATTGTCAATGTTCTGCTGACATTGAGGTTCATGTTCTAGGACATGATGCACTCTGGGTATTCCTCATTCTGATACCGTTATTCACTCCTTTGATCAGGAGAAATCTATCCCGCAAACGGTTGATCTCGCCGCGTATGCCTCGCCTCGTGTTTGAAACCTGAACTTGGGATCTAGTCCAGCAGGCCGGCAGGTGCCGTCCAACTGGAGAGTCAGTCATGTCTGTCTTACAGGAAACAGTGAATGTACCTATAACATCCGCCGCGCGAACTCTCAATACAACGATCCCAGCTGCCGCTACTTCTGTACTATCCTCGTCCGCCCGTGAACTGCTCGCCGGCCCATTCCGTCGTCTCTCCGCACTCTCCTCTCATGTCAACAGGCTAGTCGGGTTACCGAGTATGACAACATACCTTGGGGGCTCAGCTGCTGTAGGGGCAGCAGGAGATGTAGTGGTAGAAGCAACACATACAGCCGCTGAAGTCGCCAGAGAAGGCATTATTGATGCCGCCGCGCAGGCCGACTCGAGCTACCATTTCACTGATATCTTCCAGGCTGTTATCAAGTTCAGTGGCTTCTTTTCCTACTTGACCAGTCGGTGGTCTTTAGCTTGCTTTACCGTGGTGAGGTTCTACCTGTTAGAGAATTCCCATGGTCGATCTGCTCTAATACATCAAAGGCCCTTGTTTTGAACAGGATCACCATATATGCGTCGACCCGAAGGCATCTCCATCTCGATTGGAGTCGTCGACTAGCTTTACGGATTGTACCTATTCTTTTGTTTCTGTCTCAAATCCACTCGCTACTCCGCGCAATCCGCTGTCAGACGTCCCCCGAATATTCTCTCATCCGGTACGGCACTCCCGGGAAACGTTTATTGTTTGACCATGCTGGGGGTGGGGGATTTCTGTATTCGTTAGGCTCCACGCTTCTACCGTGGGAGACCGATGAACAGTCTTGCAGCGCGATCAACATGGGCCGCCCCACAAGTACTTCGGATATCTCGTACGGATCCTTCGTGCTTCTTTGGCCAGTGTTTCTCCGGCTGTGCTTGAGTCACTTTGTCGAAACGCTTTCATGCGCGCTGCAAGGAAGGGCGGTGGTCACGGAGGCCGGGATGTCTATTTTTGAACACTCTCTTGCGTTTGCCGAAGCGGAATCTTCAATCAGTCAGACACTCGGGCTGGGACTGTTTGGTCTACCAAAACAAAGCGCTAGCAAAGACGACCTAGGAGAAGGCGCCCAATCCACCCTTCACCTACTCACTAGAGGTCAGGTTCTAGAGCGAATGAATGTGACCCCAGAGTTACTTCTGATCGCTTTGGTATCGTGTTGCAACAGTCTAACTTCCAACGTGCTGGACGTTTTTGGCAAACAGAGCCGATACCGATTATTTAATACCGCTTTCTGGGGCCTTTGCTTTATGTCGACTATGGCGTGGGGCTTACTAAAAGGCTCATCTATAGGAAGTGAAAATGTGGTTCTGAAATTCCCTACCGTTTGTATTGTCGGATTCGTCCCTCACCTGCTGATCCTATTGGGCATTATCACATGTGGTGCGATCTATATGCTTGCTCTCCTTGTCACGGCTTTCTCGCTTCCTGTGGATGTTCCTCGACCATTGTCGCTTAAAGAGAGATTTACGCTGGCGCATGAGAATATGCAAGGGGCTACCCAGTTTCACAACATCCGATTTAACCGACACGAAGATTTCTATACCACATTATTGAGAATTGGATACACCGCTCTGACCGCGGCCAGTGAGGCGGTATTCCTCAACGAAGGGAAAGGCGTTGTTGCTCGGAGCATGACATGGTTGGAGGAGGATAGGCTAGCGGAAATTGAATCATCACGACATAGACGTGCTCCCCAAGACTCTGTCAACCATACGAGCGATGTTCCTTTCGGGGCGGGGGAATCTGTTGACTTTGATATACCCGAGGCACCTTCTGAATGGGAAAGCGGATACAGCCGAGAGAAGAAAATCGAGAAGCCTAAGAATGGGTCCCGATCCATTCGGACTCAGACTGACCCTGGTGGTGTTGGAGCCTTTCGAGGCATGGTCCGATGCTACCATGGTTTTGCTTTCTTCCGGGGAATTTTTTATCTCCTCCTCAGATGGGCTGCTTATGGCTTGGACAAGCTGTTGAGCAAAGTAGGGATTACCGCCCGGCCGCAGTGGCTGAAGACAATAGTCAGGCCCCATAAGAGTCGACCACAGGAACTGAAGAACAAGCAAACGGAATCGCTCGATTTCTGGGTTCTAACGGACGCTGGAGAGTTGGTATTGCCAGCGGACCACAATTTCGACGTTGAAACAGAGATGAGAAAACGGGAACGCTCCAATACCACGCAATGGGAGCAGTCGGATGAGCAGCGACTTGACGACAAGCTGTATGGCTGGTGGAAGGTTGGAGGATCCTGGGGAAATCAGGATCTGAGCTCAGACTATGCACCGCCGGAGAACGACACCGACGACACGACTAGCGTTGTCTCAATGTCAACCACTATGGACTCTGAGTGGGAAGATGAATCGGATGGCCGCCGCACACCCACGCGTGATAACCCGTTTCCTCCGGGCTTCTCCCGCGAAAGCACTCCCGTTCAAGAATCAATGGTAGATATTAGCACTTTCGCGCGCTTGCTTGATCCACGCGATCAAGAAAGCAGGCAGGAGGCCCGCATTCTGGCTGCTCACCTTGCTGCCGGGCAAGAAGGCCGAATCCTGACCCGTCGTCGATTCCAGCAACAGGTAGATCATGAAAGAGCCCAGGTACTTCTGTCTTCTCGAGTGTCTCAGAATACGAGATCCGAGAAACGAAAACCTACCATAGAAGAGGAGAGTGAAATCCTTGAGAAACTTATACTCTCCCGACGCTCAAGCGCTTCTGTTCCTGCCGATGAACAGTCGTGGGAATCCGGCGCTTCGGGGCTGGGACCAAGCGGTCCACCGTGTGTTATCTGCCAGACAAGTCCACGCTCAGTAATTACGTGGCCATGCCGCTGCCTCTGTGTGTGTGAAGAGTGTAGGGTGAGCCTTGCGATGAATAACTTCGGAAGTTGTGTGACTTGCCGCCAGGACGTCGGAGGATTCGTGCGGTTATGGGTACCATAAACCTTCTTTTCCCTTTCTTTTCTCTTTCTTTTCTCTTTCTTTTCTCTTTCTTCCAATACCTCATTTCTAATGTTCTCCTACGACGGCGTTACCCTGATGATCATACCAGTGCATATATTATATCATCACTCATCTTCCCCTTAGGCTTAGGCTTAGGCTTAGGCTTAGTTCACTTATAGAATGTATTATCTTCATCGTCACGCTTTGGATAGCTTCAGACATGAGACAGCCGTTCCAGGAATCATCAACAAAGCGAGCCATAAACAATCACTACAACATATATCATTCAACATATTAATAATAATAATAACCAGGATCATCCCCTAACTTCTGTATGGCATACCAAACAAACAAAACTAGAAAGTAAGTAGCATTCACTCCCCACAAATGTAAACGATCCCCACAATAAAGATCCAAATTAGCCCAAAAGCCAAACAGAAACGAAACACAAGACTGATTAAATAGTATTGTTACAATCCTCAGTCCTAGTCGCCATACGATCGCCAGCCTCACAGGGAACAACAACAAAATCAATTGTGGTTCAGCCATGGATCCAAAAGAATCAGAGACGATAAAACACAGCCGCAGCAGCAATAGCCATACCAGCCAGACTACCCGTGATCTGTGTTGCTCCGTTCGTCTTGAGCGGCGGGGAGGCCGAATCAGTTCCACTACCTGACTTCGAAGCCGAAGGGGAACCGCCGGAAGAAGACGCACCGCCGGCACCGCCACCACTGGCATGACTGGACGATGCGCCTGGGGTAGAAGAGGAGCCATGGGCATGGGAAGAGCTAGCGCCCGAAGACGAGGGCTTAGGGGTTGTGGTTGTCACCGAGGAGCCGGTTGGGATGGTCATTGAGCCGGTGGCAGAAGCTTGTGTCGTACCTGCTCCTGTTGTAGTCGTTGCAGGGGCGGATGTAGGGGCGCCTGGGTTCGGGACACTGATGGGGTAGCCAGCTGAGGAGCACTGCGCGACGACGAGCTTGGAGACGGCTTTTGTTCTGTTAATATGGAGTTCATGGGGTTTGGTTTGGATTTTGGGGGGGGGGGGGGGGTTGGTCAGACGTACAGGATTGCTCTGGGAGACCGCAGCTTTGGGAGACGCATGGGGTGACTTGGCTGACGAGGTCAGGCTTTTGGCAGTGGCAGGCGAAATCGGTTAGGCTTGGACATCCATCTTTGGTGAGAGGGCCAACGAGGCAGTTTATCTGTGTGAATTGGTTAGGTTAAGCAGTGGGTATAGTGTGGGTGCGGGGACTTTACTGCGCAGGGTGGGATATCCGGGAACTGGGCAGCGGCGAGACTGGCAAAGAGGAGAATGAGGCCGTGGAAGAGCTGCATTGTATTAAGTATAAGATGCCTGTAAAGGGACTAGCTTTGTATGTTGTTCGAAAACGAGTGTCGAGGTGTAACGAGTGGTAGGTTGTCTGTGGGGAGAACAGGTGTACGTCTCGACGGAGGCAATCAGGGTCTTTTTATATGGACATGAGGGGAACGTTTCACCACGTCACATGCGTAGAAACCTTAGATTCAGAGCTTGATCAATGACAAGCTTCTATGTATGGCGATGTGACGTCCAACGTGAACCCATAGGGGATTCTACACCCTTGGTGCATTTGGTGTTGCCCCAATACGTACTCCGTACACCCTGGGGAATTTTCAAGGCTACGCTAATTTTGAGACCGTTTACCCCATTGACCTCACTATTGCAGCAGGCGTACGTATGCCCGAGCCAGGGTTTCCTGCAGTTCTGCACCAAACTTCCTCCAGGGTGAGGGGCTAGTAGTACTCTGGGTGCGAGCTTGAATTGGTCAATGGCCATATTGTTAATGGGAGGTCAGCGCAAGTAATTTGGATGCCTGGTTAATGACAGGGCAAAGAAGATATCAACCGTGGTAATATAGAGGACTAGGTAGCGCTATTTCCGTGGATAATAGAGATAATTAGGGCTAGAATGCGTAATAAAGCAATCGATCAAGGTCTGATCTAAGCGGTAGACATATTTAGCATTCAAGGTACAACTGTAGCCCTCCTACCATTTCTATGTGGTAGATTCACTACGTAGACAAAGGTAAGCCAATCGATATTAATAAAGTGAGACATGGCGAAGTCATCGGAGCGTTTATCAATGTGTGACAGGTGACGAATCACAACAGGGTAGAGAAAGGGTACAAAGATTAAGACGGCTTCGGGACTTTGCTAATAGGCTTCTTCCAACTCACAGGGTATGACAGTACTGGGATCTTGTGTAATGTGGCGTAGTCGAGAACAAAGTAAGTGTAACATGTCTTAAATGAAGAGACGAATAACAAAGATACTGGCCGTTCGCATAGGATCCCTAGGCCTGAGCGTGTAGTAGCTTCATAGAGGGTTCTTTGTGTAGTAGTAATCCTCCTTTGCTTCGCTCTTTGTGGCTTTGTGAAATCGTTACATGAGTCTCATCAAGGGTAGGCTTCTAAGTGCCTGAGCTTGCGTTTATAATGGACAGGAATTTGCTCGAGCAGACGCGCAATATAAAAATAAAACTAAAACAAGGTGAACAAGTAAATCCATCATGACAATCGTTACAACCGATGATGTGAGCATTCAAGTCACTGCAATCAAAGGTATGTATACGGCGGTTTCCCAACGCCTTGTTCCTAGTATAAAGCCCAACGCCATATTCAGCTGATACTCATCTCTCCCCTATCTGTACAGTTGAAAGGTGGTTCAGGACAAAAGCTTATCAATGTATGCTCGCTGTTCCGACTCATCCTTCTGTTTGAGTAGCACGGCTAAGACCTCGATTGGTGGGTTGAGGTTTAGAGATTCTGCGCGTCTCCACCGCTTCAATCGAGCAATTCCGATGCAAGGCTAGATAATCAGTCAATTAAATGTTCTCGTCCAACAGCTGAAAACGTCGAACCGCTTGAAAGATTTTATGCCTTGGATAGATCAAACGTACCCCAAATTGGCTGGAAAGATCAAAATGTCGCAGAATTTTCTCGTGTAGGGTGAGATCTTGCTGATGAACTGTGACGAACACCGTCAGTGGGTTTGATCCAACAATGGGCAGCAGGGATCGGAGATGAACTGTGGAACACTAACACCGAGGACCCCTTATTTTCTCTTCCTCGGCCCTCCAATAATGCTGTAGATCCTTCTCGGTAATCTTTATCGCCCTCTCGTCCTCCTCTGACAAGGGCTGTTGGATCTCCGCCTGAGCCTGTTGCCTCACAGCAAGCTCCGCCACATGCGGCTGCGAGGGTTCGGCAGCTGTAACAGGTGCCTGTTCTGGTACTAGGACCTTCTCAGAGATAGAAGCGACAACTGGTTCAAGGTCCTTAGTTTTTTGTGTTTGCGTCGGCGTCGCCGACGGCTTGGTAACCCTGGACTGGGATCCGAAAGAGAGAGTCGCCTGGTTTGAGCGAGCGGCTGTAGCGTGGCCACCGCGGCGACGAGTGGGGGGCATTCTTGCGATATAGAATAGATGTGTTAGAGTATCTAATTGGGGCCTCGGCGTACTAAAATGCAGGGTGGATAGAAAGATCCAGTCTGGGGTACAGATCAGGACTCTGCAGTTCGAGATAGAGTGGGGACGGCGATGTCATAAGTTTAGATTGGTTTGTTGCACATGGCAACCGGAAACCCTACCTCTCACTCACTACGTCTTGAATTTAAGAGGTAGATTTATTACCAAGGTAGGATCTCTTTTAAATTTCATTCCAATAAGACTGGATTAGATTAGCTTTCTTTCTCTTGGATTTGAAGGGGCTACATTATATTTATAGCAATTGCAAGTAGTATAATGCACATACCATGTCCGAATGCGGGGGAACTTGAAACTAATCGCCCAAATGTACATGATTGGAAGGAAATATAACAAAAAAAGAAGAAAATATACAACCATTGGAAAAGCATTGAAGACTGTCTAGTAGGTTATATTATGGAATATGGTGGGAAGTGGTACTAGTATCCCCGAATCATGCATTCGGTCCTCCTTCAGACCTAGGACACCACTGTATACCTAACCATTACATTATGTTGAGGACTTGCCAAATATCCCGATATTTCCTTTCTCAAGGGGATGCCTTATTTTCAATGAGTGACAAAATCAACCAATAATTAACAGTGCATTCTTGTGTTCTCTAAAACTGGGAGAGTGAAAATCATCTGCTGATTTCGTGCTCGATATCAGAATAAGAACTCCTTCAATCGCCCGATCTTGAATTGTCTACAACCAGGTGATATGATATGGTCACCACATTTTGCATTCAGCACCACGGTAGTTCAACAGTCATGGCGTCCTAAAGTTCCTCAAAATATGGCCAAGTTCCAAGATTGAACGATTGCTGATAACCCGAAGAAATATGTCTCAGGAAAGGCTCTCCCGCGTCTTGTACACTATTTTCCCGCTGATCCCTCAGCGACCGGGCGTAACGTCCTCGCTGAGGTCCCGACAGAGGAACCGCACTCGCTATGCGAGACTTACTTGTGTACCCTAAGACAACAGAGATTGTTAGAAGAGTAGAGTGTTGGATTGGAATGATTATTGGACAATCTTACTGATCCTGTTACTTGCAGAGAGATATACATCGATCGTGACGTAAGGATACCGAGGATCAACCGAGGAAGTCGATTGTAGGTCCTTAATTGCCTATTTGCTTTTCAATCACTGAAGGATTGCGAACCCTTGTCCACCACGTTGTTCTCTGGTGTGCTGAGACTTACAGAAACGTATGGACATGGAGGGGGGCTGTTCAAGAGGGCAGTGACTGGCCGCGAAGCCAATGAACGTTGGATATGCTTGTTGGGTCTGGTGGGTTCGAGATGTAAAGGTACCAGCGGTTCACCAAAGTCTTGTCTAGATTTTAAAAATAGTGTTGGCCTAGCCATGATCAAAGCATTTGCTTGATATCCTTCCTAATAAAAGCATGGAAATCTCAAGAATGGGAATACTCGTATTAATTGTTGGCGATCCGCTGACTAGATGTTAAGTTGTTAATTGATGTTGACCGGAAAAGGGTTGGCAAGGCGCCGATCGAATCGAGGCTCTCGACAAGGTACTTCTTGTAGCCGCCGCAATCGTCTCTGCTCCTCAATCACCAACTTCCCAACCTCCCCTCCACCCCCAACACATAGGCGGCTATTCAACGTGGGACCTGTACGCTTACTTAAAATTTCTCCGGTTTCACTTGTCCACAACCTGAGACACCTGTGCCTTTTGGCTTTCATACTGCCAAACTCGCTGATCCACTGGGCTCCCGCTCTCGAGTCGCTGGGCGCTTCTCTAGGACGACACGAGCCGCTTACCGCATCTGCGCCGTCGCATAAGCTTGGGCGCAAGGCGATCGAGCGGAACACGCTGGTCGGAGCCGGTCTCTATGAGCCTTTCAAGGAGGTTGAGGTCGTCGAGGTCGCATTCCCCCCGGATAAGCTCCGGAGCGCATCCCTCTGAGCCACCCCATGGTGGTGCGGGTGTAGCGCACTCAGGATGGCCGCCTTCGTGCGAGTGTCGGGGCCGCCGAATGGCAATTTTCTGATCGGGTATCCAGGTATCTCTGCAACGATGGTAGGTTGCTATGTCCCTCTCCCCTGCTCCCCTTGATATGGCCTGAGCGTCGCAATAACCAGTCGACTAGCCTCGTATCGAAGGCAAGGTTGAGATCAGGCCCAGTGTCGGCATTACAGCCCCCGTTAACGTATCCCTCGTCACCATCTCTCTCCAGCGCCGTGAGACAATACACCCTTCGGCGGATTCGGTTACCAAAAAACACCTTGCCCCTCCCCGGAAAGAGATTACGGATATCGTGGGCAAGGAGATGCTGCTCTTTCGCTGCCCGGCCGGTCGAGAATACGAGGAAGTTATTTCAATGGACCTCCCGTTCGTCCTTTTCATTCCCTTCGGGCGCGGTGGGCCAGATGCGTCCCGACGAGTCCCTCCGGCGAGTCTACAGCTTCCGAGTCGGACGGCGGAGACATACTACGAAATCGTGGTGATGGTTCAACAGGGACATTCAGAGCAGAGAAAATACACATTTCCCGTGCCAATTGCACGCTACGATACACTGTCCACATTCGGGATGTATAATCGCCCCGAATTAGCGGAACGGGTATCAGATCACTTGGTCACGTTGGGCATCTCATTACCGCGATGGTCTTACGGCCCACTTGACCCAGTGAGTGTTTACGTCAAATTATCCCCCAACCCGGACTGGATGAGCAAAGCCAGAAAGGTTACAATAAGCAAAATCACTATTGGCATCGACGAAGAAATCATATATAACCACGAGGGCGATGAGCCGCAGAGAAAAGTGAAAACCTTAACCAAGAGGACCGAACATATTGGAGTGAGGCTTCCTCCGTCAGGTTTCCTAACAAACCTTGGGTTGGTATTTCCAGCCAAGGATATGCGAGATGCCGAGGGAATACTTCCCAGAGGGAAATCTGCCTTTCCGATGTATGCGGTAAGCGGGTTTACGACTACCGCAAGTCTCTATAAGATCGAGTACTACCTGACGGTAAAGGTTCGTTTCCTAGTTGTTCCCAAACCCCTTGAAGTATGTGGTGGATGAGGCTTACACTTCACAGGCCCACTTGGCATCCGCAAGAGATATTGTCATTCGACAACCAATAGTTGTATGTCCTCTTGATCACGCGGGTTGTAAAGAGGAAATGGAGGCCATTGAGCAGGCCGCTCGCGACGCTGTCCATGTGAACCCGGATAATCCCATGTTACCCCTGCCTGCAATAGTGCGACCCAATGATCCCAACGCGCTCCGTCATCTTGGAGTAGCCATTGTCGGAAACCAGAAGAAGCCTTTGATAGATTGAGCAAGCGCATGGCCCAACTTTTTGGATATCTTCATTGGGATAGAGTCCGACGCCTTGCTCAATCGTGGCAGTGGAGGTTTTTACTCCCGCTACACCATCATCAAGTGCAAGGCCAGATATATGTGATAGGACTTAGCTTGCACTGCGAGATTCGCATGCGATTTCCAGCTCGCCACAACGCCGAGCATGATCATGTTTCACGAATGCATGGGTCCCGGAGTTTGTTTGTTGCATGATATTCATGTTAGCCTTTGTATTTCGTCTTCGCTGGTCGGGAGGAAAACGGGGTGTTTTAGGTTTGCTTAGCATTGAGGGAGGGATCCCATTGGACCAGGGATCACTTGTTTTTCGATATCATTCCCTAGCTGTGTATGCTCCATCTAATATGTAAAATTTACTGGTAGAGTTTATGAATGAACCAAACACATCTACACACAAGGGTTAATGGTCTCGTAAGCCGGACATGGGAAATCCAAACGTAGAGCAACTCAGCTCGAGTCCTTAACCCTTCGCCTAGGAGCCAATTCTTATAGGATCTTAGGTGGTCTTCCAAGACGCTGGATACAAGAACTGCATCCGTAGAACGACATGGTGACTATACGACAAGACCATCCCCCCACCAAGCCCCAGGATCTTATCAGATCTCGAATGTGGCTTGATTTTGATAGACATTTGTTTCCCACATCCGTCCTATTTGCCAATTTCCAAAAAACCCATCGCCAAGCTCAACGTATCCGGGTCCAAAGCGAGCGATCTCTGTTTCCGATCGCTTTCGATAGTCCGGAGACAATCCTTGAGGATGTCTAGAACCGTCAGGTATTGTTTGGAGGAGGGACCGAACGTAGTCAGTGCATTGTTAAGGTTGACGGAGATCTACGACAAACCCCAGTAAGTCAGTGAGGGAGAAGACATTATGGGTCAAGGCGAAAGATATGTATATCTATATATATACCTGGGTAAGAACCTCGTTATACCTGTCGCTATGATCAGCGACAACGGTGTCCATTACGGACAAAGAAATCAATTAAATCAAGAAGTACAAGTTTCCCCGCGATTGGAAGGAACGGTGGGAACTGATAAGTAAAAAGAAAGCTCGGGCCACCCGAGATTTTTATCGCCATTCGATTAAATCTCCGGAAATCTATCTCTCTAGCTTTGCTCTTACGCCTTGTTCCGTCTCCACCTGATGCAGTGTCCATGAAAGCTTTCCATTATTCTAAATTACCCTGACCGTACACTCATATCACTACTAGAGCCGCCGCAATGGCCGACACAGACGAAGCCGCCATCCACCTCCCGTCGCATGACTCCGCGGCGCACATCGACACAGACCTCTCCGATGAAACGCAGGACTTTCGCATGCTGAACCACCTCTCCTTGTCAGTGTTTGGGCTACTACCATATTCTTTACACCTAGAGACTAACTAAAGTCACAGCCTCACAGATACATCGCAAGCTAGCCTCCCCAAACGCGGCGAGAAGGATTTCGAACCCAACCCGACCCTGTACCAGGCCGATATCCTAGACGCCTCACGCCAGGCGATGCATAATGCCCTCGCGCATCCCCGGTTACACTTCCACAAGAATGAAGTCATCGGTGTCTACGCGCCTGATGGTCCTGCTCCGCCTCGATCGGTCGCTCCGCCCAAGGGTACGCTAGACAATATCGCTGAGGAAGACGCCGATACCCCGCCAGCGCAGGCCACAGATGTAGGGAACGTTCATCCGGATTCGTGCGTCTACGTGACGAATCCCAAGGGCCAGTATTTTAAGTATGCGGGGCGTGCGGACCGGTGGAATCGGGTCTGGCTGTTGCCAGAGGAAGCTTTGTATTTGCTTGAAAGAGGGAGCTTGAATATCAGGTGGCCGGTCTCAGTGACGGGGTGTGAGAATGATGGGGAGACGGACGATTCGGGGATTCCGATGAGTTTGCAGGCTGCGTATGCGAGCTTCATTGGGCGAGGTGGGTTGATGGTGGATCGGTATTCTGTTTACTCTGGGTTGCGGCGGTTGGGGTACACACTTATTCGGGCTCCAGGGTGGTATGACAATGATGATGATGACGATGCAAAGGAAGAGGTGGAATCGACACCGCAACAAGGTCCCGGGCTGGCGGGGATCTATGGCCGGTTTATGGATTGGCTGCATAGCTCGACTACCACGGCTGTGGGACCGATTACTGGTCTTGGGATCCATCGCAACTATAGTGAGTTATTTTCGTGGATGCGTGTACGGTGTGATGGTTCCTTTCTGACATCTCCAGATGATATCTATCGCAAGCTTTCGATTGTTCCTTACTACGATCCTGTTACGCCTCTACCTCAACCGCCACGGACGAAGGCGCCGTTCCGTGTTGTCTTTCATGTCTACAAGCCGTCTACACAGTTCCGCAAGTCGGCTCCTCCGCCACCGGATTTCAGAATTGCAGTCGTCAATGCGCGCACTCAATCCTCTATACCGACGATGGGTGAGCTTGGCAGCCTCCTTGAGAGCACGCCTTTGGATCCGCCCAAGGGCGAGAAGATGGACAGGATGCTCTACATGCGACTCCGACATGGGTATCGCAACGTTGTCTTAGCCATTGTCGACCAAGGCGTCGTAAGCTACCTCCGGGTTGCTGACGCGGCATTCGGAAAGGAAAAGCTATACAATAGAGTTGCCCCAGCTGGAAATAAAAGGGGCGGGCATCCTCGGCCGAAGCCCAAGGGCCGGTGATACTAACAATTTTTGGAAACGGATTTGGTCTATTACTACTCAGGATACCATGAAAGATTTGCCAATATATACCGTGCCGTTGGGATATGAGGCAACAGCATAACCACATTTGGTGATGTGGTTCTCGCCTCTCTAATCTTGGTTTGCCATGAAGCATGGCATGAGACAGGAATGTCTCCCCTGGAATAAAGTCCTGATATCCATGGCACAAGTGGATAGGGACTGAATAGGAGGGAGATCATTGACATAATCTGCCATCATCTTTAGAACGTCCGTCCATAGTTTGGGCCGGACGTAGATGCTCAGATGGCAATCACAGCGAGCGAACGGGAGAGCACGCTCAGAATACAATAAAACAAGACATATAATATCCCTGTCATACCGTATTTATCCTCCTCCATAGTCTTCAAGAGACGATTTCCTATCGACTGCGTAAACCCATATAATACATATCGGACCCAACGCCTATACTCTATCCCACCCTATGCATCTACAGCAGTCCAACTCCGTCTGTAATAATGATCAATAATGCAAATCATTCAAATCATAACTCGTAAGAGTAGTCCCTATCGCCTAGAACTCATTAGCACCCACGTTCTCCGAGACATGCCAACGTCCGTACATATGTATAAAGGCAAACGATCACGCATCCAGATAGTCCGCGGCCATCAGCAACTCCAGACACAGCTCTGGGGGAATGTCCATATCCGGAACGTTTATCTCATTCTTGTTCTTTTCATTGTAACAAAGGTACTCGCAGACCTTCTCCAGGACTATCCCGCTGATATTCGTCAGTTCGCAGCGCGCTGACTGGGCCTCGGCGAATCTACCTATAGCAGATAAACTGTTAACAAACGGGCTTCATAACATAGCACGTGGAGAGCAAATGGTCAAAGGGTCAAAGGGTCAAAGGTGAAAACAAAAGGGGAAACTAACTAGAAGTTTCCAACATCCGACGTAAAGTCCCTGAGATACGAGCCGTGCTGCGGGGAATGACAAATTCAAATCCATCGCCCGAGACCAAAGACACATATTCAGAAGGGCCAGCTGAAGAGTCCATTTTCTATGAAATTGAGGAATAGAAGATAGTAGTATTATTGGAGAGGGGATGATACGTCAGTAAGCATGCGGGACGTGAGTTAAGGTCAAGAGAGAAAAGATAAGAGAAATACGGTGGTGACGGGAGTTTTAAACTTTCTCCACGTGGTCTGTGCAGAAGCTTTCCGATAAACTGCTTTTCTTAGTTTGTTTTAATTTCAATGACCGGCCTGGCTTAATATAGTTCCTTCAATCTACTGAGTACTTATCTTTATACCTACTTCTTTGGATTAATCATCGGACTGTGTGACTTTACCTGAAGTGAAAGGCCTTAGACCTCCTTGTCTCCTTTGTCTCGCAAATTTGCTTTGCGCATTCATTCGTCTACACTCCTTCAGATGCTCAATGATGAACACCTTTATAATATCTCTTTACCTCTAACCCAACCGAGACGTGAATGCCATTACCTCAAAGAGCACAATAACCAGCCATGTACCCAACACTCCAACTCCGCAGGTCAACATCCCTCCCCCGCCCCCAATACAACGCCAGGCGCATACAAAGCACAGCCCTCCCCAACGCCCTACCACAGCTACAGCTATCCCAAAGACGACCCCTATCCTCTCCCTCGCAAAACAGTCCACCAATCTCTTCACGTCTCGCCGGCCGAACCTGCATGATCACAGGCGGAACATCAGGCATCGGCTTCGCAATCGCCCACCGATTCCTTCAAGAAGGCGCAGAGCGCATTATCCTTGTCGGACGATCTCACGAGCGCCTTGTCACCGCCGCATCCAAACTCCAAGGAACCGACTCTAAAACTCCACTTACTCTTCAAACCCAAACACCCGACCTAAAACTGCATGGAACTCTAATCGACTACTCCGACAAAATTAACCTCCTGGTAGGCGACGTCTCAGAAGCCGGATCATGGCTGCGTGAGCTGGAGAAAGCAATGGTATGTTTAAGTTGTCTTCCTTTTCTAGCCTAGGCTAGCCTACCCTTCTATGCCCCAAATCCTCACATAAATACTAACGAAGATACAGCAAAAAGTCGACATCCTTATAAACTCCGCGGGAATCTCCAACACAAACATCCTCCCCAAAACGCCAGCATCAGAAATCTCCCTCACCCTCCGCACAAACCTCGAAGCCGCAATCCTCACTTCACGGGCCCTTCTCCGTGCTTCTCTCCGCAACCGCCTAAAAACCCACACCGCAGCATCCAAATCCAAATGTATAATCAATATCTCCTCACTCCTAGCCCATAGAGGCGGAACTGGGGCAGTGCCATACGCGGCCTCGAAGGCGGGCATCTTGGGATTGACGCGATCGTTGGCGGTCGAGGCAGCGGGGAGTGTGCGGTCGAATGCGATTGTGCCGGGGTATATTGAGACCCCGATGATTGCGGGGTTTAGCGAGGGGGTGAGTGAGAGGCTGAGGGGGAGTATTCCGGTAGGCAGGTTTGGGGAGGCGGGGGAGATTGCGGATGCGGCGGTCTTTTTAGCAGGGAATGAGTATGCGAATAATTGTGTTGTTAGTTTGGATGGGGGGTTGAGTGCTGTGTGAGTTTACTGTACTTAGACTTATATTGCCTTGTCTATGGGAGAAAAAAAGGGGCGGGTGGTTGTGTATATAGAGGTACTGAGGTTGAGACTCGTGGGATGTTTTGGGACGATATATGTGTGGATTGTACGATGAAGATAACAAGTAAATTCATTGACTCATTCGTGTGCCTTTGTTGGAACGCCATGCCAAAGTATGCACATTATCACTTCGGCCAAAATACAAAACACCTCGGCAATCCCCTCGTCCATTCTATTCGGAGCGAACGCATGATATGTTACAGTAGATGAGAGGGAGAAAGAAACAAAAGGAGGATATCTTCGGAAATCCATCCAAAACTCAAGGGACCAACGTATGAGAAATAGATTTGGATCGAAATCGGTTGGAAGTAGAGAGGAAGCAATTGTCCACTAGAACATCCTTCGTTTTATCGTTTAGTCGTCAATTAAAATCGCACCCCCTTGCGTCTCGTCTAAGACGATGGGGTTCGATCCGTCGCCGTCAGCGACAGACACACTGGCCACGCGCTTTGCACGGTCATCTCCGTTGCTGAGGCCTGCTTCCTCGGCATTGCGCTTGCGCTGGTTTAGATCAGAAGTACCATTGGCTTGCTCGCTGGCGGCAGGTGTAGGTGCTCTTGGTTTCCGAGGAATCTCAGGGATCTTTACTAGGGCGATTGGCTTCTGCTTTTCTATTGAGGGTTCTGGTCTATCGAATAGTTAGCGAATTATCCCAATAATCATCTGACTTCACTCAGAGAGGATCAAGAGGCTTACTTTTCGGTAAGAACAACAAGTTCAAGGTTCACACGCGGTTGCTCGTCTTCCTCGTCTATAACCGTGATGAGGCTTTCATTATTTACACCCATTTCTGATAATTTCTTGTTCAGGTTGTCTTCAAGATCCGGGTCGTAAATCGTGCCTAATTCGGTGCTGACCGAAAACTCTTCGCCGTATCCTAATTGCAGGCGCAGGATATCCTGTACCAGGTCGTTGATTGTGGCTCGCTCCGGATCAATCTTGACTCTACCCTGTGCGACCGAGCAAACAGGGCAGTTCGGGTTGGGTGGCTTCAGAGAATCTGAACTGATTGCACGGGCACCCGACCGCTCGAGGAAGATCTATTTCGCACGACTTCAATAACAGGTGACACGCATGAAGAGGGATTTGACTTACCATTTTAGCATGAGCGTAATCGTCCTTCAAGACCTTTAGTGCCTGTAGAACACATAGACCGGCGGTTATAGCGTTTGTGGTTGCGATTGCAGGTATAATATTGCCGGCCATCTCTGATAATAGTTAGCAACCCTTGAACATGTCGGTTCATCCGATTGCGACGGTACTTACGCTTCGTATCGAACTTTGATTTGGCCTCTATTCCGAATATCGTTGCTCGTAGATTAGCACTAGCAGTGACAAAGTCCAGCGTATCGACATCGTCTTTATCGAAGACCAGGATTGGCTTAACGCCGCTCTTTGTCGCATCTAGCAGTGTTTTCAGCCGATCCCTGAGTCGATCCAAGCTGCGATATATGTTAGTCAAAGTTATTCACGTTAATTGAGGACAAACTCGAACCTGTCCTTGAACACGACAAAGTCCTCAGCCAGAGACCAGACTTTTTGATCGTTGCAAGAGATTGTAGGCTCGATGGAAGCAGCCTCGCTCTGCAGCTTCTTGAAGTCTAAGGGCTCCGGGGCTTTCCGGTCCTTCCACATGTCTTCTAAGCCACGTAGGCGATCTATGTCCTCCTTGAAAACCTTTGCAAACACCTTTTGCGCGAATTCAGGGGAGCCCATCGACTCGCGGATTTCCTTGAGAGCTTGAGCCTCTTTTCGTAGGTTTGCGATTTCATCCGCTGGATAGAGTTAGCACGTTCTATCTAAGATTAAGTGGGGATTCCTTATCAGAACATCTCACCATTACTGGCATCTTCGGTGTTATCCAACTCTGGCGTTTCATCCTCACTCGTTCCAAATAATTCGCTATCCTTGGTCAGCTTGTATTTTAACGGGTTTCCTTTCTGGATAGCTTACGGTAGAAGATAGCTTTTCGCCCAGACAATACAATGAATAGGCTGGCTTGGCGTGCTGCGGATAGTACAAACCGGGAAGGATTTGGGGACTTCCTTTGAGTTGCAATCGTAGCATTCCGTTTGGCCCTGTCGGTGGTCAGTTAAAGGCAACACATTCAAGGTAACGCACCGGATTGCTCGCATAGCCTACCTTCTTGATGACCTGGACCTGACCATTAAATCCCGTTGTTCCACTTTCAATCAACGGCACATCCGCCGCTAAACACATTCTATTGACGTGGCGACGGGCTTCCAGGTTGTCGAGAGCGTTGAAGACCACGTCAAAAGTCGCGAACCAATCCACGTTGAAGCGGCTATCCTTGATGTTCGCATGGTAGGCTTCGAGTCTTGCGCTTGGTTGAAATTTTTGGGCAACTTCCTTCGCGACCTATGATCAAGGTGAATATTCGTCAGTTTCTCTTCACCGCGGGATGATGAAAGGTGTGGGACGGGTAGCACGGTAGGAGGTTGCGCAGGTGACGCTCCGGGCGGGGCAGGAAGGGTGAACGGTTGAGGATGTGACGCACCAATGCCTTTGATTTCTTGATATGTTCAAAACGGAAGAGAAACTGACGATTCAAATTGCTCAGGTCGATGGTATCGAGATCGATGATATGGATTTCGCCGAACCCGGAGAGCAAGAGATTCTTGAGTAGCTCGCAGCCGATACCACCAGCACCGACGAGGAGTACGCGCGACTAGAGAGAAACAAATCACATTAGTCCCAGGGATGCCAAATCACACAACAGGAAGGTTGAAAAATCAAATACCTCCTTCAGGCGTCTGGACAAGGTTCCGAGCGAGCGCTTGGAATAGGTATCTCGCGGCATGATTGCGGGCGCGAGGGAGATGAGAGAATCAAAAGAGTGGCAGCTAAGGTCAGAACAAGCCGAGAGGCATCGCCAAATGAAGGATAATTTAGCAAGGAAAATTAAAATAGCGCGAAGCGGGAGGAGAAGGGTAGATGTGAATGAAAGTAGAGTCTGGATATTTGGTTTCGGGAAATGTGAAAGGCGTTCGGAGAAGCACCGCGCTTTCTTTAATTAGTCCCAAAATGGGTCTGGAATGAGCAATGACGACACCGGCACAAGTCCAGAACAAAATTCACTCTTTTATCCCCATATCTCGTGTTCCTCTTTATCTTTTTTTGTTTTATTTTATTTTGTTTTATTTTTACCACAAGCTAGTCATGCATAGGAATGGCCCTATTAAACTTACAATCAGTAAATTACTGGGACCATTAGACCGGAGGGGAGATCGGTCTCAATTGAATTTATTGGTCAACCTCTTCCTTCACTGGTTGTTATCTGATCCCGTCCATTGGTACTAAGTACTGGACAGGGTATCCGAAGATCGGTCATGTTTATTGGCTGTATGCTTTCCCTCAACCTGAACGTACAGGAGGAAATTATACATACATCTTGACTGTCTCTCGTGACCTTGGACGGTATAGTATCCACATGGACTGAACTGAAGTTACTCTTTACGAAGTTGGTCAGTTTTACTCCGGAACCAAGCAAATCAATGGACTCTTATCCTAGCTATTTTTATGTAAATATTCTTATATGGATCCCGAAATTGAACAGCACAGTAGGTATACATGCCTGTAATTAAGGCACAGTTTGGTAGTGATCAATATTAAACACGTTAAGCCAATTGCAGCGGTCTATCTACAATACTAGGTACAGGTACAAGGTACAAGATACCTTACTACTAATGCGTACCTTTTACAACCTACAGTCTAATATGGACCCATAACCCCATTTCAAAGACCTGCCGCTTGATTTCAAATAGAAACAGATCCCTGGGATGAAGCTGGGCCCCATATGTCCCCAACTTCCAGCGTTGATCTAGGGACATGGCACTTAGATACAGTCATCCTCTGGACCAACACATGAGTTATGAGTAGAACATCCTATCAAGAACGACTTTGGTACGACTGACTTTTTTTAAGACCTGTAAATTTTGCCAGGACAGTCTCATTTGCCAGCTCTTACACCCACAACAGGAGAATCCGATGCAACTACCCGGAATGAGGAACTTCGCACAGATACTTAATTTAACCTATATACTTGGTTGAGGCGAAAAGGGCAGGAAGGTGGTGTACGTCAAGTTCTCTACAATATATAGTACGCAGTACAGGTATATATATAATGGGAGTAGTTGTAGCCTGGAGCCCGAGGTAGTTCCTAGCAGTTTGAAATGTCATTCATAAAAAATGTACATAAAAGGTCGAATCGAATCAACGGAACCTCCCATGAGGGATTACAAAACATAGCCAATGGTTGGCATGCATAAATTGTATTATGCCTCTGCTGACTCACCATTCCGATATCAAATTCAAAAAAAAAGGAACGAATCAAATTTGGTAGGGATCATTTGTTGCTGCAAGGGTCAATGGATTTTTTTTCTTTTCTCCCTCTCTTCTTCTATGATATTGTGCGTAAATAAAAGGAGACTCCTTGGTGCCATTTTCAAACCCAAGAAAGGAAAAGAAAATCAAGACTTTTTAGAACATCTATTAAAAACTAAAAAGACTTGAGTCTATTTTTGCCCAACGGATGAACCTTACCAACTGGGCCTTTTTTTGCCTGATCGTCGCTTTTGGTTCGCAGCAGTACAAACGGTCGTGGGGAATTTGGTGCGCTAGTCTTTGTTCCCTCCTTTTTTGTGTCAATTATATTTCTTGCCATTCCTCGCTTGGGATCTCTCTGTTGATTCTCCTTTTCAACTCTTCCATCCTTTCAAAAGTAAAATTTGGGTTTCTTGGATATCCTTCCTGTTGATACCAGGGAAGCCGCACCATGTCGGACGACGAAGCAGATCCCGAATTGCTCGCTCTCCTTCGTAAGTCGCTCGGGCTAGGAGGAGGGGCAGCAAACCCACGCGCTGCAGAGACCAAAGTTTTGGAAAATGCGCAGTACGTCTTCGATAACGCTATTGACGTTGCATTGAACTCCTCCAAGACCAAAGAAGCCGCCGAAACCATTTGGCGCTTGATGCAAAAGAAAGAGTACTCCACGCAGACATGGTCGGAGCATGAATTACACCCCAAGGCTAAGGACGAAAGCACCGTCGATTTCATTTTCACCATGGACCTGCTGAATTTCAGTTTCTGGTCGGAGCTCCCGGATGAGAAACGCTTCGCGATTGAGTACCGTGGGAGGAGGTGGACCGGTTATTGGAGCTTGGTCGCTGCCTTGCAGCGAGCTTTGGATGAAGGTAGGTTGTTCAGATGTAATATATTCTTTACATGGTTCATTAGGTGCATTGTGAACACTAAGATATGCAGAGATCCCTATCACGAGTCCTTCTTTCTGGGTGAACAAGGATGAATGTTCTGTGTCCTTGCTCAAACATGTATTTCGATCCGCAACAGAGGAGGAGATTCCTCTGCTGCAAGAGCGCCTCTGCTGTCTACGAGAAGCAGGCCGAGTCCTCTGCGAGGTATGTTCAATCTCCCCATGATTCATGACCTGTGTTTGCTCTGACAAACTATCTATCTAGGACTTTGAGGGTAGTTTCATCAACTGCATTTACAACGCCAACTACTCCGCCGCATCCCTTGTGAACCTTTTGGCAGAGAGTTTCCCCTGCTTTCGGGACGAAACCAGCTTCCAGGGACGGAGGGTCCGGCTCTTTAAACGCGCTCAGATCTTAGTCGCGGACCTGTGGGCCTGTTTCAACGGCGAGGGCCTTGGCGAATTTAGAGACATTGACAAGATTACGATGTTTGCAGGTGAGGCTTTGGATATCTCAAAATGTGATGTGACAGGACGTCTCCCAACTAACCATGTTTCAGACTACCGTATCCCTCAAATACTAAACCAACTCGGTTGTCTCATGTACTCACCACCGCTGGAGAGTCACATCCGCCAACGGAAACTGATCCCCAGCGGGTCGACCTGGGAGGTCGAACTGCGCGCAACCAGCATCTGGTGCGTCGAATTAATTAGAAGAGAAATCGAAAACAAACACCCAGAGGCGAAGCTAAAGATAATGCCTACACAATTGAACGTTCACGCGGTCAATCACGACCGCCGCCAAAGCCTCACCACATCAGCACTAGACGAACAGAAAAAATGCACGACACAAAAGCACTTTACACAAACTAGCACCGATAAACCCGCTTCATCGGGCGTGAATGCGATTTTGATAGATTTCTTCCTATATGACATGATGAAAGAGTTAGAAAGGGACGGAAAAGAGCAAATGCCCCATCATCGCACAAGGAGTATTTGGTATTAAAGGTTAGAAGTACTTTCGCTTTAACTGTTGGTTTATACCCCTGGCTGTCACTGTTAGGGAATCAAGGTCCGGTGGCTTTGCTTTTGTTTCCTTTTTGTTTTGGGGGGGTGGGGTGTGCATAGACATTGATACCATATATTCGTTTCTGCGCTGGTAGCAGTGATAATCTTTCTGGATTCGAGGTTGGTGTCATACTTTCAGCTTTAAATGAGCCCATGGATAACGACATAGATTTATGGCAATGTTATCTGATCGTTCAGAGACTGTCCACGTATTCTCTTGTACCCTCTCTAATTGAATAGAGGTACAGTGAAAACTGCACAATTCGGTTGATTGACTTAGGCCTAAACGCAGGCAGGGCTTTGACCCTCCCCTTTGCCCCATTTGCCCCTGTTCTTGATAATTCCCTTGAATAATTGGATCTTGTCTAGCTTCCCCCTAGACTTAGTCTATTTCTTATGTCACCTCATTACTTAAATACAAAGGAGTGCAATTGCGACATTTCGTTTTCGACTCAGGGACTAGAACTCTCCACGTCTACTTAGACAAGGACAAGTTCTAAATCTATGAGCGATAGCCATGACAGAAGCTTATTAACAAATACAAGGTCAGAAACCGGTCAGTATGACTAAAGAATCATATCCTAGGTCCTGAACACCTATGTTCACGATTGTTCGCTGGGAAAGGATGCATGGAATGCTCTATTATGCCTAACATCTTATACCACCGCTCTTGAGGCCCATGCTCCTTACTTGGAACTGTTGCCCGGCGCGCCATCCTAACCTGATAAAGACAGACGAAATACCTCGCTGACTGCACATTTCTTCATGCTGCACAATCCACAAAGTAAAGTAATTCAGAAGCAACCTGATCAGGCCCGAGCCACTACATAGATATGCAACACTTCCCCCAATATTTACCTCAACGCTACTTCTCCTTTCCCCCTTACGGCTCAACAAACCTCCGCATTGAGTTCCAAGACCCCAAAATGCACCTGACTCTCCTCTTCACCCTCGCCATATACCCAATAACCCTTTCCACTGACCAAAACACACCCACCCCCCCAAACGAGGCGCACCTCACTATTGCCAACATGGGAGCCAGTATCCCCCCTCCTGCACCTCTACCTCCAGCTATACCTCCATCCCCAGGTTTCTACTTCAGAGGCCCCTTTCAACACCCACCCAAAGGACACCGCCAACCCCAACAACCTGAAAGTAACCCCCTTCTCCAACCTGTCACCCTATCAAAACCAAGCAGGAAATCCCGATCCCAAACTCCAACCTCCCCTACAACTCCTCTCCGCAACGTGCAAAATCCGCGACGTCGATAAAATGCAATACTCTGCCCTGGACCTAGACATGTGTCTTGGGTAGGAAATTCCCCCGGACAGCCATAGACGGAATATTATTGCCCAGGAGAAGTACGTACACACATACGCCTACACACGCCTACTTACTCCCTTTCCTATCCTTCTAGTCTTATGTTATATAATATGTACACCGCACAAACGAACTGATAAACACCCCCACCCTAGGCGGGTAAGGCTTCCACAAGGGCAACTGTAGGAACTGCGAATACTCGACACCAAAATGTGTCTGCGCAAACGTGCACTGGACGCTTGCGAGCCAGATAGATCAGGAGAACGGGTTAAGAGTTGCTCCTAAGCGTCTTGATTTGGGTGAGTTGTTGCGCTGCATTTATCGTGGATTTATTTGGGACGTGGACTTCTTTGCTGACTAGGGCTGCGTTTGCAGAACAGTTAGAAGGCTGATGGGAAGGTTGAGAGCTTGGTGCATGTTACTGAAATGGGAGTTTTGGCATGCTAAAAGGTTTCGGGGGATTGATACTACGGTCCGGGTACCGCCGTAGGATCCGCAGAGATGCAAGAGTAATGAGCTGCTGCATGATTTCCGTCTGGGGTTGAGAGGTCGCATTTGTGGTTGTATGAGTTGCGGCGGGGCGTTGGGGTTGGAGGCCTGCTTGATTCGGATGTTGGTTATAGACGGTGGTTTTGTGTGTGTTTCTGGGGTTTAGTTTATGGGTATTCTTGGTTCTTGAGAGAGATTGAGGGTATATGTATGTTTTGTTTATCTTTTTTGGGACTCTGATTATGTAAATGAGGGTAGGGATGGTCGTGAAGTTTAAAAGGTCAGCGATGGTTCAGAGCAATATGGAATGATAATGAAGACTCCCCTGTGAGGACACCATTAAGATAGATGGGGTATAGGAAACTGGATATATAATAGGTGACACAAAATTCTTGTGAAAAAAGGGTAGTGATCTTGATGTGATTATCTGCGCCAGCGGAAGCGATGGGTTGAAGTTGTCCGGGTCTTCCCTCTAGCAACCTCCAACGTTGTACCATAACCCAGTTGCTTCAGCATTCTCTAGTACTCTATCGCAGGCTTGCGTGCTTTGCCGCAAAGCTCCTTCGCGAATAGCATGATGTCCTAAGGATCTTTATCCAACTGCATGGCACACGAGAGGATAACTATTGAACCCATGTTCCTCCCAAAATTCTCTAGCTTTCGAAACGTTTGTCAGGCCGGTCCAATGTGACTGTTCTTTCCACTGGGCGTAGCAACCCGGGCTCATTGGCGATACCCACTAAAAGGAAGCCGGCTCGAGGCTGAGCTAAGCAGGCAATTGGAAGGTATTCAAGGTGTGTAAAGTGTAGGTGTAAAGTCGCGGAGTGATCCAAGAATATTTGAAAAGAGGTTATTGGTATGGAATATAAATCCCCTTCAGTAGAAAGAATGTTCAGAAACAGTAGCCTGGAAGAGATGCTATCATACGGTGGTGGGTAAGGCGCCGGAATGCTGCGAGACAACTTTTTCCATTTGCTCGATTCGCGCCAATACCGTTGCCTTCCATTCAAGGAAGTCTTCCTTACGATCGTCACTTAGCCAATCGACGCGATCCTGCATCATGGTACCAAGACCAGGGAGAAGCCCTTTCCTTGATGACTGTTTGGCTAGGAGCGAATGATTCGATGACTTTGTCTTTTGTCGTTTTGCATTCTTGACTCTGCCCTCATCTTCACCATCTTCGTCGGAAAGATACGCATCATCGCCGTCTAATTCGCCGGCCTGCGGAATATTTTCGAACCATTCCTTCTCATTGGCCCAAGCCTGCTGCATGATCACCGCGATCCACTGATCGACATCTTCACGATGTCTTCTCTCGGTGGAAGGAAGACCCAGGCTGACGAGTGCGGTCTGGCGCATTTCGGAGAAGGTCTTTTTGTCGAGCTTCTTTGTCTCTCCTCCGTCTTCAGATGAAGAGCCCCGTCTGCGAGCGAGGGCTAAGAAATACACGGCCACGATCAGAGCATTGACCATTTCTTTGAAGTCTTCATCTTTTTCTTTATCCTTCGTCAACAAGATAGGCTCCACGAAGTCCGCCGTCTCTTCATCAAGATCACCCTCACCGTTGCTCTGAGAAATAAAGTACAGGATTGAGGATACGCCCGCGAATATATGAGGCGGCAATGATCTCGAGATGGGAGGCCGCGACCAGGTGCTCGTCCGTGGGGCTGGGGTCGAGAGTGTTTGACAAACGCGTCGAATGGAAGTCATCACCCAGGCAGGAGCATCGGGAATAATTGTAGAACCGAAAATGCCATTAGAGCGGGTTTCAGACGCCTTGGGTGTTTGAGAACGCGATTTGCCTTCCTTATTCGAAACTGCTTTCTTCAACGGCGTGGGCTTGCTTGGAGTATTCTGGAGTTTTTGCAGCGGTGCTGGTGTCTTCGAAGGTGCGCTGGTATGCTTGGTATCTTTTGTAGGGGTCGATGTAACGGATCCAGCGCGTGATGGTATTCCTGAAACCGAGCCACTTTTCGAACGTTTCACTCCAGCTACACTGTTCGAAAGCGACCGGTCGAGGTATGTGTAGAGCTTTTTGTAGACGCGTGGAGGACATGGGGCGTGTCCCATTAAAGGGGGTAGGTTGAGTGCCCGACTTAGCCTAATATAAGAACCAGTGAGTCAATATACCAGACAATTGAGATGCATATCGGCTGCAGGGATTGGAGACTAGGCGCGCACCTTCGACACGCGATCTCGGCACAGGCATAGGGGCGGGCGATTTCTTCCTCCGGCTTTAAGCTAGTAGAAAAGCTGCGAGATTGGGCGACAAGAGATAAGGCCAAACTGAGGAGCTCTTGAGGTAGGTCATTGGCATGGGTAGGCAATAGCGTACCCAATGCTTTTTCAACAGGTCTGTTGTTCATTTTGAACGCGAACACAGTGACCAGCGTATCTGCTTGTTGATGCGCTGATCTATGCTTTTTGTTATCTAAAATCCGTTTCCTATCGGGCATGTCATGTGACCCTATATTCAACTAGATGCGCCGAAAAGTCCGAGCTCCATCCGTTTTATGTCTTTCGTAGAACCTACCATCATTCTATATCTCTCATACAAAATATACTGATATATCAAAAAGCCATGTCCGTTACCGTGAGTCTATCCGAATTTTGTGAATATGATATTCCGCGTGAATTGATTGCTAATAGAATTGATTAACTAACAGCTTCACACCACGCAAGGCGACCTCAAGGTCGAGCTCTTCTGCGAGGCAGTGCCCAAAACAGTAGAGGTACGTGATATTCCGGGCCAATACTTCCAATGGATGATTTAGTAGCTATGACTATATTCCCTTCAAGCAGCGCACTAACGCCGAACTCCCTAACAGAACTTCCTCGCCCTTTGCGCATGCGGCGCATACAACAACACACCTTTCCACCGTCTAATTCCCGGCTTCATGATCCAAGGCGGTGATATCTCCCTCGGAGCAGCAGCATCCCAGTCTCCAGATACCACTAGACCCATGCTTCCCTTCGAAGACATCCCGAAAGGCGGCACATCAATCAACCACCCCGGGGCATTGAATCAGGAAATCCACCTCCCAACTCTCCGACACAATACACGCGGCATACTCTCCATGGCAGCGCGACCCGTTAAGGACAGGACGGCTCCCGGATCGCAGGGTGCAACGGGTGCTACGATTAACGGAAGTCAGTTCTTTATTACGTTTGCCGCTACCCCGCATTTGGATGGAAATAGTACTGTCTTTGGGAAGGTGTTGAACTTGACAGCGCAAGATGAGGGGGGTGATGTACTGACAAAGCTGGAGAAGGCGAACGCGAAGATTGATAAGAAGGGGAGAGTGGTGCAGCCAAAGGAGGGCGAAGAATATGACGCGATGCGTATTAACAGCGTCACGATACACGCCAATCCTCTTGCTAAGTGAGAGAGCTCTTCGTTATATGGAAAGCGGCTTTGCAGGTGGCACACCCAAGTCAATCGCCAGGTTACATAGCAGTTGCTTATGTGATTGTCGAACATTGAGTCCTAAACGAAGACACCGGACGGTAGTGCGCTCACGACCAAGGAAACGGCAAAGCAGGAACATACATTATCCTCGGATATGGAATCTATGGCGAGCCTTACGCGCTGGAGAGGTAATCGAAGCTGTTCGAGCCTCTTTGCAGACCCCTTTTAAAAATCAACACATAAACAATGAAGTGTGATCTGCAAAATGCATTATACCAAGGGCTCCTCGGGTGGGATTTAATGCCTCTGTACCAGATTATTGAGGGATTTCTGACACAGCGCACGTTGTGAAATAAAGGAGGTCCATTAATGGCGAAAGCTCTCGAAACATTGATTACGGAAGTTCTTACTATTTTGTTGAATATTTCTGTAATTTTCAAGCCTTTGCTTTTAAGGTTGCTTAGGGAAAGGGCTATGCTATATAAATGGCTTTACCTACCCGCTCAGATAGTTCTAGTTGATCATTAAGGTCGCTGAATTTATCGTTTTATCCTTTCAGAGAGTTGCACAGTTTCGTACAGTGGACTACTTGTTTGAAAAAAAATTTAAATAGCTTGAAATGAGATTTATATTTCATTGGAACATGTCATCAGCATCATCTCCTAAACTTTTATATACCACCCAGGCCAATCATAAATATACTCCAAAAGGCACATACTGAATCAACACCCCCGACACTCCACCATGTAAACAAACCTCAACTTCATAGGATATCTAGAGCGCAAAATAGGACATAGTTGACTCGCACGACAACTACGCATGCATGCATAGAAAAATATGAACGGGAATGGGAAAAAGAAGAAAGAAATCATGCACATCGTGAGGAAACGAAGATCATCAGGAAGGGAAAAAAAAAACGGCAGAAAATAGTCATAAGACAATCGCTTTATGTAGATAGATCATGACTTCTGCTCGGCATTCTCGTCCTCCTTCTCCGCATCTTCCTCATAGCCTTCGACCTTCATGTCCTTAAGACCCAGCTCTTCCTCCTCTTCTTCAGTACGAGTGTATTCCTCGGTGCTGATCTGGGGATCGACAGCCGGGGCACACAGATCCTGGACGTAACTGTTGGCCATGGGATCTTCGAGGGTGATACCGAATTTCATCTCTCCGCTGATTGCAGAGTCGAGGCGCGAGAAGAAGCGGGTCCACTTTTCTTTATCGCTGCCGGCCATACTATCTCCACCAGCACCGCTCGCGTCGTCGACGTCGAAGATCTGCCCGTGCAGCTGGTCGCGGATCTCGGTAAGAAGGCCCTCGACCGTAGTGAAACGTCCACCTAAGGTACCAGGTTGGACAGTGACCTCCAGCTCATCACTGTGAAGAGCGCAGGTGTCGGACTTGAGGATATCACGCGAAAGGTCGACTTCATTTTCGATCTTGAGGGTGATGCGCTTACCCTTTTCGGGGACTTCACCACCAGTCTTGACTTCACTGGTACGGTATCCGCAGTGCTCGCAAGAAGTGCTCCAGATGATAACCTCCTTAAAGTAAGGGATGTTGACCTTCTTCATGTTGACGAAGCCGGGCTTCGTGCAGCCAGGACATTCGGTAGGAAGACTATAGACCTGTCCATCGACAATCTCAGAGTCGTCAACCTCTGCGACTCCCTCATTCTGCAGTGCGTTGGGGTCCGAAGCAATTCCAAGCTCTTCATTCTGCTCGTGTGTACGGGGATAGTCGCGACGCTTATAGTAGTTGTTTCCGCTGTCGTTGACGGTAGGCGCAATCCATGAGTTACCAGTCAGGTCATCCAGGGAGACAGTGAAGGGGAAGCCCTCTCGGTTGAGAATCTTCTGAAGGTTATCGATGATCGGCACAAGCGCATCGTGCAGTTCAGGTGCCTGTTCCTTGCGCAGTGGTTGCTCGCTAGCCAGGGACTCGTGAATCTTCTGAATGACACCCTCCACGGTTGTCAATTGACTCTCACCCTTGGGCATCTCGATTCCCAAAGACTCCACCTTGAAGACTGAGACGTCGCTGCGGATGACCTGGCGCTGGAGATCGTCCTCATTCTGAACAGTAAGTGTGTACTTCGTTCCCTTCTCTTGGATTTGACCGGCGGACTTGACGGAGTTGTCTTTGAAGTGGCAATGATCGCATTCGAAAGACTCGAGAATAATGTCACGGAAGAAAGGCACCCGGAGGAGGAGAAGCCGTGTGGTACCCTGAAGATGTGTTAATTACATTATGATTTCATTTGCACTCAGGTGGTAAACGTACGTTCTCATGGCAGTTCATGCACAGACTCTCGACCTGCATAACACCAGTATCATCGTCTCTCTCCACCAAGTCGCCGGGCTTCTGGAACTGCGACTCGGCGACAGCTTCTTGCTGGACGGGCTTATTATCTGTCGACATTTTGAAGGGCGGGTTGTCGATGAATGTATTCTATGTTAGAACGAAAATAAGAGGGGGGTATCAAAATCTATAATGCGCAAATGAGAAGCAATCTTTGCGCCCAATGATGTCTAAAACAAAAATTTCACCAGCAAGCGCGGGAACGTTCCTTAAAATTCCACTATCGCTGTGGCGGGGCACATAATTTTCTTTGGAGGGGTAGGAATTCTCATTAGTAAGCATCTCCAGCCTAGTTAACTTATTTTTTGTGCATCAATTTACTAATACAATAAATAGATTTCCTTGCGCTATGGCAATAATATATCTATCTGTGGCCCCACAGTGATTCGAGCTCACTCCACATAATGCTCCTACCATACGGCCGCCAATCTATAATGGTAGTTAGCTATATCCAACATTAACGGAACGGGGTATACATATATGAAAAAATGGGGCCGCTCCCTTCAGGGAGCTGAAGGGAACGGCGGTTCACAGGCTAGAACCAAACCGCTATTATTCGGCGTCCACATCCTCAGGGCTTACAACAGACCACCCCTCCAAATACACTCATTCTCGGAAACTAACAAGGCCGCTTCGTATTGCAGAGCACTAGCATGCTCTCTTCGCTACTCATCAATCTGGTCCGTGGAGGTACTGTCGCGCTTGAAAGTATATCATCGAAAAGCCCATGCAGACAAGCCTAAGCTTTGATCCTCACTCTTGAGAGGTCCTGCGATAGGCTTCTCGCTGCATACAGCCAAAAGCGACGGCCGCGAGCGGCGCGCAACCAACCAAGTGGACAGAGACTTGAATCTTGCAACGGAGAGGAGAGCAACTTGTGGCGCTTTGCTCTGCGGCACTCTAAATCCATGGAACAATGTGTATCGGAAAGGAGGCCGTACCATAATGCGCTAATTGGCAGACGTTGAATAGTGAGGGATGGTAAAGCCTGCAAACGCAGTATACGATATCAGGAGCGCCTCGCGCCCTTTACGCTGAGAAACCGAAAACATCTTTTCGAGCCGTGCTCAGTCGGACCTTGAACCAAGTTCTCCATCTCCCAACTGTTTTGTTGACACGTCCATATCGATCATAGGCACACCAGTGTCACAAGGCCAAAATCCCGCAGCTGATGCTTTGAGAAAACCTCTTGTGTGTAGTACAGTACCCCCGGGGACAAGCTTTTGTTTCCTCTCCGCATCAGATTGACTTGGAGGGCTTGGAAGAAGCGGACAAAAAAAGCATCCTTAAAAACCGCGTCCTTCCTCCCAAAGGGAGGGACGGCAAGAAGTAATCTGCCATGATTGTCGGCGCCCATCAATCTATTTGCAATATACATTACAAAGAGATGGTTAACACGGCCGATCAGGATCTTCAATTGAAGCACAAATCCATGGCTGGTGCCGTGATTTGGGACCTGCTAGCCATTGTACCAAGACAACACCAGGGATTGGGGTTGGAGAGCGGGTACAAGTTGCCCAGGCACCTTGAGGTTGGAAACACGTACATGAGGGGCGACTGACGAGCCGGAAAGAGTGACAATAACTGTCTGGCCAAACAGGACTATCATGCACCAAGAACCAACCCTTACCGGAACGAGACAACAAGCCAAGTGGTGCCATTGTTATCGCAAGGATCGCAATGGTTGACCAAAGACGATTCCGCACAGCAGCCAAAAGAACCTCGCTATAGTTTAATCTGCTGAAAACACCTGGGTTGCTTTCAGGCATGATTAAATTAGTTCCGGCGAGCGATTCTTTCCGACGTACTGGCTTCGTGGCCGAGCGTAGGGCAAATAGTCTTAAGGACCATATTGTTGTGTTCAACAGGATCAGCGAATGATGTATAATATATCCCGCGGCAGTTGACAGCGCCGCTCGTGGGTTTCCTGCGTAGCTGTCGACATGATCGCAAAGACGACCTCAAATGAAGGTGTCCGACGTGTTTCACCTACTCTCTCCCCAAGGTAAACTAGTGTCCTAGCATAGACAGACCATCCTCTATGATCAACATGTCACGTCCAGCATTGGAAAACCGACGCGCGCCCTTTTCAGAGACTTTAAACGCATGATAGACCGTCTTTATTGCCTATGATAGGCTCTGGACACCGGCTGCCGTTCATCTCACCGAAGCCTTTACGGCTCGATTCGACTATGTGACACATCCGTCATGCGAGACCGTGAAACTTCTGCCATAATGGCATTGGACCGACTGGGTTACATTAGGGTTAGATTCTCAACTTTGATCACATCCGCTGGATACAGAGGCCCAGAGAATGCGCAGAAAAAAGTCAAGAAGCTAGGAAGGGGATAAAATCTGTACAATTGTTGTCTTTCGACAAAGAGGGGAGACCTTCAGACTAAAGAAATGCATATGAAGTATGACGGTACATCTTCAAAAACAGTGGGTCCAATAAAGAAATTGCGAGCAAGTGCCTAGTTCACTGAGTACCCGAAAAGAAAAGCAATACGGACTCCACGTAAAGTTGTTTGAGGCAACTGATATCGACACTGGTAGTTGGGGTAGGAGTAAACAAAGGCGGCTGTTGTATTCAAGCTAAAAGTTAACGCGCAACGCGTTGACACGTGACTACAACGCGCCAGTAGCATGCTATTCCTTATTTCTGGGCACCCCCAATCCGCTTTCCTGATTAGGAGCTCTGCCGGCAGAATCTTATTTCAAATATTTAGAGATATCTCTTAGAATCCTAAACCCGATCTATATTCATACTTATCTTTCAAAATCCCTATCTCAAAAGTCTGATTCCTCTATAAAAATAGTGGGAGAATAAAAGTATTGAGGAAATATAGTAGTAACCTCCTGAGTACGATCCTTCTAGGCCTACTTTTTAACTATATTTTGACTTTGAAGGCGTATATAATAACGATATTATGGCCACTGTGGCGGCCCTGCGATTCGCCTCAAGAGAATTACTACTGAATATCCTGATATATAAAACTTTGCCAGCAGAGTTCCTAATGTGGAAGGCGGATCGGCAAGCGGGCCAAAGGGGTGTCTAGTAGTACAGCCCCATCTCCCAATGTAAAATCTTCATTGTTGCTAAACTATTCGTGACCATGAGCTGCAAGTACATGCAAGTTTCGTTAGTACGATCATTCTTAGATCTACCACAATTTTCCCTCCTAGTTTTGCTAAAAATAACTTTTTCATACGTATGCTCTGTTCGTGCCATATGTTGGCTTAGAAATCCGTATCAAGGCTCTTTAGTTGCGAAGAGAACGTCTTTCGCACCCACTCCATATAGGCCTTCCATTTGTGATGCTCCCCAGAAGACTCTGCGTTTGGGAATGCTTTGCTTAGCTCTCGGGTGATCTTGAGAATGCCCATGGATGCCTCTTGTGCCTTTTCAAGTTCTTGTTTAACGGCGTTTTCTTTTGGCTTGAATGATAGGACGACGCTGTAACGCTCTGAGAGGGCATCCAGAGATCTCTGTGTTTCTTCTGGTGCGAGAGTGGTGAGTTTGGAAGTCATCAAGTTGCAGATTGTGCGAATATCTTGCTCATCGTCAATTCCGGCCAGGATTCGATCGAAGAACTCAGACACGTGCGAAAGCGAGAAAGTGGTGTCCAAGGATGCATAAAGCGTTTCGTAGGCACTCTACTCTCTACCGTTAGAATGTGCATGCAAGTAAGTAGATTGGCGTTGCTCACCTTGCGCAGTTCAAGACCGTCGTCGACCCTATGCTTGAACGGACCCATTTGCACTTCACGGATCAGTTCTGGCTTGATCTGCGTGTCACCGAATACTGCAGGGAGAAGTTCTTTAAGATGCGGCAGGATGATGTCCATCTTGTTATGAATTGCAGAGTTGAGCGTTGTCAACGCAAGGCGGTGATTTCCCAAGTCTCGGTCACTGAGCATGTTGACCAAAAGCGGAACGATCAACGGTCTCAATACATCATTATAAGTATCTCTAGAGTCGGAGAGGGTATAACGGAAGGCGGAGATCACCACACCACGAATTGTTGGGTCCGCATTGGACAAACATTCCTGTAAACTTGAGTATCAGCAAGTGTGGTACTGTGAATTGGAGATGAATATTACCTGGAAATGTGGTATGTAGGCTACCGGATCGATTAGTGCTAAGCGACCGACGCATTCCGCCCCGACAGCTCGGTTGTCTTCTTCTTGAGAGACGTGAAGAAGAGCCTGCCATAACTTAAGTGCTGAGGGCGCAACATCTGGGCGAACAATCTCGGGATGTTGGAGCAGTTCTTTTACCGAGTGAAGGAGTAAGTAGCTTTGATGGCTGGACTGCTCCAGCCCACCCATAATAGTGGGCAAATAAGCCTTCACGTTACCGGCTGCTGCATTTCCAAGAGCGGTAGCAGCGGCTAAACGAACTTTGTCAGATTTCGAATCAAAATGAGTTATGAATAGCTCCGGTGTCAAAGAGCACTCAGGGCCCATTCGTAGACCAATTTCTCCGAGGATGGCGAGTGCGAGGCATTTGCGTTGGGCGTCTTGTGCGGTTTGCAGCTCTTTAAGGAAATCATCCATCTTGACGCCCAGATTAGATCCGCCGTGCACCAAGAGCGTTCCAATCGCCCTCCCGACAACAGACGTGTCACCATTGATGCCCACATCACGCAAAAGCTTCTTCATTAAGACTGCGCCTGCGCCCTCCTCACCAATAACCTTGACGAGAAGTAGCAACGCCTTCAAAACGGTACCAACAAGCGACGAGAGGACGATCGAGCAAACAGCTGTAACGAGAGCCTCATTCACAAGAAGTTCGGCGTTTCCGGGAATGAGCTTCGCAAGAATGATGAGAGCCGGAGCGAGAAGGTGGAAATCCGCCGCATCGATAAGGGGCAATAGGCATTCTTCCAACTCTTTCATAGTCTTACCATCGTAATGTAGTCTGGTCATGGAGTTCATGGCTAAACTGCGCAGAGCCTCAAGACTAGCACCTCGCAGCACACGGTCTGACTTCCGTAGCTGCGCTCCAAGTTCTGTGGTGACTTCGCTGACCCACGCCGCGGTAACATCCGTCTTTTGAGTACACAGTACAGCAACGTCGTCAACAGCACGTACAGCCGCAAGTCGTGTAGTTTCATTCTTTAAGCGATCTACCAATACAGAAAGTCCCTTTGACCGACGATCAAGCGAGAGGAAAGTTGTACCTTTCTCTCCCGATGTTCGTGCTAAAAGGACCCCAAAGACATGAATGGCCCGTTGGCGAACTTCTAGGTCAGCGCTTGTATCGGTAATGCGACTATGCACAACATCGTATAATTTCTCTAATTGCGGCGAGAGATCCTGCGACGCAGCGGACACTCGTGGCGGAGTGAGAGCCTTTACAACCTGCTCAACCGCTCCGAGCGCTTCGCTGCTCACCTTGTAGTTTCTGTCGTTAACGGCTCCGATAACACCAGGTATCAATGCGATTAAGAAGGGAAAGAGTGCATCAGAAGTGTGTGTTTCTGCAATAGCAGCGATGAGACACAAAGTCTCAATTTGGAGAGTTCCTGCACTGGCTGAAGCTCCGGCTGGTGCTGATGAGGTTCCAGATAGAGACGAGGACTTTAGCACATCGGCGATTGGGTCTTCGATTTGTTGCAGATGATCAGCTAGACCACCATAGCGAACGAGGGCTAAATTTTTGAGTAGAACAATGACTGCTTGCTTCAGAGGAACAGACGCCTGTTTCCACATCTTCACAAGACTTTGTACGACGAAAGGCACCGAGCGCGCCAAATCCGCTTGAGGGCCAGACTTCGGTGAGGATGGAGTGATAACGGGCGTGCCAACAGCCGACGAAGTGCCGATGCTGGGTTCAAAATCAATCATATTGGCATCACTGTCTTGCCTTCTTCTTTTCCTTGAGTTTTTTGATCCGCCCACAGATTCAAGGAAGCCATTCGATGTGATTATCATGGCATCTTCGCCGGTCTTACGCACGAGGGCGGTCATTGTTGAGACAACCTCGAGTTTTACACTTTCTTCCCTTTCTTTGCCAAAGCGGGTAATAAGGGCCGGGGCGATTTGCTGGTATAAAGAAGAGTGGTCCAGTGCACGGCCCCGTCCGTAGGTCGAAATGACAGTGTAAAGCAGCTTCGCGGCACACCGGCGCACTTTCCAGCTCATGTCATCAATATCACTATAACCGCCTTCCTCTTCAAAGTCTTCAAATTCATCGTCATCTAGGTCGGGCTCTTCTGTCCCATCGTCCTCGGAGCCGTCATCCTGAGTACCACCCATTTCCTCGTCTTCTTCCATCTCAGCAACATTCGGATCGTACTTAAGGTATCTGAGGGCAGATTTGACAGTGTTCTGTAGATAAGGCTGCATTTGCTGTCCGCATGAGCTTATCAAAGCTTCCAGCGTCACCAGGGCGGTCTCGCGGAGCTCGTCCGCCTGGGGATCGTGCTCGTCATCGTGAGAATAAGACGACATCGAGTCGTGCGATATAAGTGGGTATTAAGGCTTTCGTAAATTATAAATGGGTATTGTGTTAGAGAAAAGATGATCAACGAGAATAGTCGCTCGTGCGAGGGAGTATGAAGCATGAAAGAGTGTCCACAGCTAGATGGTTGAGTGCGGGCGGAGCTGTCTGGAGAGCTCTGGCTGATAGAGACCCCGCGCTAGACCCCAATCGATATCGGACAAAATACTGCCGACTCTCCGATCTTGGCATAAAAAAATATAGGATTAGAGTACAGGCTTCTACTGCTGGAGGAAGTCAAATAGATCAAGAGAGGAATTAGATCGAGACTGTTGCTTAGACGCTAAAAGTGCTTGTAATCCACCCTGTTTTCTTGCCTTGGCTCGTTTCTTGCTGTTAGCGTTATCAGCTTTCTTACTAGTAGTTTCTTTCTCTTCGGTAGGAGCTGAATACTGCACTGCAGGAGGGATTGTCGAAGGTGTAGAGTCTGTTGCTGCAGCTACTTTAGGTGGAGCGTTAAGGCGGGTAGGCTCTCTTCGAGATGGCTTCACTGTCCGTCGACGGCACCGAAGGCACTTGTAGATAGTGGCACCGTCTGGAGCTGCTAAGGAACTGTTGCGTTTGGTGGTCTTTTTCTTGATGTGAACGGTTCTAGTCCACTCAGGTTTTCGGATGCTGCCACAAGCACCACAGGAAGCTTCTTGATGTCTCTGACGCAGTGGCCTTAATTCGTCAAAATAGATTTGGTTATGGACCGCCATCAGATGAGCCGCAGTGGAAGGACTGAGCAGCTCCAGGGAGTTGGCAGCATCCTTCAGAAAGCCCAATCGAGGGGCATGATCACTGAAAGGCATGATTGATATAGTAATGGCAATTGCCCTTAAGGAATCCAAAACAGGAGATTTTCAGGTGAAGTGAATGGAGTAGGTAGGCAGTAGTACTGACGGTGTATAGTACCAAGTTTGAGTGATCATTCATTGGGCAGATGAATTTGTTCATAAGCGGCAACAGCCAATTAAATCACTGGACGTTAGTGCAACCAATACAAACGACCTTAAGACTTCGTCTGTCTTCAATGCCTTCTTCATCTTCTTTATTTCGTCCCAACCACACAATCACCCTCATTTTACTTCGTTTCATTTTCTTTTCTTTCCCTCATCTTTGTTTTTCTTTACTTTTGTAGTGTTTATTCACGAGTGGAAGTATGCGAACGAAACATACATCTCTCATCGTGTACTGAGATTCAGTTCATTTCCTACCTAGTCCAACTTGGGAAATTGCTTCTTTCAGCGCTACGTCTTCGCCTTCCAACTCGCACCCGCGCCGTAACACAATGGCGTCGACGTCGGGCCCTGCATCTATCCGGGTTGCTTTCGAAGGCTGTGTAAGTATATCCACCTTGATTACTGGTGACATATAGTCCGGTTTAATTCCTTTACTATGATGCTAATACAGAGACAATGTTAGGGACATGGTTGTCTGAATGACATTTATGCTTCGGTGGAAAAGGCCGCGACGCTGAAAGGCTGGGATGGCGTTGATCTTTTGGTCATCGGTGGAGATTTCCAAGTATGACCATTGCATCTCTTCCAAAGGCTCCCATATGTTAACATTCTCCGTAGGCTGTGAGAAATTCATATGATATGGCTTGTATGTCTGTTCCGCAAAAGTACAAAGAGCTGGGAGACTTCCATGAGTACTACAGTGGTAAGCGCAAAGCTCCTTATTTGACTATTTTTATCGGTGGCAATCATGAGGCTGGGAATCACTTATTTGAGCTTTACTACGGTGGATGGGTGGCTCCTAATATCTACTACATGGGAGCGGCCAATGTCATTCGTTGCGGTCCTTTACGTATTGCGGGCATATCTGGCATCTGGAAATCATATGATTACAGAAAACCGCACTCCGAACGGCTCCCATACAACCGAGACGATATTCAGTCTATCTATTATGTGAGAGAGCTGGATATCCGCAAGTTACTCCAGATTCGCACTCAGGTCGACCTGGGCATTTCACATGACTGGCCAAAACAAATTGAACTTTACGGTGATTATGACACGCTATTCAGAATTAAGAGAGGATTCCGACAGGATTCGGAGACTGGGAAATTAGGAAACGTGGCCGCGAAATATGTTCTTGATCGTCTGCGCCCGGCATACTGGTTCTCTGCCCACTTGCATGTAAAATTCGCTGCTTGTCTTGAGCATGGTGACTATATTGTCCCGGAGCATCCAGGGGCGAAACGGCAGGTACCTACTCCTCAAGAAATCACAGTCCAGTCTCAAATTGCTCCAAATAAGTTTGGGTTTGATGGTGCCCTCGTCACATCGCTGCTTGCTGAAGAAGACCACGCAAGCAATCAGGTTTTGCCGGCGCACGAGACCCTGAGTAGAGCTAGCCCAGCTCATGTTTTTCACAGCGAGAGTGAGTTGTCTGGGTCACATCATCAGCAGCCGGTACAGACGGCAACTGATTCCACAACCCGAGGCATTGTGAAAGGCGTTGATATGCAGCAGCCCACTCCGCCCCAAGATGGTCTCGGAGACACCCAAAGTAAGCTGTCGGCATGGAATAACTTTCACACAGTTGCTGCTAAGAACGAAGCCATCGAAAATTCCCGCTATTTAGCGGAAGAACATCGAAATTTACCAGAAATCCAACATAACGTGACCTGGAGAAAGATTGACATCGGCGAGGATGGAGTTGGTCGAAAGCTCACCGGCATTGAGAGGGCTGTCTGTGCTGACGACACAGCTGTGAATAAAAAGCAAAAGTTGCAACATGAACCAAACCCCATGAAAAACTCAGACGAAATTGACTTAGATCTGGACAGCGATTCTTGTGAAGAGGCCGGTGCAGATGCTGCCCCCGCAGCAAAGTTCTCGGCTATGGGTCAATCCTCCCTACCAGCTAGTCTCACTACGACTGCTATTGATGATAGCGCCAAATCTCCAGAAGGTGTTGAAACAATCACGGCTGAGGTTCCTGAGAATATTCGAAACCAACTCCCTGCTAGCTTTGCACGGCCCAAGCCAGATTCTTTCCCAGTGAATGGCCCTCTGCCAGAGGCTATCTGCAACAAAACTACGCGATTCCTTGCTTTGGATAAATGTCTTCCGAATCGTGAATTTCTCCAACTAATGGAATTCAACGTTATCTCAGACCTAGAAGGTGCTCAGTACGAGCGTCCTTATCGCTTGCAGTATGATCGGGAATGGCTTGCTATCACACGTGTCTTCGCAAACGACCTTCAGCTAGGCGATCCAACTGCTAAACCTCCTGCTGATAAAGGTGACACTGTTTACGGCCCGCAAATTGCGGAGGAAGAGAAATGGATAGAGGAACATGTCGGAAAGACTGGAAAAATGACCATCCCTGAGAACTTTGTCCCAACTGCTCCACCTTACGATCCCGCTGTCCCTATCATCACAGAAGAGATGCCGCCCGAATACAATAACCCTCAAACCGCCCAGTTTTGCGAGCTAATTGGTATCGAAAACAAGTTCCATCTTAGCGATGAAGAACGAGAGGCCCGCATGGCTGCTGGTCCGCGACCAAATGAGCCTAGACAAAACTTCTTTCGGCAACCTCGTGATGGCGGCTATGGGCCTGGACGTGGTAGAGGCGGCGCTAGAGGTGGAGGTGGTAGGGGTGGAGGCCGTGGCCGTGGCCGGGGACGCGGACGCGGACGCGGAGGACATCGTTGATTGTTCATCTGTGAGATTTTTAAAATCTTCCTGTAATGTTTTCGTGACTATTCGCAGGAATGTTTCTCATTGAGCATATAACCAACATCTCCACTGATACCAATTGTGCTCGATGAACTTATTGACTTCTGGTATGTCTAAATAGTGACAGATTCAGTGCTGAATGTTTATGATGAAAAATTTGACACGTGAAGATTGTTCACCCTATGTTCAACTCCTATCCGAGCATTATACCTTCTCGTAATGTACATGAATGCCTCAAGATATAAATCGCGCTCATTCTATCTCCTCGATCCTAGGTCGTCCACTCTCATTCCTGCCCGCTAGAGGATCAATCTGAAGACCAGCGATTTGATCCCCCAGTTCTAATCTTGCCTCATTGCTACCATCCCTATCGCGAGCCCCAATCCCCCACAACAAAGACTTCTCTACCCAGGCCTCCAAACTCTCAATCAATACGCGAATATGGCCTCGAACGAGGGTATCCGTTTCACAGCTTTCGACAAATCTAAGTGTGCGCAGCATGTGCGGGATATTACCAATAGTCGATGGCCCGCGAGTACTAGCATTCTCATTCTTCCAAGACATGTCACCGGCCGATTCGTCTCTGAGCGAGAACCCAAAACCTACAGCCTGACTTCTAGTCTCACGTGCGGTATCAAGCGCCTTCAAGATATCAAGGAGAAGAACAACACATGCTCGTCTCAGAATCGCAGACTGGGGCTCCTGCTCCAGCGTCAGAGTCGCAAGCGCAATATCCACAGCAGAAGAGGCCACCGAAGGGCCCAGACCGGCAACATTAGTCTGCACAGCGGTCGCCAGGATAGACAGCGCGGAAGCACGAGCGCGCAGATCATCCGGTTCGTCATCTGAAGACGCGCCCGCGGCCCATGCGGCGATGATGTTAGCGGAATGGGCGGCATGCTCGGGAGACTCGGACTCGGAATCATCTTCATCCACTTCGTGGATATTTGAGGCTGGTGTGGACGATGAGATTGACCAGCCTGGTGGCATGTGAGGTTCCTTATTTTGGCGTTCCTCGCGGTCTCGCTGCCGTTTTTCTTTCTCGAGTTGTTGTTTTCGACGTCTTTGGGCTTCTGGTTTGTGTGCGTGGCGTCCGGCGACGGCGACCATGCCTTCGCCTAGGATTTTGGCTGTCTCGCCTGTTAATGCTTCGCCTAGGTCTTGGATTGTTCGTAGTAGGGATTCTCCGATCTTTAGGCGCTGGTCTAGGCTGGAGGTTTCGTTTCGGTCGGTGTAGCGATCGACTAATGTCTTGACTACTGTGCGGGGGTGTCTTGATGCTAATGTGCCGATTAGTTTTATTGCATTTAGGTAGATGAACTCGTCGTTTGCAGTTGTTTCGGATGGATCTGTTATAATAGATAAGAGGAGTGTTAATGTAGACGGTATGTCGAGGACGGGAGAGGCTTTCTTAACCAGGTCCGCGAGAAGCGAGAACCCTTCAGCTTGTACTGGAGGAAGATCGGAATTAAGGTTAGTCAGGGCTCGACGATGCGTTTCGAAATCAGACACCTCGGAGTAAGGCCGTTGTTGGCTCTGTTCCGTGGGGGATGTGATGTGAATTTCTAGAAGCATTGAGGATGTGGTCCCTGGTCTTGCAAGTGACGGTGGGAGATAGGGGATGAGTTCGTCTAGTCGTGATTTGATACTTTCAAGAGCTGGCAGCGTGTCGGGTGAAGCGGAAAATTCGGGGGATGCGAGTACTGTGGAAAGAAGACTGAACACAGCTGGTAGTGACTCGGCTGAATCTGACTCTCCTGTATCCCCTTGCTCTGTGTCGTCCGTAGGGACAATGTTGGCCAGCGAGGAAAGCGTTAACTTGTGAGTTCCCGGATCACCGGTTCCCTTCTTCCGTCCACTTCGATTGAGCTCGCCGTCGAGGATTTGTTTAATAAGTTCGAGCACCCTCAGAGGCCGACGAGAGAGGATATCTTTAAAATTGTCTAGCAGTGTCTCTGCCAGTTTAGCGCTGACTAGCTTTTGTTTCATATTCTCAGTCTCAATTTCCGGGCTAAGGCGAAGCTTTTGAAATGATCGTCCATTGGCCTGAGGTTGAACGAGCCAGCTCTCGCTCACATAGAGGAAAATGTCGCCCGTGCGTTCTTCGCTACTAGGATCAGCTCCTAGTAAGCCGACAAAAAGTTTAGCCCGAGACTGTAGTGTATCTAGAAGCCGTACAAAGTTTAGAGAGTCCGATCCAGTCTCGCGCTTGAGCAATGACACTCCAAGGTCTGAATCAACACCATAGGTCCAGGTAGCGCCTCCATCCCACAGAAGGTTATCAATCAACGTTTTCAGAGGTTGTTCCCCGACTGATATGGCGAAGTAAGTTTGCAAAACTTCCATAATCTTCTCATGAAGAGTATTGCGTTGCTGCTCTAAAGTAAAGCAAGCCAGCCCCCAAAGTGGAACGAGTATTGGGTAGACAACTCTCTTTACGAGACTTGGGTTCGGAGGCTGGAGAACTAAGCTCCTTAGCCTGTCAACCGCCAGCACCAACAATGATTCGGGCACTAGAACTTGGTCCGGTAAATGCTCATCTGTAGCCGTGGACAGCATCATCCATTTCTTTGACGATCCATCCAGCCCAGCAGTAAGAGTTTTAAATAGCGGTTCTAGAAACATGGTATGGCCTATCGTTCCAGGGGCGCCATAGGCGCGCTTGCATAATATTCCGTTACCAACGATATACGCTGCGGTCTTCTTCAAATCCAGGTCGTCCCCATCGATCAAAGCCAATAGCTGGGGCCCGATAACGGAAAAATAGTGCTCCGGGTTCATTCCTTGCGGTACTGATGAAAGAAGACGCGACGACTGCATTATAGCTTGCACGGTAAAGTGTGGGCCACTGGATGCCTGGGTTTGCGACTCGTGACCTAGTGATGGGGCGAGTTGTGAGGCTAAGAATAATATTGTTTGCAATACTCCATCCTGGCGCAAAGGAACGCGTGATATCTGACTGGAAACTATTGACTTGAACCACGGAGCCGTATCCGATTGAAGGAAGCTGGACAGAGTGGACAACAGAACCGGGCTAGGTGTTCTACAAAGCTTTTAGTATACGTGAATCATGAGAAAGTGGTCAAGACATACTCTTCAACTATCTTCATGAGCACATCACGGTAGTGTTGCTTTTTATCAAAAGGTAAATATTCTGCATTCGAGGCTAAGTCTGACGCAGCACTAATTATATCGCTTAGAATACGACCGCGAATGATAGGTTGTATACTGGGTCGTTCATCCCAGATGATATCTGAAAGAACAACCATTATTCGTTCTAGAAGCACTTCATCTTGCGGCTTGCTAGTTGTTGGCTTCTGCGGTTGATGAGCAATGACTCCGGCCGGCAGTACAGAAATTACTCTCTGCTGAAGAGGAATTCCGGCTCCAGATGAAAGCGAAGGGTAGATCCCTTCCAGGGAGATTAGATCCACAAGGGCATGTAATAACCTGCGACGCTTCGCGTCTTCCAGTGCGGGATCTTCCGACTCGCCGCTGCTTTGTTGGAACTCTGCATCCTTCACCGGAGAAATAAACGCACTATGGATTCTCTTCAGTATGTCTAACGCCTTTCCGATGACGGTAGCCCTTGTTGAGCTTTCATTGGAGGTTTCATCTATCAGATCCTTGCCCAAGATCTCAAGTAATGAGCCCCCACGAAACTTTTGAACTTCCTCTTGGATCTAGTTAGCATACCACATAAATTAAGTACTTTCGCTTTAGGTTTTGATACCTTTTCGAAGAACGGGATTCAAGAAGCTACTTGCGGCATCGAAAGCTTCTCTTAACTGGAGCGTGTCGCCCATGTTCTACTCATAGATGAATTTATTCAACTGCAGATATTGTCACTTTGGCTACCGGTTTACTTTGATGGATTCCATTGCTTATGCAGCAAATGATGATGGCCAGCACGTGATACAAACGCTAGCTTCTTGTGGATGCCTTTACTGAAGCTGAACACGTGCCAGAAATAGTATGCGGTAAGCCGTTTTGCCAGGTCTATCCGACCGCCACCGATAGGGGCGATAAGGGCGATAAGGACACCGACAATGTTTATTAGAGAACATTGTCCTGTTGAAAATCAAGATTTCTATTAGAAACGACTAACTCGCTATTAGTATATTTCTTAGTTAACCCAAACTTCTAAGCAAAGTGAGGATATATGGCTTGTATATTATAATATACCTTTTCTATTATACCGGATGTCTCAGAATCCACCCACAGGTCTTTGCTTATGCGATATTCTAACAAATTTGTAGCGAAGCTGTCAATGAGATTTTTCAGCGCCCTGTTCCACTGCTCTTCCGGTCAAAAAATAGAGAGAGCATTAGCGAATAGGTTCTTGCAACGTGGCAAGAATGGAATGTTGGACTGCAATCCCGACGATTGGGCATAGCAAATGGCACCTCAGCGTTGCAGTTTACGTTGAACCTGGCCCAGAGTGTGCTTCGCATATATCCCCTCTCATATTGTGTCTCTTTGCCATAGTAGGGCCCATGGAACAGCGGTATTCAATGGTAAAGTGTACTCGTGGTAGTCATTATGCTTATCCCATTCTTATCCCATGTTGATGGGTCTGTCAAATCCGGAAAGTCTGATCATGGAACAAGACCAAAGCTGGTGAAAGCATTCAACTTGGAGTGTATGCAGAAAAGCTCGGGTAAAGGAGACCCTGCAGTTGTTTTGTATTTGATAATAATCGTAATAGGTCGTGTGGCGAGTTCGTCCGTTCGCTTTACTGTAGGTTGTGTGGTTGTTTGCGGAGATATAAGCCCTAATCACCTTCGACAAAGACCTTTGGTGATATCCTTCTTGCTCAAGCAATAGAACTTGCTGTTCTTGGGGACTAGAAGCGGTGCTCGTTCAAGGCGTGGTGAGCTGGTATTCACAGGGTTGTATCCAATCCTCGATAGTAGTTGACACTCCGGGCTTCCGAATTCTGTTGATTATGCTGAATCTGATGTGATAAGTGATACATGTTTTATTTGGGGTTTAAGTCATCCGAGCGAATACTATCAGGTCGTTCTGATTGTAAATCTTGGCCAATACTAGGAGGTAGCTGGAGGTGTTCCAAGTGAACCTGTTCGTGGCGATGGTGATTTTGATAAATATAAGGTAGTAATTTTGTGGGGACAATGAACTTGAACGGGAGTTGATATTTTGTATTAATCTGTAGCATTTCAGTTTCTTGACAGGGCAGATCGTTTAATGGCTGAATTATTTGGAGAAAATTCTTTGAGGCGGTAGTTTGCGGTAGTGGTATATTTGTTTCATTGGTGCCCATGTGTACTATAGTTTTCCCTATTGTTGTCAGCTAAGGGCACCTACACAGAAAAATTAGACGAATACCTTCAAAGGACAAGGAAAGTTGGAGTGGGGAAATTGATCGCCGTTGAGTAAGTTTACGGTTCCTTCAACTCTGTCGCCTGCAGCATAGCTTCTGGTCCTGTCAGAGAAGAGCGATTTGCGCCTTTGAGTATGGTCGGTGAAGGGCCATTCTGCGTATATGCTGTTGGTTTACCTCCTTGATCCAGTGCTGACTGGCTGCTTCTGGAGCTAACTATATATTTCATGTAATTTGAGAACTATAACCTTTCTTTTAGGTCTCCACATTACTCTACCTTCAACTGAACTATCTTTGCGATGGTGTGCTTGTCGGTATCTTGGAGATATCAGACCATCTTATTAAGCCCATTGGCCATTAAATTGCGATTTCTAGTTCGTACTTTAGGTAAAGTTATATCTTTCATTAATTAATTGACTATGCTGGTAGGTATATGCATTATCAGGTTTGAAATTCCTACTCTTAAACTGCAAATATACATGCCTCGCTGCCCTCCCTTTATCTCTACCTACACTTGTCTTTTTTCTAACCTGATCTAACTACTAATGATAGGAAATAATAACTTACCACATAGTTTCCACTATAGCTAATGACATAGTAGCTATTTTCTGAAACCCTTTGTCCACGAAGACGTGTTCATCTGGACCTTCATTGCACCTAGGGTCGATGGTATCCACAAGGCACTGAAATGTAGAAGTGAGCTTCTCTGAAGCGCCACGGCGCTTTTTAAGCTGGCGCATGAAATTATCCAAAGATTAATCTTTGATATGATAAAGCCGGGAAATGTCTGTATGAGATAGAATATGTAGAGTTTCAACATCAGCATATAGTGCTGCGGTTTGAAGCAGATAAGGGCCTTTTCAGACGCAGACACTCATCGCACTCAGCCCCGCGATCGAGCAGTAGCCGTAAGGCATTATGTGAACTGTTAACGATGGCTGTTGTCAGGGGTGTCTGATTCGATTAATATCAGCACCATACTCAAGCAGAAAATTTGCGAAACTTACGTCGTAACGGTGCTCTGGATGCTTTCTTCAAAACCACGCAAATACAGTCGTTAAAGAAAGACGGCCTATGCAAAGTGCCAGGCTTGTCTTGATGCAGTTATCAATACTCTACGGGTCGAGGGCATACTTTGGAAACCTCATTCACTTCATGGGGTCTGCTTATGGAGAAGAACACCTAACTAAGCAATACCTTCCACTGGTGATCATCAAGATCGGTATACGATCACATGTGCAGCGCTTCGGCGCTTCTGAATGATCTCAAAAAAGGCCTAGGGAATGCAAGGGAGAGCCTAATTAGGGACAATAGTATACATAGATAATCAACGGGAACACTCGAGGACATCGGAACGATCACTTTTACTTTTCTCATTGTGAAGTCCTTTACGCATACTATACGCTCTATTCCAGCCAGAGATACACTTTGGAAAGAAGGGGGACCAACTAAAATAATCAGACACAGATGTACATATTCGAAACCTTTTAAGAAAAGTCATGCTAATCAAGCCAAGGGCTCAGTCAACCACTTTGAATCCAAAGCATCTATCATTAGGAGAGAACACTACGCAAATAGTACGAAACCTTCGACGATGACTTGTAGTAGTTATCAGGTCTCTAATCATTCCTCAAAGCCATAGATTTGGGTGCAGATTTGGTAGAGGCAAGTCAGAAACCGTTCTCTAGAAGTCTTTCGCTAACTATATCATGGCTTGGTAAGGAAAGAACAGGAATCGGTTGTCGTGAACCAACAATGTGCCAGATGTTCGATTAACTAAAGATCATGTACCCCGTGGTATACAATGACTTCCTGGTCAGCGAAACAGGACTTGATACATGGATGCATAATTTAGGCCTTGAACAGGCATTAGTCTTCCCCTTGGTATCAGATAGTCTTACAAATTAATCTTCGTTATAATCTTATGCATATCAGTAATTCTCAGACAAGACATGGAAGGGGGCCTACAGAGGAGTCGAAATCACAGAGAATACGGTCATGCTCTCTGGACCAAAATAATGACTACAAGCCTATTCGTCTCACAGAGCAACTGAAGCGCACACTTGAGTTCCAACAAAAAGGCTTCAAGGCTAATACTAGGGAGCATTACATTCATGAATCATTTTGTGACGTTGGATGATATCCTGTCACAAACACCCAAGCCTCTTGCACTAGTTATGGAGTTGAGTATGGGAATTTCTTACTTACGGTTCCACCGCCAGCCTTTCTAATTCTATATTTTTTTTCTAGAGTACCCTATGCTCTTCGTAGCGTCGCACGAGTGGAAAGCAGACATATTCGCTATTAAGTGAAATTTTTTGTGAACACCATTCTGTCAAGCATTTCTCACATCCTTCTTGCCGTTTTCAACTCATCGTATTGTCCTCTTTCGATCTAAAGGCTTGTTTACTATTGTCTCTCATACAGGACATGCTTCCTGGCATTCTTCCTCAGTGACTCAGGGAACTTCCCCACGGGGGTCGTTAGGGCATCCAGCCTACAGGAATCGATCCATTTCGCAACAAGCTGGGGACTCGATGGGATTGTGGTGGCTTCGGACCCATTCGTGTTTGTCCCAAGGCTAGTGAGAGTCGCGAAAAGGGAAGTGTATTAACAGGGAGCTACGGCGCTTTGAACGATATCCCCGATGGTGTTACGGTTGGTGTAGTCTATACTCTATTTATTTGTACAATTTGACAACCATATACTAATCGTACTTAGGCTACTACAGGGATAGATGCTTAATGTCGACACTGTTCGTTTAATTTCGGAAACTCTGAAGCGATAGCGCTGACGCTATGTATCTTATGGCCTTGATCTACTCTGTACACTTCATGTTTATATGCAATGCTATGATTTTAGCTCAACTTTCGTTCCGAAATTTTAGATTACTTTAGACTCTTTCAGGGTATTCTCCCTTGACATCTAACCTTGAACTGTAGTTCCTAGTGTGAAGCTCCCAGTCTTCTCCCTTTTCTTTCCTCTGTTGCAATGGCCATCGGCAACTTGACCTTTTCCCGAGGGATGAAGTGGATGATTAACTAAGCGGCCTAGTGTGCTTCTCGGCGAAGAAGCCAAATCCCGACCAACTACACTGCCTTCAGGTTCAAAGCTTTCAACTATCGTATCAAAAGACGGATCGAAAGAGGCATTCGAATAATAACTTGATCTTTATGCCTGTCCAGAAGAATCCACTCGGGCGTAACAGAAAGAAGCCCGTCGCGTACGTCAAACAGCCCTCCCAAGTTTGGATACTGTTCTAATCGCCGTGTAGCTGTCACCGATGTCACACACATAAGGTCAAATGCTCCGGTGACCAGCCTTGCACTAGATGCCGCCAAGCTGGATGCGGGGATGAGTGCCAATATACCTTACGCGATCGGAAGCTCAAAGTTAACGAAAGGTACCCTACCCTGCCCTACCTTGCTCATTGGTCCTCGCCCTGGGGCTCCATCTTATGCTCTCACAGTTATATCAACCAAATTCTTTCTGAAAACTCCCAGTTGAAAGAACAGCTTCGCAATCCATATACACCAAACCCTTCTCCAGCAAGCACTTCTGACACTGTCGTACTGCCGCCGGAATCCTATCCGTCTCTTCAAAATCCACTTTTAGGAGAGCGGGCTTGGTTTTATCCATATGATTCGTCTGCTCCTCCCATCTATATGGGGGAAGCTGCCTGCACGGCATTTGCAACACGACTGCGACAGTTTTTAACACAGGATCCTAATACCGCCCATGTTGCCCGGACTCAGTATACGCCCGAGTCTTCACTGTTAGAGGGCGAAGCTCAATGGCCTGGCCTCGCCCAAGCTCGTTTGCTAGTCAAAATTGCCTTCAACCAACTTAGTCGTGTCTATCACTTATTCTTGCGCAAGTCTACACTTGAGCAGCTGGAAAATGTGTACCGCCTACCTTCGCTGAGAGATGATCCAGCTTTAACCTGCAAGTTCTTCTCCCTTTTTGCGTTGGGCGAGGTGTACTCCCGGTCGATTTCGTCACCGGGTAGCCGAGTGCCAGGGACAAGATACTATGTACGAGCAATGGGTCTCATACCAATCTTACCAGAGAGGCCAGGAATGATACATCTGGAGAGCTTACTACTCTTGGTGAGTGACCTTACTTGTTCTCTAATGTGTGCTCTAACAGTACACTAGTCATTATACTCTTATTTCTTGAATCGACGGCATTCCGCCTATATGTTAATTGGGAGTGCCATGCGTCTAGGATTGATCTTAGGGCTAAACCATAATATTCCTACTCGTCAATGCACGGATCCTATCGAGCGTGAACATCGTGTCCGGCTCTGGTGGGCTATCTACATCTTTGACCGCATGTATACATCCAAGATCGGCTTCCCTCTCCAGATTCGTGACGATGATATCCATGTTGATTTGCCAACGGATGTCACTGCACCCGGCGCCGAAGAGCAATTTTCAGATACAGCATATCTGGTTTGCAGTATCCGCTTGGCCCGTATCATTGGACAGATCATAGAGAAGATATACAGCCGGAGGCCACACCAAGAGTCATTTCTACAACGGGAGCAGCAGTTGCTACTCGCATTGCAGGACTGGGTTCAATCTCTGCCAGCGCATACCAAACTACCAGTGGAAGGGTCGCCTCCAAAGCATGTTGTGTCTCTCCACTTGCAATTCAACCAGGTAGGTTTTGCATACGAATGCTATAAGGATTCGCTGACATGATAAAGTGTGTCATATTAGCGACTCGCCCCATACTTCTCCACGCCTTGTTCCAACAACGCGCCCAACGCGAAAACCATGAAGATACCCCACAGGCAGTTATCACATTGAGTGAAGCATGCATTCACGCTGCCCGGCATTCTCACGTCCTTATAATCGAGGAGTGGGTCAATGGGTCACTACCTATGTATGGGTACTTTTACGCACAGTATCTCTTCGCCTCTGCTATTATTCTTGTGATGTCAGGACTTCTGCCCTCTATCGGAACCGCTGCCGATTTAGAGTCCCTCGAAACAGCTATAGAGATCCTTCATCGAATGAGAGACCATGGCAACCTTGCAGCAGCGGAATTTTACGAAAATCTGAAGCGAGTAAAGCAATGCTTACGAAGTTGCTCTGGAAGTATAGGTATGCACCATGACGCTCGCAGATTTACACAGGAAAAATCTCACCATGTAGTCGGCGATGCTACACATTTGGACCAGGCGCTAGATCCTAGCAGCATTACCCCGATCCCTGTTCCGGGCCTCACCACTGAGATGGCCTTTCTAGAACCTACGATGCAGGACTTTCTTGGCCGGACAGACAATGAGATCGACTTTGTCCACCCGGATGTATTCTTAATTGAAGAGTCGACTGGAATAGATGCCTGGCCGACTACATTCTGGACATCATGATATTATGCTTGGTCGGTACTGCATTTCACCGGCCCATTTCAAAAGAAAACTCGGAGAGCTAGCCCTTAGGAGGCGCGGCTCTATATATAGTATTCAATGAGCACTGTTTAGAACGGAACTGGTCGTACCTTACCAGGGTTGTCTATATCTTGCGATATCTACCGGAAACAAGGGACACAAGCAGTTCACATACCTAACTAACGTTTGTACGGCTGTTGCGGTAAGAAGAGGCGCCAGGCTCATGACCCTTGTCAATACTAGACTATGAGGCCATTGCTCACAGAGTTACTGGTACGCAAACCCGGAATATCCTTATCTAGACGGTGATGAGTCATGTCATGACTTTTGTCAATCAAGTACAACTTGCTTTATGGTACCCTCTCTACAAGCCGCCCTTGTGCGCTTTTACCCAATGCCACTTGAACAAACAGGAGGCACAATAGGCCGAGCTTTGGAAGGCAAGATGGGTTGACCCCTTCTCTGACAGCCGCTCCTCAAGTTTTCATAGTACATAATTCAATGCTATATTTCTCTTTCTCGAGTCCTATGGTTCACTCCTTTTAGTCAAAGCAATGGCAGCTGAGCTTAATACATTGATATATATCTTTAGGAAATGTACGATAGACTGCCTCAGCTTGTTTGCGCCGCCTTGAAGATCAATACAAAGATATATACGAGTTACCCAAAACGATAACATCTTTCAGAGAGAATCAATCCCCTCCAAATACTAGGCAGCATATTACGTTGACACTCAGAAGAACGAGGCATCTGCTGTTCACCTCGAGTATGTCCTCCAGTTAAGGATATTGAATATCCTTTGTTCATCACACTACTCTTAGGCCTATTAGCAACTACAGCGCTAACGACAGCGCCAGCTACAGCACCTGCAGATGGTCCTTTACAATTGAATTCAAAGATATGGGCCTTGAGAACACACATAGCTCCTGGGTGCTGGGGAAAGTCTGAGCAACGGAAGTGGAAGTTAGTCTTTGTCCGTATCCCCCAGATACGACAAAGCTAGTTAGCTAAAATGATAATTCCTAGTATCGCACACATCCCTGCTTTTCATTGTCAAATCTATCTTGAGGCCTACTCTTCCCCATGATATCCATCGGGCGAAGCAGGTAGCTATATGGACTGATATATCCGGGGAAAGGAACGACAGTGGCTAATGTTATTCTTCTAGAACACCAATATACCTGCACTCCTGAGACGGCCCGACTAAGAGGGTCCCAAGGAGGAGGGTAAGTTACCAGGGTATGGAATATGATACTCAATGAGACATTCCAGACCAATCCACTGCACAACCTTTCCGGAATACCCTTCTGCCCTAGATGGAGCGGAGACCCCGACGATAGAACTTCTACAGGTCGGGCTCAGTTGCGTGAGAGTGCCAACTGAGTCTGCCTATATCCATTGCCCGCATGACACCAAGACTAAGGTCCCATACCCGGACTGTGTCGGTCTCTGGGGTAGGTTACAATAATCCCGATTTCAGAAGTGTATCAGGTCTATACGATGTGATATAACTTCAAATATCTTAATAAGTTGGGCTTGTTTACTTAAGTCCTTATACTCATTATTCCCACAATAAATACTATCGTTAGCATTCTTATATTTAATAGAGAACAAGCAGTTGCGAGCTCATTATTCTATTCTATCTGAAATTTCAATACTTATACTACTAGGTCTACGAGTACAGAGTTCGTGATAATTACAAAGACGTATATATTAACTCAATACGTTGTGTTTTGTGGACGGGCTATGGAAAGGTTACTTTAAGGGAGGTGATTCCAAGAGGTATGGGTTGGGTTGTACATAATCATCTTTTGCATTTCTTTTGCTCTCCACTTTATGGATCCCACAGTTTAGCATTAGTAACATCAGAAGCAACAATTTGTCTTGGAATCCTAGGGATAAACACTATATACCCCATTCCTTCTTCAGCTGCTGCTTCCAAAGCTCGAAGTCCATCTCCTCACCGTCCACCAGCATCTTTCCCGCTGCTACGTTCCTAGGCCGCCGGGGAACATACAAAAAGTCCTTGACGTGTTTGGGATTGCATTTCTTGATGCCCATGGTGCCCTCCGCGAGTAGCTTGACGCAAGTTGGACAGAATCCAGTATCCAGACAGATGGGACACTGATAGTAGTCATCGAGCGAAGGCAATTCTTTCCGACATGGTCCATCACAGGTCACCAAGTCAGAGCTCTCATTGTCAAGGCTTTCATTGCCCGTTGTCCCCTCTAGATCATCTACATTGTATTTCCCAAAGACTTCATGATACGCGATCGCAGTCACGTTTTTGACGTCGCCAGCCGCTAATAGTGCGTTCATGAGGTCTATGAACCCAAATACGTCGTTTTCAGGATCATCATCTGACAAAATTTCGATCCCCCGCTTGATGGATGGTTTGAAAAGAGCCCTAGCTTCCTCTTCACGTCCGCTCAAGCGATAGTAGGTACCCAAGCAAATGGCACGCGTGCTGGAGATAATCCAAAGTGCGGACTTATCGTCTAGCTTGGCTTGTTTTACAAGCTTCTCGAGTTTTGCACCAGCTTCTTCTGCTTGTGGGGTTCCGATTCCTGCCTCAACAGCGTCACCGAGAAACTGTTTTGCCAGTTCAAAGGAGGCCTTCAGCCTTAAAAAGCCAACCGCAGTTTCATCCTTGGATGAGGCGTACGTGTTCATGATCTTCTCCCAACGCTTGACTGCCTTTTCCTGATCATGAAGGAATTCACTGTAAATCCGAGAAAGAGACATATCGAGCTGAGCGGCTGTCACCGTCTTGGACGCCTTCCTAGCCGCACGGGCTGCAGTACGCCATGACTCCACCATGAAACCGAGGTTATTGGTAGCCAATGCAGCATCTGCAGCAAGCACAAAGTATCTCGTGTCTTCTTCCGGATTGTCCCACAGCGACTGCGTCAATCTTGAAAAGTCTTCGCCCGGAACCGGCGTATTGGCTAATTCCTTAAGTAGGTCAATGGTGGCATCATGATTATGGTTTATGCCATAATGCTCGAGAAGTACATTAATACAATTGTCACAATAGGGTATCGTCGCCTGTGCTTTCTTATATGCCTCAAACCACTTCTCTGAATCTCCAAGCTGTTTAAAAGAGTCGCCCAGGCGTTCTAGGCATGTGTGAAGACTTGCTTTGAGCGTTAAATTTTCTTGATTGGATCCAATCTGTGCTGATAAAGCTTGCACAATTTCTTTATCAAGGTCGACGGCTTTCTGCCATTCCCCTTTCATCGAATATGTTATTGCCATACCAGCTTTGATCAGCCACTTGTCAGGCTCTAGTTCAACCGCCTTGGAGAAGTATTCCAACGCCTGGTCAAGATACTGCAACTGGCGCAGAACCATCGCACACCTGCGATACCAGAGCGCAGTTTTTTCAGAATCGCCGAACTCAGCAGCTTCAATAATCTCCTCTGCCGTCGGATTGAATATTTCGAGAAAGTCAACCTCCTTGCCTTTAATAAGACTTTGGTAGCTCCACACCACGGCAGCAACAGGAGCAACCAACCACACATCTTCCATGAGCCATTTCTTAATGCAGAGCATGACAACCGGCTTGAATGTTGTGATGGGATCATCCTTGGTCGAGGAAATAAACTCTCGTTCGTCAGGGGTCAGCAATTTGAGAACTTCCTCGTCTTCCCACCACTGTCGGACAGCTCGAGTACCAGCCTCTGTTGATACCCAGCCCCGATAACCTAACCAGGAAGTAATCGCTTCCTCCGATCTAAAAGCCACCAGGAGCATTTTGGCTATATCACGTCTATCCTCAAGACAGCAGTCAGTTGAGGGCGTGGTAAGAAGATGTTGGACCCAGTTTTCGGCCGCATGGCGGAGCATATGCTCAGAATCATCCGCTTTCTTCACAAAGTCCTTATCCGTAAAGAGCCTTAAAAATGTCTTGAGCACGTGCGCCTTCGCCTTCAGGTAATCGACACCAACAGGAACATGACTTTCCCCATCGGAAACTTTACCTTCCGTCTGATCACGGAAGAAATCGCCAATGGATGCATGACAAAAAGTGACCGTCGTTGTTTGCTTGTGAGAGTCAAAATCTGTGAAGTTCTCCACATCGTCGAACGCCTCTTCGCCAGCGTCATTATCTTCCCCTTCATCGTCAGACTCATCAAAAGTGCTCCTATTGGCGGACATCATCTGTAGCTCAGCCGTGGTGAGCCCATCTTCTCGATCCAGGTTGAAGAAGGAGGCAAACTGGCGCCGTAGTGCTCCTTCGGGATAGATCATACCGTCTCCCTCCGGTGACTTTAGCCTGAGGATCGCCTCTACCTCAGCCAGAGTTAAAGGTTGCCTCGAACAGGTGACCCATAGTAGTATCTCATTGAGGAATTCTAGCTCCTCTTCATTAGAGCTAGTGGAGAAACTTAATAGAACATGGCGCAGCATTTCTTTGAGGCCCTTTGGCGCTTGATCCAAAGCCTTCCGTATACTTGACTCATTCCGCTTCTTGACTAATTCTTGCAGCATGAGGTTCACCCAGAGAAACATGCCCTCCGCACCGGCCGATAGCTTCTCCACAATCTCCTGGCGCAATTTCGCCGACACTCTTCTGAGTACCACAGACTTCTTGACGCTAGTATGGATGTACTGATTTATGTCTTTAGAGTTCTTCAACGTCGTGACATGAATTGTTGGTACCTCCTCCTCTAGACCTTCAAGTAACTGGTCACTTATGTGAGGTCGACCAATAATGGCAAGCTGGAGGCGTGAATCGTCTGGGGAATCGTATAGATCTTTTGCCAGACTGAGGAAGGCCCTCCGTTCTTGGTCTAACGCTTCATCAACGGCGTCTAGCAGGATATAGACATTGCTATCGGTGTTGGATTTCTTAATGAAATATCCGGTAAAGAGGAGTCGCCATGCACTTTCGAGTGTGCTTATCCTCTCGTAGTCCTCGATGGTGGCGAGATGTTTCAGATACACCGGGTCATTTCTGCTAATCTGCAGTGCAAGGTCCCGCAGGGCCTGGTGGAATGACCTCGTGCCCGGATTGTCGTCCTTGAAAAAGAAGAATCCCACAGAGGTTAGCGACGTGTTTTGAACGCCCTGGGGATGCAACTCCCTGAGGAGGCTAATGATATTCGCCACGATGTAGGACTTTCCGGCTCCAGGATTACCCGATATAAAAATAACCGGCGTATCCTTGCTTAGCCACTCTTGGAAGATGCTCTCATCCCGGACCCAGTCTCCTGTACCCGGTATACGGGCCTTATTGATCTTATCATACCAGTCTTGGGCAAAATCTGTTTTTGATGGTCGGAGGATCTTGTTCACATGCTCCTGCAGTGCTTTTTCACGATCATCGCTATTTTCCTGCTTGTTCTCGTTCACTGAGACAAGCAAGGTCCCCAGCATCTCCTGCACCTCGTTCACTCGAACGTTCATCTGGTTCACGGTCATACCTGTTTCAATCACAGTGGCGTTGGTAGTGTTGACCGTTACTGACATGCCATCCACAACGCGACCAGTCCGTTTGGACTCGGTCAGCGTCTCAGCTCCAACTAGGTCAGCCTCTACTCTAGTCAACTTGTCCAGCTTACCCATTGCCCCCTGGATCGCATCATTGCTTCCAAGCAGAATATTGCGCGTGAACTTGAGCAGTCGGCCTCGGCGAATCGTTTTAGTCGACAGAGCGAAAATCTCAACCAAGGTAACAAGAATATCGCTGAGCTTGTTACTCAAGTCTTCAGAGATGGCCTCCCGACTATACGCTTTCAGCCGGATAGTGAAGTCCTAAGAGCGATTTAGACACAAATACTCCCATACCATCCACGTGAGAAATCTATAGTTACCTTCAATGTACTCATTAAATCCTGGATGGCATCATACGAAGCCGACACCCCCTTCGCAGCACCCATCAGGTATGTAACGGCTCCAAAGACAAGACTGCTGGGTGGAAACACCATGGAGGCACCTCCAGCTGCCAAATCACCGAACAATTGTACCGGGAACATCGCCGCGTTAAGAACATCGTAAATAGCGCCCCGCTTCTCGCGAAACTCGCGGAAGTTGTTGTTCCTTGCGTCTATCTCTTTAGTCAAATCCTTAACATTTTGAATCTTTGCGAGGAATTGTACATCCAACGGCTCGTCGGTGATCTCCTGGTACTTCTTGATTGCGCGTTCGTAGATGGCGGGGATCTGGCTCTCAAGGATCGCCATTTTTGTTGTGTCTATGAAAAAGGCTTATCACCACTCCCAAAAGGCATGATAAAACGAGGAGCTTGGGACGGAAAAGCTGATAACGGTTTAGGGTGGGATATCCCACCTTATTCTAGTTGGGCCGAAACCTCGAAAAACGCCATGTTTGGTATCTTCATAGTGAAAACCAATTTATTGTGGGGTTTGACATCAGGTGATAGTCCTCAGGAAATCAAGCTATTCCTGTCAGATTCTGGATTTCGGATCAAAATTATCACTATCAGACCTCTCGCTAGCATAGGCCAGGAAACAAAATCACAACTAATGCACGGGCACTCATCCTCAGGACCTCAGCTGCGGCTGACTAGGGCGGGGTACTTGAGGAGGTGAAAATGAAATACTTTCCAAGGGCGAGAACAGATTGGTGGGTTGGTGATAGCTAGTACGAGGCTTGAGGAGGATCTTAGGGTTCTATTGGGCGTGGCTGTTGGTGGGCCGTGTTCCGGCCTCCTCCAGTTTGATCTAGATTAGTCTACTAAGGACCAAGTAGGAAATTCCTAAGGAGCACACTTGCCGTAAGGGATCCAATATACAGAATCTAGATAGATCATTGGCGGGTGGGTGAGTTATACCTTCTATGCGGTATATCTAACCTGAAAGAGGGAAGTGGTGCCACTAGATGTATTTTTCAAATCCAGGGTTATTGGGGGGATGTATGATTGCGAATGGTCAACAGACCTTCATGATCATATTACTTTATTAGGTAGAGCAGAGTATAAACCGCCATGACAGTCTTGACAATCCTGAATGCGAAGGAGACCAGTTCGGTGACCAAGCAATGACTATACAATATCTGCTCAAAGGTTCCTACTATTCCTAAGCAAAGAGAGAGATCATGACTTTACCTTTACACATTGGGCAAATTTGTTACTATAGTTTTGGGGTTTTGTGGGTAGTGGGTTAATGTTAAGCCTAAGGTGCCTTCGCCGGTTAATACTGGGAGGTGGATGAGTCGTATGCTTGAGGTTGGGGGAGGTGGTTTGTGTGGTGCGATATGTATACTGGATATTGACCCATGATTGTGTCTTCACTTTCGCTTTTGAGCAGTTTCTTTGAGGCATGGGAAATTGTAGACAGAATATGTATGTAGGAATCTTGGGGGCTGTTTCATTTCTCTGACCTTGCTTAAGTATACGCTGGAGAATTGGATATTGATCTTTGGGATCATGCAAAGACAGACTGGTCAGGCCGAAAGGAATAACAACGTGGCGAATTGAATCGAGTCGCTGATTCAAGCAGTGTGCACTCAAGATGGGTGAATAAAGGTGTAGTGCACCATACATATATCTCTGGCTGGTTAGTATGCGGCGCTGAAGACAACTTGCTCATTTTCTTAAATAGTAAGGCATAAACCACTCCAGTTGATTCTAAATTGGTATCCCAGGTCCCACCAGACAATAAACAATTGAATTCAGTGGTGAACACTAAACGAATACAAATAAGTCGCTCATGCAGTCAATCCAAGACCTTTACTCATCCAATTCCATAACTCCAAGTATGCAATCCTTTGCGGACAACGCCAACCAAACCAACATTAATAACACTCATACAGACAAGCCGTTCAAGGGTAGAAAAGGGTATGAAAGAAGATAGGAGAATTTAAAGAAGGTCAAAAAGAGAAGGTGAAAGACGAAGATAAAAAAAGGGAAAAAAGCGAAGCAGTGAGAAAAGAAAAAAAGGTCATCCTGTAATGGCTTTTCTTTTGAGTACGCCGAGCTTCTCAAGCTTCTTCCAGGCGTGATCCATGTCGGAGCCTGGTTCTAACGAGGGTCGCAAGTGCAATCCGTCTAAGATTTTGAGTGAGCCGCCTGTTCCGGCATACAGCATGAGTTCGAATACTCTGCGTCGTAGTCGTGTTGGGTCATCCAAATGAGACAAATATCTCTGGTCAGCCTTGGGATCTGCCGGTGGCAACGTGTAGGGGTCGTCAATAGTGACATCCTTTTCAGAGGTAGGCTCGTCATCATTTTCATTGAGAACCGAGCGGTCTACATTTTCGGCCTGCCCGAACTCGGCGAGCACAGATTGGATATCCAAGCCCACTTGCTCCCGCTGAATGGGCTTATCCTCGACTGTCAGACTCTCTGAGTCACTCACTTTCCCGCCACCAGTGATAGCTGGGGGATAGAATCTGACGGTAAGTGGGTTGCCTCTCACATCTACCTTTTGAAGGGTAGAGACCTTGGCTTTGTTGGTTCTTCCTATCCGGCTCAAAACTTGACAAAGCCTCCTTAGCCTCGCGATGCAGTTACCAGCCAATGCCAGTCGGGACAGACAGTTCAATCCTGCCAATTCATTAATACCAGCCAGGGAGTTGAAATTCAGGTTGAGAACCCTGACGTTCGGGAAATTCAGAGCAAAATCCGCAGGAAGGCTTTGAATGTTGCAGGATGCAATATCGAGCAATTGCAACCCCGAAAGGGGAGTGGAAGGTGAGAGGCACTGCAAAGACAGCTTATTGCACGATAAGAAGACCTTTCGAACATCTTTTACCAAGCCCAAGTCCACGTCAAAGAAACCACCATTGTGATCGCGTGTGTTCATCTGCTCTCGGGCAGAGAAGACCTCCAAATCTGGACATTGTGCAAGCCCGGAGACTGTGAAGAGATAGTTGTGGTCAAGGTAAAGGAGGCTGAGTGACGGAAAAGCCTCAACATCCAGACTATGTAACTGATTACTTGAGAGTCTCAGAGATGACAAGTATGGCATAGATGCTGACGGGGCGACTCTAGCTAGTTGGTTAAAGCTAAGGTCGAGAGTTGACAGTGCTGAAAGCGTCTCGAGATTCCGAATGGAAATCAGCTGGTTATGGCTGAGGTCTAATTCTTGAAGGCGAATTCTATACAAGCAAAAGAATTAGCCGTTGTAGCAGCAGGAGCCGGAACAAGGTTACTTACAAATCCGAACCTCCAAAATCGACAGTGGTCAAGCTGTTGTTGCGCAACTTCAAACTGAGAAGTCCGTCCAGCTCAAAGATACCATCAATGCTTCGAATGTTGTTATCATCAGCTTTCAGCTCCCTCAGGTGAATCAAGCGGCTGAATGCATCCAGACTTTCAAGCTCATTGCCAGAGACATCTAAGTATTGCAGGTTTATCAGGTGACCCCAGGCTGTGAGATTAGAAAGACAGTTTTGCGGTATTCTTAGAGTTCTCAAGGTTGAAGGCACTCCACTCAATTGTCCAATACTGTTGTTAGAAACATCGAGGTCTTCGAGTTGAGGGCAAAAATCGCAGAGCTTGTGAAGAGTAATAAGCCCCTTGTGTCGAAGAACTAAGCGACGAACATGTTCCCAATTAGGTTCAAAAGGCTCAGCTGCCGTAATATGCTTGACTAATTCTTCAGTTGCTAGAGCGAAGGCTCCATGTACCTGACGCAAAGATGTGGGGTGGGTGCGCTGAGCCACATAACTAAGCTCTAGTTGAAGAGGTTGGTCAATTTGATGGATTGTGAAGTCCGGCAAAGGACTCAAATGGAAGCTATAACTCGTGTCCTGTCCCATATTGCGGAGACACACAAGCGAATTCTCAGGGTGACTCTTAAGCGGCGTACATACGGCATCATCTCTGCGAACCAAATTTAGATGGTCGCCCGAAAGTTCGCCCGTCTCGTCTATTCTGGAGATAGCGTGTCGGGGGAAGGGCTTTTCGGATGTATACGTATGGCCCGCCGTGGTTTGATTTTCTTGCCCGGGACCCGCAAGTTGAGCTCGCCGGAGTTTTGACGGGCTTTCATCGTCGCTATATGCGATTTGTGAAACGAGGGGCGAGGAAAAACTTATCGTAACCACTCGAGCTTGCTGCTTCCCACCTTTTTGGCGCCTCGGGGGCTTGGACAAACGACCCTCGTGAAGCTGTATCTCATGTTCGACTTCGCTAGAGGATGCTCTCTTCTGTTGAGCTTCAGAATCCCAGGAGGCTACTTTAGTCGCCGAATCCAGAATACTAGGGGACGAGCACGTCGCCTTAGACTGCAAAGAGCCGGCAGCAACTGAAGGTTCGTCATCTTTAGTTGCTGGCCGAACCACCGAACTAGGAGAACGAGACTTTCGACTCAGTGGTCTTGGAGCGTTGTCATCTTCTAACAGAACAGAGTCCTTCGTTCGCTCAGGAGAAGGCGAGTTTTCCATCCTCATCATTTCTTGCAATTCATCTACACTAAGGTCGGGGATATCTCGGAATGGATCATCCTCACTGTCTTCCCCTTTAGGCTTTTGAAAGGAAACTTCGGACCTCTCCCTGATCCACTGATGCCTGTAACGGTCGTAAGTCAGACCGTTCACCTGTTCTGGGATCAAATGAGACACAAGATCAGATGACAGAACACCCTTAGCATGAGAGCTTTGCGATGAGCCAGTAGGTACTGAACGGGCGCTGAGACTTTTAGACGATATTTGCGTATTGAAGGTCAAGAGATCTGGCAGGTCATCATCTTCGCCGGAGGTAGGTGCGGATGATTTCCGTTCCCGCTCCTCAAATACATCGTCATCAGGTTGCATATTCTCAAATGCTTGATTTATGGAGGCTTCATGACCTTGCTCATCCTTGCTGTTGTTCTCTACCTGAGAAGAAGAGTGCCCTTCATTGTCAAAGTCCAGCGATGTAACAGAAGCGTTATCACCAAACTCCAAGTCATCATGTTCTTGGAATTTCTTCAGGTGGCTTAATATCCTTGGATTCGGCTCCTGCGGCTCCCGTAATTTCCGCATATCAACACCTTCCCGACTCGGGGGACGTGAGAACTCTTCTCGAGTGGATTCATCTTCGTAACTGTCACTTTCGTTCTTGTCCTCTGTCTCGGACTCTTCTACGCTGGAAAGGCCACCTACAGCTCTTCCTTTTGATCTGATAATGTCCATTATCTTTGTCGCCTCGTTAAGGAAGTCCTGGGTTGTTATTGACCCTTTCCGCCTTTCATCATGAACACCAGTGACTTTTACCATTGGCACACTTGCCTCTGGCGGAGTATTCTCGTCATTATACATAATGTCAGGTTCATTTTTGCTCGGTGAAGATCTTTTCCTTGTAGATCTTGTCGATCTTGTAGACCTTGTTTGGCTGGGCGTTGGCGTCCTGGGGCGTTGGGATGACTGAGGCCGGAGCAGGCTGTCGTTATCATATTGCAACCCATGTTGCATTAAGCTCCTCTGTAGTAAGGACAATTTATTCCCAGACTGACCACTCTGGACCGCTTCTCCCTCATCCTCCCCTGTCGAGAACGGTGATTGCCCGAAGGTTCTGCGCCTCTTGGGCGTTGGATCTTTTGCAGGAGACCTCAGATTCGGATTCCATTCCAGTTCTGCCTGTTCAGGATTTGCCAGTGGGAACGGATCTTGGTTATTCGAGTTGAATACTCTTTCTGTGTTCGATTCCTTGTCTATCGAGTCAGGAAGGTGAAGTTCCGAGCGACGGCTTGGGTCCCTATGCGACGGACGTCGCAGATATCGTCTCCGCCTCGACGAAGGAAGGACCTCGATATCAGGAATGTCGCTGTTCAGAAACTTGGGCTCATAAGGACTTGTGTCGTGAAAATCGAAATTATCGAGTTGGCCATCACCAAACCGACTGATACGAGAATTTGCGGTACTGCGTGACCGCGGGCGTTCAGCCGTTCGCAAAGAGCTTTCGCCCATCGTATCCTTTTTCTCGCTCAACAAGCTTCGGCTCTCGCCCTTACGTCGAGCCTCCTCGGAGGGCGAAGCAGGTTCATCTTCTTCAGAAACATCCCCGAAGGTTTCTTCGAACTGGCTCATTCGTCGTAGCAGTTTATTATTTGTGAATGTGTCATGGGTCCCGAAGAGTTTCAAGGGGCTTCCTGAAGAGGGTATAACCTCAGCCTTATTCTCTCCGAGCTCCGGCGCCTTAACATGAGCTGACGACGGTCTAGGCAGTGTTGGTGGGTCGAGTATGGGATTTGTCCGATTATAGAAAGGCGGCGAACTTCGAATCCTCGAATATTCGGAGAAAAATGGAGATAAACGCTGAGAAGGGAAGGTTGGTGGAGAGAGTTGATGCTTAAAGAAGGAGTCTTCATTTAAATACTGTCCCCGGCGCAGATTTGGAAAACCTCCGCGGCCTCGATAATCCAAAGTTCCCATAGACAGATCTCTGGGCAATGAATGACTCGTGACATCGAATATGTCTTCTTCTGAGAGAGGGTCGAGAGTAAATTCGGGTTGCTGATTTAATAAAACGCTGTCACTTGCTCTCGAGTCCGGCCGCTCATATGGGGGTAGAGAGAGTTTCTGAAGTTTGCTGGTGACCTGCTTCAACGCTGACCGTATAACTTCGGACGTACCATTGCCTTCCACCGTATTGGTTCGCGTAAACGTGATGGGCGTAATTCCCTCATTACGAAGCTCTTCGAGACCACTTGCAGATCTCATTTGTGTATCGTCCTGAACAGTACTGGATCCGGGATTACGGTCTGAATGACCTTCCTGGGGACCCTTTTGCATTTCCAATGTACGCTTAGGCGATCCTTTCGGGCTGTGACTGGGTTCCACATTCTCCTGTGGGTGAGAACTAGGCGCTTGAGAACTAGACGCTGGTGGCACAGCTCCTTCATCAACTGAGGTATTCGCAACATCATGGTCGATAACGCTCCGTGTGCGCGATGACTTCTTCCTTGGACTTGTATCATGGTCTCTATCTGACGGTTGACTGAAATCCCACAGCTCATCCCTTTGTTTCATCATCGGAATCGCCTCATGTTGTCCTTTTTCGGATCCTGGCGTCGGCGGTTTGAACACACCTTCTAATCCGATAGGAGCGAACAAATCGCGCTGCTCCCCCGAAGGGATCTCGCCACGGACCAGCCTTTTCCGCCACTCCGGTGTGCTCTCTTTGCTTTTTCCCTTCTTCGGTCTCACTTGTACTGTACTCTGCTGGCCAGATTGCGTGGACGCATTAGACACAGATCGTAGGGGCGACCTGGTATCCATAGGCGATTTCTGTTTACGTGCGGAGGGTATATCTGGCTTCAGTGTTTTCTTCGACTTCTCCGGGGCGGGGGATCGTAACTTGGAGGGGGTCTTGGGGGTTCGCGGAGTCTTGGGCGTCGGCGGTTCTCTCCTCACGAAATGACAGGGACGGGAGACCTTTTTCTTGTCCAAGGGAGATGGTTCGACAGAGCGACGCGCGGGGACAGGAATGCGACTGGGAGAGCTCGGTAGTCCTTGTAAGCTCTGTAAACTAGTGCGACGAGAGTGGTTTGCGGATCGCGTTGGCACAGGGCTGGTAGGAGTTCCGGGGACGGACACCCAGTCGTCTGAGAGATTGTCGAGCCATGGTTGGTTGCTCATTGTCAAGCTGCTTTATGACCGCAGTAGTCGAGGAGCTCGGCGCGCGTCGCGATCACAAAGTTGCAGTGAATGCAAACAAAGAGATAATAACATAGAGACCCCACACATGCAGCTGCAAATATCCGTCACGGAAGGGGGGAGATTAATATATAATAAAACATGAAATTTTAGAAAGGTTGGGTATTAATTTGTTGTAGCATAATTTTGGTTTTATTATTTGAAATGGAGTTTTGAAGGCACTGAATTAACAAGCAGATCAATAAGTAAGTTTTGGGTGGTCCGGGCAACCCCAGAAGTATACCTTAAAACAAAATGGTTTCCACTTTTTCTTTTTTACCACGGTCTTGATCACCGTAGGGGTTTTATCTAGACACCTGAGAAGAATAGCAAGGAAGAAAGGAAAAATGAATTATAACAAAAAAAGAAAGAAAGAAAGAAAAAAGAAGAAGAAAAAGAAAAACAAAAAGTCCACTAGTTCATTCCTGTGTGCGTCAACCATATTAATCGTTGCTTTTTTTCTTTTTCCAATTTTATCTCACTCGTGCCTTACGTCGGTAAGAGATTGTGTAAGATGGATACAGTAAGGTACTAGGCAGCTACTGAGTGGCAGGGATGAGTTGGCAGTGAGAAGTCTGTATCGTTCAAATCCAATGAAAGTGAGGAGTAGAGGGAACGCCTTCCTACTGGCTACAACCCGCCGCAAGGGCACCAAAATGGATACACATGGCTACACAGTACAGGTGTTTCGGGCAATTTGAGACCAACACGAGTCGGGACATTATCAGGAGAGAACATGTGCATATATTATCATGGTTATTATTCGGTAATGGTTTATTGAGTGGCTTTTTAGAACAATCCACGCTGCATATACTATTTTTTCACTTTATCCTGTTTACTCTTGCTTGTGTTGACAATTGACTTTAGATAAACCAACATTGAGGCGTAAGCTCAATCACCTAAAACGGTGAAACCCGATCCTACCAAGCATGTTTTCTATGACTTCCCACAGGAGCCTGAGGGACGGACTTCAGGCCAGTAGAGTGGATCTAACCGCTTAAGGCGTAGTGGGGTTACAGTAACGATGAATCGGGCCTTTGTTAATCCATCGTCCGCACGTTGCTGGGGAATCGCTGTGGGGGACGCGTTAAGTGGTCTTCGCGTGACCACACCGGAACTTCGACCAAAGCTGAAGAACGCTTTGATTGTCAAGCAAATGGAGCATCATCCGTTCGTTACAGTACCCAATAACCCCTCACCTTCGCCGCAAAAGATATGAGGATTCCTCTGCCGCACCCAACCCTTAACTCCTCGGTCGCCCAGATGCAGTTAGTGTTCGACTACTGCAGCACTGTAAACAGTCAATCCTATTAATGATCTCATCCCACCCAGATGCCACCTCCTCGACCGGTCTCCCCACTTTCTTTGGAAATATGCTCTCCGCCACTTTCCGACCTAGATACCGATGGTATCCTCGCTTCCGACGATGAACTGAACGAAGAGGAACGTGCTGCGCAACGTCGGAGAATCGAGAAACTTGCCGAATCATATCTCCAGAGCAAACCGCTCTTCATCCTCTCAGCTTCTCTACGAGGGCCCCTGGACGGAGGCTGGGTGAACCCTTGGAAAACTGACAGGAGGCGGAATGTGCCAGCTGGCCGCAATAAGACACAGATGTCCAAAGAGACGGAGATTCCAGCAAGCCCCATCATACATGAAACCAATTCTCGGAAACGAAGGACGCACCATGAGCCTCCAGAAGTTCGTAGCTCAAGACCACAGACCGTTGCTCCGGAATCAAACATACATCGCAGTGGAGGCGGCTCTACTCGCCTCCGTCACTTCAGTGATAGACCTATTAGATGGTCGGTGTCTCCGAGCACCCCTAGAAGGTCAATACCATGGGCGAAACCAATTGGCTCGAATGCAGAGCTCCGCTCCTCGAGTCCATCCAAACATACCAACGAAAAATGGTTGAAGAAAGACCGGAAACAGATTAGCTTTCAGAACGTTGACCCACCCACATCACCAACGACAACATTCTCGTCTCGTTACTCAACCAAAAGTCGCGCTTCCAAGGACGATCCAGTCAACAGCCAAGCTGCGTCATTTGAACATAACCAAACTTCTCCATCGATTGATGAAGAGCTGAGAGCGTCATCTTTACCCGCCCTTGATCCTGAGTTTTCCACTGTCCACCGCGTCTCCAACAGCATCACCTCTTCCCCCGCCAAGGACCAGCGCCTCTCAGGTATTAGTATACAAAAGGCCACCTCGGGAACAGTGGTTCAGGATCCTTCATTCTATGTACTTGCTCCCTCGTCGCATTTACCGCAGTTCGAGTATCGTCGGAGGAAGTCTCGTGTTAATAGTAAAACAGAGAGCCCCAAGCATTCTGTCGCTATGGGTTTGGATGTTGAAAAAGATCCTCATTCACATTCTATTATTAAAGAAAACGACGCCTCAATGCAACACGTATCGACACCATACCCTATGCCTCTAGATAAACCCACGGGGCAAGAGCACCTGGAGGCCGACAGAAAGTCCCTAGGCATTTTAACTTCTACGAGCACTATTAATGCTATTGGGAACCCGTCTGTCTCTCACTCCGCGAAGTTTCGATCTACAAGCACTGTACACAAAGGGAATACGAGTGACAGATTGCCGTCGGCTCAGCAAGTACGTAACAATCCAACCATGACGGACATCACATCATTGCACTCGATTGCCGTACCGAGAAGCAACTCAGAGTATGACGGCGACACCATCCCCGATCCTCAATTCTCTACTCAGGCGGCTCTTCTTCTTGCCCAGAGATCGTTCCAAAACGACCTCGATAGTCCGGGACCTGATAAGGCATCTCCAAAAAAACAACATGCTTCTGACTCGTCGAACATATCCTCACCTATGTCGAATATCATCACCCCATTCCGCCGGCTCGCCACACCTGATAAAGTCGGGGGAGTTAATCCAGTCAAAGCACCTACCACTGTTGGAGGTCAATGGCAAAGCACCCAATGCATGATTGATGCAGCTACGCCTTTTACTTTCAGTACAGAAAAAAAAGCAAAGCGCCGGACCATATCCCCAGGGAAGCACTTGGCGAATAAGAAAAAAGCAAAAACTGCCAGTTTTAAGCTACCATCCTCTCCCTCGTTGACCCCTGGCGAGACTCAACGCGATCAGGTTGATGAAGATGTACATTCAAGTCCTGTTCCCCGCCATTCTTCTGGCCATGAGATTCAACATAGTGCCCTTCCAATGACATTAACGGGGACAACACCACCCACCGCTCAGGAAGGGCAACAAGGCTTCCCAGGTGTCGACAGCTTTAATCTCACCCAGGCAATCGCCGATGCAGGTAGCTGGCTACAGCAGAGCTTCGACCTCAACGTGGATATTCAACAATATGGAATCTCCAGGACAGAGCCGCATTCTTCAGCCGGAACACGGCGATCTGCTGTGGCTGTGGATAGTGATAAGTAGCAGTAGCCTACGTATCAGAGCAAGCTATATGTAATTCGTGAGTTCTCAAGGTTGGCTTTTCTTAGATGGAGAACATGGTGGAGCTGGTCCTCCCTTAAGGCAATAGTCCTTTGTGTCCTTTTGACCTTGTTATGTTTGGTCAAGATAATTCACCTGTAACGTATTTACGATTTGATATCCTGTAAATAGAAATTTATAGAATCAGAATAATGATTGATTTATATATAGAAAACAATTGATGGAGAAAGGTCACACTGTGAGCATCCTTACATAATAGAATTGATATCAATAAAGATTTCTAGAAGCAAAAACCAATAGCAAGATCACATAGGCTTGCATATACTCCTTTACAAATTTCCGGTTGTGTGTTTTGGCCAAGTTTGGAAATGTATATTAGAGTAGACCAACCCTCTCTCCACGTACTAGTAAAGCAATTGTTGAACCTTCACGAACTCTGAACTTCTCAGACCCACAAACCTTGAGAATCGCCGAAATCGCATATGAATGGACGGTAAAAGAGACAAACTGGCTAGGATCCTCGGAAAAAATCTCTTCGAGAACCCTCTGCTTCCTGGCAACGTGCTCATCTAAAGATTCCGTGTGATCTGATCTCCATAGGAAATCTTGCTCCGAAAACCCAGGCTCAATTACATAGGAAGGATATTGGCTTGCGATACAACTTCTAGTACTTCTCTTGTCGCACGTGTGATTTGTTAGTCTCTCTCTCAACAGCTCCTTCACTGTGGGACGAAATTGACCCCCTAATTCTTCCATGGGTTTGGCGAAAACAAGCTTAGTAGTTTCTAGACATCGCGTCAAGGGGCTCGTGTAGAGCGTATCTGGAAGCGGCACCTTTTTCTTAACCGCAGCGTCCATCCAGAATTGGCTCAGCTCTTCAGCTTGTTGAATGCCGGCGTCTGTTAGCTTCGCATCTACCCAAGACACGGTATCGTCTCCATCGAGGCGAGACCAGTGGTTCTAATATCATCAGCCAGGCTGTCCGTTTATCGGGGCTAGCAAAGTCATACATTCCAAGCGTCCTGTCCAACCTTCGTCTGAAAAACATTGTGAACACCAAGGCCATGCCTGGTTAGGTATAGGACCTTGTAGGTGACGTTGTCTGGACTTTCGTTGTTCAATAGGTTAACGCACGCGGCGAAGCGCTCCCATGGCTTCCTGCATTCTCCATCAGACTGACCTTCCTCTGGTCCACCATAGTGTTGATCAATAAGGCCAAAGCTCGGCTGGGTGATCACTTTTGAACCTGGACTCTGACTGGCGATATCAAAATAGTCCACGAAGAACCCAGGCAGGAGTTTGAACTCATACTGATGGGTTTTCGTTGTTGGATCATCCATCCTTAGCATCCCACGTAGAGAGGTGAAGTGGCTGTTTGTAGGATGCGTATCCGCTGAGTTATCAAGTTGTTAGCTTGACTCTAAACAAAGGATTAACGAAGTTTCAGTGTTTAAGGTTACTAGACTAAAGCTTACATAGATTGAATACAGCCGCTAGAAACGGCAGCGTAGAGTCAATACGGCTTGGGATATTTTGAATATTTTGTGAGAGTTGGTGAGACAGAAGTTGATGGAGTCTTCGATTGTTGAATACAAGTGGTCTCGAGACTGCTTGCAGGCAGCTACCCAACCCTATTCTTCCTCGCCAATGACACACAACCTCATACGACTCAGCATAAAAGCCCTTATCCAGCATAAATAACTGTTTTTCTGGTAACCAGGTTCCAAGAGGTTTTGAGATTAATCGCTCCGCAGCAACTCGCTTTATTGTCTATGTCAGATTTACAAAGAATAATATTGCATTGAATCGCAACGATGGTTTCTAGAGAGTAAATCAATCTGACAGAGCCATTGACACATAAATACATGAACATCTCTAGTAACTTGACTGTCTATGACTGAATAATAGTCCCCTACCTAGTGTAGAAGAATCGAGGACGCAGAGGAGAATAAAAGTCTGAGTGCATCTACTATTCGAATAAAAACATCGATTGACAAGTGGTCCACCCTTGCAATACATGATATGCACCCGCAACAAGTGAAAGTTGATAGATAATTCCCCCGGATAATGAAATCCCTGACCATTAGGTAGAGTACAGTTGGCTAACTGTGCCGACATAGCACGAACGAAGACTAGCTGGTCCCCCTTGAGATAGCATATCCTCACCTATTGGAGTTATTTGTTTACCTGTAACATACTAAACCACAATTTTGGGCCCACAGCTCTATTCTAGCATTTCAAGCTCCAATGATGGTTCTTGCAAATGACCAGGCCGTAAATCCGTCTGGAAGACCATATGTGTTGCGTCGAGTACGTCAAGATTCCGTCCGTTTACCGTTATAGAAAATTGCCAATGCCAACAGGGCATAACCATTTTGACCAGCCGGGGGCGGACTGAAAGATGCCATACGTCTCATTGTCAGTTGACCATTATGATCTTCGCTCATATCGTGATGAACTCGATTGATGATGCGATATCCCCTAAATTGGTCAGATAGAGACTCATCTCAGTAGGGCTGTTGAAAAAGATTGATTGATACACGCTGATTGGTTGTCCAAAACACGTATCCATAAACAAGCCATTAGCTCGTGGGGTTGGAATAGTGTGTGACGTTAACGCCGCCATTTCTTTGGATACTGGCTGGCCAAAAGTTGTCATTGCCACAGGGAACCCAGGCCACCACTGCACATGATTCAAGAGCCATTTCGGCCGGTGGATTGATATTAACCTAAGAGACGTTAGCTTAAGGAGGACACTATAGAAAGCCACGAGAATATTTATGACTGAATCGTCACGTCTGGTTTCAATTGGCTAAGAGGGTCCTCGAGGATGCATGTTCCCCGATGATTGCAATGGGTAACTGCACCTGGTGGCCTCATGCCCTGCGAAAGCACATCAGCGTGAGTCTTTGACCGACGACGTCGCAGAAGTATTCAACTTACGTCTAATTTTCCCAGGCGTTTGCGGCAAGGATTGGATCGAGAGCTCTCCCCCAGTGGCCCGACCATTCTTTCATGCCGTTAGTGGCACATCCTCCTATTCCCTGTGTTATTCAATTTCTTTTGGAAGACACCCAAGATCAGGATTCCTCGTCCTCACTGCGAATGAAACTTCCGCCCATCTAATAGACTGCTAGCTTACGAAGACGAAAGAGGGACTTGGTAGTACTCACTCTGTTCCATGCATTGCAACAGAACCTTCTAACCGTGCTTCTTCGTCTGGTGTCCAAAGATCTCGTCTCCAGCATTTCAAGCGTATACCACCTGCGACAATCTAAATTTGACCTCCCTGGTGAAAATTTTGCAACCAGCCTCCATAGGATAACGGTGTATCTAGCATAGAGAGGCTCTTCATCCAGAGGCAGATATGCCTTAAGTTGAATGTAGAATGAAACTTTGTGAAAAAGAATGCCGTCTCCCTTGGGGGTCCACCTGTTTTGCGGGCGTTCGTTTCTCGCCATTAGCCGACCAGAGCTGTGCGCCGCTTCGCGTTGTAGACTTGCGTTCAATGAGACTTGTGTGGAGTTCTAGATTAAAGGCAAAGGTCGATGGTAATCCCATTTTATATACAGACCCAAGCGAGGCCAGGAAAGGGGGAGGCGCCATGAGTACCTAGCAACGAGCCTGGTAGCGTGCCACTCTCGTCCTGCGGTATACTCAGCGCCACCATGTTTTTTCTTCTACACTACATGTACTTTCAGATTAAAACACCTCTAGATTCTAGAAATATATAAAAACAATATACGGGAAGATGAAAAGCTCATGGTATGCTAGGCACACGTGTAGATATGGTATCTTATTGGCCAGGCTGAGAAGCCCCACGCAGACACATGGTTTGAGAAACAGTCCAAATGGTTCTTCGTGATGAGATAGGGGGTTATCGGATTCTTCCTCTGGCTATGCAGTGTACGCACGTGTTCAGGCATATTTACTCATTGGCAATGGTTGTAAAACACCAGCCTGACTCTGCTCCCAAAAGTCTCGGGATAGGTAAGTGTTGTAGTTCAGAGGAAGATTTATTGTTGCATTTTCGCACCATAAACTTGAGGGTTTATATACAACATGAATAACAGATTGATTTCCAATTAATCTGTTTCCATACGGAATTTATTCCGTAGATGAAGCTCTATAGTTTACTTGATCGAGCCTTGGTTCCCAACAGTAAGACATACGGTACGTAATCAAATTTCAGACCGTTTATTCTAATAGTCACATCTGACGGTGAGTGACAGAGTCTTTACACAGTTGTATATTCTCAAAGATGCCAGGATTGGTACGCTGAACATCATCGAAAATAGCCGATACGGGATTGGTGTCCATGCGCCTTTGAAACTATACTAATATACCATCGGAAGCAAACATTACCATATTGATAGTTCGATAGTGTTAACCTATGATAGTATTGTCCTACTCAATTAGTGGATTCCCGTACAGAATTGGTCTATGTCCAGACTAGATCCCAGCAACTAGATCAGCTGTGTCTTACCCTGCCGACAAGACAGGCATTAAAGGATTACAGCACACAAGATCTGAAACTGAGGAGTTTGGTTTCAGCAAGCCATTCAGTCAGGTTAGATGTCAGCAGGGAAATCTAGATTCGGGGTATTAGTGCTACTCTCCTGAAACTAGGCATCTGTGGTGTTTCACTTATTATATACGAGAATCCATTCATGTGACACCTTGATCTAGAGGGTTGTTTCTGCGAGAGCTGATTCAACTTGTCTATGTCTATTGTGACACCCTTAACCATAATCTGACTAACAGAATGCCCACACAAACTGTCCTTTTTAAAGCCCTCTTGACCATGACTGATCATAGTAATTTAACAGCTTAGCAGAGTGACGAATTATATCGCCTCGGCCAGTACGAGAGAAACCCTTCGCTTGACAGCCCATTGCCGTTTATGACCTATTTTTACGAGCTCCTGGTGTACTTAAAACATCCCTGCATTCATTTGTGTTCATAAACATCAAAGGATGGTTATAATTAAGTATACACAATGTCGATGTGTTCATTCTGCACCGGTATGCTTTAGATCTCCCCTATAGCTAAGCGGCCTAGAAGTGCGATTATTGTACGGCGCACTATGACAACCTCACGCCTAGAGATGAAGAAAATTAGTAACAGCAAGAATGGCAATGAGCATCTCGGGCAGCTCGTCTAGAAAGCCAAGCTCGCTCCTCATATATCCGTAAAAGCTATCTGCAAGTCTGCAACGGAGGTCCTGGGGTAGGCTAGTTGCTGAGCAGGATAGGATGATCTGGGAGACGATGCGCAATAGCAGCCACTGTGGAATAGAGGAAATAATTACAGAGATAGTAGCACTGATGTTGGCAGTATCAGAGGTTAGCATGGCTTTGTTCGCTGAGGCTCAACTTTCAAGTACTCGAGGTCGCTAGACTTAGAGCTATATGTAGATTAATGGCAAGTTCGTGGGTGTAGAGGCTAGAGCCATACAAAAGGACTGTTGATATAGGAGACAGACATATAGTATATGTTTTCTCTTTTTGAATTACAGTCCGGTTAAGATTTTCAATGACGAATAACCAGAGGTTGATGCTATATCCACAACACAACTATAGAGCCGTTTGTTCTGTTTGTACTTAAAACTAGAAGGCGGTCGTTATAGAAATCTATGCTAGTGAAACTTCGTAGACCTCGTAGGTAGCTAAAGGGTCATTTTGGATGTAAAGTGGACCATCATTATCTCAACGAAAAAAGGGGGGATGTTAGAGCTTGAAAAAAGGCTTAACATTAAAGGTAAATTATAAGCAATCAGGTAGAACTGCTTCAGCTTCTAGATAACGCCTTTGTGGCGAGTAAAGGGCTACCATTTTGGTAGTGGAAAAGATACACTCTTCAATGTTGTAACAGAAAGTGTTCAACATTTCTGTCGGATAGAATAGAGGTCGCTGCCCTGCACAAAAGGGAACTATGGTCTCCCGTAGGAGCTTCCCCCCCACTTTTGACACTCTCCACTCCCAGATCGATACAATCGATAAGTCATTCAGAAGTATCTCCAACCTTCACTCTGTACCTCATCCAGTTCGCGCTGCATCTATTCTCATTGTGCCCGCCACTCATTCTACAATCGCATCCTTTATATTTAATCCCACCCCCCAGCTTATCTACCGTTCTTTTGTCCCACAAAAGCCTGCCGTGCGGGGTATACAGCCATGGCGGACCGACAGGCAGTCCAGCAGAATCTCAACGGTCTGCTGTCAAAGCTGGATGATCCAGACCCTGATATGAGATACATGTCTCTGAACGATCTCTTGGGAATACTCAACAGCCCCAACTCCTCGTATTTGGCTCATGACCAGTATTCCGCTTCGCGACTTGCGGACGGCTTGCTCAACGCCTTGGATGATCAACACGGAGATGTCCAAAACCAAGCACTGAAATGGTTAGTCTACGTCGCGTCCTTTCTCTGTCCTGGAGGGCACTGGGATAGTCTACCTGGAATAGTTGATTGACTGCAATTGTTAGTCTCGGCCCACTTGTGAATCGACTTCCTTCCGATAGCCTCAGTACGATTTTGGAGAAGCTTTCGAACCTGACAGCTTCCCAAACTATGGATACCTCGGTCCCAAATACTGCTCTGCGAGTCATTGTTACTGCTCTTCCTCGTCCTCAAACCGGACAGCCACCTTCTCCGGACGTCTCCGTAGCTTACTCGGCTGTCTCAGAAGTTCTCATCCCTCGACTAACCGGCCCGACGGCATCTCCTTCCGGTAGAAGAGGCTCTGTTGTCAGAGGCATGCTAGAGAAGGATTCTTCCAAGGGCTTCAGCAGTGATGCAATTGATGTCCTAATCCAGGTCGTCACTTGCTTTGGGCCACTTCTCAAAGAGGCTGAGTTGACAGCTCTCCAGAAATCAGTGATGTCCATTATCGACAACGACACGGCTGGCACCGTGGTTACGAAAAGGGCGCTGGCCGCTATTTCCGCCTTGGTACCCCATTTCTCAGAATTTCAATTCGGCTCGTTTGTCGATGAACTCGTCAAGAGGTTTAATTCTCCCCAGATTAGCCTCGTGCACCGAAGGCACCTCATTGCAACGGTTGGCAGTGTCGCAAGGAGCAGCCCGGCCAAGTTTGGCCCTCACCTACCGACGCTCGCTCCGTTTGTCTTTGCTACAGTTGACGAGGTTGTAGCGGCTTAGATTAATAGATACGAAAAGTTTAATAACACTAGCTGAAATGAACTTCTTCCGATACCCTTTATGTCTCCAGGAAATGTATCGGATGATCCGACAGGTCTGTATAAGTGAAGCTTCGTTTCACATTATTTATGACCATCTCCAGCTTAAAGTAGAACATTGAACGCGTTAGCTTGAATGGAAAGGGGATTCTTCTGGCTGGGACCAGAACAGGCTCATCTCCCTCTGCTCTGTTCCTATGCAGGGCTCGCGGCCAATCATGCTAATACCGTTTCAGTGTGCGCTTTCCAATACTTCCGAAAGGAGGAAACTGCTGATTCTTTCATTTTAATTACTCTTTGGTCTCTCATGGAAAGATACAATCTGGTGAAAGGAAGGGAACCTCCAAATCAGCCAAGTGATGTGCTGTATTTCAGAACTAGAGTCGTGGCTTCCAGTGGAATATTTGGCAGCAGCCAGTCTTCCGCACATTCAGCTTGTCACATCTTCGTTGTTGCCATTCCATGAGGAAACTGTTGCACTTTCCTTTGGAAGAAGTGCTCGTCATGGACACACCGCAAGAATGCCTTCGCCTTCCATCTGCTTCCCTTGCTTGTTCTTCTCCTACGCCACCCTCTCTTATCGCAAACAAAGGCTGCACTATATACAGCCGAATTTCGTTTTATCGTCTATATTATCAGATACATCTCACTTATTCTCAACTGATACCCTCTCAAAATGCACATCAGCCGATTTATCGTCGCCGCTAGCGTCATAGCATTTTCAATGGCGCAAAACAATCTTCAGCCGAGCCCTAGAGACGATGATCCCCATTCGATCACCGGGCCTGAAGGGACTGGCAAACCCCAAGTTTTGGTAGGACGCAACGCTCAAGCCCGTTGCGGTCCTGGATTCGGCAGGTGTGCTGGAGACAACTGTTGCTCGACTGCCGGTACACCTCTACCTTTTACACAGAGAAGGCTAGTCTAATAGAGTCACCTAGGTTACTGTGGAAAGACCAAATCTCACTGCAGCTCTCCTGATTGCCAGATCAATTTCGGCCACTGTGATGCTCATGTGACTCCTGGCGGTCCACCGACAGATACCATCCCTCGACCCAAGCTTGGAAACGTTCCGTACGGACCCCACGCTGTCCGTTCTTGTCTTGCGCCGGGAACAGTGGCCTTGACCTTCGATGATGGTCCAAACAAGTATACCAAGGATCTTCTCGATCTGCTTGACAACTACAACGCGAAGGTGACCTTCTTCATCACAGGTAACAACAATGCAAAGGGCCCCATAGATACTCCGGGAATGCCATGGGCTTCATTGATTGAACGCATGCACCAAAGCGGACACCAGATTGCTAGTCATACCTGGTCCCATCAGGATCTCAGCAAAATCTCTCCGGAGCAACGTCAGATTCAGATGTTGTGGAATGAGGTTGCCCTCCGCAATATCTTGGGTGGCTTTCCCACGTATATGCGGCCCCCGTATTCGAGCTGCACTATGGATTCCGGCTGTTTGAACGACATGGGTACGCTAGGCTATCATGTCATTCTCTACGACATCGATACTGAGGATTATAGCCATGACAGCCCAAGTGCCATTCAAGGTTCTAAGGACATTTTCGATAAGAGCCTTGCCCGGGGAAAGCCATCCGATAAGTCTTGGCTAATTATTGCTCACGATGTTCACGAGCAGACCGTCCGCAATCTTACAGAGCACATGCTAAAGAAATTATCCAGCGATGGCTACAAGATCGTGACAGTCGGCGAATGTTTGGGGGATCCAGAAGAGAACTGGTATCGTACAGATGATAGGTTCGATAACATTGTCCTCCGGAAAGCCTCTACCCCCACTTCTGTCAAGCAAACGATTTCCCACGATGGTCGTTGTGGTGCGAGTGTGACATGCAAGGGATCAACATTTGGACCATGTTGTGGCAAGAACAACAAGTGTGGAAATTCCCCCAAGTATTGCGGACTGGGATGTCAGCCTAATGCTGGTCGTTGTCAGAAATCCAGACACCTGTCTACTCATCGACATGGATCTGACGCCAAATCAGAGGCGGGCGATGTGGTGCAACCCGGCTTGTACGCGGCGGGCTCCGTTTTGCTCGCAGCAGCAACGTTGTTGAGGTGAGTATTTTGGTCAGCTGTGTTGGTTCTAGTTGAAGGATGGAGAATGCTTGGAATACTGGTAAGGGTCTATCAATTGCATGGAGGTTAAAAAGTGGTTACTTTCTACACTCGCTTGTCAGCGCTTGCTCACTGTAACTAGTTAGCTTATTCTTTCACAAATGCTCTTCTTGTCCAGAATACGATTAGAATTGACATGGTACGTACACTCGTTTATAGAGATTGCAATTCAATTCATCAGTTTACTTGACGTTATCACGTACCCTGCCATGGCGGTAATTTGTATCATATACAGAGTTGGAAAGCCAGATATTAATAACACAGTACAAGTAAGCCGAACGACGAACTCAACTAGATGATATGAATATAGTAGACACGCAGACTTGACAGCAAGATAGCTAAGCCAGCGCTTCCTGGACAAGAGTAATTACCGTTTAACAATCTTCAACAACGGCGCAATCCTAGCCTTCCGACTCAATCCAACACGATACGGCACTTTACCCGTGGAAATCGGACTATGTTTCCCAAGTCCCTTGCTTGCCTTAGCCGAAGTCTCCGTACTCAAGCCCCCAGGACCGGGTTCCAACCCTGATTTCCTAGGCGTTTCAGGCGGATTGTCATTCGTCGCCAACGCCTCCTTTTGTATCAAGGTACTCGTATCTGCTTCTGGGTTGGGAGTATTTTCATCAACCATCGAATGCGTGGTCCCAACTGTATCTGCTATTGTCTCCTCTTGGGGAATATTGTTTTGGTCAAGCTTTATATCTGACGGATTAGTTGCGTTTATTGTCTCGAGTGGTTCTTCGACGACCGCATCGGAGGTTTTCTTGCGCTTGCGGCCGCGTTTTTTGGGTGCGTGTGCTTGTGCTTCGGACTGAAAGGCTGGGTTTTGTACGGGTTGGGTATCATTACCAGGTACGGAGATGGTTGGACGTGGGTTGTTGTCTGTGTCCAGAGCGTGTTGATGGTGTGGGTTGGGTATTGGGGGGTTTGAGGGTGGTTGGTCGATCCAGATTACGTCGTCTTCGATGTCTGGGTCGTAGGTTTTTGTTAGTGTTATGGAGGTTGTTTTGCCGCGTTTAAGCTTTTTCTTTTTGGGTTCTTTTGGGGGTTCTGTTGAGAGTGTGGTTTCTGTATGTGATAGGGGTTGTTGGTGTGTTTGCGGGGCGGTGGGTAGCTTGAGGCGGAGGATCGTGTTTTCTGGTTTGTTGGTTTGGGGGGAATCAGTTGGAGGGTTGGGGAGGGTTGGTTCGTTTGATGCTGGGCTAAGGAGTTCCGGTTGATTGTTGATGGTTTGAATGTCGTTGTCTTGTTTCGCATTCTTTGGTGGTCGGCCTGGTTTACGCTTCTCGGGTTTGGGGTGATTTATCTCGCTGGTTTCTTGAATGGCTGGACCAGCAGGTTCGGGGTCTTCAGCCACTTCTGGTGCTGTTTGTTTCTTTGGACGACCTCTTTTCTTTGGCTCGGTGGGGATCTCGATGGTGATAGGATGGAATGGCTCGTTTGGACTCGCTATAGGTTGATGTACTTCGACATGGGACACCCCGTTCGAGCCCGTGTTGTCGCTCCTTGATCGGCTAACTTTGGGAGACAGTAACGAAGAATTCGGCTCGGTATCATGTGGTGAAGAAGGCATTCCTTGCATGGAGTTCCATCTCCGGGGACCGTTTTGCAGGTCCATCTGTAAGGCGTCGTTCGGTCTTAAGAATGATATGGGGTCGAGACTGGAACCTGTAGAGGGATGTAATGAAGATTCAAAAAGATTATATGAAGCCGCAGACTGGGAGAAGTCATTGCTTATGAGACTATGACCATGCCTATGATTTTGTTGTGCTGCGTGCGCGATAGGTTCGTATTGATAGGTGACTGTGTCATTTGTTTGGTACATATATCCCGGGCCACCCTCGTTATTAATATATCCAGTCTCGTGCGGACCTTTGATTTCGACAGCTGGGATTAGATGTACATCATCCGTGTGCGATACGGTAGGTTGCAATGAATCCGACTCGAAGCCAGCGGTAGGAGGAAGGTGTTGATCAGCGTCGTCGTCGAACAGTCGTCGCTGTGCACGACCGATCTCTGTCATCATTGATCCTATTGTGTGTATACGGTAAGTAAACGCTTGACTATTTAGTATACAGTTCCAATTCGGAGTACAAAAACGCAATGCTCACCAATTGATCCGCCGCCCGCCGTCTCACCTGGAATCCATCTTTCTTCCCTCTGCTGCTGGGAGGAAGATAGCCCCCTTGACGCTGCTTCTTGAGATTGAAGGAATTCATCAAAATTAATTGTGATTGGGTGATTGGGCTCCCGTACTGGGGCTATTATGTCAACATCTTGTGCGTCCGGATTCGGGGCGTAATTGTTGTCGGTTTGGTGTGCCGGATTGGCGGGGGGTAGGAAGTCCGCGGTTAACGGATCGTCCTCATCGTCAGAATCTTGGATCACACGGCCGTGGGACATTGATCTAGATTATGTCTATTATCCGGGGGATAAAGGATAAATTGGTTAAAGGTATCTGATGGATAGCTCCATCATGCGTTGGATTGAATGCGGAGGTGACACGGTGACACGTGACGATAAGGCTTATCATATAGCATCAAACATCATGAACTAGAATTAGGTATGTCTGTGAAAGAAGAAAATCTAAATACAGAAGGTATCATGATGCAGACATTATAGACATATCATAATTCCATGGTGCTCTGCGACCGCATTACCCCCCTTCCGAAGAACTCACTGATGATCCCGAATCCATCCTTTGACCGTTGAAGTTCCCCTTTGAAAAGCTCATGCTGATCTGCCGACTCCACTTGTCTCTTGCGGATGGCCCTGATGGTGGAGTTCTGAGGGGCGCAAACAGGGCACTCAGCATCCTCGTCGACCTTGTTTAGACACCGCTGGTGGAAAGAATGCTTGCAGAGAAAGTGAACTGTTGGGAGATCCAGGACAGCGCCACAAGACTTCAGGGCACACCGGCGAGCTTGGAAAACAACTGGCTTGCTGCCCAATTGCTCTAGCTCCTTCTTCTTATTCTCTGTCTCTGTGCTGTAGCTTGATATCAAACGACGATTCTACAAAGTTCATTAGCCCACGTCATCACCGTTATAAGGGGGGAACTAACAGTTGAGATCTCTTTCCGTTCTCGCTCGATGTTGTCACTTAAGTACTTCTTCACACGTCCCATTGTTACCACTGCGTTGCTGCTAAGAGCCTGGATGACTTGAAGCGGCGACATGAGCCCGTCATCGTTGATTCGTTTGAGAACAACATCTAACTCCTCACCAGCCTCTTCAAGAATCTTGGGACTCGATGCAAAGTATGTTAGAGCATCAACGTATAGTTGAGGTTCTTCTGGGCCGTATTTCTTCAGAGCATGAATGGCCCCATGGGTATCCTTTGCAGATGTAAATGAGCGGAAAATGTCCGAACGAAGGCCTTCTTGCTCCCGCACAAGAGTCGATCCCTCCCGAAAGCCCGATAGATCGGATAGTAACAAGACACTGGATGTGGAAATCGGAATCTAGAGTAGTATTAGTAACGTCAACAGTGAATCGAGTTTGTAGGACAGGTTCATACATCCTTGCCCTCAATTAGCTTCTTGGCTCTGGTCTCCCATTCTTCTTTCTCAGTTGTGGCCTTCTTGTGAGATGCTGTATCCAAGTACATCTCGAATAGCGTTGTATAGAGGTCCACCTTGTCTTCTTGTTTCAAATTGTCTTGTTCGATGAGAGCCTCTAGGAATATGATAAACTCTTGTGGGTGACCTACAAAAGCAGAAAAGGCAGTCCGGGGCTTTGGAATCTGGTATACTAGAAGATCATCCGGTGTCTTATCCTCCACCTTGGGCAAAGGCTCGGCTGCTACCATCTTTGCGCCCGCGCCAGAGTTCATCAGGGAGAGAGGAAGAAATGCTGCCAAACTTTGAAGTGTGCTTGCCGACTGAGCCTGGGGCTCGGGTGGAGATTGAACTTCTGTGATGGGCTTATACTTTCCCTTGTAGTAATCGATGAATAGTTCGGTTGTTCTCTGTGGACAATTGGAGAGAAGAACACGGGCATACTTCATGAGGTTGTGGTAAGCCTGGAATTAGTTAGCATCGTGTTGTGAGATCATGCCTGATGGTTGGTACAAACCAGTTCAGGGTCAAGCCGCCAGATGTACTCCACAGCCTCTGCGTACTTCTTCGAGTCCTCAATCAATATGTCAACAACCATGTCGTTTTCGCCGTATTTTGTAGCCAGATAGGCAGCTTGCTCAAAGTAACCGCCTTGACGACACATAGCAATAGCCGTTTCCAGATCAAACTTAAGCTCACCTGGAGCTTTTATAAACTCATCTAGTTTGCCTGTATCTTTGAGCTTAGCGTAGCAGTTCAACAGCAATGTCGTGTGATCAACTGTAGCTCGATCATGATCATGTAGCTCTTCGAGGTACTCGATTAGATTGTGAATGCGCTGCGTATCCAAATACTGTTTTCAATTTAGGTTAGTTGCGTTTACTAGATGAGTATGTGGGTTCCGTACCTTGCGAATGACTTGTGACGGCTCCGTATTGTCGATAGCGCGAAGATATTGCTGCATAGCCGTGTCATAGTCGCCTCTTTGGTATAAAAAGTCGCCGTACTTGCGGTAAATAGCGTTCTGTTGCAGAGTGTCGACCCCCTTTTTCTGCGCCAAGTTAATTGCCAATATGTAAAGACTGCGCTGGTAGAGAATTTCGAGTTTTTGCTGCAGGCTCTTCTCACGATAACGGTAGATCTGCAGTACGTTAGTATGGCGAGAATTGTATTGAGCAAGCTTGTTACCTTTCCGTCAGTAGTGAGAATAAAAAGATCGCCCCATTCAATGAAAACTTGCTTCACTGGAGACACTAGGGCTTCTGAGTGAGCAATGAACTTTAGATCCGTATCCAGCAGGGTAAAGGTGGTTGTGCTGAAGATATCGTTGGCCTGGCTGACATCAAAGTTCCGCAAAGTAGCCCCATTCGTTGATGCGACTTTTGGGGGGCAAACCAGTGCGATATAATCCTTGAATATGTTGATTGAGCTCTTAGGGCTGTCAAAAGCGTAGCTGGGCCCACGGCCATGTGGTCCATAGGTATATATAGCATCTTCTCTGGCAACGAGGACATCGCCCGTATCTTTATCTAAAGACATACAGCCGAGGGCGCAGCCCGTGTCTTCAAGAACACGTGCCGGTTGGCCTTGTCCTCTACCAGCAATAACCAAGGCCAATATCCGGTTCGTTGTAGAGATATATAGTATGGTTGTTGGGCCATTGTGTATCTCTAGTCCGGTAATTGGCTCTTCGGACTCGAAGACAATACGCTGCCGTGCGCCGCGATCGTGGATCAAATCGCCACGAACGATCGCAACGGAACCATTAGCGAAACCGACTGCGGCCTGCGACAGGTCGGGTACAGCCGTAAATGCAGATATCTGCCCATCCAATACTTAGCATGAGTGAAAGCACCTTTCGTGAACGGTCTAACGTACGGGGAAAGGTCTCCTAGCATTCTGGACCGGGGTCGTCGACAAGCACCGAGGGGCGCCCGTCTTCTTGTCGGTTATGTCTAAAGCCCAAACTTTGAGGGCCGGTTCGCTCGATGCATCATCCGCAATTGTCACGAGAAGTGAGGTTCCTTCTATCTGTTTGAGATGCGTTATGGGACCGCCGTCGGATGCCTTGAACGATCGCAGAAGCTTAAAGGAAGACGAGATGAAATGGACAAAGCCATCAATGGATCCGACGAATATGTTCGATGAGCCGGTACAAAGCGACGAGATATCAGACTATTTCGGAAGATGCTCCATTAGCACGCGCTCCTGTTGATGAATCGATGGTACAGACGTACACTGAATATGGATGAGCTCTCTTCAGGTAGCTTGACGGAAGAGACCTCGAAGAAGTTGAAGGCTTTCCACTATGCGAGGGTATGTTAGCGGGTATGATTAGAACAGATAGGAATCCAGGTCTTACTGATGTTAGAGCCATTTGTACGTGGCCCACACCATGGACCGGGAACGATAAATTGGAGAAAGGTAGAGTGACGGGATATGTTATTCAGGTCCGGAGGTGTTATCACTCCCTAGGCCTAAACGGGGCAGCTCCGCCCCCGCTAGTTTTATCAGATCAAAGGAGACATTGCGCATGACGTCTGATATATACATAATATCACAGTAGTATATATCAATTGAAAGCACTACGGAATTGAAACGAATGGAGATATTATATCAGAACTCTGTGTATATCTATCAATTGGGGGAAACAGACGTCGGAAAGGGCGATCCTTGCAGATAAACCGTTTATTCTTCTCTGAAATACCAGTAACTGAGACATCGGGACTGATCAAGGTAAATTAAATCAATGGCGGGAAAGGATGGAAAAGAAAGAGCGCCGTCAGCTGCAGTTTCTCTCCTAGTTCTACTAACAATAGGTAATAACTAGAAGGATAAAAAAGCACGGAGAAATTAATTACATCACTTGAGCCAGCGCCGGCAAAAGCCGCTCCGAAGCTTTAGTACTGACAAGGGCATGTCATCATCCGATCACCTCCAGCCTCCTCTTTCTCTTCTCACATTCCTACCCTTCCCTCCATCCATCCCAACTCAATTGCTTCGCTTCTGAATCATACACCGTTTATCACCGGTGCCCATTCACTTTAACCCATTAAAAATGGTATTCGCTCGTGCTAACCTCCTCCGTGCGTCTGCTCGCGCCGTTAGAGCTGCATCTCGTCGGCCTACGCAGCAATTCGCCCGCCGCACATACGCATCTGAATCGTCGCATGGCGTCCAGAAGTCCAGTGACCTACCATGGTAAGCTCTCTTCTTCCCTCCTATAATGCAATCAATGGGTTTGAGGGCGTCATAATGTGATCCTAACCCCAATTGAATACAGGGCTTTAGCATCCATCGGTCTGGGCGTGCCGGCAGCATATTACCTCATCTCATCCGGTCCTGAAAAGAAGCCTCACGGTGCCCACGGAGACCACCATGAAGCCGTAGTGGAAACAGAAAAGAAGGAGGAGAAGGCGCCCGCTGGAGAATCTGAGCCTCAGCCCGATCGGGATGCGGAGCAGAAGGTTGACACGGAAGCTCCTTCGTCTTCATCTGGTGAGAAGGGTGGATCTTTCGAAGAGCCCCCGTCGAATGTTGACGAGGTAAGTCTATCTACCCCAATCCCTGGACTCGTGATGGTGTGGAATACGGGTGGTCTGACTGAGATTTAGCCTGCTTCCCGTGGGGACGCTGGAGGGTCAGCTACTATTTCTGGCAAGCAGGAGGGCCTTTCCAATACCGATACCTCCAACCCTTATGTGAATGAGCCGGGAAAGAGCGAGAAGGGAGAGGGTGAAACTGAGACAGCTAAAGTGAAGGGAACTGTTGATCCGGAACGGCCTCAGGCTTAGATATAGCATGCTTGTCCCCTTGCACGCATTGGTAACGAGCATTGTTCTGATATGACTGCGTTGGCATCCTCCGAGTGTAATGCAAGGATGATGCGACTCGATGTTATCCCCTCAATGTTAGATATGGAGCGTTTATCTGTAATCTCATACATATGAGCTCGCTGTCGGTGTGACCGACATGTTTTCTCTTCATAGTTCTCTTAAGCTTGAAGCCAGCTACTGAAAGCGGAATGGTCCTCAACTCTGAACTTTCGCGCAAACAACCTGTCCGCGCGGATGTAATATTATGATTATATGATAACTGCGCGTAGCTCCCCCCCCCCCGGCTTCATCCACTTCCGTCATGAAGCGCACATCCATGGAATCGTCACTATGTCCATTCAGCTGTGTCATGCACAACGCCAGACGATCAAATATATGAGAAGTAAAAAGAACAAATGTGTGCAACGAAGCGAATCTCATAGACCATGAGTACCGTTATGACAACCATGCAAAACGCTTCTTTGAATAGAAAGGCGGTCCACGGTGAACCGACTCATGAAAAAGGTTGAATATGAACAAGCTTCTTGGAGCTGTTGGTTCAAATAGCTCGAAAGCTAAGGAAAAGAGAAGGTAGAGCAAAACCAGCTAACATCGCATGACATGGGCCCTACCTTTTAAACGGATGAGACCAATCCGGGAGCATCTTCTACCGGCGGCTAGCCTTCTCGTTGAGGGGCTTTCCGTTGACCAGAACTTGTGGAGCCTGGTTCTCCTTATCGACCTTCCGGGCAGTAATGGTGGGCACTTCAGCACCAGTGGCCAGAGCAGCACGACCGTTCTGTTCCTGTTCCAGTTCTTCATCGCCCTCTCCATCGTCTTCCTCATCCTCTTCATCACTCCGCTCATCCTTCTTGATGCTGTTGAACAGGTAGTTCTTCAGGATACGAAGAATCAGGAAGAGCCAAAAGAGGTTGACTGCCTGCAAGCTCGCGAGCAAGGCGAAGGTAATATACTGACTGATCCAGCACTTGTATTGCTGGGTCTCCCAGTTGAGTTCGAAAGGACCAACGGTTCGGAATTCGGTCAGGACCGCCCAGAGAATCTTAAGGTTCAAGAAGTGGCGGAGGTAGATCCACATCCCAACGAACATACCGAAATAAGGTGCAGTGATAATCGAGTCAAGGTAATTCAAAGTTTTAGAAGTCTGGTGTTGTTAGTGCATTTCACGAGGGGACTGGCTCAGGACGTATACATACTGCGAGGAAGAAATCGGAGATGTCATGGGTGATGTAGACCGCGAGGCCCATGTAGGTGAAGTGGAATCTGTAGCTCAGACCAATCAGAGCCAAGGTAATGATGTGATGTGCGACAAGCTCCTTGAAGTCCTTTCGGGGCTTCTCCAGCATAAGTAGGAGAACGATGGCTTGTTGGGCCCAGTAGCTCGCCTCCAGCAGATAGTAAGCTTTGAATAGAGCCTCATGCTCCCGATGCGGGAAGCCCTCAAACATAGCCGTTGTGTTGAAATACCAAATGTCGGATCTGTACATGACGTACAGACCAAATGGACCAAAGATGGCAAAGTAGATCGCGGTGTATACCTGCTCCATGAAGCGCGCTGTTTTACCCTTGCCGCGGATTCCGCAGTATATAGCCCAAGGTAGGATGATGCGCTGCATGATAAACTCCCGCGTGAAGGACAGAACGATGGTATAAAAAGCGACAAAGGCAATATCTTTAGGGCCTTTTCCGTACATCACCGGGCCACCGAGGGTTTTCGGCGCTTGAGGGTAGGACAGAAAGATTGCGCTATGCAGCGGATTGGACGGAGTGGGGTTGACGGCGTACAGAGCGAGCAACACGGTCAACATAAGAAGAGGCAGAAGCCATGTGTGCTTCAAGCATGTATCTTTGAAGCGACGGAGGGCGGACTTGTTCTTGCGACGCTTCGATTGCGATTTGGGCGACTTGGCCGGAGACTGCGACACGGGCTGGAGTGAGTATGGGCTCACAGGAGCAGCTAGGTTCAGGCAATCGAGTGCCGCGCAATGAATCGAGACCATACCTTATCCCATTTCGGAGCTTCTGTCTCGATCGGACTGACCTCGTTCATGGTAGACATTGCTGGTGCGCTGGTGTCACCCGGTATGTCCGCACCCAAATTACTTGACCTCCGAGCGCGAGTCATGGTCAGGTAGAATGGGTTGGGCGTTTCTCTACTTCAAAGTTTCCCTATTATTGTCCTCCTTGGCGCTCGCCCAGAGCTGTCTCTCCACCAATGTTGGACTTCCGTAAAATGTTAAGATAGCACGCGGGAGACTCCGCCGTATCGGAGCGGAAATCGAAGAACGGACGATAAGGGTGACAAAAATCGAGCGGAAAGAAAGAGGAAAGGAGAGGACAAGGGTCAGAGAAAGAGTAACAAAAAGAGCAGCAATGAAATTGTATAGCAAGAAAAAGCCCTGACCCTAAGAATTGGGGGAATTGTTGGTGTGCGAGTACGAGACACCTAATGCGTTTTTCATGGAAATTGAGATCCAATCCAGGGGTTTTTTGGTTTTTTTTTTTTTTTTTTTTTTTTTTTCAGTACTTTTCTCCGCCCCGGGATCCACACCGCCGACACAGCCATTCAGCGACGGAATTCCGCCAACTTACCTTGCACTACTACTGTTGTATATCTATATATCTACGGAGTATCTTCCCTCATCTGGTCCTACATGTAACATTACGGGATCTTTAACTTCAGTCCATGGCTGATGTACCAGTTGAAGGCTACTATCCTCTTGTCCAGTATCCAGACGCCAAGTCTTCCGAAAGTCGCGCAGTCCCACATGGGATCGGCGGTATTCTCTTAGGGGTGTACTTGGACCGAGGATACTAAGTGGACAAGCTGAATATCTACTCCCTTTCTCGCGACAATGTGAGCAGTTTCATGTCTTCTTTCCTTTATTATTTACGCATCGTCAAATCTGCAATCTGACATGAATTGAGGACAAACTAGATGGACTTCTAAAGATATGGCTGAAACGATACAAACGCGTCTGCTGACCAAAACGAGGATCTACAAACACTCGTTGATCCATGGTTAATAACCAAAATCGCGGCAGCACTACCTACAGATTAGAGAGTCCCTGTTATATATACACCTTTAAAGGTCCAGCAACAGCGGCTCAGACGACATGTCAGAGATACTGAGCCAAAACTTCAGCCACTATCGTCTTCGATATGATGATTCTTGTCAAAACTAGGCGATTCGAATATGGAAGACTTTTCTTTCCTAGTTCTTCCTTGTCACAAACCTCTGCACCGCGGCTCTTTCTGAAACAGAACCAATAAATGTGGCAGGGTTCGCCTAGAATATATATAGTTCCCTCGAACATGGCCAATTGAGTCACTCTTAACTAAAAGAATATTTACTGCATCGTTGAAGATCATGATTATCCATTAGAATACACGCTTACCGAGCTACTGGGGCATTTGAGATCAGGTTTGCCTAGACATTGAGGTTAAGAATGAGGGAACAAGCCCTTTGAAGGTAGCCGCAAAACAAGCGACTATTCGGTTTACTCAGAATATTAAGCATAAGCTTATGCCCCCACACATTACTGATGAAGGCTCCTAGAAGCAAGGATGGGGAGACCATGATGTTAGCATGATGTGAGGGTGGGAGGGAACTTGGTACAAATACTGAGAAGCGCTTTAAATCCCCCATATCAGATAATCACCTCAGATAATCAATCTGCCCCACAGCTTCATTCACAATTGGAACAAGCCTTCCTCATGACGATCTTGCGAAGGGCAGGAATGGATACCCGGGAATAGGTATGGTGGAAGGGGGCTGAGTACCTCATCAGCCATTCGGATATTGGGTCAACGCTGTTCTTTCGTTACTCAAGACAAGGGCCGTAAGCCACAGGACAGGACCCACAACCTCCCGCCGGTATGGGATGAGGCTGGGCGGGGGCTATATTATCCGTCAATACTATATATAGGGTTTGCCGGCTGACATTATAAAGTTGTTGTCCTTCGCACCTTTCGAGCCCCAGAGACACAATAAATCATCATCCTTACAAAAAGAATTCCTATGTCATCCACGGCGATGCCTCTAATTTCCGATTACGTGATTGTCGGTGGTGGTACAGCTGGTTTGGTAGTGGCCACCCAGCTTTTAGAAGATCATCAAGTCCGCGTGGTTGTGCTAGACAGTGGTCCTGATCGCACGGCTAATCCCTAATTGCGGGATCCTGCAGCATATCGCAACCTCGCTGGGACTGATCTAGGCTGGCAGCCAAAGACCGTTCCACAGGTTTGTTTATGCACCGATCCGCAATACGAATCAGCTAACGATTGCTGCGCAGGTTGTAGTCTACAACCGAGAGCTAGAGCATGCTGCTGGAGGAGTGCTCGGAGGCTCCTCTGTTATCAACGGGTCGGTGTTCACAGCTCTTTCACCAATAGGGATCGATGCATGAGCAGCACTCGGCAACACCATGTGGTTGTGCGATTTTCTGCGCCCGTATCTCGAAAAAGCATACACTCTGTCACCTCCCGACCCGGACACGGACCAAGATCTCGCGTCCTCGCCCCAGTTTCCAGGGAATGGCCTGATCCAAGTGACCTATACTGCTCTCAAGGAGAAAGGAAACCATGATTTGATCCGGGCGGGGAATGAAACCTTTCAGGAAAAGGGCTATGAGTATACAGGCGAATTCATTGCGCATGAGTCGGCTTGCACTCACGCATATACCGCTGCGATCGATCCCATTTCTGGAAAGCGAAGTAGCGCTAACTCTCAATATGCTACCGCACTGTCTGGACGAGCCAATGTGACAATTGAAGTAATTATGACTGCCGGGGCATTCCATTCTCTAAAGCTGCTGGAACTCTCCAGTATTGGAGACCGGGTCGACTCAGCAACCTTGGAATTCTTGTTCTTATTGGGAACCCCAACGTTGGCGAGAATCTCCAGAATCGCCTTATGAGTATCGTCGCTATACCGCTAAGCACTGGAAAGGCAAAGAATGTGGCTTTTGGTATCCTGGTGCTAGCGTTTGCCCGCCTCATCGAGCAAGATCAGGAGAGTCTACTCGTCAAACACGGGCCATTTGACCAGCAGCAGGAGAAAGTCATCTCTTCAATTTTCCAATCACCGGGACATGCATCAGCGGCCTTTTTATTTAGCAAGGCTACCAGTGACCTGACTATAACGGGTGTAATTCCCAGTTACCCCTTCTCCCGCGGCAATATCCACATTTCCTCTGCGGACCCAAACGCACAGCCCACCCTGGATCCTAGATTCTTCACACACGAATTGGATATCGAAATTACGGCACGGCACGTTCAGACTTTACACCAGCTACCTTCATCTCCTGCTCTGAAACCGTATTTCCAGCTAACCGCTAGCCCAGGAGACCTCGAGACGATTAAGGAGTCACTTCGCAAGAATTCTCTGCGTTAACAACCCATCACACATGTGGCACAGCAGCTCTGCTGCCCCGTGAAGAAGGGGGTGTAGTGGATCAGGACTTGCGGGTGTGGGGCACCAAAAACGTGAGGGTAGTAGATGCCAGCGTTTTCCCATTAATTACCCACACAAACCCGATACCTCCCGATACCTACGGTATATGCGGTGGCCGAGAAAGCAGCTGGTTTGATTCGAGGTCTTCGATGGCATGACACGGTCTATGGATACTCAACTAGCTTGGTCACTTCTGAATGTAATCTCGCACATGCTACTACTAGTTTCTTCAATGTGGAACGGAATTACCATTTACGCATCCGAACGGAGTCTTCCCAGATGATTCATCCCGGTCCGTGCGAGCCGAAGCGTCGTGGCCGCAATGACAGCACATAGATAGCAGGCATTCGCCAATTAAACATTGGCATTTTTAATACAAGAGTGGAGGCGTGCGATGTGCGGAGCCCCCGAGATCATTATTTAGTGCCTCTTATTCGAGACTAAGGGACGATAAAGCTCACAAAAAGCTCCAAGGGTAATCTCTTTGTCACCCTCCATGGAGCACGGACAAGCATTGCAAGACGTGCTTGAGACAGACCTTCTCCAACTCGGAGGGTCTGCAGCGCTCTTAGGCATCTTTCTACATATAACTATCTTTCGCACGTCCTTTGCTGTGGAAGAGCACCTCTACAATCTTCTGGGCCTATACGCTGCGACCGTCCTAGCTCTTGTCTCCGCATACTTTACGAGCACTGTGTACTCTCCGACTCAAGTGTTGGGCAGGGTTAGCTTGATTGCTTTTTCTTTTAATACTGGCCTATTTAGCAGCATCAGTATTTATCGCTTGTTCTTCCATCGACTTCATCGCTTTCCTGGCCGTTTCGGATCCAAGCTCACCCGGTTCTACGACGCTTATCTGTCGGCGAAGAACCTCCAATACAATGTGGAGCTCAAGAAACTCCACGAGAAGTACGGCGACTTTGTCCGAACAGGCAAGTTATTTTAGCTAAATAGAAATAGAACACGCTCATCTAAACCGAACCCATGACAGGGCCTCGTGAAATTTCCATTCTCCGGAAGTCAGCCGTGCCATTGATTTATGGCCCTCAATCCGAATGTCTCAAGTCCCTTTGGTATGCCCAGCTCGACGTAGACCACACGAAGATATCCATGAATCTAAGCCGCGACTTCGATGACCATCGGAAACGAAGAAGGGCCTGGGATCGCGCCTTTAGCATAAAATGTTAGATAGTTCTATTCCTAAGAGCAAACAATACGTCTATAGTACTAACGAAAATTGAACAGCCCTCAAAATCTACGAACCTCGTGTCATAGCCCAAGCAGGAAAGCTTGTTGCCCAGATCGACGCCAATCCAGGAAAACCGTTCGACGCAACTGCCTGGACAATGTTCTTCAGTTTCGATATCATGGGAGATATCGGTTTTGGTAAGGACTTCAATAACCTCACAACAGGGATGCAGCATCACGCTATCAGGGCTGTTCATGACCATATGAGTTTGATTGGCGTTTTGAGCCATGTCCCGTGGCTTTTGAATATTCTCAGTAATCTCCCCGGAGCGGCAAATGCCTTTTCAGGTTTCTTTGCGTGGTGTGCTGATCAGATTGAGAGCAGGCGGAAGGTAAGCCCCTTGTATTGTTCGGCTTTGGCTATGGACAACTAATGGAACTGACTGAACAACAGAACTGGGATGGCAAGAAATATCCTCAGGATATCGTGTCCTGGCTTGTGAAAGCTTTCGTGGAGGACGATGTCTCCGCCGCGCCAACCGAGCTAGCGCTCCATGATGACTCGCGTGTGGTCATCGTCGCGGGAAGGTATGTAGAGTGATTTACTCTCCCAAAATACCAAAGGCAGCCATATCTAATTCAAACCATAGTGAAACAACCGCCTCGACCCTAGCAAACGCCATTTACTTCCTCGCCAAACACCCAAAAGTCCTCACTAAGCTCCAGGCCCAACTCGACGAAGTAATGCCCAACGGCCCAAAGAGCTGGACATACGACAAAGCCAAGTCAATCACCTACCTGGACGACATCATCCACGAGACTCTCCGTATCAAACCCTCCGTCATGACTGGAGGCTACCGCGTAACACCACCCAAGGGCCTCCAAGTCGACGAGGTCTTCATCCCAGGTGACGTGAACGTTGTCGTTCCACCTCAGCTGATCCAAACAGACGAGAAGTATTACAGAGCGCCACTGGAATTTATTCCCGAGCGGTGGACCGAAAGGAAGGCGGAGTTTGGGACAGACCAGGCTCCCTATTATCCCTTTTCCATGGGTAAGTTCCTCTTCAGGCTGCGGATATGCATCCATTGCGGCATGAGATATCAAGTACAAATACTAATAGCGGATTACCGTAGGCCTATATGGCTGTGTGGGGAAGAATCTGGCTATGATGAGTCTCCGCGTCGTTATCTCTACCTTGGTTCTACGGTATAATATCACTTTTGCGCCTGGGGAGACGGGCGAGGCGTTTGATAAGGGGGCGCTGGATACGTTTACTACGATATTGCCTCCGCTGCAGGTGTTGTTTCTGCCGAGGTCATTGTAGATGAGCCCTTGTTTGACGATGCATCACCCTGCTTTATGGATGTATCTGTCGTTTGAAGATTATGGATGTTCATGTGTGATGTGTTTGATGCTGTTTATATATGTAATTGGAGTTTATACATACGAATTAAATCGATCTCTCTCTCCATATCTGAGTATATATGTAAGTATGTTAGCTTTCTCCATTCATATAGCTTTTATCGCTATACTATGGTTCTACAACCAATATGTCTACATATGGAATGATTTTTAAACGAGCTATAGCTTCAACATGCTTTCATTTACTAATACCCATGAAGCTAGCGCAATATAAACGGCCAGAATAATCCAATACTGTATTTCCCATCCCCAGGTTCACGGCCAACTCACCTCACTCATTTGTCACAAACACCACAAAACAAACAAAAAGTGTAATGGTCGTGCTTCACTCAACCTTCATAACTCTATCCCTCCACCCTTTCGCTAATTCCCCCTAAATCAAAGCTCTAATCTCTTTCGCACAACTACACCCCTCCTGCTTATAATAATAATTGGCGAATTATCCCCGGAACCTCAGCCCCCTGGGAGCAACAAAAGCTCCCACTAACACAGTAACAGATGTGATGCCCGCCTTTAGGCACCGGGCCACCCACGGTGCAGTAACTCGCCGTGCCGACGATAGCCTGACAATAGTCGCGGGCGGTGGGGTCCACGCCGTCATGGCTGCAGATACGGTCCGCGACGCCCTGGTTCGGGCATGTGAGGACGTCTTCATGGGCTTTGCCGTTGCTTCCGGCGCAGTTGGCGTTGCCGCTGCCGACAGGCGCGGAGGGACCATCGAAGTAGCAGAGGTTTTGGCGGGTCATGAGAGTGTGGAGGGAGGGAGCTGCTGTGGCTCGGGCACTGGAGAGGAGGATGGTGGTTAGGAGACGCATGGTGAGCTTGTAATTCTTGTGAATTTCTGAGGAAGATAGATAAATTGAGGGTGTTGTTGATGTTGTATGTGGGTGTGAGTGAGAGTGAGTTGTTAGGGTTCGTAGTGTTCGTAGTTCTAGGCTAAGGACGTTGGTATCCTTCTTATATATCTCTTGCAGATTCGCCACTCACGTCTCATAGTGATATGCAAATCCTCGGTTAAGTTACTTTCTATTGATGAGCCAGCTCCAAATACCGCATATTCTCCGTATTCCAAGGTGGCATTCCGGAAGGGGGAATATAGGGGCCATGCCCTAGGGCATGATGTCCAGATCGTGTGTCTGCATTGCCTTGATATCAGGGCTCTCTGAAGGTTTCCGGCACTGATTATGACTTAATGAGTCCCGCTAGTCCGAGTTTGTGTAGATTGAGTAGAAAAGGATTCGCTTGGTCTAATTCAAAGGATTCGAAATTTAGCTAGAGTCCTAGGGGTTTGTGGATCCCTCAGCCTTAGAGAGAGGGTGCCTGGTGGATCCTTTTTGTCCCTATTCGCCCTCCTGCAATGGATACATCAAGATGATTGGGGACACTCTTATATCCGGGCACAGACAGCCTGCATGGGGGCGTTGGGCCAGTCTCGGGGATGCCGGAGATAGCTCCTTTGTTGGGGTTCGGCTCGTGTAAATGGTAGAGATACTTAAAACTCTGGCATCTCCGAACCTTCCTATGTAGACTGCAGTTCAGTAAGTTTATCATAGGCTGAGTGAGCAGGCGGAGAGGAGAGTATGATGTCGCCTGGCTCGGATCCCCGAAACATGTTTCAGGTAGTATCCTATATAAAGTGCTCAGTACCCTGCACTTATCTCCCTGGGAAATGGCTTTCCCTTATGCTTCAAAAACCATATAGGCCTCCATATAGAAGCGGTGGCTAACACCAGCCTCTATGACAGCACCTCTTGCCGGTATCAACTAGGCCTCGAATATGGCAATGCCTCTAAAAGAGCCGAGCCCGACATGCTAAAGGCCAAAAAAATTAACTATCACAAAGCCTTGATACAGTGAAAAGTGGGAATGTCATGTTTGGTCTGCTTTGATTAAAGCTAAAAAAAAAGGAATGAAACCCGTACCTCTCGTAGGTATCAAGACATCATCGTTCTCTCATAAACATCAACTAATTAAGTCACACAGGTAAATAACAAATCTACATGAATGGAGAGACTTGTTGCGCTGGTATGTAATATAGCTCTCAGTAATTATGTATTTTCTTTTATTCCTCCTCCGAACGTCAACTTCTTAAGAGTCAGACATCATCCATTTAAGCGGTCTCGTTATGCTGCACGCCGGCAATCTTCTTCTCTTCGTCAAACCCAATCTGCTCAATGACGGCACCGCGCGCGAATTCGTTCTTAGTCTTCCAGGCGGGAGTACCAATGTACGGGAGACCGTTGGGGTCGGTGAAGATGGCCTCGACGTCTTCGAGAGTCTTACCGGTGGTTTCGGGGAACATGAAGAACACGTGGATGCACATGGCAGTACAGAAGACGCCGAAAACAATGTATACCTGCCACTTGATGTTCTCAAAGGCGGGAGGAACGAACCAACCCAGAGCGAAATTGAACGCCCAGTTGAAAGAGGTACACAAAGCGTTAGCCTTGCCACGTACGCGCAGAGGGAACAGCTCAGGAGGATAGACCCATGAAGTGGGTCCCCAGGTTATCGCATAGGATGCGACGAATAAATAGGTGCACGCAATGACGGCCTTGCTCGGGGGGCCCGTGATCTCCCAGGACTCAGCCGGAGTATTATTGAGACCGCCGGGGGGAGCTGCTTTACCGTGGGCAGCCATCAAACCAGCATTGGCATACATCCAGGTCATCATGAGCATGGCACCAATAAGAAGAGTGGGTCGGCGACCCCAACGGTCCAACCATAAGAGCGCAGGAATCGTCATGAACACATTGATCACATACTGAATGCTGGATGATACCAAAAGATTGTTACCGTTTAAGCCTGCCATCGCGAACACATAGGTTATGTAGTACATCATGACGTTCATTCCGGTGAGCTGGGACCAGATCTGCGTAAAGACACCGACGTGAGTGCGGTTGATCATGTTTGGTTTGATAAGCTCCATGAAGCTGACATCGGCGTTCTGACGTTCAAATTCGCACATGCCCTTGATTTCCTCAAATTCACGCTGAACAAAGGAAGAGTCTCCTTCGCCGTTGCCGTGGACCAATGTAAGGACAGCGTGGCACTCCTCCCAACGATCCTTGCGTGCCAGCCAACGGGGGGACTCGGGAAGCAACATCATTCCAAAGAAGAGAAGAATAGCTGGAATCATCTGCAAACCCCAGGGAATCCGGAAGGAGGCAGTGCCCTTGATGAAGCTGCATCCATAAGAAATGCTGCACAGAGATCTGCAGTTAGCCACGGAGGTATTGATACTGAACTCGGTGATTGAGCTTACTAAAACATGATCATGATACCCCATGTGATAGCCCATTGCTGAAGACCAACAAGGCGACCACGTTTGGTAGGGGGAGCCTGAATGATGGTAAGCAAGGTGTCATAAGCTAACCACGAAACCTAGGCCTTCAGTTCTTCTGGAACTGGGGAGAGGTTCAAAGGGCGATGCTGGTGACACGTGATGCAAGCAACACAACAGTTCTGTATACTCACAATTTCAGAAATGTATACTGGAACCTGAGCAGAACAGATACCGACACTGATACCATTGATAATACGACCAACAATCAACATAGGGATGTTTTGGGCGGCGCAAACAAGGATACAACCAATACACCTATACGACAGTTAGACACATAATACCGAAGAGGGTATGAATACCGGGCATACCAGATCACCGAGCCAATCATAATGGACGACTTACGCCCAAACATATCCGATAAGTAGCCAGAGACTAGAGCACCTAGCCAGGAGCCTCCAGCCATGGCTGCCGTAATACCTCCTTGGGTGTTCGTAGTTGGACCTGCACATTCTTGTTCGCCCTTGTCGTTGGTCGTCACAGTTCCTTGGTTGAAATAGCACTTATAGGGGGTTGTGCTGATAATTGCAGACATCGACGAAATATCAAAGCCAAAAAGACCACCGCCAATGACGGCGATGGCCGCAATGGCGTAGATATTGCCAATAGGCATCTTTAGTTACGTGCCTCACTGCTCCACTTTTTAGCAGGATGAGATTTAAGGCGCTACTTGATGAAGATAGCAGCTAGAGAAGACAGGGGCACGGCCACTGATTAAAAACAATATAGAGAGAAAAAGTTTCAAACACTAGTAGGGTGACGGGCCGGTATAAATATGCCCGGGAGCAGGGGACGGAAATTTTGCGTTTTCCACGTCGCATCGAATGACGGCCAACTCCGGGCTAAATTCTTGATGACGGTTGAGCTTGTACCAACCCGAAGCACCATATTGGGTAACGGGCTGTACGCCATACGACTCGCGAGATTAATTTTAAGCTAGCGAGATTCACTGGGATCCAACCGGTGAGACAATCAAAAATCCATATCCAATCACGGAGTAGACACATCATAATGACGGCCCACCGAAGTAAGTTCAGACGAACAATTGACAGGAAACAGCAGCTTTTCGGCTGTCCGAGTCCAAAACGGACGGGTTCCTCATTCAGTAACAATGGGGAAACCCGCGGGGAGGCAACACATGGTCTGGAGATTTAGGGTCACTGAGGGGATCAGGCCAGAATGACCAATCCTATGATCAGCTGTCCATGCAATCATTTTGAAGAAACGATTCATTGGGAGACCAGGAAACAGAGAACCACATCTCGGGCCCACCGAATGCGACCTTAGGGTGACCATTTGGGAGGCAATCGAGGACGGAAGGGCAGGGTCAGCACCTAGCAAAACTTCCGGGTGGAAGTGTGAAGCCGGTTTATTTGACGAACCAGAGTTGAGCCGTGGAGGGATCCGGGGAAGCCTGACCACGCGGGTAGCACTAGCCGATGGGGTCGCAAAAGGAAGAGAGTCCGAAAGTGACCTATTGCGCCGAGGGTGCGCACACGGCGACTCTCACCCTAGGAGTTAATTGCGCTTGCGCAGAGCCGATTGCAGACGGATCGGCACCGCGCACTTCCTTTCCCGGGAGGGGTGTAGATTGGTTCCCAGAGACGGACATCCCGTCAAAGGTCTGACGACGCTCATAGGTTAGGAGTGAAAGATAAAATGCCTAGATAGGGGAAAGGAGAAAAACGAAAGGAGAAAGAAAATCAAAAATCAAAAACGTAGAGCAAGTTCCGTCCTACTGTGTAGATGAGATGCCGATCGCTTGACATTGTGCATTAGAAACAACCTAGATCGGACACGGGAAGTGCTCCTCGACTGTCTCGGAACATGTCATTCATTGAAAGCGAGATGAGAGACCAGGGAGCGCGTGGGGGGGTCCACGGAAGGAATCATACAAAGTGGTTTGGTGTGAGGGGTGTGTGGTGAGCGTTGAGGGTGGATGTGAGAAATGTGGAGGAAGAACTAGGAGGGGCCCCAACTCCCCGACCAATTCCCCAGAGGAAACAATTCCAGATTAGCTTGGACTAGTAAACATTAACAGACGGTTCCTTGAAGGAGATGAGAGGGAGATGTGGAGTAGGGCGAAAGGGGGCCAAATGGAAGTAGTACTTGGAATACCATCCGATGATTGGACGCCCACAAGAGCATGTGCCTCGGTCAACGTGCCGTTTCCAGAAAGAGTAATTCCACCAATCACCAAGCCCTAGTCATCACGAGTCATGCAATCTGATATTTCATAAGAAGAAAAGGGGGAAAATGAAGAGAGGATAACAGATACTCAATATATCTGGCAGAGATCTATATCATTCACAATCAATCTAAACAGAAAAAGCATTTGACAAGTATGACCAACTACTGAGAATGTCCTGTGCCATAGAACTCGTATAGCCGGCTGGTGGGGCCATACATTGATTTCACTGCATACCCCTAGCCGGAATCACAACAATTATTCCCTCCTACCACCTAGTGTCATGTTATATTGCTTCTAATATAGGTGACCTACGTCGTAAAACCCGAAGTATTGCCACGTACGTCCTCGAAACACCACTGTACCATGTGAGGGGGCCATATCCATTGTCGTGAGCCGATTAATTTAGCAGCACCGTGATATTAACCGATAACTTGACTTTTAGCCCCAGCCGTGCTGATGTCTTGTATTAAGCCACAAATGCTTATGAACCAAAAAAACCCTTTTTCTATCTTTTCTTTCCATTTCCTTTTTTTTTAAACAATTTTTTTTTATTATATTTGTTTTAATTCGATCGTATGCATTTATATTTTGCCCCTAGAACCTTTTTTGTGGTCAACAGAGTTAGAATGATTGATTGATTTTAGTAGCTTTCAAGTAGAAGAACCTTGGGTCTTCATACATGCTAATGAAGCCCCGAAAGTTCCGTTCTCGATGTTTGTGGAGGGTCTGAATTAGTTTTTATTAATACTAACCGGGGAGTTTTTGTGTTGTAACTTGTCGCAAAGAAAAACAGAAGAAAAATTCAATTGTGGCTATTTAGCCTACGTTGGGGTGGGTTAGTGTAAACAGAGTCCTCGGTCCTCATCCGAGTTTGGTTGTCTCCACGGGGTTTTACTCCACGTCGAGGCTCTGGTCACTGATTTAGTTAAGGCCACAATTGTGATGGTGCTTAGTGATCCGGCGGGGGTGGGGGGTACAGATTCCAACATCTTGCTATGGAGTGATAGCAAATTCTCTGCTTGGGCTCATGATCACTCGGAACTACGGAAAAGAGACATTCGTTATCATTAGTGTATCCTATGCGTAAAAACATCGTGATTCATGTTATATGCAATAGTGGAGGAAACTTCAAGCGACGGAAAATCGGGTATTAGGGAAATCCGTAACCAATAGCAAGAGTCGCTCTGCGAGAAGCCAAGAGACGCTTAAATCCAGCCTCCGTGAGGCCGTTGGGGCTCTACGCTAAATCACACCAGCTCCCACTCCGCAATGTAAGCCCACGCCATGCCTACCCGACCGACTTGTTGCCGATATTCTTCCGCAGTTACGCCCCGTGCATCATTGCGATCCCCGAAGCTGGTAAGTACGGCGATGGCCAGCTTCTGGCCGGGAGCGCCCAATGCCTTGGCACTCGGTATGTCAACATACCAGAAGTCTCCACCTCCCCCCGGACCGGAGCCCCGGACATGGGTAAAGGGTATACGGTCATCTTGCCGACCATCGACTCCGTGAACCATCAGCAAGAAAAGCCCAGGCTTGGCTCGGGTGTGATGTTCCAGGGTCCAATGTTCACAGATGAGACTGAACTGGAAACGGAGCGGGCTTGGCTGATGAATGGCGATTTGCTTGGCTGCCGGACGGAACGAACGTTCGCCTATGCTATGATTTTTCGCATCTCCAAATACAGTTGGCTGTTCGGCGCTCAGCGGCGAGTTTGGGTTGCCCAGGATGTACTCCTCCCAACTAATCTCGGGCCGGCCATCATCCCGGTAGAAATGAGATCGGTCAGAGGGGAAATGTCGAAGACCGAACTCGTCATTTGTGTCCGTGAACATCGCAGGGGTAAAATGCTTCTGGTAAGGGCGCCCTGGGCCCTGGACTGCGCCAGCACCCCAGCATGCGTCCAACAGCTTCCAGTGGCCATTGTCGATTCTCACTGCGTTCCAGGCATGCCCGGTTGGTGAGGCTGGCGGCACAGGGGAGCCTGGAGCTGGCGCTTCATAACCGTAGCCCTTCCCGTGACCACCTACCACTACCGCTTCAAGCCCTGCGTGGGCTGCGAGAGTCGCAAATAAGCTAGCGTACCCTTCACACACCGCCAGTCCCGATGCAAGTGTTCCAGCTGGTGTGGAAGGCTTTACACATTTGTTGAAGAACGAATAAACATCGTATTCTATGTTATGATGAAGCCAAGTGAACAATACTCTTGCTTTATCGGTGAGGGAGGGAAATGGCGCGGTTAGTTCTCTTGCCAGCCATGCCAGATCGTAAGACGGCAGAGATTCGCGGGGATATCGCGCTGCATGTGCATCGGGCGCCGAGAAATCGCGGCACTTCAAGCACGTTGTGCTCGGTGTTGTAGCTGGATGGGTGGATTTACAAAGGCGAGGTTTAGTTGCCTGAAGCTTAGAGAGATCGAGATCCGGGCGAGTCGCAAGGGGAATAGGTGGCGGCACACCGTTTGGTTTCGCCTCTTGCACGCCATTGTTTGTAGGTGGTCCTGAGTCCTCGGGGTTCCGGTTTATTGCTCCAAGCCCTGAATTCTGAATCCTCTCCAAAACAGCACTTGAAGGGGGCAGCGGAGGCAGCCTTCTCGCCGATTGCTTGCCATTGACTTCTGCGCTTGGCTCAAGTGACTTGTCCCTATTGACCCTAGATGGTAGCGGTGGAGGTCGAGATGTAGAGCGGCTTCTATCTGTTGAAGTGCTATTGGTAGACTCGCGCCGTGGTGGTAGCGAGGGACGAGCCTGGGAGCGGCTCCTGCTGCTATTCGCGGGGGATGGTCGTGGCCGTGGGGGCGGCTGAACGGTCTTCGTCTCTTGTCTTTTCGGTGGCAAAGGAGGCAATTTAGCATCCCCCCAGGCAGGCGCACGTACGCTGCGGATGGTTCCAGAGTCATTAGAAGCGGTCGATGCTATTGTAGCCCTTCCTGCGCTTGTAGATGTTGAATAGGATACATCCGAGGCTAGGGACTCCTTGGATTCCTTGCGAGAGAAACCGGACGGTCTTCGGGGTGGTAGCGTTGGCGCTGATTCGGTTGATACCTTTCGTATCGGCAACGGTGGAGGGGCCTTCGAAATCTGGCCAGGCGTTGGAGGTGGTGGCCTTAGCACCGGTTTCTGCTGATTTCCATCGGGAGAACGGTTACAAGCAAAGCCATGGGAGTTAATTGGGGGATTATCGATCGTTTGCTGTCGCGATGGAAGTGGACGCGATGCAAAAGGAGTTGGTTGCGCCCCTTGTAACGGTGATGCGGTACCCTGGGGGCTTTGTTCAGCCCGCGCTTGGTTCAAGGCAGCGATCCGTTGCTGGATGGAAAGGACTTGTGGCTCTTCCGCCATCATTCCAAGGTGCGTTATAATTAGGGTCCAGAAATAAGACTAAAAAAAAAAAATTAAAAGGAAGAAAAAAAAACTACACCACAATGTCACTTCACGAGTAAGAAACAAAAAGCAAGTGCCGACGAATAACCTGACTGGAGTTGATGGCCTAATTAGGAAATTTGGTGACTCCGCATTCAGGAACAGCCATCAGGAACGCTCCTTGGAGTTTCACTTTGGGCCGAAAAGAAGAAATTTTCGGAGCGAATCAGCAAAAGTTGAGGGGGCTTGGTGGCATTATAATTTATAACCATAACCCCTGCATCCTCTATAAGCGACTGGAACTCGAGGCTGTGACTGTTTGAGCCTCGCGGGGCAGTAGTTTAGTTGCCTCAGGTTCGCCGCTCCTCCATTGTTACATTCTTCTTTCCCTTTTTTAGATTAGCCCCTGGTTAGGTAACCGATCTAGCCCCCTAGATGTCATGTGATGATGTCCGTGCTTTTCTAGTGGTTATATAAGCCTATAGGTCATAGGTTAACTAAGGGAAGATAGAAAGTAAGTACATTGACGTAGGAAGTTAGAGTTACAGGTGTACCGGAAGAGGGTGATTCTGGGGCAGAGAGGGAGCACCAACCTCCTTGCGAGGTTGTATACTTTCAAGTCTTTCCTTGCTTTAGCTTGTTGGTTTGCTGCCCTGATCGTCATCATCCCAGAACAGATGAAGCACACGCAGCCCTTAGGCCAAAGCGCTAAAGGAAATAGTAAATATCATTCCATAAAGACAAACTTCCCTGACAAAAGGCGACCAGTCCACTGTTGGCTGGCGCTACCATGGAGATGAACAAGTCCATGAAAAAAGGCCATTGTGTCTCATCACTTGTCTGCTCCTTCAGCTCTCAAATTATCCAAAGAACCGATAATACGTCCTTCCTCTTTATGAAAGATCCTCACTTAGAGTCGGGTGATCCGCCACAAGAAGGACACCCACGGACTCCACTACAAAACGAGCAGACACCTAGATACTCTTCGAGTGGGCTATAGTGCCAGTCACAGGAATACTATATATACTTCCTACGCCCCTAGCTAATTTAAAACTAAAATGCCTATTAAACCCTGAAGCGACTCGAGACCCTTCCTGGTTGTCCATATCTGCATCTCGGTGGGAAACAACTTCCCAGTGATAATATAAAGATTTCCTTCTTTCTAATTACTCAACTCCCGGGGGGTTCAACCTCGGCTGATCATAGTGGATCTTTTTACCTAGTGGGAGGTCTGCTAAACCCAAGGAGCAAACCTGCACAGCTATATTCCCACAAATATTATCCTTTGAAGGATATATTATGAGGGCCATTCACTTCAAAGACTTAAGTCCTAACTGCCTGATAACTAAGCTTGCTGAATATATAGAACATCCTATTGTGGTATCACTGTTTTGTCGCCTGGTCCCTACTTGTGAAGATATATCAGCCATCGTCAAGACGTCACAGATTGGATAGCAATTCAGCCTGATGACTGTACAGTATACCTTAACCCAGGTGCATGGACAGATTAGCCCCTAAAGGGCCACTGATAACGAATATCAGGCTATATAATAGTTAGGGGGGATTTCAAAAGGGATTCAGAGCCCTTTAGGTATAGAGTCTCCAGTTGTAAAATATCAAACTGTTAGTAGTGTTAAGAAATCAAGAATCAGTATCCTGTCTTAATAGTATCCCCTGCCTGCCTTAGATTATTCTCTCCCCCATAGCCTGCGTGTCCTTACCTAGTTGACAGGTCCTCTACCCTGATTAGTAGATACCCTTGACGCTACACTATAGGCTATAAATGCAGGTCAGTAAAGTGTACTTAGCAATTTATGTAAAGGAATATATCGTTAAGCTTTACTAGACCCTAAGTAATAAACTTTGATTAGTTACAATATTTTTATCGTTAGCATAGGCTAAAAAGGCAACTTATGCTTGGTTGCTTTCAACCTAGCATCCATAAACCACAATATATACTGCTCAGCTAGGGCCGCTGACCCGGGTCCGTGGCCCTAACAACATCCGCTTTATATATTCTTTATCTATATAGGAAGTCTATAGAATATATCTCCAAGCTTTGACGAATACCATCGTATGCGATGATTACTGGAAGGCAATTGCTTAATTCATATTATCACTGCATATGAGTCACGAGAGTAGATAGTAGGATTTACTGTGAACCGGTCATAATGACAATCCCTGGATGCCTTGAGACATTGTAGACAGAAGACAAGTTGTGACTACTGAAAACCAACTAGCATTGCTCGCTTCCCTAGAAAGTCTTGCTTATAGTAACCCAAAAGAATGTATCCGAAAATAAAATTGAGTCCGTCAGGATAACCGGTCACGCTACGCCTGTCACTTGGGTCATGTTGACATATTCTACCTGGCCAACAACAGCCTTTGAGCCTGCATCGACCTTTTTCTCATCACCGCCTTTAGTTGGATAGAAGTCGATATTACCATGAGCTTGGATGATACCAGTGCGATCCAGAACCGTACGAGAACGTACGTACGGATCCAGTTTCCAATAATTTTGTCGCAGCCGCACGATAACATCTGCCCTCTGGTCTTTCTGTAGCGAAGCATCGCCCATGTTCTTTTTGTCTTTGGCGGACAACCACATTGAGGTTGTGCTGAAGAGCTCCTCTCCGATTCGCTGATGCTGAGCGATAATAGCATCTCTGGTGGTTGTGTCGCCAAGCGTCGCATTCTCATTTTCTTCAGGCTCTACATATTCGTACTCCCAGTCTTCGTCGCCGCCAAGTTCCTTCACTATCTGTGTGCGATCAATGAAATGCTCTAGATCTTCAACCGAATTCACGAAATGGACCTTGGCGGCCACAATAGGGTCAAGCCAGCCCCGGATGACCTTCCAAATTCCTATAAGAGTTGTTAACTTCGGACCGGATGTCTGGTTACAGCGCAAAAGGTATTGGCTCACCGGAAAAGAACCAGGGTGCATTGTAAAAGAGCATAGCACCAAGAGATTCGGGATAGTTTTCTTGGAAGCACTGGATGATGAACTTGACGGGGGCGTACTCCTAGGAATATGTTAGTACAAAGCACAGGGCTTCCAAATAGCTCATCAAAACTTACCATATTTGAAAGAGAGAACCCGGTCAAGTCGAAGATCAATGTCTATATGTTCAACCCCTAGAATTAGCCCATGCAGGTACCCTACCACGCGCAACCAACACTCACCATCGTTTCGACAGGAGGAACAAGGAGCAATCGGACCAGCTCGATGTTATACACAATGTATTCATTGAGCGCCTTTTCACTCTGCGCACCAGGCTTATGAAGTCGCCCTCGCACTACACAAATAGGACGACCGGATTTATCGACACCATGGAAATATCCCTTGCCCATACGCAACTGGGCCAGAAAGTCCTCCCCATCTTTTTTGTCGGCCGTGCATGCGCTATTCCGCGATTGTTCCAACGCATGTAGCTCCCCTTTGAGTATGACTTCTTCATCCACCCGCATCTGCTTGCTTCGCCACTCTAACGCCGATACAAGCTTGGCAAATCCTTTGCTGACATCCCATTTCTCCGCGCGCAGGAATCGAAGAAGGAATGCATCTGGGTGATCCTGTTTCATCATAGCAAAGAAAGCCGAGCAAAGCTGCTCCGGGCTGAGTTTAGTCAAGACTTGCTGGATGGACTTGATTTCTTGTGCATCCATGTGCATGGTTTCAAGCACGGAAAGCAATTTGCCAGGTATTGGAGGCAAATCCGTACTTGATTTGCTAGGAATTTCTGGCCAGCCTAATGAGAAGAGTCTTTTGTGCTGTTTGGGAGTTGTCGGAGATGAAGGTTGGCCATTCGGACTTACATCCGCGCTGTATAACTCCGGATCGCACGATCGCAACAAAATCGCCCATAGCTGTAGCAGTTTTTCCTCTTGGTCATGGGCGAGGTTGCCCACGTATCCTGTGTCTATGGTCGTGGTGCTCACGTTCATTTGGATTTTGGTTGTGCGACGCCGATGTTTGGTAAGGGTTGAAGTAGTTTGGCTATGTAACAGGCTCGATCACTGTCCGTTCCAGGTTAATTCCAGGGAATGGCTTAGGGTTGCCTTGACTATTTATTTATTCCTTTCTCAAGGACTTAAATTGAACTATTCAATAGATTTATTGGCTCGGGAATACAATTTCGGCTCTAGATCCACATGTGCCATCCCAGAGCGAAGCAAGGGAGCAGTGGGAGTTCCTCCTCGGCATGTAATCGTGAGGGGTAATTAGTAGATCAATGGCGATCTGTGAATTCCTGGGGAGATGATTGTCGCCCATTCTAAGGGGAGGTTTGTTGAATGGAACGGGGTTTTTGATTTTGTTGGGACCCAGAAGTTCACAAGGGTGATCCATGCTGTAATTATCATGCGCCAAAAATTTGGCGCGTAGGGGGGACTGGTTTGTCGGGTACAGCTTATGTTCATAGTGACTGGTTAAGTTCGGCAGTGGTATATGAACAAATTATATAATAGGTACCAAAGCCTCCCTCGAAGATGCTTTCGTTGTGAATGAGGAATTTACGCTACTTGGGCACGACGATAATAGTCTGGTAGATTGTTAGATTGTTATATCCGATTCCGAGAGGAAGGGAAGGGGGGAGAAGCGGGGTTCATAAGCTAAAATTTAAAACTGAACCACCGTGGTCAAATTTTGAAAAAGTATCCCAATAGTAGTTAAGCGGCTGGAGGAGTTCCATCGATCTTACAAGTGTCGATCGATCAACATATGGTGGGAACTGGGACCATAAGTTAGGGCTGGGTCCAGACAGGAGGATTTCCAGCGAAGGGAAAAAAGAAGGATGGCGGCGTGATCGGGGGAACCAAACCGAGAGAGGACTAGCGGCAGGAGCACCTTTTCAACCCTACAACATCCATCCGGTCAAGCCATCATCTCCACCATCGGAATGGCCTGCGGTTCGAGCCGCCACCCTTGGCCTTTGGTGCATCTTCCATTATGACCAACCGCGACCCTGAGTTTCGACATCAGCTGGGCAAGTTCCGTCTCGATTCCTCCTTGACATCGCATGTTCCCACTCCTCCCCCACCGACTCTTCCTCCCCAGACTTCTCCGCAATCTCAGCCTCCTTCCCTGACGAACCCGGCGCCATTGCACACACAGCACACCTCGTCTCATAGCTCCCACGTCCACCGCAGCAAGCGTGTTTCAACTGCCTGTGATTTTTGTCGGAAGCGGAAAAAGAAATGTGATTTCCGTTACCCAAATTGTTCCGCCTGTACACGCGCCGGAGTGCGATGTACCATTCCTCCACCTGGTCCCCAGGTCGCGAGTGCCTCCGTCCCACGAGATCAGTTGGAGAACCTGCAAAACCGCGTACGATGGCTGGAAGATGTTGTGCGCCGCAAGACGGGCGTCTCCGTAGCTGATAGACCAACAGGGAGTCAGTTGGACGGAGAAGGTGATCCGGACTGGTGGTATCAGGTACCGACCGTATTGATGGGTCGTGACACCTCCCGCTCAACGACGTCAGCCACAGTCTCGGGATCTAGTCCAACCGATTCACATTCCGTCAGTACAGAACTGCCCAATGTGGGCGAGATCTTTCGTGATCAACTCGAGAACCGACGACCCTCGGTTGCCCGTCCCGTCGCGTCCGCCCCGCACGTTCTTCGGCTGGCCTCGCTGGAAGATGCCGAGCGAGTGGCTTCGCAGTATTTCGACAGCATGGGTTATCAATACCCATTTCTCAACCGCCCTGAATTCTTCACACAATTACGACGTATCTATGCCGGGGAGGTTCCCCCACCCGAAGTGCTTTGCACGTACCACATCACGATCGCTATTGCCCTGCTGATCAATCCTGCCGACGGCGCACAAGCGAATGAATACTATCGAGCGAGCCAGGAAACAGTGTCATTGTCGTTACAGAATGAAGATTTATCATCCGTGCGGGTGTTACTGAGCATGGCACTATGGACCATGTTTTCCACGAACGGCCCGAGCGTGTGGCATGTGCTGGGCAGCGCCCTACGCCTGGCTGTTAGTTTGGGTTTACATAAACATCGAAACTTGTCCAGTGTGATGGAAGAGGAAATGGAAAAACGGGCTTTTTGGAGTCTATACAACCTAGATCGGCTTGTTGCGAGTACCCTTGCGCGGCCGTTGGGTATCGCGGACGAAGATATAAGTGTGAGCTTGCCGCGCGAGTTTAACGACGACTGGACCGAGGCGCCAGGGGCCAGTGCTATGACCATCCCAGTACAGGTGGTCCGCTTGCGCCGAATATTTTCGCGCATTTATCGTTACTGTAAGTTTATCGACAAATATGGTGTTTCACCCAGACTAACCATTGCTAGTATACAATAATCAACCTCCTCCTCCCCCAGCTGATGTTTCGCTTACGCTTTTGCACTTTCGCCAAGAACTCGATGACTGGCGTCGAAATGCACCCGTTTACCCTGCGGCACTTCTCTATTCGACGAGCTATTACGACTACCTGTACGCTACCACCCTGCTCCTCATGCACCGACCTAGTCCACGAAATCCGACGCCGGACGCGACAAGCATTGTCAGCTGTGGCGATGCCAGTATTCAAGTGATCCGATCGTATTGGGATAGTTATTCTGTTGGGAAGCTGAAATGGATTTGGCTGACTTTGAGCCAGATCTATTTCGCTGGTATTACTATCCTGTGGTGTCTTAACCAAAACTTCCTCGCAGTCAAGGACGGCCACCCGGCAGCCTGGCAGCCGAATGACCAGATGATGCGACGGGCCATCCAGGCCGTAGTAGTAGTGCTAGAAGAGTTTGGCAAGCGACGGCCGGGGGTGGAACGACTGGCGGAGTCGTTTCGCCAGCAAAGCACGGTGATCTTTAGTCACTTGGCATATCAGCAGGAGCAGATCAACACGCAACCCCAGAGCCAGCCACCGCTGCAACCCCCATTGCAACCACAGTTACAGCAACAAAATATCCTAGTGGCACCACCAGTGCCCATGGCGGCCACTTTAGACGATGTGCTACTGGTCGATGGGTCAGGAAACGTTCCCTTGATAGATGCCCAGCTGGCCGAGGAATTGTTTTATTCATATGATTGGTTTCAGGAAGAAATGGCGACCTATTATACCCTATGATTGTGTAAATATCTGTTTTGTTTGGCGACGGATACATGTATTTATCGCATCCCAGTCTAGATTACTGCTACCGTTGGCTGCATACTACTACTATCCATGCATACCCCACATTCGATATACTACCTCGTAATCTCCAGTATAAACCAGACCATGTTCAGTATTTATTAACACCACCTCACCTTCTCCCTCAAAACCTTCCACACAAACACCATATTGGCCATATTCACCACCCTCATCATGGAGTCCCCTACCGCAAAAGCCTTCCACGGCACCCTCATTCACACCCCCAACCCCACCACCATCGAAATCCTCCCGGACACCCTCCTCATCATCTCCAAAACAGGTAAAATTGAATACATCCGCCCGTCCACCAAGCCCACCGACATCCCCACCCTCCTCAAACAACAAAACTACAACCCCGACGAATTCCCCCTAAGCACCCTGCGCCCGACCGAATTCCTCATCCCAGGCTTCATCGACACCCACACCCACGCCCCGCAATGGTCCCAACGCGGCCTGGGCCGCGGCATCCCCCTCCTCCAATGGCTCGAAGAAATCACCTTCGCGCACGAGTCCAAACTCGCGGACCCCGTCTACGCAAAACAACTCTACCGCCTCGCCGTCCAAGGTAGTCTGAAACAAGGCATAACAACAGCCTGCTACTACGGCTCCCGCCACAAAGACGCCTCCCTCATCCTCGCGGAAACCTGTCTGCTGATCGGTCAGCGCGCCCTTATCGGAAAATGTAACATGAACCGCCACGCCCCAGACTGGTATGTCGACTCGTCCGCGGAGGAATCCCTCTCCGACACCCTGGAATTCATCTCCGCAGTCAAGAAACTAGACGATGCCGCCGGGCGCGTGACCCCCGTTATCACACCGCGGTTCGCGATTACCTGTGACGAGCCGCTGCTGCGCGGGCTGGGAGACGTAGTCAGACAGTACCCAGACATTCCGATCCAGACGCATTTCAACGAATCGCACGGCGAGATAGACTTCACGCGGACGCTGTTCCCGGAGTTCAAGAACGAGACGGAGCTGTATTCTAGCTTTGGACTGCTTACTGAGCGGACTATTCTGGCGCATGCTATTTACCCGCAGCCGGAGGAGATACCGCTCCTCAAGGAACTGGGGTGCGGAGTTGCGCACTGTCCTATTCCTAATACGACGATGGATGAGTTCATGGTTGCCCCTGTGCGCGAGTACCTGGATCAGGGAATTAAGGTTGGGCTGGGGACGGATTGCGGGGGTGGCTACTCATCTTCTATGTTGGAGGTGATGAGGGCGGCATTTATGGTTTCTGTTGCTAAGCAGACAGAGACGAAGGGACGGGATCGGCCGTTGAGTATTGCGGAGAGCTTTTATTTGGCGACGATGGGTGGAGCTAGGGTTGCTGGGTTGGGGGATCGGGTGGGGAGGTTTGCCGTGGGGTTTGAGTTTGATGCTTGTCTTGTGAGGACGGATGTTGGGGATGGGATTATGGCACCTGTGGAGGAGGTGGTGGATGATGCTGAGAAGGTGTTTGAGAAGTTTCTTATGACTGGGGACGATCGGAATATTGTGAAGGTTTGGGTTAGGGGGCGAGAGGTGAAGGGGATGGTGGCTTGAGGCGGTTTTTTATTAGCGTATGTACATGGATTTACTGCATTGAAAATTTATGTTAATGGTTTGAGTTGGTTGAGGGATTGTCGTTAGAGTGTGGGTTGTTGTTACCCTGTTCCTGAAGAGAATTGTCCCTCTCTCGTTCGTGGGCCGTTTCTATCTTCGTATTTAAGCTTGTCAGATATAGTCGCAGTATTGCGAACAAAGTGTTAAATCATCTACTAGTATAATTCATGATGGTTGATATTTATAGAAAGCGTGAGAGCGAGATATATTGGCCAATCTTATTCACTACGTACATCATATACATTTATACGAACTACAACTTGGAATAAGAGGCTGTTCAAAACTAAAGCGAGTATATATACATAGATCAGAAGACTTTGTATAAATTAGATTAAAGCTAGAGATGATGTTCGGTGTGTAAGGGTCAGTATATAATAATATATGATATAATTAAGAAAAGGTATGTGACGCTCAGATAAAGCCCGAAAAGCCAAACGCTCAAGCAGAAAAGAAACGCAAAACAATGCTTCTAGATATCTAGTATATGTAAATGGGACAGAAGATATATGCAACATAGAAACTATTCCCATGTCCCCTGGGGAGGTCCGAAGTATCCTGACTCCGGTAGACCCCTCCACGGAGTGCCTTTACCGTCCGCAGTGCGCGCCGATACGGTGTTGCCCCACCAATTCAGCGAACCAGCTGGAAGCGTAATGCAGAAAAAAATTATCACCGTGGCCACTGCGACAGCGCAGTCAAGTGCTGCCGAAAGAACGTAATCTGGGGCTATGTTAGATCGGCACGGTGATACAATGGTTTAAAAGAGGACTTACTATACTTAGACCACCAGGCGGGTCTGCGTCGTTTAATAATTCCATTAAATATTAGATTGACAATCCACCAGGATGAGAAGCTAATACCCGTGGCTGGTGGAACAAGACTCATGGCACCAAAGGCTACCGGCCATGAGATGTAGTTAGCCTGCTTCCAGCGCCTACCAATGAGATATGTGATGATAATGACAACAGGTCCTGCCAGGAAGAACCAGAGCAGGTGGCCATAAATTTGACCGGGCGAAAAGTTCCGTCCTGGTCCAAGTGCGCCTAGATACTGTTAAGAAGGTATATCTGAGGTAATCTGAATGATGCTTACCCCAAATCAACGATGAGGAATACGTTACTCGACCATGGGGACAAGTGAATCCTCCATCTGTATCGGAGGTACAGACACCACCGATCCGAGTAATCATGAACACAGTCACGCCACACTGTACCACGGCACCAATTAAGGTCGCTAGCCCCTGTGCTAAGAATAAAGTCCGAGGAGCAATATGAAGATAATGTGCCAGCTTCATGTCCGCCACAAACCTGTTTTGTTAGCTACGTCCATACATTTGCTTTTCAAAGGGGATACTTACTCTAATCCTTGAGATACTGCCACATATCCATAAAACTTGAAAGCCATGTTTGCAACGGGCCGACCGAGAAACGCGTACCCTCCAATGAACTCCGTAATCAAGTTCAACTGGTTGCTGGTAATATTCGTCACCGCCTTGATGATGCCAACTGGTATGAAGTAGATCATCGGTAGCACGAAGGCCAAGAGTACTGCCCACGCCGGGAGACCCGTATGCCAAACCTCATTAGTCACAATGCTCAGCACAAACATCAAAATGGTCACTGCAGCGAACCACCACCAAGGAACGACCCTGTAGGATTCCATAAGCCGTGCATGGACATCCTTCTTATCCCGCCCCTTCCATTGCTCCCACAGGTCAGTCCCATGGTACAGCGCTATGTGAACGAAGATTCCTGTCAGATTGGCGAATGCTACGCCGTATGTCACTGCATACCCCGCTGGAAGGAACATGGGCGAGTACTCGCGGTACGCCTCCACATTAACTGTACCGTCATGGTTCATCACCCGGCTAGTGTTGTAAGCTTTACCGGTATTGTCGAATGTGTTGGAATTAAGCATCGGTAAGTAGGCCGAATACCACGTATTGGTGTAGTAAATTATTGGACATATTAACCAAAAGAACAAGGCGAAGGACCCAATCACGTTGAGACCCGCCCAGAATGGGACCAAGAGCGGGCTTTGATTTGCATAGACGACCTGAGCCCAATCAAAGGTCAAGATCGACATACCAAGACCAGTATGCTGACCAAAGAGCTGGTTGACAACAACGTTTGTTGGTACAATCCAGCAAATGAAATTAAACGTGCTGAGACCTGTGAAGAGGTACCCGGGAGCAAAATACCAGATGGCTCCGCCAACAAAGATAAACAAAAAGAACCGGAGACGCGTGATAGACCAGCCATCAGCGACAAGATTTTTGCGCGAGTGTAAGGTGGATAAAAGAGCGGCGTTTGACAGCACCTGGGGCCACATCATAGTCGCGGGTCCCACAAGCCAGCGGGACGCCATGCCTGCCAAGCCAAAGCCAAACAGTTGTGTTGTGATACATAAAAGAATCTCAAAGCCTCCTTGAGAAGGCATGTTATAGAACTTTACCATGGCCTCAATGATCTGCGTCGCCGCCGCAGACCCAAACGAGACATTGGCCATTATCGTGATCAATGCGTGCTCCTTGATATTGAAATGGCGGTCCGGATTGAGCCATCCCAAGGGCATCCATTTTGCCCAGGCGCAGCCAACTGGAAATGCTACAAGCTGTGCAACCAAGGCACTGATGGTTACACTGGGCTGTCTCAAACTGAAGAATTGATTGAGTCCACTCCCGACCTGCGTTAGTTAGTTAGTGTTACACGCTCCGCATCACAGCAGATTTGATTTCTCCGCCACCGACGTACAATCGTAAATATAACCCCGATCATCCACATCCGAACCGTGTTGACCGGTAGATGTACATCGTCTACTGGTCGAACGACGGCACGAACTTCTGGGAAGGGGGAATCGTCTGCTTCATAGGGGAGGATCTTGGCCGCGTCGCGGTCGCTAAGAACGCTGTAGCTGCTATCGTCGACATCGAAAGACGGCTCCTAGCAAGTGCCCCAGGGTGATTAGACAAAGAACTACAAGGTAATGGGGTGAGTGGCTCGGCTTGTTTCCCGTATTGAGGGATTACGGTGTGCGCCACGTGGATTGTCAATTGGGCCATCCAACCCACCTGTAAGAGCTCTTTGCGCTCGGCTTTTCCGTCCCGCTGCGGGATGTCAGCCATAATACGAGAGGAGTAGTATTATGGTATGTATGTAAGACGAAATATAGTAGTAATGCACTGTTCTGGAGACTGATTCCGACCGAAATGGAGCTTGTCTTGCAGGGGACATTGAGGGAGTGGAGTTGACAAGACCCTCAAAGAAGTTAGCGCCTCTCGTGACAGGAGTCCTAGACTAGAAACGTTCATTTTCCTTCTCCTTAATTAATGTGTTGAGTAATAAAGTTTGCTCCTCCGATGGGCAGTATCGGTACCGTGAATGTTTCAGGTAATTGCACGGGTTTGAAATAAAACTCCTACCACAGATTGGAAACCTTTAGTCTGACTCGGGAGTATCCAGAAAGGAGTATCTCTCATTCTAGGCTATTTGAGTACCCAGTAGATCGACCCTGCCAAGTGGGGACTTCGATTCTACACATACTTCGTAAGTATATACTACATTGTAGGGTACAGGGGTTGTGATTAAAGCCAAAAAAAAAAATCCGTCCCAAGTATACACCTTAATATTCATTGTCTTCCAGTTTTGTACTTGAATTTTGATTTCCTTCCTTCCTGTCTTTATTCTTTATTCTTATTCACTAGGTTCTTTCTTCCTTTTTTGTTAGTATTTCCATATGGAATTAGGTCGCTGAGGATCAGATACACGATTACGGAGTACTCCGTTATAGGTTGTTGTGTACCTGTATTGGGCCTGACACCGGCGGCGCTTACTGGATGGAGTTTAGACTGAAAACAGACGTAAGTAAGAAAACACACACAGAACCCTACACACTACTAACAACGGCGGTTCAGTCCGTCTTTTTTCCTCATCGAACATTCGCCAAAGGTTCCATAGTGCGTCGGGACGAACCGCCCACAGTCATGCCACGATTTCAATCAGCCTGTGAGCTTTGATAATGCATGAGATGACGAGTCCCTTGTAAACCCTCTTTCCTCTTGAGGCACAATATGATACTCTTATTATTGGCGACTAATGTGCGCAGAACTTCTATATCTGGCGTAGACGTTGTCGTGTGTGGTTCACTGTCCCTCGTTCCCAGCGGCTCCAGCCGACCGTCGGATCTGAGCGCTTCGATCCCACTTTGGCGAACTGTACCAAATCTTAACGACGACACGGAAACCGATCATCGCTTAAGATATGGCCGTCTCGTCGGATACCTATAAGAAAAAGGTGGCGGTGCCCCGTAGAATAATAAAGAGACTGAACAGCCTGGTGCGTTGAGGACTTCACATCTAGTTACACGTTCTTATATGTCGTCATCTCTATCCCTCCCATTTGCCTCTTAGATCTTCTTTTATTCTATAGACCTTCTTTATAAACATTTCTCTCCCCTGACCGCCTCTGGAGTGGGTGATCTGCGCCATTTTACGTGAAGAGGGGCAATTCAGTTGGTACGCACCAAAGTTCATAAAGGCTCGAATCCCAGAGACATAAAAATGGGAGATCTCGGCCACCCTGTTGATATCCCTTCCGTGCCTTTCGCACAACGTCCTATCGTCATTTTGGGAGCTGGCATTATTGGGTGTGCTGCCGCGAGACAACTTCTTCTCAATGGATTCTCTGTAGTCTTGGTTGCCGAGTATCTCCCCGGGGACCAGAATATTTTCTATGCATCGGCTTGGGCTGGTGCAGCATGGCATGCTGCCGGGGGAATTAGCCCTGAATATCGATACTACCAAGCGATCACCCATCGTCACTTGTTAAAAATGGCCCAGGAGGATCCTGAATCAGGGGTGTGCATCGTCGATACACGCGAGTTCCTTGAAAACCCCCCAAGCGAGAACTCTGCAATTTGGGGGAAGACGGTGGTATCAAAGGTATGATGGCGAGGTCTTTCTCATGAGAAGGGATTTCATAATGCTGACCATAGCGATAGTTCCGCGACCTAAAGCCCAATGAATATCCCTCCAATTTCGCCTGCGGGTGGGCATACGATACTCTTGTCACGGATCCTACGCGTCACATGCCCTATTTGGGAAAGCAAATCATTGCCCTCGGCGGCCAATTCATTCGGAAACGAGTCGAATCACTCCAGGAGCTGTACGCCATGTTCCCAGAATCAAGCATTTTCATCAATGCGAGCGGCATAGGAAGTAGATCCCTCAGCGATGTCCAGGATGAGAAGTGTTTCCCTGAACGAGGACAAAACGTGTTTTTCCGGACCGACAATTGTCACACGATGTACTTCCGGAATGGCAAGGAATACACTTATGTCATCCCACGTCCTCAGTCGAAAGGTGTCGTGTTGGGTGGGGTTAAACAAAGCGACAACCTGTAAGTGTTCATCGACTTGTGACGTAAAGGATTCGTTCAGATATTGACTGGACAGGTCGCCCGAGGTGGACATGGATATAGCTCGAGATGAGATCGCACGCGCCCATCGTCTCGCACCCGAGATAGTTCCGGAGAATCCCCCCGAAGAATCGCTCGACTATATCATCGGTATCCGCCCGTCTAGACAAGGGGGTTTCCGTTTGGATTCCGAGAAGGTAGGCAATCGCATTGTCCTCTCGGCGTATGGATTCGGTGGAGGTGGCTATGCCTTCTCATACGGTGTAGCAGATGCTTTGGCGAAGATGGTGGAAACGGCTGAGCGGGAGAATGTGATTCTCTAGGCGGCTCATGGACTTCTTTAGGGGTTCAGTCCGATCCGTCTACGCGGGGCTGTTTCAAAACTCGATTGGATCTTGCGTTGGTTGCATTTTGCCGTTCAACTTCATTAATTAGCGACAGTATGGTGATACCAGTATAATAGCCAAGAGTTCGTCAATCCCACAGGGACTTTCATGACAAATCAAGTGATATCAGCCTGGCTCTCTGACACTTTTTTTTCTTTGGCTTTTTCTGCGGTTTCACACAGAGACATGACCATTATCTAATTGCCTGAGGCGGTCAGATCAACGTGACATCTAAGAAATTAATGTCGACATCCATAGTGGATCCTCAAAGTAACGGGAACAGTAGGGCTTCGCCTCACTTTTCACTTGAAAATTTTCCAGAACGACCATGGAAGCACAATTGATTTGTAGCCCTGATCCTTCATTACTCGCTAGTACTGCCTATCCTTTCCAGAAAGAGGATACACTCCGTTTCAAGATAACCTTCTTTCCATTCGTCCTATCATGGTGCTTCTAAGATCTGAGTACAGAACGACGATTAATGAGGCTTTAGTCGGTCCCCACACTTGGCGATTATCTATCTATTGATTCCATGACGTTGGACGTCGAACGATGGCAAGTCCCAGCCGAAGGAACAAGAATCTTAGGCCACGAGGCGTGGTAAGCGCGATCGGCATAAATCGGCCACTATCGAGTATTCTGCTAGATAGAGTAGATTTAAATAGTCGCCCAATCATTTGCTTCAGGCACATGTAACATCGATCTAAAAAAGGATATTAAAATCTCAGAACAATGAGCAAGTATCAGAACTCCGTACTAATGACATTATTTGGGGGGAAAAAAGGAGGGGGGGGAAAAGGAAAAAACGCCACCAAGTAGTTGCTAAGTAGTATACTTTTTCCCTTTGACACACCGCTGAATACGTACGCAGTGAAAGGTGAGACTGACTAACAGTTGAGGGGGCTGTTGAAATCTAGAATGATGAGTCAGCTAGGCAAAATGTTTGGCTCAATGCCTTGATTTGTACCCTCTGGTTCCCAAATCGGTATCACCACGGTGGAGCCGTGGTTCTGAGGAAAATCAAGAATGCATTGTACAAGGTTGAAGGGAATGCAGACATTGGTGGTTTTGGCATGCCAGAAAGAGCAACGTGACTGGTCTCCCAACTGCCTGCCCCGCAAGTCCGGGCTGTTCTGCCGTCCACTAGCGGGCGAAGCGCGTGGCCGATCGTCTTCCATTGACGTCGGTGGTTTGGCCTTTGCCTTAACACGGGTCCCCTAATTAGGAAGATTTCTTTCCTGTTGGCCCAAACATGGGGTTTCAGTTTTCACTGGATCGCTTTACCCTTCTATTCTTATCTGAATTTCAGTCTTTTGGCTGAAAATCTAATGCGTGTCGTGCACGAGGCTGCAACCCAACTCCCCATCCGCTGTGTCGGGTGTTTCAACCCGCTGTTCGTTCGACTTTCTCCTTTACAATAAGTCTTTATTGCCACGATTCCCGTGGACAGCAAAGATGTCGTTCGGGGATCAATTTCTGAATCTCAACATGCAGGATAGAACCCAAACGGTCAACCTGCCGCTGATTACGACGCCACCAGAAGATATTGATATGGTCTTAAGCGGATTCAAAGGCGAGACGAAGCCGTCGCAACGGACTAATGACAGCTCAGGCTCAGGTGCCGAAGCCGCCACCGTGCCGCAGGACGCCTCTTTGTGTCGAATCTATCGCTACACCCCAATACCTACCATTGTTGCTGACGCAAACCTATACATAGTGGAAGTTTCCGACAGTCACTGCGCCCTCACGGGTGAATCTAGGGACGCACTGCTGAACACCTGCATCTGTGACACCACCCCTCCCATGGTCCCTGTATCAGATATCGCATCTTTATACGGCGCGATACGTGCCGCCATTTCAACAAAAGAGATTCAGTGCATTGAGGATATTTATCTAAAAAATAAAAAGTCGCACTTCCGACTTCAGGTAACGCCGATATTTCAAGGTCGGACCTTAATATACATAGTTTTCGAGGCGCATAAAGACGAGAGGGATCGTTCGGGAGCTAACGACCATCATCATGCATACGTGAACGAGACCTATAAGATACTGGTTGACACTGTTAAAGACTATGCAATCTTCATGTTGGACACCCGCGGCAATATTACAACTTGGAATCCGGGTGCTGCGATCATGAAGGGATACTCGGCGTCAGAGATTATCGGCAAGCACTTCTCAGTATTCTACAGCCCCGAAGACCGCCGTAACAATAAACCATGGAAGGGCTTGACAGTGTGTTTGCGGGATGGAAGAATGGAGGACGAGGGTTGGCGTTACCGTCAGGACGGGTCCCGCTTTTGGGCCAATGTTATGATTACGCCTGTGTACGAGTTCGGCCGTCATGTTGGTTTCGTGAAGGTCACGCGTGACCTGACGGAACGGAAGGCGGCTGAGGCACGCTTGATTGCAGCTTTTGAAGAATCGTCAAGGCTAAAAACCGACTTTCTGGCTAACATGAGTCATGAGATTCGTACACCAATGAACGGCATGCTACTTGCGCTGTCTATGCTCACGGACACTGAGCTCAACAACAAACAGCGTGAATTCGCGTCCATTATTGAGGATTCTACGTCGTTATTGCTCCAAATCATCAACGACATTCTTGATTATTCGAAGCTATCCTCGGGGTCATTTTCCCTAACATCGGATATTGTTAATGTGAACAGCATCATGAGTGCAGTTGTACGAAACTGCAAATCTTGTCTGAAACCGGGAGTTGAGCTGAGCTGTTCCATCCCGTCGAATTTTCCCAAAGGCCTGCGAGGGGATCCTCTACGGTATCGCCAGGTACTCCAGAATCTTGTGGGGAATGCGGTCAAGTTTACGGAGAAAGGATATGTTAAGATATCTTTATCATTCGCTGTAGACGCCGAGGATCCAACAATGTATAATATTTCAACTGAGGTAGCCGATTCAGGTGTCGGCGTGCCAGGAAGTGCTCTGAACACCCTCTTCACGCCATTTACACGGTTTGCGGATTCTACAAGACGGAGATACCAAGGCACCGGGCTCGGTCTGTCCATCTGCAAGAGCCTGGCAGAACTCATGAATGGGAGTGTGGGTTATCGACCAAACTCGAATGGGGTCGGCAGCGTATTTTGGTTCACTGCTAAGATGGGCCGGGTGGACACGCTACCCATTAGCAAGCCCTCCGGTGTGCTGCCGACTGAGAGCTCGGAGAACCTTATTAAAAAGCTGCGAGAGATCGCGCCCCGGAAACACATATTGCTAGTGGAGGATAACTTGGTGAATCACATGGTGATGCTCAAACTGCTTCAAAGCCTCGGCTTCGACCGGATTGACGCTGCCTGGGATGGGGCGGAGGCTGTTCGGCTAGTGAAACAAACGCCATTGTCCTATAATGTCGTTCTTATGGACATCAGCATGCCAGTATTGGACGGTCTTGAGGCGACGTCTCAGATTCGAAACATGAAGATCGATGTACCAATCATTGCACTAACTGGAAATGCGCTGAAAGGTGATGCGGAAACGTATCTCGCCAAAGGTATGAATGACTATCTGGGGAAGCCTGTACACCGCAATCACCTTCTGCAGGTGCTTTGGAAGTGGTTGGGTACATGAAGTTCCGGCCTCGCGCTGGGATATTAGACTACCTTGTGACTATGCCTGCTCACTAATCATCTTTTTGTTTTCTAACTCGGGCTATCGCTAGCATTCTGTCTGCCTTTCATCCCTTATCATCAAAATATACTTGCAGAACGCTCCTCAGCGCCACTAGTACAGTTGGGCTGTTGCAGCGATCTTATTGGGCACCCGACAGCAACTACCCAGGAGGCTCCCGGAGATTTTTGTGGTTGGGGTACTCACACGGTGAAAGCATACTGGTGTCTAACTGGCTGCGCTCATGCTGCCCAAAACAAGGCGTGGTATGGAGCACGGGCTGCTTTCTACCTCTATTTTGTCTTTTGGGTATGGCGGATATGGCGGTCTCCACAGCCGAACTATTTCCGACGGAACTGCACGGAAACTAGACATGTCTATCCGGGACATTATAGTTAGTGCACGCGTCGTCTGACTACCGTGGTACTATTCATGCGCTAGTGGATGGTACTTGGTACTGAACATTATGGATTATACTTTGTCACAGGACTGATAATTCCTGCTTGCTTCCTTGAGACTGGCCCTGCGATGGCGGTTTTGCTAACGAAGCTTGGTGGTGGATGAAAATGGTTTTAGGTTACACTGGGTCTCATCCAATAGCTGCAGTTTGCCATAAAAGGTTCTTCTGATTTGTTTTCCATTTTCGGTGGAAAATGATATTTTGGCAATTCAAATAGTGGTGCCATTCTGGTAGCTTCGTTCATTGGGCAGGTGAGAACCAGGGATAACACAAGCGTATCGGGCTAGAGTGGAGGAGAAGAACAAACTGCCAGCCAAGCCTTCGATCATCGCTCGGGCATATCGAAGCTGCCTGTCGTTCAGCTCCCCCGATCGTGTATGGGCGATGTATACATGGTGAAGCTGCCGCTCCAGCTCCAAAATGAGCTGTCGCAGGTCCCTCTTGGCTGTGTCACTAGAAATGTAAAGGATATCACCGAGAACCTCAACACCATTCACAATTGGTAGATCCTCTTCTTTGGCCTCCATTCGTTCTTTTTCATATGAATAGAGGTCATTAGTGAGACTGCAATGCATCATATATAATCGGTACATCGCCTCCAAAGGAGCTCTTTCTGACTCGGGAACGTATATCCCGCAAGAGAACTGTAGCATACCACTGATGCCCCTAAGAGGCTGTCAACATGTCGTCAATGCTTTCCATATTTCAGAGGGACATACACATGCAGAAAATCGTTTAACCTGTAATCAATGTAATTTTTCCACGATACAAATTGGACCCGTTTCTTTGGTGGGTTATCAAGGGTATGATTAGCCCACAAGAGCGTTCCTTGGACGATCTGTAAACCAGCTCCGAAGTTCTCTTGAACGCATTGGTCCACCCAATCTTGGAAAACTGGGTTCTTCCACGGCCCTTGGAAGTTTTTGGGATCATCAGGAAACGATTGGAGCTCTTCTAATGCTTCCTTGAGTATATTTGACTCCTACAGATTATCACCAGTGAGAACTCAATATATGGAGGAATCAAGAGTACTCACAAGTCCATAACCTTCCGAATCGGCATCGTCTTTGAACCACTTAGCATAATCTTCTTGCGTTATGCTTAAAGATGCACCTACCATCGTGAAGAAATACCAACAAAGCTGCCTGTGCTAGGAGTCTTGCCCGTACAGCATTTGCCGCAGGGAAAAAGTTCACTGCTGTAGCGGCAGCCGCATCAATCAAGAGTGAATCTCTTTTCAGCAACCTTTTCCTATAATCGCTAGTTGTGCTTTGCGGCTCTTTAGACGCAGAAACAGAACGTATTGCCCCTAAGAATTCCTTGGCCGCTTCTTCAGCGCTCCGCCAGTGTTTGCTCTGCACTGTTGCAGGGAAAGTGGTAGGCCATGGCAGACCCATGTCACGAGGATCGAAACAATGACTTTCTTCCAAGCCGCGGATCTTGCCTGACTTCGCATCTTCTAGGAATGTGAAATATCTCTTAGATGTATAGTCCGTATCCAGAGGAGCAGGGTCGAAGATATACTCAATCGGTTTGATATCTAGGTGGGAACCCATATTGAAGGGGAGTTGGTCATTTTCTGGAAGCCAGGAGACCATTGCGCGTCAGATCAGCGTAACTTATTCGTTAGATAGATATTAATACCTGGAAGAATTAGCTCTTCAGTATAGTTTCTCTTCTATCTGTGGCTGCCCCAAGATGCCGTCATTAAAAAACTCAGTTAAACAAATTACCAGCTTCTACTTTCGAAGATGACGTGGACGGCCAAGAAAAATATTCTAATACCAGTATTCGTTATTCTAACCAACTCAGAAACTACGGGTTCGCCAGTTGGTCAATCCTAAACATCCGCTAAACCAGTATACGCATAACTTGTTTCCTAGATCTGAAGAACCAGTCCTGATACACCATATCTGTGAATAAGTCGCTTACGTCTGGATTACCTAAATCAATCTTCCTTGATGAAGACCCTCATGAACCGGTTTTCGGTATCTTGATAAACGCTGCAGGGTCCACTATTCTCTCGCCAAAACGTAATCTTCGTAATGAATAAGCTACCAGAGAACTACTAGTATATGTGCCTGTGGGCGTAGTAAATTCACCTATCAGTTGATGCCTTAGAACACCGGGGATTATGGACGCCGGAGGCTTCTATACCCTTAGTTAATGCCGCTGAGACTATCCATAAGTAACCTGTGAGAGATGAAGTTTAGTGGGTCTGGTATTTAATAGTGGCCTTAGTTCTTTGAGTGATCTCTTGTATATAGCGATTCATTGGAAGTATATTACATATTAAGAATGCCATTTTTGAATGTATGGGGCTAGTAAAATCCATAGTACAAAATAATGAGGATGCTTATATCGATTGATATATGACTCGCTTCACAAGATAGAGACTTGCTATGATCACATTGCCATGTCACGTAAAGAGATATCAGCCTCGTGAGAACAAAACGATGAAGATAGTATCAAGCGAACAGTTAATGTAGAACAAACTGAATGAGTGATCTTCTGGTCCGAGTCGACCATTGCAAGCACCTTCTTATACAGTAAATCGTCATTGATAAAGCGTTGGCTTTCTTACCTTCAGTTCTCAAGGCTATAATGAGGTTCAAACATCCTACTATTAATACGGCTAGTTTTGAATGCAACTATGGATGATGCCTGCCTACCACATCAATGATGATTATGAGTGAGGTACATTAAGAAGAACATGCATATTGTGCTATTATAGATATGAGATGGGGTTCAATTGTTAATGCGCGACTAACTAGAAAGCAGACAGTAAAAGACATGACCTTGTACATTAAACATTAAGTTGATGTCCGACAACTTGAAGACAGGGGGAAAGGAAATGCTAATTTGAAACCCCAAAGAGTAGCGCAGGATATGAATACTGGAAAGAAATTCAAAGAAAAGAGACCCTTCAATATGTGCCCGCTGGCTTTGGCGGGTTTAAGAGCAAACAACCTGTTCTATTCGATTTTTTTCTAACACGCTCAATAAAATCCCGTCCAGCAAGCCCCCGAACCCTTTCAGTATTCCTACTTTTGAACTGACTCCACAGGTAAGGAGAAGTATCCGGGTCGGGACAGGATGGTATCTCTTCGTAGAACACTGTAGCTGCTTCTTCCATTCCATTCAAACCCAACGGGTTGATACGTCCGATCTGTTCAAAGTCCAACATCCACAAAATTAATTTCCCAAAATCGGTCTCAAATTCGGAAGGGTGGTCAACATTGGCCGGTGCAAGGGCAAACTCAAAGCCACGGCCATCTAAACAACCCAGCCAATGCATACCAGCAAGAATTGCCCCCATGGCCTTCGCACACCATTCTATGTGTCCCCGAGATATTCTGAAATCCTCTGGTACGTCATCCATAAATACCGAACAGTCATCAACAGCGATAGTTCCCATCGCCGGCGGACAGTCGGATTAGGCAAGGTTGAGATGGGTCAGTGCTTTGCGCTGGTCGGCCAAGCGCTGTATTGAGCCCATCTCTCATATTTCGTGGAAACGGAGTGATGGGCTCTAACTCGATGGTGTTACATATAGCCGGTTCATCTGGAGAGTAGGTGTTACTATATGCGCGTCCTAAACTCTTTCCGTAACACTCGGCAACCAGGGGCAGAGTTTGTAACGTGGATCCAAAGGCTTTTATTCAACCCGAGGCTGGAAAGCGTCTGTACCAATGAGTAGATACTTGTATATATGTAGGAGTAAGTATCAAACTTTGCGTCCCCTGGGGTCTTGTCCAAGATAGCTACTTCTTTTTTTGTTGTTGAATAAACCTCACCGTAGTCTTCTTGGCCGACCTTGTTGACCAAAAAAATGACTGGTATTTCTGAAACCCCCTCCATTGTTAATGCTTTAGAATCTTCTTTCTGGACAAAGCTTGGCTAGCTGATATTGTTGATGAGGCAGTGAATTTCCTTGCTTGCTCTCTAACGGACTGGGTAGGAGTGATAAAGGTAGTATGAAATGTCGTTGGAGGGATGGGAGTTCTCTTTCAGAACTGTTGACTTGCTCTGCTATATCGGACGAATGGAAGGAGCAACGCTCAGGGTATATATATCTCACTAAGTGCAGGGGTTCGCCTCTGGTGAAATTCTAGACGCAATATCTCAAGACGGACAATCCTATTGTCTTCGATGGGTAATCCCGCACACTTTAGTAAGACGGATCATAACTACCTGCACATGTTTACTAATAATGAATTAATGCCATTTCGATATTACCGTCCTCGGTAAATGGCACTCGACTGGGGGTAAAGAGCCGAACAATGGCATACATTTTTCGACAACAACCGTTGCTATCGGGGGCATTACCAGGTGACCTATTCTCCCACTTCCAACTAGATGAACTATCATTCTATCGTGGGGCTTAACCGGCCATTCAATTGCTATTTTACGATGCGTTCGTGGAAGTTGACCTCTTTGCTCGACTCTTGAGGTATAATCCAACATATTCCGAAGCTCACATGACATAGTAATAGGAATTTATCTTGAACTATAGATTTTCCTTCCAGGACAAGGAGTGTCTGTTTACAATCAATAGGACTTCTATATCCCGAAAAATACGATACTCTGAGTTCATCATAGTGGAATATAGCTCTCTATTTATTATACCATCTATATGACAAGAACGTTCACAGCATCTAAGCTTATATTACTCTAAGAAAGCAGGAGCACAAAAAAAAAGGGCACTGTTATGCTAATCCTGCTTTAAATAGATCCCCGTCATTCTTTCTTAGTCGGATAATCCTCTTCCTGCAACTGGCCAGCCAGTCCTCCAGCCACAACTACCCCCGAAGACATAGCCATTGTAACAACCTTAAAGGGAGCAGCACAGTCCCCAGCAGCAAAAACACCAGGAATAGAGGTGCTGTAGAACGGAGCCGTAGTCTCAAGGTCACCATCAGATGTCAGTCGCAACCGGAGTTGTGTAGCGAAGGGCCCGTTAATCTCTGTCTTGGGTTTATGAGTCTAGTATTGTCAGCAACGGATCATGCTGTCTATGCGTGGTATGTACTCACAAGAAAGCCTTCTGTGGTTTGCGTGCCATCGTGGAATTTGAGCTGTACTTCGGATCCATCCTGTCCTTTGACCAGCTTAGATATCTTTCTCTTATCCACTTTGAATCCCGTGCCCTGAGTCGCGTTCTCCAAGTCCTTGGTAACATCTTCAACACCATCCGTGTATAACGTTACTGTACCGGCAAACCGCTTAGCCATGCGCGCGACATGCATCGCCGGAGCGGGATTAGCAATATCGCCAATTGCCAGAACACCAGCAGAAGCGCAACCACGTTCCTCATAACCGTGGCAAAAAAGGCAATGAAATCTATTACAGATCATCAATTACTAAATGTTCTAAACAAATCAAAGCCACGGAGTGAATACTCACATGCCAGTCCCCCAACACTCTCCATATCCCTCAATGTCCGGGAAAATATCACGGACACCAGTAGCTAATACCAGCTTACGTCCAGTCCAGGCGCGATCACGGGCATCGAAAGCCTTGAAGTAGCCTTCGTCTGTCTTCTGGACTTTTTTGATTTCGGTATTCTCGAACTCAATGGTATCGTAGCGGCCAAGAACACGCTCACGAGCTGCCTTGCGGAAGTCGGCAGGCGGGCTGTGATCCCATGTAGCCACATTATGCATATGGCTGGTCGGAGAGTTGCGGTAGACCCCAGAGTCAAATACCACTGCGCGGTATAGCTGGCGAGCGAGGCCGGTTACTACCGACAAGCCGGCTGGACCGCCACCGATGACGAGGACGTCGTATAATGTCATAATGGTAGTTGTTTTCAGCGGTACTGTCTAAAATGGAATACAAAGTATACTCTGGATGCGCCGGAGGAAAGTGGTAGAGCAAGAACAATGTCGATCTGATAGCGGTATTTATAGAAAAGGGGATCGGAGACTTAACCCTAAGAATGTCTCCGATTAGATGTTGCGACCTTCTTGGCTTTCTTCTAGACTTCACGCGCCCCTTCTTCCCATGCAAGAATCTACCAGTCATAGTCAAAGCTTGACTCATACCCTTGACTAGAAGATCGGTTTTGAGAATATTATCCAGCTATAGCCTATTCGGGGTGGATGGGATCACGGATTGGTTGGTCATTCGTCCACTTTTCGGGTGCCTGACTGAGGACCCTTGGGACGAATTTTTTTGGATGTAATAATGGTCGCTATCAATCAATAAATGTGTTTATCTTATGAGTCTTGACGTCATTGAGAGTTTTGTCATCGTACAAAGGCTAGAGTTGACTTATTAAGAAAGTTATTAGTAAGGAGGAGGCCATAGTTAAAGCTTATATTATGTCAGGTACATCATACATGGTATCCTGAATATATGGAGCAATGCGAGCTCAATTAGGGCTATGGAAGTTATGGGTGTTTGTAATCACACATTACCAGAGAAGATTCAGGTAGACCCTGAGGATGTACAGATGCTATCCCGATCCCTGGCGAGGCTCAAGCGGCCCGAAGGGGTGGGTGGATAGTTACCGATTGGGCAACACAGCCCGTTGCAACGAGTCGCTGGATCGCCCTGTTACTCAGTAAATAAAATGACTACCAATTGTAGGTTAATAAGTAGGGTTGGGATCGCTATTGAAATTTGCGTGACGCTCCGCCGGAGCTACGATGGGTGTACAGACTAATATATAGATAAAAATCTTCTGGGATGTGATCATGTATTTGTTTGGTTTAAACAAAATTCCTGTCATTGAGACACTGGGGTGTTCTTAGTCATATTCTATGGAAGGAGACCAAGAGAGTGTTGGAATACTGGTAGGAAGTATGTATTGTTGCTATGCCAGTGAACAGAGGGAATGAATGAGAAGAAAACCCTGTACTGCACAATAGAATTAGGACGTAGTGTTATATAAAGAATTCTAGAGTATAGTCTCCATGGACAATCAAAAATTAAGTGGTAGTTAGTTCCTGGCCTAGTTATATTTTCAGGTGCCCTGTTTCTTGTTTATGGGGTTATTTTTGGAGCCAAAGTCTTAAAAGGTTAGGTAATACAGAGAAAATACTATAACTATGAAATAGGACCATATCTTTAATAAGAATTTCTCAGTCTACTATTTACTGATATGTTCTTATCGAAGTTACTGTTTGGAATGAACAACCACGTATGGTAGAAATTTAGAAGCAATATTGACTATATCACCACATTGCTTTTTGAAAAAGGAAGTGAATGACCTGACCTCAGCCAGGGACTCACCAGCCTAGACGCCATTTTTATTCGCTTCTACTCCCTTTCTTCTTCCTCCCTCTCTCCTATCCTCAACCTGCATCCCAAGACTATCCTGGTATACTCTTGTGCTCCTATCAAGCTCAAACTGCTATGTCTGCCTGTATTAGTAACCTCCCTCTTCTTCCACCCACTGCATTGCTACCTAAGCTCTTGGAGTATCTGGTAAACTCCTATCTTATATACTGAGCCCACTGCATTCTATGTTATCAACAATGCCAACATCCAAGCCGGCCGAGGCATTCAACCAGACCAGAGCTGGGCAGGCGAAGAAGCTGGAAAGTTTTGTGAAGGAGCTCAAGGCGGTTTTTGGCCAAGCGCTACCAAGGCATGGCAGCTATAAGAATGTTACAGTTATTGCCTTTCACTGGGACAACAATCAAATGAGAGTTACTCGACTAGAGGTTGAGTTGCTGGATATCTTCAAGCGTAATCATAAGTATTCCACATAGAGTTACCCCATCAACTCTTCTTCTCCAGCTATGGATGTAAGTCTGAAAGTCAGAGCTCACCATTTTGGGTCGATTGGTACGTATTAGAGGAGGTATAATATAGAAACGCAGTAAAATTAGGTATCATAAAAACTAGATGGAAACTTCCGAGAGGCGTCGGGGACTGGGTTTGTTTGATAAATGACCATTCAATATGCTATGAGCGCGGAGGATGTGAAAGTCTCCGACTTGCCCTTGCTAAGGCGGCTGCGAATGTCTCCGACCAGCCAACTCTAACCCATGAATGCTCTTAATGTTTGGCAGGGTTGTTGAAGGATGCGAGGCAGTGAGGGAACTGAAGCACTTAGACAAGAAGTAGAGGGTTAGTATAGTTTATGTTGGATGCCAATGTCAATATGTTATTGCTAACTTTTCGCAGCATGCGTGGATCGTATTGGTGGTGCGCAAGCGTGACATTAACAAGCGTATGCTGGTAAAGGAACCCTCGAAAAATGCCGGTGACCGCAAAGGATGATACAATTATGCAGAGTATTCGATATATTATCTTTCTTTACGTACTATGTATGAATGGGTAGTCTATGTATGTTTTGGTTTTGTTGACACTAGATATTGATTTATACAGATCTAGAATCCAGGTGACCTCCCCCTAACTCTCACACACTACAGCGCCAAGACACTGGGTTTTTGAGGGGCGATAAAGAATTGAAAATGAGGTGATTAGCCCGGGAGAGGCACATACTGGTTATAGATCAAGGCGTACTAGAACTAAGAATAGAATCAAACAGAAGGCTCCGAAAGACCTCAGCCGACCTATCACCACCGAGGGGGCCTCGGGAGTACAAGGGTAGCAGATGGTACATCAGAAAATGAAGTAAAAAGAGCAAGGACAACAAGATTCAATCGAAAGCCAGAAACACACAGCCTTACACAGCCTAGACAGTCTCCTGAACAGGCACGAAGTCTAAACTTTCGCCAAAAGGGGGGAAATACAGCTCCAGGATTGAAAATGTATGCCAATATACAAGTAGGAGATGTTGGATATAGCAGCACAGGAGCAGCTACCATGTTTTTGGAGAAGGTAGCCCTAGAATAGAGGCTTCGGTGTAATACCCTACTCTCGAGTCCCCAGTCGTGACCTGCCAAAAAATCACCATAAAGACCACAAATAATATACCTTCCTTTCCCCTAAACTACTTGCAGCTTAGCTAGTGCCTCTTTGGGAGTTAGTTATTTGATCACGGAGACTTTGGTATATCATGCGGAGACTTCACTGCATCCTTGTCAAACGCTGTTCTAGTTTCTTTCATCCGCCCCCCCCCTTCAATTCATGGTCGGCTTCCCCTTCATATCTCACCCATAAACCCTGAACGGCTTGAGAGCCGTCAACACCTTAGTAGGCTGCTTCACAATTTAGTCCTCTTTTAGCTCCAAGGTTTCGAGAAATGCGCAAGAACAACATATCCAACAATGTTCCACCGAAGGAAATGCAGATATCCGAGTCCCCTAAATCTGGGAATGAACAGAGAGCTGGCGATGAGGGTGTTTTATCTGCAAACGGCCCAAGGAATCCCCCTTCTATGTTCCCGCTTACCTTGATCATCGTTTCGTGGTGCTCCAGCGAAAGCTCCTCAGACTTCCCATTGACTCCGGGCTTTGTCTATCGGTCTTTTGCCAGGCCCTCGATACCAGCATTATTGCTACGGCGATCCCACGTGTCACGGATGAGTTTAACTCCCTGGGGGATGTAGGCTGGTACGGGTCCGCCTATCTGATGGCCAATTGTGCCTCTTTGCTTCATATGGAAAGCTTTACAACCTTTTCCCAGCCTAATGGGTCTTCTAGGGAGCATTAGGGATCTTCGAATTAGGAAGTCTAGTTTATGGTGCAACTCCATCATCGGTAGGCCTTGATCATCGGAAGAGCCCCCCAGGGTATTGGCGCAGGGGACATCCTGTATGGCGGAACCCTGATTTTCGCCACTACTGTGCCGTTGAGACGACGTCCGATGTTTCAAGGCACACTAGGAGCTATGTATGCCCTGCCTAGTGTCGTCGGGCCTCTGTGAGTGGATGCCCAGTTATAGATCGATCAAGCAAGCGTAACTGCTGACTTTATTCGCTCGAAAAATGGGAGGCACCATTGCAGGTGCGAGACTTGCCAGTGTATAGCCCTAGATATCTTCAAGAATACTCACTAACAACATTTAATATATGTTATGTGGCGCTTCTGCTTCTACTTCTACTTACTTCTTGGATTTTTCTCCGCCATTGTGATTGTTATGTTTGCACGCAAATTGGAGTCACCTCCGGGAGCCTTGTCCTCAGCCAAAGAGAAGGCAAAAAGGCTAGATCCCGTTAGCCTTGTCATCTTCATGTCTATGATCATATGTCTACTTCTAGCCGTCCAGTGAGGCACGGCCTATCCATGGAATAAGACTCGGAGGTGGCTGCCACGGGCTGTTAGACGTGGGCGTGTCTTCTAGCTACTATTCTGGCAAGCGTGGTATGCTCCTTTCCTTTCACCCTTGTTATCAATACTAGCTACTAGGGGTTCTTGAAACCTACGCTAATGAAGGTGCTACCTCGCACAGGGAAGCGGCCTAATGTCAACCTTCACTCCAGACTGTCAGATCGGACATTAACAATGTTAATAAGACGGAGCTCGTGATTCCAGAATTGGTGGAATTGGTAGTGTTTGAAGCGCGAAGAGAGGAAAGTGTTATGAACGGGCTATGTAAAGACCACAAGGCACAATTATATCAAGCACTGAAGGTCTTCATCCCCTAAGATCACTTCAATTTGTTCAACAACGTACCAAAGGCAGGTTCCTTGGTGTGTCCGCTGGGCGACCTTATCTTTTTGCAATCGCGTCTCCAATGGGATCAGGGGAGAGGAGCTCGAAGGAACCATTAGCACGTGTGAGGTTCGGTATCCGGAATTTTGTCTTCTCAAATCTATATCCATCTGACTATGCCGCGGAAGAGGATTATCTCAATGTCCCTCTCCACTCCCTGGACTACGGCTTGACCCTGTCCTAGTGCTCCACTGAGGGGGCGGCATATCGCGCCCCTGAGACGGTCAAGTGATGCTGGAGTTCATGGTAATATATATGAAAGGTTGGGGTTCTCCGGCGGGAACACGAGAGAACAAGTTTTGGATATAGTATCCGCAGTACTACAGTCGACTCCGCGATATCAAGTCAGTAATTGGACTGGAAAAAAGGCCTTTAGATAGACAGGCTATACTGCTAGTGCGAATTGGCCTTACTGAGTTTAATTCAACTAATATGGTTTGCTATACTTAACCAGAAGGTATCGGCTATACAGGAGCACACAAATGTATTATCATTTATACACTTTTTGCTTTTATTCACATATATACTGTCTATCCTCCATATGGACGTACAAAACATCAATCATTAAAACGTGACCAGCACAGCATCCAGGCGTCTAAACAATCACCTTGTGGGTAGCAGGAGCCTCCTCCTTCTCGCCGAAGATGTTAATGTCCCAGCGAGGCTTGTTGGCAGTGTAAGGAACGTTGTAGCGGCGCTCGTTACCCAGGGCAGTGATCTTGGCGCTCTCCTCGGGAGTGAGCTCAACCTCCTGGAAGTTCTCAACGATACGAGAGGCGGTGACGGACTTGGGGATGACGCTGTGGCCGCCGAGCTGGGACCAGGCAAGGATGACCTGGGCGGGGGTAACGGGCTTGCCGAGACGCTTGGAGACCTCATCGGCGACCTCCTTGACCTCGGGGCGGGTGACGAGGAGGGGCTCGCCGATCATGTTGTTGCCGAAGGCCGAGTAAGCGGTAACGTGGATGTTCTTCTCCTGGCAGTACTTGATCAGGGCGGGGCTCTGGAGGAGAGGGTGGCGCTCGATCTGGTTGGCGGCGGGGACAACGCCGGTAGCCTTGATGATGGCCTCGAGCTGTGGGGGAAAACGTTAATATACTGGCCGTTTGTGATGGTCGGTGTTGATTTGTGACTTACGTGCTCCACCTTGTGGTTGGAGACACCCACGGCGCGGGCCTTGGACTTAGGGAGCTTAGTCATGGCCTTCCAGGTGTCGACGATGGAGATGCTGTCGTCGATGATGACATCACCGCCCTCGACGGAGCTGTTCTCGATGAGAGGGAAGAGTTCGCTGCCGGTCTTGAAGGCAACGGGCCAGTGGACGAGGTAGAGCTATTGTTCTATGAGTGCGAGCTCAACGGAGTGATATCTAGGTAGGGACATACGTCGAGATATTCGAGCTCAAGCTCGGCAAGGCACTCGTCAAGAGCCTTCTCAACAACGTCGGGGTGATGCTGGCTGTTCCAGAGCTTGGAGGTCTGTAGTCATAGTTAGTGATCTGGTTGATTGTATAATGTTCGATGTTTTGGACACATACAATGAAGAGGTCCTCACGCTTGAGGCCGGGGACATCCTGGTAGGCCCTCTTGATACCGGCGGCAACTTCCTTCTGGTTTTGGTAGCTGTTTTTTTTTTTTTCCCGGTGTTAGTGTCGAGTGGTCGAGGGAGTTCGAACTCCAATGGCAACTTACATGGTAGCCAGATCCAGGTGACGGTAACCAGCCTTCAGAGCCTGGTAAACGGCCTCACCGACCTGACCGGGGGCAGACTGCCAGGTACCAAACCCCAGTTGACTATAGGGAAAGTCAGTTTCTTTCATCCATGGGACTCTCTATTAGGTTTTATGGAAACATACGGGATCTGAGCACCGGAGTTGAGGGTAACCTTCTTGCCGAGAGACATGATGACGGTGGTATATGAGGATGTAGGTGAAGTCAAGACGAGTGAAGAGAATGAAGTCAGAGAGGAATGAGGAGGGAAAACGAGAGAAGAGGAGAGGGAAACGACCAGAATAAGTAAGTTGTTTGGAGCTCTTGGTTTCGAAACTCCGGTGGGGGTGAAAAACAGTGGAAGTATCGGAAAAATACCAGAACAAAATTATCCGCAATTAGCCAGTCTTGTTTACCCCACCAGAACCATTGCTACCCCTCGGTGGGGTAAGGTACGGTACCTTCGGGTAGTTGGAGCCACCACCTGCACTGTATGTAACCTTTCTACAGTACACCTAATATATTCCGCGTTATTAATTATATATCTAGATATGACTGAGTACCTTGCGACAACTTCATGTACCCCATGTCATAAGTATGTATGTACCAGTATGTATGTACGTACCCACAACGCATACATTTGTACATTGAATATGTGGCATGGTAGGGGCACATGACGTCAAGCGGCAGACACTCCTCCGAGACAGCGATATTGAAGATATTCTTACCAAATTAATTTAAGTTAATTTCCCCTTTCTTTGGTTTTCTGGTTCTTAAGGCTTCCATGAAAGCTTTTGTCTCTCTGGTCGGGAACCCGAAAGAGTAAATGGGTCCAATAAATCCTAATGCCGACTTTCACAGTAGAGATGCCGGTCACGGGAGGGGGGTACATTTATAAAACCCCCACGTTCTTCAATTCTCTTTCAACCCCCCGCTCTCATTCCGGGTCCATTGGATTGGCTGAGTTCAATCTCTCCCCACCAATCATCTCTGGGAAAGACCAATGATGAATTATCGATGTTCCGCTTCTACTACTGTAATGGGCAAGGTTGCGTGTTTAGATCTACTCACAGCTGCGGCGAGAAGCTCATCTTTTAACTCAGTGGAAGATCATATCTACGAGTCGTGACGCATTTGAGCTACTTTGTCAATCGAACTGGATATACACGCGCTTGAAGATTGAAGAGCACTCCTGCTATGATGGCGGATAGTTGCTGCGACTCTATGCATCCAGGGGAGGAGTATCCGCAAAACAAGACACCATAAAGGTATCTGGAAGTCTCGAACCAACAACCTACAAAGCCTGGGAAATTGCCTTCTCCTCCGGCGTCACGGTGATTTCTAGACTGCCCAAAGTCTCCGCCACTCGGTGCGCCTTAGTCGTACTGGGCATAACGAAGAAGTCACCCTCCTGCGAAAGGATCCAAGCAAGGGTCGACTGCGCAGCAGTAACACCCTTCGACCTAGCAATCTCACCAATCTTATCCAAAATGCTCAGATTCGTCTGGAAATTGTCATCGCTGAACCACGGCACGCTACCGCGTATATCACCAGGTTTAGTAAAGTCGTCCTTCGACTGGAACGTACCACTAAGCAACCTATTACCCAAAGGGCTGTACGAAATGACAGCAACACCGAGCTCCTGTGCTGTGTCAAGTAGTTGATGCTTTGGGGGCTCGATATTGAGACAGAATGGGTTATATTCCATCTGTATACAGGAAATGGGGTGCACGGCATGAGCGCGCCACAAGGACCAGGCGCTACACTCTTTTAATCCGATATACTTGATTTCGCCTTCCTCCTTCAGCTGGACCGTAGCTTCGATCGTTTGCTTGCTTGGGGTCACTTGGGCAAGGCGGTGGATGTAGTATAGGTCGACGTAAGGCAGACCAAGACGCGTCAGCGATCTTTCAATTCTCGGGGGTCGAGCTGATAACAGGCTTGTCCAAGTTAGAGGGGTTATCGAACTTTGTTGCGAGAAAGATGTCCTTTCGCTTCTCGGGGTTTGCGGCAAACCATTACCATTCGCCGAGGCGGTCCTCTGAGTCGCCATGTATGTCCGCTAGGAAAGCAATTATCTGTTGGTATACTCATACACTTGCTCCCACCAGACCGAGACCCACGGGGCGGACTTGGGGTCCATTCTTTCCCAAAGGTGTAGTAACGGTTTGCTGGTGTTCTTGGATTAACCTGCAGAATGGATGCTTGCTAGATAAGATTAAGGAAGAATTCTGTACGAGCAGCTGCCATTCTAAGGGCAAACAAGCGTATTTATACGAGAGAGTGGCTCTGTCTAAGTCTGACTTTGTCGATGTGGTTCTTTCAGCGTCGTTGCGAATTTGAAGGCGTACGGAAATAGATTAAATTCGGCCGAACTTCCTCTCCAGACCGCCAGCGGAACTGTGTGAGTCGTCCGGGCCATCCACAATCTCCCACAACATGAACGCCTTGTGTAATAATTGCCGATAGGGGCTTTTCTTCCTTGGGGAGCTTCTACCTAGACCTCCGGTGAGGGTCATCTTGTGAACTGTTTATAGTATGAATGCATAACGATTCTAATCACCTAGTGGCCTCCCACGACAACCCTATCTATATTATTGCAACCCTTCGATAGCAGCTGTACAGGAGTTTATCTCGAAGTTACAGCAGGCATGCCATTGTGTCCGAAGCATGCGTCACTAGAATATATTTCAATTCAATAGTTAGTTACCAGATCCAGACATAGGAATATGAGCATTTATTCCTTGTTATCTTGGGAATCTTTGCCTCTAAGTAACTTATCAAATCCTGCGAACGGTACTGTGAAGGTCCAAGTCCTTCCCTTTATAAGCCCTGATGAATAACTTAATAGAGTTAAGAAAATACAGTATTCAATAAAGCACAATCACTAGAGAGTTTTATTCCTTCCATAAATACTCCTATATCCCCTCTCCCGTCCATTTAAGTCCTCAATCCCACCTTGAACAGATAGGCATCATAAACAACCATATGATCCTCAAACAGAACAAGCCTAAGCCATACAAGACCAATATCCCTACAACCTACTACACAAGCAATTCCTCTGCCTCAAGAGCTTGTCTGACACTTACTGTGCATCAGTTATGTCTGTATCTATTACCTGGGTATGTACTTCTTCCATGAAAGCACGGACTTGGTTATCCGTTTTTTTTTATGGGTCTTCGATCGGAATGATTGTCGGCCCACAGCGCGAGGTGGATTGGACTATATCGACTGGGCCTCCCTTGGATGCTATGCGACTCTGCGACAATTCTCACATGTTCGAAGGCCGCTAGTGATACTACGCCTATACGTGGAACTCCTAAATCATCAGATATTGATGAACATACAGAGAGCGTGAAAAGTTATGTTTGTATTATCTATTCAGTAGCTAGTTACTGATGGGCTATAGCGCATCGCCAACTGCGCTGCTCTTCTGTGCAACACCTAGACAAGCATCGTGACACCGAACCATTCAGTATACCACGAAAATATACGAGGTCATACAAACCTCGATGAACCCAGCACGGAGGACACTTGGGCTTTCGGTATGTGTCCATTTTACGATGAGATTAAATTAGATCATGCTGACGATCATAGTATCTGAACATTCGTGCTACAAATATCAAAGCATGTGACCGCTACGCCCAAAGATCAGAGCAAGGCAAAGGGGCCTGCAATCCTATTTAAAATTGGGTATTCAGCCAGCGACATCTAATGGACCAATCTGGGCCAATATCTATGGTGAGTTCTAGGTATGCGTAGAGTTGCAGATGCCCCTAAGGGTGGAGACTCTCTAGGGATGGGTGCTTTTGTGATGCCTTTAATAGTGATTCGTGGTGCTGTTTATGCACCGCGATGTGGTCATACAGTTTATCTATACACATATTCGACGACGACTTGAGGCGTGGTCTGCTTCGAATCCCGCTGCGGTGACAGCGGATTGGCTGTCATGTCTCTATCCGGGGAGGCTAAAATATGGCTGGCTTGCTACTTCCCAGCCTATGGCATATTAGACTGCTTGTTGTCAAATCTATCGAGACGATTAGTGCAGCGAGTCTATTCTGCCATCTGAGGTTATGAGCCCTGACATTGTGGAGAAAGTCGCCAAGAAATGTGCTAGTTGTTCATGCTCTACACAGTAAGCCACTTTCTTGCGCGGATTGGGAGAGTTTTCATGATATCAACATGTGTAAAACCATGCGTTGGATAGCTCGCGCCCCTGAGACCAAGGCGTTAGCTGCGTTGACACCCCAGGGGGAGCTGCCCCCGTTCGTCGGCTTCTACGCCCTACAAACTATCCTGACCCTCATCTCGCTTGCTCGCTATACGGGTGATCCCGTGGGCCTCAGGTCCGGTTCCCTCTCGGAGAGCGTTGTCTGAATCGACAAATTGGACGTAGCGATACGCCACTATATGCTAGCCTGGGCACCCCGGTCGACGTCCTAGTCATACTAACTTTATCAGAAGTTATGAATTATACAGAGCATATACTATATAACAACTGGTTGGCTTCAAACTGCACTTTTGAAGCTATGCAGACCTGTCTCACTGGCCTTCTGTTCTGTTTAATTTGTGGCCACACTATACCGATCGTGCACCACCAAATCCATCAATTCCGAATGAACGTATTCCAACCCTTCTAAGGAATCCACAATGAGCGCTAAATTCTTCACCCGCATCCCCAAGGATCGCAGTGCTTGGAACCGTGCAGCAAATGCACCTAGAGTCAAAGACCCTTCAAAGCTGCCAGGACAGGGCTTCTAAATCTCCGATACGAAACAGATTTCCAAGTACAGTTGCAAGGACCAGACAGCGACAGGGTCCATATCTCTGGAACGCCGGATTACATGGTTTGCTAAAACCATAGACCCAGCTCCTAGCTGTTCATTAGCATATCGGTAATGAAATCCCGGTCTCAACTATTGTAGGCCACTAAGGAGTTGTTACATCCCTATTCTCGAATCGGCCAGAGATACCCTGGCGTAATCCAGATACTTCAGCTCCGAATGGCGAGATCTGTATCTCATCGTCACTAACATCTACGGTCCTACATCAGTATTCCGCTGCAGCGCCACTTGGGTACATCACGGCACAACAGTTATTCTATGGCAGTTTCCATCTGCTCCGAAGATTTGGCTTTGGGTTCAATTACAGGATACATAGCTACCGATAAATTTGTCTTGTGAGCCCTCTTGTCGGTACCCAAGTTGAGAAAATCCTTGGATTACCAATACGTCTCCAACAATTATCATTGCTTCACTGGTTCTTGCTATGACTTCGTGAAGCATATGTGAATTATTCCCGTCCCAACCACCGCATATCCTCGCACTAGGCTCTAATGTCCACGCGGCTAAGCCTCTGGCTTCCCTGACCGTTATGAATCATGTGGTGTTGGTCCTGGGACTTACCAATTGTTCTTACCAGCTGTTCACTTCCAGCTTAACTAAAGAGTTCTAAACACAATGCGTGGATTGCCCATTGAAAGAAGAACTTCGAATTATTGTCGTCACTCTCGTTTCGGTGTCCGCAATTGGTTCACGGACATATGTCATAAGCTGTCGGCCGAAATTTGCACCCTTGTTTCGCTTCCGCATCCAACTCCCAAAGATCGCACATCCCCCCGAAAGCATCGTCGCTCCAGCGGCGTTTTTGAGACTCCCGCTAAGAAGCGCCGATAGATGCGAACGGGTTCCTGGTCCGCGTCTTAGACGACGCCCGCGCTTGGCTCGCTATCCTCTAGTCAATCGTATGGCTAATTTCCTACACTCTCCTCCAGTTATGTCCTCCACCCCCCTTCAATTATGTACTTGTCCTCGACTATACCATGTCTTCCAATAAGCTCAGAAATACCAGCACGAAGGAAAGCTCAGTTAGTAACCTGGTTGATGTGTTATGTTAGATAGGTGGCCCGCAGTTTTCAACGCCCGGGTTCAGAAGCTCTCCAGTCTTGTGCTTGCGACCCTAAACAAAACCCCCATGAGCGCGCGTCTCCCCACGATAAAAGGGATTTTTAATAAAGACAGGAAGACCCTTGAAGAAACTCTCGCTGAGTACTTTATTCAACCTGAGCATACCCTTGATGAGGGTAGTGAGTGTGATAAGGACAATCCCTCGGAAATTTCAGCCGTAACCCACCCCAAGGAAGATATTAACCCAGATATCTCTGTGGCGCCCTAATATCCTTCCTGCCGGGTAGAGCGCAACAGCCATTCCACATCACGCCTGAACAGGATCTATCCCAGATGCCATTCTGTCCAAAGTGGACTCCGCCAACAGTAGACTTGGTCAGTGTGGCCACTTCCTGTGCCCGAGCGCCCACAAAGTCAACCCACAACCGGGCCAACGCCCACCAGCTGGTCATTATGCGGCCCAAAGTGAGACTACCATTCTCTGAGCTTGTGGACAATCAGCGGTTTACGGGGATCGGATCTCCCTTTGATCATTTGAATGGGTTACGTTGCTTTGCACGTTTTTTCACTTGGTCCAGGGAATGTGCGCACCCAGGATCAGTATGTCAAGACCGTGCACCTGGGTCCGCCCTTGATGTACTACGGCGAGCCGAGGTGGCCAAATGGCCAAAACAAGACTTCAATGTTTTACTAGACATTCTACAGCTTGCTTCACCGCTTACACTTCTTATTCTTTCTAGAGATTCGACAATCGTCTTATATACCGCCACCAAGCAGCCACTTTAGCAGCTAACAGTTAACTATTGATCCATTATATACCACAGCAAATAAAGCAACACCGGCCCTCTTATATTAATGCGCTGCTTATTCAGTCACGTGGAATGAACTTGGCTGAGCCTTGTACACGTTGCCGCACTGTACAGGGTAGATACCCATTTCCTGAATGTCACCAGGCGCCTTTGGCGGAGTATGTGCCAACTGCAAATGGCCTGATCGAGCCAGTCAGTGCTCCGTACGTGATGAGCTGTGGCAAGACATTGGACGGAGTCTACCAGCGCCAGCCAGGGACACTGCTAGAAGCTCCAATTAACTTGGATCCAGATGAAGGGGATGCCGGGAATCCAATCAACTTAGACCCAGAGGAGGGAGAGATGGTAGAGAACCAGATCATCCTTTGAAGTAATTTTTTTCGTACATTTTCCCATGTACCAGCACCAGCACCAGCATGTCCAACCATACGGACCCTGTGTATGGCACCTAAGCTTAGGACTAGTAGCCAGAAGGTGAAACTAAGCAAGCCACCTGAGATAGCTGACCTAGGTCGAATGGGTTAGTTAGTTAGTCGTTCAATTCTGCCGGCAATATAATTAGAAATCTAGTTTTGGCCATTTGACCACCTCGGTCCGCCGTACTACTCCAGGTCGAAGATATAGTGGGCAGCTGATTGACTGAATGTAGTGGACGTGCGCCGGCGACGGCCACAATCGTTTTGTTACCCATCCTGGGACCAGCACTCTCCAGCTGGAGAACTAGCTCCAGGAGGGCGAAGGCCCGGCCCTAATCTTGACAGGGGCAACAAAAAACCTCTTACGGCGCCTGGCCCGGGTGGCCGAGAGCCCACTGTGCTGGTGGGACTGTTTAGGCTTCTGGGATGCGGCCGCTGCAGCGACGAACACAACGATCGTGGAAGAGATGGCAGCAGGAGTGGGGCCAGAGTTAGGTTGGGGAATGTGTGTGTGGGGGTGGAAGGATGAGAGTGTGTTTGGGGCGGGGGTGGCAGGAATTCTTCCTCCAGCCGGCTAGGGACATCATCTTCACTAGCGACCTCAATTCCACACGACAATCGGCGCAAGTATTCAACAGAGAGCTACGCCATGAAGTCTGCTTTCTTGTCCATGGATTTGAATATGAAATTCCACCATAGACTACGCTGCTCGTGTGTTTCTATCACAAGAGTCACTCACTTCTCACGGCGTTTACAACCTCGAGTCATTTAGGAGACCCTGAACGATTACACTCATCGCGTCCTGATATACATGTGTGGCCCTGGAGCTACACAAGCTCCACCATGACTAATTGGTCATCCTATATGCCCAGAGTGTTTGTGAGCTCCGGTCATTAAAGCACATATTTTTGTTGGAACGTTTCCGCTAGATTACATTTTTGACCTTCTGACACCAGCATGGCAGATTGGTTCTCAATAACAATGGTTTCTGCTACTTGTGGCTATGAAGCATACCTTACTATCAATTAGAAACAGGCATTCGATCCAAAACATAGCATCACGCCATGTGAAATTAGAAGGTATCTATTTCTAATTCTCTCTCATTTGCATTCGCCGGAATCACGACACTTGTGTCTCCTTGGTTTAAATGGCAGCGTATACTTCCGACGAATGTCGACTAGATCCAACATCCAATATGCAGAAGCGGAAACTATCTCTCGAAAAGATGCTGTGGCGCATACAGATACACAATCCTCCATAATAGACCCTCCCAACCTGCAGCCACCGACTGCCAACTATGGATCCGCCTGGAGCAGACGCAGCACATTCCTCCAGGACGGGTACACTATACAATAACACCAATTAACGAGGCTAGAGCTTCTGACTTGCAGGTTCTTCGAGGTGCAGGCTATACTGGTCGCCATCAGAGACCAGAGCGTCCTATGGTGAGAGGGCGATTGTGTGAGTTCTGTACCCAGCACAGCACAGCAGAGGTTGTCCAGAGCTCATGGGCTGGACTCTCTGCTGCGTAACCCGGAAGAGGAGATGTTTGCGCTCTGGTCAGAGATGTAGGATAGTGCCGAGATGCAGACAACGACAACTACTACTTCCTACAACTTTCTACCCACTACATCTTGATTCTCATCTATCTTCAGATGTCACCGGTCTTCTTCTCTCGGGGTTCCTTCCCTATACTCTCACATTGTGTACATTGCTCATCATCTCCATTCTCTTAATTACAGATGGGCCATATCTCGCAGCGGTAATGATATAGCGGTCGAACAGCTGCAAAAGAAGTATATATCATTGAACAGAATGCTGAACTAGATAACCCAGAAAGTCGATCATTGACCGCGCACAGATGACAGTAGCGAATCAGGAGTCCAACCATCATCAGTCAAAAGTGGTTCCTTTCCGTCCCGTGCACGGCACAGCATATTCAGAAGACATTTTTCGACACCCCTACGTGCCTCGAGACTAAGATAGCCTAGAACATCGGTCATCTTCATCACGTAGTCGATCTTCGCCACTCCATCGGGGTGATACGCCACGAAATGGTGATGCAGAAATGCACGCAGACTATAGACGGAAGTGTTCCATACTTCTCGTGAAGCTGATAGAGCGACGTCCAACAATGCCATGTCATTATAGATATCAGGCGCGGGTGATACTGTTGATGCGGGTGAACGGGACATCGATTCTTGCATTGTGATGCAGATGGAGAATAAGCAGGTTAACCTGTCGTAGTCGGAGGCCAGGAAGCTAGTGTGATTAGAGGGGATTTTGTTTGCCAAATAGAAATTTGAGCGGAGGAGCAGGACAGCGTCATGTAGTGCTGGGTAGGATGCAAGGCCGTCTATATACAAGCGAGATGAGAACGCCATCAAGGTTCGCATGTCTTGGATAAAGGATATCAACCACAGACAGCGGACCTTTTGTGTGTCGACCGATGCTGCGATTGCTGCATTCTGGAAGGACTGTTCGGATATTTCTGAGAGGTTATTGGATGACTCGAACCACGATGGTCTTGACATTAAGGACACGCTAGTTGGTTATTAGCCATGACGTCACCACGGTAGAGGCTTTATCGGAGCTTACAGGTAGACAACAAGTTCTAGGCGCCAGTTATCGTGCAGTTTGTCAATACCTCCTCGTGCTTCAATCATTCTTTGAAGTCCAGTGCGGTGCACCATCCATTCCTCTTCTGTCCCCCAATATCTCTGCACAAAAGTCAGCTATGTGCCGCCTAGAATGAAGGCCAAGGCTGAGAAAGAATAGAAAAAGGGGTGGGGGGATAGCTTGCAAATGTAAGGTACGCACCTCAAAGGTCAGGAGCCGAAGAACAGCAGCAAATGCATCGTTACTCAGCGATTTCTCGGGGTCAGTCATCCAAGTGGTGAGTATGCGCACTGCCTCAGCTTTATATCTCAACGCATCGGTAGACTTTGTTCCCCTTACAGGGTTCATACCCGCATACAGGTGAGCTAGATGGGCAGCCGAGTGGGCCATGATGCCATAGAAGGATGCAGCGTTGGAGAGGTCTAGCGGGAACCAAACATCCTTCATCGGGTTAAAGCTCGGGATGGAGACATCCTCAAACATCATAGTCGCGTGGGTAATAAGCCCTGGCACTAGATTAGCTATTTCAAAAACTCAGAAGCTTCTCGAAATTGAACATACAATGATGAAGTAGCTTGTGCTGTTTACTCGTCAGCTGGACCGGAAACATCTCAAAGGGATCGAGCCTGGAAGACGCTAGGGCGTGGTTGAGTCCGGTCAAGGCTTGTGTTGGCACACCAAGCCCCTCGCCCGTGATATTCCCGTTACCATAGTTGGCCTGCCTGGTTTTAATACGAGTCGAACTGCGCTGGTGCAGCAGGTACACATCTTCAGTGTTATGATACTCGACTACTGATTCAGAAGCGCTGTCTGATTTGGTTTTACTGTCTCTGGGGCTTGCGCTCGTTTGAGGCAAAATCTTCCTTTGGGATCGGCGATCCTCAAATTTCTGCTTGCGACGTTGTCGTTGTCTCCAGTGTTCCCGCATCGCATGGCTGCGGGCTTCGGCCAGAGTGCCCTCGGTTACGAAGGCGAACCGAGAACCTCCATCCTCTACGCCCGAGGAGTGGGACGGCGACCGCCCAGTATTTGGCGGCGAAGTGTTCTCATTCCTTGGGCTCATAGTTCTGTATTGGGCAATGGCTTGCTAACTGAGTCATGTAGTGTGAATTTGTCGTTCTGCTGGATGTCAGTCGGCATAGCTCATGTCAGGAAAGACTAGAACTAGTCACCTAGGAATTTCACTCTGCAAAAGATAGATTTTCCAAAGCTATACATCCTAAGTCGGATCGTATCATTGAGCATTACAGGAGTACGAAGAATTCGCCATGACGCAAGGATTTAAAGCTGTTACGGACATATAGGACTGGCAGGGGTGGAACTCGGGATGCGGTTCTTTCCATTAGTCACGATCTACTGATCCACGGGCCGGAACATATCTCCTCCCCGAGGATCATTGGCCACGGCACGCCCGAGGTTCCAGTTTACGAAGGACTACCTCTAATTCACCGGCCGGTCGGTATTCCCGTCGTTACATTAAGCTGTGCCTTGGCTCACTTATACAGACCAATCGAACAGTCCGCGCTAATTGATCCAGTAAGATCCTTAATTCTTGGCATTCATGTAGAAATACTACCAACATTCCAGTAATTCAAGAACATACGGGTTTCTTCCATGTAGTACCGTTTCCCAAGAGTGGACGTAATATTCATAGCTGTGAGAAAAGACACGAGAAGTACGTAGTAGAATGACCATCATCCATGGCTACATCGCAAAGACTAAACCAATAGTCTAGATCAGGTCGCATGAGAAATACGGCACTGTGGCAAAAATGTTCCTTGACAGCCAATCGATCTTCGGGGGGATCCATGGGTTTTAGGGTCGCTTAGGAGCCCGTCGGAAAACTGTCGGCGGGAATGTTCGGCTATCTGGCTTTGTGATAGGTGGCCACAGGGGAGCTGGCGGCTCCACTCAGATAGGTTATGCCTCGGTCTGTGGCTTCGGTTTCCGACCGTAGACAATATAACTGAGAGAGCCATAGACCTGGGTGAGCCATTAATTTCTTTACGTATTGCTTCTATTACTTACACGGGGTGGTACTTATGAAAAATGAAAAGGACTACTAAGTCCATTGAACCATAGGTATAACGGATCAATACAGCACACACTTTTTGTCCGTTATATCCAGTGGTATCTTGGTTTGAGTGGAACCATGATACCATTTTGAAAAATCCCTTACATCGAGGGCTTCGTTTTATCCGGGTTTATTATTTGCACTATCTATATACCCCTGGGAGATAGCCTACAGTGACCCGTAAACTTGATGCGCATTCACTGTGCATATGTAATGTCCACACTAAGAATCAGTATTCAAATCTCAGCAAGCCGCCCTGCACTCCACCACTATAAGACATTATAATTCTCTGTAATTCTAGCATCGTCAATATATCCAGCGATAGACCTGACATGAGTTGCCCTCCCTAATTGGCTAGTGTGCTCACCGCCTCAGTCCTTAGCTCTGGGGTAGATAGCCTTATCTCAGATAGGCTTAATTCACGTTCTTCACGCCTTCATCATAATCCAACCTCAACATTGCCCCTCCGGAGAAATTAACACCCTCACCCCGTAAATCTTAAGAAGAGTGACGGACACAACTCAACCCCAAATCTCCCCCGCCGAAACCACCGTCCCCCAAGTATCACCCAGCTCCCTCAATACCACCACCTCCACCAACGTCTACGCCTCGGCACTGAAGGAGAGTCAGGATAGCCTGCTGGAGCTCAGACAATTGTATGTCTTTAGCTATTTGTAAGGGGCTTCCGCCACGGTATTGTGGATGAGCCGATTGTCCTGTAGGATCTGCGCCTGCATCGAGTAATAATTTGACAATATTCGGCCTGGCAGAGTGGATAGCACGGTGTAAAGGATCACGCCATTTGACAGAGGTTGTATTAGGATCGAGACCTCTGGCTAGAATATATCTAGTCATGAACTCTCCTTGGGGCACGCGCGGAGCCACGGCCTTGAAGAGGAGATCCGGTTCCAGCTTGGCCCCGTGCGCGAGAAGCAGCTCAATCAGAGATGTATCTTCTTCACTGGTGCTGCGCGGTTGAGGGGGGTGTTCACTCCTCTCGGGACGGAACGGTTAGGGTCAGGGCCTCGCGAGATTAATTCACGAGCACAGGCGGGATTGCTCATTTGCCTGTCATTTAGAGTCAGTCACGCTCCCCGGATCTTCAGCCAACAAGGTTGACACGTACACTAGGATAGGAATGCCGTTGCGGTAGCTCCCGTTGGCGTCAAAACCATGGTCGAGATACTGGCGAACAACACTCTCATGCTGCTGTACCCCTAGCCTTCCAGGGAGAGCCGCCACTGTCCAGTCCGACACGTGAGCGTCGGCGTCGAAGAGTGCGGCCACGAGATCAGAATGCGCGTCCTCGGTAGCGAGAGCAAGTCCCTCGTCCAGATCCTCGGCAGTTAGTCGCCCTCTGGCGAGGGCTTCCTGGGTTTTTGGCAGGTCACCGGCTTCGCACGCAAGGTGTAGGCCCCGACAAAAGAATCATAGTCGGGTGCCATGGTGCAGGTGGGATGGAGATTCGTGAGCTTCGAACACGAAATGGCGGAAGTGGAGAGGTGAGTAGTTACCACTACGTACAGTACAAGTAGTAATATCTCATACCCCAGGAAATTTCGCCTAATCCCGACCGCACCCCCCAAATATTGGTTTTATCTGGGCGGCCGCCCGCAGACAGACCCCCCAGAAAAGCTCTATATTCGATGATACCTTAAGTCTGCGAAACCTTGGCACTTATTGGCTCCGGTCACTGGTTGGTCGATTCAGGAAAAATGGTTCCATTACCCCTCATCACAATGCAACAAGGGGGTCAGCCCAGCATCCAGAAAGACTCCGAAGGTCTAAGCGATTCTTTCACATGGGTGAGAGGCAACCCAGTGTAAGTCGGCTTCGGTGAACTCCCTCTCGTTTATACCCTCTCTGGTGTACAAATGCAAGAACGCCTTGCGACGGAACATGCTAGTGAACTGGTTGCCGAACCCATTAGTGCGGTTCAATTGGGCTCGTCGACAACACATGCGCACCGGCTTCTGGCAATTAATACCCAGCTTGAATCCGGTAGGGCACCATTCAACCATATTGAAAGAAGAAAGCTCATCGCTCCGAACCCGTTATGCTCGTTCTTTGCCGCGTTTACTGCTTGGTCCATTGTATTGTCTGCCTGTCCTATCAGTTCAGCAAACAAGGTACAGTACAAAAACACCAAAGGCATGATCACTCACAAGTCGGCCAATGTATGGATTTTTGGATCCCGGACGCCCTTCCTCGCACCGGTCACGAGAACGCTCACCTCCTCTTTCAACCATCCCTCACACCTGGCGAAAAGCGCCATGGCGCTAGCCTCCAGCCCAGTTTCTGCTTGCAGGAGATTCCACACCTCAATTGTTTTCTGGCATGACACTGAGAGTAGATCAATGTACCTACAACTGAACATGGTTCCACAATCACCTACGTAATATTTTTCCTTAGGCCAGCCTCTAAAAGAGTGCGGTACTTCTTCTTCACGTGGGTGTCTTCAAACCCTGCTGCGCGGAGCCATTCAGCCAGACGTCGCCCTAGTCTAATGATGAATCCGGCCTTGATAAAACCTGAACAGATGACCGAATAGTATTACTCGACTGATGTTGTCCTTGGTTGAACCGTCCTCTGAATACGCATTGGCATCCCAGTCCTGAAACTCGGCCCGTCCTCCAGGCTTTTTATGTCTACCCAAGTTAGTGACGGGGCAGCATCAGGTAAGGGCAGAAAGCTCAACTTGTAAGCCTGGGCCATGGACCTATGAAAGCCCCCAACACCTCCAACCAGATGTCGACCATGGATAGAGTCAAATTGGTCCTCATAGAGCCACTCGTCCTCGAAGTCGCCGACGAGGTACCTGGTATTTGGAGAGGCACTACGACAGCTTAGGATCAGCCATTTTCATACAGGGAAGTGGTGTGCTCACAATTGCGGTTGAATCGGACTCAAATCCAAACCGATAACCTAGGGAGACGAGCATCAGCAAATAAGTAGTTACTCCGATTTAATGTCCTGCGAACCTCCGCTGATGGAAAGGCGTCGGCTAGATAAGCTAGAATGAGCACCGAATATGTATTAATACAAAGACCTCATCAAAAATCCATGACCCATGTTCCTGCTCCCGCTCAGAGATCTAGGACGCGTCTTGGCGCAGACTCGACTGGCGCTAGAAACAATTTACTATCCATCATCACCAGCAGCATTTCATGTATCATGTCAAGTCGATCGGCTTCCACTTCGTCATTGCGCCCAAGGTATTCTATCCACCTGTTAGTATATCTCGACTTCGCCATACTCAAAAGTAAGTTCTTACTGCCATCGCGATTGCCATGATAGCGTCTGCCATTTCCATATTGATATTCCAGTGTAGACGAGGAGAGAGAGGTCGAACATGCCTTAGTAGTCATTAACTTTCCCTATTGACAAAGATACACGCAGTGTGTCTCACAGTTCCTGCCCATATGAAGAGCTATTGTCTGTAGCCTATATCATTGGATTATTCCCGCCGGTCCAAAATTGTAGGAGCTCGACTAGCGCACTCACTTCCTCATCAACTTCAACTTCAGGAAGCTGAGTGTTATGGTCACTATCGGCTGGAATAGGCCAAGACATATTGATTGGCGACATGACCAAGTCAATGCTGTATCATTCAGTTTTCACTTGTGGGCATTGGCTTAATGGCTACTGACAGAAAATCAAGTCTCAGGGTTTGGCCATATAAATATGTGGGAACACATCCTGCCCGCCTCCTTGCCTTGCCAGCGACCTGTATCGAGGATACTATGAGGTGCGAAGTCCATCCTTCTCTCGATAATAGCAAGGAACCAAGGCGTTAGGAAGGGTGCGCTGGCGGGCCAGCGACGTACTAGGTCGACCTGGATAGCCACATGTGGACAAGGGTTCATCGGGATCTCAACAGCATTCGAACGTTCTTTGTTAACCGCCCAAGCACCCGTGGGCTGATCATTACGAACTCTAGGCCTACTAGATGAGGCGTTCCTTTGCTCGCCAATCGGAGGTCCCGGCAACTACCGGAATCGAGCCGGTAACGAACCTTCTTGTCTCAAACAAAGAAACCTTTCAATAGGTTGGTTGCTGTGTCTCAGACGGAACTTTCCGTTCTGGTTTGACAAGGCTAAGCATAAGCACTTAATCTTGACCCTTATCCCGTTTCCGACGTCGGACAACGGCTCAGTTCGACTAACCCCGTATGAAAAGTACGAGTCCCAAAAAGAAGCACTGTGTATTTTATATCTACTAGACGGTTCATTACCCCTCTCAGTGTGAAGTATGTGCCATAGATTCTCTTTTAACGGGATATACTAAAATCTATTTATACACACCGGTCATACATGCATACATATATACATACATACATATATATATATATGGGATTTCAAGATAAACACATTAAAGTAATAAAATTTCAGGAAACCACCGACAAGTCGTAACACGGACCATACAATCACATTTGAAGTATAAATTTCAGAAGTGGACATATCTCGATGGTCTCTGATCAGATCTAATTCTCAGGCACCTATGGATGAGTCTCTGGAAGTATGCGGTGGAGCTGCTGGTCCCTGACACGAGATATGGAATTACTCCGACACCCTATAGTGTTGTGGAATACTAAACCTCACCAACTGCAGGGGGAAAGAAGTCACTTAAATCTAGAAGACGGTGTCGTCCCTGGAATGTAGCCATTTTCCTATATTAAAACAAAATATAAAATATATAAAAAAAGCACAGCAACGGGATTATATAATGTACACATTAGTTCTAGATAGTTAGTACATACTTCAATAGCGGGTAACATGACTTGCATACTGAACTCTGTCTCAGCCATGACTGATCGATTTTTTTTTCCTCTCCCGTCCATGTTAATCTTGGCTCCGGACACGTCAATTGTCGCCGATCATATTCGGTCCTTTCTGCAAGTTTGCTGATTCCCAATAGAACTAAAGCGCCACACCAGCTTCGTCTTCAGCGGAAATAACCTGTCAAAAGGAAAAAAGCAGGTCTCTCAGTCATCCAACATCAAGGATATCCCCATTGGTTCCACCCCAGGTTGATGCCCCTAATCCCTAATGAAGAAAATGGCTCGTGCCACATACCAATGAGATGAAGTCTCCACTAGGGGCCGAGCCCTTGACGATTGGTTAGTGAATGTAACCGTGTGTTGCGATTCGCCCCCTACGTGAGGTCATCCACTTAGTATGGCCCCAATTAATTTGACTTTTTTTTTTTTTTTTTTTTACTCTTTTCTTTTTTCCTGTTCCTCTAGTCTTAGTCCGACCCGTAAGGCAGAACTGGCTTTTGCTTTGGGGTTGAGGCTCCGTTCCATCGATCCCACTCCAACAAAATGGCCGATAATACCTAGTTTAATGCACCGTTCACTCTTCACACGCCTCTTTCTCCCCTCGCCCTCCCTACCTACCCTCTCCCTTGCTCCGGCCTCTCACCCCGTGAGAGCGCTCAACCCCCCATGATGTCAAAGAGACGGTTATTTCGCTGGCCTGCGCCCCGAACAGTCTGCTTAGGATGTTTAGCGCTAGTCTTCACCACGTTGGTGACGCTGTTCCTATACATGGGACAGCCATTGGACATGCAACCTGGTATGTAGATCTCGATCCTGGGTATAACGATGCTCCCGTATAGACCGGAGGTATGCTACATTCCCAGTGAGATCGTGGCTAATGAATAAGTATCAGGCCCCGAGCCCGTGAACAACCAAGTCTTTCGTCAATTATCCGAAATCACGAACACCTACACCAATGCGAGCGAGATAGGACTAGTGTTGGCCGCCACGCAGACGGAGAATCTAGATTGGCTTCTCAGCTATTGCCGAGATCAGTACGTGATTCCTTTGTCCAGCATTTCTAAGACACGGGCAATAAATTAATTTAACCTTAAAATGTCCGCAGTGGGACAATCCCTTTTATCTACACCACAGACTCCATTCCCGCCCCTTACCTCCTCATCCCTCACACAACCCGCGGTCGCGAGTCTACCGCCTATCTATCCTACATCGTAGATTACTACGACCAGCTCCCGAAGTACTCGATCTTTATCCACTCCGGCGTCGACCAGTGGCACAACGACCTTTTCGGCCCACGTACCAGCTCCGCCCTACCTCATCTCCGGCTCGAAGCCGTCGACGCCCAGGGATACGTTAATCTCCGCTGCGAGCATAACCCGGGTTGCCCCACGAGCGTCAACCCGTGGGAACCGACGCAGATCGATATCGAAAAGGACGACATCCGCGCGTTCTTCCCGCAGGTCTATGAGACCTTGTTCAACGTCGGCTCGGAGAAGGTCCCCCAGCACATCGGCAATGTCTGCTGCGGGCAGTTCGCCGTGAGCCGTGAGCGGATCCTGGAGCGTCCGCGACAGGATTATGAGCGCATGTTGAAGTGGGCGGGGGAGACAGAGTTAACGGATAGTTTCGGTGTTGGGTGGGTGTTTGAGAAGGTGTGGCATATCATCTTTGGCATGGACGTGATATAGTAAGTTTCTGTCCTTGACGTTTCATGGTGTGGATTGATGTAGATGCTAACAGTAGTAGTTGTCCGCGTTACGAACAGTGCCGCTGCGACACATATGGATGGTGCGGTCCGTTACCATCGGGTGAAACGCTGCAGGCAGTGCGAGCCCCGGGGTCTAAGGGAAAATCGATCTGAGTGGAATGATTGTTAATGTTGATGTATAGTACCATGGATATACACTGGTTACGACGAGTTTAGCATGCAAATTGCACCTAATTGATGTTTTTTTCCGACGAAAATTCACATGGCTCTTAAGTGAGACTCAATTTAAAAGACGGAATTGGACCAGACTTTTTAAGGTTATCATATATTTAATCCGTCTTTTTACTGAGATTCAACACCGCTCTCAAAGTCAGGACTACTAATCAAGCATTCACTTGGAACAAAAGGTATCATCGTTATCATCATAAAACAAAGCAAATTAATCCATTATCCATGATGCATGGCCTGTTGATGCTTGCCACTAACCGGCCCAGCATCCAATTCGAACAACCCCTCTTGTCTCCTCCCGACTTCAGCCGGCGGCGCCTCATGCACGTTCTCACTGTCTAGCATAGGAACCTCCGACTCAGACGGCCTCCGCCTCGGCATCGCCCTCAAGAACAACGACGGGTCATCCGGATTGCTCAGAATTCTCGAAGACCGATCGCCAGGCAACAACGCCGTGGGGACCGTCTGCGGCGCCGGTGAAAGCGGCTTCCTCGGTATAGCGCTCACAGCCGCCTCAGTATCAGCAGGCGGGCTCGGGGGTTGACTTGACGGGGAACTATTCGAGACGGCGCTAGGACCTTTCTTCTCATCACCTCTCTCCACGTCTCTCCCCGCTGGCCCCGCGGCGCCAACTGCAGTGACGCCAGCGAGGGCAGCCTTCCGTCTCAGCTTCCGTTGCCGTCGCATACACAACCAAACGAGAACACCAACAATGATAACCCCAAGAATAACCCCAATAGCGATGCCCGCCTTCGCCCCGGAGCTAAGGCCCGACGACCCCTTCTCTGAACAAGAGAACGTGCCCGTAAACGCATGCTTATCGTCCTTCAGCTTGTTTAGACTCGAGCAGGAAAATGACCCGGAACTCTGAATCTGCGTCTCGCCATACACATTCTCCAAGTTCCCCATCGATATTCTAGTACCAACGCCCACAATCAGTACATCAACTCACCCCATTTTCTCTCGAAAACAATTAAAAAAAAAAAAAAAAAAGAGAGGAAGAGGAAAAGGAAACGAACCGATCAAACTCGCCCTTCAAAACCAAATTCCCATTCACCTTCTCCAACTCATCTAACCTCACCTCCCTCAACCCCTCATTCCCTTCAATGCTAATCCCACCTCCGGTACTCTGCAAATTCCCCAACGAAACACTATTCAGCCCTCCATTATCCTTGATCGTGATCGGCGACGAAACACTCTCCAAATTGCTCGCGGCGAACCCATTCAGACTCGACGTCCCCTCGATCGTCAACGGGCCCTTGATTTCCTCAACTTTGGATAGACTGATGGTTCCGCTGGCGGCGGAGGTGATGGTTACAGGGCCGTTGATGGTTTCGCAATCCTTGAAGGCGTCGGCATCGGTTTGGGAGGTTATTTTTATGTCACCGGAGCCTGGCGGGTTAGCTTTACCCTAATGGATTACAATCCCGATAGGGATTAATATAAAAGGGAAAGGGGAAAGGGGAAAGGGTATACGAACATGATGACGACGACGATCCAGTTAAGAGATTGTTCCCGGCCTGGAGGAGCGAGGAAATTGCTCGTAGATTGTGAGAGTTCATGGATCCGCGCGGTTCATTCAATTTTTGGATGTACTGTAAGTAAATAAATCAATGCGAGGGAAAAAAAAAATAAATAAATCCACGTAGCGACCAAAATAAAATCAAATTCAGAATCAAGATCAAAAGCAACGGAGAAACAACAACGGATATCCGCATGAATAAAAACAACGAACTTGTATTAAATAGAATAAGATAAAAAAAAATGAATAATGGGAAATGGAACTCGCCCAATCCAATCCTGTAATGCTACGCTACACTATGCTACGCTAAATACTTACCGTAATGCATAGGACTAATTTCTACATAACTTAAACGAATAAGTGGCTGAGCGGAGCAGGGGAACTGAACTCGACTCGCCCTAGGTAGCTAAAGTAGTACTTGACGTAGGTAGTAGACCGGAGTCCTCCGTGCAGGCGGATATCACCTCACCTCACCTTACTCCGTCTCCGTACCCTACCAGCTACTAGCTAGTATGTACTAGTAGTAGACTCGGTCTACAGCGGAAAATGGGAATCCAGTCTCCTTCCGACCAAGAACGTCACAATCATAGTCAATTACATCCCTCGGTCCAATTAGGATTTAGTTCTTAGTATAGTATCATGATACATTTCTCAAACCCTCCTGCTCAGTCTACCTGCGACTCCCCCCGAGAAAACCCCATCAGGCATTGACCTTCCACTGAAAACAAAGACTCAAGACCCCTTTAATCCGGGCTAAGTGCCATGCCAAGAAATAGGGCAATTGAACAAAAAACAAGCTAGACAAAAAAAAAAAAAAAAAAAGAGAGGGAGGTGAGAAACAAAACCACGGACACAGCCACGGAGATCTCCACTGACAGGACCCTTTTTTGGTTATTTATTGCTGGGCTCGGACCTTAGTGTGGGCTTGGCTTGGCTACTAGGACATGGGATGGGATTGGTGCTTCTTTGTGCAGATTATTTCCTCTCTGTGGGCCTGTACGGAGTATGTAGCAGGTATTGGTTGTTGGATGGGCAGGTAAGTAGGGACGGAGTACAGAGTCAACTTTTGACTTGACTTGACTCTGGATGCTGGCTATTTTTATCGGGAGGGTTATTGGCGAGGTTGTTAGAGCCTTGTGTTAGTATTGTACATACTATATAGGCAGCAGTGTTGTCTGATTGTGTTTAAACAAGGTTGGTGTTTGTGTTGTTGATTGGCGATCTTCATCTGGGATTCCATGGATATAAATATGGATGCCTGGGGATGAAGGAAAAACACGGCCAGGCAAAAACATTCTCCACAGAATTGAAATCGAAATCTATTTATATATCTCTAGGGCTTTCTATCATAATCATATGCGCCAAGACCCACCCCGCTCAGCGATTAGGCATTGAGACAAATCATATCATCATGACAACGACAAATAGAGGAAGAAAATGAAAAGAAAGGAAACAGTACTGTACAGCTTCGATTCGTCAGTCTCACGAATCCAATCCTTGCAACTCGCTCCACTGCTCTTCTAATTCGCGGATAATCCATCCCGTGCGCCAGCCCACGGAGCCTTCCACCTGTCTCAGGAATTGGAGCGATCCCCGCTTCTCGGCAGGATGGCGCAGGCAATGTCCATCTTGGTCGAAGACAGGTTAGCATTGGCTGCGACATTCCGATAAGAGGACTCACATCGATAGAGTAAGTGGCACGCCATGAAATATGCATTTTCAACCGTTTCATTCGACATGGATAGCCCAATCACTTGCACCACGTGTGACGCAATCGCTCTCTGCATATCGTGAGTATATGAAACTACCATCAATATAACCTCCGAAAGCACTAACCTCTTCGATCCGTCGGAGACGAGCACGCTCGTAGTTGCTCACTACCCCCCAATGGCGGTCCGATGTCGCCAGGAGAATCTGGCAGGTGTGATAGTACTGTAGTCCAACCACTACATATGCTAGTCAATGTATATTCCACCCATCTATAAGACCCAGGGACATACCGGCCGGAGGCGAAATTACCCACAATTCAGGAAACGGCTGATTCTCTGCAACATTGGCATCCTTATACTGCAACGGCTGCCAGCTGACGGGCCTGTCGCGATACCAGTGCTCCACAGTCCTACACAGATCATGCCAATCCTCCTCATCCACGGCTTCCACATGGCCGTCCGAGCAGCGCTGCAGAATCCGAGCACAGTAATAGATGATAACGTTAGCGTAGGCTGCATCGTCGCTCCGCTTGAAAACCGAGGACTGTTCATAATTCCTCAAATCAAGCTGCATCGGCTGATTCTGGACGATGGAGGCGTAGATGGCCTGCCGTAGGAACTGCCAGCTAGCGGCCTCCGTCAGCCCGCCAGACGATGCAGATCTAGACATGGTGTTCAGGAGCCGGTTGGAACCGAGGAAATGGCACTTTTCATCGGTCGCACTCTCGAGTTCCTCGTAGATCCGCAGGATCACTACAGATACGAGCAGGTTGTCATCGTATGTGTCCTCCGGCCGTGCGAGAGCAGCTATGAGCAGCTCGACACATTGGCTGTGGTATTCGGAGGCTTCCCAATCGTTCGCCCCGGACATGATCGCGTCGTGTCGGGCAGATAGGGCTAGCACCGCTTTTAGAACTATTGGCACATGGAGCGCTCTGCGTGGTACTTCCGTACTGAAATTCGACCCTGAGTCACAGATGTCTAACTATAATGTTCATCAGAATCTCCGATACCAAGATACGTCTGCAGGACCATGTTTTTTGTTTCGTACCCAAGGTGATATTTTGTTGATGTATGAGCGCAACAGGAATGCTTCCCGAGACGTCATCGTCGATGAGGAGGTCGACCGCGGTGTCGATGGGGTCACTGGTGAGGCCCACGTACTGGTGGATGCTAATGGAGAGGCTCTGTCATTGATCGCGCTGGGAGAGATTGCTGTGGCTTTGACCGAAAATTGTTCATCGAGCACCGAGGGAGTGGCGATGGAGGCTTCCGCCTGTGGAATAGTAGGGACCTCCTCGAGTGGATTCAGAGGCCCGGAGTAAGGTACGTGAGCTGAGAAGTGATTAGATATAGATGGATGAAGGCCGTCCGGCGGAAACGGGTGATCGCCCTGAGGATCTGGTGCAGCATCGCTTGTACTTCCGTCCGTGGACTCTTCCGCCGATTCCTGAACGAAGGTCACTGGCTAGCGTTAGGTATGGTTTGAAAACCAGATTGACGACCCCGGTGGCGAAGAACCACAGGGCATAAACAAAAGACATACAAGACCGAGGAACGTTCACCCATGTCTGCCTTGAATCCCACTCCAGTTCAAACTTCGAGGCAGCACCTTGGCTCTTCTGATAGACATGACGAACAGACTTGAAACGAAAGGGAGGATCGAGACGACAGGTACGGCCTAAGCGGGTGCAAGCGTTACAGGCGGAGGCTCCAGTCCGAGTGGTACACCGAATGTGACGAAGGCGACAGCGCTCACATCCCCTTCCGATCCTCATGGCAGTTTCCGGGGCAAGTAATGAGCGATGAACGCTGCGGGGAAGTGATCGGAACGGAGCACAAGCATGGGCGGACTCTTTTACTCGAAGTGATCAACCCAGCAGATCAGGCCACTGCAGGATTGATCAGTGAAGAAATAAAGAGATGTGTTCGGAGGACTTAACAGTAAATAGAAGGTTTCAGTCTGTTGGGGACGACCTTTAACACCCAAATTGAGGACAAAGCTTTCCCCGCATTTTAACATGGGGAAGTTCTTTTTCAGCGTGTGTCTGATTGGATGCTCCATACTATGGACCCCCACGGACTCCCATGGAGATTGATATCTTTCCCGACCCAGTAATTGGTCGCTCTGGTCTTACACGTGCTATGTAGAGTATATATACATTTTTATCCTTAATGATAAGGGGGCAAGGATATGTGGCCAATTTTTGCAACCGTTCTTTTTTTATAAGTATTGAGTATTGGTCACGTTAGGGTGGTCTACTCCAGATTCGGCCCGGTCACCTGCTGGCGTACACCGACGGCATTTGACTGTCAAATGCCGACACGCTGATCACTGGTCGTTGTGTCCAATCACCGGCCATACTAGTCGTTTAGATTGCCCAGGAATTGTGTCCTTTGGTGTGGCATAATAGCACAGTGTCATCATATTCATCAACTTCTATTTCCAGAGAACTTTAAATCAACTTCCATCAAACAAATGGTATAAACGTATGGGGAGGTCGTAGTATGTATATTGCGGAATCAGGCTTTTTTTCTTCTTGTTCTAAACACTGATAGTCTTGAACACACTGTGAAGCTTAGTTAGCATTCGAACGCTCTTCATCATTGTAGCAAAAGGATAATCATACCCAAATCCAGCACCGCCGGTGGCCATGATGGTACCCGGCATCTGGGCCTGCCAGTGCACCTCCTTGACCGATTCCATGTAATGCACGAACAGCAATTGGGGCGGAATGTCAGTCATGCCAGCTTCCCGGCTCTCTTCATCATCGAGTTCAACAGCCAGATCCCACAGAGTCACAGTGTTATCGGCCGAACCAACAGCCACCACACTGTCATCCGTAGGATGCCATTCAATACTGGTGACAGGTTCCTTATGGAAGTCAAAAGCAGCAACCGGCGAAGCCGTGATCTGGGAGGACGGCGCCGAGGCATTCGGCTTCCAGTGCCTCAGATCCCAGACGGCCCACTGGCCATCGTCAGCTCCTGTAGCGAGAAGGTGGAAGGTCTGGTTCGACCATGTCATGACATTGACGTCTGTGTTCGAAACCTTGACATCCACAGCGGGCTTACGGGACTTGGATCGGACATCCCAAACCTTCACACTACCATCACTGCTGGCGGATGCAAAGACATTCCGCTCATTAGGGGACCATTGCAATTCCTCTACCGATGAGGTGTGCCCCAGGAAGGGCCGTGTATCGGTAACCCAACCGCCTCCTTCAGTGCGCGTCGTAACGTAGATCAAACCATCGTTGTCACCGGTCAACAATTTTCCGAGAGGTTGGAGGGGAGACCAATCCAAGGCATAGCCTTCCGACTTGTGCATGCGAAGGGTCGAAAGAGGCTTCGAAGCGGAAGGAGGGAGGACGGTACCGGGAACGTCGAAACTGGTAAGGTGGGGCGTAACGTCGTGGATGACCACCTGTGAGTTCTCCAGCATGGTAGCGGTAAGTGTCTGGGGAGGCTTGGAATAATCCCCGGATGACGAGGGGGTTTGATGGGAACGGATCCGGTTGGTTGTCGATCCCAGAGGGATGCTCCTGTGCTCGAGAATTGGTTCTCCCATGTCGTCATCTGAGTCCGAGTCGCTTTCCGAGTCTGTATCATTTTCCTTTTCCATCTTGCTCAAGCCGCTCATCTTCAGGACCATAAGCTCATTTTCCTTAGCACGACGTCCCTCTGCTTGTGTACCAGTGACGGCGTAGACGGTCGCGGGATAGGTTTTGCGGTTATCGCCCAGGTTGTCGCGGACAATGTCGAAAGAGAGGCAGGGCCACGGGGTACTGAGGGTGTGCAGCATATCATACGTAGAAGGATCTGGCGAGAGAACCTCTCCGGGGGCGAGTTTCGTTCTTCCAGGAATAAAAGTCTGTTTGTCCACCTCCATCGCCTCTGTCGGTCACGGTCGCAATCAGCACTGAGCTAGCAAATTCAAGAAACATAAAATGCTTACCCTTTTCTTCCTCTTCCCGCTCAGCATCGGGACGTCCATCCACACCCGCCTCAAGGATTTCATCTTCGCTCTCGAATTCGTCCTCGAACTCGTCTTCGAACTCCCCCACCTCATCTGGAGGGGCGTCGGCCATCGGGCGGTCTCCGGCCTTGAGAGCGGCAGATTGCTCGTCGGAAACGTCGGCGGCTCTCTTAGACATGGTGTAAGAATTTCCTTTTTTTATGAAAATTAGGTAGGAGCTGTCGACGAGCCAGTCGTGCGGCAGAACGAGCTTGCAGTGATGGAAAATGACTGATTAGGGTTTCAAGAACTTTTTTTTTTTTCCCTACGAAGCACGGCGCGCAACCGCGCTAAACCTATCGCGGCCTAGCGGCGATCGGGCTGTTGACGCTCTTTCTGGAGCTGCGGCTGTGTTGACCCTCAGGCACTCCCACAGGGGCTGTGGAAAGCTTTGTCCAACAACCCTCCCAGTTGAAACACATCTAATCGATATGGATCCGTCACATTTGTTAGACGCCAGCACATCTCATAGGGTGGATCCGAACGAGCAGGATCCCCATGTACCAGAGGATGCTACCCCCGCTCCGGCTTATAAGGACGGTTACAGCAGCGATTCGCGCGCCCATTATTCCTCCCACTCCGTCGTCGAATATAACACCCCAACTCGCGATTACCAGTCTCACGATGATTCACGGCCGAACCTCTCCCCGTTAGCCCAACCTCAGTTTCCTCCTTCAACGTCTCGGCCGAGCTCCGAATTGTCCAGTGCGCCCGGAGTCTCCCAGGCGAGCCAAGATGCCAACCAGAAACAGTCATCGCAGCAACAAACGAAGAACAGCGTGGTGATCAAGGTTGGAATGGTCGGGGATGCACAGATTGGAAAGACGAGTTTGATGGTTAAATATGTGGAGGGCAGCTGGGACGAAGACTACATTCAAACTCTAGGTATGTGATCATATCGAGGTGTTTGTTTTGTGGTGCAGTGCTGATCCGGTGCAGGTGTAAATTTTATGGAAAAAACCATCTCTATCCGGAACACGGAGATTACTTTTTCCATCTGGGATTTGGGAGGTCAGCGTGAATTCGTCAATATGCTTCCTCTGGTCTGCAACGATGCCGTAGCGATCCTGTTCATGTTCGATCTCACTCGCAAGAGCACGTTGAATTCAATCAAAGAATGGTATCGCCAGGGCCGTGGCTTCAACAAGACGGCGATTCCTTTCCTGGTTGGCACTAAATATGATCACTTTGTCAATTTCCCCCGAGAGGACCAGGAAGAGATCTCGATCCAGGTATGCCAACGTGAAGGATCCAAAGCATCGAATGCGCTAATTCTAGCTTAGGCCAAGCGGTTTGCCAAGGCCATGAAGGCCAGCTTGATCTTCAGCAGCACTAGCCATAGTATAAATGTACAAAAGGTGCGAACCCAGATTACTAGTGCCGACCCCGTTCCCCGTCTCGTTCTAATTGGACTCTAGATCTTCAAGATAGTCCTAGCAAAGGCTTTCGACCTGAAATGCACCATTCCCGAGATCGAGAATGTCGGTGAACCGCTGTTGCTATACAAGAACGTATAGAATCACGATGAAGTGGAAGTAACGATTACGTAAAAACGGGACGAAGTGATGTTGATGACTTCTTTTCCCTTGGTGTGTGAGAAGTGGCTACAGTGGGAGGATTTTTACCTTGCTTTCCTTTTCTTATCCTCGTTGATTTTCTTCCAGCATTGGGACGCGTCCAGGATTCTTCTTTTCATGTCCATCCAATTTTTTTTCTTTCCTTCTTCTTTTCCTTGTGTTAAATTCCCCATCCTTGTTTTTTAATCTTTCTTCCTTCATTTTCTTCTGGATTCATTCTACAACTGCATCGGTGGCTCTTGATGGGTTACAGATCAGGGCCATGGCGCCATCTGTTCAAATACTCGTTGAAACCCAGCCTCAAGCCATGAGACCCACTATAGAAAGTATGCGTGATACTTACATGAGATCTGTCCAATGTATGCAACCGGAACTCCACCCTAACTAGCCACACCCTAATTCATACGGAGTACATACATACATATATACCTATCACATCCCACACCCCCACTTCAGTCAACTGATACTCATAAATCCCCCGAAAATCGCTCAACCCATTCCCCACCTCCTGCCTCCCCAATGGCGTCCTATTTTTTGGCTATCTCATCTCCGAGCCTTTCAAGCGATGCTGTAGGCGTTGAATAGAGTTACTCGTCTATTTACCCCCGCCTAGCATTTCATAAAACATGTACCCGGCTATACTATTATAGCCACAGCTGGATAGAAGACGAAAGTGGACCACCGCGAGTCTTATCTTTCCGAATATATATCTGGGCTGTGTATCTCCAAAAATGGTTGCGAACTAATACCTCCAGAATAGGCCTAGGAGCATCGAGCATCTCTGAGGTACTATAATCCGCGGCCTTCCTAGTACATACGGCCACAGTATTCTCGGGGGGATAATAAATTACAACCCTAGTTGCGTAACTATTAGTCTTTGATCTTCGCAAGCCTCTCATTCTTGATTCTTGCAGGTATCTAGGGATTAGAGAAAGGGGGGTTTATTGTTGTCATGGGGCATAAAGTATTGAGTATAGCCCAATCCTTACCCCTTCAGATATAGGCATATGGTCTTATGAAATGTATACGGTGACCACGCGTATAAGCTTAATTACATTATAGAAGTATTGAATTGGATTCGCATAGTTTTGCCAGGCAGTATATGCTTGGACGATCAAATAGGCATTGTTTTGATGTAATGGTAGTGATCTACGTTTATGCGATCTTTAAAGTTCAATTATTTAGCTCTGCGCTGCCTTTATAATGCGATCCATTAGTATGAGGAGTAAAAGCTGATTAGGTCCGGATCAAAAACGTGTGCTACCATACTTACGCTACAACATACAAGGATCTATCGACCAAAATATACGGCTCGACCACCAAAATGGCCCGGACACTTGAGGTATCCCAAGACATGATATTTTACGGTAATCTTTGGTTGACAGGATCATATACAAAGCTAAGAAGATTACGCTAAGTTTATTGCCAGATTCATTGACACTCACACCAATCTATCAGATAGCACAGCGGGATGCCTGAAGAGGATCTATGGATACCAGAGGGGTTTATAGGGTTAAAGACCCATCCCGTCACCATCGGAGAACATGTAGAAGGGGCCGAGGCATTTGACGGGAGGAGGGGTTGAAGTTCAAAAGCAAAAATATCCGTGTGGTATATAACGTTGGCCTGAACCCAGCGGCATTCGCAAGAACTTTTTGTGGCTATTTTGTTTCATCGGCTCATAGGATATCGCCTTTTCCTAGAAGTTCTTGATCCGTTTTTTTAACGGCCTGTCTTCACGGACCAAGAGACTGGACCCAGAACCTAACCAAAATCATGCCTACAGTTGTACAAGCTGCAAAAGATAAGTTCGATAATTTACATCGCCGAGGAAACATTCAGCTTTGCCCGGAAGCCTACTCGCTATGTGCAGCCAGCGCTTGCACCAGCAATGGGAAAATAAGAATGTGCCCGTTGCCATTGTGGGCATGGGTATGCGTCTCCCAGGAGGTGTTCACTCTCCCGACACCTTCTGGGACATGATGATTCAGAAAAAAGATGGTTTATGCGAGGTTCCCAAAAGTCGTTACAATATTGACGGATTTTACAGTACTTCCAAGCCGCATCTGTCAAAACGAGACATGGATATTTTCTCAAGGGAAGATCCAACTTTGTTTGACGCCGAATTCTTTTCTATATCAACCTATGAGGCGGAACGGGATGGATCCTCAGCAAAGGATGCTGCTTGAAGTTATTTGGGAATGTTTGGAAAGTGCAGGTGAAACAAATTGGTGGGGAAAGAATATAGGGTGCTACGTTGGAGTATTCGGAGAGGATTGGCTTGAAAGCTCCCTGAAAGACTCGCAAAATATTGATCGATTTCACGCTGTCGGCACAGGTCTGTTCGTCCTTTCAAATCGCATATCCTACGAATTCGACTTTCGAGGCCCTAGGTGAGAAATCCTTTTTGAGCCCTCTGGGGTAAGGCAGCATCAATCTAGCTCAAAAGATCTAATGGCTACCTGAAATCAATATGACACTTCAAACCGTTTGTTCGTCATCTCTTGTTGGATTGCATGAGGCATGCCAGGCCATCCAGGCTGGGGAGTGCAGTGGCGCCATTTTCACTGGCAGTAGCTTGATTTTGTCACCAACAATGACGACAACTGTGTCCGATAACATGTTGCTATCACCTAGTGGTATATGCAAGTCGTTTGACGAGGGGTTTGATGGCTATGGACGAGGTGAAGCTATTAATGCGATATATTAAGCCATTGAGCCAGGCCGTCAAAGATAACGATCCTATTCGTGCAGTCATCAGATCTACCGCTACTAATTGCGATGAAAGAACTCCTAGTATCACCACCAGAGTCAAGCTCTCAGATGGAGTTGATCCAATGCGCATAAAAAAAGGCCCTTATCCATGATTTGTCTGAGACTGCATTTTTTGAATGCCTCGGGACGGGCACCAGCGTTGGAGATACATCAGAAACTTCTGTCGTGGCCAACCTATTTCAGGTAAAAGGTATTCTGGTAGGAGCTGTAAGTTGTCTATCCAAATATGAACTGACATGGACTGGAAGGTGAAACCCAATGTTGGCCACAGTGAAGGCGCCTCAGGCATAACCAGCATTATAAAAGCAGCTTTGGCTCTGGAGCGTCAGATGGTTCCCCAAATGCTCACTTATCTATGCCAAATCCGAAGATCCCATGGAAAGAGGGAAGGCTACATGCCCCTACTGTGCCGACAGACTGGCCGGTAGATCGTGCCGAGCGCGTGAGCGTAGATTGCTTTGGTATGTAAACGGTTATACACCACGGGCTCCCTGAATTTCATAAAAGCTAAGTAGTCCATCTGGGAGAAGGAATCGGTGGTTCCAACGCTCATGCAGTACTGGATCCCGCACAGAAGTATGGCATACAATATGAAAAAGCCATTAAGATTCATGACGAAGCAGAGTTGCATGTTATATCGGGAAAGAGCAACGAGTCCTTGAGGAAACGAATCGCCGATGCTACCTATTATTAAAATAATCATCCTTCCCGTCTTCTTGATTTAGCATACACCTTAGCCCTTCGTCGAGAGCATCTTTCGCATCGTGCGTTCGCAGTTGTGAATCCCGGCATGCCACTTGATGCTTCATCTTCAGAGGCGAGTACTGAAGCCAAGGCACATCGTTTTTGTTTTCACTGGACAAGGTGCATAGTGGCAAGGTATGGGGAAGCAGCTAATGGAGACTTTTGGCAATTTTCGACAAGACATCCGTGCAATGGATGACATATTGCTGACAGTTGATGGCACGCTGGGTTGGTCGCTGGCGGGTAAGTGGTCTTAGCAACCCCCTTCTCAAACTTGCGGTGCTCACCGGATGGCTAACATACTGACCATTAAATCAACATAAAGATGATCTTTGTACTCTAGGAGACGAAGCACGTATTGATCGAGCAGATCTATCGCAACCGCTATGTACTGCAGTGGCTTGGGAGCAGTGGTGGCGGTAGGATTAGGCCGGGAGGAAATTGCCCCGTATATATCCAGAGCCGACGGAATCGCGCTTGCTTGTGAAAACAGCCCCTACTAGTACTACTATTTCTGGGTATCAGGACATTGGTTGCACATTTCCTTGGGTTGGCTCAGAAAGAACAGCCAGAGACTTTCTTTCGTGAACTCCGCGTGAGAATCGCTTACCATTCGCGCCATATGCTGAGCTTAGGAGCAGCATATGAGACCCTTACAAAACACCATGTTGAAACCAATCGAGAGATGGTTCCTATGTTTTCTACCGTTACTGGAAAAGCCATTAGAGATCCAACAGAGCTTGACGCATCCTACTTTCGCCGCAATCTAGAATCTCCAGTGCTTTTCAATCAGGCCATTCAGAGCGTCTTCGAACACCGTCCAGAGCCCCACGCCTTCCTAGAGGTGGGCCAGCACTCGGTGTTGTCTGGTCCACTGCAGCAGATCTTCGCGACCTATAGGGGCAAGAATAGACCAGTGTACATTCCCACATTGGCGCGGAACAGTGAAAGCAGTGCACAATACCAGCTTTTCACAATGCTCGGTCGTGTCTATATACATAACGCCATCCTGGACATGCCAAGCGTGTTAAATGATGGACGGCCCTTGACGGATTTACCAGCCTATCCTTAGCAACATTCTCGCACGTTCAGGAATGAAAGTCATATAGTGAATAATTGGCGAACGAGACAAGAACCCCATCATGAACTGCTTGGTTCTAGAATGGCAGGAACATCGGACTTAGAACCGGTGCGGCGAAATATATTCCGTTTAGGGGAGACCCCGTGAGTTGGTGACCATGTCCTCCAGGGAGACATTGTCTTCCCTGCTGCTGGCTACATTTCAATGGCCGGGGAAGCTGTGATGCAACTGCATAACGATGCTGAAAACTACTCGCTACGCAACATAATATTTAAAGAGACACTGCTACTAAAGGATATGGAGCCTATTGAGATGGTCACGAATTTAAAGCCTCTTCGGCTAAATGATCTTACAGACACAAAATGGTACACATTTACCATTATGTCCCAGTCAAACAATGGTTGGGTGAAACATTGCCATGGAGAGATCTGCCCTGGGCTTGAGTTTCCTCCTAAACAAGGCGAGGATATACCGAATTATGCGAGAGCTGTTCGGGCTGAGAAGTGATACATGGCTTTGGGCCGTTGCGGCTTGAATTATGGAAAATCATTTCAAGGTCTAGAGGATATTTCCGTGGATCCAAATGGATTCCAGGCTGCGGCAACTGTGAAAGATGACAAGGGGTCGCATACTAGCAGATATCTAATCCATCCTACAGTTATTGACAATTGCCTACAGTTGTTCAGTGTGGCATCCGTAAATGGGATTACGCGTCGCCTGGACAGGAAGCAATTCCAGCTGCAATTGAGAAGCTCTCTGTTGCGGTAGGAAGTTCGGTCATGAGGTTAGGATCTCAGTGCAGATCATTGGCAAGCGGTATATTGAGCGGCGATGCAACCCTCCTACAAGGTGACAAGGTAGTTCTGTCTATATCAAAAGCAACATTTTTCTCCGTCGATACGACTGGTGATGAACCGGTGTCCATAACAGAGGTCCGGTGGGAACCTGATGTTGAACTGTTTCCCGCAGTGGACATGATTAAAAGGGCCAAGGATTATCAGGCCTGCCTTGACGTCTTGGCCTTCTGCGATAAAATAGCTATTCTCAAAATTCTCGAGATAGATTCACATACTCGAGATGTCGACACGCAGATCCCTCATTTGATAAAATGGAAAGGCTGGATACACGCCCAAGCCCACAAGATCCGAGAGGGCAAGAACAACATCTTCCCGGAGTCATAACAGTGGTCAGAATCAGATGATATCAAGGCAAATGAATTATATGTCTCTTCTATCGACTCGTATGCTAATAAATCTGTCAGGTATAAGGTAATGTCCCTCGGCGACCTGCTGTCCATGTACAATGAGTTTTTATGGGGAGAGGCCGATCCATTGGAGGCCTTGATGGATAGTGAAAGCCTTTCATTTATATATAAAGAGTCTATCAGAAATGTAGATTGGAGTTCCATTTTGTCTCTCCTCTCGCATTCCAATCCCTCGCTGAATATCCTTGAGATTGGTGCTGGAACTGGAGCTGCCACAGGATGTGTCAGCTAGAATCATGGGGATTCGCGATGTACTCGAAATACACATTCACGGACATATCGCCGGGATTTCTGTCCGCTGCGAAAGAAAAGTTCAGTGATCATGATAATATGGAGTACAAGCTATTGGACATCAATCGCGATCCAACCGGACAGGGTTTGAGCTACATAGCTACGACCTAGTCATTGCGTCCAATGTGAGGGTTCAGTACTACAGATTACCACACTTCGCTCCATGTTGGCTAACTAGATCAGGTTCTGCACGCCACCTCAAGCCTAAATGCTACGCTGCGAAATGTCCATATTCTGTTGAAGCCTAATGGCTACGGCTACTTGCTCCTACATGAACTTTGCACAGGTAACTCTGTCTTTCTATCGCTAAATGACTATAACTAACTATCATTATAGATCTTCTAATGATCCCTGCGCTTGTGATTAGTTCCTTTCTTCTCTTCCTTCGTAGGCCGCGCAAATAGCGACCACACAAAACACTGACGAAAGTGGTTCCAGGGCCTACTTCCTGGCTAGTGGGTGGGTGAAGATGATGGAAGACTAGGTGTTCCATTTGTTTCAACCGCCCGCTGGGACCATGAATTACAGAGTGCAGGATTTACGGGGGCCGAAGCCACGGTGTTCGACGGAGAGCCACCATTAACTGAATGCTTCAGCATGATAAGAATCAATTGGCAATAGAAATGGCATGGCGGTTAAGTGCAGAGGGTTACCACGTCAATTGGGCAAGCTTACAGGACGATCCGCCACAGGGACAAGACATCATAGTGATCGACCCGGATATCCCCTTTCTATACAACATCTCGGAGAGTAGTCACAAATTCCTTCAGGACTATATGTTGAAAATACGGAATTCCAGGCTTATTTAGCTTATTCAGCTAGCACAGGTAGGCTGCAGCGATCTCACATTTGGACTCTATATAAGATTCTTTCGAACCCTTCGCCGAGAGTTGAATGTGGACATCTCAGTTGTGGAGTTTGACGACAAGCTTGACCCTCGCTCCCTGGAAGCAGCATTGTGCCTCTACAAGAAGATCCAGCGTTCGCGAAGCAATGCCACAGCGGCAAGGAATGATTTTGAGTTTGTGGTCCAAAAAGGAGTTGTGTACATAGGACGTTGCCATTGGTATCCTTTTGACCAAGAAGCTTCAATTACTAGGCGAGAAAGATGCGGACGCGCCCAAAGTATTTGAAATAGGTGGTTCTTTATTGGAAAATGCAAATTGGAAGCAGGTCAACGCCCAGGAACCCGAGCCACAGGAAGTTGAGATTAACATACACTATACTGTTTTGAACTTCAAGGTACGTCATCTCACGATACTGTCAAGCTGACTAAGAGGTAATTGCTGGAGTATAGGATATTATGGTGGCCATGGGATTTATGGGAACCAAGGATGAACTTGGCCTTGAAGCAAGTGGTGTCGTGCGCCGAGTTGGCACCGAGGTCGTTGACTTTACTCCCGGGGACAATGTTGTGGTTGTTGGTGGTGGCCTTCTTCACACTCGAGTAGTGATCCACCAACAGCAATGTAGAAAAGTCCCAGATTCACTCTGCTTGCAGGATGCTGTTACGATGCCAGTGGTGTATGCGACTCCCATTCATTCTTTAGTCTATCTTGGGTCGTTAAAAAAGGGTCAGGTATGGCATGGTTTTATCTCTTCGCACCGCTTTTCCTATTTCTTTGCTATATACTGTTCTGACAGACTATACAGTCTGTCCTGATTCATTCTGCATGTGGCGGTGTCTGGCTGGCATCAATTTATGTCTGCCAGCTTATTGGTGCTGAAGTAAGATACTACCCTGTCTTCCCATGGGCAGAATTACTGATATATGTGTATGTATAGATATACTACACAGTGGGGAACAGAGAAAAGGCTGATTGTTTAACCAATTTGCTTGGAATCCGTCTTTGATTCTCGAAGTGCTTCGTTTCTACCAGACGTTATTCGTGAAACCAAAGGACGTGGTGTTGATATTGTCCTTAATTCATTGGCAGGAGAGTTGCTCCATACTTCTTGGGAATGTGTAGCCCGATTTGGAAGAATGAAATTGAATTAGGGAGACGTGATCTACTGACACATGGCGTTTTACCAATGAACCAATTTGATGGAAACAGAGCATTTTCCTCCTATCCAACCGGCCACCGTGTTTGACGCCTTCCATGCTGTAGATGCGTTCCGGTATATGCAAAGTGGCCAACACATGGGCAAGCTGGTGATTGACATATCCGCAAATCTAAGTGAACTGCCGAGTCAGAAACTGATATCAGGGAACTTTTCACCAGAGAAGTCCTATCTTCTTGTGGGCGGCCTTGGTGGTATTGGACGTGCTATTTCAGTGTGGACGGTAGATAATGGTGCCCGCCATCTAGTTTACCTTTCACGATCAGCAGGACAGTCAGCCGATGACCAAAACTTCATACAGGAACTACGAACAATGGGTTGCAATGTTGCGTGCGTGAGAGGAAATGTTACTAATATGTTGGACGTACAAGGGGCCATTGCTATGTGCCCCAAGCCCCTCTCTGGTGTTATCCAGCTATCGCTGGCACTCGTTCTAAGTCATGATCAGTATCGGTGATTGGATGGAGAAGATCCCTAACACACACGCTCTGAAAAGGACCGCTTGTATAAGTATATGAGCTATGAGGACTGGTTAGCTGTTCTGGAGCCCAAAGTGACTGGAACCTGGAACCTTCATGAAGCAACGAAAGACATAGACCTCGATTTATTTGTTCTTTTCAGTTCTGGCAGCGGATTTGTAGGAAATACCGGCCAGGCCAATTACGCCGCTGCATTCACCTTTCTTGACAGCTTCAATCAGTGCCGCCGCCAGCTTGGCCTGTCTTCCTCAGTGCTAGACGTTGGCGCAGTTCGGGACGTTGGCTTGATCAGCCGTGATCCCCAACTGCTACACATGTTACGTACTTCAATATGTCTCTCGCTATCCGAACGCGATGTCGTTGCTGACCTACAACTGGCCATATCACGCTCAAGAATAGTCGATTCGCCCACGCAAACGCCGGTGTCCCAAGTAATTTTGGGTTTTGGGTTTACAGAAAAGGTCGAAGAACAGGTTGTCGACCGTTTCTATCAGGGAGATGCACGCTATGCCCTCCACCTCAAGTACCACAAGAAAGTGGCCGCTGGCTCCAACAACGACGGTCCCAACATTCGAATAAGACGACTTTTATCCGATATTAAATCGGATCACACTCTACTTGATAACGAGGAAATCAAGACTAAAGTGAAACAAGAGTTGCTAAATGTGATCGCGATGCACCTTCCTGGAGGCGAGGACAAAGATGAGGACGGAGTCTGTAACATGACTATAGATTCCCTTATGGCCATTGAGCTCCGAGCTTGGATTCGCCGCTCCACAGATTTAGACTTCAGTGTTCTCGAAATCTCGAAGTTGGGCACCCTTGGGACTCTATGTGACCAGGTAGTCGAGCGTCTCCGAGAGAAGCTCAAGCCTCAAGAAGCGACTGATAGTTATGAGCAGTCACCGGATGTGGACAACAACATTATCAACTGAGGGTCAGCTTTTTGTCTTTGGTCATGGCTTATCTTTCCTCTCCTTCCATCTGTTACCCCCTCCCCGCTTAGTGACGCGTTGATGTCGGTTCAACAATAATTTCGTAATAGAGATCAGCACGCCCTAGGATTCCCTCCCGTGCGGGCACTTATTAATTGTTGTTACCTAGATTCCGATCAGATTCGGCGCCTGCTAGTTGGCCGATAGATTTTGATTAGGCAATCATCTTCAGGATAGTCTACTCGTCGGACGCTCTTTGGCAAATTTTCTCGCCGAACACATCGCAGTAGATAGTATCTCAGCTTCCAAAACAGGAAAACTGCAACATCCTCAAAAATCGGGTACGTATAGGTGTGTAGACATACATACACGTATACCTTACTATCACATCCCGCCACCCCCAATTCAATTCACTAGTACTCATAAATCCTCCGAAAATCATTCATCCCATTGCCGACCTCCTGCCTCCCCAAAGGCGTCATATCCAACAAATGATACGTGCCCAAAAGAATCTCCATCCCCCGATCCGTCGTAGAATAAGTATGAAACACCTCCCCACCCGTCCCCTTCAAAAACACACACAACCCAAAATACCCATTGCCCGGCTTCCACGTAATAACTTCCCCCTCCCCCTCGGCAACCCCCCAAGCCCGCACCGTCTTTGCAGAACTATAAAACGGAAACCCCCACCCCATCCGCTTCTTATACTCCTCAATCTTGTCAATCCCGGCCTCAGCAACCGCCACAAACGTCGTATCCCGACTCTCCAAGTGCCACAGGTTGGGGATATGGTCCATGCAAAATGAACATCCCACGCACCCCTTTTCGTCCTCCGGTCCCAGCATGAAATGGTACATGATTAGTTGTTTGTGGGGGCCGAAGAGGTCGGGGAGGGTTTTTTCGCCGGTGGGGGTGTCGAATTTGAAGCGCTCGGGATTGGGAATTTGGGTCACTGGGAGGGAGCGCCGGGTGCTGGATAGGTTTTGGAGGGCGTGGGTTACGGATTTTTCGGCGGCGAGGTGGGCTTTGTGGGCTTTTTGGAAGTCGGCTGGGGGGACGATCTGTGCATGTCAATTAATACCTTGGGATGGACTTTTGGGGAGGCGCGGGGGTTGCTATGGAGTTGGGGAAATGCTTGCGTTCAAGTTATCTGGGGGACTCATTGTGGTAGTGGGTATTGCTGCTTGCTGGATAAGGATTCCTTAAATATGAGATCGACTGCTTTGGTGTTCGAAGTATTTCTAGGATTGTTATATGTCAAGCCGGAGATAAACTTATAACCCTAGAAAATGCGGGGTTCGGTTCGTCTGAGATCGACGTAGAGCTTCTTGTGGTTATGTAACTGATCGGGTGATCAGGTTCCAGACTTTTGCACTGTCACTGTGACTCCGGATGGTTACCTACTTATTTCCCCCTCTAACCATGGATTCCGCGCTTGTCTTCGATCATTGAGTGCTAGGGTCGGGAAATTATTCTCCCACTATGCTGCACGAGCCGTTTAATACTCTTTCTAGGAATTTGAGCGACTAATGACACTTGCGATAAGTAAATATATCCGTCTTACTTGAGCAACTTCTTAGACAATAATACCTAGACAATAGTACCTCATCTAAATAACCGTATCAAATATCCCACTTCAAGACCCTCGCGCAGCCCGCTCAAGCCTCCCCTGTTTCGAATTCAAATACTTGCTTCTACTTCATTGTTAGCTCACCAGTCTACATTCTTCACTACTTCGTAAACTTACCTTTCATTTGCCCAACCCATCGCCGCATAGGCGACTAAAAAGGGAGGAACAACGTAGAGCACTTGATGCTTGCATCGCCGAAAGGTATTATAGATGGCAGCATTGAATGCACCCGCAAAGGGCCTCTGTCGGTTTGGGGCCAGTGAATATACGGCAATTCGAATCGGAGTAGGAAGAACTATTCGAGTCGTTACATGTTAGGCGGTCTCTAGGAACGGTTTCTTTGTGAGCTTGTCGACCTACCATAATTTCCGGGGGGTCCCATCCACCTGGTGATCGTGTGAGTAGAACACCAAACATTGAGGTGATTGACCTACCATCCAGTTTTCGGGTCGTTGTGGCCGACCATGGCGAGAAGACCGAGAGACAGAGAAGACCAGTACTCCAAGTCAAGGTTGATGAAAAGTTAGACAAGGAGAAAAGCTAAGCACTCTCGAAAGGACCCTATTCTTATACATCGTGCCGTGCATCTCGGTGCTGGCCGTACTTTCCGATTAGGGCTTAGATGTCGGCATGTCGGACGTTATCTTACTTAGTGTCACTGCTTATGTGGCCGTTGACCAGGTTTGATTGGGCGGTTCGTAAACCAGACCTTTAACGTTCGATCCACCCGGATTAGTACCCCTGTCTGTCATATCAACCATCCGTCTTGTTATTTGGTGTATGTAGAACCACGCTCTGCCTTCGTAGACACTAGTAGCTCAATCCCACCGAGCTGACATGTCTATACACTACAACAAACGCATGTTGAATATCCATACGATATCCCAATCCCCAATCGTACCACCCAAGTATACGACTAGAACAAAAAAAAAAACACCATATCCCATACACAGCTCTACACCCATACCCAAAACTCCTAAAACCACACCTCCAACCTCTCTAACTACCCACTAGTACTCACCCCAGAACCAAACCCGGGAAACCCTCTCCCCCCCCATCCAACCCCAACACCGTCCCCGTCCCTAAATCCCCACCCCACAAAGCACACCAAGCAACCTCCCCACCGACTCCTCCGGACTCAACATCCCCCTCCCATCCTGATACGACGCCGTAAAATCCGTCCTCACAGTCCCTGGATGCATCCCTACCCTCATCGCCCGATCCCCACACCTCCCCTGCAAATACAAATCCAACGTCTTAACCACCTGAAACACCCCCGCCTTACTAACCCGATAACTATACCACCCTTCCAACTGATTATCAGAAACAGAGCCCACACGCGCAGCCATCATCGCATGGATGGCATGTCTGGGCAGCTTTAATGCGCCCTCTGAGGGGCTTACGGGGACGAGCGGGTGGGTAGGAAGGGGGTTAGGTGTTTCATGAGGGGCATTGGGCCGTGGGTGTTTACTTTGAAGGAATCGAGGGCTGCGAGTGGCGATGATTCGAGAGGATGATTTTTCGAGGTGTAAGATGGCGGGGAGGGTTAGGGCTAGGCGGAGGAGGGGGGGGGGGGGGGGGGGGGGGGGGGTGGTTGGGTGGGTTTGTTTTATTGTGGTTGCTAACGATGAGAGGGTTTCTTCTCCTTGGGGTTTTGGGGTTGTGTTAGTCGGGGTGAAGGTTTGGTTTGGATATGGGGTTGGGGTTGGTGTTGGTGGATGTTGGTGGGCGTTGGGTATGTACTAACGGGTGATGCCGGCTTTGAGGACGGCTAGTCTGCTTTGTGTAGAGGAATAGTCTAAGCCGGAGAGGAGCTTGTCGTGGAGGGTTGTACAGTTGTTTCCGGCTGTTGCGATTATGGGGAGGTCGGTGTTTTGGAGGAGGTGGCGAGCGAAGGCGAAACCGAGGCCTCGGGAGGCCGGGGTGACTATTGCGAAGCCTTTTTTGGAGATCACTGTGTAGGGTAGATTGTGTTTGGTTTGGCCGGGGGGGGTTTGTAAGGGGGTTTGGGATAGTTGATGTTGGTGTTGGGCTGTTTTGATGACGTTTGCCTGATGTAGAAGTAAAGTCCATGGTTTTGCTCTACGAATTTGGCTCATTCAGGACGTTGAACTTGGAACTTATTATTGCTAACTAGTGAGTCGGTCCCTCCCATCCCCTTCAGTAACATCTTCAACATATATAAATCTGAAAAGTATCACAGTAGGGCTTTACTAAATAAGAGACGCGCATCACAGTGATCGTGCTAGAGCTTCCTTCCGCACAACAAAGCCGTCTAAGAATCGTGATCTACAATCTTCTCAGTAACGGTTCCGTCGGCCTGTTGCACGACCCTGTCAACGCGCTGGGAGGCCTTGACGGGGTTCGGCTGCTTGTAGACCCATTCAAGTTCCTCAAGGGTACGGCCTTGAGCCTCGACACTGCAGAAGGTTAGTATTTTTTTGATGAGAATATGGATGGGCAGAAAGTGATCAACATACCCGAAGAGATACCACAGCACGGCCTCAACGCAGTCCCAACCGACAAAGACCCAAATGTAATTCAGCTTGATGTTCTTGGTGGCAATGGGCGTGCAGAATTGGTTGACAAAGCCAAGGCAGCCCGTCAAGAAACCATAGAAGGCCAACCCTTTCGCACGTCTAGTAGTGTCGAGGGCTTCAACAGGGACGACGCCCTGCAGAGGGGTGTAGGTGAAGGAATTGACCACATTGAAGAGGAAGTAGAAAGCCAGTGCGGCTTGACCGGCGCTGACGTTGGTCTTGTCGATACCGAAGGCATGGTTGGCACCGCCATTGATGGCCAACATGCAGGCGCAGGCGAAGGTCCCGAAGACAAGTACCTTACGCCGTGGCATGCGGTCAGTCAAGGTGACAGCAGTTCCGGCGCCAATAGCAGAAAGAACAGAGTTGAGGACGTTGTAGCCAAGCTGCTGGGCGGTGGACGTGATGCCTAACATCTTGAAGATGACTGGGTTAAAGTAACCAAGACCGTTGCCTGAGAATTGACCGAAGACTCCCATCATCAGCACCTGAAGGGAGCGCCAGCGGCTTTCGTGCGTATTAAAGAGGCATCGGAAATCCCACCAGGCGATTCGCTTGTCCTGGAGCTCCTGACGGATACTTTCGCGGATTTCCTCAACCTCCAGCTGGACCAGGCGAGACTGAGCATTGCCATTGCCGTGGAACCTGGTTAGGAAATCAATAGCCTCTTGCTCCCGGCCCTTGGAGAAAAGATAACGAGGGGACTCGGGGATAAGATAGACCGACGCAAGAACAATAATGCATGCGAAGCACTGGCCGATAAATGGAACCCTCCAGGACCAGTTGTTGTCGATGTACTGGCATCCGAAAGTGACAAGGGCGGCGGGGATTGAACCTCCGAACCAGCCGCAATTGTAGAAACCAGTGCAGCGACCGCGCCATTGGGGCGGAGCAATCTCCATTGAGTAGGCTGGGGCCGCGACCGTCATGAACTGGATGCCTGAACCGAGCACCACACGACCGACGGTGACTTGGGTTAAGCTGAAGGAGCTCGCAGCAATAATACTCCCAAGGATGATACCAACTGCACCGCAGCACATGCCAATGCGACGACCCCATCGGTCACTGACGGCCGCAGCGAAGGGAGTTGTGACAATAGAACCACTGTTGTGGGAGCATTGGTTAGATTCGCATGACCACCAATCCTTGAGGGCCTAGGGAAAGAGGCTGGACTCACACAGAATATAGGGCAGTCATCACGGAGACCTGCCAGCCCTCATCTTGAGTCCCCATAGTCGCCTTGAAATGAGGCATTACAGTGATAGAGCCCATGAGAGAGCCATCATAACCGTTCGCACAAGCGCAGCAAAAGGCAATAAAAACGCACCCTAGCTTCCATAAGCAAATAACTTGACCTCCTGGAGGCGATTGAATAGATCACCTACAATACAGGAGGAGACTCGACCTGCTCCATTTCGGAATATTAGATTCCTGGATAGCTGCATACAGCTCCGCCTAGACGTGAACAGTCAGCGTCTGCTTTCAGCCGATCCTCCTTGCCGATCAAAGGAGCTTTGACTTACATTATACACTTCCTTCTCCTTGGCGCCTTCATTGGCAGCGGTCTTCCCTGTGCCCTCAGCAACGACGGCGGCGTACGGATTCTCCACCTCGTGGACCTCCTCCTGCCGGCCCTCTTCTTCTTTCGACATCCTGAACAACTGGTCAGTGAAGAGAATGGGTGTCTCAATAAAGGCTTGTCAGATACTCCGCAGCTGTGGTGAAAGCAGGTCAAGGCAGGGATAGAGGCCGGTTTTCATAGTCCCCGGAGCGACCGCAAGGGGCCACATCGACTACATTCCATGCCTCCTTTCCGGGCTCGTATTGCTTCCCCAGGATTCATCCATGTGGCATGTGGTAGTGCGGCTGCCGGCCCGAAAGAACCGAGTTACGCAGACAACGTATCAGATCTCCGGACCCCACTTGCCTCATGCACTACCCCAGAAATGCCACGGGGACGGCCCTGCGCACCGTCTTCTCCGGTCTGTGCTCAAGCCACAAACCACTCCTGTCGGCCCAGACTCACAGCTCCAACACGCCACTCACAAACAATCAACCTCGCTGGGTCGCGATGTAGATTAACTCGCTATCGCACCACATACCAATCACCAAGCACGGGCCATTGGTCCCCGCGATGCAGGAGTCTTGCCCCCCACCCCCAGGTGACATGTGGATGACACTTGGACCGAAAGAAGTTGAATTTTTCTAGCCTTCCTTGCGTTGATAACTTTCATGAGACTACATGCAGTAATTGCCAAAGAGATGTATGTACCTTTTCTCCATGCCAGGGATGTCACGTAGTCACGTACAGTTCTCGACCGACTTAATCACAACGAAAAGTTAGATATTACCTTACCGAAATATGTAAGATTGCTAAGTGACTGAACGATGATTCGCCCGATAATTCCCATCTTAGTACATATATTATTCCGAAGCGAGATCTAAAAAGTAGTTTAATAAAGCTTTACTGAATTGGGCTGAGAATCTTTATATTATGACTCAGGCAGGACCTACGACGGCGGGCGAACCCCACAATATTAATAGACCAGGGGAACCAATCTTTATTACCTAGCAAGTTAAAGGCACGTTGGCACGTGATCACTCCAACAGCCTAAAAAGACCCGGTATACTCGGTTAGAGCCAAAAATATATAGTGGTGCGCTTGGGGAATTTGCGGGCCTACTTGGTTAAGTGAACGGCTCCTACAGAGTTTAGTAATTCGTACAGCAGGCTGAACAATAACCGAGCAATCTAAAGTTTCCTCTACAGAGTGGACAGAAATAACACAGCCATTATATTATACATTCTAACCATAATTAGGGTTGAAGTAGAATCCAGTAATGCCCGAAGAACTAGTCCCAGAAAGGCAGCCAAGCCATAGGACTTAATTCGAACCTCAGGCTCCCAACATTCGAACTCTTCACCATAAACCATGCCGCAAAGGCCGACTAACCAACCAAAGCCACGGGCAGTAGCTACAAATATACCTTGACGCTTTACCCGATGAAATCATGCTGGGCTTGCCGCCGTCGCCGCCTCGTGTGTGACGGGCGTGTACCTCACTGTGAGAAGTGTGAGAAAAATGGAGTCGAGTGTCCCGGCTATGACCATAAGCCCTTGACATGGGTAGGAGGTGTGGCCAGCAGAGGCCAGATGCGAAACCGCACATTTGGGGAAACTCCCCCAAAATCGGGCCCCCAGATGCCTCGAAGGTTGGCACCCAGAACCAGCCCAGCCGACGCCCCTAGTACTATGACCCAGTGGGGCTATCTTATCACCGTTGCCCCAGTGCCAATGCCTACCGACCCCATCCTCCATGGACTAAAGTATGAAGAACGGTATTTTGTCGATTACTGTGAGCATTGAACTGAGAGCGACTGTCGTCCGCTTCTCATCTTGCTATTGCTAATTTCTCGCCTCAAGTCTCGAGTCGTATCTGCCCGACACTAGTTCTGTTAGATAGTACCAGGAACCCGTACCGAGCCATGTTATCCCTCCTGGGGTCATCAGGAGCGGTACTCAATGCAATAATGGCCGTTTCAATCTGCCACTTCGCCCATAGCACAACGGGATACCCGATCTTTTCATCGCAGAATACAACCGCTCTCTTGAACCCCGAGTTACTTAACCATTTCATCACACTAAAGCACAACGCACTAAGACATCTCTCTCAATCCATCGCTAATCTCCAGGACCAACGCGCCGAATACCCCGTCCTAGCTGCAGTTATCCTCCTCGTGTTCCTCGAGGCCTTTGAAAGCGGCGCCAATTCCTGGACCATCCACCTCGAGGGCGCGAAACGGATAGTTGAAGTCGGGCGAAGAAATGACAGAAGTACCCCCTCAACCACATTAGCAGACCTAATCAATGAACTCGCCTTGTAAGTCTCGGTCTACCTATAATATCTATACTGTTCCCCTTGCTAAACCCTTTAGATTCGACGCCCTCGGATCAAGTCTCATCCGTCCCGGCCTCCTACGCTCCCGTCTCCTGACGACGGATGAAATCGCAGATTCAGACCTAACAACAATAGGCTGTCCAACAGAGCTCCTGTACGCTATTCACACCGTAGCATCACAGCGCCACACTGGCGCTCAACCGGATATCCAACTCCTCCACAACACGCTCACCCAAATCCGGCACTTCGATGCGCAAAAGTGGACCGACAACGTAGTCGGCACTTCCCCAGAGCCATCCTCGATATGTCCACGAGGCATGGCCCAAGTCTGTAATGTGTGGAAAACCGCAGCCGAGATCTATGTGTCTCGGATAATTTGTCAGATCATGAAAATACCTGCGGCTCGAAACCCGCTGGTGGATGATTTGATTGCGGGGATTAGGTGGCTGGAGACGGATGATAGATTGGTAAAGGGGCTCGTCTGGCCTGCGTTTATTGCTGGGGCGGAAAGTATTCTCCCTGAGCACCGGGAATTGGTGCTCAGGATTCTTGACAGGGTTTGGGGTATTACGCTAATCGCTACCGCTAGATATGCGGCGATGGTTTTGATGAATCTTTGGCAGAAGCGGGATGCGATGAGGGAGCTTACAGGGCAAAGTGGTCTGGAGAATTGGGACTGGATAGATGAGCTGTGTTCGCTGGATCACCATTGGCTCTTTCTATAGAAAATGATATCAGGGGCATATTAGCTGCAAGGATCACGGATAAATAAAGAGTACCCGGAGACACCCCTTCCAGACACTGAGTAAACTTGAAAGAAAGAAAGTCAAACCGCCAACGAAAAATCCCCAAAGAAATCTTGCCAAGCAGTCGGAAAATAAAACAGATTCAAGCCCGGAAAATCCCACTCCCTAACAAACTGTTCCGGCACAAAAGACTGCAAATCCGCCTGCGCATCAAACTGCTCCCAAAACGGCGCCGCAGCAACCTGATCACCACCACCTGCCTCCTTGTCTCGGAAGATCCGGCCATATTTCTCAATGCTCAGTCTCAGGATCTGCATGTAGATCCTCCCGTTACCGCTGGTTTCCCCGTTTAGGCCGACAAGTTCTTCGAGGAGTCTGTGTCCGTGGTCGAGAAGTTCCTGGTGTTCTTCTTTCCGTTCTGGGAGGAGGCGGGAGAGCTTGAGGAGGAGGAGGAAGCAGAAGGCGCATTTGGCCCAGACAAAGTCCATGGCGTACTTTAGTTTGGCGAGGTAGAAGTCTGGTTCGGTGCTTATTAGGCGGAGGTGTTTTCGAGCGCTAGACTTGGCGAGGAGGAGGATATTACGTTCGACGGTAGACATTGCGCTGGGTGTTTCTGTTAGTGTGATGGGTGGCAGTTGTTGGTTGATATTAGTAGATGGGAGGATGGTACTGTACGTACGCGACGTTTTCTACTCCCATTGAGCGCAGCGCTTTGCAGTGGAGGATTAACTCAGCCCAGCATTTTTGAACGCGTAGGGCTGCTAAGAGGAAAGGCCTTTCTTGATCTGCTGCCGGAGAGTTCCCTTGGTTTTGCCAACCGCATTAGCATACTGGGGAGAAACTGGAAAGATACCAGAGGCATACCGATGATACGCAGCCAGTCACTACACTTTTCAGTTATAATGATATAGGCACCAAGGGGCATTGTCACTTACTCAAACCAGAGGTCAAGATCTACCTTAGCTTCGTGCACAAAGTCGGCAATGCCCGGTCGATCTAGTGTTTCTTTGACATCTAGCGTATCGTTGATCTTCGCTGCCGTGGAGTGTAAGGACCATATAGTTAATGCCCTGGGGATAGGACATTGTATTTACCACGTATGACATTCAACTTTCATCTCATCGTTAGCCTTTCCATACTTTTCGTGGAGCTAGATACCCATACCTCAACCTGGGAGAAAAGACGCAGATCTAGAACTGTCGACGTGGCGTGACGAAGCAGAAGGCGACATCGATGCGCATTGCCCGTCATCCGGATACCAGGCGGTTTGCCACCATCGACATGGAATCTGAAAATACGATCAGCTTAACCAATTCACTGACAGGATCATAGCTATACATATGGTCCAAAACAAGCAGACCAAACCAAGTCCGGGATTTCTGCATTAAAGAACGCTCTTCATCATTTGTCCTGTGAATGTCAGGTACGCCTTCGACCGCTTTCATAGTTAGTCGCAGTATAAGCTCTTCGAAGGCTTCATCTAGACTCAAGTCCAACGCCATTCTGGTCGCGAACGAGAGGAGCAAAGAGCGCTCTGTCGAGTAACATGCTACGATAAGCAGTGCCTGGATGGACTCTAGGCAGTTTAAAGTTTTGTTCTGGATAACAACGTTTATCCATCTTTTGAGTTCCGCGTGGAGTAGGTCGGACATTTGGGATCCATGTTCTAAATCCTATCAGCGCTTTTGTTCTGAACAATCATTCGAACAACAGGATTTTTATGCGGGTCTTACTTGTCTCAACGCGACTGCCGATCGTACAGATAGCATTCAGAAGTATACTACTCCGCGTACGCACGGACGAAAAGGTATCGAACTCTGGGTCGAAGATTGGGATATATCTATCCTAAGAATTAAACAACCATGAGCACTGAAGCTGATGGAGACCTGTTGGAGTGTACGCACACAGCCTTGAAAGAATCTATGTTGGATCAGCAAAGTCCCGGTAGCAAAACAAGATGATGTGGAACACATACGTCCTAAAGCAGGACATGGCTTCATCAGCTGTCATCAGGTCGTTGCTGATAAAATCTGAGATTGGTTCCTCCCTAATATCGAACCCGGACCGCCTCTGCCTAGTCGGGCGAGTACTACCTACTTCTGCAACTTGTAATTGTGGTATGATAGGGGCATCCCGGTGACCTTCTGTGTAGCTAGGCCCGCGAGACAGATGGTCATAAGGGTCTGCTATACCAAGGACCGAAGGCATTGGCCCAGGATCCGACCTGATATGACTTGGGGAAGGAACAGGAATTCCTGGGTATGCTCTTCCCAGCCCCGGTAGTTGGCTCTGGGTTGCTTCCCCAAGAGCGCTTGGATCAGGCTGTGTGTGAACACGAGCAAGTTCGTGCATATCATTTATATGAGCTCGAAGTCGCTGTACCTCGGCTTCGACATTTTCTAGTCGCCTTATTGTAGTCAGCTTCAGCAATCTACCCCCAAGGTTGTACGCCTGCAGGGATATTCATGACGAGATAAAGTGCATACTCCGAAGTAGGATCTTTCGGGATCTCGAAAAATACACATTGTTTACGTGCTCGTTTGCATCTACTGGCGCGTTAGCCCATCTGGAGCCAACGGAACAGAACGTGCGACAGTACCTCGTGCACGGTCGTTTCCCATCACACCGCACCTTGATACGAGTCGGAATTAAGCACTAAAACTCGGAGTTCTCACAAAGCCATGGCTTACTTTCGATTGCCGGCAAGCGCTGCAGGCCTTCTGTGATCGATATGGGTCAGCCAATGGCATTCTGTTCCTGGTGAGGGAAGGGCATTATACCGGAACGCGCTTTTTCCCAATTGGAGCGGATACTACGCACGGAGATCCGTCAGCATCCATGGCGAACTCAGAGTACTAGTTTCATGCAGGAAGGCGTGGGAATCATCGCATGGACGGTTACTGATGGGGGGCGGGGCGGGCGGAAGTGGAGATGAGAGGTCTCGCTTATTGCGGAATCAATCGAGGCTATCCAGCCTGTTGGTTACCTGACGTGTCTGAGAAGTTTCTAGCCTCCGTACTATGATTAGTTATGATTAACGGAGTACAGGGAAGATCAATCCTCACTATGGACCTTGGTATGGCGTCCTATGTTTCCCTTGCAGCAGTCGTACATGTATCGAATGGTGTCTACGCATCCGAAAACAAAAGTTGGCTGGCAAGGTTGGAGAAGAGAAATCTGTTACGGTCCCGCCATTCAAGACCGGAGGCATATTTAAGAATGGCAAAGCAGGTTAGTGGAATTGATCGAAATGCTGATAAAGTGATGGGGTTAATTATGAGAGATTGACTACTGGTATATGTCTTTCGTTTGTAGTTTACAGGTCTAACCGTATCCACAAATGAGAATAGGGAAAGGAAGTTATAGAATTCGGAATATGGCAGAGGCCATTACCAATTAACACTTTAGAACAAAATCTCCTTACACGTACTTCCGTCCATATATGAACATGTACCACGTCCTGTCTTCTTTGAGTAAGATCGAGTTCAATACACGTAGACAAAGTCCTCGTTCGTCCAGTCTGTGAGATCTTTGAACGCATTGTCTTCGCTCATGGCGTGCTGTGGAGGCTCGGCTTTGTCTACTGGAACGGCACCAATCGCTTGCATCGAATGATCGATAATTTTGGCGCTCTTACCCATGCTAACGCGTCTCTTCTCATGCTGCTTGTTCAGGAAGAAGAGGTATGCCATATTCATGCTGAAGACGTGAGTATATGACCTTGAAGAGGGACAGCAAGGCTTACATAACAAGTACAACGAGGAGACAGAACATCGCAAGACTAGGATTCCAATCAGCACCAGAGCCACACTAGAAGAGCATCTGTACCGCCTTACTTAGATAGCAAGCCACGTCTATACAATGGTGCGTCTGCAGTGGTGTACAGATTTGAGCCGAGAACCTGTCGAGGTGAGCCATTGTAATTGGACCAATCGAACTCGACTTTCAACATACGTTACCGGCACATTGTCCAACAAGAAGTACGCCATTCACGACCTTTTTCTTCGTCTCGCCTGCAGTATTTCCTGCCGACCAGGAATATATCATGGGCGCTACTGTCCGTCAGCTTACTCCGGCTGGGGTGTCCAGCAAACATACTAATTCCTGGATACACGGAGATCTGATCGCTAATTAGCAAAGAAATACTAGTACAAATATGCAATAGACCTTACAATATAGTATCCCGCAAGTAATGCCCCGTTGTGAGAACCATCGCGCGGTAGGTGCAGCAACATGACACAGCCAGCAATAGCAGGTAAACATAGCAGAGCAATGACAGATCCCTTCATTTTTAAATAGGTTGCTAGCCACGCTCCACCCATTGTGGCTATGAGCTGAACAGCACCAAATGGTATATTGAAAAGAATCGTCTGGAACTGGTCGAAGCCGAAGGCCTCAATGATTAATGGTCCAAATGTTGAGATGCCACCACTAGGAATCCTGTATGCTGTGAGCCGTGACTTGGTTGAGGGTAGCGCAGAGAATTTCTTACGATATCGCAAACATCAGAGCAAACCAGAAGTAAGATTTGATATCGAGACCCGCCTCCTTCACGTGGTCCCATTTCCATTCATGCGTTTCGATACCTTGTTGGTTCATGCGAAGCCTAAATTCAATCTGTGAGTATCTCATATTTCAACGACTTAATTATGGACATCGTACCTCTCAATGGCCAGAAGCTTGTCCTCTTCTCCGAGGAACTTGCACTGAAGCGGTGAATCGGGCATATACAACCTACACAAGAAGGGTTAGATACGCCCGTCTGCTGGTTGCCAAGCTACGACGTCACTCACAAAATAAGAGCGGAGAAAACGATGGTTATAAGGCCGAAGAATAGGAAGATTATCTCGCCCCACAGTCAGAATACTGCATACCCAACCAACGAAAGATGAACATACCTGATAAGGTTCGAAAACCGAGGATTTAATATGACCCAATCCGTACGATATCAGACTTCCGAACTATACACGAAATGATCTGCGATTAGCCCTACAACAGCATACGTAGTTAAGAAGAGGTGAGATGCACCATGTATACCACACCGTTCATGGCATACCATGAACCCAGTCGGACGGGCTGTTCAATTCGTCGATACCACATTTGTGTGATCGCAATGAAAGCGGCAGCTAATCAATCAGAATTCAGAATCAGTCTCGAAACTACGGTATCTAAAATCCTAATGATACTTACGTATACCAGCTTCAAACAGACCTAAAAACATCCGACAGACCAGCAGTCCCGCGAAGGTATTTGCTGGGGTCATGCAGGTCAGGGCAATGCCCCAACAAAGGGTTGTGCATGCCAGAAACTTGCCCAGTGGCACCTTGACTAATATGTACGCGACAAACGGTTGAGCAACGAGTTGCACTAGGTAAACAACCGCCCCTAGCCAGGAATATTGCTGTCCATGGAGGTTGGCCGTTTTAACCAGACCAAAAATAGATGCGTACGAAAGGCTTGACTTGTCGAGCTGCTGCAAGAAGTATATTCCGAGAAGGATGGGTAGAAGCCTAAGGTCGATCTTTCGAAGCACCCGAGCGTTATTCTCAGCTGTCAGGATAGTAGAGCGCCCTGCATCTGCAATGAGTTCAAGAGCTCTGTTTTGTCTGGGCTCGATTGGGTCCTCCCGAACCCGGTTGGGGGTGTTTTCAACAGACTCTATTTGCTCATCTTGTGTAAGCTTTGCGGACGCTACTCTGTCATGGCTTGACATTATGCTTCGTTATCTTCCTCTGGAGCTATGTAAGTATGCTTGGATAACTCTTGAGGTGGATAGACCGTGTGAAACAAGATAAAGGAAGGACGCGCGATGTGTTTGGATGCAAGGGGGTCCTCCGACACATATAGACAATTGACAGGAGCGCGAAGAGGATTAAGACAAGGATCTAGGACGTCGGTGGCAAGGTGCCCAGATTTTATTGAGGCATACTTGCATGGATACGGGAAACCCCGTGGGGAAAACATCATCCCCAGTCCCGGACAAAACCCCCCCCCCTTAAAGGCCGATGCGGGAGCGAATCAATCCAGCCAAAGGCTCATTCTGCACACCATGGCGGGCTTAGTGCCGACCCGACGTGGACATCAATGCCGGTAGAGCATTACAGGGATAGTATAGTATGAGGGCTATCGGGTATAGTCCGAGGCTGCATCCAATAATTCCAATCGTACCATGGTCGTGTAGGACGAGAAAGTGCGGAGCAGAGAGATTAGCATCGGATTTCGGCTGAAAAATGCGGGGGGTTGAGGCAACAAGGATGATCTGGATGTGGGGCTAACATCTTTGTAGAGGAAGAACGGAGATGAAGCCGAAGTCCGATGTATACTGCCCTTGAGCATTCCGGGTCAAGGACATCATTCAAATAGAGCTTTAAGTCTGGGACCAGCATTGTGATTTAGAACAATTTTTCAACTGTATCCTCCCACACTCCTTAAGCTTTGAAGAATCCTGCACAATTATGCCTCAAAAAGAATTCTGTCCCAAGGGCTATCAAGAGACTCCAACGGAATCTCAGAGCCTCGCGGCCGTACAACTTCGTTCAGCCTCAGAAAGGCAACCTTTTGACTTTTCATTTGAACCAATCCGCAAAAATTTATTCCGAGTCACCTTTTCGTCTAAAGACCATCCTCTTCCCCCTTATCCAAGTGTGGCCAAGCCAGCAATAAACCTGGATGGCATTCATGTATCCACAAAGAGTGCATTACAACAGAAAACCATTGAGGTTGGGGATGTGATAGCATCTGTTGACTGGGCCAATACCCCAGTAGTATCCCTATCATGGAAGGGTGTTGGCAAGCCCCTGTACCGCGACCTACCCCTGCGTTCGTACGTAGCAGACGCATCGGGAGTTGCGCACTATACCGAGCACGACCGAAATGACCTACATGTTGGACTGGGCGAGAAAAGAGCCCCTATGGATCTCACTGGCCGCCATTTCCAGCTCTCAGCCACGGACAGCTTCGGCTACGACGTCTACAACACCGACCCCCTATACAAGCACATTCCATTGTTGATCAAGGCGTCCCCAGCGGGATGTGTGGCTATCTTCTCCACAACGCACGGCAGAGGAACCTGGTCTGTCGGCTCCGAGGTCGACGGTCTCTGGGGACATTTCAAAATCTATCGTCAAGACTACGGTGGTCTCGAACAATACCTTATTGTCGGAAAGACGCTCAAGGACGTTGTAAGGTCGTACGCAGAACTAGTCGGATACCCCATTCCCGTCCCTAGATGGGCGTACGGGTACATCTCCGGGGGGTACAAATATACTATGCTTGACGAGCCACCGGCCCATCAAGCGCTCATGCAGTTTGCCGACAAATTAAAGGAGCATGGGATCCCCTGCTCGGCGCATCAAATGAGCTCCGGTTACTCAATTGCCGAGGTTGAACCTAAGGTCCGCAATGTTTTCACCTGGAACAAATATCGATTTCCCAACCCAGAAGAGTGGATTGCCAAGTACCACTCTCGAGGAATTCGTCTCCTCGCGAATATCAAGCCATTCCTCCTCGCTTCGCATCCAGATTTCAAGAAGCTTGTTGATGGAAATGGGTTCTTCAAGAACCCTGAGGTCAATGAGCCGGGTTACATGCGACTGTGGAGTGCCGGAGGAGCAACTGGGGGGGACGGATGTCATATCGACTTTACTTCAGCATACGCGTTTAAATGGTGGTATGATGGGGTTCAGAGCTTGAAGCGCGTTGGAATAGATGGTATGTGGAACGACAACAACGAGTACACGCTTCCAGATGATGATTGGCAGCTGGCTCTTGATGAACCGACTGTCTCTGAAGCCGCCAAGAAGCAGGTTAAAAATTGCGTTGGAAACTGGGGCCGTGCGGTGCACACGGAACTCATGGGCAAGGCCTCCCATGACGCTCTGCTCAACCTGGAGCCCGACCAGAGACCTTTCGTTCTGACCCGGAGTGCTACGGCGGGCACGATGCGTTATGCAGCTAGCACGTGGAGCGGAGACAACGTTACCAGCTGGGATAGTATGAAGGGGGCGAATGCTTTGTCCTTGAATGCAGGTATCTCGCTTTTGCAATGCTGTGGACATGACATTGGTGGCTTTGAAGGTATGCCTCAGAAAGGCCCTGTGTTTGAATGGTGAAGACGAACGATTAACGCTTTATTTGTCTAGGACCTCAACCCTCTCCCGAGTTGCTACTCAGATGGGTTCAATTGGGTATCCACTCGCCTCGCTTCGCAATCAACTGCTTCAAGACTTCCCCAGGAAACAGCTCAGTCGGAGAGGTCATTGAGCCCTGGATGTACCCCGAGATTACACCTCTTGTGAGAGACACAATCAAGCGTCGCTACGAAATGCTCCCCTACATATACTCTCTTGGCCTGGAGAGCCACTTAACTGCTTCTCCTCCCCAGCGCTGGGTAGGCTGGGGATACGAATCGGACCCAGAAGTCTGGACAAAGGCACTCAAGTCAGGGGAAGATCAATTCTGGTTTGGTGACACTATCTTGGTCGGAGGTGTCTACCAGCCAGGCGTCAACATCGGGAAGGTATATCTTCCCCGAAAGGCAAATGACCAGTTCGACTTTGGATATGTGAACATGAACGAGCCCTACACCTACTTCGCTTCCGGGCAATGGGTCGAGATCCCATCCGAGTGGAAGAAGAGCATTCCCCTCTTGGCCCGAGTTGGCGGTGCAATCCCCGTTGGAAAGTCCGTCCATACCAGGGTACCTGGTGACGAAACTCCGGCATCTGTAGCTGTTGAAGAGATCGACGACTATCGAGGAGTTGAAATTTTCCCGCCTCGCAGCAGCTCCCATGGACAGGTTTTCAGCACCACATGGTTCGAAGATGATGGAATTTCGCTTAAACCAAGCATCTCTCAATACACTATCAACTATAGCTCGACCGAAGAGAAAGTTACGGTTGGATTCACGCGCGATGAGATGTCTGGGTTCGTTCCGGCCTGGAAAAGCCTGGATATCATCCTTCACTATGGCGATGAGAGACATGTTGTCTCAGATATCGGAAAGCCTGTTGAATATAAGGGCAAAGACTCTCGTGGGCGCGTGATATATACGCTCAAGAACTTGTGAATCCGGAAAGTTGCAGCTGACCTGCAGAATCTCGCCCTCTTTTGCTCTTGTACGTAGGAGCCAGCAATAAATGAAGTGACTATATCCTTATTGCCTAGCAAATTCATTTTTTTTTGTCGAATTATATGGTCCATTTGTCCGTAAGATAGAGCGGCTTACATTATAGTTATACACCTAGTTCTCGAAAAATTAGTAAAGTCCCAGGGGGGAAATTAATGATTAGAATCAACCAGTCTAATCACCTGCTATTGATTATGAGGTCGAGAAGCTCGCAACCAGGTCATCTGACAGACCCAGTAAGTGAAGGGGCCTGAAGCAAGGAAGAGGCAATATCATGGTGTTCGAATATATGACCGATGATGGCCGGATATAGGGCTGGATCTGGAAACGTTAACTCCGCCATTTATCATGAAAACCGATCAGTTTCATTCGAGAAGTCGCCACACAAACGGTAAATATATAAAGTGTCAACTGAGTCCCAGGATATATTGTATCAAGCAATTGAATGACAGAAATTTTTTCAAATCTCTACCTAATAATGTCCAAGCTTGTCATCTTCGGCGCCACTGGCCAACAGGGCCGATCAATCCTCGACACAGTCCACAACGACCCCAATCTTTCCAAGCAATACTCCATCCGCGCAATCACCCGCGACACTTCACAATCTGCAGCAAAAGAAATCGCTAAACAAGGAATCGAGACAATTCAAGCTGATGCCAGCGACCCCGCCTCTCTCCCAGCAGCTCTAGAAAACGCCCACACCGTGATCATAATCACCACTACCACCTACGATGCCGACCTAAAAGCACGAGAATACAGCCAGGTCAAGGCAGTTGGCGACGCAGCCGTCGCAGCAGGAGCGAAGTACATAATCTTCAGCACTGCAGTACACTCCGCGGCGCTCTGGAACGGCCGGGCTGTGGATGCGTTCGACTCCAAAGCAGAAGCAGAGGAGTACCTCCGATCGCTCCCTCTGAAGACTGCGTTCTTTGCACCGAGCATGTTCATGCAAAACTTGACGACGATGATGGCGCCTGTCCCGGGCCCTGATGGGACGTACACCATCGCTAGCGTCATTTCTCCAGATACCCAGATCCCTCTCATTGACGTAGCGCATGATTCGGGGAAGTATATCGCGGCCATCTTGGCTGATCCTGAGAATACAGCCGGTATTACTCTCCATGCGGCAACGGGGCTATATAGCTTTGCGGAAATAGCGGCCATCATATCGAGAGTCTCTGGGAAGACGGTTAACTATGTGAAGATTCCTGAGGAAGTGTATGCGGGTTTCATGGAACCTGAACAAGGAGCAAGGGTTGCTTCCATGATGCGATTTTTCGAGGAGGTTGGGTATTTTGGACCTAATACTCCGAAGTTAGTCGATAGGACGGTGAAGATGGTGAAGGCGAAGTTGACTACTTTTGAGGAGTTCGCTGGGAAGTACTTGGTGAATATTTAATGATTGTGCATATGTACTTCTAACCTAGGCTATTGACCGACAATACTTGGTAAAGCAGCATACAGGGCGTGATTGCGGTGTTTGACAGAAGTAAAAATAATCTGAAGACTATGCCACATATACCAACGGCAAGTGGCAAATTTACTATACGTAGACAATATGTAGTACTCTGAATGTTCTATATCATTGTTATCCGGTACATAATGCTAACCGCGCAACAAGGCTGTGTTCCAATCACCCATGCACGGAGATAGGATTTTCATATTTATTCAGACTATGAGATTTAAGACACAGACTCCTTACCAAACAGGGAATGATTATAGAATCAGCACCAGGATTCACGTAACGAAGGTATTGGTATACACAGATAGTAGAGACCCAGAGCTTGACGGTACAGCTATATTTGATTGGGGAGGATATAGTAGCTAGGATATGAGGAGCAGGAAGTCCTATCTCGTAATGTATCTTCAGTTGTACTTTAAATTTGCCTCTTCTAAGCTTGGAGTGGTCTTTAGAGATACCACTCTCATATTGATTGCCTGACCAATGACTACCTCATGACACGGGCTCTGCGAAGCGTGTACAAAACTCCCCATGAATCGAAAGGCAGCGCTCTAACATGCTTTGCCTCTACTCCTGACTTGGTACGTCGCTTGTCCTTTGGTCTCGGGACGGGAATGAACTTGTCCTGGGATGAAGCGCAGGCTTTGTTTCAAGGTATCATTTCCACTGCCACTGGTTGCCACTGGGCTGGACTTAAAACATTGGCTGGAAGGTATGGCGCGAAAACCACCTATATGAATGGACTGACGATGCGCAGCTCCAAGCTCTTCTGCCCAAAGAAGGATGCAATAGAGATTATAGTAGACCTAAAAGGGAAATTGAAGGACCACAGCCTCATAGGTTCGCGACTGGCTCGTGGACCGCCTGTATGAGGCCTAGTTTTGCGCGGGTGGTGTGCACAGTGCAGAAAATATATGTGTGCTAAGCATGAATCAAGAACCCACCACTAATGTCCACCTTCTTCAGAGGTATGTCTTACTATATGCTCTCTCAATTCTTGAGCCATTGTACTGATTGTTGTTTAACTAAGCGATGAGGGTTGGGAGAAGTCAATCAACGATGGACTCTCAATGGAATAGCGTTCAGACTTTATGTATCGAACAAGATGACGCGTGATGGACAATGTCCAGGACAGTTCACCGAGTGCACCCCCCTGCGATTCTATTTGGTTTCGTAGAAAAGCAGCATAAAGAATGGCCAAGCTTGAGGGGGACTCTGGGCTGAAAAATTCGATATTACGGAGGGTATATTCTACGCGGGCTTTGTATTTGGTTTTCTGATCCTGGAGACTCAATATGTCGTGACAGAGCACTTTCAATGTTGATTATGTGAGAACAGAGCTTGTAACAGAATCCTAGAGGGTTCTGCTTTGCACTTTTTGGAAACGGAGGGTTCATTACGGGGCTGTTGAAGATGAAGGTCTGAATGGGTAAATGGAAACAGAGGTACCTAATAGGACTCTTGTCTCTGCTCTTACTTAACACAACCTCATAGCTGATACGACTTACAACGATAATAGAATATGCAAAAAGAGGAAGAAAATATAGAATTGGAACCTATACCAAAAACAAAAATGTGGGGGATAACCCATATCGTCAGGTGTGGGGTCAATGACTCAATCGGCTATGTATTCTCGACCGGCTAGTTATATCCCCCTCATCCTTATTTCTCAATCATAGTACCTAGTACAAATCTCTTCATGCGAAACACTATAGCCTACACTCTACGAGAAACAAGCATACAAAGACCCACCAGTTACCGGTCTACAAAAATGTCGCAACCTAAACTCGCAATCCTAGACGACTACCAAAACATCTCCCCTCCCCACTTTGCCCATCTCGAATCCCGCATCTCAATCTCCTACTTCCCTGAAACGCTCGACCCCCGCGATGAACGCCAACGCGCACTCCTAATCGAGCGCCTCCAGCCCTTCGATGTGATCCTCGCCATGCGTGAACGTACCCCCTTCTCCAAGGAAACGCTCTCCGCACTCCCGAATTTGAAACTCCTCCTGACGACGGGAACCCGCAATCTCGCCCTGGATGTGGCATACTGCGCTGAGCGCGGGATTCCGGTCGCCGGAACCGCGGGCCGACCGGCAGGTATCCATTCTACGGTGCAACATACCTGGGCTTTAATCCTGGGGTTGGCGCGACACGTCGCGCGGGATGATGCAGCTGTTAAGCGTGGAGAGTGGCAGGGATCGCTTGGGATGACGCTGGCGGGGAAGACGTTGGGACTACTTGGGCTGGGGAAGTTGGGGTCGCAGGTGGGAAGGATCGCGCTGATTGCCTTTGACATGAAGGTGATTGCGTGGTCCACGAATCTGACGCAGGAGAAGGCCGATGGGCAGGCGGCGGCATTGGGGTTGCCGCCGGGGAGTTTTCAGGTGGTTCGGGACAAGGCCGAATTCTTTCGCAGCGCGGATGTGGTTAGCCTGCATAATGTGTTGTCGGAGCGGAGTCGGGGCATTGTGGGCGCGGCTGAGTTGGGGGCTATGAAACCGTCGGGTATTCTGGTGAATACGTCGCGGGGTCCGTTGGTGGAGGAAAAGGCCCTGTTGGAGACGTTGAATGCGGGACGGATTCGTGGGGCTGCGCTGGATGTCTTTGATCCCGAGCCTTTGCCCAAGGATAGCCCCTGGCGGACGACGGCGTGGGGTCAGGAGGGACGGAGTGAAGTGGTGTTGTCACCGCATACCGGGTATGGCGACGAACAGATTCATGGGTGGTATGATGAGGTGGCAGACAACTTGGACAGGTGGTTGAAGGGAGAGGAATTGAACACACGCTTGAATTGAAGGGCAATCAGTATGGAGTCGACGGAGCACTATTGAAGAGGCTAAAGGATAAGCGTGTGATGTTGTGCATGTGATCCGGATCTGTAGCCTTTTTGGTTTAAGGTCAGCTTCACCGGGTCCTAATTCGTCGCTAGAGCCGTTTTTGCAATGTACGGAGAGAAGCTTCGAGTTCGAAGAATAGCAGTGTGGGCCATTGGTCTGGAAGTGCGGTTTCATGTGCATTCCGCCATAGTGGGGGATCTCCGTGGGCCGTAATTAATTAAATAGTAGGCTGATTGATCGATCTCTGGACCTCGGACCTTGGGTCTGCGCAAAACCACGCATAGAATTCGTCCAGAAGATTGAAGACAGGTGAGATTCAAGGATTGAGAGTTCATGTGGCAGAAGTCAGGATTGATATTAATCCTCTCATACGATCTGAACATCAAGTGACGTACACGTGGTCTGCAAGCTTAAAGTCACCACCCCATGGTGATTACATAAGCCACTCGCCTGTTGAGCCGAGGCAAAACCCAGTCTAATCAATCACTTCAACAACACCAATCTTCAACCCTAATCTTACTGAAACTCCATTATCACGCATATCGGCACTTGATCTCGACACGTAGCCACCTTAGTATGTTCAATTATACTCTAGTAGATGAAGTTGTAATGGCGCCTAAACTAAATGGCCCCACTCATCTCCAGTCCATCTCTCCGCAGACAAGATCCTCGGTACAAAGGAAGACAGTCACGGCTGAATACGGAAATCTATAAATACAATGACCTCAACGACATCCCACTTCCCCCACCCCCACCACTCCGTCCTTAACTACGGCTCCTTACCCCTCCCTCACTCGAAATCCTCGCCTAAATTCTTCGGTGGTCGAAAGCACTCAATTCCTCCTCCAACCCATTCTCATCGAACCAGGTACTATATACACATACAAAATGGCCCCAATCGCCGTTCAGCCTACAACGGCTACCGCCTCCTCCACCACTACAACAGTCCTCCCAACCTCAATTGAGACACCTCCAACTCATCCTGACATTCTCCGGGTCGACCGTGGCACAAAGGCCTTTTCCTCCGGTGCTGTGTCCCTCGTCTCATTGCCCGCCGGCTCGCTCTTTGCCAAGATCACCACCGCGACTCCTTCCAAGAAAGCATACACCTCCGTGCAGACCGGCGCCAACAGCCACATCGAGCTGAACTCCGATCTTGTCTACTGCAACCACTCATGCAGCCCGACGCTGAACTTCGACATGGGCAAGATGGAAGTCCGGGTCGTCGATGATCGCGACCTGAAGGCGGGCGATCCGCTCACATTCTTCTACCCAAGCAGTGAATGGGAGATGGATCAGGCTTTCCAGTGCAACTGTGGATCTGGAGACGGCGTTTGCAAGGGGTGGATTGATGGAGCGAAGAAGTTGAGCCGGAAGGACTTGGAGGGGTACTGGTTGAATGGCCATATCGAGGAGTTGCTAAAGGAGAGAGACTCGTGATTTGACTACATGCGTTATAGAATTGATCCCGCTGACGAAGGTGGAAGCTGTACACTTGCGGATATTAGATACCAGACGATAGACAAAATCTCACTTCACTTATAGAATACTACTACTTCAGGAGTGTTATGTAAACCACGGTATTGATCTAGTTAGTAGTGTACAGCGTCGTTAATCATCTCATCAACTCGTGAGTCCGGTGGCCTTAATCTCATCCATCCTTCCCTGCAAAGCGGCCATCTTCTTCTTCATCGAACCCACCTTCTCCGCCGGTCTTGTAGTCAAAGCTTTCTGCACCTCACTGTGTAATCTCCTCACCTCATCCTGAGCGTCAAAGAACTCTTCATATTCCTCACTCTCCAAACATACACCATAACCCTCACAGTAACAGACCCTCTCATTCGGGCAATCCTCCGCCTGTCCTGTAAAGATCCACTGCCACAAATACTCCCACACCCGTCCCGAAAGATTATCATCCAAATCTGTCTCCATCAACCACCTCCGGTATGCGACATAGTCCATCAAGGGGACCTGCCGGATCGCCTCAGCACTAACCGCAAACTGACTGCAACACGGCTGCGCCAGCGCAGCCGGCATAGCTTCCTCCAGAAAGAGCGTCTTCCATGTATCCCCAATGACCACAGCCTCAGGCACGTCCGGATTATACTGCCCGTTGGCGAGTGCCGGGCGAATGCGAGCCGGGCAGCCGGGGTCGTGTTGACAACGCAGGTTCGTATATCCCTTTTTGTAAACGTAGTCGTTTCGCAGACGCCGCACCATCTCCGCCGAATCCATATTCAAGAGATCATTGTTGTGCCACGCGATTTGGTCCGAGTGCATGAAGATCGTCACATCGCTGAGCTGGAAATAGTGCTCGATGATGTAGGTCAGGTACACCATGACCTCGTGGCCTTTGTTCATCGGTACACTTAACAAAGTGTCATTCGTGTTCGGCGCGTCAACAGTGTACACCGCGCTCGAGAGCCGACCATCCTCTTCCGCGAGCATATCAACCCAGTTCGTATCCGCATCTCGCAGCTTAGCCACGACCAGCGTGCGCGAATTCGCCCTTTCCACCGGGCGCGGCACGGAAACAAGGCGATAGACATTCCCGCCCCGCCTGTGTGCAAAGAAAAGTAAAAGTGAGCCAAAGATGAAAGCCAATGCCGTTGCGCCAGGGACCCAAGCTTGTGACCGACGCATTCGAATCAGCAGCATGGTGACGAGGCGATTTCGGTATATTTTTGTACCCCTTCCTCGTCCCTTACAGAGTGCTGCTGCCTTTCTAACATTGTCTCTTTTTTCTTTTTTCTTTTTTTTTTCTCGTGCGGACGGGGGTTGTTGCGCGACCAGCAGTTAATAAAGGGTCCGCGTCCAAGGCTGAGTTTTAGGGTGTCCACTGTGATCGGCACATAGCCTCGTTTTCTGGTAAGCGCTATGGCTGTCGATCAGCGGCTCCCCCCTGTTAGGGATTGCGCACCGCGAGGTATGCTGTTGGTTCGGCTGTGCAGAGGGTGGAGATCGCCATTATTTGCTTGCCTGGTGCATACGTAAACTTCTCGGGGTTACATGGTTTACCTTGGGGGTCGGAATTAGCGGACCATGGGAGGGTCTGTAGGGCTTCTTCAGAGTCTTGTCAGATGTATTGATGCATTTGCGCAGTAGGCAACAGTTTGGCTAAAAATAACATGCATGAAGATATGTGGGTGTTAAAGCAGAAAATTCAATATTTCTTTTGATACCATAGTACATACTCATAGCTCAAATATCACCAGTAGAGGGACAGATTTAATCATACCATATATCTCATCAATGATGAGGAAATCATCGAGAAATCTCCGTGTCCGTAATCAAGTCCAAGGTTAGAGAGCTTCGAAACTCTCACCTATATCTTGCCCCAGCCCTCTATTTCCCCGTTTTCTTTTTCCCATTCACATACTCCACGGCATTCCTGTCCAACAGCCCCGAATCAAACAGCGAGGAAACAGCATCCGACCTGCGAAGCTCTCCATAGCATATACAGCCCACAATCGACAGTCAAAAGCCAACGCTTTTTCCCTGTCCGGATCATCAATCTGACAGACCGGTGTCTCATCCAACCCCCCTTCAACACCCTCCTATGAGAGAACTTTTCCAATTACAACGCAAGCGAACCATCGCGGCTCCTGATTGAGACCGTGGATCACAGCTCTCTCAAAGTGCCATGGTTGGCAGATCTGGCCGTTGGTACTTTCAATCGTGTATCTTAACGTGGTATTTAGTTGCCGGGAAAGGATTCATAGATTTGTTCAGCTCCGTGATCTTAGGGAGATTAGTAGAGCAGAGTGATAGCTTCCCGAGTGCTTGGGCCTTGCATGGAGTGTTAGTAGAAGGCGGGGTTTATTTCGCTGGACAGCTAACGGACTGACTGCTAAATGGGCTATAAAGCAGCTGTTACAGCGAGAGTTGGTTTATGCTTTCGTGGCCCTGCTGACGCGGCCTTTGGTTTAGTCGTTCATCCTTGGATTTAGCCCTTGTTAGGGTAAGCTTGGCGCCACGAACCCCCTGTTTAGGCTGAGAGATTCGTCGTTGCATGCAGATCCCCCTGTATATTTACGCCGGTTTTAAATCGACTCCCAGTATTCATGGATATATGGCAGGTCCTCCTGCTCTATTTTAACCTAATTCGGCTCGTTTAGTCTTGATCATTTATGTGTACCTCCACAGCCTAAAACATGTCTAGTGTGATCGGCAGAATACCATGCATACGTACGCACAGAAGTCACACATATAAGGGGTAAAAGCATAACGTCCCCAATGCCTCATCAGTCCCAAATGTACTTGACAGCGATCTTTAAATATGCTTAATCTACCTCTAATTTCCAAATCCAACCAGTAGTCTATCCCTCTATGCCAGGAACCCTCTACCCCCATTCCTCACATACTTATACACAAGCAACATCCAACACCCATTTACAACCCTTACCCTCCCCCTCGAAAGAAAAGAAGCCTCACACCTGCGCCCTCCCCCAAACATCCCCTCCAGAAACAACCGTACTAACAACCATTGTCACTCCCACCATCAACTCACTCACATTCATCCAACCCACAAACACCCCTGGAATCAATAAATCACACCCATCAACCACAATCCTCTTCACCAGAGCCCTTCTCTCGGCCCTATGCCGCTCATCGCCACGCGCCACTTTCACGGCATTCTTACCACCCTTCTTGTTCCCATTCCCCCCAGTCTTTCCCGGAGAAGGAGAAGAAGTAAACAGTAACCCCCAGACAGCCCCAAAAATAGATAGTGAAAGCGCGTAGAACCAGAACTTGTACGCTTCGACCAATACAGGCATGTTCCAGGAGACATGGTAGACGTTCATGGCGTGGAGCTGCGGGGTATTAGTCAGTAAACTCAAGTGTTTCTTTCTTCTTATTGTTCTAAGTCTCATTGTGACTTTGTTTTACTCTTTCTTTGAGAAAGGGGAGAAGACGGGAACTTACAATAGTCAAATCCTCCAATACAAAATATAACCCAAGACAACTCCACCGTCCGATCTCTACCAATGTCATGAAGGGCCCCTGTCCTCCGCCTCCTCCTCTTCCGCCAAGAAGATCATAAACGCGATCGAAACAGTCTATAAAAGCGAAGAAGCGGAAGAAGCGTCTTGCTATTTCATTCAATTTTATTAATATTTTTGCCCGGTTTGTCTAATATTATATAGAAAGGATACGGAAATTAAGGAATTAGAGGGTTAGAAACTTACTCAGGGCTAATTGCGACTTAGCGGTCCCCCATTGCGTCGTCGACGTTGGGTCGGTATCAAGTTCGAGGACGATCTGGGCGAGGGATTGGATTAGGCGGAGGGTTTTTTCGAGGCCGGCGGTTGTGCGGGTGAAGTTTGAGAATTGGTTGATTAGACTTAGTGTTGGGGTGGAGGTTTTGGCTACCATTTTTTCCCGAGGTTTTAGGAGGTTCTTTGGAATGGGATGAGATGTTACGTCCAGGGGTAGGTTTTGGGTTTTAAGTGGTCTATCTGGGGTTGGCGCTATATCTAAAAGTTAGATCTTGGGGTGATAAGATGAGGATAGCTGTTCTTATTGGTAAGCTCGGCCGACCGAGCCGTAGCTTTTGTTAGTGATGCCGAGCGGCACTTGTTCCGTTAGTAAGTAGGGGGTAAATAAGCGCAATTCGACGTATTGCTTCAACTTATATACATTAGTAAATCTTTTCTTCCCCTTCAGTTGTTTCAGGGCGCTCCGTTCATTTCAGCTAAGAGAGTAGTTTATTTATCAGACGTCTCAAAGACCCACTGTATACAGCTTCCGATAGGTTGGTCTAGTGGGAAACTCCCCTTCCCCCAGAGGAAGTCCCATGGGATCTTTTAATCCTACCGATTTCTAGTTAAATTAACGCCTCCGAGAAAAATTTTAGACACACCTAAAATACTAAGTGTCACTTGAGCCCCTCCCAATGCAATTCTGCTACGATAGAAGATAAAAGAGGTAACCAGATGGCCTCTATACTACACCTATAATTGCTTCTAAGAGGTTAACTCTTTTAAAACAGAGGCAAGCAAGTATGGACTAAAGAAATCCAGATAAGCATAGTTGTGTAATACTATACCACCTATATATCTGTACGATCACGAGACCATTCTCATTTATACCACCTAGTAATACTCATAACACGATCGCATCACCTTTAGTACGGAACATATTATAATACTAGTATTTGTTGACCGAGTAACAAAGGCATCTCTTAAATATTTGTTGGGCAGAGGGGTACATAATAAGTATAATCATTTGAATATGCAAAAACAGGTGTAAATAACAGTATTTTATGTGGGTGAATCAGCAATTTTATGCGTCATCGCGTACTATGTTGTGGACACTGAGTAGGAGGAAGTATAACATGGTTGGGGTTATTCCTTGAAACACACCGCGAGAACAGTGATCTCTTCATAAAATAATATATGGACGCAATAAAATTTTGTTCAGGGATCAAAAGTTGTAAAAAGGAAGCAATGATGCGTATACCATACGTATAGTGGAACGAAGACAAGAGGCCCCACCGGCAGGCATCACAGCTGACGTTAACCCTTCACTGCCTGGTATATACAACTATAAAATATGCACCTCCGGATTTAGATGCTACATATCAGTCATTCTATCAGACCTATCAGAGAAAAAGATGGCACTTGAACTGTATACAGATCCACGCCTTCCTTGTCCCCAACGAGTCCACTTGGTAGTGTTGGAGCTCAGCCTGGATGTTACTGTCCACAGAATCTCTCTTGAAGAGAGACAGAACAAGGTCAGGAGTGTTTCGTTTGTTATTTCCCGTGGGATGCGACTCTTAACTTTATCGTTTTAGGAGCAAGACTACACTAATCTCAATCCTTTCGCCACCCTGCCCTGCCTGAAAGACTCCTCTCATGATCCGCCGCTCGTTGTCTACGAATCCAGGGCCATTGCACGTTATCTAGCCGCTCGTTACGGGCCCCATTTGCTACCTAATCCTGAAGATTTCTCAGCTATAGCCAGGTTCGAGCAAGCAGCAAGCACAGAGGTAGCCACGTTTGATCCGGTCGCGAATCGGCTTGTCTTTGAAATGATCTTCAAGCAGTATGTCTGTCTTGCACACTCCTCAAGCCCATTTTAATATCTTACCTGTGAATTGCTTCATGATGTGCGCGAACTTTCAGAGCTGACAGTCAGCAAGGTATTTCAAGCCGAACGACCCGTTGCCCGACAGTAAGCTGGTTGAAGAACTACGGTCAAGGCTTGACGAGATCCTGAATGTTTTGGATATTATTCTAGGAAGGCAGACCTACATGGCTGGAGAGGTATGTCTATAGACGCTCATGGACCATGGTACTATGCACAAAGGCTAATGCCCTGCTATAGAATTTGACTGTTGTAGACCTGTTTTACATGCCATATATCCACCATCTGCATGAGACAGTATGGCCGGGATTCCTAAATGCGAAAAAGAATATAGCAAGGTGGTGGGAGAACCTAAAGGAGAGGGAGTCTTATAGGGCATTAAACAGCTCTTGATTCCGCAGGTGTCACATTTATACAGCAGTTTAGATATTTTACTGCGTCTGTGACAATCAAATTACAAGATATGTCCCGTCATACAAACAATGGCGTCGTTATGGGATCCAGAATAGCTAGATGCCTTAGATTCCCCGTACAGGTATATTGTCCTTTGGGAGGCCTTTATCTTTCCAGGAAGGTGTTTTAAGACTGAGTTAAATAACGGGGACGATATGTGGTACTCGAATATCACGTAGTTTAGTGTAGTGCTTTTGGGGAGATGATTATGTTAGACTTATATTTATGTACTTATGTTCAATTGGGGCTCTTTTTAAATTTCTTTTGTTCCCCCTTCGGTGTCCTCTTCTGAGTTCCTAGTTATAATTTTGGAGTCCCGGGCAGAATTCATATCTCTGTCCCAGATAATCAAGAAGCACAAGCTAGCTCCTTCAACACCGGGCAATCTATCAGACATTCATCACCTACGTACATCCCAAACGCTTTTTCTTTTCAAGACCCCCAATCTAGTTCTGCATCAACGCCCAAAAGGTAGCGGAGATCTTGGGAAAGTCCCAGAAATCCCTCCCAGTCCGCAGAGGCCATATCCACAGAGTTGAAACTGGTGAATAGCCCGTCCGTTTCTCACTGTACGATCGAGATCTCGGTGACCTTTTCGCTCGAATAGCCTTACAAATATCGACTCATCCTCGCCAAGGTGGTTCGCTCCATCGTAGAAATCAGAAACAGGAAGAAGTAGAATTGGAGAACTGAAAGCGTCTGACTTTGTATCTATGTGCGCCCATTCCCAATCGATAATTCCTGTAGTATAAAGTCGTCGTCGACGAGTATATGGTCTCCTTTGTCTTCTATGTGTTTTTAATTAAACCGACCCGTCAGCATCGTCGGGACAGAGATCAAGACTTGGAGAAAACGATGGATTAGATACGCATCTACCAGTCTATTCGTGTAGCACTTTCCTCTCATTATCAGGTCTAGCATCAGCTGATGCTGGCTTGGGGGTAGTCTCTGCGGTTTTTGTAAGGGCCAAGAGGAAGCATGGAGCCATCATCATAATCCGTCAGGGACTCTCTGGCATAAAGCCTAATGTGATCGGGGTTCAGTTGGTCAAAGGATTCCATGAGGTCAAAAGGGGGTTTGCTCAGTTCGATGAATATGTCTGCCAGCTGACTCATGACTCTCTCTCATAGCTTTGGAGACGTAAGAGACCATCGCAATGACTTTCCAGGCATTTTCTCTAGGAGAATGTATCCGATACCAACAGCATCCTCACCCTCAATGCTATATTCATATACCTTCGGAGTCGGAAAATGGTGGCATTGAATCTTCGAATGCGTGCTAACCAGCTTCTCCCATCATCGAATTGGATTTCAATGGGATAATTCATGCCTTCCACCACAGACGAGCTAATAGACGCGTCATATTGAAGAGGTCGTGGTATGGAAGAGGGAATACCGTTGCGCAAATGGCTTGTCCTCGACAGAAGAGCAGTTACGTTAATTCTTTTCAGGAGGCTAGTAATTTCTTTGCGCTCTGCTTCCCCAGCAGGGGGATCATACGATTCCTCGTCTTTGATTTCTAATATTAATCATTGAAGTAAGACATTTGAAGGAGCCGTCTGACTCACATCCCACCTAGGGCATGAGTGGCACTTAGGGCTAAGATGCTCCGCGCAGAGATGACGATCACATATGATGCATTCTCCATAGGTGCGTACAGAAGGTTTGTCACAGCTGTTAATATCACATTCCCACATCGTCTCGATAAGTCCGCTCTCGTCGAAATGGACGGCAGGTTGCAGCGAATTCAGAAAAGTGGTCTTTGATAGCGGCGGGTTAGTTAGCAGTTGATTAATGACTGGGGAAGGGCTACCAGGTATGTCGACTGCGTCTGCTATAAGGGAGAAGATGACGCCCTGTTCTCCTGAGAACAGTGGTAAGGAACATCCTGGGGTTCGAGCATAGAAATATTAAGATTGGGACTGGATTCACATGTGAGTAGGAAGGCTGACTGTCCTTATGTGATATTAGTTGTGATTACTCGTTATATGGCCCTTGTTGTCTTGAATCCTGTGTCACACACAGCTTGTTCAAGTGAGACTAATCGCTGAGGGGGCGGCAGGCTATAAGTAATGGCTGTTGAAATGGGAGACAAATGTAAAACTTGGCCACTACAATCACCTGTCGTTCCGACCAGCTGCAGGTTAGGAATATAATAGAGTTGAGTCGTCCGAGGCTGCGAAGGTAGACGCCGAATCAATTAACTTCTGCGCGAATTGTTGAACAGATTTGCAGATTAACACAAATATTTTCTAAAGTCCGGGGCTTCGATAGAACAAGGTCAGGCATTAAGAGAGATGTAACCATGATTCACTGAGGTGTATGGCGTCTTCAGTTTATAGGCAGTTCCATTGTTAGTGCTTCATCTGAGACCCGAAGCTGTTGCTAGCTAGAGAGATAATTCAAGTTGAACTATATCGTGTTTATTTTAATTGAATTGCCAATGTTGAGTCAGACTGCCATGGCAAGGTAGGAATTAACACCCCTTTTACCCAGGTCATGCGAGGTCGTTGTTGACACTTCATCTACTGAATCTGATAGAGGAGAACGGTCATGACATGATAAGATTATCGGTTCTCAATGCGAACACCAACCGGGCGGGCCTCCATTGGCTATTTAGAAGGACGGGTTAGACATAGTACAGTAAGCTTTACTCACGAGCTGGGAGTAGGCATACTTCATCATCCCTTCGCAATAGTACAATATAGGAGACTGCCTTATGAAAGTATGTGCTAATTATGCAAAATCAACTTAGAATGAATCTGTCTAGTCACGCTAACGATCAATCCACATACATGCCAGCATATTATCGGAATCCCTTCGGCATCTCACCGCCCCTTACCACCAGAGATATCCTGTCCCAGTCGGTATCCTCCGACCTTCTCCCATTCCACCTTCTGGCGTGTGATGGGCAGCTGTCTCCGCAGACCCTTGAATGCGCCCTCGGCCATTTGCACGAACGCACGGTTAAGGTCCTCCTGGTAGTCTCGCTCTGCGGTGGCAATGCGGGAAATGATGCTCTCGGCGGAAAGGGAGGAGACGGAGAGGTTAATAGGCTTATTCGTGTTCAGGGCCACATTACCATCCTCATAGTAGTGGACATCAACCTGGATCTTTCCGGTCACAGTCGTGGGCTCCGAAACAGGGACCTGGTAGACAGCACGGAAGCGACCGTTCCTTGAGAAACAATCCAATCAGCACCATTATCCCAACGAAACACCCCCAAACTATATCCAAAAACTGACCAGAAGTTGTTAGGCGAGTAGCGGTTCGCAACAAGCACAATAGCCACTGCCGAATCGTTTTCAATGGGGTATACACCATACGAGGAATTAGGATAGTGCTCAACAGCGTGAGCACAAATCAACTTGAGTAGCGATTTGCTACGATCCTCATTAGTAACGGCCATTATAATCCGGATTCCACCAACTCACATCAAGTCCGCATTCTGCGAGTCCAGTACGTACGACTGCGCTGCGGAGGCTTCCTGAAGCCAATGTCAGCCTAGTCCCGCCTAGATAACCCCACCCAAACAGCCATACTTGTGTGACATGGTCGACTTCGAACGACGTCTGGCTCTCGACGTCAAAGTACCGGTTTCCCTCCAACTTGTTGAATTCGCTGATAAGGACCTTTGCAGTTGCCTTGTCAGACATAGACTCTTCAAGCGAATGTATGGTCAGCCCACCTCCTGATTCGCTCCGGGCAGCTTCACCGTCGCCAGTTGCGTCTCATTGTATCGTTCAAAGGCAGGGGCTAGAGAAGGGATGATATCGGGGGTGTCGGAAGTGAGGGTTTTCACATCTGTTTGTTCGGCACTGTTTAGCATTTGGTTCAGATTCCTCGGTGGCTCGTCCGGTGATGGTAGGTGTAATCGGGAATGCGGGGAACAGTCATTATAACAAAAAAGGGCAAAATACCGGCGACAACGTCGGCGAGCTGAAAGCTATCATGTTAGTTAAATGTCGAGAGTATATGATAGAAGTTGAGCTTGGCTGAGAGGCATACCTCGCCTGGCGGGGCACCCTCGATGAACGAGGAAGCGATGTCAATCGTAGATGCCATGGGTGATCAATACTAAGCCAGTTGGGAGGGGTTTGATTGAGGTAGTCTCTTCAACGTTATCAAAAAAAAAAAAAAACGGCGAAAGAATAACTGCACAGCCAAGTAAACGTTTGTAGATGAACAACGAGCTCCTGAAACTGGTGTGCTTCCCCAGTGTCAACAGCGGGAGCTTTAGCGCCATAAGCGCCCCGCACCTCGCATGTGGCCAGTCGGAATGAAGAGCGCGGCTATTCTCCTTTTACAACCCTTTCGCTACGTGAGGTATGCAATTGAAAAATGACTATGTACTTTGATTAGGAGTTATCTGTAAGCTGAATGAAGACAGTGCTATAACAATAAAAAGTTATTAATACCCTGCCACAGGGACCCACTGGACGCCTTAATACGTAATTATCAAAAGCATTTCCAACACCCAATCCCATATATATATGACCGCTCCACGCTAATATGAACACAGAAATGTGAAAAAAAAACCCCAAAAAAAAACCTTGAACGAAGACCACGAGTGGTGTCACGAGGAAATGAGACCGGCCCGTGCTGAAGAGCGCTTGGATGTGACTGTGTTCAGTCATTCAATACTCATGTTCATGAACCCATCGTTCGTTTCGGTCATCCCTTGCAAACCGACCCGCTTCATATGACCTGCATGCCCGGTCGTGGATGGATTCCGATTACTGCTTTCGGTGCTTGGCCGGTCAGGGAAAAGGGAGCCAATATTAGATTTGGGGGGACCCCAAATGCTGGTGCCTGTCTCCCTTACCGCGGGTGAATTAGGCATGACTGGGCTGCTTTGCACACTCATGCTCGGGGATACAGCTCGTCGCTTGAAGAGATTAGGGTCAAAGTCGTCGTCACGGCGCCGTTTCCTTTTGAACTCGAATATCGAGCTAGGCTGCGTTGCAAGAGGCGTTGAACAACGTGAGCTTGGCCTTTCGACGGGTTTTGCAAATTCAGACACGGAACCTCTTGTGGTTGATGGCGTGATATCCATGGAAAGATCATCCTCGGAGACCGAAGTTCCCATTTGTCGAAGAGGAGCCGGAGGTGGAGTGCGATAGCGTTCATCAAAAGAATCCCAGAACTCCGCGCCAGCAGAGTGTCGGTGGGCCTCCTCGCTGAAACTAGGCTCATCAGGGACCGAGGTTCCAGTCTTCGCAGGCAAATCATCCAAGCCCCGCGCCAGATCAGCTGGCTGGAAAGGATTGCTTGATGACAAGGCATCTAAGCTTGGTGATTTTTGCGGAATATCCGGCTCGCTCTCGCGGACCTGACGAATGACCTCTGCCTCCCGCTTCGCTTCACCCTCGATAGGGGCTGCTTCTTCCATAAGTGCAGCGCGGATACGCGCGAAAGTCTTCGTTTTCGGCTAGAAGAAACTCGTTAATAAAGGTTCAAGTCACCTTCGGGCGGAAGAACATACCAGTAAGTTACCTCTGCGCGTTACAGCACGTCGAATCACCCCCAAGGGCCCACCCTCAGAGTTTGAGGTACTTGGGCTGTTGCCGCGGTTTTCTCCTTCGTCACTCAGATCAGAGAGACGAAGATCACGAGTGCCCAAACTCAAACTTTCACGCCGAGCACCTATACTAGAACGCGATCCAAAGTAACCATTCTGGTTTTCAATACTCTTCACCACAGGCGGAGAGAGTGGGCCAGGGCTCTGTTTCGAGCTGTTTCCGCTAGCACTGCTGGAACTGTGTCTGCTGCGTCCTTTGCGGAAGCGAGCACGTTGAAAGCTCATGAGGCTTGCCGCAGCCTGTGAATAACCACCCATCCAATCGTTGCCCGGACTGGACACATTTCCCACCGCAAAAGGACTCATCCCACCACCCATCTTGTTAGCTTGAGGTGTGTTCATTATCATATCGTCCCGATCATTACCCATCGGTTCATCGTCTTCCTCACTGCTACTAGTATCTGATTCCATCATGTTCACGCTAGATACAGAGCTTGAAATGGCCGTCCTATCCGCTGGCCCGGACGTAGAAAATGGGGGTACTGACGTTGACCCAATCGAACCACGGCGTTGGGGGATTGTCATTCCTCGTCCACCAATGGTCGGTGAGGAGTCCGGTGATGACTCGGCAAGAGTAGAGTGATGAAGATTAGTACATGCGCGAGAGAAGTCGAGGCCACGAGAGCGCCGAGGAAGAACGGAGCCCGGAGAGCCGTAGATGTGAGACGAGTCAAGCTTTGGGGAGAGAGGAGCACGGCTCGATAAGGACGAGGGTCCGGAAGGTTTCGAATGAAAAGTTAATGGAAAGCCATGCATAGAAGGTCGGCGGGGCGTTTCTGGGAGAGATGAAAGGGAGTTGTCATCTTTGCTCGATGGCCGCTCTTCTTCGGAGTTGGAACGTGCAGATGTAGGTTTTGGCGCGTCGGATAAAGACCGTGACTTGGGTGAAGGGCGCAATGGCGGTCCAAGTGAAGTAGACTTCCCTGAAGATTCCGTATCGGTCGCCGATTCACATTGTTCCTTCCGTTGCGATAATTGTTCACTTAGTTTACTTGCGAACGGCAGGGCCGGCACACTGTGCGATATGGTTGATGAAGTAGTCGAAGATGTCATCTTGTAATTGAATGGTTGGCTCCAACACGTGTCAAATCCGTGTAAAAGTGAAATCAAAACATGATGAAGTCTTCCACTACAGATATCTGGCGGCGGTTAACTGTCTGATATGGCAGTGTCAACGGGTGTAAGAGGCGCGAGGAGAAGAGGACGACAGGAATAGGATGGTTTTGCAATTGTCGGTATAGATTTTGTAAAGAGAAAAAGCTGAGAAAAAACAGAAGTAGAAGAGGAAGCAGGTAAATAATATACCCAGATCAAAAGGAATCCAAGAAGTTATACATTAGATGGGATGGACATGGAGTGTCCTGGCTCTTGTTGCGCTGACGTCCTTTGCCGCTTGGACTCGGCGAATCACACTACGCGCTGCCCCTCCTCCTGTCTGGGAATTCTGATTGGCCCGTAATCCATGTCACCACACCACTGGGCGATGATACTACGGGCTAAGATCATACAACTTGTTGAATTAAGAAGGGTTTAGATACATAACAACATAGGAGAGAATATATATCCCAAGAAAAATGTGCCATGATTCCAAAATAAACTCGTTTCATCGTGACAGTTGTACCCATATCATGCCAAGCTCATGGCAGTACTAATTGGCGCAACATACCATTCCCAATCGTTACAGCTCGTCGTGCCATCCAATGAATCAACAGAGAAGCCCTTGAGCATGTCACTATCCCTGGCCTGCCATACCTTGACAATGACTGCTCTCGTGCGCGCAACATTCGAGACACTTGATTCAGCCATTGCGGCCAATGCACGTAATACAAGAGGCCGGCCGTGCACAATCGTCTCACCATCGGACCACACCTCATCGTGCGCCGGGTCGAGTTCCACCGCCGCCACAAAAATAGGCCACGTCATACTGACTAGGGACCCAGAGTCGAGTAGATCCGAAACTAATCGTAGAATCTTCCGAACGTAACTAACAACCAACGGAGTAGACGGTGAGGCTCCATACAGAGCGCAGTGCAGGTATAATACCGCAGCTAATCGTTTCAGCTCCGCAGCAGATTGAAGAGTTTGATCCTCATCGTCGGTGATTTCCTGGATCAAGTTCTCAAGCTTGTGGCCCAGGGAAGCAGCTCGTAGTGAGAATGCTGTGTGAGCAGAATCGGACGAAAGCTGCCGTCTGGTCCGACTCAATTCGGTGATAGAAGACAAGATAGAGACAAGTTCCGGGCTACAACCCATCCATAAATCGATGTTACGCTCGTTCTCTTGCCAGTAGTCACTTCCAAATAAAACTTCCTCGCCGCAAGCAGTACGGCCCATGACATCTTGAAAGGCGAAGAATAATTCTGCAAAAGCTGTAACTGGGTCTTGTACATGACGAGACTTGGAAAGGGCCATCCGTTGCCTTCGGAGACGGATCAAGTCTTTGGCCCCTTTCAAATGGATCGTCCAGCGTTCATCGCAATTATCCACGATTTCATAAAGACACAGCATCATCATGATGGCCAGCACTTCAGGGTCAGTGGAGCAACTCAAGGATCCCTCAGTCGCAAGCCGGTGACGGAGGCCTCTCAAAGCTTCTGACTTGAGATGGAGCCCTGTGACGCTGTAGGACGCATCGAATCGAGACCAGTGACAAGCACCTAGTGCTTGGATTGCCTTGAATAAGATCGGTGATGCAGATAGACAGAATGGAAGAATGGCTGACGCAAAAGGCGATGACAGTTTCGAGCTAGCGGTTGTACGGGGGCACACTTGTTGAAGATAATAGTCAAAGAGGTGTCCCTGGTTTTGCCCATTGACATGGGGAAATAACGGTAAAGAGGTCGCAAGTTGGGGCAAGAATTGTAAACTTGGGCCATAATTTGTGAGATCTACTTGCGCACGCCAGTTTGGCTTTACTTCGAGTCTTCCTTTCCCCTTGTCGCGAACCACGACCGCATTTAGTTCATCACATGCCACGTTGACTTGGCCCGGTTGTTCGAATGTCGACACACCGATATTGACGAACCCCCAGGATTCAATGAGAGGAATGTCGCACCATTCCTGGTCGTCATATGAAAGGAACGCCGAGGGAGGCAGTGTCTTGGACTGAGAGCCCGACTTACTCCAAACGCCAGCTCGACCGAAGGCAAGCCCTCGGCTCGCAAACTCCGACTCCCATTTCAGGACCAGTTGCGTTGAACAAGCTAGGCCCCTCTCCCGGCACCTGGAGCAGACCGGCTTTTGTGTGTCACAGCGGACTCGACTCGCGCGGCACTCTTTGCAGCCGCTACGGCTCCGGGTCTTGACCGGACCCACGCGGTCTGCAGCCTTTTTACGCGGCATCCGATAGGAGGAAACTTTACATGGCCTGTCTCTCGGGTAAGATCAACCTCCTAACTCCATCAATATGCCGATGAGCAGGAGCAGCGTCGCTATAAAGAGACTGTAGCTTGACTCACTCAGCCCAAGAGGCTTGTGGCAAATAAGGTCTGAACCTGAAACAAATCAATGGCTGTGTATTTGAGACTAATGATAGGTGGCCAAGACAGTGAGGAGATAAAGATAATCCTGACTAGGTCTATTATGACAAGAGGAACAAGGCTTATCGAATCGAGAGCAAGTTTTTGTGGACCGGACTCGCAATTGATAAGGCCAAGAGTGGAATCATGTGGTATCCGCTGTTCATGCAGGTTTCCACCAATAGGACCACCTTTCACCGTCCCCGCGGGGAAATCCACGCTTATTGGCCAACACTTTCTATTTGCTCTGCGATGCCTGAGACTGCGATGTATGGATACAGCAACACGTCGTTACAATATTTGTGGGCCTAGTCCATTTCCAACATGTTCTAGGATCCGTGATATTGACTGTCTCATACACAGTCCTCACGACCAAACCTTCTCGCCAAAGGTCTGATTCGGCATTAGCTCTAACCACGGAGTACCTTTGCTGTCAACCGTTCCGCTATTGACATTGTTTCCCCACCAGCTAAAGCTTACTCCAGGGAGCACTAATGAAAAGAAAATCAAGATAGCAGAGACTGCGACCCCGGAGTCAAGGGCCGCTGATAGCACATAGTTGTATTTGGCCCACCAATTCGGTCTGCGACCTTTGATGATCTATGGATTATTAACAAGGCCACCGGGAGGACATATCTAGTAGGACTCTTCTCGATAGACTTACCTTGTTGAAAACTAAACTAACCACAAATGCTGTGGAATAGTTGATACCGGTCTGTAGGCCATCTGTTAGTGAAATCTATCCAAAGTGCTCTCGAACGTTACTTACCGCCGGTGGTAGGTTTCCCGTTCCGGCAAAGAAAATTGGCCAATGAACCGCGTTCAGCAAGCGGTTATTGGGGAACTTTTTCTGGAGGAAGAAGGTAATTATGGGGAGCGATGCACCGATCCAGAACATGTGTAGAAGTCCAGAGTACCTTTGCCCTATATTGTACAGTCGGGCGGGTCCAATCGCTGACAGCAGATGTCAGTGACATGTACTGGTCATAGTGGGACATACTATCCTTACCTCCCCAAAATACCGCACTGTTATAGTTAACTCGCCCTTGAGGGCAAGTGAAGTTGTCGGGCTGATCACTTGAGCATACATCCTTGACGTGTCCAAGCATCCACAATAGAACGCCATCTATCATTGAGACAATCAGCACAGTCGTTCGTGATTGCTGGTCTGCTTCTAGGACTTACTTTGGGTTAAGGTGCCGAGAATGCAGGCAACGAGCTGTGCGGCAAACAGTGTTCGGCGCGGAATCTTCATGTACAGACCGAGCTGTGGATTCGAGAAAGGCAATTAGCGAGAGACATGCAAAGAGAGAGCTCAGCACTATCATACCTTCATGTCAGCACCGTAATACATTGCTTGACTGAGACCGGTGTACGCATAGAACTAATCGGTTGGTCAACGCAAGTCTGATCAGAATGGAAGGTATGAATCCAACCTTGAATATCAGAAGGACTAGCGGCTTTCCCGTGAGAAGGTACCCGGAAACAATTTCACCTAACACGGTCAAAACATTGGCGTTTAGGTTCGCTACGGCATACACAGTCCCAACAGGGATCACATAGAGTGCGGCCAGAGCGAGGGTAATGAAAAGACCCCAAAAGGGAAGTCCTGTGTCCCAGACATACTGGACCATGATGGCAACAGCCACGACGATGGCCTTTTCAAATTAATTACAGTCATTGGTCTTTGCAGCGATTGGCCATTACTTACTGTCAAACCTGCATACCACCACCATGCAACGTCAGGGTAATGTGAAAGCAACCGTGCATGGATGTCCTTCTTATTTTGACCCCTGAAGGTGTCGATAATATCTTTGGTGTGATGAAGGGCCACATGAGTCAAGAGACAGCTCAGGACGGCGAACCCGACCCCATAGCTCAGTGCAAATGTGACAGGCAAGAAAATGGGACTATAGCCCTGGTATTTGGCGTCGTCAATCGCACCTTTATCATTTAGAATACGAGTGGAATTGTAGAGATTGCCGGTGTTATCGTACGCATCAGAGCCGGTCAGAGGTAGGTAGGCAGTGTACCAGGTATTGGTATAGTACAAAATCGGTGCAGTGACAGCGAAAATGCAAAACCAGCCGGCGAAGACATTTGCTTGTGCCCAGAACGGTATTGTTAGCGGCGAAGTATTGTAGGCGATCTGACTCCAGTCAAATGTAGTAGGCATATATCCGAGACCTGTCGTCATTCCAAACAAGTTGTTCACCACCTTGTTATCTGTTCAGTTTATTAGTTCAATCCTTATCCTTTTTTTGAGATGAAGATATACTTGGAGTCGCCCAGCAGATGAAAGCAAAAGTACTCAGCCCAGTAAACAAATATCCGGGGAGCCAATACCAGCAAAAGCTGCCAATGAAAACATACAAGAAGAACCGATACCGAGAGATTCTCCATCCATCGGCTATGGGGTTTGCACCACTATGCAAGGTTTGGAATAAAGCTGCATTGGCCAAAGTAGAGGGCCAAATCTAACCAGATGTTAGCCATGGGAGCTCCTTAGGTGTGTTCAGTTCTCAACTTACCATATGTGGTGGCTCTATAATATATCTGTAGGATAGCCCAGCAAGACCAAGACCGAACAGCTGCATCGACAAAGCCAGCAAGATCTGATAGCCCACGGGGGTCGGCATGCCTAGGTATACTTTCTGTGCCTGTATGATAGCACTGGCCTAGTCTAGTGTCAGTATTGCTGTTCCAGAAGAATCAGGTTGACATCAATAGACACTGACCCAAGATTGATTGAAGCTAAGATTGGACATAATCGTGATAACCGCATGCTCCTTGATATTGAAATGATGATCTGGGTTAATATCGATCACCCGACCAAACACGCGGACCTTCACGATAGGTAGCGCTTTCGCAAAAAGGCACCCTACGGGGTAACTTATAAGTTGAGCTACGAGTGAGGTGATTGTCACACTGGGGTAGCGCATAGAAAAGAATTGGTTCACACCGGTACCGACCTATGAGACGTCAGTACTAGGTTGAATTGCAATACTCGGATCAATACATACTAAGGTAAACACAACGCCCAAGAACCACATCCGAAAGGTATTTATGGGCAACGTGGGATCATCTGTATTAGGTACATTGGCGCGGACCTCCAGGTAGGGAGAGTTATCCGAGTCAATTGTGTACTCGACATCTTGACTTTCTCCAATAGCAATTTCCAGGGCTTCCTCAGCCGTCACGGGCTTCTTGGTAGCGCTATCCTCCTGTAAGGTTGGATCATGAGGGCATTCTTCGACATCTGCATGCTGCAGTCTGCGAGACCTTGATCGACTCATGAAGGCGTGCAGTATAGCAAACGCAAACTAAAGTTGTGACTTGGACAAGCGTAGTGGTATAAAAGGAAAGAAGGCCACGGTAGATGGAACATTAAAGACCCTACCTAGCCTTAAGGGTGGCCACTTGCCTTCTATATATAGCGGCATATCGCTCAACCCAAGGGTCATATCTACTCGGGCTTGCCAATATCAAAAGAAGAGTGGTAATCAAAGATAAAGAGATTAGGATATTTGGAAGGTCCTCCCCAGATAACGGCTCGTTGATCTCGAGTGGCGTGAACTATAATGCGGGGGCAGACAACGGGTGTTGGGCTCGGCTCTATTCCGATATAGTTATAGGACACGGAAAGTAAGGTAAGGTCCAAGCGAAAGATGGTACGGAACTAGCCGAAGTCTTAACCTGAAAAAGACTAGGAACATATGAGTAGTTGAGTATTACGATAAGAATCTTGTTTTATTCTTTACTACATTTCAAATGAGGTGAAAATTTCGGAGGATTAGTGCGTATTTACAATATTAGTCTAGATTTCTAGATTCGATATTACCTGACAATAATTGTCTTTCTCAAACTATCAAATCAGCAATACAACTTTGAACTTACAAACCCTTTTTTGTCACTGCCAGATCTTACTACACAAATTCAAGGATGTCCCTCACGTGACTACCCGCTCTAAAAGTGTATACGACTAAAGCCTAATCTATATGACAACACCGATCGCTTTTATGAGGGTGCCCCGGATCCAATGATCAAAAAGGCATTCATAAAAGAGGGGTGGATGTGGCAAACTTCAGGATTGAGAAACCACTTCTCTTCGCAGCATCCAAAATCTCAAGTGCCATGTCCGGAATCCTCAGAGAATCCATACGTACATAAAGGCTCAAGTTATCTAAATGGGGGAGTTTTGTAGTCCGAGCATCTGAGAGGCCCTCAATCAAATGTGAGATGCACTTCAGATGATCTTCATCGAATGTGGAGAGATACAGGTTGAATTTTTCAATGGATGCTGGCAACAAAGCGATCAGTTTGGGCCAGGCTGGACTGCCAACCGACTCAAGTTCATCCCCTTCCAGATCTCTCATCGACGGATCATATGGGGGACCGCACAGCATTGCAACGTCCAATTCGAGCACGGCCAGCTTTTGGAAACGAGTCATATCCACCAGTGTGGCCCCTATATCACCCCAATCTGTGTAAGTTGTCACCGACAATTCCTTGAGTGTCTTTGCACAGGTATCTTGCACCGTATCCAAAATGGCACCAACGTTCCAGTTATGACCGCAGCCATGCCACTTGGTTTCATGAGAGAACTCAAAAATCTCCAGGTTCGGGATTCGCGAAAGTAGCTGTGATAGCTCCTCTGGGCCAGCGACAGAGAATTCTAAACTTAATTTCCGCAAGTTTGCGCTGTAGCATTCCACCATTGGGACGAAGGCGAATCCAGTGTACCCGTCGTCCTTGAGGACGCAGCTACCCAAGTAGACTTCGGACACAGAATTGATCGCTAGGAATGGTACGAATGGTGTCAATGGGGACTTTTCTTCGTAGCCCATGTCACGGGAGGGATGCACGACGGAGAGCCTGGACAACGGTGCATCGGGAAATGCCTCCGGGTGATTGGCCCGGTGTGTAACCAGGTTGAGTACCGATGACAGACGTTCATTACAAAGATCGATTTCATCCCAGCGTGGACGTAAAGCTATCTCTCGCACTTGTGGTAGTAAGGTCAGGAGAAAGACGTCTGCATCCAGCCCAGACACTTTAATTCCTCCAATCCAATCATCGGGATTGCCCCTAACGGCCTCAATAAAGGGCGAGGTAAGCACCAAGTCCCTAAGAGTTCTAGGTACCTCGGCGTCCAGGGCGTTTATGGCCTCTTCATCTTCCTCGTGCTCCCTAAGGTCAATGAATCGTATGTATTGCGCCACGGAGGGATCCAGTGCGATCTGTTCCAATAACTCCCGTGTGGTCACAATCTTGATGCCTGTTTCTTGGGTAATTTCATCCCAATGGTCGGCTAAGCCGGGTTCCTCTGCCCCTTCTGGATTTTCTTCGACTTTCCTCGAAAATCTAAAGTTTCGAAACCGTTTCCGTTGCCTGGTATATTGCGCTCGGAAAGGGGCGCTGGCAGCAAACATGGCTTTACAAGAGAGCGCCGCGGCTTCAAAATCTACTGGGATCGTTTCTTGGATGATCTGTACCAAGAGTTCCATGGGGAGGTCAAGCAACGACGGCATCATGATTTTTTCGGGGGAGATGGGAAGGGGGGTGGATGAGGGCAAAAAAGATCAGTTGTGAAGGAACCAAAGAAGTTTTGACGGATATTGGGTTGAATAGTTAATATACAGGTAGAACTGCAGGGGTATAATTGTCTATGGTGTTGCTCGGTTACCCGCTTCTCTAGGCTGCTCACATCTGGAGAGAGTTGCCTAGCATGTTGTATCGTCGGTTAAACCTATTCCAGGTTCAGGACAGCTCTGCGAGTTTTAGTTAACCCAAGGAGCGCTCAGCACACGCACTTTCTGCCTTGCCCCACGCGCCGGGATCAATCATGGGCACCGATACGACAAGTTCTCAATGGCCGACGTCGGTCGGTCAAACATTATAATAATTACCGTACAATTATCGACTTAGAGCAATCATATAAATCCAGTTGTTGGGTCCGGGTGGACAGTGCACGCGGGGAAATTGATTTCTTATCTAGTCCCATTGGATAATAAATACTCGACGATAGCTTTCCTTGCCGAAACCGAACGGTTCAGATCGCGTGGACCTTCCAATGCCATCGGTCCGACAGATTACAACATCTCGTATGATTCATTCTAGGGCTCGCCGTTGATCGTATAAAGCATGACAGATGGCAACCTCAACAACACCTCTACCACACCAAATTGGCTCTCCTTGACCATCTCGGAACCACCACCTTGATTTACGGTAGGCCGAGCTTGTTGCTGAGGCTGACTTTTGACTTAACATCGTCGATTGCGACAACAACGACAACAACAAAGCACACAATGGCTATCACTAAAACTTCCTCAATCTTGGTCATTGGCGCTGGCACCTGGGGCGCTTCAACTGCCCTCCACCTTGGTCGCAGAGGATACACCAACGTCACCGTCCTAGACCCTTACCCCGTGCCCTCGCCAATCTCGGCGGGAAACGATGTTAACAAGATTATCTCCTCGGGCCAATACAGCAGCAAAAAAGACGAGATTGAGGTCAACGAAAAACTAGCAGAAGAGGCCTTCAAAGGCTGGACTACCGACCCTCTATTCAAACCATACTACCATGACACCGGCGTGGTAATGTCGGCCTGCAGTCGCGCTGGACTGGATCGCCTGGGAATCCGAGTAAGACCGGAAACAGAGCATGATCTCTCTGAAGTTACGAAGCCCGAGGATTTCCGCCAATTGGCTCCCGCTGTACTCAAAGGCGACTTTCCAGGGTGGAGAGGCTATCACATCCGCTCCAATGCTGGCTGGGCTCATGCCCGGAACGCCCTCGTGGCTGCTATACGCGAAGCGGAGAGACTCGGTGTGAGATTCGTAACGGGCGCTCAGGGACGAGTTATCACGCTTATTTTTGAGAACAACGATGTCAAGGGCGCTGTCACTGCCGATGGGAAGATCTGGCGTGCTGAGCAGACGGTTCTCTGTGCTGGTGCGAGTGCGGCACAGTTCTTGGATTTCAAAGACCAGCTTCGCCCGACGGCGTGGACACTTGCCCATATCCAGTTGAAGCCTGAGGAGCGTGCGCTTTACAAAAGTTTGCCTGTGATCTTTAACATCGAGAGGGGGTTTTTCTTCGAGCCTGATGAGGAGCGTGGAGAGATTAAGATCTGTGATGAGCATCCGGGGTACACTAATATGGTCAGGTCTGCTGATGGCCATGTAATGAGCCTCCCCTTTGAGAAAACCCAGATTCCCAAGGAAGCCGAGATGAGAGTCAGAGCTCTGTTGTCCGAGACCATGCCTCAATTAGCCGACCGTCCATTCAGCTTCGCCCGGGTTTGCTGGTGTGCTGACACCGCGAACCGTGAATTCATCATTGACCGTCACCCTGAACACCCATCTCTAGTATTAGGATGCGGGGCATCCGGAAGGGGTGAGTACTTGCATACCAGCCAAATCATGCTTACAGATGCTAACCAGTGCCTCGTCCAGGTTTCAAATACCTTCCGTCAATCGGCAATCTTATTGTAGATGCCATTGAAGGCAAGGTTCCGGAGAATGTCCACAAGCTTACTCGATGGAGTCCGGACATTGCTGTCGACAGGAATTGGAAGGATACTCTGGGACGGTTCGGAGGACCTAACCGTGTCATGGACTTCCACGACGTGAAGGAGTGGACTAATGTACAGAACAAGGATATTTCCAAGTTATAAGGGGTGCTAGTACATGTATAGATAGCTGTTAATGATAATTTTCTAGCGGTGTAGCCACAATCTGTTGGGAGCCCTCAAGTAGCTATCAATTCGTCATCGCTTTACGTATTCTTTTCTGTGCGTAGCGACAGGCACAAAACACAAAAGACAAGCATACCTCAATGCACTCTTCAGCCTACGAGTAAGATTCCCGCATGATACGCTGATGGCCAGAGACTGCAATCACAGCCTGGCTCGATTCTCTACAAAATACCATAGTGTACTCGTTTCGGGGAATACGCACACAACCGAACGCATATCTCAAGGGGTATCACTAATCTGAAATAAACAGGAGAATACTTTACAACATCCGGCGGGGTGACGATGAAGTTTCGCTAAGTTGATAAGCCTCCTCCTCTACTCCCCATTGACGGGCTGGGGCCACAGGCCTTTGTATCGCCTGTTCCTCGTCGGTAGGAAGCTTGTAAAATCCCTCTGGGCCGGCAATCCCGTCTTTATCGTGCGGCATATCGCAGCCAACGGATCGGAGAGAGGGGTAGTAACGACGGTATGAGAAATATGCAGTCACTGTACCTAGTAGAGAACCACAAGTGACATCATATACATCATGTCTATAATCATCAAGACGAGAGATAGCAATCATCAAAGCGCAGAGAAACGGAACCAGTGCCACGAGACAGCGGCAAAGATCAGTTCTCGGTCTAAACACATGCATTTGACCGGAAGAGAAACTGAACATGCAACCATCAGTTATCATATGGGGACAAGGAGTTCAAGGATGCAAACTTACAAGGACAAATATCCCAGCCCGCTAAAGGAAAAGCTGCTGTGACCACTGGGGAAGCTTCTCCATCCTTCCTGGAGGATGTGGTTACTCGTCTGGGTGCATACGGTCCAAGTGACCAGCTTGTTCTCAGGCGTGCCCTTCTTAGGATTACAGCGTGAGATTAAGTCTGGACGGGGTCGCCCGACTGCGTTCTTGATTATATCCGTGAGGAGCGTCGTCAACATCAATGCGACTAGGAAACCAAGTATGGTTACTTGGATTTTATAGCGATTTGGGCGGAATAAAGCAGCCCATAGGAGCAGAATTAGGAATGGAATGACCCCGGCATAAATAATAGACCATACTAGAGTATATCGTGAATATCTAGGGCACAGCTTCTCCGCCCGGGAGACACGTACCAACGGGAACTCTTTCCACCACCGCGAAGGGATACTGAATGGCCTTATTGTCAAGTGAAAACAGACGATGGAATGGAGTCGCAAATAGTTGGATCTGTACGTGAACTGGTTAGCAAAATGCAGTTCCGTAATCAAGACTCAAGGGACAGACCAAGATCCAACCTCCTACAATACATCCTAGTGCCAGATAGTCGCCCGCCGGAAACGATCGCTGATAGAATCGAGCCACGGCGCCAGGCAATCCGGTCTGTGCTTGGCGGGAGGATGATGCGGCGGACAATCCACTACGAGGCATCTCTGTGGTGTCAATTGATGCGCTGGTTCATAAGAAATCAGTCCTCCTTGAGCCGACGAAGATATGAAGCTGAAGCGCTTACGACAACCATGCCAGACAGCCGCCGCCTTTAGAACGCACAGACCACAAAACTTCCGCGGCATCTCCGCATCGCATTCCCAGTCACTACCAATGACTTCGTCACAGCTTCACTTTTCCGGCCCACCAAGTCACCTTGTTGACATTTCGAACCTCATACGGCGGTATCATAGCCTGGTTACATACGAAGCAAAATCATGGCCGACACTGGTCAACAAAGACCCCTCACAGCTTTCGCCCCGCCTCCTCCTTTATGGAAACACTTCACACCGAATAACCTCAAGAAGCTAGAAGAGATCAAAAAGAGTGCGTCCAAAGGCGAAAATGGAAAACCACAGAAAAGGAACTGGACCCCAACAGAGTTGCGTGCTCTAGACCTGCCACCAGAGCTCCGTTTTCTCGTTCCACCAGAAATACCTAAATCGGGTCATTATAGTGTGTTTGGAGAACTACAAAGTGTGAGTTTCTTTTAGCTACCTGGGTCTCATATCTCTAGCTATAGCTTACAGGAAGTTCCAGCTTTCAACCGCTCTCCCTTCCCTCAAAGACCAAGGCATAACACAGCTCTATCCCTCTCCCTCGACTGATGATGCTGCCGGGGAGCAACCTTCAGAGCCTGCCCGTCCATTGAACCACGCGTATTATCTCCTCAAAATCAGTAAATCTTTGCTTCTCAATTTTCTCGAATTTGTTGGCATTCTTTCGGTATCTCCAGAGCAGTTCGAATCCAAGGTGGAGGACTTGCGCAACCTGTTCATCAACGCGCATCATCTTCTGAATCTGTATCGGCCTCACCAAGCACGAGAATCGCTCATTCTAATGATGGAGGAACAACTTAATCACACCAAAGAGGAGATACAGCAAATGGACAAGTTAAAGGAGGAGCTTACAGGAGTTCTCGAGCAGTTAAAAAAGGACGGCATCGATATAGAAACAGCTATTGAGGCTCCTGAAAATGAGACAAAGCAACCATCTGAATCAGAAGGGAAGACGACTGAAAACGTGCGATTGGTCTGGGAACTTTTGGACGAGAAAAATTGAGGCTTTCGACAATTATGATTATCCTAATTTCCAGCTCTTGAATCACCCAATACGAAGTGCTTCACGCACAAAATCCTTTGTCGAGACACTACTAACTACATCATGAATACCGCTGGATCTCAGGCATGCAGCAAATCTTCGCTTCTCTTCGATCGACTCAATACGCCGTTTCAGCCGCGCTAGGTCAGTCTACCTCGACGGGGGGATCAAGACCGCCTTAGTGCCACGAATCAGTCTACAATCACAACTTGGTTAACCATTTCTCATCCGGACAAACCTGCAAATCCACCATATCGAAGGACCTAATCTCGGCCACCGTGCTTGGTGTCTCCATAGCTACCCACTTCAACACAACGGACCATGGTTAATCCGCGGTAGTCACGTGTCGCGCTAGTTCCGCACCTTTAAAATCCCACCAAATTTTCTCTACACAACCATCTTTGTCTACACCTCAATACGACCAGAATGGTTACCTGGAAGAACTCATGTTCCAGTCTAGCTTAATGCTTCCTAGAGTTTGGATACTGCTTGAGCATCTCCACGATCATTCACCTCAAGCTTCGCAACTTGTAACAAGGTTCAATGGTAAGTTTTATTTTGTTTTTCGTCAAGACCCTACAGTGATGATTGATGCCTTTTTATTTTTTGTTTCAACCCCATCTGAGAGCACAAAAGTGCTTCTTGATTACATTCGCGCATCTACTATCTGAAAAATTTCGAGCTGTATTGCTTGACTGTTTAGTTCCTTCCGCCGGATTTGTTCAATGATGTGGATCATTGCTAACTGGTTCTGATTAGGTTTCTTAGTATATAATTAGCTTCGAGTAGATATGAATGTTAAATTTTTTTGAATCAGATCTTTATTTTGTTCTGGTAGATGTGAACTTCGCCCAAGTTGCATTTTGGGGCTGTATGAATGACCTAGCCACCCCTTGAATGTACAAAGACCCGGAACAGTAAACCCAAAATCAAACAATATAAATAAATACCTTCCACAAACCAAGTATATACCAATAATAGGTCCCTCGAGAAAAAGGAAAACCCTGCCCAACCTTGACCAAACCAAACACACCCGCACACACATAGCAAGATACATACATACCTACCGTGAATCTTAAACTTCAGATTCCATCATAACCCGTAAACTCGTCCAATAATTATACACCTAAAACACCTTATCTAGCCCAACCCTAAACAGAACGCTCATTCCACGCTTTTTCGATAGCACAAGTGGCAAGTCTATACAGCTCGGAGACAAAATCGGCCACGAGCTTGATATGCACGATCTCAGTGACTGCGAAGGGCTGCCGCGAGAAAAGGCGCTCCATCATGCTCGTGGCCGTGCGAAGGAGCGCCAGGTCCTTTGTGGCCTGTGGGTCCGACGGATTTTGGAGGATGTTGCAGAAGATGGCGAGGAGGGCGGACATGGGGTAGAAGATGAGGGTCCTTGGGCGGGTGTTAGCTAGGTCAGGGTCTAGGGTTACACGTGAAGAGGAGAAGGAGGGGAGGCGTGGGGTACGGGGTTCGTGGAAACGTACCAGAAGATACCGTCGACGAGGACGTGCTCCGCTGCTTCGATGTAGAGGAGTGTCGAGCGGCTGGCTTCGACGGAGAGGGCCAAACTGGAGCTTACGCCATCCATCACGCCGCCTTGGCCCTTGGCCCAGGATTTGCAGCGGCTGCTCGCCTGGTGGATGATTGTCATGCAGAGGTGGTAGTTCAAGCGCAGCATGACGGAGTGCATGCTGACGTTTGGATCTGGGGTTTCGTGGGAAAAGGAGAGAGTCGGTCTCCATTCGAGGGGGACAGACATGCGCCATCTTTCTAGCTCATCGTCTAGCTCACGGATTTCTTTCAGGAGTTCGGCGTCGGTTTTCTTGAGGGCCTTGAATGAATAGAGCGCACTATAGGCTCGGGACTTGATGATACTTAGGCGAAGGTCGACGGGGAATAGGGGGTTGGGTGGTTCGTTCTCGCAGTGGTGTATCTGCATGCCTGCATATAGTTGTTCCACGTAACCAGCTGGTAGAGTCAAGTCGCAGTTTTCCTCGGTGAATATCTGAGGTTGGCCGATGCGAATACAGACATCTTTTTCAATCGTAAAACAGAGCCAGAAAATAATCCTGAGTTGTCGCTGGACTCTAGGGTCAAGACCTCTGACAGACGATATCGGATATTCGGTGTCTTCTGAGCACGTATGAGCGCCTAGCATGAACAGCATGCGTGCGGCGAGAGTGCCGAAATAGTTTGCGGATTGCAGACTCCCGGTGACTAGTTCGGACAATGCCTGATTAAAATACTCGATTAGCCTTCAAGATTGAGTAGCAGTAGGTAGTACAGACACACCAGCATTGTAAGTGTCTGTACGCCGTCCAACGTCGGGGTCCCTTGCAAGATTTGAGGTACCATGAAATGTGCTTTCATAAAGTACCTCTCGCCATCAACAGGTGGAGGGGTCGGCACTCCTTGCTCCGTACATGGATTCATAATGAGAGACGAGAAAGCCAAAAAGGCAAATATACACCCTCTCAAGCTCGACTGTGAAGGGCAAGAATCGGATTGGGGTTGTTGGTAGACCGCATCCATGGTCTCCTGGAAAAGTGCAGGGTCTACAATGGGGAATATGCTCTGCATGAGTGACTGTCGATACCTTTCGAGATGGATTTTCAAAATTTCTCTGTCCGGGAGATCAAATATAGCTCCCGTCTTGAGGTGATTTAACATCGCCCAGGAATTCTGGACTCGTTGTTTCTCCCACGGAGGGTTTGCAGGACAGAGCTTTTGGACATCGACGGTTTGCCCAGTTCGCGATTGGACCCATTCCTGACCCTCTGGTAGCAGGAGTGGAATGCCTGTAAGTAAGCTGACAACGCTCAGCTCTCGGCCTGCAAAATGTAGCGGTACAGAAGACGAGAGAGATGATTGACTGAGAGGTGGAAAACTTCCAGGCAAATTGATCCCAAACCCGCTGGATCCAGACGTGCTGGGAGACACTGTAGGCGCTGGAAAGAATACCGGTCAGTCTTACAATAGATGCAGTTGGAGATCAGGCGGACACACTGGGCTCCCTGAACAAGCTATCCGTCAGGAGTTTCTCTATCCTATCGATGCGCTCAGCCAGGCCAGTAGCTTTTTGTTGGCTAGGGCATCGCACGCTAAGTTAGTATTTTTTTTTTTGGCAGGAATAGTAACGGTTGGTTTGACTATGTCATACGTATTTCCATTTGTCTTATCCTTTCGTCTTTGACGAATGACTCGCTCAAATGTACATGGGATGTTGTGGTGGCTACACCAGTTACACTGTGGCACAGCTGCATCGCACTTAATCTGTGCAGAAATAAGCATTAGGCCCACAGCCAGAGGCACTGCAGTGATACCTTTCGTTTATAGCATGCGTCACAGGCTCTCGCCGTGCGCTTCCTTGAGGGTCGAATTTCATCCTCCGACCTCTCAGCGGATGTTGGAGACGGATACATGGGATAGTCAGCCTCCACTGAGACTAGCGCTGGCTTGAAGGGGCTATAGTCGATAACTTTAAAAATTCCAGCGGCGTCAACCTGATATGCGGGACCACAACGGAGATGGAGATGAAGAAATGGAGACCCAGCTGCCGCTGACTAACGCGACCCAGAGCAAGGACTTTACATAAACGTGATGTTGGGGGCAAATCTTTTTGTTTTAAAGTCTCGTCCATTCGGGACTTTGGATCTAGATTTGAGTCGGGAATTATTGTTTCCGCGGCCGAAAGCCCGAGACAAGCGCCGATCTGAAAGTTGCAAGATGATGATCAATACAGGTTAGTAAGCGGAGATATGTTAGTTAACTAATCCGTGGCCTTCAATGACAAATCGTCATCACTAGATTTCTAACAAGAGAGCTGAGGTGATGCCAACCTTAGATAACCTAGTTCTATTTTTATACGAGAGGTAGATATAGCCTTGTCTATATAGCCAGAGTTTGATACTCAATAAGTAGATTTAGACTCAAGAACAATCTAACTTCCGCAGCGAGAAGTTGTATTTATATTTAAGAAATAAAAATAAAAATAAAAATAAACACAAACGTACCCTTGCGGATTATGTGCAAAAGGCCAGCCTGCAACGAATGCGATTGTGGTATCAAACTTCGATAAATACAAAAACTATACGAAAAGCACCTCTCGTTCCCGTAAAGCCAACCATGAGATTTGCGGGAACACCGGAAGCCCGCGCGGAGGGGAATCGGACATCTGGTTCAAAATTTGCTCATACTGTACACTCCGGTCGATAAGTAACCGAACAACGCAACGCACGATCTAAGAAGTCAAATGCGACGCATATGACACGATAGAATAGAGATTGCCCAACAGGGGCCGGGTTCAGCGTGAACTGCCAGCAAGCTCATCGTCATCCGGCAAATTCTTAATGACGTCCTGCATGATTTGGATCAATTCGTCGATGTCAGGTCGATCTGCCGGTTCTACCTGTAAACATTTCCGAACGACATCCTTGACAGGCGCGCTGATCGATTCCGTGGTGTCTTTGCGGGTGTCATCGCCAGCTTTGCCCTTGCCCTTGCCCTTGCCCGGCTTCTCATCGGGGAATCGCCAGTCTCCACCCAACACGCACATGCTCAGGCTACCACCGGTCTCTTCGCTGCGTGCTTCGAAGGGGCTTTTGCCTACCAAGCAAGCGTAAAGGGTACATCCTAGTGACCAGATATCAACTTTGGTGTCGATGATGGAGCCGGTCTTTACGTCGAAAAGTTCCGGCGCTCGATATGGCATAGTGCTATGTTCCGCGGCTGTATCCTGTACTGCTAACGCAAGTGAACGTGAAGTGATAGCGATGGGGCTGGGTGCGAGGGAGCCGAGATCCATCAGCACTGGTGATTGTCCATCGTCGTCGATCATGATGTTGCCTAATTCGTCAGCTATGCGACTAGGGCTCTAGATATGGTAACCGGAACCCTACCAGGCTTGATATCTCTATGCGCGTATGGGCGCAGACCGCCGTCCTGAACCCCTTCCTGACTCCTCGTGACCTCGTCATCCATCAATGGCTCGTTTTCGGAGTCCTCATCATCGGCCGGCTGAGTTGCTCGGCGCTTCGGCTTCCCCATGCGCATGGCTGCATCGGCCTCTTCGCCCTCCCTTCTTACAGCTTTCGCCTTGCGAGTCGGCCCGGCACCGCTCTTAACACGATACTGATGCATGGCTCGGAGCGCTTTGGCGACGCCAAGCATCAACACCATCAGTCGCTTCTCCGGAAATTGAGTATGATTGACTAGGTTGGCATTGATAGCATCCTGTAAATTACCCCGTTGATAGTAAGGCAGTAGGATATAGACAGTCTTAGATCCGGGCTCTCCGCCATCCGAACGGAACTTCGAACCTGACTCCGTGGAAACGGAGTGATCAATCGAATGGATGATATTGGGCTGTGAAGCGAATAGGTTGTAGGCTTCGACTTCTTTCAGAGCCTGGGAAACAGATTCCTGGCCAAAGGGGCATCGGATCTTCTTCAGCGCAAACAGCTCCGACGTTGCTTTGTCTTGGACCAGGTACACGTAGGAGAAACCACCCTAAGATAAATCGTTGCCGGTTAGCAGGAGACCTCCGGGCTAAGTTTGAGCTTCCTTGGGTATCTTACTTCACCCAGAAGACGGAGTAATTTGAAGCTGCGGTTGTTGATCTTGAGTTGCGGCGTGCTAGGAAAGCAGCACATGCAATCGGTGAAGTTGTACAGGAGATCGAAGAAATATTGCGCCATTTTCGCAGGTCACTATCGTATCACCCAGCAAGCCTGCTGAGCAAACGCGCACTCGACAATTTGGCGACTGAGAAGGTTATCGTAGTGCTACCTTGACTCCACCACAAAGGCCAGGCGACCGATTGAAACCGGGCGGAGACGGGGAAGGGAAGGAAGGAGACTAGGAGATGCGGCAAGGGAGAGAAGGGATAGATGCAGGTCAGCGGTAAGGAAGAAAATGTCGGGGAAATTGCACGTCCTAGAACGGTCAGAGAAGAGAACGTCGAATGCCCCGTTGTGGTCGAGTGTAAGCACCAACCTGATAATGATGAGGTGGAAGTTGATGAATAATAATCGAGACCCGACGGCTGTAGTAGCCCGTGCAACCACTGGATCCCCGACACGTAATTACGAAGATTACCGAGAAGGTTCACCAAGATGAAAGTGAGTCTGCGTATGTAAGATACGCCCTACATCTGGGTACATACAGACAGTACTCCATTCACCCCATGTGAGAGATAGAATTGACCCATGTGGTCAAAAGGCATCCACATACCACATTTTTCGGAGAAATTGCTATGTATAGATTGATAAAGAAAAGAATACTAGTAGCTTCTAGGAACAGGGCAGATTTGTGCAGGTCAAGGTCAATTATCTTCCCTATTCAACTTTCCATCTACCTATACAGAGTACATACTACTAGTAAGTGAATGCATATGCATAACCTTTCAACGATTCCCTCGTACCTAATTAATCACACCTGGTGCAGGAAAGAGGCTCAATATAGTAGGCGGTAGGAAAGAAACGGCCACTAAACCGCCTCCTCCCTTCCCCCCCTGTTGCCCAAGAAGTTAAGTTGTTGTATGTGCTCCGTATTGTAAGGAACTGTATGTCACATGGGGTGGAGCACTAACCCATGGTTCATTCGTGTCTTGTTTATGTTTTGCTACGGTTGACATTCGAATAGGCCCCCTGTAATGCATGATGACATTCTGGGGAATGAGTTGAATCAATCCATTACTTTCTTTTTTGACTTGAGAGCAAGAAACTGAGTGGCGATCGACTCAATTCTTTCTCCTTCGGTGGTCCCCTCGCTGCCCGACCAGAACAGAAAGAAACCAGTGTAGAAAATCCTCCAAGCCTCCTAGCGACTAGTTTGCTCAGACTATCAATACTATGCCTGCCGGTCTATGATCAGTCACGTCCGTCTTTGCATATCATCCCTTACCTCGAAACCAGTCTTCTTTCCCACGCTGACTTCCTTTCTCGACCTCGAATGATTTAATATCCAGTTGATCCTCTCTCCTTCGTCCCATCCGCCAAGGTCAATCGGTTTCTCTATACCCTGATGGCGCCCCTTGACGACATCCAGGTCGGCGACCTGGTAAACGTTCCCGGGGGTATGTATGGGACAATCAAGTACTTGGGTGGTGTAGCTGGCAAACCAGGGAAATTCGCTGGCATCGAACTGGCAGCTGAGCATGCCAGACGAGGGAAGAACAATGGAGACGTGGACGGGAAGAAATACTTTGCAACCTCCACCCCTGGCTCCGGCATATTCGTTCCGATGAACAACAACAAGTATGTTACAAAACGTTCGTCCGGCCCTAGTGTTCCCAGTGTAACCCCTCCAACGCCCTCCCGACCCATCAACTTCAGCAAATCCGTCGGCCCTGGCTTGAGCCCCGCAGTTCGAACTCCCCGTCCGGGTGTGAGACGACCTTCGCTTCCCCGAGCAGAATCTCCGTGGGGCCCGTCGCCCTCGAAATTGAGTCTTACAGGACTACGCACTCCCTCTGGGGCATCGAGGACCCCCAGCTCGAATGGCCATCCGCGGAGTCCAGTTAAAGCGCCCTCCCGAACCTCCAGCCGACCGCCCTCCCGCCTGAGTGTAGATGATGACTTTCAATCCACGAGGACGTCGGATATCCAGCGGAATGCGATGGCCACGGAGGTGCAGGAGTTGAAGGATCAGGTTAAGGGTCTCGAGAAGCAGCTTCTAGACCGCGACAAACAGCTAGATGAACAGGCAAATGCATTGTCCGAATTCCAGAGAATGCTGGAAGAGCTGGAGGGGTCGGACGCTCTTTCTATCCGCGCTCAGCTGCGCGACAGGAATGAGAGGATTGCTCAGCTCACGGCAGAGTTCGACCTCCATCGGGCGGATTTCAGGAGCACTCTGGATACCTTGGAAGTAGCTGCCGCTGAAACAGAGCGGGTATATGAGCAGCGTCTGGATGAGCTGATGCAGCAAAATAAGGAGCTGCAAGACAGAGGAGAAGACGTTGAGACTGTTGCAAGGCAGCTAAAGCTGCTGGAGGAGTTGGTTTCGGAGTTAGAGGAGGGTCTAGAAGATGCGCGCCGTGGAGAAGCTGAGGCACGGGCAGAAGTCGAGTTTTTGAGGGGCGAGGTCGAACGGACGAAGCTTGAGTTGGATAGGGAACGTGGAAGGTCTTCTCCTCACACGGCTGGAGATGGACAACAGCATTCGAGAGAGCTTGACCAGAAGGATGATGAAATCCGTGGTCTCAAAGCCATTATCCATTCCTTAAGCCGGGGTGACCCCAATCTGCACGCACTTCAACAAAATGAAATTGGGAGTTCGCAGCCGGAGTATGATGCAGAACATGTGGCGCACTTGGAACAGCGTGTGGAGGAGTTCGAACGTATGACAGAACGGAAGACTTTCCGCATTGAGGAACTGGAGCATGAGCTTCAGCAATTGCAATTCAATAGCGATAGTCGCCCTCACAACCCCATTACCAATGGTTCACACTCCTACCACAAATCTTCGAGCTCCATTGGAAAGATCGGACCCGAGCATACTGCTAACCATGCCCATCGGCTGTCTGACCGCACTGTGGTCCCAGGCGACTGGCACGATCAACCGCCGCATGATGACCAATACCAGGCTTACCCTGGACGGCTCCGCAGTGCTTCGGAATCTTCCCATCAGCGACTGGAAACTATGCACGAATCTGATGGCCGATCTGATGATGACGCTACTTCTCTATGGTGCGAGATTTGTGAAACCGGTGGCCATGACATCCTGAGCTGCACTAATATGTTTGGTGCCGACCAAAAAAACAAGAATCCTGACACCAAAGAGACCTCTCATGAGGACTCAACTGATGAAAAATTCACGCCGGAGACATCACCTGCCCCGGAGTCCGCACCGTCCGGTAATGGGGATCCCACAACCCCTCAAAAAACGAAAACCGGTCGCGATGTTGTTCTAGAGGGGTTGAAAGGCGTCGCGACAACATCTTCCATGGGCCCTGTTGCAGGGAAAGCGAGCGGGATAGTTGATGAATCGAAGTGGTGTGCTCTCTGTGAAAGGGATGGCCATGAAAGCATAGACTGTCCATTTGATGATTAATGGGTTAGCTGGTTGGGATACTGATATATGAGGTATTTGACCCCGGGATGAGTTCTTTTACTGTGACCTCAAACGCACCTCGCAACTGTGATGTGAGATGACATTCTTATCGGTTAGCGAGTTCCTTCCTGATTTATCTTTTATAATGGGTTAGGCACATCTTCTTCTCTTGGATGCACTATACACTGTATTATTCCGGGTCATCTGTTTTCTATCTTTTTAGTTGCTATCCTGGCTCTTTTCTCATTGTCAGCCTATTTGCTCGTGAACCTTGTCGGATTTTCTAACAGCATTAAATTTTTGTGTGAGCATACATTGAATAACCCAAGCGTCGCTCGTTTTAATATATTTACTCCTTTTTGTATTTTCATGTTTCAAGTCCCTTGGAGCTGGCCATTCTCGCTTCTGTTCATTCTTCACTTTTTTTCCCTGACATCCCTTCGCAATGTCAGCCTAATCTAGACCGATATACATACATATATATAATATTTCAATTCTTTGACGCTTTTTTTCTTCATTTCCTGATATAGAATCAACATATCCACCCACAATCATAACATCAATCATCATCGTCATCATCATATACACCTGAAAATTATACACGATACGTCAATTAACAAAGTCGCTCTGGGCATCATTCCGGGGTCAACCACTAGGTAGAAAGGCCGACTACTCCGACTACTCAGGAACGCTAGGCGGCTGCACCAACTCTCCCTCTTTATACTTCGTCTCAGCAACAGTACCACACGCCTTGCAAGTCCGCTTTTCCTGGTCCGCGCCGAATTCTTCAACCACCTCTTTCACCTGCGTTCCCAGGTCCGTACACACAAACCGCTTCTCCCATACAATCTCAGTACAGTTCTTGCAGTACCACCGCATAATGTCAATCGCCCCTTGAGCTCTTGGGACTTCCATCACAACACCCACAGTATCCTTGAACCGCACCGGGCAGTGAGGCGTGTTGGCGGGTAGAAGGAATATGGAACCCTCATGAATAGGAATGTCCTGGAATACTGGAGGCGAAGCGGATGTGTCAACAGTCCTGAGAAGCATTGAGCCCCGATACTGGTAGAAGAACTCCGGGGTGGAGTTAATGTGGTAGTCTGTTCGGGCGTTGGGACCGCCCACTATCATCACAGTGTAGCCGGCTGTTGCCGGGGAAGAAGGGTGGTAAACACAGTAATTGTTTACAGGTGGTTGTAGAAGGTGAGAATTGGCTTCGAGCCTGTAGATGTATGGTCAGCCATGGTGCGGATATGTTACGATCAGATAAAGTTGGTCGCATGCTGTGATGCATTGCGGGGGAGGGGTAAAAATATATACGAGGGAGAGTGGATTGACGATATACCATTTGGGAATATTCAAAGCAGCGGGAAGCATTTTGAATCGATACCACAAGAATACTGCGCTTCTTTCTCAATCTCAAGGAGCGCCTAGTATTACCAGATTAAATTCGAAGTAGACAGAGGGTTGAAGTCTCATATCATGCGACATTGATAATCAGGTCCGGAGATAGCGTTTGGCTTAACCCCGACAGTCACGGCGGAACATTATTTCCCCGACAGAATTTCTCTAGTTGCATTTTTTTTGTTGGCTCAAATGTATACGACTTCTGATCGCGACGTTGCTGGTTCACAACGGAGATTCAGTGATTCTCCAATTAAGCTATCATGGCAACCTCCCAACCCCCTCTTCGCTTCACCGGCCACAAGAATTTTGTGTATCGCTTGATCTTTGCAACCTTAACTGGCCGTACTGTGCACATCTCTCAAATCCGCCCTTCCTCTCCAACCAATCCCGGTCTTACTCCCTATGAAATCTCTTTCCTTCGTCTTCTCGAGGCTGTCACCAATGGCTCTCAACTGGAAATTTCTTATACGGGAACTATCTTGGTCTACAAACCTGGTCTCATCACTGGAAGCGGTGCAGGAGCAGGCAGTGGTGGTGTGATCAGGCATGAGCTCCCAGCAAGTTGCACTCGCGGTGTGAGTTACTACCTGCTGCCACTTTGCCTTTTGGCGCCATTCTCCAAAGCTCCTATAAAGGTTCTCTTTACTGGTCCTGGTGTAATCACTTCATCCACACCAACGGGTGATATGTCGGCGGACAGCGTGCGGACAGCGATCTTACCGCTTTACAATCAATTTGGAATTTTCAACAATATCGAACTCCGTATCCTACGAAGGTCCAACCCTGGCCCCAATGGCAGAGGAGGTGGCGGTGAAGTTCAGCTGGTTTTCGGTCACCAAGTCCGCCTTCCAAAAACTCTTCACCTGATGAACGCGGGCAGAATAAAGAAGATTCGTGGTGTGGCCTATGCTGTGGGTGTCTCAGGCTCCAACAACGCAAGAATGATCGAAACTACTCGTGGTGTTCTAAACCCGCTTGTGCCTGACACTTACATTTTTTCTGATGTGTCATCTGCCCCGCTGGTTCCTGCCCACGACAAGACCAATCCTTCGGCTAAGAAGAAGTTTGGTCTTGGATTCGGATTGTCGCTGGTTGCAGAGTCCTCTACCGGTTGCCTCTTTTCTGCCGACGTAGCATCCCCACCTACAGGTGGCCAGCCTCCTGAGGATATTGGAAGGCAGTGTGCCTATCAGCTACTAGAAACTATCTCGAAAGGTGGTTGTGTTGCCCCTGCTGCTGCCCCGACAATGTTGGGTCTTATGACCATGGGTTCTGAGGACGTTGGTCGGCTTCAAGTTGGTCGTGATGTGATTGCAGACGAAGGAGTAATCCAGCTGGCGAGGGATTTGGCGAAATTTGGTGCCCCTGGCTGGGGTCTCCGAGAGGCTGCCGGGGAGAATGAGCATGGTGACGTTGTTATCAGCGTAGTTGGACGGGGTATCGGCAATGTTGGGCGAAAAGTTGCTTGATTTCTCACTGAGAATGCGAGCCTCACTTTTATTTGTGCAGCTAGTCTGGTCAGCTGCCGCAAATCTACAGTTATCAGTAATTGGAGGTTCGATGGCCAGATAACCGCCTTGTTTCAGAATGCGGCCACTTTGCAGACGGATCGACCTGAAACGTGACCTGGGTACCCGAACGGTCTAACCGGCGTTTCATAATTCGCGATCGCAAATAACGCAGACACCACGTCAGATTCTTGTTCTTGTGCCTGACCTCGGCAGTCGGACGGTGGAATTTGAAATCCATTTTCACCGCTACCTGGAACCTGCGCCACGTGTCTAGGGTCCCGCCAAGCCAACAACTGGAATCCACACCACAGCCAACATTCTGTCATTCTCGCTTCGCCTTCCAAGCAGAGGTCGCTCTTGAATGGGCCCTTGCAGTCTCTATGAAACACTTTGTTGTTGTAATTCCAATGATACCCACTGTTTTTCTGGTGCTTAAGCGTCCACCTCACCGCTGGGTGTCTACCCCATACTGGGCTTGCATCTCGCAGTTAGGGCTACGATTATGTTGGGCTTTGATTCTGGTGATCGTGAGTCACACCTCGTGGAGAAACTGTTCCTGAATTCCGTGTATATAAATATCGTCAATGGAAATCTTACATTCACTAAATTGTTTTTGTGTTTCGGACGGGGTTTACCTATTGCTTATCTGTTCAAGATGATTCCCTTCCTTCTCTTCCTGATGTCCGCGCAATCGCCTCGCGTTAACCAACTCAAAAGCAGCTCAGCAACGAACCGGAGTTTTTATCTCACCGAGTACAACGAAAGCCCTGCTGTCTGTCTGCCTGACCTCGACATAGGAAACGAACGTTTGGTCCTTTCCCACTCGGGTTGAAGAGGTTTATAAACCATTCAATACCTCGATGTGATATCGATTCTTTCCTCGCCATCAATCTATTGTCAGCCCCCTTTCGATCGGACCTCTCGGCCTCTTCTGTCGACCTCTCGAAAGAATTTACAATTGGGGAAAAGTCTATAAAACGATGCTTGAAGACGGCCCTCGACCGGATACCGCGCAGCTAATGTGACGACTCACTCCTTTCCAATTTGGCAATGGGCCTGGATGGAGCCTTGACATTCAGGAATCCACTCTTTTCTGTCTCGACGCCCCCCCCTTGCTTCCCCTTTCCCCTCCCCCGCTTACACCTCCCTCATCCCCAACAACTACATCTATGGCCTCAACCTGGAATCTCACCTGGAAGCAGTCCGTGTAAGTCCTCCTGGAGCTATCAACCACAGTGTGTCCATTTACTACTGATGAGACAGACCCAGCGATCGAACTTGACTCATACTCCAAGCCAGCTCGTTCATGCTGGCATGTCGGTAGGTCTTGTGACTCGGAGCGTCTGCTGACGATGCCTTCTTTGGTTATTAGGCAATCGTTTGCTCACCACTGGGACTTCTTCCCGTCGTCTTCTTGACACTCGCCTTGACTTCTCTCTCACTTTCTCTCTCTCTCTCTCTCATCATTTGGCAACTGAGCTGCTTCTCTGCTACCTCTCCGTGAGCATTATGCCTGGCACCGTGGGCAAGCCCAGTAAGTGACAGAACTTGTATGCACCCATTTCCCCGATGAATCCTTTTAGAATACTGATGACCGTTGCAGGCTGGCTAAAAAAAAACCTTCGCCCACACCGCAGGCCAGCTCCCTACGGGGACATGCTCTTGTTTGTACACCCCCCCCCCCTGAATCTTTCTGCTCAGGCCTAACTAGGTAGCTAGGGGGCCGGCTTCGCACTCATAAGCGTCTCGGCCACAGCCATAGTGACTCTTGCCTCCTGCCTCCTCCGATTTCCACTTGCCTAGCACCACGGGTAGGTCCAGTAAGTGACAGAGCTTGTAAGAGAGACAATCTCCATGAGATCTGGCACGGTGGATATACTAATGTTGTATAGGCTGGCTAAAAAAAAACTCGCCCGCCCGCAGGCATAGCATCTGGCTATTATGGAGACTGTGAGCGAGTCACTAAGCTGATTACCACGTCCAGATTTTACCTTCAAGGCAACAAGGTAGGACGCGCTTTTGGTCACCGGAGAACAATCCTCTCAGTAGCTGCACCGTGGCAAGCCAGGGAGAGCTTGTACGTACAGCCCTATGCCCTGCCTTGGGTCCCTTTACTGACTGGAATCTTTAGGCTGGCTAAAAAATCTCGTTCACATCGTTAGCGAAGCACAGACAGCTCTCAGGAAAAGCAAGTTAGGACTTCCTGCAAGTCGACCAAGTGTCTTACCAGTGTCTCAGGGTCATGGTGACTATGATCTCGTCTTGCACTGATGGCCTTCTTCAACCATCCCTCTTGCAAGGCCCTATACGTCTATCAATCCTGAAGACCGGCCACACCTCTGATTGAACCACTTCAGGTGTGCAGGCTTAGGGGTGGGATGATATGGTTGGGGGATGTTGGGTTGTTCCTGCTTAGAGACTGTTTGTAAATAGACCTCTGGCTGTACCATTTGCGTTGTCACCCTCTAGTCATTGGAGTCCCGGCCAAGGTTTTTACCTAAATGATGGGAAGTTTCCCTTGGCCTAGCGGATATCACCGCGACCCGAATGGGGGACTACCTAGCTTCGGCATCAATCAATGTGTTCGAGCTACGAGATACTATATTGTAAAAGTAAAGATCGCGAGTGCTTCCAAGAGACAGCAGACAGACAATACTATAGAGTCGACAATCTTAGAGCTGCCATCGTAGAGATCCATAGTCAGGAAACTAAGGGTTTAGACAAATAAAGAGGTACAAGACACGGCAGTCGCCTTTTTTGTCATTCCTTGCCTGCCCTTTATGACGTTAAACCTTTCGTCCGAAAGCAACGTTTCTCGGAAGGAGACAATGTCGGTGAAGCTCGATTAAATCCCCAGCCACTCTGGACTTCACCAACCCACGCTCTTTACCCACCACCCACCTTTCCACCTTCAATGACCCTCATGACAGTCAACTCGAGGGATTTACTCCACCGACGAGTCGTTATAATTAGTTGATTTAAAACTGACTATGGATACGGCGTCCAACACGGCGGATCCGATTATTAATTTTCAACATCATCGTCAGTAAGCATTTGGTTCCTAGTATCTGAATATTGTGTGACCTTGCCGGAGTGGGTTTGGAGATTGGGAGGAGATGGCTGGGATGTGGACCCCTGTTGAGCTTGGCTTCGCTTCGTGGTGGGTGTCATTCCCGCCGTGTGAGGCTGTTAGTGCGCTTGGGATGGAATTTTTCCTCTTGTCAGGCTGGTTTGGTCTTGGTTGTATGTCTTATTGAGGTTTTGAGTAAGTGTCCTGTCCGGGGGGGGGGGGGGGGAAGGGGTTTCGGTTTCGCATACGGTATGTTCTGGTATTGTCATATCCGTAGACGGGACTCTGTAGTGTTGAGAATTTCTAGTATCATTATACAGGGTATGGAATTAGCCTGAAGGGCAGGACAGAATCATTACACGGTATAGAGCTTGCAAACCGATCCATGACGTGGGAAGGATCTCCAGGGCATCACAGCGGAGTTTTCCTGAAACGTCAAATATAGCTTAGTATGCTTCATAGGGTGATGAATTATGGTTAGATAATAGATTTAATTATATTTTGCTCTTGCGAAGAACATGGGGGGTGGCGTTCACCGCATAGTTATATCTTACAGGCATGCCGCTGATACCTTGCAGGGGAGATGGAATACATGCAGTGCAGCAGCAGCATGCCATGATTGATCTATCATATTGCCTTTCTCTCCCCCTCGTTCGACTTTGTTACCCGTCTCCTGACATCTTGATTGAGGAGAAATTGATATTGTCTTGATAATTACACTAAAATGAACCATTCCACTGCCAGCTCACTCGTTCATATATTAGGTCACTCCGTCAAGGAATTCTAACTAATTAAGAATAGTATCAACTAAATTAAGTCCAAACAGGTACTACAAGAAAGGCCGTTGGGTGAGGAGGTTGGCAAATAAAGCTGCATCGGGCAACAATCTAGCAAGAAACTAAAATCCTTAGTGTCATCCGAACGAAAAGACTCTGTCTGGTCCCCGCAGTGGCTCGCGTGAGGCTTTCGTCGCATCTTGGAGATGAGCTGTCTAACTAGATCACAGACGACGGAGAAATTAGTCCTCAATTCGACCACAATCTTGGTAAGGACGAAGAACGGAGTCCACCCACTTTCCGCCATGCATCGCATATTATCGTCAAATGGGATACAAGGAACGGTTGACTCACTCGCGGGTGAGGAAACCCAGTGGCTGGTCCATCTGCGATAAGAGGGGATTTCATCGTTGGCAATCGCGACAATGTTGGCGGTCAATCCACCCTTCGAAACCCCCTCATGAATGCACACGTAGCACACTATCCTTGACCCAGCTGGGTCCCTTTCTTTTCCTTTTTTGTGACTTTTTTTTTTTTCCCCCTTGTCACTTTTGCCTCTAGTGCTGTACGGCGATGGAGGGATAAGAAGGCGCATTGCTAAGCGCAAGTGCAACGGTCAGGGTGCGTACGGCAAGTCGCTATATATACTGGATCATTAGTAGAAGAAGCTCTTGGAATTTCAAACATTAACTGTGGGAGACTTGCGCTCTCTTTCTTTCATTTTTCTTCTCTCCTCGTTCTCTTCCTTTTAATCCTTATTTGTCGTATACATTTTTCTTCTTCTTGGGTTGTTGGATAATAAAAAAAGTCATAGCAAGTGTCCATGGAGAACTATCGGGATTACAGCAGGTGAGTTGATTTCGGCACCTCATCACACAAACAATTCTGCTCTTTGTTTGAGTTCCTTTTCCTTTCCTGTATAATAATCAAGAGCGCAATCGTTATGCGAATCATGACATGACAGTATTGCCGCTGACCCTCCGAGTTTCTCTTTGGGATACAGTATCGTCCATTCTCCGCCGTTCACTTTCCTTGTCGGCGCCAATCACACCAAATTAACCGTTCAATCGGGTCTTGCCCGTCATGTCTCCCAGCCGTTGGATCACTTGATGAACAGCGGGGAAACCCGCGAATCCAAGCATCATATCGCCGTCTTGGAGGAGGAGGATGTTGAGACCTTCGTCGCCTTCTGCGAGTATGCATACACCGGCGACTACAGCGTGCCGGGTGCGGATAATCGGGAAGAATATCAAGAGCAGGTGGTGAACAACCCATTCAAGGGCGTGTTCTCTGGAGAACCGGTCACCGCGCAGCCCGACCCCAAAGCTAGCGATGATGCTGGCAAGGAGCAAAACAAGCCCAATGAGGGAGTCCAGCAATATTTGGAGGAACAGGCGCCACCGACCCCTGAGCCGGAGTATCCCTCGGAGGAGCACATTGCGCCGCCAGAGGAGCCCGAGTCTGTCCCAGAACAACCCGTTGAGCAGCCTCCTGCTACTCCGGCCGCCGAAGAAGGTGACCCCGTGGACGCTAATGAAGGCACAACGAACAAAGGCAAGAAGGGGAAGAAGAACAAGAAGGACAAGAAAAAGAAGGGTGGTCCTGCCGTAGAAGAGACCACGACCAATTTGACTCCTCCCTCTACGCCTCCACCTCAGAAACCGGAACGAATCGAGAATCCTCCTGCTGAGGAAACCACTCATCCAGCCGATGAAAATCAGCCGCAAGAAATGGCAGAAGCTCCCGTTGCTGAAAGGGCCACGCAGCCTGCCGAGCCTGTCGAGCCTGTCGCCACAGAGGTTGAAACATGGGAGCAATCTGCTCCCGCTCCGCAGGAACCCGGAACGGTCGAGCCTGAAAAGACAGACATGAACGGAGAGACTAGAGAGGAAGAGAGAGTCACCGAGGAGCAGATGCCATCCTACTTCCGGAAAAACTCCTTTATCGACATGTCCTTCGCTCGGCAGCGTTTCAACTTCCAGCACGAGTCGGGTACTAGCCTGTGGGATGAGTTTGCTGCCATGGACTATGATGACCCTCGACAGACCCACGGAAACAGGCCGCCAAGCTCACTGTCGTACTCCGCGTCGACCAAGGGAGAGCTTCCGTACCTTGTTTTCCACGCCAAGCTCTATGCTTTCGCCACGCGCTTCTTGGTTCCTGCCCTGGCTCAGCTATGTCTCCGGAAGCTCCATAGGGATCTCCTTAACCTAGGATTCCCCGAGCATCCAATGGACAGTCAGGATGAGGAGATGTATGCCTTGTCGACCACTAAAGCGAGAATGATCCTGGACCTTCTCGACTATACCTACAACAAGACCGCCCGTCTCGAGCCGATTTCCGCCACATCAGCCACTCAGCTTCGCGACAACGAGCTTCGGAGATTGGTTGTACATTATGCAGCTTGCAAGATACGGGATCTCGCGGACTTCTGTCCTCCCGTGGAGAATACGGCAGGCATGCCCTACCCACATAAGCGCTCGGCCAAGGGCTTGCGTCCCCTCTTGGACACCACCACCGAACTCGCCTCGGATCTGGTGTACCGCATGATGATGTGAAATGATTGATATGACTTGAGCTTCTGTTTCTGTTTCTGTTTCTTGTTTATTGAAGCTCCCTTATCCGTTTCTTTTGTTTTATTCTTCTCGTCGTCCTACCCGACATGTATATCAAAGAGCGCACACGCACAGACACAGGTCAAATAACTCGCACACGACTTTCACGTATATGCATGAACTTGGAGTATGAATAATGATAATGATAAGTGTGGAATCGCTTGGAACAAATGGGTCAATGGAGCCTCCCTGAACGTTATGCCATGTTTACTCATCCTTCTATCTGTGACGAATTTCCTTGCGTGCTCCAGCCTTGAATGATAATTTGTTGAAAGCCCTCCATCCTCGACGATCATAGATAATTTCTACGTTACACTGAGTCCCCACCTGGAGCATCTAACTTTCTTCACTGTCTTAGTGTACAGCTCTAGTCATCGTCCGAAGGTCCCTTCCGAGGGACAAGAAAGACGGGAAGTTCTGGGCCCTCAACCTCCGTCTTAGGCACAGTAAGTACCTCTATTCCTCAGCTCTTCGCTCTACCTCCCCCATCGGGTGTATACGCATACCATTCATTCAGATCCTTCCGTTTCCTGACTCCAAACCAAGCCGGGAGAGCCGTGAGACTAGATTCGGTATACTAGCCTAGATGAGTATCTGCATAGGCATCGGTAGTGCCCACCTCTCATTTTGGCTTCTTCTCATCCATCATCCCTGTCAATATCTTCACCACTGACTGGTTTTGTCTCAGGGATAAACCGGTCAATAATCGGTGAGTTCCCGCAATTCCCGCACTATATCTCGAAACAAACGAGAAAAGCGAGAGAAAAATTTTTTTTTTTAAACCAAGACCAGGCTAAATGCAAAGCGGGCCCCTCTCCGTGCAGGATATATTGAATGAAAACACTCATGAGCAGGAAGCACAGAGTAAAAAACCCAGCAAACAAGCGAGGATTTAGCCGCGATAAGAGAAATGAAACCAGCCCGGGTTTGTGTCTCTCATGCAAAAATGATACAGAGTGCCGTGACAGGTCTGGTTGTGTACTGTACATAGCTAGTTTTCACCCGCATGGTTGGGTTGGCTACTGTATGACGGTCAGATGAAGTCAACCACGTCCGCCAAGAAGGACCGGATTTTGAGCCCAGAGCTGCCCGGGGGCGGTTTCTTTTTTAATGAGTGCCGAAAAACCCGACAAGGGCTTGCTAGCTATGGAGCGGACGGAGTGAAGAGGGAGGGGGGAGGTTGGTGGAGACGTTGATCTGCCTGTGCTCCTTGGCCGGGAGTCCTACTGGGCTTGGCGGATGCATGTCTTATCTAGCCACCACGCTCCTCGGTATGAATCGATGGATCAGAGATGTATAGGGAGGACGATCAAACTGGGCGAGATGGAGCCGGGGAGGGCGGAAAGGAAAGAGGGGAAGAGAGTAGGATATGGGATTATCGTTCTTGGGTTTTAGGGGGAAGTTTTCAACGTCCGGGTGAGCTCTACTCCGTAAGCGAACGTGGAGGAGTGGGATTCTCAGTAGACTATGAATATAGCGGTAGATCATTTTCCCTCTGTCTTGTTACATTCTTTTCTCCTGATCGACTCAGGCTTTGGGCAATGATTGCCGTGATGCTGACGAATCAATCAATCATCACAGCCTTGCTTGGCTGTTTGGCGAAATCCTATTTTTATAGAGATGTCGAGTGTCGATCATGAAGGCAGCAACAAAAAGAATGTAGTGGAAAAAGTAAAACGTCCAAGGGAGTAAAAAAAAATAGAAAATATGGACATAGGGAGTGTACGCATCATGCATATTTCATAATTTCAAATGCTGAAACACAATTGGGTTTGTATAGTTGGGTAGTCGCATTATTGAAGGTAGAGTTGAGTCCGGTGCTCAATAGTCGATACCTCCTGCCAAGAACTTCTTCTGACTCTTCAACTGATGTTCATTCGCAGTGCATCATCCTGCATTCTTTTTGTACAACGCTGCGCCTGACACATTGCACTGGTGAGGAACGGATCTATCATTCATAATTATGTATATCTTGATTTTCAAGACTATACAGACTACTACTACTACTACTACTACTACTACTGAGTAATTCTATTCTGTATATACAAGATTGAAAGAAAACAAGATTCCGACAGAGTAAGGGAAAAGAAAGAGGATGGATAGATGGCATTGCAAATCATATCTCCTATCTATATTAATGATTTGTACTCTGTATCTCCTTAATAACCATGATCTAAACTTTAACCAACTCTAAACTCCCCTTTTTTCTCTTATCTTTCTCTTTCCACAATTTTCGTCAACCACAGCCACAGCATGCTTGGCGGCGGACCTCCCGTCGGTGATGTGCTGTCGATCTTTGTCTTGGCCTTCTTCCTCCTTGGGCGAGACTGGGCTCGATGATGCTAGCAACCACGCACGTTGAGAATTCTCTTCCATCCAAGACGTTCCGTGACATGAAATGTACCTGATTCGATGATCAAACGGTCCAATGGGCCATGATTAGATCCACTAATCCTACAGGGATTGTGGCGGTCGTCGGATGTATTATTACATGGTCTCGCCACTTTTTATTTTTATTTTATTTTTATTATTTTTTTTGGTGTGTTCGTAAGGATCCTTGTGATTCGGGCCGAAAAAAACACGGGCTTCGGCTTGTCTGGAAGGGAAACAATGCAGCCGACGGGCGTCAGACAAGCCGTTATATACTACTCGGCTAGGAATCAGAAGGCAACGGATTTCTATAATTCAACCGGAAAAAAAGGATACGATATCACAAACAATTAATTGAATAGATGATCCAGGTATATGGCATTTCAATTATGGAAAAACCGTCTGTCTTATCAATAGCAACTGTGTCTAGATGTGACACTCGCTCGACAACTGATTCTACTGACAGCCTGATAGGCGCACGGATTGGATCGGGAAGCGTTTTACATTCCTTTTTTATTTTTATTTTTATATTTTTTCATTCTGGTCGGGTGGATACTACTGATTTAATCCCTTTTCATCTCAAATTCATAGGGACGTGCATGCAATTGCATAGTCGTTGACGTTGCTGGAACTTGTTTCTACGCCGTCGACCCACCGGGACTATATGCTCTTGGCGGATCAAAGTGAAGGCGCTACCCACCGAAGATCATGAACCATTCTGGCCGTTCTTTGCCCTTCCCCTAGGCAGCACTGACTTGAGTTCAATGCCGAGACCTTGCGCCATGGACCCTCTGCCCCCTTTGCAATAATGCGATGGGCCCCTGATATGCGCCAGACCTGAGCTCTTCCTATTCCTTCTGGCCCGCGGTGGGCTCGGTATCCCTTTTCTGGGACAATAAGAGTTTAGACAAGCGGGTTTCATCGTCTCTAAGCCAACCATTGTTGATATGTATCTTGTTGCGATTTCTTGGCCCTGCATTCCTCAGTATCGACTATGGACCATGATGAATATCAGCCTGAAGTTAATGATGCCCTATCATCCGCGCCATGTGCATGGCGATGCCAGCATTGGCCTTATATCTAGGCCGTCCCACTGTGGTAGTGTAGGATTGTTTCGATATATCTCTGCTCTTAATCCATTGACTGCTCTCCACGCTTTTCTCAGCGTTGTTCCATTTTTAATCTATTCGCTTTCTTTTTTTTTTGTTTGGCTGCAATGCATTGCATTACATTCACATACTTTCATTGAGCCTGGTTTAGTCTCGAAGCGAATAGTCTGTCAAGGGATTTGCCTGCAGTAGCTCTCGTCATTCTTTTGGTTCCTTGCACTCATTTCCCCATCTTACATGAAGATATAAGTGTGTGCTATTTCCCCTTCAGGCAGAAGATCATTGTCAGACAGTATACAAAACTGTGCATCCTTTCTCTTATCTTCTGTCTCCTTCCTCAGTGTCATACCACTCCATTGCCTTCTAGTGTCGTGCCACCATCTCTTATCACTTTTTGTATATCACACCACTCCATTTATAGCTTCTTTCTTTGTCTTATAAACTTCACGCCAAGAGCACAATGTTCGATTACAGCAGCGAAAATTGCATTCCACCGGGCTCATCCCAATCAGATATCGAAATGCTAGCTCCCCAGAAGCTTGAGGAAGAGAAGCAACTGGGCACAGTGGGTCTCCGGGAGAGACTTCGCCATTTTACTTGGGCATGGTACACCTTAACGATGAGTGGAGGAGGTTTGGCCGTCCTTATCATCAACCAGCCCTTTGCCTTTGACGGACTACGAGAGATCGGTATTGCAGTGTACATCCTGAATCTGATCTTCTTCGCTCTTGTCTGCTCTACCATGGCTATCAGGTTCATCCTGCATGGCAACCTTCTTGAATCCCTCCGTCATGACCGTGAGGGCCTCTTCTTTCCAACCTTCTGGCTGTCCATCGCAACCATCATCTGCGGATTGTCCAAATACTTCGGTGAAGAGTCTAGTGACACCTTCCAATACGTCCTCGAAGCCCTCTTCTGGATCTACTGCGCCTGCACCTTGCTCGTCGCCATCATACAATATTCATTTGTTTTCTCATACCATAAGTACGGCCTCCAAACCATGATGCCTTCATGGATCCTTCCCGCCTTCCCTGTCATGCTCAGCGGTACCATTGCCTCCGTCATCGGTGAGCAACAACCTGCTCGTGCAGCCCTCCCCATCATCGGCGCCGGCGTCACCTTCCAGGGGCTCGGCTTCTCCATCAGCTTCATGATGTACGCCCATTACATCGGCCGACTAATGGAGTCCGGCCTCCCCCACAGCGATCACAGACCGGGCATGTTCATCTGCGTCGGGCCCCCAGCCTTCACAGCCCTGGCCCTCGTCGGCATGAGCAAAGGTCTTCCCGAAGATTTCAAGCTACTACACGACGCCCACGCCCTAGAAGACGGTCGCATCCTCGAGCTGATTTCCATCTCCTCCGGCGTCTTCCTCTGGGCCCTAAGCTTCTGGTTCTTCTGCCTCGCCTTCATCGCCGTCATCCGGTCCCCGCCCAAAGCCTTCCACCTCAACTGGTGGGCCATGGTCTTCCCCAACACCGGCTTCACCCTCGCCACCATCACCCTGGGCAAGGCCCTAAACAGTAACGGCGTCAAGGGCGTCGGGTCCGCCATGTCCATCTGCATCGTCTGCATGTACATCTTCGTCTTCATCAATAATGTCCGCGCTGTCCTCCGAAAGGAAATCATGTACCCGGGCAAAGACGAGGATGTGTCCGACTAGGTTATGACTAAACCCATTAATCCATTCCCCTCATCATCTAGATGTTCATACGCCTATCTATGCCATTCCTACCCTCCCCATCCATATATATATATATTTGTGCTTTCCATTCATCCCCCCCCCCTTTTACTATATACCCCCTTCACCACGGTGATGCCCCCCTTTTTTTATGTTACTATTGCCCTTCCTCATGTTAAAAATGCTCTTGGCATCGCACGGCGTTTGTTACGGAATTCGGAATATATAGCGTTGCGTTGCGTTTGCATCCACATTCACATTCACGTTGTAGCCATTTTGTTGTTCTCCTCTTACTGTCCCGCATTTCCTCCCTTCACCTTCCTCTCTATAGACAAAAAAGAGATACTAGATTTAGACTAGAAAAAGAGAACACTGGATATGAAATCGGGTGTATCATTCTTATTCTCATTCTCATTCTCATTATCAGTATTATCTTCCACTACTTGTATTACGATGCCTAGAGTCGACCCCTACCTAAAAGAAAACCATAAACCCAACCCCAAACCCAGTTCCAACCATGCTTCAAGCCTACCTAAATCTGTTCCAAAATCAGGATGAGACAAAGCGTCTTACCGGACCGGGTATGTGGGTCTAATCGCATATACTTTCTACGAAAGATTAGCACCTACCTGGGGTAGGAATGCCAATCTCATTTACAGGAAAATGGAAATGGGAGAAAGGGATGAGTTCGAGTTAATATGTACTTGATCCGGGGTTCGGGTCTCGGGGTGGAGAGGTTTGTTTGAGACATCGACGATTATTTAGGAGTGGTGGTTGGTGTTAGATTTTGGGAGGTTGAGCTGGGACATCCTGTCACGTTTGATGCATACATGATTTTTAGTGTTTGGGTTTGGGGTTCTGATTAATTGGCGCTTGGTTTTCTTGGGGGGTTTTTGGCGGAGCGGGACTCATGTTGGGGTTAAAATTGGGTTATTGGGGATTTTGGGTGTGGTCTTGGAACGTGGGGTAGAGTACTCGTTAGTTGGAATTTGTTAGGTCTAGACTTGTATGTGCTGATATTTGGGTTTATTGAATCTGGGGGATATTTTGAGGGTGGGTTGTGGTTGTGGTTGTTTCTCTGGCTTGGAGCTCAGTTTTAAGGTCTTTTTTAGTATACTATGTTATGAGGGAGTCTGATTTCTCATTATTCGGCCAGGGAAGATATATTCTATGTCTATGGTATGAGATGAGGGTATTTACGCCGATGGCATTGTACAGTACATAAATAGTTTAGACATGACGTGGCATGGTCGGCACCAGTATATGGTGATCCGACAAAGTCGACTTGGAAAAGCGAGAGATTAATGTACGAGTCGGATCTCCGTGGTACCAGGCTCCCACTCCTTCAGCCCCTGCGCAATATTATACCAGAATCGCAAGCGCACGCATTCCTTTCTTGCGGATTCAACATCGCCCGTATTAAAAGCGTTCGCCAAATTCTCCACACAGTCGACCACACGGGCCTCGTTTTGTTTCTTGAGCTCGGTAATCGTAGTCTCAGCGCCAGGTTCGGCGCCCACTTCTTCGATTGTCTCCTGCACTTCCATCACCTCCATCAGCGTCTCCGGATCGAGCGCATGATGCGCTGCGCCGTCCTCGGCTGTGACGTCGATGTCATGTAGCTCGTGGAGGAGATACTGTGCACGCGCGAGCGGATCGAGCAGCGTGCGGTAGGCTTCGTTGATGCGGGCTGAGAGAGCCTCCGCTTGTTGCTTGGCTGGGCCCGGTGGGTACTTATCCGGGTGGATTGTATTTTGGAGCTGGAGAAACTCACGGCGAAGATCGCCGACGGAGATGTCGAAGGGCGAGTTGGGAGGCGGCCCTGCGGGGAGGGTCTTGGGGAAAATAGTGTAGTGGTTTGTAATGTCCGGGATGTTTGGGATAGCGGCGTTGTTCTCGGCTGCGGTAGTATTGGAAGTAGAAGATGTGGATGCGAAGCGACGGGGCTGCTCGAAGAGATTGGTGCGTGCTATGCGAATGGTACTTTGGGTTCTATATTGACAGAGGATGCATGTTCCTGGCGTTGTCTGGTTGAAGAATGCAGGTCTAGTTCGGGAAGCTGTTTGGGAGGTTGCGGAAGAGAGGCGTGGAAGCAACCTCTGAGGGCGAATGGAGGCGGTCATTTTCTGACCTGTCCGACTGAGGTCACTGAGATATTAAGTCGACGGGTGTGTGTTGATTTCGACTAGGATCTGAGATAAAGTCGATGGGGCGAAAGGCTGGGGGAATTTGATGCTTATCAGACCAACCTAATATAGGGCCGGTTAGTCAGCATGGAAGTTCCGACCATCGGACTTTCGGCAATTTACGTCATAGTCCGAGAGCTTACTTTTTCTTTTTATTTTATTTTATTTTATTTTTTCTATATATATATTGAATGGATTAATTTCTGAGTGTACAGCTGTCGGCTAGATAGATATGCTCCTTGGTGGTCATTGGCCTCGTGGTTTTGAATATCGTGATTGTGAAGCTGGGTATCGGATGCATGAGATCTATGAAACAAGCGACTACCTTGAATCTGACGTAGTGACCTGTAACGCAGGGCCATAGATTGGGCAAAAAAAAAATCAGTTATATAAAATAAATTGCGAAGAATTCTAGGCGTCGATGCCCCAAAGCTTAACAGTACGATCATGTCCGCAGCTAGCGATCCATTGCGCATCGTCGCTGATGTCGGTACTAAGCACGTTGCCTGCATGCCCACTCAGCGTCTTCACCAGCGACCAGTCATCTGCACTGAACACGTTGACATTCTTATCGAATCCACTGCTCACAAAGAAAGTGCCCGACTTCCTTGGTTGTACAGGTGCCGACTGTGCGCTCTGGTCGCCGTCCACATCCATCCGGCCATTCTGCCCATCACTGGACGGTAAATAGGAGCTGGTAGACTCTGTTCCTTTATACCACCGGAGGTCAGACACTACACTTTTGTGTGCTCCGATGCCTCCGGTATTTCTCACTTGGCGCAAATCCCAGCATTTGACCCAGCCATCACCCGAGCCGGTTAGGACACGGTACCCATCCACGCCCCAGTCACAACCGTAAATCTCGCGGATGTGGCCTTCCAGAATCATCACAGTTCGGCCCGTGCGAAGGTCCCAGATACGTCCGATACTATCGAGTCCTCCACTGGCCAAGAGCGAACCATCGTTATTGAATGATACCGTGTAAACTTCCCGAGAATGGCCTTCCTGCAGTAACAATTCAGCGGTCGTCTCAACATCCCATAGCCTCCACGTGGTATCATAGGACGCCGACGCGACATATCTCCCGGAAGGATGGAATTCCGTTCGGCACACCCGACCGCTGTGTCCAGAGAGGGTAGCTAAAGGCTGGTCCTGATCGAGCGACCACAGACACACATTGCCCTCACCGCCCCCAGAGACAAGGTTAACAGTTGATTCGGAGACATTGGACGTTGGAAGCGTAGCACCCGGGAACCATGACAGGCCACCGACCCGGTCTGTGTGTGCCTTGAACGACCGTTTCTCCTCCAGATTGGGCACCGTAAGCAGCCGAATCCCACCACCCCAGTTACCTGTAGCGATGGTCTGTCCGTCTGGCGCAAAGCGGCAGATGCTGACGGGGCGATCGCCCGCGATCTGCGAACCGTAGAGATCAAACCCGTGTAGCTTCTCCTTGATCGCTTTACGATGCTTGATGTGTGTCCGTAATGGGATGGTCGATTCTTCTTTCTGTCTGGCGACGCGCTTCTTTGCGCGAGGAATGGAGAACCGCGCGATCGCTTTCCGTGCCTCCAAAAGATCTTGGGAACCCTCGGTATAGAACTCCTCCTGCTGCTCTGCTTCTTCCTCCACCGCCTCCTGTGCCGCTTCTGACATATCCACATCTCCTTCAGCTACCGTGGCATCCTGTTGCTCAGCGACATCAGTTAAGAGCTCTCGCAGTCGATCTCTCCGGTCCGCGGGGCCTTCGCCAAACAGGGTGATGGGCTCTCCGAGCTCTCGTAACCGCGCGCGCACTCGGTTATCATCGGTTGGGACTACCATAGCAGCGGCTCTTCGCTTGCGTTCAAACTGGGACAGAATAGCGGACGCTCTCTCTGACGGGATGCCGGCCGTGGCGGCGGGGATATCATAATCGCGGTCCACAGCTACATGGCACACATCCATTAGTCAAATTCAGAGATAGGAAGGACAAGATAGTTAAGCACACTGAGAAAGTTGAGTGTGTTACTTACGCAGGTCGGCATAATCGATGCCCATATCTGTGTCCTGTGAGGCAAGCCATTGGGCGTCAGCGGATTCTTGTGCGGAAGGATCAACCCCAACCCCTCGAGATGCGGTTCCAACGTGGGTTGCTATTCCAAAGTCCTATAAATTGAATTGGGTTTTAGAAGTGTAGCTATTACCTCTGTCTCCTCCACGTACGCCTGTCTGGATGGGTGCATCATGGTGGGCACGAGAGCTGGAGGGCGTCAATCAGACAGCCCAACGCCTTTTTTCCGAGGAAATGCTATTTATTATTGTGCGTGATTCTTACTGCAAGACGCAGCAGCGGGAGTTGTATGTAGAGTCGGGAGTTTGGATGAAAGGTGTGTTTAGTGGGATTCCAGACGGAAGAATTCCTTTTCCTGAAATTTTGAAGGTGACACGAAAGGAAGCGGCAAGAGTAAAATAAAAAACAAAATGATTCAATGATTCAATGACCCAGAACCACAACAGACGTCACAAATTATACAACCTTCTAACCCTACTATTGCTACGGGTTACAGGAGCCCTCTACGCTCATATTACAGTGTCTGTCGTTGATCTTGTGATATGCGCTTATCGGCCCGATTATCAGCTTTCTATAATCCAGACTCGGTATCGTCAATTCCTCTATTATGAAATCCTTCCCTACACGTGGGGAAGTTAAAAAGGCTTCGGTCGGCTAACCGCGGAGAACTCTAGTCGCAAAGGGCACTCAAATCACAGTTAAACGAGCGTATCTCAATGTTGGTCCACTGAAAGAATGGAGGCAGTCGATTGATGACGACAGGCGGTCGGCAATCCATTTATAAATTTTTCTCTCTTTTTTTTTATTTTTTATTTATTTATTTTATTTAATTTTTTTTTTTTTTAAAAAAAATGGTGCCGAATCCCAGCGCTCAAACTTCCCTCTCCAGAGATTATTAAGTGTGACCTTTACGACCATCCTCCCACCATTTTACCAATTGTTGCCCCCAGATTCATTACTTGGCTGAGTGGGAGGGTCTGTTCGTTTTCTTCTCCCGGCACAACAGGCCCTCTACGAGGCTGAACGGCACAAAGGAACATTTCGTTGCATGCTCCCATCAATCAAGTCCTCCATCGCTCTTCCCAGAGGTTTGATTGCTTTACTTGGCACCCCCCGGCGACGATCTGGTCACTGCCGATGATCCCTCTGACATCTTCCCGTAGAGCCTGCGGTTCAGCCTGCAGTAGCCTACAAAGCGTCGCGACAGATAGACTCTTGGCCAGCACGTCATGGCCCCGATCATCTCCGATAGCCTTCTTCTCTCCGCCCCGACGATTATCCAGAGCCTTCCACTCGACGCGGTCGCTTGATTCGACTCCATCGCGCATCTCATACCGTGTCGCCGCTTCGTCCTCCGGCAAAGGCAGCCGTTTCCATCCCGCAAAGAACACCTCCGACTTTAATCCCCAACTTCACCGGGCTCTGGGTGTGGCCACGGATGTGAAGAGTGCAGCCATCCGGCGCCAACGGAGGCCGGATAGCGGCGAGGACGCGTTCTTCGTAAGCCAAGTCGGCCAGCACAACAATGGGGCGATCGCATTTGCCGTGGCAGACGGAGTCGGGGGCTGGTCGGAGTCCCGGGTTGATCCGGCGGACTTCTCACACGCGCTGTGTGGTTATATGGCGGAAACCGCCCTAGATTGGGACGTCTCGGCGGAACAATTGCGTGCGAAGAATCTTCTTCAGGCCGGTTACGATCAGGTCGTTGCCGATGAATCGATCTGTGCTGGCGGCAGCACCGCCTCGGTAGGAGTCGGCTTGGGCGATGGACGGGTTGAATTGGCGAATTTGGGAGATTCCGGCTCTGTCCTCCTACGTCTCGCCGCCGTACATCACTACTCTCTCCCGCAGACCCACGGCTTCAACACGCCCTACCAGCTTAGTATCATTCCACCCCGCATGCGCAAACAAGCATCCATATTTGGTGGCTCCTTCCTCGAAGACTTTCCGCGCGACGCGGCCGTCACAACCCTCCACATGCAGCATGGCGACGTGCTCCTCCTTGCAACGGACGGCGTCTTTGACAACCTCAATAACCAAGACATCCTCAAGCTCATAACCAGCCGGATGGTCTTGACAGGCGCCTGGACGGCCACACCCGACGTCGGAATCAAACCCTCCGTCGATCTCGACCAACTAACCGGTCCTGAGGGACTCTCATCACTCATCTCATCAAATCCAGACCAGTCTCAACACCACCGCACCACCACGAAGAACCACATGTACTCTCTTCAATCCCTTCTCGCCGCAACCATCGCCGGCGAGGCCAAAATAGCCAGCGTGGATATGCGGCGCGATGGGCCCTTTGCCAAGGAAGCCCAACGATATTACCCCGGCGACTGGTACCGTGGCGGGAAGGTTGATGATATCGCTGTCTTGGCCGTGGTGGCTGTCGAAGAAGGCTACAGTCAAGGATCATGATCTGTGAAACATGTCCATCCTTGCTATTGAACTATGGTTGGCCTCAATGGCATCCCCCATTCAGTCAACTTCAGTTAAGGATAGTGTCATCATCCTACCGGGATCGAAAATCCGATTCTTCCCCGACGCAGCATCTCTTTTGATCTGGGTAGTAAACCGTTGGTTGAATTTCAACTGGACAGGCGTTTTTTATAGAGAATGGTGTCTTCGGGGACTTTTGCTTTTCTTCTTCTTCTTCTTTTTTTTTTTCCCCTCCTTTCACCAGTGGATGTATATCAACGGACACATATTCCTGTATTCTTGCATCTGCATTTTTCATGGGCACATTTGGGAGTCGGGCCGGAGGGAGTTTTACCTGGTATATTGACGCTGATATAGAACATTAGAGTCGTATATTAGTTTACTACTAATATCCAAGTTTTAGATAGAGAACAGAAAAAGAAAAGGGGGGAGGGAAAAAAAAAAAGCAAAAATGAGGCAAAAAGAAAATAAGACTGCAGAGTCTTGAATAAATGGGTCTATAAAAATGAATTATTCTGAATGATCCAGGTATGCCCGCCAGTCACTATTGCCGGTACGTCCATACTCCTAGGACACCACTACATTATCGAGACGGATATGATATGATCCTCCCTTAAATTCGGTCATTGCATGGTAAATATTCCATGAGAGTATTTTTCTTTTTATCTCTAGGGGAATATAGTTATAAATTTGTCGAGGTTGTATAACTACAATCTAGACTGGGCTGCCACATATAATATGGAGTGTATGACGATTGTCGGGGAACCTCAACTTGAACTCCTCTTTTCCTTCCAGAACAGAACATATCTCCCAAACCATTCGCCCTTTTCCCTCCCTCCACTTGTCGCATTCAAGTCACGCGGGAATTCTGGACTTCGCTATCTATGGTAATTTGACCTTCTTCATTTCAGGTGTTACTGTTGGCTTTGTTATTGTGGCACAAGGTTAGTCGTTATTCCATCACTCATTCACTGATTACCGGCTCTATCAAAGCACCTTAGTATCAGGTTGTATCATGTACTAAAATGACTTGCTAGGCTACTTTTATCTGACCGCATATTGCTGTTCCCTTAGAGTGATTGCCTTGATTGGGCTGATTTTGCTTTTCCCGCATCGATCAATCAGTCCTACCAGGCATCTATTTGCGCATCGCGTCTATTGGAATTCTACAATCAAGACAAATATCGAGAATCCTTGACACCCAGTGTCAGGTCTATTTTTTTGCATCCGTGTCAGCAACCAGTGGTTGTGCAGCTTCTTCGCGTTATAGTATTGGAGGATCACCGATCGCCACTGAGTGCAGCGCGTGTGATTCACCCCATCTACCACCGCCATTATCATTCTTTTCTACAATTCTATCGCGCGTATTCTGGGTCAATAGAGACAGCTCTGGTAAGATCTCTGACGAAGCTCTTTACACTGCTGGCGTCGCGTCTACTTCTTTGAGATTGACTAATCTGACGTGGACAAAGGTACATCCTCAGTGGGAGGATATTTGACTGCCTCTGACTATCCGCGAGACTCTTGTGACAAAAGCATCAGTCGCGCGTTGTGGGAAATCCAGCTTTGTTGTTGTTGGTGAGCGTTGCGTCATTTGCGGACTGGCAGCGCTTTTTTTTCCCGGCAAAAGGAAGTGCACGCGTTGTCAATCAACTTCCCGCCTCCGTCGCGACCTTCTCCACCACTTCTTCCCTCACATCCACCTCGACCATTTCATCCCCCCTCCTCCATTGCCACCCTTTGAATCTTGCGAACTTCAGGTGGAGCTGTTTTACATCTAGATTTTATTGAGCTTTGTCGCGCACCATGGCTGAAGATACTCCTACCGCCTCGGCGCCTGTTCCTGACGCCGCTGAGTCGGTCGAGCGCGCTCCTGCTGAGGCCAAGGATACTGCGCCAGAGACCACCAAGCAGACAGACGAGAAGGCCAATGGATCAGAGGAGAAGTCATCTGGTAAGCACTGCATAGATCTTTCATCACTTCGCTTTGCTCTCTTTCTCCCTTGGGTGTCCCAACAACAGCGTGTTGATGGAACTTCATGCTGACCCGTGTTACTTGTTTTCCCTTAGATGCTCCCGTTTCCGAAGAGAAAAAGGAATCTGATGAAGCGCCCGCTGAGAAGCCCAGCGCGTCCGAGTCTACTGATGCGAAGGAGGGTGCTGCACCTGCAGAGTCTGAGACCGCCCCAGCTCCGGAGGCTAACGGAACCCCCGCGTCGGCTAAGAAGTCTGGAGGCTCCAAGCGCAAATCGACCGGCGCTGTACCGGAACATAAGTCCAAGCTGAACCGAAAGAAGTCGCAGGCTCGCATCACCAACCTCAACGCGAAACCAGGTGACTACTTCCTCGCGCGCCTTCGCAGTTATCCCCCATGGCCCTCCATCATCTGTGACGAGGAGATGCTTCCTCAGACGCTACTGGACTCGCGCCCGGTGACCGCTCAGCGAGCCGATGGGACCTACCGGGAGGACTACGCCGAGGGTGGCAAGCGCGCTCATGAGAGGACCTTCCCTGTGATGTTCTTCGAGACGAACGAATTGTGAGTAGCATGTTTCTCGCCCCCACCATCGTAGTGGATGTGTCAGCTAATAGCAAGAATAGTGCTTGGATCCCTAACACTGATTTGACCCCACTCGATCCCGCCACCTGCAAGGAAGTTTCGGAGAAGGGCAAGTCGAAACTGCTTTTGGCCGCTTATGCTGTGGCCGCCGATGGCCACGACCTTAAGCACTTTAAGAGCTTGTTGGCCGACCACCAGCGCGCGATGGAGCAGGAAGAAGAAGAACGGGAGGCCCAGGCGGCCGCCAAGGCAGCTGCTAAGGCCGAAAAGGATGCGAAGAAAAATAAGCGGAAGAGTATGGAGGTCATCGATGATGAGGATGTTGATATGGAGGATGCAGACGAGGAGGCCAAGAAGCCCAAGAGCTCCAAGAAGAGAAAGAAGGATACTGAAGCCGACGCAGAGGAGAAGGTATGAGGGAACGATGCCCCGGAGAAATGCGCAGAGTACTAACCGTGCATGATTTACTTTAGCCTGCTAAGACTCCTAAGACCGGTACGAAGCTCAAGCTGACGACCCCAAAGACTCCCGCAAGCGAGAAGAGGGCCCCTGCTTCGAGCAAGGCCAAGCAGACTGCCAGCAGCAAGAAATCGGGCAAGGCGGCTGCCAGTGATGAGGGTGAGGAGAGCACTCCTGCGGCGCCCAAGGAGCCCGAGAAGCAGGTCAACCCTGAGGAGGCCAAGGCCAAGAAAGAGAAAGAGAGTATGTGCATCGCAATAGTCAACCGTTTGTTCGCAGGCGGGAAACACTAACGAGGGACAGTTCTTTTCGTTCGCCATAAGCTCCAGAAGGGCTTCATTTCCCGTGATCAACCTCCCCAGGAGGAAGAAATGACATCGATGTCAACCTACTTCGCTAAGTTGGAGAATTATCAGGACCTGGAGGTCTCTATCATCCGTTCGACCAAGATCAACAAGGTCTTGAAGATGATCGTCAAGCTTAGCTCTATCCCTAGGGATGAGGAATTTCAGTTCCGTCGTCGTGCTGTGGATCTCTTGTCCAAGTGGAAGACTGTGCTCGATGCGGATACCACCGTGGGCGCCTCCGAGGAGAAGAAGAAGCCCAAGGCTAACGGCGTCCACAAGGAGGATAGCGTTGAGACCCCCGCCCCTGCGGACACAGAGACCAAGGAGGATGAGTCTAAGCCGAGCAAGTCAGAGCCCAAGGATGAGGAAATGACTGATGCCGACGCTAAGGATAAGACCGAGGCCGAGGCCCCTGAGCCAAAGGAAGAATCTGAGAAGACGACCTCCAAGGGCGACGAGTCGTCAGCTGAAAAAGCCACTGAGGAGAAGACCACGGAGGAAAAGCCTGCCGCAGAGAAAGCAGAGGAGAAGGCCGCAGAGGCTTCGGCATAAGTCTCCAATTAGGCTCTCGTTTTATCTCGAATTCTCGCTGCTGCTCTGGTGTTCTTTCTTATCACGCTGTCTAATCTGCGCTGCTCTTCCTATTGTCTTGGTTTTTCTTAAGTCGCTCTGTTCCACCTCCTTTCTCTGATAACTCCTGTCGTTCCATTTTGGGGTTGAGTATTAAAGCTGGGAATCTCAAGGATATGCATAATGCGCTTGACACTCTCACTTTCCTCGCCTATCTTTCTATACCGCCTACCATTTTCTTTTTGGAACCCCCATCTCACCTATCCTCACTGTACATCGAACCTCCTTGTTGGACGCCCACCTCGGTGTCTTCGACTCAAACCTGGAATAGGGAACCCCCAGCGAACTTGACACGAAGCCAGATCCATAGGCAAAATTGGACGGAAAAAGTGCCCGGACCGAGACATGAACAGGTCGGAACTGGGTGTGACTGATTGATTGATTTGGGACTTCTGATAGCGAACGCTACAAGCATGAGTTGTGAAGTAGTCGACCTGTCTTCTCTTTCTTAAAATTCTTCAGCGTATGGATGGATGGTGTTCATTTCCTTTCAATATTTGTGTCTAATTCCTCTTATGTGTTTCTGCTTGTGATCGATTCGAGAATGTTACCTGATTTTCCTTGGTTGTATTGTGGTCTTTTGATCCTGATTGATAACTCGATGGAGTCAATAAATACTGGTTTTGATTACGAACAGGTTTGAACTCATTGAGGCATAAAGCATCTCGCACCTTTATACAGTATCCAAGGTGCGTACTTGCTTGAATGTGTATAACAAGAGGGGAATAGAAAATCACGGGGGGCATGCAGAAGGGAAGAAGTATATACAATAACAGTATTTGTACGCCGAAACTAATGGAAAGGTATAAAATCATGCCAATGGGTAAGCAAATTGCTCCAGCCAAAAGGATCAAGAAAAGAAAAACAAACATTCCACCTTCACCACAGACAAAAATCACCACCCCCTCCTCTTAATCGCCGCCGTAAACATCGACTTCTTAAACCCACAAGGCTCGGAAATCTCCCTCAAATGCAGCTTCCAGCACTCCTGACACCATGAATGACAGTCGCAAGCGCATACTCCATATACTCCGCGGAAAAAAACTCACTATACCCCCCAATCCTCAATCCCTGTGATCTTCCCATCCTTCATCATGAAATTCCGAGCAGCCAGGTCTTCATACGTGAGCACGAACTTCTGCTCCGCACGCGTCCCAGGCAAAAGCCGCCCCCATATATTCCTCTCCGTCGACGACCTCACCTGCCCAAGACAATCAAGCTCCTCCTCCGACCCAAACGGCCACATAAAGTTAAAATGAAGCCGATCATAAAAGTAAAAGTTTAGCGTCTCCTGTCGCCCAACCCGCCCAATATACGGCTGCGTGTACTTTCGAAACAGCCGTATCTGCTCCTCCAGCTGCGCATTGATACTTTTCTGCTCGGTCTTGGTCTTGCTGTACCAGACTGTGTCGAGCGATTCGCCCTCGAGGAGATCTGTCACCATCGCGATGAGGTCCCGGGGAACATCGTAGCAGCCTAGGACCTTTGGGGCGGTTATTCCCGGTTGGAGGGAGACGTAGTGGAGCATGTCGGCTTCGGAGCGGGCGAAGCCTTCGGTTGGTTTGATATATAGGGCGACGGTGAGGCCGTTGGCGGTTGTTGAGGAAAAGACGCGGTTACCATGGAAGTTGTAGAGCTCTTGGCATTGGATTGTGCCTGTGTAGGTGAATATGTAGTAGGGATGGGGCTTGAATGGGCGTTGTTTGTGTATTTGAGGGAGTCAAGGCTGTAGTATGTTTACAAGGCTAATAAACTGCTAGTCAAGAAGAAGCTAGTCTCCTGCGGCCAGCTGCGGCATACATGTCTTCCACCACAGTCTTCCTCGAGCATTGAGAAAGACTGTGTGACCATGTTCTATTTCTGAGGTACATATACATTCTTGTTCTTGTCAATTGTACTGGATAGACCACACGTGGTGTCTCAGTTGGTGAAGTGTGGAGTAGCTTAAGTTCTAATTATAGCCGATGGTGATCTATGGGGCCCGTCCGTCTGTGCGCCAATCACCTAAGAATTGGCTGTTAGACAGAGTACTCTGCAGTACAGAGACACTATTGGTGATTAGACATTTCGATTTGGTCTTGATTAAGAGTGCTTTGTCTGACTTGGACCACTCATTATTATCAAATTTTGTATAGTGTTCAAGTGTTCAATATATGAAAAAATATGAAAGATAATATAAAAAATTTTAAACCGTCCCTGGAAAGGCTCGAACTTTCAACCTCCTGATTAACAGTCAGACGCGCTAACCAATTGCGCCACAGAGACCAGTTATTGGTGACGCCATGAAATTTGTAGTATTAAGAGAGGAATTCGCAGACGGACTCTTACCACTACAGTGAAAGCCGGAGACAAGTATATAAGGCTACTGAGAACGGCACATATTCCCATAGTTAATAGCCTATACTGTTACGCTACCAGACAGCTCTATTCCAGTGCTGGAAGCTGGGCTCTGACGCTGCGGAGGAACCTCGTCTCAATATCCCCGGCATGAGGGACTCAGGCATCGCATCGCCCTACGACTGGAATTTTACTACCGTTTTACAACCGCACGCGGGCAACCGTACCCTGACTCACCTTGAGGCAAAGTCTTGGGCGGAAGTTCCGGTCTCAACTTCATGGTGTGGGACCGCGCAAATGAGATTGAATACGACGCATGGGGTCGATTGGGGAATGGGGGATGGAATTGGTCAGAAATGATCTGTTATATGCTCAAAAGTCGAGGATTTTACTTCATCACGTAGGTACAGTGATGAAGGGGTAGGATTGGGTGGTCCTATACAGACGATGATCTCTGATTACGTGCCAATGCACCAGGACTTCTTCATGGCTGCTGTGGAGAGTCTGGGTGTTTCAGAAAGTCGGGACTCACTGGGAGGAAACCCTATGGGCTGTAGCTTCCAGCCGTCAAATACCCGCAATAGCAATCGCAAGAGGTCTTATAGTGCCCATCATCCCGGATATCCCTCACGTGCAGGCCCAAATCTTGAGATACGAGTAGCGACAAGGGTGCGCAAGATTAATTCACAGCCCACAAGAACCTGATAGCAATAAATGGTACCCTGGAAGACAATACAACCATCTCGGCAACCAAAGAAATTATCCTTGCCGCCGGTACTATGCAGAGCTCAGGCTTGTTAGAACTTTCGGGAATCGGTCCAGAGAACGTGCTGCGCGCTGCCAATATTCAAAAGCTCGTTGACCTTCCTGGGGTTGGAGAAACCTTCCAGGATCGCCTGTGAATCCAGAGCTCTTATCGACTGCTCCCCAACTACACCTCGAGAGATATTCTCAAATCCAACACCACATTTGCGAAACAGTAGCTGGGAGCCTCTAATGCAGATCAGCGAGCCATGTACGACCATGCTGGCGGCGGCTACGCTTTTCTGAGATGGACACGCGTGGCCGACGACCCTTTCCACATGGAATCTCTAGCCCGCAAAGCCGCCAAGGAACCTCTCTCTTCATCGCCTATTGAACGCGCCACAGCACAAATCCTCATGGATCAAATCCAACACGAGGAACATAACTTCCCGCAGATTGAGATCCTCTTTCCCGACGAATATGAAGGACCTGAAGGGTATCCGCCGAAAACGTCTCCACTCTACTGTTCGTCCTTTTTTCTCGTTGCTTGCAGTGGTTCTACACCCCTTTAGCGTAGGGTCCGTTCATGTAACGTCGTCCTAAATCTCAACCACTCCGCAGATCCAACCTAATTACCCCGCGCATCATATCCAAGCTCTCGCATCCGCAGCAAGATACTTGCGCACGATCGCCTCCACAGCGCCTCTTCGTGACGCCTAGACCGAGGAATACGAACCAGGTCTTTCCGTGGTCGGTGAGGGGCCTGGTAGAGACGGCCAATGGTGAGAACACGCAATCAAGAACAGTTTCACAATATCCTGTCGGTACATGCGCGATGTTACCAAAGGAGCTACATGGGGTGGTCGATGGCAGTGTCATGCCAGTTTTGATTTCTGGACATATACAAACAGCCGTATATGGCATTGCAGAACGAGAAGCGGAGATGATCATTAAGAGGTGGCAGTAGATGAGTTGTAGACTTGTATGCACCGGACACATCATTTGTACAGTTATTAGCCCTATTAGGTAAACGTCACTTGGGATGTCCAACAACCAACGGGAGTGGTTTTACACTATGAATATTTCCCCAATAAATCGCTTAGTAATATGAATAAAAAATAAATAAAAATAATACCCCTGATATAGGGTTAGCAGTGGTATATTATTTGTACAACCTTTTGCTTTCTCCACGGGGGGTGACATACACCTTACGTCAAGAAATACTCACACCACGGAGAGCAATTGGCATCCGAACACATTTATTATATAGATAGATATAAAGTAGTTATAAATTATCAACTTTTCAGAGTAATTGAATTTCTTCTCCTAATTACCTTGGTTGTTCTACCTTTCACATCTCCACTCATCCTCAACCCATCTCATCCCGGAAATAGTTTCCTTCCATACGAAAGGCTACAATGCTTTCCAACATGGCACACATCGCCCCGGCTTCCTCCAAAAATATACTTAACGTTGCTACGCGACAGGTCCCGAAAGTTGCGGGTACGACAGGACCTCGCAAATATCTTTCTACAACAGCGCCTGCACAGAAGAACGTGACTCTACTTCAGGATAAGAAGAATGGATTTGGGTTTGCACGGTCAAACCCGAGACCGCCGAAACCGAGGAGCAAAGGGGTCACCGAGATCAGAGGGCCGTACTACTCAGTATGTACCTTTCTCAATCTCTTCGCACTGGTGCTGTAGATCGCAGCTGGAACTGACCATGTGCGATACACCAGGTAATGGGCAAAAGATACCTAGCCGATGTGCTCGAGACGTGAGTTCTGAATGAGAACTACGAGAGATAACACTGTGTCTAATATTACTACGAACAGTATGGGAACCCACGTGGATGGTCTCAAGTTTGCAGGAGGTAGAGTAGCACCACCAAGCAAATATAGGAATTTGACGCTAAGATCGATTATAGGTTCTTTCTCATTGTTCCAGGAGAAGCCCTTGAGAGAATTGATTGATCTTGCCCATGAGCATGGCGTTTATGTTTCGACAGTGAGTTTGTTTCGTACTTCGGGTTTAAGAGCGAATATATCCCTAACTTCAGCATGTAGGGTGGATGGGCGGAGCACCTTCTCACTCATCCAGACCCAAATGCGGTCTTTGACAAATACCTGCACAAATGCAAGGACCTAGGGTATGCCATTCGATTGGATCCTGAACCCCAAAGTTGACAAACGCTGACATGCACTTTCTTACGCAAGCTTTGACGTCATTGAGCTTTCATCCGGCTTCCTTTCTTTCCCCGAGGACGATTGGCTCCGACTCGTGGACAAGGTCCACTCATACAAGTTAAAAGCAAAGCCCGAGCTGGGCATCCAATTCGGTGCCGGTGGTGACACCCCAGCCTCCGGTCTTGAGGCAATCGGCACCTCGGACCCAGGAAAGTTGGTTAACCTGGGCCATAAGTTCCTCAAGGCCGGAGTGGAGCGCTTGATGATTGAGTCCGAAGGCATCACAGAGAACGTGGAGTCCTGGCGGACGGACGTAGTGTCTAGGATCATGAAGGAATTGCCATCGGAGCGTGTGATGTTTGAAGCAGCAGACCCGAAGGTATACAATTGGTATATCCGGGAATTCGGCATTGACGTCAACTTGTTCGTCGATCATAGCCAGATTGTGCAGCTCTCATGCCTCCGCCATGGAATCTGGGGTACGGCCGATACATGGGGAAAGATTGTGTCCTTCCGACCTGAGTAGACTGTTGATTAAGTGGCAAGTACCATGTATAACATGAATTAGGTAGTAGTCATGAAATATTTATTGTTTGAGATCAGAGCGATAGCAATAACAATAATATATACCAGAGGCGGTCAAATTGCGCTGACTAATCTGGCGCGGAGGGCGCTCCGCCTTTAATTCCGGGGAAAGCAATCCACCCCGACTTTTGATCAGCTTCGCATTGCCAGTTCTCTCGCTAGTCCTCGATCGCTTAGACAAAGTTCCGGGGCCGTTGTTATTGTTCGCCTCATACTTACCTAGGAGCCATGACTTGAATGGCCTTCTGTTGGCCTGAGTAGGCTGACCTTATCACATTTGACTATCAGACAACAACCGGCCCCGCGACTTGGCATCGCGGCGTTCTACTTCACTACGTTCGGCGGGCCACGAAGCTCAATTTTCCCTGAGATTTAGACGTCAAATCTGGCCTCTCCCCCTTCATCATGCCGAGGGCCAGCGCGCCGCCGGGCGGCCGGCTACGATGTCGACGAGCGTGCGACAGCTGTAAGCGGAGGAAGCAGAAATGCAACGGAGAGCAGCCATGTACAATCTGCGTCCAACGTCACAAGGAGTCAGAATGCCATTTCTCGGATAAGCCGGCCCGTCTGCTAAAGCCCACCGATGTCTCGAAAGAAACCATGTTGCTCAGCGAACGCCTCGTACCTACCCCGCAAAGACAAACGGCCATGGACCGGCTGCTCAACTCCCTGGAAGATCGTAACGCAAACTTAGAACAACAGGCGGTGGATGACAAAGATGGGATGGCCCCTGTACCAAAGGTAGCAAGGCTTCTTCGTGATGGGCAAGGGAAATTTATGTACATCGGCGACTCCGCAAGTTTGTCCTTTCTGCAGAGTGTCCGTCGCATAGTGTCTTCGTCAATCGGCCGTTGTGAGTTCACAGAAGACAATTCACGCCATTCAATGCTCGAAGCTTTTCAAAATAGCTCGACTACATGGACGGGTTCGTTGATACCGCCCCCAAGTAACTTAGAGGCTCAACGGTTAGCTGGCCAATATACTCTTGCAACTAGTCCGCTGCTAGATCTCTTTGACCGCACCGAATTCTATCCGCGACTGGCTAGCTGGGTCGAGAATCCAACGGGTGACGAAGATACTGTGAGCTCCATATTCTACCTCGTGCTCGCCATTGGGGCTCAGGTATCGGATACCAACCAGACCTTGGCGGAGAAGTACTTTGTCAGTGGCCGTCAACTGGCGTTTTCCGCTTTCACCGAGACCCCCAGTCTCTACACCATACAGTCATATGTCTTGATCTCCATGTATATGTTGGGTGCTTGCCGACGCAATGGTGCTTTTATGAATCTTGGAATTGCTCTTCGTGCTGCCTATGCGGTTGGAATCCACAGGAAGGATGTGAATGCGCTCTTCTGCACGCGAGAACGACGGGCCCGGGAACGCGTATGGAGAAGCCTACGCATGATGGACCTTTTCCTCAGCGCCTCTTTGGGTCGCCCTCCGGCTACCTCAGACTTTGACTACGAACCACATGAAGACAGCTTAACTCTAGGGGCAAAGCAACGTCTACAGCCGGAAGAGCAACTGTCTCTGACGGTGGTTTCGCTATGTCGCATTTTCGAGCGAATTCTGAAAGAAGTCTACATGAGGCAGGTTGTTTCGATCAGTGTCGCGGATACCATTTCGAACCAGCACCGTGCCTGGGTCCGAAACTTACCGGCATTCTTACGCCTGCAAGCCGAGCCACTCGATGCCAAACCTCTCGAGGACACCTTAGCTGCAGCCCATGTATTCGGCTCTTATTACTGGTCGATAGTCCTTTTAACCCGGCCCTTCCTTATCTTCCGGGTCTCTCAATATGTGAAAAACAAGAGCGAGTCGGCAAATCACTCCGAGAGTAGACCTAACAACTCCCGCATTTCGCTTTTTGCAGATGCATGCGTTTATTCCGCATTACGAGGCCTCAATATCCTTGACGACCTGTCGCATTACTCGAACCTACCACGAAGGCTACCGTTCTTAATTAATTCCGTTTTCAACTCAGCGGTTGTTTTAGGGGCAGCCTTCTTTGCTGACTACGACAATCTCCTCCCACTAGAAGAGGGCATGGAAAAGGCCGAAAAATTTCTCGGGCTCTTCATCCCTCACGATCCTCATGCTTGCCGCTTTTTCCACATTGTCAAATATCTCCGAGGCGCAGTTATTGAGTATGTCTGCCGGCGAAACCGCCAATGGATGGACCACCGTAGCAAACAAGTCGACCAGCTTTTCGGTGAAGTAGGCCCATCTACCGATACTTCGATTACCAATAATAACAGTAGTGGTACCTCAACCAACCGTGAGGACCATCCAACGGTCCCCTCCCCTCTGTCACCGAACAAATTGACCGGAGGCCCCATTGCCTCCCATGCTGTAGAGCAGCCAAATACTGCAACCAAACCCGACGACGGAATTTGGGATGCTTTATGCGGCACAGAAGGGCCCTCGTCTTTCCCATACGACACGGCTATTTCCACCTTGACGACGACCGGCATTCCGATCGGTTGCTCACCAGGTGGTACGATTCCATCTGGCCAAGCTGGTATGTCCGATAATAGAGGCCAGACACCCCTCTCTGACGTGTTATTACCCGATAATGGACTTCTCTACATGGCTGAAGATCTCCCTATGTTTGGACTCTGGGAAGACGCGTGATTTCATTCTAGGGTTTCCTCACATATCTTAGAACCTCAAGCTAATTTCTTTTATCTCTGTCATGAGATTGTATTTCATAGTTGGCGTTTTCAGATCTTTCGTGCTACATATACCCCTTAACAAGCTAGATGATTTGTAGATATATGCTGTCTATCTATGACTAACTTCTTGATTATGACAATCATTATGGTGAGCAACTTGATATTATATTTCTTGAAGAGTGTATGTAAACACCATTTTCTGGATTTCTATTTTTCTTGCTCCTTGTACAAGAAAGCGCCCCAGTTTCGTTATGCAGTATGAAGATGTATTCGAGTACCCTTACTAGCTAATAAGTGCCTTTTGCTTGGAACTTATTAGTTGGACACCCTTTTGTCCCACCTTTAGTAACCGCTGTCAGGCTGGGACCCACAGTATGATATAGTTTGTATTGGGCCATTTGATCAAGTGATCTTTTATTCAACCCGACTGTTCATGCACAGGGTATATACTGTAAACTACCGGACTGAATCGCCATTGGTTGCTCGACGATCCTGTCCCAGGTAAGGCAAAGCATTTACTAGCTCTTTTCTTTATTAGATCGCTACAAAAGGCTTTCCCTCCAGTTCCTCGATCTTCCTCACGGCTCGTTGGTAGCCCTCTGTTTTCTGCAGCGCTGTGGAAAATGCGTCAAGCTGGGGATACTCCTTACGAGGAACAATGGAGAGATTCAACCCCGCCAAAACCGGGATACTCATCTGAATATCTGCCACGGTCAACCGTGACCCACAGAAGAACGGACCGCCCTCAGGCGCCGTCTCCAACTGACTCTCTAGGAATCGAAAATGCGTCTTGAGCTCCTGATCGAGAAACTCGGCTCGGACGCGACCTGGAACAAACCTCACGAGCGGTTTGAGGAAGAAGGGCACGGGGGCATTTTCAACAGCTACACATACCATCATTAACCACCACACATGAACGATAGTAATAAAAATAGATGAAGATCGATACTTACCATTCATAATCAAATGCACCTGAACAGGTGACATCAAACTTCCCTCGGCATAGTGCATCCAGTACCGATATCGCATCCACGCCTCCGTCTCCCCGCCCAACTCTCCTTCCTCACCTTTCTTCCATTGCTCCGGAACTAAAGCCTTGGCTTTTGCGTCTTCTCCGCTGTGGGAAAGAAGGTACTCGATGATAGGGCCCGATTCCGCCAGCACAATGGGCCCTTTTTGTGCTTCTGGTGGTGGTGTGATGGAAACGAGCGGCGATTTGCCCAAGGGGTGGATGGTCTTGAGGGCGTCGGGGGCGGTGCCGTTAGGGTTGCGCGAGTAGGCTTTTATCTCGTATGGGAGGGAGAGTTCTTCGAGAAGGTGGAGAATTCGCTGGGCGCGTGACTTTTCGAGCCTATTTTATCAAGACATATTTATTCGAGTTCGATTAATTCTATTGCATTCTTGCATTGGGGTGTTGTACCAGTGGACGAGGATCTTGGCTCCGAGGAGGTTTCTTGGGGTGCTCATCTTGCTTCTACTTGTAAGGGAACTGGCTAAGTAGACGAAGAAAGAAAGACTTAAGGGGAGGCTTGGTGGGGATTTTATCTAGCCCACTGACTGCAATATACTAAAATCTCACCCGGTGCCGTGTCTTAACTCCGGAGCTACTCGCTTGTCCGACATCTTTGGATTCCTTTAAAAGATTGCATTGACTTCATGAACTGTGTCAAACTCCTAGAATCATGTCATCAAACAGCAAAAGCAAGTCAAACCAGCACCGTGAAAAGCGCTTGTGATGGGGATCAGGCTCAGCAATCAGGTATCATGATAAAAGGACAAGAACATTTATATAATCAAATGGAGAAAACTGGGATGTTTGTGCTAGCCTCATGGCATAAAGACTGCCGGTTCCCTTGGTGGACAAAGTCACACACTGGCCTCTGTAGAATATGGCATCTGTGGCCGCAGTCCAGACGCTTTCGACATCGAAACGTTCTCTATAGTGTTGAAACGGCGGCATTCAGCGGCTTCGTAGATGGACTATCGCGGGACTGGCTCGTTTTGAGGTCCGAAAGTGCCCTGCAGGTTCATACTTCCTGAAATTGAAGAGGAAATTCCAGTAAAGGGAGAGGCCAGACACTGTCAACAGCATTTGTAACCTTCCTCTCCGAGGATTGCTAAAACTAGCTGTTGGGATACTGAACCAATCTTGATAGCTCTGTGAACTCATATACCTGGCTGCCCTTGGTCCAGACAATGCCCTGCATTGGACTAGATTCCGGGTCGACCGCCGAACGAGATAGTTCGTACGCCTTGGCCTTTCCTGAGCTCAACAATGACAGTGAAGCTAGATCCGCATGTCCCATCCGGTATCTAGGGAGCAGTAAACAAGGTGTGAGGAGTGAAGATGGAGGTGTCTGGGTTAGGCTTTTGTGCACATGCCATGATAATATCCCTCGGGCGCAAAGGACTGTTCATGTGGGGTCAGAAGTGCAGGACCATGGCCGCTGATGGGAATGATTGTCGATCACCGGGTTATGTCTGTTGCAAACAATTTGTAGAGTTGGTTCTAGAAACGGTTCCAGGAGAGCAATGATCTATCTGCCAACAACTCGAAACTTGCTACCCAGTTTGGGTAAACCACCGATTTCTAATAGAATTGATCAATCTTGCTCGTTTCGGTAGGCGTTTTCTCATAATAGCTAGATCCTAGCTGCCAGATATTTATAAATAACTCAGGATCGTGCAGGTTTGGCCTGGTGGAAGGCCTCGGTATTGAGGAGTACGATGAGGATCGTCCGAAGCAAGAAGCTCAGCTCCTCCAATTGGCGTGGTCTATGCCTGCGTTTAACTCCAAAATGAGCAGTTGGTCAGAATACAATGTATTTGAAAGGCCCCCTCACGTTCCACACTGTAAACAAGGCTAAGATTCATCCAACTAGGCGCCAAGCTGTCCGAGATAGGTTCATCGTTCGACATTAAGGAGCGCAAGCTAAGCAGCCGCACGAACTCAACACATGAGTCAAAGGACAATGACTCGTCTCCAAGGCCAAGGGCAGCTTTAAGCGGGTTTCTTTAGATAACGGGACTAGTGAGAGCTGAGCCAAAAGTGTTGTGTTTTTGACATTGAATATTTCAATTACTCAACCCGGCAAACCATCTCACCCTACGCAATGACCATAACTACCTAGGAGCGAAGGGAACAATATGAGAATACTACCTTTCTACGTTTCCTTCTACTACAAGCTGGCCTAGCAGCAGCGGCCCCCGACTAATTTCAGCACTGGTACAAGGAATTCCGCTCGCAGATCGAATACGTCCTCAACAACAAGTGCTCCGAACAATACCACAACTATCTGAACAAAACGTCCCGGCTTCGACCCCGACTACGAGCTCTGGTATGACCCGACCAAAGGCAGTGCCTTGACCGCACCCCTAGTCTCCTGTATGCTAAGCAACCTCCCGGGAAATGTGGAAGCGAGCATGGCCAACCCCGGTGTTGTCCTCGGCCTACTACCGACCGTGCTATCCACACTCGGTTCCAACACCTTAGATACCGCGATACTAGCTCGGGTCACTGGACGACCGTTCCTCTCGCTATGTCTAGCCCTAGGGCCCCCAGCAGAGGTGCCAGACTGGCCCTGTGAATATCCCAATGTGAAAGCATTACTTAACGCCCAGCACCGCATTCAGAAAAGAACAATCATCCCGAAATACGGCAGACCGAGGAGGATACTCATCTCAGCGCTACAGTATATCATCGTCTTCGCTGCCGTCACAAATATAGCAACAGCCTGTTACGAGCTAGGCGTCAGGTGTATCTGCAAGTATGCAACGGAAGTCACTGCCCAACCACTCATATGGGCTTTCGTCGTCGGTCTCATTCACATCGGAGGAACAATCGCCCTTACCCTCCGCTGTAGTGTAATTCGATCCTCGCAAGGTCACCCAGACCACGATCTTACTCGACCGAAACGCTTCTCACACTGGTTCCATAAGTATCTACTCCGTGAATTAACCCCGCCTCTATACTCTACATCATCGCTAAAGGTTGAACCGATCCAAGAATCATATTTGTTCCCGCTCGTTTCATGGTGTACCTCTACCGAAACGGTCGTTCATATTCTCCGTGGCACGATGGTGCTACCTAGTCCGTCGTTCATATCAGTGGAAGATGCTCTGGGTACGAGTGGGCGGTTCTTGGCATCGTTGTTTGTTGTCAGGCTGTGTTGGCGTATGAGCTTGCTGAGTTGTGGCACTGGGCGAGATATATGGTGGCGAGATAAAAGCGGACTTTCGCTACCAGTAATGCGAGCGAGCTCTGCAGCTGCTTAATAAACCAGACTATATGGTTAACTAATAAATAGCAGTTTTCTGCTTCATGGAAAGATGCACAGATTGTTCTGCTAAGGGAATTGCTGTTCAGGACCCTAACGGCCATCCTAACTCCCATAGCCGGAGGCTCTATGAGTTATATTCAAAGGAAAGCCTATTCGAATTGGCAAGGACCGATTCTTTTGGTAGTCAATTGGAATGTAGTGGACCCTATGTCGTAACCCGTAACCCTCTCTCTCCCTACGGAGTACAGATAGGCAAATTCATCGTGCTAGGATCCCCAAGCGGAGCGTATTCAGGTCTAAATGATCTTATCTACCAGTTTCAAGTCCTACTAAGTGCCTACAACAGAACGAGACTGCAAAAAATATATTAAAGGGCAGATTTTATCTCTATTCCAACTAATCAACATCCACTACCTAGCACTCCAAACTGCCCAATATACGCAGACTATCAACTATCAACACTTATCACGAAGGACCCAACGAACCACCACCGCACAATCCAACCCCTTTCTCCCCTAGCTAGGTTCCCTTGCGGACACCTAAGGGCTTGAACGCCCTTAAGTGCACTTTCCGTGCTTCACAATGTCGTGAATGCTATTGTGGCAGGTAATCTTCCTGTTGTCGCGAGAGCAGCTCTTCGAGCTACCGCCATTCTGGACCACACTGCGCGGTTCATTGTCGCTGCCGCAGTCGGCGAGATGGTAGGTGCCTCCATTGAAGGAGAAGTCGATGTTGCAGGGGCTCTCGGTGAGCTTGCTCAGAGTGATGCTATTGGGGCAGGCGCTTTGGCCCTCAATCCAGACGACCCAGTGGTTGGCCTGGTCGCCGTTCTGGAGCTGCTGACCGTACCCGATGGGAACGGACGCCGGAACGGGTGCTGGAACGGGTGCTGGGGCAGGAGAGGCCAGGACGGCTGAGAGGAAGGGAAGAGTGAAGAGGACGCCTTTGATTTGCATCTTGCTTGGATGGGGATGGATCCTTGACTTGGAATGAGTTGAAGATGGCTTTTGAAGATGTTTAGATGAATGAGGTGCTTTGCTGTGTTGATGAGGACCATTGAAAGGGATCGATACCTCCTTTTATACCTTTTTCTCGGCCTCTATTTGAGATAGGCATGGCTGTTCAGCTGTATAGAATGGGTCCAGTTTGATCCTTCGGGCGAAGCCATCAAGCCTCCGGCTCAATGCTCCGGCAATGAGATCACTCCTCCTAAAGAGTGTTACATTGTAGTGGTACTCTGCAGGGATCCTGTCTGATGGTATACATGCAGCCGCAAGATGTGCCTGCAAGAGGTGGGCGGCGCCTATGCTGACTGGTGTCTCATACCATATTCCAAAACAGGAATATCCGCTTTGCCATCCAGGGACGATTTCCAAATGCGCGACGACGAGTGGCAATCATCCATGGAATGGTTATTGCAGTGGTAACTCCACATCGTTCAGTTAATGACGGTGGCGATCAGTAATCAAACGAGTAAAAACTACTTCATAAATGCCCACCCTCCGTCCACGAACCAGCTGTAAGAAGCAGACACTCCATATTGAGAAAGGGCTCTGAGCAGATTGATGTCTCCGAAGACCTGGCTCGCGGGATTGCTACGAGGTCCCGGCCGAAGCCTTTCAGATGAATGGTGGTCGCATTGTATACCCACGAAATAAAAACCCCTACATTTAAGTCCATGGCTTTTAACTCTTCGCCCGACCTATTTGCAGTATCTCGTGGCTCTAGACTCCGCGATTGCTTCTTGTGTTTAATGTAGGAGAATAATAGCAAAAAGCAAAAAGCCGGAGGTAAGCCCTAAAGGGTCTTGTAATTCCCAACCTAAACGCATTTAGGCTATGGTTCATCTATGCAAAGCCAAGAGGACTATAAAACATGTTGAGTAATTACCAGCTGATCCGAATAACTATTGGCAGAGCCATATGCAAGCAGTAGGTAGCCGCATGGAGCCACTGCATACTTCGCTGGTTGACAAAACACTATTGGTCCAAATTGCTTTTTAACATGGGGTGGATCAGTAATCAATCGCAATACCATAACTATTGCAAACGCATCTTACGTTATCGGGGAATCTTCAAGAGCGTCTTTCAAGGCTACAGATGATGACAATTGCTCGACAATGGAGACTTACAACTCGTGTTGAATTCACCAGCAGTACAAGTAAATAGAAGGGGGCATTTTACCTCTATTCCTACAAGACGAGGCACCGGTGCAGCTTATCCTACGCAATAAAAAACAGCAAAGCAAACACCGTGATGACGGCTGACCAAGCCCTGAAGCTGAGCTACTATCTTACTGAGCCCCATTTTCCCAACGTAACAGAGGAGGGTCGAGGGCCAGACGATTCAATATATCTCATCGAAGTATTGCTCAAGCGCCGGGGCTCATATTCGCCGCGCTAATAGGTTATATAGTCCAGTTTAGGCTCAAAAACAAGGAAGTTAACTGCTCTAGGGCTCACCCGGAGCCGAGCCATGCGGGATCCATTAATTTAACCCAGCGCTGCTTCTGGCCATGCTATGGATTCCACTGGACCCTTTTCTGGCTTCGCCCCGAGTCATACAAGTCAGCAGGCATATTGTAGATGACGTGGCAGGGATATGATTAGACTGGAAAGACTAATGCGGAGCTCAACTGTTCTTTCTTTCACCTTAACAATGTCCGGTTGCCACTTGGTCAGACTTGGTCAGCGCACCTCCACCAAATCCCGGGCGACGAGGAATCCCGGCAAGGGTATTTTGTGAGACTGGACACATGCGCAGTTCAAGACTCGATGCTCTCTGGCCTTATGAATAGTGTGTTGGGTCTAGATAAGTAGACCGAAATGGAAGGCTATTCTTCTATCTTACTGATTATCATAAGCAACAATAGAACTGGCTCATGCATAGGAGTCTGCGATGCTCGGCCTCTTACATGGATATCTATCTACACAAGCCTCCAAGTTGTGAGCGGATAACTACTACAGATGTATTAGAGCACACCCGTGTTTGTGTATCGTACAGCAAAGCGAAATGACTCAGCAAGATGAGGATGAGAACAATAAACCAAACTACGATTAGGATCTATAGATAAAAGAAGCATACATCTAACCAAAACGAAACTTTGGGAGATAGCCAAACATGCATTAGTAATAGAGAAAACTGTTATAGAGACGGACAACGTAAGGTAGGTCATTGGAGCCTTGCGGCAGCAGGCTCGGAACAAAAGAAAAGGGCATCGGGTAGAACGACATGTCTTCCGAATTACGTATTGTTCAAGAATGATGATAGCGAAAAAGGAAATCGAGGGAATATTCTAGCTCGCTGAAGCGGCGTCACAGAATGGAAATAATTTTCGGCATTGCTTCGGTTCCGACTGCATGGATCGATCTGGCAGGCCATGACTGGGTTGCAGTACGCATTACGACATCAGAAGCAGGAGTATGCGACTTATTTATGATTGGCGTTCGGGGCCGCCGAGGGTGAAAGTAAATAATGTATGAGATATATGTCATATGCCGCAGAAGAAGAAAACGGATTATATACATGTTCAGATTAGAAACCGAACGGATTCGTAGGTGCTAAGTGGCAATAGTTAGTAATTGCTAAAAAGTCAAAGGCGTTGCTGGAACTTACTGGCTTGTGCAAGATTAGCCCGCATACCCGTCGGCTGAGGGGCAAGCTTCTTGGGAGCATCATGTTTGACACCGAACCGGATTGGGGGTGCGGGTCCAGTCTTTTGTGGAGTCAGAGGTGCAGCTGTTGGCTGCTGAGGTATTGGTGGGACTGGCGGTAGTGATGTATTGTAGGGCATGTTACCGGCACCGTTCATACCGGTGGGTTGAGGCTGCAGAGGTGGGGGAAGGACAGAGTTGATGCCAGTTTGCATTGGTTGCTGTGGCTGAAAGCCGAAGCCAGTGGGCTGAGGCGCAAGTCCCTGGAAGCCAGGTTGCTGTTGCTGTTGCTGTTGCTGTTGCTGCTGGATACCAAACTGAGACTGTGGCTGGAAACCAGTTGGCTGCGGCATCAAACCATTCTGGAACTGACTCTGAGGCATGAACCCTGTTGTCTGCGGGAGCAGCGATTGCTGGAATCGCTGCTGGTTTAGTTCGGCTAGACTTTGACCCGGTGCGGCAAGGGGAAGCCCCGCTTGAGGTAATCCTGTCAGCTGAGGTTGCAATGGAGGAAGACCAAAAGAGCTTTGTTGTTGAGGGAAGTTCTGGGGAGCAGAAAGTGGTCGCTGAGGTGGGGGAGGAAGTAGCGAGTTCTGACCCATAGTCTGAGGAGGCTGTGGGCGTTGCCTGGAAGCCTGCTGGAACCCAGTGGCTTGGGGACTGAATCCCTGCGCGGTGTTCTGAAGCGGCTGCTGTGCTGGCTGGCCTAATTGGGAGAAAAAGCTAGGCGTAGCACCCGTCTGCTGTGGTTGTTGGGGTATAGGCGCGGGCATTGCAGTTGGTTGGGGTTGGATAGCTAGAGGTGCTTGCGAAGCGGGAGGAGCAGGAGTCTGCTGGGTAGGGGTTGGTTGCAAAGGAGGATGGAGTATAGACAGGTCTGCCATCGCTCCAGTGAGCTGTGCCGTTGGCGGTTGCGTCGTCGCAGGCGACGCTGTAGCGGGGGGTGAAGTCGGCGCTGCTGCGGCGGTGGCGGCTGGAGCGGGAGCCGGCGCGGGAGCCGGCGCAGGAGCAGTCTGCTTGGGCTGCTTAACTTCCCATGCATCATCATCAAAACCACCCTGGACGGGCTTTTCGGCGGCAGCAGCAGTCGGAGAGGATTCCTTTGGCTCCGCGGGCTTGGAGTCGTCCTTCTGCTCAAAAGCCTTAGGATCAACCACATCCCCAGTCTGGACGGCAGGTGCTGGTCTATTCTTGCGAGTATTATTGCGTAGAACACCTCCAGGACCCGAAAAAAGGCCACCTCCATCTTCGCCGTTGCTGATAACTTCCTCGCCACCGAAGCTTACGTTGCGCAATTTAGACTTGGCGCCAGTACGGCCGAACTGGCTATCCAAGTGGCGCATTACTCGCAGAATATCGCCCTCCTTCAAGCCAAGCGTCCGGAGGACTTCCGGCGTGATGTCTGGGAGAATGCTCTCGTCCATTGAGTCTTTGACGAAGTTCTGAGCATACCTCTCACACTGATGTGGACCAACTCCTGCCTTCAAAAAGAAATCGAACCAATCATAATCGGATTGCTGGAATGAAGCTCCAGCAGGCTCGGGGCGCTTGTTCTCAGTCGAAGCTCGAGGGTTTTCAGGTTCTGCACGCTGGATTGAACGACGTTTGATGTCAGAGAGTGGCTTGTCCTCGTCCAACGACACTCCAGTGATTTTCTCAACGTATTCCAAATCTAAAAGAGACATTTTCGGGATGGGAACTGCGATCTTGACCCCGTTGGTCTTGTGGAGGTGGATCTTGCCGTCCTGGAGGCCGATGAATTGAGCCTCCACAGTGAAAGTCTTGGTGCGATCAGTCCATTGTCTTGTCTTGGCTGGATCAGGTTCTTGGGGCCTATTAGCAACTCCATGGTGTGCCGGAAATGGGTAACTTACTGGACTTCTGGCTGCTTCGGCTGTCACGCTTTTGGTGCTGCAGAAACAAAAGATCAATGTTAGCAGATTGATGCTTCGTGTTGTTATATTGGTCAAATAGCCGGGGAGTAGGGCCTACCTCTGCACTTCGCGAATCAATGGAATCAGTCCGCGATTTGCGCAATGCTTCCTTGGCCAATCGTGACTCTTCAAGACGATTCCTCTCCACGGCTGACAAGCCCGACTCAACAGCTGATGGTTGACTGCTAGAGACATAACCGGTAATCTCGACATAACTGCTCGGAACGACGCCCTCCTTTCCATTCTTCAGGCGCCGCACCATCCACCATTCCTCAGATTTGCTGTCATCAAGGATGACGACTTCATCACCAGTATTCACCGCCACCTCATCATCTTGCTGTGCTACGAAATCATAGAGGATCTGGCCCTTTTTCCGTCCTCCGCCGCCCGAGCCAGCCGCAATGACTTCTCTCAGACCTTCTGCGCGATAGGCCCCAGATATCTCGCCGAGGGCGGAGACGATCTCTCGCGCAGTGTCCTTTGCGCCGGCATGGAAATCAATGCTTTTGCTGGGGCGGATCAAGTCAACAAATACGTGCTTTCCTTCGATAGAGTAATGGGACAATTTGTCAGCCGTCCATTCCTGCTCTTCTCCATGGTCTTCCGGGGAGATGAAGATTGTTCCAGTGGCGATGTTGATGCCCAGGGTTGTGGGCATCTTCTTTCTCTTGCCCATCACCTCAACCATTTCATTGACATTATAGATATGATAGCCCGAAGGAGAACGGGGCGCAGGGCCAACTCTGTTGTAAGGTGGAGACTCCTTGACGTGTCCCTTGCGATCCTGTTCCTGAGTCACGGAGATTTGGGGATGACGCGGGGGTAGGGTTGGCGACCGAGGCGACTCTATCCGTGGAGATATCTGCTGGGACGGGGGACGCTGTGGCAGAGCTGGCGGTGGCGGCGAGGGCTCCCGCTGATAGCTTGGTTCGGCTTCATACGATGGCTGGGGCTGAGGAGGTGGCGGCACAGCTCTGGTTGCTTCAGGTTCCGCATGCTGCTTGTGAATTATATCAGCAATCGCAGCGGCTGCTGGGTTATGGACAGTGTCGATGGGCGAACTCGAGACCGGGGTGCTGGTCTCTTCCGCAGGTGCTGCCGGTGGGCGCTGCGGGAGGGTCGGAGGTGCGGATTCGACGGGAGGGGGCGAGGGAACAGACGACGTCGCGGGAGCATGGGCGGTCTCTTCAACAATCTCGATATAATTTGCTGGGGCAAACCCGTAATCTCCGTTGACCCCGACCAAGGTCCAGTCCGGATCCGCTGTATCGTACACCAGCAGTTCTGCGTCTTCTGAGAACGATACTTCTTCATCTGTTTGGCGAGTGTAGTCGAAAAGTGCTCTTGCTGAGTGAACTGGTTGAGCCTATAGTTTTTATTTAATTTCGCAGTCAGTAAATGGCTGAATCAATGGCGATCCCCTGTCTACCCCTGAAGGTAATAATGACCACCGACTCTGGCCAGACGACAGGCCATCCGACGAACCACCGTGATGCCCTCTCTCAACTCCAAATTAAACACCGGATTGCTGCAGGATGCGCCCTTACCTCCTCTACGTAGTTATTGGGCACGAGGCCCTCGGGCTCGTCCTCATCATCCCGTTCCGCCTTCTTCTTGGCTTTCCACCAGTCATCCTCACTACTCTTCTCGAGGAGGTATAACAGGTCACCCTCGCGAAGCTCTAGTTCACCTTGCGCCTGCGGTTGGTAGTCGTAGAGGGCCGTGTAGACACCGAAGAAACCCATTGTGGGCGCCGACAGCTGGTAAACCGGGACCGGGTTCCAGCTATAGTATTAGGAGTGGTAGTGGTTGCCTGGGGGATTGTCGTAGTTCTTGCTGCTGCTCCTAAGGGCAGCGGTCCAGAATGGTTGTGTAACCCAATGGTGCACCCGCTTGGACCGTGAGGGAGATATCGGGGCAGTAGACTCGAAGGTTGGGCGAGGGTTCGATGGGGTCAGACGGGGGGGTTAGTTAGTTTGTGGTGGGCTTGGCAATTACGCAGTGGCAGCACTTCAGGTACCGATATCGACCCAGGAGAACCGCGCGGTCGGATGGGAGGGGAAGAGTCAGGAGAGGCCGTAATGGGAAAATCCCCCGAGAAAATCGTTGACCTGGAGGAGTAGAAATAGGAAATAGAGACAGATAGGGGGAGAAAAGAGCCAGTTCGGGAGGATTCAGGGAGAAACACAAGAGAGAGGGAAATGGAGAGCAAGTTCGGCCGATCTCCAGTGGAGGCTGTGAGGGGGTGGAGCCTTAGGCATCAGGGGGGTCACGTTGTCTGTACTCTGTGTCATTTTCCTTATCACTTCCCTTTATTAGTGTGCATCTCCATGCCTACTAGTACTCTACCACTACCTTTTATTGTGTATAACTTGAAGATCATTTAACGGGGTGGAAACGAAATCAAATACCCCCCCCTCAATTCGTCGAAAACTGCTTCCCAGCCTTATCATGCACCACTTTGACTCATGAATTTCTTCGGAATTGGTCTGGCCTCAGCCCAGTTTCCAAAGTTCTAGGGCTTGGCTTGTCATGCGCAGTTATGAATTCAGCCAGGAAGAATTGTCTGGGGTATTCGGCACTGAAACCTTGCCAACAAAAATGAACTAGAGAGTCAACATCTGCATTCGTCATTGTCGCGTGGCTCGAGCGACTGCAGGGCTTCCTTGAACTGTTCAGCCAAGTAAGGGTAATGCACTGGAATACCTGGAATATAGTTGTTGGAAGGGAGATCATGGCGAGCCTTAGGATTTCGTGTGCATCGTGACTATCGTAAGCCAAGTGTTGTAGCCGATACTGCACCGAGATCAAACCCTTCTTGAAAGAGTTCTGGCGAAAGCTTGCGGTGGGTTTGGAGTGGAAGATTGATCGCTTTCGCGCACTCACGGAGGTCAAGTCACACGTTCGCCAGTCTAGTATCGGCGTAATCACAGGTAGTATGCACCGGGGTTATAGCAGATGCCTCCTTAGAATCAACAAGATATGCTTTCCATAAAACGCTACCCTCGTCAAAGAACATGGGCGTGGAGCCAGTCTTGAAGGGAGAAATCTAGATCGATTCTGTTGCGAAATATCACAGTAAGCAGAAGGTACACACATCTTACGCCACACCTAAACGAACCTGCAGCGTTTGATTTGAAGCGAGCGCTTCTAACCGAGTGCCGTTATACCACTACGGAGCTTGACTAATTGATACAAACCGTGAAGGTGCTTTTCAACCGCCACTAGATCGTTAAAAGCCTCCGAGACCAGGGCCAGAGCAACCACTGTGAATATTGTCGACTCTGCAGTAATAGAATGATAGTCTTGTTTATATGCATCAGAGCTATGGACCCCGCTGTGGGGCTTTTGAAAATGTCAAAGTAGGTCTGTGCAGTATATAAGACGGCTTGAACATACGGAGGATCGTAGGTCAGGTCTGTAAAGCAGTGCTGCTCGACTTTGTTGAGATCGATGCAACATCCAATGGGTTGCATTGCCTTCGCCATAACGGTGACGACTGTGTCATATCAGCAGTTGTGGCCGAGGGAAGAGGACCAGGTGTTCCCATAATCATTGGTAAACCGCAGCGTACAAGCCTCAATCTCCACCGCGAATCTCATCGGAGAGGGAATCGATCCATTTACCTGAAGACCCAAAGTGGTCTCCAAGGGGCCTTGAAGCGGCACCACAGGTGTCGCGGCTAGCTGCGAATTAGAAGGTTCATAGTCCCTACTGATCCATGACTCGAGTGCTGGCAATTGCAAGGTGACCCGCTTACAGTTTTTTGCCCCTCATGACATGATGGTGGATGAATCTTCGAGCGCTTCCTTCTGGCTTCATGCTATCCTTGCTAGTAATCACGATAAAGGGATCGTGATAGGAAGGCCTAAAGCACTAAGCTGCTTTCCCAATTGACATCCCCTTGGTTCCACTCATGCTGAGTGGTGCAGCTCAAGTCTCATAACTGTAGAGGACGGCAATCTAACAGTTAACAAGACCTCGGTCTCCATACATAGTCCCGGAGATAAGGACTTGTATATTCCAGACCCACGTGGTGACGCTAAACCTAGTGCCAAGACTCCATTAATAGTCAATTTGGGGAAAACGTCGTTTGCTAGCATGTATGTACTCCTTTGGTCTTACTAGTACCTACACTTTGACGTCGCGGTTTCTTACGCGGGTAGGAAGTCATGGCCAGAGTTACTGAGCCAAGAAATGAATATATGCTTGTCTTGGTTAGCCTGCAGGGTTTTTACTATGGCAGGTTCTACAAATTTTTCCGGATGGTGAATAGGAAAGGTGAAATATATATAGAAGAGGTTGCGCTTCTACAAGTTGTACTAACTGACACTGCCAAATCTTTTCCTTGAGGCAATTAACAAAGTCGCACTAACCGCTTTACTGCTGTCTGATACTGAAATTTCAACATGGCTTCGAAGTCGATGCACTTAGGCCATGCGGCAAGCACTAGCTTCGTTGCTTCGTTCACGCCTTCATAAAGTCTCAATTTTACACTAAGCCCCGTCGAGCGCCAGCCAAAACTGATCTGTCGGGTCAAGTTGCAATCGTCACCGGCGGTATCACAGGATTAGCATATCACTGTGCATCCCATCCGCTTTCCCTGAAGCTCTCACATCTTATTCTCACAGTGCGGTCACCAGAAGAAGGCGAATGTGCCGCCAGCAAGCTACGCGCCGACTATCCCACCGCAAAAATACTCATATGGTCGCTCGAGATAGTCTCGTATTCGACCATTCGGGCCTTTTGCCGACGGGTCGATAACAACCTCCCACAACTCGACGTCGCGATTCTCAACGCAGGTGTTGTCCAGGAAGCCTTCGGTCTCTGTTCCACGGGCCATGAGCGGGTCATTCTGGTAAATTAGCTTTCAACATTTCTCTTGGCAATCCTCATGCTTCCCATATGCAAGAACAAGGCGCCCCGTGGTAACCGGGGCCGCCTTACGATCGTGAGCTCTGGGACAGCTCTGGTTGCGAAGCTGCCCAACCGGGATAAGCGGCCGTTGCTGGCATCTTTCGACGATGTCAATGTCCAGCCGTGGAATTCAGTCGAGCGACACTTCTCGTCTAAGATGCTAGGACACTTGTTCTTCGTCCAGATGCTCGAGTATCTGAACTCCGACGATGTGATTGTCAATCTGGCTGAACGAGGAATGCGTAAGGGCTCTGAGTTGCATAGAGGCGCCAGGGGCTTCGCCGCTGTATTTTTGAATACCGTCAAGGCGCTAGCTGGACGTAGACCCGAGAACGGAGTATGGGCGTATGTCGACGCTGCAGTGGTGAAGGGGAACGAATCCCACGGATGTTTCTTGATGGACTGGGAGACACACCCGTAAGTGTAGCCGTGGCTTTACGTACGAACATTGCTAACTCAACAGCTCCCATGCAGATTTACTAGACTCGCCTATCTTCTAGAAGGACAGCCTACCATGGATGCGCTTTGGGAGGAGACCTTGGGCCAAATTTGATTTTGCTGGGGCACGCGAGATCCTAGAGAAATACAAGAGAGAAACGCCTTGAAGCTTGTAGAAGGTGTCATGGGTCGTTCGCCTCTTTCCTTCTTCTTGGCGTGTCTACTTTGCAACTCTGCATCTTTCTTCGGCATATCTGTGATATCACCTAGTCAAGTGACTCATGCACATTCAAGTTGAATCATCCTACATGCATATATTACTACCGTCTGTAACAAAGTTCTGCAAGCTATCATCCATATTGAATAGAATATACGTAGTCAATCTCCTATACTTGGCATAACCCGTGAAGCGAGCGACACCATGACCTCCATCTATATCTGTACAACAAGTTCCGTAAACCAACCAGTAACCCTAAACAATTATCTATAGACCCCTACCATAACCATGATATCCTGCCGATAACCTCTTAAGCCAAACCTCCCACCCCAAATACCCAAACCCATACAGCCTCCTAAAGGCCCATCAAAAAGAACCGCAACCCAAACAATACAGAATAGAGTCACACAAACGCCTCACCCCAACCATCCACAGCTCCCATCACACCACTAAACACCAAACACCGTCATAACAGTTCCACAGCCTGCACCACCCGCCGCCTACGAAATTTCCCTCCCCCCCCCTTGCATCCTATACTCCCCCCACCACCGAATACTAGGTAACCCCCACCTGAACCAAACCCAACACACCTAATAGCAAACCAAACCAACCTAACTACCCAAAGCCATCGTATACAAGTTCACAATCAAAATGACTCTCAGATCCCTCCTGAACCGCTTTACCAAAAACCCGCAGACCAACCTAGCGACTGAAATCTCTAAAGAGGCAGAAATCACAGCACAGCCCGTCCCCGCACGCAATCCCGCGAGGGAAATAGCCAGGAGCTTTCTCAGCATTATATCTCAGCTGGGTGGTGTGCCGCCAATGATTGATGATTGGGAGTGGAGGCAGGGGTATCCGAGACGTTCGGGGTTGGGGCGGTATGGGAGGTGAGTTTCTTTTTCTTCTCTTTTGTTTGGGTTTTGAAGTGCTGATGGGGTTTAGTTTGTTGATTGGGGAGGATGTGGATGATGCGGTTTGTCTTGTGAGGGGGAGGACGGTTTATTAGTTGACTGAGATTGGAGTTGATTTTGAGGGATGTCGGTATGTATCGCTGCAAAAGCGGTTTTTGGCTTTGGTTAAAGGGGCTTGAGCGTCTTCTGGTTGTTTGGATATGATGATGAGATACTCGGTTGTAGATTTGGATAGTAGTTGAGTACTAGTCGGTACTGCTTGGTGTTACTCAATATGCATGCTAGGTATAGGTTGCTGAGATAGAGATATGGATAGATGCAAATGCTTGGATTGTGCATATATGGTATTGGAGGTATCTCAAAATTGACTGACACGAAATGCCGATAGCCAATCACGGCCTGCTAAAAGAACTACATTTACAGATCCCTGAAGACATAATCACGTAGTCTAGATTGAAGTAGTTACAGTTCGTCTTTAAAGATTTCTTCGCTGCCCTCTTCCTCGTCCTCAACCAGCGGTTGCTCTGGCTCGTCCTTCGGCTGACTCTCCGGGACTTCCTTGGTTGGATTCTTCTTCTGCGGTTCTTCCGGAGCATCCTTTGTCTCAGCCGACTCCGCCTCGGCGTTGGCTTCTTCTTCCTCTTCTTCGTCGGTGTCCACGATGCCTCTCAACCCGCGCTCTCCATTAGCCGTGACATGTTCCAACGTCCAGTCCTTGCCCTGAGCGAGCTCTTCAAGTCGGATCTTCAACGTCTCAATCTTCTCCGGGTCAAGGCCCAGTTTCTCTAGCTCGGCTTGGGGCAACTGGAGAACTTCGCCGTTCTCGCGTTTGGCCACCACCTCCACCTTCTCTTCTCCAGCGGATGCCACACGTCCTTTCTCAATCTCCTTGCCTTCAGTGCCTACCAGCTTCTTGGCGCCAACCTCAATGTCGCCGACAATGGGGTACTCAGAAATCGTGGTCGCCGATTCAACCAGTCTCTGCGCCAGGTGATGGTTCCGCATAGCCTCCCAGTCAGGAACCTGATCCGCAGCAAGAACCTCACGACATTCAATCGAATGCACCTCCTCTTGCTGGGGCGGCAGAAAAGCAACATCATTACACAGACGCGGCGTATAAATGACCATCAAATAAGAGCAAGTGGTAAGTTCCTTAATCCACCCGATGCGATCCGTCGACTGAGGATGACAATGAAACTGCACCTCAATCTTCCGAGGCTTCCCCGTCAAATCACACCTCGTCCCACCCTCCAATCGCTGCACCAGATACCGCGACCCTCCACTGGTCTGCAGCTCCGCCACGTCCGTCGTCGCCGCCGCCGCCGCCGACGCCTTCTTCCTCTCATCCTCCCCCTCCTCCTCATCCGCACCGCGGGGAAACCGACCCAGGATAAACGAATGCGTTGTCGGATCCTCCATGGGCGGATAATTTGGAATCCCACTCCCCGAAGGCAACGCATGGAACTGCTTAATCTGCTTCTTGTAGCAGAATGAGTACGACCACCATCCGGAGATATAGTACATGCATTTCCCCTCCATCTCGCTTAGAAGTTCTAGGCCGCGATCCGTCGCGCGAGCTAGCTCCTGCTTCTCCTCCGCTTCGTCAGATTCCTTTGTTCCGTTGTTGCCCCGGTCATCGATCTCCACTTGTGGGATTTGGCAGAGGAAGCGCCGGCCTTGCAGAATTAGCTCCTCGTATGTGAGCGGGGGCTCGCCATTCGGTTGAGGACTGGGATTCTGGAACTCGGCGCTGCGGTCTTTCAGGGGGATTTGTGACTTTTGGAGGGAGTTTCCGTCGTGGTGGTTGATTATTTGGGGGTTGGCTTGTGTGTGGAGGAGTTCTTTTGCGTGGGTGTCGAGGAAATATTCGTCTGGGAATAGGACTTGGTACTATGGAGTGGTTTTGTTAGCGATTTGACTGGGTTGTAGGCCCACTAGTAGTACAAGGGAGAGGGAGATGTACTTGGGGAAAGGCGAGAAGGTCATCGTGGATATTGAAGACTTTCTTGGCGGCTAGTGCTGTAGAAGTCGCCCACGCTAATGTGAGCAGAGACGCCACGATGCGGTTACGCTGAGCCATGGTCGCGATGTGTGTCGGTAAATGTCGGTATGATGGTGTTGGTTGGCTGGGGTGTGTTATGGGGTTGCGACGATCTGGCCTGATGAGAGAACTCGGGACGGGGATTGGAGAGCCAAGGGGTTTGAAAAACACAAATTTATTGTTTGGAGTATGGACAGAGAAAGGACTGATGATTCAATTGGTCATGACGGTACTCTACTGGAAGATCAAGATGCTGGAGGGAAAGCCCTCGCGGCGGTTGAACGCAAAGCAACATGACAGTTGTGAAGAACATCTAGTTAAGTTGCGTTGAGTTGGAGTTCCCGTCTTATCACCACGTGCCCTGGACTAGAGCCAGAAGGGAATAAACCAAGTCTCACAATGGAATTTTAAGGTTGTACGTATACACTGTAACTCTTATGTTAACATTGATCGAATGACTTCATATTTCAATGGCTTTAACGGAGCTTGACCTCTACGATCCTGAGTACCTGCGGCCGACCGGTATGGCGCCAGGTATATACTCAATGCACGCCGGATAAATAATCCATGTCCTAGACCACCGGCCAAAACAAATGCGGATATTCGAACAGCATCTAGAACTCACTCCATTGAACTGGTTTCAAACATGAGGCTCGTACAATAGTCATAAGAGTTTCAGTGGCCAAAAACTCAGCCATGACTTAGCATTACCTAAAACCACGGTACTAGTAGGATGTATACTACAGCGGACACCTGAGGAATGAACCTGTGGGGGGGTACTGTGAGGGAAGAGCCAATGAGAGATAAGCAACAAGTCACTAAGCGATTGGAAATCCATGATGCAAGACCCGAAGAGGCTTAGCGCCTGCTGACCGGGATCTTTGTAAGCTCCATCTCATCGTTGATCTACTGCAAAGATGCCAATATTGAGATGCTTATCAGCCGATTATAAGACTTGACTAAACTGTCGTGTTCTAATGGCTCCAGTTTTTTCTACAAGTTCTCGTTCATCATCAAGCCAGTATAAATATCCCCCCCCCAGCGCCGATGAGACTCCTTCTGTCGTTTTCAATCGCAATCACTGCAATCATCCTATCGCTATATTCTAGCCATCTTAAAGCGCTAGTGTTCCATATACAACAGAAAGTGTCCACCCGACGAAACAGCACCACAACCACCCCAATTCTTCCAGAACAAAACAACGCAGACTCCTTCCCAGTCACTATAACACTCCCAACCAATAAAATGGCTGTTCCTCGCGCAATCCGCCAAGTATTCCTAGCCATCGAACAAGCCGAAGGCGCCGGGGCCCGAGTCCGCCGCTCAATTGGCACCCCCAAGCTCCGCAATTTCAGCCCGTTCCTCATGCTCGACCACTTCACCGTCGGTAAAGGCGCCGGCTTCCCCGACCACCCCCACCGCGGCCAAGAGACCATTACCTACCTCCTGTCTGGCGGGGTCGACCATGAAGATTTCGCCGGCAATAAGGGCACTATTGGACCCGGCGATTTGCAATTCATGACCGCCGGTCGCGGAATCATGCACGCCGAGATGCCGCACGAGAATCCCGACGGTAGCCCCAACGTCGGCATGCAGTTGTGGGTCGATCTCCCGAAGCATCTCAAGATGTGCGAGCCGCGCTACCGGGATCTGCGCGCGACGGAGATTCCCGTTGCGACTGTGGATGATGGTCGCGTGACGGTCAAGGTTATCTCCGGGCAGTCGCATGGGGTTGATTCAGTACGTGATCTCGCCTACACGCCCGTCTGGTTGCTTGATGTCACGATTCAGCCCGGCGGGCGTATTGCGCAGCCGCTGCCTAAGGGGTGGAATGCTTTTGCGTATACCCTTTCCGGGAATACGGTGTTCGGTTCGAATGATGCGACCAAGGTAGTCAAGGAGTTCCATAATGTGGTTCTTGAGCAAGGCGGAGATTACGTGGAGGCTTCGGTGCCGGATAATGCGGAGTCGGAGTCGCGGTTTATTCTGGTGGCCGGTCAGCCCTTGGACCAGAAGGTCGTGCAGTATGGTCCGTTTGTGTTGACCAGCCAGGAGGAGGTGTACCAGGCTATGGTGGACTATCAGACCGCATCCAATGGGTTCGAGAGAGTTCGTGGATGGGAGAGTGAGATCGGCAAGCGAATGGCGTTCTAGATTATCATGGGTTTGATGAGAGTTTTCTGTACTGTATGACGATACTCAATGTGGCGTTTATTTGTTATCTGCTGTAAACATTGAAAATGTTGTGCATGGATACGGTGTTTTAAGAAGTCCAATTCCAATAGAAGCTTAATAATGTTTGATGATATCTCCACCGTTTCGAGGAGGCTGTGCGAAAGAAATCGGTAGACATAACGGGATGAGTTTTTTCGATTCATAACATAGATTTGAATTGATATCACTGGTGCACAAGCCAAAAAGAATAAACAAGTCTAGGAGATGCGAGATTAAAAGAGGAAAGAGAATGGTTCCGGCCCCTGTAAAGAAAAAAAAAAAAAAAAATACAGACTCGAACGAGCCCCCAAAAGAGTACCGCTTCCACAACGTAACCGCGTTGGCCTCGGGTCACTTCTGCTCATGGCCCATGCGAAGCTTACAAATCATCGTGATTCAACAGCTCTCATTCACTATCTTACATAACATGGGTATGCCATATGGGGTACACATGGGTACTCGGCTTCAGGAGGCTGACATTCTGCCAGATACTGGTGACATGCCAGGGAGTAAACGTCGCTTATTTGGCGAAGTGGAGGTCATAGCCTAGCCATCTACGTGCGTTTACGCCCGCAACGTCTAGGCCTGGGGTACCGTACGTCAAGGGGGCATAGAACCAGAACCCCCAGACGGTAACAGTCAGGATAGAAAGGGTGGCGATCCAGCCGGCAACAAGCGACTTACGGCTCATCCGCTCCTTGGCCGTGACAAAATGACGGGGACCGGCAGCCTTAGACTTGCCCGACGGATCAGCGTCGCTATCAACGGGTCTCAGCGCGGGGACCGGCTGAAGGTTAAAAATGAACTCAATCAGAGCGCCCGTTACTAGGCAGGAGGCAAGATGAGCGGGTAGGTAGTGATGCAAGAACCGCTGACGGCCCATCAACCAGAAGGGGAAGTAGTGGGCTCCCCAGCAGAGGAACAGGAAGCCGGTGCTGTTGTACAGACGGGAACGGGCGCCAAGTCCCCAAACTAGTGTAGGTTCTGTTAGCTTTCACATGGGGATTTGCTGGGCTGCAGATTTACTTACTTTCTTCAACGGCATCAACACCACGCCGGAGAGAAAGTTGGTCGGCACCGATCACACCAGCGAAAACAGCCAACAGACTACTAGCAATCCACCAACCGATTGGGTTACCTAGGAAATAGATCTGCTCGCGAGTATCGTTCTTGGTCCAGAAACTGACGCCGCGCAGGAGGAAGGGCCACTGGAAGGGTTCGCTCGCGTACGGGTGGCTGCTAGTCAAAGCATTGTTGTGGAAGAACATGGCCCGTTGGAGCTCCAGATACTTCCGAAGGAACGGCAGATGCTTGACTTGGCGCTCTTCCTTCTGCCTGCGAGGGCTGTCTTCCTCTAACGACTCGATCGATTCGGCAAACCACAGATTGCTGGCCTGAAGCACGTTCTTGTTACCGTTGATCTCGGCTTGCTTGAAGCCCCACTCAGGCAAAGGAGTCGTGTGAGTCCACATGGCCACTCGGGTGGGATAATGGATCAGTTTGAAGTGGCTCGACAGAGTCTTGAATTCCTGATTTGCCTTGCCATTCTCAATCCTGATTTCAAACAGGGTCTCGTTGCGACGCTCACCAGCGGCCACATCCTTGGTCACCGTCGTGAACTCTTGGTTGGTCGGGTAGTAGGGGGATGCAACGTCATGGGTTAGGAGAATCGAGTCAGTACCCAAGTGCAGAAGCTGGACAAGATCACCATTGCGCACACTGTGGCCCTCGCCATCGTTGTCCTCTAGCGGTACTGTGGGAAGGATCTGCCATTGGTTGTTGGTGTCATTGAAAGGGTAGCCCGTCACCTGTTGGCCCTGACTGGAAATACGCCCATCGTCATAGCGGAGGGGATACGTCTCCCAGTGGCTGTGCAGGAAGACCTTAGTATCCTTATGGCGAATAGTGATCGCGTCATAATATTGGATTCCGATCGCTTCGGCCGCGAGGGCGTTGTCGCTTAGGGTTTCCTGGAATTCGGGGGTCATGAAGTCGTCACCGGGCCCGGAGCGGGTCAGGATGGCAAAGTGGACCTGGAACCAGAACAGATAAAAGAAGAAGGGAACCACGATGAGGGCAAAGCCGCGGGCTACAAAATGCTTGGTCCACTCCACCATGCTGAGAGCGCCGGTGGGACGCCTGATATCCAACAGATTCCACAAGTCGATCATGACCGCGGCGCCGATGGTCACGAAAGTGAAAACACCGACATACTTGGTGGAGATGACACAGCTCATAGACACACCGGTCAACAGCAGCCATTTCCACCATTTCCGGCCAAAGGGTTCGTGGCGCAGCTTGTAGAAGCGAACGTAGCACAGGATGCTCAGAGCCATGGTGATGACCAGAGTGGCATCCAGTAGGATCAACCTGTCCTCACCAATGTGCGCATTGTCAAACAATACAAGGCCCGCGGCCAGAACACAAGCGGGCAACGAGTATCCCGACTCCCACATAATCAAGAAAACAATAGGGATTGTCAGCGCGCCGAGGGTCGCGGGGAGAGCGCGAAAAGCGACATAGGGAACTTTGTTGTCGATGTACGAATCGCCAATGTTTTCAAACAAGAAGTGGCCATCATAGCCGATAAGCCACCCCACCGCGGCGAAGAGAAGCTTGCCGAACGGAGGGTGAACATCGAAGAAGTACGTGCGCTGCAGGTAGTACGAGGCAAACTAAAGAACATGAGCGTGTGAGAAACATTCGGCCACTCTTCGGGGTACATCTGACTTACCTTTCCGAAGTGCACCTCATCAAACACGACTTCATTGGGGTAAGAAATGTTCCAGAACCGGGTGATGAATGCCAGCACAGTCAGAATTGTTATGGCCAGCCGATAATCCCATTCTGACTGCGGCTTGGGGGTTGCACCCCGGTTGGGAGGAAAAGGAGAGGAGATATCGTCCGAAGGCCCAGGGGTGGTCTCCTTCTTTCCGCCTCTTTTTCGGAGAGACGGCGAAGAAGATGAGGACATTCTCAGCAAATCAAGTACGCGAGATATTTGAAGATAAAAAAAAGTCACCTAATGAACTGCCGAGGGAATAGGTAACAATTGGTTAGTTAGAGCAGAAAGAATATAAGCTGCAAATTACTCTCCATGCGATAACCTACAGGAAAGTAATCAAGCAGAGAACATTATATAAAGAAAGAAGAAAAAAAGAGGGAAAGGCTTGTTGTCGGGGAGAGGGAGAGGAAGTTGAACACTTGATTGCGTGTCTTCATCCCCATACAAACGCCGGAACGGAACAAGGCGGTCATCCGAACTTTATCCCCATCCAATGGCAATTACACACTCCGTTTGGATGCTGAAAGGGGGCACGTTCTATATTTACTTCTCCGGTTTCACGCGGCATTTGTTCATTAGTCTTGGTTTCATATATCCATGAGGAAAACTGAGAAAGTGATCAAATGAAAATTAAAATAAACTAGAGACACGCAAGAAAAAGCGGGAGAACCAAAACAGAAGAAAACAGAAGAAAACAGCAAGAATAAAAAAAATTAGTAACAGTGGGATATCCAATGCACCATAATAATGACACTCCAACGCTCAAACATCATGACAGAATGCAATATTATACACAAATCAACTCGGTGAGTCTCCAAGAAAGAAATGCTTCGTAGACTGCCACATCCTAATCATCATCTGACACATTCAACAACTCCAGTTCCGTTTTCACGAGCGACTGAAACTCGGCCCGAGTAATCCCAGTAGCTCTCGCCAACCGGAAGAGACTCTTGACGTTCGAGCTGATATGTTGCTTGACCCCAACTTCGCATGCAGACTGATTCTCTGCCTCTAACTCGAGCCGGGCGACTGCCTCTGAGCTGGTAGACGAGGCAGACGAGGGCCGTGGATGGCTCAATGCCATGTGCGTGTCCCCGTTACCATTTACATGCGGCGCATTCCCCGAAACCTGGCTATCGGCATGGGGCTTCAGAAGGTTGGCAAGTAGATCTCCCGCTAGAGAGGAAGGCCCGAGGTCGGGTTGTTCTTCAGACGGGTCATGGCTGTCCATCGCAGGCTGCACATCGGCATATTGCGAGAAGTAGGACGCTTCCGACACATCCTGCCGTGCGTCAGGAGCAGGCGTCTTTGCGGATGGAGTCCTGCCGGGTGTTGCATCATACTGGGCCCAGTAATCATCGTCATCGTCTTCCGCGCCTTGGGCAGCTTGCTCCTCTTTCTCCGCTGCTCTTAACGCATCCTCCATCAAGCGTTCCTTGGAGTGTGAATTCGCCTCCGCTATCGATCTCGACCAGGTGCCTTCATTTTCCGTATTCCCTTCATGCGGGAGAAGTTCTGCGACTCGCCACCCGGGACCGCCACCCTCCGTGTCGTTGGGGCACCACAGATAGACGGCCTGTAAGCGGTAGTCGGGGAGTAGGACGCGACACTGTAGAGTCTCCTCATCAACGCGCTTGTATTCCACGGGAATATCATCGGGCAGTTCAATCTCCCCGGAGACTGGGTGCGGTTCGAAGGTCGTCTCATCCACCACTGTTTGAAGACGCTCCGCTTGCCCGGACTCCCAACATAGCAGTCGCAACCATGATTCGGTCGAAGAGGCCGGGAGGGAACTGAGTACCTGCACTCGCTGGCGTAACACGGGCGACAGGAGAGGGAGAAGGATCGGCGGGGGTTGCGGCGAGACAAAAGCCGTAGGGAGGCAAGCCAGTAGAGGAGGGAGGAGGGTACGAGGCTCAGGAGGGGTGATGAGTTCGACCATCGTGACTGATAGGGTGTTCCAAGATAGAAAGAGCCGTCTAGAGCTCGGACTTGAGGGAAAAGAGGGGAGCCCGACCAGCCTTCGGAGAAATTTGGTTTAATCACTGTGTTTATTTACTGCCAAACACACTTTTTCCCCCCCCGGGTTGGCGGTGAACAACAAATTTTGAATGAAGAGAAAGAGAGAACGAAAGAAAGAATGTAAGAAAGAAAGAGAGGAACTCCTATAAAGATAAGGACAGGCACGCCTCAGCGATCCCGTTAAGCCAGCCCAGTAGTCGGGGGAAGGGGAGGAGAGCGCATGGTCTCGAATTGCTTGGTCTCCCTTTCGCCCGAAGAAAGTGAAGGAGGGGGTTGTTTCCATTGCGTGGGTCAACTCTGTTCTTTGCGGGGTTGTGACTCCGTCAGGTCAGCCATCAATTCGGTTCCTGACAGGCTAGAGAAATAGATTAACTGAGTAAGCATTCGGACATTCCTTTTCGTCCCTTTTAAGGGAAAAAGCCAAGAGACTCGGATCGACGGGTATATTTCAAACTATCCGCAAATCCATATATTCGAAATAAGTATTCAAGGTATAAAACCTAAAAGAATAGTTTGGCTACTCATGATATTGTTATATAGCTATGTGAGATATAACATAACATAATAGATTCTTTGACTTTCTCCCATTGTTCGATTGATTGAAATGCTTATCTCACGCTGACCAACCATGTGACCTGGCGTGTTTGCAGTCAAAACAACCCATTCTAGACCCATGTTTTCCATTCCTCACGCAAGGATTTTCCATTATATGAATGTATAGTACTGTGCCTCTGCCCGTGTCACAATGTCTTCGATTATTCAATAGACCAATTCTTGTTTCTCACTGCAATTATTACCCAAAAGACACGCCGGACTAGTTTCCCGGACTAACAGTCGCACGTCGTGCTTTACCCCCCTGAGGAGCCAACGCAAGTTTTCTTTCAGCTGAAGTGGCGAACATATTTAAAGCGACCTCGGCACCTTTGTTGAGTCGTTATACAATACGTCTAGTGGGTAAAAGGTGCGATTGGGTGCTTGCCGTGAGGGTTGCATTAGTGTGCAGATAACCTACGCGCAATCTTGCCGATAGACCACCATTCCAAATTGACTCATTTCTCTTTTCTTTTCTTGATACCTTTTCGGCATTGAATGACCATGGAACAGTAAAGGTCAATTGTGAGACTAGTCTAAGGAAAAAGGGGTAGCGAAGAAGACCAAAGGGAAAAAAAAAAAAAGATCAGACCAGCATCATCAGCATCATCATCATCATGATCCAAGAAAAAGTTCCGGAGGTAGCCATGGCCTCCCCGGCTTCGCCGTTGACTCCGAATGCGCTCCATTCGAGTGGCCATGAAATCATGGCGGCAGCTCTCCCCGAAGAACTAAAGGAATTAGAGTCGAGACTCCGCTGGAAAGTGGACTTGCGCCTTTGTACCATTGCCGGCATCCTCTGTAGCCTGAATCTCCTCGATTCGGGCATTCTCTCGTCAGCCTCGGTAACGAGCATGCTCAACGATCTGGATCTTGGAGGTACGAGATATTCAGTCTCGATTTTTATTTTCACCATAACTTCCGTCGTGTTTCAACTTCCCTGCACCATGGCAGTGCGCTGGGTCGGCCCGCGGATTTGGTTTGCATCTATTACATTCTGTTTTGGGCTGCTCACTTTATGCACGGCATTTGTTCAAACGTGGAAACAACTGATTGCGCTTCGCGTACTCCTGGGCATGGCTATGTCCGGAATTTATCCTGGTCTGACCTATCTCATTAGCACCTGGTATACAAGACGCGAGCAGCAGCTGCGATTTGCCTTTCTTCAGTCAGGGGAAGTCACAGTGCTGGCGACAGGCACGATTGTCAATTACGGTCTCAACCACCTGGATGGCCGGGCGGGATTGAGAGGCTGGCGTTGGATGTTCCTGGTCCAGGGACTCGTCACCTGCGTCATTGGCATCGTCACATACTGGTGGATGATTGACTTCCCCGAAAAAGCACATCGGAGCTTTTATTTCCTATCGGAGTCGGAGGCCCAGTTAGCGGTACAGCGCATTCAAGCCGATCGCGATGATGTGGTACCTGAACCCTTCTCATGGCGTAGGATTGGCGTGAATTTCTTAGATCCAAAACTGTACGGATTCGCATGCATGTTCTTCATTCTCAACCTGGTCTCAACCGCCTTGGCCTACTTTCTTCCCATCATTCTTCAATCAGGAATGGGATTTTCTAGCAACGCTGCCATCATTCTTTCGACGCCGGTATGTATATACCTATTGCTGTCTTTGATATAGGTATCCTAACTAGCCTAGCCGTATTATTGGTCGGTTATACCCGCTCTTTTCACTTCATTTGTTGGAGACACGTACCGGCTACGCGGGCCTATGATCACGTTCAACGCCCTTTGTCTGATAGCGGGCTTCTTGATGTTCGGCCTCCCCACTTCTACTCACGTCACCGTGCGGTACATTGGGACATTCTTGGCTACCGGGGCATATGTCTCCAACTGGGCGGCCCTGAATGCGTTCATGGCAAATAATGTCGCTGGGCAATGGAAACGTGCCACTACAGCCGCTGCAGTATCTGCATGTAATGGCCTGGGGGGCGTAGCGGGCAGCTGGATTGTTCGACAACGGGAAGCGCCGCGATATGAGACCGCTGTATGGGTGTCTGTAGGGTACGTGTTGATACGTCAGGTCTAAGGGTCTAAGCTGTGGCTAATCGAGGCAGCTCTCATATTCTCATGATTTTCATCGTGGGTGTATTCACTATCTCCTTCTATGTCTGTAATCGCCAGCAGCAGGCAGGAAAGAGGGTTATACAAAATAGAGTATGTCTACCCGTGCCTTAGATGAAAATAGGGCATCATAGGACTCCAGTACTAACTTGTCTAGGCACACTTTCGGTATACCTATTGATATGACATTTGACGTACGAAGATATGATTTTGAAGATTAGAAACGTATGTATCACGAATATAGCATGCCACATAGATTCAATGGTTGGTCGAAATGGATATAGACAATATTGTATCGCCTCCTCGAGCCACCATTCAACAATTGTAATATAAAGCTCGTGTTTGAAGCCATTTGTTTTACCTAAAAAAGTATTCGAACCTATTTCAAGATATCTACTCACACAAACTATCATACCCAGCACTCGATCAGGTAAGCAGACTTAACTAAAGCCCTAGGCCCTAAAATCCCGCCTTTTCCTCTGCGACCTGGACGAGTCCCAGATCTAGACCGACGAAATCACGGTGGAAGTCCTATCAGGCACTATTAGATAGGTGGCCCACTATTTATCCGAATCGTAGTTTTGGGTCTGATACTCGACAAGCGTCCGGGATTCCGTGGTCTGGTGCAGGCAACAGAGAGGGATGGGCTTTGTGGGATTCAAAAAAACAAGAATACAACTCAGAGCATAGGGAACAATGATAAACCTAGAACAGGAACCTGTAAATTGTTAGCTATCGGGTTGACAATATAGACAGAAGAACGTACCGGGACGACGCCACTGCATTTGTTGGGTTTGCTTGGATTGACAATGGGTCCTTGATACATAAATCTTTGCCAGAACTGGTCTTTTCCGTTGAATCACCTGGATCGGAGGTCTCTGTCCTTGGACATATTACCGTCAAGCTTATGATTTCCTTGTCGTCACTTAAACCCCAATAGTCAATGGAATCTTTCAAGCCCATGTTTATATTCCGGCTGAGTGCGATTTTTGTGTCCTCATCACGCGTGTATATGTAAGCGTTGAATTCCCCAACCCGTTGACCACATTTGTAGGTAAATCCCATCATCAGTTCTTTATATTGACCTCGAATGCAAGTGACCTAAAAGTTCTGTTCAGGTCTCAAAAACAATGTAACTGTTTTGGAAACATCTTCAATACAGTGCTGGGGAAATGGCGTTTAAATAGTCTTCAAGAAAGAACGTTCCCAAGAAGTTATAGGCTTTGGATGGTGATATAAACCTGCGGAATGTATCAGAGCTTGAGGCGACGAGCCGTGTGTTAGGAGGCACTGCAAAATTCTTAGGCCACCCGAAGTCCACTTGGTTTCAACGCAAGCTGCTGATAAGCCAACATTACCGCGTTCATCGTCTATATTTGGCTGTTTCCCAATTTTCCAAACCACATAAGAACAATCGCCCCAATAGATGGATAGGTACAATGGTAATACTGGATAGGCTACGGTTACGCCAGATGTCTACATTTGGAACTCTATCTCATCCATACATATGTTTCCTTCTTGATGTATAGCGCGAGTATCCGAGTCGGCAACGCTACTGATTGACGACGACTCGAGGGCTTCCCGGAAAAGGTAAGGTCGGTGTTCAGGTTGGCCTAGACTTTTCATCTCTACCAAGAAAAGAAGCACGGTATCCAGATATCGTAGACCTTGGTTATGCACTGATCGGATCGTTGCCAGGAAAAGCCGTGAGATGATCTCATCGCAATGAGACTTTTCTATGTGCCCACTCAACTTCGCTCGAGTTAGCGCGCGGTTTAGAAACTCGGGGATGGAGCGACGCGTGAAGGTGATGCAAGTTTTATCCCATACCTTACCTCTAAAAAAAACTGGTTTCGCACCTTCTGCACTCTAGCACATGACGGTGACCGATGAGTCGTTGGCGCGCTGCTTCTTCCCTCTTCGATATGGTACCGTCATCCATCCTGACGTATGCAAAATCAGGTAGGAGGACAAAAATCTGGGTCCCTGTTGTACTCTTCTAGGAACGAGTATGCGGATAGGCTCAACTTCAAGAATGCAAAACGTAGTAATGATACTGTCATGTTCCGTGACAAATAACTTGTCTCCGAAAGAGAACGAAAGAGAAAAGCCTCATGACAATCGCGAATGTTTTGATATGCGGGTTGACGGGCAGTTTGATGAATGGAATCGAACAAGCACCCAAACCAGTCCTCCAGCTCATCCGGTAGTGTGTTAACTTCGTGCTCAAGTTCTGATAGTGGGCAGCCATGGTCAATTCTTCTTCGAACTGACTTCACAACAAGAGCCACCCAGAGGAAGATACCGCTCACTCTGTCTACGATCTTGTTTACCAGACGTTTTACTGTAACCTCGCTAAGGCCCTTCAGCCTATCTTCAACATAAACTATCATGTCAGCCCGGTTGAGATCTTGAAGGCGGAGCCTTAGTCCTGACGAAAAGGCATAGAAGAAGACATTATACTCTCTGCTTGATACGCAGGGTTAACATTTTTGCGGTGCAAACTCTACCCAGCTCTTGAGGAGCTCGGCCATGGTTTTATAGTCTTCTTGATGTGTTTCCTGGTACCCATCAAGACCACCAATCAAAAAGCAGAACCAGTGTCTTTGATAAAGAAGGCTGTTTTTGAACAACTGCTGAAATGCTTGACGATCTCATTTGCTCGGAATTTAGGAACATATGGCGGATGCAATGATCTATCAATTGGGTTGCGTTTAGCGCCCCACTTCCAGGATAGTACACATAGCCCCCACCTATGTAACAGTTAGGATTCTTTCCGAATGGCTCAGAAACACGCTGGTAGTACAGGGGTGAGGGGCTGGACCCTTTTATGAGAGCCGAGCGTCCCAGTTCCAATACCAGCAACTCGTACAAACATGGACAGTCCTAAACGAATGAGCACTGTGCAGATATTGAACGTCTATGGAATGAGGTACGTGGACACACACATGCCGCCCCCTCCCTTTCTTATTGCAGATAGCTAGCTAGTATACTATCGCTAATGGTATATCATCCGAAGTCAATTCTAGACTGTCCTCTAGTTGTATAACACTTGGCCTGTTATGCATACTTCTATCACCAACGGTCAGAAGGTCTAGAAACTTACTGGAAAATAGGTCACAGAGAGCTGAAATATTTGGAAGCTGACCTATGGTGACATCGAATTTGGCGATAATTGCGAAGGACCTAAATTCTGACTGAAAATACTGTACTGACTATCACTTGGCTTTGCTTTAAACTTCTGTACATGGCAAAGCCTTGTGAGAGGTGACCAGCATATCTCCCCTCTATACACGTCATACTATGTTACTATATCCAAATAGCCAAACAATTAATCTATATTCATTTCAAAGGACCTCTATATATATCAGGACCCCAAACTCATAACTCAACAAACTCCCTCCGCAAAACCTCGTCCCCCTCAACCCGCCCCAAATACCCCTTCACCTTCTCCGTCAATTCCTCGATCCCATACCCAAAGAACTTATACGCTACCTTCCCCGGCAAACTATGCCCGAAACGCTTAACACAAACTCCCGCATCCGCATACCGCTCCCATCCATTCGGCGCATAAGGCTCAATAACAACAGCCGGAACCCCCCTATGCCTCTGCAAAACAGACCGCCTATACTCAAGAGACTGTTGCTCAAACAACCGCTGGCAGGGGAAACTGACCACTCGCGCCACGATACCGCTTTCCTTGAGCTTGTAGGCGACTTCCAGCGCGAAGGAGAGTTCCGCGCCGACACCGATGAGGGTTATGGCGGCGTTTTCGGCTTCCTGGAGGACGTAGGCACCGCGGGTGACGCCGTCCCGGCGGGTTTGTTTGAGTTGGGGTAAGGCGTGTCGGGAGGTGGAGATAATAGTGGATGTCTTTTTGGCTTCGAGGGCGGTGATCCAGGCGCCGGCTGTTTCTTCGCTGTCACCGGGGCGAATGTAGAGGAGGTTGGGCATGGCGCGGTATAAGGCGGCTAGTTCGATGGGTTGGTGGGTTGGGCCGTCTTCGCCCATGCCGATGGAGTCGTGGGTTGCGCAGTGGATTATCTGGAGGCGCTGTAGGGCGCCCATGCGCACAGCGGGCGCGGCGTAGAGGTAGAACATGAAGAAGGAGGAGGTGACGGGGATGAAGGTGTTGGGGGCGTAGGCGGCTAGGCCGTTGGAGATGGCGCACATGGCGTGTTCGCGCACTCCGTAGTGGATGTAGCGGCCGGAGTAGTTGCCGTTGATGTTGCATGTTGTGCGTAGGCCGGGCTGTGAGGGTTAGATGTTATGCATGCAAGGTAGGAGGTAGGACTAGCTTACGTGTTGGAAGTCCACCTTTCCCGGCCAGATCATGTTCACGGATGGCGAGAGGTCTGCGGTACCGACCATGAAGTTCTCCATTTTTTCGGCAATAGGGTTGAATACTAAGCCTGAGGAGGCTCGCGATGCGGTGGGTTTCTCTGGGAAGCTGGTGGGAATCAGATCCTTCCAGTTGGAGGGCAGTTCTCCGCTCATGCGCCGTTGGAATTCTCCGCCTAGCTCGGGGTACTGAGCACTGTATTGCTTCACGAGTTCATTCCAGTCCCGAACGAATGATTCGCCGCGAGCTGGAAGGTCTTCGAAGAACTTCCGCACGGGCTCCCCGATGACGAAGTGCTCGTTCGGGTTGAAGCCGTTGTCTTTCTTCATCTGGGCGACATTCGGGGCTCCGAATGCAGCACCGTGGGCTGCAGCCATGCCAGCGACATTGCTACCGAGACCAATTACCGTGCGGACGTTGATAAACGTTGGCTTGTCTTTCGAAACGCGAGCCTGCTCCAGGGCCTTTACGAGACCTTCAATATCGTAGCAACCGTTCTCGACGTCGATGACCTCCCATCCACAGGCGCGCATCTTAGCATTAACATCTTCGGTGTTCGTCAGATCGACCGATCCATCACAGGTGATTTGGTTGTTATCGTAGATAACAGTCAGGTTGTTGAGCTTTAGATGACCTGCATATGAAATAGCTTCCAACCCAACACCTTCCTGCAGACACGCATCTCCGATCATACACCAAGTATGGTTGGAAACAAGATCGTATCCCGGCTGGTTGAATTTCGCGGCCAGGTTCTTGGTCGCCATGGCCAATCCAACAGCATTGGCAACACCCTGACCCAGAGGTCCGGTTGTGACCTCAATACCTTCATGTTCAATCTCGGGGTGGCCGGGGCAAAGTGCGTCGATACGGTCGGAGTGGTAAGACTTGAGCTGGTCAAAGGTCATGGCCTTGTACCCGGTGAGATGTAGGAACGTATACTGGAATAGGCAAGTATGACCATTGGAGAGAACGAATCTATCGCGATTGAAGTAATCCGGAGTGTGTGGAGCATAGCGCATAACATATCGCCAGAGAGCGACTCCGATGGCGGCCATACCAATGGCGCCTCTGCCGGTATTTTATTAGTACCGCGTGCCATTGATTCATGCTAATTGACATACCCAGGGTGGCCTCCTCCAAATTGTTGGCACAAGTCTGCAATGAGCAGACGGAATGTCTTTAACACGACTTCATGGTCTTTCGACAGTTGTTGGACCAGCGGGAGGGCAGACTTTCCGCTGCCGTTGACGGCGATCGGACCAACAGCCATGATGAATGTGTTAACTATAATCCTTATTTCTGATGACTTTCTCAATCAATTCATGACCGGGGACCAGACTGGACTTAAATTTATAACTTCAACCGCCGCTGTGACTTCTTAAATATACTTATCCGGTAGGGTAAGCCCTTTTTCCGAATCAGGCAAGTTGAGGCACTTTTCGCTGAAAGAGGGAATGGACGGGGAACCACTTTTATAGCTGTTATCGATATATCTAGATGGTCCAGTGGTTGGACTTTCCATCCTGAAAGCCTAAGAATACCCCACAATGCTCACCATATCTGTAAGCCATTGTTTGGGCAATGGAGGCACAGAGTATAACATCCGTGACGCTCCCCCCCCCCACAATGCCTCCCTCCATCTTTCGCTTTCCATCTCCAGATCAAGCAATACCAGACAATACTAATTATAGTCCATCATGGCACCCTCCTTCCTCGATTCCAATCTCAACCCCCCCACAACGACAATCTCAGCCAGACATCCTACAGAGACTATTGTCGCTGCTTTTCCGAACCCTTCTCTTCAAGTCACGGCAGATCACAAACTCAAATCTGACGAGGCCCCGATATATGCTCCAAAGCACGGCGAAGTCCTTCTTCAGATCAAAGCAACTGGAATTTGCGGGTATGCATATGATAGCTCTGCCCGAGTAAAGTCATGCTAACAATAATATGACAGGTCAGACCTTCACTTCTGGAAAACTGGTCGGATTGGAGAACTGATCTTCAAGGGTGACTGTATCATTGGACATGAAGCCGCGGGCGTTGTGTTGAAATGTGGCGAGGGGGTCACTCATATCAATCCTGGTGCGTTTTGACCCGATCTATTCAACTGATACTTTCTACTGCATCAAGTATTAATACAGAGTAAATAGGCGACAGAGTAGCTGTTGAGCCCGGCGTTCCCTGTGAAACTTGTTTCCTCTGCAACGACGGTCGTTATAACCTTTGCGAAGATGTTCAATTCGCAGGCGTCTACCCTTACGCTGGGACAATACAGAGATATAAAGTTCATCCTGCAAAATGGGTTCACAAGTGAATCCTACCAATACCTTATATACTTTTCATCTCATTAACGTGTATGGTAGGCTGCCGGATAACCTCACCTACGCCGAAGGTGCTCTCCTCGAGCCCCTCTCTGTCGTCATGCGCGGAATGCAAGTCGCCGGTCTGCAACTCGGCCGCGGTGCTGTCGTCTGTGGCGCTGGCCCGATTGGATTAATCGCCTTAGCTGCCGCACGAGCATCGGGTGCTCATCCTATCGTCATTACGGACTTGGAATCTAGCCGGCTGGCATTCGCCAAGGAATTCGTCCCAAGCTGTATCACATACCAGGTAGACAGGTGTCTAGATGCACAAGGAAACGCAAAGGCCATCAGATCGCTATTCGGAGATGAAGAATATTTCGCCCCAGAGACGATACTTGAGTGCACAGGGGTGGAGAGTAGTGTCTGCACTGCTCTCTATACGGCCCGACGGGGCGGTTCTGTGGTGGCAATCGGCGTGGGTAAAGCTGCGATGAATAACTTGCCCTTCATGCATATTTCTTTGGCCGAGGTATGATTCTTATACAACCCCTGTGCTCTTTCCAATTTGCTAACACTGATCGTACAGATTGATTTGCGTTTCATTAACCGGTACCGCGACACCTGGCCGCCAGCCATTGCCTGCATGAGCGGCGGAATCCTCGATCTCAAGAAGCTGGTCACACATACATTCCCATTGGAAAAGGCCGAAGAGGCGTTGCAGTTATGTGCTGATGCGCAGCATCCAAGCATTAAAGTCTTGGTCGTGGATGAGGTGGATGCCACATTATAGTTCCATACATTGGTCCGACGTTGATGCTTTAAATGGGATAGGTGAGTATGTACTTTTTGACATCGAGACATGTTAGTGGTGTAAATAGCTCTCAATTAGATCAAATATTCTACATGAACCTTATCATAAGCCCTTCCTCAATGGCAACGTATTATTGCTCTACTTGATATGTTAGCATCTACTCCTTCAGCAACGGTTATTGAAGCTGCCAACCGAATTCGCCCAGCGGTCCTCCATAGTCCACAGAGCCAATTGAACGAGTAGGGTCTTCAACAGATCAACAATACCTGCCGGAATAGCAGCCATCCCTTATCTCCACCGGACACAGAACCCATATGTTCAAAAGGCGGAGAGCGTGGCTATTCTTGCCTGTTCTGGAAGGGCTCTCGTAAAGCGTTAACCAATCATAGCCTGTATACGGGTCGGCAATGTCACGGGGTCGGTGCACGGGTCAACACACGACACCTCTCCTAATCAGGATTGGTGGCTGTTTTGGGCAAGGAGCAGTAGTTTGAGGATTCTGCAGGTGGGTTCAATATTGATTACTAGTTTACAGTCGTGAAGAACAACAGGGGCTCATATTAATCGGAGTATATCCGATTTGGTGTAGTATTGACCGGACATAGATATTATCTGATTCGGCTGTACATACATATATTGGTCTAGTCGGGTGGAATCTTGGGACTTGCTTGGCCTAATGCGATGATATGTGGCTTATTATATTCCGAGAGGACCGTGTCTAGATACAGAAGGAAAGGTGGTAAGGCTAACACCATCCATGCAATATAACCGAAGTGTTGACATATGTACTTAGTATCTTAGTATTCGATACTCTGCTTAATGGCATCGTAAATCCCTGCATATCGGATCAGTATCGTTATTCAGGGTAGCCTTGTGGCTTATCAACTTACGTGCAACATCTGGAAGGATGAACTTTTCATATTGAAGCCCGGTATGTGTACTCCACCCCGCGACTCGCTTAACGGGCGCTTCTAACCGCAAGAACGCCTGGTCCTGGATAGTCGCAGCAACTTCGGCGCCAACACCATAGTTTACCATGCTCTCGTGCACGACAATGGCTCTTCCAGTCTTCTTCACACTGTCCAGGACCGTCTGCCGATCCCACGGGTAGATAGTCCGCAGGTCAATCAGCTCCACGCTAACCCCGAGGGCCTTCTCAGCCGCGGCAATGGCTTGCGAGCAGAGATAAAGCGGCTGGCCGTAAGAGACAAGGGTCACGTCATTTCCGGGCTTGAGGATCTCTGCCTTGCTGAGGGGGATTGTGTAGTACTCGTTGGGAACATGCTCCACCGCCGCTCTGTATAGACATTTCGGTTCCATGAAGATAACGGGGTTATTGTGTTCAAAGATGGAGGCCAGGAGAAGGCCCTTCGCCTGCGACGGGGACCGAGGAACAACCACCTGCACACCCGGGACATGTGCGAATAGCGCCTCTGGCGACTGTGAGTGATATCTGGTAAGAGGAACGTTAGCACGGCAATACGGCAGCTACCTAACCACCGAACCGGAACATACAGAGCGCCATGTCCAACCGCACCACATGGCATCCGCACGACCATTCCACCAGCATTCACCCCCGTGGCACCCTCACGGTATCTGAACTTCGCCGCCTCGTTGACAATCTGATCGAAGGCCGGGAAGACATAGTCGGCGAACTGGATCTCGGCGACCGGTTTCATGCCCTGCGCTGCTGCCCCAATGGCAAATCCCACGATCCCTTGCTCAGTCAAAGGCGTATTGAAGACACGTTCCGTGCCGAATTCCGTTTGTAAATCCATTGAGCACCGAAAGACTCCTCCGAAGGCGACATCTTCGCCGAAGAGCATCACCTTCTCCGACTTAGCGAGGGCTGTGCGTAGCGCGGAATTGATGGCTTGGTAGAGGTTCATGGATTTCGAGGTTGTCGAACCGGGGAGTTCTAGGCTTTCGGATAGAGTGGTTGATGTGTGGTGGAGGAGAGGAGTGGATTTGTAGTCGATGGGTAGGTTGAGTCGCGAAGATGGCGATGCCGCGGCCGAATATAGTCGGCGCGGCGGGCGTATTAGTCGGGGTAAGCGGAGAGGAGCCATTTTATGAGTTGGGGAGGGATTGGGAGGGGAGAGGAGAGCGGCCTTTTACGACTGTCGGTCAAAGTAATGGGTAGCGAAGGGATCCAAGAACCTTCCCTTGATTTATATCCCATTCCGCTTTCCCCAGAATGTCATCATGCGGGGATCCCTTCCGCGGGTTGCTCCGTGGATAACCGAGATGGTTGGCCTCGGTGCCTGGGCCCTGAGGGTTACACCCAATAACTGTCTTTTTCCCTGGACCTTGAAAATTATACCCTTTGCCAGGCCGACAAGGAAGATTCGAGTGTAGTTTACTTTACTTCCTATTTTTTTTGTAGTGCTTCATCTATTTGAAGACTATTAGTGTTCAACAGTGAACCCTTTGACTGTCGATTCCTCTTAACTGGGTTTCTGTCTCCCTTTCCCCTGCAATTTATCTATTTATTTTTCAAAATATCACTCTTAGGACCGGGCGTGTTTACCAAGTCAAATATATCGCTACGCAACATTGTGTTTCGCAGGGAACGCAAAATGCTTGGCGAGGACGCCGAGACATGATAGGGGAGGTATATATTTTGAAGTAGCATACTGAAACATAAACAACATTGAATAGAAGAAGCTAAAATTGTAGTATGACGTCCGATTAGCTCAGTCAAATTGGACCTTTGTTTTCTCTCTTCTTCTTTTCTGTTTTTGAAACCCTCAGGAGTCATGGTTCATTTATATTTAAAACACTGCACATTGTTTGGGTTTTATAGCCCTAACTAACTATCAAACCAAAATATACGACTAGACCACCAAAAATGCCTGGATCCTATATGTGTCCTGAAACAATGATATTTTAGTGTTTAGTGCAATGTTAGATGACGCTAACATATATACCATTAAACACGACCTACCTACTTTCTATAACAAATTCAGCTTCACCTTGTTCAAGAACAGTGCCCAAATACAAACCAATCTTTTCTAGAAGGCACTAAAACAATCACAACGCCACTTGTCAATCCAAGCAGATAAAACAGTAACACACTCATCTAGATCTACTTCTTCTCCCCCTCAATCCCAACCTTAACAGCTTCCCTCTCCAACATCCTCTCCAACCACCCCTTCACAAACGGAAACTTCTCAAGATCGTAATCCGTCGTCGAAACCATAACCCCAATCGCCCTCTGCCACGGCACAAATGCCAAATCCACATACGACAGCTTGGCCCCAACAAGCCACGGTCCATCCCCCTCTTTACCCTCAGCAGAAGCCTGCTTCTCTAACCACCCCTCCAAAACCCCAGTGACCCGATTAACCTCCTTCGCATACCGTTCAATGGCACTCCGCAACTGCTCCTGATGGAACTTCCGAAACCACGCCAACTGCCCGTAGTACGGGCCCTGACCGGACATCTGGAAATGCAACCACTGCTTCGCGAGGTAGAAATCCGGGGTTCCTGGTTCGAAACTCAGACGGCGGGCGGCGTCGTACCGGTCGACAAGATATTCAATTATTGCGCCGGATTCCCAGAGTGTGAGGCCTGTGTTTGGGTCGTGAAGGGTTGGGAGGCGGCCGTTGGGGTTGAGGGATAGGTAGGGGGGGTTCTTGATTTCGGTGAAGGGGACTTCGTTGATCTTGTAGGGGAGGGAGAGTTCGTTGAGGAGGATGAGGACTTTGACTGGGTTGGGGCCTGGGCGGTGACCGTAGAGGATTAGGGGTTTGAGGTTGCTGAACATTTTAGGAGTTGAGGTTTGGTTTGGTTTGGTTTATTGGCTTGAGATCTGAAGTAGAGATTGGAGGGCTGGTGGTTTATGTTGGTGGATTTGAGGAGATGAGGGTTGTGCAGGGGGTGTTTTATATTTGGCATGGAGAGGGTGGAGGGGGTGGAATGATTGGCATTTGTACTCTTGGTTGAGACGTTACGAAGCTATCTATGATCATAGTGGAGGGTTCAATTTGTAATCTCAATCATTTGGTGACGACTCAGTCCTGGATTTGGTAGACTTCTGACATCGTGATACTCTGGGATGCTCGCGGGTTTCTCCCGAAGTGGCATAGTTGGATAGAGTGGATCCATCAGCATCTAAAAAAGGAATAGATTAGACTAGATAGTGTTGTGTTAAATTGTTCCACGGACTAGGGATTCTCAGAAATATCACGAGAAAATGATTTATGGACGCTAGTTTAGGACTATCTACATACTCAAAGCTCCAGCCATTGATCCGTCTCTGCAGCCTGCAAGGCCCCTATTCCTACCAGCCTTCCCAGACGCGCCAACCGGGCCTTGAACCAAACCTTCTGTTCCGGACTCACGTATTCCAGACTCGATGCGATAGTCAGCGGCCAGATGATTAAAGAAGCATCGCTTGGTTTGATCTGATAATTTAAATTCACTTTAATGGAAGGAGTGTGCGACGACAGCGGAGACGTGTCGGCTAATCTGACTCGCTGTAGGGCAAATGGTATGGTAGATGCTAGATCATTGGATAGAGATTGCATGTCGCAGAGAAATTGTTGCTGAGTGAGTGTGTCTTCTGAATTGGAAAGGGCCAGAATCCTTAACCGAGTATTTTTGACAAGCATTCTTGCAGCATGGTACTGACCCCACAGCGCCGCATAGGCTGGGTTGGGATAGCTGTGTATGACTGGGGAATAGAAGTCTGCCGACGGCCAGGACGGAAGGTCTGTTTTGGATAAAGCATGTTGTTGGGGGTGGAGCCATGTACGCGGAACGTGGGCAATGCAAGCCTCGAAGTCTGCATCGAGACTCTGTGCCTCAATATCAAGCTGCTCGAGCCTTGAAATATATTCAGAAGTGCTTTGCAATAAAGATGCACCCGACGAGGGAAGTTCATCAGTCAGAGCAAACAGTTGATGGCGGAGATTAGCAAGGCGTACGATGATTTGGTCGTATTCGAGATCAAGGCCGTGCTCGCCGAAGAATGTACCATCGCAGATCCATTCCGGTAGTGCGGCGTTTCTCATTAGGGCCGATCTAATCATCCCGCGTCTTGTATGCTTAATAACGTTCGTGGCTGGCCGACCACGGCTCAGACGGTCGTTCCAGACCTTTAATATGGCCAACGCCCCGTCGTGATGCGAGAAGCTCTGCAATGCGAGCGTAAACGGAGACTTTGCCCCTGGAGCGTATACCGAGTCCTCATATCGACCCATGAAGAAGACCGCAAGCAAACAGGAGTCTATATTGTCCGAACTTAAGTACTGTAACGCAGGCTGGACAATTTGCAGAAGCTGATGGTACGTGCTAGACGCTACTATGGCTGCTTCGGGGTAATGTTGAGTTCGTGAGAACACAGCCAGAGCCTGAGAAGAAATCGCTAGGTCTAGGATCGAGCACCATGGGGCAGGAGGCATTACAGGTAGACAGCCTCTCGTGACTTCTTTTACGATATCCGGAACGTTAGGTGGGTTCTGTAGATAATTGTGCATGTAGTATGCGATGGCACGTGTTTTCAGGTCGATGGGCGTGGGAGCCACGGTCAAGTTCATTCTTGTTGAACGAGGCCCTCTGGGGCGCTTCTTTTGGCGACTTGCATAGGCATTCTCAGCGTGCCAAACTTGCTGGTCCCGCATGCCGTAGCATGTTCGGTGGGATTTTATGCATCGTTGACAGATTGGCTGAGTCCTGTCGCACTGCGGGATGCGTCAGCTTGATGTCTGTCAAGGTGGGAGAAGAACGCGCTGCATGTTACCTTGATTCGTCGGTCCCTACAGGTCTGACATCCGCCACCGGGAAATGGCATTATGTTAGATTACGGAATTTCAAGGATAAGCTACTTTGTTCTGTCGTAGAGCAAGTTCAATATATGCTTGACTCGAGATGGGAAGCTCTTAGCTCAGGGCTCTCGCGGGTTTCGCCCGATCTGAACTAGCTCTTAATAGGCCTATGCAGGCGCTGCACTAGGGGCTACATTACTAATCTCAACTCTTTTCGGCTTTTGCCAACACGCCATAAACCTGACGGAGTGCTTGTACTATATGATTCCCAAAAGACCTTAGAGGACCTGCAAAGCTGGAAAATTGATTTAAAGAAATCCAGCTTGTTGACTAGAAGACTAATCATGCGCCATCTTTTTTATATACTATTACGTATGGCTGTAGTATTTCGTAAAGCCTCAAACCAATTTTGGGCCGATTCAACTATATTCTGGCACAAGATTAGCCATGTATGACGAACAGTCGCTAGGTTGAACTATTTCCAGACGTAAAAGCGTTGACATTGAGTTACTCATAATATCAACAACCTGGCCGATCCAGACCGTTTCAATCATAGTGTCCCACTTAGCAATAGCGCAACCATTCCCAGCCCTACCTCCGAAGCAAGCCCACAACTGCAAGAGCGGCAAGCCCAACTAACGCCACATCGCCCGCGTAATCCTTCTCTGCCGATACCTGTATGAGGAGTCCCATCGTAAAGAACACAAGGCTAATATTTGCAGCCGGGAGACGATTTGCAGCCGAGAGACGAAGCGTGTGTGCCCCAAAAAGTAGCGTCAACCCCATGGTAGTATCGATAAAGGGCGTGATGATTGCCACGATTGAGCCGTCATCGGGCGAATGGTACTCCTGGAATGCATACCATTCCGGAGTATACTTGCCATGCGTGAATCGGGAGAGTGCCCCAGGAAGACAACACCGGAGAGGAGGTATATGGGTAGGGACCAGAGAGACGAGGACATTGCGGTTAACTAGAAAGATTGGGTCGATGCTGAGTCTGACTTCAGTGTAACTTTTGAAAGTGTCAGATGTGGATCTGTTCTGATCGAGTGAGATTTGGCCCGTATAGGTGAATTGCCACGAAAAGGTTCCCCTTCTCGCCCCCACAGTGACAGACTACAATTTCATCGCGTCAAGACACGTGACATCAAGTTCGTAGCTCCTAGGAGTAAATCATGGCCCATAGGTGCTAGAGAGTAACTGTACAGCCTGGTACAGCAGAGCGTTAATGATAGACGTATAGATCGACGGTTAGACATGAAGATAGTTCAGGTGATTACCCAGAGCCAGAGGGCTTTCAATCTCTCAGTAAAATAAATAAATTTACGAATATTTTATTTTATTACGATAAAAGTCTCTGAGAGATAAACCAACTAACTATTCAAGTTAATATATGTATAATGACTCAGCGCTTAGATGAGGACCACGTGTGCTGAGATAACCATGCCATGTCAACAGGGCATGCGATCTCTTAGGGATTTCACCCGTCATGCCACAACCCGGCGGAAGGTCAAACTCGAACATCGGTTCTCCAGCATCCGAACGGAACAATTGCTCTCACCTGCTCGTCCTTGATCAAAGCTGCAATCCTGCAATCGCATTAACTATACTGAGCGCTACTAATCCCCGGAAAAGAGCATGATGAGGCAATCATACTTAGGGTAAAGCCACGATATCAACTGCGTTGGAACTACGCGGCCAATAGCGAACAGCCAACGAAAGTGCTTCATCCAACGCACGACTTTGCTGGTGACAAGTAGGGTCTCATGAGCTAAAGCGTCGAAGTCGTCTTTCTGCAGCCTCTGGAAGGACCCATTCAAACTTATTCCATAATTACGTCTGTTCTAGTCGGTCGGAAATCCAAGCCAAATAGATGTGGGCAGTATGGTACCATTGGTGAACGCAGTGTAAGCTGCATCTATACGCATTGGTAGGCTCGCCTTTTTGATATCCTCCACTCGCAGAAAGAGAGTCTCCCCTTCTCTTGGATGACAGGTTGTAACCGCCGTACAGTCGCTTTTGAAAAGAACGGACTCAGCGCGGAGCGACGCATCCGATGTTTAATCATGGTCAACTGTAGCAATGGAAGCGTGTGGAGTGCCAAACTGGTGATTGTACTGGGCGGTTTTGTTCCGCTTCTTGCCGCCAGCTGCGTACACCTACCTCATCATAGAAGGTTAATGTCTCGATGTGGAGCTCCTCAGGATTAATACGAACAATAGGGCCCTGCATCGCTATCAACAGTGTGTTATACTGCCTATGTAACTCACACCCACAAACTTATCGCGCAAAGCCCTACTCTAAAAATGTACTGTCCTATGCATATTCCGTCATAGTAAAATTCATACCTCACACTAGTCAGCTGGTTCGCCAAATGCCAAACGAAGTCTTTATAGGACGATATACATACAGTCAAGATATGGCTGCCAGTCGGGGACCTGGAAAATGAAGTATAGGACTAAAATAGAGACGATACAATATGCCGCTAATGGTATACGCCAGCAGTGATGCCAGGAGAACCGCCACGGATGGGCGATTTAGCATCTCAAGAAAGGGCATCTTGGGTTTCTCGAAAGGAACACTACCGACCCAATTTGACAGCAAAAAGTGCGGGAGAGCCTGGTGTTGGTGAAAGATGAAGAGTTGATGAGAGGATCTGCCATTCATATTCTCTCACCAACATCAGTCAGCGAGAACGAATTGTTCAACTCTATCCTATGTAGGCCCGTTATACTTATACTATATTTTGTTAATCAGGACAAGCTCCTCTGGCTCCTATACGAGGATTCACACACCCCTTTAGTGGCCAAGATGCGGTAGGGCCAGTTATGGATATGGTAGCTCATGATGCTCTCCTTTCAACCTGTCCTACTCTTTACAATGCGGATGACTAGCCAATGATGTTCTCAGAGCAAGCGGTGTGTAGACAGAACCAACATTTCGATGAAGGCACGATCGCAGTTCCCCCTCAAGGGAGAGTCTTACCAACTAACACACAAAAACAGTGCAACACATCTCTTGCATACCGATTCAGTGGCTGCCTGAAGCATAGTGAGGGACGCAAAGGGGCCAAATTGATTGTGATAGTGGTTGCGGTAGACACTGTCTTGAGATAGATCCTGCGTACCGATTCAGTGGCTGCCTGAAGCCTAATGGAGGACGTAAAGGGACCAAACTGGTTGTGACAGTGATGGCGGTGGACATTGTCATTGAGAAAGATTGAATGATGGCTCGCGATACTAACTTCTGGTCATACGACCTTAAGACGCACCAGAGGCTTTGAAGCACTGCTGGATAAGGATACAACGAAAGAGCTCTGTATGGTAACTGACCAACATGAACAGCTGCCGTGGCTACGACCTTTCTTACTCATGTTTCCTGGCTCTTCAACCTACAAATATCCCTCACAGGAGGCCAGAAATATGACAAAAGCAGAGAAAGGGTATTAAGAAGAACCAAGAGCCAACCATGTTTCTCACGACACTTTTACCAGAGTTCTTCCGTAACTTGTTGGCATGGGTTGGCATCCAAAAATAGACAGCTATCGAGGGACAATCGGATCTTACTACGGTAGATACCCAGACAAAGGCTATCTCGACGTTTGTAGCATCTGTCGGCTGCGATTTCCTTCAGGCCCCAACTGCTGAAGAGGAGAAAACAAAGAGGACAATCCGTCAACATGTTGCTCCTGAGAACCATTGCCCGTCCGAGGTGAAAGTTTTCATTGCCATTTACATCACAATCTTCACGTACATCGACGATGCCGACCCCGTGCAGAAATCGGTTTAGTTCAGGCCAACGTTACGTGAATTGCAAGCCAGGGCCATAATCGCACCATGTTCCGCCACCCTTGCTCGCGGGAATAGCGATTCGGGAAACACAAATAAGGGAGCTTGCTCTTCTCTAAGTAGGGGTTGATATCTATGAGTGGGCCTGAATAGTCTTCTACGATACGGTCCTGCTACAATTGATCTGATGTATGATTGGCTTGTCCATTTCTTCATCTCATCTCTTGACCTTGATTGAACGACGATTGTTATCCGTTTGCGATACGACCCGACACCTGATATGCGGGTGGTTTTGAGTAACTAATATATTTAGGGACAAGATATAGCTTCCAAGTATTAGGGAGGAATAGGGTAAGAGAGAAAGGAGAGAAGAAAGAGAGATAGACGAAGGCGCGTCTGAAGTTGAATGTGATGGGTGGAAATAGTGCATCCATAAGGCAGGCAGGCTGTGGACCGAGGCACTGGCACAGTACGAACGTGGGTCCGATTTCAGTGGTCCACTAAAGGGCTAAACTACGGAGCAACAATCACTCCGCCGGACTATAGGAGGCGATGGCGACATACTCTCGAGAACATTCAATAATAAATCATAGATGGATAAAGAGGTACCGACACCGTTCCTAGACTAATGTCAGCCCCCATCACCGCTTACTGCACATCTCCCGATGAACGGGACCACTTTGTGTCTAGTATACTGCAAGCATCATGTCTTCGACCATATACCGCTCGTCAGCGGCATCACTAAAGGCCTCCGCAACGTATGTGGCTCTCGAGCCTACTCCTAACCTTGGCACGGTACTGACCCCTCTTTGAATATGTAGACGCTCGAAGTGTCCGACCACCCAGGTCGAGTTCGGAGGTCAGAAGGCCGTTGTACCCAAAGGCGGCTACTACGATCGTTACCGCATGAACCCAAACCTGGACGAGGTAGCCCGCGATCCGGCCGTTGGACCTGATATTGACTTCTTCCGGAAGATCCCAAAGAAGCTGATGGATTCGAGGGTCGGTCAAATATACGCACCCAACTTCTATTATCGCACTAGGAGCGTCCAGCTCGTCTTCCTCGCACCCCTCGACCGCTTGCAGTCTAGGCTCCCGTCACCCTTGGAGCCCATCACGGCGTTGCCTGGTTACGGTTTGGTCGCGTTGACGTTTTACTCGTACCTTGTCTGCGACAACGACCCTTATAACGAGGTCTCGATTGCCGTCATCGTCCGGCAGCCGGGTAATAATAGTTACAGTACGACCCAATTGCTCAGTTCCATATGGAACAAAACTTTCTACGGATACGTGTTGGCTCTACCAGTCGATACCGAGATCGCTCGAGTACGAGGTGTATACGGGTACCAATTCCCTAAATGGCTCGCCAACATCAACCTGGAGATGGATGATCAAAACATCAAGGCCGACCTCACCGCGACAGATGGGACACCCGATCTGACGCTGGATGTACCCCTTCCGGCTCTGCAGACCATCCCGTCACAATCTTCGGTCGGGACCAACATCGCTATAAACAGGATTGACGGGAAATGGTCCCGGGTGGCAGTCCAGACGAACCCACTCCTGGCGGCACAATGTCTTCTTCCTGGGAACGTCAAGCTCTCTCGGAGTGAAGGTCCATTGAGTAAACTCCTCAACGAATTGGGCGCTTCGACCATCCTACGGATGGACGTCTTCAAGGATGCGCAGATGGTCCTGAATATGCCCACATCTTTGAAGGCGTTTGATTAATCTCAAGCCCTGAAGATCAGTATACAGTCCTGCTGCCAGTTAAACAACGAGGATGCTGATTGTACAGTATGGTTCCCCGCTAACAATACGACGCGGCCGGCTGAAATTGAGGTATTTGCAGCATGAGAGGCATTATATGACAACTATAATAAGGTGCCTTGGAGGAGATTTCATTGCGCAACGTAGAAACTATTGGGAACCCGCCGGGGAGTAGGGCATAATGATACGTATTACATGGGGTTCCCCAACGCTCTTCAAGTATTGAGACTTGTATTTTTGAGTAAATACATAGAGGAGTTAGCATTGATTGGTTCCCTCTATCATCCTCTTCTTTGCTTTCTATCTCTGGAGATACCTAATGCCGGCAAGGGCCCGTGCGATCCGGCTGCCGGATCGGCGTGAGTGGACATCCACCTTGCCTACTAACCAGGTGGTCGGTAACGACGTTCGTGACTTGCTGAGGGCGGCGACGACCTTCTTCACGGTCTCCGTAGCCGACCCGGGGTTCTTCCCTGTCAATAGGTTGCCGTCGAGTACAGTGTAAGAGGCAAACGGCAGCTTGGCCTTCTTGTAGTGGGCGCTGCGCTTCTTCATCTCTTTCTTGGCCCTTGTAGGGCACGAGCTTGTCTACACAGGCAGGCACTTCTTCCCGCCAGGAGAACCCGGCCATCTTGCATCTGGTGACCAGATAGGAGCCGACATAGCGCTTGGTATTGAGCAAGCCGTAGTAGTTTGCGGGTAGGGCCTAGTCAAGGTTGCGGAGTCCTCGTTTTCTTCGAAGACTGCCACTCTTGTTCCCATTCTTTGTTAACCCTGATGTTTCCGTTTCCCGTCATAAGAGATGTTGGAAAGGGTGTTTCTTTCCCAAGCCAACATTGACTGATTTCCACCAGTTAACTAACTTTATAATGAGTAAAATGTGAGAATTTCCTCTTTTCTTCTTCCTTTCTTTCTTTTTATCTCAGTGGCAAGTGGGAGGGTGGGGTGGGCCTTGCCAGCACGCGTTTTTCTTTTTTGAATCAATGAAGATATCGACCAAAATACAAGGCTAGACCACCAAAAATACCCAGAAACTAGAGATATGCTGGTACCTGATACGTCACTGTAACTGTTGGCAGAAGAAATCTCACGACTGCGCAGAATCACGCCTCGTAAATAACTTCATTCTAATACTGCGTAGTTCAGGAACACATAGATCTCATGAATATGACATTATAGATCGCCCGCAAAGGCAAGGTCAGAAATGCAAGAGTGCATCCCGTCGTCCGGCCGGAGACCCGGATTTCTCCTACTTGAATCCTGTCGACCTGAAATTCTACTGAAGTATCATGTATAGGGGCACCTCTAGTGCCCAGGCACATTTTGTAGTCCAGTCGCATATTTTGGTTACAAATCCAGTAATAGTACGCATACAAGCGTACTGAGTGGAAGCCCGAATAGGAAATGGAGCTGGGTCAAGGAAGCTAAGAGCAGTACCACTGTCCATGGTGTTTTCCATTGGTAGATACGTACCAAACTCACCATTTTGGAAGCGTAAGGATCCTCGAGTCGACATCACCTACCCCTTTCGGATCACGACAGATACCATGATCAGAAATACAACATAAGACCTTTTGAATATCTCCAACACAGTAGAAATATGGAGAGCAGGAGATATGCGTCACGCTACTTGAAATCTTCCTCTATACAACACGAAAAATTCTCGGACAGCTACTCCATAACAACTGGCTTACTCTTGGTATACGATGGTGTCTTTCTAGATACTCAGGACCAAAGGGTCTCCTATCTTTTGTACTCTGCTCATCAGTTGATGCTAGGCTGTAGTTCTAATTATGAGGTTGCAGTGGGCGGAGGTACTGGGGAAAGAAGGCCCACAGTTAACCCACACTCCACTTTGGGTCGTTGGAGATAGGGCCAGACAAGACTTAAGCGTACGCCCGAGAGTTCCCCGATTGCCTCGCCATTGCCCTTACGGTTACTATTCGACTGATAATAACAATGTTTATCCACCGAAACCCATACCCACAGGAGCACCACGTGCGGCATTTTTTTCTAAGAAAGATATGATAAGTGTGAGCTGGTCACATGGAAATATGAACACAAGCATTGCTGGGTAGCCCTAGATCAAAAGGTATATAAAAGGCCCATGCCCAACGCCTATCTACTCTAGAGAATAAGTAAGGACCTTCATAATATCTTGCAAACACCTATCTTATCATTTCCATTTCATCATGCGCGTTTCTACTCTAGCTGTAGCACTTTTTGCTAGTGTCGCGAGAGCTGCTCCGACGGAGACTCCGGAACTGCACGGTATCCTCCAGGCCTTCAATGCCTCCAAGGTTGTGCAGGATGCTGGTCCAGTGCTTGAGTCCCTCCTTGCCACGGGTAACTGCAGCATTCCTGGTTCGTTCCCTTTGCACTATGATTGTGAGCTTAACCGGAAGCTAACGCCGCCTGCCAAAAGCTTGCTTCCAACAACTTATTCCGGTTGTCAAGAACTGCAATGCTGCTATCGCCGGTGAGGGTTCGGACATTGCGTCTGACCTTCAGTGCGTGAGCACCGCCATCGCCGACCTAGTCCCCACCCAGGTATGCTCTACACCTCCTTATGTTCTGGGCCAATGCTGATTTATGTCTAGTCCAACAACTGTGCTATCTGTGTAGGCGATGCTATCTCTTTCGTTCTCTCCCAGCTGGAGAAGGGGTCTAAGTCCAATTGAGAGTCTAAACAAACGCTGGGAATCCGAGTCTTGTACGCAGTTAGCTATCTAATCTATAATACAAACCTCTTGCATATGAACGAATTTACGAGGGCGATGCCACCCAGCACTAAACAAACATCATAGACAAGAATGGCTCCTTAGAGCCTAAATACTATACAAAGCAACATAGTCATCTATACCCACTAGATAAGAGTCGATCCAACGCGCAATAGTAAGAGGATAGAGAGAACTCACTCACCAGGAGCAATATACATTGGCGATATTCGGTTTCTTGCCAAGCAGACACTGTAAATCTTCTTTCAATCACCAAAGAATTGGAACCTCGGCACCATATGGCTGTCTTCCCCCTACCATCATGGGAGGTGCCATAGAAACTGGGGCTCTATCCATCCCGATCGGGGAAAGAGTGAACAGGGTCAACGGGAGGAACTGCGCTAATTTCTGGCTAAATTCAGTCCCTGTTTAATTAGGAGCTTATTCAAGCCCGCAACGCAAACTGAATTTGGCTAGTTTGGAGAGTTAGAAACCCTGGTACCTAAGATTTTGTTAGGGCTGCACCGGAGAGATTATTGCCCCGACTGTCACACTTCTCCACTATTTTGTGGGCCTTCCGTGGAAGCCTGGTAGCCATGGCTGATCAGGAGATGAGATCTCACTACTTACAGCGGTTATTTGGTTGAACTGAGGGCTTTTGAATAAAATGCTAGGATTGATTAGTAGGGTCTAAACATGTTCTAGTTTAAGCCTTGTGATGATCAATAAGTTCGTCTATGGGATAAAATCTTCGGGGGAAGAGCAGAGAAGCACTGATTTTGGGCACCTTGTTCTATTGCTCTAATTTCGAATGTGTTACGATATGCCGTCTCTAGATGTCACGAATATAACTTGTCTATGCTAACACGTATGTTGGAGGCTAGCTTTTTGGACTGGAAAGATGAACCATTATATGGATACGTAATGATACAAAGCAAGGTCAATTGAATATGTAGATTAATATATAAGTCCCAAAGAACAAGAAAATGGTTGTTTACACAAAATCAGCCATTACAACCATCCTTGTCTTGTTATAGGTTGCTAGGGGAAAGTATCTCAACAGGAAAATTGTTTGTCGGAAGCTGAAGGTCTTGAAATAAACCCCCTTCATTATCAACATCCAACTGGAAGAGGAAGGACTCAGCTAGCGGATTTGTAATTTTGAGGGTATGGAGAACTGAACGGAAAAATTGGAAAGCAGAGTGAGCCTCCGTATCTTCAGGACGAAGCTTGAGATGCTGGATATATACGCGTGCTGCTACATAGACGCAGAATGTCACAAAAGGATTCATCTAAACCTGTCAGTTATTTGCCGAGCAATTCAACAGTACTAGAAAGTTCACCTTGCTCATTTGGACAGGGCCAGTCATCTTTATAATCCCCAAAATTTGGTGGGCGGCAGCAATACACCGTAGCTTGCTCTCAACAATGGGGTGCTCTGTTGTGTTGTTCGCCTCCGCTCTGAAGGCAGCAGCTTGATGAAGACATATAATAGAAGTATGGAGAGCAATGTTACTAAAAGTGATATTGGGATTGCCCATCCCACTGGAAAGACGCAGGTGATTTGGCATTGACAGAGCAAAATGCAGCAGAATCTCATCGTAAGACCTGTGCCGCTGCCAGAAGCCTCCAGTGCTGTAACTATCGTCGTCTTGCGATTGGGGGAGACGAAGATGGTTTGTGATCCGACCGAAGACGCACGACACAAAGGCGACGCTTGCAAAAGGGGACAGCGTTTCCAGTCCCTCACCCCTTAAAACATCGCTAAGAGGTGCTGTTGGCTCTGGCGTGCCTGTAATGAAGGCTTCCTCGCTAGCAGGAAGATTTGTCATGACCTGTCCTTTTTAATACGCCGCTCCGAGCTTTTGGGTACGAGACAGGGAGAGCTTACTTCTGTCTCGTTGATCCCAACAGGCCATCCTGTTCCAATGACGGCAATTTTATCAGTACAGAAGGTCATCCAGAATGCTCTCCGTCTCTCCTCCTTTTCAACCCAATTTGAGGCAGGTATGAAGCATTGTTTCACCTGAGGATTTGGTTTATCTACTTGATGCAGCCCTAGCATGATTGCGAGCCTAGATGCCTTTCCACAACTTAACCATGCTCTGGGAAAGAACATCATCTTGTACTCGTACACGGTGGTAAGGAGCCATGTCTGAACATGTGCTAAGGAGAGGATCCCTCCTCCATAGCCTTTCATCTCATCCGCCTCGGCGTACTTGCGGGCTCTTTCGTAAAAAATTGGATGTAGATTGTTATACTTTTCGCTGACGAGGGCTGCATGACACCAGATCATGTATCGAAGGCATATTGGGGGCCGAGCATGAGGAGCATAATCTAACACGGCTAGGTGCGTATGATGATGTATAATCGGCATGTAAATATGAACATCTTTGAAGTAGATTTGGTATCTGCAGATATTAGCATAGGATCACTTGGAGATACGGGGAGCTGCGAGACATGCAGTTCATCAATAGTATCTTGATCGGGAAGAGATTCCTCGAGTCCCAAACCAATGATATCTAGCCCAACGCTGGGTCTTGCAAATACCCCCTCAGTGGTTGATGATCGCGAGGAATCAGTTTCTGATATCCTGTCTGGATAAGAACCAGTACGGCTCGAATTAGGGTGAGCGACCCTATTCATCCGTTCATCTGGAAGGGTGGCGGAAGGGGTTTGATTTCCTGCAATACTAAGCTGTTGGGCATTAAGCAACGCCTCTACTTGTGCTTTTCAACAAGCAATGTTAGTATAAATAAGCTACTTAGATTGATTCGCCTGTTTTAAAAACGTGCCTAATCGAGAACCCAAGACCGCTGTATATCCTCGCTTTGGGCCACTTTTCTTCCGTGTCATATCATAGGCGCATTTCCGGTTAAATTTAGAACAAGTTCCACAAGTAGGCTTCGCCGTATCACATTTAGACTTCATCCGCCGACAGGCTGTACACGCATTCCCCTTATAGTAGGTGTGATAGGCTCTGTCTTGTCCACTTTGCGTTGTCATAGTCTCTGCAGGACATTCATCCATCGACTGCCACGGAGGATTCTCCGGACCAATGGATGGTTGGTAAGGATGGCTTGCCATGGGCGCTTGCGTGAGGGGTAGGGGATCCGAGGAGCGAAGATGGGCAGCCACAGTTGCCAAGGCGTACAAGCTTCTAAATTCTCCCGTGTAAAGTAAGAATGTGGAAGATAATGCTGTGGGAGGTTGAACCAGATAGCCCAGCGCCACACCCATAAATGGGTTTTACAATGTTCCATCCGAGCTAGTTGACTTCAAGAGTATGCTTACTAAAGTCCCCTACCCTAACTAACGTATCTCACACAAGCGAGTGACACAAGGCCATGCGCTGCCCCAACTCAGTTGCTTGCGGCAAATGCGCCAGGCCACACCGGACAGCGGAATGCGTCTCTGAGGTGTCAAAATGCGCTGTCTGTGGATGGAACCATCCGGTCACGCACCCGGACTGCATTGAGTGGAAGGGAGGATCAAACCACCTCCGGCCCTGCGGTAACCAACTTGTATGTCAATCTGTCTTGGGATTTTGGGATTTTGTGAGAGGTGAAAGTAGCTGGTAGGAATGATGTTAATATAGCTTGTTGGTCGATTTCTATTAGAATTGTGTGAAAGTTGACCTGGGCTGATACTGATGTGGTGTTGGTAATAGGAGATATGAACGTCAGCTCTGGCCAACACAGGCTATCATTGTTGGGAACGCGCATGCCGACATACTACCGCTCCGGAACCTAACACAGTTTATTGACTATACAGCACTATCCCATTTCAGAGGTGATCCAAGCCAAAAGAAGTGGAACAATTCTGCACCACGCATAATAAATACGACCAACAGTTGAAAGAGCTCCGCTATGACTCCTTATTTCAAGGCGCAATTACAGTGACCAGCGAACTCAGCAAGCAGTATATTTGGATTTATGCAATCTGCATTATCCAACAAGATCAGGAAGACTGGAAGAAGGAAGGTATAAGAATGGAAGAAGTGTTCGCCTCTGCATCCTGCACAATCGCCGCTTGTTCCGCAACCGATTGGAACTGCGGAACTCTATGGCTACCAGTGAGTCCCCTCCATGGGCCGCAATCGATTTACCAAGATCCACATCTCCTGTAGCGACCCCAAGGATGCTCACAACTTGCTGTATGAGACCCGCAGTAATCGCAGTCTCGTTCCTCTGGGGGTCTGGAAACGGGACAGAGCCATGCAGAGGGGCTGACGGCAGTAACGCTCTACCTGAGCATACAATACCGGAAGCCCGCCCTAACCGACTCGTCTACGTTCTCAAGGCAAGGGCAATAAAAGTCGATTGAAATGCAGCCTAGGTGGAGGGTCGGCTGCAAATCTTGTACGACAAATACGTCACAAACCGGTCGTGGTGGAGGGTCGTGGCCACTATCTGCAGGCAGCCACCACCCATCCGCGGCCTGTACTCGCCCATCTAAGTGCTTTTGGCATCCGGAAATAACTGGGCCAAGATATGCAAGTTCTGGTATTAACCTTTTATTGTTGGGTGACTTGCAGAAGACCGTTCACGTTGAACTAGCCACTGACGCACGAATGGACTGCCCCTATCTGTGTTGTGTTACTGGCCGCTCTTGCACAATTTCACGAAGTCCCATAACGCCCAGAATGCATATATGAAGCCCCCCCTACCTTTCATGTGGACGCATCTTTCCCTAGACGTACGTACCTTGCCATCCCCGTCATGACACCCCGATCGTCGGCCTCGGTTGTGATCACAGGCTGTAGTAGCGGGGACATTAGTCATGCCCTCGCGGCAAGGTTTTATCAAGAGGGATTGATAATTTTCGCCTCGAGCCGCACGATCTCTAAGGTAGAAGAGCTATTTACTATGCCTTATATCACGCTGGTGCAATTGGACGTAGCCAGTCTGTCTAGTGTTAAGGTGGCTGTTGCGGTGGTAGAGAAAGATATAGAAGGCCGATTTAACTATCTTATAAATAGTGCAGAGGCTTTTCTTTACTCACTGTTACTTGATATTCCTCTTAACGAAGCTAAATGTCTCTTTAACACTAATTTATGGGGTATCTTGGCCTACTCTAAGTATTTTCACCTCTTTTGGTCCGCGTCAATGAGAGTATTATCAACATCAGCTCTATAGGGGCTGTATGAACATTCCCTGGCTCGGGATCTACGCGGAGGCAACGTTGAATAAGCTGGGAGAGACACTACGACTAGAGTTACCACTCTTCCACGTGGGCGTGCTCACCGTTATCGCCGGGACCGTTAACACAAACATCTTCGATAACGCTTCTAGCGTAGCTCTGCCGGCTGGTTCGGTTTACCACCCCTCCCTCGATAGTATTGAGAGACAGAAGGAGTAGAAGTCAAATGAGGATCTGTTACGCTATGGATTCCTGCTAACCAGTTCGTTCGTAAGGTGGCCACTGATGTTCTTAATGGCAAGTGCGGCAAAACCTGGCGAGGATAGGAGATAAGGGGCCGGCACTCCAGCACAGTCGGGGAAATTGAGGTTGTCAGGGTTCCGAAACTCGTGGGGATATTCGGCGCCTATTACCCAGAAGGAAGGCCAAAATAGTCAGAACAGCGAGCCGCAGGGCAATGGTACACCACTCAAACTCACCATTGGTATTTATGTCGCTGCCGGTTCCGGTTAGGTCGTAGCTCTGAGCAGCTTGGAAGACGCTGGCTTTGATCAGACGAGCTGGAGGGATTTACGTCTGTCGACACCCGTGTAAGCTTTTGCTTGATTTAAGGATAGAAAAAGGAAGAACCAGGCTTCCCTCCATAGATACAGTCTGCGCTCTGACGCTTTAGAACAGTACTAGGGCCCTTAGTGAAGGATCGTTTGCAGCAGGCAGAGGAGTAGCATAGACAGTGAGACCACCAAGAACAACGGAGGCCAGGATAGCAGTTGAGAAGTACATGATTCGTAGGCTTGAATAGAAGGTTAGGAAAGCAGATTGTTAGCAGTCGGGTATATCAGCTCGTGCCCTAGATAACGGCAGTACATATAATTTTGGCTAGGAGCTTTTTAATAGATAGTCACGACCAAAATTGAGGTTTAGGATACGACGCTTAATGGGTGAATGATACAGAGACTGTCCACTTGAAGTCAAATTCAACCGAGGTATTGAGCGAGCGAAATGTATGCAGAGGGAGGCATAAATTCACCGCTCGTATACATCTTTAGTGCTGCTGCACCCGGGTACGCTTACACGTAGCTCTGAACAGGACGCAGTGGCACCGAGGTGCATATATCTACGTACCCATGACCCATGCCCACTACACTCCACGCGAGAGCTCTGCCCTGATATCATCTAAACTTTTCTTCTGCTTGCCATCCTCACCGAAGTTCGTCGGCTGCAACCAGAGCTCCAAGGATCGTTTGATCTGCTTTCCCTCCCATTCATCCTTCAACATGGAGAACCACGCAGTATCCCAGTTCCGGCCCTTCCAGATCTCGTGTTGCCGGAAGACGCCCTCGAACACAAATCCGAACCGTTCCGCTGCCCGGCGAGATCGCTGATTGAGCGCGTTCGCTCTCCACTCCACTCGGCGATAGCCCAGTGTATCAAATGCGTGGTGGAGAAGAAGAAAGACGGTCTCAGTCGCCGCCGTGGATCGCTGCATCGCCGGCGACCACAGCACATGTCCGATTTCCAGCCGGAGATGCTCTGGCTCGATACACATGAGCGCGACGTATCCCACAACCTTGGCCGCTAAGCTTTCGGCGCTTCCCGCATCATCTTCTGATCGCGCGACCACGGCGAAGAAGAGCGGGTCGGGTGACTCGGACTTGGCTACGACGGCGTGACGGAACGCAACCGGGTCGGGATATGGCCCGTCCAACATGTATGTCCAGAGAGCAGCATTCGGGTCTTCGGCCCCACCTACGTTGGCAAATAACGAGTCGGCATGGTCTGGGGCGAGGTGAACCAATGATACCGTGCGTCCTATGATTGTCGTTGAAGCCGTCGGACGGCGAGCCGGGGGTAGTGTGACGGGAGCACCCAGTTGCGGTGCCATATTGGGAGTGAATGAGCTTTACGTGGAAGGCCTTTGTTGAAAGATGAATGGCTTGAACTCCTGTGAAATGGTTTCCTTCTTCACTCAGGTGGTTTTGGGTGGAATCTGAGGGAGGACCGAAAGCTTTGACCGGCGGGTTTATGAAGGTGGGATACTGCTACCCCGCATGCTGTACCACTCATTCCCTAACTCGAGCTGCATAGGCACTGGAGGCGATTGACGTGTCAAACCCTGTCTCGTCCTTCACACAGAAGATATGCATAACTCGTGGTCACCTGATTGAAAGTACAAAGGACATACAGCTGCACCTTTGGGCCACTCAGTAAGAGGTAGTTCTTGACTCCTACCACCTCCATGGACTTTAAACATATCGACAAGGCTTGAAAAGCTAGCGCAACATCTTGTTCATTAATGACTCCAAGATCGGGGCAGACTATACGGGGCATAGGAGGGTAATATTGCATGGTGGGTGTGAAGAGGGAGGTACCCTCGTTGAGAGCGATGATTTTGTCAATACCTTACAACATTCCACTGAGATATGTTGCTGCCTATGTGGCAACGACAAGCTGCCCAGGTCACTTATCATTTGTATTATGTCTGTAGGGTTGTCTATAGTTTGAATCGACCACCTGTGGCATCTCAATAGTCAAGAAGGACCCTTTATGAGAGGTTACCGGATGTAATGCTGTCCTTGGGTCCTTCGGAGCCTTCAAGCAAAGTAGGAATGCACCTATAATGCCTCTAGAAGGCTGTCTACCATAAAAGAGCTAGTAGAAGTCTTAGGGATAGCAACAGGATGATCAGGGCTAGTTTAAGCATCATGTTAAATGGTTTTGGAGGTGAATGTCACGTCAACTGAAGGCTAGTTATAGATCCGAAAGTTGACTATGTACGAAGGGGATTTCGCCGTTGCAAATAGACTTTGATGAGACGATCTACGCCCAGGAAGATTAGGGAAAAGGCACCACTGCTCTCCTTGACCGTGTGGAGGAAAATTGGGCCCAGTAAGTTACAATATCGCAAGTCTCTTTCTCTTTGCTTCCTGCTGAATCACTTTCCTTACTCCGAAAGCATCCAGATTCTGTGCTTTTCTTTGGGAGGGTCCGCAAGAGGAGCTTACAGGCTTATCAGGTGTGATCCTGTATAATTTCCTAGTCTGGGTCCTTAATCTACAATGTCGAAAGAATGGAAGATATTTACCAGGTATTAAATACAAGAGCTTCTTGGATACTTTCTGGAAGGTATTCTGCCTGGTATATAAAGATAAAACTTCTAATAAGATTGGGAAGCAGGTAAATTAATAAATATATTAAGTATAGGTAGTCCTTTTCTTGCTATATAGCTTAAACTTAATATTTAGTGCTTTATCTTTATATAAATCTTGCTATCTTGCTAACCTAGCCTGATTAACTAGGTGATATAATAATTAGCCAAGAAACACAAGCTGTCTCTTAAGGGACGCGATAAACTTCCCGTGGATATTGAGAACTTGGTGAAGATTATAGAAACTACCATTAGCATAACTTTTCTATGTACGGTGCAAGGCTTTCGTGTACTATTTCAGTACTCCTGACAATTGTTACATAACTCCAGCTAACTTTGATGCATCGGACCTACTGTCTTTTCCGGGCGCCGTATTTGCCAGCCCTGAATAATAGAACCCTATTATTCGATCTGGATATATGCAATCACCGCTAGGTATAATCTCTATATCTAGCATTAGCGAAATCCTTCTGAAGACGAGCATCTTCTTCCGCCTTCTTTAGCATACAAAATCCACAGAGGCAGAAATCTAGCATTTGATCTCATTCCCTGATCCTTATGGCGACCTCCGTTTGTTTTTGTATTTTCCCGATTTATCTAAGTCCGAGGCATATAAAAGCCACAAACACGCGGTTGTGATGGGACCGCGAAATGATAGTCATTATGTTAGTAATTATGGCCCATGCTTCAACCCCTCAGAGGACTCTATTTCGCCTAGAATAGTTACTTTGCTTAGGGGATGTAGCTTTTCCATTCGATTGGCGGATATATCTAACAAGGGGCATGCGACCGGTGGCAGAGTAGCTCACTATCTTCCCCCTTCATCACACAGCTCGGCCGTAGGTTGTTGATAGAGGTTCCTTTAGAATAACCAAGCTAATTTGCTCGTTATACCTTGGTGACTTAGGAACACCTAGGATCAAGGGAAGCATGATAATCTCCGGGTTGTGTGCATTGGAATAATTGTGTGCGCATAAGCGGGTATACATACAAATAGAAAGTGACTATATACAACATCAAAAAAATTGACATCCAAAGTAGGGAATACAATCGACTTAAGTCAAACGGCAGGATTCTCATCACTTTCGTTCATGGCCACTAGTTGATACTCGCTTGAGCTGAACCTGTATCGTGTGAAGACCTTACAACAGCAACAACACCGATATAGACCAGCCAGCAGGCCGCCGCCACTGATAGCCATAGCAAGGCCCAGGATCCAATTGTGCAGGTCAAGGAGTTCTTCCAGATCCGCTCCGTGCTCTTTCTGAAGTATATCGGTAACGCCGAGCACATTTTCTCCTGAATCGAGTGCTGCGAGCCGGAATAAAGGGCCTAGATCCTTTGGAATCTCAATTTCTGTCTCGAATCCGGTCTTCTCATATTGGGCCACCACCCCAAATGAGGAATCGTTCAAATCGTCCGAGTTCCACACTTCTACTCTCCATGCTGTGACTTCAGTTGCACCGTTCCAGCTGGCATACACTTTCTCATCGTCAACCTCGGCGTCTGGCGTTGTTTGCGGGCGTCCAACCCAGTCACCCTTGAAGACCCGATATGACACGACCCGTCCGAAGGTGAAGAAGGCAGATGCACCGTAATGAACATTGCAGAGTAACCGCCCGTCCGCGGTAAATTCGCTGAAAGCAGCACTGTGGCCCCAGCCCACTACAACTCGACCGGCTTCGTCCAACATCTGCACATTGCCCTGCGACACAGACTTCATGCGTTGGGGATGGTAGTATGCCCCTAGCAATTTTGCCTGGCGAGACGATATGTCAAGTTGAATAGACATCCCGCGGCTTTCTGTCGCCGGATCCTTGTTCGAGTGGACCGCATTGTCGAACAGGGTCAAGGTGTTGTTCGCGTGCCAGCGCGCATCATGCTGCCAGGCGAAATTGGTTGCTTCACCATTAGAGAGATCGACAAAATCATTCATTTTGCCGCCTAGCGTCCACAGCAGAGATCCAGACTTTGGATCAATACAGCTGATGGAATGAGTATGTCTTGCGGAAATGATGAAATTCCCCTGGTCATCCTTATCGACGCTGTTGATGTGGAAGTAGTCAAATGCGGAGGCGCGGTCCTTGCCTGCCCCGACTAAGGGCTCGTAGGTACTGCTGACTGGGTAGTGTTTCGACGCGCGCCATTCGAAGAGCAATTCACCCGTCTCGACGTCAATCTCCTGGAAGACTCCGTCGAATATCCAGCCTAACTCCGGGCCTCCGACTGTTGTTAGATCTGCGGGAGTTGGGTCATAGATAGTTACGAGGGCTGTTCCTTGTTCGGTTAAGGTAAATTCGTGTAGGTCGCCGCCGTAATTTCCCACAGGGTTGATCACGTATCGCTGGGTGTAAGTGGAATCGAGCTTGAGATGGTCAGTCGCGTTCGTATCCTCCTATCCGAGATGTTACTTACCATGTACCACGACCCATAGCCACGACTTTCGATTTCGCGGCCTTCCCAATATGTTAAGAAATATTCGCCTTTGTACTTCTGCATTTTGAAGTCCTGTGTCGTCTCCCAATTATACTTCATCCAGACCAGGTTTCCTTGAGCATCGAGGATCATAGGTCCCTCCTGAGGTACTGAATCCCCCCGAGGCGCAAGGAAAGTGTATCCGGGATCACATCCTGAAGCCGATTCAGTGATTTCGACGAGGGGCGATTGATAGTTGAAGGAAACGTAGCCTCTTGAAGGACCGAAGCCATACAACCCTAGGTCATATTGGCTCAAGTCGGTGCGAAAGCGAAAGCGCAAGATCTGCGGTACCGCGAAGACATAGAAAAGGTAGAGGATACTGATGATCACTCCAACCGTAGCGACATGGACCAGCCTCAACCACGAGTGACGGGCCTTTGTAGGAGTCCAAGCCCAAGAGGACATTGGGACATGACGGACGGGGCGCAGAATGTCCAGGTTGATGGGAAAAGGAATGTTGGACAGCGAGTCGTGGGAAAGTATATTAACCCTTTCCAATGAACGTCCATGCTCCCGTTCACTTAGAAGTTAGGACTCAGGGGACAATGCATTCCCCACGCAAGACCCAGATGAAATGCCAAGATGTCCCATTCACGCGTCAAACAGCATGGTTTCATGTTCGATATCCATTGCAGCGGAGTCAAAGAAGAAGATGATGCAACGTAATTCGACCTCGTGGATGTTCTCCGGAGCTTGCCAAGAAAGCCCACAGTGGACCCGCCGATAGACGAGCTCTTGAGCGACGTCAGCCATGAGTGGTCTGTTAAAGATTTAGCCAGTTGGGGAATTGGTTCTCCACTGCGAGTGCGTACGGGGTTGACTCCCGGCAAATACTCGGTACGTGGCAGACAACTCGACAGGTTCCTGACAAGAGTGGTGTACTTTTCCCACTAGGTACCGAGGCAGGCAGCCTATTGAGACCATATACTGCACGTATCAGTGGCTGACTATTGCTTGTTGAAGGGATAAACTGGAACTCTGCTCGGAATCAGCGACACGTCGTCGATATTGTCACCACTCTATCAATGGAGTACATGTACGCCACAAGCCAGCCGTCCCGTCTTTCGCACTGGGGCTTTACCTATCCTACTTTATCTAGGCTCCACCATTTGAGTGAATGTGGAGAGTAGATTCAAAACTATCGTAAGGAAGGGAAAGGATGTACTCTGGTCTCCTATTCAGCTAGTAGCAAACGTTGTGAGTGAGTTGTCCTGATTTTCTTCGTCCACGCATTCTCGAAGTTCAGGAGCTCAATTGATCGGCGCAGCAACGCCCCCTTCTCCACTCTTATACCCGAATTGCCCTAATTATATACGGAAATATTCGCATTGCTCGGCAAACAGTACTGAATTGAGTTATCTAGCTTGGCAAAAGTAAGGATTCATATCCATGACAGTGGTAAACAGCTCGTACAGTTTCTCTCCTTGCGGGATAAAATTCAATCATTCGCTGTTGGTGTCACAGTGTCAATTTTTAACTAACTTGGTTCGTGCTCGGTCAGGATTTAACCGTTCTTTTAACGCAGGCCACTCATGCATCTCAGGCGGAGATAACTCAATTCCACTTTGAACCAATGATTGCTAGGAAAGCAAGAACACCATATGCATATGTGACGAGCCCATGTGGAAGCACAGATTGAAGCTGTGCTTTGTTGCCGAGTATTGGTAATAGGGTGTCCAGGCTACCTTGTGGTAGGAGCAGCTTTGATTTTTCCCAAGTTCATATCTCGTGCTTATATCGGATGATTATAAGGAACTTTGACGGGAAAATCGAATCGTCTTTACCCTACTTAAGTCCTATACTCGTTTCTCATATTCTTGAGGGGATAGCTTGTTTCCGGAGATGAGTACGGTGCCATTGATTGTTTAGCTCCTGTTGTATCTCTTACATCAACAGGTTTTCGCAAATGTTCGTATGTTGTTTTTAATATCTACTATCTTATGCCAATTTAGTGAGCTGAGCCATCCGATGAACACAATGATAAGGAATCATAACCAACTCACTCGCAATCTGCCTCCATTAATCGCAGCAAGTCCCCCTGAACATGCCCCCTTCCCATGAGAACCTCAACCAGCCTCACTGCGGGCCCATCCTAGATCCGCTCATCACTCAAAACAGCATCCAAATCTCTCCAGCTCCTTGCAACGAAATAATTTCCCACAGCATGGCCTTCCTCCCCCCAAAACGGCCATAATGCCCTCTCATGTCTTCAAGCAGCAATATCATTGCAATTCCTGTTTCCTCCCATGAATAGTCCCCTCAATAGTATAGCTATCATTATTAATGACGATGACAACAGATTTCAAGTTCTCCCTAATATTAGTGCTTATTTCCGGCACGGACATCTCGAGACTCCCATCGCCGATGAAGAGAATCGCGCGAGTACTGGGGCCATTGGTCCGCTAGCGTTAGGCTAATGTCGGGCCTAGTATCGCGAAGAGCATGTATCCAATTGATAGCCAGGTGGCGGGGCCGAATAGATGGGTGTTTGGAGGTAAGGTAAAGCTGCGGCCGTCGGGGGGCTGCTGTGCCTGTCTCTGTGAGGATGAGCTCCCCGGAGCGGAACAAGGGATTGACAGTGTGGTAGAATTAACTTTGGGTGATGGAGCCGTAGGTGTTATGGTGGATTGTTTTGATGGTTGGTTTAGATGGCCCAGTGGCTTTGGGGATGTGGTTGTGGTCGAGAGTTTGGAGCAGAGGGGGGAGAAAGTTGCTGGACAGGATGTCGTGGTAGATGTCGTTATTAATCTGAATTTAGGTGTGCGAGAAGGCGATTGTCGCGGTTGGATTGGGCAGAGTGGTGAAGCTTTGGCTGTTTGTGTCGCTGTAACGGGGAAGTAGGTTGAGGATTAAGTCTGCCGAGTCAAGCTATTATTTCCATTGAGAATCGCCTAGTGAACCGGTGTATATGCTACACACTCAGGAGTTGTTCGTTGACCAGGCTTTTGCCGAAGATTGTTGTCCAGGTGGGCCATTCTTTTGTCTTCACTAGGATATCAAAATGGCCCAAGATACTCATGGGTCGGCTTTCTCCATCCACTAGTACTAACGGTCGTTCAGCTGTATATATACTTTGTAGGATGCGGTCTGACACAACAAGTTACTGTCCAGTAGCCGGAGCAAAGGGCATGCATATCATTGAGGTCAAGTTTGATCTCTCCACAAGGACATCTACCATGTCATCTGGAACTTGTAAGAATACAGGTCGACTACGAATTAGCGCTTCTTGCAACACCCAGTCGAGCTGATCGGGTACCAGCCAGGGGTCTTTCAAATCCACCTGTGCCACCGTCCCATGGGAAGCCATGTTAGCAAATCGTCAGTACTCCCCGCCTGCAAGGGTATGGTACACTAGAGCCCGAGGCTCTTGGGGCTTCCGTCCAGATGTGCAAGCAATGTGAATGATAGGTGCCTTTTCAGTATAAGCACCCGCAATGCCGTTGATAGCGGATAATTCTCTGACACCGAACGTCGTGACGAGAGTAGAGAGGCCATCGACCCGTACATATCCATCCGCAGCATAGGCAGCATTCAGCTCATTGCAGTTGCCTCTCCAGGTAAGGCTAGATGGCTCAATATAGTCGAGTAATCGGAGATTGTAGTCGCCTGGCACACCGAAGATGTCTAGTTGATGCAAACGGAAGAAGATATAATCGGCTAATTTGTTAGACATATTTGTAGAGAAAAAAATATGCAAGAGCTGAATTGCAGATAGGACTTGGACGCTGCTATTGTAAGCATTGCTTGAGATCGATGGCTTTTATATCGGTCTAGGGTTAGCTAAATTGCTTGCTTATCTCTTCAGACAGAACCAAGATTAATTCGCTAAGACTCCGATCCGATTACGGCTCAGCAGATTTTCTTTCCCATGCCCACACATCACTCTTTGGCCGGCAAAAAGTGTAAACCTGGCCCTGGCAGGGCCCTTTGTGGAGCAGTGTGCTCAGACAATGAATCAGCCGCAGCCGCTCCTCTCTGATGAAGACTGGTACCGCATATGCACAACAGTTGCTAGAGAACTCGACGCGACCACTACAGTTCGACCGGACATCTGATCTGGCCAGTTTCTCAACCTAGCTCATGCATCGAAATGCATGATGGGAAACAATCGGCATCTTTTTTTTCGGCTGTCTGTCGGGCTAGTATCGATGTACCATTCTTCCCTTCACTATATTTATCCGAGAAAAAAGCGATAGGCCCTCGGGAAATTTGCCACAAAGCTTAGTGATTACGCCTTAGAAGTATCTCTTTCACTAGACTGCCTGAATTATTTGCAGCTTATATTTCAGTACGAGAACTTCAGTGCTCGTTCGAACGTAAGTGGCGATCAGAGTAAGTGAATCAGTCCCTAAAGTTACATGACCCAGAATTGGCGGAACAGGTTACAGCTCATGGAGAATGCTGGAAGGTCCAAATTGTATCTACCTTTGCATTGGGGTGCCATGAGTATATTAAAAAACAAACCGGAAATCCTCCCCCCTTCCTGGTAAAGCCACGCAAACTGGCGTCTGAACGACTTTACTCGGCGGACAAGAACATAGCCATCTTTCTCGGGCGACCAGCCGAATGAGCGAGCGTTTCTGTCAATTCTACCTTACTTCAACTTAGATAGATTTCGATAGCGAGGATCCTGGACATATAACAACCACGCTTAGAGTGTTTGAAGATACGAAGGCCAGCTATAAGGCTGAGACGTGTTAGACTGCACTGTGCGCGTCACTAAAAGAGGAATTATGGAAATGTTTTGCGATAATCGAAGAGAGACATTCGTCGAAAGAGCCAGGTATATTCACACGGAAGTGGTGAAACGAAGAGGGTTGACGGTAGCAACGTTATACAAGTAAAAGCTGAGGCTTACTAGGAGGCACTTCCACCCCATTTCCGGCTAGAGAGAAGTTTGAAGCAGTGTCCGCGAAACCCATTCGAGCGGGACTTCGTCGCTGCTGTGCGTCTCAATCATTTACATGTCTTGTTCCTCTTTCGTCTCCTCCCCCACCACTCCAGCTGAGCCCGACATGTCCATAGCAGAAGTAGCACAGCAAATGTTGTCTCTTCTTGTAGAAATCATCCTTCTTCAAGACCAACTTGTCAACTCTGGGACTGGACTGGTTTGGAAGGTAAGCATGGCCTAATGATTACATCGGATCTATACTGAACTTCAAGTAGGTTACATACTACGGCCGCCCAGCAGTAGGAATGGTGCTTCTAGCAATGCTGTGACACCAAAATATTCCCATCCGGCGCGAATATCTTGGACCCGAACAGTCCAGGACTTGACCGTGTTTGTGGCGGAAATTGCGGCCGGGACCTTTATCAAGCAGGGAGATCCCGCTTATCCGTTACCTTCCAAAATCTCACAAACAATTAGGAGGTTTCTTGACTCCGTGTAGATGAGAGTTAAACCGGCTTTCTTTGGCAGGATCCCTGGGACTTTGAGGTTTCATTTTGGGAAAATCTAGCGGATCGTCCATCTTTAGATCCTTTATCTGCTCTCTGGATTCTCATCAACTAATTCAATGGAAAATTAAGTGTGGCCTTAATTCTTAAGGCTCTTAAGGTATTCGACCGCTACGTTATATATTCGTTCCTGGGGAATCGATCGGGCTTTAGGGCATCACAACCAAAAAATGCGGAACAATCGGACTTAGGGTTAAGGTCCAATTATAGGACTATTCGATTTTTCTGCATAATTTATATACCCTTTTTCCTCATATTCTAATCGCATTAGGCAATATAATCTTCGATATGCTATCCTTTGTTACTAATCGTTAAAACTTGTGGTCTTCGTAATTGAGATAGAACCTTTCCGGGTCAAAGTGAGCTAACAAAACGAAGTTTATAACACTAGCATCTAGCACCACTGTTAACAAACCAAACTAGGAACTACTACGTATAATATAACACATGGTAGAGCTTGGAGGATTGAGATGAGATGCGTGTGAAGATTAATAATGTCCGTTAGTTAACAAACTAAGGGGTGGGGGCCATGGAATTACAAATTGGTCCATGGACTTAATTGAGGCTATTATTTTCTTAATTTCATAGCTAGACTAGTTGATGATGTGAACAGTATTCGGTCCTCGCACGACCGTTATGTACTACAATTGTATACGTGATATTTTATAGTGCATTTATGTTATATCAATATGTATACATCTGTAAGCAATTAAAGTGCATTATGAACCCAGTAGATCTAAAATGGCAAAAGAGTCCATCCAGATTTGGGAGAAGGAATGTCATCCCAGGCAATATAAACCAACATGTTGCTTCAGAGCCCCCCACATGGATGGATCCCTACTATCTTAGCCAACCAAACTCGTGTGTTGAGATGGTCAAGTCTGGCCCCCAAGCGCAAGGCAAGACGATTGTTTTCCTCCCACAACCTTCAACTACTGCCCTTCCTACCCCCTTAGGTCAGTACCGTACCATGAAGATGATCAGGGCTGCGCAAGACAAACGAAAACGAATATTCAGCCGAAAATCCAAAACAGGTTGCCGGACCTGTCGGTATGTGAAAATAGCAGTAGCACTCTTCGCTATGCAAGCCTGGCCAATTAACAATTACGGTAATCCATAGAACACGCCGTATCAAATGCGATGAGACCCCCGGAACGTGTCGGAACTGCTCATCCACCGGCCGGATCTGCGCATATGATGCTCAACGACTTCCCCGGACCAGACTCCTGGGCGGAAGGCCACCGCCTATCCCGCCGATGCTGCTAACTCGAACCCTCCCCGCCGGATTCTGGTGGGGGATGACATCCGACGAGCGTCGGTGCTACTCATTCTTCCAGCATCGGACATGTAAGGCAGTGATTGGGTACTTCGACTCCGACATGTGGGAGAGGCTTGTCCTGCAGGTCAGCCAGACGGAGCAGGCTGTCTACCACGCCGTGATTGCCTTCGGCGCAACCCATGCGGACTTCGAAGCTCGGGGAATGCCCCCGGCTTTAGATGATATGAGCGGGGCATGGCATCGATTTGCTATTGATCAAGGGGCAAGGTCATACGCGCATCTGAATGCGCGCTCTGCCTCGCATGATCCAAAGCTCCGGGAGGTCATCCTTGTGTGCTGTGTGCTTTTTGTGATCTCAGAGCTGGTGCGCGGCCAATTTGATCTTGCACTCACACATCTTAAGAATGGCTTACGAATCTTAAAGGACACTGTTGAGCAGTTCCACGCATTTGGCTGTACTGTAGACCGGTGTTTGCTTGGCGCATTTGCCCACCTAAACGAACAGGCTGTTTTCTTCGGTGCAGAGGCCCTGTATTCCCTCATGAAGCCTGAGCCAGCGCAACCGCCACCACCGCCAGGCGAGGGCGGGCTGGGGTTTCGGAGTCTTCCCGAGTCACGGACAGCGTTATTGACTTTGCTGAATGGGCTGGCGCAGGAATACAGCAGTAGTTCCGCGTTTTCACAGGCAAAAAACGGAACCAGTGACGCAGCCCTCACGCATTGGCAGTTCAATGCTAGTCTCAAGATAAGAAAGTTTTCGCAAATGTTCGAGCTGTTTCACAGGAGAGCCCATGAGCGTAATAATAGAGAGCAAAGAGGCATCGACCTATTCTATATGCATATACTGTCGCTCTCGGTGTCCTTCGAGAGAAAGATTTACGATCGCACAGGAGGACTTTTAGAATACGATACACCCATATTCGAAAGGCTAGTTTCGCTAGCGGAAGCCTTTATCGATAGCTTTCACGGTCCCGATCGTCCTGGTCTTCTCTTAGGTTTGGGAGTTATTGCCCCTTTATTCTACGTCGCCACCAGGTGCCGCCAGAATGATCTACGGTGGAGAGCTATTCGAGCGCTTCATTCTTGGCCACATCGGGAAGGGCCGTGGAGTTCCGACATGGCCGCAAGTATCGCAGTTGAAATCATAGCAGCCGAGAAGAATGTTTTGCAGACAACGCTGCCCGTCGCAGATCCAGGTGGGTTCGTCAAAGCAGGTCAATCGTCTCCAGATCTACAGCTCGACCACACTACGGCGATAGAGAATGCAGTGGAAGGAATTCCCCACCAGGGACCGTGTATGCCCGAACAGGTTCGTTTTGAGCAGTCGAATATCCAAAAGAATAGTCAATCATGGGACTTACGTAGTTGTCAGGACAGACCGTACTGGACTGGGTCTGTGGAGGCAAGACAGGGATCCTTAAGCTTTATGGATGCCGCTGTGCGTGGTCCAAGTATGCCGGTGCTTGCTGAACGCGAAGCTTGCAGCTACCTGCCCAATATCTTTCACACAGCCCCTTTCGCTTTTTTGCGTTTACACGCCGCAGCCCCGGTTAGACCATTCGCTACTCGACATCCACGTTTACATGAAGTGCGAGCCCAGATTGACGCCGCGGATCTTAGATGTTCCTACGTTGGTGAGGGTGAATGAAATCTGGCTTTGCTCAGTAGGAAGCGTTGCTAGAGCTAGTGGGACGCCTCCGGAGAGGGCGATCAGAGATTGCGTTCCCATCTTGGCCGGATTTTAGTGGCTAGTGATTGATTCCAAGAAGGTAAAAATTTCGCAGGCGACGCAGACCCAGATATATGATACTGCGACGTCAGATCGGCCCCATTTTTTGTACCCCTGCACTCGATTTGGCCCTCCCTTCAGCCTGGATATCTGTGGCGTGATGCCTTGCGTGCTTACAATATTACCCGACGGCAGGTGTCGATCATTATCCCAGGGCGCATCCTTGACCGACTTGAATTAATAGTTCAATTGAGGAAGCCCTACTGTATCTGAAACGTACTACTCCGGAAGTAGAAAATCATCTTTGGGTTGCTGGCATCAGAGTTGACCCACGTAGTTGATTTCCGATCTGCATGTCTTTGCATTGATAATTTTTGCGGTGTACTGACACGAGCTTTTTACACCTCTCGTCTTCACCTTTTTTGTTCCCTTTATAGCTATGACACATACATTGCTGTTAATCTTGGAGAAATTTTGTAAATATTTCCTGATCTGCTGTAGGGTTGTCAATCGAGTACTAATCCGAATATATATTTTTATATAGCCATGCACATATCTCACCAACAGTGCAGAACGCCTGACAGACAAATTTGAAGAACTCAAAGTTGTACAAAACTCCCAAGAGGTAATCGCTTACGTATTAAGATAGATACAAAATGCAACGATGCCTGTAATATGTCTCTTATGTCACTACACTTAAGTAAATAAAGAACATAAATCAGGCATCGGATCATATGCAAGGAGGCGAGATGAGATATCATGAGAAAGAACCTATAGCTCCAAGGAGTAAGATTTCGATTATTTCATACTCATCTTGCTGCTGAGAAGATAGCCGTGGTTTGAGGAGGTGCGCCTCTTGGTATTAGGGATTATGGTTGGATTTGGGTGGTGGGGAATATTGATGGTAGACGCCAACGCCTTTAAGCTCACCCATTGTTAAGGCCACTTAGTCTTCGGTAGGTGGGGCTTAAATTAAGAAATACTAGTAGATTCAGGACACCACCGAGTACCTTCAAAGTGCAGGGTCATATCTCTTCAGCTCGGTGAAAGCTAAGGTGGAGCGTTTCTTATCATCTCCACATTGTCCGATGCAGGTACGGGCCTTAGTCGGGGATGTGCAGAATCGTGCAGTAGGAACAGGAACTTGACCAACACGATCGTTTATCAATCAAGGGAACTCGACTACAGAAATAAAACAGGGTGATGCGGTCGGGTATCAGATATCCCGCGATCCCGCAAGGTCAAAGCCATGCAGCACTGGATCATTCCGTCCCAGATTGAGGTACAACCCAGAAATGCAGCATAGCAACTAGGACATCCTACTCCATACGTAGAAATCACCAATTTCCTCGAATAGAATTTGACAGTTGAATTCTGGATTCGATGAAATGATGGACTCTATCAGGTCCTAAGTCTAGCTGATCTCGGTTTAGTTTCAATCTATGGTGAAATAAGGGGTAATCAATATTGGATCCATGAGTCGGAGCTGGAGGTCTGGATTGGCTGACAAACTAAGCCCTAATGCGAGCCTGCATCTCACCATCTTTCTTTAGGAAATTGGTCTGGACAATACAAAAGCAAAAATTAGAGAAAACTATCTGTTTCAGGGAATCAAAAGGGACGATCTCGTGTCCCTGATGCAGAAAATGTCAGAGCACAGATTTGCCCCACTTTCTATCAGCCGGACAGTAATAGTAATAGATAAGTCGAACTGCAGGCACGAATGCCATCAGTCTAGATGCGCCCAGAAGCCACTATAGTCATACAGCCACAGAGCCCCGTAGTCTCGGATATTCTCCGCTCTTGCTTCGTCCATCGAGATTCTACTATCGTGTATCGTCAGCTGAGGGTATAATATATAATATATAAAAGAAGCCATGGCCTGCTTCAGTGGTAAGCCAAATCTTCATATTCCGGGAGACTGAACCCGTCCCTTCTCTTTTTCTTTCCTTGTATTACCATCATCCGACCTAGTCATTCATTTTGTGGGAGATGCGCGACTTTCTCTCCCTTATGGCGTTGGCTGGTATCTTCGCCACAACCTCTGCTGCCGTCATTCCTTCACCCTTCGCAGCAACTTCTTCCAAGGCCCTATTTCCCCGCTCAGCCCCGTCTAACACGACGTCCCGGGTTCAAGTCGAGAATGCTCACCTCCTTGCAGTCAGCGGAACCTGCACCGGACCCGTCAAAAGCTCCCCAAGCACCTACTGGCTCGCCGAACAAGACCACACCGGAGTTCCGCGCGGATATGCCCCCCACGTCTCCAACCCTAACTATCCCGTCTGGCGCAACGTCCTAAACTACGGCGCCCGCAACGACGGCTCCGGCGACCAGACCTCCAGCATACAAAATGCCATAAACGACAACGGTTCCGGCGGCAGCCGCAAAAGCAGCGGCGTGACGCGGTATCCCGCCGAGGTCTTCCTCCCGGGGGGAACGTATCAGCTCGGCAGCACACTGGAACTGCGTGTCGGCACGGTTATCACTGGTGATCCGTTGAACCCACCTGTGCTGAAGGCAGCGGCGGGGTTCAAGGGTGAGTTCTTGGTTATGGGGTATGACTCGGGGAACGGAAATCCCGAGACGAGTTTCATGACCCTCGTTAGGAATGTGGTGCTTGACACTACGGCGCTGTCTCCTGCGAGGGTGATTACAGCGTTGCAGTGGGGGGTTGCGCAGGGGTCCGGGTTGACAAATGTTAGGGTGGAGATGCCGAGTAGTTCAACTGGGCATACAGGGATTTATATTAAGGCTGGTTCGACGATTGCGGTTACTGATGTGGTACGTTGCTGTCTGTTGGTTGGGACAATGGTAATAATGCTGACCGGAGTAGCATATTACTGGTGGTGCAGTGGGTATCAAAAATTCTAACCAGCAGGTTAACTTCAAGAATATCTCGTTCAAGTATTGCACGACTGCGTTTCAAGCGGCAGGGGGCCATACTGCACTGTTGCAGGGTGCAACCTTTGACACCTGTGGTTTTGGCATCGATATGACTGGCAATGGACTCGGTAGTCTGGTCCTCCTTGACTCGTCTTCCGTTAACTCTGGGATTGTTGTCAAGTTCCATGATTCGTCGAACGACGGCGGGAATCGGAATAGTCAGATCCTGATTCAGAATCTCGCACATAATACCAACAATGCTATCGCTATTGATAGCAAGGGGAACGTGAAGCTGGGAGCTGTGTCGCATGTCGACACCTGGGTCTGGGGAAATGTTACCCCTGGCCAGTACGAGAGTGGAACCAGCTTTAGTACCTCGCGTCCGGATATACTGCTTGCGGGTAATAAGTACTTCACAAAAGCGCAGCCAACGTACGCGGAGTACGGCATTGATCAGATCGTCAATGTGAAGGCTGTTAACGGCCACATCGTCAAGGGTGACGGTTCCACCGATGATAGCGCATCCCTGAACGCTATCCTCGCAGACAATGCCGCGAACTGCAAGATCACCTACTTCCCCTACGGAGTGTATATCGTCAAAGATACGCTAGTCATCCCCAAAGGCTCGCGGATTATGGGTGAGGCCTGGCCTGTGATTGCTGGCGCGGGCGATGCGTTCAAAGACTCTAAGAACCCCAAGACAGTTGTGCAGATCGGGCAGCCAGGCGATGTTGGGGTGGCAGAAATTCAGAACATGCGATTCAGCGTTGCAGAAATTCTCCCAGGAGCTAAGATTCTCGAGATCAACATCGCGGGCAGTGCCCCGGGCGATGTGGCTTTATGGAACACTATCGCCACTGTCGGCGGAACAGCGGAGACCACTATTGCCAACAGCTGTACTGATCAGGACACCTCCAAGTGTATGGCCGCCTTCATGGTTCTGCATCTGACCAAGAGCTCTTCCGCGTATATTGAGAACTTCTGGGGCTGGACAGCGGATCATAACCTGGACGGCGGACCGATCACTATCATCTCAACTGGTCGTGGTATCTTGGTGGAGGCCACCCAGGGCACCTGGCTGACAGGTACTGGCTCGGAGCACCACTGGCTGTACAACTACAACTTCCACAAAGCACAAAATGTCTACGCAGGTCTTCTCCAGTCCGAGTCCCCGTACATGCAAGGCAAAGGCGCCACACAGACAGCTCCTGCCCCATGGACGGCTGAGTCGAAGTTTGGCGACCCGGACTTCTCCTGGTGTGACGCCGCGGATCAAAAATGCCGGACCTCACTTGCTACTAACGTAGATGGTGGATCGGATATTCTTCTCTATAACTCGGCCGCATGGGCATTCTTCAATGGGCCCTGGGATGGCACCTATAGCCACCAGTGCGAGGGCTCGTGTCAGACAAACATGATGCGTGTTACGAACTCGCCTAACAACCTGGTTTGGTACTCTATCAACACGCGCAAAACGGATGTCATGGTGTTGGATAACAAGTCAAACCCTATCGAGTACCACCACCCCGGTGGATGGGAGGCAATTATTCAAGCGTACCGGCAGTTTTCTGGTGGTCAGTAGCGGCTGGCTCTACCACCTGTTGTATATAAATATAAGCCCCGTCCTAGATACAATCATATTGAGCTACGAGAAATGGGCGTTATACTGGAACTAGTGTGGGAATACGAGTATCATACCAGCGCCCGAACCACCGGACATCTGGAAGAACAACCATCGTGAAGTACATGTTTCCTTTCCCTGTACTGCCTAAACAGGATTATGGTAATACCACTGCGTCGGCTAGGTTCGTGAACCGCAACGTCCATTAGAGCCCCTAATTCTTCCAACCCTGACGCTAACGAAGGGCTCGCTACCACCGTCACAACCGCCTACCGATATCCTTATCCTGAAGCTGTATTACCGCTGGGCCCTGCAGAGCTTTCTTTCGGCGCTGGTGCACATCCATTCGCGCGCAGTCTTCGTCAGCGACCTTATTGCCCATGTACTCTGGCTCCGGTCCGATTTCTCTATTGCCCCTAGCCGCCTTCTTTACGACAATTATACGTGGCCATGGACTGCAGAGTGTTTTACGGATCCGAGATTCTTCGATGAGCGGTCTGGCGTCGAAAACTGATCTGTTTGACCGAGCTACATGTCATTGGAGAACTATGACGAATGAGAACTGCGCCTCGCCTCCACGATGGCACCGGCCGGGAACACATACGCCGCTAATGCCTCATCTAGGATCCGGACTGTGCACACTGAGAACGGTTTGCCGAGGAGCGCTGGAAGCGGTGAGCATTTCAGCAACTGGTGGATAGGAGGGACTCGATTCGACCATATGTACAGCATGGGTTGGAGGCTATAGCAATGTAAGGGAGGTGGTGACGGACGTCGGGGCTACACTAGAAAGTTTGGGTATTGTAATTGATGGCCAATTGCTCTGGCGAATAGCTCGAGGTGGCAGGATGCGGTGCGGGTCGGGCTGTCTTCATATAGTTGATACGATTTATATCTTCCGTAATCGTAACTCCGCTACCGCTATGTCCGGGGAGATACCCGTCGTTTACACACATCGCCTCGGACAGGTGGCGGTGGGATGACAAACGGTGAAACATTCTCCAGCAAAACCGCTCCGCAAAGTGTGAAATCGGGGTTGCGAACGGTCGTTGCATCTGAGGAGGCGCATTCCCGGGATGGCAGCAACTACGGCGATCAACGAGGGCGAGGAGTCCAAGAGCTTCTGCTATAAAGCGGGTAACAGGAAGCAGTATCTAGAGATATGTACCTGGTCGGAATGCTTCAAGGGCTGTCCGCCAGACAAGCCGCATGCCCTGACCACGGATACACAATCGCCGATGTGGTAGAATCGCCACCGATCCTTTTCTGGGTCACATACCTGGACCAAGGAAGCTTTGCTGTCCCAAGAAGGGTTATTTCCGAAATTGCGCATGGCAGCCGGAGAGGGTCTGCTCCAGCACGTGCCAAACGAACCAGGTCACATTGGACTTTGATCCTTACGGCGAACATAGCGATGGGGATGCCTCATCCTGCGAGTATATAGAGGAAAAAGAGGAAAGAGGGAAGGATAATGATGGATGAAAGAAATTATGTACACAAGTGGGCAGCTTAGTCAGGACGGAAGGGGCCCGGCAGTGATTGGCCGATGCGGGGATGCAGGCGTGCCCAACGTGACCTGGGCGGATGGTTATAAATAATCTCCCAGATATGAAATCCCACTTTCGGGAAAATTCTGTTACTTCGCTTCAATCCACCAAAAAAGAGGAAATCCGTTGATTTTTTATCACCACACACATCTCACCATGTCTGGATCTAAGGTTTACGTCGGGTCAGTTCTTTTGAATGAATTTATTTGTTTAACATAAAAAAAACCATTTATGTCAAACCGTGTGAAATGTTGTCTTACTTATCGAGGTTTTTCCCATGCAAAGAAATCTGTCCTGGGGCACCAATGATGAATCCCTCCGTCAGGCTTTCTCTGAATACGGCCAGGTTGTTGACGCGGTATGTTGAACTTGAATTCCTTGGTTTTATCCCTCTCACTGACTCTTCGAAATAGATCGTCATGAAGGATCGTGAGACCGGTCGCAGCAGAGGTTTCGGCTTCGTCACTTTCAGCAATGACCAGGAGGCCGACACTGCCATCTCTGCCCTCAACGAGCAAGAGTAAGTTCTGCGCACAATCCCTCGCGGCATCAAAGAGAAATCGTCGTTTTTTCTAATATTTTCCACCCCTTAGTCTCGACGGTCGTCGCATCAGAGTCAACCTTGCCAACGCCAGACCCTCCGGTGGCAACCGTGGTTTCGGTGGTGGCTATGGTGGTGGCTACGGCGGTGGCTACAACCAGGGTGGTGGCTACTAAATTTGAAAAGATTGGATTATGAAACGTCGTCGCTTGCATAACATTAACTTCTTATGATAATCGCGGACTGAGGTTTTTTTTTTATTTCTTTTACGTTTTGAAAGGGATGGGAAATGGGAAATGGAGAATGATGTCTTGACATGACTAGGCAGAGATATCCACGCGACAAAAATAATGGTTAATGCCGACCAATTTTGCAGTGCCAATACAATACCCTTCTAGTATCCATGTAAAAAAATTTTTTTTTCACTGATCCTAAGCAAATTCGGAATAATAAGTAACAATAATAATCAGTAACCCCGCCAATTCCATGGCCCCGCCGTGTGACTTCCTGCCCCGCCTCCTTCCACTTCATACCCTCAGGTACTGTGTCCTTCATATATATCCACGGATATATTAATATAAAGACATTATGCATTTCTCTACGGCATTTTCTTACTGACACTTCGCAGTCCTAAGTAGATATTCTTCTTTCACGAGAACAAGGACCTACCTTCGCGTCTATCTGCCCCTTGCAAGGCCTTCACTCGACCGATTTTCTCCACACCCCGACCTCCAGTATCGCTATCCATACCTGCGGTCAATGTCGAGAGTCGACATCGAGTTCAGGAGGATAGAACAAGCGGCTCTCGATGGGGTATCGATGGCAAACCGGCCACGACGCAGATGTCACGATCGTCTCTCCAAAATCGCACCATTGAAATTGGAATATGGACGAAATACTATAAAACCATTGGACTGCGTGACCAAATGCACCTGGAGAATTCACCGTGAGCACAATTGCAAGTGAATGGCCGCAACGGCCATTCAATGGAACACCGCGAATATAGTCCATCTCACCTACGAAGGGGCTGAATCTCCGCCGCGCACCGTGTTGCGCATACAACGGGGATCTCTCACTATTTGGTGGCGAGCCTGAGACTAAGATAGGCAATGGAACACAAATATATGGCGTTTGTCCCGGTGGATCGCATGCTGTGACACATGCTCTCGGCTTTGAAGTTCACATTCTCATTATATACCTTCCAAGAGACTGGGTCGCATCGGAGGGAGTGTCTGCAGGCGATATGTCTCCAACAAAGACAGGAATGAGATACAAAGACTGAACAAGGCCGACCGTTGTGGTGGGTCACACTTCAGTGGAAGTGTTCTTCTGAAAGATGATGGATGACTGAAGCGTCTGACTGTCGCCTTCCGACTATTCAAAGATAAAGTGAAACCTATGTAACCCACACGCATCGGTTGGTCGTGAGATATTGTGGGGATCGATATACCTCGAACGCGTTCGTGTAATAGTCAAATAACGTTGGATCCCTTGGGTTGTTTGAGATGGTACCCAAACGCTTCCGACTCCTGTGTAAATGGTTGTCATGTGTGAAACCGGACGAACCTGACCTGGGTCTATAACGTTAAGTGTCATGCGGGAGCAGAGGACAGGAACTTGAAAGGTGTAAGTCTAATGAGAGACTCCATCCGTCCTACTTGTGCAAGGCTAGCAAGGCGCCGTTTGGTGTAACGCATTATATAGACCCATCCCATTGATTCTTTGTTTATTTTAGGTGATCAGCTACCATGCCCATTATTCTGTCACACGATCTGCCCTTTAGTCTCTTTTTCTGCTTTCGTATGGATCATTTGGTCATTGCAATATATTCCGTAGTTGATGGTGATACTTACATCTTGCCAGACGGTCTAACTCCAGTAATACCGAATCGTTGCCTAGGTATTGCAATACTCGCCTTTTAACCTATTCACGCGGCCTAAGGCCTTACACAAAGTTGGACAATGCATAGACTATCTTCGCCCGGAATATCGAGGCTCTTGGCTTCAGAGCGATTTGGGGCGTACAATTTTATTAGTTGATCTACTGGCGACAAGCCAAACAGATCCCAGTCATTATGTGGAACCCCACCAGCTAGTTGCTCATAAGACCTCGCCAGGCCCCGGAAATGAAGGGGAAATATGTTCATGCATGGTGGTGCAGAACATGGTCTTTTGGAGTAGTCTGTATTCTACCTCTGGGCAGGTATATATCAATCGCCGTCCACACCCGGCTTGGAGTTCCTTTGTCTAAGCCCTTTGGCAGTCTGAGGCTTCAGGGCACTATATTCCATTCTTACGTTCTTTTGAACGTCTTTCCTTTACCCATGTATTTCTTTGCACGGTGCTTTATTACGTTCCTCGTACTCCAGGGAGTACTCGAGGTTGCTGGCAACCCGGTTATGCACAACCCCGGGGAACACAAGAAGGCGTTGCCTCACCGACTACTTTTTGATCATTCTATTGGCAACGGTGTTGCCGAGTGCGGGAAATATGCTGCTACTCCGGGGGCTATCTGTGCTTCTAATGCCTGTTGCTCGTACGTGAAGCATATTGATCTAGTAATACGTAGGTCTAATCTCGGGTACACAGTGAATGGGGCTTTTGTGGAACGACGACTGAGTTCTGTGGTGACGGCTGTCATTTTAACTGTGCTCAGTCAAATGATCAGACTGGGGTGCAGCTGGCGACTACTCAGCAGGGCTATCCGCAAACCACCCTACCAGCGGCCCAAACAAGCGACCGACCAGATACCTGGCCAAGCTCTTCGATTATTTCTCATCCAACTGCTCAGCCCACAGCGGAGTCAAGTGCCTCACCCAGTACTCCACTGAGCGCTCAGCCCACGCCGGACAATCCAGGTGAGAATGTCGGCAAGGTCGTCGCCGGATACTGGGAAGCGTGGAACATGGCCAAGCCCTGTGGTACTATGAAGCCGCAAGAGATCCCTGTTGAGTTGCTCACTCATTTGATCTTTTCATTTGGGTTTGTTGTCCCGGAGACATATCAAATTGAACCCATGCCGGATACCTCAGAAAGCCTGTTCAGACAGGCTACCGATGGCAAGAAGAAGAATCCGAATCTCAAGGTTCTAATTGCTCTTGGGGTAGAATGTCCTATCGTGCTCTGAGTTCCTTGCTGACCGTTCGTAGGGCTGGACACATACCGACCCGGGCATATACCAGAAGGTGTTCACCGATATGGTATCCTCCGCTGCCAACCGCCAAACATTCATCAAGAACCTCCTCAGCTTTCTCACCCGTTACGATTTCGACGGCGTTGACCTTGATTGGGAATATCCCGGTGCAGCAGACCGAGGTGGAAGGCCAACTGACAAGGAGAATTTCACCAAGCTCCTTCAGGAGATGAAACTGGCCTTTCAAAACAGATGCCTGGTCACTTTCGCTGCGCCGATGTCAACTCACCTTTTGCAAAATTATGATCTAAAAGGTGCCTCCGAAGCTGTGGACTGGATCAATGTCATGGCCTATGATATTCACGGTTCATGGGATGAGACTAAGCAAGCTTTGGGGCATACGAACCTGAGCGACGTTAAAAAGGGGTTGGAGATCTTCTTGCGAGCTGGTGTAGCACCTCAGAAACTCGTCCTGGGAACTGCCTTCTACGGTAGGAGCTTTAAAATGGCGAGTAAAGATTGCACAAGACCCGGGTGCTCGTTTATCGGTAACGGGGATAAGGGACGCTGTGCACAGTCTGCAGGTACTTTGTCATATATAGGTATGTGATCATCTTTGCTCGATCATTACCAGGCTAAACGGATTGCGATTAAATAGAGATTAATGATGTTATTGCCAGCGGTACGAAGCCGGTGTTTGACGAGGCTGGTTCTGTGCTGCATCTAACATGGGGTGGTGACAATTGGGTCTCGTAAGTGCAATTATGGCATTTGTTTGGCCTTTGAATCTGTGTTCTAACTTCAAACCACTCCACAGATACGACGATGCCCGAACGATTAAAATCAAGGTCCAATACGCCTATCAAAAGGGACTGAGAGGGGTCATGAGTTGGGCTGTAGATATGGATGACGAGCAAAGGAGCTTGACCAAAGCTTTATCTGGTCGTTGATGGCTTGACTCTATTCTGTTCCGTGCGTTGAAAATTTCTGCTGGTTTTCTTCTCTTTTATCCCATAAATTCTGGTTACTAATTTCAACTCATTCTAGCGCTACGTCACCTGGTGTGAATAGTCGGGTATTGTATAGCTGGCCCATATATACATCCTATACTTCGATATGGACTATTTAACAGTTGGTTCCAAAGCTTGCCATCTGCCCTGGGGCATTCCGGTCCTTACTCTAGACTTAAGTGTATTATGACTTGATCCGCAGACCATGCATAGCCCGTAGTCATCGGTCAACTAGCCTGAATTCCCGCCCAGTCAAACGGCCGGTTTCCGATATCTGACTCTCGGACCGAAAGGTCGTGAGTCTGGACCCGACTACTATCCAACTCCCCTTGATTGAAGAAAATCTCTCGAACCTTGGGCTTAATAATCTTCCCTGAAGCCGTCATAGGCAATTCCAGACCCTTTCTAACGACCCGCAGGACCGTCGGCAGTTTGTACGCATTCATATGTCTCTTGATCGCCAACCATTTGCGCAGAGTAGAGAGGTTCAATTCACTTTCTGCAGATTCACCACTCACAACCACGAGGGCGGCAACCCGTTCACCCACTGAAGAATCCTGAACGCCGACAACGATGGCCTGGGACACAAGCGGGTGCTCAGCAAGCTCACTCTCCACCTCCGGAGCCATCAGCTTCCAGCCAGCAAACCGAATAACTAGGACCATCAATTAGGATATCGTCCCCACGCACAATTGATCATCATGATTCAACATACCATCGTGCGACGCGCGGCCAAAAACATAAACCAAACCCCCTTCGACCTTCCCAACATCCCCAGAATTCCAATACCCATCCTCATCAAAAACACCATCCATAATCCTTGGATCCTCCGAAATGTACCTTTGTGCTATGAATTAGTCATACGGCCCCGAGGAAACAGCAAATCCACAAAATAACTCACCTAGTGAACACCGAAGGACCTCTAATACACAACTCCCCTTCCCCATCAACCCTTACCTCAACATTCTCCCTCACCCGCCCACAACACTCCTAACGTCTTCATCAGCCAAACGCCAGACATAATTGAGGCCAAAAAAAAAAAAAAGCCTTACCGGCGGCATCTCCCCCCAATCATCCCAGTCATTACTAGCCACAAACCCAATAACCTCCGACATCCCATACATAATCATCAACGGCCTCCCACCCCTCAACTCCCTCCAGTAGTCTCTAAGCGGGCTCGTCACCCTCATACTCCCAGAATAAATCACCCGCATCGCCCCCAGACCTTCCAAAATCCGCTCGAACCGTTCGGGCGGTCCATCCCGCCGAACAGCCTCGACTTTATCACCCACCGCTTCGAGCACAGAAGGAACGAGGTACATGGCCGTTGGACTTTCATTAGATCCGGGCTTCTTTTCCCATTGGCATAAGAGCCACTCCGGGCTAAACACCGATGCACAGAACTCTAGGCATGCGCCGGAGAGAAGGGAATGGAACATGGAGACCCAGCCGCCGACCCAGTGGACAGGGGAGTAGTGGAGCCATGTATCGGCGGTGGTTAGGCCGAGGGCTTTTATGTTGGTGGTGAGGCCAATTTCTGCTGCGCGGCGGGAGTGGAGGACGCCCTTTGGGGGTCCGGTGGTGCCGGATGTGTAGAGGAGGACGAAACCCTTCTCTGGGTTGAGTTTGGGGGCCGAGGGTGCTTGGAGGGTGAAGGTTACGTTGGGGGGTCTGGGGGATTGGGTTGTTGTGATGGTGAGGGTTGGGATGTTTGTGGTGGTGGATATAGATTGGGCGTGGCTATCAGAGGTCGGGACTGTGAGGAGCAGTGTCGTGTGGCAGAGCTGCAGGAAGTATTTGGCTTCGGAGGGATGGACTCCTAGCGCTGGGAGAGTTATGGCTGTTAGGGATATTGTTAGGCCAAGGGAGAGGATATGTGGTTGGCGTACAGAGGGGTACTACCACGGCCCCAATGCTGTACAATGCAAGGGCTATTACGGCGAAAGCGTATCCTGGACCGACGAGAACTCCAACGAAGATGTCCGTGTCTGGACTGTTCAATTGGTCTTTGATGTCTGTGTCTAGAAATGTCAGGATACGCTCTCGCGTAGTCAATATGTCATATAGGAATTGCTCCACGCTGGCCTCGTATCCTGTACCGGAGACATCCCGGATGAGAGATTTGGTGGGGTTTTTCTGCCATAGCTGGAAGAGGATTGAGAGGAGGTCCTCCCGGGGAATTTGAAGCGACATCTTCTGGGTCATTTGGGGAGATCTGAGGGGTCAAGTGAGGGTACTTATCGCTTCGGCGCTTCATGTGATGTGCGGGGCATGAATCCCTGCATCACTTTAGGGTTCGGGAATATGATTGGATTTTTAGACGTCATATCATATTGCTAGTTGAGTTGACGGCCGCCCTAGGGCCGCCGCCGTGCACATGGAGTTAATTTATCAAGTTTCGTATTTATCATAGATGTAGTATCTTCCGGGAGCTGAACCAAACAAATAAGGATAAATGTCACATGATATGGGTCGTTGAGGGCAAATGGGGAGAATAGGGCCCGTAGGGAGAATAGGCACAATAGAAAGAGTAGGGACAGTAGGGGCAGCAGGTCAAGCCCTTTACAGTTGTACTATTTATTCCAGTGTAATGCGCCAGCGGTTTTTGTTTATAACAGGGCCGCTGGCGAACCACAGTCTGTAAAGATAGTATATAGTAAGTGCCTTTGCCAATATTAGTGTCCAGATCAGTTTAACTCATCGTTATTGTCATATAGCGGTGGCAATCCACTTGATAAAGATAGGGAGTTGTTATTGGGACCTCCCACTAAACTGAAGTAGGAAAGCAATATACAGCATACTCATAATACTGTAAATAAGCCTAGTCGTTGGCTTTGACGCCTTTAATCTTTCCTATTTGGGAAAGATCTTTTAGTACGATATGATTACCCCCTGTCTGAGTATCTGCCTGAGTGCCTGCCTGCTGGAGTGCTTGTTCGGTCCGCTTGAAGCCTGAGATCTCTCGATTTCTAGAATCCCTAGGTCTTTTACGGGCTCATATAAGCAGTGGTTCTAGTAGGTGAGGCCATTCAATTGGCGGATCTGGATCTAGATCACAGAGATCAAGCGGTTCTACCGGGTCATCCTGTGATATCAACCACTGAGAAGTGAACCTATAGTACCCGGGTCGGTATACATTCCTTGCCGATTGAGCTATTAGTGATGATTGTCCAAAAGAGAAAGGTGAAAGGCTTCTTAAAGCCTCTATCACAAGTCAGCAAAGTTTTCCGCCAACTCTATATGTCTTTTATGTTTAACATCCTTCAAATCATATCCTCCACGGCAGGTCTGAAGTGCCTGACTCAAGCATCACAGTTTCTGATCAGACCATATATGAAAACAATTTATTGTAAGGTTTCTGAACTCATTGGTCCATGTAAGCCATCTCACTGGAATTTTTATAAATATAGAAAAGCTAATAATTCCTTCTTCTCTCAGTTACCCAGAATTAGGATATCTTTCGCACCAGTATCTATCTTATCTCTAAATATACCCGGGACCGAAAAGAGCGTGGGTTAATATTAGAAGGCTGTAATATCTTATACTTAGCAGTATACTCATACTTTTACGCCCAGTCACAAGGATAGCAGGCTATTGTTTAGTCTATAATATAACAGTACACTGCAAGTCACTCTCTTTATTCCCGCAACTTGATACGATCCTGCTTCAATTTAAGGATAACATTAAATAACTATTTTACTGGCTAGCAGACTGAGTACTGTTGAATAGCCAGCTATCCTTCCTAGATCAGAAAAGGAAAGTAGCCACAGCAATAAAAGCAGCTAAGGAATATAGTGTTTCTATTCAGGTATTTAAAATATCTAGATTTAATCCTTGATCAATCTTTTACAAGAGCTCTATAAGTCAGATCTATTAACTGATACTCTTACTGATATTCAAGAACTACAGTTAGAAGACAGCCCTGCTCTCTTGGAATTCTGTACCTGAAGCCCACTACTATCTCTTTGACAGTGTGAGTTAGGCAGCTATTGGATATCCGCTACAGAACTCAGGGCATTTATCTATGCCCATGCCATTACACTTAGATATCTTCACCTGGAAGACATCTGGCTGCCGTGAGAGAAACATGAAGAGGATTACATTGATCTATCACTAGCGACTACGGAAGCGATACTTAAAAGTATAAGGGATTTTCAGTACTCAGGTATCCTGCATAAGCTTACCACAAATAGACAGATCAATGGGGACTGCGAGATACGGAAGTTATTGAAGTAAAGTTTGGAGAGGCTATGCTCTTGAGCCGCGGAATAGGAATGCTATGGTACAGGTTTCTCCAGGGACAGACTACCGTATATTTGCTTGAAATACTATTAAAACAACAATTTAACCTCTTCTCATAGAGAAAGATTTATGTAGAGAAACTCTGAGCCCCCTTAAGCAATGAAAGGGTTTATAGAACAGACTAAAGAAAAGGCTATCTTAAAACAGTAGATAGAACTAACTATTATACCTGGACATATATTCACACACACAACCTAAATAATTAGGTAGTAAAGGAAGTGTATACAATATATATATTATCTACTTTTTCTCCCTCTTTCTCTTTCTATCTCCCCCCCCCCCCACCCCACAACCCCCCGCCTCCTTCGCAACGTTCCTCCGCAGCAAACTCAGTCAAGTTTCCCCGCAGGCGGCGGACACAGGAAACGACGGTCCAGGAATGATGCCTACAACACCGTAAGACGGACGCTGATCAGTAGTGGAAGGGGACATGAAGGGGGAGCCAGACATCTATATATCAGAAACTGATCAGGAAGAGGCAGCGCTGGAAACGGTTACGTTATTGTGTTTCGGAGGGCTAATCAGCGAGGCGGACCAGGCGAAGTCACATGGTGGGACAAATACCTGTTATATAAGTTTCTAATCATATATGGTCTATTGGAGGCTTACTTATATACACCTCAAAGTTGGTGAAAACACCTGTCTGTCTCTGTTCCTGTGTGAATCGAGCATTTTGTCTCGGAGGTCCGATTGATATATGTATTAACAGCACACAGTTATGCTCCACGAGTTCACTCATTTGTCTCTAATTTTATACTTTTCATTTACTTTTGTTTTTCTTTTCTCATATTCTTCATTAATTCATACTTTCTTTTAGATGCCAATGACCGGAATTGAACAATGAGAAAAGCAATATTTACGGCAAAGTCCCCGACAGTGAAGACTTATATTTATAGAATCTGTCTAAAGCCCTTCTTTTGGGCCCGAGAAAGGAATATGATTGGCCAGGTGTCTGGATTGTGGGGCAGAAAAATTTTCTTCGTTCGAGATTTTGAATCAATAAAATGTAGATCCAATTATGATCCGCACAAGAGCCGCATTCCTTCACATTAATCCGGGGAGGATTGTCCAGCTCAGTCGGCATTTGTCCCTTGGCATGGATTTCATTTGGAGGAATTGTAATTCGGCGACGCCTGACCAGTCATGGATACGAGGTGTCTGGAACTTATCCAGTCGGTGGATAACACCACGACGCATCACATAGGACTATTGGTTGTAAGCCCTAGTCCGACTGAATTAGGAAAACATGGAAGTGGACAATGCCCACAATCAGGGGCTGCGAAAACGTCGATAAGCTCCATCGTGGTCTTTTAATTAGCCCGTATTAGCATGCTCATTGGTGCTAATACGAGATTAATTTGGGGGCTACAGCATGAAAAAGGGGATAGTTGGACCCAGTCATTGGCCTCTTTTTTCAGCCTCACGCGAGATATAAACCGAAGCTGGACCCTGATGACTCCCATTTGAACCCCATTCGTTTGAAATATGTCCATGTAAGCTTGTTCGGAATCCCCCGTAAACCCAACACTCGTTTAAGCGCACCGTGAGGGAACACATCTCCCTTCCCTCCACCAATGGAGCGCACCAAATGGCTCGACGGCCTCCGCGGCGTCGCGGCGGCGATCGTGGCATTCGACCACTTCTTCATGGGAGAGATCTGGCACCCATTCGTCTCCTTCTGGGCGGAGCCCCCAGAGGGAAATCGTCGCTTCGTCCAACTACCCCCCATTCGCGTGCTTTTCTCCGCCCATGCCATGGTGACACTCTTCATGGTGATCTCGGGCTACGCCATCTCAATCAACATTCTGAAGTCCCGGCCTAGCCCGCAATTTTATACCCGCATCTCCTCCGCCGTCTTGCGGAGAATCTTCCGCATTTACCTACCCGTCTTAGTGATCGCGACCATCAGTCAATTCCTTTTCTTCTTCGATTTATACCACTGGACCTTTGACGAAGGCCTCCTCAAGGGCCTAAAACCCTGGACCTCCCCATGGTCCCATATCAAATGGCTGTTCCTCTTCCTGTCGGACAGCATGAACATCATGGCCTACACATACAGCGGCAACTTCAACGGCCAGCTCTGGACCATGCCAGTCGAGTTCCGCGGCTCCAACGTCACCTTCCTTCTTATAATGGGCCTCGCTGCCTGGCGCCCCAAACTCCGCCTCTGGTTCCTTCCCTTCTTCGCCATATACTTCCTCTGGTACGGTCTCTGGGACCTCTTCAGCTTCATCTGGGGCCTCTGGCTCGCCGAAAAGTCCGTCGCAACAACCCCCACCGAAATCGACGACGATGACGACTCCGAAAAACTTCCCCTATTCCCCTTCTCCCCAAATAACTGGAAACACCGCCTCCTCTCCCGCAAAAACTTCACCGTCGCCCGCATCACCACCGCCCTATCCTTCCTTGCAGGCTACCACCTCCTCTGCCTTGGTGACGACGGCCATCTCTCCCCCGGCTACCAATTCCTGGCGGCAATACAACCCTCCAAATGGAACAACGACTGGGGCGTAATCCACTGGGCCTGGAAATGCGTCGGCGCAGCCCTCCTCGTCTACGCGATCAACGAGTCGCGCCTCCTCCAGCGGCCCTTTAATACCCGGCCCGTGCAGTATCTGGGCAAAATCTCGTTCTCCTTGTATTTGGTGCACCAGGCGATCTACCAGATGTGGCGGAATCCGTTGCGGGACTATCTGTGGGTGTTAGCGACGGGGACGCCGTGGCCAGGCAGTGTGGAGGCGCCAGTGCAAGATGCTGTCGCGTTTCATGTTGCATGGTGGGCGTCGGGGGTTATCCTGGGTACGGTAGTGCTTTATGCGGCGCATTATTGGACGATTTATGTGGATAATCGGTGCGTGGCGCTTACGAAGAGGGTGGAGAAGTGGTTGACCTCTTAGTTGGGTTTAGTTAATGTAATAAATGGGATGTGTTTCTATTTTTTAAAAGATATTGTGTTCTGTGTGATGGTGTACAGTGTACAGCGGATTGGATACTGAAGGTCATAGACCCTCGATCCTTCTTTCCACACAAGTATACTAGTATCACACGATCATATCATTATCAAATCACCACCCCGTAGCCTCAGGCGTCGGCACCGCAACGCCCTCCACCGGAACCGCTGCCGCCGCCGTAGCACTGGCCCTCACCTCCGCACCCCCTGTAGCTCTCGCCTCCAAATCCCCAATAATCGGAACCATACTAACCGGCGGAATATACCACCGACGATCACACTCCGTCCACCGCGGATCAATCTGCGTCATCACGCCCTCTGGAATTTCCATCCAAGGTAAATAATCATCGCGCACCATCGAACACTTATTCCCGCCCCGGAATGGACACTGCGAACCACCCTGATACTTCTCCCAGGGAATCAATGACATGGTATACTCCCCGACCTCATGCGGCTGGAACTCGGCATACTCGAACGGGTACGCGGTGCCGATGGTCGGGTATTTAGCGTTGACATGGCTCCGGACGGAGGACACGGCGCTTGGGTCGACGGAGATAATGACGTCTTCGTAATCGCCCCCGCAGGACCCGCCGGGATGGGCACGCTGGTTGCTTCGGGCGTAGACGCTGGTGAAGGAGACGTAGATACTGGGGGAGGTGAAGGTGTTGCCGTCGATGATAGCGGTGTTCGGTCCGGACCCCGTTGGGGTGGCGGGAACAGTGGTTCCGTTTTGCTTGCAGAGATCGCCGTCTTTGGTGGTGACGGGCCAGTAGAAGAGGGTTGCGGTGTCAGGAAGGAAGTGGCAGTTTGTGCAGGGGTCGTCTACGGTGTAGTTTCTCGAGGTGGAGGGGCAGCTTCCCGGACGAATGGGGCTGTTCGTGTCGCCTGGGATGGAGGTGGTTACGGAGGTATAGTAAGCGTCACGGAGGCTGGTGTAGGTCTTCCAGATGGGGATGCAGTCTTGAGTGTTGAGCTCGCAGCTGGGGGTTGGGGTGGGCGAGCGGTAGACTAATGTTGTGGTGGTTTCGGTGGCCAGGAACTTGCTGCAGGGTCCTGTGCCGGGCCAGTAGGTGGTGAATGATTCTCGGGGGCCCAGGGCCCGGGGGATCCCGTCGCAGAGGGTGGTAACCGGGCCGCTATGGGGGTCGTCATAGCCTTCCCCCCAGATGTGGGTGTTGCAGGCTCCCGTGCTGGTGCTGTAGGTGCTGTAGATGGTGGAGGTAGACGTTGCGCCGAGGGATTGTAGGCCACTGGCACGTCCGTCGTATTCCACCCATTCGGCGTTGCAGGAGACAGCAGATGCTTCGGGTCCGGTGGTTGGGCCGTAGAAGTAGTTGGTTGATGTTGGCCAGAATACCGTGGTGTCGCATATGCTTAACCATTGGCTACTCGTTGACGATGTGGCACATCCACCAGATGGCCCAGGCGGAGGTGTGCTACTGCTTGAAACAGTGGGAGTGGGAGTGGCACTGCTGTTCTCTCTTGCGATGACTGCATAGGTGAGCTAAATACCTTCGGATGGATACTGGGGAGAACGTACGAGGTTTGGCAGAGACGACTCCCAGGAGGAGAAATGCTACTTGAAACAGCATTCCGAACTTGCGTCGAGACACAAATGTCGCATGAACAAGTATGGGCCTAGATACGGTACTCCGGGTTCCTTAACCACTTTATATAGCCAAGTGGAACTCTTCAAAAAAGTCAAGTCTCAAGGCTAAAATCTCAGCTCAGCTCTTCCGGTCAATGGTACTCTTTAAATGAAATGATTGAAACCGATCGCGGAGATCTATTGGTCTTGTTTCGAAACTGCATGAATCACAGCAAGGTTGCCATGCAATGCCACCCTACTGCAGGTGCTTACATCGAGCGTCCAATAATTATCAGGCATGCCGCTAGCTTGCTAATCACATCTATCCGGAAAGAACCCAAATTTGGTCAGGTTGCATATTTGCCAATGCTCAATTGTCTTGGTATGTGGGCTAGAATTGCCGAATACGAACCCTCTGACCGGCTGGCTGGCCTTTTCTCCAATGAACGGGAACTGGATCATCTCCACTCTTCTGCATGGTCACCCAGATGTAAGTGTTCTCCCTCCCCCCCCCGCTCCACATTTTGTTACCTATTGTAGTACATTCGAGTCAGAACTGGTGCTCTGACTGGCAGGGCAAGACAATATGGCTGTCCATTAAAGCAGAATGCACCCCCGAAAGGAAAGCGGGGCTTGCTCTCACGCCTTCATCATGATATTGTTTTCCCACACTGGATGAATAGTAGATCACATTCGTTCCTAGATGATCTTGTTCTCTAGCATGAAGAAAGGACTAATAAATCTCTAAGACTGCGTACATTGCCGATCGGGGTACGGGATAATACCGCTCAATAGAATTATAGCGTACGATGCTGAGAGGTTTGTTGTGAACCCGTGTACAAAGTCGATAGACTTTTGTACAACTGTGTCGCTCAGGATTGGAGTTAATTCTCTCAAGACACTTGATGAGGATGGAAGCAGGGGCGATCGACCTCACGCAATACTCCGGGACAGGGAGGGAAAACTACATTCGAATGGAGGTATGCGAGTGGTCTGACCCATGTGTCCAGCGATGTAGAATACTATTAGCGGACTGACGGGTAGCATTGCGTCTAGAGAGACAGTGCGGAGGAGGCTAAACTTGAAGCGATAGCATGCACAAACAAATGGACAGGGTGCGACAGCGCCAGTCCTGTCCAGCTAACAGCTTTGGAGTACGGACCCCCAACAGTAACAGAGATATTCGAAACAGACTGAAGAGCAAGCCAGGCTGGGCACCCTCGTGGTGCGAGATAATCGAATTCTCCGTCAATGGTCGGTTGCCTGGTACCTCTATTCTCTCACGTGGGCTAAGGTAGCATGAAGGGGGTTGTTGATAGTCTATGGATATCATAACTTAGCGTCTTGTGGCTAGTTGTCAGGCTGCTAGGGAAGAGGGGACTGAGACTAGGTAGTGATTGTGGATAACAAGCGTAGATATTGCTGTCGCAATGGACCTATTTCGAAGGTCCTCCCGCTCGAATTGTTCCCATGCTCCAGTATCGAGAACATGACAACAATCAAGGAGGAATAATCTGTGAATCCTATGGCGTGTCCATAGCCTGGACTGTGTAACCGCAGCGGCTGATTCTTTTGCGCTCATCGCCAGGCTTCTTTCCATATAACGCGCTTCAGACAAACGAAGCAAGGCTTTGGTGCGGATTTTAACTCTTTAAAAATCGTCCCTCATTACCATCTGAGGGTCTGGATTTAATCTCTCGACTTCTACGTTCATTTGATAGAGGAGCAGAAGAGAGTATCGTGCTGGACGTCTAGGTGTTGTTCAACGGACTCGGAGTCTCATGTTTGATGAGAGGCTAGTAGCTGCTATTACCAATGGAATCGCTAAGGGAGTTCGAAGCTTCATGTATAACCAAATGTATCAAGAAAGTCCGATCACAGCCATCGTTACCCCCGTCGTTCGACGCTCCCCGCGGATGTTCCCGTGGATCTTTGCGTGGATATTGCCGTGGGCATCACTGCACATATTCCCATGGACATTCTTGCGGAGATGCTCGCGGGATACGCTCACATACTTGAGGCCATGCAGGCAGCTCTTAGCACATCTTCGGCAAAAAAGGGGCAGCCTCTTATGCAGACGTAGACAAACGTAATGTCGAACTGTGCCAACAACTGCTGCAGCTTTGGATATTTAGTCATAAATCGACTCTATCTTCAAATGACCCAGTAATGGATGCTGGGTAAATAAGTATAGTGATGCCCGTAAAACCCCTTAAGTCATATTTATACCCTCCCACAGAGCACCACATCCTCCCCAAAAGGATACCATTTGACATCCCTCAGCCTCGCCGCGGGAACAGCATTTCCATTCCCATCCAACCTCCTCCGCGGCGAAACCACAACCCCTCCCTGCCCCAACCACGTCGGCGCAATGGTGACAATAACCGAATCAATAAGATGCGCATACGCCGGTTCCAGCAGAGAATTAATAATCGCGCCACCCCCTTCAATCATTACACTCTGTAACCCTTCCTGCTTGAGACACTCTAGCAAAACCGTCCAGTCAATCCGTCGTTCCCCAGATTCAGTAACCATGACATCAAGGGGGATAAACTTCCCGCCATGTCTTTCTAGTAACTCTTTCTTTGAAGCAGACGGGGTAGAATCGTTACTGCTAATGATAAATGGCGCCTGGCCCCTTCCTTCCCGCACTAGCTCCAGGATCTTTGACTCCTCAGTAAACTCCCATCTAACGCTCGGATCGACTACTATTGGGCGAGGTTGGCCTGTTAGTCCCTCGCTGCCGTAGCCGCCTACGCCCTCTATCCGGCAGTTGAGGCCGGGGTTGTCGGCCACCGCGGTGCCGACGCCGATTAAGATGGCATCGTGTCGGGAGCGGAGGTAATGTGTCATGGCCTTGGATTGTGGGCCGGAAAGCGCGGTCCTGGTCCCCGGGGCCAGCGCTAGAGATGAGTCTAGGGAGGTTGCGAATGTGAGGGTTGTGAAGGGGAGGTTGGGCTTGAGCTGGTCATTTTTGGGGAGATGGGGTTCTAGGAATGTGCGGCTTGAGTTCGGGAAGGAGAGGGCGTCTCGGGGCATTGTTTCTGTCTTGTTCCGTTTGTGTTTTCAGCGATCTGGTGGGGGGGATATTGCTTTGCTTAAGATTTGGACTGAAGTTGGGGCGCCCCACCTGAATTTTAATGGCCAATGAGGGCTGCATAGTCCACGTGGGGTAGGCTATTTACACTACGAGGGTGATACTTGGTTACCTTTCTACGCTATGGGGATCTAATGTTGGGTTGTTGGTGATCAAGTCTTGTAGTAGAATTTCCATGTTTACTTGCAAGTTAGATACATTCGCTTGTCCTCGTAACCTGGTGTTAACCCTGCCTCCCTTCTTCAAGGTTTTGTAGGCGGGACGGCCTTGCTGTAGGGAGTTCTTTTCTTTTTAGTGGTAATGGTGCAAAGTTTGGAGGTTGATAGTGTACCGACTGGGGTATTATACGGTCAATCTGGGATTTGCTTCGTGTCGCTTTGGAGACAGAGAGGCGAGGTTGACTGATGGTGGTTGTGTGTCACTATTTTATCTGTACTCATGTCAGCGGGCAACCGTCATTCAAGGAGGGGCAGATACAAACCTTTTGAAGGCGTGATTTCGTGTTGTGCACCTGCAGTGACAGTTAGCTCGCCAAAAAGTCAGTGCAGAGTAGATGTGGATTTATCTCACAGATCCTCCACAGAACATAAAGTCGCATAGAAAGGTATTATGTTTTGACTCCACTGCCCAGACTGGATGCCATTCGTTGCGTGGTGAGAATGATCCGCACAGCTTGCCAGTGTGGGATTAGAAAGATAAATGACGGTGTAATACAGAGGCAATAGGCGGTTGTGCTCGTGACTTACTCTAGGAAGCTACGCCCTATAGCACGAGCACACCTCGCAAAGCCGCCTGTACAAGCAGCAGGTAGGGTGGGGCTCACAGTATTCCTGAGCGCAGCTGGCCTGTCGGCAGTCGTAGCCGTGACTCCTGAGAGAACGAGCACAACCACGTCCTAAAGTACGAGGACACCACCCAAAGACATCAGCAGACTCAAAGAACCGGAGGCAAGGGAGGATTGCAGCAGATGGCCTTTGCAGCCAGGACCCGGCCAAACAGTGTGACTGGCGGTGCGGAAACAGAGCCCACTGAAGTCAGTCCATTGTAACGGGGACATCCAGCGTACCATCAGGTGCAAAGGGGTATTCACGGCGGGGGCACACTCTGAAATGACAAAGGGAGTGTTACAGGGGTGCCAGCAATGCTAGCAGATAGCGAGTGGTACAACCACAGGCAAAGGATTGCGCTCAGGACATCATAGTCTAGGCATTATAAATGCCAAGTATGAGGGTATTTAGGTAGATAGTTCAGGGTTGCCAGATGCCGTGAATAAAGAGTGTGATAAAAAGAATAGGAAGAAGGCTTGGAAAAGGCCATAATAAGGTGGTGTGATACATGATGGCCAAAACGCCGTGTGAATATAGCATGTGGGATGAACACCACAGGCAGGGGGCGAGGAGAATGTTACAAAAGAGAGATATATGAGTGCTAACAGGTTATTAGCAAATAGCGAGTGGCTTGAGAACCACAGGCAGAGGGAATCCACGAGGCATGGTGATCCGGGCAGTACGATGTCATGAAGGAATAAAAGGTACCGTGCGAATGGTAGGAGTGGAGGTAGGTAGAGAGGGGGCAGGTTGATGAGCAAGAGAAAAGAAGAGCTTCGATGGGGATTGAGCTCGTATTTATAGACAAGGGGAGCAGGAAGATCACTAATCTCAGCGAAAGAATTAGTGACCTTTACCTGAAGGCCACGCAATTCTGTTGATAGTCACTGTTAGGAGAGAATAGATTTTTCCAGAAGAGAAAATACCTCCTTTATTTAAATACAAAGCCAACCCCTCGATGGGAGGTGCATTATTTATCATTGGCCTGGTGGCTGGAGTCATATGGCAGAAGGCGGCCGGTGCGGGATCTCAAACAGTGAATATAGCTTCAAAACGGGCCGAGTGGGCGGATTGTTGAGTGGGGTTGATGAGTCACAACTCAGAAGGGTGAATGCAAGCTACGGAAACCCTTTGTATCTTCCCACAGCGGCCTCTTGTACTCACTAGATCAATATCAACGATGTCCTACGCACCGGATGTGAAAAACGCAGAAGGTTTTCACAGTAGACTTGGATAGTGAAGGCTGAAAGATATTGCCCCGGATATACAGACGATAGAGGATGAGATCTTGATTATGTAGATGTATATATATACAGAACAATAATAACCCAAGACCAAACAATAGAAAAAGTGCACTGCCATTCACCAAGGCACTTTGGCCGAGGAGCTGGCTTTAGAAGTTCCTTAGATAGCCTGGCGATCAAGATGTGAGGGACGCATGGGGCTAGAGGATGTCAGGACAGAGCGCCCATATTGATCTAGGGAGGCAATCCCTAGCTGAAACATGAATGACCAGAACTATCAACAGATTAGGATTGCAGAGGTTGGTCATGATAATGGTAAGGTAAAGGTCCGAAATAGCATCGACCTAGGGCCACATCACGACAGAAGCTGCGATTCATGTCCACTTCATTGTGACTGGCGGCTGAATTAAAAAAAAAAAAATATCACAAACAATACATCAGCAAACCCAGGAGTAAGTCTAGTCGAGAAAGATGAAACTCAAATATCTTGCCAACGCAACAGGGCGAGGGTAGAAAGATGTTTCAAAACCAATTTCTGTCTATCTTTAATAGAGGCTCCCTGAGGTGCTTGGTATAGTTTAGAGTATCGCTCCGGGGGAATCAACATATTAAGGTCAGTAGTTCAAATGCCATCATTGATAGCCATCATGGCGGAGACCATGAATGAGAGCATACCAGAGCATATGGATGTTCGGCATCCCATTCGTAGAGACTGCATCGTAAGTGCTGTGCCCAGTGCACAGCGAGCACTTTGGATCCTAATGATAGTAGATCCTGAGGTGACTGTTATCGACTCCATACACTTGACTCTCGAGATCAACGCATCTCACAACGCATCTCACAACGCACCAAATGTTTCCATCAAGGCATTCCCTTCCAAGAAAGAACTGATTGAATGTATTACCGCGTCACATCGGACTTGGTGCGTAATGGCAAGTCAGGCTTTCCTTTCTCGATCGTGTGGTGCTTGTCGTCCGCCTCTGACCTGGTCGTGCAGTCGTCTTTCTCCATGGGGTGTTTATTTTCTATGCGCTTCTCTCCGTTGTGCTGGCCTTGTTGAATCTTATGTTTAGTATTATCGATCTTTTCATGTAAAGCACGAACTTTGCGCTTGGTCCGACTGTACCCCTCGATGCCCGCAAGGACAGCGTACGACTTGCTGATCGAGACGTGTGACATGTCAACCGCTCTGTCTTGGAGGGAATGGATAAAAGCGCGAAAATTTGCTGCTGGCGGACGGTAGTGACCACTATCTTCGCGTTAGCAATGTTCATCATCTTGAATAACACAAACAGAATATACCTCAATGGTGCTAAACTACGTAGCTGCCCATCCCGGACCTTGACCAAACCTGCAGCGGCAATGCGAGCACCTCGAAGGAATGAGGAATGTTGAAATGCACCTGATTGTTTGATCCCGATATACAACCGGAAAGATGTATCGGCGACCTGTGTGTAGACAAGTCAACTTCAGAATGCACGAGCTATAGGGAGAGTTGAATCACGCACAAATATCCACATGTCTTCCTTTTTGAGTGACTTGCCCCTTAGACTGCTAAGAACCGTCTTCGGGCTCACATGCACAGCTTCCTTGAGCATCTTTACTGCCTTGTATTCCTGGCTCACGTAGGCCTCTTTTTCTTTGTGGGTAGAAATATCGCTCGCAGTTTCGTAATCCGACGAGGAAAGGGAAGAGATCGACGACGAAGAGCTGGCAGGGAATGCGTCCGGATCACCCGCTTCCGTGTTTCCTTGAAACTGCGGCGCATCCTCCTCAATACGCACGATCCCTTTCAAGCTATCTTTGAACCGCCTGCTATCGGTCCAGACGCGTTCATTATTCTTCGCCCACCGGAACAGCCCAGCTTCGTCCACCATCACTAGATAGTTCATCCTCTCCTCGCGGGAGAGGTAGCGCACCTGTTGCCGCTCGAGTCGGGCGCGCGGGCACTGGGGCAGGTCCAGATCTTTCCCTTCGCCATAGTCCAGCCAGTAGAAGAAGTTTTGAGCCGTGGTAGAATTCCTCCAGTGGCTGTGATACCGGCGGAGGTTGCTACCATGGCGGTGTTTCAGATCGACCAGCTCCAGGAAATATTGCAAGTCCATTATTTTCGCCGTTGTCCCGGGGGGCAAGTCGAGCTGGGGGGAAGATGCGGACTGAGAAGACGGGCTACTAGTCGAGTGGTGCTGCGTCTCATTCCGGGAAGGTGAAGAAGCGGAGTCATCGTCAAGGTCATCATCACCGCCCGCGCGTTTGGCGACGCTGACGGCTCGCTGCCAGTTTCGGCGGGCATGCGCAGCACTATCGTTTTCAGCCGAATCTTGGGGAGCTGGAGGGCGATGGAGGAGTCGCCATTCCGCTTCTCGGACTGCCTTGAATCAAAGAACGGTGAGATGACCACAGGCCGATACAAGCATGGTCATCGAACCTACCTCTAGCCATCGCGTCGTCGCTGATATGCTACAGCCTTGTAGTTCTCGTCGCGTTCGATACCCACGATACGTTCTCTAATGTAAGAGCAATTTAGAGAGCGAATTCCACGACGGGCAAGGACATATCAACATCCGTACCTGAATCACTCGCGCCGCCTGGTCGCTGACGTCATCCATCGCATACTCGCCCACTCTTGTAGATATAGGTGTATGTTTGGATATTTAAACGGTTCTCTCGGCGAGAATAGATAATATACCATGTAATTCAGCCCGTATAAGTATCTCAAGGAGAAGGAGAGCAAGAATATGCGACAAAACGATCGGACCGTCGCTTCGTAGTAAAGAATATCGATGGAATGGGTTTTTGTTGATCTGCGCTTGGCGCCTTCCCCGTGACCTGAGGTGATCATCTGGAACCCTACAGTCTGGCTGAAAGGAAAAGAATCCGTTATTGAGACAATCGTGTATCGAGAAGAAGCAACACTGTTTCATTTTTCTTTCATTTTGTGATCGAAATAGAACACAAGAGGGCGGTTTCCTGGTTCGACATTTCATATATATATTTTGCCCCACGATAGGCTCTTCCAACTGGTTGACCCCTTATATGGTCTTTTTAACCGCGGGTTGACCTGGTTTATTAGTGATTTAGAGATAGTAACTACACATCTACACACTAGACCCAACTAATGATTATTTAGATCGCCAACCCTCCATTCTAGTACGAGGTTGTCAAAAAGGTGGGTGCGTTTTCCGCCTTAAAGAGAGGCGTTGCCCATCACTATATCATTTTAGCATGTCTCACGTGGAGTTAGCCCTAACTATCCTCTTTCTCTGGGTACGAAAGGCTAGGGAAGAAAAATCAACCTAAGAGTTCCAAATAGGGCCTACAATACTTTAAGTGATTCTTTTCTACACAGAGAGTGACCGCTGTTCCTGTATCCTCTGCACGATGAAAGCAGGCCCGGAAAAGGCGGAAAAGAAATCTAGCTTTGTGGTACAGTGTTTCCAGAAACTAGTGTCACCACCATATATTCTTTCATTGTTTTTGTAAACCTAATGCAGAACCAGTCTAAACTACACTTGCGATGCGGAGGTATAATAATTTTCCTTGTACATAGCCTGTATTGTACTTATGAGTGAAAGTACGGATGATTTGTGAGGTGCCAGTAATCTAGGCTCGACATCTTGCCGTGGAAACCTCAGGCTCCAAAACAAGCGGCAAAACTTGCCAAAATCCAAATCCTGTAGAAATTGCTCGAGAATCCTTGTGAATAGAAGCCAATATAATGCTTAATTACCCCAGACCCTCCTTTGGAAAGAGATTAAAAAAATTGTTGAGATTAGTTGAGTACGAAGAAGGGTAAATCTATGGTGTATAGAATCCTATAATAGAAACCCACCCGTCATCATACCCTAGAGCAAGGTGGGCATCCTTGAAAGCTGAGTGTCTATATTGACGATGCTCAGGAGGGAGCCACAGTAAATTTCACCTCCCAGGCAACCCAGTTATTGGATAGAGATACTTGAGGATTAAAATTAGATGATGTTGGGTCACAGTCATCATGCGGCATTGGAATACTGGAGAACGTAGTTCCACTATATTGCTCTGCATGCAGAGTGCTGGCTAGTGATGGAACCAGTTCTGGATGGCCCTTGAGCGTCTGCACCAAAGCGCCAGACTTGGCTTCCCAGATCTTGATGGTGGCATTGTCAAAGCCTAAGACCAGTGTTTGTCCATCAGGGGAGAAAGCCACTGATTGAACTGAACCTGAATGACGATGACCCTTGAGCGTCTGCAGCTCAGTGCCAGTCTTGGAATCCCAGACCTTGATGGCATGATCGGCAGAGCCTGAGGCCAGTGTTTGTCCATCAGGGGGAAAGGCCACTGATGGAACCGAACCTGAATGGCCCTCAAGTGTTTGTAGACTAGGGCTCCATAGATTTCCACCTTTGGTAGTGTACGTACCTTTTTGTTAATGTTACTAAGAAATATTTTTTCTAATAGCGCTCTGCATAGGTGTAAATGCCAGCCCGGAACAATAGAGTTGGAGTGGCGCAATACTAGCAATATAAGTGTTCTCAAGAGTAAACCTTGCGCCATAGAGAAAGTCTGAAACCTCAGCACCCATGCTTTTCTATATTATTCTTTAGCCATTACACAGCCGTAGAATGTATAAAAATTACTTACCCATATGCTTGACTCCAGTGTATCTATAATTTCCACCGCCTCAGATATACTCCCGATTAAACTCAGTGCCTCCAACCAGTGAAGGAAGTGCTGTTTTGAGGAAAGATGAAGCCTTGGACTCAGAGATACAACCTTTGCTTCGCTTAAGATGATATAGATGATATACCCAATAATGACAGGAGTATTTCAACTCTGCCGAGAGGTGCTGGTTGATGACCTGATTGTCTACATCCATGCGCTGTGTACCGTAACTTGCTAGACAACAGATATTGTGTTTGAGCTCGGTGGCCATAACTCGGAGGCAATGTATCGCTATTGTTCTATGGGTCTCTTGCTCATGAACATGGAAAGGGCTGTCCGTGATTAGGAGGTAGTCTCGAAAAGACAAGTGCAGAATGCGCACTGGAGCCTCTCTGCGACTCGGTATGTTGAGGACTGAATGCAAAGAAGCTAATAGCTCGCTGATATCGCCTGCCGATATTTGCAGAAGCCGGGCAAGGGATTCAATAGAGAGTGGGGGGGGGGGGGGGGGGGGGGTAAGGACAATAATAACCCCAACAATGTCCTGGAGTTCTTCCACAAGCTCCTTTGAGTTGCCTTCCTCATCGCCTGTGAGTTGATTCAGAACTGGTAGATATATTTTGTCCATTTGAGTTGTAGCTGTAGTTGGCTGAAATTCAAGAAGCTTTTGGAGACGCTTTTTTGGATGTGTCCCTTTTTTAATAAAGCGGCATGCTGTGGCTGCGAAAATGAATAATGGAACAGCCATCTGAACCAACTCTTCGATGGTTTCATTTCCAGGCCAAGCCGGGGGAAGTGAGCGCTCATCCTGTATTTCCGAAAGCTTGTGTTTCAAGAATAGACGAATGTCGTGTTCAATCACGGGGGCAGGAAGTTCATGGACAACCAGGTCCAGATGATTCTTGTTCTGCTTGAAGCCAAAACGAATTGGCAGTTCAGGTCTACTGGTCAGAAATACTCGCAGGTGTACAGATTCAATTTCCAGCAATTTGAATAAGAGTTGAAGTATTATTCGCACATCATCTTCCTTGTCACATTCGTCCAAGGCGTCGATAACAATTACTATCCGCATAGACTGGTCTGGATGCAGCTTCACAAGGGGCTAATAGAGAAGCTTGTCAGACTGTTCACTGAGAAATTTAAATGCAATATTCGGATCGTCCTGGATAGCGTTTAAGATGTCAGGCACTAGTCGCCGGTGCCTAGTTACCAGCTATCTCGTAATAGTTGATATGAAGTATTTCGCGTTACCACGGTCAGCTTCCCCCCCCCCGGCTTGAAAAAGAACGTGGCACCAAGCCATCCTTGCTTTTCAAAATATTGAGCGACTATCTGGGCAACAGTAGACTTGCCGGTTCCCGCCATTCCATTTAACCAAAATATAAATTTACCATCTGACTCAGCCCACTCAAAGATTTGGCGACAAAGGTCCGTCCTGGTGTCCGGGAGGCAAAAATCCTCATGTTGATTGTTATAGGAAATACAAAATGCTCCTTCCGCAACATAGAGGTTCGCAAGGCTGAATTTTTCATTAACGTGATTCACAGATTCAGTAAGTTTCTCGATTTGATATAGGATATCCTCTGCCCCTTTTCCACGTTGCAGCTGTTTGACTAATCCAATCCACTGGAATATATTTTCCCTTTCCTTTTCAACTGAGGCCTTCAGCTCTGTGAGTGGGTGCTCAGTGATAGCGGTGACCCAGTCTAGTAGCTTCCTTCCCGCGCTAGGATCCTGTGCATTTCATATCTGTGCCGTATATTGCAGGATAGCTTGGTAGAGCCTGACTATTGCATTTCCCAAGACATCTTTGATGCTGAAATTGCCCCTAAGGTAGAAATTCTTCTCGATAAATGCACGCTGCGTGAGAACATCCGCTAGGTATTCCGATGATTCGAATAGCGTATCTCGTAGGTCAGAACGGTTTTTGGTCATCTGGATTTCCAGATATAGGGTTGGCCGGCTGATTTTTTTATAGGTTGCTGACGGGTATTACATACGGTTAACCCAAGTGACACGATTATCCAAGCACTAGCTGCATGCTGGGTAGGATCGAAAGTTGCAACAGCGCTGATAATATCTTTGAAGGATAGTGCCGCATTAATGAGCTTCTAATAGGACGCTTGAAGTTTTCTATTTGCTTTCTGCTGATATTCCTCGTATTGCTCCTCCGTCAACCGGATAACCTCACCAATCAGAGCATTTGTCTGGGAATGGTTTCTCTCATCATCCAGATGGGTAGGACTTCGGACTGTTGACAAAATCCTTTGCTCCCCATCATTTACATGATCATAAGCAACTTTCCACAGGTCTAGAGGCGTGAAGGCTTGTTTTGATGCCGGCTGGGTAGGCTGAGTACTGGACTGGCTGGAAGGAGTTGGAAGGAGAACATTAGTCGGGCCGTCCTCTTGGTGGTCTATCTGGGCTTTCGCATCTCTAGACTTCTTGCGCCTGTGGAACGGATTGCGAAATAGGCTTTTGCCAAGCTGGGACATCTTTAATCATTCGGCATTCCCTCAAAAGTCTTTGGTGCCAGAGGTTTTTACCGATTCAGTTGAGAGACTTTAGGTGATTAGGGCAGAGTCGGGTGCCATTGCTCTTTTTCAGTCTAAAATCGGTACCCCACGTTCAGATGTGGCGGCCCGGCTGAACAGCAGGGATATATCAACCTTTATTGACTAGTGACAGCCAACTACACAGTATTCTGAAGACACGCAGGGAATTTCCGAAATGCTACGCCCTCTCAGACAAAGTGGTCTTCCCGGCTACGTGAACTCGACAAAATCCCACTCAAGGAATTAGCTTTGCATGATCCCGTGCGTTTGTACTCCGTTACAGCACTTCGGCTTTGGTGTTCCCTTGGGCTCTGCGATCTGGGACCAAGACGAATTAGAGCACCTCCAAAAGGTCCGTTTCCATGGGCCAAGAACCATCGGGTTCATGGTCGGCCCGGGCCGGGTGATCCTCAACAAAGCTTTGTGCCTCACCAGGAATCCAAATGTTCTATGCAAACTGGAAACAAACACAGGGGGGCCCGTTCCGCACACCATTTGGGAAGTTGCTAGCTCGCCGCTGACCAACAATATTGCGCATGAGATCAAGCATCGATTGAGCTAGGTTAGAGGCCATTTTTGTTACATCACGGACTGCCAAGGTTGCTCTCATAGGGGTGTATAAGCCAGGCAAATCGAATGTTAGGAGAATGACACGCGGACTTTTGCGGGGTAAAATATACAAGATCTAGTTACGACACAGTACCGTACCTGACGATACAAACTGAGCGATGACAATATTGCGGAGGAACGTCTCAAAGTAGTTTGGCTCTGCGGCCACTATCAGTGGTGACACCAGGTGTTCCGGAGACCCTGTAACAGGCTTACTGTAACGAGACACATAGATAGATAGCTGGAGCTAGATCCTGCATATCGTCGTGGGTGTTGGATCCCAATATCACGTGACCATATGATACACCATATGTGAAGTAGCAGGCTACCAGGGGTAGCCTACTACGCAGCTGGTGAGCTGGGCAGTAGGAAGGCAGCTACTTTGGGTATAAGTAGCCGTACCTGCTCACATAGTCAGTTAGATCATCATCACACTTGTACCTCAATTCAGAGTTACAACTGTGGGCGAGGGGCCAATGCATGAATGCACACACACTGTAACAGGCGATCGGGAATGGAAGACAGTGCTGCAAGACAAGGTATGACTACCATCAACGTCACCTTGGATGATTGATGATGGAGAGAGAGGAGGGACAATCAAAGTTGGATAGGCTTTGGAATGGATACCAAACAGGATGGACCCAGTACTCTATCTGGAAATAACGTCTGATCATTTTCCAGTTCGGTGGGGAGGATATGACGTCATACATCTGCACTCTGCCACACGCTTATTTCCGTTTATAGTAATCACCCCTCCGTTTATAAACACTCGTGTCAGGTAAACTTTCAAGGTACTCCATACCCACTGTGGTACTAGTTGGAAGAGATCACGAGTACGGAAAAGACTTTCCCCATTACCCTGTATGTTTCATCAGGTCTCCAGCTTGACGTGTAAACCCAGTTTGTACACATATTGATCTGGATCAAGCCGTTGCGCACTACGATATGAATAAGACCATAAATGAATCCCATCCATCTGTTAAGAAATGGAGGCACCTCTTTTCTGAACCCGACGAATTACAGTTCATGTTTTGGGTACCCCAAAGAGGAACCTCTTGACATAATCACGGCATTCACAAGAAGCTGAAGTGACTGCGCTAACATGGCGACATTCCAGGCGGAAGGATACAACGTGGGGGCATATATAGGCCGTCGGATCGAGGAGCTGAGGATTCGGGACTACTTCGTGGTGCCTGGTATATATATTACCTGTTGAAGATCCCCTCTCCACTATGTACTAACCTCTGTTTGGGCGATACCAACCTTACCCTCCTCGACAACCTCCTGAAGAACCCAAATCTTCGGATGGTGGAATGCTGCAACGAGCTGAACACCGGATACGCGGCAGACGGGTACGCACGGTCCTCCGAAGCGAAAGCAGCAGTGGTGGTGGTCCCGTACATCGTCGGTGGCCTCTCAACTCTGAATGCTATCGCAGGTGCCCACTCGGAGCAACTCAAAATCATCGTTATTTCGGGCTGTCCACCGACGGCAATCTTGACCACCGAGAAAGCAACGCATCATACACCCTCACCGAAAAATAAGGACCAGGCCCTGCATGCCTTCCAAGGCGTTACAGCTGCATCAGTCCGCATCGAGTCGGTGCAATCGGCAGCCGATGTAATTGATGACACCATTGTTAAATGTATACAACAGTCGTTACCGGTGTATATAGAACTCCCAAATGACCTTGCCGACGCTCCGTGTCGCTTTCCGGTACCCTTGTGCCGGCAGATCGAGGCCGAAGAGCGGAACAAGAACAACGAAGCAGTGGAGGCTATAACGGATCTTTGGAACTCTTCTCACAGACCGGTGCTGCTTCTTGGAGGCCACCTACGAGTATCGCTCTCGCGCGACACTATCCACCGCCTGGCGGAGACGCTCGGCTGTCCTGTGTTATGTCAGCCAGACGGGCGATGGATGTCGGAATCGCATGAGCAGTATTGGGGCCCCTTCTGGCCAAGCTTACTCAATGCTGAAGGGGAGAAGGTCGTGATGAGCTCAGATCTCTGGATATGCCTAGGAGTCTCATGGTCGGATTTACACAGCCCCTCCATCGACTTTAAGAACGAGAAGCACCGTCTGCTAGACCTCCAATACGACAGGGCTGGTCTACCAAACGGCAAAATCATCGAACCGATAAAGCTTAGCGACCTGGTCTTAGCCTTGATAAACAGCGGCATGAGGAGTAAGACAGAGTCTCTTCCTCATCCCAAGCCGAGCCATCCGGCTTGCATCCAGACGGAGATCAAAAATACCGAAGATCCACTTACAATGATCAGCCTGTTCAGAGGTATCCAGACCATGTTGAAGGAACAGTGTACATTGATTGCAGACACTGGCGATACATGGTTTGCAGCAAGCCATATCAAGCTGCCGCATGGGGCCGACTTCCAAATGCAACTCCCCTACGCCTCAATCGGATGGGGAGTGCCAGCAACCCTTGGGGCTCAGCTAGCTCGCGCCCATCATCGAGTGGTTCTCCTGGTAGGAGATGGAGGCTTTCAGATGACAGCACAAGAGGTCAGCACGATTATCCGGATGAAACTGAACCCGATCATCGTGCTGTTCAATAATCTCGGGTACAAAACCGAGGTAAGCCAAACCTTTACTTCATGGGACCCACCCTAACAATGGTTCTTCAGACCGCAGTGCACGACGGGCCATATAATTACATCGCGAATTGGGACTATACCAAATTAGCTACCTCGTTCCTGGAAGAGCCTCATACACAGCCTCATAATCCATACGCCATCGGCAACGCGGAGAAAGAGAGTGGTATGCCTTTATTCGCTGAGAAGATCCAAACGAACGCGGACCTTCTTAGAGCTATTCGCCGGGTGGACGATGAGGATGAGAAACTCGCCTTCCTGGAGTGTTGTATCCGGCCAGACGATATGACACCAGAGCTGCAAAAGCTGGGAGAAAACGTTTCGAAGGGACTTTCGGACTAGACGGATTTCAAGGATACAGTCCACATGATAGCATCATAGCGTTCCTGGCTCGAGGTAACCGATATAATACTCAGAGAGTGAAGATGTCGTATTGCACTAGATATATACAAGATGAGACTAGGGAATTTGGTCCCTCAAGATGACCCCGCTTCTTAATGCATATATTGAGAATGTTTAGACCACTACTCTTCGTCTAGTTGAATGACATCAAACGCTCAATCATCTTCATCCACTTGGTGTGATACAAACAATGACGGACGCAGAGGAGTCCGACTGGGAAGAGCCACCTCTAAGCGGGCCAGTTTTCGACGAATACACGGAGAGAACAGCTAGAATCCGAGAGATTCACGGTGCTGGTGCCCCCTTATTCCTAAAAGAAAAACTGCGACCTATTAGCAAACAGTTCAAGGATGCCAAGACACTCAGCAAACACGTATAATTGTTCAAGGGTTGTACGGCACTGAGGAAAGCTTTGAGGTGAAGACCGGTATCACAAGGTCTGCGTCAAAGTGGCACAGAACGATGCTGTTAGTCCTTTTTCTGTCGTTCAGAAAGATCCAAGGGCAACGCCAGGAACTACATAGAACGTTTGTGCTTACCTTGGCGGCCATCGCTCCGCCGGTATTAGCACTGTTTCCAGCGTTGCTAAAGCCATTCGCAAACGACTTTTCGGACGAGAAATAGGGGATGCTATAGATTAACGCACACGCTGATATTAACACACCGGATACTAGACCGGCGGGAGGATGCATGAAATGCCAGTGGCGTTTGTTTCTGGCCTCGTCAGATTGAATGAGGAGGGCATCTTTGACTGGCTCGAGGAAATCCATTTCCTTAGCCTGCAAAAGCTTGTATACGTCGGTCTCTGGGATGTTGTCGACGCTGAGAAAGACATTATTGTCAAGTACGGTATCAAGCCTTCCTATATCGATGGCGTGTGGGGGTAAGTTCCGTGATTTTCATACCGTTCTTGCATCCTTCTCCACACACCAAGTAATGGCGCAGACACGGTGTACAACATGGATTCGGCCCTGGCTTATCTTACCCACGAAACACCGTTGCATGTGTCCTATGATATTGATTCCTTAGACCCAGACTGGGCATCATCTACCGGATCTCCTTTGCTCCCAGGTTGACACGGGAGGAGGTATCAATATCAGTAAGCGTCTTTGTGTTAATAGCAACTTGGTCTCAGTGGATTTGGCTGAGATAAATCCACAGGTTGAGCCGTCAAACTTGAGCGTGACGGTTGAATCTAGATTCTCAGTAACCATGAGCGCACGGGGCCTGTGAGAACTATTTTGTATACTATGTACTAGTAGAATCAGAGAGGTAAGTACGACTCGACACCCCATTGCCTGTCGAAGTAGATGATTCGCTAGTTGGAAACCATCCAATAATAAATTCCATAGCTGATAAACTGTCACAGCTACTGATGAGCCTGATGATGATCCCCCTGTACTCTAGCTCCACGTTAACTGTGAGCAGTGACCACGTGGGAATTGGTTTAAAAGCTGGCGTACGCTATGGCCACCTAGTCCGTCGGAAGGGTCGTCTCCGCCGCAGCCATACGGATTCTGACACTGTCCAGCCGCTGCTGACCATTGGCATCGCATCCCTGTTCCTCTAAGCCCTGTAGTGTCGGACTACAGGCTCTATTTGAGAGGGCCAGGTGTTCTTACTTGAAGAATTAATGTTCCTGTAGTTCAAATATGGGTATGGTTTAACAACAAGTGGACAGAATTCTCACTGACATGGTCGCCTTCCCCAGGATAATCGCGTCCGAACCTACAAGCTGCGTATGATGTCATTAAAGGCTTACATATTTGAATAGCAAGCAGCGAGATTGACTGTACCTGATGAACAATCGAGGCATTGCACCTGGTGGTCGTATCAACAAGGGCATGTCCTTGCTTTGATATCCATTTACATATCCGGAAGGTGTTTTATATTAATATCTTGGTTGCGTAAGTTATGGAGTATACTGAAGCTCTTGTATAAGCTTCGAGTACGTTGAGGAGAATCGGAATTCCGGGAAGAGGGCTCAAGAACCTTCCCTCGGCTCTCATCATATCCAGTCTCTGTGCTTGGTGCAGGGCCACGAGTACGAGCTCGTAGACGGGCGTTCAGATATACATTCTATTAAACATTAGAGCGATAGCATTCCTTCACAATGTTGACACTTGTCAGAAGACCACATGTTGAATCCCTAAGGTTCATCGCGGACCTTGGGGGCCGTACAGAAGGTACCAAACCCATGCTTTCTTTTAAGTAGAAGTATGTGTGTAGTACATATGATTTCGCAAGGGGGGCATAAGTCTCGGATGTATGTTAGATAGGAATGTCTGAGGTTTATAATGGGAGGTTGTTGCTACACAGGACCTCATTCAAGCCATATGTGTACAAGTTCACAAATTTGCTTGGTGGCACTGCTCACCGTACGGGGCTTTTTTATTCCCTGGAAACCCTCGTTGGGCGTTTGATCTAATTGGAGAAGGGCCGCTGTGTTCATCAACGTTCATGCTGATGTTGTATTTCGATCGTATTTCATTGAAAACTCCTGTGGCTATCACTGCGTCCGCGCCTTCATGGGCCCCATCTCTAGGCTATATGGTAGGCTATATGGAATGTTAGATACACTTTTGGGAAACTCAAGAAAAGGTCCATATCGCTCCACACGAGACTTCGCAGCAAGTACTGCTAGATGGGAAGGGTCGACGAGCTTCGACAAGTTTGTCTCGTGGGTCATTTTGTGTACAGGCTGCGAATTTGATGAGGGATCTTTTAGTCGCACGCCCGAACAAATAGCCCAGGTGGATGAAGGCTGAGTGTTTGTGAAGAAAAGAAAAATGTGCACCGACACAAGTTCTCAAAACTATTGCAAGTTCATTTGCGTCCTCGGTTTTGCTCACTTACATACTTCTGCCTGGATGTCGGCTGTACTCAACTTCAACGGTAGGGTTCGGCCCACACGCGTGACCAGGCAGTTTAAGCTTTCCCTAAATTTAAGTAGAGACGACCCGGAGCTGCGGAAGTAGAATCTCCAACCTCCACATCGAGACGCCAAACCCTACTAACCGATCTCCGTTAAAGATACCCGTTCAGGAAGGTCACTGAAATCCTTCAGAATGTTGATGGGTCGAGAGTCCTGAAGTAAGAGAAATAGTTATCTCGTGTGGGGCTCTAGAACTCCAAATCTATATCGCCAAGATAAACACGAGATAGCCGGTACTATAAGCCAATTAAACGTAATAAAGCTCTTTGCGTCTTCCTTTCATCCTTACATGGGCCGGTTAGCCGTGATCCTCACCATTAGGTTGCGGGGTTACTCCAACTTCGACATTTGGAGATATGGGGATCTATAAGAGGGAGATGTAGTCAGTCCACCGATCACGCTTTCTAACAAGGTCCAGGTCACCCTGTTTTCAGTAAAACGGCCCCATCTGCTACGCCTTTCTTTTGTCATGTCATCTAGTACCTGGGAAACTGTCGCTGCCGACAAGAGGGCACGGCTGGAGAAGTCCATCCCAGACGAATGGAGAATCAAGTCTCGCCCAATAGAAGGCCCAGCTATTGACTTGCCTGATCGACTTGGAATTCTGTCCTCCGCTGAGCTGAAAATTACAAATTCGTCAGCGACAGAGCTTGTTGCTCAACTATGCGATGGCACACTGAAGGCTGTTGATGTGACACTGGCATTCTGCAAAAGAGCTGCACTGGCACAACAACTTGTAAGTTCGACCTGCCGTTTGGTTGGGGACTATCGGTACTAATGCGATTAGACCAATTGTACGCATGATTTCTTCCCAGAGCTAGCATTAGCGCAAGCCAGAGACCTTGACGCATACTTCGAGAGAAACAAAAAACCGGTTGGTCCGTTACATGGATTGCCAATCTCGTTGAAGGACCAATTGCGGGTAAAGGTACTATAACCTCGTCGCGTTCAAGCATAATTTTCTAAAACAAAGCAGGGAACAGAGACATTTATGGCATATATTTCTTGGTTAAATAAACCCGACACAAGCGATTCAGTGTTAGTGACCCTCTTGAGAAAGGCGGGCGCAGTGTTCTACGTCAAGACGAGTGTTCCACAAACTCTGATGGTTTGCGAAGCTGTCAATAATGTTATTGGGCGAACTATAAACCCAAGGAATCCCAATTTGTCCTGTGGCGGTAGCTCTGGGGGTGAAGGCGCCATGCTGGGGATGCGTGGAAGCCTTATTGGGGTGGGGACTGATATTGGTAGGTTCTTCAGTTTCATTTACCTACATAGGTCGACGAGTGGCTAAAGGTTTCAGGTGGATCTATTCGCGTTCCATCTGCCTTCAACTTTCTATACGGGATCCGTCCAAGTCACGGCCGCCTACCATACGCTGGCATGAAGAACAGCATGGAGGGCCAAGAAACAGTGCACAGTGTCGTCGGGCCAATGGCACACTCCGCCGAGGGTAAGTCCATCATAGATATCTTTCTCTTTGCGTCCTAATACCTTCCAGATGTCAGGCTATTCCTCCAATCTGTTCTTGAACAAGAACCCTGGAAATATGATTCAAAAGTCGTACCACTGCCTTGGAGAAGAAACGAGGAGAATGCCATTAACGCCAAAATCGAGGCGAAGGGCTTGAACATAGCTTTCTATGACTTTGATGGTGTTGTGAGTATCCGCTCTCCCCGCCCTGCATAAGTGATTCACCGTTCTAACTCTTGTAAAAGGTACTCCCGCACCCTCCTATCACTCGTGGAGTGGAGATTGTCCGCTCGGCGCTCGAAAGAGACGGACATTCCGTATCACCTTGGACTCCCTACAAACATAGCTTTGGGGTTGATCTAATTAATAAAATTTACGCAGCAGATGGCAGCACCGTGGGTACTCCTTATCGAAAGCTGTTATGCATACTGACACGGTACAGGATGTATACAAGCACATCAACGCATCTGGAGAGCCAGCTATTCCCAATATCAAAGACCTCCTGAATCCTAACCTACCGAAGGCAGATGTGAATGAGGTCTGGGACAAGCAATTGCAGAAGTGGAATTATCAGTGCGAGTACCTAGACAAATGGCGCGAGTGGGAAGAGCGCACGGGTAAAGAACTTGATGCCATCATCGCCCCCGTCGCACCCACAGCAGCTGTCCGGCACAACAAATTCCGGTACTACGGATATGCATCTATTTTCAACCTCTTGGACCTCACAAGTGTTGTTGTCCCAGTCACATTCGCAGACAAAGCGGTTGATCACGCACTTGTCGATTATCAACCGGTAAATGATATTGACAAGGATGTTCATGCGGAGTACAACCCCGAGGTCTATCATGGCGCACCGGTTGCCGTTCAGATTATCGGAAGGCGTCTTAGTGAGGAACGTACACTGGCGATTGCGGAACATATTGGAAAGCTATTGGGTCACTAAGCGTGTCTATATCCTTATACAGGAGCTTGGTCTTTTGATGCTTGCAAGTGTATGATCCGTTCTTCATAAGGTAGCAAGCTCATACCTCTAGATCTCTTACATCTACAAGGGGACTAGTCTACAACCAATTTACATGTTGCGAATAATGCAACGTCATTCATTTGCTGTCCCCTTGTAAGGTGAATATCAATTATTGAGGATCTACGGACGGACAGCACTCTGCCGCAAAGCCCCACCACTCACGTCTCATATGACCTGTCCATTGTGTATCAAAGCTATTACAGACAATTCAGGAAGAGATCATATCTCCTGACGTCAGGCAATACAATGACTAATAAGTATTATGTGACCATCAGATGCTCCAGGGCGGGTGCGGGCGGCAACTGCGGAGGACATTATCCGCCGTCTCATTGAGAGATATACAAATTTTCCATCAGTCCACATCTCCTTGCTAACAAAAATGGTCCTTCTTATTTTTGTCCTCTTGACCTTGAGGCAGAATCCACCCCATTTTCTGCTCTGAGCCGCTTCTACCCAGTAGGAACATACTCTTTTTCATCGAGCATTGTCGATTAAGCCCATCTCTCAGCCATCTAGCCTAATGTTCTTTGGCTTCAACGTCACAGGATAGTACTTCCTCAAGTGTTATTGCACGCTGCAAGTACGGTCAATTGGATGCATGACAGACTATATATGCTTGTTCTATTTTAAATAACCTTCATTCACTGGGCTGTGCCTCTCCATCCTCCTCACCTTCTACTCTTATATGAGCTTCCTAAATTGGTAAGGTACTCTGTCCAATATATCTAAGATGAGTGGGTTGGTGGTATATTTTCGAGACAAGGACCCCCCAGTTAGCTGTGGGCTTCGTTGCATTAACAAATCCTTACAGTATACAAAGGAAGTTACGATACAATCCCATTAATATGGTATATAATCGCATCCCATTTGCTGACCTGGACCATTCCTACTTAAACTGAGAAGCCATTTGTCCTGCCAAGGCGTTCCTCAATATTTCCACCACTTACCTGCATAAAGTACTTAAGACTAGTACACCCCCAAGTCAGCGCGACTACAGAAGGCCGATTCCCAAATCGAGCATGCATCGAAAGCTCCATACCCACCATACAAGAATAATAGAAACCTACCAAGGGATAGGGTAAGGAGACAAATATCTATCAAGCTAAACACGATAGCCACTACATAACCCGCTACCTACAGTTGTGATGCCGATCGAACAGCCGAACACATAAATAAAGGAACCGAGTATCGAAATCAGCTCATATTTGCTATCCTCCTCGGGTATGTCTCGATGACACGGATGAATGTTGATACCAATAACTACATTGCTCCAAGAATGAAAATATACTAAGGCAATGCTGGAGAGGAATGATGCGATAAAGAACGTAGGCACAAGCTATTGGATTCACTACTGGCCTAATGCATTGCGCAAACGTCGCTCCATATCGCCAACGCACGCGTCTGACCATCTGAAATCGGAAGATGGAAGCTGATTGACCGCCGTGAATAAGAAATTATTTCCACGGAAGAAAGAACAGATGATCAATGAAGGAGGCCACGAGAGATCGACAATGTCCAGGGTCATATGCACCTTGGAGGATGTCCACACTCATATTAGCAGTGCGTCCTTTCTAACTGCTACAGCTTTAATCGCAATTTCGCGCCATACAGAATTACGGAGATCTGAAACAGGCACAATGAGCAACATAGCTATGGCAAGAGACGAAAATCGAACTTCAACCACCGAATTTCCAATTGTCACATTTCACCACCTCGATGTACGTACGTGAGAGAAATCCGAGAGTGGTTATTTGCAGGCCGGAGATCAGGTAGTCAAATACAAACCAACGCCTAGGGAATGTACTGGAACTGGAATACAACACCCTACTGAAGCGAACGGACCTTGGGAAAGGTAATCCATCTCTCCCGACTATCGACACTGCATCAAGCTTGCGGATGGATTAGTCTGGCACAATTAAGATGGATATATGTGGTGTCACGGATTCTAGTAGTTGTGCACAGATGTACGGCCACCAGCTGCCTCTCTATATAGTCCACTGGTTCCCAGCTACATTAGTCAGGCTATCGTGGCCGTCGAAGCCATTCCATGCGACGAATCGACAACGATGCATTGATTTCTCACGAAAATGAGCTGATTCGGGGCTCTATTAAGCCTCTCTTCTAAGTTCAAACTGACGAACTGCTAATTATCGTGAGTACCACCCAATAAGGTCAACCTGCAGGATAAGGATCATCTATTCCCAGATTGGTGGCTATAACAATGAAGCCCTTCGACGGAATCCTTGGATTGGCGGTATTTGGAATTACTGGGAACGCTCTCTGAATGGCATTGACTCTTCACTGCGGCAATACTCTCAGAACCTGCCAGATATCTTCATCCAAAGAATTGCAGATCAGACCATCAAACAACACAAGCATGCTGCATTAATGGTTTCAGTAACAACACTGGAGACAGTTATGAGACCCGTTGAGTACTGTGGGAATAGAAGCTAGATGATGTCATATACGCAGCGAATGATATACAGAACAATAAGTTAACAGTTACATTCGGTACCGCTTCATTGGCTTCATGCATAGCCATGACTGGTTATATAAATGCCGGTGAAACAGCAAAACGCCCAACTAGATTGCGATATCTGTGATGTTAACCCATGGAATACCTCCATTGCAGCCAGGCTCACGTTATACTCGAATATGATCTCAGAAGCCGAACTGAAATAGCAGTAGGGCCACCAATTGGGGGTACACGCAAAAGGGCGTGGTACTGACGACAAATAGTCAGGGAGTCTTCATGGCCACACTAACATTGGGTTGCTGAACAATCTTCCATGAGAACATCAATGACGAAAAGCACGCGATTAGCTCTAGTTTTACAGGCCATATTCATCGTATATATCATTTGGCAGCTTGAGCGATCTCACCCATCACGACAGATTCTACTTGGGTGATAAATCAAATTTCCATCACTATTGAGGCCTCTAGAAATACTTCGACAAGTTCATAAACCAAGTGAGGGCATAAAGATATCATGTGTGCGACATAGTTAGGTACACTTTTACTTATCTAAGCTTATCCTCAAGTCCTAGATCCCTACATGTGGCGGACAGGATCCTGACATTAGTTCTCCAGCCCTACAAATGTCACCTTCCCAAGAGATTCTAAGCGATGAAACCCTCGCAAAACTACGCAAAAAGGGAAAAAAGAAGAGAGACAAAAAGGTCCCATATCTAAGTTAACCTCTATCGGCTGGATTCGGAAGTTACAATCGTTGAAATTTCCCAGGTTGAGAATCCTTCTTGTGTCGTTCAAACTTCCACCCACTTTTGCACTTATTGCTTCGACTCCACCTGGATTAATTGGCATTGGATGGATACTTTGTTCAGGAAGTATGGATACCCCAAGGGACCTATCACGGCGATTTCGCTTAGGTAAAAGAAACTGCAGACGCAGGGTCGTATTCCTGTAAACTATATATAACATCGTATTATTCCCTACGGAAGGCGTGCAGGATGCACTTCTGAGCTCAAATAGATTAAACACTTTAACAATGTGGACTATGGCCTAACAGTAGTTGCTCTAGTAGCATCTTGGCGGTTCCTTGGGACGCCAATAATGCGTTCTTCGCTGTCCATACCTTTCATAACAGATAATGCAATTTGCTAATTGATATGTCATCCAGAGTCACTGCTGGACGATCAATGATCTGAACACTCATGTATATTCTTTGCTTCTGCGTGATTCTAGTCGGAGAGGCCGAGGCAAGGTGCTGGAAATCCCACTTTGCCCGGACACCATGGGCAGGCAACCCGTTCAGGAAATTGCGTGAACACTGCCAAAAGGTGTTAGGACACTGCGGGTTTTAGACTTGTTAGCGCTAGCTTTTACTTAGCCTGACGAAAGCTTCAGTCACTTGGTAAGTGCGTAACTAATATTTTTCTCAGTGGAGTTCCTGGACAGAAACCGCAACGCACTGCTATGCTCCGCTCCGCAACCGTAAGTAAAGTAGCATCCCCTATAACCGCACTAGTGCAGTAACATTGTGGATTTCCTTCGTTATACTCCGTAACCCAACGTCCATGACTCGGTCTCGACACAGTTAGGACAAACTGCCAATCCTTACCAGCACGATTCCAGTTTCCGGCCCGGTAGATCAGGGATCTTAGTCGCCACGCTGGCAGTAGCTTAACCATATATTATGGTTCACGTCCCCATGTCCCCTTCCCACCGTTCGGGGTATCAAAAAGGTGAAAAGAACAACACTCGGTATTGACCGGCCATGGGCTCTTCGACTCACTCCACGAATAGCATCTCCATCATGGAAGAAAGATTGGCCCTCGAACGTCGGAGGGAGCGGAACCGGATCGCCCAGCGGAAACATCGTACAGAAAGCCCTACCCTCCCATCAGAGCGTAATCCAACTAACGTGAGATTTAGGTGAAAACGCCAAGCTAGGTACAAAGGTCACAAGATCCCGGGAGCAGAGTAGCGAATGCAGCAGCGCGAAATCCCTCCTCCCCGAACAGCCCAGCAGGTGTACAGGGTACACCACCAGCCAGGAAGGCCTGCCCTTTTCAGCCTTCCTAGGCTCAGGCGTAGATTATAATCACAATCTGGACCAAATAACTACCGAAAGTCTATTCTCAGACATGCTGCTCGCCTCGCAATCTTCAGAATACAACTACAGCCACCTTGACCATGCATCCTCCCCGGTGGTGCCACAACTGCCACCGTATACCATAGATGCAGGGTTCACGACCAACCCGACCAAACGTGAGTCGTGCATCGATAATTATCAATTCCCCAGTCCGTACATCCAGCCTGACCGATCGTCTCCGACAGCTACCTTACCCTCCAGCCTGTGTGCTAGCTGCCACGCCTGCGCCAACCCACAGCTCTTCTCTCATCCTTCACTAGCTAATACACCCACTCGCCCCATCAGCCAACATAAAGATCGCGACCCGAGACCGGGAGCCCTCGGACCCCACACCTGGACCACCCCCCTCCATATCTCCGTCACCCGCGGACATCTCTCCGCAGTCCGCTTGCTGCTGGACCGCGGCGCCGATCCCAATGCCATCGACGGCGAGGGCTCCACAGTCCTTCACACGGCCGTCCGCGCCGGCCACCATACGATCGTGCGCGAGCTCCTTCGGTATAATGCAGATCCGAGCTCCGTCGACGCCGCAGGTTGGCTACCGCTACATTATGCGGCCGAGGCGGGGGATGAAAATTGCCTTCGAGCCTTACTTCAGACCGGTGGGGAGTAACTTACAGAGTATAGCGTAAGCGTGAGTCAGGCGTTTCACCTCATTGGGAGCCACACTAGAGATTCATTTGTAGATCAGCGGGTTAACTTTTCCGGGAATAAGACTGGGCTGGCGCGGGTTTTCTTTTCATTATTATTGCCATATTGTTTCAAAGTTTTTTCTCTAGTCAAGCAATTGTTACTAGTATGCATGGTGGGGGCGCCATAAGCGCTAGCTTTTGATGAGCACTTCCGGAACAAGGACCTGACGAATATGATCTAAGAATATCCGTAGCCAGATTTCGATTTTGCGCTTGCATGCAACACTAGACTATTTAGTATAGTTTTCTTTACTATGGATCGAGCACGGGTTTCCATGATTTAGTATTGATCTCGGAATTGACTGGTCGGCTTGGCCTTCTAGCGTATGCATACTTGTTTCAGGATAGTTTTCATTCCTTTTTACCCACTAGGGCCACTAAATCTACCACACAGGCTGGACACTAGATCGATAGGGAAAATAACAGTGAAAATAATATTGGAAATAACCTGCTTCTACAGTTGAAATGACCTGGGATTCCATTCTTTGCAGAAGACGTATAGTGGGCTCACTTATAACCCCTAAGGGAAGTCGAAGCAGTACACTAGGACGCATATGGCCTTGGTTGGTAATAAAATCTTGCACACATCGTGCTTCGTGGGGCCGGAAATCTAAATGAATTCATTAGTGCATGTACTCCCTATGCCTGATTGTCACTCCTCCGTACCCTAAGAAAGAAGGGAAAAAAAAAAAAAAGAGATCGCAGGGTCGCCGCCCCGTTAGGTCGCGTACAGCTGCAGGCTTGGCAAAAGGGATCATCAATAGGGCGCGTAAAGATTTGGTAACCCCGTTGGCTTACGCGACAAGAGCCTTGGCGAGCAAAGAGTGAGAATGAAGTCAAGTTAGGTCGAAGAGGGTTCTTTAGGGCACAAGAGCTGAAGCATTTCCCTAGCGACGGGCGGACCCGCCGGAGGTGTTCATCCTGCTCCGCCATTGGTGCGCAGGCGCCACCGCCAAGGCGGAATGTCCCACCATGCAGACTGGTCTAGACTGTATGAGGGAATATGATGCCATCCATCTAATCAACGCGAAATATACGAAGTACTCCGGTTGACCCCGGTAAGAATGTTAGTACGGGCGGGCCTACAAGGATTTGAATCTTTTGGAGAGGTGAGGTCCTCAAAGCACTGCCTTACTAAAAAAGACTAGTTTTGAAGCTAAAGAGACCTCCGATATAGCCACCCTTGTGAGATTTGTAGCAGTAAGCCACTGCTAATATGGCTATATCTGAGCCTAGCACCCCTCCAGAGATGCCTCCAGAGGCTTCTCAAGAAAGCCAGAAATCCCGATGGCTTAACCGCGATGATCGAATTCCTATTTTAACTCTACGAGATACTGGGTTTACCTATCAACAGATCTGCTCTCGGCTTGGATTTACCTATTGCTATGTTCAATATATATGCCAGAATGAGCAAATGACTCCTCGAAAGCCTCCTGGTCAGTGTCTAAAACTATCTGAAGAGAATATAGTTTATATTATTGCTTTTATTACTTCATCAAAACGCACGTGCCGGTTATCATATAAAAAAGTTATTGAAGAACTTGATCTTCCTTGTAGAGAGACTGCCCTTAGATGTCAGGCAGTTATAGAGGCAGAAGGTGGCCATACAGAATATTAGATAGATTAGTCATTCGATAATTCTGGCAGAATCCAAAGGATTCAAATCCTTGTAGGACCACCCGTACTAACATTCTTACCGGGGTCAACCGGAGTACTTCGTCGATACGATCTGCTACCTAGGTGACGTATGTATCCATATATATCGAGGGGATGTATAAATTAGCTAATTCATACATCTAAGCACGAATGTATTGTTCATCAGCGTTGTTCATATTGCAGAGAATACAGTTCCACCAAAGAGTAATACAGTACACCGGGCAAATTTCATAAATTATACTTCCGAGTCCATTTATCATAATCAACTCCTCCGTGAAACCCAGTAGAGCCGAGTATCAGCCGAAGCAGGCGAAATTCTTAAAGAGGAAAGTAGCAACAACGGTCGCGTAGAGCCGTAGAGTCACCGCGGGGATTTGGGACCCGGTGTTGGAGTACATGGCCTGTGCGTTGTCGTTCGTACAGATCGCGACTTGATTCTCGAATAGGTTAAACCGATTTGGAGGCATGCTCCCGGATCAAGCTTTTGTCTAAACCAAAACAGACCTGAATTACCGAGTCTGCAGGATTTATTTCATGAAACTGGGCGCAGGACCCACCGGCGACTGTCATATCACCTCTTGGTCTGAGAGTACAAGGTACGCCTAGATCAGCCCCAGTGGTATCAGTAATCGGCCTGGCGCCTAAGATGTCCATGGTCGCTGACCGAAGGCCCACATGGTCGCTGACCGAAGGCCCACGTGGAGAAGCGAGGCATCGACCGATATTCCACGTTAAGTTAGCAGGGGTATAGATGATTACTAAGATAGCACCGTACTGCATAACTTTCGTTGGAAGCGGTTCGACGATCCTTAAGACACTAAACTATTGAAAGTGGGCCAGAACATAATCATCACATGGGGCTGAGGGCGCCGATCACGGAATGACAGACGGTACACATATGTGTCAGAGTCCCTCCTTGGCTAAGGAGGATGACCGGTGGCGATGGTGAGTCCTGCGCCATACAGTTGTACCGTACCGATCCAAAACGAATAAAGGGCGCGGCGGCCAAGCGAACGATTCCACTGCCATGACATGGATAAAGCGATGATTGGCTGTCAGGATATGCTTGAAGTGCCTGAAAATCCTTGTCTTTTCTAAGTATCACGCAGATGTCGTGGCGAGGATTTCTCATGCCCTAACCCGCCATACATCCGGAGTCAATGACGTCGGCTTATTCGACATCAATGGTTGGGGATTACGATAGCCCGGAGAGAGGTAGTTGAAGCGGCTTGCGGGGTAAAAGTGAAAAAGAAAATCAAGCCGGTCGCGCCCAGACACCCGAAGCGTCCAGGGGTAGTGGGACCATGTCGGGCTGCCAAAATTGACCAAAGTCGAGACCCTGCAAAGTGGGCACTTCCGCGACTAACCCTTCAAGCCAGGACACCTCGTCGGAGCTGGGAATAGTTGCTCGGATCGGTGAGTCAGCGCCGGATGGCTGGTGGTGATCCTCTAATAGCCCGCTGAGCAATTTGGTGTCCGCATGTCTGCGTCGTTGGTAGAGAAGAATCAACAGGCACGCCGTACCGTACGCCTCGCGCATGGTCTCGGTATCGTAGGTAACAGCAACTAGTCTAAGGGTCTGCATCGCGTCCGGTAGAAGCTCAAGGGAGGCACTCGTGTCCATCTCGAGAAGAATACTAATCATCTGAAACGGCACATTGGCCACATGTTGCCAAGGGCAACAATCAGACAACATTCGCCGAGCAGCCCCTAGGCTTCGTTTGAGTTGTTCCATGACTCGTTCCATCGTGGCTGGAGACGTCACAAGGTTTCTCATATGAAGGCGTCGCAGCAAACAGAGGACGAGATTGCACTGAGCCAGAACGGATGGTGGTTGCGTATGACTCCGGCTCAATGTTTGCAATAACAACTCCTCGATCTCCTGGTCCTGACGCAGATTCTCCGGACCTAGGCTCGTAGAAAGCGGCAAGAGACCGAGAAGTTCTACCGTAAAATCACCAGAGCTCGGTGCCGGAAGGGTCACTGTGTCATGAGGGAAAGAAACCCTCGAAAGGCCTAAGTCGTACGAGATCCAGAGATTCTGATGTTGGGCCACTCCGATCAACCGTCGCCTGGTATCGGGATCACATGACTCGTATAATGCGTCCTGATGGAGCTTCGACGCTTCGATCAAATGCATTAAGGTGGAGCTGGCGATCCACGTTGGGTATGGCGGGGCAGTCATGCGCATATAAATCACTCGAAGCACCCATGTGGTGACCACATCCACAGATGGAGCCGCAGAGCCGATGTGTGTATCCGCGATCGAACGGGCCAGTTCCACCAAATGCGCTTCGGTGACATTTATAGTAACTTCTGAGAATAGCAATCCCAGAGCAGCGACTCCCGCAAGCACCCCGTCATAAGTATTGTCCTCCGCAGACACCCGCCAACGGGCCTCCAGGCGACGAAAGAAAACGGAGGAATCGATGAAGCCATAACAGGGGTCGACCTTAGCGAAGTAGATATTGGCTAGAGCCTTCATATGGGTAAGCGAGAGAATATCGATAATTGGCATAGGTAAGACGGTGGTTAGACCGGGCGGGGGTTTGCGCCTTCCAACATTCCACCCGAAGAGGTTCAATTTAGGTGCGTTTGCCGGATCCATCTTCAGACCAATCTTTCTCACAAACGCTGCGCCTGAGTTCGCCTCCAGCGACTCGGTGTAGGAGCTTGCATGTCCGGGACTGGGCTTGGTTTCGTGCATGAGAGGTGGATCCGAAGGTTTCTGCTGTCGCACGCGTCGTTCACTGTGGTAGTGACATTGATATCCCCAGCTGGTGCAAGTTGAGCACGGAGATTCTCCATTACATTTTCTTTTCCGCTCGCGACACGGTTCGCAAGCAAAACGAGAACGTTTGCGCTTTGAAGCAGGAGGGTTACTGGCCATGGTGCAAGTCAAGTATCATAAGTAAATAAACAAGGATGAATAAATAAGAAGCGGGGAAAAAACGAAGGCGGTCGGTATGAAGGCGGTAGACAAAAAGGAAGTATGGGGCGGACGGCGGAAGTGGCTGTTCCATTCCGCCCGGAGTTACCCGAGCATGTGATCTAATAGCTGACTCAGTGGATCATGTGACACTCCTTACCCGAACAACAACTATTTGTTATGGTTGAAAAAGTATGTACAGGCATCCATGATATCCCCACCCCGTTATGGCTCAAGTCTTGACTTCCCTCGCAGCTGTGGCCCATACTTCTTAAACAGCAGTGGGATAGGAATCATAATGGCCGCCAAGCATCCAATTAGGGTCCCTGCCCACTGCACCCCAAGGTTCTTGAACATCTGCTTGGCAAAAAGCGGGAACCCGGCAGCGACGCTGGATCGGAGAATAATGTTCGCCGCGACGGTTGATGCAGCTCTGTGCAAACAGTCAGTACACCATAACCCAAGACAACTGAACATTACCTACAGGGGAAGGAATGAATCCACCAGATAGTTGAAGCATGGAAGAAAAATACACAGAATTCCAAAGCCGATCAGAACCCCCGAGGCGGTTGGGACCATCCAGTGAATATTGGGGGTGAAGGCTGTCCAGCTGAACCTGTTTGCTGTGTCAGTCAAACGTCTCATGAAGTCTCTCCTTGGCATCTACTTACCAAAATACTCCCACGGTAAAGATGGGTGCACCGATAATAGCCGGGGGCAGGCGCCATTCAGGCACAGGAACGTTTTTGTTGGCAACCAGCTTCTGCACATAGACAGATTGCTGGGAGAGCACAAATCCACATGCACAGACCAGGCCAATGATAAGGCCAAAAAAGGTAAGGCCAGCCTCTCCTGGGTTCATCCCATACACGGACTCGAATACATAGGGGTAGGCGACAAGGAGCGCATAGACAAGCCCATAAATGAAGGACATATAGAGCGAGATCACCAGGATGATCGGCTCGGTGATCAGCATCCTCAATGGGCGTGTAAAATACTTTTCCAGTAGCTCTTGGAAATCAACCTTAACCTTCTCCTGTTTAGCATGGATCCCCCAGTTGGACGTCTGATGCCGGATAGCTTCGGCTTTAGAGATGAGCAGGATTGGGGCATAAGTCTCTTTCACAAACAAGATGTTCAGGGCGGTCATCGCAAAACCCATAATAGCAGGAATATAAAGGGTCCATCGCCAGCCGAGATAGCTGGAGGAGATAAACCCCCCAACAAATGGCCCAATAAATGGCCCCACAAACACCGCTAAGGAGTAGACAGTGATCGCGGGGCCACGGTGGGTATTATTAAAAAGGTCCGATAGCACGGCAGGAACCACAGAGAGCTGGCTAGCCCCAAAGAGACCAGCAAAGAAGCGACAAATGATCACAGTCTGAATATCTTTCGCCACAGCGGACGCAATGCTGAACACTGCGACCCCGAACATACCTACAGTCAATGGCCATCGTCTGCCTATCAGCTCGGACGAGGGGGCCCAAATCATAGGACCGGATGCAAAGCCCAGAACAAAGAGCGTCGTACCAAGTATCCCAACCTCAGAGCTCACCCCAAAGGCCGTGGCAACACCACCTGTCCCCGGCGCAAAGATGGCACTGGCAAAGGATGCGACAAAGGTTCCAAAGCAAACGATGACAGAGATGTACAGTCTGCATGCCAAGGAGAAGGTGAGCGGGGGGTCGGGGCGATTGGGGGGTTCACATACTTAGCGGAGAACTTCCAATTATAAGGATGTTCTGGATCTTCCGGGCCGTCAAATGTCACAACATAATCTTCTAAGTCTGGTAGAAGCGGCGGGAAAGCCTTTCCTTCCCCCATGGATAAAGTAGTCTCTGGGCATTTCTCTATCTAGGTGGAGTCGGCCATTAGTCTAGGTCATACGCAGTTCCATTGTGAATGAGTACTTACCTGTGCCTCGAGATTGTCATTATCTGTAGTGTTCCCTGACTCCGAGCGTTGGTCCTCGCTTTGACCCCATAATGGAAGACTCATCTTGCGAGGGTCGTGCTTAGAGGGCGATATAAAATTCTTGATACTAAACGCCTCCTTTGTTTAACCAGCAATCAAAGAAGAGACATACCCTTCAAGATGAAACGAAATAAAAGCCAAGACAGTAGTAAAAGTTACCTTGACAAGAAAAACTCATAGGGTATATAATATTACTAGGGTCAATTGCATGGTCCATACGAAGAAATGTATGTGCACGCCAGAACGCCGCGGAGGTCTCGGATATTGCGGACATTGTAGCGCAGGGTCCAAGTCGATCATATCCCAAGTTACAGAGGCGCATTGTGATGGTTTTGTGTCCGCAATAGCCGACTGGCTACTCGTGCTAAAAATTCCAGCGTATTGATTCCTATGTGGGATATTGAAACGGTAGTAACGCAATACACACACAAAAAAACACAAAAAAAAAAAAAAAAAAAAAAAAAAAAAAAAAAAAAAAAAAAACACAAAAAAAAAAAAAAAAAAAAAACGGAAGGACGGGGAAAAGAAAAATGTTTGCCTCCCTCAGATCCAACATGAAAACATATTCCGAGTCGGGCTCACGAGATACACCTCGAGTGAGCTAGTTGCTTCATCATTCTCAATATATTTTGGAAGGCAGGGATCTGTAGACCAGCGTAGCTATCTATGTGTAATACTTGCTACATTGGTGCATTTTTAGACAGTTAAAGTCCTTTTGCGAGTTAATGCTATCTGAACGTTTGCTGGTAGGTCAGCGAAAGTCTATTAACAATCTCAGCTACAGCTAGTATACATGGATATATATTAATATCATATACTCTCAATGCCCCTACTGTTCGACTGAAAAGTCCCATTGTCAAACAACTTAACCTTCTATTTTCGTGATACACATTAACATATATATTAGATACCGTATCACCAGGTCGCTCAAAGGCTTACCCACCCTGAAAGGAGATATTTTGCAGTATTTGCCAAAGGCAATATTGTCATTGGGGTGAAGCAAATGCTAATATCTTGGACCTCATAGAATGATAGTCCTAGAACGAAACACCGAGGTACAATGCTATTTGATGAAGACGTTGGGTGGTTGGAAACCTCTAACCGGCGAAATACTGCCTCGAAGGCACCAAAACGGGGAACAACAGAGATGAAATTAGGTGGAAGGAGGGCACAGGACCGGGAATTTATCCACAAGGTGATCGAGCTGTTTGATAGTAGGGAAAGGGGAAGATAGGTGGTCTCCGTGGTGCAAAAGTCAGTAACCTCTCATCACCATACCTTTGTTCATATACCGTTCTTGTACACAGACAAAGCTTCTCCAGTCATCATTGAGAAACTCACACAGCAGGCCATACGAGGGCTAGCCATACCGCGTTAACGGCCACTACCACTACAAGAGGACCTCATGGACATCTTGTATTAGGGCCATGCAGGCCTATCCGTATTATTCCCGGTTTGCTGCACACTAATATATTAGCCAATATGCCTAACTATTGAGGTTGGTTACTGTGGCCAGCTGTGGTGGTGTGCGCTACTATGAGCAAAATAAATTAGATCAATTACATTAGTATCACGCATTACGTCAAAGTTTTGCAGTCATGTGTGTACTCCGCGTGAAGAAAAACTTGAGAAACGAGAAAGAAGCAAGAAGCAAGAAAAGTATCGGAGTCAAAAGAAAGGAGGGCTTGTAAAAAGGCTCTCGGAAGTCGACAACTTTCGTCAGTGTTGGTGGCGCCGCCACTCCGCCAGGCAAACTCTACTAGCCAGAGTCAAACCACTAACATTCCTCCAGTGCAGGGCAGCTGCATGGAAAGTATGTCAATTAGGTTGTGCAGTTTCCCGTAATAGCCGGAAGGCGTGGTCTTGGCTGAACTTCTGCCGGCTGATTCATTGTGCATGTAGATCTTGCTGCTGCGTGGTTTCTGCCAGTCTTCAAAAGGCAAGAGTCCATATATTACTACTCACCATTACCCTCGAAACTAGAAATTTATGTCTGGACAGGTAACTGAAGAGATTTGGATAGACAGTACTTGACGAAAAAGGAATCAGATAAAAAAAACTTGCAAATATCTGCCGGCCATCCCGCAAATGGTAACAATCTGACCTGGGGAGGAAACGGGGCGTTTGTTTTGAACCTGAAGCGCGCAGGCTGAGTAGTGGGTACATTAGAAGCAATAGTGGGATAGCAGCCGGTCTAGAATGTATATTGTTTTGCACTACTCAGCGGCCATGGCTAGCAGCCACGGTGGATTAATGACATGCATAGGTTACTTGGCAAGGAATACCTAGGCATTACGTATGCACCAATGGATAACCTTGGTCTAGGATACTCAAAATACTCTGCTCTCGAGGCATTAGGACAGATATGGAGTTAAAGGGCATGTGAATAGCCCGGATTTGAGATTCTACTGCACTGTCAAACTTCTACGGAAGATCTATCCAAATTTGTCTGATAAGACTTGAAGATCCTAGAGTTAATAAGATCTATGCTACTACTTTTTCAGTAGTGTCATGCCCAACATGTACTGTCATAGTGTGTCTGCATAGTCATAGTGTATGGCCCACAGCCTTACCCGCTATAGTATGCAGGGCCGAAGAGCCTAAATTCTGTATTTTTCTCTAGACCCACCAGAAATTCAGACTGAGAAGTCTGGTTGTCATATATTGACATTGCATGCAAACGATGACAACTGCATTGTCACAACGCCTGCATGGATTCTGGAAATCACGAAAGCCTATCCTAATACAGTGTCTCAAACTGGGTACGCTCAGCCATCAGCTAGATGTAGACGCACAATACATACTCCGTCAGGTTCTCCAGTATAAATGGAGTACGCCATTCAAGTGATTGGTTTCCTCCGACTCCTTCCAAATCTACAGATCACCCCACTCGATTGAGTATATAGACAAGCTTGACATCTACTTAGCGACCTTGCCTTTGACTCACTCATCTCTCACGGACGCCAGATCATAAGTGCAAAATCTATCATGAAGTACTCCGTCCCATCCGTTCCCACAGGGACTACCCATGCCCACGTTGCCATTGTTGGTATGGGACCGCGCGGAACCAGCTCACTGGAACGCCTCTGTGCCTCCGCTCCAGAATTCCTCACAGCAGGCGCGCGGCTAACAGTCCACGTCGTCGACCCTTCTCCGCCTGGAGCTGGCCGTGTCTGGCGTACCGAGCAGTCATCAGAGCTGCTGATGAACACCGTCACATCTCAGGTGACTTTGTTCACTGATAAGAGTGTGGTCTGCTCAGGTCCTATCCGCGAGGGACCGAGTCTGTATAAATGGGCATCTGCTGCCAAACTTGGGCTGAGCCCTGACGACTACCCAACTCGCGCCGTGTACGGACACTATCTGGAATGGGTGTTCAACAAAGTAGTGCGCGAGGCCCCTCCTGAAGTCGAAATCGAGGTGCATGCTTCCCGCGCAGTGCGCCTAGAGAGCGCTGCCGACGGCCGCCAGACCCTCACCCTCTCTACCGGCCGTACTCTACCCGGCCTCGCCGCTGTGATCCTCTCCCAGGGCCATCTGCCACTACTCCCAGACCCTGAGCAGCAGCAGCTCGCCGTATATGCTAGGCGTAACGGCCTGCGTCATTTCCCCCCCTCCAACCCAGCGGATGTCGATCTCTCCTCTCTAAAGCCCGGTGAGCCGGTCTTCCTGCGCGGCCTCGGCCTCAACTTCTTCGACTATATGGCCCTCTTAACCACTGGCCGTGGCGGTCACTTCACCCGCACATCCCACGGCCTCCGCTACCACCCCTCCGGCAACGAGCCCCGCCTGTACGCCGGCTCCCGTCGCGGCATCCCATACCAAGCTCGTGGTGACAACGCTAAGGGCGCCTACGGTCGTCACTACCCCCTGATCATCACTGAAGAGGTGATCAGCGACTTCCGCAAGCGCTCTGAATCCGGAAACGCCCCAGACTTCCTCACCGACATCTGGCCGCTGGTCTCTAAGGAAGTCGAAACAGTCTTCTACGAAGCCCTCTTGAAGCAACACGGCAAGGAGACGCCAGAGTTCCGCGATCGATTCCTCGCCGCCCCATATCAGAGCGCAGAAGAGGCTGATGTCCTTGAAGACTTCGGTATTACGGAGGAAAATCGCTGGTCCTGGGAACGTATCTCTCGCCCTTATGGCGAGCAGAGATTCACAGCCGGTGTCTGGCGCGACTGGCTTCTTGACTACCTGCGCGAGGACGCCAAGGAAGCCTCCCTCGGTAACGTCGATGGCCCCCTCAAGGCTGCCTTAGATGTCATGCGCGATCTGCGCAACGAGCTGCGACTCATCGTCGATCACGCGGGACTGTCAGGCGAATCGCACCGCGACCACCTCGACCGCTGGTACACGCCTCTCAACGCCTTCCTGTCCATCGGACCCCCTCGTCAGCGTATCGAGCAGATGATTGCCCTGATCGAGGCAGGCATCCTGGACGTCGTTGGTCCCCGGCCAAACGTCTCCGCCGAAGACGGCGCTTGGGTTGTGCACTCCCCCGATGTCCCCGGGTTGATTGTCCGTGTCACTACGCTCATTGAAGCGCGTCTACCAGAGCCGAACCTCAGAAACACGGCTGATGATCTCCTCTCTCACCTGCTCAAGTCGGGCCAGTGCCGGCCCCACGTTGTCGACGGTCACGAAACTGGTGGTCTAGACGTGACGAATGCGCCGTACCATGTCATCGACTCGAAGGGTCGGGCGCACCCGAGACGGTTCGCTGTTGGTGTTCCCACGGAGGGCGTGCACTGGGTTACTGCAGCTGGCGCCAGGCCGGGTGTCAATTCGGTTACTCTTTGCGACACTGATGCTGTGGCGCGGGCTGCGCTGAATGCAGCAATGCGTGAGACGGGAGTCACACAACAACCGGCGGGTGTCAAGTCCTGGTCGAATGTTGAAGTTGCGGAGGTTTCAGTGTTTGAGGTAAAGACTTGAAAGAAAGGTAAGAGTGTTAATGAATATCTACGAATTGTGCATAAAAGAATATGAATACTAGAGATATCAGTTTGAAAAATGCAGTTATTAGAAACTTTAGATGCTATGACATGTTGATTGCGGGTTAGCTGAGTAGTGTTCCTCAATAGAATCCTCGATACATGAAAACCAATAGGTTTCATGCTAACCATCACCTTATTTCCTCTTTGGGGCTTTCTCTATTCATCACTGTGAATAATTAATGATAGTATTGAGCATCGCTTGAAGTAATCCTGTGTAATCCTGTGTTGTTCTCGAATACATCGGTACTGTACCTAGTACTTCATATGTTAGCCAGAATAATTTGATGCTTCTATTCATGTCCTTTGATCCATTTATCGAGATTATTTGATAGGTAATAGCTATCAACAGATACTGGCCAACTCTTACCAAGCGTCCATAAGACGGGTAGAGAAAAAAGAGGCAAGAGAGGGAGGATTGCAAGCACGTAACAATAAACGGTCTACATTCTCGTAGGTATCATAAAATCAAGCATCACCTTTAGTCTCTGGTCGCTTGTATTCACCCTTCTCCACCATTTCGTTGATCGTCTTTTCCGTCACCATCATCGCCTCGACACCTGCCGGCGTACCACAGTAGACCGTGGCATGCAACACGGTCTCCCTAATTTCGAGCTCGGAGACGCCGTTATTGATAGCGCCGCGAGTGTGCAGAGCCAGCTCCAGCCACGCTTTCTGGGCGATGATTATGCCCAAGGCTAGCGCATGCGTTAGTAGAAATCACGGATATTAGGGCGACTGTAGAAGATTGATGAGAGGAAATAATCCCGAGAAGTCCACATACTAAGAAGACTGCGCTGCTTCCGGTCCAGGCCTGGCCGCTGCCAGACATTGCCCCAGGCCCACTCCGTAATGAGCTGTTGTCCGGGCCGCGCGAAATCGCTGGCGTTGTTCCACGCGCGGTTGACGTACTCGTTGCCGAGGACTTCCCGACGCATTCTCAGCCCCTCCTCGAGGAGCTGCTGGTGCAGTTCGTCGTACTTAGTGTCAGCGGACATGATTGAGAGGATTGAGTAGTTGGAAGAATGTGACTCGGGATTGGGGTGGGATTGGCTATCAGTGCTCTAATATCTTCAGTCTTGCATGAGCTGGAAATCAAGCCCTATTTCACATGGTGCATCTTCCAGCCCCGAGTAAATTCCGGATGGATCCACTGTTGAAAAAAAGAAAATTAAAAAAATTTCCATCACATGCAGCAGATGACGATAATTATGGTTTATGACATTGCAGGATCTTGGCTCGGGTTGTAGTGGATCCAGAGTGAAGTGATATTAAATATCTTGGAAAGTCCCCGCAATATCCGATCCGACCCTTAAGATTGATCTCCGCAGTTCCCGCAGTTCTTTCGCCATTTCCGAAACGTCGTCACGTCCTTGACAACTCGGAGTCATAATACCCCCTTTACCGCATAGGATAACCTGGTAAATTAAAGAGACAGGGAAAAAAAAAAAAAGGGAAACAAAAATGTCGCAAGCACTGCGCCTCGCAACGAGTCTCTCTCGCGCCTACCCATGGGTCTCAAGCCCCTTCATCGTGAGCGCGCCAATGCGTGTAATGTCCGGTCCGGCGATGGCAGTCGCTGTTTCGCGCGCAGGCGGACTGGGTTTCCTAGGGCCAAGTGTGAAGACACAAGATATGATCAAAGATCTTGAGGAGATCTCTGCACTGGTACACGATTTGCGTAAATCGTCGTCCGCATTCTCAACATTGACTTGCACCCTGCCAGTTGGCGTCGGCTTCCAACTCTGGAGTGATGACCTCGAAACCGCGATTTCGGGGATCCAGAAGTTCAAACCATGCGCGGCATGGCTGTTCGCTCCACGGAACGGTCAAACTGACTACGACAACTGGTCCCGTCGGATTCGCGGTGCGTCGTCCCAGACTCAGATCTGGATCCAGATTGGCACCCTTGCCGAGGCAAAGGGCCTCCTGAAGGGGTCTGAGCGACCCGATGTAATTGTCGTCCAAGGAGCTGATGCCGGTGGTCACGGTCGGGCAAAGGATGGGCTGGGACTTATTACGCTTCTCCCGGAGGTCATTGATGCGCTGGCAGGAAGTCAAATTCCTATCTTTGCTGCAGGTGGAATTGCTGATGGGCGCGGGGCGGCAGCGGCTCTATGTCTTGGCGCTGATGGAGTGGTGATGGGAACGCGATTCTTGGCCTCAGAGGAAGCGCGTATCAGCCGTGGATATCAGAATGAGATCGTCCGGGCTTGTGATGGAGCCGTTGCTACCACGCGCACGCTACTTTACAATCATCTTCGCGGTACGATGGGCTGGCCCGAGGAGTATAGCCCGCGCACAATTATCAACCGGAGCTTCATTGAGCACCAAGAGGGGCGGTCATTTGATGAACTCAAGAAGGACCACGATGAAGCTCTTAAGGCTGGGGATGCTGGTTGGGGACCGGAAGGCCGGCTTGCTACCTATGCAGGTGCATCCATTGGTTTGATTCATGGCGTGAAAGACGCTGCGACCATTGTTCACGAGGTTCGGGAGGGCGTCCTGGAGCGCTTCTCTGCTGTGGGGAAATCCAACTTATAAGTCGTAATCTCCAGCTCTTATCATTTGAACCTGATTGGTACCAGGGCAAGATCTTATCATGTTACTATGGCTGGCCTACGAAGATTAGATATCGTTTCCTGATAATAAATTGCGCGTCACATCAACTCTTGGCTTATTGTTAGCGATGTTAGGGTTCATTTCCTATCTAGCCCAGGTAGTATCTCTGTGCGCGTCCAGCCATATCTCACCTGTCGAAGACTTTTGCCCTATAGGGTCTGCTGTGCCAACCTTCTGCCGCTCGCTTGCAAACCTAGTGTTATCTTGTCCGAAGGAGATGAACAGATCCGAGTTCAAGACAGCTCTACCCCTTAACCTCATCTCTATATATCTGGTAACATTTGATCAGCAATGACATTCATTCCAACCTTGGTAAGCATCTTTCTAGAAGTGGTATTCATTGTTCGACTAATGCCCCTGTCATGTACGAGAACATGGCACCGTCAATATTTATTCTCACCATTATTCGACCATAGGTCTATATCTAGCCAAGACTTGGGGTACGGTAACAACCCATGGTTTGACACTAGATGAAAGTGATTATCCTAGACAAATGAGCCATATATCCAGAAGCGTCTGCAAAGAACGCCTGCGTCCAAATGTTGCCTATCAGATTATTGGTTCTAAATGCTTCATCGGATGTCGGGTGGGCGTCTGTGTACCTTTCTCAAATCACACTCTAAAATCATTGTACTAGAAAGGTATCTTGAATCCATCGGGCCATCATTATTCGCGACAGTTTCAATTGAGCCCCATAACATGACACACGGAGGTGTGAGGAAATACCGAACAGAATGGTCTGAACCAGCAGATCGGGTCTAGCTAATAATACCACGGCTGAGAAGTTGTCAGCCAAAGGACAACGTTTCACTCTTTCAGCATACATGTTTAGTATGCTGTGGCATTATGTCCATTCTAATGACCAAAGATATACAAATCTTCAACCGACTGTATCCGAGAGAGTTACAATAGATTCGAATACGCTCACGTTTCCTGCGTTCACGGCCACCCGAGTCTAGCTCTACGCTTGACGGATTCTTTCTATACAGCCACTTAGCAATGTCATCAACCACTGCTTCGCTACATGAGCAGGATTTAGTTAACTTGGGACTCAATACTCCCATCGATCAGATTTCTACTCAACCAATCCACTGCGATATCTCCGGGGTAGTGAACAAGACCGGAGGTCAGAACACAAATTTGACATAATACAAATTACCAAGAATACGAGAATGCAGATCTCTCTAGAGCATTGCCTTATGTGGTTTGAGTCTATCTTCTACATATGGATGCGCCATGTGCTAGGGGTAATTTATTTTCTATCCTTCAAAGGTTCGGGATGATCTAAACCAACTCGGCAAGATACGCGTTCAGGCCAATCAGCTTGTCTTACTTTTCCTCCACACGTCCAGCCTAGGCCCTCAAATGTTTAACTATAAATATTACGACGCCCCCGCCCTTCTACTCCATTTTATTTCCATTTCGACAGTTTTATATATTTCCGCACTCCATTGGATATACACCGTCAAAAAAAAAAGTAGAAACAATGGACAGCAAGGTCCTCGAAACAGCAGCAAGCGCGGTACAGGCAAGGAACCGCATCCGCCACCACATCTACCAAACACCTCTCATTCCAGCCCGAGTGCAAGGCAAGGCCAACGGCGCCACGGTGCTCTTCAAAGCAGAGAACTTCCAACTGACGGGGTCCTTCAAAATTCGAGGCGCGATGTCCAAAATGTCGAGCCAAACTGGAAACGGGAAATTAATTACAGCGTCCTCGGGCAACCATGGCATTGGTGCCGGGTGTGCGGCACAGACCCTCTCGAAGAGTCTCACTGTTGTGCTCCCGGAAACAGTGGTGCCCGCAAAGCTGGAGAAAATTCGGTCCTATGGTGTAGAGGTTATCCTCCATGGTGGTGAAACTGGGCTTGCTGAACAGCATGCGCAGCGGCTCGCTACGTCGGGCGTATACAGTTATATTTCGCCGTACAATGACCCTGATATCATTGCTGGACAGGGGACGATTGGCTTGGAGATTCTGGAGCAGTGTGAGCGGGTGGATAATGTCTTTGTCTCCATGGGTGGCGGCGGACTGGTTAGCGGGATAGGGGCAGTTCTCAAGGCTTTTAGTCCACACACAAAGGTATATGGTGTTGCTGCCATTAACTCGAAGGCTCTCGCCGAGTCCATGGCGGTGGGCCATACAGTTGAAACGGAACATCTGGATACACTGGCTGATGCCGTGGCTGGCGGTATCGATACAAATACCCTCACACTGCCGCTGGCGATGTCTGTTGTGGATCACGTTGTCGAATGCAATGAAGAAGAAATCCAAGCGGCCTTGAGGGCCCTTGCCTTTGATGAAAATATGATGGTGGAGGGTTCTGCCGCTCTTGCCCTTGCCGGCTTTACGAAGGTCGCGCACGGACTAGCCCACGAAACCAGTATCATTGTCTTGTGCGGTGCAAACTTTGACCTCGAGGTCCTCAAGCGTGCCATCTTCGATCTCTGAGACCATTCGGCTTTCAGCACACCTCCCCCGAGAGGAGGAAATATGAAAATATCAAGGGGTGAAAATGCTTGACTTGCATCAGCGGGATAGCAGTAGATCGCTGGCCAATGTTAAGCCGGGGGTATGTTACATTTTCCATGCTCGTAGTACCATTGAACAGACACGTGTCGTCTTCTCATCGATACTAGGATATGGCTGTCAAAATAGTAACTAACCTCTATATAGTCTTGGAGGTCCATCTATTCAAGGTGTAGGAAATATAGTTGGGCCTAACTAGCGAAACGGGTGTTGGTGCCACCACTAGACGCAATGATACAAGTAAATTTTGTAGTTTTGAAACCAAAGCCCCAGCACTACTACCTTACCCCAGGTTAATCTGCAATCCGAGGGTAGCGTTCATGATCGAGTTACCATAGAAGAACTCCGTTCTGTACGACTTTTCAGTACTTATAAGGCAAGACAGGGAGCCAAAGTAACATACCCAGCGTTACCAACGTTGACATAGGTCGACTCAGTGAAACGTCCCAGCTTAGATAAAGCAAGAAGCCAGTCCTTCAGGTCCCCAGTGAAGGTACCATCGAATTGCGTCTCAGGTATTAGGGTGCTAACAGTGATGCCGGTATCCTCATTGACGTCTTCATAGAGCTTCCACGAGGTATCGAAGAGGTCGTCGATGGTGGCAACAGCACCGTTGGCCCAACCGATGGGAAGCTGTCCACCCTCGTAATGCAGCCAGAGCATCAGCTCCCGAGAGGAAGAGGAGGTGGAATCACCCTTGACGTCGCTAGTCATGAAGTCGAAGCAGACATTTCCTGTTTCATAGTTTATCAGTTATCTCCCAAGACACCTGACGCAGCAAAAGACCATACCCTTGTACGCAGTGGTGTTGGTACGAGTCCAGCTGTATGTGCTAGGAATTGAATTGATGGCCGACAACTTTGTTTCGAGGTTCTGGGTGAGGCCCACGAAGGAGTAGCCTTTAGGCACATTGTTGCTTTGCTCCAGTCAACTACTGAATTTACTCAGGACAATCGAAAGTGAGATTCTTACGTGCTCTCAACATATTCAATCTCCGTGACACTGTTCCACACAACTTCCTTAGTTCCACTCGTGGAAGTGATTACCTGGTCGTAGTTGGTGCACTGCGAGCCTACGATTTGGTTCGCATTGTAGAGCATGTTATAGACGATCCACGGGGTGTCCTGCAAAACGACATAGTCGTAGTCGCCGCAGTGTTTGCTTGCCGCCTGGGCCCGAGAAAATAGAACGGGAAGGGCAAGGGCCGACACCGAAAAAGAGAGGGCCGCTAGGGCACGAGGAAAGTGAAGCATGTTGATCGCTAAAAAATGTATAAAGTGACAATATACCTTAAAACTGCTAGGTAGGCAAGGATGGACAAACGGTCAAAACTTATGATAAACACTGCCTAGAGATATATGAACAAGAATATGCTCCTTAACGCTCAACGCGGATTGTATATTTGAAACCAAATGAAACAAAGAGTGGAGACCAAATTTCATGGCTAATGTTCGGTAATAACTTCGAAGGGTGGATTGGAACATCTAAACTCCTTGCAATATACTCCAGTGTACTAACCGAGAATGAATCGACAGAGCTCTGCTCTCGAAATATTATGGTTATCTATATCTATCTCCCGCTGTTGTCCGCCAAAAGGGGGTGGGTGCGGCCACTTTGATGGTCAAAACCGAATGCCATGTTCCGGGTAATACGGTCCAGCAATCTCGGCTAACTGATCTGTACTAACTGAGGCTAGATGACGTCCATATACTACTATGATGAGCATTGATGGATTTTCAACAGTAGTGGATGCGGTTGGGGCTTGTTGACTGTTGTATATATATTGTTGTGATGTCAGGTGAAAGATGGGCAGAATGATACTGTATCAGCTACACGTACGTTGCCTACTGAGGACCGGATGCCATTCGGATAGATACTCAATTCTATGGACGACTGTATCAACTATCTTGAGCGCTTTTTTTCTCTATCTTTTCTACTAATAGGTAAAGCCTTCAGGGGCTAAAGGAGTTGGTGATCCGGCCAAGCCGCTAGGCGATCACGTGTCTCCTATTGGTTCATATCAAGAACAGATGTGCAGTGATGCTGGGGTAAAGTTGATGTACCTGCCCCTATACTCACTAGATCTCAATCCTATTGAAGAGATGTTTGCCGAGTTAAAAGCCTTCATTAAGCGCACTAGAAGGTATATGAAGAGGACCCAGAGCAAGAATTTGATGTATTCTTAGAATGGTGCATTGACATTATGGGCCCAAGGAAGCAGAGCGCAGAGGGTCATTTTCGTCATGCTGGGATTCCTCTTGAAGAAATATAGTTTCCCACAAGCAAACAATCGTTGCAGCTCTGTGGATTGATGGGTTTGGACTAAGTGGCCAACGCCCCGATTTGTTGATACCTAAATTTCCTGACTAATCGTAGTAATAACCTCTGCATCTCAGACGTCGGAGGCATTTATTCCGATTCCGAAGAGGGCATAGAGCAGTTGCGCCCTCTCAAAACAATTATACAGCACCTTCAGCCTCTAATTTCTCTTATTTAGACACTATAACTAGGCACTATAACTAACAACTTACCTGTCTAGGCCTGTTGATGAAACCTTGGGAGGTCATCATGAGAAACTGGGGTAGTTGCTAGAGTGCTGTTATTACACATCAATTCTCTGTTTGCTTTTTATTTGTTTATATATTTTCAAGACCATGATTGGCTTTTGAACCTCGACAGCCTCAAACCAACACGTATCAGATGACCCCTCAACTCCAACCTCGAATTTGGATATGCCCTTAAAGAACTTGATCTGCAATACCTACTGTAATAGTTCTCTTTTTTCTCTAGCCAAAGGCTACCTGATCCCTTCTCGTCAGTTTCACCTCTTTATATTGTGTGTGACATATAAAATGATCTTCACACGTGACGACTATACGGTCGCCTGGATCTGCGCCTTGCCGCTGGAAATGGCGGCCGCGAAGGCCATGCTGGACGAGGTTCACCCTCCGCTCCCCCAGCCAGAAACCGACCACAATGTCTACACACTTGGGAGGGTTAGCAACCACAATGTGGTGGTGGCTTGTCTGCCTGGCGGTGTCTATGGGACGATATCCGCTACAGCTGTGGCATCACATATGGTCTCTACCTTTCGGAGTATCCGGTTTGGATTGATGGTGGGTATTGGAGGCGGAGTCCCGAGCCAAAGTGCTGATGTTCGCCTTGGCGATGTTGTAATCAGCAAGCCAACTGCCACTTCAAGTGGTGTTATTCAATATGACTACGGCAAGACACTTCGTGGCGGACGATTTCAGCACATCGGGTCACTTAATAAACCTCCTCCAGTGTTGTTGAAGGCCGTATCTCAATTAGAGAGTGATTACATGGCAGGGAAAAAACTGGTTAACCAAATCTTAATTGATGTACTGCACAAATGTGAAGAGATGAGAGAACAGTTTTCGCGACCGAAAGACGACTGGCTATTCCGACCGACATACAGTCATAAGGTTAGCGAACACAACTGTTCAGCCTGTGATCCGACCCAGTTAGTGAACCGTTCTGAGAGGATAACTGATGAGCCCTATTTTCATTATGGCTTGATCGCTTCCGGAGATCAGGTCATGAAAGATGCCAAGACCCGAGATTCCATTGCTCAGGGTCTAGACATACTCTGTTTTGAAATGGAGGCTGCTGGGCTCATGGACGAACTCCCATCTCTTGCCATTCGAGGCATCTGTGACTACTGCGATTCCCATAAAAATAAACAGTGGCAAGGATATGCCGCCCTTGCTGCTGCTGCCTATGCGAAGGCTCTACTGTCAGTGGTGCCTACTTACTGCTACAAGGAATCATATAAATCAACGAAACCAGTTTGGATGGTCCCCTTTAGAAGGAACCTGCAATTTGTAGGTCGGGAAGAAGTCACCAGGGCTGAGGAATTGATTATGGAGCCGAACGGAGCTGGCAAAGTTGCTATCTACGGACTAGGCGGAATTGGAAAGACCCAGATTGCACTTGAACTGGCATATCGCATGCGAAACCGAGACCCTGAGTGCTCGATTTTCTGGGTCACATGTACCAGCTATGAGAGTGTGGAACAAGCCTACATGAGCATCGCCTCAAAGCTAGGAATGGCTGATATAAAACCAGCAGAGGTAAAAGAAAAAATCAAGGCTTATCTCAGCCAGAAGAGTGCTGGGAAGTGGCTTCTTCTTTTTGATAACGCGGATGATATAGAGATGTGGAGCAAGGATAACACTAATAATTCAGTACTGACAGACTTTCTTCCTCAAAGTGAGCAGGGCCATATTCTTTTCACCACACGCAGTCGGAAGGTAGCTGTGAAACTAGTGTCTTCTTATATAATAATAATCTCTGAGCCGGACACAGAGACTGCTATCAAAATTTTACAAAACTCACTAGTTGAAAAAACCTTACTTAATGATCATGATATAGCCATTACTCTTCTTGAGCAGCTGGCCTTTCTTCCATTGGCAATTACCCAGGCGGCAGCGTATATCAATGAAAATAGCATTGGTCTCTCTGACTATATTATACTTTTACAGGACCAGGAGCCTGATGTGATTGAATTGCTGAGTGAAGACTTTGGAGATGAAAGGCGATATAAAGATACCCAGAATCCTGTTGCATTAACCTGGCTCATCTCATTTCAGCAAATTCAGCGATCAAATGAACTGGCGGCAGACTATCTGTCATTCATGGCCTGTATCAACCCTCGCGATATTCCACAGTCCTTACTTCCCCGGCCAATCTCAACCAAGAAGAGAATTGATGCCATCGGCCTTCTCAAGGCCTTCTCCTTTATTAGTGAGAATGGCAGGGACTGTTCTTTAAATCTACACAGACTAGTCCATCTTGCAACTCGGAACTGGATGAGAAAGAGCCAACAGTTTAGTCGGCATATATTGAAAACTGCAGACCGATTGAGCGAAGCTTTCCCGAACAATGACCATATCAATCGAAAGGTGTGGCGGGAATATCTACCGCATGCATTTTCTCTAATAGCAGAAGCTGACTTCCAGAAGGAGCAGGAGAAATATATTAATTTTATTGTGAATATTTGGAGCTGTTTGTATAGTGACGGCAGATGGAAGGAAGCAGAAGAGCTAGGGATGCAGGTGGTGCAGCTCCGCAAGCAAGTGCTGGGGCCGGAGCATCCAGACACTCTGATCAGCAT